TCGAAGACGACTCTTACGACCCCGACACCCAACTTTTCCTCCCCGACGATAATCTTCCCAGCATAGAAGAACTTAAGAACCCGAAGAACCAGGAACGCCTCGAGTGGCATTCTATGTTAGCTTCCGTGCTGAAAGGAGATGTGGTCAGGCAAGAGAAGCAGCGATTGCTCGGTTCCACTGAATCGACGCGGTCGGCCGCCCTCAGTCATGCACTTTGGATTGGCGTTAGAGCGAGAACCTGTGGACGAAGCATCGCTCTCCAAAGAAAACTTATCGAGGATGCACGGAGCCATCTTGGTCCTATCATCGAAGATATCATCAACTTCCAGATTAAAGGCGAAACCGAAATTGGTAAGGCGCCGAGGCAGCAAGTCGAAGATGTTGTGGCGAAAGTTGAACGCTGCGAGGCCCTCTACTCTGCACACAAAGAGATGGAGACTGCAAACCCTCGAGTTGCATCCGAAGAGTTTGAATCCAGTCGTGCGGCCATTTTCGCCTGGCATAACATCACGGCCCTGATCAATACCGAGCTGGCCGTTTTGCAAAACTGGGTGGGCAACGATTCTCTTGATTTCGGTCAACCCAGAATGAAATCTGCCAACAGCGATCTATCAGATGATTCCTCCTTCCTGGATCGCATTATGAAGGAAGATGGGCTGAAGACACTCCAGGGCCAGCGCAGCATGCTGTATGGAATCGGCGAGGTCATTCAAAAAGCAAAGAGCACTTTGATCGAGAATGCGGAGGCTTTCGCAACCCGCCATCTGCCTCCATATATTGAAGAGCTTTTGACTTTGATCAATTTCCCATCACGGCTGATACAGGAAATCATTCGCGTTCGACTATCATACGCCAGGAACATGAAGGATCCTGCGCAGCAATCCCCCATTCTTGTAGATCAGATGATTTCACAATTCCGAATGTTGATGACTGTGGCAACCCAGATCAAGCAGCGGTACCTTGATATCTCAAGACCAGAGCCTGGATGGGACCTCCCACCATGTGTCGACGAAAACTTTGACTCTGTTGTGCTGGATGCCATGAAGTACTACTTCCGATTGCTGAACTGGAAGTTGAATGCAAACAAAAACACTTTCAAGGAAGCTGAAATTCTTGAACAAGAATGGGAATTTTCCTATCTGATCGGACGGCAGCTTATTGCCGGTGATATTGAGGTGGCCGAGCAATTCAGGTGAGTTGCATACGCTCGACTTTGAGACCAATGCTAACAAAAACAGTGCTTTGACCGCCAAGTCTCTGCAAAGATTGATGATCCATTTCGAACGCGAGTTGGTCCCCAGGCCCAATGAAAGCGTCGCGGATATGGACAAGCGATACAAGAGCATCCTAGATTCTACGCGCATTCGTCAGCGAAAACTTTATCGATTCTCGCGTTTCCTATGCCAACTATTCGAAAACGCTACCGAGTACAACCTGACCATTGACATCGCCTACGAATTCTTCGAGGCCTTGTTGATCTCAGACCACTTCCTCGTCACATCTCCCTCCTCCGTCGGCCAGAAAGGAGTATATTTGATAGCGCATCATTCATTGTGGAACCGCCCATCCGACATCCAAGCCATCCTCGCCACATCTTTCCGTGAAGACGATGATGCACCGGACGCACATATCCCGTACGTGCTTGTCATTCGTCCAGAGAAGCCACTGGCGTGGGCAGGCAAGGAGATGCAAGTGGATATCCTGGAACAGCCGACTGATGTGCGCCTGGGCAAACTTCGTCTTGTTGTGGAAGGCATGCAAGAGCGTTTAGGCAAGGCACGAGTTGAGTTGGCCCAGCTCACTGGCATCCAACTCGACATGGCCATCGAACAGCGAGCTAACCTGGGTCGTGTTAACGTGGAGTTGAACAAGATTAAGAAAATTTCTTTCAAGCTGTCCATGGCGATCATGGACAGCGTGGCTGTGATCAAGGACCAGCTGCGCGAGAAGACATGGGAGGACAACGATCTGATTCAGGCTTGCTACGCATTTGCAACTGAATTCGGTAAACGCTCTTCCAACTATGTTGACGCCAACCGTCGCGCTATGAATAGTGCTCGCTTAGTTGAGCTATCTCTCGACTGGGTTTCTTTCATCTGTGACGACTGTGACGCTGCTGATCGAAAGACATTCAAATGGGCTGTCGCTGCTCTTGAGTTTGCAATGGCTATCACTTACAGTCGCCACCTTCTTTCGTTGGACGAGGAACAATTTGGTCGTCTGCGACTCAAGGTCGCTGGCTGTATGTCTCTTCTCATCTCCCACTTTGATATTATGGGCGCTCGATCGTCCCTCGCGGCCCAGGCGGAGAAGCAGCGTATGGAGGAGCGCGCCGGGGCTCGAAAGATTGGTGCTGGCCGTATCATCAGTGACGAAGAAGCAGCCAAGCTTATTCGCGAACAATGGCACTCCCGTATTCGGGAAATTGAAGATAGCCGGGAAGAGACCAAGCGTCAAGCCTTGGGTAAGGTATTGGAAGGCTCTAATGAGGCCGACCGATCCCTCACCGTGCTCTCCTCCTCTGCCACCAATGTCACTTTGCGCTGGCAGCAAGGCCAGTTCATCGGCGGTGGTACCTTTGGCTCTGTCTATGTTGCTATCAATCTGGATAGCAATTATCTGATGGCAGTTAAGGAGATCCGTTTGCAGGATCCACAGCTTATTCCCAAGATCGCGCAACAAATTCGCGACGAGATGGGTGTCCTCGAAGTGTTAGATCACCCTAACATTGTTTCCTATCACGGTATCGAAGTTCACCGAGACAAAGTCTACATCTTCATGGAATACTGCTCCGGTGGCTCGCTCGCCAGCTTGCTGGAGCACGGCCGTATCGAAGATGAAACAGTAATTATGGTCTATGCCTTGCAACTTCTCGAAGGTCTTGCCTACTTGCACCAATCAAGTATCGTTCATCGTGACATCAAGCCGGAGAACATCCTTCTCGACCACAACGGAATCATCAAATACGTCGACTTCGGCGCCGCCAAGATTATCGCTCGATCAGGACGCACTGTCGCACCGGTGGACGGCCCCAGCGTTCTCGGAAAAGACAACCAGATTCCAAATCAGCGCAAGAACCAAAAGACCACCACTGGAACTCCAATGTACATGTCCCCCGAGGTTATCCGTGGCGATCTTCCCGACCTGAACAACCGCCAGGGCGCTGTTGATATCTGGTCATTGGGCTGTGTCATCCTCGAAATGGCCACGGGCCGCCGTCCCTGGTCCACTCTCGATAACGAGTGGGCGATTATGTATAACATCGCTCAAGGTAACCAGCCTGATCTGCCCACGCTTGATCAACTCAGCGAAGTTGGAATCGACTTCCTCAGCCGCTGCTTCGAATGCGATCCCCTCCGACGATCCACTGCCGCCGAGCTCCTCCAGCACGAATGGATTGTGTCCATCCGTCAACAAGTGGTTGTCGAACCGCCCACCCCTAGCAGCGATTCCGGTAGCTACTCCAGTTCAGGCTCGGTCACTCGACAGAACTCCAACTACATGTGATTCGATTCGATTTTCAACCTAGAAAGATCTCCAAAGACTATTGCATAAATATTGTCTCCAGATCTCATCCATCTATTTTTCACTTCTATGCCTGATTGTCCGGCAATTTCTTGTCGTGTTTGCATACCATCGATCTTTTAAGAAAGAAGATTCTGACAATCTTCCTCAACACTCTCGCTGATCTCGACTTGACTCAACCGACATCGCATGTGATACCCCTGTCCCAATTGTTTTTTTACCCTTCATCTCGTTCACATTATCCTTGATATGGCTCCCATATACGAAGAGTCCTTCGTTCACCATGTTCACCAATGTCTTTTTTGCCCGGCGTTTCTCGCATCTTCGGTTTCTCGTGTGGTTCGTGTACGAGATGGGTTTTCAGGGAGGTAATTTCCTGGCGCTTGACTTTCAGCATGCATATAACGTAACATCTATTATCATAACTTGGTTATGTCTTGTTTACCTAAGTACATTTAAAGGTTGCGAGGATGTATTGAGAAATCTTCTAATTCACAGTTGGGATTTTTCAATCTCCGCCCCGGGAGCCAATGCATTATGTAATTGTCTTTTCTAGTTCAGATAGCCTTGTCTTATTCTATTTTTCTTCCTCTCTCAGGGGCTTGTTCTTATTGTATTCCATCTCCAGTGGTCCCGGCAATTTCCAGCATATCTGCATCCCAGCCCGCTCTCCCCACGAGTAAGCCAAAACTACGCGTGATTGATCGCGGTGGGAACTGTTCAAAGTCAGGATAGAACGTATCTTGCTCTCGTGATTTGATTCTTCAACCCCTCTGTAGTTTGCAACCAGTGGGGCTGGAATAGCAGATTCTTTTCCTTGAGCGTTTTGAGCCAAAAGTTCCGATAGCTAGAGCTACTTCACTTAGTAGCGATGTTAGGTATAAAAGCCCTAAGCCCTTTATCTTAGTAGGAGTATCGTACTAACGCCTGCCGCGAGTTCTTTGAATTAACATTTACTATGAAGAATCTGGTAGGGATAAGGAGATAAATCTTGATCTTATATACCTTAGGAGTCAACTTGGGTTTTCGGTGTTTTGCTCGATCTCCAACCTTTCCCAAGTGATCCCCAGGCCCGGGCTTAACAAAAGGCTAACTCCGTATACTTCCTCCACAACTAAATCCGCCTGCACTCGAATTAAGGCCTGAAGGAATATTATGATGATGGTTGTGTGTGTGTGTGTGTGTGTGTGTGTGCATTCTCAGCTATGCTATCATCAATTAATTATAAGCAGTGAGCACCTGGACACTCTTTACCCCCGGAGCTATAGTACATCCCACTCATCCCCAACTTCAACCTCCTATCAATCCGCCCGAGGATGTCAAAAACATTAATCCAGTACTAACTACCTGAAAAGGGTGGCCAATTTACCCTAGTTTCCGTCCCTCTAAGACCTCCTGATCCAAATGAGATCTCCATCCGCATCAAAGCCGTAGGCTTGAACGGATTGGATTGGAAAAGCCGCGGCTTTGGCATCATGGTTCAAGCCTGGCTAGCTGTAATAGGCATTGACGCAGCTGGAATTGCCGAAGCTGTTAGCCACAAGGTACAGGTCTTCCAGCCGGGCGACGAAGTCTTCAGTCTAGCTGGCATGGAGCCCCATGCCGGCGCTTTCCAAGAAATACCCACGGTCCCCGAGCACTTAGTAGCAAAGAAGCCGTCTAACCTGACATTCAAAGAGGCTGTCTCACCCCGTGAGTGTTGATAGCATACCAAAGGAAGCAACATCCCCTAACAGGGCCCCAGAACAATCTCCATCACCGCCGCCGCGGCAATAACAGTGGGCTTGCACCAACCACTGTCGCACCTCAATCCAACCAAAAGCAAACATGTGCTCAAGTCTATCCTGGTACTGGGCGGTACGGTAGTTCTGGTATTAGTGCAGCCGCCATTCAGTATCTACGACTCGCATTATCTGAGGCAACTATTCTGACGACTAGCTCTAGCATCATGAGCAGCTTCTCTCTCTAGGTGCGATGAAGTGCTTTGAGTGATCTGCACAAGATGATACGGCCAATATCAGGGCCGCGACTCCCGATAGTGCAGGGGTTTACTCTATCTTGGATCCTGTGGCGGCCGCGGCTAATCAGCCAACAGTGTTCACGGCCTTTGACTCGAGCGGACCTCTTCTCTACTCGCAGGTTATCACTGGTCAGGAGGTAACCGTTCCTGAGGGAGTTAGTGCCACTGTGCTTTTCGGTCGTCAGGTTTTGGGAACAGAGGGTGGACTCGGCGTCTTGCCCGGTCTGCCCAATTTGATAGAGAATGGTCAGTTCAAACTTCCCATCGACGTGAAAATAGTGGGTGAGGGCTTTAGGGCGATTCAGAGTGGCTTGGACAAACTGATGAAAGGTGGTGTTAGTGGTACCAAGTATGTAGTCCGGATCTAGTTCAATCGCCAGATCGACCAGACGCAGGTGAAGGCATCATTGATCTCTTCATTATTATTGGTCTCATCATAATCCAAAAATATAAAGCAGGCAGACGCCTAGGCAATTGACCAGGCTTTGTTTACCGAGATCCTAGTCGGTGTACATTCACGTAAACGTGCATACAGTCCAGGCGTCGCCCCACATTGACTACTGCAAGTGGGTGGATCGGAGCGGGGATCCAGCATTATATCGAGGCCGCGGCAAGCGCGGTCCGTCACCAAATTTACAGGGTCTACAGGGATTGGATCGCATAAGTCCTGAAAAAGAAGATTCGGCTCGGGGGAATTGAATTTCCGGAGCTGAATGCACTGCAGTCGTGGGAACGACTCCATACTATCGAACAAGGCAAGAATGAGATGGCTGTGAATGGTAATAAAGGTAATAGAAAAAAAAAAAGCATGTCCTTGAAACAGATTGACCCAGCGCCAGGATAGAAAAAGAGAGGGAAACGCCATTTCGTAGATTGACCGTTCGTGAGGCATGAGATACAATTTGAAAAGAGCTGTCGAGCTCGAGAGCTTGGACCAATGGGGTATAGTTGAGAGGTGTCGAAGGAGTCGAGACCCGCCTAAAAGAGATATGGTGGGGGCGAGGCATGAGAGAAGTCGGAGAGTGGGTGGAGTACATGAGCGACCAAGTCAAAAATCAGGTAAGGAACAATCTGCAAATGCAAGCCAAGCTTCTCGCGGTCGGTGTGGGTAAGGGCGGTACCAAAACACGCTGTTTGTTTTGATAGATCAAGAAGGAAGAGACAGGGAAGCAACCGCATGGCTACAACAGAGAGCAGGCTGAGGCGCCAGCAGTCGAATTAAGCTTAGCGAAATTCGACTGCTGGTGCACATCCACGATCCTCGACATACTTGAGTTCAAGCTGTTGAAATCTGTAATACAGTAAGTAAAAAAAAAAAAAAACCAGGTCAGTCGTGTGAGGAAGTTGAGACATACCGTTCACTCTTCGCATGGAAGTAGACACCGCTGATAGACCCCTCCACTTGGTTGAAACATATGTAGTAGAACCCCTCAAAGCTAGCACCTGAGATCGTTCGAACCCGATGATCAGGAACGAGGAAGTATTCCTTCCATCTCATGAACACGTGCTCGCGCTGAGCAAAATTGCGGTATGTGAAATCAGTCCGCTTGGCTTGTTTAGCCAGCGGTTTCCACGCAGGAAACCGAGACCAATGGTGTATGTCGGTTTTCTCATTAGCACCCCATGCTTCGTTGCGAGTTTGGAATGTATGCTTGGTTCCGATGATTTCGCCTTCGAAATATGTAGTGAGAGTAGGGTGATCTTCGGTAAGGCCTGTTTGATGGAAAGAGTGAGCACGTAAGATATAAGAATTCGATGCGCGTCAGGGACAAACCTTGAATGCGAAGGTAGCCGCAGAGGGAGGACTCGGCCATGTCCACGTGCTTGATCTCCACGTCGACATTGTAAACTTGGCGGTCCGACTGCTGTGTGCCCACGAATCTACTACCTGAGCGAAGGAAGGATGAGGTGTGATTTGGCAGAAGCTATGGCTGTTAGTCAATTGCGTGGCGAAATGCCCGGTGAGATTGGGCGACACGTACCCGAACGTTGGAAAACTCATATCGCATGAGCGATGAGTTTGGGGGTGCGACGGTTGACTGGCTTCGTTCGCATGTCTCTTCAGGAGAGCTTGATCTGCCGGGCGTAGATTCTTCATCCACGCCGGGCATCTTCCTTTCCACTTTCAACGGGTCGGACGCTAAGAGCACGGTGCCATCGTCGGAGCGACTCAGCACGGACGGCGCGATGGCACTATTAGGTGAAAGAACATCATCGATACCATCACTGACCGAGCCAGGGGAGTCCGGCGAGTCTGTCCAGGTCGAAACCCGATCAGCATCAGGTGGACAGGTGCGGGTGGAGATCACCTCGGCGATCGAAGTCGAATGGTTAACACTTGGAGTCGGCATTGCGAATCAAGGGAGGAGAGTAGACATCGGATCGAGGAGCGCGCTAAGGGAAGGCAATATCACCAAAAGAGATGAATACGGAAGAGAAAGAAGAAGAAGTTGAGGAGAAGATCTGTACCGGGGGACGGACCATCTGAGCGATGGGGTCATGCGAGCGCGGGGGAGGCGCCGACCAATTTGGCCTGAGGCACCAATATACGTCAGGTACGTCTGCATTCACTTTGTACTTAGGCTACTTAGGGTACTTAGTGCTCTTAGTGTCGCATTTCATTACTCTATTTGGTTTGCTGACGAGAATGTCATGGTCTCAAATAGTGCCATTCACGAAAGCCATTTTCGTGTCTGAGTCGTTTCCATGCTCGAGTGGCGATCCCGCTGCACAGGAAATCCCAATGAACACGCCTCAATGAACGCCCGGTATCATAAAAAAATAATCCAATAATTTCACGTATTTCCTCATCGACCATGATTCAAATAGGCTTGATCTGTGAAGCGTAGACGTTAGTGCGGAAGAGAAGTAGGATACCGAGACAGCCCGTACCTTGAAGTGGAGGGAGATCAAAGAGAAAATGAGCGCTTTCAAGTCCTGCACAAGGTAGTAGAACACTCGGAGTCCCTCGGGGTCTGCTGATTCAGTGACGTCCACCAACGAGCCGATCTTCGCGGTCTGTATACGTCCGTTAGTTGTCCGATCGTCCTTGTTCAATTTTCAAACACCCGTCGTACCTCAAAGGAGATGTGTTCACTGCCCAGTCGGATTTCCAGCTCCTGTCGTCCATCCTTGTTCTTCTGCGGCCACTTAGAGTCGTCCTCCCTGCACTGCGTTAGCACGTCGTGTCGGTCAAATCGTCCAGCATGGGGTCTCGTACTTCATGATCTCGCTATCCTTGATGATTCGCTTGATCTCCTGGATCATTGCAGAGCTCACGCACACTATAGTTCCAGTCAGATTATCAGTGTTGGTCCTCGAGCGGATCCCCGCACTCACTTTCTTTGCGGATCAGGGAGTCATTGCGGTAGTTTGAGTTATTGGCGTATCGTACAGCGGCGCTGCTACCATCTGCAATGGTCCGGAAGTCGAATTCTAGTAGAAGTCAGCGTGATGGATCTCAATGCCAGATGAAGGTAGACCGTACCTAGGAACTCATGTCCGAACCGCCCAGAGTGACCTGAGCTGCGAAGCTGTCAGCAGCCGAGGGAACCCGGGCTTAAGAGCGCATCATCCTTACTAGTATCTCAGGTAGAAATTCTCGTTATTCGACATGTTTGGCGCGTGACTGGAGAATTCAAAGGTGAAGCAGCGAGAGAAAGGCGGAGTGAAAAGGTGACTGGCTTAGTCACCCACACAGACGGGGCAAAGGGACACCGTTGATGCTTCCCACCCCCCGATTGCGCATTACCATAATCAAAACACCCATGATTTCTAGGCTGGTGAGGGGTGTTGGATCTATCTAATTGCGCGTTCCTGACTTTGGTCTTTACTCCTTTATCTGGGAGATTGCTTCTGGTACGTGCAGGTGGGGTACTCTGTGTTCAAAACATCCCCCGAACTGACAACTTGCAGCTCCCCTTCGTCTCGGCCGTCGCCTCAATCCACCACCATGGCGTCCTACCTCGAAAATGCATACAGTCTGATCCATATGGACAATACGGCAGACAACCCGACACTGCAGGAATTGAAACTGCAGCTGGAAAAGGGCAATGATGAGACTAAGTTGGAGACGATGCGGACAATTGTTACGATCATGCTGAACGGCGACCCTATGCCCCAGCTGCTGATGCACATCATTCGCTTCGTTATGCCGTCCAAGAGCAAGTCATTGAAGAAGTTGCTGTACTTCTACTATGAGATCTGCCCCAAGCACGACTCGAATGGCAAGTTGAAGCAGGAGATGATCTTGGTTTGGTAAGGACACGCCTCGGCCAGGAACCGCGTCCCTGCGAACTAACACGCTTCCTCCGATAGCAACGGCATTCGTAACGACCTTCAGCACCCGAACGAATATATCCGCGGTAATACGCTCCGCTTCCTGTCCAAGCTACGTGAGCCCGAACTCATTGAGCCCCTCCTTTCCTCGGCCCGTGGGTGTCTAGAACACCGCCACGCTTACGTCCGCAAGAATGCCGTGTGGGCTGTCGCTTCTATCTTCCAGCACTCTGAGTCCCTGATCCCCGATGCGCCTGAGCTTCTACAGACCTTCCTCGAATCGGAGACCGACAACACGTGCAAGCGCAATGCCTTCGCCGCTCTCATGTCCATCAGCCACCAGAAGGCACTTGAATTCCTCCGCACGACTTTCGATACCATCCCCAACACCGACGAGCTCCTCCAGCTGGCGGAGCTGGAGTTCCTGCGGAAGGATGCTGTGCAGAACCCCCAAAACAAGGTAGGAGGACCAAGACAACAAGCACCAACATGGGTTAAGTCACTAACTGTCTACAGTCGCGGTACCTCAAGCTCATGCTTGAACTGCTTGATGCCCCTACCAGCACCGTCGTCTACGAGGCCGCCACCTCTCTTACTGCCCTCACTAGCAACCCTGTCGCCGTGAAAGCCGCCGCGGGCAAGTTGATCGAGCTCGCAATCCGGGAGGCGGACAACAACGTCAAGCTCATTGTTTTGGACCGTGTCGACCAGTTGAGAATTCGCAATGAGGGTGTTTTGGAGGACCTGACCATGGAGATTCTGCGTGTTCTCACCAGCCCCGATATTGATGTCCGGAGGAAGGCTCTTGGCATTGCCTTGGAAATGGTCTCCAGCAAGAACGTTGAGGAGATCGTTATGCTGCTCAAGAAGGAGCTTGCTAAGACAGTTGATGAGCAATATGAGCAGAACAGCGAATACCGTCAACTTCTGGTCCAGTCAATACACTCTTGCGCCATCAAGTTTTCCGAGATCGCCGCCAGCGTTGTCGACCTTTTGATGGATTTCATTGCCGACTTCAACAACAACTCTGCCGTGGATGTGATTTCATTCGTCAAGGAAGTCGTTGAGAAGTTCCCCGACCTGCGCTCATCGATCGTTGACCGCTTGGTGTCCACCCTCAGCGAGGTCCGGGCCGGTAAGGTTTACCGCGGTGTTCTCTGGGTTGTCGGAGAGTACTCCTTGGAGGAGAAGGACATTCGTGAGGCTTGGAAGAAGATCCGCACCAGTCTTGGTGAGATTCCTATCTTGGCATCCGAGCAACGGCTTCTCGACGAGACCCCCGAGGAGAATGCGCTCCTCCTTCCGGAAAATGTCAATGGCCACGCCAAGTCTGCTCCCTCTGGATCCCGCAAGGTTCTGGCCGATGGCACCTACGCCACAGAGAGCGCTCTCACAAGCCAGTCTGCTGCCGCCGCTCGTCTTGAGGCAGTCAAGGCTGCGCAGAAGCCCCCGCTGCGTCAGCTCATTTTGGATGGCGACTACTACCTGGCAACCGTTCTCTCCTCTACTCTGACCAAGCTTGTCATGCGCCACTCCGAGGTTTCCCAGGATGTTGCTCGCACTAACGCCCTTCGCGCCGAGGCCATGCTCATTATGATCTCCATCATGCGTGTCGGCCAGTCGCACTTTGTTAAGGCTCCTATTGATGAGGACTCCGTTGATCGAGTTATGACCTGTGTACGCTCTCTGGCTGAGTTCTCGGAGAAGAAGGATCTTGAGACCACTTTCCTCGAGGACACCCGCAAGGCTTTCCGCGCTATGGTTCAAGTCGAAGATAAGAAGCGGGCCGCGCAGGAAGCGGTTGAGAAGGCCAAGACTGCCGTGCAGATTGACGACGCTATTCCCATCCGGCAATTCACCAAGAAGAACACCGTGGAGGGAGCTGAGGATATCGAACTTGACCTGGTCAAGGCTACTGGTGGTGACTCTACCGTGGAGACCGGCTCTTCTAAGTTGAGCCGTGTAGTGCAGTTGACTGGCTTCTCTGACTCCGTCTACGCCGAGGCCTACGTCACAGTCCACCAGTTTGATATTGTCCTGGATGTCCTTCTGGTCAACCAAACTGGCGAGACCCTTCAGAACCTTTCCGTGGAGTTCGCCACTCTTGGAGATCTCAAGGTTGTTGAGCGACCCTCCACCCACAACCTCGGCCCGCGCGACTTCCTGAACGTCCAGGCCACTGTGAAGGTGTCATCCACTGATACCGGCGTCATTTTCGGTAACATCATCTACGACGGCGCCAGTTCGACCGAGAGTCACGTGGTCATTCTTAACGATATCCATGCCGACATCATGGACTACATCCAGCCCGCCCATTGCACCGAGACCCAGTTCCGCACTATGTGGACTGAGTTCGAGTGGGAGAACAAGGTCAACATCAACTCTAAGGCTAAGACTCTGCGTGAATTCCTCAAGCAGCTGATGGAGAGCACGAACATGGCCTGTTTGACCCCCGAGGCCTCGCTCAAGGGTGACTGCCGCTTCCTGAGCGCCAACCTCTACGCTCGGAGTGTATTCGGTATGTCTTCTTTTTTCCGTCTCCCTTTGTTCCCTTTAGAGACTTTGTTTTGAAAAAACTGCTAACTGTGTAACTAGGCGAGGATGCGCTGGCCAACCTGAGCATTGAAAAGGAAGGTGACGACGGGCCGATCACTGGCTTTGTCCGCATTCGCAGTCGCTCGCAGGGCCTGGCTTTGAGCCTGGGTTCTTTGAAAGGTCTGAAGGCGGCGGCGGCATGAGTCTGATTTGATTTTTCCAGCGCGCAGTCTATATGATGTCTTCCTTGTTTCTGCTCTTTTTTTTAAACCTGGTCGTTCCAGATAAATTTGTGACCTTTTACTGCTAAGACCGGGGAGTAGTGGAATAGATAATGGTTCCTGGCTATTTATGGTATCCTGTAATAGCTCAGTAGTTGAGCAGCTATAAGACCCTTGTAATAAATATTGCCGAGGATGTAACATGAGCCCTTAAACCTGCAGCGGAGATCCGAGGTGTGCAGGGGCCACCCGCAGCCCCAGGAACCGGAACCCGCGGCTGTTGATCTTCGATCCGTCCAGCCTCTCGTGCTCTCTCATTCTTATCGGAATCCTCTCCCTTCCATATTCCTACTATGCGCTAGATTTACCACTAATTCCTCAAGAATGTCCTCCGACGCACCGGGGCCGTCGGCACCGCATGACTCGAGTCTGATTGTCGATAAAGCAGTCACCCTGACTCTGGGCAGTGACTCGCTACTGATTGCTGGTAAGGAACTCTGTCGCATTCGCAGGAGAACTGCCATTTCTAACTGGTGCTGCAGACAACCGCACTTCTCGCCAACAGAACCGTGGCTGCTGCGGACTATGCAAGTCAAGTAAGCTGGGAACCTTTGATTTTGCCCCTCTGGCGATCTGCCAACCTTAATCGCACCATCGCATCTTTTCTAGACGGGTTTGACTGACCTCCTTGCTTTACAGGAAAGAAGACTAATACGACGCAAACAATATCTTTATATAATATCCTCGACGCCGAGGTGAATCCCTCTAACCTCGTCATCACGTTCGCCGAACACTCCTCGTCGGACATTGTCACCATTTCCGTTCTTCACTATCCCATCAGCGAGAAGGAGAAGCCTGCGATCGAGGCTTGGGTAAACAAGCTACTAGTCCAGGCATACGGTACCGCTCAGCGCAGGAGGCGCATCAAGGTCCTGGTCAATCCTTTCGGTGGCAAGGGAACGGCGGCGAGCCTCTACCAAACATATGCAGCACCCATTTTTGCCGCCGCGCGTTGCCAGGTGGACGTACAGAAAACTGAGTATCGCGGCCATGCCATTGAGATTGCAGAGCAGCTGGACATCGACGCGTACGATGCGATTGTCTGCTGCTCCGGTGATGGCCTGCCCTACGAAGTCTTCAACGGCCTAGGCAAGCGATCCAACGGCAGGGAAGCTTTGGCAAAAGTGGCGGTCGCCTTGCTTCCTTGTGGCTCCGGAAACGGAATGACTTGGAATTGCTTGGGAACAGGAAGCGTCTCGATCGCGGCTCTGGGACTTGTGAAGGGACAAAGTGCTCCTCTTGATCTGGTCTCAATCACCCAAGGGGACACCCGCACTCTTTCTTTCCTGTCGCAGTCCTTTGGTATTGTCGCCGAATCGGACCTGGGTACAGACCACGTCCGGTGGATGGGCGCCCAGCGCTTCACCTATGGATTCCTCGTTCGGCTGCTGAAGCGTACTATTTGGCCGTGTGATCTTCACATCAAGGTTGAAATCGATGATAAGCAAGCTATCAAGGACCATTACGCCACCTTTGCAGCTCGAGAAGTCGATCCTAAGGCTGACAAATTGCGTCTTAAGGCTGCCGAGCAATCGCCAGCGCTGCCGGAGCTTCAGTATGGCACGGTCCAGAGTGAGCTCCCATCGGATTGGGAGCCCGTCCCAGGTGAAACGATGGGCAATTTCTACGCAGGCAACATGGCCATTATGTCAAAGGATACCAACTTCTTCCCTGCCTCGCTCCCAGATGACGGACTCATGGACATCGTCACCATTGACGGAACTGTTAGTCGCACGACCTCCCTGAAGATGATGAATGAGATCAGTACGGGTGGCTTCTTCGACATGCCCGATGTGACCATCCGCAAAGCCACGGCATTCCGCCTGGTTCCACACGAGAAAGAGGGCTATATCAGCATCGACGGCGAACAGGTGCCATTCGAGGCCCTTCAAGCCGAAATTCACCGTGGGCTGGGCACGACACTCTTTAAGACTGCAGGTCTATACGAGGCTGACGGGCCGAAGTGATCCCTGCCCAATTCCGTGTCGACATAGGAGGCGGTTCTGAGTCACGTTCTATTACTTACATGTTTCCCGATGTCTTTTGCTATTCAATCATGATACCCTTCTGCAAGACCTGGTGGTGTGACGTTTTGTTTCGGTTGTGGATTATGTTTATACGCGGGCTACAGCTCGTTTCTGCGCTCATTGGGCTGAGAGCTTCATTGCTCGTGTACAGACACACCAATATAATTTTATTTCTTGATATGCAAGGTTGTTTTTCGTTGGTCTTAAGAGATCTTTAGAGCTTTTATTGATTTGGAATAATTCTCGCTATGAATGCTGTACAGAAGGAAGAAAAAATGAAAGGCCCCAGTAGGTCTGAGCCGGACAAGCCAGTTTCAGCATAGGCGAAGCTCAAGGGTCCCGGGATCAAGCCTCCGGTATGCGTCTTTCCCAAAAGGGAGTAGAACACAAAGAGGCCTCGAACTGGGCAGACCGTAGCCCACCCGGAGCGGGTAAAGGAAGAGGGGACTGTTGGTGGTCACTCCACTAAAAGCCCTCCCTGGAAGTCTTCACTTCAATTTTATGAGAGGAGAATCACCTCCTTGTACCCTTCGGCTGCTCATTCATCGAAACCACCCCACTCGCCATCGCTGTCCTCCTCTTCCTCCTCATTCTTGCGCTCCCGGATACCCCACTCAATCAGCCGGTCATCATCCAGCGCCTCACCAACCCTCGTCCTCACGGGCTTGTAAGGACTCTCTTTGCGTAGCTTCTCCAATGGCCGCAAGATAAGCTCCATGGGCACACCACCCTTGATCTTCCGTTCTCCCTCCTCCCCGTCAAACTCCAGAACCTTCTCCAACTCATCAATCCAGATATCAGCAAGATGATAGCGCAGTCCATCAGGGCCGTGAGGCATAGGAACAAAGTCCGGGTTCTTCTCATCAACATCAGGCTTAGAAGACTGATCAGGATCATAGTTCTTTGGGCAGAGCGGACCCTCCTCGATAATAGAGATATAAGCCTCCAGATCGGCCCACTTGCCATCCGCATCACCACTCTCCTCCTCAACGGGAGTCTCGGCCTCCTTCTGCTTCTTCTGCTTCTTGCCACGGCCACTCTTGGCGTCCTCGCGCTTGCGCTTCTTGCCGTCTTCACCCTTTGCCTTGTTACCCTTCACAAAGATCTCAAATGCGACGCCGACATAGCAACGGATCAGAAGAAGATACTTGTCCAGACGCAGGCGGTCGAGGGAGTGGAAGTCCCGGCCGATAGTGATCCAGAATGCGCGCAGGAAACGGTGGACGGTGGCTTGGGGAAGAGACGGGACGAGGGAGTAGGAGAGGGCGCGAGCGAGCGCTTGTTGCGTGAGCGGGCGGTCGGAGTGGTAGAAGCAGAAGAACAAGCCCTTCCAGAGCTTGAGGAGCTCGACGAGGGTCAGGTCATTTCGCGAGCGCAGAAACAGTGCGAGCGACTCGACGGCCTTGTCGCGAACTTTGCGGTCTATAAAATATATTAGTTTTGAGGCTCTGCTTTTTGTCTCCTTTATTAAACTTACCACTCGAGGCGAGGTCCCGAACAAAGGGAGTCTTTTGCATGTCCGCCATTGGTTTCAATTGAATGGTGGTTTGTCTGACCTTCGGAGATGTCGATCGCCGCGATAAATTATTTTTTTTCCTGATAGCGCGTTTGCACTGTTTGCATTTTGGCCTTGGGTTTCGGGTGTCCACAAGAGATGTGAGACAGTGCCTATTTTCCATTCCCATTTAAATCACTGGGAATGAATATGCGCAGAAATTTCTAAATTTAAATTCAGAATCTGTTACAAGACTTTGCCTTTCTGGTAGAGAAGTTTCGCAGCAGTCAATCTAATTACATAGAGCTTAGAGGAGATCCAAGGCAACAAGGCATCGACTCGTAACTATAGATTGAGTCAATTAGACTATTCAACATGGTTGGACCCTAATAGCCAATGTTACGGCATTTGAAGTCTGATATTCTATAAACACTATTTTCTCTGGTACGCTTGTAATGAAAAGCTACATGTAACAGGATTCAAGGGCTGCATCCGGCGTTCCCATTAGTCCCGCGATCCAGCGGCGTAGGTCCCGCTAGATCTTGACATCACCACTTCCACATTGATCGAATGGGAGCTCAAAAGCCCTGGTCCAATACCAGTGGGGATGTGGCTCAGGGCAATATTATTGCCAATCATTAGAACAGAGTGTTACCCCAGAATACAGATTAATTGCGACGTTGCCCCATAGCTTTCTTCAATTGTAGTTTTTCTCATCCTCGTTCTTTCGTTTATCCTTGAATATATTTGAAGCCTATCATCACTCTTTCTGTTTCGCCAGAGGGCTATCTTTCATCATAATGGCCCAGAAGGATGAGGAGCCTGAGATTGCTCAGCCAAGCTCCTCCCCTCGTGAATCGGAAAATTCACGATCGAGCTCCGAAGAAGTCCCCGAGACCGAGAAAGATGTATTCGAGCACATTCGCGCTGAAGACCGCCAGGAGCTTTCTCGCATTGCGTCCGAGTTCCCCCGGCACCGTGCTACTGACTCAGGTGTTGGAGGAATGGAGGACATGGAGCGTAAGGATACACTGGCCGATCTCGAGCTAGACGACCCGGTCCTAGACCCTACGGGCGACCAGTTCGAACACTATAAATGGGCTCGCATGATGCTCAAGTTGATGGATAAGGAGGGTGTTCCTCTGCGAAAATCGACCGGCGTGGTGTGGGAAAACCTCAACATCTCCGGCTCAGGTTCCGCACTACAGTATCAGAACAACGTCGGCTCGGTCCCTCTGGCTCCCTTCAGACCGCAGGAGTACATTTCATGCGGAAAACGTGTACAACAAAAGCACATTCTCCGAGACTTTGACGGCGTCCTCAAAAGTGGCGAGCTGCTTATTGTACTCGGCCGGCCTGGAAGTGGCTGCTCTACCTTCCTCAAGTCCTTATCTGGTGAACTCCATGGGCTGAAAGTTGGAAAGGGCTCGGACATTCAGTTCAATGGTATATCCATGGAAAAGATGCACAAGGAGTTCAGGGGCGAAGTTCTTTACAACCAAGAAGTTGATAAGCATTTCCCACATCTTACGGTGGGCCAGACGCTTGAATTTGCCGCAGCTGCTAGAACCCCAGAGAACCGTCTCAATGGAATCAGCCGAACTAAGTATGCTAAGCATATCACCCAAGTGGCTATGGCTGTTTTGGGCCTGAGCCACACGTACAACACGAAAGGTGAGATCGTTTATCATGAGATAAGGATCTTTGTTGACCTCCTATTCAGTTGGGGACGATTATATTCGCGGTGTTTCCGGAGGTGAGCGAAAGCGAGTCAGGTATGTTGCAGTGATCTATCGGACTGGGGCTCAAAGCTAATATGTCTCATAGTATTGCTGAGATGGCCTGTAAGTCACATAATTATTTTCGGGGCATGTCCCTGGGTCACAACTAACCCATTGAATAGTGTCAGGAGCTCCAGTCGGCGCCTGGGATAACAGCACTCGAGGCCTTGATTCAGCCAGTGCCCTCGAATTTGCCAAGTCTCTGCGAGTTTCTGCAAACCTGACGGGCGCGTGTCATTCCGTCGCAATCTATCAGGCCTCCCAAGCAATCTACGACGTATTCAATAAGGTCATCGTGCTTTACGAAGGTCGGGAGATATTCTTCGGCCCCGTTGGGTAAGTCAACATTCATACATAAAGTCGAATTAAAGTCTGCTAAATAATACATCCAGTGAGGCCAAAGAATACTTCATTGACATGGGCTGGGAGTGTCCGTCCCGTCAGACAACCGGTGACTTTTTGACTTCGGTTACCAATCCCCAAGAGCGAACGGCTCTTGAAGGTATGGAGAACAAGGTTCCACGCACACCGGATGAGTTTGCGGCCTACTGGAAAAAGAGCTCTCACTACGCCAACCTTCAGAAGGAGATCGCGCAGTATCGAGAGGAGTATCCATTGGGAGGCGCTGCTGGGCAAGAATTTGACGAGACGAAGAGACTGCGTCAGGCAAAGCATGTCCGTCCGAAAAGCCCCTATGTCATTTCTATCCCGATGCAAGTCCGGCTTTGTGTAAAGCGAGCTTACCAGCGGTAAGTTCAGTGCTTTCTATTTCCTTATTACCAAAAAATAGCCGTCTAATTTCTTTTCAGCATCTGGAATGACAAACCCTCTACACTGACTACAGTCATTGGGCGTATCATTATGGCCCTCGTCATCGGTTCAATCTACTTTGGGTGAGATTAGCAGTCTAGAAATTCTAGCAATCTACAAATTCAAGAATTGGAGCTAACACTAACCAGGACACCTAATGCGTCGGCCGGCTTCCAGAGCAAAGGCGCTGCTCTTTTCTTTTCCGTCTTGTGAGTAATTCGAGTCACGGTGGAACATTTCCTCTAACATACATGTCAGGTTGAATGCTCTGATTAGTATTACCGAAATAAACTCACTTTACGACCAACGACCCATCATTGAAAAACAGGCTTCTTATGCATTTGTCCATCCATTTACAGAGGCTTTGGCTGGAATTGTCGCGGATATACCAGTCAAATTATTCGCTGCGGTGATCTTCAACGTCATCTTCTACTTCTTGGCTAGCCTGGTAGGTTTCCTCAAAAGGCCTTCATGAACAACGCTAATGAAAACACAGAGATATGAGCCCTCTCAATTCTTCATCTTCTTCCTGTTCACATTTCTCAGTACTCTGACAATGTCAGGCGTCTTCCGAACTCTAGCCGCCTCCACCAAGACCCTTGCACAAGCCATGTCTATGGCAGGCGTCATAGTCCTGGCTATCGTCATTTACACCGGTTTCGTGATCACTGCACCCGAAATGTCCAAAATCCCATGGTTTAGCTGGATTCGCTGGATTAACCCGATATTCTACACTTTTGAAGCCATTATTGCTAACGAGTTCCACGGTCGTCGGTTTGAATGCTCTCAATTCATCCCTGGGTATCCGAGTCTGTCGGGTGACTCCTTCATTTGTTCTGTTCGTGGTGCTGTTGCCGGTGAAAGAACTGTTTCAGGTGACGCCTACATTGAGACGCAGTACCACTATTCCTATGCGCATGAGTGGCGGAACCTTGGTATCCTGATTGGATTTTGGATTTTCTTCACGGCATTGTATCTCATTGCCTCAGAACTCAATTCTGCGACTTCATCGAAGGCTGAGTTTCTGGTTTTCCGGAGAGGCCATGTTCCTGCTCATATGCGTCAACTTGGAAAATCTGGGGATGATGCAAAAGCGGCAGAGGTCACCCCAGCTCCTAAAAGTTCTGAAAATGAGAAAGATACTTCGGCTATCCCATCCCAGCATGACATTTTTACTTGGCAAAATGTTTGCTATGATATTCCCGTCAAAGGAGGCGAGCGACGACTTTTGGACAACGTCTCTGGATGGGTCAAGCCTGGCACCCTGACTGCCTTGATGGGTGTATCCGGTGCTGGAAAGACAACTTTGCTCGATGTCCTGGCCAAACGTGTCTCTATTGGTGTTGTTACTGGTGATATGCTTGTCAATGGTAAGCCTTTGGATACCAGTTTCCAGAGAAAGACAGGCTACGTTCAGCAGCAAGATCTCCACCTTTCGACGACGACTGTTCGAGAGGCTCTGCGATTCAGTGCCATGCTACGCCAGCCCAAATCGACCTCACAGAAGGAAAAGTACCAATATGTTGAGGATGTGGTTGATATGCTCGGTATGCAAGACTTTGCAGACGCAGTTGTCGGCACGCCTGGAGAGGGGTTGAATGTCGAGCAGAGGAAGCTGTTGACTATCGGCGTTGAGCTGGCTGCCAAACCTGCCCTTCTCATTTTCCTTGATGAGCCCACTAGTGGACTCGACTCTCAGAGCTCCTGGGCTATCTGCTCTTTCTTGCGGAAGCTGGCCGAGCATGGTCAGGCTGTGCTTTCAACTATCCATCAACCGAGCGCTTTACTGTTCCAACAATTTGATCGACTGCTTTTCCTCGCCAAGGGAGGCAAGACGGTTTACTTTGGGGGGATTGGAGACCAATCGCGAACACTCTTGGATTACTTTGAAGGTAACGGAGCAAGAGTTTGTAGTTCACAAGAAAACGTAAGTTACTCTTCTAGGTTCGGCTTTTCTAATACTAACAATCCTTCAGCCTGCGGAATACATGCTAGAGATCATTGGCGCCGGTGCGTCTGGCCATGCCACGAAGGACTGGTCCACAGTATGGAAAGAGAGCCAGCAATCTAAGGACGTGCAGACTGAGATTACTCGTATTCACGATGACCGCGCTTCAGCTGGCAGTTCCCAAGAAGGCGAGGCTCAGGTCGGCGAATATGCGATGCCATTCATGACCCAGCTTTGGTGCGTGACACATCGCTCATTTCAAGGGTTCTGGCGCGAGCCATCCTATGTTTGGGCGAAGATTATGCTAGCCACTCTATCATCTCTTTTTATTGGCTTCACTTTCTGGAGACCCGATAATTCGCTGCAGGGATTCCAGGATGTGATTTTCAGTGCTTTCATGATGTGTTCAATTTTTTCAACGCTTGTGCAGCAGTAAGTGAAACTCTCCGATATTCAGAATTTGGACTCATTTCTTACTCTACCAGAATCATGCCCAAATTCGTCGTTCAACGCTCTCTCTATGAAGTGCGCGAGAGGCCCTCTAAAGCCTATTCCTGGGCCGCATTCCTCATTTCCAATGTCATTGTCGAGATTCCGTATCAGGTCTTCGCTGGTGTCATCGCTTGGGCATGCTACTACTACCCAGTATTCGAAGCCAACCAAGCATCGCATCGCCAGGGTCTTATGCTCCTTTTTATTGTTCAGTTCTACATCTTTACTTCAACTTTTGCGACCTTCATTATCTCAGCCCTTCCGGATGCCGAAACCGGTGGTACTATCGCAACACTGATGTTCATCATGACTCTCACATTCAATGGAGTCTTGCAGCCTCCTAGTGCCTTGCCTGGTTTCTGGATATTCATGTACCGTGTTTCTCCGTTGACATATCTGATTGCCGGTATCACGGCAACCGGTCTGCATGGGCGAAAGATTCAATGTTCTACCGCCGAGTTGAGCGTCTTTAACCCTCCATCTGGGTTGACTTGTGGTGCATACCTGAATCCATTCGTCACTGCGGCCGGTGGTCAGCTGTATAACCCTGCCGCTACAGCAAATTGTCAGTATTGTCAACTGACAAACGCAGATCAGTACCTGGCTTCTAGTAATATCTGTGAGCAGTATGCTTCTCCTCTTTTAAGACTACTTGCTAACCCAATACAGACTATAGCGAACGCTGGCGTAATTTCGGCATCGGTTGGGCCTATATTGGCTTTAACATCATGGGAACTGTGCTGATGTACTACATGTTCCGTGTCAAGCGTTACAACCCAACTTCGCTGATACGGGGTATCGGTAACTGCGGCTCACTCTTGTGCCGTGCTTTCAAGCGCCATTCTGGAACGACTCCCAAGGGGAAGGAGGCAGACAATGGCCGGCTGGTTTAGGTGCAGGTGCTTTGGTCATCTGAATATTCCTTTCTATTTTGGTCATCAAAAGTAATCTTCATCTGCTCAATCCTCTGGCTATTATTTTGAACCAGTAACAATTTTTATTGGTTCTTGGATGCGAGAATGCCATCTTGTGTCCAGCACATCTTCAATAGACACAAGCAACTTTGCAGGCCTCCCTTCAAAATACCAGAGCTTTTCCATGTCTTTCAATATAATGCAGTAATACGCAAGTATAATAAGTGCTCCCGGGTGTTTCTCAGATATAAGCGAGAAGAACGCCATCTCCACTCGCACAGGCCACACACCAAGAATATTCCACGGATTGACTTGGTAATTTCCCTTTGCACTTTCAAGATAAGCAAATGACTCGGCTAGTGCAGTTGCAGTGACATGGTAAATCCGTATACTTTCTTCAGACCAGGATCCATCACTCGGGACAAGAGATTTAAAATAGGGCAAGTACGGTAGATCACCCGCTTCTATCTCTTGATCTTTGAGCTGGCTTTCCCATGTATATGCCAGTGCACTAGCTGGTCCATTTTCGATTATGTCCCAGACTTCGCATAGCATTGAACAGCCGGCACGGATAAAATGCAGCCATTGAGGTAGAATGAGGTTCATTTCGCCATCGACAATTTCGTCTTCCACGATAAGTAGCGGATTTTTTGAACTCTCGGTATCCGTCGCCAGTGAATAAATGACCAGAATATATGCAAATGACATGATTGCGTCGCAATTTTGCTCGTCTGGATAGTTGATTGCATGGCGAAATTGTGGAATTGCTGTGTCTTGATGATAGTATGCTCGAAGTGTATATTCTTGGCGCATTTCAGGGGTTAGGTATGCCATATGAAGCGCTGTACAGGCCAAGATACCTTGTAACAGGAACGAAATATCGTATGCCAGACCCGGCACGACGTCGACCCAGATTCTCTCTGTCTGGTCATTTGTCACGAAACTCTTGTAGAAAGAGGAGAAGTAATGATCCAAGATTTCTGAATCCATAGAATCCAGATTGTATTTCTCTTTGATTCGTTTCATATGCTGATTCTCGTATAATGCAGTGGCTACGTTCTTAACCGGCCGCGTTGATGAGGTGAAATATCGCAGCATATTCCCGCGGAAAAAAGATTGCAGAGGCGCATAGCTCCAATCAGAATTTGAGTAGCCCTTGCGGCCATGTTTAGCAGCCCAGTGGGTTTCCATACGCTTGATTGACGCGCAGAGATAGTCACATCCTGGCGCCTCGCAGCGCCATCCTTGCTCAAGTGGTAAGTAGCGCAAGGGGAATTGCCCAGGCCGGGGTGGTTCTACCTCCTCTGGCTTTTTCAGCTTGAGTGTATTTGCGTATGCAATGAATGGACGTCGCTGGTTGCTTTGGATGTGGTGGATATCCTTCAAATGCCGAGGGATGGCTGCTGGCTGGACTGCGTAGCGACAGGCAGTGCATATTAAGACCTGATGAGTGGCACAATAGTGGAGCAATTTCTCTGGAGAGACAGTGCCATTTGTCTCCTCCATTGTGACTGGTAATGTAAGAAGGATGGTGAGAGCAAGGTCAGAATGTAGATGACGCGCTAACCAGAACGGGACCGTCCAGCTGATTCTCCACTTAATGCGGCGCTAAACCGGAACGGCACCGTCGATTCTTTTTCTCTTGGGATGATTTACATGATAGACATACCCTATCTCCGAATGCCTTCTCCGATTTCCGTCGGACAGACAATCGAACCGATGTGATGCTTAATGCCCTGTCTGTTAGGCTAATTAGTATAAAGGCTGCCCAGGTGCCTGCAATCTGCCATAGCTCTCCATTTACAGTTTACATAAGCCCTCTATACTTCGATCTATTTAACCCGCCTAACACTTCTGTACTGATATCGTCCAAGATGTCCGTCAAATTCGAACGCAGTGTCCTCATCACTGGTGGTACCACTGGGTTGGGCTACCACTGCGCCTTGGCTATCGCCCGCAAATGTCCAAACTATCAGGTCATAATCGCATCCCGCTCAGACCTCAACGCATCCGCCGAATCTATAAACCAATCCCTCAACCAAGACAACGTCAAATTTTTACCCCTCGATCTCTCCTCTCTCGCCAACGTGCGTGCCTTTGCAGAGGACTGGAAACGCAACCAATTCGCACCAATCCAGTCCCTCGTCTTCAACGCCGCCCTACAGCTCCCCGGGGAAATCGAATATACAGGAGACGGTTTTGAAAAGACCTTCGCAGTCAGCCACATTGGACACGCACTTCTATTCTCTCTGTTACAGCCCTGTCTCGCTGATGCAGCGCGCGTCGTAATCACATCTAGTGGAACCCACGACCCAGCCCAAAAAACAGGTCTCCCTGATGCGAAGTATACCACGGCCGAAGACCTCGCTCATCCACCCGCGCTCGCGGCTAGGGAAAAAGGACGCAAGAGATACTCCAGTGCCAAATTGGCCAATACCCTCTATATGTACGCCTTACATGGACGCTTTACTTCTGTCAATGAGAAGACCGGGAAGAATTGGACAGTCACGTCAATGGACCCTGGTCTCATGCCAGGAACGGGCTTGGCAAGAGGAGCCAGCAAGGTAGAAATGTTCCTCTGGTTGCGTGTCTTGCCGCATATCATCCCGCTTTTGCGGCTGCTTCTTACGCCGAATATCCATTTGCCGAGTGAATCTGGGGCTGCGTTGGCGAGGTTGGCTGTTGGGGCTGATGTTGAGGGGGTTAGTGGTGTTTACTATGAGGGGTTGAAGGAGATTAGGTCTAGTGAGGATAGCTATGATCAGGCGAAGCAAGAGGATTTGTGGAAGTGGACTCTTGAGACTGTGGCTTGTAATGAGCGAGAGAGGTTGGCTTTCTCGATGGATTAGATATTCCTTGGGGAGGTTGGTCATGTATATATTATTCCCCTAATATCTAGTTTCGAATATTGGTTCCTGTATATATATTCTTGCCAAATTGAATGACATGGCGCAGAGCTCACCAAAAGCACTTGAAATTGGCACATAATAGTACTATAATTAGACACAAGGACTAAAAACCGAGATAAAGCCAATGATGGCAAAAAAACTGTGCAGCATAGTCCTATATTTGAGAGGGAGAAGCCGTGACCTAATTTGGGATGAAGAAGCTAAACTCAGTTTGGCCAGGATTAAGTTTTTCTTAATAAAGTCATAGTACCCACAACAACTCATCATCTAGCATCATTGGTCTAGTGGTAGAATTCGTCGTTGCCATCGACGAGGCCCGTGTTCGATTCACGGATGATGCAAAGTAATTTATTTTTGCCCTTCTACTTTTTTTCCCCTGGGACCTACTCAGGTCTTACTGGACCGGCTGAGACTCTTCGGAATGTTTTTTCTTTCCATATGGGTTAGGGGCAATCTCGAGAGGTCTGAGTCACCTCAGCAGCTTAGTCTTTTCAAAGGTGTGAGTGACGAACAAGATAATATATTCAATCTCTCATAAATAATCATAAAGAATCATAAATCATTTAGCCACCCGACTTAAACACAATGCATGTAGAGTAGCACGCGAGGAGCAAGTTGATTCGGGTAAATATGCAGACAGGCCACATAGATATGCCTCTACCTGAAGCTAGATGTCAAGGAGATGTCCGATTGATCTCAGACCAGGACAATATGGTGCAAGCGGAATGAACATCCATAATAAAGTAGAAAAGAGATGGGGGTATTTTGCAAAACACCAGACGGGAGAGTGGGATCAAAACGCTAGAGAAGAGACAGGGAAGGGGAGATGGGGTGATTTGAGGTCGTTCCAAGGTTGGATGTATGGCTGGGAATAAGATGTGCCTGTTTCTGCAGCAAAGCGACAGAAGAGTCCCTAGAGAGAGGATCGCCTGACTACCATGGCATTGATGACATGGCCATTCTGCCACCCTTGCTCGGGCAGCGACTCATGTTCTTTTAGCATGTGGCCGAGGTAAGCGAGTCGTACGCGCTGGTGAGTTGATATCTGGAGATGGTTAGAACGGAACAACTTAAGTAGCCAAGCACAGTGAAAGGAATACACACCCCTCCCTCTTGCTGTACTTTACGAGCCAAGAAGCCAACACTCTGGCCCTTGCCCACCATCAGCGTCAGATCCGGGCCGTCACGATCACTAAGCCGGGCCTGCACACGGATCAAATCGCGCTCGCTCGTCTTGCCCTTCTCGTCGCGGCGGCGTTCGGCATCTTCCGCGATTAACTCGTCACCTGAAGCATCATCTGTCGCTAGCTTTCCATCGGAAAGCCCCTCCATATCTTCGTCCTGCTCGTGTCCAATCTCCTCCTGTGTGGAGTTGGCGCTAGGCGAATTGGTCTTTACCATGTTCTCTGGATCGCTGACAATACATTGCGGCAAACGGTAGAGAACGCCCTGCTCGTCATAGCATCCCTCGCAGAGATCACCCGTAGGAATAGTGACACCGACTGCGTCAACTATACTCTGCGCGGTGGCTAGATCGCCATCGCGCATCAAGTTGATAGCCGTTGATAGCGCGGCCCATACCTCGGGGCGCCCGGTAACACGGGTCTCAAAGAACTCGAGGCGTTCGCGGTCCAGATCCGCACGGGTCCAGGTACGCCGCTTGCTATACCAGACATGAAGGCGCACCGGTTCATTATAGTGTTCACTCAGCGGTAGATCAGGCGCGCGTCGATTGCGGCGGCGGGAAGGTTGCGTTTGTGTCTGGATGGCCGTATCGGTGATGGAATTGCGAGTGTCTTGGGATCTGTCAGTGGTTTCTTGTTCGCCCTGAGAATCGACGTCATGCGACGGCGTGGACGCGCAGCAACCCTGTGGGAAAGTGAGCTGTTAGTTTTACCGTGGAAAGTGCCTTGCATCGGGGATCGGAGATCGGGCTGGGCGGCTGGGCATATGCGGAGAGGTGATTTGAGGGGAGATCGTGTGACAGCAAGCTGTCAAGCGATTTTTGAACTTTGAAGTTCTAGACTTACCATTTTGCAGGCGTCGACACTCCATAAGATGGAGAGGGGAAAGATTCCAAAGTTGAGGGGAGGGGCCAAATGCTGAGGATTAGAGCTTAAGCCTTGCCACAACAAAGGACCGGGCGTTTGGATGATGACTGACGTGATAAAATCCCGAGATGGTTATGGAAACAGAAGAAGAGAAAGAACAAAAAAAAAAACAAAGACGAAGGTGTGATGAGAAGCCAGGTACATTCCTGGCCCACCTAGGTTCAAGCATTTGATGATGTCAAGCCATACGCGCATCCCCATGTCCATCCATGTCCACTACGTCGTTTGGCGTGTTCTACGCAACGAAAGAAATGCGGCTAGAGATAGATAATGTACAGATCATATTCTTCGAACTTGAAGTCTAAGTTTTAGTTTTCATCATCACTGCCAAAAATCGCTTTAAATACAGCATCACCCGGTCGCTCAGCCTCAAGGGCATCGTTTCGCTCGGGTTCAACAGCTGGCACCGGTGCCGGCGGAGGCTCCGGGGCACCTGATTTAGTGGCATCGGAGCTGGCGGTAGGCTGTCGTCCAGATTCCATCATGATCATGTTCATCACTTCCTGCGAGACCAGGTCCCGGGATGCCGAATCAGTTTGGTGTCCTCCAGACTGGAATCGGGTACCAGGTCTGACATTGGATGCCTGCTCCCCAGGATCTTGTTGTACATTAGCAGGTGGCTTCACATTGAAGCGCTTGCATAGAAGACGAGCAGGATAAAAGGGCATGGTGCTTCGGGTCATTTGTCCGAACATGCCAATTTTCGCTGCGGCTACGGCTGGAGGATCGGGCCTCTCCGCGGGACGAGTGAGAGCAGACTCAGTCGAGTCGGGAGCATCAGTGGCCACCTTGGGACCTGAAGAAGCCGATGTAAACCGTGATGCCATAATGCCGGACATGGGTTTGAAGACTTCCGCAGCTCGGGCAAACTCCTGCATCTCAGTCACCCACTCATCAGTGCTGGAACCTGGCACTCGATCCGGAAGAGAGTCACGGATCTCTGCCCGGACTTCGAGAAATGTGCGATATCGTGCTCGCTTGCCCTCGTCTTCCGCATAGGGCATCCATCCGCTCACGGCTCGAGTCAAGGCTTGAATGGCGGTTTGCTTGTCTAGTTTGGGCACTAGGTCCGATAGATCTTTTCGCTTCTGTGAATCCGAGGATTCAAATCCCTTTGGGGCTTTTTCTCCGAGTGCCGGAGGAAGGTTGATATTTCCAGTCAGCTTTGCGATTCGTTCGCGGGCCTCCGGGGTCATCCAGTCGAAGACGGATTTGCCCGGTAACTGGGCCTCGCCCAAGAGGGCGGCTCGTGAGGTGGGATCAAGAGCAGATGCCTTGGCAGCATCGGCTGTAGAGATGTAGTTCAATGGATCCTGCTCTGTGGAAGCGGGTTGCTTTGTAGACTGCCAACCTTCGGGTATTTGAGGAGGCTCGTATTTCGTGTCTGAGATGGACAGCCCTGATAGATCAGCGAGAACGAACCCGTCCAGCGGTAGTCGTCCATCGCGGCACTTTCGGAATCCTCCTGCACGCGACGCAGCCGATTTCTTCGATATGAAAACGGGTTTCGCATTGGCATTTAGTAGCGGATTGGGAATTGCGATTGCTGGCTTCCCTTCCTCTTTGAGCTTCTTCTTTCTCTTCTTCTCGCCAATGGTTCGGTTATATGAGATTTGGGGACCGATGGCGTATGGGTCTTCATCGTCTGACCCGGTGTCATTGAGGACGCCAATGCCAATCCCTCCTCGTCGAGATTCCTTAACCTTGGGCGCTTTGTCTTTCCCTTGAATGGCGAGACGCCCGCCAAAGAATGAGTCTGATTCCTCAGGCTCATCGCGTGCGCTATCACGTTCCTCCAAACGGGCCTCGCCTTCGTATCCAAGACCTTTGTGGTCGGTCTTTCGAATAAAAGCGACCATCGGGGGATTTTCCGGCGCGAACAGATATGTCTGCTCGGGACCATTGCCCGGAGCATCGCCCAGGTTGGCTTTACGCCGCACCCTGGGACCAATGCCTTGCCCCTCTCGCCAACCCATCTTCTTCAACATCTTGACGCCCATCGTTTCGCCACCAGCTTTCAGCAAATCCATGAGCCCGGCTCTCCTCGTAGAGTCCGCCTGGGTTGAACCAAACCCGGCGAACCCTTCCGTCGTCTGTAGATTTCGTGACTCTTCCTGCTCCCTCAGATCCTCCTCATCCATAAAGTCCTCCGGGCGTTGTTGCGCTTGCTGTTTGGCATCTCGGGCGCGATTCTGGCGGGACGAGACAAAGGTCGCGGGAGTCCAACCTTCTTTCGAGCCGACTGAGTTGAAGTATCTGGAGAGTGTAAGTGGGCGCAAAGCTTAGGAGACAAGAGAAGCTTACCCAGCACTGAAGCCACCAGTGAAGGCGCCATGCAATCGCTTTCGGCCTCGCTCGTCGGTGACCTCTTGCTTCCATACGGGCATGTAGGACCCGTCATCGCGCACCCCGGCATCCAGCGGAGGTAAAGGCGTACCATAAGTCGCATAAGGAGGCTGCCAGGCCTCCTCAAAGGCCGCGCGTGGGCGCTTTCCAGCCATGCTACCCATGAGTTGTTAGCTCAAGGCAAGAGACAATCTGGAAAGGCGTCATGATTCGTGGAAACGGCGCGATTAGATGACAAAGCCATGGCTACCCAATCAGCCGATGCCAATCTTGAGATCCACTACCTTACCGCCTTCCGCGAATGTTAAGAGCTAAAGCTCTTCTTTCGCATATAGAAGGTATACCTACCTAGGTAGATATCCAGTAATTCTTGCTCGAGTACAGCTCCGAGCTATATGAGAATGGTACTCTTAGCCGAGCGTGGGGGTGGATATGTACGTTTGTTTCGACGCAATAGCGGAGATGGAGGCTTCTTGATGGAGAGAGAACTCTTGGCATCTGCACCAATAACAATCCCTGCTGACGGCGTCCCACTCTTCATTTCTGGGACTTTGGGGGCGACCCATTTTCTCAACGGATCAGCATAGAAAAATCGTTAGTCGAGCTGACAGTGTTTGACAGCTGCTCCCTAACACGAGGACGAGCTGAAGGGTTGAGAAATAGCAGATGCCTTGCAACTTAAAAAAAATAAAAAGACCCGAAGGCCGGGGAGAGGGCCTCGTGCAGTTAGTAGACTTAGTTCCTTGAGTGGCGGCCACCCGCTACCAAGCGTCAAATCTCTCTTTAGGGGTTGGGCCACCCCCCAAGTTCTCATATTCTCTTCGTCTCTCCGACTTCCATCTTCGACTCCTCTTCTTCATATTTCTAATATGTGCATTTCATAGCGGTTTCCCACCCTCGGACCTTCCCCCCCCCACCTCCCCTTGCATTCTAGGTCTACGTCCATCCCGTTACAGCACTCGGAGCACGAGGCCGGTGTAGTTGGGGAATTTTCCAGTCGTCCAGAATGCTTGGCGCGCACAGCTTCGCCGGCAGGCGCAGGACTATCTACTTGTGCCTCGCTTTCGCCGCGGCTGGCGTTTGCTTCGTGAACTTGATTTTCTTGACTCGCGGGATCGATCATACCGTCATTGACCTCCCCGGTCTCAACCTGTTGCGCCCGGAACACAAACAAATTGAGGGCACCTATGCACAAGATCAACATCCTATCGCGGGTTTGATGAAAGAGGCCGACCAGCAATGGCGCCAGTACGATGAAAGTCGCTCGACTAGTTTCCGCGAAACCGTGGCCAAATACCGCAAAACGTACGGACGCCATCCCCCGCCCGGCTTCAAGGAATGGTACGAGTTTGCGCGCACCAAGGACGTCTACAATGTCGACGACTTCCAGCAAATCACAGGAGATCTACGTCCTTTCTGGGCTGTTCCTCCGCAGGAAATTCGAAAGATGGCCGCAAAGCTGCAATTGAGCGATGGAATCGCCGGAGTGCGCCTTCGGGACCACGAGATTGTATCGCATACTGAAGGCTGGCGTGTGGAAACACTTGCGCGCTCGATTGGACGGATCGCAAAGTATTTGCCCGATATGGATATCGCGATGAACACTATGGACCAGCCCCGTGTCATGGTTACGTATGAAGATATCCAAAATTATTTGAAGATTGAAGAAAGTACGAGAGGAATGCCCTTGGATGCTGCGGACAAGTTTACCAAAGATATGGATTCCTACTGGAACAACGAGAGTAGCAGTGTCTACGACGATATGGATCCGGGATGGTTCTCCGTTGCTGGAAAGCCATATACCGACTCCTCCAAGGAGGCCTGTCCGCCCGAGTCTCCGGCAAATGCCAACATGACCGTTGAAGAGGCAGACAAATTGTATAAAACATCCTTTGGTGGTTTTGTCTCCAATTTTACCGGTTCCTCAGATCTCTGCAACGTGGGGCCTGTCCTCGGCGACCAGCATGGCTTCCTCTTCTCGGCTTCCAGTAACACCATCACGAGAAAGCTGATCCCAGTGTTCAGCGAATGCAAGGTCAGCGTGAACAACGACATATTGTTCCCTGCAAACATGTATTTCCTGAAGGACGAGCGCTATGTATACAACTCGAAGCACGACTGGGAATGGGAAGACAAGACCGACTCGATGCTTTGGCGTGGCGTGACCTCGGGTGGAATCCAAGTCGAAGACAACTGGGACCGCTTGCATCGCCAGCGCTTTGTGAAGGCCACCAACGCCACCGAAATGGAGTCGAAGAGTGTCTCCATTCTTTCCAAAAACAACAAAGAGCCGTATGAGCTTATCTCCGACTATAACCCCTCCGAGTTTGCCTCTTCGTATTTCGATGTCGGCTTCACGGAGGCCTGGGGCTGTATCCCCAACTGTTCCTTTTACGACGGTGTATGGACCTATAAGGAGCCCAAACAATTCCCCGAACAGTTCAAGGCGAAGTACCTGGCCGATATTGATGGCCACAGTTTCTCTGGCCGCTGGCGCGCCTTCCACCAGAGCAAGTCATTGGGACTAAAGGCCACCATCTTCCGCGAATGGCACGACTCCAGACTCTTCGCCTGGCGCCACTTCGTCCCCATGGACAACCGGTTCACCGATCTATACGCCCTGATGACCTATTTCATCGGAGTCCACCCCTCTGCATCGGAAGACGCATTCCCAACCCATGGGCCTTACGTCCCTCGCCATGATTTTGAGGCCGAGGTAATCGCAGCCCAGAGCCGCGAATGGGCACAGGCTGCGTTGCGTGACGAGGACCTGGACATCTACCTACATCTCCTCCTCCTCGAGTATGGGCGTATAATCGATGACAACCGCGATAATATTGGGTACAGCAGCGATGGAAGCGAGCTGGACCATTTTGACGAGAGCCATCCATTCCCGCCGCCCCTGGAACCTCTTGTGGTATAAGGATGATGAAGTAATTTCACTGCTGGTAATGGCAATATTTGTATATTCGCACATCTGTTGTCTGCATTTTCTTTTTTTTGCGAGTTTGGTGTTTTGATTCCCCTGATTCCCCTCCATGCATGTATCTATCCATGTCCATGTCCTAATGACCGACACTACATATTATGATCTGTCAGACTCCCATTCAACTTGTATTAATTGAGATGTTCACATTACTCTGAAAGAAATGCTCGTAAACAGCTCGTATCAATTCGTGTCTTGCGCTTGTTGGACTGGTAAAACGTGTCCGTGCTGCGCATTGATCCCATTACGCCCGGCCCGAGCCGCGACGTTGACGCTACCATCTTGCCCTGTGCGATTTGCGGCAGATTGGGAAAAGCAATCATGTTAGGGAGAAGTGTGTTCGAAAGAATATTACCTTCTAGCACCGACATCAGTGACCAGTCCAGGCTTTGTCATCGGTATGATCGGACGAACTCCCCATGGAGTAAGTCATCGCCGCGGATGTAAAAGGATCAATTTTAAGATTTCTGATGGATCTGCTGAAAAATAGATTTACCCTTACCTATAAGAAAACTAGAATGATAGATTGAAAGATCGACCGAGAATCGGTCAAGAGACTCTTCCAGATTTCTCAGATTGTTTGACGAGCTTCAAATAGACCACCAAAAGACGGGACGATTGAGTTGTGGCCATAGGTTTTATGGATATTGCTGGGGCGTGTAGATCTTTAATTCTTGAATCTCGACTGCCTGGGCCGAGGTATAGGGCTGTAAATGCCGAAAAAATATTTGCACTCCGTTATTCCGCGTGATTTGTGGTGGCTTAGATTGTGTTGGTATACGTTGTCCGCACATTGCCATTCTTTGGGCTACCCGTGAGCTGTTAATCAGATGCCACCGGATTGATCCATTATTTGGTATTTTCAATGCTACCCTGAATTGACCAGAGTGCCCAGGCGAGGCTGAAAAATGCCGAGGTCCGGTGTTTACCCGATTGATCACTCTGCTGCAAACTGGGACCTTGAGGGGCCACGGGAACGGTCAACTTACCCGTTCGGGCGATCCGAAGAACGACTCATTTTTGAGTCGACTTGTCCCATTATGCTTCTAATTGAAACGTTCTTATACCTCCGCTCGCTCTGCTGAGGGCTCGTTTTTGAGAAGTTGTGATCTGTAAACTTGGAGATTAATTACTAACGCAATTTTCTGGGATTGCGGTGGAAGTCAATGTTGGGAACATTATCATTTCAAACAATGCCAACAGCGTGTAGCTATTAAAGACCGTTCGAAGGATATTATTCCGTCTAGCTAGAAGTAGAAATAGGCTTGAAGCCGTTCTACGTCAACCACGGTTAATGCACCGATGTTCGAAAATCCCAAACACCAGTGAACTTTGTTGCACGGTGAAACAGTGGACCCTGTTTCATCAGCCCTGGAACAATGGCCAATTGGTCGATGGTTGAGTATAGAGACCAGACTGGGAAAACTCTTTCCCTCGGCATCTGGCAAGGTGATCACCTGGGCAAGTTCCAAGGTTGAGGCAAGACGCTCAGTAAGTATAAAACCCGTGTGAATCTCACTTGGATTGTCCTACATCCTCGATCATCCGTTCATTCTTTCACAGTCGCTTTTGCTACGAACCCTAGAGCTGGTCTCTTACCCCTTTGAATTCTCTCGTTCAATCTTTCATTCACTATGAAGACGACCACCATTCTTTGCCTGGCCGCTGGTGCCCTGGCGGCACCCACCCGTACCATTGAGAACCGTCAGCTCGGTGGTTCTAGCAGTGGACTCGGTGCGCTGGAGTCTGCCTTCTCTAGCCTTGGATCGGGAAGCTCTACCTCTGGCGGTCTCGGTGCTCTGAGCTCCCTTATCCCCAGCTTTGGGTCAGGATCGACTGGGAGCTCTACATCTAGCGGCCTTGATGCCCTGGAGTCGGCCTTCAGTGGTAGCTCCGGCCTCGGCAGTGTTTTAAAGTCGCGCGCTTACTCAAGCTCGATCACCGCGAACGGTATTACCGATGGCGACGCTTGCCAGGAGTTGACCTTCATCTTTGCCCGTGGCAGTGATGAGCTGGGCAATATGGGTTCGGTTGTTGGCCCTGAGGTCGCAACCCAGCTGAACTCTCTGCTTGACGACAAGGTTGTGGTGCAGGGTGTCACTTACGATGCTACTGCTGAGGTATGATCCCATAAATTTTTCCATTGGAGGTATAAACATCGTACTAACTCATTCATTCAGAGCAACGCTGAGATGGGTGCCAATGGTGGTCCCGTCATGGCCAAGCTTGTCACGACCGTCCTTGCGAAGTGCCCCAACACTAAGGTCGTCTTGAGCGGATACTCCCAGGGTTCCATGGTGCTCCACAACGCCATGAGCAGGCTCAGCTCGGGCGATGTTGCTGGTGCCGTTCTCTTCGGTGACCCCTTCAAAGCCCAGGCTGTTAGCAACATCGCCGCCGCCAATGTTAAGGAGTTCTGTGCTACTGGTGATCCCGTCTGCGAAAACGGGTTTAACGTCATGGCCCATCTGAGCTACGGCAGTGATGCCTCCGCAGCTGCTACCTTCCTGGTCAAGGCTGCTGGTCTTTCCTAAAGAAGCCCCGCGAGCTGGCAGTGGGTTGACGCGTAAAGTCCTCAACCATGTGAAATTAGGGCTATATTTCAAGCGGTGCGATGAGTTGAAGATGGCAAGTTCGCCTGAGGAGCATGCGTCAGTGACTTGGATTTAGTAAATTTAGACGATTTCTTGTTCTGGGGACTTGGAATATATTACCTGATGATCTCGTGTTCCTAGCACTTAAGAGTAGTACTATCGGCCCCGCATAAGCTTATCCGCGCCCGAACTCCGCCCCACTTGCGTCACCAAGATCAATCTTTTCTCCTCCACTGTCGATTCTCCGAGGGTTTCTGCTTTACAATGGCTTCCACGGCAAGATCAGGACAGCCTACTGTACCCGCTACCTTCTTTGGAGGAAGCACATCGAACAAGTCGGCTTTCGGACTATCATCTGGACGGCAATCACACAGCCGGAGCTGTACTTTTTGTCGATCTCGAAAAGTAAAATGCGATCGTCAAAAACCATGTGCTACTTGTATTCGTGCCGGAAATGTATGTAACTACCCACCTGGACCAGGCCGGGCTCCAAAAAAGCCACGACGGTCTGTCGATGCGCAAGTGCTCGATAGATTATCGCGTCTTGAAACTATTTTGAGACAGTCTGATGGTGGGGGGGACAAGAACCAACCACCAGAAGGCCCAAAGCCCGAGGGAACTGACGACATTGAGTCTGAAAATGAATGTGGCTCGACAGAGCAGCAGCTTGGTCGCCTGGTCATTGACGACACACGCAGCTGCTATGTGAGCAATATTATGTGGGCAAGTCTGAGTGACGAAGTAAGTTGTACTCAATATCTTTGAAAAGTGTCTTGAGCTAAGTAGTTTTTATAGATTGAAGGACTGCGCGATTTGCTCCATGAATCAAGCTCAGAGGCCGAGGAAGAAAATGACAACGAAAGTGCTTTTACGGACAACTCTGGACCATATTACAGCCCTAATGCCAGCATCATGGGGTTTCAGACTTTAGCACCATCGCTGGGCCCATATCACCCCACGATGTCGAATTCGGTGGCCCTTTTGGAGATTTTCAAGGAGAGTGTGGTGCCATTCGTGCATATATTCCACATGCCAACTCTAATGGAAGCATACTGGGATGCTATGGCATCACCCGAGATGATCGACCGCAACACCGAAGCCCTACTGTTCGCAATTTACTACTCAACTGTAATCAGCATGGAATCCTCACAATGCGAAAAAGTATTGGGTCTCTCTCGCTCAAATGCGGTCAAGCACTTTCAATTTGCTACACAGCAAGCTATGGCACGTGCCGATCTTCTCAACACCCAGAGTCTAGTTTTACTGCAGGCTGTAGTTTTGTTCTTATCAGCCCTGAGAAACGAAGACGCTTCGCGCTCGGCTTGGTCACTCACTGCCCTCATCTACCATATTGCCCGGGCTATGGGTCTTCACCGAGATGGATCAAATTTTGGTCTACGACCGCTCGAGATCGAGCTCCGACGCCGGCTGTGGTGGCACATCTGCTTGCTGGATATCCGATCATCCGAGTATCACGGTTGTGAGCCTATCGTGCAATATTCTATGTTTGACACGAAACCACCTCTCAACATCAACGATAGTGACCTTACGGTAAATATGAACGAGCCGCCTGCTGAGCATGAAGGAGCTACTGAAATGACGTTTTGCCTCATACGATGCGAAGTGCTACGCGCTTTACGGAAGACTACCTATCTATCACCGAAAATACCATTTGCGGGTCGGACTGCCCATGAATTATCTCTCCCCGATCGCATTAAGGTAGTCAAAGACCTGGAAGAGCACCTAGAAACACGCTATCTCAAACACTGCGATATAACAAACCCACTCTTTCGGCTCTGTGTTACCGTGACACGACTAATAGTAGCCCGCTCCTGGCTCTTCGTGTACTACCCACTTATCCAGAAGAACGACGGCACAAGGTTACCCACCGCAGTTCGCGATCAGTTCTTCCAAACCTCAGTTCGAGTCCTCGAACAATCGCACATCCTACTCACCAGCCCAGAAAACGCTAAATGGGTGTGGCATTCCAAGACTCACATCCAGTGGCATGCTGTTGCCATTGTGCTTTCGGAGATTTGCTCAAGTCCGCCATCCACTGAGATTGATCGTGCTTGGGAGTATGTGCAGACTATATGTGATCGGTGGAAATTAAAGGAGCACAAGGGTAATTTGTGGCGTCCTATTAAGCGTCTGATGGCCAAGGCAGAATACGTGCGTGAGAGGCAGAGGATGCAAGATCCGAGCTCTAGGATGTGGTGGCGGGTTGCTGGAGGGACCTCTATGTCGACTGGTGTTTCGAGTCTCGGATTGGCAGACAGTGCAGATTTGGGATCTAACGACAAGAATAGTATATTGTCTGTGGAGACATTGGATTCGATTATTGGGTTGTCCCCTGAGCTGGGATCGTTGGATTCCACTCTGGGCTATACAGCTCCTGCAGATTCTGATTTTACCATGATGAATTGGGCCGGTGGTACTGAAGAGCTGGATTTTGGGACCGATGCATATGGTCTGCAATAGTTAGATAGCATAATGAACTCAGCCGATCGGAACGGGAGAACCACTCTCTCTCATTAATAAAGCAGCGACAAAAAGAAAGTCATCTCAGATCTGCATTCTGCAGGAGGCGAGCAAAACTCGGGCCTTCGGACTCCGATCGCGGGTCGGGGAAACGCATAAGCTTATGCGAAGCCAACGGGAAGCCTCTTAACGTAGTGAACACTGCTCGATCGGCCATCCTTGACACCGGGGCCGGACTCGCATAAGGCAGGGCGGTTGTTTTCTTTGAGTGTTACGGGCGCGCCGGACGCGTTATAATCCTTGGAGCACCCCGTTCACTGAAGCTATGGGGCTACACGGACTCCCATGATATCTTACCTTGTACGGAACTTGCATGATGTCAGAGCAGCAATCGAGCCAGCAGCCATCGAGCCAGCAGCCATCAAGCCAGCAGGCTTTTCAAACCGATCCAGAGAAAAGCGAGCTATCTTCACACGGAAATAAACACCCCTCTCATCCTCTCCTTTATGATGCAACCCCCGCGACCGTGCTGGTCGAATTTGCGGGTAAAGATGATCCGTACCATCCCATGAACTGGTCATTCAGAAAGAAAATCCTCACGACCTTCATGTATGGTCTTACATCTTGCTGGATTACTTTTGCCTCTGCCGTATTCTCATCGGCGCTTCAAAAGGTCGCAAAGGAATTCGATGTCACTACGGAAACGACGGCTGCAGGCATCAGTTTGGTCGTGTTTGGATTTGGTCTGGGGTCCATCATATGGGCACCTCTGGGCGAAGTCTATGGCAGAAAATGGGTTATCGTCGTGGTAAGCTTAGTATCGCCAAGTAAATGCCTGTTTTGCTGACACGAAGATAGCCGTATTTTATCGCCGCAGCCTTCTCGTTTGGTACCGCGACAGCCAAAGATATCCAAACTATTCTGATCACACGATTTTTCACCGGCTTATTCGGCAGCGCGCCGGTAACCAATGTAGGGGGTGTTATGGCAGACATTTGGCCACCAGAGCAGCGCGGTATTGCCGTCGTTGGGTATGCAGTCACGCTAGTTGCTGGTCCAACACTCGGACCAATAATTGGGAGCGCATTGACACATAGCTATCTCGGGTGGAGATGGACGGAGTACCTGACGGCTATTATCATGATGGTTCAGGTCTTTCTAAATGCCCTCATATTGGATGAAACCTACGCACCGGTCCTTCTGTCCTACAAGGCCCGCCGATTGCGGCTCGAAGGCAAGAACTGGGCACTGCATTCCAAAGTAAGATCACCTTTACGACCTCACTTTTCAATATTTCGGATCTGACAATTCACAGCAAGAGGAATGGGACATTTCCCTGAAAGAGTTGATGCAAAAATACCTAGTCCGTCCCCTTCAAATGCTCGGATCGCCTATATGTCTGTTGATGAGCGCCTACGCCGCGTTTGTCTATGGTACGTCGCATCAAGAACCTTAGCCTGATTACACTAATAAGATTTCAACAGGTATTCTCTATGCATACCTTGAAAGTGTTGTAATCGAGTACCAAGAGATCCGCGGCTGGACCCCGGTGGTTGCAAGCCTTCCATTCCTCGCGCTTCTAACTGGAATTTTCTTTGCCGCAGCAATCAACATCTACAACAACAAGTATTACTTCAAAAAATTTCAAGCCAACAATTACCGACCCGTTCCCGAAGCTCGTCTACCTCCGATGATGGTTGGTGGCATCGTTTTCACAGCAGGGCTTTTTATATTCGCTTGTAAGTGAACCAGCCCATTCATGGCACGAAGCGGAGTCTTTGCTAATTCATCTTTATAGGGACATCTTCGCCACACATTAACTATTGGCCTTCTATCATAGGTGTCGGATTGATCGGACTCGGGTTCACAACCATCTTCCAATCGGCTCTGAATTACTTGGTTGACACATTTACCCGCTACAGTGCCAGTGCCATTGCTGCCAATACTTTCTTGCGATCGATGATGGCGGGCGCATTTCCATTGTTTGTTATTCCCATGTATAACAATATTGGAGTCGACTGGGGGACTACTATATTTGCCTGCGTTGCGGCTATCTTGATCCCTGTTCCCTTCTTTTTCTTCTTTTGGGGAAAGAATATTCGTGCGCGGGGAGAGTGGAGCAAGCATTCGGTATAGACTTGGGGCTTGATTGAACCTCACTTTGGGTTGACTATCGTCTAACCGAGCCAAAAAAATTCAGCTCTTATCCATGTATGCATTGTTCAATTCAGGAATCAAACAACACTGTAAATATAGAGGAGAAAAGAAAGAAATTGGACTATACATGAAAAGGCTTTGAATCTCCCGCGCCTTCAAACTCTCGCTCAGACCGGGATAAATGTATATATTCTTTTTCCGGCACACGGGCTCTGTAGAGACAAAGCGAATGTGACTCAAGGATATCGAGATCAAAGATGAATTAATGAATCCAGAACTAAATTAACGCCCTAGGTCACGTAGATTAGACCAGATAACGCTTTTGAGATCCCTCTGTAACTATCATCTGAAGAATTTCATGGACACAGTCTTGTGTGGGCGCTAGGCTTTCACTCCCTGAGCAGCACAGCTTTCTGCGGCCCCACCCTGGGTTTCGGACAAGCCCAGACATTCAGCTATATGGAAGAAGATGTCAATAGAGTTGTAGACACCACCAAACAGCTCCTGGCAGGGACCTTGCGCGAAGACCGGCACATCGGTCAACGAGTGAACTCCTTGGTCAGCATCAACGGGCAAAGTGCCGTTAATCAGGAAGCCGGTGACAGCGTCCTTGTAGCTGACGTAGAAGTCGTCCTTCTTGCCCTTTACCTCGTCAGCAGGAAGGCGCGGGCCTTCGCTGTGAACCTGGTAGTTCTCTCGATGGTCGGGGAAAGCAACGACACCGGAGTGCAGAGTGTAGCGGGGGTCCCAGCGAGCAGGGAAGTGCACACCGTCTGAGTACTGCAAAGCGTCGGGCCCATCGACGGTGTATTGTGAAAGACCAGATTCCCTGTAATTGCCGATGGACCTGCGCTTATCACGATCATCGTGATGGGCGTTCATGTACTTGGTGTCAACGGAGCCGGTGACGTCGAAGCCGTGGCCGTGATCGGCCGTGACAAGGATGAGAGTATCCTCGAGCTGACCGAGAGACTGGAGCTTCTCAATGGTTGCGCGAACAGTGTCGTCGAGCTCAAGAAGCTCACCTAGCGCACGATCGTAATCCAGGGTGTGCATTTGCTTGTCAATACTGGCAGCCTCGGACATGAGGAACCAGCCCTCGTCATCGTGTCGCTCCTGCAGCACGTCAATTGCCTTCAGAGTCATCTCTTTGAGACCCGGCAAATCGGTGGCATCACGATCAGAGCCGTCAGGGTAGTTGCTCTGGTTGTTGAGGTTCTCCTTGTAAATGTTGCGGTCGAGCCAAAGAGCGAGGTTGCTAGTTTGAAAGACACCAAGGAGCTTCTCGTCACTGGGGGCGTTCTGCATGGCAGTGTTGTTCCAGGCCACATTGTACCCCTTCTCAGAAAAGAGCTTGTAGTAGTCGCGAGGGGCGTCCTTAGTCTGGAGGAAATTCTCCGCACCAGTACCGAGGACTACATCAGGGCCATCCCAGTTAGTCCAGTTGAGATTGTTGACTCCACCATCATAGTAGGCGCTAATGACATGGTCCAGCTCGCTTCGCTTGCTAGTATGAGCCGTCAGTGCAGCAGGGGTGGCATCAGCCAGGAAAGCTGTGGTCACAATACCAACGCCACTGTGAGGGAAATGGCGTCGGAAAATCTCAGTAATGATCTCAAACTTGGGGTCGTCGAAGGGATCCTTGGAGGAGTCAACGTAGACATTGAGGGCATTGACGGTACTCTTGTGACCGGTGTATAAGGCTGTTGCAGAGTTGGCCGAGTCGGTGATGAATGAATCCATGGAGTGGGTCATCTGGTGGCCCAACACGGGAAACTTGTCCAGTGCCATCTTGGTCATGTACTTGCCATTAATGCTACGGTGAGCCATCAAACGGGCAGCAGTGATCATGTTGGTAGTCATGCCATCTCCGATAAAGAGGATAACATTCTTGGCACGCCGCTTGGTGGGCAGATCACGAACGTGCCAGTTGGCAACAGTCTTCTGAGTTCCATAGTAGGTCAAGGTAGCCTCGTAGTCACCAGGTTCGTAGAGAGCAACCCGTCTGTAGGCCTTGGCAGTGACATTGACGAGAGAGGGCTTTTCGGCATCCTGAGCGAAAAGGTCTGTCCGAGTCAGTTCAGGTCTTCTCAAAAGAGTAAGCACAAGGGCAGAGATGTCTTGCCTTCAAACCAAGTGAAGTTCCAGCGCTCCAGCTTGGGCTCATTGACTTTGAAGTACTCGGTAGCAGAGACGGCATTGCCACCCTTTTTGGAGATGGTGAAACTGAAATTGGGATCTGGCTCGCCAACACGCGCCTCAGACCCGTTGATAGGCGAATGGACTTCGAGACGAATATCGAAGAATTGGCCAGCAAGGAAGTCAACCCTGCAAGGAGAAGACTGAGTCAGTTCGCTCAGCAACAATACAACATGTTACTTACTGATCAGGTGGGAAGATGCAGCCCAGGTCAGGGCAGCCTCCCAGTCGTTGGAAGGTCTGAGCAGTAGCGCATGCCATGAGGCACGCGAGTACAGAGACGAAGAGAGCACGCATTGTGATTCCTGGCTCAAGTGGGACGGGGGTGATGAAGGATGAGGAAGTGTGGGAGGAAAAGAAAGAAAAAAGGAAGCAAGAGGGGGCAGCTATTTAAACAAATTGAGAAAGACCTCTTGCTTTTCCTTTGATCTCTAGGGCGACTATCACGTTAGCTAGTCTCCCACAGTTCCTCTCTGCAAGTGAGAAATACATTTGCTAGGTATCTTGACCATCGGAACTCATCAGCCACCAAGGAAACTTGCCATGGCACTTGGCATTTCAATATGTACAGGCGACTTGGCCAACTACCTCTCCGCAACAAATCGGAACAAAACATCGCCTACACGTGGTGAGATCGTTGAAACCTGCCGCACTTGAGACGTCTTTGCCAAGGTCCAAGTCTTGGTAGTCTTGGCTTGCCGTCACACGTGCGTTGCGCACCGGAATACACAGTGTTAGGGGGAATACTGCTCTTGCAAGTGTAAGATCAGAGAGGAAGAACATTTCGAGTAGAAGCCAACTATCTTGATCCGCTCTTTTCATCATATAGTCTTGTATGGAGTCCCTTTCTTGCTTGCCACGGAGCGAGCACATTATTGAGTAACATCGAAGAAGATCAATTGACCAGAGGCAAGAGACGTGCTGAGAAACAAAACGATGCCGTAAATCTAATCTAGTCAATGCGTCCGATTGAAGCCGAGGGCGTTTTCTTGAGGTGGTCAATCTCTCACGGATTTCCGGAAGACGCAAAGTCCTTGCCGCCACGGCCAGTTGCAAGAGCTTTAAAATTCGGGAAAGAGAATTGGAAATTGTTAAAGTGTGAATGGTGTCTGCTCACTGCGAAGGAACCGGACAATGCTGTTTGCGGTAGAGGTGGCTTACACAAATCTTTATTTTACTTTCAATAATTGTCTCTTTGGATATGTGACTTGTACAGTGAGACTTGGGAAGGATCTCATCTACCTCGCCACCTCCTGGGGAGGTCGACCCCTTGAACCTCATATTCTTCGCTCGTCTCTGCCTCGCACAGCGTTTCAATATCGTCATACCAATCACAGCGAAGATTACCCGTTCCAGAACCTGAGCCCAGGGCACTCACGGCTAGGTATTTGACACCACACTTCTATAGCCTTGAATTAATGAAAATTACAGTTACTGCAATAGAAAGAGCTTCATGTAGTTGGTAGAGATGAATGGTGCATTTTACGATGCAGAGCAGAGCGTTGGAGGCGTATGGCCCGAGGTTGGGTTCTTGTGGTTGACTTTTTGGGGGCCATTTGGCAGTGACCCAGGCTTGGCCGCTTTCCCCGGATTACTCTTCCAACACCCCTGGGTTCCAACGGTCGCTCCCAATTCCAAAGTGACATCATTTCCTTGATTCAACGCCTGTACGGGATAATCAAAAGTTCTTGGACCTGCCAAAGATTCTAGTTTGTATTTAGCCTCCATGTTTCATCGCCGCGCATCATCGCCGCGCAGAGATAGATCATTAATTATTAATTGTGTTAGGGCATTCCAAATACGGGACAAAATCTCCCCGATTGGCCAAAAGACCCACTTAACACTGTTCTCGATACTCAAATACGCGCAGGGTGAACAAGGCTGTGATATTATCAATTCGGCGGTGAAAAGTGTCCGAAAAGAATAATTTAAATAGACCCATAAATACGCCTTAAGTATGAATCGATTTTCTTCCATCCTTCTCATCGATCTATCTCCTTTTTCCTCCCTCTCTAAATCCGACTATCTACTACGACGCAATGGATTCGTTGGACGACCTCCTTAAGATCGCAAACCCGGTTCGCGCGTATGCCCTGAAAAACTTCAGCGTTACTGCTCATCCAGACGAGGTGCTCCAAATCCCCTCGCGGGAAGAAGGGCGGTTCATTCGAATTCATGCTTATAACACGCTCAGCAAGGATGCTCCAGCCCCAGCCCTCATCAACTTCCATGGCAGTGGATTCGTGAACCCTCTGCATGGGAGTGACGATGAGTTTTGCAGAACTATTGTCGAGAAAACGGGATTAGTGGTTCTGGACTGCGCCTATCGACTCGCACCGGAAAACAAATTTCCTGCTGCAATCCACGACGCCGAAGATGCGGTTCGTTGGGTTCTTTCGCACCCCGAAAAGTTCGATACTTCCCAGCTATCAATTTCTGGCTTCAGTGCTGGAGGAATCTTGTCTCTGGTTCTCAGCTCGATGATCTTTACACAAGGAACATTCAAAAATGTGCTCGCGGCCTATCCTCCAACAGACATGGTCCAAAGTTCCGCAGACAAGATTGCCCCCGATACATCGAGAGATGGTGCTCCCGTCGAGCTGTTGGACGCATTCGTGCGATGTTATTATCAAAATCCCGAAGATGTGAAGAGTGTGCTTGCTTCACCAGCCTTCATACCAGTTGAAAAGTTCTCGGATAGGATTTTTCTCGTTACTGCGGCTTGTGATCGCCTCTGTCTCGAAGCAGAGGCACTTGGAAATAGGATCAAAGATGCGACGACCAAAAATATCAAGATGCATCGGTATGACGGCTGTGAACACGCATTTGACAAAGCGTATGAGAAAGGATCTGTCCAGGAAAGAGCGAAAAATGACCTCTACGAAAAGGCGGCCTTGTTCTTGACAGAGTGATTAATCTGCTTTTGTTGGGATTACAACGTAAGGCTATCGAATATTGCTTCACGCCCCTAAACCGCCTTTTGTTTGTGCTCATTCGCTTTTACCATGCATGTATAGTCGATCCCGAAATTTTGCCGAAATCATATGAATTATTTTCACTCTCGCTATCTACAGTGATGTCTTGCTTTGGCACGAGGATCGGCCCTTAAAACAAAACAATCGTCGGGATTTGAGGAATTATCAATGGTTAGACAAGTACAAATAGGTATGCGGGTAAAGGATGATACAGTAATATTTAAAATGAGATTTACCTTCAAACTTTTAGACTCGAATTCCCAACCCCTAGTTTTAAACGCGTTAACATCAATATGGTATGCCGTCGATCCCGCGATTTCTGGAATAGGAGCTGTATTTTACATGACGGAGGTGGGACCTTGCTCTGGATAAGTTACAAGAAACTGCTATACACCGAATATCACTTTAAGTCAACCTGAGGATTCGGTGTATTGGCTAGTACTCGACCCGTCCCATTGAATCTGTGTAGATTGAAGTGCCAGGATCCGTTGAGAGATCCTCAGGTTAATGATCCGATATACAACACCGTGCTTCCTGGTTAATCTGAACTACAATACAATTACTATAGAGATATCCTAAAATCGAAAGCTTCCTTAAAAAAGTAAACCATAGCTGCTAGCTCCCTACCGCTCCATGTACGTCAGCTCCCCAGACTCAGCCTTTGCTATTTTCTCATCAAGATATTCTCTGGAACTGTCCAAATGGACTGTATAAGATTTGCCTGGGGCTACAGTAAAGGGCCTTCGGACCAGCAATTTGACTCTTCTCTACAATACTGACAAATTGAAATGAGTGGTGCAAGAGAGGAGTTGTTTAATTCATCTTTTTCGACCTTCAGGATTCATGACTGGGCATCGCTGTGAATATCAGGAAGCAAAAAATGCTGCTCACATCGCAAGGGGGGACAGCTCATCGAAGTGTTGCATTCCAAAAAGCCACTTTCCTCCTACAACACTCCATCTGATCACCTCGCCAGCGTATGCTCTCACGGCTTCCTCGTATTTATGAATGTAGTTCCACTCTCTTGAGTCCTTCCTGCAAAGGAAAAGACGATGAAATCAATAAACTTTCCTAAGGTAGTAAAATCATTAGTAAGTGTGCCCCTAGTTGAAGGGTTATTTAAGTACCGAGACTAAAGATTGTAGAATGAACAGGGACTAAAGTGTTTCGAAATAGGGTTCGAGAAATAATCTAGGTGTGTAAACTGGTAAAGCTGTTTTCGATCCATCCTTTACAACTGTGCATACCCTGCTATCATCACGCGCAGAAACTTTGAGCCAATTTAATATGCTCCGCTTATCAATTATCAGATACGCTACTCAAATAACGGATGGCCCTATAAGTTAGCGCACCACGAGCAGGCGACTTAGTCGATCTGGGTACGGGAGTCAATTTCTTCTCTCAAAGTCTGGTCTAGTCAAATCTCGTGACCCTTTCTGACAATGAGTATGCGTTCAAATCTTCATCATGCTCTGCTTTGACAAAAATAGTTGTTGCCATAATATCCTTCAAAGTGAATCAAAGGGAGATCCTCTGTTCACATATAACAGAGGGAGAAAGTCAAATTTTGATTAACGCGGGCATCCTCGAGTATGCTTGATACTTCTTTGAGTTACGAACTTTGCGCTCGCCCATATGTGACTATCTTGGTCTGAATGAATCACACTTACGAACGGGAACGAGGGATCCAAACCCACGTCGACTACTAGCTCCATTATTTCTAGCCGCGAGTCTTTGAGATTCGATGTACGCTAGGGTTTCTTGTCTCTTTGGGCGATAAAATTGTCTTTGTTTCCCCCAGTGCTGCATTTTGCAATGCCGGTGGACTCGATTGAAACAGCAAATTGCCCCCAAACGATATAACTATTGTGAACAAAGAAAATGTAATTTACAATTTGGATTCTAGAATTTCTCTCTTTCTCACATATCGAGATACACAGTTCAACAAAGAAGTTCAGCTCTGGCAAAACTCGAGACTGATGCACAAAGAACAGTCACTGGGCTCGAATAAAAACCCTTCCCTCGTCACCTCTGAAATCTAATTCTTCCCATCCAAATTTCCTATATTCAAAACTGTAGTTCTAAATATAGCGGATACTTCTCATCTTAGAATGTCCACCAAGGTGAACAAAGCGGCTAACGCCAACGCAAATGGTCATGGCTTGCCTGGCCACAAAATTGGAAATATCGCTGGGGTGAAAAGACTGGCCGAAACTCAACAAAATGGGGTTATCGAGTCTGTACCCGACCCCAAGAAGATACGAGAAGCTGTTTCTGCGCAAACTCGTTTACCGGATGACCAAGGTCGACTTAAGAGCAAGTTTTGGAATCCTTTCATACTTCCGTGGACGAAAAAGGGCTTAAAGGAAGGGTCTCGTCGAAAATGGCCACGCCCGAGCGAGCCCATAACAAAGATCGAAGACGTACCCGAAGGATGGAGATGGGATCCAATGGATGAAGATGTCGATTCAGAGTAGGGCAACCAAAACTCAATGTTGATAAAATGCTAACATATAATTTATGTAGTGATATCGACGGCAATATTGTGAGAAGCAAGAAGCGGATCAAGGATGGAATCATGCCCCAAGTCTTTGAAACAAGGTTATCGACATACAAGATGCTAAAGGCGCATCGTGACAAATTGATTTCTTCAGAGAAGCGCGGCTTGAGCTTGGATGTCGTCAAACGACTGGATAATCTGAAAATCATTGAGAAAAGCCTTGAGGAAAATGGAGATGCCTGGGAGGAGCTGCCGAATGTGAAGGCTATTATCAAAGCCTACAGGTCCAAGAAACTGAAGTGGTCAAACGAAGGCGAAGCAACTTACTGGTTTCAGGGAACGCAACTTTGTGAGCCAAAGAAATGGAGCTGGAGCGACATCATCAAGGTTAATCAAGAGGTTCAGGGTTCGAAGGGTTTCTGGGTTGAAGGTGTAAGATTTAAATTCTCTACCAAATCAAGAACTGCTTCAAACTACTGACATTTTGCGCTTAGATTGATGGACCTGGGCCGACAGGGGTCTTTTTCGCATGGTCATGGACCCCAGATCCTGCTAAATTAACATTTCAGCACCATGTATGAAACCATCCCAAGCTTAAGAAGGTATTTAACTAACGAGGTATTGAGCGATACAGATTCAATTTGAAATTCGAGTTCCACCGCTTATAGGACATCCCCCCATGAAACCAACATCACCTGGCTCGTTGGGCTGGAGAGGAAGATTCTTCGACGACACTGGAAGTGAGGCAGTCACCATATTCGACGACGACCTGAACGAGATTATGAATTTGGCTCCACAAGGGATCCGAGTACCAGTCATCGGAGAATACAATATGATTACTGTCGGGGGCAAAAGTGTCACTCACAGAAACATCGTGCTGCAGGCTCGAGTCATCGGGCCTGGAGAACATGCTATGACAAATTGGTATTCAGTACGAGTTGCCGTGTGGCCTACCTCTCAAAAGGTAGATGTGCCCGTGAGACTCAGTGGGGGTTGGTGGCGACATGTGCTATATGTCGCCAACGCCCCAGATAACAGGGGCCATTTATATGCCAGCACTACGAAACAAGATTTGTGCAAAATGCTACCGGATGTTGATTTTCAACAGGCGCAGGGACCAAAGAATGTCCCTCCACCTCCGCCCCCACCCTCTGGCGCACCGCCTTCTCCCGGACCGCCCAAAGGACCACATGGGGGACTCTCTGGCGGACCCTCTGGCGGATCCACACCAAGAGCTCCTTACGGACCCCCACCGGGTTTTCCTCTCCGAGCACCTTCACATAGACTTCCTTATGCAGCTCCGCCCCATGTAACATCGTTCCCACCTGAGTACCTAGTCCATGGAATTTACCCCGAGTATCCGTGGGACTTCCGAACATCGTTTCAGAAAGGACCATTTGGAAGTGACCCTTACACTCAATATGTTCCATGGACTAGAGTGCGCCTGCCTCTACCACCACCAACCACAAGGCCGACTTCTGTTCAAACTCAAGGCCAGACTGAAGGCCAGACTGAAGATCAAACTAACAGGCTATCTGAGGATCAGAAGGGGAAAGAAGGGGAAGAGCCGGCCCCAGAGAATGATAAAGCACTTATCCCGGGTCGGACTTATCTGACTACTCGTGGATTAGTTACTATCGAAAGTTCAGGGCCAAGCACACTGGGATCAGATCGATCTACAAGCCAGAAGGGAAAGCAAAGGGACCCTGGGCCGGAGCCCGCGCAGCCGCAGTTATGGGGTTATTTCTTTGTGCTTCCCGGGCAAGGTTTGGCGCCGGGTTGGTACTACTGCCCGCCGCCTCCAGGGGTAACTCCACACCTGCCTAATGGGACATATCCGATGTACAACCAAGGTTGGGTCCCGGGTCCCGAAGGGCCAATGCCAGGTTGGTTGTTGTCAAATGAGCCTGATACCCGTACAGCACCTCGGGCAGGCGGTCCAATGATGGGAACAATAACGGATCCATTTAGATCCCAATCTCAAACCATGTCTGCCCTGGGAGGGGATAGCAAGGCAGCAGCTGAGGCACTCATGACACAAGGAGATTTTAATCCTGAAGCAGCTACATATGTTCCACCACTGAATCTTGACCCAAGCGCAAGTGTATATGCTCCGGCAACAAGGCAGTCAGCCCCGGGTCCTGAACAAACCGAAACACAACTTAGACAAACCGGAATAAGTCCAGAAATGGCAAGGCTGGGCGTTACCGAGCTTGAAGACCAATCAGAATGGCCCCTACTCCCTGGGGCAGCAGTGACAGCAGCTGTTCAGGAACTACCACCATGGGTCCCACTCGGAACAAACCCAGTGACAGCAGCTGAACGATTGCCATGGCCTCCACTCCCTGGAACAACCCCAGTGGCAACAGCGGCAGAACTACCACCATGGCCAGCGCCAGCGCCCGCGCCCGCGCCCGTTCAACCAGCCAGGGTTTCGAATCAACGCCGAAGACAAGTAGAAAAAAAGAGGTTTAACGACTGGTTTTTCAAGTCTTAGATGAACCCGCAGATGCGGTTCATTCCAAGGTTTGGTCCTTGTATGTTTAATTTTTTCCGGAAGACTTGAATTTTCGATCTAACATGAAAGCTTCCTATGTTTGATTTTGTCTCTCTTCGCAGTAAATAGTGGTCATGCCACCTTTCACCACCTTTCCTTGCGTAACAAACTAGTCTAGACTTGGATGGTTGAATTCTACGATTTTCGGCTTTCCTTCTCCCCTTTTCGGCTTCTAAATTCAGTTTCTCAGATAGGACTATTTCTCACTAGATTCCTCACAATAACACAACTTTTCAAGCATCTTGACAGCAGAGGAGTCAATCAACATAGTGTATAGAATGAATTCAAGTCACTGGTCAACATTGCAACAATTTCAAGGTTGAGGTTCCCAACTCTGTTGTCTCTTTCTATTACTGAATCAAACTTAACAGTAGGTCTGTTTTGATAAACAATGGCGACGTCAATTAATATCCGGGGGTTCAAACAATTAAGTGAGCAAGAAAGTGAAACCAGGAAGTAAATTGCAAAACTTGCCATAGAATGTGAGTAGATCAACATCCTTCCAATCTCACAAGAATAGCCTAAGACTCCTTCACTTCGAGAGCCGCTTGTCCAAGTCGTACCAAATCAGCATTTGAAAGCGTTTCCTTCTCAAACCCACCAACAACCTGGTTCAGCACCGCAGTTGAGACCTCTTCAAGCGTGACGTTTAAGATAGCGCGAGTGAAGAAGTTCGTCGCGCTGAACGCAGAAGCCATCGCGGCTCTTGCCCATGTATTTGAGCTAGTTATTACACCAGGCCGAGCCACGCAGATCTCGATACCTTGATATTCTTCAGGGAGCTTCCGAACTATAGCTTCTGTCTCGGACTAAGTTTGGAATGTGGTTAGCAGAGCAAAAGAGGATCAAAAACAATGGTCCATGACTCACGCGCATCACGATGTAATCGCCTAGAAAGAATGGCTTTTTGGCATTGTAATCTTCCATGATGCCGTCGCCGCTGAAGTACACGAAGCGGAAGGGTCGTGCGGGGCCAGCCTCGTACATGGCCTTAAACCCAGCCAGTGTGCAATCCTGGCATACGCGCTTGACTTCTGAAAAATCAAGACGCTTTGATTTAATAGGCGTCACCCCTACGGTCCTGAGCGGTTCACGCTCTATCAGCAAGATCCTCGCCGGGGATGAAAAGGGTAATTCACACTTACCAAATGCATGCGTCAGCTCCAGCTAGCTCAGACCTCACTTGCTCGGAATATTCGCCATAGTCTTTGATCGTGACATTCTTCAGCTTGGACGAGTCGACGCTGTCGATCTGAACAGGCTTCCGTGCCAAGGCGATCACCTGGGTGATCGCACTCATCTGCAAGCTCTTTTTGATGAGTTCTGAGCCGACCAAGCCGGTCGCGCCAGCTACGATGAGCTTCATGATAATATTGCAGAGTTCTGTGAGCAAGCTCAGTGGATTTCCCCAATATTTAAATTGGTGATGTTGGTCGGGGTCGGGATTAGCAACCCGATCCCTTTCGCGGGGGCTGACATTAACACCTGCCGCCTTTCAGCCTATAGGAAGGTTCATCGACTTATCGATCGGCCCGGGTTTGAACATGATCGTTAGCGGATAAACCCGGGCGTTTACTCGTAACTATTCCTGCGAACTTGAGGGGTCGCTTAGTTGACTATGAGATCAACATTCACCTAACTAACTCAGTTCACGTGGTCGGCATGCCGAAGGTCGCTAAGGTCTATCTGTGATGACGAAGCCAAAGCATTGAAAGGAAACAGTCAACTTTTTTGTGTTCTACCTCGAACTAAGATTCAGCATCATCCCCGATGTCAAGTTTGCGGCTCAGATGAAGCATATCCCGACCGACTCTTTTCATCCCTTGCCGCAATCGCGACTCGACCTCATCCACAGCTTCAGAGTTTGACACTTTCTCAAACCTGCAAGTTTGAGACTTACGGTCAGGATATTGTGGAGGGTTAAGTAGATATGACACCGGCACCCAGTGGCTTTTTAGAGACAAATAGCATGCATGCAGCAATGGGGGCCAGGCGACTGTGGTAAGCAAATACTCGACCAAGCTGTCACGACGGGTGAATATGGCGGTAGAAATCGAGTAAACGGTTGCCCCAAGAGTAGCAAGAAGTAAAACAACGTTGTAGAAAACGCCATTGTCCCACAGGTCTCGGCGGAGCTTCGTGACAAAGGACATGGTTGTGATGCGATTCCAAGAATTAGCACTGCTTCCGGTCACAAATGATCCCTTTGGTTTGCTTGACAGCAGATAAAAGCGCATGACACCCCAGATGCTTTCTATAGAGGTAAATTAGCAACAGCTTTCGTAGAATGAGCGCATGTACTTACCACTGGAAAGCCACTTGTTTTCCAAGTGAGCGAATGGCGCACTTTGGAATCCAGTAGTAGCAGCCTGTAGATATTCGTATGTCCACATTGAGGTGACGTGGGCGAAAGCCAAAAGAAGTTGAAATTGAATCAATGCTGAAGAAGTGCCAGGAATTTGCTGACCGAGGACCAAGAGGAAGGGAACAGCAGCAAATCCAAAGAGACATCCTACCTCTCCAAAAATGATGCCCGCTCCATCTAACGCAATATTCAAGCGAAGTCGTCCAGAGAACCTATTACTGCCAGATGAAAGCATGGCTGGAACTTGCTGGGCGTGTCCGATATTCCATCGCTTTCTTTGAGCAGCGTGGCCACTAAGAGATGTCGGAACAAGACCGAATTGAAGGGGTTCCTGCACCTGTATAGTACAGTAACCCATTCCATGCAGTATCTGGGATAACTGCCAATCCTCAGAGAAAGAGTAGGTCGGATACATGCCCACGTCCATGATCGCCTTTCTTCTGAACACTGCACCGGACCCTGCATCGATAGCACGGCCGAGGACATCCAGGTCGGCATTCTGGCACGTGTAGAAGTGACTGCGAGTCTGCGAAAGCGGGTCACCCCTGGGCAAGTTCGAGAAGTACTGCCGTGTAGAGACCAATGCCGACTCCGGGCTCAAAAGTAGATGAGGGAGGGTCGCCCGAAGAAATTGCCGCTCTGGGATAGAGTCGGCATCCAGCACGGCGCAGAACTCTGGCTGAAACTCCTGTTGCAGTGTGCTCAGGGCGTAATTCATGTTCCCAGATTTGGCAAACACTTGGCCAGATTGTCTGCCACGGGAATGGTATGATAGCTGTGGCCATTGGGACCGCATTTTGGTCACAGCTTTCTCAAGCATGCTTGACCCGCCGTCATCGAGTACCAGAATACGGAACTGAGAGATCGGATAGTCAAGGTTACAGGCTGCATGCACAGTATCCATGATCACATCGACCTCCTCGCCACAGCAGGGCAATAAAACATCTACACGAGGCAGGTCAAGTTTACCCATGAGTCTGAGCCTTTTGCGAGGACCATCATGGACAACATTTCCCGCGGCGACAGCCCGAAGCTGTTCTTTGCGAGACAAATCTAAGATAAAATTAGATGAAATGTCTCTCAATGTTGTTAATGCAGGTAAACTCACGAAAGAATACTCCTTCAACTAAAAGTAATGTCCATACCTGCCAGGTTCGTGAATGACTACACAAGATCGAAAGTGAGCGCAAAGTGAAATATAGATAGCCGATCCATATTCCCGTTTGGGCCGCGTAGTAAACAAATTTCTGATACCGCTGACCCTTCAGGACTCGTTGATCAGGAGCCAGCTCATGGATTTCGTAGGTTGTTTTTTTCGACATCTTCACAGACAGCACCCTCCAGAAGCCACGGGGAACCGAAACGTGGTAAGACAGATCCTGGTTGAAATGTTGTTGCGTCAGCTTCCAGCCATAATAGACCTTCAAACGGTTTCTTTCTATCTTTGAGAATTGATCTGAGACAGGGGTAGAAATTAGCCACACGAAAAGGGGGAAGCCAACGCGTGTTTGTGCGCTTCTTGGAAAGGCGTCAGTCTAGATCGCTCTGGCCTTAGCCACAGTGTGGAGTCGGGGCGAACCGTTACCGAAGCTTCCCGCAGCTTCCCGGATGAACGCACACCGCTACATTTATCGTTGCCTAGAAATATAAGTTCCAAGTACATGAGAGGCTTGCTAGATATTCTTTCAATCTATGTTGACATGTACGCGAGAGGTGAACTGGGTGGAGGACTGGCCCATACAGACCCATCCAAGTGGATCAAAATAAGGCTGTGTGGGGATGAGTTCATACGCCTGTCAGAAATCTCTCCGCATGCCCCGTTGATTCTCAATTAGTCTGTACAAAGAGTCTGTACAAACACCAAATTTTATGCACAGTAGGGAAGCTATTATGCGGACCTTTCAATCTTACTTCTTGTGACGAATAAACTCTGGGAAACTACATGTCAATGCGGGCTCCCGACCCGAATGATTGACCACAGACGCTAAGCTCTTAAGCGTATACTAGACATTCTAAGTATAGACTGTGAATATGTTAAATATAGTAATGTTGGATATTTTACCCTTGACTTATCGCCTTTTCAAGATTACCGCTCTCCTTTTCCTTGATTCTATGCTCTGCACATACGTCCACTAGGCGAGACAATCCACTCATCAGAGCCAACAGCAGTCACCCCATAAAAGATGCTGTGAGGATCGTACTTTGCTTTGATTTGGCGCAAAGCCTTATAGTTTTCTCCATAGAATGCAGCCTTCCAGTTCGGCTGGCGGAAATCGGCCTAATATTGATTAGCAACTTCTCTTGTTCATTAAAGCAAGACGTACTTCATTCAGATAGGCTCCTGATTGTGGGGCCAATTTCTGCAACCGAGGAACAAAATCCCGCGTCATTTTGTTCTGATTGGAAAGCATCTCTTTGGGTTTGTTGAATTTCCACGTCGTCTTGAGATATGCGTGTGTAATAGCATCCCGCCATGCAGGAAGCACGGCATTGTAAACATCACCAGAGACGTTTTTGGAGACGGACATGCCATTAAGGCTAATTTTGCCTCCGTTGCTGACGACCTGTCGAATAGCATCGGTGAGATCATCGTTCTTCTCCTGTACGACCGATCGTGGGATCAACCAGCTTCCATACTGTGCCACGCCGACTGTAACGGATCGCATCATCGCATCGAACTCATCAAGATAGGATTCAAATTGCTCTGAGTGCCAGGTGTATCGGACACCCAGTTTGTCTAATCCATCACGCAATGGCTGTATGATGATTTCCAGCTTCTTGACTGGTATATCCGGAGCGGTCATGGGAGAAATCTGGAAAGACGTGTTCGAGATAGACCCCATGCTCATGATACCTTCATCCACAATGGCGGGTAGCTGAGAGTTGTAGAGCTCTAAAGCTTTGTAGATGAGGTCGTCTGAGTTGTTCTCAGTCAAAATAGTCAAGTTTAGGCCCGAGACAGGTCCCCCTTGGTGCGCTTTAGATGTCATCGACCATACAACGCCATAAGTTCCACCGCCACCGCCGCTTAAGGCCCAGTAGAGATCGCTGTTCTGTTCGCGGGTAGCTACGAGAAACCTGCCTGTGCCATCAATCACTTCCCACTCGAGGACTTGATCTGCTCCGAGGCCGTATCGTGAACTAAGCATCGAATGCCCACCGCCCTGGCTGTATCCGCCGGCGATACCAACGCTCGGGCATGCTCCACTGAGGATTCGCAGACCATGGGCATCCGCTGCACGGTAGGCTTCAATGCCTTGAACACCTGCACCGAGCTTGGCGGATTTTCCTTGGTAGTGCTTATCGTTGTAATCTTTGATCTCAATGTCTTTGAGGTTGTGCATCCAAACAGCCAAAGCGCCAGCTCCGGTGGATTTCCCGTTATAGCTATGAAGCGTCAGCAATGACTCGGCATGGGAACTGTGTTTCGCTAAAACTCCTTACTCATGGCCAGTATTACGGATGATAAAGCGAATGTGATGCTTCGTGGCAAATCTTATTGCCATTGAAACATGCTCAGGCTGCGAGATGTTCACTGCATAGTGGACAAGATTCCCGAATGTACACGGTTTTGAAACCGGGTGGAATGGGTCGCAAGTCCCATTGGTAAAGAATGGAGCCATAATGGAGGAAGACGATTGGTAACTGGAAGTGCGTTAGTGCATGATTGGAAACAAGAATAACAACGCCGTACTGTTCATATGTCTTATTCCAGCCATTTCTTAAAATTTCGCACTTGTTTTCGTCATAGTATGGGGCATGACACGGAATTGCCAAAGGCACTGTTTTTATGAGACGCCCACTGATAGATTCGTTGAAGGCATTCCAGGTGGAGACAGAGGGCCAGCACTCGTCGCCAGGAAAACAGTTGCAATTATGTTTTTGGCTCGCCCCCACTCTCGATGCGATGGCTAGTAATCCGAAGATGAGACCTCTTTTGAGAGTCTGGCAAGACAGCATTTTTTGAAATAAATAGAACTTTCATTCGACAAAGCCGGAGACTCTTCCATTTAAGTGGGCGTCTAAGTGGGCATTATTTGTCCCGCTCTGCTGGTCCTGCATTAAGTAATTTCCTGTTCTCGTTCAGATCTGAATTTTCAGAGGCTGGTGCATACTTTCGGAGATCGACGATCGGCTTGGCGGCCGTGCAGGATCATGAGTCGGCTGCCTGCCAATGGGTGTGGGCCGAGACTGACACTTTCATGATCGTAGCTTTGTACATATAGATTCAACCCTTTATTGGTTGAATAATTTAAAACATTGAATTAACAAAAAACAAAAATTACGTTGACTCAGGAGCACGATTCCTTGGCCGTGAGGTATACTTTGTGGCTATGATCGGCTTGATCGCTGAAGCCCAGCCTCAACAAGGGACTATTTGTTTGCTGCATAAATAGTTGGCCCCAGGGGTCAGCTGCACATTCCACGCCGGAACTTGGCTCAAAATGCGGCACGTTTCTTCTTAGCTTCTAGAAAAACTTCAGATTTATTTTGAATGTCTTTAGTCGATGACTTAGTGCCGGGGATTTTTATAATTCGTCGGGGCCTGGGGGGTACCTTGTCCCTTTTTCCACGCCGACCTGGAACCTTCGCGGGTCGCTAGTGGCCCGATCGGCATTTTCGAAATTCTCCATCGTGCTGGTTCAGCTTTCTAAGGTAATCGGGCTGAACGCTGGTCTTGCTTTGTACTTGGAGGCGAGACGCTTAACGTCCATACTGTTGATAGAAATCACTGTCCAGGCTTGTGACCTTCCAGAGCACGCCCGGATTGCCTTTTGTGGCTGACACTTTGTGAATGGACTCATCTAAAGGATCTGACTATAGCTTCCTAGATGTTTTGGTTAACTTCACCACGACCGATTTGTTTTTGGGACGTATAATTCCGACAGTGAGATGAGAAAGTACAATGCTCCCAGTGTCTGAGCGTAAGTGGGGGCTCGTTGACGAGGCAGACGCACCATTTGGGAACCATTTAAACACTTCATTAACTACAAGAGGATGCGATATAATGCGATTTCAATCTATTGACAAGTTGATTGCCATGTTGTAATTAAGTAGGGATGGCTATAAGCGAAGCGAAGCAAACCCGATCTAATGATTGGAGTTTCACATTCCAGTCAACAGCAGGGGTTTCAGATGAGGGGAAAGGGCAATGTGCTGGACTATTGAATGTGATTGGAACGCCATGGGCCAGAGTGCTAAAGTGTCCATGCGCCTTTGCCCGCACTTCTGGCCGTTATCACTCGACGTCAAGGGATCAATGGCCACTCGCTTCGCGCAAAATCTTATGGGATCAACATTTCCTTTCGCCACCCTTCAGCTAGATCCACTCAGGATCTTTACCAATACTAATGAGTAATGCAAGGGCCTAGATTCGTTCATGTCGACATTCCATAATGTCTAGAGATGTTGTCACTTGAAATGGAGCAATTCTGATGGCAGCGGGAAGGCCCGGAGGCACCGATGGGCGATAGGCGCACCGGGTGAGCTGGGTCCAATTAACCCTGACTCAGAGCACCTTGAGATCTGAAGATCTGACGGTCGCTTTGAATGACTTGATTTTAATGACATGATCCGTGGGTGGAAAGGTAGAGGTGCCACAGACAGATTGTGGTGTGTTCATTGACCAACTACACGTCATTGACTGCTGCCCAGGTTCCCGATCCGATCATAGGTACAATGCAGGCATCAGGCCACACCACAAACGGTTGGCTCTAGCTCCGCATTTTCTTTCATAAAAGCAGGGAAAGGTACGGAATGTTTCCTTGATGAATCATTCGAGTTAATCTGCCTTGTCATCGTCCGTGAACCTCTCTGTGCTACCTCACCTCCGCTGCCCTGCAGCTTCACCTTCATCCCCCACACGTCACTCTACATACTTCACTCCTCCACTGTTCTTCGATTTTTGCTTCCATCGGCCATGGCATCTCAGCATGGTGGCGCTGATGCCAAGAGCATCTCTGCATACGGAGAGGCTCGCTCTACCCTGCAGGGAAAGCCTCTAAGCTCCGATGAGGTCCGCAAGATGAACGAGTACTTCCGCGCTAGCATGTACCTTTGTCTTGGTATGCTTTATCTTCGAGATAACCCACTTCTCAAAGAGCCGTTGAAATTGGAACATCTCAAGGCCCGTCTTTTAGGCCACTGGGGATCAGATGCCGGTCAGTCATTTACATGGATTCACATGAACCGCCTCATCAAGAAGTACGACCTGGATGTTCTCTTCATTTCGGGGCCTGGACACGGTGCCCCGGGTATCATCTCCCAGTCTTACCTGGAGGGTGTCTACTCTGAAGTCTACCCCAACAAGAGCGAAAATGAGGAGGGAATGCAGAGATTCTTCAAGCAGTTCTCGTTTCCTGGCGGTATCGGCAGCCACGCAACCCCCGAGACTCCCGGTAGCATCCACGAGGGTGGTGAGCTGGGATACTCAATCTCTCACGCCTTCGGAACCGTTTTTGATAACCCGAATCTCATTACATTGACCATGGTTGGCGATGGAGAGGCTGAGACCGGTCCACTCGCAACTAGCTGGCACAGCACCAAGTTCCTCAATCCATGTGTCGATGGCGCTGTCCTCCCGGTCCTTCACCTGAATGGCTACAAGATCAACAATCCGACCCTTCTTGCTCGAATCAGTCACGATGAACTGACAAATCTATTCGTTGGTTACGGCTGGAAGCCCTACTTCGTGGAAGGTAGCGACTTTGACAGCATGCATCAAGCCATGGCTACTACTCTTGAGAAGTGTGTGCAGGAGATCAGGGAGTATCAAAAGCAAGCGCGCTCATCCAATAAGCCATTCCGCCCACGCTGGCCGATGATCGTTCTTCGAACTCCGAAGGGATGGAGCGCTCCTCGCGAGATTGATGGAAAGTTCCTTGAAGGCTTCTGGCGCGCACATCAGATTCCCATCACTGACGTCCGTACCAACCCAGCGCACTTGAAGGTTCTGGAGAACTGGATGAAAGGTTACAAACCGGAAGAGCTCTTCGACAAGAATGGAAAACTGATTCCGGAGCTCAGAGAACTTGCTCCCACTGGTAACTTCCGCATGAGTGCCAACCCCGTTGGTAACGGCGGTATCCTGCGGAAGCCACTCATTATGAATGACTTTCGGGAATATGGCTTCCAAGATATCGTGCCAGGACAGACAATCAAGGGCGGCATGGCCAACATGGCTGTCTTTCTGCGTGATATTGTCGCCAAGAATATGACCAACTTCCGCCTTTTTGGTCCTGATGAGACCGAGTCCAACAAGCTTTCGGAGGTCTACAAAGCAGGAAAAAAAGTCTGGATGGGCGATTACTTTGAAGAAGATAAGGACGGTGGGAATCTTGCCCCCGATGGACGGGTGATGGAGATTCTCAGCGAGCATACCTGCGAAGGATGGCTCGAGGGGTACATCCTGTCTGGTCGCCATGGACTGCTCAACAGCTACGAGCCCTTCATTCACGTCATTGATTCCATGGTCAATCAGCACTGCAAGTGGATTGAAAAGTGTCTCGAGGTCGAATGGCGTGCCAAGGTCGCCTCTCTCAACATCCTCATCACCGCCACTGTCTGGAGACAAGATCACAACGGATTCACTCACCAGGATCCTGGATTCCTCGACGTGGTCGCCAACAAGAGCCCAGAAGTTGTTCGAATCTACCTTCCCCCTGACGGCAACACACTCCTCTCAGTCATGGACCACTGTCTCCGCAGTGTCAACTACGTGAACGTAGTCGTAGCCGACAAGCAAGAGCACATACAATTCCTCAGCATGGACGAGGCCGTTGAACACTGCACTAAAGGTCTCGGAATCTGGGACTGGGCAAGCAATGATCAAGGCTGCGAGCCCGATGTCGTCATGGCATCCTGCGGCGATGTCTCGACTCACGAAGCCTTGGCAGCCACCGCACTTCTGCGCGAGCACCTTCCCGATCTCAAAGTCCGCTTTGTCAATGTTGTGGATTTGTTCCGGTTGATCTCTAGTGTCCACCACCCGCATGGCATGCCCGACCGGAAGTGGAAGGCCATTTTCACCGACAACAAGCCGATTGTGTTCAACTTCCACTCGTATCCCTGGCTCATCCACCGATTGACCTACAAGAGGCCAGGTCAGCACAACCTGCATGTGCGTGGTTACAAAGAAAAGGGTAACATTGATACGCCATTTGAGCTAGCTCTGCGCAATGGTACCGATCGATACAGTCTTGCCATTGCTGCGATTGACTTGATTCCTTCTTTGGGCAACACGGCTTCGAGTGTTCGGGAGAAGTTGGTCAATTTCCAGCTTGCGGGTAAGAGTGAGGCCTTTAGCAATGGTCTTGATCCCGAGTATATTCGGAACTGGACTTGGCCCTATCCTAAGAAGACTTGAGTGGTCTTTCATGATGTGCCTACTGAGCTTGTGGTGGTTGCTTCGAACACGGGGCTGACATGCGATATGTATCCAATCTTTCACTAAATTGCAGCAACTGAAAGCAATAGCAATAATCTGTGATTCAAATCTAACTTGATAAAGCCATTTCAGAGAGTTGAGTGGTAGCTCGAAGCTTGGGGCCTTCAAACTGATTCCATAGTAGATAGCATTCACTACATTAGGCAGCCCTAATTCAATCGATGATCTCAACCCTTATTCTACCCGAGTAAAATGAAATAACATCAATTGGAACGCGGAGGTTTAGAATAGTGGAATCAAATTACACCTGTATGATTATCTTAGGGTCCTGATAAGACATCGGACATCTCCGCGGGGTCCAAGTGGAGAAGGCCAAACCCGCGATATGACAGCCACGACGTCCGGTACCCTTGTGCAGCTAAAATGCCACCACTGAGACTGAGCGACAGGCTTGAGTCTATCAAGGGCGTCAGACTGGCTGGTTCACCTCACGCTTGCGACGTCAACGTTCATTATTCATCAGATACCTGTCACGGCACCATCGCATCAATCACCCCGCACGATTTTCCCCCAAACAGTGAACCTTCTCAACCTCCTCTACTTTTGCCAGCCCTGACCCATCCACACATTCATCTGGACAAAGCATTTGTCCACAGTGCATCTGAGTATGTCCATCTTCTTCCCTCCACCGGAACCTTCCAGGAAGCGCTATCTTTTACCACCGAGGCCAAGGCAAGCTTCACAAGATCCGATCTCTTGACGAGAGGAGAATGGCTACTTGCAGAGTCTGTTTCGTCGGGTGTGACTGCCATAAGAGCATTTGTCGAGATCGATCACACTGTGCAACTGAAGTGCCTGGACGCAGGAGTAACGCTCAAAGACCAGTGGAGCAATGCTTGCGAAATCCAGATCGTATGCTTTGCCCAAGACCCTATCTTTTCAAGTGATTTTGGAGAAGAGAACATGGTCCTTATCGAGAAAGCCCTCGCCCGATATCCCCAAATCGACGTCATCGGAACAACGCCTTACGTCGAGTCAAGCATCGAGGCTGCCAAGAAGAACATCGATTGGGCAGTTGACCAAGCTTTGCAGCTTGAGAAGCATCTTGATTTCCATCTCGACTACCATCTTGACCCAAATAAGGAAGCCCTGGTTTGGTACCTCTTGGAGACCCTCAAGCAACGAGGCTGGACTACAACCTCAATAACAAAGCGTGTGATGCTAGGGCATTGCACACGGTTGTCCCTTTTCAGCGAAAGAGAATGGGCCCAAATTTCTCGTATCATTCATGAAAATGATCTCCCTGTGAGTTTCGTCGGCTTACCAACCAGCGATCTATACATGGCCGCTCCTCAACAAGAAAATCAAGGGAAGCCCAGAGGCACCCTCGAAGTACCTGAGATAATTCGCAAGTATGAATTGGACGTGGTCATGGGCGTGAACAATGTCGGGAATGCATTTACTCCGTGGGGCTCTGCAGATCCATTGTTCTTGGCTTGCTTAGGAGTCGGCCTATACCAGGCAGGATCACAAACCGATGCGGGGCTTTTATACGAATGCGTGTCAACGCGTGCTCGAGCTTCAATTGGCCTATCATCTCCAAAGAAGAGCCTGGCAATTAATGAAGGCGATTGTGCGGATTTTATAGTATTTCGCGACAGAGACGATACTGGGTGTGGAATATCACGCCCACGCAAAAGCGTGGCAGAGATTGTGTGGGATCCTCCTGGGCGCATCAATAGGGATTTGGTGGTCAACGGTCGATTGAACGTCTCGAGAGGTACCAATTACGACGCAGAGCCCCTATATCAGTATTTGTGAACCCTTACATCATACCATCAATTGAACATCGTCACCGTTCGTGGGGTATTTATAGTAATGATCACGTGATAGCATCCCCAGATCGGAGACCAGATGACGGGTGTCAGTTCTCCGCACCCAAGGGGCTTGATCAGTAGAGTTGATAAATTATAGCAATGCCGTATAGGGGAAATACCCGGGGGCAGCAGTGCAACCCGAGGGTATCGCCGGGCACCAACGGGCGCCTCTCGGTGCCTGACAACGTGGATCGATTATGTCATGGGCGTTCCTGTCGAGTATAGAGTCAAATAGTGGAAAGATCTTGGAACGAGTCGAAGAGAGATCGAAGGTGAGCCAGCAGGGAGTCCAGGTGACACCACGGCCTCAAATACAATTTGGGTATCAGCCCTCTGCGACAGGGCCCCTGTCGCTTTCCTGTACAGAACTCCGCCGCATCCATCCCAGCACCTCCAACTCTCTCCTTTCCCCCTCCTCCCCCCTCATCTCATCCACCTCGACCCCCCCCCATCCTTTCATCCTTGTCGTGTCCGTTGTTTCATTCTTTTGCACATTTGCATTCTATCCCTGCTGGGTTCTAGTCCCGTGGGGCTTTCTCTTAGCCACATCCCCGCCCTGTCTCAAGGCAACCTTGACCGCTCCAACACCATTCGCCGCGGTCGCAATGTCGGCTCCGGCTCCAGCGTCCACCTCGCCGACGGTTGTGCGCAGTCAATCAACATCTTCTCGGCCTCCGCGACCTGCTCAAACCGATCTCCCCCATCGCACACGCAGTGTGGCGGTTCGATCGTCCAACTCGTCCCAGCCCCCTCCACAGAGTCAGTACTCACACACGAAAAACCCCTCTCATGACCGACGTCCGCCTTCCAACTACGCTGCGCTCGACAGTGTAGCCCGTCGGGACTTCGAGGCTTCGAATGCTGCTAGGATGCCGTCGCGTCGTGATCCTTCCTCAGAGCGCTCGCAGGAACGCCCATCAACCGCGACCCGGACCGAATCCACCCGACGACACCAAAGAAATCCCTCAACACAATCTCATCAGCGAGAAAGAAGCGATATGGTGGGAGCAGCCGCGCCAGACCGCGCTGCCGACTCGTCGCAGCATGCGGCCGGGACACATTCGACCCCGACCGCTGCAGCACAGCCCCGGCGCCGTACAACGATCACGACGCCGACAGGCCAATGGGCCCTGGGGAAGACGATTGGTGCTGGTAGCATGGGTAAAGTGAAGCTGGCGAAAAATATTGAAACCGGAGAGCAGGTAAATACCCCCCGAAGTTGGCGGCTTGGTATTTAGCAAGCTTAATTATACATTCCATGTGTCCTAACCCCCGTCGCAGGTCGCTGTCAAGATTGTCCCGAGACTCTCCACCGAGGAGCACCGCAACAGTCGCGAATCTGAGAGGGCGGATCGCTCAAAGGAAATCCGAACAGCTCGAGAAGCAGCTATCGTCAGCCTCACTAGCCATCCTTTTATCTGCGGCATGCGAGATGTGGTCCGAACTACCTACCATTGGTATATGCTCTTTGAATATGTCAACGGGGGTCAAATGCTGGACTATATCATCTCTCACGGCAAATTGAAGGAGAAGCAGGCCCGCAAGTTCGCCCGCCAGATCGCCAGTGCGCTGGACTACTGTCACCGAAACAGCATTGTCCACCGAGACTTGAAGATCGAAAATATCCTGATCAGCAAGACGGGTGATATCAAAATTATCGACTTTGGTCTCAGCAATCTGTTTTCGCCGAGGAGCCTTCTAAAGACGTTCTGTGGCAGTCTGTACTTTGCAGCCCCCGAACTGCTTCAGGCAAGACAGTATACTGGCCCTGAAGTAGATGTTTGGAGTTTTGGCATTGTTCTCTACGTTCTGGTTTGTGGCAAGGTGCCCTTTGACGACCAAAGCATGCCTCAGCTGCATGCCAAGATCAAGAAGGGCGTTGTGGAGTACCCGCCGGGTCTCTCGACTGGTAAGCAGAGTCCTACAATATCTTCCTCTCCTCAATTAGATGCTAACAGAATTAAGAATGTCGCCACATCATCTCGCGCATGCTTGTTACGGACCCCAAGCAGCGTGCCAGCTTGAACGAAATTATGAATCACCCCTGGATGAACAAGGGCTTCAGCGCACCACCAGAAAACTACCTTCCTCACAGAGAGCCTCTGCAGCTCCCATTGGACCAGGAGGTGATTGAAAAAATGACAGGCTTTGATTTCGGCCCCCCTGACTACATCACGGCCCAGTTGACCAAGGTATTGGAATCGGAGGAATATCGACATGCTGTGCGGAACAATCACCGTGAACAGCCGGTTTTCAGCCAAGCGGAGAAGAAGCGCGGCGTGTTCGACTTCTACAAGCGCCGCAACTCTGCTGCTAGTCGCGATACACTATCTGCACCGTCAATGGAAGCAATTCAGCTGGGCAATGACCCCTTGAACGCATATAGCCCTCTGGTCTCCGTTTACCACCTTGTCAAAGAGAAGATCGACCGAGAGCGCGTCGAGGCACGACCTGGTGCCCTCGGCATTCGTCCCACTACCGCCGATGTTCAAGTTTCCGAATTGACCGCTCCGACCGCCCCTGAGGCTGCTCACACCAATCAGTATCAGCTTCCGGGAGATAAGGACACTGGTCGGCGGTCTCGTCCGCGGGCCCGGACACATGGTGAAGACGAAGTCACTGAGGGTATGAAGAACCTTCATACCTCGTCGCCTTCTGCGCACGCAATGCCAATTTCGTCTCAACTTGAGACTCCTGCAAAGAAAGAGAGTGCTGCTGCCGGTCTTCTGAGACGCTTCAGCACTCGCAGAACTAAGGATCGCAGTCGTGAACACGAACGAGAGCGCACCAGTACCCCCAACACTCCAACTTTGAACGTTCAACCCCCTGCCGACTCGGCTTCTCCCATTCACCGTGGTTTCAGTGTGCGACGAACCCGACGGGCCGAGCCGTCCCCAGGTTCTATTCCTACTGGGGGAAGCCAGCCCCAGCAAGACTTCCTTGCTGCTCCTGGTTCCACCGACCAGACTTCCTCTTCGAACAAGTTCTTGGGCCGATCCACCAGCGTCAACTCCGCTGACTACCGACCCCGGAGAGCGGCTCGGAGGAGCGATGCTGATGCGCTGGATGCGGAGCGTCAACCCCCCTCAACCAGCGGTTCTGACCAGGTTGCTCCCAAGGAGGCTGGTACAAGGATTGGTGGCCACACACACACGGCCCGAACCATGTCGCTGGGTCATGCCCGCCGAGAAAGCATTCAAGCCCGTCGTCAGCGACGGGAGGCGGCTCGGGAAGCAAATGTTCCAGAAGAGACGGATGCAGATATCTCTGGCGCAGGAACCGCACTGGAGAGTGCGAACGAAGGTGAAGATCTGTCCAAGCCAGTTTTCCTCAAGGGTCTCTTCAGTGTTTCCACAACCAGCAGCAAGCCTTTGCCAGTCATTCGGTCGGACATTATCCGCGTACTCAGACAGCTAGCGGTTGACTATGTCGAGATCAAGGGCGGTTTCAGCTGCCGCCACGCCCCAAGCATCGACCTGGAGAAGGTGGTCGATATGAGCCCACCCAGTCCGGATCGGCAGGGCCAGGTTTCTCACCGCCGGAGAATCAGCTTTGGCGGTCTTCTCGGACAGGATGACAGCCGGGATGATAGCCGTTCGACTCAGAACAGGTCGCAACGCCGCACCCAGGCCGCGCCAGACCACAGCTTCACCACGAATTCGGATGGTTCTGAGGAATATGTTGCCCGCGACCAAAACCAGGGCGCTTTTGGCGAGCGAGTGGTTGGGGAGACCACCACTCGCGTCCAAAGTGACACCGGAGAGAATCTGGTTCTGCGATTTGAGATTCTCATTGTGAAGGTCCCTCTCTTTTCGTTGCATGGCATCCAGTTCAAGAAGGTCTCAGGTGGCATGTGGCAGTATCGAGAGATGGCGAAGAAGATCCTCGATGCCCTACGCCTATGAGTCGACCTTCCTACCTGGCCCTCGAAGTCAATGAACATGGACTCCCAAAAAACATAGAAGTTCCCGAAGGGCACTCACTCTATTCGGGCTTTTCGTGCCTGTGTCTGCATTTTATCTGTCTTTAGGTACATTTTTCAACGACGTATCTGCACGAGCATTCATCTGTCGCTTCAGCTCATCCTTGCATGCTATGGACTTCCTACCTTTTCATTAGTCCCTTTGCAATTCAGCATTAGCCCTATCGTTTCAGTCTGCATCCATCTCTGTTCGCACCCGCTCATCTACCCCAGCACGCATCGTTGGCTTAGACGAGCCCTCGATCTTCATGGTGTATATTTTGATGAAGACTCGTGTCATGGTTTCCTTTGTTTGGTTTTTCCTGCGTCCTCGATTTATTTATTGTGAGGACGAGAAATGGCGTTGTATAGTTTGTGGAATATTTGTTCATGAGTGTTCCGTCTATGCAATAATGTGATGCTGTTAATGCGGGAGGTTTTCATCGTTCCATTGTAAATCCGTTCGTAGCCCTGGTGTAAGTAACGGACCCGGGGCATTGTCAATCTGGTGATGCTCTTTTTGGCCGAATGGTAATACGGTAATTCTGGTGCGTCCGAGCACCCTTACCTTATACCTAGCCCCTTGGATGGATGCCTGCACTCGAAGATGGTGTGCAAATGGGCAGAATATTTATGTTGGTAAGCGCAGCAGAAATGATCAGTGCGACCGCCCGAGAGTTGGAAAAATGGGTGTCCTTTAAGTTTTCCATCAAATAAGTCACGAACAAGGCTATCGTAGCTTGAACCCATAAATTCATGGACCCTGATTTGAGGCCGTTGACTCCGATACCGGACCACGGCTCTAGCTTCGCTAGCTTCGGTAATCATTCAGACATCCGTTTGATGTCATCGTCAAAATAACAACGTGATCCATCCCATAAGAATGCTTTTAACTTTAGCAAATTATGCGTCGAAATTAGTAAATATGGTTGGTGTGGTCCAAACCGCGGCGTGAGAGACGCTACTCAAGTGCATATATGGTGTGGCAGGCGGAAGTAGGCTTCCACTTGGCCACTCTCGGGATCGCGGGCATGATCACCTGGGCGTGCCTACATAGGTGATGTTTCGCTCGCTGGTCATAGCTCGAACGCGTCCATGCTGATATCATTGATGCGTGGATTTCAAGTATAAAGAAATTAAAAGATTGTAAGAAATTTCAAAATTTAGATTTCTGAGGGTTTCCCAACTATGGACTCTGCGGTGCCGATATTGAAATGAGTACAGGCACCACTCTGGGCCGCGCCGCCTACCCCTCCGGTACCTCTCGGGGGCGCAATGGCCTAACCAGTGTGTGCATCCGCCCCCAACTCTACCCGTCGCCCAAAGCTATAGGATGTTGAGGCCCACGGAGCGACGCAAACGCAGCACACGGGCTAGTTAGGAAATAAATATATGGAACTGTAGCTAGGAAGATATAGAGCCTTCTAAGATATACAAGCTGAAATTAGAGCTTATTGTTGGAGAGAAACTATGCGTTGAAAGAAGCCAGCTCACTCTAGACTCACTTCCGGCTTAGCCACTCCCGAGCCCGCCAAATTCGAGCTTACTCGAACGCAATGTGACACCCAATCCCACCTTGCTCGGAGTCAAGTAAGTACAACCAAATGGTGAAACAAGATCGTCCGATATCTATATTATAAACATCGGCCATACGCTTTCAGCCATATGATACGCATTCACGTGACACTCATACATCCCTAGCCGAGCGTTCAAACAGCTCTAGCGCCCCCATTTTACAAGTTGGGCTAACGCCACTTAATATAGTCTTAAATAGACCGTCTTTTGGGCCTACTGGGATATTTAAATCAATCAAATAGGGTAAGAGCATAAATCACTTAGTCAGCGCTCTAGAGGGACATTATTGGATAAGAACTAAGCGAGCACGGCTTACTCAGCAGACAGCCCATGGACACCTAAATTGGCCTGATTTTGCCTGATTCATCATATACCTCTAGACCAACTTTCAAGACTCCTAGGAACTCCCCACGCCCTTGGAATTGTTCCGGAAGTTATGTCAGCCTAATGAGAAAATTCCATACTCTTAGGTGATGTACTTTGTTCGTTCCTGAATCGCCAAATGGGGGTCCTAGGCGCCCCAATGGTGTTCAGGAGCATAGGCAACAAGAAGCTCCCAGTAGACCCGCTCCTGATAGACAGACAAACGCCTTCAGTTGCCCCGGTTCTGGCAACCCCTTTTTCGTCCAATTAAGTGTCCTCAATCAGAGTACCCGAACTGCAGCCCCATGTCAACCTAGTGAAAGTTCACTGAAAGATAATGTGTTTTTAACGCCAAAGTATTCTTCTACCTCTTGATGCTCTTTTTGAACCATCTCAGATCCATATACTCGACTTCCTGAATATCTACAGCTATAATGAGCTTTCCTATATAGGATATGCCAGATGACTAAGCAAAGGGGCCAACCATAGAACGCTAGTGTTTGTGCCTCTCTACATCGCCGATTGTCTTCACTCAATGAGCTCGTGGCCGTCGGATTCTCTTCCTGAGGTGATTATTCTTCCTGCTCCTCCTTTTCCACCTCACGATAGCTTCCTCAATCTGATCGCGGCGACTTGAAGCTATCCCCGTCGGGTTTCTGGCGCGGTCCTGGGTTCATTCATCTTTAATCCATGACTTTTGTCTTGCAACCTAGCCGTCCGGGTCCTCCGACCCGCCTCTCTCTTTCTTTCTTTCTTATCGGCACCCCGTCCACAACTTGCCTTCTTCCCCGTGGCCCTGCGAGCATCCCGAACCCCCGGATGAGAGTCTAGACTCTAGACGCCTCGTCCGTCATGACCATGGCCGCTCGTTTCGGTCTAGATGGGGCCCACGAGCACCGTCCGGCGCCGGTCTTCTATGACCTTACCGGCAACTCGGACTCAGAGACAGAGACTCTGGTAAGCTTTTCCTGGCCCGCTGCTTCCCCCTTCGACACGCGATCGCCAGTATCCCATCCCCATTCTCCGTGAGGCTAGGGCTACTTCCCAATTGTCCACATTCTTCAATTTTGCCTTCCACTTGTTGTCTTTCCGCTTTTCCGCTTTTCCGCTTTTCGATCTTCGATTTTCGATTTTCGATTTTCTTGATCCCAATCATTCCATTTGCGCGTCCCTTCCCCTTCTTATGCATCTATCACGCGTCCCCACAACGCGAGTTAGCCGGGGTGCAGACGACCAGTGACGGACACGTTTTTTTCGTGTCAAATATGGGAATATTCGCTAATCTGGGATCATGGCTACAGCCAAAATTCTCACCTATCAAAGAGGATGCCTCACTAGTGGCGACTTTACCACGTCGCTCATCTTCAACACTCCGACTACCGCAAAAGCGGATGATCGATGATATTTCTTCCAAGGACATTTCGCCTTCTCCTCAATCAACCCAACATCAATTGCCCGATCATCAAAACAATCAGTCTCTTCCGACACTCCAGCCACCGAGCAGGTTCAAGACTCCCAGCCCCGCCCCGCGGGCCAACGTTGAAGTGGTCATCCCGTCGCCGTCTCCGCGACAGCAGAAGCTAATTAAGACGCTGAAACCGGCCGAGTCTCCTCACGATGGCTTCTGGGATCGCCGGTTCCCGACCGACGCCGAAGAGCGTGAAAAGGCAGCCTTGCGGGCGTACCCTCAAGCGCGCAGGGTAGATCGAAGCATCATCTCATTTGCTCTAGCGCCTAGGCATATGCCCCATACTTCTATCACCCCTGCGCAGGCGTTGCGCTATGAACTTAACCAAAAGCTGAAGCGCATCAGTGGACCACAAGTATCGTTTGATATGGACGACGAGAAAGTTGCGATGCTATCCGCCAACTTCGGTTTTTTGAATGAGTACAAATTGCAAGACGGCATTACTCGTGCGGACCCGGCATTCAACGCAGGATGCACCTGTAATGGTCCTTGCGATCCCGAGTCGTGCGACTGCGTCGAAATGGAAGAGGAAGAGGACAAGCCGATCTTGACATATAGACGTGTCCATGACAAAGTCGTTCTTGGGTCGGAATTCCTCAAGAGGAAACGCCACCCTCGGATCTTAGAGTGCAACGAAGCCTGTGGATGCCAGGGCAAATGCTGGAACACTGTCGTCCAGCGAGGGCGAAAAATCAGACTTCAAATCTTTGACACCGGGGGTCGTGGACTCGGTATGCGTCAATAACCGAACTCTCTCTCACTTTCACGGACTAATTGTTTTATTTAGGTCTTCGATCTCCAGACCCGATTGTCGCCGGTCAATTCATTGATATCTACCTCGGAGAGGTAATCAGTAAGAAAGAAGCCGACGCCCGCGAGAACACGGATGAAAAAAATCAATCGTACCTATTTACTCTCGACCACAACCGAAACGACGGCGCTGTGATCGCAGAGTACGGCGAAGACTATGATGACTTCTACGTGGTGGATGGTCAAAAATTCGGCTCTCCCACAAGGTTTATGAACCATTCTTGCAACCCTAATTGCATAATCGCCCCCGTCTACACCACGAATCACGCCGATCACCTCGTCTATTACCTCGCTTTCTTCGCTCTCCGCAACATTCAGCCGAAGACCGAGCTAACATTTGACTACAACCCAAATTGGGACGGTAAGAACAAGATCGATCCCAACGCTGTCCAATGTCTTTGCGGGGAGCACAACTGCCGCGGCCAGCTATGGCCTAATGCACGCAAAAAGGGCCTAAAGATCTAAAGGCCCAGGCCTCTCATACCGCCCCTCATCCCGAATTCTTTTTTTTTTTTTTCACACCTTGCATGACGGCAGCGCCGGAACTTCCGTCCTAAGCATTCCTAGCAATTTCTCGAAACACGGCTGCGTTTCGATACAACGAGCTCAACGAATATGTATTTGTTTCATGTCCTCATGAAGGGGCGTCCTACATGTACAATACGATACCCTACGATTATCATTTACTCAGGTAGATGAAATACCAAAAGAAATAATAACAGAACATTCAAATCATCCCAATAGAGCGTGCATGCTCGTATACATATACTGTATAGAGAAATATTAAAAAAAATAAAATAAAAAAATGAAAAAAGCCCATATACCGCCGAAGGACTCGATCTCTGTACAAGCTGGTAAACAACGCAATATTTCCATATAAACGCCCGACTATACAAATCCCAGTCGTTTACAAATTGGCAACCGAATTCAGACACCAAACCCCCCAATCAAACCCAGAGTACTCCAAAATGCACCCCCTAACAAAGGAAAATATGAAAACGAAAGTAGACGGCAGAGCAGAGGCAGACTCATGCCCGCCCCTCCATGACCTCAAAAATCCCACCCATCACAAACCGCGGCTGCTGCACAGGCATACTCCGACTATCGCGACTCTCAGCGCCAATACTGCGCGGACGCTGCGTCGGACCTAGCGCTTGGAAAGTGGGTACATCACCCTTCATATCAACGGGGCGGGGTTCCATGAGATCCAGACCCGCACGCTCGATCGCATCTCCGTCACAGCGGGACCGCTCCTCGTTCAGCGCCATGTCGACTGCGGAAGGGCGGCGGCGTAGGACCATGAGTGATGACCGGCCGCGTAGCACGGCACAGGGCAGGATGCTGTGGCCGCATTGGGTGGAACCTGCGAGGTGTGTTTCGTCGGTTTCGGATTTATGGGAGTGCGGGTAGAAGGAGAGATTGAAGAGGTGGTAGGGGGATCGTTTGGAGGATGTTGGCGAGGAGGGTGGTGAGGTTGTTCGGGAGCTTGGACTTGAGGTGTCACTTGGTAGATTGCTGGCTCGAGAGGGAGAGAAGTGAGAGGGGAGTTGGTGATACATTGTTTTGGTGTGATCTGGTGGTTTGGTGGGATTGTTTGGAATGTTGGTAGGATTCAGTGAGGATACTCCATAATCTTGAAAGAGTGTGTAGGGCCGAAATGAAAAACGACGCGAATTGGCTAGAAAGAAGTACTTAAAGAATAATTAAGGCCACTGCAAGGACCGAGGCTGCAGGGAGGGTTGTCTCACTCGTCACGCATGCGGATAATACGATTGTTCCTGGATTACCGCATCCGGAAACCCCCAAACTCGGGCAAGCCACGGCTCACATGTTTCGTATTTTGTCCGGGAACATAAACTTGATCTGCGCCCCGAGATAATGAGATCAACGTAGATAACGAGGTTGCTACGAGATACCTACGTGCCAGCCTCCGACTGCGGTAGTTCTTCAATAGTTCGGACCCACTTGATTCAGCCTCCAGGTGGAGTTGTAAAACGTTTCTATCGATAGTCCATGTATACGCCACATTCTATTGACGGATTGATAAAACAAAAAAAAAAATCACACTGAAATGGCAGAATCCCACGCCGCTGCTATGCAAAATGTTCCCCGGTCAAGGGGTAGTGTACAGCATGAAACCTAACAGAAAGGAAATGGGTAAATAAAACCTCGAGATGTCAAATCATGCGAGGATGCAGGAGCGTGCAAGTGGGGTAGGTAAGAGAAAAGTGAAAAAAAAAAAAAATGAAAAATGAAGAACACCCCTTTTCTATCGTAGATCCATGTTCGCGTCTCGTCGAGACTTCGTTCTTCCTCATGATTCAGAGGATCGGTCACCCGATCGTCGCTGCGTGAAACTGCGTCGGATACTCTCACCCCAGGCGGAGTTGTCTAGGGAGGTCATCACATCCCGTACGCTCATCACACTATTCTGTCGTGAATGGTCGGTACCCGCGGGGGATTGGTCACGGTTGCTGTTGCTGTTGCTGTTGCTGGCGTCGAAGGAGACACGCTCGCCGTACATGTGGCGCGGGGTACGTGAGGGACTAATACTAGACCATTCCGTCGGGGTGCTAGCGCCCGACCCACGGCCCATCATAGTGGTATCAATTCGAGGCAGGTCGGCATGACGCGCAGCTGGGCTGGACTCGGCCCGTCGGTGAGAGGTCGATGATGGCGAGAGCATGGGCGTGAACGGTCCATCCGTCTCCGGTTGTGTCTGTGGAGTCATCGCGCCAGTTGGCTGCTCGCCCTCGTCGGAGTCTCCAGGGTCGTCGACGAAGATCTCTGGCACCATTAACTGCGGAACATCGGTCATTCGGCTAGACTTCTTGCGGTCAACCGCGCGGCGGAATTGACGGGACCAGTATAGAGTGTCGAAGAAGCCAATGACCGTGTTGCGCCGGACGGCTTCCTGTACTCGCTGGAGTCGCGCACGCCGACGGAGGAATTCCTCCAGGCGTAAACTCTTGCTGTCACTGATGACATTGTAATGGGCGATGATCATCAGGCATTGGTGGAAGGAAATGCCGCGCTCGGGGTCTGCAGACACGAGAATCTCCTCGTAGAAGCTGTTCAGTCTCTGGCGTCGCTCTTGAATGGTTTTGACTGGGATGCGGTTGATGATGCGAGAGAGCTCTTTAATATCGATCCCTTCCGCGAGGTCGACAGGGCCTTGCTGCAAAGAGGCCATTGAATCTCGCGATCGAATGGGCAATGAGGTATGCGATGTGTACACCGACGAACTCATTGAATCGCGAGAGTCGGTCCGACACTGTTCTAAGATGGCGCCGACTGTAAATTCACCTTCGTAAATGCGCATTGCGAACACTCCAGAAAGTTCCTATGGTTCAAATTGTTTAGCTTGATATCAATATCAAAAGAGCAACCCGACTGTGACTTACCCCAAGTAACCGTGGGAATGCCTCCTTCGTGATGAAACCGGATCCATTAGGATCATATGTAGCCCAGGCCTGCTTGAAGCGGCGAATCTCCTCGCGACTGAGAGCGTACAGGCCGCTGCTTCGTTGATAAACGTAGGAGAAACTCTCGAAAATGAGTGAAACGAACAGCGAAACGAAAATGTACATGCTGATAATGTTCCAAGCGATGAACAGAGAGCGAGCCCACCCAGCACTACCGCAGTCATCGTCGAAGAAGTCGGAATCGTAGGTACAAAGAGGTGGCACCATCGTCGCATAGTCCTCCATAATTTCATTCCATCCCTCGCCAGAACTGCATCGGAAGAGTAGAATAAGGGATTTGGGCACATCTCGGAAATTCATGTTATGAGTTTCCTGCGAACCAAACTTGGTGAGGCCAAATGTTTGGTTCATCGCAATTCCAAACACGAGGAACAGCACGAACCAGGTGGCGAGGAGATTGCCAATGACTGGTAAACTGGCTGCGGCCGTCTTGAAGAGCTGGTCCAGTTGATTGTTTCGAGGGATCAGTAGAAGTGCAATTGCAACGAGGAAGAGCTTGTTCAACTCAAGAACGACCTGTGATTTTTGGAGTCCAAGGTCCAGGATAGTCGTGACAAATGCACCGGGAACAGCAAGGAGCGAGTACAAGTCCCAAGAGCTTCGACTGAACCGATGCCACCCGAGACCGATCAGTCGGATGAGCACGTTCGCGATGTAGACAAACATGAATAGGAAGAATAGAATAGCTAAGCTGGGTCAGTAAATTGAACAAAGGGGCTATGAGGATCGCCAGCGACTTACATCGAATCATCTCCCATATTTTAGGCTCAGGATAAAACTCTAGCACCAAAAGGAGTAGATGTACCACAAGAATTCCAGTAACAAACCGTGCCCATCGGCCGTGTTTCTTCACTGCGACTCGATAGCACCACTGCCGCCACTGCGTGGTCTTCTCGTTGAAAGAACGCTTCGAGGGAGAGATCTGTCGAAGCAACTTCCGCAATTCCAACCACGATCGCTGTTCAGCGGTCAAGAATGCAACGCCGGTTTGTTCCGTATAATTACGCATGAACACAGACACAAACAGCGTCAAGACGAACACTGCACCGAGCAAGTTGAAGACAACGAAGAATAGACCGTTTTCCGGGGCGACATTGTTCCCAGGTTGAATGCCTGTCGCGATGATGTTCATCGCACTCTCTTGAACATCAATCCATCCTTCTTGAGACACAATCTGGAAAAGAATGAAAAGAGAGTCGCCGAAGTTGTCAAAGTCGTAGTATGGGTTGTCTACGACGCGGGGGGCGAGTACATCCCAGTTGTTGAAAGGTGAGCTGGCATATTCATTGACGCACGCAGTCAGGTTTCCGGAGAAATTGCCATCATTGCAGCTGACCATCTGACCACTGAACAAGTTGACGCCATAGATAGCAAAGGGAATCAAGAAACTCATGGAGACGGCCGCTGCGGCAACAACCTTCCACCCACCAACGATGATCACGGAGTGAAATGTATCTTTTGCACTATCGCTGACGTTCAGAAGTCGCAGAGCTCTCAGAGCTTTGAAAGCTCCAATGGCTCTGGAAACGCCCCAATCCTTCTTCAGAGAGCTTCCAACGTTGATCCAAAGAGTGACCAACACGATTCCGTCAATGAAGCCCCAAGAGCTGCGGAAGTATGCATTCGGTGTCCAGAAGAATCCATCGGCGATCGTTTTGATAATCGCTTCAACAGTGAAGATAACTGCGAAGCCTAAATCGGTGTAGGTGAACCAATCGCGGTCAGTGCGGAAATTGTTTCGCTGGTACAAGGGCGTTGTGATGCAGGCAAGAAGCACCATTATCACGATAGCCGCGTAAATAAAAGCCGAGAATGCATACCACACTGGTTTGTATGGATCCACCCCCTCGACTCGATTGTTACCTCGCCCCGGGCCGACAATCCGTTGGCAGAAGTGTCGGACTGGATCATGCGGCGAGAACATGAACAGCGACTTATTGTAGTTGGGATGCTTGACGAGGTACTCTCGCTGTGCCCGCTTTCTCGCCTCTGCTGCAGACACAACCTCTCTAGCCATGGTTCTAGGGTCGAGCTCCTCATAGCGCGCGGAGAACTGAAGCTTCGAGTAGAATGGATTCGGCTCACGACCCATAATGAGGGAGGTAGCCCTTGTCCATAGCCGTGAAAGTGCACCAGGCTGGACAGTGTCGTGAGCCGCTCCTTCGGGCATTGCACTTTGTCGTCGGGCATCTTGTTCTTGTTCCCGTTCTCCCTCTTCCTCTTCGTCAAGAAACTCTCGCACAACGGCATCTTTCAATAGCATTTCTAGTGCAGCAGGCCCATGGTCAAGTGGATCTTTATAACGATCTGAATCTCGGCCTAGGCGAAGGATTTTTGACAGGGCGAGATTTCCCTGCTGGGCGGCACCGCCGACGTGGCGCTGTTCGAGGAATGCTCGCACTTGCTGGAGTCGTTTTTCATCTTCTGAAACATCAAAACTCTCCTGAATGACAGCAATAAACATGTTGAGAATGATGAAGTTAGCCACAATGAACCACAGAATAATGAAGGCCGCAGAAATCCATGAAGTCTTGAATGGGACTGTATATGCGGTGACGTTGTAAAGAATGGTCGTCCAGTTCTCGCTAGAGAGGATTTGATACATCCCAAGGAAGGAATTGTAAATATCAGCGAATGTGACTGTGATAGAGTTGCCACTAGGGTCCGTGGAAGGAATCTGGCTGCGGAAAAGCTGGGTCGCGAAAATAGATGCCAGGAACGTCATCAAGAACAAAAAGAAGATAAGATTGAGAAGACCAACGACGTTGCTGAAGACGACCATGATGAGCTTTCTGGTCACGGAGAAAGCCAGAACAACGCGATAGACTCGAAGAATTTGAAAGAGTGTCATGACGCTGTAAGGACGGCCCGAGTTCCTGATAGCGGGTATCTGTATAATGCAAGTTACAATCACAAGGAAAAAGTCGAACCAGTTGCGGCGCTTCCGATGGAATATGCGCCAATCCGATGCAAATCGCAAGATTATTTCGACGAGAAAAACAAGAGTGACGACAGTCTCGGTATTGTTGATAAAATCATCTCGATCCGCTGACATAGTTGAGCTTCTAAGGGCCTGAATAACAAGATCGAAAACGATTATGCAGACCCAAAGCCACTCCGTTTTGTCGTAAAGTTGCTTCAAACCGCTGACCCTGCGTGTAGCAGTATTGTCGTCTTCAACCGAGTCGATCTTTTGGACAGCGAAAGCACTGCGTTTGCTCTCTTCTCGAATGACCTGGAATGAATGCGTGATAACTGCAACCAGCAAGTTCACCAGCCACAAGCTCAATATGACCAGACCGAAGGCAAAGAATAGGGCTGCCGCAAGATAGTCACTATCAGTGGTATAGTATAGCAAATCGGTGAAGGTGTTAGAGCTCATGATAACAAACACGGCCTCCAGCGACTGTACGATATTGTCAAAGCTCAAGGTTCCGTTATACGGGTTTCCGCCTTCCACGCATAGAGAGCCTCTGGGACAGAGGTAGCCCTTAGCGCCAGTACTTGTTGTTGATGGGCTACCCGTTGCGTCGAGCCAAGGCATTTCCTGGCCCGTTACGTTGTCCAAGTAGCCTCCACACAGTTGAAGTGTGCCATAAGCGTCATTCGAAGTAAAGTTGCTCTTGCCTAGGGGATCGACCCAAACGCATGTTCTGCGCAAGCTAGACTTGAAGCTCTGAATACCCACAATGGCGAAAAGTAGCCAGAAGAAACCGATGAGGAATCCAACGTGGACCAAAAGCGGCGCAGCTCGTTTCAAACTTCGAAGGATGACCTGGGTAGGGTAAGTCAGCAATGTGAAATGAAAGTTGTTATGGGGCCGTGCCATACAGATGTGCCATTCGTCAAGGCAAGGAGACGCAAGATTCGAAGACAACTCAGCATGCGAAAGATGTACAGCTGTTGCGCCACCTCGAGGCCCCTCAAAGAGAGAACGAACGATATCCAGAAGGATATGATGGCCACAAAGTCCAGTCGATTGAATGAGTGCCGAAGAAACGCTCGGTGAGCGAGTCTCACGCGGCGTTTCTGAAGCGGATCATCAATGGGTTCAGCGTCCAACATGTTCATCCCAGTAAAAGTCCGTATAATCGAAGCTTGGGGTTCCTGCGGCAGGAATGAAACCTTCTTGGTCGTCTGTCGATGTGGAGTGATGAGATTCTTTCCCTTTTCGGCTATCGCTTTTCTGATTCCCAGAGAGCGATTGAGCGTACTGTATTCCTCTGGGTTGAAGATGAACCCAGACACCAAGATCTTCGCCACGATCTCGAGGGTATATATAATGAAAATAGCCAAGAAGATCCAATCCATGGGGGTGGATCCCCATGAGACGGCCAATGGTCGGTCGAAGACGGAGTTTGCAGATTCTACGATCAGCAGGATCGTCTGGACGATAATGATAGCCAAGATAAAGGGCTCTGTGAAAGGGTGGACTAGAATATCACACAACCAAAGGCGAAGCGAATGGTTCGGTCCGAGAATCCCAAGGGACCTGCCTCGGAACGGATTGTTTCTATACTTCCACATATTCTTGGACGCCCGCTTCTCTCTCGGCGGTAATTGGGACGTAGGATCATGTGCATAATCTGCCATTGCTGGCAATTCTGGAGGCCCTTCCAGGCGTGCACTTTTGTGATGCTCCTCTCGATCAATCGTCTGTAGAACAACTTCCGGCTCGTTACTCAGGTTGACCACACGTTGCGACATGGATTGCACCATCGAACTAGCTCTTTGTAGAGGTCCACTGGACGCCGACGGTGACAGGGACCGGGACCGGGCACTGCTGCCAATACTTCGTGAACGGCCCTCCTCGATATGTGGCAGGTCATCACCGAGCCTAGAAGAAGCACCACCCTCGCTACCTCGACGTTCCCCCGCATTATCTACGCCACTGATTGGTTGAAGGAATCGAGGGTCTGTCAAGCGTGCAGTGTCATCTTCGGCGTCATGTTGAGGGGAGTAATTATGATCGTGAGAGTGGTACCCGTCCAAGGGTACATTATCGAGATCGGAGGCGACATCGTCAAAGCCATTCATGGTCGAAGGGCCTCCTGAAGGATTTGAGCGCGGCTCATTGAAGCTAATGCCAAAAGACATCGCTTGCGCCAGGGCTCCCAAGTCCTCAGGCGCCTGTTCCTCCTCGACGCGCGGTTGAAAAGGGTTTCTGCTCGCAGAGCGTGAATCGACCGGCGAATCCTCTGCGACGCTCTGGTATTGGGTCCGCGACCCTCTCCTCATCATCGACCGGCGCGAGAAGATCCCACTCGAGGCGCTGTCGGCGCGAGCTCGACCGCGTTCGTCTGCGGGGGAATCATCGGGTCTGGAGAGGTCCTGAAGGGGAATATGTGTATTTGAAGGGCTCTCATCGTGGCCACTGTTGTGGTTATTCGGCGCCATCGTCAGGCTGTATTAATTATTATCGAATCGCAGACATCGCAGGCTGTGGCTTTGGGGGGGGGGCAGGTGTCGAATAACCGGGGTGCCGCGACAGGTGGGCGTGGGGAGATCGATCTTCAGGAGATAGGAAATATGAGGGGGGAAGAGTAAGAGAGAATGATAGATATGACGGATTAAGGCGGGAGCATGTTAGGGTCTAGACGTCTAGGCGCAGGGCCAAGTTGCAAAGCTGAAGGATGTTTAGGTCAAAGCCAGAACCAAAAAAAGCGTCGGTCGCAAGCCACCGGCATGTGGTGATTGGGGGTCCACACTTCGCGATCCAGCGGTGTTTCGTGTTTTCAGTGGAGTTCGAGCTGATCGAGGGTGGCTAACGCGCTTTTTAGTCACTTTAGTGCTTTTCTACATAACGTTGAGTTCCCTTGGCGGATGTCGCTTAACTACAGGGAAATTAAACATGACCCTACACGGTGTTCACATACTCGTAGACGCTGACGAAGCCTTGCAAAATAGTGGTGCCTGGTGGGGCGGGTTACCAAAAATAGTTCACATTGTCTCGATACTAATCTGTATCCATCGCACCCGAGTCCTTCTTGACATGTTGCCGAACGCCATCTAGAAACGCTTCCACTGCATCGCCTCCACCTAGGGGTACACCTCCTCGTCGCATGAACCCTCCGTTGGCCACGGGAATCTGCAGGGCCTCGCTAATGCTAGGCAGTCCACCATCCCGGAGCGCAACGGTCAGACTAGCCAGACTTTGCATAAACTGGGGGGATCGGAGCACTTTGCGGAGAATATCTTTCTTTTGGGCCAGATCGAGTGACAGGAGGGCCGCTTGGGCCAATTCGGGGTCCGTGTCGGCTTCCGCCGCCTCCGCATTGCCCTGAGCCAGCAGGAGCAGAGCTGGCGGTAAAAAGTTCAACAGATGGTCGGCCGTGGTCTCGTCTAGGGATTCGATAAATGGCAGCGTAGTTGGGGGGGGAAGAAGGTCCTGAAGGGTCGTAGATGGTCGTTCAGGGTCCTGGGACTGGGACTGGCTCTGACCGCCACCCAGAGACTTTAGGAAGTCCTGGACTACTGACGATGGATCTCCTGGGGCAGCTCTAGAAAGAAAGAAGGGGAAACATTAGAATTCCGTGACTCGGAGCATAATACACAGGGTTATGTACCTACGCTCGTCCACCATCGGCTCCACCCTCTCGCGATTCCTGGCCCTCCTCACGAACATCACCCCCAGTTGCGTCCGGGCCAGCTCCACCGCTGGTGCTTCCGTGCCTCTGGTTAGTGTAATGGTCGGTGCCCTCCACGTCCTCCATGGTCTCGTCATCGTCGCCGCTGGATGGTCGGCGGGGGAGGTTAGCGATCTCGTGCTCCACATCCACCTCCTCGCCCTGCAACAGAACATCGACAATCTCTCCTAGCTTAAGATCCCGCGGGCTGAACCAACTCAAGTCGCCATTCTCGTGTTGGGACTGGGATTGCATCCAGAACAGATAGCGCTGAGAGCTTGACGAGAACTTCAACACGAAGACACGACCATTTGTAGCGCCCTTGCCGGCGGGCCTGTATGGGGTGAAGCTTCCATCTGAGGGAATCATGACCAGATCAAGCTCGGGCTCATCGAGAGATGCGCTGCGAGGGCGCCAGCAAAAGTGCACGAGATCATCTTCGGAGTAGAGATAAACGTAGCCGGGGGTCGACTTGGGCTTCACGGAAGGAGGGTTCGTAGAGTCCTAGATTCATACTGTGAGTACTCCTCGAAAGATAGCCACTTCTTGAGTCTGTGAGAGAAGGGCAATGCATTGTTGTGAATTCAGTGCCACACTTACATCGAAGTCGCAGATACCTGCTTTGAAGGTGATGATGGGAGCTATCGACATGGTGGAGTCGTGCGGTTATGAGAAGCCAATGAGTGTATGGAGGTATTCAGGTAAATGGAACCACGCCTGATGAATGGTAAATGTTGGAGACGAAGATGGAGGGGACTGCGGAATGAAGCTTCGGGATACGTCAGTTCCTGGTTGTTTGTGCTGAGCAGCTGACTTGCACTGGGTGCTCTTGTGCCCGGCCCTAGTTGTGGCCTTCACTCCAAGGCACCGATCCGTTCATTTTAGTCATGTGACCACTCAACAGATCGTCACCGAAAAAGCCTCAGAAATTGATCTCAAAATTGCCCCGCCAAGAGGTCATGAAATGCTACGCACCCTCGGAAGGCCACCTTTCATCCCTTCGCGCCAGCTTACAAACCTGGTGATGATGATTTTTATCGTTAAACTGCTTCCAACTTTTTATTTAAGCACAACCCCATTTCTGTAGCAGCTCTTGAAACCAGAAGTTCGGTGATCTGCGAATATCCCGTAAAAGACCGCAAATACCGACGGTCTTGCGACAGTTGGTACCTAGAGCTGGAAAGTATATAAACGACGTCACATCTCTCATAGATTCAGAATCGTTTTCAGATTCGCTTTGCGTCTATTCCTTATTCTTCTCTACCTGATGGCACCTATGAAGGTCCTCGTCTGCGGCGGCGGTTGCGCAGGGCCTGCACTTGCTTACTGGTTAACGCGCAGTGGTCATCAAGTCACCATCATCGAACGTTTCCCAGCCCTTAGGGCCACAGGTGCCCAAATTGATATTCGTGGCCAAGGGATTGTGACAGCCAAACGCATGGGGCTACTGGATACGATCCGCAGTAAGCTTGTTGATGAAGAGGGAGTAGCCTTAGTCGACTCGGAAGGCAACATCAGAGCAACCGTTTTGGCCAACAAGTCTGGGAAAGGTGCTCAGTCTCTCACATCTGAGTTCGAAATTATGCGTGGTGATCTTGTGCGTATTCTTTACGACGCGACAAAGGATAATGTGAAGTATATATTCGATACTTCGGTCGATCATTTCGAGCAAGACGAGCAGAAGGTGACTGTCTACTTCTCCAATGGCCCTTCCCAAACATTTGATCTCCTCGTCGGAGCAGACGGCCAGGGCTCGCGCATTCGTCAAGCCATCATGCCTCCTAATGCTCCAGATCCTTATCGACGACTGGGGATCCATATCGCCTACTGGTTCATCCCGCGCATTGAAAGCGACAACAATATCCGCAGAACATACCAGAGCCCGGGCGGTCGAATGATCATGCGTCGAAGCCACAACCCAGCAGAAACGCAGGTATACTTCTTCCTCAGAGACGATGCTCTTGAATTCTCGAGTATTCACAAAGCCTCGGTGGAACAACAAAAGGATTTCTGGACTCAAAGGTTCCGTGGCGCCGGCTGGGAAACTGATCGGTTTTTGGAAGGCATGAAGACGACAAACAACTGGTACTGCCAAGAGGCTGTCCAAGTGCAAACGGAGACATGGCATAAAGGCCGAGTCGTTCTTCTGGGAGACGCTGCCCACTGCCCGTCGCCATTCAGCGGTATGGGTACCACTGCTAGCCTTGTTGGTGCTTACGTCTTGGCTGGCGAGATCGATCGAAATTTGGAGAATCTCCCTCAGGCCTTTAAAAACTATGACAAGACCCTCCGGCCATTCATACATGAGGTACAGAATGTGAAACCTGCGTTGTTGAAACTGGGAATGCCGGAGACATGGTGGGGAATCGCCATTCTACGATTCATCTTTGAGATACTATGCTTCCTCCGTATTCCCGAGTTGATGTCAATGTTTGCAAAGGAGAGGGACGGTGATTGGAAGCTACCAGATTACTCTGAATTAGAGGCATTCAAGGAGTAGGAGTATATCACGAATTAACATGAGACTGACGTAATGTGAACCGTATATTGATTCAAAGGGTATTACTGCGTCAATAGAAAGGGAGGAATAACAATTGTATATACTCGACTCAAGCAATGAGTTCTCTTAAATCAGCGCTAGCGTATATGGTATGTGAAGATCTGAAATGGATATGGAAATGCCTAGAATTGCATCGTTTCCAAGAAGGCTTCCAAGAAGGAAATGGAAATCGTCTACAGAACAACATTCCTTATCGGTAATGACGGTCCACAAAGTTCAACTGTTAGGGCAATCTAGACCCACCCGGGGCCCGAATTAGGCACCAAGGCATAAAGTGTGTCGCGTGGCTGACTCAGATCGGTTCGGCTAACCCGTATCACGTGAGATAGGGCTTGTTCTTCCCACAAACCCTCTAACTGTACTCCACTCGCAAGTCCGCACATCAACCTCAACACCCAACCACCAACCCGACAACCACCTACACCAACTTCGTCGCAGCCACCATGTCGGACGCTACTGTTGGCCAGACGAAGCAGTTTGGAAAGGGCCAGCGGACTGTGCCGCACCCGGCCCAGAAGGCCATGAAGTGGTACCCCGTGGACGACGAGTCGCAGCCCAAGAAGGTCAGCATACACTTCGACAATAGACTCGGGTTTCGCGGAGGATACGGGCATGCGTTTATTCGCTTGGATGTGTGCAACGATAGGCGCCGAGTCTGTTTGAATCGAGTCTGCACGATGCACGACATTCAATTCAACATGACCAGTAGCAATTGCCGAAATTTGAGATGAGCCTTTGTGGCCTCGCAACCATCTTCGCTATCATCCGAGCGAATTCACCATGCCGTGGATTCTGCAAACCGCGAAATCTCAACACGTTCACGAACAGAGTTGCTAACATTCATTTGTGCGTATAGGTTCGCAAGACTCTGCGTCCCACTAAGCTCCGCGAGAGCCTCCAGCCCGGTACTGTCCTGATCCTCCTCGCTGGTCGTTTCCGTGGCAAGCGCGTCGTTCTCCTCAAGCACCTCGACCAGGGTGTTCTCCTCGTCACCGGCCCCTTCAAGGTCAACGGTGTCCCCATCCGCCGCGTCAACTCCCGCTACGTGATCGCCACCTCCAAGCGCCTTGACATCTCCGGTGTCGACTCCAAGACTGTGGAGAAGATCTCCGCTGCCGACTACTTCACCAAGGACAAGAAGGCCGAGAAGAAGTCTGAGGAGGCTTTCTTCAAGCAGGGCGAGAAGCCCCAGGTGCGTTTTGAGTCCACTCAAATCAGATTTACGAAACCAGTCATACTAACCTGAATTTGCTCTACAGAAGAAGCAGGTTGCCAGCGCCCGTGCCACCGACCAGAAGGCCATCGACCAGTCCATTCTGGCCACCGTCAAGAAGGAGGAGTTCCTTAGCAGCTACCTCGCCACCACTTTCAGCCTCCGCAACGGCGACAAGCCCCACGAGATGAAGTGGTAAAAAAGTGCGCTGCGGCGGCCGCGGGTTCGGTAGATAGTTGGGGAGGACTCATCTTTCAACGAGGGGCGGCTCGATTGCACATCGGCATCCTTTCGCAGTGACGGAGGAGTGGTTTATGAATCATGTAACTCAGTATGGGATCGGTTAATTCGGACACTCGGCTGTTGTTTCTCCTTCAAAAAAAACACTCCCCTTTTTCACGCGTGGCCGGTTCAGCATGACTCTCTTCTCTTCTTGTCGGAGGAGGAGGGAGGACCAGCCGTGATGTGATGAAAGACTTCAAACAAAAAAAGATTAAAAAATACCTCACTCCAGCAGCCCTGCTGGATTCCATTCATGTTCAGTACGACATACACCTCCCATTTCCAGGTTCAGGCGGCAATCCAAAAATTTGGGTACTCTTTTATAATTCTCTCTACTTCCGTATTGAACTCTTAGACTCTTATCTCTATGTAAATTTAAGCATTGAAGATCAGATTTGATCAGCCCAAAATTTTAGTGGGCGCGGGCGTCTCCATTGTGCGGTAACGACGTAATAGGTCCGGGGTTGGAATGTTGTCCTTGTTTATATATCTCTGCAATATGTATGTGACTATGCCCAAAAATTGGCCTTACACATATTAATAAATCAAAATCAAGATTGCCAGAACTGAAACTGTTATAACTACACAAAAATAAACTCCAAGATTCACAAAACGCAGGTCATGTCACAATTCATAAGTTCATGCAATCATTCAAGCATGTCCGTTCCTGCGGGTGCGTGCGGGTGTGTTTCTCCGCAGTGTACCTTCCCTAACCTTCCGCTTCGAAGAGTCCAAAGCTTTCCTGACCCTGTCTTCAATCTCATGCTCTTCAAGCTCACCCGCCAAATCATCCTCGATATCCCTATCACCAGCAGTTGTCCCACAGATCCAATCCAAAAGACCCCAGGTTCCAAAGTTCCCGACTCCACCGTCAATCAAATGAATATCGGTGCGGCGCGCAATTCCTCCCAAAAAGAAGCTAGTCGGCATGATCGTATATCCCGAATACGCAAATGTCTCCTCGATAGAGATACTGGACAGATAGAGCAGGAAAGTGAGCATATGGAACCGGAAGAGCATAGCCGGCAAGTAAGTGGGAAGGAATTTATGCACAAGGTATGCAAGCGGGTGATCGTAATGCGCGGTGAGCGGGAAAGGTGCATTAAGCTGGTGGTACCAATTATTGTGGTACTTGGCGAGGATATTCTTCGAGTGCAGAACGTAGCGGTGTACAACGTATGTGAGAATCTAAAACAGGATGTTAGCATGACAATATCGACCACCCGCGCGATCGGCTTACCTCTCGAACCAGCAGCCCGAAGAACATGTCCTTGATCATTCCCCAGGGCATTGGGAGCTTCATGGAGACTTTGATTGCGCTGCGCACGCCGAGTCCACGGACTAGGACGGACTCAATCGCTGCTTGTGCAGCAACGCTAAGACAGAGGTTGAAGATCGTCCATCCTGCAACCTTGAACTGCTTCAACCGGAGCGTGTGTCGCTTTTTGCCTCCAGGTAGACCGGCTTCACCCTGCGCTTTGATTGCGACTGCGGTGGACGGGACGAGAATGTCGAAGAGGAAGAAGACGAGAGAGGGGAGCGCGTGGAATAGCAATCGCGCGGCGGTCGAGCCGAATAACTCTACTCGGAGCGGGGAGTGGGATAGTACCAGGGTGCTCCATGTCATATAGAAGAACAGTAGATTTAGACTGGTACTGTAGGATGAGATGGCGGGCACGAACAAGAGCGACAAGAAGGGGATCGAGAACAGCGCGTCCATCGTGTCGAGTCTGTCGCAAGTACCCGAGAGATACAATGGGATGATGGGGCTGGGAATGACGAGCTTCGTCTGCAAAGTAGAGCTAAACAATTAAAGGTTTGAAGACTGTCGCATCGTCGAGCGAAATAAGACCCAGTGAAATACGATTAAGTAACATATTGAGCTCGTCAGTGGCGGGCAAGAAATTAAAATTGGAGAGGCAGGTTCCGATCAGCACTACGTCACCGCCCGCATTCCGACTACAGTATGCAGAATCACATCACTACTTGGGGGACATGAGATTTGGAATGCAAGGCGTCAATTCAGAAAAAGTGTTCTTTAATTATAACTGCTCGGGATGAGTGTGAAAGCCTCAGAGGCTTAACGAAGGTAAAGCCATACGGGCAACATGCAACGTGCAATATGCAGGGTATAATACAGACGCGGTACAAAATTGAAACCTAGGAAGCGCTCTCCTCAGTGCCCGGGGGCGATGGGAGTCCGTTGGTCTTTCCCCAGTTAAAAGCCTTGTTACGAAGGTCTGGAATGACCTGGAGGAACACCAGGTTGCTGAGCCAGCTCAGCAAGGTGTCGCCGATGATGGAGTTTCGGGGACTGGGTCCAAGAGCGGTACCCTTCATGATGTTGCCGACAAACATAGTGGTAATAAGGTATTCGCCGCGTTCAAGAGCAGCGATGGCGATCTTGGCCACCTCCTCGGTTGTCTGAGGCTTGTCGGCCTCCTCGAGCATCTTGGTCAGCTCGGGCTTGAGCTTCTGCTCGTTGTCAAATCCGGGACTGAGAATGCCCATGGGGAAGACAGTGTGAATCTTGACATCAGCAGCAGGAGCCGAGTTACGGTGTCGCTGAGTGTAGGCTCCATTGTACATCTCAATCTCCTGACTGAGAGTATCAGATAAGGAGCGAATGGCAGCCTTGGCAGGCGAGTAGGGACCGTAGCCAGCAATGGGAGTAAAGGCAAGAGTGGAGCAGGTGAAGATGAGGTGTCGGCGTGAGTTGGTCATTTGCTCACTTGGTGCGACAGGAGCCAGCCAGTTGCGAAGAGTGGCGTGGGCCATGTTGGCAGCAGTCCAGTAGACGGTGTCCATCTGCTGCTTTTGGACAGCGAGGGGCACTTCGGTGAAGAATCCAGGGTGGCAGAACCCAGCACAGCACCAGACGATGTCAGGAGCAGACCCATCATTCCAGGCAGTGACTTCACCGACGACACGCTCACACTCATTGGCATCGGTGAGATCAGCACTGATGTAGAGGAAGCGTTGCTTCTTCGAATTGTTGCACTTGGCCTGGGACATGTGTAAGCCAAGTAAACAAAGAGAACAGGAGAATTCATTCGAACCTTCATCTCGTCAACAGTGCTCTGGAGCTTGGAGACTGTGCGAGCAACGACCACAACATGAGCGCCTTTGCTAGCAAGCTGGATAGCGGCAGCTCGGCCCGTGCCATCAGAGCCACCAGTGATGAGGACAGTCTGTGAGAAAGGAACCTAGTCAGCTTCCGTGGCCTCAAGAGAGGGGGATTCACTCACTCGGCCCTCGACGGGGAACTCGTTTTTGCGACTGAACCCGAACATCTTGGCTAGCGTATAGGCGATGACAGTGCAGACCAGTACAGATACTACCCAAGTCGGGGCGGTATTAATGTAAGAGGGGATGAAAGAAAGACTGTAAGACATGTGGAAGCAGGGAAAGGAAGCAATTGAGAAGAAACGAGGGAAATTGGGAGCCACTGCCGTTCGACTGTTTTATGATATCGATGAGAAGGAGCGATGAGGGATGCCCTTTACCAACTGGAACACAATTACCGTACGGATCTCATTCAATATGGTAATTTAGCAGTTTGAACGGTTTTAAGACGGCAAACAGGACAAACATCGAGTTTTGCTGCCGCCCGCAAGGCGGTGAATGCCGACCAAAAAATTATTTTGTCGCAGTTGATCAGCTTGGAGTAAACCAGCTACACATATTTCACCATGGGTAAAAAGAGAAAGGCCGGTGGCCGTCCGGCGCAAAAGACCGAAGCCCCTGCGCGCACCAAGTATGATGTCGAAGAACGCTTCGACTCCTCTGAGGATGACTTCCAGACCGGCCGCGACCAGATCCTGCTGGACGACGGCCCAGAGACCAAACGGCGCCGGAGAGTTGCCGAAGAAGGTACGTTTGTTGATTGAATACATAATATGCGAAGGCAAGTTTCTGATTGTTCGTTGCAGAGGAGATGCTTCAGCCCTCCGACGAGGAAATCCTAGGCTACGAGGACCAGGACGAGGACGACTTCGAAGGCGAAGAGGAAGACGAAGATGATATGGGTGTCCCCAAGGGCCGCCGTGGCGAGGAGGATGATGAGGAAGAAGAAGAAGGTATCGCTGCATGGGGTTCTTCGAAGAAGGATCTGTATAACGCAGACCAGATCGAGACCGAGGTTGATGCCCTGGAGGAAGAGCAAGAAGCCAAGAGGCTGCAACAGAAGCAGCTGCAAGCTATGGACGAGGCTGACTTCGGGTTTGATGAATCCGAATGGGCGGACTCCGGCAAGGCAGAGGACGAAGAGGATGCTGGCGTGGTCACAGAAGTGCTCCCCCAGCTGGAGATCACCGAGGACATGGAGACGGACGAGAAGCTCAAGATCCTCCAGTCGAGATACCCCGAATTCGAGCCCCTGGCGAAGGACTTCACCGATCTTCAATCCACCTACAAGGATCTACAGAAGGCAGCATCGAAAGCCTCAACAGCGACAAATGCGGATGACGATGAGCCTCAACCTGCCCCCGTGGCTGTCGTGAAGCTGCGTGCTTTGTCGACATACCTGGGTACCATCAACCTGTACTTTATGCTTCTTGCTTCATCCTCCGATGGAACTAACGGCAGCACGCCAATTTCCCCCGCCGAGCTTCGACAGCACCCTGTGATGGCCTCTCTTGTGAAGTTCCGGAAACTCTGGGAGAAGGTCAAGGATCTCGAGATTGAGGAGGTTGTCGAGATTGCTAAGAAATCCAAGGCTGTTGCCAAACCTGAGTCCACTGCCCAGAAACAGAAGAATACCAAGGAGGTCAAGGCACCCACGCCCAAGAAATTGAGCAAGGCAGAGAAGGCGGCTCTTGTAGCACAAGCCGAGGCCGAAGCCCGCCGCGCCGAGCGTCTCGCGGAGACCGAAGCCGGCTTCGCTGATCTGTCCAACCTGACCACCGAGCCTGGCCTGAAGCGCAAGACTAAGAAGACCAAGACATCTGTGAATGAAGAAGACTCCGACTTTGGTGACGAGGACGCCCTGACTGCCCGTGAAGCCGAGGAGAAGGCCAAGCAGAAGCGTTCTCTCCGCTTCTACACCTCTCAGCTCGCACAGAAGGCCAGCAAGCGTCATAACGCTGGCAAGGATGCAGGTGGCGATGCCGATATTCCCCGCCGCGAGCGTCTTAAGGACCGACAAATCCGCCTCAACGCCGAGGCTGAGCGCCGTGGTCGCCGACAACCCGACATCGGCCAAGAGCTCGGTGGTGACAGCGACGACGAAGACCGCCGCATTGCCAAGGAACTCCGTAATGGCAACAAGGCCGGCAGTGACGATGACGACTATTACGACATGGTCGCTGCACGGGGCAAGGCACGCAAGGACGACAAGAAGGCTCGCGCCGATGCCTACGCCGCCGCAGCTGCCGAGGGCGGCCAAGTCCACATGCAAGAGGCGGTCGGCCCTGATGGAAAGCGTGCCATCACGTACCAGATCCAGAAGAACAAGGGTCTCATGCAGAAGCGCAGCAAGGACTCGCGCAATCCGCGTGTCAAGAAGCGCAAGAAGTTCGAGGAGAAGAAGAAGAAGCTCGGCAGTATACGCCAGATCTATAAGGGTGGCGAGAGCCGCGGTGGATACGGTGGTGAGCTTACGGGTATCAAAAAGAACCTGGTCAAGAGTGTCAAGCTCTGAGGCTGGGATTGGGTTTAGAGATGAATTTTCTTTTCGCACGGCGTCTAAGTTCTTGGCAGATACTGGCATTCAATGTGTACATAACTCCAATTTCACCCTTCATGCTCAAGTCCAAACTCCCTTTCACGCTTTCTTAGACCTGATGGGAAATAAAGGTAAACCTTCAGCAAATTGAGGACGACCCGGAATCTCTACTATCCGCAACTTGACCTTCGAATTAGAGCTAAGTCTCATTAGTAGGTAAACGATCTATCAATATCAGTCTTGAACACATACCATGCTGGTGACTTTGGAATATCCAAGCCTTTCTCTTCATCTTCGTGCTGCTCCTTACCATGATCCTGAGATCGACGACTCCGTCTCGGCACCATATCCCTCGAGACTCGACGGAACTTCTCGAACCGATCCGTGCTATTCCTGGCACTAGACGCAGCGCTCCCTGACTTCGGGGTGTGATACAATAGATCTGAAACCGGAATTGGTGCTGCATCGGACCTCCTCCGCGTATTCGGCGGCATCGTATCTCTAGTCGAGGTGTTGGAAACCTGGGAAGGCTGTCTAACGTCCCGAGGACTTGTGGATGACTCGCTGCATAGTGATTGTGGTTGAGGACTGGGAATTGTGTCTATCTCCGGATGCATTGCTGGGTGGTTTCGGCTGAGTAGAGGTGTGGCAGGTGCGACTATCTGTTTAAAAGTGTCACAGTCGATGCCCTGACTTGTACGCGATGGAGATAGCTCTAGAGTATTTGGACTAGGGATGGCTGGTAGGTCGATTGTGTCCGGCAACATCCCTTCTTGAGGACTATGGCGGATTCGTATTTGCAATGGCTGGGGTATAATTGGATTGTCTGATGGCGATATATGTGAAATGGGTGAGTTGATCTGCTCTTCGGCGTCTGATTCTTGGAGCAAAGGTGTTAACCAGGCGTGATCTAGCAACTCTCTGGCTCTAAGACGATATGCAGGACTTGCTGTGAGTGTGTTCTCCAAGAAAACCAATGCCTCTGGCGTTGCATTTTTCTGAGAGACACATTTCAATGGAAGACTCGTCTCCTCTTTGTAGTATGCAAGCAGGTCGGCTTGACCCTGAAATGGTAGCTTTCCAGTAAGCATGTAATAGGTGATGGCCCCCAAGGACCAGATGTCGACTTCCAGAGCAAGACTCAATTCTTCTTTCTTCTCAGTCTCGGTCCATATCTGTTGGTAAACCTCGGGTGCAGTGAAAGCTGGTGTTCCATTCAGTGTCTGCAGACCTGTCAAGCCTTCCAACACGCGCTTGCTGATGCCATAGTCTCCGATCTTGACCCACCAGTCTGGTCCCTGGGAAACGACAAAGATGTTCTTGAATAATTAGTCACTGATCAAGCTTTCGCGTCTGTACCAGATTTACCTGTGGTTTCAGGTCACGATGGGCGAAGCCATTGCTATGCATGAAGTCAAGCCCCTCAAGGAGCTGCAGAGTGATTTGCTGGGCTTCTTGCTCAGGAAAAGGCTGCTTCATATACCTTTGAAGGTCTCCAAGTGGTAGGTATTCCATGCAAATGAAAAGAGACTCGGGGTCTTCGAACCAACCTGCCGATCTCACGAAACATCCGTCAAACTAAACATAGGTCAGCTCGCCTGATTGAGTGAATCAGTCTTGCACGCTACCCTTTCTTGGGAGAATTTGGCAATTGCCTCCAACTCCCGACTGTAATCTATGGTCTTAGAATCTGGTGCAATCTTGCGCACTTCTTTGACAGTCCGTAACCTATTCCCGTCAGATGCACACACCTCCAGCCATACCGTTCCAAAAATGCCTATGGCAAGATGTCGCTTTTTTGTCCATAATTCTTCACGCTCCCTCCGCCTACCACGGCGGCCTGAGACGGACGTCGACTCAAGAAAGGTATGAGTGGTATACTCAGGGTCGTGCTTAGTAGGCAACTTGGTGTCCTTCACGAGATCCGACACTTGGAACATATGGGGCGCGGGATAATGCAGACGGCGCAATGGCGGAGAATTTTTTAGAAGCAGTGCTCGGGTATGAGCATATGAAATTCTTTAGAAAAATAACATACAGAGGCTATAATCGTGGAGAATTGCAAGAGATACTTTGCAGGACGCAATGCGAGCCGCATCTCCAGGTGGCAGTCACCACACCGGACAGGGATATAACCGGGGTAACCAAGGTTTGGCCCCTATTGCATATTGGGGCAGTCGAGCGGGGGTAAAGATGGGTGCTGCTAATAGTATAGATCGGCACCTAGTAACGTTGCCCTGCGCGCCTTTCAAGGATGATTGCAGGGCGCACACAAGGCATAGTAAGCCTTGAGGCGTATTTCATCACCCTGGTCCACTTTCACTCTGCTGGTTGGAACAAGTCTTCCAGGATCGTCTTCGTGTCGCGCATGGATCCCCCTTCAAACGAGAAGTCTTCTTTGAGGAAATTCCGCGCTAGTGTGTTCTGCTTCCCAGGTCAGTGAAAGAAGAGAGCACATCGAGTATAGAGGATTCATACCGCATGTTGAAGGCTCTGTATCTCTTCAACAGATAGCGTGGCACATGCAGCAACAAGATTCTCGCCTCGGGCTGCGAGAACTGCGATCTCGTTTGCGCGGGAGACAATGGCTGCATCGATCCCGTTGATTGCGGCGCAGCTACAAATTCTCGTCAGCAAGCCATTGTGCACGGGTGTCCATTCAAGTAGACTCTTACATGGTACCGAAGCTCTTGCTGCTGCGACCCAGGCGAAAGCTGAGCCATCAGTTAGCTATCTGCTCCGATCACAGAAAGGGTGGGGGGGGGAGGGGGGTTTGAAACGAACTTGTAAAGATAGGTAATCTGATCTTCTAATTCCTGAAACTCTTCACAGACTTTGACCTCCATGTATCCGAGTTGCAATCTGGGGCGTGGTTCAAGAAAGTTGTTCTCAAAAATTTCGTGGAAGTGAGTGGCAGCAATGACCTTTGGAGCATTTTCAATATTGAGTAGATGCTCGAGTATTCCACAGGCAAGACCGATTCCGTCTGCAGATATCGTGAGCCTATTGTTTGAAAGTCTCGTAATGATACTCACCACTTTCACTTGTACCCTTACCGAACTCGTCAATGAGAACCAGGCTTCGACCAGTAACCTGCTTGAGACAAAGCGAGATCTGCTGCAAGTCACTCATGAAAGTACTTTGAATCTGGATTTTGGGTCAATACATAGTGTTTTTGTTGGCGGTATCCTGTCATACCTGGGAAACACTCTCCTGGGTGTTGATCTTCGTTAAGATTTTGTCTGTTATACCGAGCTCTGCGCTGTCCGCGGGTACAAAACTGCCATTAGGGGTCAGCAAAACTCTTCAAAATGGAAGTATGAATCAATGTACCTCCCAATTTGCGCAAGGTAAACAATGAGAGCAACCTAGAAAGCTTTAAATGATGTGCAAGGCAATCGGTCAAGGTATCAAATCTCACCTGCTTCATATAGACACTTTTGCCAGAGTAATTTGGCCCAGTCAATACCAGCATGCTAGGGACTTGGTCTACCGACGAAGGAGCCACGTTGTCCCCTGTGGTGTCCCTTCCACCAGCGAGGAGGGTGTCATTTGGGACGTATGATGAAACGGTGAGTTCTTGGAGAATGTGGCTAGTCAATGTTAGGAAAGGTACATAACAGCATGAGTAGACATCCTCTCACCGACCACCTTTGATTTTGATAGAGTTTTGCGCCAACATCCGTGGTCTTGTAAGCTTAAATAAGCTAGCTGCCTGTGTGAGGGCAAGGAGGCTGTACAACATTAGCTTTGTCTGTACTCACATCTCCTGGATCACAAACCTGTCCATCTCTCCACAGATATCAGATGCTTCGATGAGCACATTCTCATACTGAAGGACCCTCTGAGCCAAATTGTAAACGATCTCAATCTCCTTCTCTATAGCAATAGTCAATGAACGAGATTGTGGGTATCATAAACAAGTAGCCTTACCGCAGATGAGCCCATAGATATCACCGAGCTTTTCATCCAGTTCTCGCATGCGAAAGTCCTTGAAGTAAGCTCTGGTTTCTGTGGTAAAAACCAGCTCCCAATCCCCAACCGCACCAGAATAGGCTGGATTTCTTCTATCGTTAAGGGAGATGGCAATGTTGAAGCCGAGCTGGGGAAAATAGATTACGTTCACCTCAATGTCGAGCTCTGCCGGTATTGTGGTTGCGATTTCAATGGCCACGGTTTTGAGAAGGCTGCTGAGGCCGTCGTACCGGTCTTTCATCTTGTCGAGTTCTCGATCAATACCTTGTTTCACCACTGTCCGGCCTTGCTCTTCAGAGTTGTCAATGTCAACAACCTCCTGAATCATTCGTCCGACTCGATGAAGCTGCGCTGCTTCAAGTATTTGCAGTGCCTTTTTTAAAATTAGTCTTAGATTCCATATGTACCGGATTTCGAGATATGAACTTTCGTTCGAACGACCAGCACATCCGCCCCTGAAATCTCACGAAGTGCATCATGAATGTCGATTGAGTAGAAAGCGAACTGATAATTGCATCAGCAGACAAACCCATGAGCTTGAAAGAAACATACAGCTAAAAGACTCGCCCACACTGTGGCCTTGAATCCAATGATCTTTGCACTCCCCGTACTAATACCTTTGTGAAGATTAATCATTACAGGCCGCAGGTTCTTGACATGCTTCAATCCCTTTGTCATTTTCTCGAGGGCTGTCAAGTTTCCCGGTCTCGAGAACATCGCGATGAAGTCATGTCGCTCTCGAATGATCTCAAGGCTGAGACTTGGGCGGAAGAACATCTGTTTAAGTCTGGCCCTTCCCTGGGGTGTATGCGCGAAGCGACGGAAAAGACCATAGACCGAGAGGCCCTCCTTCTCAGAGGCTGACTTTTTGCCTGGGCCTTGATTGAACATGTTTGGGTGCGACTCGGACTGTACTATTTGGAGGGAGAGGAGGGTATTGCTTCCGATCCACCTATTTACGTATCATTAGATGCTTTTTGTCGATGATAGTATGTTGTTTAATTTCCCACATCGTGTCTTGCAGATTAAACATTTCCAGATACCTGACCCTGAAAGGATCGGTTCGGATTGGTCCGATGTTGGTCTTAGCTCGTCGTCTCTGTAGGTATGATAGAACTGCCCCTGCACAGCCGACAGTTACTGGGTTTTCCATATCGACAGAGCTGGAAATGTGGAGGAATCTTCCTTCGTGAAGCGTGAAGCCCATTTCCTCAGGATTCGTCTCTTGTTCGGGTCCGTCGAGATCATTTTGAGGCACGAAGAAGCGAAGTCGCTCCTCATGGGATGATGATACCTCTAGGGCGATGAGACTATTCTCTGCGTTGGCATATGTGAACTCTTGCGAAGGGCGCACGTCAACCTGGTAGGGTAGATACGAGGATGAATCTATCTCTCGGGAAGCAATTAGATCCAATAGTCAGGAATGTGGTAAACCAGAACTACCGTTATCCTGGCCGAGATGCTGTTCTTGCGAATTGAGTAGGTCGACTCGAGGAGGCGTCAAGATCACGGTAGGTTTGATCTGAAGAATCACTGGATTCGGTCAATAAGCCTTCTCGCGGCTTTGAGAAATCAACAGCAAGAGTGCATACAAGCGTTGACGGTCTCTATTTCTCCCAACTTGCTGTCTCCCAGCAGGTAAAGTTTCTCCTCTTCCGCAGAGTAGTATGAGCATCCCACCGTGCCGTGGTCTTTCATGTCAATGGCAGCAATGATGTGACCAGCATCATCATCATCCTCAATGAATGTTTCGTTTTCTTCGCCTCCAATCTGACTTTCTGTTGGAAACGGAGTCTGCGGTCGCTGGGCTGCTGAACAAGCTGGTGGGTAGATTGGGCCTCTTGATGCGGTGGATGCTCGGCTCGATGGGCGAGCATCGTGGCCACTCCTCGATCCAGCGGTACGGGGTGTGATGGGGGGTAGACGAGATCGAGACACCTCGGGTGAGTGCTTTCTTTTTTGAGAGGAACGCATCTTGCCGGAACCGGAAGAACGCGAAATAGGTATCGAGAGGTGTGTAGTGAAGAGGCCCGGCTTGGTCAAATTGCTCCCAACCAGACTACGGAGCAGCTCTACAAGCTACAGAACATTATTTTGGAAACTTATGCATGAGCGAAATTGCATTTATACACAGATGAGCAGACTAATATACAAAAGTCACTATGAGCGAAGATGAAAATGTATCAAGAATAAAACTCGAGCACCGTGAGCACCGTAAAAACACCGTCATGAAATGCCCCTATATGCCACCGAAAACACCATTGCAAAAAACAAATCATGCACTTTCTTCAATACCCTCCGCAGAAACCTGCAATGCAGACTTATCAGCATTGAGAGAGACACGAGCAGTCTGGCCAGAAATGATCTCGCCGCGAATGATTTTGTCAGCCAAGCGGTTTCCAATCTCCTTGGCAATCAACCGGTTGAGAGGGCGTGCGCCAAACTTAGGGTCGTAGCCCTTCTCACAGAGCCAGTCCTTGATCTCACCATCCACCTTCAAGGTCATCCGACGGTCGTCAAGGCGTCCCTGAAGTTCTTTGATTCTAATGTCGACGATGTCACGCAAGGCCTCACGGGAGAGGCGCTTGAAAATAATGAACTCATCGATGCGATTCAGGAACTCGGGCGGGTAAGACCCTTGAACAACGTCCATTACAGCCCGCTTGATGTCCGATGGGACCTCAGATGCGCCATCATCCTTGTAGGCATGCAGAGGGTCAGCACCGACCAATATGTCGGCTCCGAGATTCGAGGTCAGAACAATCAAAGTGTTTCTGAAGTCAACCTTGTGGCCTTGAGCATCCGTGAGGAAGCCGTCGTCGAGGACCTGGAGAAGCAATGCGGAAATATCGCGATGAGCCTTCTCGAACTCATCGAACAGAAGCACGGCATATGGCTTGCGCCTAACTGCTTCCGTAAGCTGACCAGCATCATCATAGCCAATGTATCCAGCAGGAGACCCGATCAGACGACTGATGGTGTGCTTCTCCTGGAATTCACTCATGTCAAAGCGCACAACTGCAGACTCGGTGGAGAACAGGAACTCGGCCATTTTCTTGCAAAGCTCGGTCTTTCCGACACCAGTCGGTCCAAGGAACATGAAAGAGGCCAGCGGACGATTTTCACCGCTAAGACCCGCCCTCTGCATGCGCACCGCGTCGGCAACAGCAGAAAGCGCTTCGTCTTGGCCGCGGACAGACTTGCGAAGAGTGTCCTCCATGTGGATCAGCTTCTCGACCTCGCCAGCCATGAGCTTATTGATCGGAATTCCGGTGGTTCGAGAAACTACATTGCCAATATCATCGGCAGTGACAGAGTCGTGGATCAAAGATTGATTGTCTCCATCTTGTTCTGCTCCCTCCTTGGGCAGCTTGGCCTCGAGTTCAGGGATGGTGGAGTATCTGAGCTCACCAGCCTTGGCGAAGTTGCCTTCACGCTGAGCCTGCTCAAGCTGGAATCGTGCAAGTTCCAGACTCTCCTTTGTACGCTTGATCCCGTCGATCTCGGCTTTCTCCTTTTCCCAGACCTCGGTCAATTTTCCGACCTCATCTTGCTTGACCTTCAGGTCTTCTTGAAGTTTATTACGACGTTCACGACTACTCACGTCGGTTTCCTTGCGAAGAGATTCGAGCTCGATTTGAATGGTGGTGATTTCCCGCTCCAGCTCGCGAATGGTATCAGGCTTGGATTCTTGCTGAAGGCGAAGTGCGGAAGCGGCTTCATCCACCAGGTCGATAGCCTTGTCTGGGAGGAAACGGTCGGTGATATAGCGATTACTATAGGTGGCTGCGGCAACCAGGGCACCATCCGTGATTCTAACACCGTGGTGGACTTCATATTTATTCTTGATACCACGGAGGATAGAGATTGTGGAGGCAACCGATGGCTCACCGACAAGGATAGGTTGGAATCGACGGGCGAGAGCAACATCCTTCTCGATCAATCGGTATTCGTTCAGAGTCGTAGCACCGCAACATTGAAGTTCGCCTCTGGACAAAGCGGGCTTCAATAGATTACTGGCATCAATGCTACCCTCAGCCTTGCCCAGTCCCAACAGAGTGTGAAGCTCGTCAATGAAGAGAATGACCCCGCCTTGCGCATCTTCGACTTCCTTCAGAACCTTTTTGAGACGTTCCTCGAAGTCACCACGGAACTTGGCACCCGCAATCAACGAACCCAGGTCCAGTGAAACCACGCGCTTGTTCTTGATGCTCTCGGGAACATCGCCTTGTACAATGCGCTGGGCCAGGCCTTCCAACACTGCAGTTTTACCAGTTCCAGCCGCACCGATCAACACAGGGTTATTCTTGGTACGTCGTGACAGAACTTGGATGGTCCGATGGATTTCAGCATCTCTTCCGATGACCGGGTCCAGCTTTCCAGCTTTAGCTTTGTCCGTCAGGTTCACACCGTATAGCTCCAGGGCGGGCTTTTCTTCCTCGCCACTCATGTCCATGCGGTGAGTACCGCCGGGGGGTGAGGTCGGCCGGAGGCATAGTGGCGTATCGCAGAGACCGGAGTGAGTCTTGTTGCCGGCGCAAGGAAAGCCGAAGTCTGGGGGAGTCTGAGTGATCTAGCTGTAAGTGAGCGAGTAGTGGGCGTGTGAGGACGCAACAGCCGACGTGAAACGAGGGAGATTCTAGCTGCCATTGTGAATTGTGATGCGCGAGGAGGGCAGCAACTTGTGCTTTAATAGCTAAAGGTCGGCAGCATCGCGTGGATTCTCGAAAGCTCCACCGAGAAGACGTTGAGTGGCGGAAGCAGGTCGAAGCTCCGCCTGTCGCTGGGCCCAGCTCCGTCACCACTCAAGTCACATGACACCACGCTAATAAACGGAAGAAAAAATGTTCTACCCCTCGCCCACTTTGTTTTCTTCCCCCCCCTTTAACTTCTTCTTCTTCCCAACTTCCACTCCCTCACATTCACAATGGGTTTCACTGACTTCGTCTCTGACACCGGCCTGACTCGTAAGCTTCGCCTTGGCTTTTGTCTTTGACATCAAGAACTGACTTGAACCCCTCAGTGGCCAACAACTTCCTGGCCACCCGCAGCTACATCGTTGGGTAAGAGACCGTCCCCTTTTTTCTGAACTTTCATTTCCCCTTCTCTCGCCTTGCTTCTATGATGAGAAAAATTGGTCCGTGTTTAGGAGGCGGATTAAGACCCCGCTATAAGACTACAACCAATTGCGAGCAATCGCGTCTCTGATTTCGACTTGCAAACTTTGCGCATTTGTCCATGACTTTGTTTGTAACTCAAGTACTGACCGTACTATAGCAACGGTCCCTCCCAGGCTGATGCTGTGAGCTTCAAGGCTTTCAGCGGCGCTCCCGATGCTGCCAAGTACCCCCCACGTTGCCCGTTGGTACAAGCACATCGCCTCCTACGAGGCCGAGTTCTCCACCCTCCCCGGTGATGCCTCCGCTGCTTTCACTACCTACGGCCCCGAGTCCACTGAGCTCCCGTCCAACCCCAAGGACAAGCCCGAGGAGGATGACGAGGAGGACCTCTTCGGCTCCGACTCCGAGGAGGAGGATGCCGCCGTTGCTGAGGAGCGCAACAAGCGTCTCGAGGAGTACAAGGCCAAGAAGGCCGCTAAGGGCCCCAAGCCCGCTGCCAAGTCTCTTGTTACTCTCGAGGTGAAGCCCTGGGGTATGTGATTTTTTTGTCTCCGTGCGATTGAGTTCTTGCTAACCTACTTTGCAGACGATGAGACCGACCTTGCCGAGATGGAGGCCAACGTCCGCGCCATTGAGCAGGACGGTCTGGTCTGGGGTGCTTCCAAGCTTGTTGCCGTCGGCTTCGGTATCAAGAAGCTGCAGATCAACCTTGTCGTCGAGGACGAGAAGGTCTCCACTGATGAGCTCCAGCAGCGCATTGAGGAGGACGAGGACCACGTCCAGTCCACTGACATTGCTGCCATGCAGAAGCTGTAAAATGCTTACTGTATGAAGTGGATGGCGTGATGAAATTTTTTTGATGTGTTAGGACCTGATTACGACCTAGAACCCGGCCGGACAGTGGCTAGGGATGATGAAAAATAAAAAATTTTCACGACCATATCGTTCCATCTCAACTGTAGTTTGAACTGTAGTAAGCCGTGCCTTGAGCATATAGACCTTGAGAAGATCTCCAGGGCTAATGGGTCCCGCGATGGGGATTGATTTGGACACGTCAGAGCTACCTTGGGAGCTTGCCCATGTGGGAGGGTTCATTGGTTCCAAGGTTCGAGAATGTTCTTCCGAATGAAATGCCCAGGTGAAGGCGGTCACCGACATGGAAGATATCGAGGGCTTCAAAGCATCTAAAATTAGAGCCCTTGCTAGGTAATAATAATAGTTGATCATGATCAAGGCATAGAGCTCGCCATTGTCTTGTCAGTTTTTTTATGTTCCTTCCGATGCATGTGCCCAGGTGGCTGCCCGACGGAGGGCCTGGGGTTTCGATATATATCTCGGGTTGCTAGCAGCTTTCTGAGAAGTTATGCTATTGCTCAGTCTCAGCTCGAAAGCATAAAAACATGAAAAGCCAGATCATGTCACGTTACAATTAACAGAATGATAACAAAAACAGGTAGAAACATCCTTAACAAATACAAATCCATTTACCCCAGTATCCATGTTAGGAAAGGCGCGATTACCTAATCACCCAAGCGGGACATCGCCAGAGCACGGAGTTCCAGCTGGAGCAGCCATCTCGACTCAAGACGGGCTATCTCAGCAAAGCAAGAGCTCGCCGACACCCACAAAACCCTAGCGGCATCTTACCCCACCGTTCTCGACACGAGAGAGACACATACCGCCTCCCCAAACACAAGACTGAAACCCAAAACGACCACCTCACCACCATCACCATGAGCTTTATCTCACGCGTGGTAACATTATTCGGTCTAGTCCTGCTAGCTCACGCGTGCGTCTTTACAAACCACCCTATCCAACCCCACCACACAACCACTAACAATTTCCGCAGAGGCTACTCCGCCCACGAACACACTGTCCTATTCAACAACACCCGCCTCGCCCTGCCGCAGGACATCATCGTGGAAACCCTGATCGCCGTGGTCATTGTCTCAGTCGGACTGGTTCTTAGTGCGGACAAACTAAAGCCGATTAGCTGGCGCGACTGGGCCGGTCAGATTGAGCAGAATGGCGGTGCGCGGAACCCGTATCTGAGCTTAGAGGAGCGGTATGGATTCTGGGATATTCGGGTAAGTTTATCTTTGTCTTTGTCTTCTCTTCATGCGCTTGGATCGCGGAGTCTGTTTTACGGGGGATTGGTTTCTGAGGAGGGGACCTTGACCCTGGATTAGGATCAATGGCTACGGCAACGCCACGGAGATCGACACGAGCTAACGTCTATTTTTTCTTTGACAGGCTAAGCGGAAGGAGTTTGCGGATTGGATGCGGGGCCCGGATGTGTTGGTTAAGGAGTGAGAATTGATGAATCATGTGGGAACGCCATGAATGTGGTGCAGTGGGATTTGTATAATATGCATTGCTCCGAGGAGTCACAATCGATACTTGAAGGCTGGCGTGGTGATCAATTCGAAGTAGGTTGCCTTGAAGCATCAGCTTGAGCATCAGCTTCATTGTATTCAGAGATCAGCTTGGGTGTGGACTAGTAACTATGAAACTCGATAATATCACCCGGGAGATCTACATTGCAGACAAGTAAATGTAGAAGTTGGAGCAAGGGTCACTTGGGTACGGGATACTCGAGCCGAGAAGGCGAAGCGGTGCATCTGTATGCAGAGAGCCGAGCTTATTTTCGAGGCTCATGACCTGGACGCCTGTGTATTGCCACCCAGCACTCTGGGTCAGTTGTGCTGTGCATACTACTCCGATTTCAATGGTTGCATCAAGGACGCGTTGCCCATCTCACAGACCAGGCCACTGAGAAACCGTTGCCTGCACTCAAGGTTAAAAGTACCCAGCCCTGCAGGGACTGCGGCGATATGCAGAGTGTAGTCCAGACCGAATTGGGTGTGGCTATGTGTGAAACACGCCTTCTGTGGGATACGGAGATTTACGAACAGTACCAAGCCTGTGCTTGTCAGGGGCGCAGGGTGATATTGTTTGCCCAAGGTCATATTTCTTAGATTTCTGCTTGCAGGAAACGGTCCGGCTGGGCAAATGGCTCGACGTGTGTACTTGTGGTGTACAGTACAGTACTTGTCCAGAAAATAAGAAGACCCACCCGGTCCTTTGATCCACGTCGCAAGTCTGGACCGGTTTTTCGTTTTTTAGTTGCCGTGGTGGATTTGAGGTGGGACGGTGCCTTGTGAGAAGGGCAAAGTGGACTTTTATCTGTTCGGGAAAGGTCTCGCGAACACTTGCGAACAAAGAGCAGATCATTCCCGTCTTTTGCGGGCTAGCGTGCGCACATAGTACGATGATGCGCGATGTCTCACACGGATCACTCCACTCGGGCTGCTCGCTGGTCTCACTCATATGAGCGCCACTGAGAAGGGAATGGACGTGAGACACCGAAGACGAGCCTTTGGTTTTTTTTTTTTTTAGTAGCAATGATCGACCATGGTCAGCGACTACATAGGCTTCGTAGGCCTCCGCGCGGTCTGCCAAGATATTCGCGCTTCTGGGGAAGCGTAAGCTTTTCATTGTCCAGCCTCGACCGGAGGTGCCTTGGGTGCTTAGGTATCAACGGTACCTGAGGTAGGATTGAGGGGTCCGAGGGTATTGCCACTCACCGAATGATTCCACGCCCTATCCAGAGGCCTTGTGCATGGGAAAAACATGGCGGCATTGGCAGTGGCAGTGGGGCGGATACTAATCTGGGAGCCGTGTTTCGACAGACAATAATTGTCGGGCTTACGTCTCTAAGATGCACGGTAGCTGGTGTGACCCCCAAAATAGAAGAGCGCCACTCGAGCTGCAGGTTCAGGTTCGGGTTCAACGCGCTAGATCGGCCTGTCCGCACGGTGACTGGACCACAGCCGATGCCCTTAACCCGTTTCAGGGCAAATGGCGTCTTCCAAGTAAGAGATATAAGACAAGTCTAACACCTTGTCACCCTAGACAACCGTATTTTAATAAAGTCCCCTTTCCTCTTCTCTCTTCTTCTCCTCCCCACACTCTCCGCACATCAACATCTACGTCTACATCTACACCCCACCACATAACACCAACCCAACACCATCACAATGCGTTACTCCATCGTCTTCGCTGCCGCTGCCCTCGCTTTGGGCGCTTCTGCCGAGGTATGTTTCACTTCCCACGCCTGGTGTGATGGTCAAATGTTTTTATCCCGTTATTAACGCGTGAGATTAGACCTCGTCCATCAACTACCTCACTGAGACCAACTCTCTGGGTGTTGTGACCGGCCAGCCCGTCGCTGTCACTACTCAGCCCACTGTTGTGACTTCCCAGCCCGCGGTTGCGACTTCCCAGGAGCCTGCTGCCTCCATCCCCGCTGGTCTCTCCTCTCCCGTTGTCACTCCCGTGACTGTCAGCGGTAGCAAGACCCTCGTCACCTCCGTCAAGTCTACTGGCACTGCCGCTACTACTGGCACCACCAAGACCAAGACCAAGACCTCCACTGAGACTACTGAGACCACTTCCACTTCCACTTCCACGTCCACGGACTCGTCCGACTCTAGCTCCTCCAGCGCCTCCATGGCTGCTAGCTCCACCTCCACTGGCGGCGCTGCCATGGCCACTGCTGGTCTCGGTATGTTCGCTGGTGCTGCCCTGGCTGTTTTCGCTCTGTAAAGCAGCAGCAACCTGTGACCATGTCCTCGTCATAGCGACTGAGGTCCCGTATCTGCAAATACTATGATAGGGAAACAGCCAAAGTGACGTGACTGGTTGAATGGATACAGATCGATTTGATCTGTGGGATGAGGGACGCGAAAATGTTAGCAGCTTCTTTTTTTTTTTTTCGATCTTTCTTTTATATTACATTAATCACGGTCACGGGGGACTTGTAATTGATTATGTCTGGGATGTGGTACAGTGACCCTTTTGTTTCGCAAGTGAATCGGATAGCATGCCCGCGGCGCACCCGTTTCTCACTTGATTTCTGATGCTCATGATTAGCTTAATTCCTGGTAAATAGTGAATCCATTGTCAAGAGAATGCCACTCCTTGAGTATAACCTTGTTCCGACGCCGTTGTTCCCCTGTCTATACAGGCACCTAGATCACATTGTTATGTGTCTGTAAATCCTAGATGTGAGCAATCCCATACCATGAGAGAGATAGATCGAATTATTTGAGTCAATTAAAAAGAGGCATTAGACTCACGCCAGGGGCAATCACAAAGCAAATGTGATCTATCAAGGAAGTACAGAGTCATCCCAAAAAGGAAATGTAATGAGCGACGCGACTCGCGTGACTGACGCGTCACCGCTTCGGGACTAGTGGTTCCAAACAGCCGGTTACTTCGTCGACCGGCTGTTTTGCTTCAATCCAAACATTAACATCCACCATGGTGAGTTCCACGATCCCCAACTAGCGCTTAGGAGATACTAATGTGATGCAGCCTTCAAATCTCCGCCGACTCGCGGCAGACCATGCCGCTCTGCACAGCGACAAGCTGCCGCCATACTACCTGTTGCCACCGGACGATGGTCGCTTCGCTGTGGCCGACGATCTATCGCAGTTGACGGTCCTTCTGACTGGCCCGACCGGTACACCGTACTCCCAGGGCCTCTGGCGACTCCATCTCAAGATGCCAGAGGACTATCCGAACAGTCCGCCCAAGGCGACGTTCCGAACCCGCATCTGGCACCCCAATGTGGAGGAACTGACAGGCGCAGTGTGTGTAGACACACTCAAGAGGGACTGGGAGTCCAAGCTTACCCTTCGCGATGTGCTCATTGTGAGTCCCCATATCGAACGTATCATCCGACCGCTGTCCTAACTTGACGTCAGACCATCTCCTGTCTCCTCATCAATCCCAACCCCGACTCCGCCCTCAACGCATCAGCAGGGACCCTCCTGCGAGAAGAATTCAACGCCTTCTCCCATCAAGCCAAACTAATGACCTCAATCCACGCCTCAATCCCCGACGACCTCAAAGACTCCGTCCTAGAAGCCAAACACAGAGGCGAAGATTCTAACTCAATACGCCACGAGGAAGAACCAATTCTGCAGCGCCCCCGAAAACAAAAACCCCTCCACCCAGGCACAATCAAGAAAACAAGCAAACCAACCCCGTCAGAAGACACAATGAGCGACAGCGAAAACGAAGACCCAAGCAAAGAAAACAACCCCTCCCTCTCCTCAACCCCGGTCCGCCTCACACCCCCAAGCCCACGAAAAGCACTCGGCAAACGCCCCCTCTCCGTCCTTACCATGCCATACCCCGAAGACCCAGACGCAGACATGATGCTCATAGACTCCGACTCAGAGTACGAACGGGATCTACCAAAGAGCTCTTCAGAGCAAAACATCAGCGCAAACACCCGCACACGCTCATCCTCGCCGCAGCGCAAGTCTCCGAGACTGGCACCCAGTAAGGGCAATGCCTCTCGACTCCGCGACGATCTCCAGATCTACGAGGACGTGCCAGATCGCACGTTGATGGATATCTCGCGTCGCTTTAGCAGCGACGGGAAAGAGAACCGCGCTACTGGTGGGATGAAAGATATTGAATTGCAGGCCAAAATTGCGTCCAACGCTCTTGCTCAGACGCCTGGTCTTTCAGTGAAATCATCATTGAATTCGAATCCGTCGCGTGTCTCGAAGAAGGTCGTCGGTGGTCCGCGGAAAACCGCTGTACCGAAGGCTAAGCCGCGCATTGGAGTTCGGCGACTTTGAAGATTCGATGGGATTTGTTGGACCTTTTTTTTTTTTTTTTTCTTTCCCTGCATTTCTGGCCTGGTTGCATCATTCGGTGTCTTGGTTACTCTATATCTCGATACCCCCTTTTTCCCTCTACACCTTGTTTGATATTATATTGCATAGGAGGGACTGGTTGCATGGGATGGATATGTTAAATGAGGATTGTTTCATAGTGGAGTTACGGTGCTTGAATAATGCCTGGCACTCGAGACATTTCCTCTTCCTTTCTAGTGCTCACCTCCTGCCGCTTCTTGATCACTGGTAATCAACATGCATTGTTCACTGAGCATCACCTGATTATGATTATGGCCTGCCTCAACAATTATTGATTCCAAAAGATATCATTTCGCGGCTCTAAGTTCCAGTTCACAGTAGCCGAATGTAGGTAGGTGTAAGTTGATGGACTCACAGAAGCCAGACGTGAATGCTACATTTTCCATGCTCCTTGGCCCCATCCGCCATCACAGCCACTCCATCGACTCCTATTGGTGACTGTCTTCTAATATTTGCGAAAGGCAACACGGAATGCACAGGCCGTCAGGAACATCAGTCCAGCGACCAGAGACCACAACACGACCAGCAGAGGATCCTTGACGAGTGGGGACAACGCCATGCCCAAGAGATATCCTAATCCTGCCGTTCCAATATAACATGCCTGCAAGATTGACTTCATGCTCTTGGGGGCGTGAGAATAAGTATACTCAGAGCCGGTTGGCCAGCAGAATACCTCGGCAATAGCGATGATCACGAAAGCAGGAAGCTGTAGGAGCACATGGACATGATTTGGGATTTTTCCTCCCTGCGATGCGTCGCACGCAAGAGGACGTGAGTAGCACGGACCAGCCTGGTAGATCGCATGCTGGACCACGGCAGAGTATGCCATGGCAATTGACATAATGGAAAAACCAAGCGTGATGCGATTCACCGGGCTAAAAGCGATCTTGCGTTTCTGCAAGAACGGATAGAGTAGCTTCTGAACGGTTATTCCAAATAAGACGTAGGTCACCGCGTTGGAAGTTTTGAGGAGATCATTCGGAATCCCGTGCGTCTCCATTTGACCTGCTTGAGAGATTGATACTTGGGATGCCTCGCCCATGCAAACCCAGAATATCGGCCAACCAATGCTACGCATGTCAGTCAGCCGATGCAAGGCACCGACAGTGATGCGAGTTCACTCACCAGATCTTGAAGGCCGACAAAGCACCTCGAAGCTCTGCGATGAACTCTTTATCCCAGAGGACGACTCGGCCGTGCACCTCCAATTGCCTCTCTGGGAGAGCGGCATCGAGATTGAATCCTCCCCTCATAGCACACCATAGGCAGCGAGCGGCAAGGGGAAGCTTCGAGCCTTGGCTGGGTGGGTGGACTAGGGGTGGAAGCGATTAGATGCACAGAAATGCCAGCTTTTGTGACTTAGACCATGAAACGTACCAAATTTTGGCCTCGCCACTTGGACCACCAACACACAAAGAGCCACGGCACAGAGATCCAACAGGTAAGCTGACCAGAAGCCAATGTATTTCTCCATCAGTGTGGTGGCGATGCTACCCAATGAGCCCACATTAACCATCCTACCGGCAAAGGCCATTAGCTAAACCCAACCCCTCATCATAGGTCTCTCCTATTCACCTACCAATAATATACATTGTAGATGTATTGGATGGTGAGTTCGCGATCTTCCACTACCTTTTGCCCTTTTTTGTTGGTTCTGATTCGCATATCTGTTTCGGTGTATTGATCCGCTGAAAAGTCAATTAGCCAATACGTTCTGCTTCTGCATTCTGGCTCGTACCGATGAAAGGCTGAACAGATGCTTGTACCCCTCCGAGACCGATAGCAATGAGAACCGCCCCGGCCACAAAGCCAGGAGTTGAGACACCAGTCTTCATCTCCGACGGGAAAGAGGTCGCAAAAAGGATTGCAGATCCAATTGCATAGATGCTGCAGATGTACAAGAGAGATTGGTCAGTTCGTTAACCTAAATATCACAGCGCAAAGCAAAAGAAACGCGCGATGAGCTGACCACGTGAATATTTGAAGAGATCGATATCGGCCTAGCACTCCATCTACTAAAATCGATGTTGGCAGTGGTAGGATGTTTACCAACACCGTGAACGCTAAATTCACGGTGGTGGCCGTAGACTTTCCCAGCCCCATTGCCCCGGGTACCAAGTCGGTCGGTTTGTTTTGAAGATAGTTTTCTGTGGTTTAGCCTGGTTAACAGCGAGATCAAGGCGTGGTGATTTAGGGTTGATGGATATATACTGACGGAAGAGGGTCTGTGTTCCATAATAAGCAAATCGCTCCGCCATTCCAATGGTCGCCGCCAGCCAAACTCGCTGAGGAAGATGGGCTGGAACATGTTGTAAATCGCGAATCTCGTCATCTGTGGCTAGGCGGCCCTGCATCGTTGATGAAGAGACCATAGACACGGTCTGAGCTTCTGAATTGCCTGGTATTTTTCAGCAGCGGGATTGTTTCTCATGGGGAAAACGACAAAGCAAGTTACTGGGCCGCAAGGATTTTATAGATACACAGTCGTTGGATTAAAATATGACAGAATATGTGACTAGCCTGATGGGGTTTACTGAAGGTGTGTTCGGAATCAAATTCGGAGTTCGGCATATCTTGACGATGTGACATTGGGGCCGAGCCGATGGCTAGATCCTACAGCCTGAAAAGACAAAACCTGAGAAGCCATGGTGCAAAAGATAAAACTCCTTGTAGGGAAACTGTTCAGCAAAGACAATCGCCAAAAAGAGTCTTCGGATTTCGGCATTCTTTTCGATCGCGTTCGGATGGTAGTGTGCTTTTCGGCTTGGTTGTTTCGTCCTCCATAACTAACATTTCCTAGTCCTCATGACGACCACAACTATAGGCCTTCAGTATACGCAAGATGAAAGCGGTGCAAAATTCAACATCCTTACTGTCATTGTCCAGCCTGCCCATCCGGAGCTCATTGAAAATGCGAGGTCGTGACCTCAGAAGCTAAGTCGTTGCTAGTGACGAGCGCTAACTCCGACGTTCCTGTCACAATTCCTATGAAGCATATGAAGATTGAATCGATCTTTTTTATGCCTGAATGCTAAATCAAACGCTTCTTCACGGGTTCAAAATGATCAGCAAGTGCTCAAATTTATCATACCCAACGAAGCGAAGGGAGACTGGTCAAAGACTCTGCGAAGGCATCGTAAAAGACGGAGAACAAAGTAACTGTTAGCAGCAATTGCAGAAGTCTTCAAATTGCCCAGGCGGTTCTCAGAAGCTCGTCACCCTCCTTAGTAAAGCATCTCATCAAAGGCAAATCGGAAATCTTGGGTTTCAAACAAGTCCATCCCCTGAAGATCGAAAAAGAAGGGCGTGTCAATATCAGGATTTAATATCGTATCGAGATTAGTATTGTCGACGGGAATTTCTAGTCTCGGCTCCAATATTTCATCAATAATACTCGAGAAGACGGACGTCGCACGGACGAATAACGGAGATGTCGGCTGTTCCGAACCTGCCATGGACTCTAGATGCGAGATAAAGACGCTCAAGTTGCGTATGAGGGAAGATCGGGACCCGGAAAACAACAATGGCTGGCCCGTCCGAACTTGTCTCTGCAATGCCCGGATCAAAACGCCGGCGCATGAGAACCCATAGACAAGTGTCTAAAAAGCAAGATAAGTGGAGATCAATTAAGTGGCCAAAGGAAGTACTCACGATCCAAGTGAAGTCACTCTTGATATCAACAGACCGCTCCCACTGTCGGCCCAGGGTCAAGACAGTCGAGAGAATTTCAGAGCTGACTTCCAGGAGTGCAGCATTTGTGTTATCACTATCCTGACACAATAGGCTTTGGACCAAAAACTCATTATAGAGATAGCCGAGGTATGATATTATGGACATCAACTTCACTCCTATGGGAAGGTCGGACTCCCAACAACTAGGCGTGTATTGAAGATGTCCGGGCAACGAACTCCAAGCCTGGTGACAGCGACTGGAGACTCCCCTAGTGCCAAGAGTCAGCACCACGTAGACAAAACTGGCCCTAGACGGGCGTCGACTTCAACTTACCGCAATTGCTCCGTTCTATTTGGACTTGACTTTTGGAGGGACAGCTCCAAAATTTCTTCTCGGAATGTACTGATAATAAATCGTAGTCGTATCCACGATGTTTGCTGATAGACTTTTTTTGTATTCCATCCATTAGCATCCAAAGAGCGTCGAGCAGCCTCCAGTGTGTAGGGTGGTCCAGCCAAAGCCTCATCACTGATATCGAGAGGAAGAAGACAATCAGAGTGTCTCCATGAAATGCGAGGTGGTCGTCCAAGGAAAGTCGCAATACTTTTATCGAGCTGATAGGAAGCTGCGAAAAGCCTACGTCGAGATTCCAGAATGAACAGCGGCAATGAACTAGGTGTGTCTCTATGCACACCAAACTCGAATATATCCGTGGCAAGCTCGCCCAAGCGGTTCCATGTCACCGAACCTGTGAACCATCTTGTCAGCGCCGGCGGGATTCATGTGGGATCATTAATGATGACTGACTGGAATCACCCTGCAGCAACTTTGACAAGAGGAGGTTTTCATGGACAAGACAGAGTGAAAGATCATTCAAACTTGTTAGACTCTTGCATATCTGTATAGTGAGATCGCATACAACCAACATTTTGCGAGAGAATTGGGTTCGTGACTCGGTATCGCGAACCCTACCGTCCGCTAGCCCAAAGTAGCTGGCCCGGCCTGCTAGAGCATAGAGAACTCCAATAATCTCCAAGCGAAGGCAAGGCCCAGTAAAACATTTATGGAACACACTCCCGTCGGTGTTCTGGGGGACCTTCAAAGCCTTACTAGTATTCTGTATTACCAAAGTGCTGAATTTCAACAGTTGTTCGTCGGACGCGGTCCCAAACAAGCTTCCCTTAACAGTGACCTCAAGCTCGTCCAGCGTGTTGAGGATAAATGATGATGGAATGACGGCAATTTGAGAGACGCTGTAGTATTCCTGAACCAAGTTCTTGATATAGGAGAAATCTCGCAAACAGCTAAGAACTTCTGCGGTCCTCTTGACTAAACCCGGAGATGGAACCATGACGGAATTCTCGCGTCCATCTGTGTTGCACTGTTCACTGGCCTGAAAACCAAAGTCAACACTCTCCTCAAAACCCGCGATGAAGCTCGTCGGACCCAAGTATCCCGCTGGCAGCAGTTGGTCAGTTCGAGGTGCTGGGTGACAAACAGAAGGGCGTTCTGCCACAGCGTCCAGCGTTTCAGAATCAGATCTGGGGTTCTCTAGGTTTCTCAAAGAAAGCGAAGGTGATCTATGATTTTTTGGGTGTTCAGCTTACTGATCTTTCTGCTGCACCTGCGCAAGGCGAAGGAATGTGGACATACTTACAGGCGGATTTGACTATCCTTATCGGGTCGTCTTCTGGTGGCGCTCGTCAACGGTGCAGGATGGTAGAAACACCGGCCGGTGAAGCCCCGTTGCTGGCAGCGTTTGCACACCGGCTGGGCATGGTCGCACCGCACTTTGTCTTTGCGACAAGGCTCACAGGAAGCAAGCTTGCCGTTCCGACGCCGAGAATGCCTGTCACAGTATTAGCAGAGACAAGAATTGCAAGTTTGAAACCACCAGAGACATCTCTTGTTGATGATACGCAAGTCGTGCGCCTTATTGAATTCGCCCCTCTTTCTCTCGATCGGATTACTCGCTAAATTTCACTGCTAGGGGGTCGTATATACATCGATGGTCTCGAGAACAGAGCCGAAGATGTGCAGGTGGTAGGTGACATAGGGTTGTGAAGTACAGGACCAACGTTGTTCCGTTCGGCCATTATAACAGGGGAGGACTAGGCACCGAGGTCTGTATGTACGTGAACCAAGCAACCAAGCAACCAAGCAAACAACGATATGTATTATGGAAAACTGACCTCCAAGAATCCCGTCATACTCTAGCGACTGCTTATTGAGTTCATGCTGTGGGCAGTCTTGTCGGATCTGAATGGGAGGGTTTAGTAGGGACTAGGACAGCCCCGACGTGGCCAGCGGCGTTGGAGTAGAGTAGCGAGATGAAAAGGTTACCCAGCTACGAAGAAGAAGAGTGAATGTGTAAATACTTGATTAATGGAAGGACTCTCCGGAACTATCGAGCTTTAATCAATCTTGACCCTCACGCTAATCTTCTCGAGGGCCACAAATCCCCGACCTTTTGTCAAAAGCAGAAGAAACGGACCAGAAAAGAGGACCGAGACAGGCTCAGACGGGAACAATATTTCTCTCTCCGGGAGACGACTCAGATGCTCTCAATAAGAGAAAAACAAAATCAGACAACCGCTGCACAACATATAACAAAACACTAAGTATACGAGCCTAGGACACGTCAGAGAGATGGTGAGACAACTGAGGATTGACCACACCAGGTGCAAGAAAAGGGTGATACCGGGAAAAATTCCCGATAATGATATGTTCGATTCGCATGTCTGGGGGAGGATTATGTCCGAAGGTATGTGTGAACACCTTGAAGATGTCCGGCACGCCCAAAGAATCTGCAGTTTAGGCATGCAATAATATATCCCAAGGAAGGAGAATTAACCACCGTTCAATCCCTTACAGAGCGTAAGGGTTGACAGAGCGAACAGTCAGGCATCTGTAAAGACTTGGATTAGCTTTGGAATTTTTTGCAGAATTCGCGTAAGGGTACTCACGGCGGGCTCTTGCTCAGGTCGGTCTTCAGGATGATGGGGAGGCGAGTCATCTCAGTGACATCCTGGATGAACTCTCCATTCTCCTCGCGCAGCTTGAAGAGCTTCAGGTATTTCTCCTTGTTGGTCATCTTGTTCTCGGGCGCATCGCTGGTGCTCGAGGCAATCTTGGGGTCAGAGCGAGTACGGTGAGGTCCCTGTTGAAGGTGGCCATTGCGGGTAGGCGATGGCGGCATGCTCTGGGTCGAGCGGTCAGCCGAGTTCAAAGAGACACCGGCAGCTGCCTCAGTCACCTCATCCACATCCTCATCATCATCGAAGAGGGCATCGACATCGTCAGCAGACATGGTTCCAGTCTCCGTCTGCTTGCGCATGGCCTCGTCGTGCTCACGAGCACGCTGCTTAGCAGCCTCAGCTTCGCGAGCGGCGGCAGCGGCCTGAGCAGCGCGAGAGTTGCCAGGCTTGGGACGCTCATCCTCAGGGATGTAAGCAGAGGAAGGAACGCCCTTCTCCCAGTAAAGCTCAAGCACGCGAGAGTCCTTGCGGTACTCGGCCTTCTTCAAAGGAAGCTGGTCACAGTGGACACGCTTCTCGAAACCGTATTCGGGAATAAGAACGTCGAAGGCGGACTCGTACACGCAAAGCACGATACCCTCGCTGATGAGGTCGCCACCAATCTCATGAACTTTGCGGTCCATGTTGCGGCAGGCCTCGATGTGAACACTCTGCTCTTGAGCATTGAGAGCCGAATCCTTTTTGTTGTTGCAAAGGTCGGCGGTCTTGTTCAAAGACTCCATGTCCTCGGTGAACTCAATAGCGCCTTCTGAGAGGACTGCCTCGAGCTGACGGTGCACAAGAACATCGGCATAACGGCGAGATGGGTTGGTAAAGTGAGTGTAAACCGGCACATTGAGGGTGTAGTGCTGGCGCTGCTCGTCGGGGGAACCAGATCCAACAAAGTACTTGGCCCGCTGCATGGCCTTCGCAAGCAGGACTTCCATACCCTTACGAAGATCGACATCTTCAACCTTGCACAGAGTACTTTGCAGAGTTCCACTGCTTGATGCGTCAAGACCAAAGCCAAGACGGTTCATTCTCTCAATAAACAGCGTAAGACGGCGGTCGCTGGGAGGATCCTGGCGGCGAAGGAATGCCTTCTCAGGCATGGCACTAACCAGCTTGCGAGCGACAAAGAAATTGGCTTGGCGGCTCAGCTCCTCAACCAGCTCATGGGCAGGAGTAGAATCGAAGATGTTATACTCAACAGGCACATTTTCATCGTCAAGCTGCTGGAGCAGACGCAGGCTAGGGACGTTAGCAGCACGGTTGCCGAAACGCGCATCCCGGAACTTGTTAGCAACAGTCTAGAAAGAAATTAGCATAAGCAAGGAAGTTGAAAGACAAGAAGGGGTGAAACTCACGCTCAACAATTGAATGTTGTCGTTGGTGATACCGGCACCGGTCGAAGTCGACTTGCCAGTGATGACTGAGTTAACCTCCTCGTAGCTGAGACGGCCTGCGCTCTTAATGACACCCTTGCCAATCCAGACGTCATCATCAATCTCGCCAGTCTCAAGGCTAGCCTTGAAGACGACGCTGACAGTCAGACGGTCCTCGCCAGGGAGAAGGGAGCATAGCTCATTGGACACACGAGGGGGAAGCATATTCATAAGACGGTCAACCAGATAGACAGCAGTACCGCGCTTCTTGGCTTCACGGTCCACAAGAGAGTTACCCTTGACGAAGTGGGCGATGTCAGCAACGTGAACACCGATCTCGACCTTTCCGTCATCAAGCTTCTTGACATGGAAAGCATCCTCAAGGGCTTTTGTGTCTTGCGGGTCGATGGTGAAAGTGGTCTCCCCACGGAAGTCACGGCGGGTGGCGAGAGCCTCGGTGTCGTTGGCAACAGACCAATCTTCCCAGCCGATGCTCTTCAAAACGGCATCGGAGAACTCATCAGATCCGAAGTTGTTGTCACGGAGGAGGGCATCCGTCTCGACACGGAGGTCACCCATCTCTCCAAGCTGCTCAACGAGGGTACCGAAGGGGTGCAGAGAGGTGATAGGCCAACGCTTAATGGAGGCGACAAAGATGCGGTTGGCGTAATCCTGGTGCTTCTCCACGAAGTCACGCGGGGCCTGCTCAGTAGGAATGGCAATCAAAGGCACACGCTTATCGGTGGGCTTGAACCAGACAATCTTAGGCTTTTCCTGGTGACGATCCTGGTTACGGCCGTGGGCACCATCTCTGGCTTGCCGCTCGGCCTCCTGCTTCTCCTTGGTAGCCTGGCTGCTGGGACGAAGGAGACCGAGGGTACCGGAGAACATCTGGCCCGCAATGCGTTCAACGACCGCAACGACATGTCCAGCGTACAAGGGCTTCTGCTCATCGCTGATCTCATCCTCCTCAACAAGCAGAAGACTCTGTCCCTCAACCTCGACATCATCGTTCTTCTTCTGCGTAGGTCGCTGACGAAGACTGCCACGGCGGCGGATGCTTCCATCCGGGCCAATCTCTTGCCTATCGCCATTGGAATCAGAGCGACCCAGCTTGTCATTACCAGCATTGCTGCCCGAGCGCGCATCGGTGATGTCCTTGCGCTTCTTCTTTTCCTCCTTCTCCTTCTTCTGGGACCACACCTCATCCACATCGAGGAGCTCGATCGCAACGTAGTCACCCTCAAGGGCGCGGTTACGGTCCTTGCTACCACAAATGAAGATGTCGGCGTCAAGATCAGGAGTTGTCACATAGGCGTCAGAGCGGTTCTTCTTGTTCACACGCAGGACACCGGCAACCAATTGGCCGTTGCTAATAAGAGCAGGAAGGTTGGCCTGGGGCAGGTAAGGAGTGAAAAGCGTCTTGCGCTGTTGTTGTTGTTGCTGCTGCTGCTGCTGAACAGACAGCTGGGGCGGAGCGTGCTGACTGACACCGAGACCGCCCATACCCTGACCATTCTGTTGCTGAAGGGCCTGGAGTTGTGCAAGCTGGAGCGGGTTCAACTGCTGGCCACCGAACATTTGAGGAGGAGCCATCATGACTTGTCCCTGGGGCAGCTGGATCAGCTGACCAGGGTACTGGAACTGGCCGATGGAGCCCATCGACTGGTTCATAGACTGCCGCGAGCGGTGTCCAGGCTGGAAACCACCCTGCTGCTGCTGCTGCTGCTGTTGTTGTTGCTGCTGCTGCTGTTGGTCTTGTCCCTGGTTCTGGTTGTTGGGCTGGCGCCAATTGCCGTCAAAGTTTCGGGAACCCGTACGAGCGTGTCCACCGGGCTGGCTGCCCCGGCGCTGGCTGTCATTTGGCCCTCCTTCAGCGGGAGCAGCGGGGAATTGGAATCCACCTGCACCGCGGCCAGAGATGGAGCCACGATTACCACCAATAGCCATGGACTGGCTTCGACCGTGACCACCGGCCCGAATGTTGCCAGCACGCTGCATACCGAGGCCTTGCGGCGCAGGAGAAGTGCTGGATGCAGGCTTGTCATCAGACTGGCCTTCCGAGCCACTAGCACCAGGCGCAGGAGCCGGGAATTGGAAACCCGAGGCGGTTCTCTTCTGTTGGGCGAGCTCGGCGGCCTTCTTGGCTTCTGGGAGAGCTAGAGAATGGCGACGCTGGTGGCCACCACCAGGTGGACCTCCACGACCACGGCCGTGGTTGTTATTCTCGTTCCTGTGGTTGGGACCTTGCTGGTGCTGATCAGCATAACCGGAGGCTCCCGACGACGGAGCAGGAGGGGGGCCCATTGGGAGACCGGGCAGAGCGGATTGATTGCGGCGGTGCGAGTGGTTGGGTGGCGCGTGCATCGAAGCTCCAAGCTGCTGCGGTTGCTGCTGGGGGAATTGGAAGGCATTGTTGACCTGAGGAGAAACACCACCCATGTTGCCGCCGGGAGAGAAGGCGTTGACCTGACCCAGCTGCTGAGGCTGGAGTAGGCCCATATTAACGTACTGTTGATGTGTGGCAGCAATTTGCTGCTGCTGCTGCTGGAGCAGCTCAATTTGTTGCTGGATGGCCAATTGTTCCACTAATTCCGAGTCAGCCATCACTCCGGTTTAGTCGTAAGAAGGGGAGATCATACTCATCAAAGGGGTCAGCTCAGAGGGACTTCTCCGATGAGCAATATGGAGCTTGCGCCCTCCGGGGCCTGGCGGCCCGGACTGGCCTTGCTGATCCATAGTTCCAGATGAAGGAAGGCAGCTATCACTGTGGAGTGAAATGTGCGGGGAGGCGGAGAGGATCCGGTGACAGGAGAGACTGGTGATGCCTCCAAAGGCAATCGAACCGAGATATTCGGATCACAAACCAACCGCTGAGGGTGCTTTATATTTGGATGATAGTTTCAACGCGACGGACGATGCGAACTATACTGAAAGGGAGAGAAAGAGCGGATCAGTTAAAGGGTCACAGGATGGTATGAGAAGGAAACCAAGTCAAGTCTCAGGAGAAAAGAGAGTGGGCAGGCAAAGTGAATGAACGAGATGAGTGTGGGAAGGAGGGACACAAAACGTGGAAGTTGCGATGAGTCGGACAGTTTGCATTGCGGGCGGAGACGAAAGGGACCCGTCCAAGACCAAAACAGTCGGGAAAGAGAGCTCAAGGCAGTAACACGCGCAGGAAACGTGGATCAGGTGTCCAACATGGATGATGAAATGGGGTATAACAAGAACGCCCTTACCTGCAAGAGAGACTAATGGCAACCTCGGAGCCCTAGCATTCCAAAATGACGTCTGTGCTGTCCAACGTGGGATGAAAATCGCTTGAAGGCCAAGGAAGCGGTCAAGTTATAGAATCGAGGGAAAGTGACAGTCAAATCAATTGCACTGATCAATGCGCGTTGAATTGACGAAACCAAAGATCGACTGAAAGGGACGACGCTCGCTCGATTCGAAATTAGGAGTTGGAAGGACCGAGTCGACTGGAATGAAGCTCGAAGTACTTGAAAGTCACTCTGTAGCTGACAACCAGATCAAGAAAAGGTGTGGTAGAGGCAATCCTCGATCGAGAGCCGGGAGTCGGATGCTCGAAAATCACGGAAGCCAAAGCTGGGGGGTAAGGAGCTGTTCTCTCCAGGAACTCCCGTCCAGGAAAACGGGAATCAGTTGCACGTCCCCGAAGAGAATGACGTGTAGAGTGATAGAACAGACGATGCAAGCACCGAGAAGGAGCGATGGGAGAGAGAGAGAGAGAGAGAGAGAGAGAGAGAAGAGATGAGGAAGAAGGAGGAGGGGGGAAAGGAGAAGTGAAGTGATGATGGGATCCATACAAAGGCGGGTGTGGGGAGGCCAAAAGGAGGGTCGTACTGTCACTCCAATACAACGTATATGTCAGAGTTTCACATTATAACGGGGTGTAAATACATTGTCCGAACAGACCGCAAACACATCCAAGAGCGGATGGCCATGGATGATTTCCATTGCTCCCATCTCGGCCCCCGTTGCATGTACGCTTATCTTTCTCTTTACAGGTGTATGTCCCTCTATCGGATTTGACCGAGATAGGACAAGCTGCCCTGTGGGTGAGGGAGACCACTTCGCGTGATTTGCAGGGATGGACCCTCCTAGTTACAACTATACGCTGGTAATGAGTTGGCAGCTTTTAGGGCCATCAAGCTGGAGCAGCAGACTCTTGCGCTAATGGCGACTTGTCTAAGAAATTTTTTAAGAGGGTAAGAAAGGCCTGTTTCATGCATAGCTTGGGCCATTTCCACCCCTAGTCATTGGTCACAAATTCTGCAATCCATGCAATAGACAACGAACAAGAAGCCGCTCAGCTTGAAGCATAAAATGGATGATGCTCACGATGATGCAAAGTGAACCAGACTTCGACTGCTGAGTCAGCACGTAATTTATTTCAGATTCGGCGTGATAAACATCGGGAGGAGCTTTGGGACTGACGATAAAGACCAAGAAAAAAAGGCAAGAAAGACAAGGTAGGGTCTCCACCAGAAGTGCGCTAGTCTTAGGATATCGCCCATTCACTGCTTTAATTCGTTTGCGCCCTAGTCGCGCAGCACCAGCTTAAACAGTCTGCTAATCTCGATCGCGCTTTAGACTACCCCAGACCAACCTTCCTGCAGTTCCTCTTTTCCGCACCACTCTCCTTGAACATCTCATTCGCTTTTGGCTCTGGTTGCAGGGGACTTGGAGCTCGACTCAAATCACCACACTTGTACGATTGCTCCTGTTCATCAGGGTATTGCTAGGAGGACGTTGCTGGGCCCGAACAGCCCAACTGCTCTCACTTGACCCCGAACGTGAGCAGGACCATGCCTCACACTCATTTCGCGTAACCTAGAACCGCCTTTCGCTCTTGTTTCACCCCTCCCGACCTTTCACTCCTTGTCTTTGCCCCTCACCCTTGACCTTTTCCCCCACGCTCTCAACGTTCTCTCCACAATTCCTCCAACTTCTCTCGGCCTACGACCGCTCCCGAAATTCTTGCCTGACGCCGCCGAGAGGCTGGACACACTCACAATGACTCGAAAGAGCGGCCACATGCCGCCGTTAGACAGCCCGTCGAAGCAACTTATGATTGATCTGATTCGAGACCTTGAGCAGGCGAAGCTCTTTTCTACCGAGCTGAAGAAGGTTCATGCCTTCGAACGGAAAGCCTACTATGAAAGCCTCGACCAGATCGATCGTGAACAGGAAGCTGTGCACACCGCTGCCCTTGACAAAGTCGCGGCGCTTCACAACCAGGTCCGCGAGGAGGCCGAGTCTGTCTTGAAAGAACACATTCGCGCTGAAGAAGAAGAGCACCGACGCAGGGAAGAACGTGAGCGCAAGGAACGGGAACGTATTCAGCGTGAGCAGGCTGAGAAACAACGGCGAGAACAAGAGGAAGCTGCACGGCTCGAAGCAGAGCGCAAGGCTAAGGAGAAGGCTAAAGAGGAGGCTAAGAAGAAGGCCGAAGAAGAGGCTGAGCATGCACAGCGGGCCGTGCAGGAGGAAAAAGATCGCAAGGACCGCCAAGAAAAGGAACGAGTTGAGTCAGAAAAGCGCAAGCAAGAAGAAGACGCCAAGAAAGCCCAGCAGACCCAGCAGGCCGCAGACCAGGCCGCAGAGCAGCAGGCTCGAAGCCAGCAACAACAGAAGATCGGTGCTAGTCGACTTACACCCGAAGAGCTCGCCGCGCAGGAACGCTATGTCGCAATCCACAAGGCACTCAAAGAAATGCGACAGTACTTGCGAAATGCCGGCAAGCAGAATCCCCTTGTCAAGAAAACAATGGGCGACATGCGCCGTTCGATCAAGAAGTGTGTCGGTCAACTGCGAGATGGAAAAGGCGCCAATAAGAAGCAGGTTAGTCCCCTTTCTACGGAACGGTCCTTCACCCCAAGGGCATGGATGGAACGATCTCTGACATAAATACCCAATAGCTCCAAGACATCAAAGTCGAGCTTCTCAAAGCTTCCGCCGTCCCCGAGCCCACCGTTGATATCCGCCAGTTCCTTGCAAACACTCCTCCTGAGATCGCTGCTGAGGAGAACAAGGTCCCTGCTATGCTAATCTACGGACTCAACATTTTCGCAAAATGCCTGATCTCAGCTCTGATAACCGAGGCGTCAATCAACCACGCCCACGCCGAGCCTATTGGTATTGTTGCTGCGCAAATCTTTTCCATGGATGAGTTCATGTACAAGGGCATTCACATGTCCGACATTCTTTGGGCCAAATATCGGGTAGTCTGCCCAGCCCTTTGGGGATTCAGCGGTAGTGAAAAGACTGAAGCAGGTCGAATGGCACTGGGTTGGTGGCGCGAGGAAACTGGTGGCCCCTTCATTAGCGAACAAACTCACCTGGACCGTATGACCGCACTGGGGGCCGGATTCTCCTCCTTGACACTTCGCAACTTCGCCAAAGCGAAACGCGTAAATCCGTTCCCCAACACACTGTTTTGGACCTCGATTCAAAAGATACTCTCTATTCCTCCCGGCGAACTTCAGGATACACAGGTCACCTTGCTGCAATCCATGCTCAAGTCTTCTGAGGAGCGTATCCTCACGTTCTTCGGCCAATTTGGTCTGGTCATCATGCGAAAAGCTATTGTCGAGTTGCCCGCGGCTATTCCGCGCAAGAGCATGCCTGTGACCCAGCTGAAGCTTCTGCAGGAGACTTACATGCGGCATAGCAATATCCTCGTGTAAGCCCGGGCTTCTAAATTTACGAATCGGCCACGGCCACGCTTCCTGGTATTTTAAAAGGCCAACCGGGCTTTTGCACCTTGTACTATAAAGAAATTGGAGTATGGGAAACGACAATGTTGGTGATAAATCGCATGGCTGGATATTGAAGAGCATTTTTTTAGCAATTACCCAATAATCCAAATCAATTGAAATCTTATAATTATATTTTTTCTGACTTGCTAGGCTCATGCCACGACACTCAATCAAGTTAGTTCTCGATCGTCAGGGTCCTACTTTGCGCAGATCAGCGGCAGATAGATACAGTTCGAGACTAGCGCTCGAGTCATCTCGTGACAGCCCTCACTCGGAAAAACTCCATACAGATGATATAAAAGCCTTAAAGACCCTTTCCATACCACCAGTCCATACCGAAGCATTGTCAAGATGAATCCAAGCATCGCCTCCTTCCGCCTCGCTCTCCAAGGCACCTTAAGAGGCCTCCAAGCACGGATCCAGATCCAAACTCCACTCGCCCGTACCGTGGTACTCCGCGACCCACTCAGACAGACCAGGGCCCCGTCATATTCACTCATGTTCTCGACTAAATCGATGTCCTCGAACAAGATGTATACCAAGACCAAGCCCAAGTCAAACCCAGAAGAGTCCGCCTCGGATCCATTGCAGACCTCATCCGTGAGCCTCGAGTCTCTCGGCATCGGAAAGAACATGAAACTGTTGCTACTTGCTATTCTCTGTGTGTTTGGCACAATCGAGACTTGGTTCTGGTGCAAAGCTACTTGGATTTGGTGGAAACGAGGGCAAGAAGTTAATAAAGAAGCGAAATAAGGTCCGGTAAAGTTCTCTTGTACCAATACACAATCTCATCTCACCCCTTGGCTTTTAGCGGGATATAATCGCTTGGTATCAATAAATTAGAATCATAGATTTACATCATGCAGCAAGCCCCAGGAACTCCTAATGCCGAAATATCAACATCAGAGTTATTTTCCACCGTCCCCCCTCCCATGCGGTGACAACGAAAAGCCGCCCTGAGCCACATGACAATCTCCCTCCATTTCAAGTCCCCAGAATCAGCCTCATAGTCTCTGAATATGGTCTCAATGCAGGCCCATTGCCACGGACCTTCCGTAACAGCCAAAGCAACCACAAGACACGGCGCGACGTATGCGGCACCAAGCGGACGGTAGTTGCAAGCCGATTCAGCCTCAGCGATGATTTGTTCACAGAAGAAAGCCGATTCCTGAGATAAAGTGGTGTTACTGGAGTCAAGCGCACGAAGAAGGGCATTCAAAAGTAGCGCTAGGGCCGTGACCACGGTATATCCGGCTTGGTAGCGGGATCGTTGACCAGCTACCGAGGAAGAAAAACAAGCTGGATCAGCTAGGACCCACTGGTCTAGAAACGAGCGGATCCTTTGGCCATCTTCTCGAAGCCTCGTATAAGCTTCGGTGATTTCGGCGAGGTAGGGATATGGGCGTTGTAGGTATCCTGGGAACTTTGAAAGTGATAAGAGGGTTGTGGTTGACCGCGGCAGATTTTCATCTTGTGGCGGAGAGCCTGGGGGTATGAGAGCCATTATACTCTCCCAGAAACCTGAGGGCATTCGGATTCGAGGGTTCCCTAATCCTTCAAAGATCTAGGCCGCGGATGAGAGTGAGCTACTCGTGTTGAGATCATTATTAAGTGCTAGGTGAGAGTCACATACCACCGGCACACTCATGGTAATAAGTAAATCTCTTTCAAACCCGCTATCCCACTTGCGCACGTCTATTATCTTGAGTAGATGTGCAATTGCTTGCCCATGGCTCACTTGTTGCTTTTCATGCTTCCGAAGCCACCCCTAGAAGAATGGGAATTAGTATGGAAGACTGTAGATGGCCAATTGAACATCCAAGGATGGTATACCTGACATATTGAGATTAGATAGATAGCGCAAAGCGTATCGGGCGATTGAATCTTAGCAGGATCATTTAAGGTCTCTCGTAATGTTCTCAATGATTTCCCATAGTGTATCAACACACCATGAGGAACCTCTCTACCATGGAAATAAGGGTAGGAGGAGACCAAAGCCTTTGTGGCAGCATCCAGCGCGGCGCTATGTCCGAGTCTGCGGGGAAGATCCTTGAGAAACGGTCCATAGAATGTGATATCATAGCGTATATCGCTAATACCGAGAGTATTAATAAAGCAGGCAGCGAGTCGATTGGTAGGAACATGAGTAATTGTGGGACTCGCAACTTGCTTCGTGAGAACTATGTCCCGAGTTCTTTCGGGCTTCATCTGGTTTGAGTCGGCATTCTTAAACTTGTAACGTTGCCGACCACTTCCAGCACAAGGGACTGACAACCGAAGACACCTTGAACAGGGTTGCAGTTCATCGCACTAGGTCACGCATTAGACCCACAATATACCCATGGACCATTCATGTAATAGACATACCTTCTTTTTCACTTTACGGCAGGCTTCGCACGCTTTACTAGATGGGACTCCTGGCATATTGGACGGGGCGCACGGTAATACCGGAAAAGGAAAGGCCGGTAGTAGTGGAGGTAATAGTGTACACGTCGGTCACTGTGGAATGAACGACAACCATGAGCAATCAAAGATCTTTGAGTCAGGCGATAATTATGCCCTGAGCTCCTCGTTCAAGGGTATCTCAGTGCCCCGCCGATTGCGGTGAAAAGGCCAAGACGGCTTGGCCCCCAACTAAGAGCAACCAATCAATGGCAGACAGAGGATATACAAGTTCTTCATGACTTACACAGCTGCATGATAGTACTGAAATCGGATTGGACTTTAGAAACCTTCTCGGCGCAGCACATTTCGCGTTTGGTCCGTAATGCTTACTCTCGAGCGGCCGTAGTCCATGTTGGCTATCGAGTTTGGCGAGGAACAGTCAAACAAAGACATTGGGCTGTACATTGCGGTTTATGGCCTGCTTTCTGGAATCTGGGTTTTCTAATACTTCTTTGCACGTCGGTAAGTGCTTGTATTGGAAGTTCTGTCATACTAGCTGACAATTCTACGGCATCGTTTGTTAAGATTATCGACAACATGCACGGCCCTTAGCATGCACTCGCATCTGAGGTCGACATTTTTAGGCTAAGCCTGATAACCATTCAGAATATGAAGCCCACAGCTTTTGGACATAGCATGGCGTTTGGCCTCTTGCAAAAGATCGACGCTGGTTCGACGATCAATCGGTCGGTTTCCTGGCAGTGGGCTTTTTTGTGACCAATGCCCGTGCGAGTATAAGGACTTGCTGCTCACCCACTGACCAATTCAAAGCTGAGAATAGCATATCAAGCGCTCTACCTTCACCACTATTTGCACAGACTTTGTTCCGATACGGTTCGAATTGGTTGGGTGAGATGTGCATTGGAATACTGGATGTTCGCCGCGGTCCACTAATTATGCTCGATTTGGATGAAGCAACCAGCAGGTATGTCCATTCTGGAAAAATTCCACTTTGGTATTGAGTTTTTTTCCCCAGCGTGGACCATGAAAGCGAAAGTATTATGCAGAGAAGAACTCGGTTCCCCGGCCCGTGGTGGCGGTTATGCACCATCTGCGATACGTTGAACGATTCAACAGGGTTTTGCTGATGAAGCGGGAGCAACTTGTAGCATCCGGTAGTCCCCGGGCATTACTTGCCAGGCTATCCGAGTTTCGATCACTTGGTGATGCAAAGCAGACTAGATGAGCCTGATGAGCGGTCATCGCATCCGCAGTAATCTGAGTAGGGGCCAATCATTGAACCGAGAATCAACACACTTCTCTCTGAACTACCATTCTACCATTTTTGAGACGCTGCGAGTAAAAGCCGACGACCATAGTCAAACAACCACAAGTGCCCGGGTGCTTCGGCGGCTCCGGGGCGGATGGACGTAATGTCAGGCAATGTGGAACAAACCGGGTCACCGCAAGAGTCCGGAGGCAAATGAAGACCTCCCTTGAGTGCAATTGCGAGGTCTAGACAAGTCAGACTCGAGCGAACCACGAAACGGCCAGTTTAGGAACTGCCTATTGTGGATCCATTTTCCGATCTGGCCGACTGCAAGCCCGGAGAAGCCGTGGCGGGCGGATCGGGAGAGCTGTCCCATCGTGATCGACTCCCCGGTTTACTCCACATCCTGCAAGATCCCAGGGTTCGACAGTTCTGGACAATTGACAATGGGGGCGGGTGACATCACGACTCTGTTGGACGTGGACGCGAGGTCTTGGCACCCGACCAGATGGCGACTTGGGGTCAAGATGGAGTAGAGAATGGAGACGTGTGGAGATGGTGGTTTCCCCGTCAAGAATATCATCGATTGGGTAGAAGGTAGAAGGTAGAAGGTTGACCATGACCATGACCATGACCATGACCATGTAGAAGATGACTGACGAGAGGCATCGAGAAGCAAGGTGGAGAGGAAAGACCCTGTTTCATCGCCGGATCCGAGAATAGGAGCCCACGATTGGTTCCCCCTTGATCAGGGACCCCCAGACCCTTCAGGGTTTGGACCCTTCGCATCGTCCCTCCTCATTGGCTCTGTGGTGTTTTCCCTTGGCCGCAGCCTCTTTGGGTCCCAGGAGGCGTCCAGCTCTAGTTCCGCGGTCTGCACTTGTCCTTCTCCACTGACGTTGGCACTGCACTCCTTTTATAAAGCCCGTCTTCCTCGATTATCACTCATTTCACATCCGTCGCTCTTCTCTTCCCTTCTCTTTTCTTTCTGATCTTCTTTCTTTCGAGGTTCTACCAACACCGTAAACATGCGTGTTTCTGGCCTCCTGCCTTTCATTCTGGCCGCTGCGCCGGCCGTCGTCTCCGCTCGCGGCACTCTGGGGTTCTCTCTGGGTGACAAGAACGCTGATGGCACTTGCAAGTCTACTAGCGATTATGAGGCCGACTTCGACAACCTGAAGAGCCTCTCCACCATCGTCCGCACCTACTCCGGCACCGAATGTGATACCCCCCAGAACATTCTGCCTGCCGCCAAGAACAAGGGCTTTAAGGTGGTCCTTGGTATCTGGTAAGAATCCCATCAATTGCAAAGACAAATGTAGACTTGGATCTCAGCTAACACGCATTTGTCTCTACTAGGGTCGGCGCCCAGGACAAGAGCGATATGAGCACCAACGACCCCTCGTTCACCAAGGACTTTGCCGCTCTCAAGAGCGCCATTCCCGGCAACGAGGACGTCGTTGACGCCATCACCGTCGGTTCCGAGACTCTCTACCGTGGTGATTTGACCGGTCCTCAGCTTCACAACTACATCAGCGCTGTCGCGAAGCAGTTCCCCAGCATCACCGTTGGTACCGCCGACAGCTGGAACAAGTTCGCCGATGGCACTGCCGATGATCTGTTCACCACCGACACTGATGCCAACCCCATGGTCACATACGTTCTGGCCAACGCCTTCGCCTACTGGCAGGGTACTGCTGCCGACCAGGCCCACAAGACCTACTTCGATGATATGTCCGGTGCCATGTCGCACATCCAGAAGATTGCCGGTTCCAACTGGGACAAGATTAAGGTTCTCAACGGCGAGACTGGCTGGCCTACTGGTAAGTGATCAGTGTTGATGCAATTTTTTTTCACATATACTAACAGCATTCCAGACGGCGGCTCTGACTACGAGGCTGCCAAGGCCGGCACCCAGAATGCCCAGACCTTCTGGAAGACCGGTGTCTGTGGAATGCTCGCGTGGGGCGTCGACCTTTTCTACTTCGAGGCCTACGATGAGTCGTGGAAGCCCAACTCCGTTGGTGACAACGGTCAGGCCATGGACGAGAAGCACTGGGGTTTGTACACCGCCGACCGCAAGTCCAAGTTCGACATGTCCTGCCCCCAATAAGCGGCCAATGGGGACTGGACCTATTGTTTTTCTATTGTAATTTGTTTCACTAGTATGGATCTCGGGGATCGCGCATAGACAAGTTTTAGGGTCACCGAGGTGAAATCTCATGGAAATATGGATTTGTTTGTGCAGTTGTGCAGGAGCCTTGGGCCTCCCAAGTGTCTCGTATATGTATGGCTTTGGGATTTACACACATGTGTCCTACCTGACCGAGTAAGGTAGTCCTAGTATGACTGGTCAGGAGCGTACAAATGGCATGGTCCAAGAAATTGAATCAGAGCTCGACACGTCGACGCGTGGGATTACGTGATTATGTCATCGAGACGGGGTACGGTAAATACGGGCGCAAACCACGGTTCGTCTACCCCTGAATCCAACCAAACTTGACTTAACGAACCACGCGAGCTTGTTTACTTTAGACGGTTAATCTTAGGCCGAGATCGAGATGGATGAGACCGTTGCATGAGACCGATGAAATATGTGCATGTACGGGAGACCGAGCAAGGAGGTTAGAAAACCAGAGACTGCATCCACTGTGGCGGTCAAGAAGCCAATGCCCGGGGTACCTGCGCAGGCAAGGGCAGTTGGGATCCATCGGCGCCTACCGCTAGCTACATGTGGGCAACTCAAGGACACTAACGGCCTCGGGAAGAAATTGAGGGTAAATGAAAATGAGTAATGCAGTAATTGAGACTAGGTTCACGGTACCTGTACACTAGTCTCCCTAACACCGTCCATATTCCAGCAAGTACCCAGTACACAGCTCCGTGACGTGACATAACCTGCACTTTTCTTTCCCCTTTCCGCACCCGTGTCCTCGTACGTGATGCTTCTGGTGTCTTTGTGATATCTCTCTTTTACACCTAGGTCCTTGGCGGAGGAATTCGAACTCGACTTTCAATTGACAGCCTGTTCGCCCCTGATTCCAGGTTGTCTGGTCATTTGCAATTCCGGTTGGATTTCCATGCGTCAACATTCTGGACGATAAGCGGAGCGGCAAGCAAGTGCTTGCTGCAGGAGTCGACACGGAAGGTGAGCTTGATTGAGTTTGCCCTCGTTTTTAAGTCTCGGATTGTCGGGATGCGAAGGTGGTGTGGAATTGAGTTGCTCCTTTTGATCTACTTCCACACCTCCGCGTCTCCCACGCGCATTCCTCCCCTTTCGATCTAATACCCCTCCACAAAAAAAAAAAAAGACCCTCCGAGAAATCCTTTACATGGCTAACATTTCGGATCGGATGGAGTCAAAGATCTAGATCCCTCCGTCTCTTCCGCCAGTTCGGCCTCTTCTTCACCGTTTCACCCGAAAGACGCGCGCATCCTACGTGACGAATCGCGACTGGCCCCCTCAGTGCTCTTGTCCTCGCCGCCGTCAGGAGACTCGAGCCCTTCGGATACTGGTTCGCCTTCTCAGCGACATTCCCCGCGGAGTATCACCCTCGAGCCCCCGCCGCTGCCATTCCTTTCGGCCCACCGAACCGGTGAATCCCTGATCTCGTCACCGGACAATAAAAGGGCTGAGAGCAGTGTCTACTATACCACTGCCTGGGGATCTCCGTATGCAGCGCCGAGCACCCGCCGACTTTCTTTGACTCTGAGCCAATACGCCGGCGCGGATCGCGAATCGCGTGAAAGCTCGCCAGTCAGTGTAGCCAACAACCCCGAGTTCCGGCGATCAAGCGTTGTCATCAACGAAGAGCTTGTTGGTAGTCAAGAGGGCAGGTCGATTCGGGATTTTACGCAAGATTGGATCAATCAGTACCTAACCGGTCAACCACGCACCGAGCGCAGTAACTGGCTGAGCGACGACTCCGGAAGCGAGGCACCGTCGTTTTTCACTGCCCAGAATCAGCTCGTCGACGAATCCTCTGACGACTGGCTTGGTCTGGAAGACGATATCCGCGAAAGCGACCTTCTCAAAACACCGACGCTTTCCGACTTTGTGGGTCGAAGAGCTGCTGCTCGCGCAAAGCCAAAGAAAAACTTGCATAAGCGCGCAGAAACTCTGCGCCAGGAGGATTTTTGGGGTTTCGCATACGATAAGGAATCACCCAACAACACAATGTCAGATACCAAGGAGTCACAGCCTCCCGCCGAGGTGACTTCTCCGGCCGAGAAGCCTCTGCCACCCCCGCCGTCATCTATTGAGGACGAGAATGTTAAAATAGAGGATACACAAAAGCCCGATGTACTTCAGAGGCAGGCCTCTGATCTTATCCAATCGGCCACTCAGATCCCGAGACGGAGAAAGAAGTTGGCCTGGCGTGGGAAGGCGTGTATCATTGAATTTCCCATGGATGACAAGCGAGGAACAGAGGAATCTGATTTCCGTCTGTTGACCCGTGAGGATGTTGAAGCGCGGATGAAGAACTGGGAAAGCGAAGGCTACGATATTCGCGGATTTACCATTGGCGAGACAGATGGTTCTTCCGAGCCCACTGAACTGGGTGGTTTAAGCCGACCTTTGTATCCCGATCCGTATGAGGTCTACGAAGAAACCAAGGACCAAAAGGTTCATATCTCCTTCCCGGATAAGTCTGTTTGGGACTCTTATGTGGCAAACCTGCAAGAAGAGAAGCTGCGGGCTTTGGGTGTCTCCTTTGGTGACCCCGAGCCTCAGCACTCGCCTTCCCCTGCATCGGCATCAATTAACCCATCACAAACACCATTCCCCGGTCTCGTGGCATCCCCGCCGATTCCCACTGCATCTGCAGCAAGCAACCCACTCTCCTCAATGCACACTTTCTCGCCGCATTTTGGTCAGTCAGCCAGTAATGCAAGTGGTGGAATGGGATCTTTGGCCTCGCCAGGTTCATTCGGCGTTCATACTCCATTTATGGGCATTGAGCAAAACTTGATGAATGGATATCCGTTCCAGTTCCAGCCCACACCTCCTGCCCAAGGCTCCATGACCCCACAGAGCCTGGCCAATCTTCGCCATGTCAATTCGTCGGTTGGCCCCGGGGCACTCCATAACTTCAACTCGATGCTATCTCCCGTTTCCCCGATGCATGAGCAGGGTTACCCCGATTTCGAGAAGGCTGGCTTTGATCCTGGCTTTGGACTTGTCGGCCATGATGCTCCTCCTTTCCAGACTCCCCGCACTCCGGTCAACGACCCTGGTCACTTCCATGCGAATGTTGAAATCGCTCACCCAACTCCTCGTGGTCACGGCCACAACCTCAGTGAAACTCTCCAGCGAGGCGTGGAACAGATGACACATCCCGAGTATCGAGGTCTGCCGGGTCAGGTTGAGCACCATATGGAGGATGATCACGATGCTGCCCACCATGGAATGGACTTCGATTCGATCCAGAATCGGTGGGAGAGGCATCAGCAGGAGAATGGTTTCTATCAGCCGCAAAACGATTATCAGCATATGGCTCAAAACGCGCCTCGTCATGCCTCGTTCTCTCAACATCCTCATCAATTCTACGACGGTCAATTTGGACACCAAATGCAGAACACGCATGAGGTTTCCGATGTAGATACAAACCCTAGCCTCGCTGGAACACCGCATACCCGAAGTGCCATGCCAAATCAAGGACCATGGCATGAGTCGAAACCCAGTTCTGGCTCCTACCAGGGCCACCAGTCCAAGCTTTCTATTTCGTCGCTTAACGTGCAGGCTAAGGAGTTTGACCCGACTGTTTCTTTCGAATCTCAGGCTGCACAGCTCGGTGGAAACGCGTTCCAGTTCGGTGGAATGGGCCAACAAGGCTTCGGCTTCGCCCCTGCCGCCTCGGCCTTCAACCCATCTGCTAGTATAAATGCTCCGCTGGAAAATCCTCTCAAACAGAGCACCAGCAGCTTCAAGTTTTCCTCCGCATCTTTCAATGTCGATGCTCCCGTCTTCAACCCTTCTGCCAGTATCAAGTCGAATGCCAGTATCAACTCGAATGCCAGCTCTGAACAGCCGCCTGCTAACCGAGCCAAGATCTTCGGCGACATTGATATTGCTGAGATATCCAAGCCTACGAAGGAGAACAAGGCAATCCCAATCGTGCGGCCCGATGAAAACGAGGCCATCGAAGATGAAAACGAGCAAACGGTCCACGATGATGCCAATGGCCGACCTGTTCCCACAGATCGCCACAAGCGCGCTCGCCGTGGGATTGGCCACGCTGAGGGTGAGGCTCGGTACAGCATTTCAACCCATCCCCTGGGAGAGGCTGGCAATGCCCAAGCGTCCAACAATCTCCAATCCGTCGCTGAGGGCAAGGAGAATGCCTTGCCTGGAGATGACAAGACTCTGGAGCGCAGAAGCACTCCTTTGAGTGAAGCTGACACTTGGACACTGTTCGATTACCGGAACAAATCCAATGCCGGATCGCCCATTCCGGATGAACACAGTCATGAGATCCAGGAGGGCTCTGCCCACAAGCCCATGATCGAGGAGCCTGCTAAAGAGGCTGCTCCTCAGAATGACTCAAAACATGCTGCTCAGGAATCGAAGAGCTCCATTAAGAGTACGATGCTCTCGGCCACAGCCGCGCCATTTGAGTTCAAGCCTGTAGTCCCTGCATTTGTTCCAATTACCGTGCAGCCGTCCAACTTTGCTGAGAAGCAGCTGGAGACCGAGCCGGAGCCCACCAAGATCCAGCCTGCTGCGGAAGAGCCTCTTCAGCAGAAATCTGCTGAAAAGAAGTCAGGTGGTCTCATGGCCTCTCGCTTTGCTACTGATAGCCCACCTAAGCCGCTGCCAGCTGCGTCTCAACAAAATCGGGGGTGGAACTCAGATTCTGGGGATGAAACCCCAGACTCTGAAGATATTGATGCTGTCATGGACCAACTCAATGGTGATGGCTCTGACATTGGCATCGAGAGACAGTACACTCCTCTTCCGCCTCAGCACTTCTCGGAGTCTATGGGCGGTCCTACCAAGGAGCAGCGCTTTGGCTCTGTAGAGGGTAGAAGCGAAGCTCCTAGCCCTAGCCCTGGCGGTGGTCAGAAGACCTACAAGCTTGATATTCCTAGACTCGATTTCGATGAGGTTCGCAGCCACGCCAGCCCCTCTCCCAAGAAGGGCTTCATCTCTCCAATGAACGCCCAGAAGGGCCTTATCACTCGCTTCCAATCTCCCACTCGCCGTGGCTCATCCCCTGCTCTCTCCTTCCAGTCCCCACCCCACCAAAATGACGAGATTGAGGTTTGGGATACTGATTTCGATCCCAACGAAGACGAGAAGTTGATTACCAACAAGGCCTGGGCTGAGAACCGCGCTAAGGATGTTGTCCACTCTGTTGTCTATGAGCAGGTTGCTCCCTTGCAGCGTTCTATGGCATTGATGCAAGCGACTTTGGCTTCCATTGCCAACGAGACTACAAGCAGGAAAGGGCGCCGTAGCATGTCTGCGGAAGTCGAAGACAGCGATGCCGATGACGAGGATGACGATGAGCGTGAGGATAAATCTGTTAGGGCTCGCTCGCCTCGACAAATGCGCGATCGTAAATTGATGCAGAGTGTTGTCATGGAAGCTTTGGTAGCACTTGATCTTCCTGGACGCTCGTCACAGCACTCCAGTCATGGCGAGATGGCTCAACTCAAGGAGAGTATTGCTGAATTGCAAGCTTTCGTTATCAAGAAGCTTGCTCAAGATCCTGTTGGCGATATGGAGGAGATCCTACAAGAGACTTTGGCGAGGCAATTTGCCCAACAGACGCCTCGTTTGACGGAAGCTGAGGAGATCGGTGCCGATAGTCTGATGCTCCAGATTGAAGGTCTCAAGAGCATGTTGCGAATGGCCGATGAGCGTGCCGAGCAAGAATACAAGACTCGTCGCGATACTCAAGACTCACTGGCCGAACTTCAGCACTTGTTGAAGGCCGCCGAGGAGGATGCTGCTCGTCACAGTGCGGCTGCGGAAGACGCCGAGGCTCGCCTCCTCCAATTTAAGGAAGAGAAGATTCCCCACTTGGAGAAGATGCAGTTCCGCAGTACTTCCCTCGCCGAAGAGAGCGAGACCCTCAAGGTCACTATTGCCGAATTGTCCTCGAAAAACATTGCTCTCGAGGGCACTCTGGATGAGTACCGGGTTTCCAGCGACCACTTCCGTCGTCAATTAGAAACCGCCAAGGACGAGAACAAGTCTCTGCATGAGACTGTCGACCACCTGAGGACTCGTATTGAGGACAGCATGGTGGCCCGACAAAACCTGGGCGAGAAGTTCGATCGCCTTCAATCGGATATGGTTACACTTACATCCGATGTGATTAGTGAACAGGCCTCGTGGCGCAGGAAGGAGGAGGAACAGACTGCCAAACATAACGAACTGCTTGCCTCTCACGCCCGTGAAGTCAAGCTCCGCGAGCAACTTGAGCAGGAAGTCGCTGAACTTGCAAAGCAAGAACGCGAGGCTGCCAAGATGAAGTTCGTCCATGAGCAATCCCAACAGGAGAACGCTAGGTTGGAAGAGGTCATCGCCAACCTACGTGCCGAGAACCATGAGCTGTCGCTCACGTCAGCTCGTTTCGAGCGGGAGTTCAATGAAGCCCGCGAGAGCAGCCGAATGGAGATCCAGCGTACCCGTACTTCCATGGAAGCCGATTTGGAAGCGTCCAACGTTCAGGTTAACATTGTGCGTGCTGAACTGGAGGCTCAAGTCATTCGTCTCCAGAGCCAATTGGAGAATGTTCAGATGGATGCTGATACTTCCCGGGAGCGCTACGAAATGCTCCTGGAGGAAGCTAAGGAGTCCAAGATCACTGCCGTCGCTACTGCCAAGGAGTCTCGCGAGACCGCCCTTGAGGACGAGCGCAAGACACACGAGCGGGTCCTTAATGACCTCCGCGAGCGCCACGCTCGTGCCTTGCACAACTCTTCCGAAGATCGCCAGCGTGCGGACGCGTACATGGAGGAGCGCATGGCTCTTGCAGACGACAGGGCTAAGCACTTGCAAGAGCGTGTGGAGCACCTCGAGGAGAGGCTCGAGATTGCGCAATCTGCTGCCCGGGCCGCTGCTGAGGCGGCCCAGAAGGGTGGTGCTTACCCCGTGCCTGCTCCCGCGCCGGCACACTCGAGCTCACCCTCTATGTCCTTCAACAAGGGTTCCCAGGAGCCAGAGAAGATCTCTCCACAGGCCCTGCGCGAGTCTATCTTCGTCCTTCAAGATCAGCTCCAGCAGCGCGAGACCCGCATTGAGGAGCTCGAGCAAGAGGTTTCGTCCGTGGACAAGGAGGCTCCGAACAAGATCAAGGAGAGAGACACTGAGATCACCTGGCTACGTGAGCTTCTCGGTGTCCGCATCGACGATCTGCAGGATATCATCAAGACCCTTTCGCAGCCTTCCTTCAACCAGCATGCTGTTCGTGATGCCGCTATCCGTCTGAAGGCCAACCTGCAGATGCAACAACAGGAACGCGAGCGTGCCGTCTCTGGCCAAAGCCTCCAGTTGCCCTCCATCTCTGATATCGCCGCCTCTCCGCGCGCTCTTCCTCTCGCCGCGGCCGCAGCCTGGGGCAACTGGCGCAAGAGCAGAGAGAACTCCAATGGTGCAGGCTCAGCAGAGCAAACCCCTTCTAAGTCCAGCAACGCCGGTACCTTCTTATCGGGACTCCTGACTCCGCCGACCTCCAACGTCCGACCGAACGCTACACAAGCCAGCGCTTCAGGCCGCTCATACTCCGAAGGCCGACCTTTGAGAGGATTCAACTCGACTCCTCGACGAGGTTCCGTCCGCCAGGAAGCCCTCATCGCCGAGCCACCCAAGACCCCTCCACTCCTCCGCCGCTCCAGCTACGACCATGATGCAGAGGCGACAAACTATGAAGACAACAGCTTCGCCACGGACGACATCGAAAGCACCGTCGACGGAATGGTCTCTGAGTCACCCCGAGATCTCAGCGGCCCATTCGGCCCTCAGATCTCCGCCGTCGCCGAAGACGAAGAGTGATCTGCTGGATTTGAATTTACTTTTTCTTTAGATTGTCTTATTCTAAAAATTACGCCCTGCTTTCCTTCCGAGTATGACACCCTGTGTTATCTTGTGTCCCATGTTCCTGATTTTGCTTCTGCTTGCAGCGCTTGTCACTATCATCTACCACCTACACCTACATCTTCATCTTTCTTGCCACTCTTTTACACCCATACATAGTACATTTCTTACTCAGATCTGTGATTTTTTTGATGTCCTTTCGGATTTGATACCACCCTTGCCCTGTGCTGATTATGTCTGGCATTCTTTTTTTGAATCTTTGATCTTTGGAGAATCCATATCCCTTGTACATTGAACCCGTCTATACCTTCATGTCCTATCGTTTTATCTACATATTAATACTTGAACACTCTTTTTATAATTTTTATTCATTGTATTATCTTCTTTGCGTCTTTGAATGCAGCTGAAACCATGCTTTCGGTAATCTAGGAGATTGGAAGAATGAGAAGCTCCCGAGCCATCTACAACCATGTCTTGACTAGCTCTCTAAGATGTTCTGTTGTGAGTTTCCCAGTTCTCAGCAATGTACTTAGATGGCCAAACTATGATATGCAGACAATATATTGGAAAGAGTGCTGATGCAGCACAGCATGGCTTCTCCGATATTTCCGCACAGCTGCCAAATTTAATAAGCCTCACAAAGGAGCAGCTATCCGAGCCTCCGCCATCGGAGCCCATGTCAAGGAGGCCGATTTTCGAGGCGTTGGGTACAGAGGAAGGGCTTAGTGAAGAGGAAGGGGAAAATGAGGCCATACTAGAGCATAAGCTGAGAAGATAAGCTGCCGTCACAGGTGATTTCGTACCGGAATTAGGTTACACTATCATCCCAGGGACACTCATGTGGCTAGCTATCCTTCGACTTATTCCTCTCGAGTAGTTAATTCATCCATAACAGTTGATTGTCCTAAACATACTATATTTTCCATGTGATTCGGTTCTCTTACCGTCCGTCCACCATCTTTAAAACATTTTAAAAGGTTGTAGTGGGGTCGCTACATATTTATGTACGGTAAAATATTGGACGGTTGAAGGCCTTGGCCTTATTGACTGATGTCGATGTATATTTTTGCTTAAGATGCATGAAATCCAACGGAAACTAAGTGATGAATCCTGCAGACAATTTGAGACCCAAAGTCAAGGCCATAGGTAATTTATCATCGGTCGCAAATAATATCAATCTATTGATGCCAGTTACTTGTCTATGTAGTTCCAGATTGTCGGAGGTCATCCACTCGCCGCTGTTTACAGGTGGTCCGAGCGTCACCACTTGACACCTTGCGCGTTGTCTTCAACATTGAACCAAACCGGACTCCCCTCATCACCAACCACCCTCCTCTGCCCGCCAATTCGAACAAAGCAACAGCAGGAGCTTGATACAGATCAAAAAATGCGCTTCTCCGCCGCTACCCTTCTCGTCACCGCGCTCGGGTGGGCCTCCGCCACGATCGCACACACCATCCAGCTGAAGGCTCACTCCCGCGAATGCTTCCACGAGACCCTGCGCAAGGATGATCTGATGACTGTCACCTTCCAGGTCGGCGACCGCGAGTTTGGAGGAAGTGGTAACCTCGAGATTGACTTCTGGGTACGTCTGCCGGGCAGTTCTGCGCTCCCCTGACCTCGGGCATCGGGATCGAGGATTTGACTCGGGGAAGCACATGAGCATTGCGCAGTCCAGTCAATGGGATTATCTGGTGAATCGGGCCTGCTGACATAGTGATTTACAGGTCGAGGACCCCCTGAGGAACCGCCAGTACTACAAGCAGGCTATCTCCAACGAAGACTACTCGTTCACCGCACAGGCCGACGGCAAGTACAACTACTGCTTCAGCAACGAGGGCTGGACCTCGAACTCGAAGGAGGTCTCTTTCAACGTCCATGGCATTGTCTACGTTCCCGAGTCCGAGATGTCGCAGGACCCGCTGGAGACTGAAGGTAAGATCGAGGTCGCCACGGAGATTAAAGGGTCATAAACTGATCTGGTCATTGGGGGATTTTAGTCCGCAAACTTTCCGACGCCCTTGCACAGGTCAAGGACGAGCAGGGATACATTGTTGTTCGAGAGCGTGTGCACCGGAATACAGCCGAGAGCACCAACGGCCGAGTCAAGTGGTGGAGTATCTGCCAGCTGGCAGTGGTTATTGGCGAGGGTGTTTTCCAGGTGTGGTGGTTGAAGAGATTCTTCGAGGTAAGGATTGATCAAACATGATACCCTAGGCCTTGGGTGAGATTCAGAACAGAGACTAATCCGTGGTGCAACATCTAGGTCAAGCGCGTCGTTTAAACTTTTCTCCGTTTACCATTTTCCGATATACAAAATGCGCTGTTTGCCGACCAGATATCAGGTTTCAGGCCTTGTGGGACAAAACCACGGCTATGATTTCGGGAGATACTTGATATTCCACGGCATTTTTTCATGTTTTTCACGCCATGGAGTCATGCAAACATCCTTTGATAGTTTAATATACCTGTATCACCAGCGAGCGGATGACCCAAATGCCCAGATGCAAGGACGTTATGTTTTCCTGGCTTCTTGCGTACTGTACTTGTGTGTCGGGCGCCAGATGCTTATGTTCGCAACTAAGCCCGGAACACAAAGGAACACGCCCGACTGCGTCTATTCTTGACCAACCATCGATGTGGCTTCTAGACCGCGAGTTAGACCCCATTAATATCCAGGTTATGATCCCTCATCTCCCTCGTTCTAACCCAGCCCACCTCACTTCCTACGGGTAGCATCCTCCACGGCTGTAAGGAACCTCTCCCTCTAGGGTTTCCAAGGACCAGTTCTATATGCTCCCCGCCCCGCGTACTTTTGTCCTCGTGCCCGCTCTGCAAGGAGCGCTCGTGTTGATATTCAACCAACCGACACACATCCCCGCCTCCCTCCGTACCTTACATGAGACCGAGCAAACAAGCATTCGACATGATTCCTAGCGACGCCCAAGCGAACCAAGGGCACCATAGCAACAGCCTGCGAGATGTCTTAGAGACAAGTGACCCTCTTTTTAACATCTGCTGGAGCCGACAGTCCTGCTCATCGTGCCTGGCAGGTGATGTGGCCTGCAGTTGGTGCGCCATTGTATGTAACGCCATTCACACTTCTCAGTCTGCACACCTTTTAGTGGAATTCTGGTGGAATCTGGCTCTCTTTCCAGTTTCCAGTACTTTCTTTTTGTTCCGCGCATTGCATTCTCCCCTGACCTTGTTTCGTATCCCCGATCCCTTGCATTCCAATGGTGTTTCAATCCTTCCCCTCCCAACTTCTCGAGATCGCCACATTATTGCACTAATGCCCGTGCCCATGCCTATGCCCGTGTCTGTGCCACCGTTAAGCTGACCATCCCGATCTAGTCGTCCACCTGTGTTCCCAATACGGCTCGTCTACCCATCTTAGCCCCCCTCCGCTCCACCCATATCTGCCCACTTGGTGCTAAGGAACGATGGGAGCTGAGGGCACTGCCTTTTGGGTGTAGTGTGAGTACTACGACTCTCTTGAGCACTGCAGTTGCCGCGTTGAGTACAGTCGCCTTGATCGGCGTTGTTTATTTGGTCATTGGAATTGTCCAACGGGCACGCAGCAGGTGGAAAGAAGCAGAGCATGGGCGTTTAGATGACCAGGAACGAGAGTCCTCCTGGTGTGGATGCTTAGATCTTGGGCTAGTTGGGTCTTTATTTACTGGTTTATTTGACAAAAGCCAAGGACAGCAGGGACAAAGTCAGAGGTTATTGGGAGATGATCAAGACGATGCAGAATCTAGACCGTTACTAGAGTAGATCAAAGATATAGGAACAAAAAAGTATGTTCTGCTCTAATGCACATGTGCACAGTTCGAGTATAGACATTAGGCCGAGACGGCCACGATCATATTCCGCACCATAATCGTCAGGTCATCGACTGTGCGCTTCCCTCGCGGTATGATATGTCCGCCTCCATGGTCAAACAGCTCCGTACTGTCCGGGTCGCACATATTGTACAACGCCATCGAAGCATCCAGGAACGGATCGGCTGCACCCACAACATGGAAAGTGGGGACGGTGAAGATCTCATCGTCCTCGATATCGTCAATTATAACTTGCTGACCAGTTGCCAGATGAATTGGTGGCCAACCACAGAAAAAAATGGCGCACTTCAGTCGGGGCTCCCGGCCTGAAATCTTGCGTCTTCGTGCTTCCTCCCAGAGAAGCGAGCCGGCAATCATCGCTCCTTCCGAGTACCCAATGACTCCTTCAATGTCGCCCTCCTTGTCCAGAATACCAACTAACCGGTCAACCACTTCTCGGATGTTTGAGAAGGTAGTGCGACCAGACAAATCAAAAGCGCGAGTCATTGTTTCCTCGGGAGTATCGCGTTTGGGAAAGTCGGCCATGTTGAAGCGGAGCGATCCAGGAACGTCCTCTGCGGAAAAGGTAAAGTTGGGCGGCGGGCCAAAGAAGCCTTCGTGCTCCGGGGGGATTTTGACCTCATTCTGTCCCTGGGTAAAGAAGAAACTGGCATCGCCAGTCGAGCACAGTGAATCGCAGAATGGAGCTGAAACCACCATCAGGTGCTTCCGTTAGTCTGCATTTCACAACCATAGCTTGTTGACTCTTCAGCTTACCGAGCTGCGTCTTGAGAACCTACGAGATGGTCAATTCTAGTGGTTCCAATCCAAGTGTGAAATTGCCACATACCTCAGCATTGCCAAATCCTCCAGGCAAGCAAAGGAACCTCATGATAGCGGAGTATGGAGCTGGCACGCTGTCGCCAACGAATCGACGAACACGGGAGAATAAATGTCGGACAATCCACCGCGTGTGATAGCCCATTCACCACGCCTACGGATCCGATATCATACTATTAAAATCCAGGGAATCCCTTGGAAGGGTCGGAGTTTACCCCTGTGTCGGAATGCACCCTAACGTTAGCAAGGGCCCTTGAAACACATCGGACAATAACTCGCGACAAGCGATCCAGCCAAGGAATGAAACGATCAGTGCGGCAGCTTTACTACGATGATCTGATTCAGAACTGCAGCCTTAGAGGCAATCCGAGGGTACACTAATGGGTGGGGGGATTCCCCTTCTGCACCTGTGGCCCGTGGGAGGGGGCCATTATTATTTAGCCTCGTCATCAAGGATGGAAGGCATGGGCCTCTAAGCCAACTATCATTACCCGATCTAGCCCTTGATGCCCCCTGTAAGAAGATTTCTACCAGCGAAAGATCTACAGTCACGCACCTGGGTGTCATGCAAGGGCTGCATGTACTTCACAACAAAGTGATATCAGGACTATGCTTCCACTTTCAAAGAGTGAACTCTTTACTCCATTGACTTGTTCGTGAACATACTACGTTAGATTTTAACAATTCCTGTCATTTCTTGGTCTATTCCTCTTTCTTTCGCTCCTTTGACTCTTTGCCGGATTCTGATATCGACGTCAGTATCGAAGCTCTCTCGAATGCTAGTCAGCTAGACGCGATAGTTTTACAGCAAGATGCGTCTGCAACCGCCCCATGGGTCTGGCTCGCCAGTACTCCAGAGCGAACCGGTGGTGGAAGAGGAGGGGAAGGGTGATCTTCCGAAGAAGATGGCCATTATCGGCATGTCCTGCCGTCTACCCGGCCAAGTGTCGACCCCCGACGATTTCTGGGACATGTGCTCGAGAGGGCGAAATGCCTGGTCAGAAGTCCCCAAGAGCCGATTCAACGCCGATGCATTCTATCACCCTCATCAAGACCGACCCGGCTCGCTGAACGCCCGAGGCGCACACTTTCTAGACGAAGATGTCGGACTTTTCGATGCGCCGTTCTTCAACATTACCCTCCAAGAGGCTCGTTCTATGGATCCACAACAGCGGTTGATGCTCGAGTGTACTTATGAAGCTCTAGAGAATGCTGGTATCGCGAATCACGAAATCGCCGGAAGCACAGTGGGAGTGTTTGCGGGTGCCTCATCCCCCGACTACGAGTTCAATAACACACGCGATATCGATTCTATCCCAATGTATGCTTCGACTGGAGCAGCGGTATCGTTGCAGTCGAATCGAATTTCTTATTACTTTGATTTGCACGGTCCTAGCATCACAATCGACACTGCGTGCTCTTCGAGTTTGTCTGCATTGCATATTGCGTCACAGAGTATCAAAAACGGTGAATGCTCCATTGCCATAGTTGGAGGCTGTCATCTCAATCTACTTCCGGAAGCATTTGTGTCCATGACACGGTCCAGGTATGGACATTTTCCGATATTCGTCTCATGTCTCCGCGCTAACTTTGCACCTACTAGACTTCTCGCAGACTCCGGAAAATCGTATGCTTTCGACCACAGGGGAACTGGATTTGGCCGCGGTGAAGGTGCAGGGTGTATTATATTGAAGTCTTTGGAGGATGCCCAAGCCGCCGGCGACGCCATTCGCTCTGTTATTGTTAATAGCGGTATCAACCAAGATGGTCGCACCAGAGGTATCGCTATGCCTAATGGTGCTGCCCAGGAAGCATTGATCCGACAAGTCTACAAGGAAGCACGAGTTGATCCAAAGCAGGTTGGGTATGTGGAGGCCCACGGAACAGGTACCAAAGTCGGCGATCCTCTTGAGGCCACCGCACTTCAAGCTGTCCTCGGAGAAGGCCGTACTCCACGCCAACCGCTGCTTGTCGGATCTGTCAAATCCAATATCGGCCATTTGGAAGGCTCGAGTGGCGTTGTGGCTGTGATCAAGACATCTTTGATGCTGGAGCGAGGATTTGTACTTCCTAATTGCAACTTTGAGAAGGCCAACGACGAGATTCCCATGGCTCAGTGGAACATGAAGGTGAGATATTTCACGATTGAGCAGAACGATAAGTAATAACATCCACTAGGTCCCTACCAAGTTGATGCCCTGGCCTCGGGGTAAAACTTATGCCAGTGTAAACAACTTTGGATTCGGTGGAACCAACGCCCACGTCATCATGGAACGTGGTTCCCGATACAATGGTGAAGGACTAGAGAATACAGACCCTCTGACACGACGGGTCTACGTTGTCTCCGGGAGTGATAAGCAGGCCGCTTCTAAGCTGGGAAAACAACTAGCTGCATATCTTGATCTCAACCCGCCGATATTCACTGACAGCTTGATGGAGAATATGGCCTATACTCTCGGCCAGCGACGAACTTTGCTGCCCTGGCGTCTGGCTGTTTCGGTCACTTCCCACAAGGAACTGAACACTTTCATTTCTAACGATCCAGAGCCAGTTCGGTCCTCTCGCGAGCCAACCATTGGGTTCGTTTTCACTGGCCAGGGAGCCCAGTACCATGGCATGGGCAAGGAGCTTTTGGAAACATACCCTGTCTTCCAACAAACTATGAAAACCGTGGACGCCTACTTGAAGACTCTGGGTGCCACATTTTCTATAATCGGTAGGTTTCTTCCCTTGACAGAAATTCTGATTGGTCTCTAACGATTTCCAAAGATGAGCTGCGTCTGGCTGACCCCAGCGCAAGCTCTATCTCTGCCGCATATATGAGCCAGCCGGCGTGTACAGCAATCCAACTCGCTCTTGTGGACCTTTTGAATTCATGGGGTATCCGCCCCAAGGCAGTCGTTGGCCATTCCAGTGGGGAGATTGCGGCAGCATACGCCGCAGGCGTTCTCTCACTGGAAGAATGTGTGCGTATCGCATACTGCCGCGGTGTGGCCGCGAACCTCTTGATGAAAGACGAGACCGTCCAGGGAGCCATGTTGGCCGTCGGCGCCAATGCTGGCGATATCCAGCAAATCCTGGATGCTATGCGAGGAAAACAGGTGGTGATCGCCTGTGTGAACAGTGAATCAAGTGTCACACTCTCCGGAGATAGAGACGCCATCGGGGATCTCCAAACGGCGTTGGACAAGGAGGGTATCTTCACCAGAAAGCTGCACGTCGACGTCGCATATCATTCTCACCACATGGCCAAAGTTGCACCGCAGTATCGGTCATTAATCGGCAAGATCGCTCCGCGAGTTTCGGAGGTTCCTTTCCACTCGACTGTCAAGGGAAAGTTAGTCCCAGGTGCTACTCTCGATGCTTCATACTGGGTTGAAAATTTGGTCTCTCGCGTGGAATTTGTGAAGGGTGTAAGCAGTCTCTTGACAACTGACATGCCCGGTGGCCAGATTGATACTATCATTGAAGTCGGACCTCATCACGCACTTCAAGGCCCTACCAAGGACATTGCCGCCATCCACGCACCAAACCGCACCCTCCAATTTACACATACGCTTAAACGCAAGGTACCTGGTGATGAAGCCATTCAGCAGCTGGCTGCTACTCTCTTCACACAAGGCATGAAGCTTGACTTCCAAGCTATCAACTTCCCTAATCTGGAAACGGTCCCGAGAAAACCCCAGCTATTGACCAATCTTCCTAAATATCCGTGGAACCACACAGAGCGGTATTGGATCAATTCAAGGCTGGGCGACAACCTCTTTCACCAACAGTTCCCAAGAAGTGATATTCTCGGCAAGCGCACCATGGAAAACATCGACTTGGAGCCTCGCTGGAGAAATATCATCCGTGCAGATGACCACCCTTGGATTCGTCAACACAGGGTGTATGATAGCAACGTTTATCCAATGACTGGATTTTTGGCCATGGCAATGGAGGCCATGTCTCAACAGGCCCACATTCACCATCTTGTCCCAGGAAAGATTGATCTGCGAGAAATCTCTATCAGCCGTGTTCTTCCCATCCCGGATAATTCAACGGTAGAGACAATGCTTAGTCTGCGTCCAGTCCGAGCTGATGCTCCTGGAAAATCTATTCTCGGCTGGCACGAGTTCAAGGTATTCTCTTGGGCCGAAGGCCGTGGATGGGATGAGCACTGCAGTGGTTTTGTTATGGTGTCCGAAACCAAAGACGCGAATGCCGTCAATGGAAGGCAACACCAAGCGAACATTTCATCGGAGCTGATTAAGGACACCACCGAGATGCGTGCTTCATGCAACACCCCAGTAGACAGTGATTTCTTCTACGAAAATATCGCCAGTGGTGGTGTTAACTATGGCCCACTCTTCCGCAACCTTTCCAATATCTCTGTCAGCACTGGTCGCCAGGCAATGGGCACCGTTTGCGTTCCGGACACCAAAGGCTGCATGCCGAACGAATACGAAACAGCCCACTTGGTGCACCCTGTTACTTTGGATCTTTGCTCTCAAATGATGTGGGCTCTTCGGGGCTACGGCCAGCCGGGACCGCAGGTAACCCATGTGCCCTCGCATGTCAAGCATGTCTCTTTATGTCTAGATCAAAATCTTGGTGCCGGCGCCAAGTTGCAGCTCTATGGTCAAGAGACAAGAGCGGAGTCTGCAAGCATGCCGGTGGACAATCGCATCATTGCTACCAATCCCGATGACCCGTCTTGCGCGCTCATTGATATCGAAGGAATAACTCTGGTCCCGATTTCAAATGATATTATGGGCTCCAAAGACAAGAGCCCTGACCAGATTTGTTACAAGCTTCACTGGGAGCCCTGCTTTGACTTCCTCTCGGAGAACAGCTATCGAGAACTCCCACGAGCCCAGGTTGGTGATGGAAAAGGGAATGAGAGAATGCACCTGGTAGATTCAGTTGCTGAATACTGGCTTCGGCAAATGCTCCGTTCTGTTTCTGAGTCAGAGCTGTCTTCCTTTGAGCCTCACCATCAGAAATTTTACCGTTGGGCCCAACATAGTTGTCAGGAGGCAGGCATTGTCGATGACTTGTCTAGCGAAGTTGTGGAACAAACAAGGAACATGAACGGAGCTGGCAAGGTCACTTGCGTTATTGGCGAGAGGCTTCCTGAGATTCTCCGTGGCAAGGTTGATGCCTTGGCGATGCTGCTTGAGGATGATATGCTCGGCGGATATTACCAAGACCTTGACGGAGTCCGTGAATCCTACAGTAATGCATCCGTCTGTATCGACAAGATGGCTCACCAGAATCCCGAGATGAATATTTTGGAAATTGGCGCTGGTACTGGCGGTGCTACTTTGCCTATTTTGCAGACGCTTGGGGGACATGAGGCTGGTTCAACTCCTCGCTTTGGACATTATACTTATACCGATATCTCTCCTGGATTTTTCGAGAAGGCCAAGATCAAGTTCGACAACTGGGGTCATCTTATGACTTACCAGGTTCTGGATGTCTCTACCCATCCCACCGAGCAAGGATTCAAACTTGGTAGTTACGACGTTATTGTTGCTTGCAATGTTCTTCACGCTACATCCGATATTAACCAGACCATGGCAAACATCCGCGCTCTGATGAAGCCTGGTGGTAAGATCATGTTGATCGAGGAGACTTGCTCCCGTCCTAGACACTTCCCATTCGCCCTTCTCCCCGGATGGTGGCTGGCCAGCGAGGATGTTCGCCAGAGCGGACCTCTTCTCACCACGGAGGGATGGAACAAGGTGATGAAGGCAAACGATTTCTCCGGCGTTGACCTTTGTATCGAAGAGTTCCCCGGTGCCTCTCATCAAGCTGGTTGCTTGATGATGACGACGGCCAACCCCATCAAGAGCGGCCCGAGGAACCCAGGAGATATCGTTGTGATTAGCAACGACTCTCTCGGCTGTCTTTCTACCCTCAGTCTTGAAGCAGGCCTCAAGGAGTCAACTGGTGTTGTTCCCAAGACCGTCTCCGGTCTAGACTCAGCCGATTTGACTGGCAAATGGTGTATTTTCCTTGGTGGCTTGGACCAGTTGGTCTTGGCTGATCTTACCCCAGAGAAATACCAAGCCTTCCAACGTTTGGTTGGTCAAGCAAGAGGCTTGCTCTGGCCTGTCAGACATTCGAAGTCGGATCCGCAGTCCCTGGGCGTCAACATGGTAATTGGCCTTGCTCGCACGGTGAGATCGGAGACTGGACTGCAATTCGCTACTCTCGACTTGGGAGAGAAGGAGAGCATGTCGGATGCCGAGGCTGTCCAGCACATGCTGCATGTATTCAATGGGGTCTACTGTCAGAAGTCCCAGTTGATGCATGGCGACTTCGAGTTTGTTGTTCGTAATGGCCATGTTTCCGTTCCTCGCCTTGTCGACAACCACGCACTTAATCTCAGTGTTCAATTGGAAACTACACCGGATGCGCCACCTCAGCTTCAGAAATTTAAGCAAATCGAGCGACCGCTTAGACTCACCGCTGGCCACGGTCGTGTGCTTGATGAGCTGTACTTCACGGATGATTCTGTTTGCAATGATCCTCTGCCAGAAGACTACCTCGAGATCAGAGTCTGCTGCACTGGCCTCAACTTCCGAGATGTCTTGATGGCGATGGGCCAGCTACGGGGCGATAAGCTGGGACAAGAGTGCAGTGGTATTGTTACAAAAGTGGGATCTGCCGTTACAACCTTCTCCACTGGAGATCGTGTATCCGCCATGTCACCGGGCTCCCTTGCTACGTACACTCGCTGCCCGGCATCTTGCGCTTGGGTCATTCCTTACGACATGTCATTCTCCATCGCCGCATCAATTCCTGCTGTTTTCTGTACTGCCTACTACTCGCTGATTGACCTCGGCCAGTTGGAGGCAGGCGAGAGTGTGCTCATCCACGCTGCTGCTGGAGGCGTTGGTCAGGCCGCTATTATCATCGCCCAAAGCGTCGGCGCTAAGATCTACGCCACGGTTGGAAGCGTGGAGAAGAAGAAGTTCTTAATGGAGACCTACCAGCTCAAAGAAGACGAAATATTCTTCAGTCGTGACACTTCATTCGTTCAGGGAATCCGCCATGCCACTGGAGGAGAAGGCGTTGATGTAGCTCTCAACTCGCTTAGTGGGGACGCTTTACAAGCGACTTTTGAATGTATTGCTCCATTCGGTCGCTTTATCGAGCTTGGAAAGCGAGACATCAGCCAGAACTCTCGCTTGGAAATGTCCCACTTCAACCAGAACGTCTCATTTGCTTCGGTGGATTTGGGTATTGTGCGTGAGAAGCGCCCCAAATTGACGAAGCGGCTCATGCGCAATGCGTTCAACGTCTTTATCGATACCAATGCTCAGAGGCGCTGGCCTGTAACGACTCTTCCCATCTCCCAGGTTGAGACTGGTTTCCGCGCCCTGCAAAGTGGAACTGTTATTGGTAAAATGGTTGCTGAGATGACTGATGACTCCATGGTCAAGGTATGTGATATTACTCATCAGAGTGAAGGGACTTTTGCTTACGAGAATTGCAGGTTCATCCAGCAAGGAAGGAAGAGAAGCTGCTCAGTCCGGACGCGACCTATATTATCGTAGGTGGAACAAGTGGTATTGGTCTTGATATTGCTAGCTGGATGCCATCCAAGGGAGCTAAGCATCTTGTTTTGGTTTCAAGAAGCGGCGCTTCCACTGAGCTGGCTCAGAAAACCATTCACGAGCTCACCCAAAATGGCGCCACAGTGGAGATTTGCCGCTCAGACATCTCCAGCCAGGAGAGCGTGGAACAGGCTCTGGGGCCTATCCTCACACGGATGCCACCTGTTCGGGGTGTTGTCTATGGTGCTATGGTTCTTCGAGTAAGTTTTGAAATTACTGATGCGAGCATAGACATAATCTCACGAAATTATAGGACACTCTCTTCGAGAAACTCACTTTCGAGGACTACGAAACAGTCATGAGGCCCCGAGTCCACGGTATCTGGAACCTGCAACGCACCCTTCAAAACACAAACAATAGCGATAACCTGGACTTCTTCGTCAACCTTTCCTCGGCTGCCAGTTTCGTGGGTAACATGGGCCAATCCCCTTACGCAGCAAGTGGAACGTTCATGGCAGCACTTGTTCAATACCCCGAAGTTGCCAAAATCCCATTCACCACAATCGATCTCCCTGTTGTCCGAGGAATTGGGTACCTATCAGACGAGAAGAAGCGTGAGCAAATCACCTCTCAACTGGGAACAGAATCCGTCGACGCAAATGAAATCCGCGGTCTTGTCGCCGCAGCCATTCGCAAAGAAATGCGCGAAACCTGCGACGGCCACTGCGTCGTCGGCATGAACGGAGTCAAGACAACACCAGCGGCAGAGCAGCCCTTCTGGGTTAACGACACCAAGCTCTCCCACCTTCTCCGCGTATCTACCCTTGCCGGCGCAGACACCCCCGATGCCGCCCAATCTGGCAGCGATATCTCTCCCGCAACCGCAATCAGACAATGCCGCACCCGTGAAGCCGCCGAGAACATTGTTGTGACTTCGTTCATGCAGAAAATATCTAGTATTCTTATGCGTCCCGCCGAAGAGATGGACCCTGCATCACCGATTTCCGTGTATGGCTTGGACTCGCTAGTCGCAATTGAGATCCGTAACTGGATTACGCGTGAATTGGAAGCGAATCTGCAGATTTTGGAGATTCTCACCAGTGACTCTATGCCAACGCTTTCTGGTCTTATTCTACGGAAATCGGGAATTCTTACTCCGGATTTGAAGACAGAATGGGGTCTTGATGTTGAGGTGAAGCAAGAATAATAATTGCTCGGGTATTGAATAGTTCGGGGATACATTCACTCTTTTCACTTGAAACGTTTCTTTTGTATTTGATTTTTATAGCACAAAGATTGATTTTTGCCGAGTTTATTGGTAATCTAGGCATACTAATTGTAACCTTCTCATGCAAAAAGTCCCAATAGTAACACACTCTTTTCTCGAGGCATGCGAATCTGATCTGGATTCCGATTCCTTTCATCATGAATTGCGTTGCCGTTGCCTACACCTAGATCCTTGCAGACATGAACTCATTCAAATTTGATTCCACTGGTCACAACGTGTAACATGCCAATTGCCTTTTTAAAGAAGTTTAGATTCAGTCTTTCATTGAAAATATTTGCACAATACTTACCATCCACAGCACAAAATGATCAGGAGGCCCGAATTGATCAAGCCAAGCTCGTAGGGCTAGTCCGCTGGGTGCAATCAAACGGCTCATCAATAAACCAAGTGTTATGTTGCGAGTCGTAGACGATGGGGTACTTGGTATCGGAATTGCAAAGCTGATCGATTTGAGACTCCTCTCCAGAGCTGATTGTGAACCAGTACTTGTTGGTATCGTGACTGATCTTCTCACACTTGTAGAAGTAGCCAATCGCCCCATCCCCGAGCACATCACTCCGGAAGTTGACGGCGATCTTCTTGTTGAGATTGATGTTCTCGCAGTCCTCGTGTAGGCCCTGGACGCTTGCCGTGCTGGCATCTTTGGAAGTATAGCCCTTTGCAGTGTGCGTTCCGTTCGCCGACCAGGTGTACATTGGCAAGGAGACTGTTTGGGCGATTTGCTGGAGTAGGAAGCTGGTTGGGACCGTCATCGTCGCAGAGCATTCAGTGGCAGCAATTAGGAGAGCGACAGCTCCCAACATAATTCGGCGTGGAGCAAGGATTGAAGGCGCCATTGTGTGTAGAATTTTGAATCGTTTGCGTGGGAATGTGAATGTTTCAGCTAAATTCTGGGGGATCCTCAGCAGCTTTATGTGTTCCCCAGTTTCTCCAGATCCACTTCAACCCCGACATCGTGAACTTGCCTAAATGGGCTTAGAGAGGCTGTGAACATGATGTAACGGGCCTGACGGGATTGACCCAGCCGCCCAAGTCTGGAAACGGGTGGGCTACGCGCGCTTACGAGCACTTGAAATGGACATTTATTTCCCTTGGCAATAGATCTGCCAACAACCTTCCAGAAACAGTATAGAGTTGAAGGAATTGCCAGAAGGTACATGGACTTTCTCGCCTCTACTCAGGTGGATCTGTTAATGCGCTTGTTCCACATGTTTCCCCGGATTTTGACCAGGTATAGTGGGATCTTGCCTCACGATGTTCTCTAACAGCCAGTGTCTCACCGCCTATGGCCCAGCGCGCCTGTAGTTTGAACGCGCGGGGATGCGTTTTCTGGAAGTATTGGTTTCATCACCATGCCTTCATCTCCCGACCTTTGAAATGCCACCTGCACAATCAGCAGGGGCACCTATGATCCCCGCGGCCCCCCTCGTCGCCCAAAATGCCAAATAGACGCACATTTGCGTACAAGAATAGTCGAGCTAAAGACAGTCGCCGGTTGGAGTTGGCGGCAAGTACATCGCTAATATCCGGATATACCACTGTCTACTATGAGGGTGACAGTCGCTCGCGCCAAAGATAGATTCCAGAGCGAGACTTTGTCTTGATGTGGCCGCCTAACGATAGAGAATTGCTTCTTGTTACCGTCTACTCGAATCCACGGGTTGCATACAATGAATTAACCGCCATGCTCGATGTTAAGATCTCGAAGTCTTGTATTTCGCGTTCCTTGGGCTCTGAAGGTCGTTCATTGGAGGAATGCATCAGCTTCAAACGCCAAGGAAAATCAAGCAAAGCTCAGGATCAGCACCAAGGGATCCCTAGTTCCTATTTGAACGCCTAAGAGGATCATATGGAAGTATGCCAAAAAAAAAATACTATTACATCTTAAGATTCAAATGGGTGTGCTGGTAAGTAGATAGTCAAACCATGGAAATGTTGTGGCTAAATAACACAGTGCGTGGTGCGTGCCAGTCAAATTTCAACCGTGTCCATCCATGGTGGTCATCTGGAGGCCAACCAGTTAGGACACCCAGCCATGTTTTCAAGCGGGATACCACAAATCAAAATGATAGTATAATACTCTGTAATTTGAATCCTAGCTAAGCTCAATTTTGTTGATTGGTAGGTAGATGTAATTAATCAATTGGGAGCCGCGGAGAATATGTACGGGCATGACTCGAGAGCTAAAGATTTTACAAGCACGAAGGCCTGAAATAGACTCACGGAATGTGTCTCGAGCCCAGGGACAAAATTTGTAACTTGCAAATGTAGATACCCACAGACCTTTCGGGGGTTTGCCTCTTTTCCGGTTCCGTTATCAGGACCAACTCAGGGAGAAACGTCACAGCGCCACGACAATGGCATTCCTAATTTATCGAAGACTGTTATCATAAACACGCAATCGATCTGGAAGAAATAAGCAACATCCGACTCAAATGGCTATAGATCTCTACCATCGCGTCAGCCGCGCCGACGACCCAGATATCCAAGACCCAGTGGAGAACCAATCATACTTTACACCATTATCGTGTTCCTGGCCAACGAGCATTAGCTTCCGCAAGTATCAGGGATCTTAAGCCATGTATAAGCAACCTCCTATCTGGGGTCATGTGCCCAAGCGGCGAACGCGGAGACCTCCGACGAACCCTATTCCACCCTTCTAAAGTCTAACTGGCTAAGCGATGGCATTACATATAACTACCCCGATGGAGATCTCCGATGAGAATATCTTCTTCTCGTACTTCATGATAACGGACTGATATGAGGTTCAGTTATAAACCATTCAGTTGACGATCTGGATGTCTGTCCTATGCACTTGTGTCTGGCCGACCGGACATGTGGTTTACTATGTCTCTTTCAACCAGAGATTCAACTTATGATGCTGGTCCACAATTACTTAGGGATATATGGGGCCTCACGGCGGTCGCCATTGTGGTTGTGTTTCTGAGGATCGTCGCGAAGTACAGGATTAGGAAGTTCGGTGCAGATGATCTGTTGATGGCTTTCGCATTGGTTAGCAAGCCTTTTGTTCCAAATTTTTTTTTTTTTTTGAAGTTTGAATGTTGTGAAACATTGTCAGACGTGTTTCAAGTTAACGAGAATTAACGCTGTTTCTAGTGCATGGCTCTTGTCGGCTCGATTATGATCACCCTGGCTATCCAACTTGGCTTTGGTCAGAAGGTGTCGGCTCTTAGTGATGCCGCCGTGTCGAAAGTTATCATGCATGACTATTTGAGTCAGACATTTGGCCTTGCTGGAGGTACCATAGGTCGGATATCATTTATTGTCTTCGTCATCGGGCTACTGGCGCAGAGATCATCCCAAAAAATCGCGTTGTGGACCTTGGCCGGTGCGCAGGTCGTGGTTAATTCCTTGCTCATCATCATTATTTTTGTCCAATGTCCAGGACATGCATCGGCGATATGGAGCCATTCCGGCAAGGAAAAATGCTGGAGTTTGAAAGTGCAGGCTGACTATGGGTACTTCCAAGGAGGTAAGAGGGAAAATTCACACTCTCCCATGTGCCGCTCTAACATGCATTCAAATAGCTTTCAATGCGGCAACCGATCTGGGTCTTGCAACCTTCTCCACATACATCTTCTGGAACTTGAACTTGAAATTACGGGTCAAGGCGGGATTGGTGGTTCTGCTTGGGCTGGGAATATTGTGAGTACAGCAATATCGAGAACCTTGATGTCCAGCTATATACTAACCCCAATCAAGTGCGATGATCGCTGCAATCATCAAAACAGTACAAACACGTGTTCTCGCAAGTTCAGATAATGACCCTACGATCGCGACAGTCACCTACGATCGCTGGCTATTCATCGAGACGTATCTAGTAATCGTCACCACCTCCATTCCTTCCATACGCTCCCTGTTCCGATCCATGGATGGCCGCAAAATCGGCAGTACGAACACACACGAGTTAAGCTCTCGCTACGCAGTTAGCTCCCTGAATACGTCACGCACAAGGCGCCGACAGTCATCAATAGATGGAAAAGGGATTATCAACGTGTCAGAGGGGAATTTCAGCAATGAAGGCTTTGCAAGGATGGAAAGTCATAATGAGACGCCCGAAGCAGGGCTGTCACGGGAGTCGGTGATAATCTGTGTCTAGTCTATTAATGTATAGTCTGATGAATTCATGTTTCCTAATACAAAGCTTTCCCATTCTAAGCCATTGACGTTCATTGTCACGACCGTGACTATCCCACTCCCACCCGACCCCGATCTTGTCGGCTTTTGACTTCAATGGAGTCTATGTACTCACATCGGTCGCCTATTTGGGATCGTTGCTCTTCGATACATGCTATCACAATTCTAATTGGACAGGATGTTTAGACTAATATTGTTTTACAGGATATGATACGGGTGTTATGGGCTCAGTCCTCGCCTTGGACAGCTTCAAGAAAGATTTCGGTCTCCCAACATCATCGTCCGGCTTCGCCAGCACCGCGAATGTCCATGTATCCTCAAATGAGGTCAGTCTCTTGCCCGTATTTGCACTGAGAGCGAGGATAACGAGGAGGTGCAAAGGGAGATTGCTGAGATCTTTGCTGCAATTGAAGAAGAGACTGCCCAAACCGAGGGCGTGACGTGGAAGGAGTGCCTACAGAAGAGTAATCGGTATCGGTTCTTCCTAGGTTTCATCATCATGTTCTGGCAGCAGTTCTCCGGAACAAATAGCATCGGATAGTATGCGCCTCAGAACTTTGATTCGATTGGTGTTAGCTCGACTAAGTCGTTGCTATTTGCTACAGGTGTGTACGGTACGGTGAAGGCCGTCGCCACGGTAATCTTCCTGCTCATTAGTATCGATCGCTGGGGTCGAAAGTTGAGTATGTTTAGTGGTGCTGCTTGTATGGCTGCTATGACATTCATCATTGGCGCTGTCTTCCCCAAACCCGGGTACTACCTCTGTCTCTCCTGCCTCCAGTGCCATAGTGGCCATGATCTGTCTCTGCGTGATCGGATACTCTTTCTCCATAGGGTCCGACTCCTTAGGTGTATCTCGGCGAGATCTTGCCCACTCGTCTCCGTGCTTACGGTGTTGGTCTCGGAGCTACCTCGCAGTGGCTCTTCAGCTTTGTCATTACTGAAGTGACTCCCCGTGCTATCAACAGTGTCGAGTGGAGAACTTGCCTCATGTTTGCCATCTTATGTACGGCCATGGGTATCTTCGTCTCCATCGTTATCAAGAAGACCAAGGGAAGAACTTTGGAAGATATGGATCTTATCTTTGGTGCTATTGATGAGGAACAGCGACAGGTCGTGGAGAATACCTTGCACAAGAACGATATTCATGCAGAGCATGTGGATGGGGATAAGGATCTCGATCACAAATAAATGATCTCCATGACTGTATCTGGACTAGAAATTTGAAATACAAGTGTCCTAATTTGCTTTGTTTAGTTTCTATCAATTCCATACCTATACTATGTATGCAGCCTAGGTCGCCTAAATCCACAACGCTTGAACCTCTTCACAGAGGATCGCATCCAGCTTGATTTATGGTTTTAACTAAATCCATTCAAGTCAAATCTATAGCTTAATATTAGTGTCCCTGGTACGTCGAGAGTGGTCTTCATTGATCACGGCTAGTATCGGCGCAACCAAATTGTTTGGATCGGACCCACAAGCGAAAATGCCGCGGGGAAGCAACCCCTCGCCATCACATCCATTCCCAGATGCGCGCTCGCGACGACTTATCAATGGAGAATCTTGAGGACTCATGTGCATCACTCCGAACGCAGATTGCGGCCATCGAAGCCCAGCTTGAAGGGCTCAAGCGCGACCTTGCCAACGCCGAAGCCGCAGTCAAGTCCGAAGCAGACTCAACGGGAAAGCCTCATGAAGGCCAGAATGATGCCGGAAACCGCTGGCCGCTGCTACCGGAGGAATACAAACGATACGGAAGGCAAATGATCGTATCGCAAATCGGTCTACGAGGTTCGTTGGATTGCGCTGCGGCTGAGAGAGGCGCGGAAGATCGCTAACCGTCGCATTCCGCATTCTCTACAGGGCAACTCAAGTTGCGCGCCGCTAAAGTCTTGCTCGTTGGAGCCGGTGGTCTGGGATGTCCTGCTGCACAGTACCTTGCTGGCGCTGGTATCGGAACCCTGGGTCTGATTGACGGCGACACGGTCGAGATCTCGAATCTACATCGGCAGGTGCTGCACCGTGGAAAGAATGTGGGGAAATACAAGGTGGACAGTGCGATTGAGGCTCTACGAGAGTGAGTGACTGTTCACATTAAATTCGATTAATTGGAAGCCATGCTGACATTTATCTTTTCTCTGATCAGATTGAATCCCCATCCAACGTACATTGCGCATCGAACACACCTCACGCCCGAGGAAGCGCCTGCCATCTTCGAGAAATATGACCTTATTCTTGATTGTACGGATAACCCGGCGACGCGATACCTGATCTCGGACACTGCTGTGTTGATGGGTAAATCATTGGTGTCGGCGTCTGCTTTGCGAACGGAGGGTCAGCTCATCGTATTGAATAATCCTCCGCGACGGCCGGGTGAGAAAGATGGTGGTCCTTGCTATCGCTGTGTATTTCCAAAGCCCCCACCGGCCGATAGCGTTGTCAGTTGTGCCGACGGTGGTATCATTGGACCGGTCGTTGGAACCATGGGGGTCTTACAAGCGCTGGAGGCGATCAAAGTGCTTACTGCGCCGGAGACCGATACGGCAGCAGATGGCAGTGCACCCCGCGAGGCTCCTGTGATGCAAATCTTCTCCGCATTCTCAAATCCCCAATTCCGTTCGATTCGGATTCGTTCTCGCCGCGCTAACTGTGCAGTATGCTCTGCCGAGGCCAGCGTGACACTTGATACTATCGCGTCGGGATCCACAGATTATGTATTCTTCTGTGGCTCAGCGACAGCGTCATCGCTGCTGGGCCCCGATGAGCGCGTCTCACCCGAGGAGTATCGTGAGAAGCACCCGTTGATCAACACCCGGACAAATGGGGAGCCCGAGGGCTCACATACAGTCATTGACGTGCGAGACAAGGCACAATTCGGAATTTGCAACCTGGAAAACAGCATCAACATCCCCATTTCCAATTTCCTCGCCTCTGCGCCACTTTCAACAGCCGACCTCAAAGCCAGTCAACTTCCGTCATGGCTGCCATCAGAACTGGCCTCTCCCGAATCCAATGAGCCAATTTATGTGGTCTGCCGTCTTGGAAACGACTCCCAAATCGCAGTGAAGAAAATGAAAGAGCTCGGTCTCGATCGAAACGGCCAAAGGTACATCGGAGATATCCGCGGCGGGTTCCGCGCATGGCGTGAGCAGTTAGATCCAGACTGGCCCGAATACTAGACAAACATCACAATTGAACAATTGAACATGTCCTCAAGATACACTGACGGGCGACTTCTCCAGCCAAGCCCATTCCATGGTAACTCGCCCCTGGGCGATCTCAGCGACCTTTTCAAATACAGACTCGGTGACATCAAGGTCATCCACTTTGCAGCCCACGCAGCGGTCCACGACCTTCACATCGACGCTCTTCCCGTTCCGACGAAGTCTTATCTTCATCCCACAGAGTGGATTGTCATTTGGATTCGAGCCTGTCGATGCGGCGTCGAAAAGGATGTGAGAGACGGCGCAGATCGACTCCGATTCCGTACTCGTGTAGCCGCATGATCCCAGACCCGGGTCGTAGTAAGTTAGGTCTCCTGAGTAAGGGCCACCATTGGAGGTCGGGAGCGGGAGATTCGAGGCTTTCCTGCTACATGTTAGCATGTCGAAAGCATAGTTAGTCGACTTTTTTAGTAGAACTTACTTCTTCCCTACGGTTAAACCGACTGCGAGACCGATTATCAGGGCAATGAGTAGAACAGCGGCGACTATGCCGATGATTAGAAAATTGCGCGATCGTTTCTGCGCTCTGAAATTGCAACCGGCCAGGCTGAAGGGCCAGGCTCGTTTGCCGGAGGGGTGCGCATCTGCGCTGGGGGTGGCATTCTCTTTTCCAGTTCCAACTCCAGTTCCAGCGTTGACTGCTGCAGACTCGGGAATTGCCTCGGGGTCTTTTGTCAATGGGAGTGGCTTGCGCTTGGGTACTGATGCCCAAGATTCTTGCGTTTGTACAGATTGGTCATTTGCAATCGTTTTGTCAGACATGGTCGAGTCCGAGGTCAAATTGTGATGATTCTCTGTGTCCATTGCGTCGATTCATAACGGGTATAGAAATTCTGATGCGAAACAATGTCTCACTGGGAGTATAAAAGGAGTGGAGACCGAGACCCTGGGGATGAGCTTGTTTAAAGGGTTCTGGTTCGGGTTCGGGTTCAGGGGGTTTTTAGTCTTAGTCTTAGTCTCAGTCTCAGTCTAGCGGACACGGGATCCTGGTCGCATCGGGTTCCTACTGCCGACGTTACACGCCCACTCTCATAGACGGTACATTCTATAGTTTCTATATAGTTGGTCATTGACCCGTCAAAGCTTGTCATGCAGTAGACTCCCGAATCCGACGGGTGTAAATGGCTGAGATCCGAATGCGCAACTCCCCGCAACAAAGACCCACCGGGCTCGCAAGCCGCAGCCCCTCATTCTCCTCTTCTCTAGATTCTCTGGGCTCTGATCTCTGATCTCTGATAGAATTCCGAATCCCCTCATATCTCCCCATCTTAGAGCACCCGGTGCCTGAACGGTGCCTGAACTGTGCCTGAACTGTGCCGAGATCGGATCACGTCACGTGCGCTGCCATGCGCATCCCCCATCGGAATTTGACTGGTGTTTGGCATTAAGAGGGCGCTCCGCTGGCCTGCAGATATGGCCTCGTCCACTAGTCCCTCGAGCAATTCCAGCTCGGACGGTCCTCCGCTGTCGCGAAGAGACTCTCAGGCTACCAAGTCCACCACCGACAAGGGCAAAACGTCCTTGTTCGGCCATGTCAAGGCGATATGGCAGAAGACGGGACTGGATAAGCCCACGGTCTTATTGATGCTAAAGTATGCGGCTCTTGAAGGAGGTTCAAGGATGACGCTAATCGTATATGTAGGGGCGGACTCTCGCCGGCGATCGCAGTGTCCATGTAGGTACCTTATTCCATGCCAAGACCTGTTATCGAGTGAATCTGACTCGCCTCCAGCTACCAAGCAATGGATGTCGCCGATGAGTATACCACTCTAGGCTATCTCGTGGCTATTATCTCGATTCTCGGATTTGCCATCATGCCACGTGCAAAGTTTATCCAGATGATGATCTTTGACGTCTTTGCCGTCTGCCTGGCAGCGTGTTTTGCGCTGTTGACCATGTACTCCAGCGTCAAGGCTCGTGAGCACACCCAGAACAACGGGTCTTACAATTCTTCGGCCTCTGCGGTCAGTGCAGTATGGTTGTTTTTCCAGATCTGGCTGGTCCATACCTTCCGGGCCAAGTACCCCCAGTTCCAGTTTCCCGTGATCATCTACGCAATTTTCGCCAATATCTCCTCAATCTATGCACCGCAGATGCAGACTATGACGGCTGCAATTGCCATGGTGGAGAAGCTGATCAAAACTATGCTCACTGGATTAGGCATCTCCACTGCTGTATCCTTGTTTATTCTGCCGATGACCTCGCGCAAAGCAGTTTTCAAGCAGATGGGTGGCTATATTGGCAGTCTTCGCTCGGCATTGAGTGCACATGCAGCATACTTTGAAACATTGGAAAGAAACGACATGTTCGGCCGTTCCGAGACATACGATGACTCTCGCGAGAAATTTGGCGAAAAAGGCAAGAAAGTATACAGCCCCGAAGCAGAAGCAATTCGTGCTGCAATTCGAGGGATCACCGATCTTCATGCTAAACTACACGGCGATATCACATTTGCCAAAAGAGAGTTTGCTCTAGGGAAGCTGGGTCCAGACGATATCCAGGCCATGTTTCGGCATCTGCGGCAGATAATGATCCCCGTGGTTGGGCTGAGCTTCGTCGTGGACATATTTCAGAGACTATCCGACTATAACAGATGGAATCAGCCTATCGATCCCAATGCCGAACCGCTCTCGGAAGATGTTCGCAACCGCGTTGTTCAGGATTGGAATGATATCATGAGAGCCGTGCATGACCCTTTCAAAGCTATGATCCAAACGATCGATGAGGGGCTACTGCATACTTCTTATGTCTTCAGATTGAGTAAGCCACCCAAGAAAACGGCAGTCGCCGTCACAAGTGGGGCCCGCGAAGGCGACAAGGATGTCGAGGCTTCAGCTGAAGACACGGCGCCTGGAGGAAAGGGGTTCACGGCCCATTTTGAAAAGAAGCTGGGCGAGTTTCGAAACGCCAAACGAATGGCTCTGGCAACATGGGCGGAGGATAAGGGGATCAAGCTGCCTGATGATTTCTTTGACCATCCGTCACACGTGGAAAGCTTAAAGGGCGACTTTTTCGATGCTTCTGCCTCGCATCAAGATCGTGCTCGACGACAACTCTACCTCTTCCTCTATGTATGAAGTTCTTGCCTTTTCTTACCGTTGCAGCTACTGACTGATGTTTTTCTAGATGGAGCAATTGCTCTCCTCGACCGGGCAGACCGTGTTCGATTTCGTCAGCTATGCTGATAGTGTTGCGGAAAAGGGGAAACTGTCTCGAACGCGACTTATCATTCCAGGTGCTAAGCGTTATTGGAAATGGGCCAAGTCCTTTTTGAAGGCAGATGATGGTCATCAAGACGACAATATGGGCGACGTACACCCGCAAAACAACATGCTCGAGCTTGGCGAGGCCTACCGTCATCGCAAAGACCCAGAACACCTACCACCCGCGTCGCTTTTTGAGAAGCTCGGAGATAAAGTGCGCGTCATCCCATGGTTTCTGCGCTCGTTCGAGTCAACATATGGGTTCCGAGTCGCGTGTGCCACAATGACCATTGCCATCATCGCTTTCCTGCATGACACCCAAACTTTCTTCACAAAACAGCGTTTGGTATGGGCCTTGATCATGGTCAATCTGAGCATGTCGCCAACATCGGGTCAAAGTATCTTCAGTTTCGTGCTTCGGATTGCTGGTACAACGATCGCAATGGTGGCCAGTCTCCTCTGCTGGTACATCCCCGACCAGAAGACTGCGGGTGTGATTGTTTTCCTTTTCTTGTTCGTTTCGTGTGCGTTTTACGTCCCGATTAAGATGTTCCGCTTCCGCGTTGTGGGCATCATCAGCATCGTCACTACAACCATGATCATTGGATACGAGCTCCAAGTCCGCAAATTGGGCAAGGCGGTTGCCACTTCAAACGGGCAGCCATACTATCCCATCTACCTGCTCGCGCCCTATCGACTGGCTACCGTGAGTGGAGGTATCGCTGTTGCCTTCATCTGGACATTCTTCCCATATCCGATCTCAGAACACTCGGTGCTGCGGCAAAGCCTGGGCGCATCGCTGTACCTCCTAGCAAACTATTATTCTATCATCCACGAGACACTCGACGCTCGAATGCGTGGAGATGAGGGCGATCTTACACTCAAGAGCTCTGCAGGTCGCAAGCTCGAAAAGGCTCGCCACAAGGTGTTTTCCAAGCAGATGCTGATGCTCAATGGTTTGCGAACCTATTCCGAGTTCCTTCGGTGGGAGTTTCCGATAGGTGGCAGATTCCCAAAGAAGCAGTATGATTCCATCATTGTCAGTGTCGAAAAGTAAGATATTCTGCCAACCCGAAATCATGAAACCTGCTAACACCCCTTCTTTTCCAGTATCGTAAGCTACCTGAGTTTACTCGGCTACGCGTCCGACACCTTGATGCGCCTCGGTGAAGACGAGGACGATTCAAATTCAGCCTGGATGCATGATTTCCGCCGTCTCGTCGGCACCGCTAAAGTCACTACTCATGAAGTCACCTCTCTGCTGTGTCTTCTGTCTGCCAGCATTACCAACCGCCAACCTCTGCCACCATACCTCAAAGCCCCTCGACCCTACAGTTTCTCGAAGAGACTAGAGGCACTAGACAGCGAAATTTTGAGTCTGAAGCACATGTCCGAACCCGGATTTGCGGCTTTCGCCGTTCTGCAGATCTCCACGAGATGCATTGTCGGTGATGTGGAGAGACTTATGCGGTTAGTTAAATCACCACCCATCTTCTCATCATTTGATACTGACTTTCTCGAAAAGACACGTGAGAGGATTAGTCGGTGAACTTGACTTTTCTTTCCATGCAGTCAGCACGATGGATCCCAGAATCACCGAGTCCAGGATGACATCGCGTGCCCCGTCGAGAGTGGATGTAAATGAGGTTCAGGCAGCAGATCGTCACAAGCAGGATTGATTCTAAGATATATGTTTCACGCCTTGTATATAACACCCGAGCGATCCAAGCTCAAATGAAATTGCACAAAATTTTAGACCTTTTAAAAGACCTCCAAATCTCCCTTGTACATGTGTTACATCGGTAATGGCCAACTTCAAAATGTCGCCATCGGGGAGAACCCCGCATGATACTTCTCCGCATTCTCGGTGCACTTAGCGCATGTTGAAACCCCGTCCTGGAAAGTTGAGCGAGATAACCACTGATGCGAAATGGCCCAACTCCAAATAGACGCCCAACTCCTCACGGAAGCAGCGAACAAAACTGTTCTCATCACCGGCGCAGCCCGCGGCATCGGCGCCGCAACAGCGCGACTATTCAACCAGCATGGAGCGAACGTCGTGATAGCAGACCTTGCTCAATTCCGCGATGTAGCAGATCAATCGATCGACCAATTTGAGTACCCGGACCGTGCAATCTTCGTGCCGGGCAATATTATCGACTGGGCGCAGCTGACGGCTTGCTTCAAGACAGCCATAAATCGATTTGGCGGGATTGATATCGTCGTTGCGAATGCGGGAATCATGGAATCAGAACCCGTCTTGGACCTAATCCCCAATGAGAATGGGGACTTGGAAGAGAATGAAGAAGCCGAAAGGGTTATTAATGTTAATTTGAAGGGAACTTTGAACAGTATTCCATCTCTCATTCCTCCCATTCTATGAGCTAGTTACGCTAACGAGACTAAGCACTCCGACTGGCATTGTTTTACATGAAACATTCCAGATCGCAGACCAAGTCGTTCCTACTAGTTGCTTCAACATCTAGCTACTTTGGCGGCACGGGCGTTACAGCTTATGTCGCATCTAAGCACGGTGTTCTGGGTCTTTTGCGAGCATCCCAGTCTAAAGCAAAGGAACTGGGTGTTCGAGTTAATGCCATTGCTCCATTTCTTACGCCGACGCATATTACTGCGGGGTTTGCGCAGCAATGGCGAAATCAGGGGCTGGAAGGAAATACGCCGGAACGAGTTGCTGAGGCCATTGCTTTGATTTCTCTGGATGCGGAGAGAGAGGGGAACTGTGTTATGGTGAGTACAGTATCCCTCTAATTGCCCGATTTAGATAGGTCTTATCTTAATTTACAGGTCGCTGGGGAATATCTGCGTGAGATGGAGTCTTATAGGGCGAAATTACTGCCTACGTGGATCGGAGAGGATGTAGCAGACTTCATGGGTCGTGCAATGCAGTTTTTTGTTAGTATTGGAGGCTATATATTGCCCACGAAATATTGAGCTTCATGAAGTGTTTAGATATCATGGCTCTAAGTCTATGTAGGAAGACCGGTCGTTTCAATCCACAATTCCCACGCCACTCCGTATATTTGGAAGCGCGGTTTAATAAGGTACTCGGGGACTAACGCTCCGCCAGAAATCACATCGCCTCCTGCGTCCACCCTCCCAGGTCGCTGCATCAGCTAGACGGAAGTCATTCGTAACGCCAGGATCTTCTCGGAGCCAGTAAGCCAGATGATCTGTGACAGTGTCCCGGACAAGAGTCCCACCAGTTGTATTCAGGTTCATCAACACAGGTGAAGACTCATGCCACCTCGGCCAAGAGATATTGCCATTCGTGCCGCAAGGGAGCGTGGCATTACTGGCACCACCTTTCGCATCGTGAATGGATATAATTGGCGTATTTTTGATAATGAAGCTGCCCAAAATCTTCTGAAATGCATGCCTGAATCCACTGGTAGGGAGTTTTTTGCCAACAGAGAAATATGCTGACAAGTCTGCTCCGTGGAATGCTGGTGTAACGGAGTACTGATATTTCCAGCTCTCCTTCCCATGGGCGCCTGAAAATGCATCGGCTAACCAATATGATGGACAGTCAAAGGTTGTTTCAGCAAAAATATCGAAGACCGTCTGCTGTAGGCCGTTTGCGAATTCCGATTGATTCAGGGCCGTTGGGCCACGGTCACCGAGGGTGTCGTAGAGAGGGATTGAACCTTTTGGAGAGGACCATGATCTATATGCGGCTAGAAGACCGAGGTAGTCGGAATTGGTAAATAGAGGAAAGGTTGATTTGACATATCGCCAGAATTCCGAATCAGTGGTTATTGTTGGAGGGCTTAACGGGACGCCGTCATTTGCGTTGTTCTGTGGTAATCAGTAAAGAACCTTTGTCTGAAACGAGGATTGTCAACTTACACCCGATAAGATACGCTTGCCACTGATCTTCCTTTGGAGGAGCTGCTTGGAGGGAAGCTCACGAATGAAATCTCCGTCTGTGACAGGCAAGAATGCGAACGTGCCCCAGGCGCCCGACGTGGAGATATTTCCACTCGCGTATTGCAGTGTATCAGTGTCTGAACGCACGAGGCATTCAAAAGATGAATCAGGAGTGTGCCGTTCATGATAGCAGCCTGCTCGAGCTGCAAAGTCGTAATAATTGTTCGTAGGCACTGTGTCGTTGTAATGATACTGAGTCGGTGTGTACGGGCTTGCGGCGATGATCTAAGCGAGTCAGCATCTCCCGTACACAATTGTATATGAGATCATTGAAGGGGAGCCTTGCATTATTGAAAAGGCCATCCTCTCTGCCTCCATAGGCCATTGCTTGTAGCATTGCCGCGCCAGCCCCAGATGATTCGCCCCCGACCGTGACACGAGAAGGATCGCCGCCGAATTTCGAGATGTGTCGTTGGGTCCATCTGAGAGCAAAACGCATATCTAGCAGACCGGCATTCAGAACACCATGCCTATGGACATCTTCTGAGGCCAAAAAGCCAAAAGCGCCCAGTCTGTACTGGATCATGACGGATATGAAGCCATTGTTGTTGGTTTTCATCCATTCGCTTGGGTCGTAGGTCGCCCCGTTTAATCCATATCCACCGCCATCTGTCTCAAACAGTCAGTACATGCTATATCAAATTTCATTGGAGTTGGAACTAACGGATCCAGAGCAGGACAGGCAAATCCTTGGCTCCTGGTGGGGTGTACACATTGAGAAATAAACAGTCTTCATCTCCCAGGGCAGAATTAAAATGGTAAGCCTTTGGGAGCTTTGCTCCCCCAGACTGAGGACAAATGGGCGGCTGGTCAACCGCTGAAAAAATGGCAGTCCGATTCCATCGTGGCTCCTGTGGAGCTTGCCATCGCAGGTTTCCCACAGGGGGAGCTGCATATCGAATCCTAGGCAACTGGTGAGCACAGGGGTATCAGATGCATAACATGGGGAAATACCCTCTAAACACGTCGATATCGTATGTACTGTTATGGGATCCCTGGTATCTCGCATACCCCAGATCTACCACCGGACTGGCGGTGTGGGTGGGTGAAGCCAGGGAGGCGGGGGCGATGGCTACAGCCAACAAGAGAAGGATACAAGCCGCGAAGCCCATATTGAGCGTCTTGTCAATCGAAGAAAATGCAGTAAGAAGGTGATTTGGGGGCGGCGGATGGTGGGTATCTTCGTCGATCACAACCGCATAGGCCTTGCATGCAGGTGGACGCTTGACGCCCGCTGACCCGGAGATGTGACACAAGGATGCGGCCAAGATGGCGTTTCTGAGGAAAGGTCCAATTTAAGACGATGGAGTTCTTTTTTTCCCTTTCTTTTCTCTGCTTGTGCGTGGGCCTGTACTACTCCAGAACGCTGGGCCGGGCACCGAGTAATATACACTCCCTCAAAGTAGGTGTTGGCGCATCCTTTGTGATCGCGAGCCCATCAGAACATGTACTGAGACCCCGTGAATCAATCAGACTGCTTTATTGCCATTTGCAATAACAGACCCACATTCCAACGGTGGTTGCAAGGCGGCCCGGATGCGAGGCCCGCAGGGGTGGCCAAGATGGCCGGCCTCATTCGAGGGGCACTGAGACTATCTTTTATGGGTCCAATGCCCATCTATACCAACAATCATCTAAGAGACGCATCTCCAGGTGAACGACTTCTATCCCGATTCTTTGTGTCTTGCTCCATGGCCTTGTACTCGACTGGTCTATTTGCATCACACCATGACCGAGGCCAATGTTAACCTCAACGCGTCAAGGGTGACGGCGGTGATTGTTTGCTACTCAGTGCCGATCCCTTTCATGCTGCTATTTACTGGTCTGAGGCTTTTTGTCAAACTGCGACCGTCATCGCGGAATCCTATGGCTTTGGATGACTATATGATTATCGGAGCCACAGTTCGTACCTCTCGGGTGGCTTCTATATCCACTTCTGGACCCACCGGAAGGAAAGGCGATTAACCTTATTTGACAGTGCATATCGATCGGACTATGCATCAGTGGTCTGGTCTACGGTACGCACCCCCTCCACTGAGCACGAAACAATGGAACCGAGATAGCCATTGAACCAACCGCTGACAACACCACACAATCAGGCCCCCCCTACGGATTCGGTAGACACAAAGCTGCTCTACCTGAACAAGAACTCGAAACTTTCATGCTGGTAAGATACCCCCAAAGATAGATCCTTACCAAAGCTGACCCAGTTAAACGCAGGGCGACTATGTCTTCAGCCACTTCTACAACTTCGCAATTGCAAGCACCAAACTCGCCATTCTCGCCCTTTACTACCGCATATTTAGCACAAAACTATTCCAGCGTATCATAATCGGCACGGCAGTCTTTATCTTCCTCTGGATCGCGGCCATGGAGATTGGACTCGGACTTCAATGCGTGCCTGTCGCTAAAGCCTGGGACCCGAATGTAAAGGGCGACTGTCTGAATCTGGTGGCTTTTTCGTACTTCACCAATATCACTAATCTGGTCACCGATATCTGGGTCTTCTTGCTACCTGTTCCCATTATACTGAGGCTTCATATTGACCGAAAGCGGAAGCTGGAGCTTGCGGGAATATTTACCATTGGCCTTTTGTGAGTTGACCTCCTTTATTCTATCGAGGTTGATTGCTGATATGATCTATGCAGGACTTGCGCGATTAGTATCGCGCGATTGACAGTCGTTGTTTCACAGGGTTCAACTGATTTTACATGTACGTTCAATCTACCCCTACCATGAAAAGATGACGTTAAGTTTAACGACAATATAGGGACTGGTGTTCCATTGGGAATCCTCTCAGTCTACGAACCTCTTGGTGGGATACTTTGCGCCAATCTCCCCTTTCTGTACAAACATGCCACCAGCGTGCTCAAGAAAGTCGTGTCATCATTCGGTCCTGTTCAGACCGAGGGTATGCTCCCTGAAACTGGAGTTAGAAGGCCTCAATATCTACTGTGGAAGAGGAAACAAGATCTCAGCATGCAAAGTGAAAGTGAGTGGAGCAGGCTCCAACGCGACACTGACAAGAATACTTCGACTACAATGAGCGAGGTGCGCTCTGCTCATGCCGCGGACGGAGGACATGAAATAGAAGAGTCTAGATCTATGATTCAGGATCCACGAGGATCGGAGCCATAGCATGAAATATGGAACTGGCTGACAGTGTGCAGAGTGGTATGAAGGCAAAAAAAAGCAAAAACAAACATGAAGTATGTACAAGTCGCTCATCATCAGGCAAAGCCAGCTTCAGCTCCTCTATATCATATCGATCATCAAATCGGATTCATCATGGTGACATTTGGAAAGGCAGGCTCAACAGCAACCCTAATCGCGGAAACGGGACTCGGTTTCGTAACTGTAACCGGGGAAATTGTTGTCGGAACACTCGTATCCAGATGCGAAGGACTGCGCGAGCTCCTGCTCCGCGAAATGTGCGAAGTACTGCTCCCCGCCGTGCTACTCCCTGGCTTCCCGCCGCGCTTGACCATCTTGCCCAGCACGCCGACGATCTCGGCTGCGTCTTCGAAGCTCTCGTCGTCCATTCCTTCTTGGGCATTGTAGACGTCCGCGATGGCGTATTTGGCAAGACGGCGGCTTGCGAGGGGGTCCTGGAGACAGTCGTACAGATAGGCTGCGTATTCGAGCTTGACTGAGAGGCGCAGGGGGTGTGAGCCCGGGAGGAGTTTGTCGGCTAGTAGGGCTGCGTGGTTAAAGCAGGCTGTTGCTGTTGCGGTGTAGTCGAGGGGAGGGAGGAGAAATGAGGAGGCTGGTGGGATTGGTTGGACTGGTGCTAGGCCTGGGGGGAGAGAAGTGGGTGGTTTGGGGTAATTGAGAGCACCAAGGGCGGTCAAGGAATCTGGACCGTAGATCGAGTCGTGTTTTGAAATTTGGGAGGGGTATGGTGGGTTGATGATGGGGCGATTGTGAAATAGGACGAAGATGTGGTAGAAGGAGGCCCGAAGTTTGTATGATAGGACCTTCAATTCGACGAATGCGTTTACCAGGGGTAAGATATATCCTTCTAATATTATTAAGCCTTCTCGGGAAAGCCAGATGATGTGGTGGTATTGCTGAAGTGACTTGGTGTCGCGGGTGGTGTCTAGTCGGCGTAATCGGCGAGCTCGGAGAAGCTTCTTGGATAGCATTACCGATAGGCCGAGCACCTTATACAACATGGCCGAGAGAAATGGGCTTTCGAGGGCCATGACGGCCGCGAAATTGCCCAGTGCCTTCTGGTCTACCTCGGAAGAGGCCATCCATAAAGCCAATGACGTGGCTGGAATGGTCAGGTCGACATCGTCAGCCATTGTGTTCTCGAATGTGTTGATGAGATCCATAGAAGGCGAGGAAGTGAGGGAGAATTGCAATTGGGATCATTGGGAAAAGAAAATAGAAAATAGAACAGAAAGGAGCGAAAGAGAGACATTGAAAGGAGCTTACCAACTAGCGCGCGCAAACCGAAGCTTCAAACGAATCCTCCAAAGCGCCTGCAGCATGAATGGATCTTGGCGATCTGACCGATCCAACTCGCACAATAGGGCTGGGAAATCTCGCCGTGCCAAATCCTGTGAACGTGTTGCGCCAGCCCCAATGGACGTACTCCTAGCTCGGTCCGAACCACAAATACTCCCCCCCTCCAGTTGACAGTGCGCGATTCACCTCGCGTCGATGCGCGTCCAATAAAATCAAGCCGAGTCGGTCTCGTAGGCATGCAAGCTCGATAGGTCCCGCAGCTAGCAACGCAAGGCACGGGGGAAGAGTAAAGAAAAGGGAGATCGCAAGTGCAAGGCCGAACGCATCGTGCGATCAGAGTTGGAGTCGACGATATTCCAGCTTTGCCAGCGCACACTGTGCGGGGAAGGCGATGGGAACAATTTGGGGTGGGAAGAAGCAATAAGAACGGAGAGGACAGAAGCAAAGCAAGGAGCCTCTCCTGAAATGACGCAGATGTGCAATTTAGAAACGGAAAGTGAGAAATTAGGAATTATAAAAGAGAAATAAGAGGAAAGTCGTAATTTGGTATCTCCAGGGCTGTAATGTCCCACTTGCCCGCGTCAATCTATTTTCGCCAGGCTAAGTAACTAGTGGCCGACGCCCAACGTAAGTGGCAATAGGGTCCCCAGCTTCTGAGCCCGATTTTCCGGTCGAGTCCCTCTCTTTCAGTGAAGCACCAGTGAAGCAGTGAAGCACCGGAGTATACGGATCACGCGCTACGTGGCAGCGGCTCACGACAGGGATTCGCCTCGCGCCCAATTGATGTGCCAGCTCATCCGCAGTAGCGCCCCCCCCGAACACCGGGTTGAACACAATTGTACACTAGAATCTAACAGGCCTAGAGCACGGACTGCCACGCTGGCAGTGGCTTTGCTGGATACCCGACGCGGGGGTAACCTGTACGGCCCTGCCCGTGGGCATACTGTGGCAATCAATTCGATCAGGTAGTCATTCTTCTTCGTGCATAGGAGGTACCCGAGGAGAAGGTATTCAGGTACCCAGGTGCTTACTCATGTCTGGTATTTCAGAGCTGTCAACGGATCAGAGCCAGGGATCGGGTGGAAATCCAAAGTGGCTGTGGATCCGAGACCCGTGGACCGCTACACGGAGCGCCCGTACACCGCCAGAATGATGTTATCTGTCTACTCGTTTTAGTGTTAGAGGTAGGGGAACCGGAGATTGGAACACTTGTGTCATGATACAATGTTAAGTCTATACAAGCTGAAAAACAAAATAACAAGAACGCCTAGTGTATGCAGATGGCGTTAAGGGCCGGATTAATGCAACCCATCAAAGCAAGTAAAGCGACCGTTCCAATCATTGCGGACTTTTCACGTCCAGGTCATCTACATCAAGATATCCCGTAAACGCTCGAGAAAGGAAGGTGCGCCACGCCTTGTTAACCTTTTTCTTCTTCTTCTTCACCGTCGTGTCGGTTTCGACGTCTTTGGAGACAACGCCTTTTTCGCCGATCCGCGTGGCCAAGTCCAGGAAGCTTCGCACGGTCAGGTCCTTCATTTGAGAGTCGCCTTCGTCTGACGTAGTGTATTCGACCTCGTATTCGATGTGAGTCTTCTTGCTCTCCGTGTCAGCCAGGTGATTGAGTTTGGTCAAGTTGGCGAAGTATTGGGTCCAGCCGAGGAACGTCAAGGGTTGGTTGGAGTACGCAGGCCCCGGAGGAGCGGTTGATGATGGTCCGTTGGGGATCTTGAAGTCAGACTTCTTGTCCTTGCCCTTTTTCTTCTTTTGAGTTTCAGGAGAAGGTTCCTCCTCAACAGGGAGAGAGAAGTCACCGGTCTCCTCGTAGATAGACTCCGCGTCAGAGAAGACGTTCTCCAATCCGCTGATGTTGTATTCAATCACGCGGAGCGTCGGGAAGAAGTTCGGCACCACACTCGGTGCAACCAGCGACACGCTGTACCGCTCCGCAAATTGACCACCGATTTTTTTCAAATATTTGCGTTGCTTCTTTTCCTTCTTCTTGCCCTTGCTGTGCTTTCCCTTTTTCCCCTTCTTGCCTGTTTTAGTGGAATCAAACTCCGGTGCCTCATCTACCGAGGCCAAGTCTTCGAAGATACTGACTGGGGGCTCGGGCAACTCAGCCCACTGTCTCCGAAGGGATGTGAGATAATCTTCCTTGGAAAGGGTAGTCACGGCACCGCTCTTCGCTACGGAGTCAATTTCGATCTCGTGGCTGTCTTGCAGTATGAAGTGGTCGATGTTCATGTGTCCATAGAGACTGCCAACGATGACATCGCGGTAGCGATCCGTCCAGAGAGCGTATTTCTGCCAGCAGCTCTCATCCCAGCTGGTCTTCTCGTCGGAGCGGGCAGGAGCAACATGGCCCATGAGGATGGCCTTCATACCCTTATTGCGCAAGAGCTGCAACTGCACACGCAACCACTCCATATGTTCATAGCCGGGTTCAGATTTGGCGTTACAACCATCCACTGCACTGTTGGTTTCGAAAAAGTACATCGTGTTCAAGCTGATGACAACCAGCTTACCGGGGATGACCTCACTAAGGAACCATCCACCCTCGACAAAGCTGTGTCGCTGATCCTCAGGTATGAAATGCCGCCAGATCTCCGCATATTTCTTAGTCCACCAGTTGGGGCCTTTCCTGAAGATGTTGTGAGGCGTAATGTCGTTGTTGCCGAAGGTAGGAATCACGGGGACAGCCACGCGCGGGAAACTACCCGGTGTATTAGGGTTCTTCCTTTTTCCAAACATCTCGACCCATTTCTGAGCCATGAACTCGTTGACTTCCACTATCTCGTCATCTGTTCTGGGGATGCGCTCATCGTTGTCGTGACGGACCGAGTCACCAGTCCAAATCACAAAGTCGATTTGGTCCTTCAGGTTCGCCTCGATCCAGCGGAATGTCTCGCTCACAAGGGTAATCGGGGAATCGCATTCGGAGCCTTCCTGGCCGAAGTATCCCGCGGGCCCCTTGCCATGATGACATGACCCTGAGTCACCGCTCACCTTCGAGCCAGCCCTGTAGTATCGGTCGGGATGGAAATCTGTAATATAGTCAGTTATCGCAGGCAGGCGACAGTCAAGGGAAGTGCTGCTAACCAGTAATGTGCAAAAAGCGACCGTGAAGGGCCTGTTGTGTTGCGCCTGTCAGGAAATCGGCAGAGACTTGCGCGTCTCTGCTAGAATCAGTGACTAAGGGTTGCTGGTCCAAGGGCACGGCAGTGACAGAAGCCACCAAGAGGCCCAGCAGCAGAGCGGAGGATTGCATTGTGCTGCAAGCCACTGGTAATCGACCGCGCAGGGCTGGAGATCAACCGCTTTTTTTTTGGGCGATCTTATCGGGTCACGTCACTCCCGGGTCGTGCGGCTTCAGGAACAGCCAATCACCGCGCTAAGCGTCACTAGATCTCTAGAGAGAAATCTTTATGGAGAGACGAGATCATTGATGCCGGAAGAGGGGCAAGATATACAAAGTAAGAGGTGGATGATGTGGATGCGAAGTCCAACAGCTAAGTACATAAGGTGCGGTGCCCCAGATCGACGTGTTGGTCGCTGTTGCCCAATTGATGGTACCACGTGCCCGTGAGGACCTTTGAGGCACGCGCGCGTTTGCCCCATTTCGCTGGCCGTTTAGCCGTGTGAGCGTCTGTGCTGTTCAGGTGGATTGTTTTTTTTTGTTTTCACCTATTCCCCTAGGCCCCTCTTCTGATCTATCAAATTATTGGGTTGGTGGCGCAATTACCCTGGTTGTGTGTGGTGTCACCGCCATCGTGCGTCGAGTCAATAATAAGGTTGATCGGCCCTTAGTTATCCGAACTCGAGCGAAGTACCTAGAAAACTTGAATAGATAATAACTGATCTAACTACTTCCTATTCCCAAAAATTTCTTGAACATATCCACCGGCTATTGTTCGACATTAGAAGCTTTGCCTTTTCCAATTTAGCGCTGTGCTAGCTCTGGAGCTTGGCAGCCGGGTCGAATGTACTAGGTTTCTTTAGCTCACCTGAGTATTCAAACGGTGGATTCTTCGCTAATGGATTTGTCCGTACAAATTTGTCGGCTTCCAGATACCCGGAGATTAACCAGAGATGTACTTTTCTATCTAGATTTATAAAGTTTCTCAAGCATCGCTCATCTATATACTATACATTGAATGTCCATTTGCTTACCGCCGTGGAGTGTATCCTATATCGCGGTAAGAAGATGGATCGTAGACGCGGAGTGGCACATCATCGCCGAACACGTCGTCATCAGGAAGTCTCTGCATATCTTTCTTCCCCTTATTTCGCTTCCGGCAAGTTCGACAACAACACCCACCGCAACAACTACATCCATTACAACAGAGGAACTTGCCAATGCCACTAGATGGCATTTTTGCATCCGTGCCCCTTAACACAGATCCCGGCGGCACAACGTTCCAAAGAATAATGGCCAAAGCCATAGGAATAGCATCAAACACATACATGTACCATTCATGATACGGGATAGGATTCGACGCCGAGTATCCAGCCGAGAATTCGATCAGGCGGTAGATGATGCGCACCGTAATAGCGAGCAAACTGCCATACAGGGCATAGAGGAGTCGGCGCCAGTTCTGCTTTTCGCCAACCAGTTGACGTGCCCGATCCAGCTGCAGCATCAACCGGTGGAACTGCACAGCTAGCACTAGGAAGCACACAATGAAGAACTGCTGGATACCGATGCCGCCCATGTAGATGTGGATGCCGTTCATTTGCTGCGCACTAGTACCAGTGGCCATGAAGCCGCCGATCATCTGTACAATGAAGGAGCCGAAGTCGAGAAGGACGAATATCTTGGCTAGGAGGGACGGCTTGAAGATGCCAATGCGACGCTCGGGAACGAAGAAGTGGATCATCCGGGCTAAGACCATGTAGTCGAACGCATTGACCCCTATCTTCGATATTAGTATCACAGCACAAGAAAAGAAGAGATTTTACTTCGTACATAATGGAGCTAGGAGAATCAACATCTGGGTGACGGTCGCGTCGGTATCATTCTGCTGATTACGAGCACTCAAGGCGCGGACCCCGTACCCCACAGTCTCCCAAGAAACACCCATGAGGACAACCCAGGTAAAGCCCGCCTGATATATGGTAGTTTGAACAAAATGGACCATCGTGAGTATCCCAAAAATGACGGCGGCGGCAATCGCGGCCTTGAAAGATGGGTAATAGAGGTACAACGCGTCGCATTGTGAGGCCGGCACCCAGCCATTTTTGTCGGGGGCCACAGTGGGGGTACAGGTGTTGGAGGGCAAGTCCAAGTGCAATGTCAATTGGAAGTCTGTTTCTGTTGTAGTGGTCGCCGTGGTTGTGGTCGTCGTCGCCAACGTGGTAGTATCCGCTCGCAGTAACACTCCATAGTGGGGAGCAGCTGTTTGAACGGGAGTTGCCCGGACTAAAATGACTGACACCAACACTAAAAACCACACAGGAATCTTCCTTCGCATGATTAGGAAGGGATATGGGAAATTTGGATAAAGGCATGAATCAGGCTTTAGTGCCTGGGAAAGTGATAGAACGAACGGGGCAATGGAAGAAAATGTAGAACAATATGCAATATGGTATTCAAGCAATGGGAAGCATGTTGGAAATTGTAGATCTGTGGAGACTTATGACTTACTTTAAACCAAGGCCTGAATCTATGAGGCCTGGAGAGATGTATACATTCCTGCTACTGTAGTGTAGCTGCCTGAGGGAATAAACGAGACAGCCAATCAGGTACCCGAAAGGGTTTAAACTAGCCGTAGTGGCCATATATGAAACATCCCTACCACCCTACAGACCACAATGGACAGCAGCCGGGTATATGTAAAGAACTAGCACTAGCCACACTCTAGCTGTGCTGCTACCTAATGCTCCTTGCTTGAAATTGGCCCCCGAACACCATCTCATCCGTAGCCCTTTCGATGATGCCGGCCCCAGTGGACAGATTCATTGGGCCAGAAATGGGTCGGGATCACAAATTTTTGTTCGACCAATTCATCATTGGACTCTACGTCCTCCATATCGGCCCGTCTTTCTCTCCTCAGATATTAGCTGACCTGAAAGAGTACTTGCGCGGTATACTACCAATGCGACGGTTCTTCCGGATCTGGGCCATGATGCACGTGTGTCGGCTTATGGCTACATTAGGCTAGACTTTGGGTATAAATAACTTGGTGGAAATTGCCAAGCTGACCCTGAACAGCCTCATGAAAAACGGACAAGCCAGGTAAAGAGGCCCCGCCCATGGAAAACCTGGTATATGCAGGGTGCGTCGGCTATGTTAGTGCCTCTCGAGAAGTAGGTATGAATAGAAAGGAAGCCTTAGATACCTCAGGTAGTGCTGACTAGCTATTAAAAGAATATTTATTCCAACTACATATTTTGACCCTCATAGTAAGGTACCCATCACAGCCGGGTAAATCACCCGACATGGCAATTTCACCTTCTCCAATTTCGAAGACAGTAAGATTTCAACTCCAAGCTGCTGCATCCGTAATAAAATCGCAAGTTGGCATACCGATCAAGCATCCGCGTCGATTTTCTCAGTGACGGTACCATCCTCTTGCACAACGACCTTGTCCAGGTTCTGTGATGCCTTGACCGGGTTCGGCTGCTGGTAAACCCACTCCAGCTCCTCAAGAGTACGGCCCTGAGACTCAACACTAGGGAGGAATTAGCTTTTGGTCAATACCATTGGAGACGACGAGTTCTTACCAGAAGAAGTACCAGAAGACCACCTCGATCAGATCCCAGCCAACAAAAATCCAGAAATAGTTGGTAGAAATGTTTCCCAAGCCAATTGGAGATGCGAACTGACTGATGAAACTGATCGAGCTGACCATGAAGCCTGAAAGCGCGAGACCCTTGGCGCGAGTGGTGGTTTCCAATGCCTCGGCGGGGATGACACCCTGTAGGGGGGTATATGTGAAAGAGAAGACGACGTTGAATAGGTAATAGAATGCGAGAGCGGCCTGGCCCTTGTTTTTGCTGATGGATCCGTGTTCAGCGATGGGGACTGAGATAGCAGCGTTGATGGCCATTGTGATAGCACAGGCTGATCGATGTTAGTTCGAAATTCTCATTATATTAATGTCACCATTGACTTACCCAAAGTACCCCAGATGAGAACCGGACGACGCGGCATCTTGTCAGTCAAACAGACTGCAACACCAGCACCGACAGCCGACACAATAGAGTTGATCAAGTTGAACAGAAGTTGAATCGAGCTCGAGGTGTATCCAAGGGTGTTATAGATTGTCGCGTTGAAATATCCAAGACCGTTACCCGACCACTGTCCGAAGACCGAGATCATGATAACCTGCGCGAAACGCCAACGACCGCTGTGCGTAGTAACGAAAGGCCGGTCTATCAAATTTGAGCATCATTAATTTTTGATGGACATTCTCAGAAAACAGTTAAAGAAGACTTACAGTCCCACCACCTCTTATCAATACCATCAATGCGAATACCCTCCTTCATCTCCTCGATCTCAAGACGAACAAGACGGGCATTAGGGTCTCCGTTGCCGTGATATTTAACCAAGAAAGCAGCCGCTTCTTCATCACGACCCTGTGCGAGCAGCCAACGGGGCGACTCAGGAATGAACCACACGGCTACAATAACCATGACGCAAGCAAAGCATTGGCAGATGAACGGGATTCGCCACTGGTAGTTTGTGTCCATATAGTTGCATCCGTATGTAATCGCAGCGGCGGGAATACTGCCACCGAACCAACCGCAGTTGTAGAAACCTGATAGTGTTAGAATCTCTGCTCATTCCCCAATATGCGGACTACAGTGGAGCCCTACCGACAGCACGACCGCGCCAATGCGGCGGAGCGATCTCAACAGCATAGGCCGGGGCCGAGACAACCATGATCTGAATTCCAACTCCGAGGATGAATCGGCCGATAACGAATTGGGCTAGAGTCATGGCGGTTGAAATGATGATGGAGCCGATGATGATAACCCAGGCACCGACGAACATGCACTTTCGCCGACCGAGCTTATCGGAGATGACTGCACTGAATGGAGTCGCAACGATGGATCCACTAGATCGAAATGAATTACTCGATATTGAGTTTTGTTTAGGATGTGTGAGTCTGCTTACACTGTGTAGAGAGATGTGACGACAGACACCTTCTCGCCTGTCAATCCTGCTTTGAAGACGTCTTGCCAGTGATCCATAGCGAGGACGGATCCCATGAGCGATCCTGTACTCTTTTAGCTTCAGTCGCACCAAGTAATGTTACTCTTGTAAGTGTCGCCCGAGTGAGGCTTGGGGCCTTGAACATACCATCGTATCCATTCGCACACGCGCAGAGGAAAGCGACGAAGATACAGACTGAATGGTGTGAGTAAACTATTCGATCAATTCTCACTGGAGTACCGCGCTGCAAACTCACAGTAAAGATGAATGGACGTGCGGCTCCAGCGCTCAATTTTGGTCTCCTCAATGGCAGCAAAGAGCTCGGCCTGTATTTCATAAGCGCACTGCTCTATGGAGCCATTATATGAACTTGACAGTCAACTCACATTGCGGACTTCCTTAGTCTGCGCACCCGCCCGCTTGGCGGTTTCGCCGTATCCAGCAATGACCTGAGGGGTATCATTCACCGCGGTCGAGATGCCATGCACCTCTTCATGCCTCTCTTCATGGCCCTTCGTATCCGACATGATGTTTTCGAGTTCCACTGGCGCTCGAGTCGACGGGTGCTGTATAGTCGCTATGAAATGTCTCAAGCGCGGTACAGAACCCAGAGAAAGCGGGACAACATGAGATTCTTATAAGAGACGGCCAAGAATGTCGCCTTCGCCCGATCGGGTCGAAGTGGCCTTGCATAGTCTCTGGGGAGCGCCGTACATCTCTCTAGAGCCCGATTGCCTTGTGACACTAGACCCCTTAGATCCTGCCAGACAGCCTTGGCCGGTGGCTTGCACGAACAGCTCCGTATCCTGATTGGAATCGGCGCATCCCCCAGTGAGACCAATCGTGCTTGGGTGAGTGTTAGTGTTAGACTACGATCCAAAAAGATTCAGGACTGGATCATCGGCCCTGTGATCCGTTATACGGGTTTGGATCTATGCCATTTGGGCCTGGGGTCGGTCAGGTCGGCCCCTTGCTATCACGCCACTCGCTACCCTTACCTCGGGTGATTTGCAGGGTACTTCAGTGGACTATCACTGTTTTGGTAAAGGGAAAAATTGAAGGGAATTGAAATAATGGAATGCACTAGGGGAAACGTCTTCCAGGTACCCCCTCTTAGTCCGACAGTTCTGCTTCCATTGCATGTCATGTCAAGGGATCGGAAGAATTAGGTGAATGGCATAAGATTCGATCAAAGTTTCTACCCCGGATTACTGAGCCAGACCCTAATACACTCCGTTCCAAAAGATCGCGTGAGACCGTTGCTAACGCGGAGCTTTACTCCGTGTTGAATCCTCCACGGGGCCGTTCCCCACAAAATGCTAATCCCGTTTCGGAACCCAACTGACCACCTTTTACCTCTCATAGGCGATCTCGTTTCACCATTGTCGGTCCGAGTCCTCCGAATTTCAAACCTTTCTCGGGAACGCCACTTGAACCCGCTGATCGGGGATCTATGACCTGCGGCCCGAGCTGAACGTTATGTCTCTGTCAACCGGAAGAGCCAAGAGTGGACCAAGGCAAAACACGAGCTCTCTCTGATTCAGCAAGGATGAGACAAGAAATGAGCGACTTGCAGAGTGGGAAATGCAAGTGTCCACAGAAGTCGCCTTTAATTGGTCTAAATGCGAGCTGCTAACCAAAAGCGCACGTAAATGTATTGATTTTCTTAATTAACCTGGTAGAAACAGGGAAATCCAATATATTATTATTAAGTAATTAAGTCCAATCCTGTGCTGACATTATCTCATTACAAGTCCACCGCGACCTTCAGCGCTATCTAGAGGGCATCGAAATTTTAAGCACAAATACGATCGAAAGTGGCAAGGGTGTGCTTCCAAACAATAGCGGGGAAACCCTTCTCGCGAAGCTCCTCCATCAACGCCTTATTGGTCGAATCCTTTCCGTCGTGATTGAGCATGTAATAACCAACGGCGGATGCATCAGTAGAGTCCTGCTTGGAAGGGAAATCGGTAGAAGTGGAGAGCCGAGTCTGCCACTCGCCAGAATCCGCCATGGAGATGGAAATGGGCTTAGCGAGGAAGCCCACGATAGTACCGAGAACGGATCCAATGGTTTTGTTCATCAGGGGGGTCGCAACAATACCAGGGAAGACGTGAAGAAAACTGACTGATGGGTGCTCCGAAGCGAGAGTGTCGAATGCAAGAGATGTCATAGAAGTTGGATAGCCGTTGCTGGCCGAGAAGGAGAACTCCTTTTGGAGATCTAGGTTGTCTTCTTCAATGTTGATTTCCTTGCCACCTGCGAGAATGCTGACCACGCGAGGGCTGTTGGCGGCCTCAAGAGTAGGAAGGAGATTGTAAACAAAGCGCATGCGGCTGTAGTACCGAAGGATGTGGTTGACATCGATCTTCGCATCAGTCTCTGTTCTTGGGTTAGCATCCCCTGGGTGAAAGTGTCCTTGGGCGGAGCGGGATCACTTACCTTGTTTGCTGAAAGTGATACCTCCAGTACTGAGGAACAAAAGGTCCAGGGCTTTGACCTTGGACTTCAGGTCCTGGCAAACGGTATCCACCTTGCGAAGATCGGACACATCGGCTGGGATCAAGGAATAAGAACCATTGTTGTTGGCTGCCTTCATCTCCTCGAGAATCTGCGCACCCGCCTTCTCATTGCGGCCAACAATGTATATCGTCGGTTTGGCAATGGAACCTGCCAATTTGATAGCAGTGCTGCGTCCAATACCACTAGTACCGCCCACAAAGAGGGCAGTCAGCTCAGGACGAGCGGTCTTGAGGGTAGCATTCCAAGCGCGGGCCTGGGCAAGGGTGTGCGCCATTATGAATATATAGTTAAGACACCTGGTTGATCTTGTAGAGAAATATGAACGTAGGAAGAACCTGAATGCGAGGTAATTTATATTTGGAGATCGCAGGGCTGGTGACGTGCCGGGAAGGTGGGGCGATATCGATCATCCAATGAGAATAAGGCGCGCGGAATTAGCTTAATCCCGCGCAACCAGTTTAATTAGTCATTAGAGCTCACTACTGCGTTAGTGCGTGGAACTCCGCACGCTAGCAATTGTCTGCTTAGGAAATGTAGATACTGATTTCCAATTGTTCATTCCGAGATCCGAATGCCCTTGTGCTTCAGAACACTTCGCAAAATAGTCATCATCTTCGCAAATGGAATCTTCGCCTGCGTAAAAAGCAGCAACGGGGAACCGAACAGTCAGCAAATCAAACGCTCTTGACTTAGATTCCGTATGCGCACACTTTCAGTTGATGATTCCGGTGATAATTAATCTATATCCAAGTATCGTGTCAGTAGAACTTGTGCGGTGATGCCACAGGAAGATGGAGGTGTCATGGATTTTCAGCTGAAGGTGTATGGAACAGCTAGCCTGCGGGTTATTGATGCCGGTATTTTCCCATTGATTCCAAGAGGAAATACCCAGGTTACTGTATTTGCACTTGAGTCTAAGAGCTAATGTAGTTCTTATTATGATGCCTTGATTTATTCAAAGATATTGCTCTATACTATGTCCGCACTCATAGATGAACATTTCAATCAAGTCCTCGAATTAAAGAATATCTTTGCGTCGGTGAATGTACTTTCAAATGGAACGGACACTCCTAGAGCTTCATTTCGACTCCTACGAGAACAAAGTCCGCTTCAGTAACGATTGAACTTGGTCTCAGCCTGACCATCCGGCTCACTAACTGGACTATTGTGAAGCTCATGCGACCGTGACCCAGGAGTAGGATGAACTGACACGGCGATTGCGGAGGTTGGTACTGTTGGCTATATGCCTGACTGGTCCCATTGTCTTTTAAAAAAAAAAACTTTAAAACTTTGACAGTAGGTACACTCTACTTTTTTTTTCTCTCCTAGAGATATTGGGAGCTGTGATCGGCACGACTTGCAAGTCGACGTTGCATTCCCTGACGTCAAGAGAAACCATGAATAGATCTCACGCGCAAAATCAGCTCAGCATAGAAGTTATCGATTCAACATAACATGCTAGTATGCACACTTTTTCGAATTACGTTAATGTATTATTACTCATAGTTAATGGCAAATGCCAAGCTCGGACCATGTTGATACTGAATCTGGCGTTGACTGTGATTGAGTGGTGACGCAGCGGTACCGGGACGGGCGCGGAACGTGTCCAGACTCCAGACTTGCACCTTTCTGGTCCGCGAGTAACAAAGTGTTCAGCTTGGGCGAAAATCAATTGGCGAGCGATATTCATCAACTAGATGCAAAAAATGAGGTAGACAATAGAGTGCTTGTGTATCAATCGATCGGCAAGCGGGTCTCTGCGGAGAAAGCTTGTAGTGAAGGGCGGAGACAGTCGGAGCTCTTTCTGTCCATGACCGTGGACTACCTTTTGCTTTCGCAAACCCACGGTCTGTCTTGCTCTAAACCAATAACGGTCACCTGTTTACTGACTACTGGCAGCTCAGAAAGGAAAGTTAATTAGGAGAAGGGGCGGTCCTCCGGTAGCATCATCGACATATTGGTCCGCCAGGTGCCGGGGCTCCATTGTCATTCTCCCTCTCTCATCTTCATTGTTTCTCTGTTTCTCTCCGTAAAATTAAAGAGGTCGCTTGTCAGTGCTGTTAATCTGTTTTCGAATATCTGCGAAATCGAAGATCACCGTCCTTTCCAAGCTCTAATTTCTGCTGGTGTCACAGTACGTGCTTTCCCGAACTTCCCACTTCACCACGCATCGAACTCCAAAGAATCTATCAGATTATCCAACTACAGCTCTCTTTCGTTCGCTCAGGGACTTGTATCATTTCATATCGTTGATCTCATCACCCATACAGCTCGCCTTACTACTCCTGCTCTTCTTCTCATCCAGGTGGTGAAACTCCCACAGATTTTTGTAAGCACCCGGACGTGTGTCCTCTGGATTAGAGCTGTTATTCGTCAATCCTTTCGAGGTCGAGCTTGACTGAGAACTTTGCAGTATCCGACCACCTCAGTGCCCTTTCTGCCCTTCCAAATCTTAGTACACATTATGGCTCCCATTAGCCTGATGCCCCGGTTCCAGTCAGAGACCTTTCACCTGCTCGCCAAAAGAAAGAAAAACTGGGCCGCCAGGAACCCCGGTGTCGTGCTGGTCTTTTGCATCGTGTTCCTCGTCGCCCTCGGAATAATTTCGCTCTTTGCCTATCGCCGATGGATGAAGCGGAAGGCCAATAAGGAATCTTATGAAACAACCGAGTAGGTTGATCCTACTCTTGACACAGGGCCACACATGACTGCGAGATGGATCTTAGGGGACGCTGGACATCCCATTTGGTACACGGCCGGGTCGTGGGATCTCCGTCGTACAGCCCTGCAACTTGTTTATTGTTTTGATTGAATACCCATGGACGCGAATGGGAGGAATATGAATTGAGAATATGGATACGGGCGTTATAGCGAAGGAACCGGTTTTGTGGCTTTTCGTTCAGGCAGTGATAGAGAATGGTCTCGTTATGGCAATTTGTAGTCGATAATAATGAATAATATCGTTTTCTTCAAATCATGGATCTGCTTCTTGTTTTCCAGTTCTCCCCATATGAAACATGCGCTCAGAAAACCTAGTTTTTATGTATGTTTATCGATCGCTGTATGTTCGTGCATAGTCGACTTGAAGCTTTTGAGCTCGTTTGCGAGCCGTCCCATCCATATGCTATTTCTCCCCTTTAGATGAATCAGAAACCCATCGAAATGAAAAGCATTAGAAGTTCAGAGAGAATTATGGAAACAAAGTTTATGATCCAGTTGTTCATTGGATACAAGGGCAAGTTGGCTGATGCAAGAAAAATCATAAATGCCAAACTAATTATAATGTGGTCTCCGTGCACACTCAACACACCAGTATCCATCAATGAGAAAACTCTTGACTCTTCTCAACCGCGACCCGTTCTTGCTGATACGACGAAACGGACCCCATCCCCTCTGACGCCGCCTTCTCCTCATCTCGCCGCCAGAAGTCCTTCTGTCCACTCGCAGCCCGCTTCACCCAAGGGGGAAAGAAGCCGCCAGGAAGCTTCCACGACCAAGGATCTGACTCGTCCTTATTCGGAGGGACGATGCGACCACCGCTGATCTTCTCGAGGATCCACGCAATCGAGTTGAGGCAGATGTAGCTGCAGATACCAGCGATGAGACCATACGCGATGCTGTAGGTAAACGGCATGATGGCAATAGTCAGGAAGGCTGGGATCGCGTCACCGGGATAGCGCCAATTGATGTCCGCTGCGGCCTTGGCCATCAAAGCGCCAACAATAACAAGCGTGCAGCCCGTGGCCCAGGTGGGGATTGAGGCGAAAATCGGTGCGAAGAATACGGAGATGAAAAAGGCGATGCCTGTCATGCAGGATGTCAAGCCAGTCTTGCCGCCCTCCGAGATTCCGGCGCCAGATTCAACGAAGGCTGTTACTGGGGGGGTGCCAAGGAGGGATCCGATCGAGATGGAAATTGCGTCGACCATCTGCACAATATGTCAGTGGAAGGTATCATCAGTCTGGTATTATGAGGCTTACATAGGCGATGGCACTTCCTTCAAAGTCTTGAGTCTTTTCATCAATTGCACCGGCGAACCGGGCCATGGAGTACATGGTACCCGTAGTATCCAAAATGTCGACGTACTGCAAAATTCAAGTCAGGATGGGCGAGCACAGCCGATGTTGGTGCGAAACATACCAGGAACGTGATGAAGGCCAATCCAAACTGACCGCCGTGGCCCGAAATGTTCCACTTCTGAACGGCCAGAGTGTGCTTGATGGGGTGGAAGGTGACAACCTGTTTGAAGAAATCGAACATGCTATTTCCCAGGTCCGTATAGGGGAAATAGGTCACGGGCGTAGTCCGCGGCCAGGAAATAATTGAGACCAGCAGAATACCAATAATCACCGCACCCTTGACGCGATACATCATCAATAGCGCTGTGAGCACACCACCACAGAAGATACTAACCCACATGGTTGCACTGCGCATCTTCTCACTGCTGATACACAAGCCGGTCTCGGAATCGAAGTATTGGGGCGCACAACCAGCAAGCTCGATCGGAGTGTCCATGCCACCTTGTACCAACCCGATACCAGCGCTATACGTCAATCCGATGAGAGCGAGATACAACCCGATTCCGACACCGGTGGCCAGTTTGATGGAAGCGGGAATAGCGCGCGCCAACCATTGTCGCATGCCAATCAATGTCAACCCAAAGAAAACCCAGCCCTCCACGAAAACGGCAGTCAAAGCAACCTCATACGGGACCAGTCCCGATCCATTTTTACCGACGACAGTGTATGCAAAGTATGCGTTCAATCCCATACCCGGGGCGAGGGCGATGGGCAAATTGGCGAAAAGACCCATACAAAAGGTAGACAAAGCAGCGATAGCAGCAGTCGCAGTGACGATATCTCGCTTGATCTCCTGCACGCACATCAGGTACTCGGTATTGGTCTTGCAGTTGTCGGCCTGGCTCTCCGGCGGACAAACACACGTGCCACCGGTGTCAGAGGTGATGTTACTGTTGACCGAGATGATATACGCCATGGCAAAAAAGGTGGCCAGGCCGGCGCGTAGCTCTGTGAAGAAGAAGCTACCCTTGCGCTCCATCGGCTATTCATTGTCAACTGTACAGTTCCCTCGCAGGGGCTGTAAATTCGTGGAATCACTCACATGGCCCGAGTTCTCAAGTCTGAACCATCTCCCCACAGGACTCTGCGCGACCCGCAGGTTTGTATTCTCGATCCATGCCTTGTACGCCATACTGAATCGGTTGAATGCTTCTGCAGGGCAGTGTGGATAGAACCACGGCCGTGGACGCGATGCCGTATTTAAGGAAGTGCACGGAAGAAGAGAAGAACAATGGAAGCTCGAGAAAAGAAAACCCTCCGGACCCTCCGCCACTCACAACCCTCTGATAAGCAGCCAAAAAAATTCGTCCAGAACGATTCGACCTCTCCGCCTCTGATCCTTGGCGGGCCTTGGCAGATTGCGTCCGGGCTCCTGAGTTGGTTGCCTGTTGCCGAGATCTGGGTCCTGGCTCGGCAACCGCGGTGGGTCCAGGGAAAATTTTGACAGCACCGACTACTGACTACTTATTATGCGGACGTATGAAGATATTGGGGAACTATTTTTCCAGGTCTGGGGAGGTTGACTATGGGGTAGAGTGTGCGATGAATAACCCCGGCGCATGCACCTCTTCGAAACGCCAAGATATGCTCAGTCTTCTTGGCAAGCAAGTTCCTATCTTATCGGCGGGATATGTAGGGTCCAGCTCGATAAGGAAATCGGAGTGGGCCGATCGAGATGGCCGTTCATGAGATCTCACATTGTTACGCATGAAAGATATCAATCATCTCTCCACAGACAATGCCTGTCTGGGGTAGAGAATGCCGGCAAACTCCGGCTTTGTCCAATTTTCAAGGCGCTGACACCGAGAATATTACCAGATCTATAGATATCGGACTTTCTCGGGGTGTGAGAATCTATAGCGGATGAGTGCGTATCTTATTCATGCAATGTCATTCAGTTATATAGGTGCGCTATCATTGAATGATCCGACGAGGGAAGTCTCTAGACTGTATCGCTCTTCTCTTTCTCGGTCGGACGCTGCATGGTCGGTGCAAATTTGGATTTCTTTCTTAGAATAGGCCCTACTTTGATGAATGCCAACGGAATTGGGACCATAATCAGAGCAAGGCATCCAAGGAGTGTGCCAGCCCATTGCACCCCCAGGTTCTGGAACATCTGTTTGGCGAATAGAGGGAAGGCGGCTCCGACCGAAGATCGAATGATGGTATTTGCAGCGAATACCGAAGCGGCGCTGGGTTATCTTGTTAGATCAGATGATGAAATAGAGCTGGAGAACTTACAATGTGAGGTAAGAGTCGATCAGATAGTTGAAGCACTGCAGGAAGATCACGTAGATGCCGAATCCGGTAACGACTCCACTGGCCGTTGGCGCCATCCAATGTATGGATTTTGTCCAGCCCGTCCAACCGAACCAGAACAAACCAATGGTAAAGCAGATACCTCCGAGAATAGAGGGAGGAAGTCTCCATTCAGGAATTGGGACGTCGTTATTAGCTGCCAATTTCTTGGAGTATGACCTTTGATCGTATAGAATATATCCACCGGCCAAGACTTCCCCAACAATCAAGCCAATGAATGGAAGGCTGCCGACGCCGAGGTTCATGCCGTGAATTTCTTGGAAGACCACTGGATATGCACTGAGAAGTGCATACATCAAGCCGTATACAAAACTCATCCACAACGATATCTGCGACGTCGTTAGTCGAATTGAATCGAATAGAAAGATTGAGGACCCAATACCAGAAACACGATCGGTTCAGTGAACAACATCCGGAACGGTCGGCTGAAGTTATTCGTGATCAACTCTCCCCAGTCCAGCTCAACCTCTTCCTGCCTGGCCCGAATACCCCAGTTATGAGTCTGTCTGCGCAAAGTAGCAGCCTTCTCAACCAGAACAACAGGCGCATACGTCTCCGTCAAGAAAACGAGACAAAGTCCAGTCGCTAAGAAACCCATAATACAGGAAATATACATAGTCCATCTCCAACCAAGATAAGACATTGTAATGAATCCTCCAGTAAAAGGTGAAGCGAAAGGACCAACGAACACCGCCATAGCAAACATGGCAATAGCCACACCCCGAGTCTGGTTATTCCAAATGTCCGCAAAAACAGCTGGCACGATCGCAATAGGACTCGCGGCGAAGAATCCAGCAAAGAACCGGGTCAACATGAGTGTTTGAACATCCTTGCTCGTGGCGGTCGCAACCGTGAATAGCGAGTACCCAAACATACCCACTACAATAGGCCATCTTCTTCCGATCAGCTCCGAAGCCGGGGCCCAGACAGTTGGACCGCTGGCAAAACCCAGGACGTACAGGGTCACGCCTAGAATAGCCACTTCTGTGCTGATGTGAAAATATGGTGCGATTGTAGTCACTGCCGACGAGTATATGGCACTGGCAAACGACGAGGTAAATGTTGTATAGGCGAGGATGATGGAGATGGTGATTTTCTTCCCCCGCGGCCAGTTCTGGGGATGCAAAGGGTCGTTCGATTCTGTGAACTCGACGATAAATTGCTCCGGGTCAGGTAATTCAGGCGGGTATTCTTTTCCGGCACCCATTGGGAGCCATTGATCTCGCGGTGCGGGACCAGGGCCTGAACCGACCGTAGATCTATGCTGGAGGCGATAGGTATTGATGCGCTCGAGCTCGACGTTATCGAGGACGGTCGGTCGACGACTGAGGGTAGTTGTGGGGATGGCCTCAAACTGTGATGAGCGGCGATCTACGCCTGTTGGAATCGCAATTAAACTATTGCTATCCTCTGAGGCAGAGCTGTCGAGGGGACTGGGCGATGACTTCAAGTGCTCCATAGTGCCAAGAAGTCTAGCCTGTTGAAAATACTAGAGATGCATACAAGACGACATGAGCGGCCTTTTCAATATGAAATAAATGGAAGGGCGATTCCCGAATTTCAGAATTTTCATTTTTTTTCCTCATTGAGTGGCTGGCTGTCTACGGCGTCATGAGTGGTGAATCCGCCGGTTGATCCGAACTTCTCGCGAACGGGGGACATATTTCCTATTACGGACATGAAATTCAATTTAAAAATTGTTCGAAAGTAGCTGTGATTTCTATCATTCTTTGAAATAGTAATTGTCGAATTGTATAGACACAAGATACTTGATCGCTAGTTGATAGGGTGCGGTCCTTCTTTGATATTCGGTGAATTCGGTGACGTCATCACGGATCCGCTCCCGAAATGCGAATCACGAAATACGAAACATGGAAGCTGTCAATCGGTAGCAGCGACTCAACAGGTACATCGGAGGATCTTTCCATTCGAGGACAGCTTGGACGGCTAGCTAGTTTCCATGCCAAGCATCCGGGTAGTGAATACGGCATCAATAGACTGTTGCCGTGGCCCGAGGAACGCCCAAGTCGGGGAAGACAATGACCTGGAAAATGGCTCCCCGTTTCAGATGAGTGTAGATCACTGACCATTTCGCGGTCGATAATCTCAAACAGTGCTGCAGATCCAAATGGCACCTATAATTTATTTATGTAAATACGTGCATTCCGGGGCCGAGGCACATCATGTTCCTAATCGGGAGATCTCACCAGGCTACAGTGAGCACTTGAGGCTTTGATCTCCCACATAATTCATAATCAGGTCAGCTTGATTTCAAGCCTATCTTCTTAGTGCCAGGCAGGATTATTCAAGACCAAAGTGTGGCCCTCTAACATCTCTCATCAACATATCCCCCAGTTCTGAGCGCACCCCTTTAGAATGGCTGAAACACACGGCGAATGCGACCCCGCGTTCAACTCTGTCCGCGAGCTCTTGGCAAAGCAAGTCGCCAGTGAATCCGAAGTCGGCGCATCCATCTGTGTAAACATTGATGGCAAAAATGTCATCGATATCTGGAGTGGCCATGCAGACCCTGAGCGCACTAAGCCATGGGACAAAGACACTCTGGCGGCCGTTTGGTCCTGCTCCAAGGTGGTCACCAACATTGCAGCCCTGGTCCTAGTCGATCGCGGCTTACTCGACCTGAACGAAAAGGTCTCCAAGTACTGGCCTGAATTTGCAGCCAACGGGAAAGAGAATATCAAGGTGTCTCACATCATGAGCCATTCTTCCGGTGTGGCGGGCTGGGAGCCGGCTATCACTTGGGAAGAAGTCTACGATACCAAAAAGTCAACAGATTGGCTTGCGGCACAAGCTCCCTGGTGGACTCCTGGTGAACATAGTGGGTATCACGTTACGTGTCAGGGTCATCTGCTGGGTGAAATCATCCGACGGATCAGCGGGAAGTCGCTGAAGCAGTTTATTGCCGATGAGATTGCTGGTCCTCTAGGTGCGGAGTTCACTCTTGGACTGCCTGAAAAGGATTGGCCTCGTGCTGCAGTGCCCATTGCTCCCCCTCCTCTACCGCTACACATGCTGGAGCCAGCAAGTGTTCCAGCAAAGGCATTCGCAGGACCACCTCCCAGTGCTGAGGAATCAACGACTCCCGAGTTCAGAGCTGCAGAGATTGGTGCATCAAATGGCTTCGGCAATGCGCGTGCCCTGGCTCGCATCGGCTCCGTGGTTGCGTTGAACGGCAGTGTCGATGGCAAGCAGTACCTCTCTCCGGAGGTTATTGAGCGCATGCTCGAGGAGCAGATTAGTGGAATAGATCTAGTTCTGGGAATCTATCATCGTTTCGGTCTTGGTGTCGGACTTCCTTCGCCCAAGACTGTCACATGGCTTCCAGAGGGACGGATTTGCTTCTGGGGCGGATGGGGCGGGTCGATCATAATCATGGATCGCGATCGTCGGATGACTATCAGTTATACCATGAACAAGATGGGAGCCGGTACTTTGGGCAATGAGAACACTGAGCTCTTCGTGCAGGAAATTTATAAGGTCGTGAATGCTCTTTAGTTATCTTAACATGGAACATAGATTGAATTTAGAAACAGTGAAAGCGATGATGAATATAAAGTCATAAGTTACGGTAAATGTAACCTGTCACCTTCGTAGTCCTTTTAAACTCTTCTGGTCGACGTTTCAGAGCACTTTTTAATTATGCACTACCAGTGCATATTCAAGTAGACTTCTTGGTCTTACTGACCTGCTTTGAATCAGTCTCTCGGAAAACCAACTCATCGCGCTCCCACATCAGCTCGACTGCCGCACCAGTCGGACCGGTCAAAGCACCCAGGAGAGCAACCTTCAAAAGAAGACTTGGCCAAGAGACCTTGTTGAGGATCTGCTTGTGAGCAACAGTGTATAGGGTTAGGGCCCAGATCAAAACACCAGCTGACCCGATCATATAATCCCATCGCAAGAATACGTGCACACCATCAGCCAAGGTGTCAACCTTCAATCCAGACCAAGGAAGGGGGATTGAGAACACCTTGGAGGGGTGAAGAGGGCCAAGGAACCGGTCGTCGAACAGACCAGGAGTCATCACAGATGCAAGAGACACGATCCAGGAAACGAGGTGGCTCAGGGAGGCATTCGCGAACGCAAATGCGTATACCCAGCGTAGACTGGATAGCGAGGCGCGCTGGTTGTTCGCAAAGAAAGGCGACAACACGTAATAGGCGACGGTGGTCAGAATCGAAACATAAGCGGGCCAGGGCTGCCAAATGGCAATCGCGATCTGCTTCATGTCCACAGAAATCAATTCGGGAGCGGGAAGCACCATCGCGTGGGTGGGAAGCATGAATCCAATCACAAAGATTGCAGGCAAGACGGTGAGAACCACGCGAGGAACCCGAATGTTGTCAGCGTGGGGGCGGCTCGCCGTAATCGAGCATGCCAGCTGAAGTCCGCAGATGAGAGGTGTTGCGAAAGCAAAGGTCATCAGCTGCGCTGCGAGCCCGAAGATGGCAGGGCTATCTCGGATGTCAGTAATTCGACAATTTTCGCCGGAGAAGAGCGACCTACAAAGCAACGATGGTTCCGGTATTCCCTTTGCGCCACGACTCCAAGATGACCAGGGTCCAGGCAGCTCCAAAGGTACCCGAAAAGCCAATACTGTGAAGCAGAAGAGTCGGACTTTGACCATCCAGGGTAGGGTAGAAGAACACCGTCAACAAAGTCAAGATCCGATCAATCGCTTCCACTCCAGTATAGTGAGTGCGCAGCGGCGCATTGACACCAGGGAGCTTCCCGGAGTCGACAGCATTGCGACCGAGCGTATCAAGACCATTGACGTAGGAGAAGTAGAAGATGGCGTAGAAAACAAACGCGCTTAGCGAGAACAGGACGTATTTCATGGTTGCGATGGAGCTGTGCCAGTTGATATGGAAGTTGTAAGTCGAGCTCTGTCGGAGGTTTGGCGGGGGTTCGTCATGTTTATACCGAAGACGCCCAGAATCATGTGTGTACTTTACAGGCCGAGGCTGACAAGCACGTTGATGTGGGGGTGAGCCGAAGCTCTCTGGAATGTTTTATGGGCCCGATCGGGGCCGACTGTCGATCATTGTCATTTTCACATGAGGCCCGCTTGGCTTCTCCAGGGTTCTCCAGGCTCGTCGCATCCTGCATACCCAGATAGGTCTAGTCCACCCCTGATTGTCTAGCGCGTGAGTGTTCGGAGTGGCTGATAATCCCGGTTCACTAGGCCTTGCGCAGTGACTCTCTATGTAGGTATTTCAGGGATTCCGTCGATCCGACTGGTTGATGGACATCTATGTGTCAGGGATGGGAGTTGTTACCTACTCGGGTTCATCTTTATGATAATATGCTCTTTCGCTCAAACTACACCATATGGATTTTGTAGTCGCTCGAAAGTAGCAATAGACTGTAACAGCCTAAGCTTCAATTGAGCATAGTTTTATCCACTCAAAATGGGTTTTGTGGATATGTGAACCACAGACTTCAGATTGCGACCGGGATCTCGGCCGACCTCCAAGATCTACATCTGAACTTCAATTCTTGTCTATGTAAACGATGATTTAATTCATCCAGCGTCAAAGATACTGGATTATTCTGATCGGTGCGGCCAAAGATGAAAGCATTGATACCACATAAAACTGCTCCTTCCATTGGAGAGAAATTTGGCCAACATTGGCCAAGCGCTTCGACTTGCCGTGGAAGGGCCCGGACAACAAGTGGTCAGGCCACATACCAGTCGATGATGCTGCCCAATGTACCACCTCGCGGTTACGGGTCGCCTTTTCACTGCGATTCCGATTCCGATTCCTTATCATTATATAGGCAAAGATCGCGGAGGTTCGAAAGGCATGGAAGGGGGTTGCTGGAAGACGCGGGTTGCGCGAGAGAGAGCTCAGGGACGAGGATGGTGTCTTTGCCTTCATTAATCAGGCTGTGGGGATGACTTAATCATTTCAATTGAAGTAAAAAGACCGAAAGAAAAGTTTCCAAGATTAGTGGACCAGAAAGACGCTAGAAACGGTCCAACAGCATAGCTCAGGCGAAGAAGGGGTACTTTGGGTTTGTTGACTCCACTAAAACTGCATGATATGAGGGACATTGTAGATCTGCAGATGCTGCCCGCCTTGTCCTGAGGGAATGGCCAGGATGAGATTGTTTCAGCCACACAACATTACAGTGAAACCCCAAGAACAGGAACTTGGAAGAAATGGGAAGACGGAAATCGAGTTGAATGTGAAGAGATGCGGAGCAAACGGCGCAGCATCACGTGCCATAGACCCACTGCAGGCTGACCGCCTGCCACGAAGCTACAAATTTGTTTTCCCCCCACCAGTATCAGCATTGCCTGAGCCGGACACTGCTTATTCTTCAACTATTCAGTCTTCTCTGTTGCTAGATTGGATGTTCTCGGGCGTCGTTCTTCTTTTCAACTGTGCGGGACAGGCGTATGCCTTCCCACAACCCTCTTCAAGATGCTGAGGGAATCGGATATAGACTCTTTGAATAACCATCTCGCATCCTTGTCCGTGGAAAACAAAAAGCACAATGAGAATCTTCAGAACCTACTTGATCAGTTCCAAAATCTTCTCGAAGACTACAGCTCTCTGCAAAGTGACTACGAAGAAGTGAAGGAAGGCCGAGAGAAATACAAACGGCAGGCTCGTGGTCAGGTATGAGCTATTGGGCTTCTACGATGCATGCTCTCGAAACCCAAAACTGATTTGGATGATAGGAACGCAACCCTTTTGTACTGGTTCTTGTCGACGGTGATGGCTACCTGGTATGATCCCCTCACGGTCTTCAATCCATGGTCAAAATTCTTACCCCTTTGCAGTTCAAGGAGCACTTTCTTAAGGCTGGCAGCGAGGGTGGCATTGATGCCGCCCGCGAGTTGAGCGATTCGGTGAAAGAGCTAATGCACTCCACTATGGGGCCGCAAGCAGACAACTGTCGCATCATGGTCCGCGTCTACGCCAATATGCTAGGACTATCCAAGGTTCTTGCCCGCGCTGGAATAGTGGGCCACGAAGCACGCTCCATCTCACCTTTCGCCTCAGGATTTAACCGCGCAGAGGGCCTGTTTGACTTTGTAGATGCCGCTGACAAGAAAGAAGGCAGCGATTTCAAGATCAGAGGTTGATGCCTTTTCCGTAACTCAAGGGAGCCTTGCTAACTATATTTATTTTTCTAGAGATGTTCCGTATGTTTGTGGATCTCAACCAATGTCGGCATATCTATTTTGCAGGATGTCATGACACGGGCTTTAACTCGCTGTTGACTCCTCATCGTGGTAGTGACAAGATCACTCTGATCAAAGCCGCTTCTTGGCATCGTGATTTTGAAAGCTACGGCTTACCGGTCAAAGAGTTGCCATCAGTATTCATGTCTACCCCATTACCTACTACCAAACCGACTGGCCCGCTTAGCGTGAAGCCCGCCAATGCCATCAATGGCGCCAATGGCGCCAACGGCAATAACACCAACACCAACACCAACACCAACGCCTACGGCAACAGCTCTAAGCCAGTTTGCAAGCACTTCCAAAAGGTGAATCTTGATCATCAACTCTCGTCTTGCTATCTACCTAATCTAACATACTCCTAGGGAATTTGCAGATTCGGCAACAGTTGCATCAAGCAACACATCATGCCAGAACAACATCTGTCTAAGCCAGTGCCCGAATCTCCTAAGAAACTGTGGTCTACTCCAACCATCGTTGGTCGCTCATTGGAACTCTTTTCTGCTACCCTCCCGCCTAAGTACAAAGATTCGCAAGAGGTCATTCCTATCAATAAGGACGGGGATCGCCTCGATGCTTACTGCCCTCATCCCCCAGCGGACGCTATGGACCGTTATCATCGCCGGGCCAAGGAGTCGAAGGTCTGCAACAGCTATCATCTATCTGGAGAGTGTGGTGACATGAGCTGCCCCTATGACCACGGCGATGTGTCCGACTCAATCATTGATGTTCTGAATTACCTCTCTCTCCAGTACCCCTGTCCTAAGGGTGGAGCTTGCCGGTCAATCAAGTGTTACCTAGGACATATCTGTCAGAAGCCTAACTGCAAGGCCGTCAAGAGCTGGCAATGCCGCTTTAACCAACGCGCACATACCCTGGATCTCAATACTGAGAAGTGGGTTGCGTCTATTGAACACAATGATGATGAGAACTCGCAGTCGCCATCGATCAGCGATGAGTCTGTCGGAGGCACGTCCTCCCAGAGCTTCAGCTATGTCTAACTGTCTCATCAATTCACAAAATAAATCCTGTCGGCCAATTCTAACCCGACGGTTCTCGCTTACTGACGGACACCTCCAATATGTACCGATCCTGTATGTGTGAAATATCACGAGGCTAGGCGCCAAAATTGTGCAAAAGGTGGGGGTTGCTCGGAGGTAAGAAAAAGAAGCCTCCCTGTCCAATACTGAGACGGGATTAATTGGCTTGGATCTCAGTGATCTCATCCATAAAAGATTGGTATGAATACGTCCTGTTAGACATATGTCCCACTTTTTACACCTGAAGTGGGTTTACCGTGCGCCGCAAGGTGTTCGGGTAATACTTTATGGTACAGAGCCTAGTATTTGCACAATCCTATTGACATTTCCTACCGAATCCGCTTTCATTGTAAGCCACGGAAAACATTCATATGTAGTCTATACCTTCCTCATATTGCAGCGTTAAGTTTTTGCAAGACAACTGGATGTTTCTGCAACTCCACACTTTTGTCTACACCGCCACGGCGTGGGACGCAAGGGGCTCGTAGCGGTGAGGAAGTCGCTTGCTTGAACGGAACCCGACATCAAATGATGAGGCGCAATATGAATCTAGCTGTAAACAGCTGATTCCGATTGAGCTTGCGAGGGAAGTTTCTGACCAAAGTCACAATGTTGGCGTACATGCTATATGCAAGAACACCGATACCAAACAAGAACACGGCCCTACCTTGCACAAGGCTCTCCGGAAGTTATCAAGCCAGCTGCACTTCTTGATAAGAACAAATCACATGATTGAGGAAATGTTGTAACCCAACCCTGAAGTGACTAGCGGGGCGGTAACATGCAGCAATGTGGAGATTACGGGAATGGCTTCGGCAACTATCCAGGAAGCAAATGGAAGGACTGTAATGAGGGCAAGCCGGGTGACCCAACCCTTTCTCGTATTCACATAGCACATTACAGAGTCTCGATTAACATACCCGTGAACATACCGAGCAATGATGTTGGTGTTGATAGAGTCAGAGAAAAAAATGACCGGAAGGGCGATGCCGAAAGCTGTCTTGGATGTAAGAGGTCCAGCGGATTTCCTTCATTCCACAAACGCTGACTTGATGGACTACCCAAGTGTCTACATGGGAGGATAGACTCGAGGATACCCACGAACGTGATTTAACTCAAATACATACAGATGAAGCGTTTTCCGGATGATAAATCTCCCAATTGCTGTCTCTGGGCTTGCTTATTTCCCTTTACCTTTGACTTTGCAATAAGCCTCTTGAACGTCCTCTCGAGCATCCATCAAAACAAGCCACCTGGTGATACATGGATAGTTGTCCAAGGACAGTCCGGCAAACTTATGCTGCCGTACCCAAGGCTCGAAATGAAAGTCAACAGTCGAGACCCGACCCGGAAGAATACTTTCGCCTCCCGACTTCTCCAATTGCTGTTCTAGAACATCATAGCAGCGGTAAGTCTGCGCTCGGTATCTCTGGAGTGCATCCTCGTTCTTGGTCGGGTGGTAGTGTCTGTCCAAAATTAGTACCGTAACAGACCTTCACAAGGGTAGAGAGGACTAACGTGAACCAGTTGGTCTGGCCAGTCATTGGGCCAAGGGTTGTGAGCAGGAAGTACTCCCACTTGTCGAAATCGACCAGTTCCTGGGCAGAGCCACCGGGAGGTCCGATCATGTTGCCGACATCGTATACTCTGCGAACATAGTTCATGCATGCTCCTGATTCCCAGGACACAACACCCGTGTTTGGATCTTCGAGTGCCGGCACTCGGCCGTTCTCGTTGATTTTCAAAAAAGAAGTACCTTTCACGCCAGTGTTGGGGTCGTCGCTAAAGTCCCAGGACTTGACTTTGTATGGGATGTGGAGGGCCTCTAAAGCGATCGCGATCTTGACGGGATTTGGGCCCAAGGCATGAGCATGCAGAGTAAGAGGTTCCAAATGGGCATTCATATTTCTTGGCTGGCGATTTTGGTTTCCGAATACTCGTTCAGAGAGTTGTAGATGTTTCGTGCGGGGGGAGTGAATGATGCGGAGTTGCAGATTCATCGAACTCTAAATGATGTCATGGATCTTCATCTATCGATGAGGAGCCATGGATAAAAGATCGAGCTTATTTAGGCTGATTAATCTTTGAAGTAAATAAATAACGAAAGAACGTGTCACGCCACGCACTTACGGTGCCCTTCATGACCCCCGCTATTTGCAGGCCCTTGCATCTAGCCGGACAGCGGGACATCGCCAGAACATATTCAATCAAGCGATCTCAATGAACCTTCTCCGCTTGAAACCCACAAGAGCCCGGGCTAATGAAGAGGGAGAGGGGACTGCTTTTGGGTGATTCAACACCCCCATGAAGGTTCATGAGACGAACGTATTCTCACCTGTCCCCGAGGCTAGTCTTAGCTTGGAGAATAGGGTGTTGTCGTTCTCGAGAGTATGGCTGTTGCTCGCCGTCTGGCTTTCAATTATTCACTCGGCGGTGACAGCTGTCTCTGGTCTGGGCGGTTCGAGCGGCACCGGGTTCGGGAATGGTCTCCAAGATCCAGTCAGAGCAAGCAACATCTCTCATACAGGCCCAGCACACCTAATCTCGCGTCACGGGTAGCATGGGACCGGCAATTTATCTATATTCGTGATTTGGGGAGTGGAAGCAAACTCCCTCAAGGTATATCCAGCCCACTTGACAGCAACACCTACTCCCGGGATCAATGGTTCCCACGGGACTCCTGCATCGATTGCAGTGACCACCTTTCTTGATGACGGCACAAAGACAAATTTCTACGTTGCAAGGCATGCCAACTTCACCTCGCTTGAAAAACACTGTGTATACAATCACCGTACCCACAAGCCAAGGGAACGTTACAATACTTCAGCTGGGGGCAAGTTGACGCTCAATGGCCGTGATTCTAAATTCCATGGCCTGGAATACGATCTTGCCGGCATGAATCCGGTTTACTCTTCTGCAGAGATCTTCAGATGGGCTCGGGGTGCCGGATCGACACGTGTGCTGATTCTGTATGGAGGTACTGAGCCTGACTTTGCTTTGTCACGCCGTCTTGGGAATCCAACCGTTGTCCAGGGAGATGATGACGACATTCGTCACATTGGTGCCACCTCGGTGATATAATGAGAATCAAAACCCGGTCGCCATGTGATTCGTTTGAGGGATTTTGAGATCTACCTTGTTTGGCGAAGCGAAGTGGGAATTACAATTAGTTACGACCTGATGGAATTGCCAGCGCCTGAGCCAATCGGAGACTTTCCATCGGCATCGAAAGACCTCGTCATAATTGAGGCGGGCTATTCGGTTCGTACTGCGTAAGTTCATAAGCAGCAGCTCTGGATTACAGGTGATGTCAATGCGACGACTGAGATTGGGAGTCATTCCCTCCCTAGTCGAGGTGATCGAAATCGATTTTTACCAAGCTGAAAGACAGCGACTGGTCAAATATTATGAATTTTTGAATGGCAGGTTATACTAAGCTGCAGACCGCGCCACAGCCTGCTTGGACAGCCAGATCAAATGCATACTAATCAATAGTATTGATTATGGAGTCGGAATCTCATCAATACTTCATATATCAAAGCGATCGTGGTATCATGAGCATAATAGTCTAAAGCAGCCAAAATTCTCGCGAAGAAAAACAATAAGACACTATGAGCAGCGCACAGAGTGGAGGTTTTAGACAGAAATCGCAGCAACCAAAGCCTCCATGGCGCAACTATGAGTAGTAGCATCGGCAGGGTTATGCAACGGGCCAGCCCAATCAACGCCAAGTTGGCCCTGTCCGTTTCGGTCGTTGTTCCAGATACTATCGGCGGAGTTGATGATCACCTCTTTGTAGATGTCATGTGGCGATGCGCGTTGCAACATTTCCAAGTTACGGATGAAGACACCCTTGAACTGAGTTGCGTCGGGCTCGCAGTTGTCTGGCTCACACGAGTCATGTAAAACCTTGTTGGAATCAGTCAAGGTCTCAATTGCGGCTTTAGCAATTGTGTTAGCTGTTTCCAGGTAGGTTTCGTTTGGCGCGGCTTTGTTTAGCTCGACGAGGCCGCCGAGTACGACACCCTGGTTATAGGACCAACTGGAATGAATGATGTTAGATTGGAGCAAACGCATTTTCCAATTGAAATGAACATACACAGTAGCACCGTTGTTTTGGCAGTTGTCTAGAAGTCCATCGTTGATGGTGTTGTTTTCACCGATGAAACCCTGGGCCAGGAACCAATTCCACTCTCTCTGGGCCCAGTCGACGTAGTAGTCTTTTTGCGAAGGCACTCGGTTTGCAAGGTGTGCCGCAGTGGAGAGGAAGAGTTCGTTGGTAATCGCGTTCACGTAATCGTTGGACGGGTTCCATGGAATACCACCGTTGCTGCAGCGGGTACCCCAAGCCTTGGTCTGTATAGACAATTAGCATCGAAACAACCCGATATAGGAACAAGGAATACGTACCAGGCCATCGAAAATGCCTTCGGCGAGCTGGAGATACTGGTTGTCCTCGGTGACGTCGTACGCAGCAATCCATGCAAGGGCCCACCATCCATCATCGTCGTAGGCCGAATCAAGCCACTGGGAGGCATTGACAGCTTGGTTGACTCGCGCGCTCAAATCACGCGCGCTGTTGACCTTGACTTCGGGGCCTGGATGAGGGTTCTGAGGAGGAGCCATGATCAATGTATTATTGAAGACATAGCTAGCATTATCCATGACAGATGGCTCAACCAAAGCTAGATCAGCAACCACAGTCATAACATTGGCGCAATTCCACCATCCAGCGGTATCCCAGAGACCAGTACTGGGATTATACCAGCCCTGAAGCGTCTTGAAAGCATCCTCCGCTCTTGACCTAGCATTGTCGGCAACCGTAGCACCTGCCAAGAGCAATACGGTGAGCGAAGAAGCAAGACGACCGTGGGAAGAGAACATGACGCAGATGTGCCAGCACAAAAAACCTACCCGGTCGAGTGACACATACGTTCTGTTTTAAATAAGAATGGGATCTTCGCGAGTTCCTGGGCACAAGTGGCAGAGCAAAATAAATATGCATTCTTGAGGCCGAAGATCCTTGATTGGCCGGGAAGCTCAGCTTCACAGGCACGACCCACAGATGCACCTGGGTGAAACCCCCTGATCTGCATGATCGACCATATTTCTGCACTCTTTGAATTTGGTGATTTACATTTTGTGATTCGCGACTTGCGACTTGCAGTCCGAAGCCCGAGAGCCTATCTCAGCCGACCCGATCGCATTGACCCCGGCTAGCTTGCAAACTGGCGTGATTCATCAAGGGATGGTTCCGTGGAGTCCAGTGCCCAGTTCTCCGTGCTCAGAGCAGGGCTAACATGGACCCGCATCCCTTGCAAGGTCTCCGCCCGAGCTCTCCATCTTCTCCTGCAGCTGTGATACAGGTGCGTGGTATGATCGAGGACTTCTCGGAATTGCTTTTGGGCCCGCTTTTTATCCACCTTGGCGCCCGATCAGGCTTTACGTGTCTAAAACGGCTAGTGATTTGCGCGGCAACCACCTCACTTACCTCATGGAACGATACTGTAAGCCTGGAGCCGGGCCTTGCATATGGTTGATTGGCATTTGTCACCTGAACCGTATTCACTTTAGCGCTTCGCCAAACCCCAAAGGACTCAGTGAGGCTACTGCACAGACCGCACTCTATCACATATTATGCCTTCCAGCATCAAACATATTCAAGCCAGGCAGGCCGAACAGTTTCCTCACGTGCATGAAACATGCATTTTCTCTCGCACCGCACTTGAGTGCACCCCTTCTACTCTGACGTCAGCTGAAAGTCGTGCCTTTTCCCCGGCGCTCATGTCTCAGCACAATCGGACTGGCTGCAATATGTTTAAGCACAGACTGAGATCACCATATTCTTTTCCATCCCAAGACATGACATTAGCGTGGGGTAATTTAATTTCCTTACACCCCAGCCACACCTGAGCGTGGTGCTCGGTTGCTAGGGCAAGACATGCGTCTTTGGGGAAATGGAGAAGTTTCCGCCCCGAGAATCGAGCGATTCGGTTCACCTGCAAAGCTGTTGATAGAGTGAGATAGCTGATCCGGACAAGGAACGTGTGGTATCACAGATGTCAGTAATTAGTGATAAGCGATGTGTGAACACCTATTGAACCTTGGAACATGGTTTCTCATGGTTTGATGATGGCAATCCATTGAAAAAGCGAGAATCGAAGATAGATAATCTGTTAACATAGCTATATGTTTGATTATCATCATGGATTATCATCGACGTCTGGAAGGCATCGCACTTGGATGAAATAGAAGCTGAAGTAGGAATGAACATCGGGCGACACCGCTAGCCAGCATTTGAAGTAGACCAACACCACCCGGAGGTCACTAAGCACTGGACCAAGAGCTGCATCCCTTCTATGACCTTACGAAGCAGGAAAGGTTATTATTGGTGATCTGTACTGCTCTAGACAGTATTTTGGAAACCCGGTAACCTTCAAAGCAATCAATCATGTCAGAGCAAGATGATCAGATCCAAAAATTAGGACACATCACGTTTAAGTCGAGAAAACTCCAACGTAGTCATTGCGCGTTGGTCAGTCAAATAGTATGCTCATTTCTGAATCTACCAAGGCAGCCACTGAACAAGCGGACCTTTCTCATAACCTCATTCGGTCGCCTGGCGAAGAGCTCGGAGACCGGTGTTCGGTTGAGCCAACGGGTTGTGTTGCTACTAAGAGATAATTGCCGATTGTGAATAGTGTCTTTCTCCAACACAACCCTAACGGTATCGTGGGAAAGTGCTAAAATAGCGGCAAATGCCACTATGGCGGGTCTTGAATAGTTCCCGATGTGTTGCCAAAAGCTGCCATCGCATGGACCAGCTAATTGACAAACCCGAACGCCCCTGAGATTGGTCTTCTCTATACCAGCTCTAACCATCTTCACCAAATGACTTATGATGGTGAAAAGTGGAATGATGGGAGCCCCAAAGTCGACTGCATCCCTGGATCCGAGATTGCCATTGGCATCGTTAGCTGGGGAAGCGGTAATAAACCAGTATGACTGTAATCCAGAGGGGAGACTAGTTTCTAGGGTCCCGGAGTGGGTGTGGAGCCAAGCGAAACGGAAGTTTGGCAAGCTGACGAATTCCCGGCTTGATCGAGGGGGTGCGAATAGTGCGTGGAGGTGGGCCCAAAGGCAGTGGGGCGTTGCAAGGGACAGGAACTCCTACCGATTGATAGAAAAGACTGGGAACAATGACACTAGTTTGATGTTGACATTGATTGCGACTTAAATGAGATGATAACTATTTCTCAGATGCGGAAAGTAGCCCCGCAGGATCGTTGATTCTGACTCACATCTCTCCGCCAAGTCGAGTTCACCGACGTCTTCTTCTCAAAAATTAAGATCGCTTTCTTCCCTGCAAAAGCTAGGTAGCCGCATCTTACAAATCACGAACCCAGAGTTATAGTATCTCCCAACTGATTCCATCTTTTTCGGTCAAGCCTTCCTCGGTTTGCGCTCAGAGACGTAATGATGACCGAACCCCTTCGCTACTCCAAAGATGGCATCTCCATCACCAATGCGACACCGGAGAACATCCCAGTCATCAAGGATATGGTTCATGCTGCATATTCAAAATACATCGAGCGGATTGGCAAACCACCAGCCCCCATGACGGCAGACTATCGAGTACTCATGCAAACACATGAGATTTTTCTTTTGCAAAAACCCAATGGGAAGGTGATGGGGTCAATTATGCTTCGATCTGATCTACCTTCCAACTCAATTGAGATCAACAACCTCGTGGTCGATCCTTTGGCTCAAGGCCTTGGATACGGGCGAATTTTGATGAGCTACGCAGAGAATATTGCCAAGGCACGGGGTCACTCTAGCCTGACACTCTATACCAACGTCAAGATGTATGAGAATCTGGGACTCTACGTCAAACTTGGCTTTACTGAGATGGAAAGGAAAGTGGAAGATGGATTTGAGAGGGTATACTTCCGAAAACCGTTGCATTGAAGAGAACGACCGGCTTGGTTTGTGCATAATAGTCAAAGGGTGTGCCTAGAGCGCTTCAATATGAATGAAATATATCTGCAATCTCAATATTCGCTCGTTAAGATTCAAGTACTTCGAAAAAGCCTAATGAGTACCGGCCATCAGGTACCAAGATTCACTGCATGGTTTCTGGAACAGAATTTGCGATAGCTGCGTCTGAGTAGACTTGGTTCGCATGGGTTCCAGTGTCATGGAGGCTTCCAATAAGGAGGGCTGGATTCAGGTCAGTAGTAGTTTAAAGAAAGTATGCCCCAGCAATTTTCGAAAATAATCTCTTGGTGTTGAAGACTCAAATTTTGATCTTACCAAACATGGGTACTTTGACGCTCTCGCGAATCGCCATGGCGAGCTGGATTGACACTATCGAGGTGTGTATGGCTTCTCCCGGACCCCAATTGGAAATGCGGTTACCTGCTGCTAAAGACAGACTCTCATAAGGACCTTGCAGAACTTAACGGTGCGGGAAATATAACCTCTTCATATGCTTGTCTCGTCAGATTCTGGGGGCATTCTACCGTTGTAGGCCTTCGCATGGGTCGGAATATAAGCTTACTAGACTTTTATTATTTGTAAAACAGAATTCAATTTTCACTTCATAGCATGTTTATTCTCAAATCCCGTTTGATACCCACTGTATAGTTGATCGACGATTCGTAGCAAAGGAGACTGATAATAGCTCGGCCCCGACTCATCTTCTACCGTAAGACCTTTCTCGGATTTTTCAAGCAGAAATGACTGACTCTTATAGTCAATCCAATATTTGCCCATCCCCCCTTATGTCATTTGCTTTCACTCTTTACGGGGAGCACCCACCATCACCTCGCACTTATGAGCCGAGGGAGCAATCAAGAAGTAGTGCTCAGGCCTCATACTCTTGTCACTAACACTCGGAGCCAGTCGTACATTTCCACATCTCCTAAAAAACTCGGCTGCTCCCAGGCGCAGCTCCATCAAAGAGAGATGAATCCCCAAGCAAGTTCTAGATCCGGCACCAAACGGAGATAATGCCATTCGTGCTTTCTCGGAGGCTTCACTGTCCCCCGGTAGCCAGCGTGCGGGATCAAATCTCTCTGGATTGGGGAACAGAGTGGGGTCTCTATGAATGGTGTAGCTCTGGGTACTCACTGTGGTGCCAGCAGGGATGTAATAGCCCGATAAGGTCACGCCGCCCTCTGGTACTGTTCGTGGTAGAGATCCAGGAGCCGCACCGTATAGCCTGAGAGTCTCCGTGATGGTGGCGTTAAGTACAGGGAGTGACTCAAGGTCCGCTTCATCGTAGTCACCTCCCAAGGAGATTAGCTCTTCTTCAATCTGAAGTCGTAGTGACGGGTGGGACAAAACGACCCAGATGAGATAGGTCAGAGTAACAGCCGTTGTGTCCGATCCAGCAACAATAAGGTTCCCTGCTTCTATGGCAACTTCCATATCACTCAGCACCGAGCGGTCTCTCTCTGTCTCGTATACTAAGCCCGAGAAAATATTCCGGCAAGACTCGCTGTTCTTTCGGCTATTCGTCACTGCTCTCTGGCTGTACTTGAGCAAATACTCATCGGTCCTGAACATCTCGCGGAATGACTGGAGTGGGATGTATGGACCAATCATCCTGAGCAGAGGGATCTCCGAGCCGATTCCACTTCCTTTCATGGCCGACTCGAGGATTCGGATATATTCGTTTTTCTGGTTATCGGTTAGTATTGTAGCGTTGGCATAGACAGACAGAGGTAAGTATACCTGTCCAACCCCAAGCATGTTGAAAGACTCCCCGAACATCAAATGACCACTAACGTCTGTAGCCAGAAAGGTTGACCATTTCAGAATATCGCAGATACCAGTCGTCTCCAGCTCATTTTGGATCTGCGATACCGCTAACTGAACCTTCTCCTTGACAACGGGCTCCCAAGAACCTCGAATTGCAGTTTTTGAAAAAGGCCTGGCAAACAACTTCCTTCTCTGTGCGTGCTTCTTGACATCCTGCATCGCGAAGACTCCTTCGCGGCCTGGTGTGAAAGAGCTGTACCAATCACTCTTCACAAAACCCGAACCAATACGATGGATTTCCTTAAATTCCGGGAGGGATGAGACCGAGATCTCTGTTGGTGAGATGCGAACGATCGGGCCATATTTCTGATGGAGATCATGTATATAGTAGATTTGCTGGCCGCTGATCGTCGCGAGCCCGAGACGAAGGCGAGTGAAGCGGGTAGTGATCGGCCCTGGAATGTGACGAAGAGGGGATCTGACGACTTTGTATGCGATCTAAATGCGTCCTTGTCAGCGTAATGTGCTTTGTGATGGCGTATTTCAAGAACCTCACGTGGATGATCCATCCCAAGGCGGCGATAGCGACATAGATGCCGAGGGTGTTTCGGGCTTCCATCTTGAACCACACTGAACCCAAGAATGTAGAAACTGGCCGCTGAGAGCAAGCCGTTAAGTAGGTTCATGGTGTCACTCGTTGGCCTGAGCCTAAGCGGTCAGGAACGCTATAGGCCCTCAATGAGAGTATCATCGTCAATTCACCATATCGGCCCCACACTCCGAGTGTTGCAGGTGGGGAAGCCGATGTGCCACGAAATACCAGCGATGCCCCCGCTTTCTGCCCTCTAGGAAGTACTAATTGTGTCATCTGGCCGTCAGCCAGCGATCTTGATCGGGTGATCATTTCTTGTAGATATGGCTGAGACACGAGACTACAAGCCTCAAAGAGCCGGATAGTTAGATGGATGAAACATGTGTCGTTTTGTAAAGGTATGGTATATTGATTCCAAAGTTAAGAAGTATTTGTGAAATGTCCAATCCAGTGAGGTAGATATACATGGGAATCCTCATAAATCCATGCCACACTAAAACAGAAGGCACCCTTGCCCCCTTGGTAATATGTACAAAGCTCAGTCATGAATAATGAAGAGGGTATGGGAAGTCATTGAAAGTTGGAAAAACAAAACAGAAAGAAATGTCAGGTAAAAGGAGGCACCAATATCCCACGTCAAGATCATAGAAAAAAAAAGGGAGGGCGAAGAGATGATTAATAAGGCGCGGCACTGAAGAATTCATTTATGCAGCGAGCATGAGAATAGCAGGAAGCCTGGAAAAGAGAAGGCTGAAAAAAATTCGATGGCTTATATCGCGTGGTTTATCGTCGCCACATCGTTCGCGATGGGGCTTCATTGAAGTCGGCTTTCTGGAAGTCGTCTTTGCTCGAGCGCTCGCTGGAGCCTTCGCCACCATATGCCGGCTCGGTTGTGATTTCGATCGTTGTCTCCTGGTACACCTTGCCAATTGGGGTCATCTCGACGCCCGGCTGCACGATGTTGTCGGTCGAGCCCTCCCGCTCGATGATGGTCTCATCGCTAAGGCCCATCTTGCGATTGGCAGGATCGGCGGTGATAGTTGTCAGGTTGTTGTCGCGTCCTTTGCTGCTGGCGAACTTGTTGTAGGAGCGGTCGTGGCTGGGCTCGGAGTCGACGATAAGAGCGCGGCGGGTAAGGGTATAGAGAGTCACATCGACGAGTCCAGAGCTGGTCATAATAGCACCTAAAAGGTAGGATGTTAGTTGATTCGAGTCAGGCGAGAGGATCTTGTAGCGTTACTTACCGGCACAGCAGAAGAATGTGATGGAGGGAGCACTGCCGTTAGCTGTAGCCATACGACCAGCAGCAAGTGGCAGTGATAGAACGATGTAAACGATGGGATAGATAGTCATGTATCCGACCACTCGTCTCAACCGCTTCAAACTCTCAAGCTGGCTGTTTCCAAGAATGGAAGACGCAGCAATCTGTCGTCGAAGCTGGAAGTACATCACAGCGTACAGGCACACAGTTCCGAATCTGATGGTTTTCCAGGTTAGCATTTAGAAGATCCAATGGAATGGTAATGGAGACTCACTCAGCAAGGAAAATCCAGATATAATGAGTCCACAGACGAACAGTCTCGTATTCCTCGCTAATCCAGCACCAGGCACCAGAGGGAACGAAGACATCGGCTCCATACATGCCCAGAGGAATGATCACGATGAGGGCGATGAAGGCCCAGACGCCGACGACGAAGAAGACAAAGGTTCTGTGGGACAGCTTCTTGCCCCATACGACAAGCAGGAAAGTGTGGAAGGCGATAGCGAGCACAAACAGACCGGATCCGGGATCACCAATCTGAAGCCAGAGACCTTGCAGGAAGCATCCAGCAGTGCCGGACTTGATCTTGTCGGAAACAATCCATTTGAGGCAAATTAGGAAGGCAAGGGATTGTTGGAAATCTGCCAGAATCAGGTTGTAAATCAAAACGATATACTGGTTGTATCCGATGTATCTTTGGTAGTTTCCTTTCCAAAAGAGCAATCGGTAGGTAATGAAGGAAATAAGGCCTCCTGTGGCAAGGAATGAGAGGAAGGCCATAACGGCGACGGCAATAAGACCCTGCCGTTGGACCTTGGGGAGCGGGTCAATATCCAAAGTGACATCGCTGGTCAATCGACGGTCCAGCTCATTTCCCAAGGGGTCGGTCCTCTGCATGAGGCTCATCAGAGCGAGGGCGGCCATGTTTGATGGCTTCTGTGTATTCACAGATCAAATTATGAGCTTGTTTATAGAATCATCCGATGCGTGAACGGTTAAGGAACGTGAGGCTGGCCCCGATATGAGGGTGTCGGCGTCAGAGACAGAAGTCGAAGCTCGCTCAATTCGCACAGACGAGAACAGGGAGGTTATCAATCGAAGAATCGATCCGTTGAGATACCTGATACCTTGAGCCACGTCCACAACTGACGAAACCAGCGGGGAAAAAATGAAAGGCGACAAGCGAGGCAAACGTAAGTGCGGGACAAGATTATTAAAGTTGTTCAGTGCAAACCCAAGTCCGCAGCGATAGTAGAGAATCCACATGGATATTCCGTACCATGGAGCGAACTCTAAAGACACTAAGACCACTAGATTAAGGAGGGCATAGCAATCGGCATCACACAGGCCTTCTCCTGTCAAGGATCGAGTCTCCACAGTAGGACCTCTTTTTTGAACCGGGTCTTTTGGATCATCTCCGTTAGGGCCGGTGGGAGAGCCCATGATTGAGGCGAACGGCTCCATAGAATTGCACGGTCTGAATTAGTAAAATTGGATCCACTCCAGGCCAGCCCCTCTCAGAACAGGGGGGAGCCAAGTGGGGAAGTCCATGAAGTTTCTGCCACGAGAGGTAAAGCAAGACGCGAGCTAAGTTTGGTTCAGACGGCTAATCCCCACTAAGACCAGCCTCTGAGCGTGCCCTAGACGGCGATGAATCTCTGGAAAATACCGATTCAGGGGCACCACTTTTTCGTGGCAGCAGCCCGAGTCATTCCAATGTCCTTTTTCTTTTTGGGAACGGTTGTTAGGCCGATGAACCTTGTAGGCACTGCCGACTTTGGGGGATGTACAAAGCATAGAGCGCCACAAAAGCTATTCTCCGCGTCAGGCCCGCTAGTAACGAAACCATGAGACCCGACCACTCACAGCCCGTTGATTCTATCATCCCAGTTTTCTTCCAGCTGCAGGGGCAGACCTTCTGGAACGCTAGCGGAAGACACTGGTAAAATTCACCGCGTGTACTCAGTAATTACCGGTAGTTTGTCTCCCAAGTACGAAGGCTGAGTCCCCGAGTAACGTTCTCAACTCTTCCTGGCTGTTCTGAGCAAAAAGCTCCGTGCCGAGTCGGGCGGGGACATGATCAACTGGAGCCACTCTGTAATCTTTCCAGGCACTAGCCAACGGCGTTGCAGTCATGACCAGGGGGGCGGTCATCAGGGGCCTAGGAACCCCGCAGAGGACACATGGCTGTTGACCGACGCCCCAGAGAGGTATTTTGTCACCAAAACATGCGTGTGTTTTGCCAAGGAACGGTTCCAGAAAACCTTGACGATCGCTTTCAACGAAGGATTATTTAACAATAGTGTAATATTGATCTCGCGGCACAAAACGATTGGGCCCGGAACAAGCTTCAATCCACCTCCATCAGCCCAACGAGCGCTATGGTTCCCTCCCCTCTTGATGGGGTCTGCCGAGCCGGGCTCCTGAAGCCGACGCCTTCGAGTGAAACCGGTCTGCCCGCTAAGCAGCATGGCCATTACTCCCGCGGCTGTGGCTTCGTCATGGGCGCTATATTAGCTCTCTGTGCGAAACGGCTATGTAATGAGGTGCGGAGCGGAGCAGGTGGTCATGATGAGAGTACTACAGAAATGTGCGGTCAAGTTCAATGTGGATCATGGGATGTCAATGTCAATGGAGCAACACGGCCTGAGCAATCACTCATTGTATTTTTTTGATGATTGTAGGCAGTCACACATGAGTCTGGCTAAATCGCAATCCGACCCGCTCAAGACTTTCTTCCCGGGATCCATGGGCCGAGGAACAAGCAATCCGCGAAGGGTTATGATGGGCAGACCAGACTCCCTATATGGACTAGCGCGGGTAGTGGATGGAGCCCCGGGCACGATCAGCAAGGAGATCAAGGCCCAGGACGGTGATGGCATCACACGGCAGCGCCGGGTCTGGAGCCGCTAGTAGCGATCGTGGAGATTGCAGAACTCCTGTTTTCCACCCGTTGCCACAGTGGAATGGGCAACCCGATAAGTCCGTGTAGTCCGTCATGTGGCAAAAATTGACACAGGGGGAGATATGGATTAAGGCAGCAGTCCCACGCAGATATCGGACCGTGGCCGAGCACCACGTTTTCAGGGAGAACTAACTTCAGTCCTCCCAAATCAAACTGATGGTTTGTCGACGGGATGCACAGCGATACCCCAGGAACCATGGTTTTGTGTGCTCTGCCAAGCAGACCCACCTTGATTTATGATTCTTCTTCACCTGCCCTTTTTCGCTAGACTTGGCTCCCCGCGCTAGACCCGCCGATCTAAATTGAACATGGTGTCGGAGTTGAGTCTGAAAGGAGCATTAGGGAGACTTTCCACCGCTTTTACTTTGGCCCAAAGCATTGTCATTGGCAGTCCCCGATTGACTGCCCGTCCCACCGAACTTTCTGTGCAGATTCTCTGTCTTCCCCGCCGCGTAACTGACACTCACGTGGGCTCATCAGTTGGCTATCAATGGTACGTGTGAACTACTGTATTCAGGATAATTGTGGTCGGTCCACGTCTGTCCTCCTGGAACTGTGGGTACTGAGCCGTGTCTTTGGTTCGGATCGATCCAGATCGATGGTTGGGGCTGGTATAAACACGTCCACTCCTCTACTGTATGGGGGATGGTGGCGCTTCAGCCCCCTGTAGCAGATCAACGACATGATTTAGTTCAGCTGGGGCGCTCGTCATGGGTGACAAGTGCCGAAATAATTGGCGGCAGGGTTCGTGAGACGACATTTAAGAGACTCTTATTTGAGTCGAACATGGCATCCAGAGTCGGTGTCGATCTCTATTTAAGAGAGAGACTCCCAACTTCCCAATTGGGTATTGAAGGCATGACGCTCCAATCGCTCATTTCTGCGTGTTCATCTTCTGATGCCTGCTCTACGTCCGTATCAGCAAGAATTTGGGAAAATTGAGTTTCGGTATTAGACTACTGTAAACCATCCGATTTTAGGGACGTGTAGCTCGCTCACGGATTATTGGAGCCCATACACGGTCCCTTGAATGATCATGGAGATCTACAGTGATTAGACTTCCATAGGGGGCCCGAATGCGACTGTCAACGGGAAAGTTCCCCCACCTAGGTCTGGGTAGCTGTGGAAATTAGCCGGCCAGAATTCAATCTTGCGGTAATGGCAGCTAAGACGCGAGAGTTCAATAATGCATGGGACAAGCGCCAACGGCGCACCAAACCGAATCTTGTGTGTAAGATGCGCCCGACCGGCCATTTAGATCTGACGACGACTTTGCATTGCTTGAGCCGACGGGGATCGTCTGAATCCCCGTCAGTTTCCCCCAGACTATTTGAGTTTATCGGCACGCAAATCTCTGTCATATACAAACTTTTAAATGATCAGTCTATTGATACGCCAAGCCGACGGGCCAAAGATCGGGTCATCTGAATCGTCCTCGCTTTGGTCAAAAGCTGCCCCAGGAGACCAATTTTGAGGATCGGAGCCCCTAATGCGGATCACTGCAAGACAGTCCTTCTCGAATGGCCCAAGCTGTAACTAGTGAATCCGTGCGTTCCGTATTCCGGCGGAATTCCACCGTCAGGCCTTGGGAAGGTCTGAATGACGTCTAACCAAGACACGAATAACTCAAATAGGAAGCAAACGAGCCAGTAAACTTCCAGCGGTCGCATGCGACAGCCTTACAACCAAATCTTCCAAATCTTCAAACGAATGTGCGTGGAAGTTTCTCTGATCTGTGCTCATATGCTATCAATACACTAAAATGTGTATACGTCCGCTACGCTATGCGGGTCCCTTCAGGTAGTACGGCTGGGGAGGTGGCTGATGAGTTCTCCAGGGTTCAAATGTTGTTTACTCAAGCTTTTCCCAGTGCTACCAACCTAAGAACGAGTTGTCGGCCAAAATTGCTGTCTGTATTGATCGAGCAGAATTCCTCTGTATCTCTCCTCTACCACAATGACCTAGTAGAGCGTAACGTTGCGCTACTTTTGTACTGGTGTGAGACCGATGTCATCGACGACACTGAAATGCGTGGTAATAATGAATTGTGCAGAACTCTCACCAGTACACCTTCAGTGCTTCGGCGGGAGAACAAAGTCCCGGGCTTGTGGCGCGTCCCCGCGCAGCTGAGCACGAAGTGGAAAGTAGAATGAGGTTTTCCGGTTAGGAAAGGCGAGCTGTAGAGCTGTGTGGATGTTACACATTATTATGCCTAAGGGTAAAGAGCCAATGCGCATTATGCGCATTGGTGACAGCCGGTCTATCCTAACATTTGAAGTAGTCGACCGCGCATGTTAGCGGATGGATAGAATAGATTCGTAGACGTGTTTGACTATTAACATATCAAATATGTATACCGTCGGAGAAGAATGCTGGGCAAGGCTTTAAGGTTGTTGAAAAGTTTGTATACATCGTAGTGCTATATTATGAAACCTGCCCTGGTACTGAGCATGGACATGGTATGCAATGAACTTTCAAGTCACACCTCTGTCGCGTTTATACCTACCATTATCAAGAGGCGATGGGTAAGCTCTAGAATCAAGTCCTATATTGTAAAAATGCCTGAGGTTCAAGGCTGGATCTACCTATTCTCAAATGCTGAAACTAAATGTTCAATTCTCTCAACGACAAAAGACTTAGTATCGTCCCGAGGTCTAGAGGGCGTCCTCGCCTACTCCTTCTCCTGTGTAACTAAGGTTGAACTCCGAATAATGGTAGGCTCGGTTTTCTGAAAGCAAAAGAGGCTCTTCCGGATATGGCGAAGAGCGCTCGGACGACTGAGCATGGAACTGCCAACTTTACAAAGATTGTCATGAATTCGACTCGAGCAGATTCAACATAAAAGATACCCGTCATCTCATGGTATTCATAAATCATAAAGAAAAGTCGCAGCGACCAAATGGCAAACATAGAAGGCACAAATGGGATGCCAGACCTCTAAGCCAGCAACGTATTTTGGGATGGGAAGTGGGTATGGTATAATCACCAGCAACAGCCCGATGCAAAGTATATCCACGCATGCAATCTTGATCTCGACCGCTAACCTGGAACCATATTCGCCAGTCGCTATGCAATAACCAGATTACCTTCGGCGAGAGTTTCTTGAATCGCGCCGACCGACCGGGGACGATTCTTCCTCGTCCTCCTCTTCCACAGGCGCGGGTGTGCGTCGCTCAGTGCGTCTCTTGGGCCGGCGTCGACGGTTAGAACTTATGTTACTAGCTGAGTCATCGGGGGCGAGAGAGCGGTCGTCGTCGAGGAAGTCGTCTTCCATTCCGCTTTCCCATTCGTGTTGACTGAATGGGGTGCCCAGGCGCGCTTCAACGTAAGAGCCGCGTCGGCTTTGATTTGCGACCGATAGGCCAGCGCCGCGTTCCCGGAGGGCGCGACGAACGACTTCGGCTTTGAGATGGAGGGCTTCAAAGGCGTCCTCCATGGCTTCCATGCTTAGGAAAATGTCTCGTTCGATTTCGGCCAGTGCGGCGATTTCAGTCTCCTCGTCTAAGGCGATTGGTCCTCCGAATGAAGCTGGGGATGAGGGGTTGCCGTTCGGTTGACTTGCAGAGCGGAAACTTCCATCCGTATAATTGGGTGTCGGTCCGCGAGAGATGCCTCCTGTGCTGAAGGGGGTGTTGGAGCGGCTACCGCTAGAGCGGGGGTTGAAGGAAGGCATTGCGTCTTCGGCGCCGCTGCGGAGGAAGCCGTCAAAGCGGCCGGAGATGAGAATTTCCCATTCATCATCACTGATAGCGGCGAGGGTGGCAAGGACATGATGCAGCTCAGGGTTATTGAGCATGAACATGGCTGTTTCAGGGTCACGTGGGAGGGATTGCAGCCTGTAAAGCCGCTGGATTGCCAGCGAGCAAAACACGAGAGATGATGGCTTTGGTCGAGGTTTCTCATCATCCGACCGAGGAACAGGAGTTGAAGAGTTGATACCAAGTAGAGCGCAGAACAAAGAGCGTTGGTGGTGTTCAAGATGGGTGAGCATAGCAAAAGTCAACGTCTCGTCGTCCACTTCCTCTGGGGCACTGGTAAGTGAGACATTTTGCTCAGAGAGCCATTTGTCCACAGCAACCTTTGTCTTCCGAGACTGTCGCATGAAATGCTCGCGATATTCTTCAGGGACATCGATATCGAGCTTTTGCATCGGAATATGTTCTCCACCTGGCATGTCTGAGTCTATAGATGAATGTGCCATCATGAAAGGTGGCCACATAGGCAACTCTCGGCGCCCAGAAACCAGCTCCAACACCTCTCCCCAGCTTACTCCCTCGGGGCGCTCCTCTAAATCCTCATGGTCGCACATCAGGCAGTGGCAAGGCTCCGATGAGATATCACGCGCAAAAACTGCCTCGAGTCGATCGAGCAGTCGTCGCGCCACCGACCTGTACCCCGTAGCAACAGCGAGAGACCCACTCTTGCTCATGACCTTATTGTAGTCATCCAGAAGGCGGTTAAACGGATCGAATACTTTTGCGGCCGCTAGTTGAGGGTGAGTGGCAGACTGGGCGAAAGGATCAGATGGGCTGGGTCCGACCAAGAGTGTCCGGGGAACCTTATTCTCGAGACCTCCATGCTGAAGGAGATAGTCGACTCTGGGTATGGAAACGGGCACCTGAGGTGGTGGTGGAGGGGGTGGAGGTGCTCCATATGACGGGCCAGACGGCATATGTCTTCCGCAGTCGATAGAATCATCGCTAGGAGTGTGACGGTGGGATGCCGAAGACCGGTTCTGCGTCCGAGAGGGAGGTTTGATAGGCGGGGTCACCGACTTTCCGGGAGCCGTGTGTTGGTTGGGGGCGATGGAAGTGGCATCCGATCCATTAGGTGATTGAGCGCCAGCATCGCGGACTGTGACATTCGACTGCGATAGAACAGACCGACTGGATCGCTTGGGTAGTTTCTTCTCTTCGGAAGATTTGGTCTTCGAAGACCTATGGCTTGTGCGAGGAGATGACTCTTCCTTCTCGGGTTTTTCTGATTTGTCTGTTTTCGATGATTTCGATTTGGGTGTATCGGCCCGCGAGGCCTTACTGGACTTCGTTTCTCCATCTCTCTTCGATCGCAGACTCGAGGATGACCTATTGACCTCAGTCCTGATTTTTATGCTCGCTTTCTTCGCCTTGGCTTTGTCCGAACTCTTGTTCTTTTCTTCCTGCTCGCCGACCGCACTACCCTTGCGCGAGGAGGGCTGGTCGAGGCCCGTCAGTGGCGGACTCGGCGGGGCCTGGTGGTTATCGCGGGTGTGGTTGCCATTTGTCTTGGTATTTTCCTGGTCCTCGGTCAAGTCGGTCGGGTCCGGTGTGGGGATGTTGGCTTTGCGAACATCTTCCTTGCGGTGCGCTTGAGAGAAGGTAGGATAAGGCAGGCTGGTCCTCGACTCAAGGAACGAGGCGGTTCCCGAGCCACTGGCGTCGAGACCTGGCATCGAGGACCTGCGTAGAGGGGCGCTGAGCGAGGTTAATTCAGAAGTGGAGGAGCGAGCCGTTGGGTCGGGATCGGGATCCTTGGTAGAATTGCGGGAGGGCCGAACCAGAGAGGAGCCCTTAGGATGTTTGGTTTTCGAAGTCGTGGAGGAGGTTGGGGGTTTGGACTTCCGGCTCTTAGTGCTATTAGGTCTCACCGGGAAAAACATGGCTCGTGAGAAATCGTAGCCGCACGAGGTGGATCCCTTCGAAGCCCCGGGGCCCGCTGGTTCATCTGGTCCGTCTGTGCTTCCCTAAGAGCTGGGGTTGGGCTCCGCCACTTGTGATGCTATTTTAGTTCAATATGTGTGTGCTGCCTGGCGCTTAGGTCGCGTGATTTCACCGTGATGACGGGCGCTTGACGTCGATCGTAGGCGGGAGAGACATTCCGCGCAGGATCAGTATCGAGGGAACAGTGGACTTTCAGGTACCGAATGCATGAGACCGGAGACCGACTTGGGGTAGACCACTTTGTGCGGTGAACAGACCGACAGTTTAGCTTGTGGTTACGTTGGATCTGCATGGACGCCCAACTGCTTTGAAGCCAACGGGCTGAAACGCGATTCCCGAGGTCGGAGAATATACGAGTCACGTGGACTGTACATTGGGTACAAGGGTACATTGGGGTATCATTTGCTATGGCCTTATTGTACAAAGGTAGACATCCTCAGTCTACTTGGAATCCATTTGGAGCCTTCCTCACTGGTGACGTTTCGAGTATCCAATTACCATCCTCTTCGTGTGCCACCCCGCCCTTCTGTGCGGCCTTCATCATCTTTTCACTTGCTGGGGTCAAGTCGCCTGTGTGACGGTCCCAGATCCAGCCCTCCTTGAGCCACATCCAGGTCAGATAAGCGCGTAGTTCCTTGTCTTGGGGGAGCACGGATTTCCATTCGGGAACAAATCCGTCCGTAGTGGCACCACTCCCTTTCCAGTCCGTCGCAAGTCCACGCAATTCGTCTCGGCAGAATATGCGCCAGCTGTCCAAGGAATAGGCTCCCACACCTGGTAAATGCGCAATCTCCCATGCTACCCGATGGTCCTCGTCGTCGGTACATTCGAATGGACCAACATCTCGACCATCTAGCTTCCGGGGATAGTGCAGTTTGCGGTATCGCTTGTTTTTAACAGGAGGGTTGGTTTGCCAGATTTGCGCAATAGAAATACACTTCCTTGCTCGCTGATTCTGAAAACCCAAACAGTGGATCATGGATACAAGCTCAGTCCGGTCTGCGGTCGCCATCGCATCGGTAGTTGGGTAACGAGCAAACACTTTGAATAAGACAGGAAGGGCGACCCCACCTCGAGTGCGGTTGAGGAATATTGTCGCAATCAGGAGCCTGAAGGGATCGTGGGCAAGCTGTTCTTGAATAAGACCAAATAATGGCGCATCGACAGGTGGAAACGGCAAACACGATTCTGGATCGTCCAAAAGGGCCGGAAAATAAGGCGAGACCTTGGGAAGTTTAGGCTTTGAAATCCGTGGAGTCTCAGGCCAAAGTAAATTGGTCTGTTTCAGTGGAGTACTAGGGGGTGATGTGGTCGGTGGCGATAGAAGTTCTATGCTTTTCGTAGAGGAATCGTGTGTTGGATCGAGCAGGGGTTCAGCTTCACGGTCGAAATCGTTGGGTATGTCACTCAGCGAGGAATCTGACGAGAGAAAGTCTGAATCTAGACTCAGTCCCTCTAAAATTTGTCGGGTTTCTTTAGGAATCGACATGTGCCGGGTGGCAGGGGTTATGGGTTCGTGTTTTTTTGTTGCGTTAAGAACAGGAAAATACTTCGACATCACCTCATCACTGGGGGTCACCTCTTGCGAATCATTGGTTATCAAAAATCCACTGACCATTCAGCCGGATTGGGTGACAAAGGCCCGTGTCTCATCAGGTCAGTGCTCCTGTTTGAGGTCCTCGAGGGCGGAGTCGCCGCAACTGCTGTGGATTCGCTATGGACGGGCGTACGCTGGCGTTCAGCACGCTGCTGGTCTGCATTTGACGTATTCTGGATATGAAGGTAACTTTCGCGCTTCTTTTGTCTCTTCTTTTCCTTTTTGCGATAATTTTTGGCTTTTTTCCCCTGTAGCGAGAGCTCCGACGTAGGACCGGCCTGACCACTATCCGCATTGGAAGGCTGACAAGTAGCTTTCTCAACATCGTTGTTCGAGTGCTGGCTCTTCTCTGGATGATCTTGAGCATACTGGGATTCTTCAGGGTTGGCAATGGCGGACATTTGTTTCTCTGGGAGTTCACTAGGGACTGTGGTTTCAGGGGAGTGACTACTTCGAGTCATGTCGACCATAACATTGTCGACTGCGCTTTGTTCAACGGCATTGCCTGAATCTATCTTCTCGGTTGGTTGCTTTGGGGGTTCTTTATGTCTCTTGAACTTCAACAGGCGAGTCGCTCGTTCAAAAATAGGCGGCAATTCTGGTTCCGATGGCTGGCTTTCTTGGACACTGCCCAGAGAAGTTTTTGGTGAAGCACATCCGACATGTCCTTTGCGAAGGGGATTGTTCCCATTGAGTGCTTCTCCGACAGCCGCAGAATCATTGTCTGGCTGGGTAACTTTGGATTTGGATTTTTTTGCATCGAGCTTTTCTGCTTCATTTGGGTGATTTGGTATTTCCATATCCTGCTGGAATACCATTTGCATATTCCCAAATCCCTGGGCGGGATCTTGCTCACAGAGGACATACTCTGGAGTCTTGGGAACCGATGCCACATTCTTGTCTTTGCAGAGGCTTCCACAGCTATCTTTCTTAGCAATGCTTTGTGCAGTTTGTTCCACTTTTGGCTGGGAAACGTTCTTGGTTTCCGAGCTGGGCTGTGGCGTGGACTGTAACGAAGAGACTGAAGCCTCAACCGAGGCACGTCTGTTTACTTTGCTCTTTCTTCTCTTACAAGATCCGGCCTGCTCTGGATTGCTCAAGTACCTCTTTCGAGACTTGTACTCATCATTGATCTCTTCTCCAAATTTCAGGTTTCGGACGTCTCCTGTAGTGTCGGCGGGAACACCAATGATGCTTTCCATAAAGACCCTGCGCATGTAGACAATGAATGTATCGATGTCTACAGCATCCATCCCTACGGACGCTGCCTCTCTGCGCATATCCTTAACAAACTGTCGCCGAGCAGACTGCCGTACAGGAACCTCTAGATTCTGCATGAAGGGATGCGCGAGCACAGATTGAAAAAATTCCTGTCTGCGAGACGGCTCCATACAGGCGAAAATGATGTCCTCCTCGGCTCTAACTTTCTCAGCTGCAATTTCCTTGCCTGCAACGAGGTCAAAAACTTCGTTCTTTGTGGGGATCTCAAATATGCCACCACTGCTTGATCTGGCATCGGCAAGGAAGTCGACATCCGCGTGGAAAGCTTCACTGATGTAGTTGTCGTCATTACGGTCCTTTTTGGTATCGTTCTCTTCCTTGCTGGTATCGCTGTTCCCCTTGATATTATTTTTATCGTCACCGAGCCTTGTTTCATCCCGGTTGAGGTTGGACTCATTGAGAATGTTCACATCTCCATGAGAAGAACGAAGTGGGTGGCTGCCGTTATGGTTGTAGTCCGTATCATGCAGGCTCGCTTCCTTGCCAATTGAGTTGGAGTCGTTAAGGCTACCCGGAGATTCACAGGGGTCATCAACATTTTTGTTCTCCTCATTGTCACCCTGGTCGCTGATGTTCACGTCTTTGCTGTTGCCAACTTCTTGGCTCCCAACCCAAGGATCATTGGCGCTATCCAAATCGCGGTAAGGAAGATCAATCAGGTTGTTCTTAGTGAGGCCCTCCTTGGCAGCGAGTTTCGCACTCTCCACTTCAAGTAGAGCATCGATGTCAACATCTCCCTCGTTGTCGGTGTCAAGGTGGATCACAGTAATGTCTCTCTGAGCTGCACGCCTTGGGGTTGTCCTGACCTTCTTTCCACCGGGAGACTGAGATCGAGTCAAAAATCGCGAACCCTCCACCTTACTATCATTTTGAGGGGCGTGACGATTCGATGTTTCCGTTGATGATCGTCTCCCGGGGTAGATTGGAAAGTGGTCATCTTTGCACTCGAAGCTGGCATCTTCGGTGAGTATTCTTTCGATTGTGCGGTCATATTCATCATCGAATGGTTTGTACGTCGCTGGATCGAATGTGGGAGGGGGAGGGACAACGGCAAGATAGTTTGATTGTGACATTTCTCAAGACATCGACTCGGTGGGTCGTAGTTGAGGCGAGGGTCAACTTGTACAGCAAGAAGGTCAGTCAAGCGAAAAAAATTAGTTCCATGAGTCCACATACAGATCTTTCGTCTCAACGGAGAGGCGATTGAGCTTGGGTAAGTTCGTATGACCGAACAATGAATTAGGACGAGGGTGGTTGAATCGTGTGTGATAGGGGCTCGATGCAGAAGTGTTGTGTAGGAACGGAGAACTTCCAGAGGTAACTGGAAGTGAATGGCTTCGGAAATTTGAGGTAGGCCTCACGCCAAAACCTCAGCTCTCACAGAGACAATAACTTCTGCTCTTTCAAAGTGAAGGGAGGGCTTCCGCGTCGCGAACCGCACAGACCATCTCCGATAGCCTTATCGCTTCGCGTTTTAAAATCACGTGACATAAGATCGTTGACTACTCATAATCGCCCCAAGTGCTTACTCCTAACCTTTCTATTCTCCCTCCTACTTCCTGTTCTCCTCGAATTGCCAAATTTCAAACATAATCCTCTCATCATGGCTAGCACTCTTTATGATGGAACCATTGTGGTGGACAAGGCCATCCTCGGCACCCTGTCCCACATACTCCACAAAGCGGAGGAACGACCCAATGCTAGCGCTCTGCTCCAGGCACGACTCGTCGAAGACATGCACCCGCTGGACAACCAAGTCCGGCTTGCCACCCAATTCTCAGAGTTCCTCGTCGCCCGATTGACCGGTCGAGAGCCGGTAACATTCGAAGGAAACCCTAAGACATTCGCTGAATGCTACGAGCGCATTGACACCGTGCTGAAGTCGCTCAACGAGGCCGACAAGGATGTTGTCAACCAACGCGGCGATGCACTTGAACTCACACAGCTGGGACCAACCAAAAAGGCAGAAATGAGCGGCGCAGCATATGCCCATACCGTTACCCTGCCGAATATTTACTTCCATGTTACTACTGCTTACGGGATTCTGCGAAAGGAGGGAGTGGCACTCGGCAAGCTGGACTTTTACACCGGCTACTTCCCTACATATCCCGCTACTGCGACTCAGTAGAGGGATAAAAAGATTCGAAACATACATATTGTAGTGGTGAAAGCGGTGACATTGTATATAGTGTGCCTGAGGTGTGTTACATGCTTTGGGCTATCTGCATTCTTCTCTCCTACATGGACGCGCACAGGCAGAACAACTCTTCGGAATATGACTGCACTTTTCGCATGTCCACCACGCCTTCCTGAGTCCTTGGGAGTGTGTATATGTGTTGCTGGCGCCCAGTCTGCGTTGCCAGACAGCGATCGAGCCATCCCCATTTCAACATGTAAATAGATGATCTTCACTCAATTATAAATAAAAAGAGTCTAAACTCCATATTGGCAATGCTCTGATTATATTATTACCCACCATACACGTATCGTATCTATACAGCATAACCGGCCGAGTCGATCAGTCGCGGCTCAGCGGCAGCATCGAATGTCCCATTAGGAAGAACACGGATTGCCTGTGAGCCACTCTGCCCGGGAGCAACCCACGTAACGTTGTGCCCGAGACTCTCCATGAAAGCGACAGTGGAGTTATCATAGTCATATTCGAAGGTGGCTTGGTTCGGAACCAGTTGATCATGGAGACGAGGCTGGGCGAGAGCCTCCGCGGCACTCAGACCGTGGTCAATAACGTGTATGATATTTTGTACGGTTGTAGTGATGATTCGGCTGCCTCCTTCCGTGCCAGTGATCAAAAGTAGAGAGCCATCTGGTCGAGTGACTATTGCGGGTGTGATAGATGACAGAGGTCTTTTCCCGGGTCGGATGAAGTTTGCTTCGGAGGGAATGTATCCGAATTCGTTTGATGTATTAGGGATGGAGAAATCTGGATCATACAGTTAGATGTAGCTCAGTTTGAAAGCTCTCCGGTACTCACCATTCATCTCATCATTCATGATGATACCTGTTTCGGGAACCATGATTTTGCTACCGAAGTGAAGATTGATGGTACTGGTCAAAGAAACGGCCATACCAGTATAATCGGCCGTGGTAACATGGGAGGTCCCAGGACTGGAAACGTTAGTATTTGGTCTGAGTATTCATTCGCCGAGGAAAGGAGCAATTACGTGTCCAAACTTTCAAGACCGGCAGGATCGTAGGCGGACACATCGAGAGTATGCGTGTCTGAGATCTTTGATCGAATCTCGGCGGCAGTCGACTCCTTGAGCATGTTCTTTTGATAATCGTCCATGCCTTCCACAAATAGCGGATCACCTAGTTCCGATCTCTGCCAACGTAGTTAACACTGAGCTAGCTAGAGACAAGGAAGGGAAACTCCTACCTGGCCATAGCCAAATCGCATCGCCTCATCCATTCGGTGAGTGCTTAGATTCACGGCATTTTCAGTAGAGAAAAATCCTTCATAACCATCCAGGATCTTCAGAATGCTTAACAGAACAACGCCACTTGAAGGGGCAGTTGTACTTGTGACAGTGTGTCCACGATAATCAATTTGCGCGGTGTCACGAATAGCAACGGTATAATTGCTGAGATCCTCCAAAGTCATCGTTCCATTTTGCGCCTGTAGAGCGTTGATCATAGTCTTAGCTATAGGACCGGAGTAGAAAGCATCGGCACCTTGCTCGGCAATAGACTCAAGGGTGTCGGCGAGTCGCTTCCGTGTCATCGTATCTCCCAAGCCTACTCGAGTCCCGTTCGGCGCAAAGTCCAAGGCCCATATGGGGTCAGTGGTAAGGAGATCTACTCCGTCACTAACGGCAGACTTCATATACTTCACCGTATCTTCTGTAACAGGAAAGCCTTCACGCGCAGTGCGAATTGCTGGCTGTAGAACAGTCGACCAGGGCAAGGAACCATAATTCTTGTGAAGATATTCAAGACCACGGACTTCACCAGGAATGCCGCTATCACAGCCGTCAGCAGTTGATCTGGTTTTCGAATATTCAAAAAAAGGGTCCTACCTTGCCAGTCCTCCATGTATGGAAGCTTCTGCATTCTTGTAGTACATGTCCTCGAAAGCGGCTGCCGGTGCGGTTTCGCGAAAGTCAATGAATTCATACGAACCATTCGGCGCTCGCACAAGCATGAAGCCGCCTCCACCGATACCACTGTGATACATGCCTAGATGATACCGTTAAAAATAGCTTGATGATGAGCTGGCTATGACGAGACTCACCAATGACCCCAACACAAAACTGGGCAGCGACCATCTTTCAAAGCAAATCAGTACCATTACTCTTCTCCGAAAACGCGCTGTGTTGAGCTTACAGCATCCGCCGCATTGCCACCCATCTCCAGCATATCCGTTCCATGTCGTGAGCAAATGGAGCTTTCACTTGCAACAGCCCCTAGCTTCCCCGGGCCGAGCCCATGATACCACCCTGTTTCACCTCCCGGGTGGCGATGTGGATGTTCTTTTGAGGGATCTTGAGCGCGGGTCACATTTGTCACGACAAGTAGCAAAGCAATAATGGCTAGGACGCCAAATCTCCTCAAATGGAGCATATTCCTGGTATCTTCCCAGCGGTGGACCAGCGAACTCGGCCCTAACACTGTTGTCTTCACCACCGACGAGGAATGTAACAAGGGCTACCATCGTGACTTATTAAACCATATTCCCATATTCTAACGACGCGAACAAGGGGCGAGGACATGACAAGCATCATTTTGGAACTACTTACCTGCTTCTCCACATCTTGACCGGTGATCTTCCCTGGTCGCGTGCCATCTAGAAACCTTGCGACAGGCGCATCACTATGTGGTTGGGGCAACATTATTTGTCAGGACATTAATTCTCGTAAACGGCGGAAAGAAAACATCTTCAGGCAGGAACAAAAGAAGAGATAAAAAGGTGCTCGGGTGTTTATCTCGGCCAGGGCGCACCCAGATATCGGTGTGAACCCCGCTGATAAGGCGCCCGGGGCAAGCTTCCACACCCGGCTGTCGGAAGCTTTATTATTAATCGCTTTGTTTGGGAAAAGGACAAGTATTCTTCTGATTTGGTCACCTGTATCGTAAGGACTATCTGCATAACGGATCTACGGCGTCATTATACCTGGTACGGATTTACAATAGTGGTACTTGATCCACATGTGGCGTGTGTAAATGCCGTATCAGCCTCAATGAACGCCGTTCAATTGACCAGCATTCCAGTTCTGCAGGTCTCGCCAGGAAAGTAAGCGCGATCAACCGAAAAACGAATTTATTACTAATGTATCGCAGCATAGATGCTCCTGAGCTAATCCGAACAAAATTAGGATAGTTCCGGATCAAACATGTGTAACTTTCCCAACGTCAGACGACGTCCTTCGACCCCTTCAAGTCACGCCAGGAAAGCACATAACCCCGTTGGTTTGCCAGACTTGTATCCTTTGATTTGTAAACTCTGTGGCGTAGTGCACGTGTCCAAAAACCCAATATTTGATGTCACTCTACTTTGAGACCTGCGAGCTGATATCAGTTGCAAAGGCGGAGCTTTAAGGGTTATTCGCACGCTGCGGGTTGGCTATATTTTGAAGAGAAATGGCATGATGCGTCACGACAAATGTAGATTGCCTTTTACCATGTGTTGCTCTTGCTTTGTATTGACTCTGTCTTGCTCAGCAGCTGGGCAAGGTCCGACTGGTGAGATCTATTATGATCCTCAACGGTCCAATCGTGAATTTTGTTTCAAGTCTTTTTATCTTCGGCCAAACAATAACCCTAGCTTCATATGGAATTTGAGACCAAAGAGTGCAGCCAAGGATAGTAACACAGGATCCTGGAATGTCGTAGCGTCCCCTGTGGAGGAGGATTAGGTGTCTAATCAAAGAAGGTTCCTGTTCGAGTTTCCTAGCGGTTTACAGTCCTGCTGTAACTGTGTCATTATATAACCCACAGCTCCCAAGAAACAGATAGACATGCTCGGATTGATCTGTCTACTATCTTACGAAAGCGCGATAGTTGTCGTAGTTCAATAAGCGCCCAACGCCACCAGCGAGGATGAGATGTTTAGCGCATCACGTAATCTTCAAGGCAGTCCGCCACCACCCAAATCCTATACCCTTACAATTTCAACCTAACAACTACTGATTACCTTGGAATTCTAGGTTGAATATTTGCTTAGGGCTACTAGTTAATAGATTGAATAATATATATCGATCTAGCAGTAAGTCCATCGCTATTTTATTATATTACCGAAATTTTCAATGGCCGTAGCGTCAAGAATATGTATGTAGCATATGACATGCTCTAACAAAGTAAATTATGATGACGTGCCTCCACCAATAATCCTCCGAACTTGTTCTCTGACCGATAATATGAAATTGAAAAAGGATGCTTTAACCCCCTTTTGCACAGCATCCTTATATTTCATGCTTTAAAAAATACATTGCCCTCAAACAGGCGACGCGCGGTTCGGATAATCGCAACTTGCTTTACTTGAATCGTTCCATCTCTTGCCAAATCTAAGACAGCCTCAGCCTGTATCACCCCAGCTGGATGCCTAATTCCCATTGGTATGGCACTTGCAATCTTGTTACCCTCAACCTCCATTCCATGCTTAGGAGGCTTATTCGCCACTCCTCCGCTAGCTAAGCGCCAAGCGACTGTGCCATACATTGTCATAGCAACGCCTATGCACACCGCGCCCGTGAGCTGTAGACTGGTATGTAGCCTTCCCATAGTGAATGCAAGCACATCTAGATCCGAACTTTCGTCTGTAGGCGGAGACAAGAACGCGATTTTTGGAGTGCCTTGAACGACACTTGCACTCTCAACATCTGTGGCCAATCCCGGCCAGGTGCAGTGGCCATTCAACTTCAAAGAGTGAGAATCCACAAGAACAAATGGGTTGGCCGCATCGACAAGGCTCACTTGCACCTGTAACTTTCCCACTTTCCGGGTTTGGACTGTAAGAATCTCCTGTGTTGCGCCACTCGGAAACATCTTCCCAGTCATACTGCCTTCGGGATTGAGAAATGCAACCTTGATAGGGCTTGACGTACCCGCCACTCCATGGATTTGACAAGTTCCATGCTCCTTGCAAGTTCCGTCCGGAGAGAGCTGGATTGTTTCCACAATGCTTTGTCCAGTATTAGTGTTGAAAATGCGGACGTCGATCTATATGCCGTGTTAACCGATAGAAAAATTGAACAGATTTGAGTTTGCTCACCTCGGTTTGACCAATTTTCGCTCTCACAAGACCCTCGTCCACTGAGAAAGGGCCCACGCCAGATGCAATATTTCCACAATTGCCAGTCATGTCTATCTTCGCTTGATCGGGAGCAACTTGGATGAATGTATAATCGACATCGATGCCAGGTCGGTTTGATTTCGCAACCACTGCTACCTTTGAAGTGGTCGAGGTAGCGCCACCCACCCCATCAAGCTGGCGACCATTGCCATTAGACGATCCCATTGCTGATAGGAGGATCGGTCCCCATAGCCCTACTGACTCGGGTAAATCTTTGCGGTGGATGAAGAGGCCTTTTGAAGTCCCTGATCGCATCCATACTGCAGGCAGCGACTGTCTTGTTGGATAAGCAACAAATTTATTCAGGGGGAATGCCTTGAGAGGAGTGTAAGTTTCCGTGATGGAAAGTCCTGCGGTGGTCATGATGTTTTTCAATTGTAGGGTGTGTCGCATTGGCTATCCTTGATTGTTCGGGCACGAGACTGTTTGAAAGAGTGTCAACATGATATATATATATCATCTGAGCCTCGGGCTTCCCAAAGTCAGGTTTCTTACGTTGCCGTTCTACTGCATCTATTTTGCATCTATTCATTGTTTTCTTACACGTCGAACGGATCGAAAACACTTGTTCCGCGGGAAGTTACCTTCCATGGAACGGAAATGCCCACGGCAAGAAAAGACGCGGGCACGCTAGACCCGGTACCATGGTACGCTGTTTGACTCTGCTAGGAAATACCAGGAGCCACGAGACAGATTGCGGGGTGGCCTTTTAACATAAAAGCATCATAAAAGGATGCGATGGAGCAATTATTACGCGACTGTTCCAGAGCTCTCTACTTGAGTTTCACACAGATCGTCACCCGACATGACACCTACAGCCCAGGCGGCGATCATCGATGCTGCCCAGCATAATACTCGGGTTTATATTCTTGCAATACTTACCTCAATGGGTGCCTTCCTTTTTGGATATGATCTAGCATTCATTGGAACGTCAATTGAACTGGCACCATTCAAAAGGTAGGGCTCAAACGCAATCAAATTGGGCCGTATTCTAACCTCTTCGAGGGATTTTGGACTGGATCACGCATCTGAGGCAGTTCAAAACTCATTCTCCGCTAACATTGTGTCGTTCCTGCAAGCCGGATGCTTTTTTTGTTCTTTAGCGGCAGCGCCTGTTGGCGATAAACTGGGCCGTCGCCTAGCTTTAGTTCTTGGCGCAATTTCGTTCATGACCGGGTCTATTATGCAAACTGCTTCTGCCGGCAGCAAACCTGTCATGTATACGGGAAGGGCCATTGGTGGAGTGGTAAGCATCTTATCAATCAAATTTTCTTCATCTCTTCAATTCTATTAACACCTTTCAGGGTGTTGGATTTGCCAGCATGCTGGTACCTTTGTATACGGCCGAGTGTGCCCCACCGAAGATTCGAGGACGACTTGTTGGAATTTACGAGATCGGCGTGCAAATCGGTACTTGCCTTGGATTTTGGATCAACTTCGGCGTGGGCGGTAACATGGCACCAACTTCTGCACAATGGATGACGCCGTTCGCATTGCAACTAATCCCCGGCGGTCTACTCATCATTGGGTTGCTGTTCATGCCAGAGTCACCACGATGGATGGCCAAGGCCCATGGAGGAACCCGACAGGCGTATAGCTCATCAGGTCATCAGGTCGGCGGTTGACCTGATGACCTGATGAGCTATACGCCTTTTCTAAGCGCAGTAACCCCCCCGGTAATGGGCCCGAATATATTTAGGAATACGCTTGTAATCGCTTTCCTAAACCGAAACCCCTGATTATAATAGGGTCTCACGGGAAACCCTAACGCCATACAAACGGATGCTTAGTCATTTGTAATCACGCCGATTACAATCAACCCCATGGGATAGGTGCTTGGTTTATAATATCTCAAAATTGGAGGTATGGGTGTCACCAAAAATTATACTTCAATAGGGGTATAGGAAAAAAACTTCAATAAGTCCCTGACCCACTTTTCTTAAATATAAGGAAATTAACCCTAATATCGTTATCACTCTAGGTGAGCTCGCTTTGCGATATCAAGACTGATATCGAGATTTGGCTCAACCAGTTGGATTCCATTTCAATCGCAGGAATAAGCATTCTCAAAGCATATCACGGAATTCCCTCTGGAGGTCCTCTCCAACCAGAACGTCTCAACCAATCTTCGAAAGTACTAGCTTGTAGGTGGAGATCCTCCCAAGAAGAGTCTTCGGCTGGATCAAGAGCCCCGTAGCAAATCTTGTCCTCTGGCGCTATCGAAATCCATTCCATCATTTGGCGAATATCCTCCTTAAATCCGTTTCCTACCGCTCTAGAAGCCAAACCAGCCCACTCATCGATCGAAATTGGGGAATAAATCGCTGGCTGGCCAGTGACCCGAGTAAAGGTGGAGGCAAATTCGTCCATCCGTAATTTCGGACTGCAGCAGACATAATTTTTGTTCTTTGTTTTCACAATGCCTAAAGCAAATACCTCTGAGAGACTCTATTAGTTTTATACTTCTCATGAACCATAAGTTACTTCTCTCAGTCTCTCATCGCAAGGCATAGGATAAGGTATCAGGTCTTCCTTAGCGGAAACGACTGCAAAAGAGTCGATACCATAACTTACCTGCAGCGAAAATACCCATATCATAAACAGGATCAACCCATTCAACTAATTTTGTCGACGGAATCGGAGGACAAAAACGAACGACCCCATTTGCTGTAACAGTGAGAAATATTTTCCTTTAAGAGGTTCCCTTTTCAGAACTGACCTTCTCTTCGACAATAATGCGACCAATCCAGATTGGTAAAGAAGAGACCTTAAAAATGATTGGCTGTAAGATCATATAGACGCTCGGTGTCAGAAAGGAGGCTCACCAGGAAGAAGGCAAGTGACCGCAGATAGGTCTTGCTTCGCCAATTGCTCAATAATAAACTTATGATCCATGTGGAAAAGCTTATCAAAGCGACCTGAAGTCGCTCGTTTCATATCTGGCAAGCTACTAAGAACAAAGTGCTGAATGCGGCAAATCTTTGCGGCAGAAATAATATTCTTCCCGCTTTCGAGCTCCTGCTTCAGGTCATCTTCGTGTTCAATCGTTCTTGAATTAGTCTCGCTCGTCACCGCAAAGACACCATAAGCCCCGGAGAAGGCGACCTGAAGACTCTCTTCATCAAAGAAGTCTCCAGTGATAAGGCTCAGACGGTGGTCAGGGGTTTGAAAATCATTCAAAAGACGTTGAGCTGAGACGGAGTTGACATCCCTGGTGACAGCGCGGACGTTCCACAGTTCCCGTGCGCTATCACTTAAAAGAGAACTCACTACACCTCTGCCTTGGTGTCCTGTAGACCCAAGCACGACGATAATCCGATTCTGCGCGTTGGATGCCATTCAATTCGATAGGAAAGTAGATCGTCTCGGGGGTTTGATAGTTTCTGAGGAGGAAATAAATTGATCGGGAGAATAGGCTGCTCCAGGGGAACTTATATAATTTTGTCTCACTATTTCACACCTCTTGGCCAGTCCCAATCACTAGGAATGAAGGGACCCATTACAAATCTAAGCCTGGTAAAAGTGGCCGGAAATTTGAGCGGAGGAACATCTTTCCGCTTCGGAGACTTATTGTTAGGACCACTGACTGACGATACCAACTACGGCCTGAGGCATACTTGGATGCCATGACAGTATCATGTTGTTGGGCTTCACCGCCCGCAGCCGGGCCAGTCTGTATTTAAGTGAAGCCCCGCTGGACCTTAGAAGGGCCACCGTTCAGTTTATCTTACAATCCACTACATTGTATTACACGCATATGAAGGTGTCTACCTCGCTTACCCATCCTGACCTAGAGACTACTGCGTGGTCTAACAGGAAGCATCTACAAAAGCGTACCCCGCGCCACGAACAGCTTCGTGGTATCCGCCTCCCTACACGGCCAACAGCTAGGACTATCCGCCAGTATCTTTAGAAGATGTCGGACGCGAAGGGAGGCGGATACCACGATAGCTTTATCGTGGCGCGGGGTACACTTAGGACGAAAGTTATTGTGGTTAATAATAATAAAGAAACTGATTTCTGCTATGACGATCACCCGTTTTTCTCCAAAGTCGGCACCCACTCAGAATTGTGTCTTTCCACAATCTCGAGGTATGGCGAGAGAGTTTCATTCAAATGATTACGGTGACTTCCCGGGAAATGAAACAGGTGATCTCCAGTGTGTGACTGGAGGTACAGACTACATCATGAGTAGAGAAAGAGAGTGAAGGAGCATCACGGAAGGCTTTTATCGATCTAGCCCATTTGCCTGGCACTATAGCATCGACTTACGGTTAGCAAGCTCCCAGAGTAAGAGGTAAAATAAGGAATGTGATACGAACCATCTGCCAGTATGTTCCCCTATTCTGGAGCAATTCCTGATGCGAGCCCCGTTCGACGACCCGCGACCCTTTACTGTGACTCTCGCCAAAGACGAAGATAACATCTGCCTTTTGAATAGTCGCCAGTCTGTGCGCGACCGCGATAATCGTCATACTCCTCCGTGCAGCCAACCTTTCAAAGGCGACTTGGACTAATTTCTCGGACTGCGAGTCAAGGCTTGATGTCGCCTCATCTAAGAGGAGCAGAGACGGTTTCCGCAATAGTGCGCGCGCGATGCACAGTCGTTGTCGTTGGCCTCCGCTGAGAGCTGTCTGTGCTTTGATTCCTAGCTCTGTGGAGTATCCGTCTGGAAGGGATGTGATAAAGCTGTGAATCTCGGCATCAATGCATGCTTGAACCAATTCTTCTTCCGTGTACTCGGAGCCGTCGAGTCCCAGGGTGATATTATCACGGATCGTGCCTTCAAACAGTCGTGGCTCTTGGGCTACCAGTGACAAACATCTTCGGTATGATGCTGGATCAATACAGCTGATGTCCTCGCCGTTAAGGAGAACGGTCCCTCGGAACGGATGGTAGAATCGCTCGAGTACCGATATTAGGGTGGTCTTGCCACACCCAGATGGCCCCACGAACGCGACAAACTGGCCACTTTCGATGGTAATGTCAAGACTCGTGAACAGAGGAACTTCCTGTGACGGATATTTAAATGCAAGATTCTGAAGATTAATGCGAGCTCCGGACCTGCAGGGCTCATCGGCCATGCGCTGCCTGGAAGCAGCATTAGTGTCGTCCAACGCTGATCTGAAGCTCAGAATCCGGTTCGCGGAAGATGTAGCCTGGGCAATATTCGGCCCAAAACTAAAGAATTGGCCTGCCTGTTGCCCACCGAGGATGATTGACATGTACACAACAAAGAAGGAGGCGGGCTGGTACTCTCTGGATGCGAGAAGCTGGCCGCCGTACCAAAAGGTAATTGCCATGGCGCAGAGTTCAACGCTATCGGAGAAAGCGAACACCAGAGTGGCTAGCCAGGCTTTGCGGAAAGCTTTGTATTGTTGTTGTTTCAAAAGACCGGAGTACCGATTCAAGATAAAACCCTCCATTGTCAACGCCGAAACGGTTCGAAATGCCTCGATAGCTTCTGCTGCAAACTGAGAGCTACCTGAGTATACCTCCGCATTCAGAGCTTCAAATTGCAGCTCGTATCGGATGCGCATGAATGCAGCAAGGAAGACGCAGGGAAGAGCGGAAAACACAGTCACGAGACTTAGCTTCCAGCCAAAGGAGAAAGCGATTGCAACGCAGCCTATCATACTGCAAACTGAAATGATCGGGAAAATCCCGTTCAGCCCTATCATATCCTGAATTTGCTTGGGGTCGGTGGCTAGACGCGAAACCAGGGAGCCGGAGGCATTTTCATTCAAGTCGTAAAACGGAACGGGCTTTTTCAGAATATTTTGGAAGTATTCTGTTCGACAAGAGGAGGATATTTCCTAGGCTTATGTTAGACCCGCTTATCGTATCTTCGATGTAAACATCAATCACTGACAACGGAGAGTCGGTTGGCTGAGTATCCGACCGCGGCGTAGCAGGCTGCGATGCCGAGAGACAGAATGAAGAACATCAAGGCCCAGAAATTGGCAGCATCGCTCAGGTTTTGTCCTGTGAGGCTGAATACATCGATGAGATTTGCAAAAAGCCAGCTTTGTAGAGGGAAGGCAGCTGATGCACAAGTTAGTCAAGTACAGTGAGTTTAAACGACGAGACCTACACGCAGCACCTAGTACCCCCAGTAAAGCAGTCAAGCAAAGTAACCAATGAGTCCGTGCCTCGTAAATGAAAACCCCAGTGCTTCGAAAGAAGCCATGGGATTTTACTTTCTCCTTGTGCTCATCTTGTGGCTGCTCGTAGATGACAGTAGTGGGATGATCAATTTCCTCCTTCAAGGCTTCTGTGACCTCCATTGGATTCGCTTCTTGTTCTGCGGCAATCTCAAGTTTTTGAGCATTGACAAGGCCTCGATAAAGCCCATTCTCCATGGTAAGAAGCTCCTCGTGCGTCCCTTCCTCGATATTGACACCGCCTCTGAGAACCAGAATGCAATCGGCGCGCCGAACGGTAGACAGCCTGTGTGCAATCACAATTGTGGTGCGATTTTCGGAAACACGATCTAGGGCTGCTTGGACAATATTCTCTCCATGAACGTCAATTGCGCTAGTAGCTTCATCCAGAACCAAAATGGTAGGCTGCTTCACGATGCTTCGGGCTATGGCCAGACGCTGTCTTTGGCCACCACTCAATTTGGTGCCGTTCTCCCCCACAATGGTGTCGTACCCCTGGAACGGTTAGATGGAGGGCACCCGTTGGGAGCACAGTTGACATACCTTTGGGAGGCGCTCGATGAATTCGTGTGCAAACGATTCTTTGCATGCATCCTCCACTAATTTGGCCTTCACAGACTCAGGCTCATTCTCCCACCTTGTTCCGACAAGGCCAAATGAGACGTTGTTGAAAATTGTATCGTTGAAGAGAAACAGATCTTGCTGTACGAGTCCGATTTGGGATCTCCACCACCTGAGATCCAACTGCTCGATGTTTCGTTGACCCACGAAGATACTTCCTTGTTCCGGGGTATACCATCGCTCTAAGAGAGCGACAATAGTGCTTTTTCCGGACCCCGATGGACCCACCAACGCTGTGGTTTTGCCTTTTTTGAATCGAGCGTTCAGTCCCCGGAAGACCTTGCTCTCCGGTCGCGTGGGGTATGTAAAGTCCACATTTTGGTACACGATATCACCCTGAGCTAACGCTTCAGAATCACGAAGACCGTCAGTGACAATCTTCTCTGAGTCTATAATTTCGAAGAACGAGGTCGATGCGCTGGCCGCCTTGAACACCATCGTCAACGGTGTTGCAATGTTTCCAAGGACACTCACTGCGATTGTGATCGAGAAGAATACGCTGCAGCCGCAATTAGCAATGGGAACAATGGAAGCACGAATTGATTTACATGATAACGGTGTTGATGTCTGGGATGTGACCCTCCCGGTAGAGCTTCAGACCAAGCCAGAATGCCAGTGAGTAACTGGCGTACATGGCAAAAAATATGAAACCAAACTGGACACCCACGATTATAGCCATGCTTCGGCCCCTATTCCGGGATACTCTAACCCATTGTCGATAATTCTTAGCTAGAGGTGCTTCGGCACCGAGCGAGATGACAGTCCGAATCGAGCCAAAGACTTCTGCTGCGATTGCCAAATGTTTTTCGTCCGCCTTGTCCACCTTTTGTTGGATCTGAGAGACAGCGGGCAGCGTCAGGCTGCAGACGACGAGAATGAATAGAAGGCAAGAGCTGGTGGCGAGAGTGAGAGCCCATGAGTATTTGAAGGCGATGATGTATGCGGCGATCAAGAGAGCGGAGGATTGGAAGAGAATGGCCAGCTTGTCCGATATGCTCTGCTGGATCGAATTGGAGAGGGTGGTGATTGCATTGACGACCGTCCCAACTGAGACTTGGTCTAGTTTGCTGATTGGCTGAGCAAAAAGCGAATCCATGTACTCCAGTCGCAAAGCAGCTGAAACTCGAAGACTGATAACACGAAAACAGTACTGGAATGGAGCGAGTCAGCTTCCTCAGAATATTGAATATCTTAGAGCCTGGCCAGGTAGTTACCATGGAGAAATATGTCAAGGTGAACTTTGCAATGAAGAGATAGACAATGTACAGACTTCCCGAGGGTCAGCTCGGTAGAATCTTAGAACAGAAGAAGTGTTTGCCTACCTTAGCCGATTAACCGACGTTTTGAACTGGGCTTCAGTGGTCGAGGTTCCAGGTGTGAAATATGAACTGAATTCACCAACCAGTCCACCAAAGACGATATTCATGATCGGTAAGGGCTGATGCAGGATCAATTTCATATTCATTCAGCTTGGTATGAATTAAATAGCATGACACGTACCACACCAGATCCCACGGAGGTTATCAGGGCGATCGTGAGGACAATCCGATCATTGATAGTCGTAAAAGAGAGAATTCTCTGAGTTTCATCAGCGACGGGTCTCGTAGGGTTTCCATCGGATGAACGGGACATACAAAATAATCTTTGAGAGGTGTTGACTGCTCCGCCGCATCTTGAACCTCAAGGCTCTTCTTGGAAGGGTCAGTGACCTGGTCGTTGGGGTGATCATCTGTCGATGCTGAGCGGGCCTCTCCGATCGGTGTGTGTTTCTCTGCCACAGTTTCCTGTGGAGGGATATTTGAGGAAAGCCCCATCCTTCTGGATACGCGCGAGTATGCGACCGGTGAAGGGATGCATAGCGCAAAGGGAGAGGGGGTTCATTCAATATATATTCAAAAATAAGCTAGGTTGACACGTGTGCACTGCCTTTAGATGAAGAAATACACGAACTACAGTACCGATATCAGGGTAGTGGATCGGCAATTTGGCTTGACTGATAGGCCAAACGTAGAGGGCTCCAGTAGCTCTAGACTGAAAGTAGCCAAGGCAGCTCGTCTGTCTCGGGCGCCTGATCGTGCCTAGAGGTTGGACCTTATGTCCTTCCCGGGCTTTCGGGGTTTGCGAAACCCCGGCCACACCTGATCCACTTAATTCCCATCGACGATTGTCTCCCGGACTTTCGGATTGTGTTTTTCCCGCTTCTTCATCCTTCAACTCCTTAGGAATTCACCATTTTTAGAAACAATACCGGGATATGAGCACACGGCTCGCCTTGAAGAATATTTCGGTGAGCCTCTTCATCTGACAGCTCTAGTTGGATCCTGACCAAGCACTCCTAGTGCAGTCGCTGCCAGTCCAAAAAGGTAGATACTCTTTGCATTCTTAGCGTCAGACCAGCTAGAGTAACAGGTTTCTAGATTCGATGTAATCGAGTCGCCCCTCGATGTGACAAATGTGAATCTATTGGAGCCGAGTGTGCATACCTGCCACGGAAGACACGAGCCAAGAAACAAGGGTAACTGCTTACCAATTTTCAGCTTCAGTAGTCCGGATATTTTAACTGACCGGTGGCCATAGGGATGACATTAACGAGAATGGTGTTCTATTAGATATTCTTCACCGCCTCAAACGCCTAGAAGAGCATTGTAGCCTGGAGAAAGCTCCGGACATCAACGAACATGGCGATAGTTCCATGTCATTTTCATCTGTCGATTCGGATATCTCTAGGCCTGTATCTTCGGACAAGTCCTATGCCCCAGCCTTTTCCGGCGTGATCGGTTGTATCTTGAGTCACATCAAAAATCCTCAGAACCGGGTCCTACTTCTCTCCAATGTCTTCAGTCACCTGCGAACGGTCGAATCGTGCTTTTTTGAAAACGAATGCTGCGTGGGGGCCATCGCTGCTGCAATGGCGGAGAATGAATACCTGCAGATCATACCAGCCAACGAGCCGGCAGCGAGACCTGAAATCCCAAACAACTTGGCAAAGAATATGATTCAGAGCAAGTTCGTCTCCCATTCTTAGTCACTTGCCTGCTAATTTGCTGCTCAGATTATTACGAATGTTATCAATTCGAAGGATTTAAAATTCCCTTGGAGAAAAGTTTTTTGCTATCCATACCTGACCTTTTGGAAAACCCTCACATTCAGCTTGACTATACGTCCCAAATCATCTATCATACCGTTCGTCTTCAAGGGATCATACTGGATCCCAGCTCTCGCGAGGATGACGGTGGCCTTGTCCGACATCTTTACCAGACGTGTCTGACTCTCACTGATTGCTGGCTGGACCATATTCAGAATACACCTGCCGACCTCTTTGCGGCAGTTTTAATGGCAAGTGAAGTCATAAAGCTTGAATGGAAATCAGACAGGGCTGACAACGTCCCAGGTATCGATGGCACTCGAAGGCTGCAATAGCGAACTGGCTTGGAAGATGCTCGGCCATGCCTGCACGATCGCCAAGGCCTTGGGATATTTCTCTGTAGACGGCAATCCAGAAGAAGCAGACGGGACGCAAGGATCGACGACCGATGAAACCGAAATAGATAAAAATCGAAAACGATTCGAGTTCTGGCATTTACTTCGAACGGATTGTCTCTTCCGGCTGTCCTTCGGCAAGCCGACTCTTATCTCGGCGGGGTCCTGGAAGGTCAACTTCCCTGATCCCACGATTAACGGCGTCGATGATGGATCTTCTCGCTTCATTCAAATTCATTTTCTGGCTTCTATGCGACTTGCCCTAGTGGTGATGAAGTACCTAGACTGGATTGACTTGGGGGCAGACCCTGACCCGGTCTTGCATGATGCGACTGTTGACAGCTTCCTTGCAGAGGTGCAGTTGATCATGTCTGATTGGGATACGGTATGATTTTATCCGATAATTTCGTCGAGCAATCGCATTTGCTGACCTAGCGAAGGACGAGCTTCTTCGAATGGCCAAGACCCAGATCGACACATGGTTCTGCGTGGACATGATTTTCAGCAGCTACAAATTCCTCATCATTCTTCACCAGTCAAAAAAACTCAACCAGGAAAGACATCGTTTACCACATCAAACTGTGGATACATCTAGAAAGTCTTTACAAATGTTCCAGTCCCTCTTAGGATCATCGTTACACGCATATTGGGGAATAAGGTATGCGAAGAGGCCACGCCCTATTCGAAGTTTCTGTGCCACTAATAGCCACCAAAAATCTAGTCTCATCTTGTTCCACCAGCTGATTCCTTTTTTCATCCTATGCTTGGATATCATTGGAAATCCTGAGCGTGGCAACGTTGACATAGACCTCCCTTCAGTGACCTGGATTAGTGACTATGTCGAAAAGATCGTCGAGAAGCGAGCCGAACTAAGACCCGTGATGATTATCATGAAGGTTATGATGTCCGCTTGCCACCAAGTCAAAACAAATCGCATGGCATCTACAATGAAAGAAAATCCATAGTCTAGCTATTAGCCTCTAGCCATGGGTTTTAGAATCTAAAAAATGTGACGACGTTAAATTATATCCTCGTTGATTTGGATAGATCAGATCGTCATTGACGACTATACTGTAGTATCTACCTGGATATCTAGTAGGATACCCGAGAGCGTAGATAATTCTAATACAGTAGAGATAGATAGATGGATAGATGATTTCATTTACGCTGACCTCTCGCTTCGAGTTGGATCCCAGGTCACGTGATGTATATTGGTGTAGGAATGGCTGCCTGTTAGGCAGGCACTCCCCTAGGCAGCATGAAGATGAGCTGCTGTGACTACAAATAGCTGGATCTTTTCATATAGGTCAAAATGATTACACTTGTACCTCAATCCAGGATTCAACTTCGTCGTGGGTTCAGGGTAAATGAATTCCACCCATCCATCCACATGTATACTATATATTCGGCCTTCCTTCCGTCACCAATTTAGAGTAACGGAAGGCTATCTTTTGCGAAGCAGTTTGTTGCGGAGAAGCGTAATCGATGGGAGATGTAGGGTCAATATTAGTACAGCTAGTATCGGATAGGGAGGCAGGTGAACGGCAGAAATTGCGAGATGTTGGTGCATATTGTGATATATCCTCTCACGGGTCAAGCGTTTCACTTTGTTTAACGCCGTAGCCATCATAATTAATGAGAGCACTGGGCCCCATTTTTGGGCCTACTAGAGTGATAGACTGATTGTTAGTGATTGTTCGCCTGCAAACAACAGAACCACTGGGAGACAGTGGTTCACCGATGATATCATTCATTAAGACGTTCCCTAGGCCAAAGAGACACCTCTCAGAAGTGATGACTCGCCGGTCGCATACTCGGGCGTATCCAGAAGGATGAGGCTTTCCTGTCTGTCTAGATACAAGTCTTTTTAGTCCGAGTGCACCCATCTGAGAATAAAATGCCTCTTCTACTTTAGGCTCATGTTAACTGCCATTGTTTGAATCTCGTGTCATGTCTTCTCTATCGACTGGACTGCCTTTCTGTACTTCATCATGTGCTCAAGCAGAACTCTCCTTTCCTCCAGATGTCACCAAACACCTCTTTGAAAAAACCCAGGCCGGTGCAAGCTTGGAGAATGCACAGGTTCCCCCCAAACTCGCAGAAATAATGATACTATCGATTCGAAGGCTAATGCGGACTCATTCCTACCCTAGATGCCCAAGTACGCCAGCTGGTAATCTATCAAAGCCGATTCTGATCTGCGCAGAATAAAGTAGCATATATTCGAAAGAGACCTCTAGAAGCTCAACGCGCCCAAGCCAGCCCTGGGGGCATTTTGACAGCATCAGATAAGTATCGAATTAGGTCTGATATGAAAAGTATGCACAAGACCACATGTAACAAAATCAATCGCGCTATGCAAACATACACCAGGCATTCACCTCATCAATATCAAAAGCCCAAACCACATTTTAAAGTCCTTCCAAGATCAAACTGTCGTAGTAATGTAATAATCTAGCAATGTAACTCCCTAAACAAAAACAACAATCTCCCCCCCGGTCATTCCGTCTCAGTCGGAGCGAGCGCCAAAGATCCCTCTCGTCATCTTCTCTCCGCTCATGATCCGCACGACTGCGGCCCTGATCACGGCCCCGAGCATCAGACTCATCCAAGAAATCGCGATGGAATTTCTTCAGAGCCTTGTGCACCGAGCAGCCACGCTCGCTATCTTTGGACACGAGAGATAGGAAATGCGTGGCCATCTCGCGCTGCAAGGGGTCTTCACCGTGCGTCAGTGCCTTCGACTTGGAGTAGACGGTCACCTGGCGACTATCACGGTGGGGAGAGCGGGAGTCGGAGCGACGGCGCTCATCACTCTGTTTCTGGCGGCGCGAGGGCCGGTCATCTGTGGGGTTGCTGCTCTTGCGCTTGGATTTGCGCTCGCGCTCGCGGTCGTGTGTGCCCGAAGCGTCACGCTCGCGGTGGGACTTCTTCTTGCGAACTTCGAGCTGGCCGTCGCCGCTGGATGAGCTGCCGCGGCGGGTGCGCACGAGTGCGCGGGAGGTGTCCTCTTTGCTGACGTTACTGCCGTTTGAGACGACGGAACCGCCGCCAAACATGGAGGAGACGAAGCGCTCGGCACGGTTTTTCATGGAGATTCCTAGGCCTTGGTCCCCATTGGCTTCCTTGCCGTTGCGGCGCGTGCGCTTGATGGGGGATGAGTTGTCGTTGTAGGGTGCACGGGTGATGACGTCCGGGGTTTCGTTGCCGTTGGGTGAGGGGGAGCGCATCATACGATTCAAACCACCGGTCAGGCCAGAGTGGGCCAGCATGGGGGTGCCTGCGTTGTTGATAACGCTGGACGGGGCGTCCATCATAGGAGTATCAATGTCGTTGTGGGGACTGCTCATCTCGTCGCCGTGACCGCGCTTACGCTTCTTCTCGCTGGTTGTGCCCGAGCGCTTTTCCTTGCGGTCCTTCTTCTTCTTGGGTGCCGGCGTAACGAACTCGGCCGAGACATTGGGTACCTCGTTGGGGTACATCGACGGCGGGATGGAGTCTCCGCCATACGAAAAGCCATTCTCCTCATATGCGATATCGTAGTGACCCTCGTCATCCGTCTTGGTATCCAACTTGGCGAGAGCGTCGCTAGGCTCGAACAAGGACTTGGCCTTGGGGTTCATGGCCATCTGCTCCTTGGGGGTGGCCAAGGTGACCTTGGACGCGTTAGGAGTCTCGTCGGTGACCAGGTAGTCGAAGACGTTGACAGCCTTGGTATCCTTCTTCAACGCATCGGCGGTGGGCTTGGCTTCAGCCGCGGGAGGCGGAGTAGGGGCCGGCGGGGGTGGGAGGTTGGTGTGGGATTTGACGAGATCAGCATCCGACGCAGAAGCATCCTCGACACGGGGTTGCTGGTTGCGCGCATTGGTGTTGTTCTTCGCATTCTGGTTGGGAGTCTTGGGACCCTTCTTGTTCGGCTTTTCCTTGTACAGCGCTCCCTGGTACTTTTGCGCCTCGCTCATGCATGACTAGAAACAAGGGTTTGTTAGCGGAAGTCATTGAGAAGAGGCATTGAGTTCATGGGGTCAGGTCTTCAATCATGCTATACGCGAGGTCTACACCCATGCGAAGCCATGCGACGACCATTTTCAACTCAATTCAACCAGAGACGTACTGTATGCGAGCGATAGTCTGTGCCCCAGAAATGAACCATGCAGTCAATACAGGTGAACGACGCGCCACGACACTGGTTACGGTGAGGGTCGAGCTTCTTCTTAGTGAGAACATCACCACAGTTCTAGCAAGAATATTTGAGTTAGCAAAGAATTCCCCGGACGGTCTGCGCTTGGATCGCCGGCATAGGATTGCATCCCACCCACCTCGCACGAGAAAGACACCATATTTCCGGTTGATATAATTTCCGAGCAAAGTATGCAATGCGCCGAAGTAGAGTATCACTGAGGATCGCTATCAAAGCGAAAGATCAATGTCAAGCAGAATGCGACAATCCAGGTAACAGATGTGGCGAGAGAAGAAATGCGGAGATGAAAAAGGAGAAGGTTATCCCTTGCAGACGATTCTCGCAGCGCTTGCACGAGATATCCGTTTCAGCCGTTCGCGCTTTCCCAGACTTTTTCTTCCTTCCCGTTGTTCCCGTTTTTTTTTCGCGTCAAAATTTGCGAAAGGGAAGGCGCGTAGAAAAACGCTAACTACTTCTAGTAGCCACGCTAGTCCAGATCAGGTCGTGTTATTGATGCTGCCTTGATGATCAGGTGTCGACGGTACTCGAATGATTGAAAGCAATAAAAAGTATAGAATTGAAACACAACGGTTGAAAAGAGAACTGGGTCGGATATGCCCATAAGCAGGCCTTGGCTGTTTTATGGGACCATGTTTCATCGCGCCTGAACGCGACAGCCCCGCGACAGAGGGGCCGATCGTGATCCGTCCCACCCATCGATGGGATTGGTGGGTGGTTCCCGGGTCAAGGGGCCCTGTCAGGAGACCTGATTCTTTCATTTGTTATCAGCTGAAAGCCCCCGCTATTTTTGGCCAAACTCAAACATAAAACATAACTAGGTGCTCGGCTTGGAGATGATGGGTCTGGGCTATTATTACTCCGCGGAAGGATCCGAGCTTCTATGTATGTTTCAAAGCCATGGGGCCTTGTTGAGCTATCGAATGTAGTATTCATAAACATTCGAACGCGGATGCGAACAATTAGATCTCCTTTGAGCGGGCTAGACATATCACGAGGATGCAACATGGCGAAATCGCGCACGCTAGGATAGCTCTCCTGTCATGTTTCTAGATAATCTTGCGAGACCAAGACTAGCGAGTCCTACGGCGACAAGGTCGTTGTGTATTCCCTGCGGTATCAGACCTCGAAGATAAGCCGAACCAGGACGGGTCATGCGCAACCAAGCCTGGATCACCGGATAGGTTGATCCTGGACGCGCGCGTTCGGGTCATGCACCGTGGATTCGGGGATCGGCACTGTAACCCTTTGCCATGAACAAAAAGTACGGACGCACTGCGATATAATAGCCCAGAGTGATAACGGAATCTGAGCATGGACCTGACGCCTTGGTTGCAGCGGGACGGCACGGAGACAGAAGGACTTAGGGGTCAGGGTCAGGGTCAGGGTCAGGGTCAGGGTCAGGGTCAGGGTCAGGGTCAGGGTCAGGGTCAGGGTCAGGGTCAGGGTCAGGGTATATAGGTATGGATATTATCGAAACGAGTAATGTACACCAGAGACCAGCTCCATATGCTAAGGAAGAACGCCATGCAAGATCGACAAGCCTGTCGAGACGGTTCAACGAAAAATGAATGCGCGACATTGATGATGTCAACCACGCGTGGTCCTGTAATGCAAGTCAGTACGCTATGCGCTAGCGCGATGCGCGAAAGAGAGACACTGACGCTTCTTTGGAGATTTCTACTGCCAGGTGATCGTGAAGATCGGCCGCGTCCTGTGGCGTATCGGCACGAGTGGCCGAGCGCCCATCCTTGTTTTTGCCGTCGCCACTTTCTTCATCGTCGTTGCATCCGCAGTCGTAAAAGGAGCCGAGGTCATTGCAGTCGAATTCTGGTTTGTCGAGCATTGCATTGACCTCGTTGTGGACGAAGCATGCCCAGCCTGCTGCCGCATTGCGCGATGATACTTGCGGTGGGTACTTGCTTAGATGTTGTTGGAAATGTTCCGCGCATTCGCCGCTGTTTCCACTGTTAGCTGGGTATACTATTGTATATTGCACCGATACGAGAAATCGGAGAGAGGGGCAGCATAAGAAAGATTCTCATCGTACCAAGGATAAAGTCGCGCGAAAAGGTGGACAAATGAGCGCAGGGCTTCCTGCTCGTCGAGGGTGGGCTTCTCGGGGAATCGTGCCATGACGGTGTGGAAGTACTTCCATGTTGCACGGCCCAGCTCAGCTCTGTGAATCGCGGACAGAAAGTCAATATTTCCATTATTGTCACCACTTTTAGACGGTATATCTTACTTGACCGTCTCATTGCCCAGCCTAGGCATCACAACGCCCCCTTTCAGTGTGTCTTCATGGATGGTGATCCCAGATGCAGGCGCCAGGTTGTGTGAAATGTGTCCGGGGGCTCGGACAGCGGGACTCAGAGGGCCCTGCGGGCGGATAAAGAGAAAGAACACGAGGCATATTGAGATCGCAGCGCTGATGGCGATGCGCCGTGTGATTTGCCGGTTCGCCATGGCGGGTCGAGGAGCTAAGGTATTGTCGCCAAATGTCCGAACCAAGTGGCGCTTGGGCGATGATTAGGCAGGGTATTCCCTGACCACACGAAAGAAAACAGAGTTCGGTAGAAATTGAGGTTGAAGAAGTTGCAGAAGGAGAAACCTTCCAAGGTTCGTCAAAGTCCTGACGTGTTCGCGGCCGATAAAGGGTGGCTTAGTCATGTCCATATGCGGGCACTTTTTGTGGTCTTTCCAATGGTTGTCGTTGTCGACTTATTGTGCTAATACCTTTGTGACGGCTGAGTCCTACAGTTGTAATGGTCTTTAAATGAAGATATATCTGTCAATGCATCGATATTCATAAGAGATCTATGATCACCGGTTTCATAGCAGCTCATTTTCCGGCCCACATCGGAAATGCTCCGGGAGAGGCTTGGATCCTTAAACTGAGAGGGCCCGAGTAACACACGGACTAGAAAAGCTTCTAGACCGCTAGAAAGGCGCACCCTTCATTGGACACCATGCTACCTGAAACATGGAAGCAGACAAAAACTTAAAGCTGCATCTATGCAACCTGCATCTCATCTTGTGCAATGCCATCGCTCAAACTCGGAGGCAAGTCCTCCTTGCTTGTGCCCCAGTTACTCTCCTTGTCGCCCAGCGTCAGCTCGAGCGTCATACCCTCAGTAAAAAACTCATGTCCGATCCAGCTCTTTGTATATGGCTTGCCATTGAGCTTGGCGCTTTGGATATATATATTCTCATATGTCTTATCGAAGTTGACGTTGCGGATGATAGCTGTCTGCTTTGTTTCCGGATGGGTGATTTCAACCGCCTCGAAGAATGGAGGGGTGATGAGATACACGTTCTGTCCTGGGTTCGGGAACAAGCCCATCATGCTCCAGGCCAAAAATGAGCCCATAGCACCGGAATCGTCATTTCCAGGCAGGCCGCTATAGGTTGCGTTGAACGACGCGGGGATGTAGCTGTGGGCCCGGCGTGCGGAGAGTGCTGGACGACCGGCATAGTGGTACTCATACACTGTAAGAAAGACGGGCTCATTGCCGATATCGGCCAAACCTGACTCGTGGAAGTAGTCTAGGCGAGCCACAAATTCCTTGGGGCCACCAATGAACTTGATCAATTGGGCGATATCATGGGGAACGTAGCTATAGAGTATTAGTATAAAATCAAGCCGATTAGGAGAACGGAGGGGGGAGGGGGTGATCTATACAAGAGATACTCCCAAATGCTGGACTCGAATGTCTCAGATGGATTGGAAGTCAGAGAGCAGAATGTGGCCAAAGCACTGCAAGCGATAGGATCTTGGAAGCCCCAAGTGCCATTTAGGTACTTCGGTTGGAAGAAACCCCTGAAGCCAGTATCAGTCCCGTTTGCCAGGAATGAAGTCTGGTCTTCTTTGAAAATATTCTGCCAATTGTCAGCGCGAGATAGGTATTTTGTGTGATCCCCTTTGCCAAGACCCTTGGCCACAATCGAGAGAACGTAGTCATTGTAGGCATACTCCAATGTCCGCGAGATACTGCGAGAATTTGTACCAAATCCGAGGTAGTCAAAGTCGAGGTATGGAATGTAGTTCAATCGTTTCCAGCTCTGAAGACCCCCACGTCCTTCATATGACCATTCCAACGGTTCATTCTCAGCATCATTGACCATGCCATTGTATGCAAGCTCCCAGTCAATACCGGTCAAGTTCTTGACGTATGCGTCCGCGATGACCACGTCGGCATTGGAACCGCCTTGCGTCCATCCTTTGCAGAGGGACATGCGGCAATCGGGCAGCCATCCTTCATGCTTGAAGGTGTCGAGCAGACTGCGGACCATGCGAGACTGAGCCTGAGGATCCAAGATGGTTAGGAGCGGGTGCTGCGCTCGGAAGGCATCCCATAAGCAATAGAAAGAGTCGAAATAAGGCTCATCACTCTGCCAAAGAGGGTTCTCTCCAGTCAAGTCTTGAGGCGAGAGCATAGTCCTGTAGATGCCACTCCAGAAGGCAGCGAGCATATTGTCGGTCGTGCCGCCTGACGTAATCTTAATTGGTTCGAGCTTCTCGCTCCATGCATCTTCGGCGCTCTGTCGTAGTTTATCGAAACCGCCAAGCGGATCCGGGATCTCTTTCTCAGCATTCGAGCAGGCCTGCTCAGTGCTAACATAGCTAACACCAACCCGCGCAGTGACAACCCCATCAACAGGCCTCTCGAAGCTCATATATCCACCAGCCTGAAGATAGAAATTGTTGAATCCCCGAGTAACAAATAGCTCCTTCGGCTCCGAGCCCGCACGATCATTCACCCAGATCCCACTATCCTTCACCTCCGCGCCTACAAAATCAGCACAGAAGAAAGCCTGATAATATCCAGCTCCAAAACTCGGCAAGAATGTTCCATTCCCCTTGATCCTTCCAGCCTCCGATTCAACACTAACAGTCGCATTCTGCCGACTATCCCAAAGATCTGTCAAATCCAACGATATCAACGGATCCAATAAACTCCCATCCGCAGTCATTTCCTCGGGGAACGTAAACCGATAAAGTGCCGCACGCCGCGAAACAGTCATCTCCGCCTTCACCCCACTTTGCAGCTCAAGCGCAAAGTACCCCGGCTTCGCATCCACCGAGCCCATCTTATACGGTGTCGCACGCGCCATCTTAGGAAACTTGCATTTATCAACGACATTATCCGCACAGGTCTGCGGGAACAGGGGAAATTGACCCATAGAGGGATTCCCGCCCGTTCCGCTATCATGCATATGCGAGAAGCCGGTTACATTGCTTCCATCCGTTGAGAATCCGCCTGTATTTTGTCCGTCGACGTCAGCGACGGGTTTGGCAAGGCCGTAGGGGAGACTTGCGCCGGCGAAGACGTTGCCGCCGTTTGTGGAGCCGATAAGGGGTTTTACGTGACTGAGGTCATCTTTTGCTGCTAGTGTTGCTGAGGCGAGAGCTAGGCTGAGGATGCCTTGAAGGAAAGGCATGGTGTGGAATGCGCGGCACGCGATTTACGCGTTGCGGGTCCTGTTCGTGAGAAAGGGGATCTGGGTGGAGTGGTCGGGCGATCGTATAAAAGGTGTGGGAGCATGGTGGTTTGATCGCAATTTTAATTGCAATGTTGCATTGTTGATATGATCGACGGTAGGAGCAGCCGTGGAGCGTTAGCGTTGATGCAAGGGTACCGACGAAGGCGGGGTTTGCTATTTACATGATGACGGGATGTAGAATGAGGCAAAGAATCATGAACAGAGGGTCTTCTGTAATGGCAGAATATGATATTATGTAAAAATTTGAATGCAACTATATACAAAGTGATCGTATGGATCTTTTTTAATCGCCTGTTCCGGTACGGTACCCGCTAGAGCCAGATGCAGCTTCCATCAAGTTCGGGGGATTCTCACCCGAGACTAAGAATCTCGTAATTGTCCAAAGGGCTCTCTTACTGGAAGAGCATAGTGCCCTTGTTCTGCTTCTTGCCGACGTCGTAGTTCTTCCACATAGCCACGGCGGGAATCAGAAGAACCAGGATACAGGTCGAGGCGATGCAGTTCATACGTTGGGAGTAGCCCCAAGCGTGAATGGTGGCGTCACGGAGAACAGAACCAACAGGATATGCGTCCTGGGTGGTGATGCCGTCCTGGTAGATCTGAGTAGCGTTGCCTTTTAGTTCATCAGGCAGCTGGCTGGCGAGTGCGCTCACAAAGGTGTTGTTGTAGATGGCAGCAGAGACAGCATAGCCGATAGCACCACCGATGCTTGAGAAAAGACCGATGAGAGCGAGCATCATCGGTGTACCCTCACGGCCACCTCCAGCCATGACAGCCATATCCTCACCAATGACAAGAGTACCTCCGGCGAAAGCGATGAAGATCTGGCACATGACAATGTAGCCGATACCATGATCTCCGCCACGGAAGTAGATCATCAGGCCGGAGCCGAGGAGCATCAGAGGGACACCGAAGAACAAGCAGACATACTTGAAGCGGCGAGTAGCCCAGATGAAGAGACCAAGCAGCGGGGACCAGAAGCAAGAGCCAACGTTGTAGATTTGGATCATGTATCCAGCCATGGTGATGTCCAAGTTGTAAGTAATCAGGACATAGTTGTAGAAGTATTGGTCCCACAGGTAAAAGCTGAAGTAGAGAGTAGCCGCGCAGATGCAAGCACCGAGGATGGTAGGCCGGCGAAGCAGCTCATAGCGGATGAAGTGGGTACGGGCGAACCACTTCTCCCAGGCAGCGAAGACGAAGAGCATGCAGAATCCAATTACCACCAGGGCAATGAAAGTGGCGCTAGAGTACTGAGAGCGGCCATATTGGGCCAGACTAAAGGGCAACAGGAACATCACCCAAGCGGCCATGAGCAGGAATGCACCAACAACATCGAACTCGTGGATGTAGTGGATGATTGACTGCACCTTGGTGCGACCGCTGGAGCGAGGCTGCCAGACACCCAATCTGATAGCCTTCCTCTCATAGAACTTGAAGACGGCAGCCAGAGGCAAGAAAATGGCAGGCTGGATAATGCAGAACATGCCGTAGCCCCAGCGCCAGCCAGACATCTTGTAGATGTGCTCGGCAGCCAAGGAACCGGTGAATGCAGTACAAATAAAAGGAGTCGATGCAAAGGCAAAGGCAAAGGCACGCGAACGGAGACCAGTGGTATCCGCCACGAAGATGTCAAGAATCAGATACATGCAATAGTAGCCAATCCAGTAGAGAACATAGCCAGCTGCGAAGGCATTGGGGCCATTGCAGGCGGCCAGAATTACCATTCCGAGGATATAAATGGCAGTCGAGAACACCAAGGCTTCGGCACGGCCCCAAAGGTGGAGGGTCTTAGCCAGAGGCAACTTAAGCACACCACCAATAATTGTAGACAGGATGTAGGAAGTGGAGACCTGCGGGGCGGACTGGAAGCTGGAGTAGACGTAGTTGATGAGGGTACTGCTAATGGCGGAGTGCAGAGCCAGCATGAAGAAACAGATCCAAATCCTATTTGATCGGAACTGTTAGATATACAGTTTGCCATATTCCACGGTTTTACCCGGTTGTGAAGTGCTTGCTTACCATGCATAAAGACCGAAGACAACCGGACGGCTCCAGACCAAGGCGGCAGCTTCAGCTTTCTGCTGACCCAAACCAGCCTGGTTTGTAACATGATCGGGGTTACCCTCAGCTTCCTTCACGTCGTCCTCGATCCCATTGACGCCGAATGAATCCTCGAACCCATCGCTAGTGTTGGTTTCATAAGCCGGAGGAGCAGTTTCCTTGCTATCGGCGCGCTCAGCGCCAGACTCTGCCGACTGGGCGTGCTTCTCCTCATATGTGGTGGTCTCGGAGTCGACAACGGTGCTAGTGAAGCGGCCGCCTTCATCGCGACCACGCACATTGTCAAGAGCACCCATTATGTATCACTACAGCGACCAGCAGGCCGATGCAGGGACAGGATAGGATAGATCTTAGACCCCAAATGGAGCCAAGGGGGGCGGTAGAAAAGGGGAGAGAGACCGGAGGATCAGCGTAGGGTTGCGAAGCACAGATGGGAAAGACAGCGCGGGACGGCAGTTCTTAAAACGAAATTGTTTTGAGCTTCGAGAACCGGGCCGAGAAAACCCCGCTAGACTGGCCTACTTTTTTTCAGGTGCGACGGAGCGCATGGAACCTAGAAGTCAAGGAACCGTAGGAGGACTTCCACACTTAGAAAATGATCAGATAATCCGAGGCCCATCAGATAACACGTTGGTGACCAATCGGATCTCGCAGTGGCGGATGTGGTTCAGCGATTCGATTGGCCAGGAACGGGGATTTCCCAAATGGGGTTAGTAAGTGTAGCAGTGTCGCCCGATGCGATCCTCCGTTTGCGTGTGACCTTCAAATTACATAGCGACATTAGAGGAGTCTATGATCATGCATGATGAAATTATGGTTTGTTCAAAGTGATGCTTTGTTGATCTTTGTTGTACGCGTGGTAACAGTTAAATTCAATTAAAGAGCTCGATCGGGTCTCAGCGGGAAGGGTCCGACAAATTCTCTTTGACCCAACAAGGTATCGTCAGATGTGAAATCTTCACCGATGGGGACTACCATAAGTCCGGAGTCGCCTTGAGTTTCCAGGGCAAGTGCTCCCAAGACGAGAACCTCAGCCATGCGGGTCCTTCAACCAGAGTAAAAACATTTGCGGTGCCACTGATCCTTATCAGATCTCGGCTCAGAACACCAACACAGCCTCCATCGCAAGAATTTTCAGCAACTAACAAATTACCAAGCCCATGGATCGTCTGGAATAGACACGCCGCGACTGCAAATGCCGGGATGGCCGAAGCATGCCAAGTCCCCACGCAGACAGTCGTGGTCCAATTGTGGGACCTGGAAGGGACCAGCATGAGGCACTAGAGGTGTGCTCGGGCCTAGCCTTCGATCTTTTCGGGCTGCGTGACTCTTTCCCACGAGTTGCGGGTCAACTACTATGGGTAGGTGATTAGCCCGCCAAGCGTGCCCAATCCACCCTATTATTGCGACAAATGGCAAAGGTTATTCAGGGCAACACGCTTGGCGTTCTCGCGCTTCTTTTCCGCCCGTGACAAGAGCTTTGTCCTACATCCATCCAAGGACAGCATACCCAGCCAATCAAATTAATCATTCGCCTCATCTAATCTCAATCTAATCAGATTTTTCAGAACGATGAGGCCGTGAGCAGGGTTTCGGCTAATGCAGCGCCAATCCCAATTCCTTACGTTATTCCGGGTCGTGCCGTGAATTTTGGAAGACGTCGCATCTGGGCATATTTGGCGAGGCCCAATCTCTCACTGATCATAGCATGGACCCTCCACTCGGCACCTCAACCGAAGCTCTAACTATTGTACACTGCCGAACGGTGCCGACGAGTGGTTCCACTCAGTTTTGTCATGCGGGATCTGTGAATAATGTCTCACTTTATCTGATCGCTTTACTTAACTTTTGGCTGAACGGCGAACCATATCCCACGTGGCTGCCTAAAGCTTAACCAGCGTTTGGCGTGAAAGTTCCGAGCTTGGTATCTCTCACAGGCAAAACTTTCGGCCCTGGCACCATCTGCTAGAATATTCGCTGATGCCTTTTAGCTCATCGCGGTACCTTGTGATGATTATGACGCTTAACTACTGCTTTTTCGCCCAGGCGCACAAATACCACTTGCGGAATTGACCGAGAGGTCTGGATCGGTCCCAGATGACTAAGGGAAATGGTGGGATAGAACCTTTGTGAAGCTAAATTGTTGGGCATATGGCTACGTAAATCGTCGTTCAGGTACTGAGTAGTGCTATCAAATGATATCACTACAAGTGGCCAGGCTGGAGTATACTTGGTAAACTGCTCGACAAGTTGCTTTCCAGTCAACATAGCCACTAGCTTGCGTCGCCCCCTGCGCTGTTGGAGCGATGGAACTGTAAGCTAATTCCCCTTTCCTGTATAACCTGACCATATAACTTCATCACTATGCAAAGGAAGAGCCACATCTCTTAATTTTGCGTCGGTCATCTCCACACTTCTCAGTTTGCTGCTCAAACTCACCACCTCGGGGTTGGTGTCTACGGACAATCAATCCAACCCGGGGCCCAAGGCATCCCCAAATATACAGTGATAAACAGAAGCTCGAAAGGATCGAAAATCAACTAGTTCTGGCCCCCATTCTCGGACTCTATAACTATAGGTACCACTTAACTTTGAGGTGCCATCATGAGAAAGAGAAATTTCAGAGCAGGTAAGAGTTGAGCCTGACGGCAACAACGCTAAAAACTTCGGAATCGAAGAGCTGAACTGTTTCTCTGGCTCTTCAAGCCAATTCTATGATTTAAATACCATTCGCTCGCAGAGCTGGCCATTCTGGGCCCATCTCGCGCAATGTACCGGATGCGGAATAGCGTTATCGCATATCGCGATAACAGCTCAGCCCCGGGGCCGACCGACCTTTAAATTTCATTTGGCAGAAATCCAAGTTCAATGTGTAATGAAGATCCTGCTAGAAGACATATGAGGGCTTGAATTTATTTAAAGTTCACTCAGCCCTGAAGGCGCCACAAAACTAGAAGCGAGCTTCCCTCAGAATACAGCCAGTGACGCATTTTGCACTACCCCGCCAAATTATTCCCCAGCATTTGATAAAGCATTTCCAACATCTTTGTCAATATGGCTGAGAAAATGTCTAAGAATCCATCCGAGCACTTGGGTTATCATTCTTCGGAGATAGCGACTTCGCTTTCTTCCGAGCCGAATGCTTCATCTGAAGATCAAGAACCCCCGCCGTATTCAGCGCGTGAGCCCGCTGAAAGCTCAGCAGTTTTCGAACGAAATTATTCAAGGGCTCGGGAGGCTGGGTTTTCTGAAGCTTCACAAGTCGCCACACAACAGGGCTCATCATCAACGCCAGCGACGGCATCTTCAAGTCAAGGCCGGCCAATCGCCATCCCAGCCATCGACTCCGCTCGCGAGTCTCCTTTTCTCCGCTCCTATGCGCCCTTGTTGAACCAGCATAATATCCCCAAGGATAAATTTCTCACTTTCTTGGATGAGCTCAACGATGTAATGACCACCAGCCCGCCGATGCAGGTGCTAGATGCAACAGGCGGCATCCTCAAGTCCGTTCCCATCTTGTTTCCGCTCCACTGGATTGGCTCTGTAGTCAGCGGGCTGGCGAATCTTGGCGGACAAGGGATCTCAAAAAGCCGATCCGACTCAACCATTCGCCAAGCCAACAAGGATATTTTTATGCCTCACGGGCTGAAAGCCCAGATTGCCAAGCTAGACGCGCTGGCCCATATCGCAAAGATTCCCATCCTGGATTCCCAGGGCAAAGTGAACAAAAAGGCACCTCTTGTTCGAAAGCTAAGTGAGCTGTCTACCGCTCCAGTGGATGAGTCACAGGAGCTCGATTTGCAGCAACGTCGGATTCGAGTTCTGCAGCCATGGATTGCGGAGCTTGAATTGTATATAAAGCCCTGGACTTCCAAGTCGAGGCTTACCCGCTTCAACGCGGCCTTGAGAAAGAGGAATGATGCGAGGGATCAGGATCCTGAGTCTAGTGAAAGACCTGACGCAGAGGAGGAAGACACGGGGTTCCGCAAGAGTCTCTGGCTTATCATCAGGAAGGCGGAAGATGAGAATTGAAAATTACCCAGCGCGACAAAGCTATCATGTTATCACCTCCCTCCCCGGCCGATACTATGATGTTGAATAGCTTTATAATTAGCTATAGCAAATGGTCGAGCAGCTGTACCGATATAATATGTACTCTAATCAACATCCTTTGTTAGCTATTAAGCCCGATACCGATCTTCCAACATTTCAATCAGTAATACGACGGGTGCAAAGAGACAATGAGGCCTAAAATATGAATATTCCTAGGGATACTTTCTTTGCGGTCATTCTTATATTTCCAATCAACTCTATCTCTCGTATACCGTATTGAGTCGTATTGGCAGTAATATATCGCCTAAATAACCCCACATGCTCGCCCCTCCAGACGCTTATGAATACTCCAATATACCCCAAGCTCCTTTCTTCCCTCAATGGCGAAGACTTAATAGCCAGATAGCGCCATGCCACCATTCAACTAGCCCAGGGGCATCCCTCGCAAGATCAAACCGTATCTCAAAACAGATTTGTCCGAAAACCAGCCCAGGGAAGAAGTCAAAGGCTGGCTACTTCTTGTCCAAGACAGCTGGGTATGGTATTGATAGGTAAAAGTAAGGCGGTCAATGGAGATGGCTCATCGGTGTTTAATCAGTGTGTGGTAAACGGTTTGGGGTGAAGGTGGTTAAAAAGGGTGGTGGATGGAAAACGGTCGTTAAACAGTGGAAAGCGGTCAGCAGAAAGAGGTTGTGTAGAACATGCTCAGCAACGAACGTTTAATAATGAATGGTGATCAACGAACAGTAACCGACGACGAAAAGCAGACGGTGAATAAAATATTCAAGATTAACAGACGTGATTAATAAGCGACGAGCGGTAGGTCCCTAACAACCGTTAAACTGTAATCCATGCTGACATTGAAACTATTACCCTAGGCGCGTGACACTCTGCCTCTTCATTCTTAGATGCTTACGTTATATCTGGCACGTATCTATTGAACAAGAGTACGAACCAATAACTCCACTTATAAAGACAATCTGCTGAGGTGAACCGTCTATTGCTTAAGCGCAGCGATCCCATCACGGAAGCACGAACCATTCTCAAAGCAATCGAGTTACGAACACGGCATGTCAAAGCCTTGGCCCAAACAAGCCCCGAATCCCACGATCTTACTTGCGATTTGAAGTCAGAACAATGAGCATTCAGCATCTCTGTCCCGAACGAATAATATGACCAATGAAAGTCATCGGCCAGGAAGTCCGACAAAGAGAAGATGGCGTGTCGGTGTGTGTCAGTCAGTAACGGGGGAGCATGCATAAAACATAGACGCGGGGCCTCCACGCGGTCTCCACTCGCGCCCCCCTTTTGCGGTGCGGGTCCGGGGTATCCCCTAACTATCCCACGAAATTCAAATAAATGTGAGTAACAGGGGACATACGCCAATTTTCTGCATGCAGCTTTCAACTACTATTCATTCGACTCCGAGAAACGTGAGAAGTACACATATCCTCAATCCAAGAATAAGCATAGACCCTCCTATTCACGGCTCATTCCGCCCACCAACAACGCTCAGCCTTGGCTCCGAGCTTATGGCTCCTGACAAAAAAGCCACACGTCTCATTGGCGTTAACCCCGCGCAAAGTCATTAAATCTCTTATGCACAAATCTAATGTATAATCCATCTTCATCTCCACCGGGAAACGTACACTTGAGATTTGGATGGAGCAAAACAGGCTAGCTCTTTGATGTGGCTGGGTTCATAATGGAGCACTAAAAGAATAAGTGGATAAATCACTGTAGAGTGGACTGAAATTCGGCCTTGGTTCCGAATCCCGCGAAGACTTAACCTGCCTTGCCCCGTTGAGCTTTCCATGATCTTCTACCTCGTTAAGTCCTCCCCTCTCTTATTTCGTCCCCGCGGAACTTCCACGGACCTTTCACCCACTCCGTTTATAAAATTTGTCAACATACCTCTGAATCTCTACTGTTTGATTAGAGCTTTTCCTTGCATTGTCGCGGCAAAATTTTGATTCGCATTATCCTCCTTCGGCTTGCACTTCCGACCGCCACCAACTAATCTCCGACGCAATACCCAAAGAGAACTCCAAGGCGATAAGGAGCAAAACTCGCGAAGCTGTAACCCGATAATTACAGGGAAGCAAGGCTTCCAGAATGAAGGACCGTTCGAGTATGCGACATCCCCACACATGCGAGTTCCAGACGATCTGCGTGCTTGCGCAGAAAATTGCGAAAATGCACATCCATGCACAATTCTGACTAAATTATGCAGACACTTCGTCTATTGACGAGTCAACTCCGGCAGCCAGCAACGATGGAGTTCCCGATGTTGACAACGAAAAGCATTCTATCTATGAAAGGGTGGATATTGAGAAAGGACCCACTATCGGTGCCGGTTTAGAAGAGACAGAGGCGCGCGATCCGAATATCGTCGATTGGGATGGGCCAGATGATCCCGAAAATCCTCTAAATTGGACGGCGAAGAAAAAGGTCACTGCGACGGTTTCAATCGCCTTGATCACACTCCTCACGTATGTTTAATTATCTTCCAGACTGGGGATGTTCGCTGATGTAAAACAATAGACCACTTGGCTCGTCAATGTTTGCTCCAGGCGTTGGGCAACTAGTCACTGATTTCGACATCACCAGTACCGAGCTCGCCTCGTTCGTCGTTTCTGTATACTTGCTTGGGTACTGTTTTGGTCCCCTTCTCATTGCCCCAGTTTCAGAGATCTATGGCCGTCGAATTGTCTATAATGTCTGCAATGTTCTCTATGTGATTTGGACCATTGCATGTGCTGTGGCTCCAGAGATCGGCAGCTTGACGGTGTTCCGATTCTTTGCTGGTTGCGCGGGAAGTTGTCCGTTGACAATCGGAGCTGGCTCGATTGCGGACATGTTTGTTCAAGAGAAGAGAGGTAGCGCAATGGCGGCATGGGCTATTGGTCCACTCATCGGCCCTGTCATCGGCCCTGTCGGTATGTCATTCTATACCGAGGTGTCAAGAATCGCGTTAACTTAGAGATAGCTGGTGGATATCTCGCTCAGGCAAAAGGTTGGAGATGGACCTTTTGGATACTGGCCATGGCTGTGAGATCCGATATCCTTGGTTCTGTGTTTAGGCTTCTAACTTGATCCCACAGAGCGGTGCCGTAGCGATCAGTTCATTTCTCACAGTCCGCGAATCGTATGCGCCCACTCTTCTCGCCCGCAAAACGAAGAAATTGCAAAAAGAAACCGGAAACATGAAATTACGCTCCGTCCTTGACACCGGCCGCACACCCAGAGACCTCTTCCTGTTCTCGATTGTTAGACCGACCAAGATGCTATTTCTGTCGCCAATCGTCTTTCTCCTTTCTCTCTACGTTGCCGTCATCTATGGATACCTCTACCTCTTGTTCACCACAATCAGCGACGTCTTTGAAACTCAGTATGGCTTCTCGCAAGGATCGGTCGGTCTGTCCTATCTGGGGATTGGCATCGGCTCGCTCATAGGACTCGTTGTTCTGGGTGCAACGTCCGATCGCATACTGAAACATCTTTCTGAGAAAAATGGAGTCAAGAAGCCTGAATACCGACTGCCGGCAATGATTCCTGGCTCTTTCTTCGTGCCTGTGGCTCTCTTCATGTACGGCTGGACTGCCTACTATAAGACACACTGGATAGTTCCTATCATCGGCACATCATTCTTGGGCGTGGGAATGTTGATCGCTTTTGTAAGACAACCATGCACTCATTGGTGGCATCCATACTAAACTTGAATCCACAACCGCAGATGACGGTCAGCACATACCTTGTTGACGCATTCACCATCTATGCTGCGTCCGCGATGGCCGCGAATACTGTCTTCCGATCTCTTGCTGGCGCTCTACTCCCGCTCGCTGGTCCCCAAATGTACGCAACCCTCGGACTAGGTTGGGGTAACTCCCTCCTTGGGTTCATCGCTCTGGCTATGTGTCCGCTGCCTATCATCTTCTATGTGTACGGCGAGCGCATTCGGACCAGCAAACGATTCCAAATCCAGTTTTAGACGTTCCAATTTCGTCTCTACATAGAAGCCAAGGACTAGTAGTCCTTCATAGCTATCGCTGCTGTTCTCCACTTATACATGCATATGTACCCAGTTATAATAACCAGTCGGGTCTGCTCTGGTCATATCATAATCATAATTTCGGCGCTTTTAATTTAAATGTTAAGTCGTTTTTGTTTTGAAAATTTGGGAGTATATTAGGAAGCATTTCTTAGTTCATCTATCTTCAAATACACGCATGTCAAGTTTTTGTTTTGATCAATAGCCTCATTGCAAGCTTTCAATGTTACTCCAATCGATCCAATCAAGTAGAAGACCGCAATCTCGATATCTCTAATCTTGAAACGGAGCGAATCGACTCATAACGCTCTCAGCGTTCTTCATTTCTGCCTTCAAAACTTGCCGTCTCCCTTCAACCCGCACATCAATCTCACATTCAAAGGGCCTCGGCCGAATATTGAATCCCTGTGTATACGCAAACGTATCATACTTTCTTTCAGACCCATCAGCTTCTCGAACAGGCTTAATTTCAAATGCCCATAGAAGCCGTGCCAACGCAATGAAGAGTGAATTATGTGCTAGTCCAGCACCAGGACAGATCCGTCTGCCCCAACCAAATGAACTGTGCCCCTCTTTTGCAGGATGCATCCTTGGTGGAGAAATCTCCGTTAACTCTTCTGTCGAGGGCTCCGGGAGGTAGGACAATGTCTTGTGATCGACTGATAGGAACCATTCAGGGTTGAAGTGATTTGGGGTTGGATAATACTTGGAATTTAGATTGATAGCCCAGGAGTTCGATAATATTGTCGTGCCCTTGGGTATAAAGTAACCCTCATGTGTCTGCGACTGAGTTTGCGTGCGGTGTGCCACCCAACACAGCGACAGGGCGGATGCGAAGGGTTTCGTAGCATAGAGCCTTTAGGTATGGCAGGTCGGGCTCATCTTCGAAGGTCGGCATGCGCTCCGCTCCGATGATGTGGTCTAATTCTGCATGTGCAATAGCTTGGACTCGTGGATTAGTGACTAGCATTAGAATTGCGCTGCAAAGGGTGCTTGCAGTCGTGTCGCTGCCAGCGCCGAAAAGAGATGCTGGTACGAAGGAGAAATCTCGGTCACTAAGTCCTCCGAAGGTAGTTTGGTCGGCTTCGCGGGCTTGAATGAGTAGCTTGGTGAGAGATTCAGGAATGTCAGAGGGAGATTTTGCGTCGCGGAGTTCATTCTGTACGCGAAGAAGCAATTCCATGTTTGCTGATGCTTCTTCACGGCCTCGGCGTTGAATCTCTGCTTTCCAAGGTGCAAGAAAATTCGGAAAGTGCTTAAGCCAGGGGACAGTCTCCACGAAGAAACTTCCTGGGACATTCAGCGAGGCAGAATATTACATGAACTTGAGTCTTTTTCTGATGGTCTTTGAATCCATAGAATCGATTCTGTGGCCATATGCAATACTAAATACCACACTTGCAGTAAATCGATCGACGATGCCTTCGTAATAACTGGGTTCGTCCAGCAGAGCTTCGCACAATCTCGTTGCCTCTGCTTCTTGAATGGGCTTATACAGTCTAAGGGCAGATCGATTTAAAGCTTGGTGGAGCATGCGACGTCTGACTTGCCACTCTTTGCCGTAGGGTTGAACCAATATGCCCGCGTTATCCCAGTATAGTTCACCCATCACCACGAAGCGAGGACGGGAACTATACTTGGTACTGCCGTTTTCAAGCAGATCGACAGCGACATTTGGGTCAGAGATAATGATTGTTGGTCGACGGCCGATCCAGAGAGTGAAGATGGGGCCATAGATCTGTGCCCACTTCTCGAATTGGACCCAAGGTGATGAAGTTGGGATTATCAATTTATTGCCAACAAATGAGATGGGCATCGGACCTGGTGGTAGTCGAAGGTAGAGTAAATTGTCATGGATCAGAACTGATATGATCGGTGCAATAATTATTGCAAAGACCAGAGAATAAGGATGCCATTTTACGAACTGGAAAATTGAAATTTGAGAAGTAATCTCAGGCGGTACCAGGACTGTCATATCCACTTTTATGGGCCCTTCGGTAAAAGAGAACTGGGGATAGCAAGCTTAAACTCATATCGTAGTCTAGCCATAGTTTCGCCGGTCTGGGGGTTATATGGGATCCTTAGCTCCAGCCGAGTAGGCGACAGCCCCACGACTCCACATTGAGGGGAGATGCGGGGAGCGTGGAGGGGATGGTGAATAAGCAACTGCCGATACCTATCAGTTGCAGCCTTGAATTGAAGTCTTTGTGGGGCGGACTATGCAGCCTTCAACATTCATAATTGTCGTGTTTGGGTTTTGATGAGAGTTCATATAGATGCTGGGTGGTCCCCACTTGCGCAGCGCCAACGTGTTGTTAGCCGTGCACCCCATGTCACTTTCTTCGCTTACCTTAAATCCAGAATCAAAAACATCCTAAAACTAATGTAAGTGATGAACAAGAAGCTATAGCCCTATTTTGAAACCGCTTCAGCCGAAAAAGAAGAACTGCAACAAGGGTCAAAAGTGGTTGCTCCACCAGGTCAGCACTTGACTAAGCAGGGCACCAATCGCACGGCGTCATGTGCAGATCCTCCTGGTGGCCGAAGCTAACGGTCGCATTGATTGCTCCTTTACAACGCTGAGGTTCACTCCTCTTCTGCAATTGTCCACACTCAATTACTTCGCTCCGCGGCAGGTGCCCGTCAATGCCATCGCGACGCAGCCACACCAAGTCCCGGAAGGGTTGTCTGGAGTGCAAGAGGAGACACATCAAGGTAGGTTCAGTGGAGGCTGACTCGCTCGTGTGGTACATTTGAATGTTCATTTGGACTCAAAAATCTAAGGACTTGAGAAATTTGCCCATCCACTGAAGCCACAGACTTTTCTGCCTTCCTAACAATTTTACACTCGTCTGACACGACCCACAGTGCGATGAAGAACTCCCGAAATGCACTCTGTGTCGGAAGCGCAAGCTAGAATGCAGCTACCCTCCAAATTCAAATGACCTAGATAGTTCTCAAGGCTCACCTGCTCCTCGTGATGATTCCGAGAGCACACTGACGCCGTCTGATGATCTAGCTATACCAAACCGCATGGTAGAGATGAGGCTCATGCACCAATATTTGACATCGACTCACCTCACACTCGCCAGGGATGGTATGTCTTCGCATCATTTGGCAATGGTCATTCCTCGGATGGCTACTTCTTTTCCCTACCTGCTAGACAGCATCCTTGCTTTGACCGCATTGCACTTGGCTACTGTCGAGCCGGAAAACCATTTAACCTGGCTTGATGCTGCGGTGCGGTACCAGAGCCATTCGTGTTCTGGGATGGGTAAAGTTCTCCCAGTAATTACGCCCGAGCACTATGAGCCAGCTTTCATGTCGTCTATCTTCATCATGCTGTTCGCCATAGGGCTTTCGGGCCTCTCCCGGGCTAATCGCCCTATGGATCCTATCGCTGCGGTATTGGAAGTGCGAACCCTGATAACCGGCTGCGCAATGCTCTTCAATCGCTTCTCAGAGGTAGGTGCTCAAGTAGACCTTGAGCGCTGGTCTGAGATTTCTGGAATCCAGGAATGCCTGGAAATCGAGCCGCAGCCAGAGTAAGTCATCCTTCATCCGGAAATCTCCAACCTAGGATCATAATGTTAACAAAATGCTCCGCAGCAACAAAACCTCTGATAATGGTCCTCTAAAATTACTCGAGCTCCATAAGTATGATCTACAACAATTTCAGTGTTAGAGAGGACCATGCTTATACCTGAACAGGAACCTAATGAATTCACTTATGCGGTTACTAGCCGTGATTGATATCGATCGGTCCCCAAATCAACCAGTTTATAAAGCTGCGTGGGATTCTTTGCACCAGGCCGTCGGACCATGGCCAAGGCTCGGTGACCATGGCGGAGTCATTTCATGGCCGTTTCTTATCACCGAGGAGTTCATCTCTCTAGCACAGAATGGTCACTGGATTGCGCGGATTCTCTTTCTTCACTATAGCGTTGCTATGCGCCTATGGGGCAACCGTTGGTATGTGCGTGATTGGGGCCGTCGGTCGGTCCTCGCTATACTAAACACCATCGACGAAATTCCGCCCCATTGGGCGGAAACAATATCTTGGATTAAAGAAGGCGTTGAAATCAATGACTAGTTAGCGTTTGGTAACCGATTGAAATGGCTGATTCGAAATACACACCGGCACCAGATGTAGCTAGGTTATATACGCTGCGGAAATTTTCTTCATTGATTTGCCAAGTCTGTATTTGCCCGTTTCCCCATTCCCCAGTTTCCAAAAATAGCAGCATGCTCAGCCAATTCTGAGAGAGAGATTCGCGAGACCATTGTTTGTCTAGGGGTCCCATCGCAAAAAGAGTCTTACTGAAGCTGAATTGATTTGTTCTTGTGCATTGAAAAACTCATTTTTGGTGATGGGCCCAGGGGTTAGTCTGCATGATTCCCAATTGGGATAATTACACCGACGGGAAGGCTGGCGATTTGTGAGAACATCAAAACTAATGTCACTCCTAAGCTTTGATAGGCTACCTACGAACACAAGTAATATCATTGCTAACCTTAATTTCTCACACGGGACGACAAGAGGTTTATTTAGGGTGCTTCTTAGAAGACACTCTGTATGCAGTATCATGACTGCTAACTATCTCTTCAGGAATCACTGTTCTTACCATAGACCTACATATTGCGCAGTTTTTATTTTTGCAGAGAAGAAAAAGAAAGCTGTCAAATTTTAAGAAAAGAGAAGCTTATTTTTAGACTCGCTCAATCTCCATAGTTCGCCTATCCACGAACCATTGGTTGAGTGGGACGACTCATGGTCCCAAATTATGGTCCATCGCAGGGCTCGAACTAATTCGGACTACCCGCAACAACTCACGTGCTCCCCTCATTTGAGGATGCGAACGAGTTGATCGGCTGTCATCATCCAGGAACAATTTCTCCGCATTTGGCGTGCAGGAAACCAGTATCTTCGGGCTATCTTTTCCTCCTCGAGGGCTGTGCACATATTTCCAGTGCCCACTTGCATTCATCCCACATCTTTCAGTGCAACTCCTGGTCAAGATTGGTATTTAGGTTCTGTTTGTAGCCTAGATAGCCTACTTCTCCCATAGCACTAATTTATCACTCTTACACATATCTCCGTATTCAATCATCCCTCTCTGACAGGTTCAAAGAAAATATATTAATACCAAGAAGCTTGATTTATTGGCTTCAGAAGGCGTTTTGCGTCAGAATTGATCAATGCATATGAGGGAAAAGCTGTATAGATGGAATAATCGAAATTGATTCAAATTGCATAAGTAGACAAGACTTTAAACAGACGATCAAGCATTGAAGGCATGAAACTTGCAACAATTGAAGGAGCAAATAATCCTGGAATGGAACCGAACAAGAAACCGTAGACAGAGATCATACTGAAGATCAACCCATTTGGCACGATCCAAATGTCCTTATTCGTCCGTCTTCATCCAAGTCGAGGAGGAGCGGTGCACAACAGGCCTGAGGATGTACCAAATGGAGCTAATGTAGTTTAATCGGATGGGAATTGACACGACTGGCGATGTGCGCTATCGCCTGCTGGGGAGTGCAGAGTTCAATGCCGTTTTGCTATCTGCTAAAGCGAGTGGGCCGTGATATGGAGCATCCAGAGGAGCTATTCCTGAAAAATATGCAGATTTCAAGAAAGATCCGGAGGCACGGAAAGTCTCGCCACTGGCACCGAAATCCCGTGGTTGATAAAGGCAATTAGTCTGCAGCCAATCCCCCCAAGGGCTCCCAGCTCTATCCAGAAGCTGCATCTCGATTCTAAATCGCGCCCTTCTTATTCTGCCTCCGCCAGTATTAAAAGTCCCAGTTGGTAGCATACCAGAATAGCTTATCAAATCTACCCCTAATGCTAGTTTGTCGTCGCGGAAAAGTTCAGTCTCGTCTGAACCAGTGTCCCACAACACATCATCAATCTGTACGAACATAACAGCGCCTATCAGTCGAGCTCGGACGGAAAACTAGTATCAATTTTATAAGTATTTGTAAAATTAGAGTTTCGTAAAACCAATTGATGTGGTTTTGAGTGGCTAGATGGCTTAAAGAGGGGAACTGACAAGATGCGCGTGTTCGTGTATATTACTGGGAATGATCGTGGATATCCTTTTCAATTCTTTTGCTGGAGCCTAAAATCATTGTAAGTAGAAGCCTTAAATTGGAAAGGCTCGATTGAACTCCTTACATTCTCCACCCAAGGTAAGCCTCCTCCATTTTCGATTCGCTTTTGTATCATCTCCGCATTGATTTCGGCTTCATTCTCCGCCCACTCTTTCAAGCTAATATTCTTGATCATCTTGCCATCAAACCAAACTGTAACCCTATTGCGATCAAACTCCAGCTTTTTGCTACGGTAAGAAGCTAGAACTGCGTTCACATTTTTCATGGTCTCCTCTCCATACTCAAGCACTTCTCGATCACGAAGTTCATACTTAAGGCAAATGATCCTCCAGAGAGTGTCTGGATGAAGGTCTTCAGACTCATTGGGGTCAATACTAGGTGTCAAATTAGGAATATGCCGGTCAATTTAATAGTTGAAATTAACAAGGGCAAAAAGAATAAGAAATTATAAATCTTACGGCCTTCGGTGCGGTACGAATTTGTCCAACCATTTCAACTGCTCTTTACAGATATTTACATTCCATTCTTCCTCGATGTGTTTTTCTCGCAGCTTAACACTGTTCGCGCGGAATCTGTCGCCGCTTTAGCACCGCAGCTTTACTCGTGGATATCAGTGAGGGCATACTTCTCATGGTCGATGTTGAAGACTGTTGATTTGACCTGATCAAATGGGTAGATGGCCAACATTTGATCAATCGTAAGTCGCGTATCTTTATCTTTGGCGGCAGTTTGCGGCGGAGGCCCACTTGGTTGAGTAGTCTCAGACTGCTCTATCTGTTTCTCAGAGCGCTTCGTTTTTGTTGCTTTCTTTTTCGCTTTCTTTGGCTTTGAGCCGGATGAATGTAAATTCTGCTTCACACGCTCTGATGATAGCTTTCTTCTCCCATTTTCAGACGTTCTTCGCTTCGTCTTCTGTTTAGATACACCGGCATGGCCTTGCGTTGGCATTTTGATGGTTTTTAGTAGCAATGAAGACTGGACCTCTGGGATGGTGAGGATGAAGAGTTGCAAAGAGAGATCGACGGAGGGGTTGATATAAGTGAGAAATAGGAAATGAGCCGAGACCTTTGTCAACACGAATAGATGCAATCATTCTAGTTCTCGAGGCTCTCAAAGCCGGACAATTTCCAGAGTGAATGCGACGCGAGAAGAAAGTTACTATCTGAGTGTCCACTTCCTCTCTCCCTTGGTCTCTATTTCCTTTCTTCCAGATTAGAAAAACGTGAAAGACGTTCCCAGCTATCCGTGTGAGGTTAAGTGAAGAGTGGAGAGCTCACAGTAGACCGGATATGTTCTGACTGCATCTTGAACGAAAAAGCGAAGGAAATCTGCCCTTGTTGAGTGTTGTAATGTATTGCGCAGATACTCCAAGGACCTTCAGGAGTCTATACATCCACATATTAAGCTGATATTAGCTCCTCAGTGTTTCCAATCAAATCTCCTCAGGCAAATTATGTTGAAGCGTAGATATGCCCTTCCTTTTCGAGATATGAAAGAATCCATTACCGTAAGACCATGGAACCATTCTAATTAGGGCTTTCAGTCACTGGGACAGTAAGATTTTGATCATTGACAAAGAGACCAGCCCTCCTCTTCAGTATTTGGGTGCTTCCTAGCTTTATCCTAATTATACTATTAGGATCGAAAGCCGCTTTATCTCTATTTTTATTTCTTTCAGATCGTCTTAGCCAAGACTTGGTCACTCGTGCCCACCCCCTTCGTGAAAATTACCGCTAACTGGCAAAATCTCCATATTTTCTATCAATTTCGTATAGTATTCTTTGCTTTCTGGTTATGCAAAGATGTTTCATTGAGGCTGCCTTCTAGCCGAAGGTGAGTTTAGACCATAGCGCGTTCGCGGCAGGAATCTGACTCAGAATGTAACAGTATAAGCATTGACTCTAATACTAGTTCTACACTCTAGACTCCATTTTTTTACAACATGGCCCGGCTATTATCGACTAGTGGCAGTTCGCTTACGGTGAGGATCCAAAAGCGGCTAATTTTGCCGAGGGTCTAACCTCATCCACAAGGAGACCCCTGAAAAAGCAGGGTCCAAGCCAAGACTTGCAATTTACCGAGATAGCTGCGTGGGCTAATGGGACCAAGGCCTTCTTCAAAAGAGAGTAGTGGCACTTGCGGCGAGGAATATACTGCATTCTACCGTACTTCCGCGATGTTTTCTCGAGGCCTCCTCGCGTTATGCGGCGCAGCCTATGTTATTGCGCAGACCACCTATAGTTCGCCTTTCTTGGCTGAATTCCTTATTTTGAGCGACTTTTCTGTTTCCACGGTTGATGGTGTACGTTGTGTAATACTTCAGCATCAAATGGTCATCGACGACTGACAGCTTCGCCATTCAGGATGCCACTCATACCACATACAATGTTCGGTGTGACAGCGACGTCACACTTTGTTCGCTTCCTCCTACCGGCGTGACTGTTTTTTCTGGTCCCTCATCCGTGGGGCTTTCATTCTCAGAGCCAATGGAAACATTGTGAGCCAAGGCCCGATTAAACAAAGAGTGTGGAGCTGATACCTTGACAGGACTTCCTCTGTGGGCTGCACCTACATTGACTCTCGCGCGTCGGCAGTCTGTGTTAATTTACTCGCGGCTCCGGCCGAAACTGTTGAGAGCGGCTCCTTGGTTACAAGCATGGCTACCTTTCGATCAACAACGACTCTTCCTGCCGCCTCAGTTGCGCTAGGCTTCAATGCACCCGTTGCTACTGCCGATGCTACTTCTACTGGGAAAATGAAACCCACGACAGAGTCTACCTCGACAGGTAAAGTGGCCGAGAAGACTACCACAGCCGCGAGTGAGACACAATCTGGTGGTGCGATAGACGCCTTTGGGCGCGGGAATGCAGGTCTTGTTGCAGGTGCAGCAATCCTTGGGCTGGGACTGATCTAGTCAAATGGAGCATCGATTGGAGTTTTCAAGGTTTTATAGATAAGACCTACATTACATGCGCACAGATAAAGAACCACGTAAGTATTTTCAAGGTGCATGACGGGAAATCAGCGACAATGAGAAGTCTGGTATAATCTAGGCAAACTATGAACCTCTATGCCTCATTTGGGATGTAGCACATAATATACCTGAGCTTCTAAAAATGGCGGTGGACATCAATTATAACCTTGTGAGCCGACAGATTAAACATAGTGAGAGTCCAAAATAGATATATACACCTTCATCCAGGTCTCTTGAGGCCCGTGCATCCATTTTCTGCAGCACCACTATTGGAAGAATTCCAAGAACCCACAATACGGCGCCGAGACTTCACCCCTCCAAGCTATAATCCATTCATGATATGAAGCAAGGCCAGTCACTTACCACGCACTAAATGATTTTCGCAGCTGAATACAGCGAACTGGCTATGCGTTTTCAGACTGATCTCGGTTCTCGGTGTCGCCTTTCTGGCGTTTTAGTATAATGAGGGGAAATGAATATTTCTAATATCTTCCCGCATTTTGACCTGGCAGTTTGGCCTAGCTAGCGATATTGAGATTGCTAGATCGATACCTGGCTACTGCCCATATAGGTCTTGTAGTCAGGTGGGAATCTCAATCTACAGTAGAGCCGCCACCTCTTTAGTATCTCCTACGACCTGCCCATTGGATACAATCTAGTAATCACCATAATCTAAAAAGCTAACTCAACGCCATGCTCTTCACAGATGCTCTTAATACCCACAAAGACTGTTTTCGCACATCTTGGAGCCCCCCAATTCCTCTCCTCCCAATAATTTCTTCACCAGGAACAACCTCCATCTGATAAGTCTGCAACAAAATCTTCCACAAACCAGAGACCTGCTGCTCTTTGAGACCCAAAAGGTGCCTTGACTGCTCCTCGAGCATAGAATATTCAACGAAATCAACCTTGGTAAGAACGACGACCTCAAGACCAGACGGCAGCATCTCGCCCAAACTTATATTAGGCTCCATACAGTAGGATTCGAAAACAGATCCTTAGACACTCCCACTTTCTTTCCCAGTGCCTCACTCAGATCGCACTAAACTGAATTCGTCAGGGAAAGTCCCACTATCTCTTCTTGATGTTGTATATGTAAGGTTGTTAGCATTCATTACACTGAATTATAGAAGCGAGGATTGACTCTTGGGATCGTCGAAGTCTTCCTAATGCATACTCTAGAAAAGCCTCTTCCACTCAGCATATTATGTGTTGACCAGAAATATAGCTAGCTGAGATCAGACCAAAATAAGAAAGGAAAATCCAACTATGTGCTGCAGTGTTGAGAGATCAACGGCCGCTCAATTTCATGAGGCTTGGACCAGATTCAACGCGTTTGATATCTCGCATTCGCTGGAGATATATGAAACGGATGCTCTTCAACATTCTGGATGTGTGTTACTTAATGCACACGACGAATTCGATCAACGTTAAGTAAATAGAAAATCAACATTTATTGGCAGGCAGTGTTGGTACAGTAATGTCGCGTTCAGTTCGTCATTATTCTAAATGCGCATATAAATCACGAAGGAACTTCTTGGTGAACGTATTCCTGCCCGTAAAAATCACTTAATTGGATTAATTGAATTAATTATTATTTTACCGCTGGGCGAAAGTAGCGGGCGGTTAATCACTACTTTAGCAGTAAATGAAGGATGGTGTTTATTAGATATTATTGGCTCTTTGGTCTCCACCTACCCTAGTGTCCGTGCATTCCCTAATACCCAACCACCCCCGGAGTCTACCAGCGATGTTTTTCTTCTCCTGGCTCATACAAAGATATTCTGCGCCGGAAGCCAATGACTTAAGTCTCTGCCATGTTTCCCAGGCAAACAATACGCAGTCAACTTGGCTAATTAGGACGCTTGAATCTCTACCTATCTGAGTAGAAAACTTACTGGGAAGGGCTCGACTGCCTATGGAACTTGGAACTTTGGGCTGTATATCTCTTTATTCTCATTCTATATCTCAGGAACCAAATTTCTGGCATCTTTATAGTACCGTTCATCAGCCTGGAGTAACTGTGTGGGAACAAGTACCTTCACACCACCTGGGATGTAGACTTCGTCAACTTGAATCCCCTTGGGCGGAGTAACGCGGGGCCCTCTAGTCATCACAGCGGGTCGGAGACAGAGTGCTTCATTGATGATTATACCTGTATTTGGGGCCGTTGTCTCCTGTCCAGGCGGATAACTCAGTCGCGTTGTTGGAAAACGGTCTTTAATGGAAAGTTTGAAGAAACTAGATGGTCTGCAGATTCCGAATTTATGTGGATCAAGTCATGATCGGTGTGATCGTCATGGCCAGAGGATTCCATATTCACGATCGGTGGAACACCCTTTCTTTTGTCCCAATTTGAAGATATCACGAATCCTGGATGCACAATGCGTACGCGGCGAAAGACTATTAGGGGAACAGAGCGGTAAGGGTGCACTACAGAATTTTTGCCGAGGCCATGATCCCTGTCCATATACACACCCCTGTAGCGTTAGCTGCATTTTTCTCGGGATAAGCTGATTTTGTGTTGTATCCTTTTGCCCCGCAGGGCAATCTTCCCGTTAGTTGACTAATATAATTTGGGGCTGACTGCAGAGTAGAGTCGGTCTAGAACCTTGAGCGGCTTTCATTGCTGGTAAGTTGACGATGTACTCGTTCAAGTCTGTGGCCCCCAAATATTCTCGAAAGATTAATGCAATGTTAGTTCCAGATAGAACCACTGGGATGTAGTAGTCTCTAGCTATGAACAACGCCCAACCAACTCCTCTCCCGAAGTCCACCAATCCGACTGAACTGAAACTTTTTTCTCATTTCGGTTGAGCCGGTATTTAATAATACCTGCCGCGATAAATGCGTTTCAACATAATCGGAGGATCATCCCGCTATCCTCCCCCACTTAACAATAGCAACAAGCGTGCGAATTCGGCTAAGGGCGTCCACATCGAGAATTTCCAGCTCTTCCATTGGATTCTATCATGGCTTGAATAGGGGAACTGCAGGATTAATTTAAGCAGTATCCGAGGTCGCATCTGTTCTCTTGGTAGGCTGAAGCAGAAGTTCCTACAATCTCAATAACCCATCCCCTACCTTTTTTCGTGCATTCCCATCACCAATAATGCTTCCCCTGGCGCCTATCGTCCTTGCTCTGGGGGCTACATTGCCGCTGGTGTCTGCAAATGGCTTGCCGGAGATCATTTACCGAGATATCGCGATCATCGGTGGAGGAGCATCAGGTGCCTATGCAGCCGTTCGCCTTCGTGATGATTTCAACAAGAACATTGTTTTGATAGAAAAGAAGAGTATCCTGGTAGGTCTGAAAATCTTGATTCCGGAAGCTCCTAGTTACACCATCAACTCTGAGCGGTGGGCAGAATAGTAACTCATGGATTTTCCATATTTAGGGTGGTATGGTCGACACCTATGTGGACGAGAAGACTGGCGCCACCTTTGACTTTGGTGTCCAAAGCTTCCTCAACGTGAGCGGATCTACAGAATTTTTCGCTCGGTTCAACATATCAATTACCACCAATTCCAGCAGTATCTCCTCAACTCAGAAGTACATTGATTTCAACACTGGCAAAACGGTTGGCTTCACGACCCCTGCGTACACGAAGGAAAACGACGCCATCGCCAAGTTCTTCAAGGTGATCAAGCCATGGGAGTCGATGTTGAGTCCCGGCTATTGGAATTTCCCCGAGCCAAAAGATATCCCTGAAGATCTTCTTATTCCCTTTGGCCAATTTCTGACTAAGTATGGTCTTGAGGATAGTACCCCTCTGATCTATGCATCCACTGGTCTCGGAGTGGGTAACATGAGTGAAGTTACTACTATGTTTGTCCTACAGTCCTTCGGCTGGGACATGGCTCGGGCCTTCCTCGGTGAAATGGCCCTGTATACTCCTGCTTCTGGTGGCAACCAGGTCCTCTACGATGCCATTGCTAAGGACCTTGGCGATGATGTGCTCTATTCGAGCACTGTGATTGACAGCCGCCGCACCGACTTTGGCGTTTTCCTTACGGTGCGCAACCACAAGACCCAAAAGATCACGCTGATCGTCGCTCGCCGACTCTTAATTGCCATCGAGCCAACTCAATCAAACATGGAGCCTTTGGATCTCAGCTTCACTGAATGGGGCACTCTGTCCAAGTTCACCTATTCCAACGAATTCACTGGTCTGGTCAACAATGCTGTCTTTAACACGAGTTATTATTACTATAACTTGCCATCCGACGCCGCTCCTGACAACCTTCTTGTTTTCCAAGATGAGCCGATGGTCGCAAGTTTTGAATACACTGGTCTTGAGCACCTGTTCCGCGTGATGATCATTGGTAATAAGACTACAAATGCTGCAGAATCCAAGGTTCTAGCACAGGAAAGCTTCAGTAAGCTGCTCAAAGCTGGTCAGTTGTCCGGATCCACACGAGACCAGAAACTCAGTTGGGCAGCCTTTTCTACCCATGGTCCCATGCATGCCCGCGTTTCTGTTGAAGATATCAAGGGTGGCTTCTTTCAGGACTTGTACCAGCTCCAAGGTTCTCGTTCTACGTGGTGGACGGGTGGCGCCTTCTCGGCGAATTTCCAAACTCAGCTGTGGAAATTCGACGAGGGTTTGATTCCTAAAATCCTGGAGGGCCTTTAAACGTGAAGGTTTCTCCAATCAGGCGGCCAAATCTAGACGCCTGAGGATTTCCGACATCGTGGTTACTTCTTGTAAGTTGATCAGAGAACATCTTCTGTATATCCCCGTTTAGATGCTAGAACAGCGGGTAGTTCTATCAAGAAAATATGGTGGGGACTCTTCCTGGCCAAATTCATTCTAGCGCGATCTGAGTGGGGCGCTGGGAAAGAAAGCAGGAGTGTCTAAGGGGTAATCTGTTTTCGAATTCCACTGTACTGCAAGCCTGCTTTCTGCAAGGTCTGCATCGTTTGACAGTCAGAATTGAAAACAGATCCCCCTACGAGATATGTATTGTTACTCGGCCGGTATCCGAAATTACCCTAACCCATATCCGGTTCCTCTACGAACAACCTCTGCTTAGTCGTATCATAAATTATATGGTATGAGATTTCGTCGTCGAATGCGTCATTTCTAATTTACTGTTAGTCTTAAGAGAATGTTCTAAGTGGGATTCTCAAAGAGGTAGGGGCCGGGGGCCGAGGGCCAAGCCTGATATATCGAATTTCAGTCACAATTCAAACATAATCCATCTACAGCTGCCATGGCAGCAATCCTTCCCATAGAGATCCTTATTTCCGTCCTCAATGGACTCGAGGAATCCAAAGGCTGCCTAGAGCTTCTCCAAGTCTGTCAACATTGGAACACAGCGCTCTTTGCGCAGGTGTACTCGAGTATTGAACTCTTTTAGCTCGAAACTTTACTCCCCTTAGCGGAAGCGCTCCAGAAGAACTCCCGACTAAAGTCTCGTATACGAGCTCCGTAACCCAGACTGCTACCGTGAATTTCTTTGACGAGCCCAAGTTCTACAATCGTACCCTGTTCCACGAGTTCCTGGAATCCTTCAAAGACGACAATGACGAGGAACTGACAAGTTGTGAAGAGAAGCTAGACAAACGAGATTTCTACTCTTAGCTCGCAGTAGTTTTGAACTCCCTCTCCAATCCCCAACATCTCGATATACGATGGGGCGGCGATGGTCCAGACACAGAGAGTACACTCTGGGTAGTCTTTAAGATAGCAAATAAATACCCTAAAGAAGGATCACCCCTGCAACACCTACGAAAACTCTCCGCGAGAGGCGAAGACGTCAGACAACTTCCCAGCCCAGCAGATCATTCTCTCCTCAAACTACCGTGCGAGCACTGCACCTCAGCGGAGTTGTTGATGGCAACGGTGGCGAAAACGAAGACTCCATCTTCAACCTTTTTTCAATCTTCCGCGGCGCATTTCGCCGGTCCGCGAGTTAGTCCTGCAAGGCTCAAACTTCCAGTGCGGACTGCCCGAGTTCATAGCCGCATGCGCTCACCTTGAGCATTTCGAATACTAGCACGATAACCAGCTTGATTGGGGCGAAAATTACCGGAACTACGGGTGTTGACCTTTGCACGCTGCGCTATTACCGCAGAAGGGGAGTCTACACGTGCTACGACTACAGTAGAATTCGAAAACAGTTTACCCCCCACACTCACGCTTTGTCTCTCGGCCCGTACCCGAAATGACGCTAAGCCGTATTTGGTTACTCTCGAAACAACCCCTGCTTAGCCGTGTCGCGACTTATAACGTATAGGATTTCAGTATCTAACGAGTCATTGTAAATTACTGTAGACCTCCATAGAATGTTCTAGTTAGGGTTTTTGAAGCGGGATATGGTGATCTGCCTTGAACCACGCCCACTGTCTACACATTCCGCTACTGTTCGACACGGCACATTTACTCCAATCTTGAATAAAAACTGAATAATTTACCATTCTGTCTGTTTAGTTGTACTCCTTCATATGTCTTCAACTACCAAGCCGACCATCGTTCTCGTGCATGGCGCATGGCATGGCTCGTGGTGCTGGAGATTCCAAATCCCCGCGATCGAAGCTCTCGGCTATGCTGTGGAGACCGTTGACCTACCATGCGTTCGTGGGTTAGCGGGTACGACGCAACTCGACGATGCGGCCCACGTACGGTCCGTTGTGGAATCGCAGATATCTATGGGTAAGCGCGTCGTTGTCCTAGCACATTCCTACGGAGGACCAATTGCGAGCGCTGCTATTACGGGGCTATCTGGAAAAGGAGTGCTGGGAATGATCGCTCTGTGTGCCTACGTCTTTCCTGGAGGTATGGACCAAGGTGCGGTCATTCGCGACCTTGGCGGCTTGCCCTATGTGACGTGGGACGTGCCGAGTGAAGGCCTTTTCCTCACCAAAGATCCGCGCAGTTTGTTTTTTCCTCCAGACGTGCCCGAAGATCGAATCGATTGGGCAATCCCGCAGCTTCGCCCTCAGAGCATGGCCGCCAACATGGGCATTGTGCCGCCTCAAGCCTGGCAGGACGACTCTTATATTGGGAGATTAGGCTATATTAGGTGTACGGCCGATGTGGTCAATCCGATCGCACAGCAGGACAGCATGGTGACGGGTGCAGGTGGCAAGGAAAAATGGGTGATCCGCACTCTCGAAGGATCTGGCCATAGCCCCTTCCTTTCGCGGCCACATGAGGTAGCCGCTACACTTCAGGATATCGTGAATGATTTTGAAGCCAAGCTCTGACATAGGCAAGAGTTTATGAGTTCATACAAAGATTCCAAATGTTGTCAAGCAGATGACCACGCAGTACTCCTAGCGTCAATGGATTATGATGTGTCTACGGCCGTTCAATTTAAAGGAAGCAGGGCAGGGGATGGTCGTCTCTGAACTATAGCGAGTTCCTAAAGAAATTCTTAGATGAATTCACCGCTTTTAGCTTCCTTAGCTATTTGAAAGGAAGCTATTCGATGACTCTGCCTTATGCCGCGGATAAAGCGTAACGAGGGATTTAGTCTTGGCGCTATATTGAGCAAATCCGCGGCCTGGAAGGGCAATCAACGATCATAGAGGGGCGCGGAGGTGGCGCCGTATAAATGTTTCACATGGGTTACAGTATTTTACGTTACATCTGCGTTCTAAAAAACAAAATTCATTGTTCTTAGTAAGAAGTAATATACGACTTAACCAGATATAGATTACGGTGTTTTAGAATACAGTCTGGGAAACAATCTGTGAGTGCACGAAGGGGAATCTGTTTTCGAATATTGCTGTACGAGCAGAACAAGGACAGAGCTTATCGCACCAGCGGCGACCCATCCATTGGATGACTCATGCAGCAAATGGCATGACTCACCCGGACCCGTATTTGTCTACCTCACCGCCTTATCCTCCGCCCGATACTGCCAACCAACGCTTTTTATCAGTCTGGACATTTTTGCCTTGATAAATCAAACGTTGCCCTCGGGCCTGCTCCCTTCTCATTGTCTTTGGATCTTGTTTGGTGTTTACCCCATCGTTGATATACTCTTTTGGAGCAGTTTTAGTGCCTCTACTTCCATTAATATCCCCTTTCACCTTGCCGATCATAATCCCGCCAATCCAACCCAATTGCAAGCTTGCAGCTTCAAGCACTTTGATGAGCGCACCGATACTGGATCAGCAGCTTCTTGTCGGTTCTCCTGTTATGTCAGCTCTGGAAAACGGCCCATCAGCTCCAGCTGCCTCGCGCTCTAGGCACAGACGCCGTGGCAGAGGCGCCGCCAGCCGTGGAGGGGTACCGAATACGCTTGCCACATCAACAAATGAGCAATCTGCTCCCCAAGCACCGCAACGACAGTCAGATAGTGTTCCGATCGCTGACCAACCGAATGGCCAACCACGCTCACGAAGATCAAACAAAGAAGGCAGAGGATCTGGACGACGAGGAGGGCGGGGCAACGGGAATCGACGAGGCGGGCAAGGACAAAATGGAGACCACAGCGAGGAATCACAGCAACTTCAATCTCGCGCCATGCGGGTTCGGGGATTTGGGGCTCGTTTGACTCGATCAGACCAAGATGGGAATACAACACACCCGGAATTGGCGGCGGAAGGCGACGCTAGCCTTCGTGCTGATGCCCCCGATTTCGTCCCGGTTATACCAGCAACCAGCACACATCCCTATCAGTCATCTACGGCATCAGCAAAAGGAAAGGGCAAAAACAAAGCTAAGCCCCCGCCTAAGCCTTCCAAGGTCACGATCAAGTCAACAGCTGGTGACATCGCCACCCGAATTCACGAAGACATTGCTCACAACCTCTATGAGTGCCCCATCTGCACAAGTGAATTAGGCCGACGGTCTAAAGTTTGGTCTTGCGAATTGTGCTGGACCGTGTTTCATCTGAGTTGCATAAAGAAGTGGTCCACAAACGAAGGAGCTGCCGCTCAAAGGAATTCTCGACAGCAAGATGGCGATGAGCTTGTTTCTCCTCGTGCCTGGCGCTGTCCTGGATGCAATCTTTCCCATGAAATATATCCATCCACCTACAGCTGCTGGTGTGAAAAAGAAGTCGACCCTAGACCCCTCCCTGGTCTGCCCCCACATTCATGCGGTCAGACATGCTCACGGCCTCGTAAGGGTTGTCCGCATCCATGCGATACGACTTGTCACGCAGGTCCTTGTACTCCTTGTACATCCATGGGACCAACTCAAGATTGTTTCTGCGGTCGGAATTCATCTACCAAACGATGCCAAGATACCAACTATGAGCAAGGATGGAGCTGTGGTGAAATATGTGGTGATCTGCTCCCATGTGGTGAACACACATGTCCTCTTCCGTGCCACGAAGGGTTGTGTGGTGCTTGCGAGGTCTCGATCGAGGCCCGTTGTTATTGTGGTAAAGTGCAGACCGAGATGTTGTGTAGCTCCAAGGAGGATGACATGGAAAGCCAGACAGTGCGCGATGATGGATCCGAGGAGTGGACAGGATGCTTCGCTTGCAATGAAACCTGCAGCCGCCCGTTTGATTGCGGTGTGCATTTCTGTCAAAAAGACTGCCATCCGCAAAATTCGCATCCTGCCCATTGTCCTCGATCTCCAGATGTCGTGATTCGTTGTCCATGTGGGAAAACATCATTGGAGAGCATTCCTGGTTTTACTCCTCGTACATCCTGTGAAGACGGAATTCCCAACTGCCAGGAGCCATGTGGTAAAATGCTTGCATGCGGTCATTCCTGTGACAAACTGTGTCACACTGGTCCTTGCGGAGCCTGTTTACGCCGGGTTCCAATTCAATGCCAGTGCGGCCGTAATACCTCCATGAGTGTTTGCCACCAGGGTGATATCCAACACCCCCAGTGTTTCCGCCAATGCAAGGCAACTTTGCATTGTGGTCGTCATTCATGCACAGAGAGATGCTGTCCTGGAGAACAGAAGGCCATTGAACGCCAGGCTCTTCGTCGCAAGCTTAAACCTCACCTCCGCCCTCTTGATGAGGATATTGAAGCAGAGCACATCTGTACTCGGATTTGTGGCCGAATGCTGAAATGCGGACGACACCCATGTCCAGAGCTCTGCCACAAAGGTCCCTGCAATACCTGTCGGGAAGCGATCTTCGAAGAGATTGCCTGTAACTGCGGAAGATCTATCCTTTATCCACCGCAGCCCTGCGGTACTCAGCCGCCTCCATGCTCATTCCCCTGTGCCCGACCTAAGTCTTGCGGTCACCCTCAGACGGCCCACAACTGCCATATGAACGCAGATGGCTGTCCCAAATGTCCATTCTTGACCGAGAAAGATTGTTTGTGTGGCAAGAAGGTGATGAAAAACGTGCCTTGCTGGCTCACAGATGCCCGCTGCGGCCAACCTTGTGGTCAACCACTCAAGTGCGGCTCTCATTTCTGCAAGAAAGATTGCCATCGTCCAGGTGAATGCGAAGATGCGGACAAGCCCTGTCAGCAGGCCTGTGGAAAGACCAAGTCTCTTTGTGGCCATCCCTGTACAGAGGCGTGCCATGCACCTTTCCCATGCCCAGAGAAGACAGCCTGCTCGTCAATGCTTACAGTGACATGTAGCTGTGGACGTTTGCGCCAGCAGAGACGCTGTGGTGCCTCCAAGGCTGTCACGTCCAAGGGCCAAATCCAACAACCGGAGCGGCTGCCTACGCTGACTCCGTTGACTTGCGACGACGAGTGCACCCGTTTGGAGCGCAATCGATCTTTAGCCTCTGCTCTCGGAATTGATATCAACCCAAGTACGACAGTGCAGGCTTTCACCTCCAGCAACCTTCCATATTCCACTGAAACCCTTGATCAGTACGTAAAACTCGCATCTTCAGTCCCTCTGTCGACACTGCAAACATACGAGGCAACCTTGCACTCCCTGGCAACCGATCCCACGAACCGGTCCATCCGCTTCCAGCCGGCCAAATCGACCCTCCGGTCATTCAGCCATTCTCTTGCGACGGACTGGGGCTTCAACACTGAAAGTCACGATCCTGAGCCCCACCGCCATGTCTTCGTTCTCAAGCCTCTTGCCTGGACACCACCAGTTTTTGGTATGGGAACTGGTTCGTCCATTGGCATTGGCGGCATAAGTGTCCGCGAGTGTGTCAAACTCCGCGAGCGAGAGATGACCAAAGAGCGAGATGCGCAACGTGCAGCCGCTCTCGAGGCTAAGGCTACCCGTGATGCTGCCAAAACGCAAGCAGGTTCCGACGGCTGGGCTCAGGTTGCTTCTCGGAGCAAGGGTAGTGCTTCTAGTACGAGGAGCACTACGCCGATCCAGAGCTCGTTCACTGGTCGGACCATGTTCTCTGCTCTTGACCAAAATAGAAACATGCCTTCTGACTCCAAAAAGGAGCGGTTGGTCCTTCGCTCTGGCGTTGGGGCTAGCAAGTCTTTGCGCTCGCAGCCTTATGCTGAAGTTGTTGATAACTGGGAGGAAGCAGAGGAGAAGGAAGAGGAGGAGGAACGAGAAGATGAGAAAATGAATGCTGAGACGCTGGAGAGTGCGCCTGAAGCTTCTGAAGCTCCTGAAGCTCCTGTCCTCGAAGCTTCTGTCCCTGATGCCCTGGAGGAGCAGGATGAGCCAGCCGATGCCAGTGGAGTGCCAACTATTACTGTGGTCACTGCGGCTGATGTAACAGACTCAGAGGCTTAGAATACTTTCCCATGACTATGACTCATGATTATGAGAAAAAGCCCCTTGTCAGTTTATTTGTTTGCATATGATACCCTGGTAGCATCTGGGGACCTTGGAGCACGATTCGGTGTCCACCCATATGTGGGATATTTTGTTTCATTCATAGCTGCCGATCTATAGAAAGAATCTCAAAAAAAAGACGTAAATATATGGACAGAAAAAACAACAAAGTTCAAATTTCAATTAACACACTTCAACTTCGACAGTATATGAATAAACCTCCGGGCATTGAATCGGTTCACCTCAACCTAGAATACTCAATCAACACCAGCAGGAGCCGGCGTAACTTTAACAAACATCAAACAACCCTCATCTGAAGCGACATAAGGCCCATGTTTCATTCCAGGCTTGCGATAGGCATATGCCCCAACACCCCAGGACTCTCCCAGCGTAAGATCCTTCAGTTTCCCCTTCAGGAAGCACACCTCTTCGATGAAAGTATGCGTGATTGGCTGACTGTCTGTGGCTGTGCGTGGTTCCCACCATTGTAGCACAGCTTTATGCTGTGCATTTCCATTTAGGTGTAGCTCCCAGATCCCTGTAGTGACTGAGTACCATGGCTTTGCGGAGGCGGAGTCTGGGGACGTTCCTGGTGCGGGGAAGGGTGGTGGGGTGGTGAACTCTTTTTGAACGAAGGACATTCTGGTATATTGAAGTGAAACTTGATAAAATTTGATTACACCTTCATTTAAATAGGCCTGAGGAGTTGTTTTGAGGGCATTCGCTGACAAACTCGAATTTCCCGATGGATCGGGAAATGGGAATGATCCACCCACGGTTCCTAAGAATGCAAGATATGGGATAGTATCAATTCGCCTTTTTAATCTTTCTTCTCCATGTAAGGCAAGCAAGCTTCATAAATCTCCTTGTAACCGGGATACTTCGTTATCCTCTGAAAGACACCCTCATCGATGACCCTCGCAGATTGAAGGGACCCCGCAATGAAGAAGTCAGTATAGCTCGGCTTCGCACCTAGCACAAAAGGCCCATCTGCTTTGTTGGTCTGCATCAATTCACCGACAGCGCGCATATTATCGCTTGCCGCATTCCAACTTTCCTCCTCATTGACGAGCAGGTCTTCGAGCGGATGCCCGAGGGAGGCTTCCCGCGTACGTCGGAAGTACTCCCGCGCCCGTGGGGATAGAATATTTATCTCGCGCGGCATCACCGCTGAACGGAAAACTACACCGACTACTCGGCGTGCCTTAGCCTCGATCTCAACGCCGATTTCTGACGTCAGCGGTACTGGCAGGTCTGGGTAGGTTGACTCGAGAAATTCTGCGATGAGGGCGGATTCAATGATATATCTGTTGCTTGGTTTGTGGAAAATAACTGGAACTGTGTATCTATGGTCGATTCCCGGAGAAGTTTCGATAGGGTGTACGTCGCTGTGAAGTGTTAGGTCGGGAGGCTTTTTCTTTACGCGGAGTCAGTGCTTTGGGGATATGTTTTAGGATATAAAGCAAAGGCAAGCTGGCTGGGGGATAATCAACGAAGATTGTCAGGATGACTTTTGGCTCACAGGCTTTTCAAAGTTGGCTGAATGTCGGGAAATTCAATGGATTTTGTCTCAAAAGGGATGCGTTTGTAGTTGAGCATAAGGCGAATGCGCCAAACAACCGGAGAGAAGCAGACATTCTTGGTGCAGGCCAAGTCGAACAAAACAATTTCGGTTTCAGTTCGGGTAGCCATGTTGTGCTGTGATATAGGGAGAGCTTGAAGCAACTGTAATTTGAAAAAGTCAAGATATAAAGCTGACGAATCTCACTTTCAGGGATACTTCGATTTTACCCTGCACCCCCAGAGTGGGGCATTTGTATGTGCTTATGTCATGTGCTTACATCAGCGGGGTTCCCGATCTTCTTATCGTCGACAAGATTCCCACGTTGCACAGTATTGTGGATCAACATGGCATCTTTCCGACTCCAGGGATTTCAATCCGTAGTCCGAGGCCAGACGCGCCTGCTGCGGAACCAGCAGCGTCGTTGGGCGCAGGTTCACGACGTGCGCTTCCTTGCCTCGCATCACGATCCCAAGTATGTCTTGGACAAATATCGGTCGAAGCTTGACGAGAAGGCCAAGCAGTAAGTTTACCTCCCCGAAAATCACCAGTATCATTCAATTGATATACCTCCTACAGAGAGGGTCATGAATCTGTCGAATCCTTGAAGGAAGCCTATACCGAAAAGATCAAAGACCTTCGCTACAAAGCATCCACCGTCGTAACACCAGAGACCGTGACTCCTTCATCCAAAGTCACTGGAACACCCCCTCCATTCCAAGCTTCTCCGACCCCGGATGCGGACCCCACCGTCAAGGCCGCACGCAAGGCCTCCAGCAGCGAAACCCCTATCAAACCGCTCAGCACATACCTAGATGTCGAGAAGATTCGCGAGCTTCCAGCCAAAGAAATCGAAGCCCTGTGGCGCCTCCGCTTCGCAAATGATGGCACCTCTATCACCGCCGCCATTCCTCTAGACATATATAAGCGTATCGCCCACGCCGCACGTCACAACCCGCAATTCGTCCTCCCCCTCCCGCGCCAGCAGACCGACGACATCGGTCCCGAAGAGGTCGACGCCGACGGCAACCCGCTTGGCTCTGGCGCGGATATCCACTTCCTGCAGTGGGCTTTCCACCCGCCGGCGGAGGAGTCTGCTAAGCCTAAGGGCGAGACTGTCAACACCCACACTTCGACTGTGATCTTCACGCACCTCGGTGCGTATAAGATGCATGGTTCGTATGCTCAGCCTCATACTACTGTTACCCACCATCTCGATCTGGCGGATGATAAGGGACTGGTCCTTATGCATGGACAGATTGTTCCGGATCGCGGTGTCTCGACTACTGAGGCTACGTGGTTGGTTAGCTGTGTGCAGCGATTCTATGACTTCGAGGGCCAGGCTAGTGGCCGGAAGAGTGAGCTGGTGAAGATGTTCACTCGCGGCGATGCGGAGAACTTCAAGGTTGATGAACTCCTCGAGGAGGCTGAGCGCATCAACTAGATGTTTCTTTGCCCTATCTATCTACTACACTGGGCTCATGCCCGATGACCTGTACCATATGTGTCCGTTTGGCAGTTGGACTTGGACTTCATCCGGCGTTCTATTAGAGCTAGATTGGAGCTATTCAGCTGAACCTTTGTATACTAAAGACATCCACAATATTACAATCCGTCTACGAACAAAGCCTGCTCTTGAATCTTGTAGAATTATTTCCAGCTATTAAACCAATGCAGAATCGATATGTGTAACAAATGATACATGATTCGAGGAAAGCAACATGCCCCTCTCATATCTACACGAAGTAGTAACCCCGAAAGGAAAAAAGAAGAAAGAAACAAAGAAAACAGCCACCCAGTACCAAAAACACAGAAAACATCCCATGCATACAAAAAGGAAAAATGAAGCCTCGAGCCTAACCTAACACAAAACTCCGAGAGCAAAGTCGTTTGTATCACATGGACATTGAGAGAAAGGGAGACATAGTGCCAGTGATTGTTTGAACAGGCAGAAGCGTAAAGACACAGGCAATTAGTCCGGGACTTAAGGCAGCATCGAATGACCTTGTAAATAGCCTACCAAGCCAGAAATAATGAGCAAAAGAGACAGCTTAAGTCTTGAGCTGTGGGCGGGTATCATTGTATGAGGTCCATGCTAGACAGCTAAGGCCAGGGTTGTAACCAATGCTTCCAAATTGATATCATTATTGAATTAAACGGTTACTCGCTTTCGACCTCCTCACGGATGAACGAGTGGATGTGGTCGAAGTAGCCCGGTTCGGCAACGGAGTCGTTGTGGCCGCCGTTGGGTAGTGTGCGCCAGATCTTGCGTTCGGACTTGCAAGCAGCGAAGAGTTGGGTCATATTTGATGGCCTATGCGGTATTAGTGTTGGTCAAACAATGATAAGAGAAGTGTACATACGGCACAAGTTCGTCCTTGAGTCCACTCAGGAAGAGAACCGGCACCTTGGTGATCATAGGCAGCACATCTTCGCTCGTCCAGTATTGGTGGCACAGACGAGCAAGGTATCTAGCAGGAGGGAATACACTTGTAGAATGGTTAGATCAGGTTCTGAAACAGTAATACCGCTGAGCAAACTCACCTAGGGATCAGCTTGCGAATACTCAAAAAAGTATTCTCCAAGATCAAACCACCAATATCACCCTGCTCCTGATTTGTCGCAACGAGGTTGATAGCCACAGCCCCGCCCAGACTTTGACCATAGATCACGAACTTGGTATCGCTGAACTCGGGGCGCTGGCGCATGTAGTCAAGACCAGTCTGAGCATCAATCTTCAAGCCTGCCTCATCCGGCGTGCCGGTCGACAGGCCGTACCCCCGATACTCCAACAAGATAACATTGCACTGAAGTGTATCCTGGATCGCCTTGGCGATGGGAACTCGGTGGCCGATGTTACCAGCATTTCCATGGAACATCAGGACTGTCATGTCGCGACGGAAGCGAGTCTTTGGTTGCCGCAGGAAGAAGGCGTGCAGTGTCTCGCCATCTGGCGTCGGAATCTGAAGGTCTTCAAAGTCTGTGATGCCGAATTGACGGGGGCTCGGGACTTCGGTTCGCGCATCGACGGGGACATTGCGGGGGTATATCAATTCACTAGATACCGTGTCAATAACGAGGGGTCTTGCGCAGGGAGGATCCCATAGGGTTCCTACTTTTGCTTGAAGTATAAGAGGCCACTTGCGACCACTGCGAGGCCGGACGATGCCAGGACAGGAAGACGTAGGAATGTCATTGCGCTATTGGCCATGTTGCTGATGCTCCAGGCTGGGGTCGAAGGAGGTGAATCAGACATGGCGACTCGATCCCGGAATGAGGGCGGTTGAAGGAGTGGAGGTTTGCAAGAATTAAGTATTTGAATCGTTGTACAAGGTAAAGACGAGTAAACACACCCAAGGAGCGAGATGCTCGTTTCAGGAGACTCAGGGTTGGCGATAGGGCGATGCGTCCTATCAAACGCTGGGGTCACCGCTCACCGCCCGAGCTGGACGCGTTGAGCTTCTGCCTTCCTTACAGCTACCTGATCACATCTCCCCATCTCCTTGCACTTCACCTCCCCCTTTATTCCTTGGATAATTCTATTTCCTCCTTATTGACTTTATTGCACTCGGATTACACAATGGTTTCCAGCCACGGCGTCACGGGAATGTTGGGTGAAGGTGAGCCCAAGCTATCGCCATCATCCCATCGACAGAGGAGCTAACATCCATCTTCTAGATGGCATCCACGTCGATATGCAGCACCTGAAAAGTGGAGAGGTTAAGTGCGTTTCTTCCGGATTGTGTTTCCCTTTGTTTTTTGAGCCAAATGCTAACCGCTGCCTCTCTAGCCTTGGAACCTCCATGTGAGTGAATCGGAGCTCGACACTCCTTCCCTTTCGACCGCAGCTTCTAATCAGTCCGCAGTATGGCGATCAACTTCAAGGACGGTGTTATTCTGGGCGCCGACAGCCGCACAACCACTGGTGCTTACATTGCCAACCGAGTCACCGACAAATTGACACAGGTGCACGACACCATCTGGTGCTGCCGCTCTGGTTCGGCCGCGGATACCCAGGCTGTGGCAGACATTGTCTCCTACCATCTCAACATGTACGGCGTCGTCAACAACGAGGCTCCCAGCACGCAGGTGGCCGCTTCGCTTTTCCAGGAATTGTGCTATGAGAACAAAGATGCGCTCAGGTCAGCTCTTCTTGTGCACATTGAGCTAGATCCATGCTGACAGAACATAGTGCGGGCATCATCATTGCCGGATACGACCCCAAGCACGGCGGCCAGGTGTACTCGATACCGCTGGGCGGCTCCCTACACAAGCAGTCGTTCGCGATCGGCGGCTCCGGTTCGACCTACATCTACGGATATACCGACGCAAACTGGAAGGAGCAGATGACGGAGGAAGAGGGCATCGACTTCGTGCGGAATTCGTTGCAGGAGGCGATCAAGTGGGACGGTAGCTCTGGTGGCGTGATTCGTATGGTGGTCTTGACCAAGAAGGGCGCCGTGCGGCACCTGTACCTACCGGACACCAACTACACCGGGCCCGGAGTGACAAATTAATGAGTGATGTACGAATAGCATCTTGTCGAGCCGCAGAATATTGACATGGTTTCATGAATCTCGAAAAAGATGCAGGTCATGCACCCCACGCGGAGATGCATCCTAGCCTGTCCTATGCGCTAGTAGTGACTGTCTGGCACTCCAAGCGCTTGGGTAGCAACGGCTATCGAGAATATGCTGGATAATGGTATTGTTAGGAGAAACCGGGGGGGTCTCATGAAACTTGGATAAGATCCCTGGCCGTAAGAAGTAGAAAATCTCGCAGGGTTCTGGGATATCCGTGGTCAATTACATCACGTCTGGTGGCCCGGTGGTAGATGATTGGGATATGCGTCTCTGCATCTCACATCTGCAGCATCCACCGGCCGGGAACCTAGGGATAAATCTGTATAAAACGCATGGCGTGAGCATTGGACGAGATAGGCTACCTCAGAAAATGCCAAATTCAATTGCAATAATCTACTTTCCCCGGTTCCCCGTCAGCGGATTCATCCGTGAAGTCTATTGTAGAATCACCGGCGGCCACGGCACCACGGGCGCTGACATCGCCCTGTCATTCGCCCGATATTAGACGCTACACCGTCTTTTATATCCCAAGCCCCCGATAACAGTCGAATCGATGTGTCCCACATTCTATTCCAAGATTCCCGGGTGTAGCTCCCTTCAAGATGGGGGGATATGATAGTTGAGATACTGGGTCAAGTTCCTCGAGATGACTATGACGGCTGCGGCAGTCTAGACCTATATCTTTCCCTCCTTTCCCTCCACCTCTCTGCTCTTTCTTTCCTTCTTTCTGCCCTCCCTCTTTCTGGATTGGCCTTTGGAAGTAGATCTTAGTTGAAACGAAAATCCCCCTTTTATTTGGAGAAAAGGAAGACTTAAAAGGCAGTTTCACTTTCCCGGTTCGACCGTCCATCTCCACCGACCTCACCGTGGAAACGTTTCCTGCCATTTCCACCTAACAACTTTCTTTCTAAGCTCACCTCCAAAAAGCTATCCTGTTTTCCCTTCTGCAATGGCTCGGATCGGCGCTTTTTGGTGATCGAACCCCCCCTCCCATCTCTGCCGGGGTTGAACTGGATTCGCGCTCTGGTCCTTGGAATCGCCCTGTCCAGGCCAATCGTCATCGAATGTAAACCCCCCCCCCTCTTTCTCGGTTTTCTTGCCTCTTTCCACTTTGATCGTGCCACTCAATTGTTGAGAGCTGTTTCCAAGCCCAATGCGATCGTTGCTGACCCGGCCTACGCAACTCAGAGACCAAGCTTCACCTTGATATGGGCTCCGTCATTCTCAACCACGTGCCGGAACAGATCGACTGCAAGATGTTGGGTACGCGCAACACTGAATACACCGAATACACTCGCGCATCTCAACTAGAGGGACGCTCTAGATCGACTTCCTCCAACTCGACCCCCACTTCCACTTCCACCGCCCCGCCAACCGCTGTAGGCTCTGCTCGGCTTCCTGCGCATTTGGATGTCCCCGCCTACATCAACTCCCACACTCCTTCCACTCGGGCCCCCTCCGACAATCCGTCCCATCCCCCGCCTTCGATGACCTCCCACTCAAATTATGGGGTTGCTCGCGATCATCCGTCATATTCCAACACCGCCACTCCATACTCAAGTGGCCATGCCACCGACTCCATGAATTCCGGGCCCAACCCATATACCCAGTCCTCACCCGAGTCGCCACGATTGCAACCAACATTCCGATCGATGCAGTCACTTGGAAATTCAGAAGCCAACTCACCAAGCCGAATCCGTGTCCAGAGCTTGTCTCACATTCAGAGCCTGGCCAGCGAAGAATTCCTGGCCAGATCTCAGAACCCGGGCCATGGCACACAACCACGCCACTTCGAGATCAGCTCCATGCCCGTCACCGAGATCATTGAGATGGTCGCCGGGCTCCTCACCAAGATCACCACCACCAACGATACCCATCACGAACATGTTCATCGCCACATCCCTCCGCCCGACGGCGCCTCCAACCTGACTCCTCAGGCGACCAGCGTTCTTGCCTTCCACGGCAAGAACGTCCCCAGCATCACCATCCTCAGCTACCTCACCCGCATCCACAAATACTGCCCAACTACCTACGAGGTATTCCTCAGCTTGCTGGTCTATTTCGACCGCATGACTGAGCTTGTCAACAGTGGGCAAGACGACCCTGTACAGCAACGATATGAACCGACTCCATCTACCGGTTCAGAATCATACCACTCTCCGGCAGGCCGACACGCGCAGGATTCCTCGATTGTTACACCACCCTCCTCGGCAGGCATGACAGCTTCAGACCCCAAAGGCCCGAACGCATCCATCTCCCCCGCACTATACCCCCAAGGGGAAGACGAGAGCCTCTCCCACTTTTTCGTCGTCGATAGTTTTAATATCCACCGACTGGTCATCGCGGGCGTGACCTGCGCGAGTAAATTCTTCTCCGATGTCTTTTACACCAATTCACGCTACGCAAAGGTATGCTTACTTGATTCGTCTAACGCGTTCCCCTCTCTAATCCGGTATGCAGGTTGGAGGTCTTCCGCTTGTGGAGCTTAATCATCTGGAACTGCAGTTCCTATTACTCAACGATTTCCGACTTGCTATCCCGGTCGAGGAGCTCGAATCCTATGGCACTATGCTCGTAGAGTTCTACGCCCGTGAGGTCGTCGCTCAACAACAACAGATGGCCGCGCCCCGAGCTATTCCACCGTCCATGTCAGATTCCCAATCCGATGCCATGTACATGCGGTCTCACGAGAAACGCCGAGATCACGGGCTCGGACAAACGCCGACACCGCCTTAAGCCACCATTTCCGCTTTAAGGCAAGCTAGACCGCCAGACTCTACCTCCTCGCTTATATTCGCGCATTCACCTGTGCCTCGGCGCTGAGCGTTCACTTTATACCGGTTGTCCCACCTTCCAGGGGTATTCAACCCCGATCCTGACCTTCATCTCAATCGGCTCCCTTTTTTGGCGTCCCTTTCTCAATCCTCACGCTTCTCGGGTCTGCAATTTGCCTCGCGCATTTACACGTCACGACTGTATAGATTCTTTCTCTCTTTTTCTTGTTTGTGGAGCTCCCAGGTTATTCTTGCTGCTATTCCCCCGTCTGCAGCTTTTCAACTTTTCAGGATTTCAATTTTTCATACATTACACATCTAGTGGGCCGTTTCACCGGGTTGTTTCTTTGTTTTTATTAGTTTGATTTTTCGATGTATGTCTGCTTTTCGACATGGTTCGGTGTTGAAGGCGTGTCTTGTTGCATCTGCGATGTTTATGGTTCTGGGTTCTTAGGGCGAGTGAGCAATCTCCAATTTTACTCGTTCTGTCTGTACTGTTTTGAGTCGTAATTGGATGGTCTTGATTGACACTTGATTGCGAAAAGCATCAGTGGTGAGATTAGCTTCAAACATTGTTATGTGGACGGGGAGGCTACAGCATCTATTTCTCGAAACTGGTGCCTACCGAGCTCTATAAATGAATGAAACGCTAGTTCTGAGGAAATGAAGAACAGTAATACCTGGAGATCTCAAATTCGAGCACTGAATGTTTTCTTCAAAGATACTCTAATATCATTCTCGCAGTGGAATTTAAAAATATTCTGCAAGATATATAAATAACGAAGACGACCCCTTCTATTTCAATATTGCCTTAGTGTATAATCTATCCGAGTTAGACATAGCTTCAGGTGGTTTAAATGAAACCTACTGTATCTCGGTAAAACTTAGTAAAAGCTACTATATCGCTTTGATGCCCTTAGTAGCTATAACCTATAAAGTCGGTTATTCACACAAGAGAGCCAAACAGTAACAGTCCCATCACGCCAATAACAGCTATCGAAATTTTGGCACCTTTCACGAACCCTGAGCTATTAGACCATGATACAGGGCTTTTGGTAGTTAAAGAACTCAAAGTTGTAGTTCTTTAAAATGGTTGTACTCGTAGAAGTAGTGGCGTTCGCTCTAGATTGTACTAGGCTTGGCTTGCTTCAGATGCCGTCATGAGACATTTAGCCAGCTCACCGACAGTCTGGTCTATTGAAAGGCAGTAGTAATTGTACCCGCCATTAGATGTGACAGAAGCTTAAAGAGCAAACTTGTCATGATGACGAAGGATTTCCTATATGCCACTAGCATAGCGCATGCGGGCTTTGGGTCTGGAATTCGTAAAGTTCTGCTAAGCAGCCAGAAGTGGTATTTGCTGCAGTTGTCATATTGAATCAGTGAATCGCCAAAGTAGGACGAGCTAATGACTTGGACGGGGCCGGGGCGATGAGAAGAGGATGAGGCTTACAGCTAACACCCAGAATTGAGCACTTACGTATATATACATGCTCCAGCATTTGGAATTAGCCTCACTTGAAGAGTACCTGATCTTGGCTGGCCCGCAGGATATGAATTTCTACTGTTTGGCTGGCGCCACTTTATTGATCCGCCTGCATCATTGCCTCAGTCGAGGACTAGCTGGGTATTAGGCTGTCAATGGCCTCTAAACCCTTTCAAATACCTTTCGCTATCAGATGGAGCTGAGAGATACTTCTCACTGTAACTTGTTGAGCTCAGAAAGTGTAATTAGTCTAAGGTCTAAGTGATATTCGTGAAAAGTTCAATGAGGATCACCAAGACTATTAAGGTCGCAATTCAGCGAAATTTTCCAAGTAGTCGAGCGGTCTTCCCGGTACTAGGTGGAGCTCAATAAAGTATCGGTTGATTCCGAAATATCAAGACAACGATAACCCGTATTACGTGTGCTTGAGAACACTACCTATCGTAGAGCGTCATACTGATGGACCATTAGTCAGCGGTATAGGGAGATCTCTCCTTGCCCCTACCCGGGGCGATGGTAAAGCCCGTAGCTTTAAATATTCGTGGATTTTACCTCTCCGACGGACTGATATTATGCACCTGTCCATAATACCTTGAGAAGCAGTCAAAAGTTCTTCAAACTCGATGGTGTGCTCATTCTTGGGAAAACCAGAGGCAAGATTAAATTCTTAGCCACGTTACTAAGCTCAACATCCAAATCAGGGCCTCGGGGAAAGACCGGGATCTGTTCCCCGACTTCCACCTATTTTCTAGACGTTCTCCACAAGGAACTAAACGGACCCACTCCTCAACAATTGTGCTCGCAGTTTCATCATTATTTGTTCGTAGAGTCTGTTTAAGTATCAAATGCGCGGTTGGTACCAGCCTAAGTACATCGCTCATTGTCCGTAAGAACCTTCAAGTCCTTTACGTTGATCACCTTGGCTGCCGTGTTGGTAGCTGATTGAGGTCAAAAAAACAAGGCGTGGCTGGGGATGTCTCAGACAAGTCATTTGAAGGGAAAGTGGGTGCAGATATGTCAGAGATAGTCAGGGGAATGGGAATGGGACGAGAAACAGCCAGGCACAAGGAGAAATATCACTTCCGGTGAGATCTGCAAAGATTGTGGAAATATCCCTCCAGACTATTAATAAACATTCCCTTTTTATTGGAGCGTCTTCACAACATACGCTGATATCATATGAGCTTGCGAAACACAGGTACGTAAAACTCCGTATCCACATGTGCAGCATTTGCTATCAAAACGAGCCAAACCTCGCCGTGATAACTTATTTCTTAAGCACGGTGGTGCTGATTGACAAGAAAGGATCTAAACCTTGCTAAATAAGACTGGGAGCTGTCAAAATACGCGCTCATTGTGGCTTGAAGAAGGTTGTAGAGGGTTCACGTCTTAATTCCATGAGGACCTGAATAGAGTTTGACAGAGCCACTAGCAAGGTTCCAATGTCACTAGCTTACGGAGTGGTGGTATATTCTTATTCATAGACGAGTGTATCAGTATCTCGTACCCACCAGACTTCCTGAGGCTCAGACACTTGCGTATGCCGATCCAGAATATCCCCAATCGGCCGAAACTATAGGCCCGTTCCTCTTATCTCGTCTCCCTCGTGTGTTTGGGGCTCTAGATTGAAGTCTATAAAGGCTCACCCTAGGTAGAGTCGAAATTGTAGAATCACACTCAAACAACTCCTCTTCAACCTCTCCCAGAGAAATTTCCTACTATGCGCTTCTCCTCTCTGTTGGCGTCAGCCAGCCTGGCTTTCGTGGTCACTGCCCACCCCGGACCCCATGCTACACCCTCCGATGCTGAAATGGCTCACAAGGCCAAACTCTCCGGCCGTTGTGCGCAGCATGTCGCTCGTTTCAACGAAAAGCGTTGGAAAAGAGACCTCGGGCATATTGGAAACACGACTGTCCAGATCCAAACGCAAGCCCCCGTTTACGAGGCTCTGCAAAACGACACCTGTGTCCTCACCCCTGAGGTCACTGCAGGTCCATACTACTGGCCGCGGTCTCAGACCCTTCGGCAGGATATGACAGAGGATCAGGTGGGAGTGCCCCTGTGGCTGGACATTGGAGTCATGGATATGGCCACCTGTAGCCCTTTAGAGGGCGTGATGGTCGATTTTTGGCACTGCAATGCAACGGGAAGCTACTCTAGCTTCACTAAGCTGTCTCCTAATATCAAGTTTCCCAAACTCCTTGCTGAGGAGGGCAAGAACATCTCGGACTTTGTTGTCGGCAGCACGGACATTCATACCGACTCCGAAACTTGGCTTCGGGGCATGTGGCCAACCGATGAGCACGGAATGATGCAGATGAAGACTATATTCCCGGGTGTGTTTAAATAATCTTATGCGATTCCAGATGAGAGAGGTTCTTCTCAGCTAACATCCCATACCAATAGGTTTCTACATTGAGAGAGCTATCCATATCCATGTCCAAGTGCACACCGACTGGACCACCCGCGAAAACGGAACTTTGGTCTTCGAGAATACAGTTAGCACCGGACAACTGTACTTCGATGAAGAGCTGGAAGAAAAGATCATGGCAATGGAGCCTTACTCCTCCCATACTCAGATTAAACGCACCCGCAATGCTGTGGACATGGAGTTTTCGAAAGGTACTAAGAATTTTTACAACCCAGTTGTCTCGGTCGTGCCTCTCGATGAGAACAATCTTTCGAAAGGCTTGGTTGGGTACATCACAATTGGGGTGGATACTTCGGCCATTGAGGATGAGCATTGGTCTGCATCATGAGAGCCTTCTAGGGGAGGAGGGACGGGATCCAGGATTTTCGGAAGCGTTTAAGTATCCTCACCTTGAGTACGCCGGAAACTACATCATGCGCCCTGCACTAATGATGATGATGCTATACTATCGCTGCCTCGGAAATAGCGGTCTGTTCGAATTTTTTTCTATATGGACATTCATCCACAAGCGGCTTTTCCTCCGCCTGTACGCAAGTCCACATTTAGTCTTTGTTAATTAGAAACAAGTCCTCTCGGCTAACCTGGTCGTCTCTTTTCTTTTACTAAACCCATTGCTTCTTAATGCCGTTTTGATTTCCTACTGTCGGCACCTCTTCTATGCTAGTGCAGCCTGCATGGACCGGCGTAAATTGCCCAAGTTCAAACGTCTGTGGTAATAAATTAGAGCTTGCACCAAGCACGTTCAATCCTCAGCGCAAGATATTCGGAAAAGGAAGAGAAAATATAGTCAAAGCAAAGGTTATCTGCCTTGGCAGTGACTTTAAATGACGTAACAATACAGAATAGTACAGAGTCTAGGTCAAGCTTTCTCCATCTTTGATTGTACGCGTGTTTCCAAAATTACTCTTTTGGTTAAAGTTCAATTCAGTTGGGAGATTTATGCGGATTATTAAAACCCTCACACATCGACCCTTTGTCAGAGCAAGCTTCGTAGATGGTAACACGATTCTCGGAAGAACTGTATCGATGAATCAGCTTGACAGCCAGGCCCATCTACTCTTTGACTCGCGCCTCGCTCTTACGAAGCAAGCTCTTCTGTTCTTCAAACGGCAGTATGTCAATGTGAAACGCACTTTGTCAGAGGATCTCCAGCGACGAAGGCCAGGCACATTTTCCTCGAATCGATTAGAGAAAATTATATTTTGCCGGCTTAATATGAAATTTATCTCGTTCGTACTGCCTAGTCTAACCTCTATTATTGAATTGAAACGGGAATTAAACTATCGCGGACATATATCGAGGAGAACTGCTCTGAAAGTTCGCCTTTCGAATGAAATGGCTTATGTTTGCAGTAGCTTCCCAAGTTTGGCTGGGCTATAATCATCTAAATGAGACTTGCAATGTATTCCGTTTTGTAATACCCGATAAAGCGGTGTTTGCGATGGAAACACGCTTGATCTGCTCACTGCCAAAAGCCATGTGCTAGCATAGTGGTCGACAGACAATAGATGCGGTAAGAACGTGAGAAACTTTGGGTGGCCTACTTAGTTGGGAAGTACGTTATATGCTCATTCTCATTTATAGGGTTTAATACCGTATCATATGGTTAGAGAGCCCTTGGGGAAATTGGTATGAAAGCAAATCCAGTATTTGCTCATCCATGAATTTTTCTGCAAAGTCATCCGTCTGCGGGCCCTTCATTCCATTTGAAGTCTCAACTGCTTTCTCTTCACCTACATTTGGTTGAAGACTTCGCTTAAATGGCTCTCATCAGAACCTTCATAGTTTGCTCTTTTATTAGACTCCTAAACCAAATCTTTTGTGGTTAGCTAGATGAAAAGCATCCCTCGACCAAAAAAAGGATGCTGCACCATCTAATTTTCTTTTCCCTGATGGCGATAGGACGTTGCCTATTTTGTCCTAGGTCTTGGTATATAATAAGAAGGAAGTATTTATTACTTTATTTAGCCTTAATATTGTAAAATAGACTCTAGCGCGGAAGCTACGTAGAGTAGTAACTTGATTTCGAATGTTATGAGACAGGGCCATTGCTATTTCTAGCCCCGACATGTAATAATGAAAGGACCCAAGATGTATTAGCTTGTGTTCCAGGGGAGCTTAGTGACGCCTGTGTACTCGAATGGAACGTTCCCATTAGTGGAGACGACGGTGATCAGTCACCTGTACGTTGAAAGTCGTCCAATCTAACCATCTAAATTTGTGGAGTAAAGATTGCCTCGGTTTCAAAAATGCTTTTATATTCCCCGGAAAACCCCCAAGGCTTCTCCGAGCCGGATAATTATGTGTTTGGGCTAGGCATAAGCCGCACCGAGAATATAATAACTACCAAGCAGACGAGGTTTTTAAATTAGTGTGTCTCATTGTGAAACAGCCGTGTAGTGGTGGTACATTATTACAGCATCGAGTCACTCAGTGGCACTTTCGAGATTCGTGAAATGTTTATAATACCTTTGACGCAGCTATCCAGCCTCAAAAGAGGTGAGGCCCTTTCAAACCCCCGTACTGTACAATATGACATTATATCCTGAAGCCAGGGGTGGAATGGTTATGCTGATGCGGGGTCTAGGCCCGCCAGGAGGCATTGTCGTGCCCGATGTACGATTCATCAGGTAAATGCGCCAACCCCTTAGGGTGTTTCAGAGCAAGTTAACCTTGCCATGCTAGTCAAGACCCACACCAAACTTTATTACTTGTACAGTATGATATTTTCCGCGTTTCAAAGATCAGGCTCCACGATGCTTAGTCCGATAAGATGCAGGAAGGGGTGTCCGTAAAGTATAAATTGTGGCCGAGCCAGCGTTGTCAGAGAAAGGTCAAGCCTTATATAAAGTATATAAGCCAGTCAATACCAGCTGCCAAACTCCCAAGTGCCTGTTACGCACGTCTGACTTTTCAATCCCTTTGTTTTCCCTTAGCGACTTCCTACCCACGTCAGGCGCAAGCATCACAATGAGATTTTCAAAGACTCATGCCGGCCTATTCTTGCTTGCATCAGTGCGTGAGGTCGCAGCAGTCTGCGACCTTCCCTCAACGTACAGTTGGTCATCAACTAGTGCGCTAGCAAGTCCCAAGTCGGGATGGGCGGCGCTCAAAGACTTTACCAGCGTGGTTTACAATGGCCAGCATCTCGTGTATGCATCGACCGCTGATACAGCCGGCAACTATGGCTCGATGAGCTTTGGACTCTTTTCAGACTGGTCTGATATGGCGTCGACGACTCAAAACGCAATGAGCAATGGAGCTGTTGCGCCAACGCTGTTCTACTTCAGGCCGAATGACACCTGGGTTCTAGCCTACCAATGGGGATCGACCACATTCTCCTACCGTACATCAAGTGATCCCACTAACGCCAATGGATGGTCATCCGAGCAGGCGCTTTTCTCTGGAAGCATCTCTGACAGCAGTACCGGTTGTATCGACCAGACTGTTATTGGCGATGATGAAAATATGTACCTCTTCTTTGCGGGAGATAATGGCAAAATTTATCGGGCCGTTATGTCGATTGACGATTTCCCAAGTGATTTTGGCACAGACTCAGAGGTGGTCCTAAGTGACACTTCTAACAACCTGTTTGAAGCAGTCCAGGTGTACACTGTCAAGGACCAAAGCAGATACCTCATGATTGTCGAGGCCATTGGGTCGAATGGGCGGTATTTCCGCTCGTTCACGGCCGACAGTCTGGGCGGTTCGTGGGAAGCACAAGCGACAAGCGAGAGCCAACCCTTTGCTGGAAAGGCCAACAGTGGCGCCACTTGGACAAATGATATCAGCCATGGGGATCTGATTCGCAGCAATTCTGATCAAACAATGACTATCGATCCATGCAATCTGCAATTTCTTTACCAAGGAAGAAGCCCGAGCGCCAGCAGCGACTACGACACTCTACCTTATAGGCCGGGTGTGCTAACACTGCTGCAGTAGAGCGGATGCTAGATTTTGTTTATATTCACTGAGACCTGGCCATTGATCATAAACACATGGAGTCCCACAACATGCGTCAACCCTACCTTTTTCAGTTCTGACAAAATCAACCAGGGCTTTTTTGCCTAACTGGACTGGTTGAGCTTTCCCGCTGTATTTTTCGTATTACTTAGCCCACGATATGCATTGCCTAGAGAGATATCATATTTATCGCCGAGTTTGTCACTGGTTTGGCTTTTTGGAGATTACCACGATCTATGTAATATAAGACTAATTTTGGTCAGATTTGATCATGATCCTAGCGCTCCATTGTGCAGTGTTTCTTAACAGAACCCCGGCCTAGATTGAACGGCGACCGGGTTGTATCCGGATATGTCTTGATCTTCAGTCCGTGCAAGTCCAATTGTGACTTGGAACAACTTCGGGCGATCAGGGTGTAAGATACAACGAAAACAGCACCCTCGATGAGTCACAACTCCAAGAAACTAGTTAGTACTTCATTCCATCCAGACTTCCGAGGACAGCAACACCCTCGGGTTCATCGAAGACATCTACCAACGGCGAGAGAACTCTATAAGTATCCGCAGACTCAACACTGCGTGGACGATGGCGAGAAATGACCTGGGTCGCTTCAGGTTGAGTGCCCCATTCTAAGACCCTTGTAGCTCCGAAAATTGTCGGACTCGGCAAATGTGGCCCGTCAAAAGTGAGAAGAAGCAAGTCCGACATTCTCAGCGAGCCCCCGAACGAATGTTGCCCTATGCTTGGTTGATTCACAGGGTCGAATTACCCAAACGAACCTCCTCGAGACTTCAATAAGGGGCTTAGGTCTAGTTGAAGATATACAATCTGAAGCTGGCAAAATGGCTAAGGGCCTGAGTCCCATTAAGCTCAATGGAAAGAACGAAAATCGACCAAACTTGCAAGTGAGATAAATGAAATTAATACCAAGGCTACCCTGTTGATGGAAATTAACTTCTCCGGATAAATACAGAAAAAATCAAGAAAGTTCAGGATTCTGTGGCAACTTGTTCAGTTACGGTTTGGCCATCCTAAAGGAGGTATGTAACAATGTTCAGCAAAAAAAGCCTAATCAAATTTTCTGCCTCTCCCAGGCCCACCTTCTACAGAGAGATTAAACAGTAAACATGAGAAGGGAAGAAACCCAATATCAACCAACACGAAGCTCTCTGGAGGACACCCGACCGGACGCGTGTCCCAGGGCAAGCGTATTAGATTTATCGTGCGCGGTAGTTAACAACCAGCTATCCATACCAAAAGACAGTGATAGGACGTCTAAAGAATCAAACCGGCCTTCCTGAACATCTCGAAAGTCTCCAGCCAGCCCTGGGCCGGATCTTTATCCACTTCAAATCCAGATTCCTTCAATTTTTTCAAGCTCATTTGACGGTCAAAAGTCAGCCAGTATCCCACGCTGTCCAACTGCCGATTACCAGCCCCCACTCCTCTACTGACAGCATTTGGACATCCATTCTTTGCGAATGCGTCTCTATACTTGGCCACATACTCTCCGGGCGTCATAGAAGTGTCTTGAGGAAGCTCGCCAGCCTTGAAAGTATTGTCTTGGGCTTGCGAGGTCTCAGCGGGTCCCTTGCCCACCAGGCCGAACCACTTTGCCAGTCGGAGCCACAGTTCGCCATACTTGCATGGCACCTCGTTATCTGCAATATTGAATAGCTGACCACTGCCACACTTTTTAGGGTGCATCGAGGCATAAATCATGAAGCGGGCAATCGTTTTGCTGGAAGCCGGCGAGAACAGCGAGTTGGCGGATGCTATGTTGCCAGGGAAAGATACCTCGACCAGAGCTGATTTGGTATTTTGCACACCTGGTCCAATGCTATGGTTATATGCATACAAGGAGAGGTACTGAGCCCAGTGTAGAGCTAGGCTGAACTGAGAGCCGTTGGGGGTGAAGCCAATCTTGGGCAATGTTAGTTTCACCGAAGGTTGTTCAAGTGCTTTGGACTCACGATCGCATCCGGACAAACTTCGCACCAAGTCCATTTCTTTCCTTCGCTCGCTGTATTGAGAAGCTTGCGATACTCCGTATAGACAACAGTCTTGGCGTAGTCAGACGGGAGATTGTTCACCATATCCTCCTGCAAAGGAGGTGTAAATATGCCACCGGGGGCATAGATGCCATATCCCTGATTCATTAGTGTAAGTCCTTAAGGTACGTTTGTCAGTTTACTTGCCCTCGTCCCCCCGGGAAATGCCACAAACTCCAATCTGGGACTAAGCAAGCTGTGTGCATCGATGACATTCCGAAACATCTGACGATTGGTTGCGACCTCCTCGAGGTTATCATCGACTGCGGTGAAAACTTTCGAGAATAAGCTTCGATATGTACAAATACTAAAGGTATAACTTACCCAAGTAATAGACATGAGTAACGCTTTCAATGTCCACCTTTGTTTTCAACGAATTTGCCAACGCAGCTCCGTCACCGTGACGAAGGTCAACACCTGAGACAAGCTGCAATGCTGGTGTTTGGTGGTCCGCCTCGGGCCAATACATCTCAGATAGATCAATTGGCCGGTTTGTGACTGCAGTGACTTTAGAGAAGGTGCCAGCCTGGGGATAAAGACTTAAAAGCTGATCCACTAGGGCCCATCCGATAATACCGGATGCACCGTAGACGATTGCATGCTTCGAGTCTTCGCTCATTTTGGATTCCAATATTCATAGGTTTGAAAAAATAAATAAAGTAAAGTAAGCCAAACTATCAGGAATCTTTACGAATATGAAGATTTTAAATCAATCAATCCTTACGTAAGTGCGTTCCATTTGATAACTAACCGTGGAGCCTGAGGCACTATGAGTCATGTTGAATCATGATGATCCTCAAATTAAAGTATGGAGAAATCGAAAACACTCGTAGAATTATTTTCCTACTCTTGAATGATCTGGGTCTCGCTTGTATTTTGGGGCTCTGCCGGATGTAAGATAGGTGGATCGGCGTACGCCTGGGCCAAGGCACATTGGGGAAGGGTCAAAGTCAGATTAACTCTGCTTAGCGTATGTCTCTGAATGTTCCGAATTATGGAACGCAATAGACCCTGGGTACATTGATATAACGCAATCGTGTACTTTATTCTTCCCTCATCTTTGTATATCCTGCTAGATCACATCTTAAGAGGCAGTTCGATCAAGTAAAAAGCCTTATATTGGGGCCTGTCTTGGATATAACAGCTCTATTGAAACATTTTGTAGCAATTGCCACCGGACGAAAAACAGACATACATATCACACTAAGCGACCTATCATAGTGCTTGTCTCACGCCCCCCAACCTAGCTGAGTCGATACACCACTTCTCCAGTCTTCCAGCCAGGCAATAAACTTTCGTCTCTAAACATGTATATATGCAGATAACTAGATAGAAGAAACATACTCAACGACAGGCTCCTACGGCCTCCACTTCCTCTCCGTTCCTGAAAACGCAGTAGAGTAAGCAAATCCCCACCGCGGCCCGAGCCCCACTAACAAATCCGATCAGCATCGTCTTCGTGCACGGAGCGGCAATCGCGAAACGACATGGACACACAAGTCCTCAGGTATCTTCTGGCCAAAATATCTACTACCAGATGAAATCCGAGCGCGCGCATCATGACCTTCGGCTACGATGCTGATATCGTCTCTGCGCTTGGTGTCGTGGAGCAAAATACCCTACGATCATGGGAAGTCTCTTGCGCAAGATCTAGCGATGAGGAATAGAACCTGATCTGTGGGTTCCTCCCATTCTCATCATCCACTATCCGGCACTTCATCTTTGGATAATATAAACGATCTAGTTAACATGTCAATAGAATACCCGGCCACTTATCTTCGTCGACCATAGCCTTAGAGGCCTCGTGACAGAACAAGCACTCCTAATATCCCGCGGCAGACCACGGCAATACGTAAAAGATCTTCTCCAATCTACAATCGGGATCATGTTTATGGGAACCCCGCACATGGGCGCGGATAAAGCGCACTGGATAACGCCGCTGGCGCGCCTTGGGAATATACTTCTCGGCGATACGAATACGAAGATCGTACAGGTCCTCCAGCCTATGTCGAAGATGCTGCAGAATCTGCAAGAGGAGTTTCACCTTATCCTTGATGATATTAGACGGAATCAGCCCGGGAATACTATTGAGATCTTTTGTTTCTATGAGAAGTTGGAAGCTAAGAGGTTGAGAGACAAGGTTTGTTTTTTTTAACAAATGGTGCTGGTAATTGCCAGAGAAGCAAATTCTAATAATTGGATGTGTAACAGGTTGTCCCTGATTGCTCTGCTATCTTGTCCGACTATGGGAATCGAAGTATCTATGCGAAGCATATGGTAATGACTAAGTCTAGCAACGCGAAAGATCCTGGATTCGTCTCTGTCAGTGACCAGCTTTGGACTTGGACGAATGTGCCTGAGAAACAGGCAGCTTCGGTTCCTGTACAGAATGGAAGGCAATACCCAGATGGTGGCCCAGAACACCCATATCTGATTGACTCAGGCGGTGGTCCGATTTTCCAGGGAAACCAGACCGCCGGTCGGAATATAAATATCAACACCCTATATCGTCGATGATTTGATTGGGTCTAAGGAAACGTGCGAATTAAGAGTACTTACGTTCATGAAGAGTACCATTACTATGAGCCGGACACAAAGAATACTGAGAATGCAACGCTGTAAATACACCAACTATGTCTGTCCACATTGTTTGTTTTCAGGAAAAAGAATTTGTATGCATGAAAAGGAATAATAGGCATAAACTCGTCATAAGTATATAAGCATGTGATGTGATTACTCGATACGCGGCGGACTTCGTGATTTGCCTTTGCCCATCGGACTGAGACTTGTGCTGTAGCCATAAGTTAGTAATGTCTCAAAGAATGAATGAGTGCTTCAAGTTGACTTAAATACTTACGATCGTCGTCGCTCGCCTTCCTTCCGGAACCCTTCAATCACCTTCGCCATCTCCTTCCGACTCGCACTCGCATCAATCTTCCGTCCACCTAGACTCATACTCACCTTCTCATGAGCGCTCGCCATGAGGAGGCGTTTCAGGAGTAGGTGGCGCATGTTCATGCAGACAAAGACACCACAATCACTGCCCCCGTCTTGCTGGGGCGAGTCATTCAAATGTAGAAACCGGAATGGCATGTTCAAGAGGGCTCCGAATTTACGAGTCACGGTATCCGCCTCCCAGACGTTTCCTTGGTATAGAGAGTCATAGTGGAACGCAATGCGGTCGACGATCGAGATCAAAAGTAGAGACCAATGCGAGCCGCCTTCGGCCTGTGTGACATTTCGACAGTCATTTATTGGGAGGAAGACGTGCGTGGCCTTGGTGAAATCTGGGAGGGCCTCGCGGAGGGTGCGGGGATCGGGAGTCTGGAGGATCATGAAGGACATGCTAGGGCGGAGGAGGATGATGTTGGAGGATTTGTATTTGGTGAGGAATTCATGTTCGAGATATCTGGAAGAACCGGTTATCAGCGCTGGGTTTGATTTCGGTTGAGTGCGAGGTCGTTTGATGGTGGGACTTACTCTTCCCAGAATGAAATGATCTGTGATTGATTAGCTTCGGGTATCTATGAAGGTATTTCTCGTTATCAACCCACATTATCTGTGAGCCAGTCGTTCTTGAGGGTTTGCATATCCTCTCGTGTCACTAAACGACTTGTCAGCTGCTGGGATTGGGTTCTGGGAACGGAAGGGCTCATACACCGGACATCGTAGTCTGTGAGATCGCAGAAGCCACTCGTTAGTATACCATGCCTTGGACAGCAATATCGTGTCCGGGAACTCACAACTCAGGAATGCATCATCGGGATTTAACTGTATTTGTTAGCCATTGACTCGCGGGTCGAAACACCATTGCGACGGAAGCCTTGACTCACACTATCACCAAACCGACCCCTCATCCTCTTCTGCAGTTTGCCTAACCCGCCGTCAAGCATCTTGGAGATACACTTATAGCCTCAGATTCAAGAGAGACGTCAATGAGGCAAAAAAGTGCCACCAAGAGAAGTAGTCACTGAGGCGAAATCCAAGCCCGCCAAGATCAAGACGCGCAATACGAGCCCAGGTTCCCAAATCAATTGTCCAAGACCAAAGCACAAGCACGTTCAAGTCGGTAGTCTGTAGTCTGCAGGCAGTATCCGAGGAACCCCACCAACATTAGATGTAGCGAGCGTGGTGGCGAGAAGTCGGCGTCGGGTAACGGCAATCAGCGGCGACGACTCGCAAGACCCGTTCTGCAGTGACCGAGTGGGGACCGGAAGACGTTCCGGATTGGATGAGAGGGATCGGAGTAGAAGGCCGTCAGCCTTATGTGGCAGGAATGAGACGAGAAAGCGCGCGATATACAGATCTTGCGATGGAAGGCTCGATTTCACAATTAGTTCTTGCCGAGGTGTAGGGCTGAGATCGCGTTCTTGGCTCTGCGCCGGTGAAGTTGGCTCGGGGAGGGAGGTTGACGGATCCGGGGGATGATGAGAGGAGTTAAAAGGGGAGTTAAAAGAGGGGCATCGTTGAGACTCGGAATTTGCAACTCGACTCAGGCACAGAAGGAAGGATTCCTGTTTCATTTCGGGACGGTCAGGCTTCTGCGTCACATGTGGCTTGATCACGTGTGAGGAATGTCAATCATGGGTTTGAGTATACAATCGATCAACATTGGAATGTGTCTACGCACGTCATGTATCATGGGATTGTTGCGGCTACGTGGAACAAGGTAACTGCGAAAATATATCGTTCATAAACGGGGGTATCTAAACGTACATCTGGTTCCCTTAACGGGAAAGATCCAGGAAAAAACCATGCGACAAAGAAAGGGCAGCGAGCATAACAGCAGCTCCGGTCGGAAGCCACAAAAAAGAACCAACCATCAACGAAGAGCTATGCAGGTCATCAATGGACCTAGAGCAACACGCCAAGGACATGAATTAGAGGGAGGGGTGAGCGAAATCTAGGACGATCCCACAGCGACTTTCTAGGTCGAGAGTTTCGCGAAATGGCGCGTCCAGATCCAGCCGATCTGACGGGTGGGATCGTCTTGGTTCCGTGCTAGCCACAACTCGCCCTTTTCGCCGACGACGTCAAAGATGTCACCGGTGTCGTAGATCAGGTAGGGATAACCCGCCTCGCGACGCGACCGGTCGATATTGAACTCGTAGAGACTGGCCACGTGAAAAAGGACGGTGGGTTCCACGGGCGCGGCTTCTAGAGCGACACCACCGTCGCTGGGTGTGTCAGACATCGGCATCGCCGACGAGAAGAAGTTAGAGTAGCGGCTAGCTGGAGGAGTGGGGGCTGCTCGCCGACGGGGTCAACGCTTGATGGAGCGTTGATCACGTCGGCGAGGAAGGGGGTATCCAGACTAAGCCTGGGGAGGCTGGGGAACGACTCTGCTTCCATTGAGGGTCGCGAGTTGGTGCCAAGGGAGTTGGTCACCTGTTGCAGTAACTGACTGCGTCCCAGGTCTGGAGTGTTGAGGGGTTCGGGCTGGGCGCGCCCAGAGAATGATGACTCGGCCCGAGTGCGGGCACCGGAGTGACTAGACATACGAGGAGACTGGAATAGTTGGCTGGTTCCGTATTCATAAGACACCTTAGGTGAATCTTCAGCAAAGGAGTGCGGGCGAGGGTTGGAGCTGGTAGTTGTCGACGGACGACGCGAGTTGACATCCTTGGTGGACGGGGTATTGAAATTCACCAGGTTGACAGTTTCGGCCATGAGAGAACCATTGCAAATACCAAGGGAGAGGACCTGGGCTTCTGAGAACGAGAAGTCACTGTTCCAGTCACTGACCAACTTTTGCATGTCATCCGGGAAGATCTCCACAAAAGGTGCGACCTTCTGCTGCAAGATAGTCCACCAGGTGAGTTGAATGTCGGCTAGGTTTTGCAGACAGGCTTGACCGAATTTGGAAGACAATGCGAAAAGTCTGGGCAGTTCATCCTTGAGGGTCTCATTCAAAGCGATGAATTGCTCGCCCTGCTCGGTGGTCTTCTTGTCGGGCTTCTCTCCACGCTCCATGATCGACTTGTAGCGTCCATAATCCAATAGGCGCTTTTGTCGCTTCTTCATCACGCGCTCCGGTCCAGTGTATAGCGAGATCACTTTCGAGGTGGGATCAATGCAAGATTTCATGACCACGTCAATCTAAGAATTTTGTTAGGCCCATTCTTCGGGAGATCTGTTGGGAGGATACCCACATGTTCAGGCAAGGCGTAAGTGATAATATCTCGAACAGTTATCCTGAACTGGCGCCACTTGCTCTCCAGCTCCGGGTAGGGAGAGTTGTGCACGTCGAGGAAGGCCTCAATAGATGTCGCAAGTTCATTGAACTGGATCATCCACCTCTTCGTAGACTCAACATAATCCTGCACATCCCGAACAACCAGCTGCAACTGGATGAATTGTTCGGCAAACTTTTCGGCAAGGGCGTCGTACTCCTTGTCCTCGTACATATCAGACAATCCAACTTGCTGGCGCAGTTTCTCAGTACGGCGACCAAAGGCCTTAGACAGACCCGTTCGCACATCGGACTGGTTGCGCTTGCGACCCACAACTTGAGTAACAAGATCAGCTCGCTTTTTCATCTCATTGATACGAATAGAAATATTGGTCACTTCTAGAAGAGCTGAAGACAGAGTCGCACGGTCGGGATGTTCTTCGGGGGTGGATTCCAGCAGATCCGCGAGAAGAAGAGGATACTTCAAGATCCGTTGTACAGGCTTGACAAGCAATGAGTCCAAATCCCAGGCGCTTGTGAGATCCGAAGCCCAATCGCGACACTCTTTGAGCCAAATAGCAACCTTAGGGTTGTGCTGCAGAAGTTGCAGTTTCTTGTTGGCGGCATCGTGATTCCTCAAGTACTCGGTGTACACCTTCTCCATTTGAGTCATGTGGGTCACGAATGCCGCACCAATGTTTGTGGCACGGTCTTTCTCGACATTTGTTATGTCGCCTTCCCCATCAGGCTGTTCATCTGCCACAGCTTGAGGGTTTCGAGTGTTGCGCCTGCTTGCCCAGCGCTGAGAGCGCGGCATAACATAGACACTCCGTGCAGCTTTCTTCAGTGCATCTTGGAGGCTCATAGAGAACTGAACGATTTGGTCGGAGTTCCCGAAGAGAACCTTCACATCATCCACGGAAAGATCCAAGCAAGAGCTAGACGTACCCTTATAAATGTCATCGACAACCTTCATATCCCGACCAAACGTATATTCAGTATCAACGAGCTCTTTGATGATGTGGCGTCGCTTCTTCAGATGGCGCTGTTCGGGAGAAGGTGATTTCTTCGGTTCCACAAGGGCGGGATGTTCGAAGGACGGAGCAAGCGAGGTAGCTGATGAGCCCGCAGCTCGAGGGGACTGGGTAGATTCGACGCGCTGGAATGACGAGTCGGCGCTGCTTGCAGTACTGAGCGTAGGATCACGGAGGGTCGGAACTCGGCCCGAAACTGAAAGAGGCGCCTGAATGGTCTGGGATTCCTCGCTGGCACTTTCGACAGTCTCCCCGGATAGTTCTACAGGTCGGCGCTGGAGCTCGTATGCTGCTTGACGATTGAGGGACACTCCAAGGCCCGTAGTCGGATCATTAGAACCCTCCAGTTCAGCGACAGGATTCATCAAGCGCGGTGTGGGGGTAGGTGCACCGTCATTGATAAACTCAGGTTTGTCATAAGCTGGTGTGACATCTTCATCTTCCGCGGCAACATGCATCCAGTCCATAATGGACGGAGAAGCATTTTCCCAGTCTTCGCGGCCGACCAGACTTGCACCATGAGAAAGACGCTCATGACTGGGCTTCTCCACAAATCTGGGAACAACGACTCCGTCGTCTGTGAAACCATCGACCTGACCGTGGCCACGGGTGTCCACTTCAAGCGAGCTGTAATCGTGAGGAGCACGCGTGGTAGAAAGAGGAACATTGGAGTTGTTCCTACCCCGGGTTAATTCCTCAAGATAGAGCTGAGTCGCACGACGCGAGTCCCATCTGCCTTGCTTGGCCAGGCTCGGAGGAGTAGAGAATACGGTGGAGGATTGCATCTGTGGCGTATTTTTGAGGGATTCAGGGCCCATCACTCCGATATCCTGGATCGGATCACCATTTTCTGACGGGGCCCTTGTTGAAGCAGCTGAACATGACTGAGTGGGTGGCTCCTCTTGTCCTGGCTGGGATATCCGGAGAGCCAGATCATCACCGCTCTCGTCGCACTCATCGTCGCATGTACAGTTTTGATTATGCACTGAAGAGGACCAGGAGCTTAAACTCCATCTGGTCTGATGTTGAGCGGCTTGCGAGTGTCGCGCAAGCTGGCGTGGCTCTTCCGTATCCGTTGTGCTTGCGGAGTTGTAGTAGGTCGTATCACGGAGCATGATCTGAATCGATTGTTTTTCATCAGTCTCTGACATGCTACATTCCGGTTCGTCGCACGAGTCGCTGTCACTGGATTCGCGAATTTTCATAATATGGTTCAACAAAGTCCGATGATCAGCGCTGGGTTTCCGCTCGATCAAGTCAGATTGAGGTTCAATGTCAAAGTGCGTGGTATGGGTCTCATCGGAGCTCGCGGTGACAGCTGAGTCTGGCACGTTATCGCACAATTCCCGATGACGTCCATCTGGAATTCCCAGAGTGGGAGAATCCATATCGGTCCGAGGCGCATCGTTGCTTGGGGGGTCGACAACGGTAATCAAATTCATTTGAGGTAGATTGCGGTGCACGTTGTCATCACCGACAGTTTCGGTCGACTCTTTGACGACAGTCGCCATTTCAACAGGCGGTGGGGTAAGATTTACCGCCGTAGCGAGTGTTAAGGTCGTCTCATCCGATGGAGACTGAACGTCGTCACCAGCTTCAAGCAATTGAGATTTTCTTCGTCGAATTTCTGCAGCCTCTTCTTCTTTTCGCTCATTCTCCTGGACGGTCCGATTGAATGCTTGTTGGATCCTTTGTCGCCGAGTTTCAAAATCAACATTGCCTAATTCGGGAATTCGGCGTTGTCGATGCCGGGGGTTGCGAGCCTCGGTATCACGATCAGCGGACTTTTGCAATGACGAAATTCGATCACCGACTCTGGAACGTGGCGAGATCGGAGCACCGTGAGACACCGGCTGTCGAGGTCGGGAGCTGCGTAATGGCGGAGATTTCTTTGGGGGAGGTACGGAAATGTAGGCCTGAAGATGCTGGTTCCGTTCGGGTACCTGAGGACGGGTTCGGCCAACTGTCATATCCCGCCTGCCACGAGTTGTTATCGCAAACAAGGCGGGATCATTTTCCTTCATGCGGGGTGGACTATCCTTCAATGACGGTTTAGGAAGGCGACTAGAACCCTTTGGGGGTAAAGGAATGGCATTCGAGCGGCTGCTGAATGTCGGGTTGTTGGCGGTTGGTGACAGGCTCTCGAAGCCGGAAGCAGTGACAAGACGGTGCGAGGAGACAGGAATGCGGGACTTGGAATCCGGGCTATCTGGCGACCCATCACCGGGCTTTGCTAACTGCAAGGGTACTGAAACAGCCATGTCAAGTTCCCAAGGGTCAGCAAGGGGCTCCCTCTGAGAGTTTGTAGATAAATCACTCTGCACTCTGCGATGTCCGTTCATGCGCTGATGTGCGGTGTTTGCGGCGCTCACGGCTTCAAGAGAACCGGCCTGTCCGAGATACCACGCAGTTGGGGTCAATGGCGACCGAGCAAGGGGCAGATCAGATTGCTCAGCAAACGCTGGATTGGGACTTGGGATACCGCCGTCCGAGCCACGACGTCTCAGATGGGCTGGAATACCGTGTCCCAAGTTATTGAACTGGGTGTTGAGGGAGAGAAGTTCGCCAAACAATAGCCGCCGAGGGTGAGAGATGGGTATCCGCTCGACGAGAGGTGGTGGTATTATGGCGCTCGTTTCCGGCAATCTTTCGTCGTCGGGCGAGGCTGGCGTAGAGTCAAGTTGCGGTCTTGACTTATTTGTCACGGAGATCGGAGGCCGCGAGTCGCGCAATTGACGACGAGGCGCGAAGCGTGAATGATCACCGTCGACACTAGCGGCGGGGCTCGCAGCTCGTGAAGCTGTTCGTGACGCGGAGAGAGGTGGGAAGACCTGGTCGGACTTCTGCTCGAACTTGCTGACGAGGTCTTTGATGGATGTATTTCGGGATCTGGTGGAAGTGAAGTTCGAGGATACAAAGGCTGAGGGACCTCCCAGCGTTGGCGAATCCGAGGTGGAACGGTAGGTCGGCCGTCTAGTGCGCGGGGGATCAAGTACGTTTGCTGGCAGGGATGACACTCTGTCATTCGGGTTGCGATAGCCCGCCATGCTGTTACTGGCGCCCGTTGTCACATTGCCGAGATCGCTCGTCGCATTGGCATCTAACTCGTCTGGCTGGCGATAGAAGTCGTCCGGGTCTGGAGACTCGTGCCCAGAGGCCTTGGATTGGCCGCTCGGAGAAAGGTAATTTGTGGAGGGAGACAGAGAAGGATCGACGCCCAATGGGGGTGACGAATACGTGGATTCTGCGAGAGTCGCAAGGGAAGAGTAGGGTACAATCGGTGAGACCTCAAATGGTGAAGAGTTGTCGCCCGGGGATTGGCTCTCGGGAGCTGACAGTTGACGCCCAAACGGAGACGGCCTGTAGTTCCGGGCGGTAATATCATGCTCGAGGCCGCTGCCAGACATTTTGCATGCTTCAGGCCAACGTGGACTGGCCGCGGTGCTCTCGGACGAGAGTGGGTTGGCTATGCGTTGTTCCGGATGCACGCCCAACGGGGAAGTCGCAGTTATTCGGCCGGTTCAGGCTACAGAGCAATCCCGGGGTAGCGCACCCCCATTCAGCAGCATATTCGACGGGGCTGGAACAGGGTCAAGGTTGAATGTGAGTACGAAAGAGCAGGTACGAAAGATGGGGAAGACGAGATCGGCGGAAGAAGAACGGAAGAAAGCAGGAAAAGCAGGGACAGCGAATGAAAGTGCGTAGGGAATCGGCGCTGACGTTTGTTCGGCGTCTAGCAGCAGTGGGTTCTGATAGGCGACGGGGCGAAGCGGGCCAGATCGTTAGCCGGGCTGAACTGGGGCGATCGCAAATGTGATAGAGATGACGGTTGAGAGACGAGAGATGAGAGATGAGAGATGAGAGTTGAGAGTTGAGATACGAGAATGTACAGAGAGAGCGGAGCGAGGTGTCGATTTTAGGGGGAAATTGTATGCGCTCAAATGGAGACTCGGCAACTCCAGACTGTCGCGGGGTGAAACCGTGGAATCGTAGAATCGGTGGAGAAGAATCGAAGAGTCCTTTTGGAGGTTGGAGGTCCGATTTCTTTGACGATCCGTGCTTCATTCATCCGTCCGCCTTTTTACGATCATACACAATTCGGCACTCGGCATACGGTATGTTTCAGGCTCTTGTCATCGAGTACAATCGTCAGATTTCAAGAATCAGAATTTAATGTTCAGGAACATAACTTCCCCTGCCTGAAAAACATGGAACAGGCTGACGCAGTGGAGACGCAATCCAGTCTCAACGGCCTTTCTAGACCGCAGCCCCGTTCCGTGGGTCACAACACCCAATTTCCGGCACATTTTGCTCTCATTTTAGACTTGATTACCGGGGTACGTAGGTAGATGAATTGGATTTTTTTGGCCAACAATGGAGATTTAGAATTGTGACTATTGTTGATACTGTTGGCATTAATACTGGTGCTATTACTGGTACTGTTCCTGATGCTGTTGTTTGCTCTCGTTACCTCCAGGGCTTCGGCCCGCTCCCTATCAACCTCGACGCGTCTCCTCCATCTCGTCACTGCCATTTAAACATGGGCAAGAAGCGCAAAAGACCCGGCAAAGCTGTCCGTCAGGGTCCGGCCCCGTCCCGGCCTAGTAATTCTGCATCGTCCCGTCGTTTCAAATCCCCCAAGGCCCCAGACACGCGAAACGGTCAAACCACCCACCCAGTGATCTCGCTGTACTACCGAGAGCTCCTTACCCTGCGCCAGTATCTCCTTACTCATCTCCCGGTGTCTTCAAAGCTACGCCGCCGGCGCATCGCGTCGCTAGCGAGCTCAACTGCCGAGCCCACCTCATCATTAGCCCACCTGCTCGACTCCACCCTGGTCGGCGTCTTGAAACAATCGACTCCGAAGGTCGACTCCGAACGCCAGCGCGACTATCGCGCCTTCACCCAGTCCCAATCACGGTCGATCCTCGTCAGCACGGACACCGGACCAACCTCGCCCCAATCCGAGGTAGGATCGTGATCACCGAGCCCAAGGTTTCAGTTGACTGATGTCCGCGAGTAGGTGGTGGACTTTGCCATAGAGTCTCTTTTTAGAAAGGCTGGGTACCAAAGACCGGAACACTTGCTCACACATGGCTTCCGTCGCCCGGCGGTTGGTCAAAATGCCGTGGATATGATTCCCGGGGTTGTGGCTCAATTCCCGAATCATAATGTTCGCATCCTGAAGGAAGCGCCATGGGCCGATGTCCTGGGCCTGCTGGGTCAGAGCGGTGACGAGATCATGATACGCCTGTTGTTTGACTGCGGTATCTTTGCTCCTATTGACGCACGAAGGGGTGTCTACTTTCAATTAAGTGGTATGTCCGTAGACTGCTGGATCGGATAATGGAGTTGCTCATAATTTCCAGGACTGCCGCTGTCAGGACTTCAGCAAATCGGCGATTCGCATTCAAAGGTTGAGGCCTCCAATCAAACGTCAGGCGCAAAAAAGAGTAGTCATGTGCACAGCCTTCGTGAGGCTCGAGGCCCGAACAGCATCATTCTACTCCGTCGCCGCATGCTCTACAGCAAAACCGCCGGCCCGTCAAAGGGAAATGCACCCTTTGGACTGGGGGTTACGCGTAGGTCTACTGAAACAAAAATGTTTTCTTCTATACTAATCCCCTTTTCTAGATGTCTTCAACCGATGTTCTTCGCTCGACTCATCGGCACAGACAGTGCACGTGATGAAATACATATTTCCTCGAGAATTTGGCCTCAATAATGTTTTCACCGTATCGGCAGATTCTAACAGCAGTGTGGATATGCTCTCAAATCACAATCGTCGCGAGAGTGAAATAGCACGAGATGATGAACAAAGAAGACAAAGGCGCTGTCAATCCAGTGGTGATCAATTGCGGGCGGAGCTAGGAGGAAACCTCTCAGAGAAAGTACCGAAGCGACTCCGTGGAAAGGCTATGGAGTTGATCAGTAGGCTCCGATTGAATCATGCTCGGTGCTCGTATGGTGAACTTTTGAAATACTATTGTCCCGACGTGAGTTTCCCTCCTAAACCCGTTCTCACACCGGAGCTAATATGAACAGCCTACTGGGCCATGGAAATTAGGTGTTGCTGCCTCTCCAGTAAAAGCGGCAGCCAAACCCGACAAGCCGGGGTCTTCCTTGGAATACAGCTTGGTAACACAGCTGCAAGCCAAATCACCGCTTTCCAGTCGATTGGCGAAAAGTCCCCACAGTGGCTCATCACCACAGGACGTGTCTAGTGACGAGAAAGAAGAAGAAAAAAAGTGCCATTCACGAGTCAAGCAACCCAAGCTGAGCTTGATTGATTATGCGACCCCTGCCTCTTCCGTTTCCGCGTTCTGTCGTGCTGTTCTCCAGAAGTTGATACCTCACACCTTTTTCGGGGACGGGCCGCACCGTGTAAGCAATCGCAGAATCGTGCTGAAACACGTCGATTCTCTGATCAAAATGCGAAGATATGAGAGCCTAAGTCTGCATCAAGTGTGCAAGGGCCTAAAGGTATATCTTTTTCTAGGCTTCAGTCCGTTCGCAACATTTTGCTGACCCGGCATAACACAGGTCACTGCTATTCCATGGCTGGTGCCTCCAAAATTGGACTTGGCTAAAGGAACGACTACGAAAATCTCTATGTCTGATTTCCAAAAACGCATTCAGCTCTTGCATGAATTCATTTTCTTCGTTTTCGATTCTGTTGTGATTCCTCTTGTCCGGGCAAATTTTTACGTCACCGAGTCCCAAACTCACCGATATCACCTCTTCTATTTCCGCCATGATGTATGGCAACGCCTGACAGAGCAACCTCTCGCCGAATTGAAAGCAACCATGTTTGAGGAGCTTGAGCCGAAGAAGGCTAATCGTATGCTGGCCAGGCGTTCTCTTGGCTACGGCTCGCTGCGCCTGCTTCCAAAGGCTACCGGCTTACGACCTATCTTGAACTTGCGACGCCGAGTAGTCAAAGGAGCAGATTGGCGGGGGAAGAAGTTTGCGACCAGCATTAACTCCACCATCACGCCCATATACAACATGTTGACATATGAGCGACAGCAAGCGCCCGTAAAACTGGGTGCATCCATATCTTCGGTAGGAGACATGCATCCACGGTTGAAGGGGTTCAAGGTGCAATTGACTCAGCAACTGCCTTTATCGTCCGTCAAGGCCTTCGGTGAGCTACCTCGGCTCTACTTTGTCAAACTCGATATCCAAGCTTGCTTCGACACCATTCCGCAGCAGAGACTATTGCGACTCGTTGAAGAGCTGGTCTCTCAAGAAACCTACCATATCACCAAACATGTGGAGATTAATCCCCGTAGCATCGACCCACGGGGATACCCCAGTCGCAAGTTTGCAGCACGTGCAGCCCCCGTCACCAAGCAACAGCATCTGGCAGATATTGTCGCTAGTGGAGCTCACCCACGAAAGCCGAATACTGTCTTTGTTGATACCGTCAGCCAGAGGGTGCAGAGCGCCGAAGAGCTGCTAGACCTTCTTGATGAACACGTGCGCAACAACTTAGTCAAGATGGGAAGGGAATTCTACCGTCAGCGCAGTGGTATTCCACAGGGCTCTGTTCTTTCCAGTCTTCTATGCAATTTCTTTTACGCCGAGCTAGAACGCACCGTGCTAGGATTTCTGCAACCTTCAGAGTCATTACTTATGCGACTCATTGATGACTTTCTTCTTATCACCACCAACCCCAAACAAGCAACACAATTCTTGCAGGTCATGCTTCGTGGTCAGCCAACATATGGTGTCACCGTTAATCCAACCAAAAGTATGGCCAACTTTACAGCTGCAGTCGATGGCATTCACATCCCCCGATTGGAGGGAACATCGCTTTTCCCCTACTGTGGATGTCTGATTGACACTCACACGCTTGAACTCCACCAGGATCGCGACCGGATGCTTGATGGCGGTGAATCTGCCGCCGTCAACCTCTCAAATGCTCTGACTGTGGAGATGAACCGCCTTCCGGGTCGCACGTTTACACGTAAAGTCCTGACAACATTCCGACTGCAGATGCATCAGATGTATCTCGACGAGGCCCATAATTCGCGCACTACAGTGCTCGCCAACCTCTACACCAGTCTGATTGCGTCGGCTATGAAAATGTACCGGTACATGAAATCCCTGCGCGGGCGCGCCCATCCCGAGCCACCGATCATCGTCCAGACTATTCATGCATTGATTATGCAAACGATCAATATGATTCACGCTCGCCGTGCATCTAGCACCGCGCCCTTAAAATGCTTCGTTCAGCTGTCACATGTACAGTACCTGACTGCCGCCGCCTATCGGTTTGTGCTGAAGCGCAAACAAACACGATATGCGCCGGTCCTGCGCTGGTTAGACTTGGTCGGGAAAGAGTCGCGACCCCGGGCAAACGGAGAAGCTGTACGGATGATGCAAGTAGTCAAGCGCGGGGATATCCTCTTTGAAGGATGGCGCTTCTAGAAAGAAGAAAGCCAAGACCATGTACCAAAATGATCTACGCTGAACCCGGACAAAGCAAAATACGAGAGTAGTGGATCATAGCTGTGCAGACCGCGGATCGGCCGGCAGTGGTCGGACACCCGAGTGGGTGGTCCGATTGAATCAAACTGCTGGGTCAGGGGAGTCCCAGGTGCCAATCTGATCGAATGATACACAATGGGGAAAACAGCGTTTCTCGATCTAAACAAGAATGGCACACGATCGGCGCAGTCCGTGATACCTGTATGTACATAATCTGCCATAATAAGTGCAGCGGTGTAGAAGTACCTGTGAGTACCACCGAGCGAGCCCCTGTTCTCGGCCAGACCGCGCCTGAGGCTCCGCTTGCGATTTCAACTTTCTTCGATCTCCAACGTCGTTTTCAGGTTTCATAGTCACTCCTTTTGCGTTCTCTGTTTTTGACCTACCTTCTTCCGTCTTTTCAGTTCATCTTTCAATTCTCTCTTTCGTCTTTTCGTCCCCTCGTTTCGCTTCTCGTCCTATCGCTCACCCGCTGATCCCGCCTCCTGATCCTCTTTATCTTCACTTTTTTGACCTTTGCACCTCCTGATCTGGCTATCACCAAGCTGCGGCTGAGCCGGCACTTCGCTTCTTCACCTTTATCGATTTCGTTATTGTGTTTCCCTTTTCCACGAGTCGTCTATCCCTCGCCTCGCGACCGACCCGAGCCTTGCGTGCGATCTCCAAGACCCCCTTCCGCCCACCTCTCGACGATTCTTACCCCATCGCGCGAGGTTGAATGCTTGATTCAGTGGAGGACAATCGTTTTTGAGAAAGTGACTGCATGAGATCATGACAACCGTCTACCCGACCCCCAACTCCCCGCCCGAGTTGTCGGGATCGAAATCGTCCAAGTCCTCCTCCTTCCATTCCTCTCAGATCGACGACCCCGACAGTGTCTTTACGGATATTGGCAACTTCGAAGATATCGGTCTCGGAGATGACTCTGAAATCGCCATGGTCGATCCCGCGACTACCCCCTATGGACGTACCCTGACATCGCGGGCGACCGCGGGCAGACTGCCCAACAAGAGCCCTGCGACCACAACTCGCGATTTGACTGCAACCCCGAAGCCTCGCAAACGAAGTCCTCTTCCTCCTCCGCTCCATAGCCAGATCAATGGTGCCATGAGGACCCCGCAGTCGGCGGGCTCCCTCTCCACCAGATCCGGGAGCAGAAGAGACTCTGGAAGTACGATCAATTCAGGAGGCCTGACACCGGTACAATCTCGCCGGTCACGTTCAACATCACCGCTGCGACCAATATCCAGTCGATCCGCCTCGAGCACCAGCTTGGCCCTATCTCCGCTCTCCGCACGGGTCCCCATGCAGAAGCAGAACTGGCAACAAAGCCGCAAGTCGCTCAAGGAACTTGAGGACGAATACCACGACTCGGATGACGAACTGCCCGACGATGCCAGTCTATGGAATATCCCCATTTCTCCCCGCCCAGTGCAGGATCGTCCTCAATCGCGCGCTCCCAGCCCGAGTGGCCGGAGTCCAGGCCCACGACCATTGCCGATTTCCCACACCATTTCAGAATCTACAAACAATCCGAATCCACCCAACGGCTCCTCCTCCAAGGCTGCACGCATGAGGAGAGCGCAGCGGTCGAGTTCTGCTGGTCCTGAACGCGGCCAGCTCTCCCCGCGGAACCCTCGCGCCTATTCATACAATAGCTATCTTTCAGATTTGTCTGAAGAGGCCAAAATTATTACCGAGGCATTGGAGCACCATGCGGATGAAAGTGAGCGCCAGCAGGAGGAAAACATACAAAACGGCGTTTTGCGGAAATCAAGCTCGGACTCGTCCCGGTCCTCGCAAGAGCCAGTTGAATTGCCGCCTTTACAGAAATCAAATATTATGATCGATCCGTTACCGATTAGCAAGGAGAAGGAGAAGGTCCTTACTCGCACACGCCCGAGCTGGCTCCCGCCGAAAGATCAAAAGGAAGAGAAAAAGCACCTGAAGGAATACAAGCTAATGATGGCTCAGTCGCGAGAAGCTGAGAAGCGCAAAGCTGCCCGAGCTGCCTCCGAACAGTGTGAGAAGGATACTACCCGAACTGCCCTCCAAAACATCTGGGATGACTTTGTAGGCCCCAACTGGGACCGTGCTCTGCGCGAGCCGCGGACACGGGAGCTTTGGTGGCGTGGAATTCCGCCTAGAAATCGGGGCGATATGTGGAAGCGTGCCATTGGCAATGAGCTGGAGCTCAGCGAGGAAACCTACAATAAAGCGTTACAACGCGCCAAGGATCTTCGATCCAAGAAAGAGGAGCCAACTGAGACTAACAAACGATTGCTGGACTGCTTTGAAGCCATTGACGGGGATGTGGTCAAGGCCTTCCCCGACTTGAACCTTTTCCAGGAGGGTGGCCCATTACGGGAAACCCTCATTGATGTTCTTCAGGCCTATTGCATGTATCGCAGTGACGTGGGCTACATATATGGTCTTCACACTATCGCTGCTCTGCTTGTCCTGCAATTCCCAACTCCAAGCTCTGCTTTCCTCTCAATGGCTAATGCGCTGAATCGGCCATTGCCTGTTGCCTTCCTCACCTGGGACCGCGGGGCCATGGCACGCACCTATACCCTGGCATCCGAAACGCTACGGTACAAGTTCGGCCGGCTTTACCAGCACCTCTCCGAAACCATTTGTCTCTCCGACGAGGAAATCTGGGAACCGATCTTCCGCTCCCTGCTCACCAACGGTCTCGATCTCGAGCGCATCTCTCGAGTCTGGGACTGCTGGGTTTTCGAAGGCGACCGCATCATGATCCGTTCTGCAGTCGCCGTCCTCGGCTCTCTGCAAGCCCAGCTGTTTACATTCCAGCAGCCGGATGACCAAACCCGCATTAACGTGCGCAATATCCTAGGCTGGGGCCCTCGACATCTCGGCGCGAATAACCAGAAACCAAAGGAACGTCACAGTGCCCCGGCTGCAGCAGGGTTCGGCGGTGGCCAGGTTTCCAATCCCGAAGATGTCGATTATTGGATTCTCACTGCAGCAGGCAACGAAGACGGCTTCATGGCTGCTGTAAGGGAAGCCGGAAAAGTGCGACAATAGCCCACTTTGGACATGGCATGAGACATGTCCTCTGCATAATGCCATCTCATCTATATTGCATACTTGCATCAATCTACCACCTCTCGCTTATCTTCTTTCAACGCGCCTCCATCTCTCATTCAGGCACAAACCACCCCATCAATGAGCCTTTTGCCTTGACACCTTTGACTTACCCTGGGGAGCCCCATCATGCACACTGTTTCGTTCTGTATGACCTTGACTAATGACTGTGGTTTACCCTGAACACCTCACGCTCGTCTATTGTCTATTGTCTTCTACTTGACTCGGTACACCGTGATCATCTCATTCGCTTTACGTTAGTCTTTATTTGCGTCTTGTTGTTTGGCATTCTCCTTGGTTTCCTTTTCTTATTTCTCAATATTGTATTAAAACTATGGTCCGAAGATGCATTTCCTTTTTGGTTTCGGTAGTCGTACACGCAATCTAGACCACATGAAGCCCATATAACTGGACAGCAAATATATTGGCCATAATTTTATATGACGCTAGAATCCCCCAAGTCAATCGGATAGTAGGGACGTAAATGACAGGCGACTTTGTCATTTCCAGGCCTCTTGTATACGAAATTCCAGCAACTGTACGTCAATAAATAGGCTTCTTTTCCCAAAAACAGTCTCACGTCTCACCATCTCCACTTCATCGCGATCTACTGCGAGCACCAAGGGCAGACGCTCATTGGGGGAATACTCCATATGTTGGGGTCTCTGAAATGCACTAATTTTTGAGACCGTTCTCATCAAATTTCCACCTCCCTGGACTTACCCGAGCAAGAGGTCTCCAAGTCACAAGAAGAGATGACGGTGTCCTGGAACGCACAAATCATTGGCTATGAATAACCTCAGTAGGCACTAAAATTGGCTCCTAGAGAATTACACTTATTACTACGAAGAAAACTTGGAACCCGATGTTGCGTATATAGTTCTAGCTTGTACTTGCGAAGCTATGCGGTACTTTCTGGATTCCTCCAATACTTTTACGACAAAATGATCAAAGCAGCCGGCTTTAAGGCTCTCCTCCCACGAGGCATTCCCAATTTGATGATAGATTCAGCTTGCAATGATGAATAGCGCTCTCAGACGATGTTAATGAGGGTCCTCGTTGATTTACACTGACAATATGTTTCGTCACTTTCCTGACAAGCCTAGCCCGCGATAGTGTTTTGGCAGCCCTTCAGGAAGTTATCGAACCGATCAAAGATTGGCTGAGCAACTGATAAATACTTTTTTTATTAGAGCGTCATATGACTGGCCCTGATTACTATTGAAATTATCTGACCACAGAGTTGACCCCATAAATCTGATCGCAATCAACCCAGTCGGGAGGCGATGAAATCTGAGTCCAGATCAAATCGACTCCGAGGTCAGAACTCGTCGTAGGGATGAGGGGAGGCTAGAACAACTTTTGACTCCACTCAAAGCTGTGACCTGTGAGCAGCTTATGGGTTTTTGTCGAAAGCATCTCGTTAGTTTTATATTTTGACTCAATTTGGTATTCTAGATACTTTTATCACGAGGAGTCTGTCCCTCTTTTTCTTGCTACATGAAAAAGTTCTACAGTGCATATTGAAAGTTCTGGATCTAATCCATACATTGTCAGCACTTCTCTAATGTATACAAGTCCAGGATCCGCAAGTTGACATCAAATTGCGGGTAACATGATTCTTTTGATTATGTTGCTAGCGTATCCCGGGCGTGACCTAAATAGCGCCCGACAGGCTTCGCCCAAAGCAAATTTGACGCACCCTTGCACAAAAAATGATTGTTCAAAACGAGCGTAGTGTGAGTGCGTCCGCATGCGCGGACGTTTGACGAATGTCCGACTGAGTGCCATATACGGCGACGGTCGTGGCAGTTAGTGTGATGAACTAATGTCAAAAATACCCCATTAGTGACCGACGAGTAGGCCGGAGTTAAAATCAATTGATGGGGATGAGAGATATTTAGGACTGGATTTGTAGATGTTGATTGTTTTAGGATTATATTATTTAAAGCTGTCGTCTTGGCATACACTAGCTCGCATGGCTTAGTTGGTAAAGCGCGTGACTAGTAATCACGAGATCCTCGGTTCAAATCCGAGTGCGAGCAATCTCTTTTTTGCATCCGAGATTCTTTTACTAGTCATAATTAGACGCAGTGCAACTCAGATGACACCTGAGGATTTTGTATGTAAAGCGGTTTAAATTGGCAACTTCAAGTTGTGATGAATTTGTCCAAATTGACATATTTTTGGTCTTCGGAGAACTGTCTAGAAACATTGAAAATGTCGAAAAGACCGTGAGAGCAACTCCTAGCCTTATTTGCGTTATCTCCCTAGTCCAGCTGTGACTGTCAAACTACGAATCTCGTTCGACAAAGGTGGATGGGGGACTTCGGGGCTGTCATTGCGGCTTTGATTCTAAATGCCGGCGTTTCTACTATTTCCAAGTTTGGATTATACTCTAATAATGTTTCAGGAAATGTCTTCTGCATATGTGAGTTGTGTAGAAGTATGCCCTTTTCAAGAGGTGATCGGTCTAGTTCAAGTAGACAAGGTTGTCCGAAAAAACCCCTCTAGATCTTCCCAATCACCGAGGCACAAGACCGTCGCTCTCGTATAGACTAGAACCTTGGAAGAAAAGATTGCTTAGATAACAGGAATGTTAGATGCCAACGGCTTGATTTAGGTCCATCGATCGATCTACATCGATAAACATGATGAGCCTGTCATGGTAAGGGTGGTGCTAGCCGTAAAGCCCAGGAATGGATGCCATCCAATCAAGTTCCTGACTGCTCTCATTTCCGTAGAAAATTGATTAGAGATCTGGTTTCATGGTCTCGTGCCCGGTTTCCAAAGTGGCGAACACGAGCATTCCTCCCGATCGTGCAATTGGCTCTGACGTCAACCATACTATGCTGCATCAATTGCATGACAACTTTATTCCGACGGATCTGTACAAAATAGAAGTCGCTGGCAGGTAGCTTGCTAAGTTTCCACAATTCAATTAACACATATTCTTCGCTTGTTACTACTACAGCATCAAAGTCTACAACATCAAAAATGGCTACAACAATCACCAACGGTCGCGCAAATGCGCTGCGGTACGTCACCCAGAAATACAGAATATGATTACGGACCATCTCCTAACGAGTTGTTCCTCTTATAGGTCTCGAAACATAGCACTCGTCAGCATGGTCGCTGTCGTCACATCAGGCTGGCTACTTTTCCGCGCCCAGTCCCCGAATGGCAAAGATGTTTTATATAGTGAGAAAGAGAAGCAGATGATGCAGGGCAGGTCAGGGTCAGGGGCTATTGCCCGGGCGCCATCGCGAGAGAGGGTAGAGAAGTCTTGAGGATGGATTGAAAGCTGTATGTATGGATTGAAACGGCGGCGCCACCAAAAACAAGTTACGTTGCACGTACTGGAGTTATCGAATTGAATCACTTATATATGGGTTACGATGGGTTTGAGAAAGGCCCTGAAGCGTTCTCGATAGACTACTCCCGCAAGTAATGCCCGGGATGAAGCACGGAATCTGAAAACCGTCGCTAAGCAAAGCAATGCAGCTTACAAGCGCCTCCCCGTAGCAGTCTTAATATGTGAGACGGATAGCTCAGCGAATGGCGAATATACGAGTGCCTTCATTAATAGAAAGTGTTAGAAAGTGTTTGAGAATTGTGAGAGTACGAGTTAACATAAAGCTTGAGATTAGTAAGGTCTTGTATAGCGGAAAGCCTATGCAGGACGTCAGCAAATCAAAACAACCTGGTCAAGGCATGAAGATGACCAAATGTATACCCTCGACAGGGGATTCTGAAAGTGGGAGAGTGGGGGCTTTCGACATTCATCAACAGTGTGATTCTGGCGCGAGCCCTCGAGCAGAACTGTGCGGTAGTGTTTTGTCATGGTGGTGGCGATGGTGATGAATAATTTGGTTCGAGTCAGATCACGTCGGTTTAAGAAAAGAGCGATCCTAAGACTGGGGGGTAAGCAACACGTATGTGTCGTTGAGGTGGATATGTAAAATTCTCTGGAGGATGCAGAGGATGTAGGGAGTATTCGCAAAGTTATCAAGAGTCCGGGATGGTATAGAGGAAGGATCAAGTAGCGAAATTGGATATTGACGAGTGATCAGTGTAGAGATGGACGAAAAGTCTACCTTGGGCTGTGAAGACTAGAGAACTGATGAAAAGCTACCGGACGAAGATTCCCGAGGCTGAGAGACCCAACATCAGAACACGAAGTGCTTTTAATTAAGTAGTCTGCTCACGACAAGATAGCATCAACCGGGCTAAACTCACGCCATCGTCAGAAGTGCACAATTGGCCAGACCGGGACTGAAAAGGCATGAACAGGAATTCTACGGTCAAGTGGACATTTAAGCCGATCAACTATGCTTAATGGATACGATCGAACACGAGCCAAGCTAAGCTAAATCAAAAATAACTCAATGTCACTCTAAGCCCCTGATCCAAGACAGGACCCTTGAAATTGCAGCCATAAACGACATCTCCGATTATTATTTTTTGGCCCTTGTGGATCTTGGCCGAAGCCAAACCAAAATGGGAAAACTGACCCAATAGCGCCGTAAATGCACCCAATCACCGGTCCTGATTACCAGGTCGTGCTTTCTGGGCAGAATCATATCATAGGCACCAGTTCCGCGCTAAGAGTTGAGGCTTAGGTCCCGTTGAACAGGTAACGGCGTTTCGCCTGGAGACACGGCGATTGGCCGAACCCACGAGCACGCCTCAACCACGCGGGCACTCAATTCAGTCTTAGTCTCGACTTCAAGAGCCTCGCTGCCTTGACATAGCCCCGCTTGCCAATTACAAAACTCTGGTGCTGGACCCTGAGTTGCATGTTCTTACCTTTCACTTCTAACCGCCGGCGCCATGGGTCGGTCGCCCATACACTGGGCTGTCCCGGCTGCATTATGGTTTATGGTACTGTCGCTCGCAGTAGCCATCTCACTCCCCACTGAACGGCTTTCGCGGCGCGAATTGCCGTTCGAAAAGGCGGTATCCACAATCCAGACCCGAGACACCGAAAAGTTCCTTCTGAGGATCATGCCTCTTGGCGCGTCGATCACATTGGGATACAAATCCACGGATGGCAATGGTTATCGAGAACACATCCGCCAGCAGCTCCGCTATGAAGGCTGGGAAGTTGACATGGTCGGAAGCAAAGAGAATGGCACAATGTACAACAATGTGTGTTACCCCTCTACCGAAAAGAGTCGAACAAGATCTAATCTATTCCAGCATCACGAGGGTCACATCGGCTTTAGAATCGACCAGATCGCAGAGGTCGTTGATAAGACCATCCCCAAGCAACCAAACCTAATCCTCATCAAGTACTTAACCCATCCACCCCCTCAAAAGCAAAAGAGATACTAACCCCGCTAGCGCGGGCACAAACGACGCTATTCAAAAATATAACGTCTACTCCGCTGGCACACGCATGAATAGCCTAATGACCAAGCTGTTCAACGAAATCGATGGTACAACAATTATTCTCTCAACACTGCTCCCAAACAAAAAGGAGCCCAAGCTAGTAAAAGCAATCAACGAACAATACCGCACTCTCGCCGCATTCTGGCGCGCCAAGAACGGTCGTGTCGTTCTCGCCGATATGGACTCCTTCATCAAGGAAGATCAGCTGGTTGATGGAATCCATCCTGATGATTATGGATACAAGGAGATGGCGTCTGTATGGTGGGCGGCTATCCAAGTCGCGATTGCTGAGAATCTGCTTCAGGAGGCGAGTGACACGGCTGTTAATGGGACTATCAGTAAGGCTTTCGAGAAGAGCCTTGATGGGAATAATAGCTTAGCCGATCCGGATTTACCTGCCTATTCGGCGAAGGCGCAACCAGTGTTGAATGGCGGTGTTTCTGATCGAGGCTTGGGCCTGGTCTGGATGGTCTGTTTGCAGGTTGGGGTCGGGCTGGTCGTGATGACATTATGATGAAACGGTGTGGGGTTTGTATAGGATATAGCTTACTCTTGTATTTTGTACAAAGAATATTCGAATAGACGCATGGTGCACTACTTGTTACAGCTGAGCTAGAGGGCGGTAAACTGCGGGCCTGTTTGACTGGTGCATGTGCATAGTGTCCACTACCCTAAATACACTCTTGTGTGCATACAAATCACTGCACCTACACTCACTGACCTGCACCCTCCACTCTTGTCCCCTGCCAAGATTCTTTCTTCTCCACATACGTATTATCCTCTCCATCGCTCATGTTTTCCTTCGTATTACTTCACTGCGTACTTCCTATCACCAAGTGCTTCCCGAATAGGAATGTTTCCATTCACTTCTAGCACTATTCGCAGCCCTATTTGGCTATAAGTGGGAACTCAGTAGAGCACCTTCTGTTTTCAGAGCGAAATGAATCGAATTGAATTGGTGGAACCAGTCCACGCCTCTATTATCTATAGAACTAAGTGAAACTCCAGCCAAAGACCATCTGTTCTTCAGAACATCAGAGCCACATGTAAAAGTGACTGCACGCTCAAAGATACGATCAGATATCACGGACTTGAATAAGCGCTGCAAGCAAAAAAACCACCTAACATAAAAACGCATGACACTTCATGACACTTCATGAGTCATTGTCTCTCTTGAGACTACACCAATCATCATCAGACAAGGAAACTCATTTTTACCACGATGCCCACGCAACAGGTCCCTTGGGGAATAACCGGACCAGCGCCTTACGAAGCTCGTCCATTGCGAGCACACCAAGGGCAAGGCCAAGCGGGATGAACCAGAACTCGATTGGGACCGAAGCCGTTCCGAAGATGGACTGGATGCCCGGGACCTCGGTGACGAAGATGGCGATGACGAGGGAGATGAGCATTGCGAGAGGAAGCCATGGGTTGCGACGCGCAGGACGGATAGGATCAGCTTGGAGGATGGACATGCGCTTGCTCCGGACAGAGAGGATATTTCCCCACTGCATGATGACCAGAGTGACAAAGTACACGCATTGACCGACGTTGTTGAAGTGCGTGAGCTGGTCTTCTGTGTATCCGTGGAAGCCGGCGGTGTAGCCCTCAAAAGCGAACACGAGGTCTGAGAAGGGGATGCCAGCGGCTTTCCACATGTAGAGGAAAAACATGGCATGGGCGCTGAAGGCTTCTATGACACCGACGAAGAGGTAGGATTGGCCGTAGATGCGGAGGTTGATGAGGTGGTCTTCTTTCGGGCGTCGAGGAGGGAGGCTCATGAGATCGAATTCTTCTTTTTCCATAATGAGAGAGAGGGAGAGGAAGAGATCGGTGAAGACACAGATAATGATCATGAGGAAGGAACTCAGGGGGGATGGAACGCCGAAGAAGACGTTCATCAATACGGGCCAGATCTCGGACCAGGAACCGGCCGGCAGGAGATAGGCGATGACCTTTTGCAGGTTCTGGAAGACCAGACGACCGAGGCGGATAGCTTCAATGATGGAATCGAACCGGTCGAGGAGGACCAGGTCGGCTGCTTCGATTGCGACGTCACTGCCGGAGCCGATGGCAACACCGACATTTGCTGCACGCAAAGCCGGGGCATCGTTGACGCCGTCACCTGTCACTGCAACGATATTGCCCTTTGCTTGGAGTTCGGTGACGATACGCAGCTTCTGTTCGGGACTGGTACGAGCAAAGACGACCTCTTCATATCCGCAGACAGTGGTCCACTCATCCTGAGTCAAGGAAGAGAGACTTGTTCCCTCAAGAAGCAAGCTATGACTTGAGCGGAGCGCCTTAGCTTCGTTGTCGTAATCACGTAAAGTATCAATGGTATCCGGCTCCATTGCGCCATCGTAGATACCAATATCCTTAGCAATTGCAGCGGCTGTAAGTCCAAAGTCACCAGTGACCATGAAGAACCGAATACCAGCACGACGGCACTGAGCGACAGTTTGGGCAGTCTCCGGCCTCGGTGGATCGATGATACCGAAAATACCAAGAACAGTCAGTTCCTGAACGCCCGAGGCCACGATCTCGTCACTGAAGCCGTTGGAGCCCGGTTCGCTGGTTGGTACATAGTGACGTTGACAAAGTACAATCACACGCTCGGCACGACGAGAAAGCTTCGCTTGGAAAGAAGAGAACTTTTGACGGGCTGCCTGGTCTAGCGGGCGCTCTGCATTGTGGACTGCAGACCAATAGGAGGAACAACGGTCCAAGAGAACATCGGGTGCACCCTTGACGTAGACGAGGTATCCTTTGTCGGCGGCAGGATCGCGATGCATGGTAAGCATCCACTTGTTCTTGGAGTTGAACGGGATTTGGTGAATGCGCTCATAGGACTCGAGGTTGTTCTGCGCAGTCGCACCGACACTGGCGGCGAGTCGTAGGACTGCAGCATCCGTAGCATTGCCGTTGACAGTGCGATCGTGTGCGGGCAGGTACATGGTATCAGCATCAAATGTAGCATCGTTGCAGAGGACTGATGCACGCATCAGGTTAGTTAGACTCTCGGGTGCTTCAGCACCGGCATGTAGGTCCTCAATTTGGAACTCCCAGTCAACCATGCCGACCGACTTGACAAACATGCGGTTTTGAGTCAAAGTTCCTGTCTTGTCGGAACAAATAACGTTCACACAACCAAGAGTCTCGACGGTTGCCAGGCCCTTGGGAAGAACATTGTTCTTCTTCATGCGCCGGGCAATCATCATGAGCGTCAAGGCAACACCGACTGGAACACCTTCGGGGATGAAGGCGACGACACAGCCCATGACATTGTTAAGCATAGCGACAACGCTCATGTAGGTAGGGTGATCCTTGCGGAGCCATCCAATCCAGGTGAACAGAATTAACAGTGCCAATGTGATAGTCATAGCGACAATGATAGTGACGAAGCGGTTGATCTCCTTCTGGATGAGAGTCGGTTTCTGTTTGACACCCGCCGTCATCTTGGCAATGCGGCCCATGACAGACCGAGTACCAGTGAGTACAACAACACCGGTGGCATTTCCATTGGTGACCAAAGTTCCCATCATGGCGATATTACGAGTCTCGAGAAAGTTTGCATCCGTCGCGTCGGTAGCACCGTCAACCTCGTCAGATTCTCCGGTCAGAATAGCACGATCAAAGCGAACGTCACCCGAGGTTGAGAGCAGACGCATATCAGCAGGGACTTTGTTCCCGACCATGATCTGAACAATATCACCAGTGACCAGCTCCGTTGCAGGGAGACGGGTCAGCTTCTCGTCACGCATCACCAAGGCCTCGGATGGTAGCAGACCCAAGATCGAATTCATCACCCTCTTTGTCGACCAATCTTGGAAAGCCGAGAAACTTGCTTGTAAAACGATGACAATGATGACCAAGACAGCCATGGCGAGGTTTGTAGCCGAGGGTGGGTTGCTGAGAGGTTTCCAACAGATGAAGAAAATGATCACACCAACCCACAAGATCGAACAGAATCCACCAAAGACGTAGAAGAAGATTTTCTTCCAATAGTTCTCGCTGTGACGCGCAATGACGTTCTTTCCATCCCGGGCGAGACGGTTGGCAGCTGACTCACTGCTCAGCCCAGTGCGCTGGTCGACATTGAACTCTTGTAACAGTTTCTCTTGAGTGATGGTATGGAAGTCGAGGCTCTCGAAGTAGTCTTGATCGGGTAGCTTCTCCCTGGGAGGCTCGACGATGACCTCTTTCGGGGCATTCTGAGACTCTGAGATCTGGATTGACAGGGTTCGGAACTCGATGGGGAAACCAGAATTTGCTGCCGTGGCAGTCTGGCTGCTGCTGCGGGTGCTTTGAATCGTATCCCGGCCGACAGAATGAGTGCGGGTGAACTGTGCCGGCTGGTAGATAGACCGCATCCCCTCTATATCAGTAGGGGCTGAGGAGTCCTTGAATGTGACGCGGGCGGCACGACCGATCTGATCATCATCATCTTCCGCCTCGACTTCGAGGTCGGGCGTGCCGTGAGGGATCTTGGAGTCCATTGTGTAGATAGCTGTGATAGATGCTCGAGAAATAGAGAAAGGAAGCCGGACAGCTAAACACCCAGGACGGACACGGCAGGAAGGAACAAGGACAGAAGAGTGAAGTGGACAGAAGAGATGTGTGCGACACCGGGCCTTATGTAGGTAGATCGGGGCCAGCTAGCTCGATCGAGTTGCTCAAACGAGTATCGCATTGGGAAGGTAAACGCCAAAGGCAAAAAGGCAATCTTCTTAGTCAAAAGAAACAATTGTTAGGGTTCGATGTCACATCGGAGCCACGCGATCCCCACGAGAAAAGCACATTTCTGGCAGGTACACGAGAAGTATACGAGCCGCTCATAGTTGGATCAGGTACCATCATTTGCCTAGGGAGATGAAAGCAGGTACCCACAGCTTCTACTAGGGAAATCGCGCATGACCGTTGATAATTGATATACAACGGTGACCGTTTTATTACGCCTAATACTTTCCCAGACCCAGTTACAACGCACGGATTGAAAACTATGACAATACATGACGCAGACGCTTTCGATCTAGCCCTAAATGCAGGCTATGGTTATTCGGACATTTCCTTAGAATCACCAGAGGCGCAGGCGAAGGAAAAATTCTATTACTATGGGCATCATGGCCAGAAAGAAATGGCGCATGCAATTTCAGCCATAGCCCACACCGAAAGCGTGGGCGGGACGCAGAGAAAATCGCCGGGTCATCATGCGCGATTTTTCCTCGCCACAGACTCTGCCGAACTACTCAATTCAGACGTGCGACTCTGCCATCCCACAGGCTCCCGCATTTCAATGAGAAAATTTTGTTTTTCTTTCCAAGCTCGCTAATAGCGGCCGACGATTTCATTCATCGTGAAAAATCGCTCGGCCGTGCGGTCATAGAGGAGATGCGACCATCGTGAGCGGTTTGCCGTGTCCAATCGCGGCATCTCCCACCATTACAGGTGCCGTATCCGATTCGATTCATTTTAGTAACTATTTCCTATGGCTTGAGGGTACCGGTGGTGCAGGGTCTCTCTTTCTCTTTGTCCTTTGTGTCTTCCATGGGGGAATTGTGTTACGAGGGATATACTTGTAGCCTGTACACCGCTAGAGAACTATGTCTATAAGAAACCTCCCCTTTCAATTGACATTATTTTGACTTTGCTTTTGCTTTTTCCTTAACTTCTCCTCCCGCTGCTATTTACCTGGGCATGAAGGACGGAAGTCACCACCAGGACACCTGGACAGCTTTCGCAGTGCATAGATCTGATCCCACTGCGGCCCATCACCACTACTTGACGCGTCGAAAGGGGTCTTTAGCAACACAAGATTTGAATGACACTTTTCCTAATGCAAAGCGCGGATGGCCTATCTTTGGCAATGAGCATCGTCCCAGCCTGACATCCGTCTCAACAGACCGTCAACCCTTAATGCGAGCGGAGACCTCATCATCTATGGAATCTCGACAGATCACCTCATCTCGCCCGCAACGCTCTTTCAATGACAAATATGGTCGGTGCCTTGAGATCTTACACTACGGCACCAAGACTACTGTCCGTCTTCACCAATACACGACCGAAGGGGGCCAACCACAGCGTCTCGTCGCTGTCAAAGTTTACCGACACAACATTATAGACTCTTCAAGCCCCCTGCCTTCTTCGTCCTGTGACCCTTCAACCATCGCCAACCTGCACCCTCATCACCCCAACATCCTCACGATAACCGACCTGCTCTACAATGAACGCTCCGAGCTCTGTCTTGTTATGCCTTACTGTGCAGGAGGCGATCTTCACGAACTCCTCGCCCGCACCGGTCCCCTACCAACACCCGAAGCCGACTGCATTGCCGCCCAGATTCTCCGTGCCCTAGACTTTCTCCACCAACAAGACATAGCACATCGTGATATCCGACTCGAAACAGTCCTATTGACCAAACATGGAGCTGTCAAATTAGCCGGCTTCGGAGATACCCATATTCAGCGCCTTTGGTCAGAATGCGCTACACCACCGGAGCCAGACGATGACCTGCCCGAACGCCCACATCCACATTCCTCGGCGTCTTGGTCCTTTTCCTGGATGCTCTCGTCTTTCTCTCGCTCCAGTCCACATTCACCACGACGTGCCTCTGCAGACTCAGTAAGCTCGTCGGCCTCGTTTCCCGGGATAAGTCTACCTTATATGCCCCCTGAAGGATTCCGTGTTCGATCACACCGCGCACATCGGCAAGATAGCGACGACGAAGGAGAATACCACGACCCCCGCCCAGCGGATATATGGGCTACCGCAATCATCTACCTGGCTTTAGTCACAGGTCGACTCTTGTGGCGCAGTGCGCGTCCGGACCGTGAAGATAATAGGTACACGGAGTACTTGCAGGGTCGCCATGCAGATGATGGATATCCGCCGATTGAGGCTCTGGGAAATGTAATGACCGACTCCATTCGTCCTGTGGGAAGAACGTCCGCTAACCAATGTGACAGAGACGACGAAATGCCATTTACGCAATGCTACACCCTAATCCACGGAAACGTATAACGACGAAGGATATGCTGCGGTCAGAATGGATGAGTGGCGTATCAGTATGCGAGGCTGGAGACAAGGGGTATTGACATATAATTGTTCGTATGTACTACTCTAATCCAAACAATTACAAGATTTGTCTATTCCTCCCGTAGACTAGATTACCCTCCGAGATAAGGATGTCGGCAACCAACTCCGACCGAACGAATAGTCTCTTGAAAAATCAGGTATATCTAGGCTCAATGTTCTTCCACGACATGCTTTAATTAGCCATTTCAGTAATACGACGAGTCCCGAGACGGGTAATCAAATTTCTCAAAACAACCGTATGTCCCAAGGAAGCAGGCCCTCTGAGCTCTTTAGCGACATTGCCCATGGTTTGCCCTGGAATACCAAAAAAATGCGTCGAATATGAGAGTCTAGACGACTGTGTATGCTCTAGTCTCTTTGGACGCGTTCTCTTCAGCTTTATAGGTCAGAGCGACTTGCATCGACTTGACTACTCAAAAGAACAGTGATGACCTATTTCTTATTTGTGGTTGGGAGATTCCATGCTCTCAGTAAATCGGTGGGGTCTTGGAAAGAGCGATGGCGATGGACTAATGAGCTGAATGATCTGAATGAAAGGACGTGGAATAATGTCCAGATACTTGTACAACTTGTACTGCATATTTAGCAACAGAAGCGGAAGAAGATATTCGCTATTATATGTCTTGCCTAGGTACCTGGAAGGACTAGATCAGTTATCCATTACATGCAGTTCCACTACGCACGGGCGTACATACATGTTCGAATTTAAGGGTCTTAAGCAAAAGGGTTACTAATGATAAATCCATGTAGATCAACATAAAGTATATTGCATCAATTACCATTTGATGCTGGATCCCGATCATTAGGAACAAGCGGTTCAAGCTTCGATCATGGATTAGATCCTCGACACTTCCTTATATTCAACCCATCGAAACAATGAATCTTTCCTCACCAACTCCATTACCTCCGGCTCTAATACCATCCGAACTTCCCACGGTGCACCCTCAAATCTGGCTGGCAAAATCCATGCCAGGCCGTTAATTCTCGGATCAGGATTGTCAAGGTCGCAAATTTTCCCAAGAACTGCTCCAAAATCTAACTTGTAGAACTTCATTCTCCGTAGGCTGCTCTGCATAAGGTGCCCCATGATTATATCGGGTGATCGCCAGTCAGGCTTTTCCACGATTCGAGAGATATTCTCCCGAGCGCATTTTTCGTCGACTAAAATAAGGCCACGTCGGATCGCCAAAGCTAACTGAGTAAGGAAGGGTATATCGGTCTCATCAAGAGGAGTGCGCATTCCCCTATTAGGACTGGGATTTTCTAACAACCCGGGCGAAGCCTTTAAAGCTGCATCTGTAGGGAAGGGGCTCTCGATTGAGACGACCTGCATAGAGTTGCCTATATAAGTTTGCGGAATAATTGGGCGAAGAATTGTGCGAACATCGATTCCGGTGACCAAATGGGACATTTCCTGGGCTGTATCAGGTGATATCAACGCGCGTGCTCGCATAACACAGAGCCATAGAATAGCCGAGATGATATCGTTTCTTGATAACATGGTAGGTGCCTTTTCTAGTGTAATGCATCTTTCTTGGAGCTGTGTAATCTTGCTATCACACAACACAAGCTTGCGAGTGATCTGTTCTTGGATGCTATGCCCGACTGGCACTTCCAAATTTCTTGGCTCTTCGTTGATAGAACTCAACGCAATATTAACGGCCGATGCAGTGCCGAGAATCCGCTTTCGAGTCAACCCTTCCTTGGTCGCACTTGTGGGGATCATCTCAGGCAGAACATTCTTATCCGGGTCCTGACAGCACATAGATAGTACTTCTATCACATTTTCGAGCCCCTTGCCATCCATGGCCATATGGTGAAACGAAACACAGAGAATGACTCCATCCTCCAAAATGTTGGCTTGTAAACGGAATATGGGGCTTTTTTCAGCTATGGCGTTATCAAACGGTAGAGGCAAGTAGTCTTCGTTGAACATGACATCGTAGGAGACCGTGTGTTCTTGGACCGCTGAGCTAGGAACTTGGTTCGGCGGTGAAGAGATGTATCGTCGGGGATGATATTTGACTTTCAGCATGGGATACTGCTCTAAGAGAGCTGGAGTTGTTGGATGGACCTGCACTGCTTTTTTTTTGCACCGCAATGGAGAAGTAGTGGTCACATTCCCCGTCAGGAATGGAAGATTGGAGATTAAGTGCCCGACGCCTGCTTCAAGAACTGATGTCGCCCGGGCTGGGTGCTCTAGTTTGAAAGTCAAGAACGCAGTCATATGCATAGGTGGCGGGGTGTGATCTAACGGTGAGAGTGTGTAGGGCTCAAAAGAAGGGGCCGGAAACACCATTTTTGGTTTTCTTTTCGATTGTTCTGCTTGGGAAAGCCTGGAACTTGAGTTTCGAGTTGGGAGTCACACATAGAAAATTGACACAATTCGCTTTAGTTTTGATTGATACGAATGTACTTAAGTATATAATTGTTTGACTAGCCCGCCGGTAAATATGGGAATGATGTCCAGGTGAACACGCAAGGAGGCAGACAATGGGGGCTTGGGGGTGCAGATACGAAGCGGTGAAAAGAAACAAAGTTTGAGTGTCTGGGGAGTAGTGTTTTCGAAATCTACTGTACAGTTGAAGCACAGCTGCAGTGGATGTGTCCTACTTTCTCAGCAACTGCCTTCTATTTTGTTTCCCATCCTGAAGGCCACCAGGACACTTCACCCCCCTTTCTTTGTCTGTGGGGCATATATCTACGTACCAATCGGACTACAATTCTGATTGTATAGTGGCGCTCAATATTCATAGAAATTACGAAAATCTTAGCCTACATCGGAGCGGTGAAAGTAGAAGTGATCGTCAAAATGATCTAGCCCATCAAATGATGATATCACTCTGCTTTAAGTCCGATTACCGATACTCAAAAACCAGGTTATCGATTCTAAAGCATTAAGAGCTGACTTTATCCGCTACTGCGAGAGAGAGCCTTCAAGAGATGGAGCTGCATGTTTGTTAAACTATTGGCATTTCTAATGACCTTGGAAGCTGGATCAAAGAGTATCGGGCATACAAGGACGTGCACCGAGTTGCAAATGCTATAATACTTGTAATGAAAACGGGCCTATCTACCCATGAGGCAATCAGCTTCTTGAAGAGGAGAATTCTCCAGTACCAAGGGGAACTTTTGCAAATGCGGGCAGAGGTTTTCTCAGCCCCAGCTGTTTCCGAAGAAAACATGAAAAGGTGTGTCGATGCTTACATGTGGATGGTATCTAGCAGCGAGCTTTGGCAATGGACTTGTCGAAGGTACCACTCATACCTTTACTTCGAAGCGTTTTAAGCGACCGAAAGATTATTCGCAGTATGTCGTTGTTTTGTTGTTCTGCTTTTTCCGATGTGGTAATTTCGCTTTGATCTCTCTTGGCAACACGCCCGCATTGGTTTAAGGTACTACAGATGCACACCATGATATGCTAATGCCGCATTGACGATCCAGCAGTTGAGTAGTCAATGTGCTACTAATGGAGAATTGAAATTGTATACTAGGTACCGATGATCATAAAATAACTATACACTACATATAATCACATCCTAGACAGTCCCCGCAGCCAACACATACCCTCCATCGACAACAACAGTCTGCCCATTCAAATACTGATTCGTCGCGGCAAAGAGCACCGCACTTCCCATATCTTCCTCTTTTCCGGCCCTTGCCGCCGGCACCTTCTCTTCATACTTTTCTTTCGGAATAGCACTCTTCTGCTTCTCATCACTTTCACTAGTAGTCATCTCACTAGGGAAAACTCCCGGCGCAATGTTATTAACCCGAATCTTCAGGTTAGAAGTCATAGTCTCGTGCGCCAGCATCTTGGTCAAATGAATAGCCGCTGCCTTAGAGGCATTGTACGCGAAATGGTGTTGCGAAACTTTGACGATGCCCGATATGGACGTAATATTGATCACAGTGCTCGACCAACCATGTTCAACCTCCGAGCCCCGCGAAAGCAGGGGCAGGAAAGCGGTTGTCATGAAAAAGAGCTGAGATGTGTTTGTTCGGAAGACAGAGTCCCATTCTTCGACATTAGCGGCTGCTTCTTCGAAAAGGGACTTGCGAAGTTCCTGTGGATCTTCATGTTCGGTGTTTTGGGGGTGGCTGGAGATTCCGGCGTTGTTGATTAGGATTGAGAGGTATTTTTCGCGCTCGGAAATTGTTTGGACTAGCTTGTCGATTGAATCCTTGTCTGTAATGTCGGCTGTGATGGGGATGATTTCGCCGGGGATGCCTTTATTGTAGAGGTCTGTTACTGTGGAGAGCTTTTCGGAAGTGCGGCCAGTTATGTAGACTTTTGCGCCATTTACTGCGAGGGCTTGGGCGGCCATGAGGCCGATTCCGGAGCCGCCGCCGGTGATGAGGGCCACTGAGTATTTTTTAGTTTAGTTTGGGCTAAAGGGGTTGAGAAGTGATTTACCTTTGCCCTTCACATTGAACAGGTTCTCCAATTTGAAGTTCTGGTTGCTCTGCTTTGCCTCCATCGTGATTTTACTGGATTGAGGAATTCTTCTGATCGAAGTAGTTGTGAACTTTTTAGCTGAAGAGGGTATTTCAAAAGGTTTCCTAAGTAAAAGTGGGGAAGGTAGTCTAGAAAGATGGGAAAAGCGAGGTGGGAGGCCAGCTTGCTTTATAACAGAACACGACCGAAGAAACATGGCTGTCTCAAAAGATTGAGGTAATAGCCAGAATTGAAATAATGCCAGCCATTTATTCAAGTAATAAGGTTACAAAATCCGGTTGTAATGCAGTTGAAACAGGGGGAACCTGTTTCTGAGATCTCTTGCCTGTTACAGAGGGCCCCGGGTTGATACGTTCATTCTTAAGTCATGCTGTTTGACCAATTGGCTACACTGATGGAAAAGGACCTTTCAGTATTCCAAGTTTCTTGTACGTAGAACGGAAATACGGTCTGGATATAGTCGAAGTGTAGCCCGGCTATGGACTATATCAGAATGACGTCAAACTCTACTTGAAACAGGATCCATCAACGTTGATGTGCAAACCCAGCCGGAAATGGATCTTTAAATGCCTTTATGTATGCTTATTCTAATTGTGTTCTGGAAGTCTGGAAGTCTGGAAGTGGCTTTAGTTTTGGATTGAAGTACTGGTGCCGGAAAATGTCATAATGGCTCGCAAATGACCTGACAGACAACTCAGTACATAAAGATGCCCCGCATCTTTTTGCATCACGAATATGACCCACAGAAATGACCAGAAATGATGAACATGCTATTTCTTCTTTACAGCTTTGCCTTGCCTCCCAGAGCCTCGCTGACGGGCGCAACCTCGACCATCATCTTACCAGTGTTCACACCTGCGTACAGATCCACAAGAGCCTTGGGAGCACCCTCCAGTCCACCGGGAACGATGTGCTCTTTGCGCTTGAGTTTACCCTGCGACAGCCAGGAGCCCAGCTCCTGCAACGCAGCCGGGTACTTCTTAGCAAAATCGAAAACAATGAAGCCCTTCATGGTGATTCGTTGCGACTTCACATATCATTAGCAATTGCCCATCCACAAGTTTCCAAAAGAACTCACAATAACATTCATGAAGCTAGTAGGGCCCTGCGGCTTGGCAGAGTTATACTGACTGATAGCACCACAGATAGCGAAGCGCGCATCACGCGCAGCACGAGCCAAACACGCATCCAGGATTTCACCACCAGTATTGTCAAAGAATACATCAATATACTCAGGTGTAGCCTCCTTAAGCTGCTTACGCCAGTTAGGATCCTTGTAGTTGATCGCAGCATCAAATCCAAGCTCCTTGACCAGGAAATCGCACTTATCAGGACTCCCAGCCAGGCCCACGACTCGCTTAGCACCCTTGATCTTAGCAATCTGACCGGCAACCATACCCGTCGCACCGGCAGCACCGGAAACAACGACGGTATCGCCAGGACGAGGCTGTCCAATTTCTGTCATTCCAAAGTATGCTGTCAAGCCAGTCATGCCGAGCACAGACATGGCATCTGTCGGGCGGCCACCAGAGGGAATGACCACCTTTTCAACCTCGTTCGCTCCCATCACTGCATACTCCTGCCAGCCAGAGTACGCGACGACCCAATCACCGGTCTTGAACTTCGAGCCGAGCTCACTGCCTACGGCGACGACTTGGGCAATGCTCTGTCCGCGCATGACGGCGCCAAGCTCAACGGGGGCAATGTACGAGCGCTTGGCTGTTAGCCATTGGCGCATGGCCGGGTCGAGAGAGAGGTAGTGCACGCGCACAAGGAGCTTGTCAGCAGGGACATTGCTAGGCTTGGGGACGGTGTTGATGCGAAAGGTGCCATTGCCGGACAGTGAGGGGTCGATGGCCGGGTCCGGCGCAGTGTTGTAGAGGATCTGCTTGTAGGACATCGTGACTGTATCCAGGGTGTGTAGAAACAGAGAAAGTATGGGGTAGAGAAGGATAAAAGAACGGGGAAAGTCAGTCGACTTTGGAGATCGTGAGATCGGAGCAACCCCAGATTAGGAAAATTGCTCCACTGGAGATGAGGAGTGTGCCTCGGCTCGGGTCAAGAGAGGTAGTGTTAGTAAAATCGGATTATTCAACATAAATTTGTGCTTTGAATCCGTTTTATGGTCTATTCATAAGAGTAAGGGTATAATTAACGCGCTACCCCAGGTTATCGAATGCGCTAGTTAACTGCCAGCTAAATTCAAAATGACGTCATCGCAGCATCAAACTGTCCAAATCGCTTCGACATGGCATTTCTCGTAGCTTGTCGCATATCACGGTGATTAGCGCCATAGTACCATAGGAAGAAAGAATTTCGAACAATCTTATAGCTGAGACTAGAAGGCAATAACAAAATACTTATGCTTAGCCATTGGCCTGAATCCTTAGATTAAGTAGGAAGTGGTGGTCAGAAACCGCTTATATCAGCATCGGCACACCATGGCGCTAATCAGCACGGTAGTCGCAAAGCATGGTAAAGAACTATTGGGACCCAGAATTATCATTTGGAGGATTCTTGTGTCAGTTCTTCCTTCGCGGGCTCCTCGTCTGAATGGTCGGGTTGGCCATCCAGCTGCTCCAACGCAGGGCCAATATAGTTCTTCCGGCCCCATACCAAATACCAGACGCCCGAGATGGACACAAATCCGACGAATACAGCAGATGCATAGTTCATCGAGTTCTTTGTGACGGGGATGGAAGTTGGCATGGAGAATAATGGAATGGCGAGAAGACACCAGCCTAAGAAATAGTATGGAGATTAGCATGTAAAGGTGAAGTTGATGCGGCGAGTCTGACAATAGCCAGAATAAAGGGCCACTCACAAATGCAAATGATGTTACAGAAGCAACCGAATGACCCGAGATTGAAAGAGCCACGCTGGATATCCCGACGGCCGCGAAGAATTAGCGACACGGCAACGGGAGAGGCATAGCTCAGTGTTAGAAATATCACACCGACGCCCGAAAAGGCATTGAACGCAGCGCTTGAACCAAAGTAAATTAGCCCAAGAAGCAACTCAACTACCATCCCTAGAAGTAACGAGTTCATAGGGATCTGAAATCGCTCATTGACTGTTTTCCACCATCTCGATCCAGGAATGGCCCCGTCGCGTGCAAAAGCCCAAGTAGCTCGAGATGTAGCAGTAACACATCCCAGTCCACAAATTATTCCAAGCACGATCAATGGAATGAGAAGGCAAAAAGCACCAGCGGAATTTCCGACCGCAGACTTAACGATAGTTGGTACCGGTTGTGCAGAGGCAATATTCGCCAGCATTGCAATATCGGGAAGCACGAATGCGACCGGGATAAGGTACGCCAGGCCGGCTAAGGCATTTAACGTGATACCGCCGACAATTGCTCGGGGAACTTGGATTGCGGGTTTGCGGACCTCTTCGCACATCCTATGCAGATCAGTATTGAACACCAGAGTTTCGAATTGAATGCCTACGATGTCACCATTCCAGTGGCTGAAAGACCATATGCTGCTTGCAGTAGACCGATGCAGAAAGACCAACCATCGGGCCAGCCTGATTGAGGTTCGAACGAAGTGAAGACCCATTTCGCTGATCGTCGACCATTGTGTGCAACGACGAGAATTGTGATAATAATGGCTGATACACCGATCAGTGTCCAGAAGATTGCGAAGTACTATATAACAATTGAGGTGATTAGCAAATACAGTGAACCCAGTACGAGGAGGTGTGGCGGAACAAGCAAGAGGTGGCATACCTCGATAAGAGTCAACCACCTGTTCGCAAAGGCGGGTATTGCATGGCAGATGAGGGTGATTAGGACAAAAATAAGATAGGTCTGATAGGTCTGAAAGTTCTCCGCAATACCAACGCCATCCTTGTTTTCAAATACATTGAGACATTCGACGAAGAACAGCGCGGTGGCAAAGTTCACGGCGAGGGTAATTGTAATGTTTCCGGCAACATAGGACCACCCGCAGACCCATGCCGTGGCGCGACGACACCACGTCGGCGAAAGAACAAATGTCTGATAATAGACGCCGCCAGCAGTCGGATATACCGAGGTAATTTCAGCTAGAGAAACAGCTACACAAAACATAATAAGCGAGACCACGATCCAGCCCCAGACCATATTGGCCGAGCCTCCACCTATCAAAGAGTATGACATGGTGGTCGACAAACCGTACGGCACGGACGCAAGAATAAAGCACATGAAAACGACCTGCCAAGTCGATCGGTTTCGTGACAGCTCCGCCGTATACCCTAATGCTTCTAAGCTGGCATCTGCCGTAGGCCTGTCGGATTTAGTCGCATCGGCCATGGTGTGGATGGCCCGGTAAGTGAGAGTCGACGGAATTGGCGGAAGAAAACCACATGGGAAGTTTGAAACGGTGCAATAGATTGCAAAAATTACAGGGTATTAATGCAAGATGGCAGGAGTTGCAAAAGAAGCATATGGGGAGGAGTAAGAGAGTGGCTAAGTTGCGGGTGACGCATTAGACTTCAAAATCGTTCAGGGAACGATGTGGCCCAGGGACCTTCCGGCGAGGCATCCGAATTCATAAAATCACCATTTCTTACGCGAAGGATTTATTAACTAAAAGTGGAATAATAATACAGCAAGTTTGGACAAATCCACCGAATTACATTGACGATCGCGGCTGTAATATTACCGAAATTCTTCAACTGGGCTGCCTTTTCGAGTTTAGTTTCCCGTCTCCAATTCATTATCCACTCTGATATTATGTTCGGATACAACGAATATGGGCTTTGCGGTGAGAATGCAGTAATTTATAATAAAATAAAGCTAAGCGGAATGTCTATATGTGTAATTTCTTTCTAATGATCGTTTTCCGAGGGGATCGGATATCCCTGCTTAGCCCAACCATCTAGCACCTGTTCGCATAGCTCCTTCTGCTGCTCACGAGTAGGTGACGGATCCGGTTTGTCGCGTCGACGGCGTGACTCGACTGTTTCTTTGAGACTAATATCATTGGTTCCTTCATGGCATTTCTGGGCATGGCCATTTGCCATGGATCCGAATTCGTACGTACGGAACTCCGTATTGACCCAGCCCGTCCCTGTCACATATTGGTTAGATTGAAATGATCCTACGAGATCGAGTTTTTGGGCTGAATTCTGGTTCACGGGCTTGTGAATTGTACCTTCGCCTTTGCATCCTTCCTCCCAGTCCTCTGTCAGGAAATGAAGAAATCCGCCATGGGATACCACGACAATCTCTTTCTCTGGTCTGGCCATCAACCACTGCCTGACATATTGAGCTCGTTCGAAAATTCTCTCTATAGTGATTCCGAGTCGTCCAGTCTGGTTTGATACGATAGTTAGTACCGTAGTCGATAGTTTGAGTGTCACTCTTACCTTTTCGGTCCAATTCTCATCAAGACCGCTCAAATCTACAGGAGCACCTTGTGCTTCCATCTCTGCTTTTAGATCTGCCAGGCTGCTACCAACATCACACGGCATGTCACTGAGTTCTTGCAACTCAGGAAGCGCGATTAATTTACGCCCGTCCGGCTTCTCATAGTCCGGCAAGAACGCTTCCAAAGCAGTATAGATTGCGCGGCGCATAGGAGATGCCACTAACAACTCAATGCCAGAGAGATTCGGAAAATTCCGGCGTAGCTCGTGGCATTGCTTCTTTCCATAATCCGTCAAAAGAGGATCATGAATGTTCATGTGTTCGATACCGAGATTATGGTATCCCTAATAGTTGTCAGATTGAGCTATGAATCTTTCCTTCATTGCAGCCATACCTGCGCATGCCTCACTAAATGAATTTTTGGTGGCATATTGTCAACGGCCGGCCCGAGTCCAAATTCCACGCTGGCGGGAGCGCGATTGGAAGTGCCGACGATAAGTTGGTGCAAGTCCTCAAAAAGCTTTGAGGAGGCCCCCACTCTCCATTCTATAAGAATTCGATTGAAGGCATTAAGGCTATTTCTAGGGCATAAAAACCGAGTGTCAACTGGCGTAGGATTCGAAGCTCGATCCACGTAAAACTCTATTTCAGCAGCTGGGCTTCCTCTTTAGGACTAGCGTGGTCGGTAGCTCTTGATCAAGGCGCTGCACATTACACGTGCCATGTATGATATTTCATGAAGTCAGTGGGATTCAAAAAAGGAGCAGCTTGCCCCTCGATCTTATAATCTTTTCATTCCAAAGCTGAGCATCCTTGATAGTCACCAAGTTCAGCCATGGATTCGTCACTGGAGCTGGTCTCTCCCCAAACACACTACATATACTCCGATCTAGATGGAGACAACTATTCACGGCCTCTCTGTGGATCTGTCATTTTCAGACCTTCTTACGACTTTGTGATCACGAATTCTACTCTGCTCCGGACCCAGCTCGTTCGCATTGTGCAGTCGAAGATCTCCCAGTCTTGTTGCCAAGGACAGGGTCTTCTGGGTCGCATGCGCCGTCAGTTTGTCGCGAATGCGAAACAAGCAGGGGCTGGCAGGACATGCTCCGCGATAGAAGAAGTTACATGCCCTCTTTTACCATTTTTCGAAAGCCAAAGGGACGATTCTTCCCGCGAAGGCGCAGTCATCAATGTTCCATTCTCAATCCTCATGCCGGCCAATATGCCTGCCTCTACGACAACTAGTCAAGGGACAGTCTCATACGCCATCCTTGCTTCTGTGATAACTCCAGAATGCACCATATTCAGCACAAGTCAAACTATTCATCTCACCCGCCAATTAATTTCAGACCAGCCAACCGTCCAACACGTGCGGTCATATCCCAATTCAAAAGTGATCGAACAGATTTCTCTCACACAAACCCTTACCACGGACTCGAACCCAAACATTCATTTTTCTATGAACGTCAAGCTCCGAACTTCAGCGGCACCAGAGCGTCATTCGGAGTTCAAATGTGCCGTAATCAGAGGACTTCGATGCCGAGTGGAAGAAGTGACAAAAACCTTCACCAAGCCAACCTTAGGAAGCCAACATATCCAAGCGGATTGCGCAACCCAACGAGAACAAGAACAAGTTTCTGTGCGAGAAATATGCAATGAGAAGCAGAAAGGCCACTGGAGCATCATTGAGAACCATTTCACCGAAATACAAGAAACCGCCCAGAAGCCTTCTACAGTCGACATCAGCTTCGGCTTCACGATCCCGAAAAACTCAAAGCCCGCACAACCCGCCAACCTGTCTTGCTATGCATTTGATCCTGAGCATTTGGATCCGGATTCCTTGTCTCCAGAGCTCCGTTCTCGTTACTCCTCAACTACAAATGAGAGACTGGCAATCATCGTTGAACACCGGCTGAAGCTGGACTTGATTACGGGAGAAGACACGTATAGCCGAACAAGCCAGAGTCTCGTTGATCGGAAAATCTTGGGCGCAGCTGTGAATGCATCATTCCCTCTTACACTTCTCAGGAAGCACGAAGGAGACATTGGAGATTTGGTCTTGGAGAAGACTCCTCCGAGGTATGAGGAGGTTCCGATGGCACCTCCTGACTATGATCACTTTGTTGCATTGCCACTCCCGAGCAGCGTTTATTAACAGAATTTCTTTACATTTAGATTAAAGAACATTTTTATATAATTAATTTCATTTGGAGCGATTTTGTGGATCCTTCTCACCACTGTCTCCACGTTCCAGCAAAGATGCTGATCGGCGTCAGCGCCGTCAGATTCGCGAAAATTATTCCCATTATCTCCGGGAATTGAAATGGTTTCATCCGTATAAGAAGAAGAAATAAATGGATGGGGTATTTTAAGCCGGTACGGCGCACCAAAGTTGTTAAAGGCGGACGGGTCATCTGACCAGATCGGGTTTTCAGGGGAAAGCGCGGAGTCCCCGCAGTGATCCATTCATCAGCCCTTTTTATTTCTTCTTCTAGCATATGCTTGGCTAGCCTAGTGCATCTAGATGCTCCGATGTCCCCCGATCGTCGTAGTACGACTGCAGACAAAGGTACGTCGGCGCCCGTCCAATTTTTACTGCTGAACTGACATGAGACCCAGACTGCCCAAAATGCAAAAGCAGACGCATCAACTGTGATCGGACTGCACCAGAGTGCAAAAAGTGCACTTCTAGGGGCTTTAAGTGTCCTGGCTATGGGCTCATCTTGAAATGGGGTCAAGGAGTCGCCAGCAGAGGCTTGTTGACCGGGAGCGAGCTGCCTGTCAGAGATGCTACCTGCCGCTCTAGCGTCCCGCCAGAACCATCACCGGTGAACGAGTCAAGTCAAACTGCGAAACTTGAGCAGAGTCTCAGTGTAATACCGCACGGGCCGAACCCTAATATCAACCCCATGACGCTGCAATTAATGCACCATTTCCACCACGTCGTCTCCGGTAAATTAGCTTGGGTAGACGGCCCAACGAACCCATGGCGACAGGTGATTATCCCCCTTGCCTGGTCTTCAGCAACAGTACTTAGTGCCGTACTATCCCTATCATCTGAAGACCTCGCAGCGAAATTCTCGCAAGATCATCCTCGCCGCCACCAGTTGCAAAGACTCTCCCTACGTCTTCGGAGCGAAGCCTTAACATCATTAGCAAGTCAAATCTCCCAAATGAGACAAGACGATTCCTTAACGAATCTCAACCCAATCCAAACACAATACGCACTCGCCTCAACCCTCATCCTATATAACGTGGAACTACTCGGCGCTCAATCTGGTCAATGGCGAGTCCATCTCCAAGGCGCAAGAACAATCCTCCAATGGAAAGAACAATCCTTCCCTCGCACGGCTTTATCCGATGAAATCGATTCATTCCTCTTATACGAACAATATTTTGCCAGCGTCTTCGCCGGACTCACCAGTTTCGACACACCGCACGAGACTGAAAAAGATATCCAACTCATCGACGACACGGCTGTTCTCAGCGATTTCATAAATATCATGAACCGACTAACGCGCATCGAAAGACTTCAATACAACCAAAGCTACGACGTCGATCCGGCTCTCCTCGGAACATTAACCCACGAACTGGATGAAGCGAAAAACCGGATGGTCCAATTAAGCGAAATATTCCAATTCCAGACCGAAGACGCAAAACAAAGTTTCCTACATCTTGTCAATATCTTCCATGATGCGAGTTTGATATACATGTATCGTGTATTGACGAATGACCCCGCAGTAGAGGAGAGGCTTCAATTGTTAAGAGATGCAATTCTTGGCCATTCGCATTCCCTTTCTCAGAACGGTTCGTTTGCGAATGATCTTGTATGGCCACTTTTTATTGCGGGGACGGAGTGTCGAGGGGACCAGGAGAAACAGGAGATAGTCGTGAGGGAGCTTGAAGTGGTGATGAGGATTAGTTGGAACTTGGATCGACGGAAGGTTTTATCGTTCTTAAGGGAGTTCTGGGCTTTGGAGAGGGAAGGCCAGGTAACCTGGATACAATATATGAGGGAGAAGGCACCTGGTTCGACGATAATGATTTTGTGAATCAATCTAAGGGGCTGGGTCAGCATATGCATTTTGTATCTATAAAGAAAGAAACGGTTGCGGTGATAATGGATAATATCTTGAACAAACAGAATATTATTTTGAATGGATTTGGATCAAACCATTAGATTCTCTGGTATAACATCACATCGCTATGCTTTTCACTATCTACTTGTGATACAGTACTAATATGATAATGTATATAGATCCCCACTTCGCTACTAATGCGAACTCTTCACATACATATGTGCAGCATACTCCCAAGGGAGTATCTTACATAGACTGTTTTCCTCGCGTCTCAATGGGCAAGAAGACCATCGCCACAAACGACGCCAGTAGCAATGCACCAGCAACGTAAATCGGGGTGACCGGATCCGTATTAGCATAGATACCAATAATCGGCGCCATAAGACCCGCGATACGGTTCAGACAACTGGCGATACCAGATCCAGTACCACGGTTCGGTGCGGGGAACACCTCGGGCGTGTAGGCGTACAAGACACCGTACATGATCATTTGGAAGAAGGATTCCAGGGCTGAGCAGACAAGCTGGATGTTGGGATCCTTAGAGGCCGTGAAGCAGAAGAGTAGGACACCCGTGATGGCGGTCGATGCGGCCATTGTGCCTTTGCGGCCGATGAAGGGGACGTCGACTAGGTACCAAGCGAGAAGGGGGCCGGGAATACCGCAGACGGCGGTGATGGCGTAGTTGCGGTAGGTCTCGTAGGTTGTGGAGTTTGCGGAGAGATATTGAGGAAGGAAGGCATTGAAGAGGGTGTAGCCCATTCCGATGCAAGTCCAGCAGAACCAGATAAGGATGGCTGGGGTTGTTAGTTTGGAGTGTGGTGGAGGAGGGATGAATACGTACTTGAGATTCCAAGGCGCTTGGTTCTGAATAGCGGCTTGATTTGCTGAACGGAGAATCTCTCAAGTGATCTCTTGACGATTTCGACAGTTGAGAGAGACTGCTTCTTGTTCTCCTCCGGGTAGCCGCCAATCTCGTTCAGAATTTCTTCAGTGAGCCAGGTGGTGGTCCTATTCTTGTAGGCGATGCCCTGTACCGCGGCCACGGCTTCGTCCTGACGACCACGGGACACGAGGAACTTGGGTGACTCGTAAAGAGTGAAGAAGAAGAAGCGGCACAGGAACATGGCAAAGGTAATAGCACCCAGAGTCAGAACAAGGTATCTCCAGCCCCAGTTATCAGCTTTGGTGCAAGTCGCAGCTGTTTCGCACGAGAAGTTGGGAATGTAAGCCCAGGCGAGCATACTGGCAATCAGGGTACCGACAGACCACCAGGTAGCCAATCCACTCAGAATGTTACCCGAGTTAGGAGGAAGACATTCGAGGAAGACAGCGGCATCCACAGGCAAGTTTCCGCCAACACCAAGACCCAAGCAGGCATACAGCGCACAAGTTCCAACCCAGTTCGGACCCCCGCCAGCGGCGAGACCAAAGGTACCACAGATGCAAAGAGTCATATTGAAAGCCGGGCGACGTCCGATGGCATCGGAAGCAATACCCCAGAAGGAAGCACCGATGATCAGACCAACGAAGAGGGAACATGTCGCAAAGCGAGAATCGGTCTCAGACACACCGAATTCAGTGGCCAGAGGTGTCAGAGTGAGTGCAACTCCCTACACAGGATTAGCTGAAGGCTCTGAACCCGCACTGAATTTTGATAAATAATCGTACCTGCAACCACAGACTGTAGTGCGTATGTTAGCAGCGTGCTTTCTCATCAGACTTGGATGATCGGCTTACTTGTCGGCAACCCAACCCATTCCACACAGAACAAACAGTCCCCATTGATAACGACCCATACCAATGTCCTGAATCGCTCTGTTGATGATCTTTGCTTTGCCTAAAAAGCGATTCGAAATTAATTTTCCATGTTCAATCGCTGCATCACGCAAGCCAATCTCAACCCCAAGAGACCAAGCCAGCTGGAATAGAACGTACGATCATAAGCAGTATCATGGCCAGTGGCAGCAATACCCTCCTCAACTTCAGCTCGCAGGGCTTCTAAAGTCAGCGTGGTACCCGAGTGAGCACCACTCACACCCTTTTCCTGAAGGGAGGCACGGTCAGGGCTGCAATCGGATTCATCTTTAGGCCTTTGCGGCGCGGAGCCTTGGGCGAGGGGAACCACGACCTCGGGGAAACCCCGGCGGTCTTTGTTGGCGAAAAGTTCTTTCCAGTTAGGCATTGTGAGCAAATTCTTTAATTTTCTTTTTGTTTTTCAATATTGCAGCAGGGCTTGGTGCGTGGCAGAGTAAGCGGATAGTGCGACTGGGAAGGTGCTACTCTCGGAGTCGAATTATAGGTCTTGCGTTGGGGCTAGGCCTAAGGTTTTTCGGACTGGTTGGTAATATTGACGCGCTGGATAGTTGATGCAGGTGCAGGGGCTGAATCCGGGGTCCGGGGAAGATGCGATGGGGCGACTCGAGGTTGGTGCAGCGGGATAGAAATGCGAGCTATGTGCAGCTACTATCGGAGTATCGAAGCAGACTGTATAGACCAAGTTTCTTTGAAACTATTTTAAATCGATTGAGGCCGTCAGCTGAAATGTTCCGGTGTGCGATTTGGCGTGCTGTAGAGGCGGAAGCAATAGCGAACACAGCGAAGTGGTCTGCTATTTGATGCAGAGAGGTGACGGGGGGAAGACGTCGCCTTTGCAAGGAAGACAGAGGGTGTCAGATTTGTGTGGAACAGGAGGGGAGCCGGGGAAGGTACCAGGTAATAAATATATCAGGCAATGATAATCATAATTCAACAAAAATCATAAAGAAAATTCTTTCGCCCGAAGCCGACGCCCTTACTCCGTACTTAGAGATGAGACCCTCTCGGGATGGTACATGCGACAAATCGGGCCAGTGTTCGGCCAACCACGCCACGTTCATTTGGCCCTATGGGTCAAGCTTCAGCCTCTGTCAACCTCTGTCAGCCTCTGATGTGTTGCACCGACTTCAACTACCCACTTTACCCACTTTGGTTCCCGGTTTGGCAGGACGACGGACATGCTGCCGACTTGCCAAGAATGTTAAGCGAGGATAATATTGTGAACTTGATTTTGAGGATTGTGCACCTACGTTTAGAGCCGGCGATGGTTCTAGGATCATTCTACTTCGTGGTGCACTCTAGAAGTATGACTTAGGAGAAAGTAAAAAGCAGACCCTGAAGAGCATGCATTCGGAGGTCTCCGAGGGTATGTGGAACCATCGGGAAAGGGAAACATCGTGTGATTCCATATTCTTTTGCCAATGTTGGGGTAGCCGGAGCCGGTCCGACCCCAGGGGGTTAATTCATCTCTCATAAAGGGAATCGAACTTGGATGAGACTCGAAAAGACCATCGATCGCCAACTTCGAAATCATCTGACCCATTGTCGCTCTTGAAAAGCCTTAAGCATCTGTATTCGGGGGCAACTGAATGTCATAAATTTGAGTTGCTTGACGCCAATCAAATTTTCGATTTTGCAATTCGATTTGAGCATTCCACACTGCTCTGGGTTCCACTGCAGCCAGATTCCAAGTGGCTCAGGCTCTGTTAGTCGTTGCACAAGACACAAGATACTCTCATACCATCCCGTGCCTCTCTATCACTATCGATTCCATCTCGGGCACTTGTTGATAAATCATGTGGTGTGTGAGCTGAATCGCCAGTGGACACAACATATCTATGGGGGTGCGGAAGGATGTTAGACTTTGCATATGTGGCGCATCTGTGGCGGCTAAGGCGGCGGGATGGTCGCTCACCCAGACACCCGGACCCCGATCGCAGATCAGTCAGTGACTTTCATGTTCTGCATGGTGAAACCGGTTTCTCCGGCTCTTCTATCAGCCTCTACAGCCCACGATTTAAGGCATCAACATGGATACCTTGACTCCCTGTACACACTGTGTGCGTTCAGTATGACGTCATCTATTGCAACCAGCGCCCTGAATATATATAACTTGCCCCATCGCTGCATTCATCCTCCCCCCACCATCAACACAACATCGCTATATTTTGGTACAGCAATCTTGAAAAAATAAACCACAATGAGTACATACAACAATCAAGCGGCGGAGTCAATGCACCCAGTGCCAAACGTCCGTCGCCCTTCTCAAGGGTCTTCAACTGGAGCGCCCGGTTTCCCGACGGGCTTACAGGATACACAATCGCAATATAATCCTGCTATGACCGGGGTGAATCCCTCTACTGGAGCTGGGTATCAGAAGCCCCCTCCGGTCCCAGCGCGACCTTCCAACAGCTATGATCAGGGAGGGTATGATGCACCCACTCAGCAAGCGTACGATGCGCCCACTCAGCATGCGTATAATGCACCCACTCAGCATGCGTACGATGCGCCCACTCAACAAGCGTACGATGCACCCACTCAGCATGCGAGTACCGCACAGCACACCAATTTGGATGATCGGGCGACCGCACATACAGGTACCAAGGTCCCTCCTAGTGAAAGATACGCGCAAAAGGGCGACGATATTGGTCGGAAAGCACAGGGCGTTATGGCTGGTGTGCATGTAAGTTGTCCGGATATATATATATATCTCTGGTCCACTCGAATATGTAGATTGGATCTAACTGTAACAGGGAGCCGGGGAGTCACTACGTGGAGCTTTGACGGGGGCCGTGGATAGGGCATTTGGAACTACGGAAGGTCCGCGGGGTGCAGAGCGCAACGAGGAGATTGCGCGGCGGGGTGAGCGTGAGATCCAAACGGGCGAATTCACCCGTTCTGGAAGGTGATTCGGTCAGATGGAGGGGCAGGGATAGGGATACAGTAGTGTTACGAAATTCATGAGACTTAATGCTTGGCGTTGCTTGATTTGGTTCCGTAATCATCTCATAAATGTGTATGTCAAGAAATCGATCGGGTTGACTTCATAGTCGAATACTTCCACTTGCACGGGAGGCACGTCATCGCCGATCACCCAACTGTAAAGATGGCAGTTGGGGCATTTAATCCCCCACACCCGACCACGGCCATTCGTCGATCTGTTTTGCAAACTAGCGAACCGGGGATAAGTAGAAGAACAGGATTCCTAGTTCCGAACGAGTGCTAAGCATTTGCACGTGGCGACCTTCCATGTCTTTCCGGGCGAGCCGGGCGTGAAGGCTGTGCTGTGGAACCCGTTTTCGGTTCACCTTTATAATGGGTTCATTGCCCGCATTTCATCCAGAATCTGTGTTCAGTTCCTGAGCCTTTCTCGACCCCTTGAACTCTCGAATTGCATACATGGAGCCCGGCTGTCGTCGCCCTTGCACATTATACGACCTCATGCCCTGAACTCGTCCCTTGAACGAACTTAGATCATGGCCTCAATCTCTGCCGACCGTCCTATTACGGCGGGCCCTGCGACCACCGCTGCGAATTCAGATTCCTCCGGTCGCCCACAGAAACCACAGGAATCGTGGACGTCCGATTCCTCGGGGAATGCGGTCGCATCCGAATCACCACTACACTATTCGTCCTTTTCCAGCTCCGACAGCGACGATCCGCTCCATTCTTCCAATGAAGTGGACGAAGACGATGCCAGCGACGTGGTGGGAGTCAGTATTGGGCGCGCCCAGAGCCGCATGAAAGCCCGCGCAACCCCCGCCGAAGAGAAAAATAGAGCGCTAGAATCGAATGGTGGATACTTTTCGGCAATCCCGGATCCTATCAGCGAAGATGGCTTGTTCGTCTCTCAGCTCACGGCTGAACCTGAGCAGGTGGAGCCGAGGGCTTCTCCCCAAGTGCAGACGAAGCATCCTGCCGCGCGCTCATCAGTGGATCACCGCACGCCGCGAGGCCCTCACACTGATCAGCCGGTGGCTAAGGAGACGGGCAGCCATCGGTCGAGTTTCACCCGCTCACTACTCAAGACTTCCTTGCCCAAACGCCCACGTGCTTGGTCAGGGGAGTTGAAGAGGTTCCTGCCTGACTTGGGATCGTTGACCAAGGTACCGTCCCTTTCCTTCCGGGGTAATGCGCAGAACCGGGCACGCAGTCAGACAACGGAGGGCTCGAGTAAACGGATACCAGGCCAAGAAACCAGAGCATGTTCGCTAGACCGGAGAAAGCCACCCTCCCCGCAAGCAACAACCAATGCCAGCCCTTATGAAGACGAAGATGATGCGCGATCCATTTCAGAGCTACAGCCGCTCGATGGCAGCTCGGCTGTAAAACATTCATACTCCAGGCGGCCCAGTGCGACACCAAAGCGACCAGCGAGCCTGCGGCGATCTTCTTCCGATCAATCATTGTATTTGCGGGCATCCTCGACTGCCTCGTCGTTAGAACAGCGACCGCTATATACGAATGTCCATTCACAGGTCAACAGCCGCTTCAAGGCGATCAAAGACAGCTTGCAGGATTCCAGTAGCCGGCTCCTTAGCATGCCCAGTCTGCACTTGCAAGATATTCGCGGCGATTGGGCCAACCGGCCCTTCTTCAACGAGAACGGCTTCATTTCGAACAGTTCAGGCGAAAAGGGCGTCAATGGACACACAACTGCACCCCCACCTCCACCTCCCCGAAACCATCCTCAATCGACGCATCCAATTCTGGAAGAAGCCATGGGAGATCTTGTAGGCGATGTCGTGATTCTAGGAGGTTACCGAGGCTCGATTCTGCGGTCTGCTAAGCCGCCACACCGACAGCTTTGGGTGCCGATGAAGGTTGGACTGAACCTGCGAAAGGTGGATCTGGAAGTCGGTTTGACTCGAGAGGACGAAGAGCGCATGGAGGAGACCATCATCCCCTCTGGCGTACTGTCCCACGTTGGTCCCGTGGATGTTTGTCGCAGGTTGATGAAGCGGCTGCGCAAGTGCGACAATGCCATCCGCGGCGACATGCGCGTCTGGGACTACGGATACGACTGGCGTCTCAGCCCTGACCTGTTATCCAAACAGCTTATCGAGTTCCTGGAACGCTTACCATGCAACCGGGGCTCGTCAGATGGCAAACTCCCAAGCCGGCGCGGTGCGACGGTCATCGCTCACAGTTTAGGCGGACTCATTACTCGGCACGCTGTGAATCAGCGACCTGATCTCTTCGCGGGCGTCGTGTATGCGGGAGTACCGCAGCACTGCGTCAACATCCTCGGTCCGCTCCGCAACGGCGATGACGTCCTACTCAGTTCGCGGGTTCTAACCGCACAAGTCAACTTCACCTTCCGAACGAGCTTTGCCCTACTCCCCGAAGACGGCCACTGCTTCATCGACAAACAGTCCAAGGAAGAATTCCGTGTGGACTTCTTCGACCCCAAGATGTGGGAGGAGCACCGCCTCTCCCCCTGCTGTGGCCCCGCCCTCCCTCCAGCAGGGAGCCGAGGCTTCAAAGATTTCGCCAACATCAGCAAGCGTTTCTCACTCGGTGCTCGCGACGAATTGAACCTCAACGAGCTAGACCTCAACGATACAAACACTAGCACAGAAGACGATAACCCCCATCGCATCGGCCACCTCCCTCATTCCTCCACCGCTCCAGCCAACACAGCCTTCTCATCATCCGATAAAGTTGGCGATAAAGTCGGCGATAAAGTGGACAAAGCCCAAGACAAAGCCAGCGAAGCCATCCCCAGCGTCGACGGCCTCGTCGGCCCAAACCCGAACCCACGCGGCAGCGCAGGCGCGAGCAAAGCCTCAACAACCTGTACAATCCCCCACGCTGTAGCAATGGAGTACCTCCAACGTACCCTGGCGGAAATCAAGCGCTTCAAGTACGAGACGGAATTCCAACCCTCTCACCAAATGGAGAACCAGTACCCGCCTGCCGCCGTGCTCTACGGCAAGAGCGTGCCGACGGTATACGGTGCGCGTGTCACCTCGCGCGAGGCGATCAAGCGTACGGATTGCTACGATGATCTTGCTTTTGCGGCGGGTGATGGTGTTTGTCTTGCTTCGGCGGCTATGTTGCCTCCTGGGTATCGGATTATCAAGCACGGTCTCGTGAAGAGTGATCGTGGACATGTTGGATTGCTTGGTGATCTTGAAGGTGTGGGACAGTGTTTGCGGGCTATTATTCGGGGTCGGAAAGAGGGTGTTGGGTTGGGGAATTCGAAGTGATTCCCTGGTGATCGGAAATCTTCAGGTTGCATCTCCATCTCCATCTCCATCTGCATCTGCATCTTGCCTTTTATTTTGTTTTTGTTTTTTGTTTTTTAATGATACCACTGTTATGCGTCATGATCATGTCTCAAGGTGGTTGAACGGGGTTTGTTGAGTGATGAATGTTTGTTTCAGTACATGTGTACTATACTCGTGACCATGACAGAATTATATATAGAAAAGACATATAGAACATGGATCGAACTTGGAAGTGTACAAAAACAGAACATTGAATCCTTTTCAAACTCGCTATACAACCCAAATGCTCTATATAGGTACTCGATTCCACCACTTTTGTCTTCAAAGAACCTCAAAATTCTCAGAACAGAAAACCCAAAGAAATCATATATCAAATCATGAAAGAAAGCTTGCTATTAAAAGGGACCATCAACTTCAATCTTAATCCGTGCGCGAGTTGGCAATGTTCAGAACCAAGATATCCGTAGCCCCGACCTTAATCAGCTCATCCATAACAGTTGCAACGCGCTTCTTCTCTACCATCGAGCTGACAGCAACCCAGTTCTCCTCCTCGAGCGCGGTGATGGTAGGCGCCCGTTTTCCGGGTGTGATCTTGGATGCGACAGCCAACTCGGAACGAGGGATGTTGTACTGGCACAACACGAAGCGCTGCGCGGTAATGACACCGCGGATGCGCGCGGCGATCAGGTCCAGGAGCTCACTCTTTGAGTTGCGGGACTTGACGAGCACGGCGGTGCTCTCGACGACGGTGTCGATAGCTTTGAGGCCAGCAGCTTTCATAGTCTCGCCAGATTCTAAGCGCAAGTCAGCCTCAATCATAAATTGGCTACTAAAGGTTTGTCACATACCAACAAGATCGACAATGCCATCGGCAACGCCAAGCGCACAGGCAGCCTCAACACTTCCGCCAACATACTTGATCTTAGTCTGAAGCTTCTCGCCGGGCTGAGCGCCCTCCAGACCACGGAAGAAAGCGTCCGTCAGCGCAGTGAAGCTGGTCACAACATTGCGACCAACAAGCTGCTTGGCCTCGGTGATATCGCCCTTCTGGGGGACCTGCACCTGCAGCTTGCAACCGCCGAAACCGAGATCGAGAATCTCTTCCACGCCGGAGATTTCGCCCTTGGCCAGGGTGGCGTCGTGCTCAGCGACCTGGTCGCGGCCGGTGATACCGATGTCAACGCGGCCTTCGCCGACGAAGGTGGGGATGTCGGCCGCTGGGAGGAAGATGAGTGCGATGGGCAGGTTCTTGACCAGAGCGATGTCAAGGCGAGTCTCGCGACGGAACTGGACATCGGAACCGGAGAGGAGGTCAAGGGTTGCTTGTTGGAGCCGGCCCTCTGAGATGGGTGTTAGTTGATGATCTTTGATTTGTCATGAGTCATTGGAGGTGGAAAAGGACTTGCTTTTGGGCACGGCGAAGAGGAGTCTTCCTTCCAAGCTGAAAGGAATGTGGTGTTAGTTGTGTTGTTGTATATGGTGCTTCAATTGAGGGTTGCGGTGACTCACTGATTAACGAGATCCATGACGATAGATCGCGACGCGGGGCAGGCGGATGTGTTCTAGGGGAGGGACCGTCAATGCCAACAAAGACTTGATGGATGAGGATATGGAGTCAATTGCAAGAGACTAGCACTATATCTCGAGACAATTGAAGCTGCGCAAAGGGGGATGTCGGGCAGAGAGCTCTTTGCGGCAGAAATTGGAGGGGCAGCGATCGGTGTACTTGCGAACGTCCCGACGTCGGCGGGGACCAGCGGACCAAGGTAGCCCGGTGTACTCGGCAATTGGTATTGGAGAGCTGGACCACGTGGATATAGACATGATGGTCATTGACTATGAATTATCTATGAATTGAGTTATTCTATGCGATTTTACTCCGACGATAGTCGATGTTCTACTGTATTGTGCAGGGCCGCACGGTTGCACCGAAAGTGAAAAAGGGAAAACTATTGACGCCTGAAATATAAGGTGTCTATGGAGATCCACTGAGTCAGCAATAATGCCTGACGGCTCAGGTGTCAGAAGCCCTGAGCCCTCGCGTAATTTGGAACCCACACAAGGCAAAATCATCTTCACATCCGCCTCTTCCTCTAGTCCACCCAAACTCTCACCACCCTCGTCGTCCGAGCTCAACGCCCTCTCCTTCAAGATGGATTCCAGCAAGACCCCCGTCAAGCTCGTCAAGGTGACCCGTGTCCTCGGCCGCACCGGTACGTGCCCTTCCTGAACCGCTGCACAAAATTCAAATTCGAGATCTCGAAATCCGCGGGGACCACGTCCACATCCCTCCCACGCCTGCCGCGAGAAATAAAGAATGAACCTGCGAAACTGCCAAGCTCCGAATACTAATCTGTGTTTTTTTTTCGTCTTCAGGTTCCCGTGGTGGTGTCACCCAGGTCCGCGTCGAGTTCATGGACGACACCTCCCGCTCCATCATCCGTAACGTTAAGGGCCCGGGTACGTGAAATTCGATCTATTCTATTCCCGAGGGGAAGAGTTCCCAGGCAAGAGGAGGAAGTCGCAAGAAAAGGACACATGGAAGAAATCATGGGAGCTGGGGAATCCTTGAACAACGGAAATGGGTCCTCCTGAACCACACCGCTAACGCAATTCTCGCCTACAGTCCGCGTTGACGACATTCTTTGCCTGCTCGAGTCCGAGCGTGAGGCTCGCCGTCTCCGTTAAAATCCCAAAACGACAATTCAACTCGCGCCATGTCTTTCGTCTCTCTCTTTCTCTCGCATATCCCTCACGTTCGGTTTTTCTTGATCGTTCTTCGGCCAAAAATGTGTCCCCGCTTTTCTTTCTTGCCGTACCTCTGACTCCCCGACTCTCCAACCTCGTCCGCCGCGCCGTCCATTTCATGCACCTCTCGATTTGAGGCAGTTTCCGAGTTTCGAATGGTGGATGGATATGGAGGAAGGATTCTTGGGTCTTCTCCCCAAGGGTCCGAGAAGTCGATCATTGGTTTAATCGAACGGGAGAGAGAGATGGAGAGAAACGAGGTTGCGCGATGGCTGGCTTGTGTATTTGTGGGATTGGTCTGGTCTGGTTTGGTCTGGTGTTTTAACTACATACACACGTCCATTTTTGGCGTGCTTGCATGGGCTCAATGCGACAAACGAGGTTGTGATGTGCTTTTTCTTTCTCCATTCTTCTGGGTTCTCTAGACAAATATGGGACGCCGAGACTTGAGCCAGGTCTGACCGACAAAAAAAAGAACAATGGGAATCCAAAAAAAAATTTGAAACTTCCGGTTCTGCGAGGTCGAGAGACTGAGGCGGTCGTAGCTCTTATGTATGGCTGTATAGTTGTGAATTACTCGGTTCACTCGGTAATATGTTCCCGCGGGTATCTACACTCGAGGCCGTAGCCACATCATCTCGTGTTCAGCCACAGCCTTCATCTTTGCCCGAAAGTTAATCTCGAGCTTCGTATTCTCGACGTGGGGTAGCTTGAACTTCTCTCGGTCTCAAATATTTGAACACCGAAGACAATAGTACCCGTGTGATAACAAACTGTAGGCAAAATGGAGCCTCTCAAGGCAGAGGTAGGTTCAAAGGCCTCAACTTCCACCACGATCCTTGTCATAGCTCTAACCGATCCCCAGAAAAGAAAAAAGGCCGCCACCGCAGAAGAGTACCGTGAAGCCCGAGCCCAACTCCTCAAGCAAGAAAAGGAAGCAACCCGCCTTCTCCAGGAGCTAGCAGCAACTCGCCGCAAACTCCCAATGGTCCAAGTACCCAACCCAGGACGCTTCAAGTTCGACACCCCAGCAGGACAAAAGACCCTCCTTGATCTCTTCAACAACCGCAAACAACTGATCATCTACCACTTCATGCTCGGCCCTGGAGAAACCCATGTCTGTTTGGGGTGTTCGCTCTGCATGGACCACATTCCTGACCTTCGACACTTGGAAAGCAGAGACACGTCCTTCGTCGCGGTAGGAACCGCGCCAGTGGACGAGCTCACTGCGTATGCAAAGAAGATGGATTGGAAGTTTCCTTTCTTCAGTTCTGCTCCGACACATGCTGCCTGGGCTGAGGCCGAGAAAGAAGGTGAGGTTGTTACCTGGAAGCCGGGTAATGGGTACTTTGGACTTTGCTGTTTCCTAAGGGATGGCGAGGATGTGTTTCATACTTATGATACCTCTGATCGCGGCCTTGAGGTTATTCTTTCGACGTATCATTTGCTCGATATGACGGCGTTGGGAAGGCAGGAGGTTGGGAATGGTATGAATGATTTCCGGCGGCATTATGAGTATTGAGTAATTGCTTTGTTGATGTCTTTGAGGTGTGGATTGGGAAGTGGTGCTTCAAAAGTATTGTCAGCATATATCAGAACAGTTCAGTATCCATTCTTTCGCCTGTCGGGTCTGTCTCTCGTGTTCTCTTGTCCCTTATTAGCATGAAGATGGACTTCAGGATCTGATCAAGAAGCAGGTTTAGACCTACCTGTGATCCAATATGTTAGTCCTGCGGCCTCGGGCAGCAATGGTTTTATACAGATAATTCTGAAGTGTTTCCAAAAGGTTTCTTGCGCAGTACGACTCCTTTCCAAGTTGTATTCACCTATCGTATCTGCCAGATTTGTAGTTGCCACAGCTTGGAGTATGCAGCCGGACCAGGAATATAATGCAAAGGACTCGAAATGGGCACCGGTGACTTGTATCCCCAGGCCTGTTCAAAGCCATTCAAAAGGATACCCAAGATTAGGAACGAAAGAAGTTTTAGAAAGAGCTGCAAAACCATCAAGTGCGTAGACCGATCAAGATTACCTTCAAAGTCGGGCCATTATATTACATGAGCATGTCTTCCAATGTCGCCTTCGCGCCAGGCTAATCTTGAATGTTTTTAACGTGTAATTTACCCACATCCTGAGATTGATCTACGCTTCAAGGTGACCTCCTAGTTTAGATGCTCTGTTACTGTACATTCCAGATGATGCTAATATGCTATGCTTTTGAAGAGACGGCCACAGAAGGGCAGATGCAACTTAACAAACCGATGACTCAAGGACAACCTAGACTACAACTGCTCAGCACTAGCAAGCAACCGATCAAACAGATCCTCCTTATGTGAACCACTCTCAACAATTTTCCCCACAGCCCCAACAACAGCAGCCAACCTCTTTCTCTTAATAGTCTCCTCGAGTTCCGCACTCTTCGTCCTGGCAAGGTCAATCACCGACGTAGGCAAATTCGCCAACCGCGCAACATTCAACCCATAACTCCGATGCGCAACGCCTTCGCCGACCTCATAGAGGAAAGTGATATTATCGTCCTTGCCAGACTCCGTAAATTGCATATGCACATTCTGTAGCTCAGCCTGTGGGAATGACTGCACCATTCGGGAAAGATGCTGGTAATGCGTGATGAACAGTGTCAGCGATCGAATAGAGCGGACCATATGGTCTAGTACAGCCTGAGCGATGGCAACACCATCATGAGTGGATGTCCCACGGCCCAGTTCGTCGAGAATGACGAGGGATCGCGGGGTTGCTTGTTTGAGGATATCTGCTGTTTCAGAGAGTTCGACCATGAATGTCGACTCGCCTGCGAGCATGTTATCGAAAGCGCCCATGCGTGTGAATACCGCGTCGAGAAGGCCCAGACGGGCTGATTCGGCAGGGACGTAGGAGCCAATTTGGCCCATGATTGCGATTAGCGCGACTTGGCGGACGTAGCTGGATTTGCCGCCCATGTTCGGGCCCGTTACGAGGAGGGCTCGCGTGCCGTCTTGGTCGAGTTTTGTGTCGTTGGGGACGTAGGTATCTGTCAAGAGGCGCTCGACCATTGGATGGCGGCCTTGGGACACGTGGAGACAGGCGTCTTCGGTGTATTCGGGTTTGACATAGCCGGGTTGTTGAGCGATGACGGATAGGGAGACGAGGCAGTCGAGGGTTGCAAGGGATTGGACGCAGTCTCGGAAGGATTGGTATTGTTGGGCGATTTCTGCTAGGAGGGCCGCAAAGGCTTTGTCGCAGGCTGCAGCGAGCGCTTCCTTGTATTGGTCTCGTTGGCGGATGAGTTGGATTACCTCTGGTGTGTGGAAGCGGGAAACCTTCTTTGTGCCGCTGACTTTGACCCATGAGGCGGGCACCTTTTTGATCGCGAGTGAGTTGTTCTCGATCTCGATCAGGTACTCGATGCCGGAAACCGTAGTGTAATCGACTTTCTTCCGGCCCAATTTCTCCTCGGCGACCTTGAGATGGGCCTGTAGCTCATGTTCGATACTGGCGATGCCCAGCTTCTGTTCGCCAACCTCGTCGGTTTCCTCTTCTTCTCGGAAGAAGGCGTATTTGTCATCTTTTTTGGCTGCGTACATATTTATTTTGTCCAAGAACCGGGTTACTTCCTCTTGGATGGTTGGCAGAGCAGCAACGGCCTCACTAAGAAGTGTTGACTCGAATCCCGTGTCCGCCGGAGACTTGATATCTGAGAATGCCATGGCGATCGTCTGCATGGTCTGCAAGACTGTAAGAAGCTCCGGTCGAGTGCACTGCCCGAATATTAGCACTCGAAGACACCAGTTAAAAAGTGACCACCTACCTTGCCGTAGTAAATACGAATCAGACTCTTCTCCAAATCACTCTTAATCTTGTTCAACAAGCCCTTGACTCTCTCCACGGGGACAGCCTTCGAAGAATTCGTCAACTCCTCCACAGCACTGGTCCTCTCCTCCAGCCGCTTCTTGTCAAGCAGAGGCCTTCCAACCCACCTCCGCAACAACCTCTGCCCGAACCGCGTCTGCGTCCGATCCAAAGTCCAAAAAAGACTTCCCTTCGCCGAATGGTCAGTCTGATTCTGATAGATCTCCAGACTAACAAGCGTATTGCCATTCAGCAACATATGAGACCTCGCAGAGAACGGCTGGAAGTACTTCGTCAAGTCAAAGACATGCTCGAGTCCATACTCAGTCATATGCTCGATCATAGAAGACAAGCAGATTGTAACATGCTCCGGCAACTCGAGAACATTCTTCAACAACTGCGCAGCATGCACATCCTCATCTGTCCGAGTAGCTTTCATCTTGCCAGCATAGAAACTCGAAACATGGCTATGCGCTTCAGCAGCAGCAGTTTTCTTCTTCTCAGCTCTTTCCAACCTCACCGCATCTCCAAAAACATTCATCTTACTACCAGATAAATGCCGAACAAGCTTTTCACTAGCCTTGGACATCTCCCCAACAATCAAAATCTCACAAGGCGCAATATGCAAAAGCCGAGTCTCGATCTCACTTCGCATGAACCCATCTTCGAAATCATCGTAGATCACATCGCCCGTGTTAGGCTGCACGGCGACAAACCCGACATGCACTCGTTCATCATTACCCCATCCTTTGGCATTCGACTCCGTGATGCAGAGCATATACCCCGTAGCAGGCGAAACATTTCCAGCCGCCGGAGCCGGACCCTCGAGGCCCTCGATATCGTCGATGTATGTACCTTTCGTGTACAAGTTCGTTAACTTGCGAACGAACGGCGCATTGCGATTATCACCCGCGGCCTTGAGGGCAGCGGTTTCGATCTGGCGTACCACGCCGACTTTATGGCCTGCTGTAATAAGACGCTTAACGTGGACGTGCAGCCGATGCACAGGGATACTTGCGGAAGCGAATCGATCGATGTGGGCTTCCGATGGATCTATAGAAAGTCGTTAGCCTCAACTTCCTGCTCACTCTAGAACCAAGTAACATACGTTCATCGAACCTGAATTTTCCCGGAATACACACAATCCCCAACTCCTTCGCAGCAATCCTTGCATCCTCTCCAAAGAATCGGAACTTATACCCAACCTCAATGACAAGTACCGTACCCATATGTTTCCGCTTGATTTCAATTACCTGCTTCTCCATCGGAGTCAGCTTGTTACCGCCCTTCTTGGCACCCTTGCCCTTAGTCGGGGGCGGGGGAGCCTCGTCTTCATCCTCGCCGTCTTCAGCCTCAGCGGCAGCGGCAACATCACTGGCTGCCCTGCGGCCGATTCCGATTAGACAGTCTGCGCCGCCAAGCTTGCGGACGAATTTTAGGTGGAGTTTTTCTCTTTCTTGCTTTCGCTGGGTGTCGGCCTGGTCATTCTCGGGTGTGGCTATGGCGGGTGAAGTTTGGAATTTGAAAATGTCGGTGCGTTGGCTGCTGTTTGGCTGGGAGGGTGGGTTTGGAGGTAATTCGGGGGCCTGTTTCAATTGTTTCGGTTCTGCTGGTGTAGATCCGTTTGTTCTGGCACGCTTTGTAGGTCGTACGATGACTTCGTCCTCGTCTTCGGCTTCGGGCTCTGGTTCGGGTGCTGCCTGATTCGGTTCATTGTCCTCCACAGGCGACGCGGGCCGTTTCTTAGATAAACGCTCTTGGATAGCTGCTGAGTCGTTTGAGGTACTGGTCTGCGAGGAGGGCTTTTGAGAGAAGAAGCTGGAGATGGTCGCTTGCTTGCGCTTCAAAGACGGAGACGGTGCGGAGGGTGATTGGGAGGAATTGGGTGCCATGGTGAAAAGTGGCACTGGCTAGTCGTGTAAATGGAGTTGTTGATGAAATATTCAAAGTGCGTCACACAGAGCAGTGATGCCCTTGTCGTGTCCTCTTCAATACTTGTCCGGAGCTCGACGCGTGAAACGCGTGGCGGCGTTAATTGGTGCTGACTCAGCTCTTATCTGACTGGCGTTAGCCGTCACTATATCTATATAGTTGTGATAGATCATACGAAGTACGAAGGAAAGTCATCAGGGAATTTATTGATAGGGCTATCATGATAATCAAAAAAGCATTCCGTCATCCACCTTGAAGAGAGATAAAAATCAATGCCAATACAAAAGCTCCCCGCTTCAGGAAACAACCACAATAATGTGAGCAATCATCATGTGAAAGGATAGGGGAGCTTAGTCTCTGCTCACACCACGGTATTTCATATGAACAAACCTCCTTCCAAGAAAATCTGTCAAGGAACATGGATATCAGCGCATCTGGACGGGCGATATAGTCTAGTCGGCATTGCCAATCAGGTACAGCTCGGCGAGTTCTTGGGAGTCCACTTGAGAAACAGTCGCCTCAGAAGATGCAGAGCGTGTGACCGTGGCCCAGCCAGTGTTACCCACCGACATATTCACCTCAAATGGGTTGTCATCGTCGTAGAAGTCCATCTGGGTGGACGGGGCTAGCAGAGGGTTGGAGCAAAACCCAAAGCCTGCATGGCCATTGTTACTTGCAAGGTCAGTAGCTTGAGGCTGGCCGAGGAAATACCGGGGGTACAAAGCGTCGTTAGAATTACATCTCTTCAAAAAAGGGGAGTGGTTCCAAGAGGGAAAATCGATGAAGCCCTGGGGATTCAGGATGGGCTCCATGTTCTCTTTGTCCATAGAGGACTGATCAGTCTGGTGGGCGTGGTTGTCAGCGGCTGCTTTGCTTTTAAAAATAAGTCGTGCCGGAGTCAGTGTGCCCAATGGATCCTGTGGGGCTGCTTGTTGATCTGGGAAGTTCTGCTTGTCTTGGTCATCGTCGGCGAAAACAGCGAAGCCTTTGTGAGGTCGCTTTCCAAATGCCTTCGTAGAAAGAGCAAAATCATCATCCTCCGGTGTGAAGGATTGTCCGATACTTTGTAGGCGAGCAAACTGGGAAGATGAAAGGCTATCATCATGCCACTCATCATCAGCCTCATTCATTTGAGGGGTCTTCTTCGCTCGCTTGCGGTCCTGAGCACGGGGAAGATTAGGGTCCGTTGGACGAAGAGGACGAAGAGCGGTCGTTCGGGTACGTATCTTGGGCCGAGGCTGACGACGCTTGGGGACTGGAGTTTCACCCTTCAGGGGACTGTCGTCGTCGACATTGCCCGAAATCACACGCTGTTTCTTCAAAGTTCCAGTGGGAGAGAAGATGAGCTCTGTGGGCTCCACCTGGGAGGATGTCCATTCCATCGTCTTCAGCACTTTACCGTCTTTCTTCTGGTTCCGCTTGCGCCGCATCAGCTCCGTGGCCGAATCAAATATGTCCATTCCCGGCCACAGCACACCCTTGAGTCTCGACATCTCATCAGCCCGTTCCTTGTCAGCTTCGACATTGTCCAAGCTCACGCCGTGGCTTCTGGCATCGCCAAATTCATTCGAAGCTTTGCTGCCCACTCTCCAAGGTACGTCACTGTGTCGAAATCTAATGTGTGGGGCTATTGGCGTCACCGGCAAGGTCGCAGTATGGATTCCTTCGTCAACGCTGAATGAAGCACATCCATACCACTCATCTCCTTTTGCAGCGCCCACAGTCCCAGATGAGCCAGCATCAAGGGCTACACTTGAAACCACAAGAGTATCAGTTGCCACATCTGCGGCTGGGGTGTACCAGGATGAGACAGAAGAATTTTGACTGTCGAGTTCGAGTTTCACGTTGCCGTAATCGTCAACTAGACGTGGGTCCAGAAAGTCAGGAAGCAACGGACGTGCATGAGGGCTGTGATGGATAGGCTCGGTGGGGTGGGATGTTCTCGGGGGAGTTCGTTGGTTGGTAGTAGTTAGCTTGGGTGTGTTTTGGGCTGCGGACTTCCGCTTCTTCCTTCTGTCTTCCTTGGAGGTGCTCCGATCGGAGAGCAGTTGAGCAAGGTTGTTTATGTTGAACCAATGGTCATATTGCACGAGTAACTCAACAGCGTCATCCTCTTGGTGGCTGCGGACTTGAAGCTTGAAGTAGTAAGACAGATGTGCCTTAGAGGAGACATGGGTCAACAGATGAGATGTGTCGCTAAAACAGGGCCGCCCGGAACAGATGATACATTGGAGCATAGAAGGCTCCATCGCACCAACAGGGAGAACCGGTTGACCCGATCCGGGGGAAAGCAAATGCAAAGCCAAGCAAAAGAAACTCCCAGCCAAAGGCTGATAGACCAAAATGTCGAAGGAGCGATGAGGGTCGTAGTAGGTCGGAAGGTTAGAAGAGTAGGCGGAAATTGGAATTGGAGAGGAAGGGGAAAAGAAGGGACCAAACAGTGTAAAGTTTTGTTGTGAACTAGGGCACGTCCAAATGGAAGGAACATTGGGAAGTGGATGTGAAAGTGGAAGTATACTACGGCAGGAGCAGTCACAATGTATGTCATTGAATGTGAATTTGGTATCACTAAGAGAGAAATGTGCCACGATGTCTTAACAGCCTTCAGGCAATTGTGGGAGGGTATGAAGCGGAATAAGTCAAAGTGGACAACTGCTCTCCTCCTGCCTTGTATCCCCTGATCCATGGAAAAAAGAACCAAGGGTTATTAGATGGCAGGAGGGTTCATGGTACTCGTGTTGAGTGATTGCTTTACTTCCCAAGACAGCGAGCTGTCACAAATTTGGGCATACAACTGCAGCTGATTAGCGGATGATTGGGTCGAAATGTTGAAGTCACGTACTAGACAGGATCTACTTCTTGCAGTCCTTCAAACCCTAGAAGGCTCAAGCCTGCTAGACCGAAGTGGGTGTGGTACACATCAACCATGTTCCCAGGACGGTCTGCAAAGCCACCAGCTTCAGGATCCTATTTGGAGTTAGTGGCAGGAAACATAGAGTCACAGGGAATGTGCTTACTTGGCACTGCAGAACAAAGGAAGCAAGCTTCTTGCCATCAATCCAGTGAAGTCGGTCGATCATCGCCAGAGCCGAGCCAACCCACCAGGTGTAGCATGCGTCGACCAGTTTCTCTGGACGACCATTGAAGCCGCCATTGTCAACTTGACGTTCGCTGAGCCAGGCGCCCAAGCGGTCCTTGTTGACCAAGTCCAGGCGTCCGGCAATGGTCAAAGCTCCGACACAAGTGAACACTTGGCCTGCATGAGACTCAGCACCGGGGCAGATGCCATAGCCTCCATCGAAGTTCTCACAACTTTGAACATAAGTGACCGCTTTGGGAACGTCAACTAGGTCTAACAGGCCTAGTAAAGATAGTGCGTTGAGAGCTCCATACAGGAATCGGGTGTCTGTCTCGCCCCATGGGTCTCCCATGAAGGAACCATCTTCCCGGTTCTGCAAGCTGGCAATGAAAGCTCCAACTTTTTGCTTGCCCCCAAGGCCTCTCTTTTCCAGCTCATCGACCGCGTCTACAGTAGCCAGGATCTGGACTGCAGAGACAGTGTAGAGCATGTGTGCATCATGCCCAGGGGCAGCGCCAAAGCCTCCATTGTCCCGCTGGCAGGAAAGCACAAAGTCAATCGTTTCATTCCGGGGCAGAGCATCGGGATGGCCCAGAAGATACAGGGCCGTCAGCCCCCAGTAGACACCATTGAGCCGCAAGTGCTCCGTAAGCCAATACTCCAGCTCATCTTTCCGCTATTGTCACCGTCAATGAAACTGCCCTACCGTCCTAGAGTACCACAGTGAGAAAGAAGCACGCACAGTGTCTAGGTTTTTGATGTAAGCCACATGCTTAAGGGTGTGCAGAGCTTGGTCGGTGCCTCCGGCCCTGCCGGGACCAGATACCAGGGACATTGTTCTGGCTTATCCGCCCCCTTTGGAAAGCCAGGGTGGTGATTGGGCGGGTTAGTAGCTCCAGGAGAAAGCTTGTCTCGGAGCGGGAACAGAACTAGGGTGGATTGAGGGGGAATTCAGATCATGCTGTCATTGAGCAAGGATGGGCGGGCCAGAAGGGCAGAGCCGCGGGTTTACTGCCGCGAAGCGACTTTGTGGCTGAATCGTGAACGCCAGAAGTGGGATCGCGCCGTTTTGACTGTGTGACCACGTGATCTGCTGAGTCATGATGCCAAATGCTGATGCCTCAGGTGTGGGGCCCGTGCGCAGAGCAGGCTCGGGCGCTAGTCTCACATTATCCATGCCATGTTTCAGACCGGTGGAGGAGGGGTGGATGCATGACAGGAACAATGGAACACAAAGATTGGAATAGAAAAGTATGGAGCCTGGCTATGCCCTGTCCTTGGCGAATCTATTTCTGTGAACTACCCTGCCGAGGATATAGTTCTACAGGACGAGGTATCACAGTTATTGAAATTGGGATATACCTCAGACATGTCAGAGTCTGACCGCTACAAATATGCATCCAGATAAGCACGTGACTTTGTATCTCTGCACAGACACGTCCTGCACCCTTTCATTTCCATCCTATCTCAAAGGAATGAAAAGGATTGGTGGAAGTGGATTGCTTAGGGTCGGAGCAGGATCAAGCCAAATATCTCACATGGGCGTGTACTAGATATGTAGCCTTGTCCTTTCCGTTAATACAGCGGAAATTACTGGAGAGGATAAATATAGTTCACGGAGAACTGGGCGCCTTTGGGTCCATCGTACACCGTATTCGGACGGAAGCGAAAATGTGAGAAAATCATCGTGTTTCTAAAATCAGCAGACCCCACTTGCAGGATGAGGGCCGTGTGTGAGCCATTGAACGGAGAGGGGCAGTCAGATATCTATCAGTGGGCTAAGCCCGAAACCGGGACTAATTCAGGGAGCAAGAGGAAAGCGTAGTGGGGGATGGGTCCGTTTGCAAGCGCCCGGGACACGTCGTGTCTGACGCGGTATTTTGTTGGTGTTCCTTTACCCCTGACTAGCTTAGATAGGATCCTAGCCTGGCATGGATTCGGTACATGCACAAAGTGAGAAGATGGACGTCATCATATCACATAGGAAGATTTTGAGTGCTCGGGTACCTTGACCATAGAATGTAGCTTGGTACCTCAAATGGCAAATGCCTTGATCCGCGACAGGGAGAACCGCGGATGGCCCCAGGCACAGTGGGGATGGACACTCGGATTTGCCAGTTTTTTTCTCTCGACTCCACCTGGTACATGGCAGATTGTCCAATCAATCCCCACTACCGCTGTAACGTAAGAGGCCGCACATCATCCCGCCCGTGGCTCTAACTGCCAGACCCAGTGGCTCTGCTTAATGCGGTGGGGATAGTCCTCCGGAAGGCGACTATGATGGTGTGGTACTTCCTAGGGGTAACCTAGCTGTATCCTAGGATAGACCTAGGACCATCATCTGGGAGCTCATAGCTGTAGGCCGTGTAGATCCAAGTCATCCGAGGTGACACTGCAAACAATCACGAAATGTACTCGAGGTAGCAGGATTAACGAGCTAGTAAGTGATGTTCGCCCACAGTCACCCTATTTGGACAAGCGACGACCCTTGGAACGGAGTGGCATCCCATCTGGGAATTGGATATTGAATACAATCAGAGTACTTTATGCTATAGTTATAGGCAATGAAATTAATAAAGTGGAATCCCCCACCGAGCTGTCTCTTCCCCGTGGATCGTCCGAATGATAAACGAGGGCTTGGCTCACCTTGCATAATCTCAGGGCTCTCAGGAATGCATCTCCCACCCTCTTCCCTCTACATTCTACGAGCCTGACGACCCTTTTTCTGCTTCTGCTTTGCGCATCTCCCGGAGAGGTTAGCGCATGACTTTACTTTGGGACTGTCCCAGCTAACGTACCCGCTACGCTTGCGCTAAGTCCATTCGGGGGCTTGGGCATCTTCTTTCTGAAAGTGGTCCCTACTTTTTTCCCCTTTGACGTGAGCTTGTGTTGATCTTTGCGCTCTCTTTCCACACGTTCTGCGTGTCTGCTTAAATCAGCCGAATCTGTTGATCACTCGAGTCGGCGAAAAAGAGGGGGCACAACGACTGGCTCCTTGTCAACAATCACCCCTCGATCGGCCTGGGGCTCACAACTCGCTCGGAAAACGTTGTGGCGGCATAATATGAGGGGACGCCTGGTGAGTGACTTCTTTCAACTCCTCTTGAGGCGCCCGGGAATGCGGTCATTGTCTCCGGGTCTCGGTATCTGGTCTTGTTGATAAAGAACATGGCCGCTTTGAACTCCGTTGGCCCCCCCCCCCCTGCATCTGTCTTCGTGACATGCGACCTGGTCTTTTTTAGACGCTTCTTCGCTGTGGAGATCTGGTTTGACTGACTATGTAACGGTGTTCACCAGATTCCATTTCGATAGCATCCTCCAAAACAAACTGCCCCAACAACGGTCCCCTACCTCGACCAGAGTCCATACACTTCGGGCTGAACAACAACCCTCGGCTGAAGTGAGCAACTTGGAGAGCCTCGATCAGGTATATTTCAGCCGCAGCCCTGTTCGCCTGGGTAAAAGACCGTCGCTGACATGATCCTGTTTACAGCCGGACAAACCCGCATTTCAACTGCCGCGCGTGGCACATTAAGCCTGTGACGCCTTTGTTCCGATTCTCTTACACAATTGAAGGTCTTTGCCTTCATTGCCGCCGAAAATGCCCTCCCGAAATTCTGGAGTACCCAACTTGGACCTCAAGGCCCTAAAAACCGACCACACCGATGGCAAACTCTCATCTCCTCTTACGCCTGGTGGCCAGAGCTCCGACGGGCTTAGCCCCTTGACACCGAAGTCGCCAAAGTCCGGTTCGAGTTCGCCCTTCTTCAAGGGGGCGACCATTCGTCCGGTCACGCAAGACTCGAGCTCGAAGGCGACGAGTCCTACAATTCCAACTTCGCCCGGCAACCTGAACGCCGAGACTGCACCCGAACCCTCTACACCCGGTTTTACTGCTATCCCCCAGTATTTTCCTTCTCCAAAAGACTCGCACAAACACTCCCGCGATGCCTCGAAGTCGTTTTTCGGTACCTTGAAAGCGCCGAAATCTTCACATAAAACACAGCGCTCGGATAGCTCCGAGAACTCCACAGAACCGCCAAAGAGCCGAGGTAGCTCGAGGGACCGCAAATCATCAATGACCAAGTTGACCGAGTCAACACCAGACTTGCCAGGGACAATCGCGCGGGCAGCAGAGAACGAGAAGAGTGAGGCTTCTTCTACCGATAAGCGCACGCAGCAGCCAGTACCGAGGAAGACGGCCACTGATTTGGATCCCATGCAAAAGAAGACCAAACCGCGGTTTGCAAACCTCTTAACGCGATCTCGATCTATTCGGGTTGACGACTCCTCTGTAAACAGAGCCGCCGGTCGACGACCGTCAACGGGCTTGGCCAAGTTGGAGGAGTTCAACCAGGGCGAATCGCAGTCGCAGAGGCCTCACCGCACGGCTACAGCCAACACTTCCACTACTTCAACGGTTAAGCCGACGTCTACTGCCAAGCCTACTTCCTCTGCCAAGGCACCTGCAATGACATCGACCACAACAACCACACGTAACGAGCGCCCGCCTACGCAAGGAGGCCTACAGCCGCCCCCTCATCGCCCAGCGGATGGCGCTTCTCTTCGAAAGGAGAGGAGCTACGGTGGCTCCATGGTCACGTCAGGCTCTTTGAGCCAGGTTTCTGGCGCGTCGGCCGCTATCTTCAACAATCTTAAGCAGTCGTCCAATGGTGCTGCAGATCGTCTTGGCAAAGCTGGCAAGGGATTTTTTAGCAAGATCACTCGTAGTGGCAGCACCAACGAGCGGGAGCTCATCAATGATGATTCATACGTTTGCTCTGTGATCAATCTTCCTCTTATTGATCAAGCAAGAAAGACACGTATTTGCAAGAAATTGGAAGATTGCAGGGACAAAACAGAGTTTTGGATGCCTGCTCTCCCATATCGTTCTATTGATTATCTCAACTTCAAGGGCTGCGAGGAAGAGGGTCTTTATCGAGTACCAGGCAGTGGCCGCGAGGTCAAGCACTGGCAAAGGCGATTTGATTCAGAATTGGACATTGACCTCTTTGAAGTGCCTGACCTCTACGACATCAACACGATTGGGTCCTTGTTCAAGGCTTGGCTTCGTGAACTTCCCGACGAACTCTTCCCCAAGGCGACACAAGACAGGATCGCCCAACAGTGCGAGGGTGCCACTACTGCCCCGCAATTACTCAAGGACGAACTCTCCAAACTCCCTCCCTACAACTATTACCTCCTCTTCGCCATCACCTGCCACCTCAACCTTCTACACTCGTATGTTGATCAAAACAAGATGGACTACCGCAACCTGTGCATATGTTTCCAGCCCTGTATGAAGATTGATGCATTCTGCTTCCAATTCCTGGTCTGCGACTGGAAGAACTGTTGGCAGGGTTGCTGGACTGAGAAGGAGTATGTCCAGAAGGAGATGGAAATGGACGAGCTGGAGAAGAGGGCCGCAGAAGAGAAGGAAGCTACCAGGGCTAAGCCTGAGCCACCCCGTTCTGCTCCAACCGCCGTTAGCCACGAGCGAGCCGTCTCGTCCGGTTCCAGCTCTAGCGAAAAGGCTAACAGCTCTAGCGAAAAATCAAAGGAGCAACCTCCTCGACCAGAAACATCTCGAGGCCGAAAGCCCAAGCCGAAGAACATAGAGGTTGGCCATTCAGGCCATACCAGAAGCATATCCCAACTTCCCGAGCTTGGCCCACCACTTTCACCCATCAAGATCTAGAGTCTGTTCTCATCTCATTTCATGCAATATTTTTCTTGATCTGGGCTCTTCTTCTTAGCATCTATGCGACTCATATATTCACGTTGCGCTGAGTCTTTCATCGGCTGGACCGATCTATCTCCGTCTCAGGCTAGAATTATAGAGCCAATCCACGATATACGAAGTGGTCTCGGCTTTCCTGCATCTTCCCGGGTATTTGACACCCAACCCAACCCAGCCTATTTGGTCTGCACCAGCATTGTCAGAGTGCTTGTCCGACGTCTCCGGTACCCATCATTGCCACTTACATTCTCACGTTTGTATATGTTGTCCTTTCCGTACACTCTGACCCGGCGAATGGCGGTCTCATTCTCTTGTCATATTTCCTTGTCACGCGACTCTCATTCGGCAACGCAATGGCCAGTCTGTTTCATGCTCTGCTTCTTCGGATTCCCCTCTGTGGCTTTACTTGATATCTTTGTTTTACACATTGCGACTGGTTCCTGTTTTCTTTCTGTTTGGCGTTCTCATTAAGATCTGTACAATAGCGGCCATGGGAGGGCATTTCTTTTTTTTCAGCTTAATGAAACCAATTTGGTATGCTCGATTTTGATTCTCTACATAGTAAACCAGTTCGGAAGGTATCAATACCATGAAGTAGATATCGAAGTAGAAGAAAAAGTGTGTGGGTGTTAGATGGAATAGGATATAAACAATGCTTTTTAATCTAGTCATATGTCGACCGTCATGAGTTTAAAGGCAAAAACCCTCGACTCCAAACCCCAACGCCGAGAACAAAGACACTTCTCAAAATGTACAGTAGTCCCTTTAAACCATTACCACTATTTCTTTCCCGTCTTCGCACGAGTCGCATTCGACCGCTCCTTACGCTCATTGCGCTTGATTCTCTCCTTCCGCTCGGTACGACCCATTCCACGGATCGAGCCACCCTTAGTAGCAGCCTCCTCCTCCTTCTTCCATTTGCTCTCATCAACCTCCACAAGCCACTGGTTGTCGTCATCCTTGTTCTTGCCTTTGTATCCCCACTTGGGAACCCACTCGCCAGATGCCTCGTCGTAAACGAGCTTCTTGCGGCGCTCCTTGTCCGCCAGGGTGGCGCCGGGCTTGGTGCTGAACTTGCCGATACCCTTCTTACGAGCGAACAGCTCCCACTTAGTCGGGGGCTTGGGTGTAGGCAGGGGCTTGAACCGGGGAAGGTCGGTGTTCGGGGCCGGCAGGCTGAGAAGGACACCATTCTGCGCGGACGAGGTGATGTTGCATGTTGTGAGCAGTTGGTTCAAGAGGCACTGGGCGCCATCACGAGCGGTGGCTTGGAGGGAACTGTTCAGCTCGCCGGCCGTGATCTCCAGAGGATTTGGGTCGTTGACTGTCAGGTGGCCCAGATTGAAGGTGTAGGGGGTGGGCTTGGAGACGGTGATAGGACTAGAGGTTCTGTTAGTCTCGTGCACTGTTTGGCTGGACGATGGAAAAATATATTTCGTACAGTCTCTCGGGCTTGTCAGCGGCGTCAACGCCGTTGGACATATCGACGTCAGTCATTATGAAAATTTCTTCTGAAAATACTCAGAAAGAAATAGAACAGAATGCTGGTGCAAAACAGCAAGATTGAGAGATATTGAGCTCGGCAAGAAAAAATGTTGGCTATCACCACTTTCACTTTTCTGCCGAGTGACTAAGACAAAGCACACCGCCATCCTAAATAGGCGGAAGGAATTCAATCAAATTATTATGGCCGGTTGATGGTGTTTCTCGATCTCCAACATTCGTCCACCACTCCCGTCCAATCCTCCTCAAACTGTCCGCTAGGGCCACTGTTCTTGAACAATGGCCTCCGCGTGGTGCTGGAGCTGTCTCTCCCGGCTCCGTCCAACAACGCGAGCCTTTGCCCCGACGCCGGCCGCAACACCCCGGATTACCAGCGCTCCCTTCCACTCGACTGCGGTGCAATATGCCAATCCGGTGAAGAAGAAGAGCACTCTTGTCGCCAATAAGTACCGCCAGGGTCAGATACTGAAGAGGAAGAAGAAGACCAAGACTGAGCGGGCGCGTCCCCCGGCTGTTGGAGAGCGCAAGGCTTTGCGGAAGCGCATCGTGCTCAGCAACCCCAATGCCCTAGAGATTGAGGGCATGAAGGACTTGTCACCTGAGACTATGGTAGATGCTCGTCTCCGTGGTACTGTTGTCGGTCTGCCCGTGGCTACCCTGGATCGATTGAGGGCGGTGCAGGCTTTCAAGCCTAAGCAGGGTTGGCCTATATTCCGCCGGCCGGGTACCGTTCTGCGCCGTGATACTCTTGAGATGGGCCGTCTGTTTGAGAAGATCTCTGGCGATGGTGATGCTCTTGAAAAGGGCAAGGTTGTCAAGAAGATTATTACGGGATCCAAAGGCTCCGGCAAGACCGTGCATTTGTTGCAGGCTATGACTATGGGCTTCCTTAAGAACTGGATTGTGATTACAGTGCCTGATGGTGAGTTTAATTGAAGGATAGTCGATGATTGAATGATCACTAATATTTGAATAATAGCACGCGACCTCGTGTGTGGAGACACTGCCTACTCTCCCATCGAAGGCAGCAAGCCTACACAGTATGACCAGCCCAACGCTGTTTCCGCCCTCCTGACCCGCACCGTCGAGGCCAACCGCGAGGTTCTGTCTAGCCTCAAGGTCTCCCAGAAGCACGCCGGTTTGCCCGGTCTCAAGCCCACCTCGACCCTCGAAGACCTGGCCAAGCTGGGCTTCCAGGATGCCGCCCTCTCCTGGAAGGTCTTCCAGGCTCTGTGGGCCGAGTTTAACGCTACTGCCGCTGCCCCAGGAATGGAGAAGAACTTCGAGGCCCGCCCTCCCATGCTCGTCGCCGTCGACGGTCTCGCTCACTGGATGACCGAGAGCGCCTACAAGGCCTCAGACTTCACCCCGGTGCACGCCCACGATCTTATCTTCGTGCAGCACTTCCTCTCCCTTCTCAAGGGCCAGTCCTTGAAGAACGGCGGTATGCTCTTGTACGCCACCTCGACCTCCAACAACCCCAGCAGCTACAGCCTCGAGGTCGGTCTGAACCAGCTGGCCGCGCGCCAAGCCGGCATTGCCCCTGATTCCGAGGAATACCCGCAACCCGAGAACTATAGCAAGCCTGATAGCCGCGTGCTGGACATTTTCAAGCCCGATACCGCCAAGGACGGCCTCGAGCTGCAGACCCTCGGCGGTCTCACCCGCGACGAGGCCCGTGGCTTCCTCGAGTACTTTGCTCAGAGCGGTCTCCTGCGCGAGTCCGTGAACGAGGAATGGGTCGGAGAGAAGTGGACTCTGTCTGGTGGTGGTATCATTGGCGAGCTGGAGAAGCTGGGTCGTCATGTGCGCACTGCTGCTCCTCAGCCCGTTGCCCAGCCCGTTGCTGCTGCGAACTGATGGATATACCTGTTTCTTTGATTCGGACCCTTGATGTGGTTCGATTTTGTACTGTAAATGGGATGCTGGGCTTTGTTTTTTATGCTTCTTCAATGTACTTTACAAGTCTTATAAATCTCTTTTGATATTTGCTTTTGTATGCATATAATGGCCATGTTTCCTATAAACTCACCTCTTTGCCACTCCACCCGTGAGTATCTTGTGTTTTTATGTTACCAGTAAATGCAAGGTACTAGGTATTGTCTATGTAGGCAGGCCTTCCCCAACGATATACCGTAACGGTAATCCGGGCACGCCGGGACTATCTAGTGTTACCAGATCTCGACGTCTAATGGCTTTCCCCAAAGATAAACTTTTCAGAAAAACACTCGTTGGCTATCAACGAACCTACGTTGGTCTCACAGAAAAGCCATAAATATCGCGCTCAATCGCAGGCTAAGTTCGGAGATTCCAGCATCAATTGATCGTTCTTGTCGAGCTCTGCAGGTTCCTCTCGATCTAATCCAGCAACCTTTGCAAAGATTCTTTAGAATCTATCCTAGAAACGTTCCAATATAATCACCATGAAAATCGAAGTCTTATTCAGTGCGCTTTTTTTTTTTTGTTCAAACAATTGCTGCGCCGGCTGCGTGTCCTGATATCGGCTGCCTCCCAGGATCAGACTGGGTTTGTACAACGGTTCCCGGAGTTGGATCTATTCACTGCTATTGTCAGGCACATGTCGATTGTAGGTTACTGCTAGAGCAATTAACATGCCACGATCGCTAAGTGATAATCAGAACTTCAATTGAAATTGGAAAATCAGTGCTAGCAGCGTTTACAAAATGCCTTTTGTCGTTGTTATATTAATTCATGATGATACCAATCTTTGAACCCACAGCTTCTCATCCGCAACAGTTCCGAAACCCAGTCTCTTAACCCCATTATAATATTTCTTATTCATCAACCTTCTCTGGCACAATAGGTCTCACCAAATCAGGATAATCAAACCTAGCAGCATAGTTCATAAACACCGAGTTCCCAGGATGCGCCTCTGTCTTCTCTCCCCTGAAAAGGAACGTCATAGGGAAACCCAAGTCAAAGTCATAGGCCCCCTCAATCTCCTCAATATCATTCTCCGACAACCTCAGTCCCAGCGCCTCAATATTTCCCAACAAATGCTCCGGCTTGCGCCCACCCACAATCGGCGTCACATACGGTGCCTTATGCATTAAGTATGCTAGCGCCACGCTCGTGATAACCGTGTTGTGTCGCGCAGCCACACTCTCCAGAACCTTCGAAACGGCGATATCCACATCCCGGGGCTCAACCTGTCGTCCAGGGTTACCGGATTTGGTGATCTCTTCGCGTTGGGCGGCGGTCTTGAAGCTGCCACCGCCTATGGCACCCCAGGGTACTAGCCCCATGCCTTCGGCGGCGGCCATGGGGATGATCTCACGTTCGAAATCGCGCTTGGCGGCGTTCCATTGGCCTTGATAGACGGAGAAGGGGCGGAGGCCGTGGTCTCGGGCGTCTTGGTGGTGTTAGTGGGTTAATTCTGAGGAAGGAGGGAGGGGAATGTACATTGGTTTGCGCGGCTGACGATCCAGGCGGGTGTATCGCTGACTCCAAGATATAGAACCTTGCCTGCAGTAACTAGCTGGTTGAGCGAGGTCATCACCTCCTCGATAGAGGTACTAAAGTCCCACCAGTGGACATATAGCTAGAGCGAGTATCAGCATCTTGAATCCCCAATCCCCTCACGATCGGTTGGGAAAGAAGCATACCAAATCAATGTAATCCGTCTTCAACTTCTTCAAACTCGCTTCCAATGAGACCTTCATACTCTTCGCATTATTGCCCACATAGTTCGCCTGGATCTGAGACTTGTCGAACAAGCGATACGGCGAGGTATACTTAGTAGCGAGGACGATCTCGTCACGCACGCCACGGGCTTCCATCCACTCGCCGAGCCAGGTCTCAGAGTCTCCATTTTGGTAGGCGTTGGCTGTGTCGATGAAATTGCCGCCGTTTTCATAATAAGTGTCGAGGATTTTGAAGGACTGCGCTTTGTCGCATTCGCCGAGTCTCTCTTTCCTGTTTGTTTCTTAGCTCCATACCTAGGTGTGGATAGAACGCCAATTGCGTAGTTAGACCTTACCAGCCTTCTCCGAAATTCATAGCTCCCAAGCACAATGGGCTCACCTTCACTCCGGCTGTGGGTGCCAGGAGGCGATAGCGGCCGAGGTGGGATTTGGGAGGTGCTGCTGCTTGGAACATTGTGTCGGGTTTTTACTGGGTGGTTTTCTTAACTGGTTTGAATATGGGAAGTTTCAATTCTGCTAGGAATTGAAAAGATAAAAGGATCAACATTGAGGTTCACTGGCTCCACCTTTTATAAATGCTCCTGCGGGGATATGATGTAAATGCTCCCAAAGGATTGGATACAACTTCCTGCTCCGCATAACCCATTATTAAGCTGGAGGTACATAAAAACCTGTTTCCCGCTAAGTCCGTCTTGTTGAGTGTTGTGGTACATGGCACCGAAAGTATGCCCGTTGGTGATCGGTCGACGGAGGAGAGAGTGCTTTATCCCCGTTAACCCCACTTGAGCTATACGACTCTGAATCCTCAGCGTTTAGAATCGGAGCTGGAACCTACAGTACAACCTAAGGGGAAAAGTAAATATGAAGAACCTATACCATTGAAATATTCTTGACCACCTCTGAATATGTCCCTTAAGCCCCTCCTCTGCTTCGCCCTCTGCCTCGGCTTTTGGCCATGCCGCGGGTTCCCGTTCCTGGTCCTGGTCCTGTTCCTGTACCCGCGTCTAGTCCCCGCGACCTCTTCGAGTAGCTCCCCTAGTCATTTGTAAACCTGGATTCGTAACCCCTTTAGCTTGAGCTGTACCACTTCCTATCGCCGTAACTTGTGGACTCGAGATACCCTCAGCCATTGCCTTTAGTCTTCCATACTAGGCTCTCGCCTCTCTCAATTCCCAATTTTCTTTTTCTCTGCCATTTTCCGCCTCGTGAGGGGTGCCTTGTAGTAAAAAGGGAGGGCAGTTCTTTGATGACCCTCTCTCCCAAGGTCGAATAGCATTCTTTTCTCGTTTCAAGGCGCCTTGCCACGACTTTGGGATCCCAAATGTGGTCCATCACAACTCTGCCTCTGGGGGTTTCGACAGTTGCTGTCAGCTTCTTCCACACTGGATTCTCTCGATGTATGTGTTTACTCGCTGTCTGGTCGAGTTGGCTCGAGTTTCCTTCGACATGAAGTTTGTCGGATGTTTCAATTGCTTTAGCTGGTCTCTTGATTGTTTTCCTTGAATGCTTACCGCCCTTTTCTTAGTCTTGGGTGGAACCCAAGCAGAAACGTCGGGGTTATGGAGGAGCTCTTTGATTTGTCACTGCCTTTAGCCTTTTAGCCTTGGGTTCAACAGGCCAACCAGAGAATTCAGTTAAATCGGATGGAAGACCCTGGTCCATCGCCGATGTGTATTTCATCGGTGTAGTCTGAAAAACTTTTGAACATCTGGTTTTTTTTTTGTTCTCCGACAGTTCCCATTGCACCCTTGACCGAGGGCGTTTTTCAGCATCAGGAGGCATATTCAGTTAATTTCCTAGTCATTAAAAGGAATAAGAAAAGGTAAAATGATATCTAGGTGAAAACGTGGGCAAACAGCAATTCATAGACTTGCGAGCGCGCTGGTGGAAATGTAATGAAGTAAAGAATTCGATGAATTAATCTTTCTAGACATATCTTGGTTTAGCTTTCAAAGATTGAAATAAATGGCCGAGAGCACAGAATTACGTATACTCTGTACTCTGTGTATCATCAAGGGAGTAACCAAAGAGACCTCGAACCCCGGGTTACGCCAAAGCCCGAGAAAAGGCAGACAAGTAGGAACATTTACTAGTTTCCCCTGCTCTCTAATATGAGAGAAACGAGAAGAGCTCATGCTAGTAGGTCAGAGTCTTACTGAACTATAGCCTGCCAGGCCTTCGTGATTTAGCTCGTCGAAATCTAAGCTTAGATGGCTTAGAGGCCAAGGGGGCCACTCATAGGCCCTGGGGTGTAAACAAGGATAGCCTTGAGATAGGGATCAGAATCTCAGATAAAAGGAAATCACTTAGGTGAGACGATAGTTACCGTTACCTTAAAGGGAAAAGGTGCCATCCGCGTGGCATCGCGATCATGTGGGGTGGCCTCACGGCAAGTGCGCAAGCTCGTCCCGCTTCCTTAACACATGCGCTATGCCATATTTTCGTTCTGCGCTAGCTTGCAGTTCTCTCAGGAGTATCCTACTTCTATACCCAGCTTAATCTCTTCACTGCCATGAGCGACCATGTACGGCTCGAATCAACACGACTCGCAGCCCGAATGGCGGCTGCCTGCACCTCCACACCGTCCCGTGGGACAATTCGATGTCCCTCCACCGCAACCGCCTCGGCCTCAGGTCGCTTCGTATAGCCCTGCAACGTATGGCCAGATCTCAGGTCTACCAAACCCCAGTACATCGCCAGTGTCTGGATCCGCAGACTCAAGAACGTGGGGCGTGCGATACAACAATCAACAACAGGTGCACCCGGTCTACGCCCCGCCGCCTTTGCCAGTAAGGGTACATTATTGAATATGGGAGAAACGGAAGCTGACCGCATTGTCATAACAGCCTCGACCATCTAGTACAAATGAGCAGCCGTTTGCCTATGCGCAGTCGAAAACCCCGGAGCAGCCACCGCCCCTTAACACCAGCATTTCACCTCCGCCTCCAGGCCATGATTGCGAATCGTTCACCGAAGCTCAGCCTTCATTTGCTTCAAATATTCCGCCGCCATATGTGCCCCCGCCTGCGCCAGTACCGGCACTTAGTGGTGTGCCGCCTCCGCCTCCAAAGATCCCGCAGAATTCTCACCCAGCGGCGCAACAGGCCAGTCAACCTGTGCGGCCACCACTTCTTGCGCAAGGTGTAGGCCCGGCGGCCACACTAGGCTCCTATGGATTCCGGACGAATACCAACTCGGCCTCAACGGGTCCATCAGCTTTGGGAACTGGCACGCCTTCTGACTGGGAGCATTTGGGTCACAGTACAGCTGACTTTGACGATGCGCCCTGGTTCCCAGATAGGCCACCGGCACACCAAACACAGGATTCTGTTTATAATTCGCCGACTTACGGTACTGGAATGCAACCCCAGACTTTGAATAACACGGCTACGCCTCCCCCTCATATGGACCCAAACCAGCCGACTCGCCCTTCCTCGAGTTTTCCTTCTCGCCCAGACACTATGAAACGGAATGATTCCATTTCGCCTATCAGTCCTGGAACAAAGTTAGGAAGCCAGCCATTCAACCCTACGGTTCCAACAATGATGGGTCATCAGTCATTTACTCCTCCGCCCCGCGTGGACAGCGTGAGCTCTGCCAGCTCGTTTGAAGATCATGCGGAAAGTATTGATAATGTCATTGATGCGTGGGTTCAGCCGCTGTCGACTGCGCCTAAGCTGGCTCAGCAAGCTCAACCAGCCCAGCAGATTCAGCCAATTCAGTCTGAACGTGCGGATTCCACTTCGCGGCCTTCTCCCACGTCCCAGAGCAACAGAAGTACTCCAGTCGGAACCTCGAGCCCCATTCAAAGCAACCCATCTGTTGCCCAGGATCCAGGAGTCGCAAGTCCGGCGGTGCCAACTCCACTCTCGTTTCAGGGAGTTACCCCAGCTACTAAAACCCCTGATCCATATGAGGACCTCGACCCATGGTCTAAATCCTCTCTTACACGATATGTTGCGATGCTGCGCAAGGAAGCTGTGGCTGACTCTGATGAAGAGCGTTTCAAAATCTTCATAGCTTTCATGGCCAAGGAGACCAAGCTTCGGGAGATCCTCTATAATATCGAGCACGACAATCAAAACTCCACGACAGCTCCACAACCATCTGTTCCGACGCCTAAGCGAACGCTTTCACGTCCTTCGGAACGAAATTTGACGATTGAATCTGGCTTGATTCCTGTGGAATCGGAAGAAGTGCCGTCACCCGCGGCTACTACGGAATACGGGGACGACATCGATGATACGGCTAGCGAGTTCAGCTCTGGAGGGCGACCTATCCAAGCCAAGCTAGCTCGCCGAGGGTCGCAATGGCGGCCAAAACTTTCGACTCTTCCCGGTGGAGAAGATTCAGCAAACAATCTTTCAAGTAGCCCTTCGAGAAAATTCTCCGTAGACGAATCTGCGGAGAAGCAGGTTCTAGAGCCCCTGGTCTCGAATCCCCCGCAGCCAATTTACACTCCCTTTCAATATATGGAAGGCCCGCAGCGCGGTTCGGACAACTTAACTTTCGCCCGCCCAGCATATGAGGCCTACTCTGATCTAAGACAATCAGCTGGCAGCGGACGCATCATGTCAAATGCTCCAGCAATCACGCACCAGTCAAGATCGGGGACTGTGACCACCACCCCTGCTGCCGATGAACATGATGAGACCTTCCTTGGTCTCATTCGTCATAAGAGCACGGCTTATCGGGCAGTTGGTCGCCCGAGCACCACACCAGTTCCGCTCCTGCCAGAGTCTCTTCGGCAAGGACGACCAAATACCTTGTTCGAAGAGCTGCGATCGATGGTCTGGAAGCCTTTAGATAAGCCATCCGAGAGCTCTTGGCAGATTACGACCCGAGAGGGTCTTGTGAAATTTCCGGATAACTTCTCCTATATTCAAGAAACCGTTGATAAATGGAATTTGTCTGCGAAAAATCGTCGTCATAGACTGGACGAGGAGCGCATGGCTCGCCAAGAGGAGTCCGAGGAGCAGATCGATGATCTTTTCAATGGAAAGGAAATTGGCTATGCCGATATTAATACGCTCGAAGAAGACTTCCGTCAAACTGAGGCTCGTATTCAGCTGAGCGAGGAGCGTGAAGAAGTGGAAAATTTCATCGCTAAAGTCTTCAATCCTCTGGATGAGCGATTGAAGGATGAAATTTCCGTACTTCGCAAGTCGTATGATTCCGCACTCAGCCAGCTGGATAGGGACCAGAAGGAAAAGAACTCACCGACCGAGCAATGCAGCCCATCGGTGACAATGAACCTGATCAACGATATCCATAGAAAGCTCGAGCTTCGCTTCCAGAAACGACTAGAACTTGCCCTGGACTGCGAGCGCCGTCGTAAGAAAGCCGAGCGTCGACCACTAGTGTTCATGGGCGACATGGCCAGCCTCCGAAATCTAGATGGAGACTTCAATCGCATGGAGAAACGGAACATCCTAGAGGCTGCGAAAGACCGTGACGACCGAGCCAACCGACTCATGGATTCCTTCGACGATGCAATTCTTCACGGCCTAGGTATTAACCAAGGCCTCCTGGACGAGCTCGCGAGCAAAACAGCCCGACTAGATGCCACGAGCCTCCGCGCTTCCGGCCTACCGGATACTGAAGTTGAACAGGTGCTCAAGTCGGCGGCGACCTTTGCTACGTCTCTTCAGACTGATTCGGAGGCTATCCTGCGCAGCTCGGGAATTGCCGATTTGGCACTCAATGAAGCTGATTACAACGTCGCCGTCGCTGAAGCGCGATATTCCAACTCCGAGCCGGATATCCTCCAGCGGCTTGAGATTGAAAAGAAAAAAGAGGATGATATTCTTCGGAAAGATATGGATTCCAAGTTGGAGAGTATCCAAAGGAGTCCTCGTGAAATAGAGGGTACTATCAAACGCCTTCTTGAAGACTTGAGCAAGACGCCCCGACCCCCAACTGTGGTGCCGACCTCGACCATCGCAGATGACTCTACTCCTGTGAATGCGACAGCTGACGTTCCTCCGATAATTGTTCGGCCTCCCACTGCTGTGCCCACCCCACCTTCAGCTGCGGCGAGCCCGGCCCAAGACACAGATGTGGAGCACAAAGAACGACTGCGCAGGGCACTGGAGGAAGCGAAGAAGCGCAACGCAGCCCGAGCCAACCACTAGACTAAAGTTGTAGTTGCTACTGAAAGCCCTGAGCATAATGACGCGACGAATTTCCTTTGATACGAATATACCCTTCTACCAATTCGCATTCTCGATGCCTGCTTGGGGTTAACGATCCCGAATATTTTTCTAGATAGTTCACAAATGACCTTGAAATAACATGACTCGAGCTGCATGTAGTCCCTCTCTTTAGCATCGTGGTATGTGCGGGCTCATGCGCATCCACCCGGAGTCCTTTTCCCCTCATGTTACACGAAGTACTCGAACGCGTTAATTTTCACCCACTCATTCTCGTTCCGAGACCTGTGACCCGAGACTTAAAGGCCAACAGAACCAACACTCGTGAGGTGACGAAACCTTGTACGGAAACGTGCCGAAATCTCTTCATCCTGAGGCTGTTTTCACGCGCAGCCACAGAGTGGCTGCGACATGCAACTGGGGCCAAATCAAGTGATTTAACAAGAACGCACAGACAACTCTCCGACAGTCCAACAGGACATCTGCGACCACGAGTGGCCGAGCGCATGGCAAGGCATTTATTTTAGGCGCCCGGGCACGGCGATTGGCGGAGGGTCTCAAATTGGGCAATTAGACGCCAGATGTCGATCCCAGGCGTGGCCCTAACGGCGATTTCCGTTGCTTGGACCTTTCCTGAGAGGCACCGAAAGCAGGAAACGATTATCCTCAGACCCAATACCCAAAATGGCGGGTCCTGCTGTGCAGCATCTGGGGGCCAACTCGCTTTCGCTCTATGATCATCTATCCACGGGCACAGTTCGTGCGCAGGAGGTTCCCCTCCTTTTTCGCCGTGCCGTGTGGTTTTTCGGTGATCCCCTGCCAATTGAGCCGGCGTGATATGCAAGGCAGACCTTGGAATCACCAACGCCTGGGTTTGGGCTTTTTTTTGCCTTTTTGTTTGTTTTTTTGGTGACCCGGAGGAACTCAGTCCATGTGGCAGACTATGCCTCGGTGTTTTCGTCCCGTGGAGATGGAGGCTGCTCAGACGCAGCTTCGATGTCGGCCATCACTCAACTCGGAAGGAGCCTTGAGCTAAGGATGCGCGTTCGAATATCGATCTGTCCGGGGGACCCTTGTTTGACAACTGTGCCGTCAGTTCATGTTGATGTCAGAGTACCCCCTAGCCCAAAAAAAAAGGTGTGGCCAATTGATAACCAAGATGATCTGAGAGCGGGTCAATGTGACCACTCTAAAGCCAGCTCGGAAAGGTCGAGATTCCCCGATCTCGCCCTCGCGCAGGCACAGACTGCGATCGCCATCGGGCCAAGCCTGTTCGGTCTGCGTATAGCACGGACACTGTTCTCCATTCTTTTGCTTTCCTGTCAATTGTGTTTTTGGGCGAACGGGCTGTCGCCAACGGTGTCTACTTGACACTTGTGGTATGTTACTGGTCCCGGGTGGTACCAGTTGTTCAAGGCATTCGGCGCCATTGCAATACTCGGTGTGATACATCACTGTGCTCGCTGCGCTCGTGAGGCCCTCAATTCGAGCTTGACTCCGCCCGGAAAGCCGGGGGCCAATGGTCCAGCCACCAAACCCCAGATCGGTCCATTGCACACGATCCTCTTAGCTGTCTGTGCGCTGCTGCTGATCAGTTGTCAGGCATAATTGAACGGTTTGGCTTTGTCAAAACAGCACCCCTTCCAAGGGCTCCTGCGGTCAATCCTGCGGTCAACTCTCTTTTTTTTTTGCCCGTGTTATCTCGACTGCAACCCCCCTGATAGCTTCCCTAAGCGCTGTTGGGAAAATCATGGGTCTGCGCCAGACCTGAAATTCGCATTTATTTTGACCGATTTTTATTATTTTTTTTGTCCCTGCGAACAGTCGACCCCCAACTGTGGTCCAACTTGAAGGCCGAGTGTCCGGGCACAGTCGAGCCCAAATGACGAAAGGAAGATCATAGCTCCATGGCGGAGCGAAATATTTAAAGCGGGAGGGACATGCCGATTCCATGGTTCAGTGTACCCGCTCCCGTCCATGGGTCGGAAGAACTCTACGACTTGGGAGTGAATCTGGGAATATCGCTTCTTTGCCCCTCCCTACTTCTTTGCCCCTTTCTCAGCATGGCGCCCCCGACTAGACAGTTTCACAGACTTTCAATCGGTCAGGATATGCCTGCCTCCAGGACCCCTCGCGCCGAGGGTCAACCGGCCCCCACCCAGGGCCATCGAGACGAAGGTGATGACAGCTCATCTGCCGAGAGTGAAAGCGAGGAGGAAGGTGAGGAGAGCGCGGAGAGCAGTGACGATGAGTCCGAGGCCGGATCAAAGGTCCGAGCCCATTCAGGAATCACCTACGACCTCAGCCATCTAGATACCGAGTCTGAAGCCCAGGCTATGGTAGGTCTGATGGGCGAATTCGACGTGGTCAACTGCCGTGCTTCGTCCGAGGGGTTTGACTTTCAGCTTTTGGACCGACCGCGTGTGCACATTGGGCCTGACTCGCCTACTTGTACCTGCTCAACCTTTCAAGACCGGCCCAAGGGTGCCTGTCAACACATCTTCGTAAGTGTTTCGTCATTTTTTGATGTGATTAACTCGCCAGGGTTCCCGCTGATGCTTTCCCTGTCCAGTGGCTCCTCGATCAGCTGCATGGTTGCTTCCTTTCTAACCCTCCGTCCACAGAAGTAGCCCTGTCCCACAACGGCCGTCCCGTTGTGCGCCAACGCATCGAGGATCTCCTGACAGGCAAGCTCGAGGCGGTGGCGAACCAGCTCAATTGGCAGTACCTCCGGGACGAGGGAGACAGCAGGACGACGGCCATGACACGGGTGGAAAAGGTACGAGACGTGCTCTCAGCATTTACACCGACGATCCTACCCGAAGATTTCCGCCCCGACCTCGTGGAAACGACGACGCCGGCACGCACTGCAGAGCAGTGTGTCGTGCAAGGTGATTTCCAAGCAACCATCTTCCGACTAGCAGTGCACGACGACGGCGTCCGCAGCAGTCTCTGCAAGGCCATGCCAGCCGGTGCTTGTGCAGCCATCTACTTTGACAAAATCCAGGATCATACTCGCCGCCTGCTAGCCGGCTTCGACCGGTACTGCGCCACGGGTGAAATCCCTTCAAACCCGAGTAGTCCTGGCGGTGGTCCAGTACAGATAGATCAAGTTTTCGAGGAGCTACGCCGCTCCGTCTCTCGCATCCGCTCGCACATCGGTTTCCGCGCGCCCTACGGTTTCGAAGGTGCTGCCAAAGCCCTCGTCTTCATTCTCGACGCTATCTCCTCCCGGCACAAGGATCCACTAGATGGGAATACCTGGGGCCGAACCTCTTTCCAAGGCGAAGACGAGGACCAGCGCAATCTGTATCTTATGCTGATCGGGGATCCAGACATGGACCTGGAACAAGACGCCGATCTATTCGTCATTACTGCCCTTGAAGCCCTCCCTCCAGCCAGCCTCTACCAATTTATCGACGAGCTGCGAGACATTCGGGGAAAGATCGAGGTGAATCGGGCACCAAAGGTATTTCTCTATCGACTAGGAGATCTGATTCGATCGGCGGAATTGGCTGCGAGTGCGTCGGGGCAGAAGAGGCCCGCGGCAGGGAATTCGGGCGGTCATTCTAAACGCACTCGATAATCTCTTGGATTCCTTTAATTCTGTTCATGTTCGGGCGGCCATCGTGTTCATTCATTCCAATACCCCCTGCATTTTGTCACAGCGAACCCAGAATTCATTCTTGCTGTTTCGATTATACCTATATTGTATTCCGCATACGATGGTTACTAGTCACTAGCATATCTCATTGAATTCTCCACCTCCACAATGATCTCATCAGCCCATACCGCCCCGAATTTCCAATAGTCCCTCTACCTTGGATCATTCGCACTCAATCTTCATCGTGTAGAAGACCCCATCATTCAACCGAAAACAGTCATCTGTACCTAGGTAGTATACCTAGGGTAACGTCATAAAACCCAGGACAGCGGCCTTGGGACACCGTGTCCGCGGTTCGGAGACGCTCGGGCTGTGTCACATTGCCCTCTCGGTAGTGGAAGTACCCCGATTTGAGCTCTAGATCCATGGATCCCAACGGGGTCCGACCCACATCGAGCCTGCTAGGTGAAGTGAATCAGGGTAGGCGGTTAAGCAGAGGTAGCTCATGAAAATATGATTTCAAGGCTGTTCCAAGTTACTTGAGCCATGTGGAGAGTACACTAGGGTTGTTGTTGTATAGGTATAGAGGCTAATTGTGCTCTCAACACAACCCCACTCTGGCGAAAAGGGAACAATAAGGATGTCGGCCTTGATGGGGCTAACACGAGGATATGGGTCCGTGAACCCATCCCTTTTCTCTCAACGTGGTGTTTATTACCGGGTCTCGATAGTTAGTGCGGACTTCTTCACGGAGTACGCGGATCTTCGGCAGATTTATACTTTTTTCCGCCACTAGTGAGGTTATAGTGTTTTGCTGGTTTAACTTGTTGGAAGCTTGTGCTTTGGAGGCTATTTTATGGATGTGCCACTTGGTGCACCGTGCTGGAGTTGGTGTTGACGTTCTTGGAAAGAGTGGGCTGTAGGCTGTGATTTTGACTTGATGGGGCGAAGCGGGTGGAGTCGCATTTTTGGGCTGATTTTTATTCTGTAGTGGGACTGGTTTTGGGGGTTTTAGTGGGTGTGATGAGATCCTATAGGATGAAATTCGAATGGTATTTGAAATTGTTGAAATTGTTGAAAATTTAGCTAATCTCCAAGGCTTTGGAGCGAGGATCCCTTTTTGGAGGAATTTGGCGGATGTGTTGTAATCCACTGTAATCCACAGTGCGTGAAGCGAATATCAACTAGACGAGTTCCCAATCGGGGCATATCCTATAGTCTTCGTCATCTTCGCTTCCATCGGAGTCTTCTCCCCTTTCTATTCTCTGTTCATTTCCCTCATTACTCTCCAGCTCCTGATTCCTTTTCATGCTCTCTTCACACGACGTCAGAGTTTCTTGAAGGTTTCGCCGCCATTGCACATCCATCTCAGGCGGTTTGCTCAAATCGCTCTGGGTAAGCGGACCACCGCAATATGGATATCTGATCCACGACTGGGAAGTCAAGGGTTTCCAAGACTTTGTATTGTCCTGCAGATCCATAGTGGCTTCGATAAAGGCCGATTCTTCAGACCTCTGCGTCGCCTTTAGCTCAAGGCATCTTCCGAAAAATATCTTCCACTGAGCGGCGTAGTCGATGGTGGATCCAGATTTTGCTAGGTCTCGAAGCTTCCCCCATTCATCTTCCAACACAAACATGTTATCCTGAGGAAAACGTTCATCGACTCTTGGGACTTGTGGCTCCATAGTAGCTTGAAGTAACGTCAAATAAGTCCAGGGTCTTGTAGACTTGTCCTGCCATTTCCCAAAAACATATTTCTGGTAGTCTCGTGACAGTGAGAGCCATATGTGGGTTGAAAGAAGATCCAGATTTAGTAATATCATTTTAGTCTGTATTTCGGGGTCAACATGTCCAATAAACTCGTAGTGCCAGATTTCTTCCGAGTACACTGATGAGGGACGTGACCGAGGATACCGTGTTTTCCATCCTGTCTGTGGCAGATCTCCCAATTTTACTGTGGGATCACACAATTCCCAGATGTTGTAACGCTTTGCCTGCTTCTCAATATATCGTATCCATCTCGGCCAGTCACTTGGCCTATCGAGGCGTGAGTCCTGGCCTGAGAATGATTCTAACTCCGCAGCCAAGTCGTCATGATCGAGGTCAAAAGAAGTTGGGTCCATGTCTCTTAGGTGATTCTTTGAAATTGCACGATGCACTCGGTTGGTTGCCTTGGTCAGTGAACCGACCGTAGTCTTGGGAACATTCACACCCGCGGGTCATGGTGTCATCATGATGTTTTCGGTATACTCTTTTGTCTTTTCGCGAATAATTCTTAGCTTCAAGAAATAAGGATCTTTTGGGTTTTTTTTCCTTCTGGAAAATGCAAATACAAATTTGAAAGGATCGAATTACCTCCGCTGCGCAACATTTTCCTATCTCTTCTGTATGAGCGAATATCAACTAACAAGTTCAATAGACGACCATTCATTCCGAGCATTCCCTTAGCTAGCCCCCCAATCCATGCTACCGATGTCTGACCCTCGTATAATTTCTCCACCATTCGGGTCACTAGAGATTGTCTCTGTCACTGGAAATGGAGTATTAACAAAATCCTTCATTCTCATACGCCTGCGCGTAAGCGGTGATTCATAATAACACCCCGTTCTGGTTAAGATAGCGTCTCTGAGCTTCATCGTATCCGAGAGCATTCTCAGCTGTTTCCATTGCATTTAAAGGTCATGAAATAAATGAATGCTGATGTCAAGAAGACATCCTTCATCTTTGCGCGCCCCTATATGAATCCATTAAGCCATGGGGATCTCATCAATGGACATAATCTTCTTGTCAAATGTCATCTTCTCGGGTTTTTATTTTGAACTGAGAATGACGAGTTTTCAAAGTGATGAGACTCGAGGTCAAGTATCGATTCTACAGATGGCTTCATTGAGAAGATCTCAGGCTCGACTGGCTCTTTCGGATCTGAGAGGCCGTATATTGGAATAGACGGCTCCGGGGTCAAAGTATTCCTAGACACTGCGTATATTCATCGATACTTTCATGTCCTGTTTCAATCTTGGCCAGTCATCGGGCAACAGGAGTATTCATCCGGTCGATTATGTTATCTGATTCTGAATCCATTGCTGGACTTTCTTCGGTTCTAATCGAATCCTTTTTTGCGTTGTATTGAGGCTTAGCTGTTTGGTAGTGATGTGTTGTTTGAAGATATTCTCAAAGGAAACGATGAAGTATTTGCTCTGTCTCATTTGCTTCTTGATGATTTTGGTGTAGTTTAATTTACTAAATAGGTTTAGTTGGTTCCAAAAGCGCGTCGGGTCTTCCGGCCTGAAGAGGGACCCACATGCCGTTTTCATTTTGGTTCATTAAGCCATTAGTGGATTGAATTTTCAACAACAAGGCCGGCTGGCCCAATGGCAAGGCGCTTGACTACGAATCAAGAGATTGCAGGTTCGACCCCTGCGTCGGTCAATCTTTTTGTCTACAATTAATGCTGGCCTACAACATTATAGCGGTTCGGTTGGTTTTTTTTAAGTCGCCTTCAATAGATGCAAAGTTTTTTTTTGCAAAGGAGAACAAGTTCCATTTTCTCGAAATATCTAATGGGCAGTTCCCATTCGCAATTTGACGCTGTCGGAAGTCATCGGCTCTTGCTGCCCAGACGGGTGGTCGAAGATATATATTCGTTTCATGGAGCAGGACGAATATGCAGAGCCAACTGGCCTTATTTTTCGACAATGAAAATGGGATAATTTTTTTTCTTTTAAATTTAGATCCAACGCTTACAAGGCTTCACGAAACTACTAGAAAAGCAATACTGTATCCTACGCACTCAGGTATCCTTGCCTATGTCCACCTTCCCCCCCCGGCCACAAAACGAAAACCCGCTCGAAAAGATACTAGACCGTCGCATAAAACCCGAGACACTGTCCGTTGCAGAATCACTCCTACCCTTCTTCCCAACCCAGCTAGCATTGATCATAGGTTTCTTTGCGTTCTGATAGAGCAACCAACAAATCATAACCAATACCGTCAAAGGCACCGTGATCCCAACCCAAACCCACCAAACCTTCGCTCCAGTAATCGCACCCCCAAAGACTCCCGCGCCGACCACTGTACCTGCAAAAGTACCCGGCAAAAACACCATAGTCAAAGCGGCTATCGCATTCATAGACGTAGAATCCTGCTTCATACTATGAGCAATCTGGATATTGTTCGCAGCATCCTGCTGAGTCACGAGGTTATAGACCAGCGACATGGTACTGTCCTTGCGCTGCTTGTAATTTAAGAACCAGATTTTCTGCTTCTCCATCGAAGCGATGATGTAGGATATTGAGTCATCTGCTCGTTGGTAGATGAAGGAACTGGATCGTGGTAGTGATGGTATGAGGCGGGAGTGTGCGTTTTGGATAGCCGTGGCTGTGATGATGGCTACATCGGCGTTGCCGATGTGGGAATCAGCGTTCTGGGATATGATCTGGAGTTGTTTGGTGAGATCTCCTAGTTTAGTCCGGTCGCTGGTCTCGAGGCCGCCGAGATGATCGTCTACTTTGTTGATCTGGGCCCACATAAATCTTTGAAAGCGCTTGACGTGAAATTTTGAGGACTCGAATGATAGTGTGGAGAGAATGACATGGATATCGAATGGATCGTCTAAGAAGACGGCTGGTTTCTGTGCCGCGGATGCCGTGTTGAGTGCTATACCCAGGAGAGATTTCAGTGTGGTAATGGAGGTATCGAATTATTTATGGGATATGATGTATGTTGTTGAATCGCGAGTAATATCGTGGCGCACATAAACCGAGAGTGGAGCTCCTTGAACCTGGAGGTTCCAGCGAGGGTGTTGACAGAACAAATCCGAAGCAAGGTCAGTATTGTCTCATAGATCTTGAGTCTCTTTCTTACCGCAAGCCAGCAACCTGCCATCATCGTCAGCTTCCCAATGAGTCTGCGGTGCCCCGTAATCAGGCCGACCGATCATGTTTAACAAGAACAAAAGATTGACATCCAAAGTCTCCATGATTTGATTGGCATTGTCCAGAGTCATTAAGATGCGGGAACCGTAAGATGTATTCTCAGCAGGCACCAAGGGTAAAAGGCTAACCGAATCAGCACGAGTCCAAGTGGTAGAAAGAGACAAGTTTCTTACAAAACAAGCATGTTGCGACCAGGAGAAGTATCGATCGGAGGTGGAGGAGATTTCACAGAAAATGGCTTTAAGAAATTAGTTGAGAAAAGCCGACTCGAATGGGACGAAAGTACCTGTAAAAGGTTGTTCATGCCATCCTCATTCAGTATTGACCAGTCTAGGCCACAATCAACTTCAAATCAAAAAAGTTAGAACAGCTGAATTGATCTTTAAACTTACCGCCTCCCTGTGAATTGACTTTCAAACACTCCACACGAGTCTCAAGCGAAAAATTTTCCTCCATCTACAAATCACGATGGCATTGCACAGCATCAAAGACCTGCTGAAGCGATCTGAGATTACGTAAAGGATAATGGCGAGTATTGAGGTCGTAATTGAAGTCCAGCTCATTCACAAAAAGATCAGAGTTCTCAGCATGGCGACTGACATCATTTTGAGCCCTTGAATTCGGGCGCTGTGCAACCTCGGTTTGTGCAAGTGAAGCCTCGAGCTTTGAGAATTTAGTGAGATCGCCAGTCTCGGCCAGATCGAGTGGATCTTTCCGCTCAGGCATCGGGATTGTCTCGACGGTGTGAGTATAGGAGAACAAGATAACTGATGGGCCAGTTCGAAGATGAAAAGTGGATGTTCAATAAACAAGCTTAAGGTTCTTTTTGAGGTGCGTTCGGCAGCAAAGTAGCCTTATATTATCTCGGTATGGGCGTGCACCTGGGTAAAGATGCGTTTGAGAAGACGACACATACGAGACGGGTGAATGTATCGAAACACCCTGAAGGGTTGGCATTGTCAGTCTATTGGCTGATTCATGCAGCAGACCATTCCCTTGGCGGCAATACGTAGATGTCACGCGGTTTTCTTTTTCACCAAGGTGATTCTAACTTAAAGCTCGACCTGGATTTGATGATTTGCTGGATGTAAATATGCCATGTTCGTCAGCTCCAATAAGGCTTGAAGGCAGATCTTGGCTGTGGAGGCTGGGTTTTCCGGCAAGTATCTACTGGTGTATGGAATAGCGGTATCACAACTTTCGTGGGAAATAAAGGTGGCGGATTATCTGACAGGCTGGATATTATGATTTTTCTTCGTTAAGTAGCTAGACCAGACCTGGACCAGAACAGATAGGCGTATTCTGTGTTGTACATAAGCGCTAGTGATAAGCCACTTCGTATGGCAGCCTGAACCCCAATATTTGCCTTGAACCAACGATTTTCTACCTTTCAGCACGTGTATACTTTATTGTTGCAGCCATTTGATAACAATGTTGGATATGTACTCTGGGAGAAGTATTTAAAGGCAACAATGTGCACCCTTCCACAGTGCACCTCCCTGACTGGGAGGCTTCACTTTTGCTCTTAGCACTGAATGAACATAGTCCAAAAGCTAAATGCTCACTCGCCACTAGTTGACTTACCCAAAAAGCAAAGTAATTAGGAAGAAGATAGATCATCATACTCGACATCGCCAGGGTGATTAACATAGGGTATCACCACTCACGCCACTACAAACTAGAGGCTGCATTACCTGAGTCCCATTCTCAACCACTCTCGTCGGATAAAACCTGTTTTTCAAAACTATTATCCTGATGATCGCATCAAGTTGGTACCCATATCTGCCCCATCTAAGCAGTGGGGCAGGTCCCGTGATCTCTCGGACCGGGTTTCTGCCCCTCGATTCTAAACTTGGCATCAGCCTCATCAATCTGATAGTACACGTTATTCGTCACATATTTCATTCTGAGCGTGAGATCTCACTTCAAAAATGCCCCTCAATCTAAGCTACGAAGAAATATGCACCAAATTCGACCGCCTCATCTCCAATGGCATCATAACATACCAACCCAGCAAACCAATCCTCGTCACAGATAACGGGATGATCGTTCGTCCCCACCGCCCTCGCATCCAACTACCCACTAACCACTTAACAAATAATGAATGCAGTTCTCTTTCCACTTTGTTGAGTCACTCAAAACCAAACCCCAAGCTGAAGATGCCCCCGAGACCACAAAGTCAAGCGTGATCAATGGTGTCGCCTCTCAGCCAATATCCTTCGGCCCAGGGAGCGACATTGCAAACGACCACCCAGATGTCTGTATCACGACGGTCAATGAGACGCATTACCTGGTCATGAATAAATTTCCCGTCTTCAGACCCATGTTGCTGTTATTAACGGTTGATTCGTACCGTCGACAGGACGAGCCTCTCGAGCTTGATGACTTGGAGGCTGGGTGGAGTGCGATTTGCGGGCTGAAGGAAGAGCATTATGTTTTCTTCAATTGCGGGCTTTTGGCGGGTTCAAGTAGGGAGCATAAGCACTTACAGGTTATTCCGGCACCAGGGAGACATGAAGGGTATGATGAAGGTTTCAAGTTCTTTTTGGATGATCCTGAACAGAGGGAGCCTGGGTTCTTGCATTATGTGCAGAGGTTCGAGGAGTTACCCGAGAATCGGGTGAAGGATGGGCAACAGCTGCTAGAAATTTATCAGAAGCTACTGCAACAGGCAAGAGAGGCGCTCAACTTGTCGACTGATGTCGCTTGTCCTCACAATTTTGTTATCACGCAGAGGTGGATGGTGGTTATTCCACGGAGGGCCAAGGAGTTCCATGGAATTACGGCGAACTCGGCTGGGATGATGGGTTCAATTGCTATCTGGACTGAGGAGCAATTGAATTCATGGAAGGAAATTGGGCCCATGAATGTTTTGAGGGGGCTTGGGCTGCCACGGGGAGAGTGATGAAGACTTGCAAACATTTGCCAATAGACCTAGAATCACGAATGCATTCAAATGAACATGAACTACATATTGATTTCTCACCGTATCACAAATTCCGTACGGACAATCACGAAATCCCGAGCTATCCCATCAACCCGACAAATCCAACACCACACGACCCTGCAACTTCCCCTCTCCCATCTCCTTAAACACCTCAGTCAGCTTATCCATCTTCTCAGTCCTATAATGAGCCTTAATAATCCCCCTCTCAGCAAACTTCAACGTCTCAATAGCCTCCGTACGATTCCCCACCGCCGACCCCGTAACAGTCAAGTGCTTATTAATAAACGAAGAAGGGAACGCCGACCCAATAGCCTTGGGCTCATTCTCCGGAATGCCCACACAAACTAGCGTCCCTTTAAACCTCAACAACGGTAACGCCTGCGCATACGCCGCATTTGCAGCTGTACAGACCACTGCAGCGTGCGCACCGAGCCCATCCGCCAGTTCGTGGACATGTTTAGTTAGAGCCTCGCCCTTGTCGTCGGAAGGGAACTGCGTAATGTCGACGAAATGTTCAGCGCCGGAAGCTTTCACGAGCTCAGCTTTGCTGCCATGGTCGATTCCAATTACGCGCAGACCCATGCCTTTGCTGGCGAGTTGTACTGCGATGTGGCCTAGGCCGCCGCCGGCGCCGGAGATGATTACCCACTGGCCCGGGCGGGCGTTGCTGCGCTTCAGGGCTGAGTAGACGGTTACACCGGCACAGAGCATTGGAGCGGCTTCGGCGGAGTCGAGGCCATCTGGGATCGGAGTTACGTAGTTGGCTGGGCCGACGGCGTATTGTTGGAATGTGCCGGGGGTGTAATAGCCTGATACTTTTTGGTTGAAGCATAGACCGTCAGACCCGGCTTGGCAAGGTTCTGGGATTGACTATTAGTGAGACGGGATTAAAAGTAGGTTTAAAATGGACATACGGCAGCTTCCACAGGCACTGGAGACCCATTTGATGCCGACTCGGTCGCCGATCTTCAAGCCGGAACTTTCTGTGCCTGCGCCGAGCTTGACAATCTTTCCTACGCCTTCATGTCCTCCTACTTGACCAGGCTGGGTTGGAAATGGGAGCATGTCCCACTGCGCATGATTAGAAAGCTAGTTTTGGAGAAGTTGGGAAGCAAGTCATACTGTGTTGGTCATGATTCCATAGTCGGAGTGGCACACGCCTGAGTGAGTCCTGGAGGTAGTTAGTCTCTCATCATGGGAGTTAAGATGAAAACACGGACAGATTGATAAGAACCTCGCCTGCACCTGGCTCTGGCACTTCGATGTCGACAATTTTAGTGGACACGGTTCCAGGCTGGTCATAGACTGCAGCCTTCTGAGTCTTGGGGATCTCTGGGGCAGCCATAATTGTGATTGATGAATTTATATGCAAGTGTAAATTTGATAATTAATGACTTGGTCAGTTAGTGAGGTGAAAGAAAAAGAGAGCCTCTACGGAGAACGGATGACAGGTAACCCGTCTGCCAAGTGAATGAGGAGAAGGGGGTATGTGGAACGTTCGGATCGCGGGGCAATTGACAAGGCAGTAATGGACTTGAATTGTACATTTTCCAGAGATCTGGGTACAGACTAAGCCTTGAAAGGTGAGTCTGGGGAGATGATGATGAAAGTGAGGGGTGCAATGTGGAGACATTGTGTGCCTCGGTTGGCCGCATTGTGACTTTGAAACCGGCCCAAGACAAACATATGCACGGGTCGGACTTCAAGAGACCTAAGTAATGGATAAAAGGGACAATGAAGTGATATCCAGGGTGTCTCGACTTATATAGATCGAAGCCCCAAGGTCCTCGAAGAATTGCTGTCATGGAGTACCTACATCACAGGGGATCGACCCCGCATCCCCGCAAAATGTAATTTCAGGGGGCCACATTTGATTTATAGACTTCAGAAAGAAAACAATAGGAATCTAGGGAATCTAGTAGATAAATCCAGAACAAGATCAGGATCTAGCCTCTGTGCACCTTCCCGCCCCTCGGTCCTGGATTAAATAGTGAACTCCAGCAAATTACCCGCATAATCCCGCGCAAAGAACCGCTTCGGATATTCCTTTCCCTTTGTACCTATCCCAGACACAATTAGCCTAGCCTTCAAGCCAACATCCCATAATGGAAAAGCTCACCCGAGTCCGCCTCCCCAGGCTTATCAGCAGCCATCGGCGCCGCCGGACCTCCGCGCACCTTGTGATCGTAAATAGACTTCTTAATCTCCTCTAGCTCGTCTAGAGACGGGAGCTTGAAGCAAGGGTGCCGAGAGTGTTTTGGATCGGTCGGGCCTTCAGTAACGTGGATTTGTTGTCCGCTAGAGCCGATGTTGAACCTGGGTGGGGTAGGCCGGTTCGGTTAGCATGGTTCATCATGCACTATTCGATCACGCGCAGATGGATGTTCAAGGTGGAATATGTCGCAATATGGTCGAGGACTTACCACAGAATAGCACCCCTTTGTAGCTCCGGTACAGGCGCCGATACTAGGCCCAATGTCTTAACGTAGAAGTCCTCTGCTTGGGGCAACGTCCCCGGGTGCACGGTGATGTTGACGTGTGCGATTCCTGAGATCATGATGAATGGTAATAATAATAAGAATGATATCAATTATACTGTAGGTTGAGGACGAGTCAGAGTCTCTGACGAGTCAAGATGACACTAAGTGCGCAGGCTGCCCGCGACACTTTATTTAATTCCAATCGCGATTGATGCCATGTCATCCCCCGACCACGGCGGATCGGAAACCGGATCCCGATTGTGATTGGCTGAGCTTGGCTCCACCAAGATCGCTGACTTGGAAATCTCTTTGGATTGGCTTAACTGGGGTCTTGCGGGAGCCATAGTCCAACGGTTTCCGGAGAATCGCTGATACTTATCCGAGCTCGGATCTCTTTCCCTGGTGCCTTGAGAAGGTGTTGTGATCCGGGGAAAGCTGTATGCCGAGTGATCTACTGTCTAGAGTCGGAGATAGGCCGAGATCAGACGATGTAACAATGTTACTAATTCCTAATGCTTATTTTGATGGACAAGCATACAGTGTATGTCTTAGTTTACTTAGATGTACTGCTTGGATAATGAAATATTTTTTTTAACAAGGGTTCAAGTAGCGTCACTAGAGATGCAAGTATGAGACAAGCAAGGGTAAATGCTAGATGCTATACAAGAATTGGGAATCTCGATTAAGACAATTGCCGGAGAAGAAAAAAGCTCGATCCAGCATTTAGAACAAAGAGCGAACAATACGCAGAGGCGCCGCCTTGAACCACTCACCCCAGGTGGCATACTCAACCTTGGGTGGCAGGTCAACATCCAGAGCGCCGTCACGCATGTTGCTCAAAACATCAATCTTCTCCAGGGGGACCAACCAAGCACCTCGGTCAAGCGTAGGGTCCTTGTTGAAGTAGGTGTAGATTATCCAACCGACGAACAGGCCAATAATAACCGGCGCAGCCAGGTAGTTCTCGAAGAAGGTCTCGGCACTCTTGGGAGCAACGGAGACGTAGAACTCGGCAACAAGGCACAGGCAGGCGAGGAACACACCTACCCAGCTACCAATGACACCGAAGGGAGCAACGAAGGCGAGTTCCTTGGTATCGTGACCGTGGTGTTTCCATGCCGCGCGGAAACGGATGTGGGCGTAGCAGATACTTCCCCAGACAAACAAGGAGCCGATGCCGGACAAAGCAAGAAGCCAGTCGAAGATAACACCACCAGTGGAGGAGGCCTCGTTGATGAAAGCGAGGAAACCGAAGGCGATTTGGAAAAGGACACACCAGAGGGGACGACCGGCCTTGTCGATGTAGGCGAAGAACTTGGGAGCCATGCCGCGCTCGGCAAGAGCCTGAATAGTGCGGGTAGAACCGAAAGTAGCGGAGTTGGCGACACTGATGACGGAGATGGTGATGACAGCGTTCATGACCGAGGGCAGACCACTGATACCGGCATTCTGAATGGAGACGACGAAGGGAGAGGCCTTAGTGTTGGAACCGGAGGCACCGAGCAAGTAATCAGCATTGCTGGGGACAATCAGGCCGACGATGAAGGTGGAGAGGAGGTAAAAGATCATGATACGCCAGAAGACCTGCTTGGTGGCCTTGGGAAGGGACTTGGCGGGGTTGGCGGCTTCGGCGGCAGCCAGACCGGCAAGCTCAGTTCCACTGAAGGCGAATGCTGCGGTCGTGAAGACGGAACAGAAGCCCTTGAAGGTGGTGAACGCACCCGGATCGTGCCAGTAGTGAGCTCCGATGTATCCGCCCTTGGGGGCACCACCGCAGTCGATCACGACTCCAAGGATGATGAAACCGATGACAGCGACGACTTTGATGATACCGAGGGCGAACTCGACTATGTGGAAGAGATGGGTTAATACGGCTCAACTCAGTGTTTGGACACAATCGTCTTACCTTCACCATAACCGCGGACACCGAAGAATTGAATGGCTGATAGGACAACGAGGAATACCGCCACCCATATACCCATATTCAAATCATCTCGCCAATATTGTATAGTGATACTCGCAGCGGTGATTTCGAATGGTAAAATGACGAGCCAATTGATAGCATAGTCCCAGCCGACGGCGAAACCCCTGTATTCAGTTAATAAGTGGTCAGTGCTAGAGTTAAAACAGTCATGACAGTAACTTACCAGGCGGGGCTGATGAAGCGAACACAGTAAGAGAAGAAAGCACCGTTGACGGGGTAGAGGACAGCCAATTCTCCAAGAGCCTGGACGGTCAGGAGAAGGAAGGCACCAACGATCAAGTAACCAAGGGTCTTTACAAGAATTTTAGCTGAGTCCAATTTATCGCGTGCTCATTGCAACAGGACAACTTACTAGAGATCCAGGACCTCCCGTCTGCAGAGCAGAACCTGTAGAAACGAACAGACCGGCACCGATGGAACCACCTATAGAATCGATACATTAGCCATGCTGCAGACACATAACTAGAGGTGAGAGTGAAACATACCAATGGCAATCATCTGCATATGACGCCCCTGAAGGCTACGCTTCAGTGAGCTCACCTGTCCAACACCATGCTCATCAGCAGTGGCATCGACGTAGGCAGGCGTAGTACTGTCGGAAGCGGGCGCAACAGTAGTAGCGCCCTTCTTTTCAATGTCTCCGTCAGAGGCCGACATATTGACGTAAAAGTAGTATAGACACGAATAGACCAAGGATAGGGGTCAGGCTTGACTGGGAGCTGTTGACATTATATAGGCCTGCGGGGTTCCAAGCCCATGTCGATCCAAGGTTACTTCGGGCGTATGGGCGTATTCTCGAAGGGAACAAAGTGCACGCCACGCGGTTCGGGACAGCGTGATCAGACCGTCTCAATGGCGAGATAAGACTCGTGATAATAGAACCGGTCCATACGATCTGGCCAATTGAGGCTTGGGTTTCGTGTCAGTTGGAGGCTTATCTTTATGCCGCGACGCCCCGTGGGTAGCCGGGGTGGTCTTGTCAGGTTTAGGGCCAGTTCCCTCTCGGATGTTTATTAGATTCGAATACGGGGTCGCCTAAAATATCTCCTAAACCTAAAGAGTTTTGGAAGTCCAGAGTTCAGGGAGTCCAGGGAGTCAAGGGAACCCTAAGAAACCTTGATGGTTTTGGAAAAGGGTTCTTGCTAGAAGGCCTAGTACGGGGGAAATTCCAGCCGATGCCGTGGGATGATCGTGCAGGTGGTCCAGAGAGGCGATCGCGGACCCCGAACGTACCTTTTTACAAGACTGAGGTAATGTCGGCGATAGTGACCAGACGGATCTAGTGTGGCGATTGCATGCTTAGGGGGCCGCATGGATAATCCTTTGGGGCAACTGGGGGGCAACCAAGATAAGAAGCTGAGTATCCCCCTTGTAAGCAATCAAACAGATTAATAGGCTAATAGTGGCCTAGGCGTAGATAATGAAACGACAAGCTAGGACAAGCGTCGGCCCCGCAATGGCCTATTATGGGGCTCAGTTCTAGGTGAACACACGAGTTTAATAGGGCGCTTGCGCACTTCTCTTATCGCCCACCAATGACACGCGGACTACCCCCGATCTTCTCATATTTTCAAGGAAATAAAAGCCGACCTGGTCCCTAACCGACCAATCTTATTGCCAAGCACGTTAAGCTTTGGCCCACATGCCAAGTTGGGCTTGTCTCTCATGTTTATCATATCTATCATTTGAGGCTAAGGTGGATCCCATTACGGGCGCTACATTAACCATATTTCTCGGAGCGCGGTTATGTCTAGCATTTGGACAAGGTTTATTTGGAGAGGGTTCAAACAACTCCGTAATAGAAATTGATAATATTCAAAATGGCATCCGAGATAAAGGAAATGCACTCTAATCTCCTGCTGATGTCTTTCAAGATAAATCCTGGCGCCCAGCATTGACATCCTTCACCATGGACATCATTTGAAGCGTGCCATTTGAAGCGTGCCATTTGAAGCGTGCCATTTGAGGTGATGTTGTTCGCAGGATCAACCCATGTCCAAAAGTCTGAAATATGCTTAGCGCCACACATGAAGCCTCCAAGAACGATACCAGCCAAACCCCTGGCATATGGAGTCAACCACACCCGCCGCCAGATTCGGATCCCGTTCCGGATCTCCAAGCCATTGCGTCTGCACATAAGCCCAGCATGCTCCAGACTCTCAAGATTGATACGATGGGCCGAAACACGTATCGGATATTCTCCGTTTTAAAATGACGGTAGGCCGCCATGGTAATCTCAGACCAGTGGGGCCCATCGTTTCAGCGGCTGGAAACTGCAAAGATGCATTCCAGATCAACTAAACGAAGTATTTATTGTGTTATTTGGAAATGATGATGTTCTTGTAGACCCTACCCCAAGGTATTCCGGTCTCCTGGCCATTGTCTGATGATGAGTTACATATTGGTCAGCCGAATTTTACCGGGTTTCAATAGGCTGAATGACGCGTCAGGATTCCAGGGTATCATGGGATCAGGATCTGCCCGTCTTATTCTCCACCCTGCATGGTCCAAATCGTTCATGGTCAATGCTGAGGGTGGGGCTTCACAGCTGTTATCGCTTGGATCGTCTATCCTTTTTTGCCGTTGCTTACCGATACTCTCCATAGCTTCGAATATAATGAACAAATCTTGCAGCCTTGAGCGAGGATGGCTAATTTCAAGAGTGAAGCCGAACTGACAATGTTCGCAAGAAATTTGATCGTCTTCTTTTAATATTGGGAGCTAAACTCAGCTTGAGGAAGAAAGATAATTCTACGACTCTGTGTTTCTTTAAGAAACACGATTCCCTGCTACGAGAGCATCTACGACATTTTCCATTCCCAATTAGAAGATGATGAAGTTGCAAATGACACGATCCTAGTCACGAGATAAATGAGATCATTTAAGGACTATCTCAACATGATCACGAAGCATGAAAGAACTCTTTACAAAAGGCCTATACATGCAGGATGGAGAAGACAGCCATAGAAAATGAAAGGAAGCCACTATAGAATTCTAGAACAAAAGAAGCCGAGGAAGGAGACTAGAACCCTGCATCACACCAAGTCTCGAACCAGTCTTAAACCAACGCGTAGAATGTTCCGTGAAATTGCAAACTATTCAAACACTAAGATCGGAAGTGTTTGTATCAGCGATCCAGTCTTATCGCACAGCTCCCTGTGCGTTACTATCAGCGCTTTGATTGGCTCTTAAAATAATTAAAAAGGCTGGTCAAATATTGGTAGCTGGAAGGTCGCTAGAAGGATCATACCCCTGTAATGGCTGAGTTAACCCCGGTTTGCCACTAAAAGGCTGGAATCCCTGCTTGCCGATAAATTCCGCAAGGCCGATGGTAGGCAACCGGGGGCGATGCTCAGCTTTGATACCTCAGTCAGCCTTGGGCGTGATGCGCATCTTCTTGAGGCTAAATCATGCGCCTTACCACAGAAATTAGATATTAGGCGTAAAGAAAAACCATTGTAGAGCCAGGAAAGGAGTCATGGGCACAAAATGGGAGTAGCCTTACCGTTCTACTGGGTGGCGCCGACCAGATACATCTGAGAGACCACTTATCACCCTCCTTGCTTGTATCAGTGGTAAGGTATGACAGGCAGATACCACAACAATGATTTTAGGCACTTCCTGAACTTTCCAAAAGTAAATTTTACTATGTGATGTCTGAGATCCGGAAAAGGAGGAGCCTATCAATTCATGGTTTTGTAGATGGCACCTTGCGCGAGGCGTCGTATCTCAAGACTAAGCTCCTTCATGAATTCGACCTGCCTTTCAAACTCATTGGAGGCTTGTGGCCATAAATGACCCTCTGTTCCGTCAGTTGCAAATCCCAGAGGTCGAGGTCCGCATGACAACCCTGACCTAGGGGATTAAGCAGAAGGTTACAGGGAAGTTGGATCATGGCAACTGTGAAGAACGGAAAGAAGAAACTAGAGAATGTTGGTAGAGAGTTGCTGACAGATTTGTAAAGAACGGTAACTAACTCACAGTGACTATGTTGTAGCGGTGAAATTCAAGTTCAAAATCCGAGAACTTTCGCAATAACGACGGACTTGCCTCCACACTGACAGCGAGACTTGATCCCAGCTCACATGTGTTCTGATTCTGTGTCCAAGAAGTGCAACTTCCACTAGCCTGGTGAATGGTAGCCATACAAGAGTGGAACTTCAATTGTAGAATAGACGATGGCATATCAACTGCATCATCTGTGGCTCGGATGGTGAAGCCTGGCCTTCTTTCCTTGGGAAAAGAAATCCTCCAATCTTCCAGTAGCTGATCAAGATCTCGAATGATGCCGAGAAACTCAGCACCACTTTGCTGCAGCGAGGAGACTGAATAGAGTCTGCGATATATCTGCGATTCGACGACGGCTAGCCAAGCAAAAACGGGCAAGAAAGACGCAAAAGTATTTGAGATGAGACCTCAAGAAAGCCCACGGAGGGACTCTGGCATTGTAAGGTCGCAATCTTCATCATTGATGTTAGGGCCAAGGCCAGTTCGCAAACTGCACTCATAGTTCACGGTGTAACAAAGTCAAATGAAATTCGAATATGTGAGCTGCGAAGTGATGGCTCCAGCTCACCACGACGAGTGTGCCCATCTTGTCGCGAACGATAACAAAAGCTCCATGCTGGCTAGATCACAGCTGGGCCTGGTTCCAGCTGCACTTGACCTCCCACCTCTTTGAATCCCCTCGGGTGCTGTCTATTTGGAGCTATGATAGCAAGGATGTCGGCCATAGTCAGCGGGCAACCACCCAGTCCACCCCTGGTGTCAGCAATGCCATGCCCGTGAAGACCTACGAGCTCTTTGGCGCAAATTGGGTCTCTCAACACTCCAACATTACCTACTCGCAGATCTGGGAGATCATTTTACGGGAAAACACACGTCTCACCGTCAAGTCCGCCTAGAGGACCAAGAGCTTCAATTCGATTCGATTGTTACTTCCGAAGGATTCTTACCGTCACCGGCACTGAGCTCAGTAGTGAGCCCGTTTCTAGTTACGGACTGGTTGAGGCCCAGCCTCCGTTTTAACGCAGGGTTCTCGTCTGCACACTCTCTGCTCTACAAGTAGGCCTTCACAGACTCGAACCCTGGGCTATGAGATCTAGGTGATCTGAACTGTGTAATATATGTCATCACAGACGCAGGGAGCGCCTGACTGCAGACTTTATTGTTTCCTTTCATTGTACCCCCTTTTTATCTGTTCGCTAGCGTGCGGCTGTACTGCTTTCTTGGCCTCGTCGTGTATCCTGGAACCTGCACACACTGCGCGTTGTGTGCGCGAGCTGGCACCGAATGTTGGTCCAACCGCCTCCGGCTTTCAAATTCACCGCGTTTCGCGTGGTTTACTTCAGATGGCGCGTTGGTTCTTTTCAACAATTCGAGGTCTCTCATCACACTGGCCTGTTTGCTACCTCATATGACTGGCCCGAGAAGCATCACCTCAAACGACGTGATGGAATATGCGTGAGGGTATTGTTCGAGTTCTTCATGAAACACGCACCCAGGTTTCGCGAATGGAACTGCACCAACTGTGCCTGCGAGCCGGCATTGCTTATAAGCCATCCCTATGAACCCAACTTGGGGACCTTTCAAGCGTTTGAACAGGAGGCTCGAGATTTCGAAAACATGGTGCGTGCTCAATTGGATAGCGACGGTTACCGTCCTCTCATTTGAATTTGTGTCTTCACGGGAGGGGTTTCGTTTTCACGCTGGGGTATAGGGACACTATGAGATAGTCAAGGTAGAAAATTTAGTGATCGTTACTAGAAAATGAAGAGCAGTGGCTTTGTATCATATCTGCGGGGTCATTGATAGCAGTTCATCGAAGAGGAAACCGAATGCGAATTCTACTGATAGCCATGAAGTCAGATAGCTGCGGTCCAGAGTCTAGTCCTTGCGGGGGATCATCCACCCTATCATGTTATTGACTCCCAGAAACGCGTCTCAAATGCGTAGAATCCTCGAACCATAGACAGCAAGCGCGTCATAAGGTAAGGGTAGCGGCAGTAAGTTATATTCCGAGGTGGACTCGGTAGCCCGTTGAGGGAAAACCTGGAACGCTGCAGTGCGACTTATCGGCGTAGGCCGAGGCCTGAGCCCACAGGGTCTCTGTGAATGGCTCTTCAGACGGGCACTAGATGCTTTACCTGTTTGGGAATACCGTTCCCGTTTCCCATCGCGTGCATTCCTCGTGCTGTGCTGTGTGAGCTGGACCCCCTGTCCATGCTTACGGGACGCGACTGCCTCTATTGGCGGCGACGGTTATCATGCTGAGAGCGACCCCAGATAAGGTGCAAAGACCACCTCCGCCACGCCTCCGCAGTGATTTCCAGGGCGTTATTGTGGGCGGTATGGGGGCGCTAACCGTTTCGGTGGAGAGGAAGCGAAAAGGTGGAGAGTCTTAGCGAACGAGAAGGCCTCGGCAACATTTAAAATCACCGGAATGTCCCTCCTGCTTTTCCGATCCCGCGAAAAGTCTGCAAGTCTGCAGTGTATCGTGTCAGCTACTGCATGATAATGCTTGGGGGATCATAAGCGCATTATTTTCCATCTTACCGTCTCGGTCTCCGAATCTCCACCATGGAAAACAAACATGTACCCGGCTCGGCCGACGACCAAGCCTTGGCCCGGCTGGGCAAGAAGCAGGTGCTCAAGAGACGTTTCGGCTTCATGTCGATCGTCGGCTTCGCGATGGCCGAGCTGATCACGTGGGAGACTGTTTTGACGCTGTTCTACCAGTCGTTTGAGAATGGTGGTCCTGCCGGTGCCTTCTATGGCTATGTCATTGCGTGCCTTTCGACCCTGTCGACATATACCGTTATTTCAGAATTGTGCTCTATGGCTCCCATTGCAGGTGGCCAGTACTACTGGGTTTATATGCTTGCCCCGCTGCGGTATAAGAAAGCGTCTAGCTATCTGATCGGCTGGCTTACCTCTATGGCATGGATCGCGACGATCGCTACGGAGACTATTTTCCTGGGAACGATGATTGAAGGTCTGATCACGTTAAACAACCCTGATTTCCCTCAAAAACGATGGCAGAATACCCTGTTGGCCTGGGCGAGCGTGGCAGGTACCTTCTTCATTAACGTCGTGGTGCCAGGGATTCTTCCTAAATTCAATATCCTCATGCTGGTCTTGCATATGGCGGGTTTCGTTGCCATTCTGGCTACTCTGCTCGCCATGTCGCCCAAACAATCATCAGACTTTGTCTTCCACACTTCCCTCAACGAGGGTGGTTGGCCCACACAAGGCATGTCCTACTGCGTGGGCTTCATCGGAAACATCGCGACATTCGTTGGTGCGGATGCAAGTGTCCACATGGCTGAGGAGGTCGCCAACGCCGCAGTGGTAATCCCCCGCGCAATCATTACGGGAATGACTCTCAACAGTGTCCTTGGACTCGCGATGATGGTCACAGTCCTCTTCTGCATTGGAAACGTCGACCATGTTCTGAACTCGGCCACAGGGTTCCCATTCATCCAGATATTCTACGACAGCACACAGTCCTACACCGGCGCCTCCGTCATGACAGCCCTCATTATAGTCTTGACAGGCGCCTGCTCCACCGGAATTACTGCCACCTCATCCCGTATGACCTGGTCCTTCGCGCGCGACAAAGGTCTCCCATTCTCCCACTACATCAGCAAAGTGAACCAACGCACCAAAGTCCCCATCGTATCTGTCACCGTAGTCTGCGGATTTGCCTGTGCCCTGACTCTCATCTACATCGGCTCCGACACAGCCTTTAACGACGTCATTTCCCTTACTGTGACCGGATTCTACGGCACTTATTTCCTCCCAAGCGCCCTCCTTCTCTACCATCGCATCAAAGGAAATGTCTTGCCCCATGGTACCATGCTCGATGGCCTCCCGGATGCAGCCCTTAGCGCCAATTCAAGTACTAAGGAGAAATCGGCTGCCCCTTCGCGCCCCAAGACCACAGTTGTTAAGGACTCCCCCAACCCAGGTCCTTCGTCTAGCCCAGAACGCGACATTCCCGAGAAAACTACTGGTCAAGTGGAGTTTGAGATCTCTCAGGCTCCTCTCATCTGGGGTCCGTGGAAGGTCCCTGGTATCCTCGGCACCATAAACAACGCGTACGCTTGTGTATATATGCTATTCGTTCTTTTCTGGAGTGTCTGGCCCTCTGAGACCCCGGTGGACTACACTACCATGAACTACAGTATTGTCGTGACTGGCGGTGTGCTCATTTTGAGCGGAGTCTGGTATTTCGTCCGGGCGCGGAAAGAATACCAAGGCCCGCTGATAGATGAGGATATTGCTGCGATCATGCATCTCACTCCGGGCGCTGTCCCAGGATTGGTACCTGGCTCGTCCGCTGTATAGACGGCAAGCATTAAAGATTTGAGAATGGTTGCTTCAAGATGTTGGTGCAGCTGGAGAGGAAAGGGGGCCATTTGAGATTGACCTCGTGGGATGAGAAACGTTTAAAAATATACCCATGTCACTTAAGCATTGATAACGAAAATATGTGAAAGAATATAAAAAGTGGAAACAAAGTTCACTATGTTGTAGATTCAAGCTTTTGAAAGGAGACTCACGCAGCGTGGCAAGTGGCGGTGAATACCAAACCAGCCATCTCCTTCCTTGAAATAGAGGCATTGCCTGTACCTTGTGACAATTGTACCTCTATGGGTCCCCATCCGCACTGGGTGAACACCAAGGGTTGTGTTGCATGCGGCTGGACACTCAATAAACATAAGCAGTGCGATTATACCAGCCACCTCAAACTCTTCCACCCTGCACATGAATGAGAACTCTAGAATAATGTCAGTCTTAAACTCTACCGTATCCCTATATAAGCGTTATAAAACACCAAGAAGAGGCTACTGAAATACGAGCCCTATGTCCTTACCTACTGCGATCTTAATCTGGCCAACATTATAACTAGTCCGAAAGGTGCAGCCCCTTAGTATATTTGACAGCGACTATGCTGCTTATTCTCTGATATGATATCAATATCTCACGGTTGTAGATGTTGAATCAAGAAATTTGCTCTACGAGCCCCTAGATGCATATGATGATGCATATGAAAAAGCTAAGGCTTTGGATGGATCTGTACAATTTAAGACACAAAAAGGGTTAAAACAGTTATCTTGAATAAAGACAGAATCTTTCCTTAGATATGATCCGGTTACTGTGGTCGATCGAAGGAAATTCAAATTGTAAAAGAAAAGGGCAATATTTGTTCGAAGCAAACATTATGAATCTTTGAGCCCAGACCTTCATTGCACAGCGATCCATATGCGAAATAAAACCACCGAGCAAATAAGAGCTTCCCGAACGAACATGTTCATTACAATTCTGCACGAGCCGCATGCACAACCCCAAAACAGCAAGATCAACCTCGATTGGCTCCGGGAACTTGTAACAAAAAGGAAAAGCGCGAATCTGCTGCATCACGACCCACCCCTATCGAACCAACCAGCACAGCCAATTGTTCAGGCTAGACAGTAAACATGCAGTACTAGGGATCTGCAGGCCAAGGAAGGTGACGGGTTCCAGAGCGTGTCCTAACGTCAGAATATGATTTGATCGCAACGTTGAGGCCAAACCACAACCAGCTGCGATCTCAGCCCCGCCACTGCGCGCCTTACTGGGGTTCTTAAATACGATCCATGGCTCCCAATTGTAATTCTAAGGCCATTTATGCCGTTAGTCCAGGATGGAGATTCCGGTCCCCAAGCTGGAGACTTTCGGTCCGCATCAAGGGCCGAAACAATTTGTTTTGTGTTTTGATGGGACGGGCAACAAGTTTGCAGGTGATGCTTCGGATACAAATCTTGTTAAGATTTATCGCGTATGACCCCATTTTCCGTTTTGTCGTCGCTGCAAGCTAATTGTATTATAGATGCTCGATCGCAGCCAGAGTCACCAGTACCATTACTACCAGCCCGGTATTGGAACCTATGTCACATCGCATACCCTCGGCAGTAAAAACAGATTGGAGCGCATCAAATCATCGTACAAAAAAGCTAAAGATGCGGCGCTGGGTTCGTCTTTCGACGAACATGTTTTGGGCGGATACAAGTTCCTTATGCGTTACTATGCACCAGGCGATGATATCTACTTCTTCGGCTTCAGCCGCGGCTCCTACACCGCCAGATTCTTAGCAGAGATGCTTGACTACATTGGTCTTCTACAGCCCGGCAACGAAGAGCTTATTCGTTTTGCGTGGAAGACGTTTGCAAAGTGGCAGCAACGGCGTGACGCTACGGAGCACGACCACCAAGAAAGACATAAGCTATTCAGATTTATGAAAGCTTTTCGGGAGACCTTTAGTCGGCCTGTTAGCCGAGTCAAGTTCATGGGGCTATTTGATACCGTGAACAGTGTTCCGATGTTCGAGAATGCGTGGATGGAAAGGAGCAAGTTTCCCTATACTGCGCAAAGTACCGCAAGAGTGATTCGACACGCAGTTTCGATCGACGAGAGGCGTGCAAAGTTTAGACAGGACTTAATCTCTGAGGTGAAACCTTTGGTTCAAGCTCACGCGCATACCCACAAGTTAAGACGCTTGCTGTCGCGAGACGATGATCACAATAAGGCACACGTTCCCGAGATAATGGAGCCGCCAAACAACGAAGAAAGAAGAAGAGAGCGCCGAGCCTCGCGACAAGAAACTTATGGCGAAGAAATGAGGTACCGTGCACCATCATCATCGCCAGCCCGAAGGCCTAGCGTCGTCGAAATACCTACCCATAACGGCCTCTTAACAGATAGGATCTCGCTCAAGAGCGCAGTATCCCGGAACTCCCTTCGCGTCCCTAGTCTAAATATCCCGGGCCAAGAAGAAGACGAAGATAAGCAAGATATCCAAGAAGTCTGGTTCCCCGGCCAGCACGGCGATGTGGGCGGAGGCTGGAAGCTCAACCCGAACGACCTCTGGCCTCTAAGTCACATCCCTCTAGTCTGGATGGTGAAAGAAGCCCAGCTTGTAGGTCTTGAATTTGATCCCGAGAAACTCAAGCGCTTTCATTGTTACGAAGAGCCGACCTACGAGAACCTCGGCTACAAAGAAACCACTATAAACGGTGACATTTCCGAAACCAACAAAGACCCTTTCCACGAAACCTACCACCGAACAATGGACACGGGCATTGCCCACGACTGCTTGACCTATGGTGGTGGCCTCTCATTTTTCTCCTCCCTCTCGTGGCGACTAATGGAGTACATGCCCTTCCGTCGAATGGACCTCCAAGCAGATGGATCATGGAAACCGATTCGCTGGCCTCTGCCATGCGGAGAAGTACGTGATATTCCAGAGAACGCACAGATTCATATTTGCGCTATTCATCGCATGAAGATTGATCCAAACTATCGTCCGGGAAATCTTATTGTAGGCGGCTGGGGAAGGGGGGTTAAGAGGGCACCCGAGAAGTATGGGATTGGGGAGTGGGATATTTGCATGCATGAGGGAGATCCCGTTAGGCAGACGTATATTAGAAAGAAAGGGGAGAGTGTTTGTCTCGATGAGTCTCATGTGAACTGAATTTCTCTCTAAGGGTTTGGTGTATTGGCGTTTCCAGTTACACTCCGAGTAAATTCCTTTTCGTGGTGCTTGCATACCAATCGATGATATTTTGGTGAGAGTTAGAAGCAGCCCGGTCCTAAAGACATATTAGCATCGTATTATGTGTTTCGAGTGGTGAAGTGAACTCACCAGCGCCGAGCGGCCTTCATTATCCTGGGCCATAGGGTCTAAGCCCCATTCGACCATCATCTGGAACACAGCCAAAGATCCCTCGTGATACTTCTCACGTTCACCCATCCAAACATTCCGAGACCTTGTGACGACGTGCAGCAGATTTTCTTTCTTAGTGTTCACAGCATGGATATCGCAATCAAGCGCCATGAGTTCAGTCATCACGTTGCGAAACTCCACCTCTGGATTCAGGTACCACCGGTTAAGTTTGTTGCTAGACGTGGCTTCCACAAAACTGAACACAGGCGTTTCACCGGCTGCGTTCTTCAAATGGAAGTCGATGCCATGATTTTGGAATTGATTGAGCCATTTTAGCTGATCCGAAGAAAGGCTTAGGGCGGCATGAAGCGCTGTGGCTCCGGTGGGGCTCGGAGTAGTGGGATCGGCTCCTGCATCGAGAAGAATTTGCCATGCCCAATCTGCCTCTGAGTTAAAAGCGATGTGTAAAGGAGTAAGTCCTTTCTTGTTTGACTGCTTTACTAGGTCGCTGCACTCACTCACGAAAAGCGATACTGCCTTTTGCTTCTCGCGCACGGAATGGCCGTCCCTCGCTTTTCCTACCAAGTAGTGAAGGCAGTTGTTCCCATCGTTGTTCGAGACGCTGATATCTGCACCCCTTTGATGGATCTCCAAACAGCGCAATGGGGTGTTCTTAGCCGAAAGCTCACTGTACTGGCATGCTACAAGGAACGGAGTGTCGCCGTGACCATCTCGCACATTAATGTCAAGACCCAATTGACTGAGCAACGGTCGACATTCTTCGATATTCCTCGAATGCCGGATAAAGTCGTGTAGAATAAGTGATCCTTGATTATAAGAGCTTGGTTGCAAAGAATTTGCCCCGTATGCTAAGAGCAATTTGAGCAATGCCGTGGTCGTATCTGAGTCAGTCACCCAAGGGGAGCGTATGGCAATCTCAAGAGGAAATTGATCATTGCTTCCGGGAGCCTGGCCAAAGGGACTGTGTATATTCGGCGACTTAACAGAAAGGCGCACGTTGCAATCCTGTCCATCTTCCAAGAACTCTTTAACGGTGTTGAGGTCCTGTCTGCGAATAGCATCACGGAAATCAGCTGAACGATCAGGCTTGGTGACTTGACCTCCGTAGCTGAGCAGGAGATGGACAACTTCTGGGTCATTGATCTTCTCGTTCAGCGGTGTGAGGCCTTTTGTATCCGCTAAGTTGGGATTGGCGCCGTTCTCTAGTAAGGATTTGATAATGTCCTTGCTCATAGGCGCTCCGTTTATCAAGCTGATCACAGCTAATCTCAATGGCGTCCTCCCAACGTCATCTTGCAAGTCTGGATTGGCACCTTTTCCTAGCAAAAATATCACCGCTTCATGCTGCCACCAATTCTGACCCCTTGCAAGAAGATGTAAAGCCCCATGGTGATCATCCCCCCAGATGCAGTTCCAGACTTTCGCTTTTATGTCCAGTTTAGCGCCGTATTTCTCCACAATCAGACGTAGAATTGGCATATTGGGCTGATTCCGCATGGTAGCAGAAATCAGATACGGCATCACCTTGCCAGATCCATTGATCCAGTCTTTGCTCTGAGATGATTCAGCGACCATGTCAAACAAGTATGTATACCCGCCGTCCACCAGATCGGAAAGCAGATCAAAGCCTCTGTCCCATTGAGCCTTGATATGTCCCGGCGCAAATCTCATGCCCGATTCGATCAATTTGCGAAATACGCCATAATGGCCTTGGACAATGAGGGGTGTAAAGCACAGCCATCTGAGGCGGAAAGAACGGTCATTAATTTCAACATCGTAGTCTCCTCTCAAGGGCTGCATTTGCCCCGTTGCATGGCAGAGGAAGATTATGATTTCCATCATTTGTCCTGCATCGACAGGTTGAGTATTCGGTGCACACCCAAGCCTGGCATCTTGAAATGGAATTAAAGCCCGCGAACGAGTCTGAACTAACTCCTTACTCGATTTCTCAACCTCGTCGATCAAACTCGTGCAGAGCTCCAACGGCGTCTCGTTGGAATTATCCCGCATGCTGAGTTGAGCACCAGCTTCTACCAGGAGTCGAACGCTCTCTGCCGAGCCAGCTTGGCAAGCAGCGTGCAGAGGAGTACGACCATCGCTGTCAGCTTTGTCGAGGATGAAATTCAATGTTTCTTGCTTTTGACAATGGGCCAAAAGCATGCCAACAATGTTTCCTTCGCGAGCAGACGCAGCCAAGTGAAGCACATTCTGCTTGGATCCCGTTTCAGCAGTTGCTGAAACACCCTTTGACAAGAGTTTGGCTACAAGGTATTTTGAGTTGGTCGCTGCAAGATGGATTGGCTGGTAGCCGGCGTGGTTTGTCATTTGAAGAGCTTCGAGATCTAGAGAAGAAAGCAAGAGGTCTGTGACTTTTTGGTCTGGCCAATCACCAATATCAGGATCCAGCCGAGTCCGGCACTGTACATGGAGGAGGGTGTCTCCATTTTTACATTGGGATTTGACAGAGACTCCAAAATCCAATATAGCCTGCACGATCCCCAAAGGAATCTTACCGGCCTTTGCATTGGTGCTTTGCATCAACGTGTCCAGCAGGGTTTCTCCGTCATGGTTGACGTGAAGTGGATCTGCTCCTTTCATGGCGAGCATATTTAATGTGTCTGGATTCCATGGTTTAGTACGACCGAAAAAGCCGTTAGGCTGACCGTCCTGTAAAGCGAAATGCAGGACACCGTTGCCGTCGTTGGCAATGGCTTGGGTGCTGGGTTGGAACTGGCGAATGAAAATGGAAATTTTTTCCAGTCCCTTATCCTCGCTCTTAGTGCCGCTTATGATGCCATGATGGAGCGGTGTCAGGCCTTTCAAATCTCTTGCCTCTATATTTGCACCGGAAGCGACGAGCAATTGAATTATGGGTGCTAAGCCTGGGCTGTTTGGCATTGGCATACTGCCACAATATGTAGAAGCGGCAATATGGATTGGCTCGAGACCTTCAAGGTTTTTACGTCGAACATCAGCCCCAAGATTGATCAAGGATGCTACGAATTCACGGCTTGGCGTGTTGCGGCAGCGCATCAGTTGATGTAGTAGAGTCTCTCCTTTTGTGTCGACAACATTCCAATTGGTCACATGGGGAGCTAGAAAATTAAGATCGACTTGATGATCGTGTTTGAAAATATCAAGGATAGGCACTCTCCCATTTGAGGAGTGACTTCGATCGAGTTTGAGTCCACAGCCTGTCAAAAGCTCAATCATAGGAATGGACGCGTGGAAAGGCCTAACCAGGTTGAGTGGAGCAGCGCCAGTATTATCAATGATGAAGGGATCTGCACCGTTCTCCAAAAGAGTCATCGCCACAGTGATCATGTTACTGCCAGCGCTTATATGAAGGGGCGTATAACCGCAATATCCTTTAGCATTTGGGTTGCAGCCAGCATCGAGGAGTAAATGGCAGCATTCCTGTGCTCGTATAAGCTCGCTTTCATCTTGCTGCTTGAACACACTAGGACTATTGATGCCACGCTGACAATGAAATCCAGCCACTGCATGTAGAGGATTTGAAAGCTGATCGCCTGGAGGAACAGAGACCACAACACAGCCTTGTGGGCGCATACCTCTCGAGCCCTTATTTGGATCTGCCCCTCGATCAAGGAGTATCTTTATAACTTCGATATGATGCCCGAGTGACGCCCGGAAGAGCGGAGTATCGCAGCCAAGGCCATCCACATTTGCGTGTTCAGAACGCAAGAGGACTTTCATAAGAGCCGGATCACCACTGGTTGCGACAATATCTAAAGCTCTATCAATCTCATCTGAACCAGTGGTTGATAGAAGTTCCTCGACCTTATCGTTATCTTTAAGATTGATGGCAGTGATGAAAGCTGACTTCGTCTGTGTGTGCTGATGATCCATGGGGGATCTTTGACTCGGCAACCCAAAGCCACTATCTGTTTTGTCTCCAGATCCAAATAGAGAGGCTCCGGCGCCAAATGGAGAATTTCTAGCGCCAAAAAGAGAGGAGCCTTTCTGGGGCATGGTGCTTGGTTGGTGAGTCAATGGCCTCGTCAGCGGGATCTTTTGACCTTCAAAAAGCCCCGGCTCCTGAGCCTGAGCCGCGGGTCTGGAGGACAGACCAAATAGGTGGGGCGGACCAAAAGGAGTGGGCATGTGTTTTTCAGGAGAGGGTCCGTTATTGCCTCCAAAGCCACTCGTGGATACCTGAGGCTGTAGAATGGAGCCAAAGGGCTGGATCGACGCTGATTCGGACCCAAAACCGCCAAACAACCCCTTGGGTGCTTGGAGCTCCATATTTGACGCGAGCGGTTGAACTGCTGTGGGGTTTGCGCTATAGCTGGCGGATAATCTACCGATTTGTGACTGATCATCTGTATCTGATGCGAAGGGCTGTCTGGAGGCATGTTGCATTGAGTTACCCACAAAAACTCTACCGGGGCCCACTTGAGGCTCTGTATCTGATGTATGAGACCGGTCAGAGTCGAGCTTCGGCTCACCAAATAGCCCGGATTGCTGGTGGGGCTGCATGGCTCGAATTCAGTCCTTCAGAATCAGAGCATGGGATCGGTTGAAGATTTTGATAAGGACCGGGACTGAATTTTCCCTCGGTTTTGTAACGGAAACTAGCGGGACTGAAGCGAACCCTAGCGCCAAGATCAGGTCCCCTGCCCCGCCAAGAACGTATTTGTTGTTTCCCCCGGTCCTGCAAAATGCTTATTTTATCTCCGGTGTACACAATGTGGATAGTAGAAGGAAGCGAGGCACAGCCTTTTTATTTTTTTTTTATTTTTTTTATTTAAATTTGGAGCCACCGGACTGGTGTGCGATGATATTGACTGTACTGACTTATCGAAATTGGATGGGGCTTTTGTCCTGCTTGTCAAACACCCGTATTCCCCGTTGTTGAGTTTGAGCAAGGCAATCTACCTGATCATAGTTGGCGTTGAATATTTCGATTCAAACACGCAGCACAGTCTATTGATCAGAAGAAACCTCCTTTCAGTCGATCTTCGCGGGGCTCACGGCCCATAGATCTGGGCGTGACTCCACTAGTATTACCTCTGAACAACGTGTAATAATGGTGCTAATAACGGTCATGTTCCAGTGAAGTTTTCGAGGCGGACCTGCCTACAGAGGCGAAATAAGCGATGATAGTGACGGGGAATATTCAAATAATCAGATAATCATCCTGGTGTGCGGATTCGGAATTGTGTGTCTAAAATGCATTAGTGTCGAGTAGCACGCGTACACTAGCCGTAAACTTACAAAGAGCATCCAAGGCACATTACCTGAATCATGTTCTGACTGCTGCGCCCGAGCATTCCACACTTTCTCCAGAAGGTTTTGAGGTGCCGCATTACCCATTTCAGACCTGCCTTTGATTTCTGCCAATCGCAGTAATATGTAATGACGTGAATGCGGCGAAAGACAATCAGCGCCCGCCATAAATAGAGGCATAACCAAGAGTTCAATCAATTGGTTGCTTCCAGGGATATTTGCGAGAGAATCGAGGATTGCTGTGACGGATTTCTGTATCCGTGACTCTGCGGCAGACTCGGTAGCGTCAAGGAGACGCCAAGTGCGCAGGATACAGGTGTGCCGGAATGCCTCGGCAACTGATAACCAGAGTGAATCGTTGCTGGGATAAAAGCATCTGGAGCTATCCCAGAGATAGAGATTCCGAGCTAGATTTTGCACGTTTTCTTTAAATTCGGCGGCGTCTAGACTGCCATTGGAATGCGCTTTTGCTTGCTCGAGAATCTCGCCAATGATGAGAACTAAGTCTCGTGGGCAGCCATTGACAGATTCGAATCGCAAGTCACATAGCGATAGCAACTTTATGCGAAGATCTTGAGTGAAACAAAGCCGCTCCGGTGTTGAGAATGCACGAATGATATCCAACCTTGTCAATACAATCATATTAGCATTGTAAGCATTCCTGGATATGAGAACGTCTCACCATACAAGGTTCCCAAGGAAAAACACAGTCCGTTTGTGCTCGACTGTTAGTGTTTGATCAAGTTTCAACTGAGAACATATGGACATGGCGCCTGATATATGAGCGCCATGTGACGAGATACCAGATTCACAAATCTAGTTCCAGTCCTGTCAGTAATTTACTTGCATGCCCCAGAAGTTTAAGAACGAACGTCATGAAGTAAGAGAATCTGAATAGTAGCGAAGACACCATCGCGCTCGTTCTCATCAAAGCTCCCCGAGCCAACCTTGTTGATCTTCTGTCCCAATGCGGATATGGCTTTGAGACGATAATCCACAGCGGCTGATTCACAAAGATGTGCGTCATTATTCAAGCGCCCCAAATGACATGCCGATAGACCAAGAACTGCATATAGTAGACCAATCTGCTCGTCAGCCAAGGGGAGCACATAGAGCCGATATGGATTGTGACTGCCATCAGCCTCCGCTATCTGGTGTGGACAGATGGCTTGATCGTCTGTGCCGATTTAGATGATAATCAATATGCGTTGAATTTGGGGTGGCCTTACAATGAGCCAAAAGCGTTTTAACTTCGGCTGCACCAAAGGCTTTCTCGATTTCGTGCTGGTCGCGCGGCGTGAGGCTCTGCGCTGGCGTGGCTAGTCCTGCCGCGTTGGAGACCGTAGTTGAATGCCTTGGCCTATCATCATCAACCCGCACATCATTTTGATTAGCCCGCGGGGAACTCTGACTTGAGCTTTCAACAGGAGCGTTTGGAGCCGGGATTGGCGCATCTCGATTCTTCCACTTGCCTCGGCTAGCAATGCCACAGAATCGAAATTTGTCAGGATAGCCCTCGCATTGGAGTCCCTTGCTGACACAGCGCTTGCATTTTGGTCGCGCACGATCACATCGGCGCGATTTCTTGCGGCATGTCAGACATGCAGCGTCTAGCCAAAGAATGTCAGTCATGGATCGGTCAGAGGGCACGTTTTGAAACCGAACCTGTGGAGCCCATGTCCGATCCTCAATCTGAATAAGCCGATCCATTCATGTTCATGGGTTTAGATGATTGTGATTTCTTCGTGATCATCCACATGCTTTTCCCCAACGAACCCGAGTCAGAGAAATATGGCCTGAGGCAAATGTCGAGTACAAGGATACCGGATCTCGGAGATACTATATTGCCGAGGTGCTACGCTGCGCGTTGTGTATATCTCTTCCCAAGAACGTCTAAATTGTCCAGGAGGGTCAAGATCTGGACAAGCTTCAAGATTCACGTAAAAGACGCCGCCTAACGTTTCAGTCAGCTCGCATCCTCTTCCTTCGTATTGGCATTTTGAAACGTTGCCCACTTTTCTCGTCCGCCTCGTCTCTTGTTGTACTTCCATACGTAGCAACGACTTTAAGTACTCTCATCACAGTGGGAGTTATCTTTACTCTGTCATTCAGGAATTGAATAGAGCTAGTCACAGCGTTTTCTCGAAATGGTTCAGTTCCAATCTCTTAGTTCAACGTGGCTAAATACTTCTGCCTTATATATTCCTCCCCAGGATAGCCGCCCGGTAACCATGACCCCAGATCTAGAGCCATAATTGACCCAGCATTTCGACTCGCGTGTATTTGGGCCTGGGAGGCGACCCTCTTATCATTCATACCCTTCAAAATGATGGGTCGTTCGCGAGTATCCGAAAATAGTGAATACGCTAGATCCAATTAAGCAATCAAAGAGGGCACAATAAGGCGTTTTCCCTCGAAGGAAAATATGCAAACAAATTAGACAGATTTCCACAGACGCAAACATGAGAAGCTCACATGATCTAAAAAGACTAAAGAAAGATCTCGGAAAAAATGGAAACCCGTAGACGTTCAGAGTGCAGTGGGTCTAGCCAATTTACCCGCGTTCGGGCCAAAGAGGACCGACGGTCTCTATCAATGACCCTCGACTTTTAACATGAGGACATTCGGTAATCATTGCTACCTACAAACACATTAACTCCAAATCCTTCAATGATCCAAGACTTAGATCATAGGCTTTCTAAATTCTAAATCGGAGGTATAAATCTCCCTTGGGTAACCAACCCCGCATCCCCGCAATAACCACCAAATTAACCATTTAAAGTCCTCAACACCGAAGAAGCCAACCAAACAAAAAACCAATACCCAAAAAATGCCAATCCCAATCTTGGACTCGCACATCCATCTCTTCCCAGCCACCCATCTCCCAACACTAGCCTGGTACACCCCAGACAGTCCCCTCGGTGCACAACACAGCGTCGACGAATACAAACACGCCTCTTCCACCCCAACATCAACAGAAAATAACGCAGACAAATATCTCCGCGGCTTCATATTTCTCGAAACAGATCGCATCTCCTCGACAGAAGAAAATGACTCCTCAGGATCAGGATGGAATCACGCCTTAGACGAAGTATCTTTCCTCACGCGTATCGCGTCCGGCCATCCAGTTCCCGGAGAAGGCCATAGCCCAGCTGACAAAGATCTGTGCGTGGGTATTGTACCTTGGGCACCTGTACCCGGCGGACGAGATGTGTTGAGGAGATACATGGATATGGCTCGGGAGCGGACGGGGCCGGATGTTTGGAGGAAGGTGTGTGGAGTGAGATATTTGGTTCAGGATAAGCCCGCTGGTGTGATGCTAGGTGATAGTTTTGTGGATGCGTTGCGCTGGTTGGGGGAGAAGGGGATTGCGTTTGACCTTGGGGTTGATGCGCGGCAGGGGGGATTGGGTCAGTTGAGGGAGGCTGTGGAGATGATGGGGAGGGTTTATGATGGGGTTGGAGGGGATGGAGTAACTATTATTATAAGTGGGTTCATTCTTTGTCTTGTATTTGGCGTATTGCTGACTTGGTTATAGATCATCTTTGCAAGCCCAATCTCCGGATTGGGGTTGACGAGTTTGATACCCATGAGGAGTGCTTGGAGTGGAGGGACATGATGGTGAAGATGGCTTCTGCGAGTGACCGGACTTATATGAAGCTTTCTGGGGCGTTCTCGGAGCTTCCGCCGTTGAATAGAGAGTCGGAGCCCGATGTCAATGACTTGGTCAATCATGTGAAGCCGTGGACGGATGTGGTATTCGACGCATTTGGGCCCGAGCGTGTGATGTTTGGCTCCGATTGGCCAGTGTGTAATGTTGGAGGCGGTGGAAATGACGTCTCGTGGAACAGATGGCGCAAAGTCGTTGAAGAGATCCTGGTACGAAGAGGGCTTACAGAGGAGCAGAAACGAGGAGTATGGGGAGAGGTAGCAATCAAGGCTTACGGTGTTGAGCTTTAAGAGTTAAGTGTATATCAAGGAATATTGATTTCTTATTTAGATTCATAACAAAACAGGGCAAATATCTACTGTAAATTAACAAACAGTCCACCATCAACCAAAAGCTGAGCACCAGTCTGTAAACAATTAGCGTGATAACTTTCATCAGTTTGAAGCCAAGACTTACCACATAACTACTCAACTCCTCGCAAGCCAAGAAAACAGCCGGCCCAGCCAAATCCGGAGGCTGACCAAGTCTACCAAGTGGAATCCGACCCTCCATATAAGCCCGCTTCTGGGGATCCGCCATATCCTCCTCGTTAAGCTGAGTGCGAATAGTACCCGGCAGCAAAGCATTGCAGCGAATGTTATATTTGCCCAACGCGACAGCACAAGACTGCATAAGACTCAACACACCAGCCTTAGTAGGCGTATAGTGAGTCTGCTCACCACCGCCAACTAGCGCGGAAATGGAACTAACTCCGATAATGGACCCGCCGGGTGGTGATTGAGTCAACGCCATTTGGCGAGCCGCGGCTTGCGTAGCGAAGAAGGCACCAGAGAGATTAGTTGAGATGGTATGGTTGAGGAGGGAAGGTTCAAGTCTATTTTGTTAGTTTTAAACCTCTTGTGTTAGAGGCAGAGGCGATACTAACTCGAGGAAATCGGCGAATTGGCACACGCCAGCGTTGCTCACGAAAACATCGAGACGGCCAAATGCCTCAACGGTCTCAGCGACAAACTTCTTGCCTGTCTCCGGCTGCGAGATATCACCGGACACTGTGAGGAATCGGGGTTTGTCTGCGCCTGCTTCGATCTCGTTTACGTCTTTGCGCAGCGCTTCGAGCAGAGCGTCTTCTTTGGGACCGCCGAGGTGGCTTATGGAGACTTTGGCTCCATGGCGGAGATATTCTAGGGCAATAGCCTACATAATGAAGTCAGTAGACGTTCTTCGAAGCGCTTTCAGACTCGCGCAGCAGGGAAGAGGGTGATTACCCGTCCAATGCCAGTGAGACCGCCGGTGATGGCGGCTACCTTGCCAACGAGTAATTGTGGAAGAGGCATGGTGATTGTGTTATAATGGCCCTTCTCAATTGACTTTGGAAAGCTAAATGGAATACCGTGTCTTCAAATGGCAGAACAGGGTGCGCTCGCAATTTTTGAGCAGCAGCCCCGCTGATAAGATTTCGGGCCTCGCGATGATGATGCCCCGAGTGTGGGGTACTTCCCCCACAACCAGGGTCAAAAGGGGCGAATTGTTCCGTGCGGCAACTCTGAGACTCGTGATGTTTGACGTAGAGAAAGATTAAATGAATACAACGAAAATAGTGTACAGTTGTCATCTCCGTAGGCTAATTTTCAAGAATGCAGTTATACGTGAAAAAGGATTCTCATCCGGGAACATATCAGTCTATTGGGTTGAGTTTCGGGAATGCTATTTATATACATGAACATCATGAAGGAACAATTCGTCAAGCCACACCGGAACTGGGTGCAATATTTATAACGCCGTGAATCCAAAGCACTTTAAGCAGTCGTGCCATTGACTTGCTCCTCGGGAGCCCGCAGGGCCTTCTGCGGCGCGGGGGTGAGGAGAGCAGAGGCCGGGATTAGCTTGGCAGCAGGGTTGAGCTCAAGGCCAAATCCAGGCTTGTCCAAGATCGAGACATCGAGGTATCCGTTGGTAGGGATAGGCTCGTTCAGGAAGAGATCACCGAAGACAGGCAAAACAGACTTGCCATCCGGGGAGTTGGCCAGGTATTCTTGGAAGGGGCAGTTGGTCTGGGAGACGACAAAATGGTAGGAGTAAGGACCGGAGGCGTGGGGCACGACGGGAATGTCGTAGGCGGCAGCGAGAGCAGAGACCTTGAGGAGCTCAGTCAAGCCACCCAGCCACATAACATCGGGCTGAATAATGTCGAGGTTACGGCCCTCGACGAGCTTGCGGAAGCCGTACCGGGAGTATTCGTGCTCACCGGTGGTGAACCTAACAGTGGGGTGAGCGCGTTTCAGAAGAGCGTGGCCGTCGAAGTCATCGGGCGAAAGGCATTCCTCCCACCAGTCAATGTTCAGGCCGATAGCCTCGCAGCGCTTGACCAGCTCGATGGTGTAGGGGACAGTGAGGGACATGTAGCAGTCGACACGCAGAGGGAAGTCGGGTCCAACGCTGGCACGCTGCAGGCGCAGGTACTCGACGTTCTTTAGCAGACCCTCGGTAGCCTCATCAGGGCCGTGGGGCAGAGCAACCTTGGCTCCAATGAAGCCTGCGGCCTTAGCAGACGCTGGCTGGGGTCCAGTGCAGTAGAAATCTAAGCGCTCACGAGTGGCACCACCGATCATCTTGTAGACGGGCTCGTTGCGAATCTTACCAATGAGATCCCAGAGGGCTAAGTCAATGACCGAGATCACGGCGGTAGGCAGACCCTTGCGACCATAGAACATTGAGCCGCGGTACATCTTCTCGAACAGGTTGTTGGTGTCGCGGGGGTCTATAACACCATGGTTGTTAGTGATTGGGTTTCCTTATGATATCGGAATTACTCCGCACCTTCTCCAATCAGGAACCGCTCGAAGTGCTGATGGGTGAGCCAGCAAGCAGGAGGGCCACCGAAGCCGGTCGCAAAGCCCTTAGTACCATCGGTGGCCTCAATCTCGACACAGAAAGATCCCAGCACGTTAATACCCCAGGAAGTACGCGAGCCGCGATACTGCGCCCATTTGGTCATGGGAGTCGAAATGCTACTGTCGATGAGCCAGTGGCCGCCCTTGACCTATTGACGCTGTTAGCAACTCTCAGACCCTATTAAAGCACTCCCATGAATTCATACATTATGGTAATCACCGCCGGAGCCGACACCGTCAATGACGAAGGTGCGGATCTCCTTAATGCGGGGAAACTGTGTTGTCGAACCCATGGTGGAATGTAGTGATTATGGTAAGCTAGAGAACAATTCTCGAAATGACCAATGCACAAAAGAAGGGATATGTAAAGAAGAGAAAAAAGAGACCTGGGGAAGTCGTGGGGGTCCTGGACTTTTTCAAGTCGCGAGGGGGAAACCCGAGGCCTCGGGGCATTGCTGGCCCGAAGGCCGGGATGTGCAGTCCACTTCTCCAGTCACCGGCACGACTTACTCTTTGTAATGACCGTCTTAGTTATTGCACCAATAAGAGCTGATTTTACCTGATGGCATTCTCGCTGGGTTCGCTGTCTACCTGCTGCTTTTGTTGCGCGTTGTTCTGTATAGTCTTGGCCTCGGGGGTTTTGCAGTTCCTTCCGAACTGTCCACTACGTGATGAAGATGAGAATGATGAGAACGATGAGAAAGACGCTAGAGTACCCATGTACACCCTGTATTCTATATAGCTTCTTTCCATATATCTACCTCATGCATGAATCATTCACAACTCATGGGCAAGATGCGCCTGCACCTGCAACAGCATGTGCCACGCGCGGGGAGAAATGTGGGGTGCCCCAGTTTCTGCCTCAGGCAAGTTCCCCGGTGACTCGCTAAATCTTCGTTCTCCTCTTCTCTCGGGCCTTCCCTCGGTCAATCTGCTCCATCGGACTATCGCCGTGCTCTCTGTCGGCCTAGATCAGTCGGATATCATCCGCGTCCTTAGCTTGTGGCCCGCGTCATGGTCGATCCCCGATAGGCCCCATCTCGCTATCGCAAAATGCCGAATGCTGCATCTTTGTCGCAGCACGGCGCCCCCGCCAATCACCGCCTTTTAGAGCCCGATCGAGATCAGAGTCCGGCAGAGTACTCGTCGGGCATCGACTCTGACAACGATCAGGGCGCCAATGGCTCTGGGGGATCGCGAGCGTTGAAAAGGAAACGCCCCCTCACCGTCTCGTACGTACCCGATCTGGCCATATCGACGACGTAGCCTTGAAATCTTGATGGACTTAGGAGACTAACTATGCTCTAAGATGTGAGCTCTGCAAGCAGAGGAAAGTCAAGTGTGGTATGCGTGAGAGTCATCTCTAAGAAAAATAGCAACCGCTAACCGCGTCGCAAACAGATCGAGTGCAACCGAGTTGCGGCTGGTGTAACAGGAACAACCAGATATGTGAGTATAAAGAAAGGAAAAAGCCTGGCCTGCGGGCTGGCTACGGAAAGGAATTGGAGCAACGCCTCGGTTCGTACCCTTGCCTTATACACTGGAGCCAAATCTCATCCGTTCTATAGACAGGCTGGAAGATATCATTCAATCCCAAGCCCGGCTTATTGAAATGCATATGCTTCAAGGCCAGCCGGGACTGGCGCATGAAATGCACCATGGGGGATCAATAGCCTACAGCTCGCCGTCGGAGCCCTCCGCGATCCACGGCCCAAGCCCTGGCACCGCAGTCTATTTCAACGATCCTGCATCTTCGGTCACCCTACCTTCACGCCGCGCAGATCCTTCTATCGCAAGTCCCTCGGATACATCAGTCAAGAATTTGGTGCACAATAGCCTTCACCACGGGAACGCGGCATCGGTCATGGGCTCATTACCGTCGGTCCATAACGCGCATAACGGCGACTACACTGGAAACGAGTCATCTCTGAAAGGCCCAATCAACCTCTTTGGGAATCAAGAGCAGTCATTTGCAGACCCGGATCTGGATCTCCCACCATACGATCTACTTTACGCATTAGTGGATCTTTATTTCGAGCATATCAATTCCTGGTGCCCAATCCTTCATCGCCGGTCAACATTGGATACCTTCTTTGGTCCATCGCCCTTGGAAGAGGCTGATCGCATGGTGCTATATGCCATTGTGGCAACAACATTGCGTTTTTCAACCGATGCCCGGCTCAACGAGCAAAATCGCAAGCGCTACCACGATTCTTCCAAGCAGAAGGTTCTCTTATATGGCCTGGAAAATTCGTCAGTCAAAGCCTTACAGGCGCTTGTGATCCTGGCCCTTGATCTGGTTGGATCCTCAAATGGACCTCCTGGATGGAAGTTACTCGCTTTGATTACCAGATCCGTTGTCCAGCTGGGACTGGCCGTGGAATCAAAGTCCTCGCTTATCGCTCCAGTCTACCCCTCAATCTATACGTTGAGAGCAGTCACACTACCTGAAGCAGATTCTTGGATTGAGGACGAGAGCAGACGTCGATTATTCTGGATGGTCTATCTGTTGGACAGATATTCGACGATTGCCACCGCATTCAACTTTGCATTGGATGACAAGGATATTGATCGCAAGCTACCTTGCAAGGACGAGTTCTTCATGAAAAATCAACCAGTTGAGACTCGGCGGTTTCACTACTCCGGTGACCGTGTGGATTACTTGAGTCATGCGGAAAATGTGGGATCGTTCGGGTTATACATGGAGGTCCTCGGCATTCTTTCCCGCGTCCATCAATTCCTGAAGCGCCCCGTGGACATTGGATCTCTCTCCGACGTGGAAGAATGGCAAGCTACCTATCGCAAGCTCGATAGCGAATTGACTTCATGGGAGTTCAACCTGCCTGCAGAGTATGCGTATGAGAACTCTTCACGGCTCTTCAGCGGAGGCAAGCAGAACCGCACGCTACACAGTGACTGGGTGCAACTCCAAACCACATATCAAACGTGAGTATTATCCATCTTCCCCGAAAGCCCTCTCCTAACCATAATACAGTGCCGTCATCCGCCTACACTCATCCGCCGCATACCCAACAACCCGATCCCCAATCTTCACTCCCTCCTATAGCGCCAGCCAACGCTGCCTCCTAGCAGTCGACAACATCCTCTCCGTCACCCGCTTTGTCGTCGAAAACAACATGCTCGACAAACTCGGGCCCCCATTCGCATTCACCCTCTGGGTCTCAGCCCGCCTTCTCCTCGTCCATGGCTCAACAATCGCCCACACAGTCAGCCCCGACATAATCTTTTTCGTGGACACACTCGCTCTCATGGGTGGTCACTGGAAAGTCGCAGAACGATACAGCAATATCCTCCAACGCGTCCTCGACGAATACGGCGAATACCAGCAATCCGCAGCTACAGACGGCGAGCGATCCACTCCGTCAACAGTCAAGATCCTAGCAGATATGCGCCGCTGCGCATTTGACCTAGACTTCCTCATTTCGCGCCAACCGCGCGAGTCTCCATCTACCATGAGTAACGGAGGAAACGATACCCGGCCTCCCGCGCCTACAATGACTCCTAGGAACCTCGCGCCGAATGAACTCGAGTATCTAGATGTATTCGGCTTCTTCAATGTTCCGCGTGTGCCGCCAACTCGTGCACCTGATCCTACAGCTCCACATCTTGATATGTCGGGATCGGTTGCGAATCCCATGTCTATACATGGACTGACAGGAGGGCCTGTGGTTGACGGGAATGCGTCTTCAAACGCGAATGAGTTCAATATTACGAATTATCTGATTCCAACGCCTGAGACGGATTGGTTGTTCCGTCCTGCTGGTTGAAACACACGACTATTCGATAAATGATTTGATGTTACTCCGTTATATTCCTCCCAGATTCTTGGCTTGATTGCCGTCTTCCATGCGGGTCGTCTCGCTACTGACTACTCTTTGCGGTTGAAATACCCTGAATTGGCGTTTTGGTGTTCGTCGGCTTTCCTCTCGTCACGTACATAGTCGAATGTTCATGTTTCCAAGTACATATTCTTTTTTATTGATGCATGCCTGTAAATACCCCAAGTGATGCCGATGATTAAATGAAGCGCTTGAGCTGTTAGTATACTTTCTAATTGTTTTTTCTATCCAAAGCATCACTCGTTCATCCCGCACATGTCCTGAATGCCTTCTACCATGTGAAGCCTATTTCAGATTAAATCTGAACTATCTATGCCCAGGTATACATTTGGAGCAGAGGAAGGCATTCATATGCCCATATGCTAGGTAGACACAACTCTTTCGAAATCTACATAATTGAAAGAAACCAAACCATCCCAAGCAAGATGAAAACCCAGTAACCAGACCGAGCCCATTTTGCCCCTCACTATCAACATAGAAGATCGTATTTGCAAAATACACATGCAATGACAAATGAAATAAAAGTAAAAAAAGCATAGACATACTCCACTGACCGAATCCACAACCCGACCGGAAAAGCGCAGAATAATATCATGATCATGTGCGTGACCCATAAACGCGCTATAAGAAAACCATGTACGTGAATAAAGGAAAGGTCAACATGAAAACAAGGTCCACAACGCCTGAAAGAAACATAGAGCGTCAAGTCATAGTAGGAGTGAATCGGGTCAAGAATCATGCTGAGTCGGAGGGCGCGGATGGTTGCAGACGAACGAGTATTTCCTCGAGGAATGCGTCCAGGACGGCATCTACGCCTCCACCCATTTGGACGGGAGATTCCATGTCCCAGCGGTGGAGGTTCGTGAATGATCGTGCGATTTCGTCGGTGATGTTTTCCATGCCGCGGTGAATTTTGACGCTTCGGTCCCATTGTTTTTCTTCTTCTGGGGACGCTTCGACTGGATTGCGGGATGGGTCCAGACGGGCGAGGTTCCGGCCTCGTCGGTTCATCGCTGCGCGGAGGGCGGGGACGATGACGGAGCCGTAAGCCGTTGCACGGTCGTTTTCAGTTGGACTTTGGGGCTGAGCAGGGAGTTTGGGAACTTCGTCTGTCAGAGGGCTTTGGGAAGGCGTGTTTTGCCTGGGTATGCGACGTTCATGCTTTTCTCGTCTGTCAGGCGCGAGCTTGGACTTGAGGCCTGGGCTTGGCTTTGGAGAACCATCGGGTTGCTTCTGGGGACCGAATTGGGGCGTGCGAGCTTGGGATGGGCTGACAGGGGTATCGGGAAGAGGGCGTTGGAGAGGTAGCTGGAGAGGTACAGGTTGGAGAGGCGCAAGCCTGCGAGAGGCCTGACCAGGGCTGGAGGTCTGCTCGGGCTTTGTAGAGCTTGAATTGCTAATAGAGGGGGCAGCGGGCGATCCATTGCCTAGACCACTTGCGTAGTCCATCACTGCTTGTGCGTAGCGTTCATTGTATGGTGAGTTCTTTTCCGGGTTGTTTGCAGCCACGGGGGAGCGGGGTTTGCGTAATGGAGAGGGCAAAGGTTGGGGAAGGGCGTGTTTTGTGGGTGATGCTGGGGCAGATGGAGGAAGAGGAGTTTTGGTAGGAGACGCATTAACAAGAGGCTTCAACACGTGAGATTGTGGTGGACGAGCATTCGGAGCCTGTTTGATCTCCTCCTGTAAGTCCCACTCCTCTGTCTCCTGGCTACGAGAATTCGTATCGGAGGCATTCAGCGGTCTCAATACTGGTCCAGCCCCGGGTCTTCCAACAGGACGAACCGTACCAAAGTCCCAGAGGTCTTCATGGTCCTCGGGTTGCGGTTGCACCGGCTCCTGGATCTCGTCATAGTCATCCTCGTCGTCTCCTTGACCGCGGTGTGTTGCTTGCCAGCGCTCTGCGCGTTCAATCAACTCCGTTAGGTATGTCGTCCTCTTGGCACGCTTAATAAACGGATGCTCCAGCAATTCCTTCGCAGAAGGCCGCTCCTTCGGATCTCGGCGCAAGCATAGCTCCACAAATTGCTTGAATGACTTGCTGAAGTCGCCATTGAGAATCGGAGGAGGATTCTTCGGAATCAAAAACAACACCTTCATCGGATGAATGTCTGCGTAAGGTGGATCTCCACAAGCCAGCTCAATAGCTGTGATTCCAAGAGACCAGATATCCGCTTTGTAGTCATATCCGGATTGCTTAATAACTTCGGGTGCCATCCAGAACGGCGTTCCAACAAAAGTGTTCTTTTTGGTCATTGTCGCTGACAACTGTCCAGACACGCCAAAATCGGCCAGTTTGACCTGACCACTAGCGCTCAACAAAATGTTCGCAGCTACCAAAGTATTAGCCTCTTGCCAAAGTGACGAGATGATTTATCTTACCTTTGATATCGCGATGGAGCTTATGGTCACAGTGGAGGTAATCTAAGCCCCGCAGAAGCTCGCGCAATATGATCGCAATATACTCTTCATGGATAGCGCCCGGACGCAGAAGCCCATGGCAACTACCACCAGAGCAGAACTCCATGATGATCCACAAATGCGAGCCCTTCAAGTAGGAGCCATGGTATTTGGTGACATAAGGAGATTTCAGCTCAGACAGGATCGCAATCTCCTGAATAATGTCGTCTACTTCGTCTTCGGCATTTTCGACGTCAATGACTTTGATGGCCACCGATTCTCCGGTCCGTCGATCAACACTATTTCACACGCCAACATGTTAGCACGCGTTTCACGAGTTTGCCATCGACGCTGGGTTCTCTGCGACTTACCCTTTGTAGACCCTGCCGAAACTTCCACCACCTATTAAGACCGCAGATTTGACAATCAGATTGTGGTAAACTTCAGATTGGACGGATGGTGTTCAATCTTACCTATGCATGTTTGCTTGGTGTAGATGGATTCGGGGTCGATGGGTGCAGGCATCCTGGCAGCTTATCTGGGCCTCTATTGAAGACCAAAACCCTTAAAAAGTCGTGTCTCTATGTTGATGATCAGCGCCTGCGATTGGTGTTGCTCAAGTCTTCGGAAGGAAATTTTGAGTGGAAAAAGGCTTCAGAGAGGGCTATGTCGATGGAGAACGAATAAGGGCAAGATAACGTACTGCGGCGTCGCACGGGAGCGATGGGTCCGTAGACCGCGGCGCGGGAGAATGCAGGAGGCAGCAAGGAAGGTTAAAAGTGTCGAGAATTCGGCGCTAGTAGCCGGGCCTCCTGTAAAGGCTATTAGTGAATGTAAAAAAACGAATGTGCGGAATTGTTTGGGTGCAACGCACTGACGATCGGTTGAACCAAGATGTCAACAAAGATGGAAGGAGTAATACAGAGCTGTCGGAGTAACTCAAATCTTGTTTATTCAGCAGGCAGTGATCAACAAGCATGGGCCATCATGATATCGCAGTAATTCAGGGAGCTGAGGACCACCATTCAGGATCTACAAGGAGGAGACGGAAACAGGCTGCCCTTGCGTCTGTTTATCGACGCGGGGGGATATTCTGCCGGGCGGCGAGGCTTATCTGAGGGCGGTGAGTGTCTACAATCACAAGTACCTACAAGTACGGAGATGATGGTAAAATGATAGGGGAATCTAGTTCGTTCATGTCTCCTAGTATCATTGCATCCCTAACGTTGTATGCTTGGCGGTCTTTGCACGGAAGATCAGTATGGTCTCAAGGACATGATGTCATTCGTCCAATTCATGTCGTTGCCCGTTGCTAGAAAGTCGGGCAGGACCACGACCAAGACCAAGACCAAGACCAAAGCAGCATTTAATCTTCATGATAGCCAATCATGACGGTGCCATTCTTCAGGCCTGCGTCCTCGATGCTTGTCGTAAGGTGCTCTATTAAGTTCTGTCCCATAGCATTCAGATCAAACTCCACCCCAGCCTTGTCCTCCAGCGGTGGCTCAGCCTTGAGCCACTCGTAGATTCGCTGGACAGAGTCGGAAAGTGCAAATCGACGAATAACACGACCAGAAGGATGGCGGAATTGAATACGGGTGGTGGTAGCTGGGTCCGCGGCGGGTTCGGTGTGCGGCTTGTTGTCGGGGATGGCGGCGAACGGAGAAGCTTCAGCTGGCTCGGCGCCTTTCTCTGTTCCACTCATATCATCGTCATCGTCGGAAATCGCGCGGCCTTTGCCCTTGACATCGTCCATGCTCCGAGTAAGGTCATCGGGGTCTTCCAGCTTCGGGCCCGCAGATGTCCCGTCCCCAAGACTGTTCCTCATGGCGATCTCCATCATCTCCTCCTCGGTCATTGCACCAAATTCCTTGTCCTTCTTCTCCGACTTCCTCTTAGCCACAGGATTGCGCACATTGTGCTTCAAGCTGTAGCGGTCCAAGAATTCGTGAATCTGCATGAGGAAATCGGATGGTTTCACCACAGGCGGGCCAGACCAGACCTTCATTTGTTCACCGGTGCGAGGGTCGACGATAGCAATGTGGGGGTAGTTATCGGCGACATCGCTGGCTTGAAAGTAGTAATTGAGGTATGTGGCAGCTCGGGGGTCATCCTTCGAAAACTGCAAGAAGATAAAATGTTCCTTCACGGTCTCCTGAACGCTCTTGTCCTTCCACAGGTCTCGGTTGAGAATTTGGCAATCGAAAACAGACGAGTCCTGAATGTTGACCAGCAACCATTTCTCATTGTCCTTTCCTTCATCACGAGCGCCATCCCAAGGCAATCGGGACATGATCTCGAACGGGGGTCGGTACATTTCAGCAAGCATGTTGGACTTGGAGGATGCCTCGGATGCGCCGCCAGTTGCCACGGAGAGTTGTTCATCGTGCCTTTCTTGCGATCCGCCAGCCCATATCGATGAGGTGTCTCTCTGATTGAAGATGCCAGGTCGACCTAGAAGATGATGTTAGTCCATGGACGCTCACAACACGGCATTTTCTTTATCAACGCACCGCCTCGTTGACGAGAGCGCAACTGGCTGAGAATATTAGCATGCATGTCATCCTCGCCGCCAAAATCCATCTCTGGCCCCACCAACGTTTCCGTTGTGCGTGCCATGGGCGCCCGGACATCGTCCTCGTTGTCCTGTGCGCCTCCTCCGGCGCCGCCGCCTCCGTAAGCTTCTTCTTGGAGACGGCGAGCCATGGCGGCATCATCCTCAAAATATGACTCCACAGGCGGTTGTGCGGGGCGGGGCTGAGCGGGCCCAGTTTCTTCGTCGTCAGAGTCGATATGAACGACCCCAGATTCATCATCGAAATTAGACCGGCGAGGTTGGGCAGGTTCTTCGGTTAATGGTGCACCTCCGTTCTCGAAGTAGAGCTGCATAGCCTGTTCGATTTGGAAGTCGGCAAGCGACAGGTACTGAGTCGCCAACTCGGGCGTAGAGCCGGTAATCTCGGTGAACTGGGCCACCACATCGTCGGAAGCCATTGTGGGTAAGCTATTGAGAAGTAGAAGAGAGGAGAGGAGGGGAGCGAAGCGAGCTCGGAGGATATTCAGAGGTGGTTCGAAGAGAACTCTCTTGCAGGAGCGTAGAAGGTAGAAGCCAGATGGTATGAGAAATAGCAAACGGTCAACGCGAGAGATAAGGAGAGCAACTCGCGCGGTAACGAGACATTAAAATAGCTTCGAGTATATTGAAGATCGTCGGTGACGCAAGATCCGGCGACGCGCAGAGCCACGAGACGCACAACTGCGCTTTTGGTCCAAACTGCTCACCCTATCTCATCTTACCGCTTGGGGAATGCGACGCGTCGCGCTACGCGCCTGGCGCGATTTGGCCTGATCTTCAAGGAAAGTACTTCTCCGCTCCTGCACATTTGCACTTGCTTCCATAGCAACCTACACCATGGCAGCTACGGTCTTGGGCAAACGCACGCGTGGTGCAGAGGATTTGGAAGGTGAGCTCACTGCACTTCCCTGGGGAATTTACATACTGACCTTTACTTCTCAGGTTTGCCGGTGCGCACTACAAGCAAGCGCCGGACAATCCAACCTCGTGCCCTTCGTCAAGATGCGCCAGCTGTTCCGCCACGGCGGACTCGTTCGACAGCAAAGCGACTGGGGCAACACCCTGACCAAGAGAACGACGATGTCAAGAAAACCTTGGAGACAGCGCCTTCAAAACACACAATTCATGAAGAACAGGGTAGGTCACCGACCAAGATCAACTCCCATTTCCGCACCTCAAAGCTAGTGGAGGGTAAGCTGAGAGAATCGGAAGAATTGCATGAGGGCACAGCTAACAGATTGTCAATGCAGAGGAGACTCCGGCTCCGATAGTCGAATTCAAGACCCCGCAGAAAAACCGATTTCGAGATGCATTGCCCAAATCCCCGGTTACCCCCCGCCATCGTGTCCAAGTGGGAGCCAAGGCCACTACTCCGCGCACCCCTCGGCATTCCGATCTGCCCCTGACTCCACGCCAGAGTACGACTCCGACCGTTGCTCAATCGGTGTATTCACAAGCCCGCCAATTGTTTGCCCGCGGTGCCAATTCGGGACGACTCGTGGGGCGAGACATGGAGCGAGAAAAAGTTTCTCGTTTCATTGAGGACTGCCTCGAATCCAAGAAAGGCAGCTGTCTCTACATCAGCGGTCCTCCTGGAACTGGCAAGAGTGCGATGGTCAACGAAGTCTGCCAGGAGATGGAGCTCTCCACCGTCAAGGTCTCTCATGTCAACTGTGTGAGCATGCGAAGTGCTCGTGACGTCTATAGCAAGCTGATCCAGGACTTCTCTGATGACACGGAGGAGGTATTTAAGAAGAGCGAGGCAGAGCGACTGAAGGCGATGTTTGTTCCTTCTGAACAGACCGATAAGCTGTTTTTAGTCAGTCTTGATGAAATGGATCACCTCCTGCAGGGCGATTCCGGTGTGCTCCAGTCCCTGTTTGAGTGGTCGTTGCACGGCAAGTCCGCCCTGATGCTGATCGGTATTGCCAACGCGCTGGATTTGACCGATCGATCCTTGCCGCAATTGAAGGCAAAGAACCTCAAGCCTACCCTTCTGCCTTTCTTGCCTTACAATGCGGCCTCGATAGGAAATGTGATTACCAGCCGCCTCCGCTCCCTAATTCCTGTTGGAGTTGATTCGGACCCCAAATTCGTCCCATTCGTGCAACCGGCTGCCATTCAACTTTGTGCGAAGAAGGTGGCTTCCCAGACAGGAGACCTGCGGAAGGCCTTTGAGCTGATCAAACGTGCAATCGATGCCATCGAACAAGAGACACAATCAAAGCTAGAGAAGCAGATTGCCGAATTGGCTGACTCAATACTCACCGAGAATAAGAATCTGTCCTCTCCTTCGAAGGCTGGGGCCGCGCCTCGACCCTCCACTATGGTAAACTACACCGTTGTGACAGCACCTCGTGCCAGTATTGCCCACGTCGCCCGCATTACAACATCTGCATTCGGACAAGGCACAATTCAAAGACTGAAGGGCTTGAATTTGCAACAAAAGGCTGCTATCTGCTCTCTCATTGCCCTGGAACGCAAGCGCCGTGAATTCGAGGTGCCAAACACCCCTTCAAAGAATCGGTCATCCGCCCCGACTGTGAAGCAAGCTTTCGACACCTACTGCACACTGTGCCGAAATGACAACATTCTTCACCCTTTGACATCCACCGAGTTCAAAGACGTTTTGGGTAACCTGGAGACGATGGGTCTGGTAGGCGAGTACCAAGGCCGCGGCCGAGGTGGAACATTGGCCGGGGGCTCTGATGTCCGACGCACACCCTCCAAGTCTGGGAACGTCAACTCAACCCCACACAAAGGAATGGATGAACAAGGTCTTCTCTGCTTTGTTTCCCAGTCTGAAATTGAAGGACAGATCGCCGGACCTGGTGAAGGCATTCTGCGACGGCTTCTTCGCGGTCAGGGTCTTTGATCTTGTCTTGGTCTCCATGCATTCTTGCTTTCCAACTGCATAGAGGTCTTTTCATGCCTATTTCTCGATTCTTTAGCCACGCTGCATCATTGGAGTCCCGCATGGCGCATTTTTACCTTGTACACTGTTTGCATCTTTGGAGTTGACTCTGTATTCTTCCTGTTGAGCGCCATTTTATGAGTTTCCTTTGTTTCCTTTCGTTTGTCCACACCATCCTGAAGGACATGCTCACAGAAATAAAAAAAATATAAAAAAAACTAGAATTCTCAAATACCGACAAGGTACTATAAAAACTAGTTCCACTGCCGAACACCCATCGAGGTCGCCCAGTGAAATAGTTTCAATTTTGATTTGTAGACCAGGTTGCCTGAATGTTAGATCCTTATACCTTGTTGTCTTAAGAATTATGAAATTTGAAATTCCCGGTAGTCTCACCATCGACAATATGGTTGCCATGGTGTGCTGCCATCAGGTGATCCAGGGCGTATAGATCACAAGCCTGCCCCTCTCTGCCCCTCCAGGTGACTCAACACGTGGAAAGGTCACCGAACTCTATTTGTTCAACCTCCAAGCTTTCTGTCCCCGGTTACCTTCAAAGTCTAACATTACCTTTCCCAATTTCCGTCTTGACCTTTCTCTGGTGCCTTCTATTCCCTTGTACCAGCCCGATTCCAACATTTGCCCAGCAATGGCTTCCCAAAGGGCATTATTCGTTATCGATATACAGAACGAGCTCATCAGAGATCCCGAGACCCGCATTGCGAATCCCGAGCGGATCACTCAGGCATCCGAAGAAATCCTCAAGGTTGCTCGTTCAATCCTGGATCTCAACTCCTCGGGAACTAGCCGCGCTTCCCCCGCACTTCTGGTCTTTGTCCAGCATGAGGAGTCTCCGCCGGAGGGAACTATGCTGAGGGGCAGCAAGCCTTGGGAGCTCTTCTTTCCACCTCGCGAAAGTCGCGACGATGAGATACTAGTGGCGAAAACTACCAGTAGATATTTCGAAATCTAGAACGAATACTAGCTAAGCAGGTTCTATAGGAGACACTTTCGCATCCAACCCTGACCTTGCGGCGAGGCTTCGCAATAAAGGTATCTCTGAGCTCGTGGTGCTCGGCCTCCAGAGCGAGTGCTGTGTGGAGGCGACGTGCATGGGGGCGCTAGCCGCTGGATTTGGCGTGACCTTGCTCTCCGGTGCGCATTCGACCTACGATAGTGACGAGAAAAAAGCCGTACAGATTGAACGTGAAGTTCAGCTTCGCCTGTCTACTCGTGGCGCTCGTATTGTTCCTTGGGAAAAGGAGATTTCCACATGGGCATAATAGCAGCAGATGGGTTTAAACAGACTGGCCATTTTCTCTAGAGACCCACTTTATGTTCATCTCGATCAGACCATGCTCCGCTTTGAAAATATTTATTCCGTCTGGAAGAATTGTGACTTCGGTCTTACTTCCTGGTATAGTTCGAAACAAGCCAATCGCAGTCATATCACCGGATGCGTTTCTCCAAGCAGCTAATACCAACGAAGATAAAACCCGGGGATAGTAAGTCTGAAGAGCCCTCCGATATTTTATTTCATTTGGAATACGCTATGCGAAACACTCTACCTGTCAATATCGATATTGAATCTCGGGTGATGTCGAAAACCTACTATCCAGGGTGAAGGTCTGACATACACCGAAGCATAATTTGGCAATGACTCAAGCATTACATTCGTAGTTTTTCTTTGTTCATAGTGCTTCGAAGCTGGATGGCTATCGGTGGCCTTTCTATGTTTATATAAATGGGTCCATAATAAAATGCTCCCTAAGAATCTTGACTAGTCTGTCATTTTCTCTCTTTTTTTCGTCTCTACCTTTTCCTCCCTCTATCCCATTGATACTCTTAAGTAACCTCTCCGCCCCTAATGCCCATAAATCAGTCCTTTGTAGGATAGTGCACTTCGGAAACTCTCAAATCGATTAGAGATTATCGATGAAGATGAAGTTAATCAGAAACCTTTTGTTTCAAGATAGTATATCACCCCGGTGAGTCCGTGTGATGAAGTTGAGCTCAATTCACTTAGTGCGATTCTATGAAAAATCAACCAAAAGTCCAACAATGCAGATATACAGCTAAAATAATCAACTTCAAGCCTCCAAGAATTAATAAGTGCCACGACCTTCCTCAATGGCGGAAGCATCGAACGGCGCCTGGGTCGATGTTGCAAAGCATGCAATGGATTCAACGCAATGAGCATGAGTTGTTCCAATCAGTCGACCGACGACAGATTCAGTATTTGTGATTGAGCCACAGTACGGTACATGGGCGAAGATGCCGATGGTTGTCAGACTACGTTCACGATCACTATTGCCCTTGGCCACGCCAACATGTATGCAATGCCGGTCTCCACATCCTTGTACCCCAACTTAGACTTCAATATTGCGGCGCTTGCTTGTCCTAATTTTGCCTAATCTTATAATCGCGCTTGTAATTTAGGAGAAACCCCTGACAAGCGCTGAAACGATGACTCAAGAATGATGGATGAAACCATGGCTCATTTTTTATTCTGTAGGTTTATTGACATGTGCCCTGTCCTGTTTCATCCCGCGTATATCGTTTTCTCACTTCATTGGAAGACGGGTTATGTCTTGCTCTCGGCCTAGGAGACTGCTCGTCATGATCCTTTGAAGACGGAAAAGAGCCCCGACCCTTTCTATTCTCACCGGCTGAAGGCAGTCTAGTACTGACAGCATCAGCAGGGTTAGGTTCTTGGACGAAAGCTCCAAATCGGCTGCTATAACGCTTTTCGGCCAAGTGTCGAAGTGCTTCTTCCGTCATAGAGCCAACCAACTGTGCTGAGGTACCCAGGGACAACGCTTTCTTGACATCGAACAGATCCGCCAAGGTATTCACCACAACTTGATCGCTATCGCCATCCGCAACCACCTCTCCGATTCTGTATATTTTTTGGGTGGAAACTTCGCTTGCCACCTTGCAAACCTCTAGGCACTGCTTTGAAGTATCTATATCGCTTAGTAAACGTGATCTCTCATTTTCGTCACTAGGGTCATTTTTCAAAATCAGGGACTCCAAGCGTCTCCGAAGTTGACCGATGATCATCGCGAAACTATCTCGATTCTCATCCAGGGCCTGACGTGTGATCGTCTGTGCCTCAAAGTAGTTTTGCCCACTGTCTTCGGTAGCGTCTTGCAGCGTTTTGTGTAATATGGAGGACTCTTGATTCGTCAAGGATTCAATATAATGACTCGCATCTTCGCAAATACGAAGACATTGTTTGGTCACTTCTCTTTCGTCTTTGAGATCGACGCTCGTGTTCAAGATACTTGCGTTATCGGTAGTAAATCGCGCCATTTTCTCATCAACTCGTCGTAATTGGACCTCGAGATTATACGATGTGTCCTGAATCATCTCGTTATAATCCTGAAGAACTTTCCGGGAGACTTTGGCAGTATGTCTCAGAGGAAGGTTAGCAGAGCCTCAAAGGTGAGACAAGGGCTGACAAACATAGTAACGGTGCCTAAGCCGACTGAGATGGTGGATTTATACCCAGATATCGTATCGATAAATTCATTGATATCGCCTCTCATGAACTCCATCTTTGTCCAATCCCGAAAGCCTGTCTTGGACTTTCGACCGAAACTCTCCATCGATTGCTCGAACTCGCGGCATACTTGGGCGCACCTTTCAATAGGACCTTGAAGAAGCGCCAGCATTGATACCTCGGTATCGATTACTTGTCTCAACGAGTCTAAAATAGTGACGAGATCTTGAACCTCATTTTGAAGCCTGGCTAAAGTTTTGTCGCGATCTTTGAAGCGTATGATGGTTTCGCGGAGCGCCTTCGTCGACTGAACGGCAACTGTTACAACAGCTAATAGCGAAGCAGTAATACTCAAAGGATCCGCCATTGCGAGGGCTGGCGACTTCCTTTTCGTTGAAGCCGTAGCAGAGTGTAAATGTAGAGCAAAGGCTCGGAGGCGGGGAAGGGGAGGGGGAAGAAAACACCAGCATGAAATGGTAGCTTGCGGGTCTGCTACATCCGATAGGCTACCGATAGCGCTATGGCTGACGTGTCCGTGATGTGACTCGTAGCGTCCCGCTGTTATGGCAGAGGATGGCGTATGCTGTGCTTCATTTGTAGGCACGTTCGTGAGTGACTGTCATATCCCACTATTTGGCGCTGAAAGTGACGGGGCCGTGGCTCAATCTGGCTGGTTACGAGATTTGAAGCGAGGGGAAAGCGGTGGGAAGGGCATCGCCCTGTGCTTAGCTGCCAACACCACAACTGCAACGCCTCACATTTTGCAAGACATACCTAATCTCACTGCAAGAGATGGGCATTTCCATTCTAGTAAAAAGCTAAGAATACTGTCATTGCCTTCTCCGGACCACGGCATTCAAAACTCCCCGTATTACCCCCACGCAAAGACGGTACCTTGATGTGTATAGTCCTACGCAACTTAGAATTGATGCTGTACAACGCCGTTTCCCAGGCCTGTTTACAATGACTTTCCTATTCCCATTCTGGAAGCACGCATACCTCGAGTACGTGGTTGGCTTGCTGCTACTCCTTGCATCGCTTTGGAGTAGCAACATCGTGACAAAGCATCGCCAAAGCCACAGTCGGGAAGGCCGTGCAGGCGACGTGTGGGTTTGATGGTTATTTAAACACCCTTTAAAGGCGCCATTTTAGGAACAATAATATGTTTTGCAATACGTATAACTGCTTGTTATTTTGCAGAGGGGATTTGGCGGTGAGCTACTCGCAGGCACTGCAAGATATACCTGTCCGGTTCTATGTGCATCACGTCAAAAATGAACAATAGGGCTCTTAGAAAAGTCCGAGAATAATTCAGGAAAATCTACGAGAAACTGAAGTTTAACAGGTCCAAACTCATTCCGAAAACCATTATTTTCTCCCTCTCTTTCTATCAGCCGCCCGCCTCTCCTTAAAATGTCCCCTCAACCATCGATCAACATACTCCCATTTCATCGCCTTCCCACCTTTACTGCGCTTGAAGTTAGCCAACGCAACGGCTTTCCTCGCGCCAGCCCCATACTTCTCGAGATTATCTGCCGCAAAGTGATACCCTTCAAGCGAAATGTCATGATCCCACCCCCTCCCATTGTGCAATAGTTTCCCAGTCATCTTCGCATAGGTACCGTCGAGAAGGAAATTCCGCTGTTCCAACCACCAGTTCGTGCGAGTCGAGAAGGCCGCAAGCATAATCAGGTGTTTCCAGTCCACATCCAAGGTATCGGTAGCCATTGGCGCGCATTCAGCCAGCTCTTGACCCGGGACTTTATCCATCAGAGCCGAGGTGATGTGGTGGCTGTAATTTTCGCGGTCTATTTGTAGAATTGGGCTTGGCGATAGGTATTTGGCTACCAGACTGGCATCGTCCTCGGCAGTGTCTTCTAGCCTTGTAGCTTCGATAGAGAAGAGGGCCGGTAGGCGAAGGGCGATGCGGGCTGGTAAGTTTCTTGTGTAGGATCAGTTAATGATTCTGTTTCATAGTAGGGTTAGATGAGTGGGATTAGGTAGATTGAGTGGAATAGAGAGGCACGGGGACATGCCCTTGGATTTCGTAGTTGTCGTCGACGATGATATTCTCCGCGGTCACTTCTTCGTGAGATAAACAGAATTGGGTAGCGCTGCATTTTCTGTTCAGGACTTTAATACAATTGATGACTTCGGGTCCATGTGTACACCCTTCAGGGCATTCGCCAGGGTAAGAATAGACCTCATTGGGAATATCGAATGCCTCGCGGATGAGCTTTCGAAGCTGCATACATTTTTTGAGGTTCACCCCAGGCGTTCTTTCACGAATCACGCCTAGTGTTCTCGAATCGGCAAGGTTCAGTAAGAAGCGTACGGCGCTGATTCCGACATCTATTCAAGTTAGCTGAATGTCATTCAGGGTAGAAAAATTGAAGTACGGTGCTCCTCAGTTGCTAGGGCCAGATCAACCATGATATGAGCGAGTTGTTTGGAGACGTCCTCGCGAACATGCAAAGATGCGGGAATCTGGTCATTCCATGCCATCGGCTTCCCATCAAACCAGCTCAGTATCATGTAGGGGAACTTGACAAGATTGTCAAAGTGAATTGAGTAGGTAATAGGTCGGGGGGACCAAGGAAATCCCCTCTCCTTGAGATATGCCAGTGTGGATATTTCCCCCTCCACCGTAGTCGTGATAGCCTCACGTTCTTCCTCGGTTGAGCTGGGCATGAATGTCGGCAGCTGTACAGCGCATTTGAAACCATCTGGATACTGGAAGACATAGACGGCATAGAAACCACTTTTCAGAGGATAATTAAAGGTTCCGAGGATGAAGCGTGGTTCGTGTTCAGAGCATTGGATGTTACTCGCGATGGCGAGAACATTGTATGGGTTCACTTTGATCATAGTGATAGCTGGTGATGCAGCCGAGTGTGAAGGTAATAAGGCGAGGAGGGTTAACTCTGGAACCAGAAGTAAACAATCTTGGAAGTCGACAGCTGAAGTGAAGGAAAACGCGCAAGATAACACTCCCTGTATCAAAGCCAAAGAGATAGATGGAAATGAAACCAAATACATGATTCTCCTTGAGAACTTTGAAGTGACCCTCTTGAGATCTTTGGCTCTTCTCTACAATATCACTTTCAGCACCTCTCCGAATCCGCCTACGAAGACAAGTCACGACCGCGATTTATACCTATTTACATGATCTCCTTGGTCTGGCTATACAATGCGAAAAAAAGATTAACTCAGCAGCATTCCATAAAGGACACGAGAAAAGATAGAAGAATGAAATAACCCTCTCTCTCCCACATCAAGACAATCCTGTTGTGGACTATGTCCAAGGAAGAACCTCTGCTCAGAATCTCCGATCAATACGCCTACTACCGCGCGGGTGCTTTATTTTCTTTCGCCGCTCAATCTTCACCCGCGATCGACCCAGGCGTGGATATTGCCCTACCCCCTTGAAGACAATTTGAAAGGCAAATATAGTAAGATTATTCAGTACATCCCAAGCATCTCTCGATTGACATTAATAGAAACTAGAGAAAAACCAGGCCCACAAACCGTCGAGAAAAGCTTCATCTGAAAGTCCAAACAGCGGGATAACAATCCCTAAAATCTACAGACAAAACTATTGAAGACTGAAAATTTTGAAACCGAATCATCAACAACAATCAATTCATACATGTGCAAAAAATATGAAGAAAAAGAATCAACTATACATACATCAATACAGAGAAGAAAAGGAAAGAATAACCATCAGAGCTGTATGGCGTATGTAGAAAGAAGTAGTAAAAACCAGCACAAGCCAGCATAACAAAAAGGCTTCGGGTATGTAAGCACTCGCGCTTTGAGAGCAGACACGGACATAAAAGGGTTCAGGGGGAAAAAACAATGAGAAACGTAACGAGAAATAACTCCCAAAAGGTCACGCCTTTGTATCCCCAGCTAAATAGTTAGGAGAATACAGAGGCAGGGTTGGTCTATACAAGGCCTTTGGGATATGCATCATGCATCATTCCTCCAACAGGTGGGAGTATCCATTTAGTCATCCATCGGCTTGTCTTCCAGGGTTACGCCCTTGGGCTCGCTTTCGGCGATGCTGCTTCGCTGGCTTTCTGTGCCGGAGCCGGCTGAAGTGGGGAAGCTGGAGAGGCTGCCGAGGCCTGGTTTGCGGGTGTATCGACCGCCTACTGAGCGGGGGATCGAGGCGCGCTTTTCAAATTCGCTGGAGATTGCCGCGGGTGTTGGGGTTGGGGTCGGCGAGCCGTCAGAAACCGTCTCGCCGGGAGGTGGCGGGCTGACGGAGCCGTCGGAGCCGCTGGCACTGGCGTTGTCGGGCACAGAGGCTGGAGACTCGACGGGAGTGCCGTTTGAAATAGAATCATTGGCTACGGCGGTGTTTACGGTAGGGTGCTCACCGGCCGTGGGAGAGCCGTTAATGGGCACGTCCAGGCTGGTACCACGGGTTGTGCGGCGCTCAGCTGGGCTTGACACGTTGATAGGGAACCGGCCAATCTCTGAAGCGCCACTGGAGCGGTCACGACGGTGCGCGCGACGACCTGAAGGGCTGGTAGCACGACTGCGGTTGACGATGGCACGCTGGCGGGCTTCCATGGCGGCACGGCGGTTGCTCTCGTCTGTGCTAATGGCTCGTGGGCGGCTGGAGGCGGAGACGCCCAGTGCACTGGATTGGCGCTTTAGTTCACCGAAGATGGAGTCTTTGTGCGCGAACAAATCACGGATCAGGCGGTAGCTGTGGCGCTCGTCCATGGTCAGGCTGCTCTCAGTGCGAGGTCGGAGAACACAGGGCGATAGAATCTGAGCCAACGAGGCAATGTATTGTTCGTCAGCCGAGGTCAAATCAACCAGGCGTGTAAAGTGGGTCATGATGGCATCAAGCGTGGCAATGTTGACGAGACGGAGTTGTCCAAGCGTGCTCTGCAGGACCTTGATCCGTCCCTCTTCCGTGGTCTCGTGAGCGGTGGTCGAATATATAGTCTTGACGATTTCGTAGACTTGCGAAGAAACAAGGGAGTCTAAAGTATGTTAGTATAGTTCGAAACGACCTCAGAGAAGAAAGACAAACCTGGCAACTCAAGAAGGTACAATTTCAAAACGCTAGCAACAATGGGTATCTCAAATTTGGGCAGGACTTCGCGATAATCCACTTTGCTGTTGTTCAGAATGTTACGCAGCTGGTGCGTAATGGAAAGCGGAGGATTATGAAGCCAAATGGCACGTCGGGCCTCGTCACCCTCGAGTTCGGGGTAGCCTGGTACAAGTTAGTTTCAAGTCCAGATTGGGCCATTTCTAAGCATCCTTACGATTATCCAGGTAAGTCAAAAGAGTTGTCACCAAGATGGGGACACGTTTGCGGTCAACTCGAGCCCTGGCTTCAAGGTCGACGCCAAAGTTTTGCTCCTCAACGGAGCCATAGTAGTTTTCGTATGCCTGCACTTTGGGAACAAAGCCCCCGGTGCGGTAGTTCTCAAGGAGGTATCTCAGATCTCCCAGAGGCTGGATAGTCTCCTGGTAGAGCATCATGTGGTCCACGGTGCTCTGGAGATTGGGAATGACGTTACTGATCGCCCCGGAGAAGTCGAGCACTACAGCTTTGATGGCCTTGAGGCGGTCCAGCTCGCACTGTTCCATGAAGCGCAGGTTCTCGATAACATCTTCCTCCAAGCGGCACCGAATTTGGTCAAGTCTTCGCACGGCATTCTTGTAGCGCTCGTCAGCTTCCATGGCCTCTCTCCGCAGCTTTTCCGAAGGAGTCTCATTAGGGTAAGGGTTGTTAAGAGGGTTCCAGCCAGCCAGAATTTCCGAAACCGAGTTGATAGGAGACTCGGCGACGCTTCCATCTTCGCTCGAAGCGACCGAGGTAACACGCATCAAAGGCCTCTTCTTTTCAGGAATTCCGGTAAGCTGGAATACCTTGCTGCGCCATTGGTAGTTCATCTTGGAGCTGTTGGCAAAGACACTGCCCATGTTGCCAATCAACCGGAGGAAACCGCCATCCACGAGATCCTGACCGATTCGTTCTGCCTGAGCGAGGTTGGTGGCTTCCATGTAGGTCTGAACATACTCGACAATGTCTGCGCCGGTTGATGTGTTTTGATAGGTACCGATGATAGGCACCTTCGCCTCGCCAATTCGGATGTTGTTCAGCATGTGCAAGAGAATCTTCTTGATCTCTTCCGGTGAGAAAGTACGGTCTCCCAACTCAACGGGCTCCTCTTCGGGCTCTTCCTCAGTGGGAAGAACAATCTTCGGCATGGGTTTGAGCTTAGGACTCGTATCGGGGTCCTGGAAAGCAAGCTTGTTCTCCTCCTCCAAGTCCTCCAACACACGGCACTTGTTGAAATAGGTGCTGCGCAGTTTCTTCGCCAATTCTACCTGCTTGGTGTGTTCCTTGATCCGAGCCTGAAGGTTATCGTGGGATGCCCCGACACGGTATTCATGCTGGTCGCTCCAGCGTCGGAAAGGCGCCACGACGAGTTCTCGGATGTTATTGGCGATCTTTTGGTGATTCCTGGAGGCTTCGATCATCTCAGTGCGGACACCTTCATATGCCTGCAGAGCGGAGAAAGAGAAGTCAGCAAAATTCAAGGGTATTCCATAGGCAAACATCCAGTACCTTTCGCACACTTGCTCCGTCATCCTTGTTGAATCCCGCACCTGTCAAGCGATCCACACTAGGCGCAATGTCACCCATGCGGAGGCCATATTGCTCCTCCGCATCAGCCCTCATGGACGCAATAGTTAGAATCTGCTTGTTTTCCACCACACCCTGCTGCAACTTCCCATACAGAACCCCGAGACCGGTCGCATAGTCCGGGGTCCAGAAAGAATCCGAAAAGCCAGGCATTATGACTCCCAGCAGGCAGAAGAATCAAGTCAAGTGATGACAAGCAAGAAGGAACGAAAAGCGAAGCGAAACAGAAAGTGAGCTGAAAACTTGTTGTGGAAGGCGTAGGAATCGGGAAGGATCGCAACAGCGCAAGGCTCAAAAAGGGCCTCTGAATCAGACCGATCGAAACTGAACCGGCTCAAATGAGGCTCCCAGCACCGAAAGTAGACCGGCTAGCTTTAACAATTCTCTGTCCAGAACCTGCGCTAAGTGGTGCAGCGCATCAACCGTGAATTGTATTGCAGGTGCGGAGGCTAGGGAATGCGGTGCGCGGCAAGGTAAGCGCCGGGCAAGTCGAAGGAAAACAGGAAAGGAGCGAAAACAGGCCGGGCGGAGGGCGATTGAAAGGCAACAGGCCGCACCGGGATGCAAAATGAGGAGCAAAAAAGGGGGCGTGTACAGCGCAAGAGGCGATGATGTTTGGTGAATTTCCATCGCAGCACTTTCGTCAGGTGGCTTGTAAAATTACGGGTTACCTAGTTACGCAGCCCTGTTTTTGGCTCCACTGCACTATTTTGTTTAGCACTGAGATTCGCCTCTATTTTTGGATCGATTCATCTTAGGTCGCCGTTGCGCCGTTGCGCCGTCGCGCCGGATAATTTCGATTTCATTTTTTTTTTAATCTTCTATGCTGACAGATCGGTCAATGTTCAGTCCTGGTGCAACTGCATATTCGTTTTGTTGAGGCGCCGAGTCGTACATGTGGGACAGTCTTCAAGGCCCGCTCTAGGTGGACACAAGGGGGCGGTATTGGCGTTACATACACAGCCCCAGGTACAAACATGCCAAGTCTGGACGGTCAACCTGAAGATCGGCGAAGATTATCAACGTGAGCTACGTAATAAGGTATGGAACTTTGGAAAATGGGAAATATTCATATTGGTATTATGATGTTCGTTATCAATAACGAAAGTCATTAAGACATTCAAGATGGGAGACATGTCAACAAGGTAAAGATGTACATAAAAAGACTCTGTGATCCCATGAGATCATTCAGAGATGTCTCCAAAAAAAGTGTAGAAGTCTAACAGAAGAACTTGTAGAACTTCTTCCATTTCGGCCATGCCTGCTGCTCAGCCTTTTCTTGCTCAACAAGATCCTGGAGATCCAGATCACGGCGGCCGGTCACCAGATCCATGTCACGCGAGCGCACGACCTTGGTCCGGTACCAGATCTTGTAGGGGATGAAGAAGGCAATGACGACTGGCGCGGCAAGGTAAACCGAGAAGAAGTTCTCCACCAGGGCAGATGCGCTCATCTCGGCATAGCCAACAGGAGCAAAGCCGACCCAGAACTGGGCGACCAAAACGAGGCAGTTGAAGCCGAAGCCGATCCAGGATCCGATAACGCCGGGCTGGGAGCGGAAAGCCAGCTCATTCAGGCTGTGACCCTGAAGCTTCCAGGCACGACGGAAGCGAATGTGGCAGAGGCAGACGGAGCCCCATGTGAAGATGGACGAGAGACCCGAAATGGCCATCATCCACTCGAAAGCCTGGGTCTGTTTGTCCGAGGCAGCCAGGAAGCAGAGCAGACCCAGAGCGGAGGAGACAAGGATAGCCCACATGGGACGACCCTTGCGGTCGATATAGGCGAGGAAGCGAGGAGCCTGGCCCTGCTCGGCAAGAGCAGCCAGGGTACGAGAAGCACCGTAGACGGAGGAGTTACCGACGGACAGGACAGCAATCATGATGACAACATTCATCACCGAAGGAAGACCAGAGATACCGGCGTTTTCGATGGCAATGACGAAGGGAGACGCCTTAGCGTCGGCCGACGAGCTACCACTGACCAGGCGGGTATTGGTAGACTTGACCAGAAGGCCAACGAGGGTGAGGGAGACAACGTAGAAGAGGGCGATACGCCAAAAGACCTGCTTGATGGCGGTGGGGAGGGACTTGCGAGGGTTGGCAGTCTCAGCAGCAGCGAGGCCGACCAGCTCAGTTCCAGCGAAAGCAAAGGCAGCGTTGACAAACACACTGCAGAGACCCTTGAAGCCGTTGTTGAAAGCACCGGGGTCGTGCCAGTATTTACCACCGATATAGCCACCCTCAGGACCGCCACCGCAGTTAAGGATGATTCCAAGAATACTAGAGAGCAAGTCAGAAAATATTTCAAAGAACGGAAAGCCCGAGGCTGGAATTGAACGAACATGAATCCGATGACGGCGGTGACCTTGACGATAGAGAAGACGAATTCGGCTTCACCATAACCTCGAACACCAAACATGTTGATAGCAACGATCAAGGCCCAGAATATCGCGACCCATGCGGCGTTCGAGACATGGGGATTCCAGTAATCCACAGTGATAGATGCCGCGACAATTTCTAAAGGTAAAACAACCAGCCACTGCAGAGCATAGTTCCAGCCCATAGCGAAACCCCAGGCGGGATCAATGAAACGAGTCGAGTAGTGTGAGAAGGAACCGGCAACGGGGAACAAGACGGCCATTTCACCAAGGGCGTGGACCGTACAGTAAAGCATGACACCGATGAGAATATACGCGATGAGGACAGAAGCCGGGCCACCAGCCGCCAGGACTGTACCTGATCCGACGAATAGACCAGTACCTTAAAGAGAGTTAGCGGGCCGATCGACGATATTTGATGGGAGGGCGAGGTGCATACCTATGGAACCACCAATGGCGATCATCTGAAGGTGACGACCCTTCAAGGTACGCTGCAAAGGCGAGTGGGCGGTATTATGTGCGGCGGTCTCGAGATCGAAGCCAGAGCCATCGGCGCCGGCAGAGCGGCCGCCTGTGACGCGGGCATTGGGGTCCCGCTTGAAGCTATCCACGACGCGCTGTGTCCAGGTTCCTCGAGTGGGTTCGGAGTCGCCATAGGCGGGCAATTGCTCGGCCGTTGTTTGGACCGGCTCGGTCTTCTTTTCATCCATGATTGCGGTTCTCTCTCAGATCCAAAAACTAGAATTGGAAGGATGGAGGGGAGGGAGGTGGGGAAAAGGAAGTTTTGAGATGCAAGAAAGTAGTATGCTCTAAGCCGGAGAGGAGCTGGACCGCTGTAAGGAAATACCGGGGATACTAGTGGAGGGGGACAGGGAGGCGCATGTTTAAATATGGACGAGGGTAGGGACAGCCCGGACTGGGACGTTTTCCATTAGGTTTACATCTCTCACAATGAAAATCATAGTCTATCAAGATAGCCAATCGACGTGTCAGTAGATAGGACCGCTCTGACCATAACTTGATCCTGCTTAGCCTCTTTTGATAATACCCTTGGCACTTGGGTGCGTGCCACATTGAGCCCGGAGGCAAATATTCCCTTTTTTTTTTTAAAAAAAAAAAATCATATTTCTCGTTCTGTCTTGATTTATTTGCATGGCATGCAGCTGCAGTTATTCTACGGGGGCAATTCGACCGGGATGGCCGCAAACGGAGAATTCGAGAGCTAAGCAATTCTAATCGTTAATGTCTCTTCCGCGTAATGGGACCTCAGGTTAGAAAAATCGCCGCCACTCCTTGTACTGGACCGGGCTAACTTTCGTGTGATCTAACCCTGTCAAGACGGGACGATCCCACCCCGTGTCTCTCTACCATAAACTACCCTTAGCTCTTCCCCAGGATTGCTGACTCCTGTCGCTTACAGCTAGTCAACCCTCCCCTGTCCACTTCCCTCAGGTTCACCCCTAACTCTGTCGCACTGAACCCAAATTGTGCCACTGTGGCACCCGGGCACCTGAAGCCAAGCTTCAACTCAACCAGGTGGAACCTAAATAGGCAGGTTGGAGGCCCACTACATTCACTAAGCCCGATCCAGCTTCTCTCCGCACTTTCCATGCGATAGCCAGCACTGATCCAATCAGATCCCGTGCTCGCCGTGATAAGCAGCATGGCGAATGATAGTATGACATGCCAACATCCACGGCAACCACATTGCACGTTGCCTTTAGAGTCAAGAGTCAGAGTCAGGGTCCAAGTCAGGGACCCAGGGACTTCGGGTTTCCAAACCTTCCAGCTTTCTCCGGATCCTAGGTGGCTTACGGGCTGCATGGTATTCGCCATGCCACCGCCATCCCAGCACCCCCTTACCTATGGGAAGGCTTCCCGACGGGGTCCGTCCTTTCGGCGCTATGGGCACTCCCGGAGCATGTGTGAACCACGAAACAGCTACCCAGCCTAAACATCCAGATTATGACCCACCCGCGAAGCAGAGACCGGAATGCCAGATACGACCGGGGTCTCGGGTTCCCCGTGAGTCTCGAGCTGAGTGCTAAGCCCGACCACAACCCTGATCCTGCCGCAACCCGAGGCATTTTCTACGCGAGTGGAACCGTGAAACTCTACTGCAGCCCCAGTCCCCGACGGCCTGCTGATTCGTTTGGCGGTTCGGGTGGCTCGTGGCGGTCTGCCACTGATATGCATGGAAGCACGGGAGAACCAATGTTAAACACAGGGGCGGACGCGGGGGGAAATGGCATCACGCGGTCTGGATACTCATTCGATTTGCCAAGTAGCTCGTATACCTGGACCAAGCGCCTTGCTTCTCGCCTCTGGTAGGTTGAGCGTTTCGCGCATCGTCTATTGCCATGATGCCAAGGGCTGAAGAGATTGATCCTATTTGTAAAAGGATCAAGATGCATTGAGTATTGTAAGACACTCTTCTGGAACTTCATGGCCATGTTCGGCGATTGAGGGCTGGCCTTATCGCAAAATGGAAGAATGCGATGGGTCTGCGTATCCGGCCCACCGTTATCAGGTCTTGAATCACCATCCAAGATACTTGGCGTCACACCCATAGATTCAGAGATAATGAATTTGATAGTATGTCAATATCGAGATTCTCTTTTCCGCCCCCAAGTGAAAAAGAGAATGTTGCGTTACCAAGATGCTTGCCTTTTCAGCCACTCCAGGTAATGGCGCTCAGTGCGGCTTGTCACTGGCCGGGCCAACCAAATCAACAGCCACGGTAGCATCGAGCTGCGGTTGGCGCTACTTATGATTTTCGCGAGTTCGGTCATTGTCTTTGCAAGGGAAGCATGGGCCGAGGTCTCTAGACATGGAACGTGCTATTGGTCCGAGGCCGTTGACAGTTTCCCTTTGCCATGGTCTCATCAAATCATAAAGCAAAAAAAACTCAAACCCGGCCCATTAATCCAATAAACGTATTCGCATCTGGTATCCGGCATTTAGCCCGCCATTTACATCTGATGATCGCGATGTCGTGCAATAGCGGCTTCTCGCGACAGACAGGGCCACACAAGCCGACGGCGCCCACTTTCCCTAGAATTAAATTACCCTAGAGTAGAAAGTCAATCACGCAATGGAGCAACTTGACCGACTGCGCCACCCTCGCTCCAGATCCCACTATTCAAGGACCTGTCTTCGCATCTTGTCGCGTTAAAGTTGTCCCACACCTATACAAAATGCGGGGATGGAAATCTCTTAGGTAACAGTTTCCACTTCATCACCGGAGTCACATTTAGTGACTCTGGGGTACAGCGCTAGTAGGCCACGGCTTAGACTTGCACTCGAACTTATGATTCATGTTCCGAGTGATGATTACGTACTCGTCGTGATAGCTCTTGGGAGGGCGATTGAGTGAAAGGTCGTGGGTGAGTGTGTACGCACGAATTACGCCTTAGGATCCTGCCCGGGCTAAGCGTCGGAGCTCTTGATGATTGAGATTGTGCGGATGGCTGCATGAGGCGCAAGAGGAGCTCTGATTTGGCTTCAATTGGGTTCTCTGCGTTCCTGCCATGTCACCGACCGGGTGGTGAAGTGGTGTGACCGCAGCTACGCAGGCTGGGATAGTCGCGGGTGGTACCAGAATCTAGTAGCTCAAGCAACCAGACGCGTTGAACACCGGTGCTAGTGCATATACCGCATCTACGATTTGGAGTACAGCTTGGAAGGTTTACCATGACTTCACTTTCGGGGCCTTTTGTGGGGTAATAGACTTTCCTTCAGGGATCTGCCCTGCGGACCCAGAAGTACGTGTCCCGTGTCGTCGTGACATACTCGTGTTCCAATACGTGCATGAAAAAGACTTCCAATGATCTAGGTGTGACGGACGCTGAAACAGCCGGTCGGAGCCGTTGCTAAGCTGGTTTGGAACACCCCGGTCCAGGGGAAGATGCTGACGTGTGGCGTCTGCTGATCGGAGAGGCCATGGCTGGCGTGCCCCGGGATTGATGTTCAATTGGGGGCAGAGTTCCGCATGACGGCTACAGACTGGAGTCTAGAGCTTTGCTTTGACATTGGCATCGTTGCCTGGTATCTTGCACCTTGGCAGTCGCATCCTGCAGACGGACATGGAGCCATCGAATGGTCCGGGTTTCATACTGATTTTACTCTTCGCGTAACACCGAGTGGTGCCGAAGTATGGCGATAACTACATCACTTGGCCAGCCTTGGCCATATTGAATTTGCAAAAATCTCTAACATCAAGGCATTCCTAGGCTTTGCTGAAGACGAAAGGAGAAACACGATGCCCAAAATAAGGGATTCATTCATTCTATCCATGGAATTTTCATGTCGTTGCATTCGGTATCATTAACACACAAGCTTTCTTTTTCTCAGACCCAAGGAAACGACAACTGGTCTCATGCGCTGGCAGAAGGGCCCTCGCCGCCGGGAATCAGCTGGACGAGAATTAGAAAGAGGGCAGACGATAGAGCAAAGTACGAAAGTACTTACCATGCAGACGTTGTTTCCATTCAGGAGAAGCTTGGGAAGCTTGATCTGAGCACCGGTATAGTCACTGAAAGGTTATTAGGATCAATTTCAACGGATTTTTTCGATATGGTCGTGACAACGGGCCTCATGCTGTCGAAGCATGAGGACTGCAGCAACTATGACAGCCGCTTGATAGAGATTGTTAACAATGCTTACAATTCAGTGACGTCTTCCAGAACCATGTCTAGGCAAATGTTAGCATATCGTAGTCCCAACATGGCGGCTGAAAAAGGGATACTTACTGACGTAGTCATCAAATCCTAGCAGGGTTCCGGAGAACTCTGTTCTTGGGTCAGCCTTACTCCATTGGCATACTTCATACCGGCTTAGCACTCACCCTTGTCCCCCTTCATAATCACCCAGATCCTGGAGCCGACACACTTGTCGATAAGCTCTATCGAAGGGTTAGCGGGGTCACACGGTGCGCGGGGCAATCGCGAACGCACCGAGGGGCAGAAGCTGGGAGGCCATTGTGGTCGGTATGTATAGATTCAGTAAATCACGAGAAAACACTCAGGACGTATTCCTAGCGCCAAAACGAACAGACAGGGCGAGCACGGCGAGATATCAAAGACGACACCGCGATGTCTGAGGAAGCTGGTTTTCTCCGGGCCGAGCGGCTAGACCTAAATGGGACTAGCCTCACCTCCCGATGCTTTGTTCTCCAACACCTCGATCACCTCACGAGATCTTGTCTCGAGCTCATTGGACTTATTCTACTCAATAAGTGGGCTGCTTCTCCTACTAGCACACTGTGTGACCATCTCAGGCACCCTCTGATGAGGCCCAGTATGCTTGCGACGCAGAATGCGAACGTGGTCCAGCCTTCCAGCAGGCCTGAGGCATTCGTCCTTGGCCGTGACACCGGGCGGCAATTCGCGCACTCATTACCGTAGTGTTATAGCTTCAGCTTCATTTCAAAGGTATGGCCACTTTGCTCAGCCCCTCCGTTGAAGGCCAGGCTGTTGACCCCATTCAAGCAATGACAGTTTTTGTACCCCGCAGCGAAGCTCAGGCTATGGACCCATTCGCCGTCGACCCATTCGCTGTCGACAAGCTCTCAACCAGCGACTAGGCAGCTTCCAGTTGCGTCGAAATTTCTCGAATACCCCGGCTGCGCGAATCACACTGGAAGAAGATGACGAGGACGATCCAACTCCGCCGCCCCTGGTCAACAGACACCCGAATCGTCTGGATGGCAAAGACAATTTGCGGAAGATTCTTTCATCTCGAACAGAGAAGCCTAGAAAGCGTACTGTGTTCACGACTCAGGACCGGGTAGAGATTATCATGATTGGGCACAAGCTTCGATTCATGACTCCCGTCTCTCAACTTGGTCAGGAATTTGTGGATCTCAAATATCACAACCTCAATACGATTCTGTTGAAATGTGAGAACCATTTCCGATCGTGGAAAAGGAAATATGTCGAGGCCTTTCATGCAATTGTGATCGAGCCCTTCAATGCAACATTTGCATTGCTCCAGACAGAGCTTCAAGAAAATCACTACGGGAACAGGCTGATTGAGCACGAATATTGCAAGATTCGCTTTAAGAGATATCCCACACTGCGAAAGCGAGTTGAAAAATCGGCCCGGAATATCGCCAATCTGCAGGTTGCAGTCAGCCAGGGAATCCGCAAAACCCTTGAGGGAGTTGTCAATGATTCGGAAGTCTACACACAGGATCTCGTCAATCTGGTTGAAAGGGACTACTTGCAGCCCCGAGAGTCTGCTAGAGCTAACCTCGACGTCCTCCTAGAATATTCGGAGATGCTGCAAGTAGAGTACCGCCAGCTCCAAAAGAAAGGATTCGCCGTGCGAGACGGGGCGATTAAAATTCAAGGGGCTTTGATTGACCTAGCACACACGAGTATATCTGGTGGTCCAAAGTACATGGCAATGGCACATTCACTCAAAGCGAATACGGTAGCAACTGCTCAGATCGCCCACTATTACCGAGGCTATTGGTACAGATCCAGGGAATCTCAGGATCCACTCAAAGCCGCAGGCAACCACGTACCCAACAAAGTTATCCAGTACAATACCCAACGATCTCCCTGGGAGGTCTCGACAGCACTGTTGTTGGATAGACCCCCTAATTTGAAAGGAGTCATCGAAAAGGAACAGACCTTGCCCGCCCGTCGGCTATGGGAAAATTATCGAAAATGGCGCCAAGGGCCCCAAACCACTAGATGCTTGCCAGAGAACAGATATCTACGCCAGCTAGATGCCATGGCACCCTTCGATATTCTCCATTTCATGCAACGAGAAATCTTCAATGAGACGTACTACTTGATAGGTTCCTTGCAAGGCACATATGGCCCTATGTGGGATGGCCTCTCTCCTTCTAAGGCCGCGCAGTCTGCTGACCGGATCTTCGATTGGGCCACTAAATACCGCCAAAGTCAAAGGGACTTCATGACAGAGCTGAGTCTGTACAGAAATATCAATTGGATTCGACTTCAAACGGAGGAAAAACTCGAAGACTTGGGCTTGCCCAGCATGCAAAAACAGGATTTTTTCAATTTGCCTCAGCCATTAAGTCAAGACGAATCTCTATTTGAATCCTACGTTGATTCACTGGCCTCAATTAGCATCAACTCATGGTGGATATCTATAATATTGAACACTAATCAGGAGTCTTTGCTGAGCTCGACAGTGTCGGTGAAATCATTTTGGAATCGCATAGGGAAACTGATACGCCACCGAGAGAAAATCATGAATTCCCCGGGAATCCAAAATCTGGGCTCTGAGATCGCCATCCGGAAACCCCTGAGGCGGAGAAGACGTCGGGGTCAGCCGTCGAAAGTTCTTCAGAAAAATAAGGACACAAAGCCCGATATCCGCAATAATTCTTCGAACCAAGCGCAAGAACCGTCAGAGTCTGGACAGATTCCATTTGCAGCTGTCATGTCTAAGCTCATGGCACCATTTTGGACCACGACGAAACCCCATTCCGAACAAAAAGCAGCCTCAAAGATATCGTTTGACGCGAATACCCCGGACAACAAGCAGAATGCTATATCTGAAAAGCGGATTTCGGATAAGAAACCGACCGACCATGTGATGAAGCCTTGGTCTGCGAAATCGGCATCGTCCGAGCCTTCGGGAAAACATCGATCAACAACAGACGACCCCTTTGCAACTCAGAAACCCCTTCAAGCAAGCGCGGGAACCAGCTCAAAGAATGGCAGGCGAGAGGCCATGGGTGCAGACCTCAAAGCTACGGTGAATAAGCTGCGGGTACTAGCCGAGCTTGACGCGACGCAGGAGTCTTCTCCAACGACACCAGCAGCAGGAGTTGCTGGAAAGACTTCAGGTCGGAAAACCTTGCGAGCCTACCGTCGCCGAGTAATAAAACGATCGTATTGTACCGATTCACGATTCACCGATGCCAATGCCCGGGACTGCAGCCATGACCCTCTTGAAAATCAACCAGCCGCCACCAATGTCCCCTCAATCAGAACAACCACTAAAGATACTACTTGGTCCACAGAGGACGGATTAATCCCTTCCCACATCCCATCTTCGGTGCTCAATGGCAAAGCCAACTCAGAGGCTACCCCATCATTCTGGACCCATAGCGACCAACGAGCCCCGAGCGGTCAGAAAGTTCTTGTCCATTACTGCAGAACCCTCGAAAGCACCGAAGAAATCTCAAAACTCTTCATCGGCAGCAAAGTCATTGGCTTTGACATGGAATGGAAAGCCCAAGCCTTCGCTACAGACACCATCCAGAACAACCTCTCATTGATCCAGATCGCGAATGAAGACCGTATCGCGCTTTTCCAAATCGCCCTTTTTAAGCCTGCTCGCGGTCTGGAAGACTTTGTTGCTCCAACCCTCCGACGCATTCTCGAGTCTACAGATATCACCAAGGTCGGAGTTGCGATCAAAGCGGACTCGACTCGTTTGCGCAAGTTCCTTGGCGTTGAGGCGCGGTCGATCTTTGAGTTGAGCCATTTGTTCAAGTTGGTTAAGTATGGTCAGGCGAATCCAAAGCTGGTCAATAAGAGGAGTGTAAATTTGAGTGAGCAAATGGAAGAGCATTTTGGATTGCCGCTTGAGAAAAGCGAGGATGTGCGGTGCGGGGATTGGACGAGGTCTTTGAATTATCGTCAAGTCCAATGTTAGTATCTTTCCACTCGATGCCCAATTAATATACTAATGTGTCATCCATAGATGCCGCTACGGATCCTTACGCATGTCTCTGTCTGTTCAATGCCATGGAACAAAAGAGAGAGGCCATGCTCCCTGTCCCGCCTCGCCCTGCGCATGCCGAACTGAACCAGCCAATTATTATTCCCAGCGGGGATGTGGTGAGGAGTGGAGATAAGGAGTCTGCAGCCACTGATCCCATCGAGGTTGATGTTGCTGAGCGCTCTTAGGTAGCCTTCGACGTCTTGTGTCGAAGGCTTGCATGTAGATTTCATCTCTTTGTTCTTTTTCGGTCATATACGGGGTTAGCATGTCCAGATTTTGCTTTTCATTTTCGTTCAGATGCATATCATGTTGCCTTAGCGCAGCGGGCATTTTATGGTTGTTCGATATCTCTCATTCATTTTTGGAGAATAAACTCATCATTTCATTTATACCACCAGATTTTACATCAAGAACGGTATCTATCTTCTTCGGCTTCTGGCCCTCTGGGAGAAGCCCAAGCGAATCCTTATCTATCATCATAATTTTTCCTTAGACTACTTTCTAACCGCAGGGCTTTAGGGCATGACACAATGTTGAAACCTTGGAAGAATGAAAGTTTAAGATAAATATACTCGTAGTATCCATATCTCATACAGCCCTATAGCAATTCGTCCAAAAGATCCTTCAAGATGGGATACCACTCGCAGGGATAGCCTTCAAGGTACAACCCGCGTCATCGCACCCAGCAAAGGAAACCGAATTTCCCCACCAATTAACATCCACAGTGTGATACTCCACGGCAAAGAAGATGACAACAGCTGAAATCGCCAGTGCTGCACCGAAAGATGACGTGAGCACATATGCGTATTTCTCCCACCAGGCGAGATAGTGACGCTTGATGTAGAAGTTGAAGACAGTACCAACGATGAGAGGAGCGACACAGAAGGTCAAGTTATAAGGCGCAAAGTTGATCATTCCGTAGAGCAGCAGTGGGGAATAAATATAACGGAATCCGGACTTTGGGAAATACTTTGATGCCAAGTAGAACGGAACAGGCAATAAGAGACCCATGAGGAACCCATATAGTGTGGCATTGTACATTTGGCCACTGGCGAAGAGTCTCCGAGGCCCAATTGCGCCCCAGAGTACTGAAGAGGTGAAGAATGTCGTAATATTTTCGCAATTGAACCCAGCCGCTTGGCCGGTTTCACAGACTCCCTCGATATTTGCCAGTGCCCAGGCATTTACACCAATGCTGACAAAGGCAGCGACAATAGTAGCAATAATCTGGGCACTGAACATGACGCGTGGGGCAATCTTCATATAATGGCCCATCTTCAAGTCGGAGACAAACTGAATGGACTGCGCGCATGAGACCACTCCGTAGGTCTTGAAGATCATATTGGCAATGGGTTGGTTGGGGATGGCGTATCCAGCGATCAATTCGGCAATAACATTGTTTGTCACTTCGGCGTTAGTGATGGCATACACCATGCCGTATGGCACTTGCAAAATGAGACACAGAAGAACACCGACAACCATGCCCCAGATAGGGAATCCGGTGTCATAGACCTTGGCAGTAATACAACCAACAACAAAGCTAAAGGCTAAGATGGTAAGGTACCACCACTCGGGAACTTCCTTGTAGGTCTTCATGAGTCTGTTGTGGACATCCTCGTATTCGTCGCGAGCATTCTGCCATTTCCACATGGCAGAGAATCCCTTGCGCAGTTCATGACGGTTATACAAGATGATATGAACCACAGCGGCCATGTAGGACCCAAAGAAGCAGAAGAACATGGTGGCATACGAAGCGGTCATATAGGGAGGGCTGTAGGCTTCGTATGCTTCTGCGCTGAAACTGCCATTGATCATGATCTTCGAGACATCATATTCGGCCCCCGTTTTATCGAAAAGAGAGTTGCTCATAATTGGGAAGTAGCCCGACTTCCAAATATTGGCCCACCAAAGAGGGATGATCACACATACACAGAAAAAGGTGGTTCCGACAGTAATAGTGACCAAAGCGTAGTAAGGCGTAATGATGGGGTCATATAAAACCGAGGCAATGTTCCAATCAAAGGTTGGCCATGGGTTGAGTCCGAGACCGGTAATACTGCCAGTGACAGCGGCCAGAGTTACGTTCTCTGGGGCAATCCAGGTCATCCAGTTGAAATAGGAGGTGGCTTGGAAGAGATAACCGGGGAACCAATACCAAACGAACATGGCGCCGAATGAATACAAGAAGAAACGGTAGCGGGAGATTGACCACCCGTGCACGATCTCGCCTTTCTGGTCATTGTGCAGAGCTTTGTTCAGGGCGATGGTTGACAGTGCCTTGGGATAAATCATAGTTGATGGATAGACGAGAAAGCGTCGAGCCAGGCCTGCACACCCGTAACCTAACAACTGGGTTGATAGGGTCAACAGGATCTGGAAGCCAGCCTTGTTGTACAATGTCTGGTCATTGTACCACTTCTTGACTTTCAGCACCGTGAAGATGTTGGTTGTGTAGGCAGTACCCAGGTAGCCTCCATATCCGACATTTGCCATGACTGTGATAAGCATATGTTCCTTCTGATTGAAAGGTCCTGGGTTCAATGAGAAGCGCCAGCCAAGGAGTGAGAATTGGCGAGAGGGTAGCACCTTTGCGAGGAAAGTGCCCATGGGGTATGAGATAACCTGGGACACGTATGAAGAGAGGAAGATATACGGGTATCGCAGGGTAAACAACTGATTTACGCCAGTGAAGACGATAGTCAGGAGCATACCAATGAACCAGGCGCGAAAGGTGTTGGCAGAAATTGAGGGATCGTCGACCGGGTCCACAACAGCGCGGACCTCAGGATAGGGCGAATCGTTCAGCAAAAGATCACGCTGCTTGCGAATATCTTGGAGCAGAGCTTGAGCCTCATTGTTGGTGATCTCCTTGGGACCTTTGGCCAGAAACTCGCGCGCCTCATTCAACATCTCCTGAGGGAAATTGGCATCTGTTTCGTGCTCATCCAGGGTTTCCTTGAGGAGAGAGATCAGGTCGTCTAGCTCGACGTCTGTGATCTCCCCCTCGGTTGTGAAGGCGCGCTCCTCGATGTCATTATTCTTCTCATAGCGGACATATGTCTCGCCTTCCTTGGTCTCCATCTCGTTGTAGAGAGGCCAGTACTTCTGTAAGCCCTTTGAGCGGGAATAATTCCTTTGAACGGGAGAGGAAGTAAGTTTGAAATTGGCTGTTGAGAAAATATTTCACGGCATACCGAGGGAGATAAATCTTCGAGTGGCCATCAATTGGTTTACTCTATATAGCTCTCGAGCCACCAGAACAGACTTCGGTTACAACGTGGAGCTCCGATAAGCCGCTTCATGATTTGATCTTGTTTGATAACGCCATTTTACCGATTGGTCACTACACCCCCATGCCTAATCAGTGGCAATTCCAGCTAACAAAGAGCGAAGCGGGATTGGGTTTGGCTAGTTGGGTTAGCTCGACTCTTAGAGTGACTAGAAGTAGAGAGGCCCACGCTGGGCTTGAGGGCACCATTCTAGAGCTAATCAGTCATATCACTGCTTGGGCCTTCTGGTCCACAGATTAAGCCTTTCCAGATACTAATCTGCTGGCCTCTTAAGTCGGTCAATACATAGTATGTCTCTTGACTTGCAACATAGTCTACCATTCATAGATTGACGGGATCTCATTGCTTGAAGTCCTTTGAAGGCAATAGTCCAGAAATCACAGATTGAATATTTTGTGCGATTCAGAAGACGTTCATATAATGAAGTCAGTGTAGGCGACCCCCACGGAGTGCGATACGTACATCACCTGGGGGACCTGTGGGATGTAAGGAAAATTATAAATTTCAGCCGGCGAAACTCATACATCAACCGGAACTTAAGGCGTCAAAGCTATCTTCCTGGGTACATCACCATCTTCTGATAGCCAGAGGTGGAGTTCTGTCCCGTAGCTCTCTACTGGCATCCACAACCACCGCATTTAGAAATCGGGGGCATTAGTATCATTTCTTTGAACAGCCCACGGGTGTGAAATCTGAATTCTAGTAACCCTGGCTTTCCCCTGTATATATTCAACACATAATTGTAGTTTGGCAAGTCCCTCAAGAACCATGTAGCGAGACGTGGTACATGCTAGTCACTCACAATCACGCTCTTTTTAACCAATCCATGAACAATCACATTCACTTAGTCTAACCCCGTGCCCCCGCTTTCCCTATCGTGGCAAGAGATGGCAACAGTGACCCATTAAAGCTTCGCCTATCGTGACGTTCTCTCGGCATGATTTATCCGTGAGCAATATCCTCCATTGGTTGCTTGCCTGTGCTATCTGTTGCAACGCTAAAGTGCTTTTGTCGCAACGGTAACGCATCCAGCACCTAATCAGGCCTTTTAGAGGATTCCTTGATCTGTCAGTCTGGACGAACGGCGAGTCTGTGTGACTTTGTTGATGTGGATTTGCGAATTCAGGAGGCCGCGTAAGCACGATCTTGAAATCCCCGCGCACTAGTTTTCATTCCGTGCTAGGGTCTAATTCGCAGAACACCGTCAGCTAACAATTGAAATTCTGCATGGGAGTCGTGATGCTTGGTCACGCAGTGAATAAGTCAACCATTCCAACATAGCCGAAAACCTATCACCCAACTTGACCACTTCGGGTATTTATACTCTAGAGGAGCCATGACACATGAAACTGAGTTGCAAAGGAACCTTCGACGTGGTCCCAAGGTCTCTCAAATGCTTCACCAGAGCGCGTAGATCGCTCTTGCGAGGATATTTCCGCCACTGGAACGGACGTCCGACGGACACTTATCAGAGGTCAAAGCCCTTGTGCCGCTATGGGCAGCCCAATCACTGATATTCCAAGCTCCACCAAAATTAAGCTTGAAAGGCTTATCTTCGCTTATTTTCTCCAGCGTAGATATTCTTGGAGGATAAAGATATTACCAAGGTCCATAAGTATGATATTGGCCTGAACCTACATTTACTCTAATACAATCTCATTGGAAGCTTGCATATGAGTGTCTTCGTGGGGTCTGATGCTCTATTATCTAGATCAACAGCTCTGCCGTCGGCTTACCTCCAATGTTTTACTCGTTTTTACTTAAAATGAAACCGGCCGATGCTCCCGAGGTTCTCTCCAGAACCAATTGCATTAATTTCCCCGCAGTCGACCCGCGGATTCTTCTGTTCGACTTTACCATCACTTTAATCCTCTTTAATTGCTTCATCTCCGGTCAGGTAGCTGCGTAGACCATTCTACCCTCCATCGCATCCGCATGCCATGCTTGCCAATCTCCTTTCAGGCCTCTGTAAGCCATCAACCGACATGTTTAATTTTCGAACCTTCAGAGGCATACTTTCCGGAATCTCTACAACATCCTAGATCATACCTGTGGGGCCGACCCGAATGGCTACATTTTCTTCCGCTGCATTTTGTGCCACTTAACCTTATTGAAAATCTGAATCGAGTTGTGGATTTGGTGCCAATGGTCCATCAATTTAGAACTGACAAGCTCGGGATTGCCGAGTCTCACTATATAGTTTAGCTCGCCCGCAAGGCTCGGCTATTCCCACGGCGTTTAGCCCCTAGCTAAAACATATAGATCATCTGCCGTGTGGGGGAAGATATTCGTCATCTAGCCATGCAGGTCTAGCACGCCTTTATCTGTTGATTGTACCGAGTGAGATAGCTCGGCAAGTCCGAGGGATTCTTCCTCCATCTAATTTGAAGGGTACCTGCAAATAGCAATCTAATCAACCTAACGCTGGGTATTGGTGAAACCAATTAATTGATTTCTTCCCATGACATTTTCGCCCTCCGTCCATGGGTCTATATAGATACTAGTGGCTCTCCCTTCTTTCCTTCTACATCCTGGATACCTTCCGAGCTCTGGATCAAACCCGAATACTACCGCATTCTTTCTTCTCTCCCGGTTTCTCGAGGCCCGAATGCAAAAAACTCAAGATGTTATTACATGTCAAAAGACTGGAGGAAACAGAAAAGACTCGCCAGACCCTGAATTGACACGAGCATTGTGGCGTAAAGAAATTGAGACATAGGTCACTATCAAAGCGGAAAACTCACCTAGTGCATTTCCCAGCACCAGTTACCAAGATTGACTGTGTCATGAACGCAATGAAGCCTTGCAATTTGGAAAGGCAAAATAGGAGTGAATAGGTTGACTCTGAAAGAAATGGGGGTATATATTCGTCCAATCAAGTATATACATCTAGAAAGACGTCCAAATATTCAAGCATCATGCACATTGTAAATAAATAACCAAAAGCCCACATTGCAAGACTACCCTCTCAAAGGAAGCACCTTGGACAACAAAACCTCCTGTCGGCACAACGGACACTCAGGCTTCTCCCGCACCCAATCGCGAACACAAACCCAACAAAAGACATGCCCGCAAGTTGTCACACTAGGATCCTTGAAAGCCTCTAAACAAAGCGTACACTTCCGTTGCTGCCCCTCTGGAATCCACGCAACGGCGCCAGGGTCCTCTTCCAGATCATAACGGGCCGCTGAAGCAGGAAGCAGGGGAACTGCCGCCGGGTTTTGAATCGAGGGGATCAGAGCACCCTCTCCAGAGCGCATTTCGCCCGGCTCAGAGGACTGACTCTCGTCTTCGGTCATGCTGTGTCCCAATTTGCGGATATGCAAGAATCCTTGCACAGCAATTTGCAGGACCATCAAGACGCCTAGAACCTCGTACCCGATTCGCTGCTCGCTCTCGTCGATTTTCTTGGTAAATACGTAGCGAAGGCGCCAGATCCGTTTTGAGAGGTGGTAGTATGAGCCGGTGAAATAGAATGTCGCGATGCTGAGCGCGTAGATCGGGTTCAGTGATGTGATGGAGTCCAAGTGGTCGAGGATGTATTGCTGGATGCGCAGCTTGGAAAAGAATGACCGCGGTGTGGGTTTGGATTGCAGCAGGCCTGCCTGCTGCGCTGCGTGGACTTGTTGTCGTGCGATGCTGCGCTCGAGCTTGTGGCGCACTCGCGCACGAAGGGCGGGGATAAGCCGTTGCAATGACCATGGCACTAGGATAGTGCTGAGGATGTATCCAACGCGTCGGGAAATTGCTGGTAGGCGGAGTGTGTCATCTTCAAGCTGGACGAGGTCGCAGTATTCTTCGCCGAGGGTGCGGTTGCCGATAGCGGTCGTCAGCGAGAAGTAGACGAGTTCGGTTACGTGTTTGATGGAATCAGAGTAGGTGTGTGCGAAGCGGGCGCCTTTTAGAGATCGGATGATGGACTGGGACTGTTGTACCAGACTGCTCGTGAGAAAGGCATCTTTCTCGTGAGACCGGATAACGTCCGGGGACGTCGCGAATGGGTAGAAGTTGGAGGCGGGAGAGCTGACGGTGGTAACGGGGGGTGAAAGCGATAGATGGGGATCATCGTCGGCCATGGTGGATATTATGGAGAGGGAAGAATACTCGAGGCCGTCAAGGTGGTCTCTATAGAGGGGGTAAGAGCATCTTTAGATGCATCGACGGCCAACTTCCCCAGCTCGGAACTGACATTCCCCGGACTGCCTCGGTCCAAGTCATGTGACCCAGACGGTACGTGATATCACATGACCCTACATATCACATGACAATACTGGGGCAATGACGCAGATGATGATACTTGTAATACCAATACCAAAGTTTCAGGGCGAAAGCCACAGAAGCTCCGCATTTGATGGTGGCTCCTTTGGCATTACCCCTGATTCCAGTCCGGTAGACATATATGCATAGAATCCCCTCAAGGACGTAAGGTCTTGAAAATAGTCATCTATGCGGTAGTAGATGAAGGTGTCATCATGATAATATACCAATGAAAGACCCGAGTCTCCGTTTCCGTCTCCCCTGAAGTTGCAGATCGCGCGGATCCTCTTCTGCATCAGGGTATGGAGTTCTAATTATACCTAGGATGCAACAGGGGGACCCTGTGGAGTTCTCGACCACAACCAGTCGATTCGAGCAGAGCCAGACCAGTCTTCAGGCCCATCTCCACCTTCCCGTCCACTGGCGTCCACGGAAGGCGTTTCCAATGTGGGCGCGTATTCTCGTTACTACGCGCTTATTAACAGCGTCCTGAAAGCGGCCTCACAGAAAAGTTCCCTCTTTCAAGATCACAGTCATTCTTTTGATCCGATTTTCCCCCCACCTGGGGTCTCCTTGGATGTTGCTTGAATCCCTTTACTTCCTTCGATCCATGGAATAATGGGTCCTGATCAACATGCGCAATTGGATGGCTTTGGGCTGATCCTCCCCTTCCCTATCCGCATAGCTGCCATTCTGGTTGCTGGTACGTCTTGACAAGAATGGGGTATAGATCGCGTAGTTAACTCCTATACAGGTTTCTGGGGATGGGCCATCAACCTTCACTACCTGGCCAAGGCCAACATTGTGAGTTGCGGAACCCCTCGGACAGCCTCTTCCCCCCCCCCAGTTGGGCCCAAACTAACCAACTTGTTCTCCTGTCAGGATGTTCCTGCGCTTGTTCGGTACCCTTCTCGCACCTCCTCTACACAACGACCACATCATGTCGCGGCCTACCGCCTGGCCACTTTCTTCACCATTCCCCTCGTCCTCTGGCTCGTCGTCTTTTGGATCGCTACCCACCGCACCTTCGAACTGGTCGAACGCCTCGACTTCATCCCGCAGTCCGTCTTTATAGTCCTCCTCCTGATCTTGATCTGGCCTCTCAACCGCGCCTCTCGGGCGGGCCGCATTCGCTTCCTCCTCACATTAAAGCGCGTGGCCATCGGCGGCTTGGCCGAGTCCCAGGATGGCAAGTTTGGTGATATCCTGCTGGCTGATGCCTTGACCAGCTATGCGCGGGTCCTGGGAGATCTCTACGTCAGTTTCTGCATGTTTTTCACAGATGGCCTGGCTGCTACTTCCAAGCCGAACCGTGCCTGCGGCAAGGATATCGTCGTGCCGATTATTATCGCTGTTCCCTTTGCGATTCGACTTCGCCAGTGTTTGACCGAATACGTGCGATCTCGGAAAACAACTACGCGCCGGGAAGTGAACAAGGGCAACCAGCATCTGGCCAACGCCTTGAAGTATGCCACCACATTCCCAGTCATCTGGCTGGCTGCCAAGCTCCGCAATTATAACCCCCGGGACTTTCACGGATACAGCGAGATGACCATCATGCGTCTGCTGTAAGTGTTGACTACTCCCGCGACGTCCCGCCATTTTCTAATCTCCCACAGGTTCATCTTCTCCTTCATCAACTCCAGCTATTCCTTCTGGTGGGATGTGGTCAAGGATTGGGACCTGACCCTCTTCTCCTCCGAGCGCCATGACAGAGACCACCCGTACGGACTGCGACGACACCGCTACTTCCATTCTGACCGGTTGTACCACTACGTCATCATCGCGGATCTTTTACTCCGTTTCTCGTGGCTGTGGCGCGTGCTGCCGGGTCTCGCTTGGCTCCCTGAAACTGAAAGCGGTCTTTTCATCCTCATGTTCCTCGAAGTCGCTCGGCGCTGGATGTGGGTGTTCTTCCGAGTCGAGGCCGAATGGAGTATGTCTCACTCCCCTACACACCTTCCCCTCCCGCTCCTCTCGGAACCAAAATAGCTTCCCTGGGGCACGCAAGACGGTTTCATGATTTGATTTGCTGACAAACCTTTTGAAACAGTCCGCAATACCCACGGTCCCGCTCCCGACGATGTTCTCCTTGGCGAATACAACCACAAATTCGACGCGGATTAAGTTGCCTCGCTGGCCTTTTTTCAGCGTTAAATGTCCATTGGAACGAGTATGAGACACAGAACGTATATTCCCTTTCCCGTCTATCAACCTTGGGAAATCACATTGGATTACCACCTCGAACATGCAGTCTAGAACAGACATAGATACGAGACCCGGATCTCTGGCTTTGCTCGATTTAAGGAAGCGCATCACTTCTTGATTCGCCTGTTTTCCTTTTTTTCCCCATCTACTTCTACCATCAATATTTCCACCCGCCTGTCAGGCACTCTTTCGTTTCGCCTCTTTTGAATGATTTGACTGGCTGGTGCTCTGGGCTTGTCTTAGGGTGTTCGGCTGCGGATTCACTGATGCATTCTCCTTCACCTTTCGTTGTATATACCTACACCATTTATTTTGCTCTTTTCTTTTCCGTTGTCATTCGGGTATGCGGCTGGAGAGGTTTGACACCAGCATGTACATTATGGTTGCAAGGATTGGTTGTTTGCTAATAAGCTCTCAATATGTGATTTGAGTGTATTCCAAATTATTTATGAGTGCTGCTAAAAGCAAATAGATTTTGACTGAGCTATTCCAGGATTCCAGGATTCCAGGGTCCCAGGGGATAGGCGCAGAAAATCAGTAATCCTGACTGCGATTGTTCAAAGAGCAAATGAGACACCCTTGACCCCGTCTCAACGTCCCCATCTCACACAGCCCGGGTCTCCGCCCCTTCCAAATGAAGCGCCCCAGTAAACTTGCAATTCGGCCTTCGGCCCCTCTTATACCTAGACCTAGCGACTCCCTTTACTTAATTTGGAGGGGTAAGAGGCCGATGGAAAACTTCTTTGAGCCTCGTTCAGTTTGAAGAGGGAAATGTTAAACAAGACTCAGATGAGACGATGAGACGATGAGACCCCTGAACGGTGGAGCTGCGCGCGGCGCTATCTGATGGCCCACAACCCCCCGCACATTCCAACAAAATAGGATTCTTGAGATCTGCAGCTTCGCTCGGAAGGTACCTCTGAGAATCTATTGCCTGTTCTCGAAGCGCGTGCCAGCAAATCTTTTGCCAGAGTCTCTTACCAGTACTTATCGTTACGGCACTCATGCTTCATATTTCGTTACTGCCTGCCGAGATCTTGCATCTGATTATTGGCTTTTTGGAGTATGCCACCGATGTCAACGCTCTCGCACAAACATGTCGACGTTTATGCAATATTTCCATCAGTCCGTACCTTTATCCGAGGTTTGCCCAAGCATGTTCTCCACGAGGACTTAGGCGTATCGTGGAAAACGGTAATGTGGGCGCTATACGCAGATTTCTTGCGACTGGCGTAGACATGGACAAGTTTTACCGTCCCGCGGGGACCCGAAGTGGATGTGCTTTTCCACTTAAAGGGATGACTTCAATGCTCCTGGATCTCTGTGGGCCATCGTTCTTGGCCAAATCTAAGCATGGCAGAGACCAACTCCTCTCCGTTGCGATACAGGAAGGTCATTTGGATGTCCTCAAACTCTTCATCTCCGAGGGCTTCGAGAACACGCGGGGAAGAAATCACATGTTGAACGTGGCGATAAATGGTGCACCTTCCTCTCTGCAATGTCTCATTGAGGCGGGGTTCGAGGTGAATAGTACTCATGGCTACAACTTTCCTTTGCTAGCTGCGACAAGTGAAAACCAGCTTGAGAAAGTGAAGCTGCTTCTTGAGGCCGGGGCCGACCCCAACTGGGAAGCATTTGAGCTCTCAAGACTTGGGGAGGACCCTAATGACCCACTACATACGGCGGCCTCGAATGGTTGCCGCGAGATAGCACAATGCTTACTGGAGGGAGGTGCACGTTATCATCGCGATGGAATATTTGACGCTAGAGGGATAGCTAGGCTTGCTTGCAATGGCCAAGAGCGAATCGCAATATTGATCATGGATTCCATTGATTTCGAGTCGGAATTGGCGGATAGCGACGACGCGATGCGCGGTCACTGGGTCACGCTGGCAGCAACGGTTGGCGACGAACCCCTTGTCCGGCGACTTCTAGCCATAGGGTCTGATATAATCGATGAGAATGAATACTGCGACAGTATTGAATTTCCGGCTCTCACACAAGCTGCACTCCATGGACAGGCGGCTATCGTGAGAATCTTGCTTGATGAAGTTGGGAAATCAAATCCCGAAAGCCTGGCAAATGCCTGCTTCGCTGCGATAGAAGGTGCCGTACAAGGCAACTATCTATGCATACTATCAGATGCCTTTGATCGCGGAGGCGACGACCTGATTGAATCTCGAGGGTATGATATGCTTTCGTGTGCAATCGAGAGACAAAACGAGGATGCATGTGATTTTCTGGTAGAAAATAAGGTACTGGACATTGGTATCCGAGGGGATAATCCGAAACGTCTTCTACCAAAAGCCCTCAAATCCGGAAATTATACTCTCGTGTTGCAAATCCTCAACCAATCTCAATTCAGCCTCTTTGACTTTGTTGACGAGCCCAAGGGCACCGCTGTGTTACAACTAGCAGCAAGATATGGACCGGTGGAAGGATTTGAACGTTTACTCGGTCTAGGCGTGGCTCTTGACCCACAAAATACGTTATGCGAGATTGCTCTAGTTCAGGCTGCTGAGGCAAACCACCCACATATCATCAAGCATTTTCTCGACAGCGGATATGATGTGAATGCCATGTACTGTGCCAGAATTGGTTCTATAGCGCCGTTGCTCTTTCACGTTTCCAGGGGTATATCCCGAGGCAATGAGCCGGGCGACGAACGCGCAATTGCGACTGCACAGTTTCTGATCGATCAAGGTGCGGATGTGAATGCTTGTGGCCCTACAAGTGAAACCGCGCTCTGTGAAGCAGTGAGGCGTTGCAGATTTGATCTTGCCGCAATGCTGCTTGATCAAGGTGCAGATCCTTTGAAAGGGATTGAAAGAAACAAAAGTGCTCTACAGAGGACTATCGTATCCGCTAACCTTGAATACGTGAGACTTTTGATGGATAAATTGTCCATTGATGACCCTCGGTACCGCAGCTTTGTCAGGCAGATTCCCAGTCACATTAGCAAATGGAACGTTATCCCTGGCAGCAACATAGGGAGAGACAGCAAGCACTGGTCAGAGGTTTGGGACATAGACGAGGGTTCTGACAAAGAGAAAAATACCAAAAGTCATACTGAAGATGAAACACAAAGCTTTATCATGGAGGCGCCTAAAGATACCGAGTGGTGGTCCAGATTTCATACCATCAAAGAATTAGCCAGGTACTATTGGCGAACGATGTACCCAGCTCCAGAATGAACGCTATAGAGACCAAATAGATTAGCAATCTAATTTCTAACTACAATGCAATAAAGCTTATAGGAATAAAGTTTAGTCTAGAAGTTTAGAGTCCTAAGAAATGACCTGAAACACTTTCCAAAGATAAATTCCCTACTATAGTAGGTAAATTCTAGAGATCAGAATATACACTAGGTTATGTCCAGTTATGCAGTAAAAGATGGTAAATTACTCGATAAATATCCAATTAGAGGGTTCTAAAAGAAAAAAGGTTCTCTCAAACGTTTACTCCCTTTTACACCCCAACGCTAAGTGACGGTAAATTAGGCGCCGAAAAAGGCTACTTTTGACGCCGTGTCGCTGTCAAGCCAGAGTGAAATCCGAGTGTTTTCGCCATGTAGGCCAAATTATTTGGGTCAACGAGCTGCGGGTAGTCGTGTCGCAGTACAAACAGCCACAATTGGCGGCAGCTAAGATCTTAGCGGTCCTTGAACGATGCATTTGTGGTCCTCCAACCGTGCATGGTTTGAATCTGGTACTTCTTGACTCTGCCTGGTTACCTCTTCCCAGAATGCAAAGATGTAGCCGACTAGAGATTTCTCAAACGACTATCCTACCGTTAGAACCCACAAGTTGGACGAGCGGGGTTCCGATCCACCCACACATTCACATCGTGTTGCTTGTTATTCATAAAAAGCTCTCATGAACGGCTAAAAGAACTCGCTACAAACGGTACAAACACGCCAACGACATAAGTTGAAGTCCTGTATTGCTCAGAGGAAGTACAAAGGTGAGTATCGGTCACGATAGTGTGAGGGTCGGGCTTTCCAAGCTCGATGAGAGCGTATACACTTAGGGGAAGCGTCAGACTCTCGGAGCCAGAAATATCATACCAATTAACATTCCACTATGCTTGCTTAACCAAGAGCTTTCACTAGGCTAGATTGTGCTACAACCTTTTCCGCAAGTGCACGCGGAGTTTGGTTTACCAGCATATCTGACGACTGCAATGTCGCCTCAAACCGTTGCAAGATCCAATTGCGCAATTCGACAGCAACCAGAGAGTCCAAGCCCAGAGCCAGTATTTCATCAACAGTTCCCACATCTACCGAAAGCAGCTGGGATATTTTTCTTGTTATTGCACGCAGGATGAACTGGGCCACAATCTCCGCGCTACCGTCGGCGATCACTTGCTCAAACGATTGCTCCTCTGCAGAGTCATCATCCCCGACGGTGGCCTCATTTATGCCGCGTCGAGCCTCACGGAACAAGGCAGAGTGAATAGGGCCATTTCCCGCGGTTGCGCCGGCCAAAGACTCGGCGTCGAAACCAATGACGGCCTGGGAAATGCCGGCCCCGTTGGGTTCAACAGTCGCACCCAGGATATAATCAAGAAAGCGAGTAAGATGTTCCAATTTGACAGGCTTTAAACCAACCCGCTGGTGATCGTACTGAGTATCATCGTCTTCTGCCAACAAAGCGTCCTCGGTCCAGTCAAGATTCACGGTCATGAAGTGGGTCTGGGATGACGAATGTGGGTGCTCCTGATGCGCCAGGGAATCCTGCCACGGGCTGACACCAGTGGAATTGGCATCAATGCTATTTCCAAGGAGATTGTTGACCGATGATACTGAAAGGAAGAACGCCAATTTGGGAGATTCAAAAACACGGTAAAGAGCGGGCTTTCCATTAATTTCGCCTTCGTGATACACCTGTGACGAATCATTAGTAGATATCCTGAATCCAAACAATAGCATGGGATGAAGAGCAAGGGGTGCTACATGACAACATGAATAGTGATGGAAAAAACTTACAATTTCAGCGGCGGCCGTCTGGATGATTCCGCGAACTATAGGTGCACCATGGCCAGCAAGAGTAGAAGATATATCTTCGAGACTTGATTCTGATGAGATATCTCCTTGAAGGATATACAGACAAGCTCCGGGTCGGATAGCCTGCAGTTTCGCTTGTAGGCTCTTTTTGTCGTTGGGATCTACGAGACCACTCGACACCACGGCAACATGCATGGCGCCGCGACGCACCATTTTCATCGTAATATGCTGCTCGAGACTCCCCAGGTTGCCTGCGATAAGGTATGTGGCGTCTTGATTGGACCAGGGGTCATACTTTGGAGGAAGAAGAACAGGGACAGTCGAATCGGAGCGGATTTGAAGAACAACCTTTGATGCAGTGCCATCTTTCAACAAGCCAAGAGCATCTGCAGCTTCATCGACATCTCGGATCGCCAAATCGAGTCCATCCATCGGTATATGCTGGAATGCAGCTGTCGCTTGGGAGATAAGGGTGGCAGTCAGATCGGGTCGGCCCGCGACAATACCTTCGATGTCGACAAAATGAAGAGCCACATTTGGCGGAAGATTGGATGATATCGATGGGGATGAGCGTCCAATGACCACCACGCTGCCAAACGGCTTGATGTGGGCGAGTGCCTCTTCTGCTGGCGTTGCATTTCCCGCTGCATGAATCACAGCGTCGAGTCCACCGGGGAAGACATCACGCGGTAAGCGTCGATGGAACGAAGGGCGGATCACCAATACATCCGAGGGGTTAATTCCCAGTTGCTCTTTTAGTACTCGAGCTTCAGTCGAGCTGGCGGCAGTTGCAACGACACGAATGCCGATAGATCTGGCAATGCCCACAGCAGCCCGACCCACGGCAGTGCAAGCTCCATGGATGAGTACAGTCCCCTGGCTTGGAACCATACGACCCACTTCACGGATGGCGTACGACGCCGTCATGGCTTCTAAAAGCATTGCAGTGGCGCTGGGGGCTGATACCTTCATAGGTAGCCTACCGGCGAGTGTGACTGGTAGGCGAAGTCGAGTCGTTCCCACGACTGGGGCCAGGGCAATGACATGATCACCTGGCGCCAGTGAAATGACATTGAAACCGACGCTGGTGACAAGACCTGCATATGAGCCCATCTTTGTGCAAGAATCCAGCTCCGCGATGGCAAAATTCTCAGACTGAATTTCAATAGAATCTGCAGCTAGATGCGTCGCAAATATTTTGCTGTCCTCCAAGAACAAGCCGGTGCTGTCAGGCGAGAGTACCAGGGGCCTTTCACTGGTGGCGATTCGTTGCGCTTCACTCTCGGCACCAGCACTTCCAGAATCGGCGATGGCATAGTCAAGTCTCTCACTGCGATGTAGACGCGGGACCATGACAGCGCCATTACTGCGAACTCGATATTCACGTTCCATGTGGAGTGTGTTCATATTGGACACCTGGTTTATTGTGCCAATCACAATATCAACCAGGCGCTTTTGGTTGTCTTCGCTTGCAAGGAAGAGCGAGGATGCATGAATGGTAGTGAGACGCAAGTCATCGTTTTCGACATGCGCAGTACGGGCAAGACTCTCGTTTTGATGGAAAGATGGAGGGACATCGGGACTCAGCCAAACGATACGTGAAGGATGTGCCAAGAGAGTGGTCATTGCAGCTGAGGCGACCGGGTCCGCAAGGATAGGATGCTCCGGCTGATCATCAAGGATGAGAACGGTGTCATTGCTGTTGTCACCTAGTGCGTATTTGTGTTGGAGAGCCTCGAGCGCACTGCTAGTCAATCGATTGACCGAGACATTCACATTAAGAAACTGTAATGCGCGAACCAGACCAACCGCCCAGGCCGGGGCATGTTTGAACGTGGAATGCATGAGAATGTGGATACTCGGCAGTTCATGGACTCTGGAAGGCCATTTTAGGACAACAAGTCTGCCGCTAGGGTCGTCTTGGAAAGCAAAGTGTTCGGCCAGTGACGTGGACACTGTGTTCTGCAAATTGTATTCCTTGGACTCGCGTTGATTCAACCGAAGAAGCACAAAGCCGTTAGGTTTGACCAGCAGTTCAGCCTGACCCAGCCACTTGGCCGAGGCAGCCAGAACCAAATCATAAGATCTAGTCTGAAGGCCACGCATACTAGGGTTGCTGGTGGGGAACATGGTCCGGAACTGTATAGAGGGGCTCTCTAGACGCGTGGCGGCTTCATCGAAAAGACCAGGTGACGTGTCAACAAAATCGAAAGACGTTATTTTGTTATTGGGGGACTCGAAAGAAGCGATAAACTCTTCCGACAGATCAACCCCAGCCCCGAGCCCGATCATGGTTAGATCATCTTTTTTTGAAGCAAGAAGCCCAACGATATCTGCAAATGAAAGGCTTTGGGCCATGTCGTCAGCCCGCAAATAATCGAGGTCGGGTTGCAAGCGTAGCTCGAAACAGATGTTCGCAGTATCATCGTCGTCGTCAGCATTACGTTTGAGGCTGCTCGGGCTTTTTGCAAGACTTTCAAACTTTACACCCGATATTGAAAGCACCTGCTTGTCACCATAGGTGGAAGAGATACTCCAAATAGCGGAATCAGAAACGAAGTTGGGACGTGTGGATATTTCCAAAGTTGAACCTGGAGCATGTAGAAAGGGTGATGTGGCGACTAACAGCTCACCGATGAGCTCTGGAATGATTGGCCCAGGTCCAAGACGAAGGGACTGCAACGGGAAGACAGTCTGGAACATGCTTTCAAGAGTAGATGGGTGGATGATGGCTGGACGCTGGAGCCCATCGGACATCTTGGCCGCAACGTCCAGTACAGTCAAGGACGAAGATGCTTGCGATCCATCAGGTGCGACCTTAATGGAGCTGATTCCGGTAAAGGCAGGGCCATATGTATTACCGACGGAATCCAAGTCCCTGTAAAGGTCCTTGTGGGCAATGATGTGGCTATCAACTGGCAACAGAGGGGGATTCGCAACCAGAGTGTCTGCTCTTACACTGCTGTCCTCTTCCGTAAACTCAGCCTCGATTCTTCCTGTAGCATGAGTATGCCAGTGACCAGTGCTGTCAGAAAGGGCCGCAATTGAGAAGTCAAAGGCAATATCCGCGCCAGGATGTTGCTGGAGGCTCAGTTGAAGTTCAACGTGTTGTGCATCATCTGGCATAAACAGTTTCCGCTTGAATTCAACATCGTGAAGTGCCAACGTCCCAAGCGGAGAGACTGGAAAACGCCGACGTGAGAGCTGCGTCACGGCTTCAATGGCCATGGAAATATAGCCTGCACTGGGAAACATAGTAACTCCGTTGATGGCATGGTCAGCCAGCCATGGCAGCGACGATCGGCTAATGGAATGCCTCCAGCGAGGTTGAGAATCTGTTGCATCAAGAACTGGCAGACCGAGTAGCTCATTATATGGCTCATTGCGCAAGCGATAAGCCTGCGTAAGGCGATATTCCTGGTTGTGCTGAGTTGAATGGTCCCATGAATATGCAGGAAGATCATACAGCACCGCTGCTTCGTCTGCGCCGTGAGTCATTGCAGACACGGTATCCCATTCCACTTTGACGCCGCGTTCAAAAAGCTTGCCGGCCAGAGTCAGCGCGCTGGTTATCGAGTCCACCTTGCGCTGCAACACCGGGTGGTAGTCGAACAAAAGCTTTGGCACATCTGGGTGACTTAGACTCTGTCGGACTGGGCCGGACAAGCCTGGATGAGGACCTACTTCCACGAAAAAGGCGTGTTTTTGGGGGTGAAGACCTTCCTTGGAAAGTGTTTGAATAGCATCATTGAAGCGCACTGGTGATACGATATTGGAGATCCAATACTCGGCGTCGAATCCAGCCGTCTTCACTTGCCCGGTGACAGATGACACGAATACAACATTCTCATCAGGAGTAGTATTGCTCTCAGCGTTCAAGGTACCAAGGCGGAACCGATAGTAGTCGGCCACAGCACTCATGTGGTGCGAATGATATGCCGTCTCAACAACCACTTTGCGATGAAAGGTTCCGTCGTCCGCCAAGGCAATGCGCTTATCTATCTCATCAATGGCACTCAGATCACCGGAAATGGTCACGCTGTTGGAACTATTGACACACGCAATCACGGCCTCTCCGTTCGCCAGATTGTCAAGATATTTTGCAACATCATCTTCACCGAGGCCAACTGACAACATGGCACCTTGTTCCAATCCTTTCAATTTTGCAGCAGCGGCCAAAAAGCCACAATGAAAGGCAATTGTCAAGGCTCTCTCTTGCGAGAGATGACCTGCCAAAAAAGCCGCGGCTATTTCACCACTTGAGTGCCCTACGACTCCGCGAAATTTCAACCCATAGGCCCGGAGCAAGGCAACAAGAGCGATTTGGAGAGCCGTGGTGGCAGGCTGCGACAGCTCAGCTTCGTTTAGTCGGGAAGTCCCTTTGTCACGAAGAAGCTCCTCTTCTAGGTCCCACCTGGCACCCAATTTGCAAAGTATGTCTCGGGAGATGCGCACAGAATCACGGAAGACATCAGACGCTGTTGTTTGGTTCAGCAATAGCTCGCGACCCATGCCAGCCCACTGGGAGCCTTGGCCACTGAATACAGCGACCACATCTGGCTCTGTGGCTGGTGATTTCGTGATTGGGAGTCCGTGGGACTGGTCGAGGAGCCGCAGGAGCGATTCTTGGTTTTCGGTCACTGCGCTGAATCGATATGCCATGTCACAGCGACGGTGCAAGAGCGTGTATGAGAGATCGGCCAACGGAGTATTCTCGGAATTATCTTTGATCCAGTTCTCGTATGCAGCAACTTTCGCCTTCAGTGAGACCAGACTGTTGGCCGAAAAATTGAAAAGACGAGGGGAGCTAGACATCGATGCTGTATGGGGGTTCCGTAATCCCTGCTCGAGAATGACGTGGGCATTGGCACCGTCAGACCCAATGCTGTTAATCGAGACACGAGGTGTAATTCCAGGGTAAGTGGGCCAGGGAACCGGTTTGGTTGGGATGGAAATCCTATCCAATGGAAGACCCGCTTGCGGGTTGTTGAAGCCGGCAACTGGAGGAATTACTTCACGGTCCAACATGACAGCTGCTTTCAGCAAGCTTGACAAACCAGCTGCGCTCCCGCCGTGCCCTATCGAGCCCTTGGTAGATCCAACATAAAGAGGAACCGAGCGGTCTTTAGAGCCTCCGAAAGCTTCTGCGATGGCATTCAGCTCTTCGTGATCGCCTGCCTTGGTGCCCGTGCCATGCGCCTCAACATACATAACTTCCTCTGGTAACAACCCAGCACGAGCGTATGTCATCCGAGCTAGCTTGGTTTGACATTGGCCGATGCCACTGTTGCGGATGATGGTACGCACTGGATTTCCATCTCGCACGGCGGCATCCAGTCGTTTTAAAACGAGGGCAACTGCGGCCTCGCCACGGCCATAGCCATCGCCGCGCTCATCGAAGGGATAACTCTCTCCAGTGCTGGTAAGAAGATGTAGGTTGGATGCAGCCACCAGAGCCATTTCTGAATCTTCATTGCGCAGGCTTTGACACGCTAAGTGAAGCGCGACCAGACCGTCAGAGTCTTTCGAGTCTAAGGTCAATGAGGGCCCGTGCAGGCGCAAGAACTGGGAGATGCAATTCGAGGGTTTCACGCCACTTGTATGGGCGGCTGGAAACTCCACTATGTCCTTATTCAAGTGTCGGTCATATTCTGTGGTTGAAACTGCTGTATACACGGAGGTTGCAGTTCCTAGGATGTTTTCACCTGAAACTCCGCCACTCTCGAGTGCCTCATACGCTAGCTGCAGTAAGAGTCGTAGCTGCGGATCGACTGCAGCAACCTCGGATTTGGAAAGCCCGAAGAAGTCATTGTCAAAGTTGTAAACATCACCGGAGAGGAAGTGCCCACCCCGGTGGTTGCTTATTCCAACGCCAGGATACTCGGTCTGTGTCTGATAGTCAGCTTAGATTCAATTTTTCTTTTCTTTGCTAAGCACGATTACTCACCTCTCCATCATATCGCTCTGCGGGAATATCAATCCATGCTCGTTCGCCGCTTTCGAGAAGCTCCCACAAGCCCTGCACGTCGTGAGTTCCACCGGGAAGACGGAACGACAAGCCCACTACCGCAATTGGTTCAATTGGAGTAGATGCAATCATGGCTGCGGGTGAATTTCAGAAAAGCTATACATTGCTCTAGTCAGCTCGGCCAAGGCTTGGTTGCTTGAAAAGATCTTACATGCACACTTCGGCGACCAACCTCCTTGCGCCAAGTATATTTCTTCCTAGAAGGAAAAATTATGGTGTCTTCGTTTTCTGATGAAGCCTTGATTTAGGGCATTTCGTGCCTGGGTACATTGCTCCCACAGAGTTATTGACTCCGAATTTTGGGCACAAGTTGCGCCCGTTCAAGAGTCAATCCTGCTGAAAAGACCTATGTTCGCGACCAAAAAGCTGGCGGGTAAGCAGAGTGGCCTAAAAGTATTGCGCCAGAGATTGACTATGGTCCCGGGGCCGTTGACTCTCATCGCGGTGGAAATATGACCGCGCTCTTGACTCCGTGGCTGGGCGGAGTAGGGGAATTCAATCTCCCAGCTTGTTGAATTTAAAGACTAGTGAGATGTTGATTGGGTTAGAGAGAAAAACTAAAGTAGTGCAGCCAGTAATTGCGGTCGACGGGTGGTTGAGCCAAAGTACGTGTCAGCACTAATGCTGCCCGTCCCGCAGGCGATCCGCGGTTCAGAACATGACACATGACTCAGCAGCACCGAGATTCATAGATTCATAGATTCATAAATGATAACCAATGTCTTGAGCGCATGGCTATAGTATTAAAAACGATTAGCACAAAAGCTCCCTGAGATTGTGACTCAGAATTCCGTAGACTGAAAGCTTCAAAGACGACTAGAAGTAAACTCAATGATGGTGCGAAGATCCATCTTAGACACCATCACTGGCGTCAACCTACACCCTCTAACATTACTTTTCATAGACTTGAATTTGTTAGAATATAGATGCACATATTCGATAATTCACGCTATAGCATTCATATAGCCACATGGTAATGAAAAAGTGTTCAAGTGATATTTTCAAAACTTTGGACATTCTAATCCCGCCGAGTAGGCATCAGCCTTTTATAACGAGTATTACTTTTCTTGGTAACGTTCCATTAAACTTGATATATCATTGAATTTCAGATTAATTCAACGTTCGAATCGGGTGCTGCCGATGAGAGGTTGACCCTTGCGACATTCTATGAACAACCCTATAGCCCTCTCTTTGCCATGATTTGGAAGATCTCTTCGAGCGCCTCGCGACGCTCCTTGACCTCGTACCCGTACTCTCGCAGTTTTGTCTGCAGTTTTGTTGCATCTAAGATGCAAATTGCACGCGGAGCCTTTAGAGTCGCTAGCATCTCCTTCAGCTCGAATGTTTCCCACTGAAGATCGGGCCGGATGTATTGCTTGGCCATCTTCATGATCTCGACGTTGCTGAGTTCACCGGGCGTGACCTAGAGCCATGGCATTAATAACAGAAAGCAGATAAGGTACACTAGGGCCCGATTCAAACTTACAAAATTGTATATTCCAGTCTCGGAATTTTCTGAGAGAATGATAGCACCAGGAAGCAAGTTCGGCAGAGCAGTGCCAGACTACATCGAAGTTAAGCGGTGTTCCATGTCGCAATAAGGTTGTAAGGAAATACTCACACCAGTCAAGTCCAAAATTTTATCATACTTCAGCAGCCTAGCGATATGGTTATTGCGATGGAGGTCTGCGGCCAGAGGAATCCGCATTCGGAGGAGAAGGAGGTTGGGGTAGTGGCCAATGGTCTGCTCACTGAGCAAGCGGCTGCGGTGATACCAAGCGCCTTTGAAGAAAGGCTCTTCGGTTTCTGCGAATGGCGCACGGCTTCGGACTTCCTCCTCGGGTAGGTTGTAGATGCAAGCAGATCCAAATTGCGTGACGTGGATGCCCAGCTGGTAACAGCAGTCGACCACGTTGAGCGCACCCAGAACGTTTGATCGGAAGGTTTCGATCTTGTGGTCTTCACACCAGTCGGCATTGGGTGTTCCTCGTACCCCGGCGGTATTGATGACTCGCGTGGGCTTGTGAACGGTGAGTTCACTACATGTGTCAGCGGGACCTGTTTGCAAGAGGCAGCAAAACATACCTCATCACCTGTTCACGACTCTCAATTCGAGCATTTGATATAAAGACTGTTTTTCCTTGTGCTTGAAGGACCTCTTTGAATTGACTGGCAATCCAGCCATTTCCTATCCACGAGTAAGCCTGGAACATTCAAAGGGCGACCAAGTCCACCCACCAAAAATCAGAAAGCTTTGAGGCGGAGCGATTGATCCCATTGTGTCACTCAAAAAGTTCCAAGTATATCAAAGTCTTTCAAAAGATTGCTGCCACAAGTAAGGAGACTGTTTTCTCCCTCTCGGAAAGACCATCTTATAGTATTGGCCATGGGCGATGCTGATTTCATCCCGAATCTGAACACTCAATTCTAACTCTGACTCTGAATCCGCTTTTTCCTTTCATGACTCTGGAAAAAAGGCATCGCTCGATGCGGAGATCGGAAAGTTGTCAGCGCCATAATCACCACTCTCACCAAACGGAGTCATTCCGAGTTGGGGGCCGAGACCACCGGGAAACGAAGTCACCCCCAATCACCAATTTGGACGCAGCGAAAGGGAGAAAATCACACCCAATCTAACCTCAAGTCTGACAGAGGATCTGACAGAGGTTATCACAGCCACATTTCTATCGCGATGCGTTCGGGGGGGTGAAGTATTTGAAGGTCCTGCACGCCGCAGGAAAATCGAACATCCAGACCACAGCACAGCAACTTCTTCACTTTCAACGCTCAGTTCCCAGACATAATGCCTGCTCTTCGCTTCCTTACTCCTCCTGGAAGCCCACCTGTCAAGAAGAGTCTTGCGCTCGCTACTGGGAGAGCCAGTGACCTTGAAGGTCAACGCCTCATCGGCACCACCCGATTCGAGCCTCGAAGCGATGTGAAAAGCATTCTGATCACTGGAGGTGCCGGGTTCATGTGAGAATACCACCGAATATTCCAATCGATTAGTACTTACATGGCCGATTTAGTGGGGGTTGGGTCACCCGACACTTAGCAGTGCAATACCCGGAATACAAAATTGTTTGTTTCGACAAGCTCGACGTTGTCGCTTCTCTGTTCAACATCAACTGTCTGGAATCTCTGCCAAACTTCCAGTTTGTACGGGGCGACTTGACGGACCAGGCGGCCATTGCCAGGGTTCTTTCGGATCACAATATCGATTGTGTGATGCATTTCGCAGCGTGTTCGCATGTCCAGAACTCATTCGACGATCCCCTAAGCTTCACTGTCAACAATGTCATCGGTACTCAGCAGCTGCTTGAAGCCGTTCGTCACCACAAAGGGCCCCAAGTAGTGCGCCGTTTTATTCATGTCAGCACTGATGAGGTCTATGGAGACGTGGTGGAATCGGCGTGTGACGAAACCAAGCAATTCATGCCCACCAACCCATATTCAGCTTCCAAGGCTGCTGCCGAGATGTATGTCTGGGCTTATGCCAAGTCATTCAACATCCCAGCTCTCGTTGTTAGGAGCAATAACGTGTATGGACCTGCTCAGTATCCCGAGAGTAACAATGCCACTTCTGAATGTCTGTTTGGGGGAAGGATGAATACTGACATATGAGATTAGAAATCGTTCCCCGCTTCTGCACTCTCCTGATGCAGCAAAACCCCCTAACAATCCAAGGCACTGGCTTGAACATCCGCCGCTACCTCTATGGAGCCGATGCTGCTGACGGCTTCGACACCCTTCTGCACAAGGGTGTCATCGGCGAAGCATACAACATTCAATCTTCCCACGGTATCACCAACCTCGAGGTCGCAGTCCGCACACTCGAACTGTTCGGCTACAGTCCGCAAGATTTCACCCGCTGTTTGACTTGGATTCCTGACCGCCCCTTCAACGATCACGATTACTGGGTCGATGGCTCCAAGCTGGCTGCATTAGGATGGCGCCAGCGTGTGCCCTTCTCTGAGGGACTGAAGGCATCGGTCAGCTGGTACCGCAAGAACTTGGATTCTTGGTGGCCTGAGGTTTCGAAGACTATCAACGTCGCGTCGACCGTGACCACTGATATCCATCACTGTGGTACTCAATCCACTGCGAACCAAGTCGAGGATATCTGTGACGGCGAGACAATGGGGGAATCATCTGGATTGAGCACACCTGTGATGGTATCCGCGTGATATTTATCATGCAGCTTGTACCAGGGGCAGGGTGCAATGGCAGACGAACTCCGGTTTGGGGTTTGCGGAGTAAAAGGTTGAGTCTAGACGTTTGAAGTTTCAGTTTTGCGTTAATTTATGTCGAGATCGGTCTGAACCTACTCTGAGAATGCTATTTTGTTCTGTTTTTTTTTAGAGAAACAATCTCCTACTACATTGTGTGTTATTTGTTGTTAGGTCCACCCTGTGTGTAGCATACCTACCCATTTAGATTCTAACGGCGCAAGAATTGCGAGGCAGTCTATTTTTTTATATTGAAATTCCTGGAATGAAAATATAAGAATGATGCATTGTGCTTCGCTTTTTGATGGCAGAGACAATGCTTCTCACCCACAAAACTTCGAAGAAGTGGCCTAAAAATTGTATCGACCGTTGTCTATTCAAGTTACTGTGCATGTAAATGGGTTTCTAGCCCCCTAGTTTGTTCTTTTTTTAATTATGTTTTAACTACAAGCCCGCAAAGTCTCCGAACCAGAGTGGTCAAATGTCTAAGTGTTAAAGCTGAATTAGAAATCGTCGGGTTATCAGATGTCCGATTCTGTACTATAGACAACAATATCTGCCCGAGCGGAGCATTCATGTATATTACTAATAAATTTCATGTTCATCAATTTGTGCTTCTCAATCAAAACGACACCTACGAAACTATTGGTTACATTTCAGATTAAGAATTAAGAATTCAGCCCTGGCTCCATGTAAGGGACAGGGAGAACCTGACTCCGTTTAAGTGGGCCTGACTCCGGAGCTCCATCGAGACCAATAGTCAACGCCCAATGCAATCGAGAGGCGGCCCTAATCATTGTCGTCTACTCAAAAGAGGCAAATAACAAATAGATTTGGGCAGCTAGGATCCCTAAGATTGAAAGATCAAAACATTGAAACCAACAAACCCATGATCTTTATCACTTGCCTGGCGTATTCACATTCCGGAGTCAATTGCTCCCATTAGTCTCCGCCCCCATTGCACGACTCCGGCTAGACCTCCACTGATGCGCACTAATTCGGTGGGTCCCGTCCGGCATCGGCCAATGAGTGAACCATCAACCCCTGTCATCGGCTCGTTTTCACACCGCATTATGGGCCTTGGTGGTTTTATGTGTCCGAAGGCCGAGTTAGCCCGTGAAAAAAAAGGTGTCCGATCACGCTGACCAAACTCCAGATCTGTCTAGTACAACCTTGACCGGGGTCGTCCGTAACATTATTATGGGGAGTGTTCAGTATAATTACCCCCTTCCTCCGTGGGAATGGGTGTACATCAGATCTCAGGAATTATTTGGAAGATCAACAAAAGTTGGATCCTGAAGTTTGTGCCTTGAGAACCAGGCACCGGCAGCAACCATCTATTACACCAGTCTCAGTTCACTCCTATCCAAAGATCTCGGCCCAACTTTGATTGAAGTCATTTAAAGGTCGACATGGAGTCCTACTTCCAGAGCCGCCGTATTCGCCGCGAAGCAGAAGAAGATCTGGCCAACGTTCAAGCCAAATCTGTGCGCACCAGTACCTCGTCGCCCTCCCCAGAGGCAGGAGTATTAGAGAAACCAGTCGTCTTCGAAGATACTCCCCTCGTACCCGGTGTGACGATCTCCCAGCCAGATGGCGACAAGGGTGCGGTAGTCTTCGTGGTTGGCTGGAGGGAAAACGACCCTAGCAACCCGCAGAACTGGTCTCTGCTCCGCAAATGGATGGTCATGTTGACTTGCTGTCTTGTTGCCATTGCAATGACAGTCCCCTCCTCGGTGGAGGGCGCGACCCAAGACGCCTTCGATGCTCACTTCGGTGTAAACGCCATGGCTGGATCTATGACGACCGGTTAGTCTATTCTTCTCATTTTGAGAGCACCCCGTACTAATAGTTCCGGGCAGGTATCTTTCTTATTGGAATTGGTGTGGGCTCTCTGTTCTCAGGACCGTTTTCTGAGACCTTCGGCCGCAACATCGTCTACTTCACTGCCCTGATCCTCGTGATCCTGTTCATCATGGCCAAGGCGCTGGCGCCAAACTACGGCGCCGCTCTCGCCTTCCGATTCATCTGTGCTCTCTTCGCAGCCACCCCAATGACGGTGGCCGGTGGCACCGTCGGCGATATTTGGCAGCCTTTGCAAATCCCCTTCGGTCTGCCCTTGGTCACCATTGCTGCCTACTCGGGTCCGATCCTGGGTCCCGTGATCGGCGCCTACACGCCCAAGATTGGCTACGTGTGGGCCGATTGGATCTCGATGATCATCGCTGGCGTCTCTTTGGTCGTGGTTATGCTTGCTCAGCCTGAGACCTTCAGCCCTGTTCTGCTGGAATGGCGCGCGAAGCACCTGCGCGAGCTGACCGGTGACAACCGATACCGGGCAGCCCACGCCTCCACATCTGCGGACTCCCTCGGTCCCCGCCTGCTCAACAATGTGTACCGGCCCTTTGTGATGATCTGGACTGAGCCCATCATTTTGATCTTCAGCTTCTACCTGGTCTTGCTCTACTTTGTGCTGTTCACCTTCCTCAACGGCTACCCCTTCATCTTCGCCAACGTATACGGGATCAGCACGAGCTTGACCTTCGTTATCTTCGTCGCGATGATTCCCGGTGTCGTTGTCGCTCTGGCTATGGTCCCTTTACTGTACGGCATGACGAAGAAGGCGGCGAGACAGGCTGAGGCTGAGGGCAAGGCTTTGCAACCAGAGGTATCGCTCTACTGGGCGATGGCCGGCGCATCGATCTTAATGCCAGTTTCCCTCTTTTGGATGGCTTGGACCTGCTACGTAAGTGCTTTATATACCCTTCCTACACAACTTTTACTAACATTACCTCCCAGGCCGATATCAGTATCTGGTCGCCGATTGTGGCCTCCGGCGTCTTCGGCTACGCACTCGTTTGCATCTTCACCACGACCTATATGTACATCATCTTCGTGTACTTGCAGTATGCAGCCTCGGCTCTTGGATTCATGACCTTCGCACGGTACGTTGTTGCTGGTGCCCTCAGCCCGGCCTCGGTCAAGATGTACGAGAACATCGGTCCTCACTGGTCGGTGACCATTGTTGCTGTGCTTGCAACCCTCATGGCACCCGTTCCTTATGTGTTGTACAAGTATGGACACAAGGTCCGGGCCATGAGCAAGAATGCCGTCAACAAGGCGTAGATACCCACATTGTTTGTTTTTAGAGTGACATGTCACGAGAGGGGTTTGATAGAGATTGGTGTTGTTGAAGAGGGTGGCTTCGAGTTGGGGATTTAACGGACTATTTCATACTTTGCATAGCATTATTTTCATAAACCAAGTACTTACTTAATGAACATGATTCCATATATACTCCTTGATCTGCTTGTGCAACACTGGATGAGAAAAGCGCGTTTTATAACCTCGTCTACCTTTGTCGACTCGTTTCTCGTGCTTGTAGTGGCTTGTTTTCCTACTATAGTGACCTCGGTGGCTTAGATTGAGATACTCCTCATAGCTGAAATGTATTTCGAAGGTTCAAGTGAGCTCCCAGTTCTCGAGTACAATTTGTGATTGGATTCATGTCGATGGCCTTTAGTACCATCTTTACGCCGCGATGTTAACGGGGGGAGCAAGGTTCAAGCAATACAAATAAAATCCAAATACATAAATGACTCTGGTTGACTCCGGTGACATGCGGTTAACACTCTCGCAACACGGAGTCACGTAACAGCTCGACTCTTAACTCTGCAAGCCCATTAATTGAACGCTTGGTAGAGGTAGGGTTCCTCGTGGCCGGGGTACGCTGTCTCAAGGGCAATGAATATAAAAATCAGTAAAGTCTTCTATGAACGATTCACACGTGGGACTTAGGTCTGTACAACCTCACCATGACCATCCAACACGAGATCCGACAAACGGTGAGTCCGCTAGACTTCGTCCCACCCCTCAACTACGTCCGTCTCGTGTTCCCCCTCCCACTTAAATCCAACGTCGATGACAAAATCGTCTTCAACGATCTCCACCACGCACTCCACAAAACCTTCGTCCAAGAACCATGGGTGAGCGGCAAAGCCTTTCGACAATCGCCCAACACACCAGGATGGCGGCCTGGTCAGATCGAAATGCGCTATCGGCAATACTCACTACACGATCCACTCCCGTACCAGCTTCGGTATCTCAAGCTTGAAACGGACTGGACATACGACGACTTCAAAGCTGCCGGGTTCCCGAGTGGTGTTTTTCCGGAAGAACTTCTGCTGCTGGACGCACCCAGGTTGGGCGACGTCGACGTTGCAGGTGCCGATATCTTTCTGGCACAGGCCAACTTCCTCTCTGGCGGAGTTCTGTTGGCATTGACGGTGTCGCACTCCACGATGGATGCAGGCGCCATGATTGGGCTGATGAAGCTCTGGGCGGAGAACTTTCGCGAACTGCGAGGTCGCGATGAGGGAGGCCGCGTCGCTCCGACACCGTACACGTCTATTGACCGTGACCATAACCAGCCGGATCGGATCTGGGAGAAGGAAACTGCTCAGCGGATACTGAAGAACAGCCCCGATGACCCGTGGTTACGTGCCTTGGTCTGTCTGGACTTGGGCCAAGACAACGATGGCCCTACGGGTTGTGAGGAGGGCCAGAAAGCAGCCATTGAAGAAGAGACGCAGACCAACGAGCGCGTGATGTTGAACAGGGTCGTGTTCCTCTCCGGGCCAGATCTTGCGGCTCTGCAGAAAGAGTGCGCTGCAGAGTCCGTGCTCCCCGGCACGCCTCCGCTCTCAATTAGCGATGCAATCCAAGCGCTGCTGTGGCGGGTTCTGATGAAAGCCCGGGTATCAGCCGCGGAAGCCCGATCGAAGCCTCTCCGTGACGATATCTCTGTGTTTGAAACCCCGGTCGATGTGCGCAGCACGTTCGGACAGGGGTTCCCGCCTGCATACCTTGGCAATTGCTTTCTCATGAACACGGCGCGAATGCCGCTAAGCGAGCTTCTGGATCCCTCGACTTCACTCGGTCGCATTGCGCAGGCTATTCGTCAGGGTGCCGCCCGGTTGGATGGTGACGCTGTACAGGATGCATATGGCCTGTTGCGGGCGACAGGAGACCTTTCGCGGGTACAGGGACGGTTCGTGGAGAGGCCGGACTCGTCTGACGTGTTGGTTTCCAATATTATCTTTCTGCCTTTGGAGGAGATTAATTTCGGGGATCAATATTTCAGCAATGGGGGTACACCGCAGGCACTCCGGGTTCTGCATGGACAATACGCTGCGCGAGTTCGACTGGCTCACGTTCTTCCTCGCAATAAGAAACACGGCGGTATTGAAGTGAGCGTGAACCTGTTCGAGGACGAGTTTGAGTATCTCGACAGGGATGGGCAGTTCAATCGGTACCTTGTGTCGATAGAACCCTGCAGGCTGGCTAGGGCGGATTGCGTTTAACATCGATCTCACTGTCGAAGTTTTCGGTCTTGCAGGGAATATAATTCCGATTCTCCACAACACCCACTCATGAGTTCTACTTGTTTGCAATGTCTTCTCATACGATCCACCGGCGGTCCGCCGGCGATCCGCCGGAAGGGCTGACGTGGCGTACTAAATTAAATATACATAGTTCCAAAGTACGCTTCGAAGATGCAGTAGAGACACGCGCAAATATCCGACGTAGCAATTAGTTCTTGTTCCGATCGGCAAATTCGAGATTTCAACAGAGATTGTACAATTGTCATTTCTCTTTCGGAAGTTATTTGACCCCCGATCATCGGGCCGCGAACCCTGCGGCTCTACCTTACCGCCACTGCATATCACTTCTTCCCAACATTCTTTTCTTTCTTGATCAAAATTTTAAGAGGATGTATGGATCTTCCGCATGCTGCTACAAGCGAATATATGCTCCCTGAGCCGTAATGTACTGCGTAGGTGCGATTGGGGAAGTCTACGCAAATTTTACAAAGAATAAGCGTCTCAACACTTGTGGGGGCACGAGCAATCACATGTATGAGTTTCATGCCAGTCTTGGCAGCAGCGTGAAGCGTTCCCACGAATTCCCTCATAATTTCGAACCTTTTAGCCTCACAAGGTCCATCACGATGAACCCGAAATACCTGCAACATCTGTTGGCAATCCATCGAAAATTTACAAGGCAAGATAAATATTCAGGTTAAATTTGAATATATCTACTTAGGTATTGGTTGCACCTATCTCTTTGAATGCGTTACATTTACCTCTGCCTGAGTCAAGACCCACCTCGCTACTGCCTACGCGAGGTCCAATTCTGGCTAGCATGCCTAGAGATAGGGGTTCATACAGGGGACTAATGTACAAAGACTTCTACCGTTACATTTTTCATTTTGTGTGACCGGTCAATTGAATGGTGAAATCTCGACTAGGCCTCCAACCCCCACTGCTTATCTGGACAGTACATATCGTGCTAATTTTGTTGCATAATTGACTCAATCATAGACCAGGGATGGTGCAAACAGACATACAATAATATTCCACAAAACCTAGTCAGGGAATGAAAATCAAGCCGGTCGTCTCTCAAAAATGTATATAAAATGGCACAATCCCCCAGAAGATCACCGCGGGACCGGACGGGCCGAGAACTATAAACGCCTCACAAGACAATTCATGCAGGTAATACAATCCTAAATACGGACAGGTGGCGGGAGGATTTGGCCCGACTCGAGAGCTCGTATCGGTGTCCACAAATAAGGGTGAGATTGGGCAATCCAGACCAATGCCGACCATACCTATATATCCAAGGGGCTTCCACCCAAAGGCAAGGAGATGGTAGTTCTACAACTCGTCATGAATCCTTCAGATCTTGCAATTACTACACTTACGCCGCACTCTGTCCAAAAGCCGCTGAAGAAGGGCAATTGGCTGCCCGCAGAGGATGAGCAGCTCCGGGAGGGGGTGGCCAAATATGGCACGCGCTGGGTCCTCGTTGCAGGAGAAGTCGGTACTCGTAACGGAGACCAATGTGCAAAGCGATGGAAGGACAAGCTCAGCCCGGATATAGACCACAGTCCATGGACGCGAGAAGAGGTACACTAACACGCTTGATGGTAAAATCGAAAATGCCCGAGACGCTGATCACCATGTAGGAGAACCAACTGCTGGAACTGGTTGACCGGTACGGTCGCAATTGGAAATTCATGGCCGACATTTATCTGGAAGCACGCGCGCCATTGGCGCTGAAAAACCGGCACGCGTTGCTGATGCGGCGGCTCAAACGACAAGGATCGGGGTCCACCGAGTCCAACGGCAACCCCGAGATCCCCGCTGCCCTGGTCTTTCCATTACACGACACGGCCCCCCAAACCATCAACGACATAGTTGAATCTGCCAATGCCTTGATGGATGGAAGTGCCAGCGACTTGGTCATCAGCACGTCGCCCCGGATCTCGGCGCATTCGACGATTTCTTTCCGAAACGGGCTGGGTTCCTCGGTGGAAACAATTACGGCCGATTTCCCACAGGAAGAGAATCTGGGGCCTGCGCAGGCAACGTGCAAAGGCACGGCTATTGCTTGGGACGGCGAGAATGTCGATTGGCAGCAGCTGATTTTGGACAGCATGATGGATGTAGATGGAGTGTCCGATCCAACCATGACCAATCCCTGGGAGGTAACTGATACCTCCAAAATGGCTGTCGTCGCAAGCGATGCTCCACGTCCCTCGTCTTGGAGTGACTCGAGCGATAGCAGCAACAGCACTGCATTAAGGAGTCAAACAGGCTCAAGGTCCTCTGACAGCAGGAGCAGCATCACTGGCTCCAAGGTCAAATTCTCCGTCACATGCCAGCGAGGCAAACTGAAATCAGTTGTCAAGCACATGGTGGACGCAGCCATGGCTGAAAGTGCAGACTTGGCGACAGAACAAGACCAGGTTACGTTGACCTTGCAGTTGAAAGGTTGAGACGGCCTAAGTGTGTTGTTATGACCTTTATGTCAACAAATTTTAGAAGTTCACTACGAAATCACCTCCTACACCAACATCAGGACTGGGGGATAACTAACAGCGCTGGGCGGGTGCAGAATAGAGGTGGTATGGGGCGGTCAAGCGGCGGCTTGCTGTGCAAAGCGGTCATTTTCGGTGTCAATTTTACAGGTCCTCGGATTCTGGGTGTTAACTACGTGACATTCTCCTCAATCAACTATATCCGTGCTAGTTGAATATGCTTAGTCTGAATGATTCCCTGCTGTTCTCTTGGGCATGGACAATAGTACAGTCACTAACAAAATCTGGTTCCTCCCTAACGACCGCTTTTCTTTTCACGGGACCCACTGCCAAGGCCTCAGCGCAGATCTTTTATTCAACGCCCCATACTAAGTTGCGGGCCGTTAGACAATGCACCGTGACGCTTCGGGCTTGGTTCGAAGCACCCCGCATAGCCGCATATATTTAAAGCGAGCTTTATCGGGTTAAAGAATACTACTACTACAATGCACCGTGTATGGTACTGTGGCTCCCACCGTAATATTGCATTCAGTGGTTTGAAAGCTGGGCGGTAAACGTTGATGGCCACGGTACTAGGTAAGAGACTTATCGCGCCCTGGTGCAAATTTTCCATTCATTCAGAGCAACCGAGCCTCAGATGTGCAAGTGTTTGGCAGAAGTTGGGAATTTCAGGTGCTAGGTCACTTTGGTCTAGATACCTTGCCGAGTAAGCAAACCCGGTAGGAGATATTACTTATGATGTTATTGATTACCGCACTCGCTTTACTGCTAAGAACAAGGGTCTGGAAGCGAAGTAACTATAAGAATATGGTGTGATTGAAAATAGGGGTTGGAGGATATTCAAAGACGACAATATGATGAAACAGAGCTCCTGAATGTAAAGATTTGTTTAAACATCGTCTGAGTAATAACCGATGATGATGAGTGGCTGTATATGCCCGAGATGGACCCAATTCAGTCAGTATGACCACCAAGTATTGGTTTGAAACATGCTTGTCCTAGTGATACCAGTGTGGAAATCTACCAATACAAGTACAAGTGGCTGTGCGAGGCATCTGTGGCTGTGTAAGAAATTGGGCGCGACATGATAAACCAATACCATATTTTCAGTACAGTGTCAATTACAATACTACAGCCTTTGTTCCCCATCTGCTTAGCTCTCTTTCTGTTGCAGGATCTCCTCTACAAGTGGTTAAAAATCTTCCATATCTGCCACTTTCATTCAATGCTTGATGGCGGAGCTAAGTCTGGTAAAAAATTGTTATCAGCATTGGATGGATGTTTCCATGCAGTTTCCTTTTTTTATCATCCAGAAAGCTTGCTGTGGGTTAGTTGAACTAGAGGATTGTGAATAACAATCTAGAACAGATTATAATATCCCAAGGCATTGAGAAAGTGATTTATTTTACTGCACATACGTTCGAATCGACTATAACGAGCTCAGAAGCACGGAGGTTAAAGCCAATCATCTACATAACCCCCCTCACTTTAAAGACTACTATTTATGAGCAAGGGCATTACTCTTTAACAAATTGCGACCAAATTGAATGTGATCGAGAACGCATCGAACACTAGCTAAATTTCTCAGAACGATTTTCCTAAGAAACAATTGATAGTCCCATAAAACCAAGCATCCACTCATTCAAGTCCGCTTCCCGTATTTTCACCTCATAATCAAGCAAGAAGAGTACCAATGGGAAATCCTCCGTCAGCAAGTCGCAATTCGCTGGCATCGATCGTTCAGCACGCCTTTTACAAACGAGTCACGCAAGAATGGCTTATCAAAAAGTACATCGCAGAAAAGAGACTCTTTTTAGAAAGGCTTTCGAATACTCCCCGCAATGTGACGCTGATATTCAGCTTACTGTACGGATAAAGAAGACCGGCTAGGTCTTTACTTTGACTTCGAACACGGAAGTGTGGCCGCTCTCTACAGATCAGCTGGTATGTTATCCTCGTAGACGCCTTTCAATGCCTACGTATTGGCCACTAGCCAAGCAAGGTCTTAAACCACCCAGTACCGATTCACAAAACGACAGATGAACTTGTCAGGAAATAAGAAACAGGGTATTTTCTTTAACAAAACCGATATCTTCAGTTCAGATGATAGTGACGGGCAAAGCATCGCAGAGAACAGCAATATAGATGACTTGGCGTTATAATTTCTGATGTGTGACCTTCAAAGTAGAAAATGCATGCGAAGCTCATCGAAGGAGAATTCAGACCTTGGCAGTATATGGAAGATCGTGCGTGAAATTTCTCTTGGCCTTCCGTAGTAGCTCGGTAGTAGCTAGGCGAAAACTATGGTGAATCAGAATCCAAAATTCCTTAGTGAACTTGCGGGGTTATCTACATAGCATAAGGAATGTCAGGGTCCTTAAGTGAATTGCATCAGGACAACGCGTGGTGCTTTAAATAGTGAAACCGGGTAAGCATGCACGAGCCTTTAAGGATTCCTAGGAGGTCAATGGCTTCCAGGACCGCTATCAGATCTCCAAGGAGAATATTATTAAGGTTCCAGGAATACAGGGTGCCTTCCTAGGAGCGATCAGTCTCCCAGGGGCTGGCAGGCCTTTTGCTGGGAATGTGCCAACTCCTAAACATTTCCGCCGGAACCTCTCAGGTCTTGCCGTAGACGAAATACCCCTGCTATGCATGCTTCACCCTCAGATCTACTCAATATGGTGCTTTTCTCTTGGTTCATTTCACAAGATATTGAAAAAGTTCGCCGCAGATTGTCTGGTATTCAAAGGGAATACAGTCCAGTCTAATCTATTCCAGATTTATAATCATTGACCTACCTTCCAGATTTATCCATGAACACAAACCCTACCGTATGTAACCAATAAAGATCAACGTTTCCCTATGAATGCGACGATTATTGGAGAGAAAATTACTGAAGCTCCCAAGTGCCCACGGGCCTTTCTCAGATTTGTACATCAACTAGGGTCAGAAGTTGTATCAAAGCAAATGTCTAATCAACTTCAAAAATGCGACACCTCCCGATCCATAACAGATGCAGCGTCGGCCGCATTCACAGGAAAATCTTTGCCACTTATACCAAAACTCCATGTGTTGGGCTTATCACCGGGAGATTCAGTGAATAGATTTTACAGTCTATCGAGGCTTCGAAGTCGGGGATCGATGGAATCCAGCCTTGATACATCCAAATCGCTAGAATGCTTCACAGCACGTGAGGGGTACCTTCTATGGTGCTCGCCGTTGCTCCTCGTATTTTTGAATTAGTAAGAGCGACTCAGTCTCTGGCTTCTTCGGGCGTTCGAGGTGCAGTCTTCATGTCGACCAGAGGGGCTTGGGTGGTTTTCTTTACTTGAGGGGCTCTCAGACTGCTTTGAGGGCAACCCGAAATTACGTTATTTTACTACGCTCAAAGTTCTTCCAAGCTTATAATGGATATTTCATGACCAGACTAGGTACCTAGGTATATCCCATGGGATGTTAGCGTAGGTGTATGTGAACCTAAGAACAAAATTCAAACTTATCTTTCCTCTACCTAAGTACAAAGAAGAAAATTAGAGATGGACATGCATTGTTTATCCTGATCATGCTCGGTTCAGATATAGAAAAGTAATAGAATGCAAATATCAGTCCAAATGTACAACAAAAGTGAAGTTGAAACCACCATAAATCATGAAAGAAATCAGAAAATAAATACCGAAGAAACTAGTAGCCGGACGCTCCCATAAGAAAAAAAAAACGCCGGCTTCAAAATATAAAGATAATAAACAGATACATCCAATATATCACAAGGAAAAGAAAGTTGAAATTAGTTCAAGCCTCATTATATGAAACAGCCGAGATCATGCCGTAAACAATATGCGAAATTATCCTATCGGTGATGACGTCTATCGGAGTTACTGGGAGGTGGATGGTTCTCAAACAGATCTTCCAGGTAGGCACTCGGTGCTCGGCCCTGTTGCGTCTGGTTCAGATTCAGCGAGCTGGTGGAACCACCAACATATGAGCTGCGCTGGTTATGCGGGGGGTCGTAGGCGCCGACGTTTGGCAGTGAAGGCGAGCTGAGATCAACGTGCGAGCCTGACGCATTTCTGACGGGGGTGGAACTACCGGCGGCGACGTAGTACCCAGAAGGGAGATAAGTCGAGCCGCGGTTTCCAGTCGCATTGAGACTATTGTGAGATCCAGCGCCGCCGGCAGTGGGCGAAAAGAATAGACCGCTGTTCGAGCTGGGGACCCGACGATTCGGCTTGACGCCTGCGCGTGTGCCGAGTTTCTCCAATGAGACGTCTCCGGCTGGCGCGGCGGTGTATACGGTCGTTCCACGCTTCTTGCGACTTCCGCGCATGAGGCGCTTGTTCTCAGAGGAGTGGGCGAGAGCTGCGCGACGCACTGAGCGGTTCACGGACCATGCGACCATTCCCCGCCAGGCGAGAACGGCAAGGCCGATGAAGCCTAGAATGGCACCGACGGCGATGAAGACTGTGCCCTCTGGCGTGTTTGAGGTCTGCATGTACGGCGCATTTGCGGTGGGTGGAATGGTAACGACGGCGCCGCCTGTTGATGTGGAGGATGAGGATGAGGATGTTGATGTCGTTGTTGTGGAAACGGAGGATGTGGTGGTGTCAGAGGAGGTAGAGGTAGACGTGTCTGACGTGGTAGTGGTAGACATGGTGGTCGTGGATGTCGTAGATGTCGACGTTGAGGACGTCGTTGAGGACGTCGTGGTGGAGGTGGTTTTGTCCGATGTGGTCGTCGAAGTGCTCTCGGTGGAAGTGGTGCTCTCGGTCACGCTAGGGGTGCTGTCAGTTGTTGAGGGATCGGCGGTGGTCTGGGCGTCGGTGGTGGTATCTGCTGCAGGCACCGCAGAAACTTGAACAGCGATTGCGAGGACGAGCAGGAACAGAATGAAGAAGGAAGGTTGGGCTCTCTGCCCGCTCGGTAGGACTCGCATGGTGCACAGGCCGTAAACAATCGTTTCAATTTGTTCTCCACAGCGGGTCGCTCGGGGTAAGCGCAGATCAGAGTCGAGATGAAAGAAGCCAAATCAAAAGTCCCAGATACCCCTGCAGCCTGATATTGGCCGATTTGGCCAAAAAAATGGTTGATAAGGCGCCTTAGCTGACGGATTGGCTAGAATTTTGCTCCTGACAGGTCAAAAGAGCCCCCCGTTCACAGGTCTCGTAACTCTGTAGATGCAGGTGGAACCACCGAGATGACAACGTGCAAACGAATGACTGTCTTTCTACAGAAGACAACGAGGAACTGAGAATCGAGAGAGGCAAAAGAGAGATGTTTCAGTCTAAGCGAGAAAGCGAAGCCAAAAGACGCCAAGTGACTACGCTAAAAGTGGCGCCTTTGGCCGAGGGAAAACCCGTCACATGATGCACTCGATGGAAATAGCAAGTTGTGATGTATCATACAAAAAATACGAAATAACAATGCCCCTGATCCCAAACGGTAAGAAAACTCAATTGTGCCATGCATCGAGCAAGGGCAAAGCATGTGGCAAGCCACTAGCACGCAATTACTGCTGTTTCTTAATAGCAGCAGAGGTGTCCCTCTCAAAAGCAGCATAGGGGATCTGGAGACCGCTCAGAGCGCTAATTCCAATATACAAAATCACAATGCAGATGAAAGAGGCCAGGAAGCCCATGAAGATACCTGGGGGAAGTTAGAACCAGGGAACCAGTAATGATTGGAGGATTGGAGGGGAACACACCAGGAGTGAAGAACTGGTACTCATCGAACAAAGACTCCCGTCGGTCAGACTCTGAGTTGGCGGACGGGTTGGAGGAGTAGTCGCGCTTGAGTTCCATGTGGATCGACTCGGGGTACGAACCCTCGTTGGATTCGTAGACAACGGAATCGGTCTCGGGGAACTCACGAGGCGAGGTCGCATAGAGGAGAGTATATGTGGAGTCAGAGGGAATGCGCTCAAGAATATCAGCGAGAAGGCCATCTGGGAAACGTTAGACGGCAATCACTCGACCTGGTGTTGCTTGACGTACCATTTTCGGACAGCCGATCGGCACGGTCCGCGCTCAAGGAGAGCATGGGGAATTCGATATCGAGAATGTGAGGACCCGATCCAAAAGAGGTGGGATATTCTCCCGCTTCGCGAAAAGGTCAGCTGGAGCTCCCAGTAATCGCCAATCCCAGAATGGGCAACTATGGTAACTTACAGGATCCGTCAATGGCAGTAGTCTGGGCCTTGCACTTCTCGGTGAGGATAGTCTTAATCTCGGTGGTATCGAACAAGCCAGTGACCTCATTCACGCTCATCTTGGAGCGGATCGACTTGTCCTTGCCGAGCATCTTCGCGCCCAGGCGGGGTGCCGACTTGCGGGTCGAGAAGTCGGAGCTGTGCACACCGGGTTGGTTGACAACCACATAGTAGTCAGACGGGCAGGTGCTCAGAGAGGAGGAGATGTCCTTGAGTAGCGAGGCGCCAGTCTTAATGTACGCGGAGTTCGTCAGGACCCTAGGGGAGGCATGTTAGCTGGCCGTAGCTTGAGAGAGGAGTTGTCGCACGTACTCAGAAGTCGAGGCGAGGAAGAAAGGGGAAGTATCCCGGAAGGCATCGACTGCAGCCGCCCCAAGGGCAACCAGCCCGAACCTGCTGAGATGCATGGTGTTTGTGGTGGAGGTGGAGGTTGATGATGATGTTGCCAACGGGAAGTCGGACTTGGCCTCGGAGGCGGTCGACGGGCCCGGCCCGCTCTGAGCTCTACATTCAACTTTTTTTCGGCGCCTCGTCCGAACCATTTACAACCCACAAGACGCTGTGCGGCTGTCCTTTATTTTCTGAAAAAGAGACTGTCAATCATTTTCATCATGGGTCCCATGTATAAGAAGCGGAAGGTGGTCACTACGAAAGTCGAGGAGGTCAATTTCGACGACGACGCCCGCCAGGAATGGCTCACTGGCTTTCGCAAGAGAAAGCTGCAGCGCATCAAGCAGGCACAGGAGATAGCCGAGCAGAAGTCCAAAGAGGAGAAGAGAAGTGATCGCAAGAAGGTATGCTTTGGTTCTAAGTTGCGCTGCACTTAACAATGGCTGACTTATCTATTCCAGATGCGCGAAGAGCGACAGGCCGAGTTCAACCGAGCGATTGAAGAGCACAAATTACAACTAAAGCGCCTCCGGGAGGAAGACAAGAGTGAAAACGACTCCGAGTCCGAGGAGGAAGAAGGCGAGGAAGGTTGGGAAGGCATCGAAGAACCTCCCGCGGTGGACTACGAGGCCGAATACATCGACGAGGACAAATACACAACCGTGACGGTCGAAGAAATGGATGCGTCCCGAGAAGGCCTGCGAAAGTCTGTGCGAGAAGACGATTCAGAAGAGGAAAAGGAGAAGGAACCTGTCGTTGAGACAACCGAAACCGAGAAGAAGCCCAAGAAGTCCTGGAGATCGAATTCGGACAAGCCTAAAACGAAGAAGAAGAAGTTCCGCTATGAGAGCAAGGGAGAGCGCAAGCTCACTCAAGCCAAGCAGCGCTTAAGCAAGTCCAAGAAGGCCACGGCTCGGAGGGAAAAATGATGGTGGGGGTTGTTCTGTGATTTCCAAGGAATTTCTTATATACCACGAAGCAATTACTATGCACATTCTTTGAAATTTCGCTTTTTATAAGGATATGGATATCACGAGGACAAAGGCCAGAAAAAGGGCAATAAATTTGCCGAGCAAGGCACTAAAGTCAACATGTAAGGATACGCTATAGAGACACGGTCTCTAGCATGGTAGAGGACAAAAGGAACCCGACCGGTCATAGTATGAAAAAGCAGACGGTTCGACCTGGGAAGTGAACCTGCATCCAACCCAACGTCTCCTGACACCCTACACCGATACCCCGACGTGGCCCAACTTAAACGTTGCTGATGGAGAGCTCGAGTTCTTGCAGATCCTTCTGCAAGTCGTTGTGCTTCTTGGCCATCTCCTCGTACTTGGCCTCCCACTGATCGCGCTCTGTCTCCAGTGCCTGCACCTTGCGCTCGTAATGACCGGCCTTGATGTCGGTTTGGCGGAGCCTGCGGTCACCGGTTTGTTAGTGATGAAACGATACAAGTATTGCTGCTGACCGTACTTCTCGTTTGTCTCCCGGAGAGTCTTGTCGTTCTCCTCGGCCTCCTCCTCGAGGAGCTGCACCCGCCGCTGGAGGGCCTCGTTCTGGGTGTCGTGCTGAGCACTCTGGTTGGCGGCGTCCTTGGCGTCCTTGACGGAGGACTCGAGCTTCTCCACCTCCTCCTCGAGCAGCTGGTTGCGGTGGTTGAGCGATGTAATCTCCTGCTCCTTAGACAGGTTCTCCTGCTCCATAGTCTTGACCTTAGTCTTCAACTCCTCGACCTGGTCGTGGGCCTCGTCGGCCTCCACGCGGAGGGCGTTCATGCGCTGGAGAAAGGTATGGTTAGCTTATGGACCATCATGCAGGATGAAATTTGGTGATGCAGGGCCAGTATGCAGAGGAGGGGATCCTAGGCAGACAGCTCAAGCTACCCCGCCAGGGGTTTAGGGGACTCACCTCCTTGATCTTGTCCATGTTGGATGAAAGTGAAAGAGTAGTAAAGTGGTAATATGTATGAGTGAAAGGAAGAAAAGGCTTTCGCTCAGCGGAGGCCGGGTATGAAGTTTGGAGGTGATGGGGAGAAGGGGGAAAGTTGATGAGTGACTGGAATAATTGTGTGTCCCGTACACAAAGCAGCCCCTCCGCACATCCATCCAATCACTGACTTCCGATCGCCGCGTCTCCACGGGCAACCATCCGAACAACACTCTAGAACTCCATTTTGTGCCCTCTACACGTCTTCAATTTCACCGTCTTTTCGACCCATCCGTTTCGTTACATGCGATAAGTGTTTTTACCTCTACCCGCCGCCATGCTGGCTCGTCGCGACCAGGAAAACCTGGTGAATGCCCATCAGACCACCGCTGCAGCCAAACCCTTGAATCAAGGACTCAAGCAGCTCGCACCCAAGACTCCAGGCAAGAAAGTGCCGTTGAACGACGAAAACCACCCCGGCGCGTTTAAGAAACTCACAGTTAAGGGAAATGGAAATCGTCAGGATAATGGGAAGCCAGGCAACAACGCATTTGTTACTCCTATGGGTACGTGAGCTTGACGCGTTTTCGAGATGCGGAGGCTTTGGACCCGGTCTTGCTGACTTGTTGCTGCGGTAGAACCCCGAAACCGAGCTCCACTGGGCATGAAGGACACCAATACTAAAGCCAGAGCTCCCCAGACACCCGCACCATTTGGTGGAACCTTGAAGCCAAAGACCAACCGGAAGACTGCGAGCGCCCAGAGACTCAAAAAGGCCGCCCCCGTTACCCAGCAGGCCCAGACTAAGGTCTATACTGAATCAGTGCAAGATGATGTGCCCGATATCGAATACATGCCCCCGAAGCCGATAGGTAAGGTTCTCAATATGGTGTAAATGAAGGCCGAGCTGCTTTGCTCACAATCTACAGCCCTCCCAGATCTCCCAGACGATGTTACTTACGATACAACCTTCCCCCAGTTTCAACCAAGAAACCGAGCCCTGGGCCTGGAGAGTGTTTATGGGGAGCAGGAGGTCGGCCAGGATGGCCTTACAAAGAAGCAGCGCAAATTCCAGGAGGACTCTATCAAGGCCGATAAGCTGGCCAACGAGACGATGATGAAGCAACTAGAGAGCATTGGATTTAACGACCCCAGTGAGGATGAGGCAGCTCCCGCGCCTAAGCCACAGCCGCGAAGCCTTCGCTCCAGGACGCCTTCTTCAAGCTCCCGACCTACTCGAAGCATCTCTACACTTCGATCCCGTGAGGCTGCGGCTGCCCTTGCAGCTCCCAGGCCGAGCTCCGCCTCGACCAGACCTGCTACTGTCCCCAAGTCTCGCATTGCGTCGGCTTCGTCTATCCTTATGCCCAAGAAGACTCGAGTTCCATCCAACCCGTCATCCATGCGCGCCACTGCTGCCGCTGCTACCTCTAACACCACCATGGGTTACTCAAAGGGTCGAAGCGTGTCATCCACCCTGCGTGAGAAGACTGCCGAGCAACCTTCCAGTATCTCCGCCACACTCTCTCCCGAGACCTACATGCAGCTATACGGACCTCCCCCTCTGGAATCAGACATGTGGTCCCGTTGCAAGGCTGCTGGCTGCTTTGACACTCCAGATGAGATTGCTACCTCCCAGGAGGTCGGAGAGCCGCTGCCAACGTTCGAGGAGGATGACGAGGCAGAGAGCTTCCAGCTCACTCTGTAGCTGAATCAACACGTTCAGCATCGAAGATTATTATGCAATTACCACTCATTGTTTTCTATGTGTTTATGTATTCTCGGGATTGGGGACCGGCTCATAATGGGGATCGGCAGGACAAGGATTATGGCGTATCATATGGGAATGGGAATGTATTCAGGGTCAACCGCGGATCGTTCAGTTTCAGGAACCCCACTCAATTGAAGATCGTTCCTAGCCCAGCCAGGCGAGGGCACACGAAGAGAGGTGGCCCAAGGCAGAAAGTAGAAACCGTTAATTAAGGTCCGCTGGTTACGTATGTGGATTCAGCCAACGTGGTCTTTCACACACAAGTCTAGACTTGATTGTCCTCGGCTGCCTACGCACGACGCACGGGACACTGCACCCACCGTGTTTCTTGCGTACCAAGGTACACCGCCCCGGAACTGCCACCACATTATTTACGTCCCTTGAACTCTCCTTTTCCCTCTCTCACCCCTCTCAATTGACTTCCATCGAGATGACGACCCCCCACCCGGAGTCCACCGCGGACTTCGAGTTCATCGCAACCCCGGCTGCCCCTGTGCAGACCAAGCCCGACTTCGATTGCGGTGTGCCGACCACTCTGGTGAGCAGCTATCACAAGCTCCCGGAGCTACAAGTACCTTAGGTTTCCAGAGTTCTAATAGTCTTTTCTTGACAGTACCCGGCCATTAAGAATGCCCCCGTCCCTGCGGACTCCCCGGGCAGCGACAGCTTCTCCAATGGCTTGATGATCGCCCTCCTGATCGTGGTGCCCTGGTACCTGGCCCGCCAGGTTGGCGGTGGCTTCTACACCACCATCTTCTTTGCCATCTTCACCACTGTCCCCGTTCTCGTGGCTTTCTGGTCTATCTCCTCCACCGTCTCTCCCCGCAAGACCGAGAAGGCCAAGTACCGCGGCCTCCCTGTTGAGCACTACCTGCACTTCCACAAGGAGCACGACCGTGCCACCTATCGCGGCAAGAGCAAGATCCCCATGGAGGTCTTCTACGAGAAGTACTTCAATGGCGAGGTTGACTTCAAGGGTGATGCTCTTGAGGCTCTCGAGTACCGTCACGACTGGGCCAACTTCAAGTTCACCATGGGTCTTTTCAAGCACTTCCTGTTCGGCTTCATCCCTGAGATGCTGATGCACACCCGTTCCCAGGGTAAGCCCTTTTTGAAACCCATCATTGTACGTACTCAATTCTGACATTCGTTTTCTAGACGAGGAGCAGGTCCGTGACCACTACGACAGAGGTGATGACTTCTACGCCTGGTTCCTTGGCCCTCGCATGATCTACACCTCCGGCATTATCAGTGACATCAACTCTGAGGAGACCCTCGAGCAGCTCCAGGACAACAAGTTGGCCGTCGTCTGTGAGAAGATCGGTGCCAAGCCCGGTGACAAGATTCTCGATCTCGGCTGCGGCTGGGGAACTCTCGCCAAGTACGCCTCCGTTCACTACGGTGCCCATGTTACCGGTATCACCCTCGGCCGCAACCAGACTGCCTGGGGTAACAACGGTCTTCGCAAGGCTGGCATTGAGGAGGACCAGTCCCGCATTATCTGCTCCGACTACCGCGATGCTCCCCGTGTTGAGGGCGGCTACCAAAAGATCACCTGTCTCGAGATGGCCGAGCACGTCGGTGTCCGTCACTTCTCTACTTTCCTGTCCCAGGTTTATGACATGCTCGAGGACGATGGTACCTTCTTCCTGCAGATCGCTGGTCTGCGCAAGTCCTGGCAGTACGAGGACCTCATCTGGGGTTTGTTCATGAACAAGTACATCTTCCCCGGTGCTGATGCCTCCACCCCTCTTGGCTTCGTCGTCGACAAGCTTGAGGGCGCCGGCTTCGAGATCAAGGCTGTTGACACTATCGGTGTTCACTACTCCGCTACTCTCTGGCGCTGGTACCGGAACTGGATGGGCAACAAGGACAAGGTCGAGGCCAAGTACGGCAAGCGCTGGTTCCGCATCTGGGAGTACTTCCTGGCTGCCTCTACCATCACTTCTCGCCAGGGTGGTGCCACCTGCTGGCAGCTCACTCTTGTCAAGAACATCAACTCGACCCACCGTATCGAGGGCATCGCGACTCAGCACGGCCTCGCTGCTGCCCGCGAGGCCGCTATTGCCCGTGCCAACGGCGCTCTTCCCAGTGCCCACGTCATCAAGAAGGACCTCTAAATGTATCATCTGGCGTCTCTTCTTTTCTCTCAAGATGCAGCATGATCTTTACGGGCCATGTTGATTCTTTGAAGAACAGAAAACCATCAGAAACGACGTGGAGCTGCGGAAATAAATTTACCACGACACGCACGCTACGAGTATGACATGACATAGATCTGCGCGAAATCAAAAGCGACCCATGGGGATGTGGATGTGAAGGTGAATGTGGAGTAGGAGGTCTTGGGTGAGAGGATCTGGGCTGGCCTATGATTCGGATGCTGGGTTCAGTGTTCAAGTTCGGGCCCGCTAATTTGTTCTCCATCTGGTGATGGAACGGATAATTTCAGATAATGAGATGAGGCTTTGCCTCTGATTTCATTCACTTAAATCGAATGTACTCTTATAAGCCGAAGTGAATCCCCGTAACTATTTTAGTAAACAGTGACAGCCCATTGATCATGATATCATACATTGAGAGGCTTCCTCCCGTAAACAACAACCCTATACGTCGTTAGCCTCCCCAGCCCACACCCACCAAGTATAAACAAGAAAAGAAAAACTCACTCCTTAACATAAGCATGCAACTCCCGAACCATCAGCTGCTTCTTAACCAAAGCCTGAAAAATCCTACTCGGTTCAGCCCCCCACCCAAGAACCTGCGTCAACAACCTCAACCCATAAGCCTCAACCGCCTGATTAACCTGCGCCGCCTGGAACTTCCCAATCTCCTTCAGATACGGATCCCTTGGCCAAGGCGAATAAGGCAACAGATAAGTATACTGCTGCACATCCTCAAACCCCGTCTCCACCAACCAATCACGCAACTTATAATAAATATTCAACTCCCTGCCTATTGCATGTCCCGCTGCGTCCAGAGCCTGCACATACTGAAACAGCGGTGAGTCGGCTTTCAGCGAGCCGTCGTCGCTCCAGGCCCAAACGGCGGATTCTTGGATTTCAAAGTATCCGCCTGGTCGGATGTGGGTGTATATTGTTTTGAGAAAGGCGGGCCAGTCGGCTATGCTACCTGCTAGGAGGCGGGCATGGATGAAGTCGAAGTGGTTGGGTTTGTAGAGCCAGGCGTCTTCTATATTTTCGACTATGAATTCCACGTTGGGAAGGGTCCAGCTTGGTTGGATTGGACTTATGTCGTTGCCGATGACGTGGGCTTGGGGGAATTTTCTGTTGGTGTTTGTTAGTAAATATGGAAATATGGAGTTATAGATGAGGTTCTGGGTCTTAGTGACTGGGCGATATACTCTGCGATGTCAAGGGCCCATATTCCTGTTCCAGTTCCGAGGTCTAGAATGTTTTGGGGGTTTACTATTGGAGCTTTGTGGAGTTCGCCTTTCATTAACATGAGCCATCTGGTGGGTTCAGTTAGCGATTAAGATCCATGATATGATCGATTTGGAGCTAACATATGGTGGGCCTTCATTGTTGTCTGAATTAGCATGGATGAGCATGAAATGGAGGGATTCTAGGAGTAGTAGCCTACCAAGTCCATTCGATCTTGTTCTTCTTCATCATTTGGCATCCTATCCTGATTAGTTATCATTCTCCATTAGCCTGAACGAAGACATAGATACATGTAATTGCCCTAGAAATAAACTTAGCGGCATTCTCGAGAAATCAAGCCTTGACTGAATCTTACTGCGCGGTTACTGTGATATCGCCGGCCGTTTTCATATTCATATTCAAGAACACTTGAAGATAACGATTTAATGTCGGCAAAATCCATGTCAAATTCGCAGCTTTCGTCCTATTAATAGATAAGAAAGTGTGCCTACACACTGAAAGACTACCATACCTCAGAATCAATTTGAATTCTGTGCGGGTTATTTGCCGTGGCCCCCTCTCCCGGCACCTGAAGCTGTTGAGCAGCCGTTAATTCAGATTCCGACGCTGACGCCATGTTTCAATCCTCGGTGTCGAAGACAAAAGAAGCTGTACAAAAGTGCCAAGTTTTTCAATGAAAGAAGAACACGTAATCCGCGGAACAGCGTTGAGAAGTGGTGTCACATGCAGGGCACCTCAACTGCAGAGCTTTTGCAAAAGAAGAGAAGAGAAAAGAAACCGAGGAGCGTGTAGTCGTCCCCGGCTTGAATGTATCACTTATTTGATACCGACAGAACGTTCACCAGGCGCTATAGCCACAAGTAATCAGCAATCAGATCGATGTGATGGAAAGGTCGCGGCCGGTTGCATTAACTGTGCCACCGAGTCGAATGTCGGTGGGTTGAACCGGGAACCTACTCCGCTTGAGGCCTGTGCATGGGGTCAAACTCAGATTCAATCCAAATAAGGGGCTTTTGAAATCAGGGCCTAGTAGTAGCTTTGGAGCTGTATATTGTTGCATTTTAAGAATGGCACCTATATCGGCGTTTTTCAAGATATCTAGAGATCTTGTACTTTCGTTCATCAACCCCAAACGATCAGAATCGTCATCCCTTTTGGGCTTGGGGCTGCGAACGGCCCCACCTTTACGACTAAAGGGGTATCGTTGACCCACACTCTTCCTACTTAAGCGATCGCTAAATCGTCTGAAGGGTTGATAGACGCTACTCGTTGCCTTCACCAGCAAGCGAGAACTTTTCTGACTTAGATTCCGTGGAAGATTACAGGGCCTAGCCTACCAGCGTCGCGGGCTACCACGGGCTTGGCCGAAGTGTGAGTCTCCCAAGTGTTCTACGAGGATTATAGTCGTAGGGCTAGGCAAGCCTTAAGGCCCACATAATGTCTCTGCAAGCAATAAGAGACGCTAGCTTAAAACAGGTTCCAGTTGCTTTCTTATGTATTTGTTCTCACAACGACATGACGTCGAGTATCACCAAGGCTCCAAGGTTGAACACAACAATCTATTGGTTCCATGTCTACATGCGATAGGAGCGGCCATTGAGACAATATGGCACAAAAATCCAAGGGTTTCTTGCATAGCAGAATGCTAACACTTATAGACTCATCGGAATTCCTGACCTGTTTGTGAAAGGAACATAGTTTGACTGATAACTTGGTTCCCAAGTCTGCCATTTGAATGATACTGGCAGCAATACCGAAAACCCCAATTCCAGATACGGTACGAGGCTGAGCAGTGGGATCACGTCAAGCATTCAGGGGGTTATGATGATATATCTGTCCACGATGCGCTTTGGTACATTGGCTCTGCGAACCAGCCAGGTGCCCTGACGGGAAACAATGCACCTACCCTCAACGTGCTGTACACGTTGGTGGTAACTAGGACCAAACCCAATCTTTTCAATGTGTTTAGATAGACCTGTTGTGAATAAAAAATGGATATATTATAAATTTAGTGATGGATGAGTGGGGCAGCGTGTCTTGAACATGTACAATATAGACAGCAGTGTTCTGGTCGAGCTCTGATTAATTTACTTCAAATCTGATTCCAAGACTCCCAGAAACTGAAAATCGAAGCCTCGTCCATCAAGGCACTCATCAAATTATTGCCATCCACATTGCCAAATTGCGTGTCATCGAACTGTGCAACCTGATCGGAGTTTTCCGGAGCCATATGGAAGTTTTCTTGTCGGATACCAGTGTCAGAAGCAACGGCGCTGTCGGTGATCGCCTTTGGATATGTTGTGGGGGCCGAGTATCCAGGGAATATCTGTTCTATTGCTTTGACGAAAATGCCACGATAGAGTGAAGCGACAGTGTAGGTTTTCTGAAACTCTTCCATGACAAGCATGCACATCTCAAGCTTGTTTAGCCTGATTCGCTTGGAGAGAGCGTCACCAGTCTTGCATTGCAGTAAATGGGTTTGCATGGCGGGGACAAGAAGGGGAGGCCTTTGAAGGAAACGTTAGGTAAATTTCGTATGAAGAAACTTATGCTTCGGAGATTACCCACGTCATTGGTCCGGCAAAGTAAAGGAGTCCTTCTTGAACAAGCGCCTCCAAGATCTCGTTTGCCCGAGACGCGGCAGCGTCGGCTTTTAGCTTCAGCCGATGTTGCCAATCTTCTTTCTCCACGGGTTGAAGATCGCGAGGAACGTCAGTGCCAAACGGACGATAAAATGTGATTAGTAAGGCCCTGGAGTGGTCAATCAGTAGGATATCAAATATTTCAGAGGGGTGGAAAGATGGAACTAACTGGTAGTGCAAATGAACATGATTCGAGTAGAACCTCGAGGCCTTTGTTAAGCCGGCTTCATATTGATCCGGAAGATCACACTGTAGTAAACGTTCCTCAAGGGCCCCGATCTCATGGACAGAGGGTTTAGGACGAACAGTTCGGTAGTTCATAGCCAGAACGCTTCCCAGCTGGAGACTCAATGAAATCAGCATTACCCAATACTTGGCCAGTCTAGCCATATCACTGGGTATATATGAGCTGACAAAAGGCTCCTGCAAGCCAACGATATCATAAAGTAGGTCATCTGGCGACGGAAATGGGGTATCGCAATCGTCGAGGTTAATTCGAAGAGGCCTACCCATTGTAAGACTGAGCCAGCGATCTCGGAAAACGCAGCTCCACCAAAGACGGCGCCAAAAGGATCTCTGCCGCTCGGTTATGGATGGGTTCCGTTTTGAAAAGTCAGGGTTGCGATGCAGACCAAGGATTTGGCAGAAGCTTATTGCGATGCCTGTCCAGTACCAAGGTTGCCCATGCTCGTCCATCTCTGAGTGAAAGAATCCCAGAAGAAGGGATGTCTGCAGTAATACGATCTTGTTTCTCTCATTACCGTTCCTGTACATGCACTGTTGCAAGTTAGCACCAATGTGTGTAATCTTATGATCTTAAAGATCAAAGAGACAGTGTGTGCGAGCTTTCTACCTTTGCGCGAGAGTAAAAAGCATATTTCATCTCTCTCCTTGATGAATAACCCTCTTCTTCAGGAATGTCGTTCGAAACAAACTTCCATGCAGTGTTAGCGTTGTCAAAGAAGACGGAATCTTGTCTGGGAGAAATACATTCGTCGCCGCGAAGAAAATGCTCCACAAGAGGGAAAGATTGTAGTATTGAAGTTTTCCAGCTTGGTAATGAAGCAGAAGGTCATCTGCCTCGATTACAGGCATGATAGGATGCACATGGAGAAGATATGCCGCAATGAGTCTATCGCAGGTGTCGTTTTTCGGGAGATTGTATACCCCTTTCTTTTGCAAGAACTCTCGGTCATCGTTGGATAGTTCTGTCACGCTCGCTGGGATCAGGAAGTGCTTCGGTAATGATTCATCTGGCGAGCAAATATTGAGTGCTGACGTTGGTCCCGTTTGATCACCTGTTGAAATACTTAGATTATCATGAACATAGATTGACTGGAGACATTCATACCAGTATAAAATGGCACTTCGCCAATTCTTCTTGGTTGACCCAAGGCGGCCTCGGCGATTTCAATGCCGTTCCTTTGCTCATCTTCAATGTTGCTCAGCCCAGGATTCAAAAGGGTGTGTCTTGCACTCGGCGTAGACTGTGCCGAGTGATTTTGAATAGAATTAATCTGTGAAGATTCATTCATAGCCGCAGCGGAAGAATTCTGGCTCATATTTATTGGATTCGAGTGAACGGCGGGAAGACTCCCAGAACGGTGAGTTGTCTGGTTGACTTGTTGAGCACTAGGTCCAGTTTAGCGTTGACGAATAACGTAAGAGCTCTCCATAAGAAAAGCTTACTTCTTGGGTTTTGGATCCACGACACATTGCGCGCCATCTTGGGCACACCCAGCACAAGGTATACCGGTGACAGTCAAGCTGCATCGAACTTTTCGTTGGCGACAGGCCTGGCAGGCAACTGCAGACCTATAACGGCGTGTGCGCGTCGCTTTCTCGGCAGGTGGCATAGCTTGAGCGAATATGCTGGTTCCCTTTACAAATCCGAGGATCTCAGGAGCCTCTGCAGTTCACAGAAGAGATTCCTCGGCAGCAAGCGGGTCTTTTGGCGGCCGGAACAATGTAAATCCGCCGGATCCCGAGGTTTCTGGTGCCGTTGCTGGAATCTGTCCTATAAGCCGACCGAGAAGATCATCTGACTGGGCCGGCACACTGGATTCCCCTGTGTTTTCTTAACATTTTTCTGGGCTCCGCAAAGCTTGGTTTTAAATCTAAACCTCACTCTGAGAACAGCTTGTGGTGGCGAGAGTCTAAAAATAGATAGCCTTTTGGCCCCCTCAATGATCGATTGGCTCGTCGCAATGAGACCTCTATCACTCTATCATTCACGATTATCAACTGGGTCTCTGTTGCTTCACAAAAGGCTTTGACCAAATCTCTGGTGTTATCGAGCCAAGATTAGAGGTGGTGCCGCCCATCCCTTGAAAGACGGCACTCGATTTTACCATGCCACCAATGATCAAATTCTGGCTTAGTACCCTCAAGGAGGGCAAATCAATAGATTCAACAGCTTTCCAGAGTATGATATCGGATATTCTCGAGTTCTGTGCCACCTATACCAAATCCGACTCCGAAGCGCACGCCTTCTACCACGATACGAAAGACCCGACTCGGGTATTGATGATCACCGGCTATCCATCACAAGAGCTCAATGCAGAAGCTGACAAGATCTACGCGGAGAGGTTTCTTCCGAGAATGTTTGATCAAGTTCAACATACCTGGCTTAAACAGCTTGATATGAGCATCGCAGAAATACATTTGGAGGATAACTTGATTGTTGCTTATGGCAAAGAGCCATCGGCGTGGGTGGATAGAGGTACCGGAGGCTGGGACGTGTGGCCTTCAACGCCCCAAGGCAAGCAAGCTGCTGCCAAAATACAAGGTTCCGTCAGGCCAGAGATGGAGAATCAAATGTGGCTGCAGATTGCTGCTTGGAATGGTAAAATCGAGGATAGCAAGGTGCCAAGGGACGGCGAGAAGCTTCTCGTTAAAAAAATTATAAGTCGATGAAAATGTTCAAGATAATTTTTTTTTTCAAGATAAATTTGATGAGTCAATGCAGATAATGAAACAATGTACAGTGGGTTCTAGAATAACAAATCGAACAGATGTAGAAAACAACCGCCATCTCAGTTCTCAGTCTTTGGGGGCCACTTGACTCGTCTCTCAGCACGAACATAGAGATTGTTTGGCCTGATCAACTGGAACATCGGGTCATACTCAATAGGGCCATCTCCTTCACGGATGAACTTGTACCGATAAATCAGCTTCGGAAGGAAGACTTTGACTTCCTGAAGGGCGAAATTGAATCCGATGCACATGCGCGGGCCCGCAGCAAAGGGGATATATGCCGCCTTATGCCTGGACTTCACAGCATCCGTGTCCCACCGGTCAGGATCAAACCTGTTGGGATTATCCCAGAGCGCAGGATTGTTGTGAATGTGATGCAATGCTGGAATCACGACGGCATCCTTGGGCAGCCTGTAACCACCGGGTAGTATCAGGTCAGTTTTGGCGGTGCGGCCAGGTTGGAAAGACGGATTGTGTCGGCGCTGGGTTTCCTTGATGTACTTGTCAAGGAAGTCAAGACGCTCGGTCACATTTGCTGTGATTTCGGTGGTGTCGTCAATGTCGTTGTCGATAAGCTCCTGTAGCAGTCTTTCTTGCATTCCAGGGTAGGTGACAAGGCCATAGACCAGCCACGAAAGAAGGGAGCTGGTTGTTGTAAAGCCGGCGCCGGTTGCTACAACCAGCGCCCAGACAAGACTTGACTTTGGTAGTTTCTCGCCCTTGTTATCGGTTGCGCGGATGGCGTAATCTAGGACTTGTTAGATATCCATCCGGTACATACGGTTAGAGTCTAGAGGTAACTCACCAACCATATTTGAAGCTTTCAGTGCAGCGTCTTGTAGAGGTAGATCTTCAACACCTCCTCGCGCTGCGTTCTTGATTGATTGTTCTACCAAATCTTCAACACGAGTCTGGGATCGCTTCAACTTTTGCGGATCCCCGAATGGCAACATGCCATACCAATTGCCTTTTGAGGTGACCTTCTTGTTCAAAGCAAGGATTTCAGCAATCAGATGGACCATTTCATGCAGCGGAGCATCGGGAGAAGTGAAATGTTGAAAGTCCAATCCAAGCGTAAGCTTTCCGACTGCCTGAGACCCTAGCTTGAGCATGTATTGATATACGTTCCAAGCCTCGCCTTGCTCGTCAAAGGCATCGAACACCTTAAAGGCATCCTCAACTGTCTTTTGCATAGTGGGGGCATAGTGGCGAACAGCTTTAGGGCCAAGTGCAGGAGGAAGGAATTTGTGCGCAACTTTCCACTCTGGTGTATCGGTATCTCCTAAGAAGACTCCAGCAGCTGGTGTCTTGAGTGCAGAGAGGGGATGAGCATCGTTGATCTTTTCGTGAAGAAGTCGGATTCAGCGAAAACGATAGACGAGATCTCCGGATCATTGGTTTGGTAAATGGTTCTTCCCATGGTAGTCGTCTTGATCAAAGGCCCGAGTTTCTCAAACAGACGTTGGTGGTTGCCAAGGTGGTCGGGGTATACTTCGAAGTAATTGCCCACGTACGGCAATGCGCCGGGTGCGGGTGGATCGCGCACCTCATGTCCATCGATCGTGATTGCCACAGGACCATCTGCAGCCAGTATCTCCGAGACCTCGAGAAGGAGGTTGTTATCTTTGCTTTGGAAGCCGATGCCTATCTCTTCATTAGCAGGCCATCCCAAGAAGTCCACGAAGAAGCGAGGTTTGGATTGGCTCACCATTGGCGCTCACGATAGCAAAGTGAGATGCAATCAGATCTTTCACATCTTCAACTTTCAGTTTATCACTCAGTTCGACATTTCGAGCGGAAGAGACATGGTCTCCTAGGAGATGGAACTGCTGTACAGCCATAGTAAGAAACAGACAGTGAATGAGGTTTTCTGAACTGGGTTACCACTCCCACCAACGTGTGTCGGACTTCTTAAATATGAACAAATCTTAAAATCTTTCTGACACCAATCCGCGGGTACCTTAATCGGTATACCGACGTCAACAAACGGAAATTGCGTGCCACGGATCAGACGGCGATTTGGGGCTTCCCGAGGAAGAGATACCTCGGGAGTCCCGATCATAGCGGGGCAAAGTGCCAAATAAAGCTTTCCGATTGGCCTGGATGCCCTGACACTACCTCGGAAACGGTATCTACGTCTGCTCTAAAAAAAGCAGGCGGTTTTTATGAGGGAAAAAAGAAAAAGCCTCATCTAGCTCATCGGCTCAGTGTTTCGTTATCATATTAAATACTTTATTAGCGCCCTGATTTGACACCCTTTTGACACTTAAAACGCTCCAGGTTTCCACTGGGTCAACAATCGCTCTCAAGACCGTACCTTATCTTTTTCAATCTTCCGTCAATCTCGCCATCCAGTGCCCCCGTGACTTTATCTTTTGTTGAGTTCGCCGACAAAAAGTGATCCTTCATCTAAATGGCATCCCTGGGAGAATACACTTCCGAGGAAGTTGCAGAACACAAGACCAAGAGTGACTTGTGGATCGTCGTGCATGGAAAAGGTAAGTTCAAGGAACTGAAGATCGATTCAAAACAAGAAATTTACAAATATGCCACAGTCTATAACGTCACCGAATACGTTCGCGATCACCCCGGTGGAGCAGATGTGCTTCGCGATGTCGCTGGAACAGATGCAACGGAGGCATACGAAGACGTCGGTCACTCCGAAGATGCCGATGAGATCCTGAAGACATACATGATCGGTACGGTGAAGGGTGCTCGCGAGTTAACACGATCCAAGACTGTTCGTGTGATTCAGCAAGGGCCACAACAGGAAATGTCAAGCAAACCCTCGAACACGCCTACTATCGGCATCTCGATGGCCGCAGGCTCGATCGGGGGATTGGCGGTGCTGGTCTATTTATACGCACAAGGACATGTATCCTTGGACAAATTGTGTTCGAAGTTGTCGCAGCTCGCGCCAACTTGGGCACACGCCCTCCCAGTTCCAAGATTGAGCATTGCTCGAGGCGGATTTTTGAATGGACTCCTCTCCAGTAGCGCAGTCTTCGCGACTGTAGGGAGCATTTTCGGTACCAAGTTGTCCCAATTCACTCAGATCCAGTCCGGCTTCACTCGATACCCGGCGCACGTCAAGGCCAAGAGAATGCCTGAGATCAACCGACATGAGTTGAAGGGATTTCTCGAGCCCAAGGACTTCAAGGAGCTCCCATTGGTGACCAAAACACAACTCTCGCCTAACGTCTACCGCTTCACTTTCCAACTCCCTGGCCCGCGAGATGTTATTGGCCTTCCAATCGGACAACACGTTGCCATAAAGGCAACCGTCAATGAACAGTCCGTTTCACGGTCCTATACGCCGACCTCGAACAACTTGGACCTTGGTGTCCTTGAGTTGGTGATCAAGTGCTATCCGGATGGTCTTCTCACTGGTCAATATCTCGCAAACCTAAATGTGGGCGACAAGGTTCTCTTCAGAGGACCGAAAGGCTCGATGAAATACCGGCGCGGTCTCTGTCGACGCATTGGCATGATTGCTGGTGGAACTGGCATTACTCCTATGTTCCAGCTCATTCGCGCTATCTGCGAAGACGAACGTGATACTACGGAGATCAGTCTCATCTATGCCAATCGTTCCGAAGAGGATATTCTCTTGCGAGAGGAGCTGGAAACTTTTGCACGCAAGTACAAAAATTTGAAGATCTGGTACATGCTCGACCAGCCTTCTCAGGATTGGGCTTACGGAAAGGGCTATGTTACGCCTAAGGTCATGAGCGAAAGACTGCCGAGTCCAGCTTTGGATACCAAAATCATGCTCTGCGGGCCACCAGGGATGATTAACGCCTCGAAGAAGGCTTTGGTGAATCTTGGATTCGAAGCCCCTGGCGCGGTTACAAAGATGACGGATCAAATCTTTACCTTCTGAGTAACGGGTTGACTGTCTTTCCTGCTTTTCTGTATCTACTTTTTACTTCCCCACCTTTCACTCTCTCTTTATTCATTTTCTTCTGTTAGGAGTTTGACTTTCGTTGGCTGTTCAGAACATGTTCTTCATAGACTTTGACAAATGTTACAAAATTATACTTGCTTGACCGTTTGAAGACTTCTATATGTATTCATAGAAACAAAAGAGGTTAGATAATAAGACATAACTTTATGTCAGCCCGTGGAGGGATAATTTACCGCTAATCAGTGGTCGCATTGGACATCATATTTCATATGTTTTTGTATGTAATCCTGCTTACTCATGGAATCGAGCATGGCAACCGCCGAGTATCGCTCCGTACGGACAGACAGTTCCATACGGATCGTCAAGCCCCGTAAGGGCACGGGGATGACCTTCAACAGCAGTCCCCGGAGCATCTTCAATCAATCAATCATTTCAATCCACATCATATTGATTCCGCTTGACTTTATTGGCCGTCGCAGCATACTAGGCTATACGAATATAGCCTGTGTAGACACTTCACTTGCTGAGTAAATAATGAAAGAAACTTCGTAATCTTTGGAACTCCTTGGCCCGGAGACGGCACACCAGCATTCAGAGGCATCTGACAGCAAGAGCCATTTCCAATGCTCGAATCTAGAACCAGAACCTCCTTAGAATAAGAAATGACCCACCGCAATGGGTCCGTCGGTGACGCACGCTGGGAAATACGTGGACTTGTTCCACAACTCCTTGCCGAGGTAGCACGAAGTGCTACCTCGGGATCGATTTTAAACCTGCTACGCAACAGACCATGTTGTCATCCGTTGCCCTGTCCGCGGCTAAATCGGATTCTAGAAAGAGTCTATATTTGATTGTACCTGATTTGGTCTCCGAGGGATCCACGGATCTCCTGCGCCATTTTGTCCTGTGTGACTATATTAATCGCCCGTCATGTCTTCATCAGCATTTTTGAATACCATTATTCAATATCGCACACACTCCTCATTCAATAATAACTTCATTTCCAATCATTAAAGATATCTGTTCACCATGCTACCCACTTGGCAACCCCCGGCGGATTATCGCAACAGGGCCGTCGTGGTTTTAGGCGGCGGTGTGCTCGGAAGGCGGATAGGTAAATTGTGTCCAAACTGGGCCCCCTCAGCTATCATCGAGCTAACAGCATTATTCTAGGTTGTGTCTGGGCATCGGCGGGATACAATGTTCGAATTCGGGATCCGAGCCCCCAGCAACGAGAGGATAGCGTTGAGTACGTCAAACTGAACGTTGATTCGTACGCGGAGAAGACAGGCCAGGCCTCTGGCACGGTCGAAGCTCTCGAGAGTCTTGAAGATGCACTTATCGGTGCCTGGCTAGTTATCGAAGCCGTTCCGGAGAAGCTTCAGCTCAAGATCGACACTTTTGCTCAGCTCGAGGCACTTGCGCCAAATGACTGCATCCTGGCCTCCAACTCGTCCTCCTACAAGTCTTCAGAAATGATTGAGAAGGTTTCCGACGATGCTAAATCTCGAATTCTGAACATGCATTATTATATGCCCCCCCAGAACATGGTCGTTGAGCTCATGACAGACGGCTATACTGAAGAAGCCATTTTCTCCTTCATGGTTGAGCGATGCAAAGAAGCAGCAACTCTGCCCTACGTTGCTAAGAAGCAGTCAACTGGTTTTATTTTCAATCGTCTTTGGGCTGCTGTCAAGAGAGAAACCTTGACAATCTTGGCAGAAGGCGTCTCCGTTCCCGAGGAGATTGACTCTCTGTGGACCGAAATGTTCGTCAAGGGAGGCGCAACCCCTTGCAAAACGATGGACAGTAAGAATTTTTAGCCCCTCGAGTGAATATCTCCAGAATCTAACAGGATCTAGACGTGGGCCTAGATACGGTCGCTTTCATCGAGTCTCATTATGTCGAGGAACGTGGTCTGTCTCCAGCGAAGACGGTGGATTTCCTGAACACACATTATATCAACGATGGAAAGCTAGGCACAAAGAGCTCACACGGTGGTCTCTACCCTCCAGCTGCGGATAAACCGGATGAACTGCCTGCACCAAGTGTGCTTGTTTTGGACATTGGTCTCGCCTCTTCCACCCCGACAATGTCATCTGGTTCCATTCTGGAATTCTCAACAGCCGGAAAACTCAAACGAACACTCGCCAAGGATCAAGCTCTTCCAGATGGTGTGGCTGTTGACAGTGAGAGCGGTCTGATCTTTTGGACCAACATGGGTATTCCAGGAAAACAAGACGGTGCCGTGCTTTCACTCGACCTGAGCACAATGGCTATCAAGACCCTGGTCGTCCCTGGCACCATCAACACTCCAAAGCAACTTGCTTTGGACAATGTCGCAAAGAAGATCTATTTCTCCGACCGCGAGGGATGCCGTGTTTACCGCTGCAACTTTGATGGCACTGACTTGGAGACCCTTGTCGAGACGGGCAACCCTGACAATACCGACCCAACTGAGAATATTCACAACTGGTGTGTCGGTATCACTGTCGCCCCAAAGCTAAACAAATTTTTCTGGACCCAAAAGGGCCCATCCAAGGGTGGCCAGGGCCGCATCTTCTGTGCCGATATCTCGACACCCGTTGGTGAATCTGCAGCCTCCAGATCAGATGTGGAATGTATCCTTGAGGACCTTCCGGAGCCTATCGACCTTGAAATTGAGGAGTCCTCTAAGACACTCTACTGGACTGATCGTGGTGAGATTCCGTTCGGCAATTCGTTGAATTGCTCTCGCCTCGATGCATGCGGCCGACCAATCGACACATCCTCGTCTCGAAAGCACGAGATTCTGACTCGTAACTTCAACGAAGCGATTGGATTGAAGATCGATGCTAGCAACAATGCTATTTATGTGACAGACCTTGGCGGCAGCATCTATCGGTGTGATTTAGATGGAAAGAACAAATCTGTCTTGGTCAGAGATGATAACCGAGCTTTTACCGGGCTCGCTTTGCTCTGATAAAATCCTCGCTCCGTCTTTTGTGTTCTCATGCGCTCCCTTTGAAGCCTAGATGGTTTGTTATTTAGTTAAAGAAACTTGAGTTACATAACAACTAGAAAATACAAAAATTGAAGGGTTTTACAAGTCATTTCTTGAGATATCATTCTCTACCTCCTTGATGATAATTCCAATACGTCAAGACAGATAACTCAGTGTCACTTATTTGGGTCACTATACGTACCGTATCTTCTCTACTGCGTGGGATCTTCTATCTTAGATGCCGCCGCTTTGATAGGGACGTCTAGAGTGAAGATCACTGGAGAAAATTCAGTCCGGACTTAGACTCAGTGGGTGCTCAGTGATTGAGACTGGCTACTCACTGAGTAGGAAACATATCCAGAACCAAAACATAGAAAGGTCATGAGTCGAATATCTTCCATCAACCGCCATACTGATGGCAATATGTACTTGATAAGACGATGAAGATCATTCTTCGAGGAATCAGTAGCTAAAGACAAACAAGCAAGGGGCCATCTGACATCACTAGACCCGTGCGGTAACAAGCACACTTGCTTGTTCCCGGTACAAATACACGACCAAAGGCGGTCGTCGAGAACAACATTTGCCTCGAAGCTGTTCCGCGGAGGTCGACGCATCAGAATTTCAAAATCAAGAATCAATGGGGCACCGTGTAGCACGACATTCGCGAATTGAACCCTGCGAGTACACTCAATGATCTTTGGTGGATGCCGTCTGGTGTTTGGATCGGACTGCGGGTTGTCCACCTCGGATCAAACTCCAACGTCCACCATCCAGGCTAGCTCACGGTTAGCATTGATCAACACAACAAGTTTAGATTCTCCGCCTATTTTCGTATACTACCATCTAGCGTCGGCCTTACCCTGTCCCAAAGAGTCCGATATGCCTGTTTCGAGGACGAGGGAAGGGTTACCAGAACCACCACCATCGATCGGGATACTATCGGGACTGAACCACCAGTCCGGCTCTTTGCGGCAGTACTGGCCAGGGGGTCGCGCGGGACCCTTGGGCCATGAAGTCGCGAAGGTGAAGGAATAACTACATAGCCTCGAGTTGCGCCAGTACGCCCATATAAAAGCAAGGTATCATCTGTTCATGTAAGAACTGGGCTCAACTGTACCATGGCTAGTCTCAGTTATCGCTGCATCGATAGCATTGTTCATCGCTGGCTTGCTCGGCACCATTGAAGTTGGTCCCACTGGAATACTGGAGTTTCCGGTGTGGTTCACGTCCAGCATCTCCCAGATCCTGAGCCCAGATTCTAATACTTAGCTTGCACCCTCCGAAATTACTTGCAGTGATCCTGGCATTGCCTCCGAACTCTCACATGCAAACCGTGGAGGACATTTCATTTATTCGAACGTGCTCACTAGTCGGGTGATAGTGACCTACTTCTTGATAATTAAGACTAGGTATTCAGCATACTCGAGCTTTTTGTCTCTGAAAACTCAAGTGAAACGACTTTGAATAAGGTATCTAGGTCTGGCAAGCAGAGATAGCAAGCACCGGCAAGTAGCCAATTCTCTGGGCTTCCCGAAAGGGCAATTGTTTCCCGATCTCTAGGCGTAATCTCTCCATCAATCTCTTTTATCGGACAAGGATCCTCAACCTTCCATCTTCTTGCCATCGGACTATCCGACTTCGTGCCGATAAGAGTTTGCTGTTCATTTCTAGATATAAGGTTCAAGATTTTGCTCGTCCGGCCAATGAGCAGGATAGGCGAAATGCGCAGCCTCTACATGAAGGGTTGCACAAGAAGAGTCTAACACAGCACCTAGCAGGTGATCCCATGAGAGAGCTAGAAACATTTATTTCGAGCTCACTAATTTGAAATTTGAGTGTCAACTCAAATTCATTCTTGATTTTGAAAAGATAATGAAGGAAAGAAAGTATAAAAAAGGTCGGCGTTTAATTGAAATTTAGAGGAAGACGAAGTAATCAATCTATCAGATAAAGACGACATAATTAAGAGGCCTTGAATTTTTAAATTACGAAGGCTAGAATACAACTATTTAACATTCAGCCATCATTTGAACTCATTTGACACTCGGTGTTTGGAATAAACATCCCACAGACCCGAGCTTCCAAGCCAGTCCAAAAATACTTCATTCAAGCCCTGCCGCAACAATTCATCGCCCATGTAATACTTCCTTGACTTGCTCCATGGGTGGGTACCAAATGTACTTTGAAGCGGCTTTTTCATGCGAATTGTCTCGATAGACTTCTGAAGGTCCATCCAATAGACACTCTCTGGCATCCAACCTCGCTCTTGATCTGTGGAAGATGCAAGAGTTTCAAATTCAGGTAAGTCCTGCACAGTTTCCCAGATTCTAAAAACATCATAGTATGCTGCTTTGCCGTATTTCTTCAAAATCTGCTCCTGGTACTCGGGAGAGACCATCTGTCGAGAAGTCCGCTGTAAGTACTCAATCTGTTGAGTAATAACACTCTGTAGCTCTTCTCTTTGGAAAGAAAAGTTCGACTCATGCTCAGCCTTATCGAGATAATGAGTGATTTCATCCCGTAGCTTTCGCAGGCGGTACCGAGTCCACTCAGGGTAAAGTGATCCGAGATCCGCATAGGGCCGGATGTTGGTGGTGTAGCTGGAGTCGTAGATGTTTCGGATTTGAGCGCAGTAGGATGTGATTGTGGTAATACGCTCCGCGACACCCTTAGCACGAGCGGCTAGATGTTGGACTTCGCCGCCTTGCAGCATTACTGCATGTCCAATCTGTGGACCCTCGACCTGTATGATTTTAAGTTGATGTTTATCTTGATATGATCAAGCTGCAGTTACCTTTTGGGCTTCGCCATTTCCCTTTTTGATATATGTTTCCCCACCGACCATGCCATCGGTCTCACTTAGCATGAGCACACAAACGTAAGGATAGGAGTCATAGCTTTAATTAAGTTAGTCTGATCACCCTCCACTCTCAATCGATCGAGTAGGAGACTTACTGCCAAGGTATGATAGAGGTCTCATCTTTCAACGGGTCATAAGCCCGCTCTTCAAGACTCAACTCCAGCTTCTCTACCGATGGCTCAACCTTGAGGTTGCCCACCATCTCTGCAATTGTGGCCCCTTCAGTCTGAATGTTTGTATGCCCAATCTCTGTGGGCATGACCACCTCTAAAGGCACCCCAGAAGCATCAGATACTATTTTCATTGTTTCGGGGTGGGTCCAGAAGTCCCGAATAAATTGGGAGTGTTTGACTGCGTCACGAAGAACCAGGGTGCCAGGAAACGGCGAGCTTGCGCATTTCTCAATCACATCCTGCTGGAACAGAGCCTTTCGATAGGCCCTCACGCCTCGCGGTGATAGCAAGGGGAATGGCACTGTTCCTGCAATCGGGGTTGCGGTTGCACTTTGACTCAAAAGCAAGTCTTGCATCGTGATTTTCTTTTCAGGTGGCACATAGTTGAGATGGACCTATTCAGTAATATCTTGAGCACGGTCATTCCGATCAATCTAAGAGGTTATGGAAATGGATGCACATACTGTGGGATCGAACCGCTCCTCTTTGACGGGATCTAGGAAGGGGTATCCACTCAATGTGTCCGGCTCAGTCAGAAGATCCATCGTGCACTTAATAGTCATACCGTTTAAGTAATGATCAACCCCTTCGGTTTCTCCTTATTTCGTTTCCCAAAGTAGCAGATTGAATCAAAATACTTGTGAGAGAAGGGGTATCAATGGAAACTCAGCAGCATGACCAGATTTTTAAAAGGATCCGTGCTACCGAGCGCTATACAGCCTACGGTTTATATCCACGCGCTATTCCCATCCAGGTAACTAGGTCCCGCGACACACATCACAAGGGATCACATCTCCGCTTTTAGCTATCAATACAACGAACACCGTCCTTTGATTCACTCGCATCTTTATAAGGTACCTTACCCCCTGTACTTTAATCCCCAATGGTCCTTAGAAGTTCCGCCGCTCGCACGAAGGTACCTCTAATGATCGTCGTATCAGCCGAAAGGTGCGAGGTGCGCTGATCTCTTATCTCTCCCAACATTTGATAAGAGGGAGCGCTGCCATTCGCCAGCCAACTCAACCCCGCAGAAACTGGCACGGGTCAGGAAAAAAGCAGGGATCCGGCTCTTGCAGCGTTAAATAGGTTCTCCCAATGTCAGTACCAAGGAATTCCCCTTTTCAGGAAATACTTTGATTTCTTCGTTTCAAAGTCAAAAGCCCTATGTTACAAGATGGCGGTCAATCGTTTAGCCCCGAAGCACGACCCTGAAGCACCATCTTCAATCGTGGAGCAAATCACCTTGAGTGAGGACACAAAAAATTCGATACTGGATCAGGGCGGTGAGGAGAACCTCGCAACTAAATGGGAGATATGGGCGTATTATGCGTGTGTTGCCTACTTCCTTGTTTACGGCTCCTATGGCTCTGACTGATTGTTGCGATAGTTATTACATTGGAAACAACGGTCTTTCTTTGTTCAGTTAGTTTCAATCCCACTCCTCCAATGGAGACAAGGTGTCTTCGAAGCCAGATCAAGGATGAAAGTGTAGAATGCCTGTTCTAGGATGCGTCTATTTGCTGCTCTAAAAAAGCAAAAGGGTGTCTGCAGACAAGACACATGACCAGAATGTGTCAAACAATCGGACATCTGAAAGAACCGAAACAAGCACCATAACCTTTGTCTGAATCTACTTACTAATTTGGAATTTATAGACTTTGCCCCCACGGCCTTCCAAAATCTTCTTTACGAAGCGGCGGGAGACTCCGATATTCTTCTCTTCGCAGGGAGGTTCCGCTCAGTTGAAAGCATTGTCCTCCTATGCAACGGGATTTCTTTCGCTATCCAAATCGTCGTATTTCTGGTGATAGGAAGCTTTGCTGACATTGGAAATTGGCGTCCAAACATTCTGATTGTCCTCTCTATCATCGCCTACGCTATAGGATTCGCCTGGCTGGGCGTTCACACAGAGGACAAATGGCAGATAGGTGTCGGACTGTATATTGTTGGGCTTATTGCCTATCAGACCACGCTGACCTTTTGGACTGCTGCATTTCCTTCACTTGCGCGCAATAGTGCCGAAATGAGAGAAAAGGCTAGTGAGTTTGCGCATGGCAATATCTCTCGCGAGGAGTATGATTACGCCGACACTATGAAGAGAAGTCAGCTTGCGAATGTTGCCTTCTATATTCAGTCTGTTGCCGAGATTCTCATCCTTGCTGTTATAGTTGGCATCATGTTTGGCGTTGATGTCAATGCTAGTGAAGCGAGGAACAATTGGGGATTAAGTGTTCTCATTGCTTTCGCGAGTGGTGTCTGGCTGCTTGTTTCTTTACCGTGGTTCTTCTTGGAAAAACGGCGACCTGGACAAGACCCTGGCTCTAGGAATATCATCATGGCAGGCCTGTCGCAACTCTACTTTGCAATGAGTCAGGTGTGGAAGCTGAAACAGAGCTTGCTATATCTTATCGGTATGTACTCTTTCTTTCTCTCTGTTCAAATACCGTGGAGGCGTATTAATTTGTCACCTTTCCCAGGTTACTTCTTACTGGGCGATTCATTGAATACCACGGTCACTGTGATTTCGACTTTGCAGAATAGTTTGGTGGCATACAACACATTGCAGCTGACATATCTTCTGATTGTGGGGATCGCTGCTCAGGTGCGTTACGAATAACCTAATGATGGATAGCGAATCAGTCTTCTAATATGCATCTTTAGGCCGTTGGTATCTATCTTTTCTGGGCCATTCAACAACGATACCGTCTTGGCACGAAGACCATGTTCAATGCCATCGCTTTTGGGATTGTTCTCCTTGATGGCTGGGGAATGATAGGAAATTGGACCAACAAATTTGGGTTCCATCATGTATGGGAAGTTTGGGTAAGTTTCCCTCTCACAGGCACGCCTTAAGGCTTCTTGGTAGAATTCCACTCACGATTTTTTCCAGGTCTATCAAGCCTTCTATGGCTTATTCATATGCCCCTGGTATAGTTACTCACAAATTATGATCTCGGAAGTGACGCCCCGGGGGTACGAATTCCTTTTCTTCAGTCTTTTCAGTATCGTCGGAAAGACGTCGTCATTTATCGGACCCCTCGTGTCCAGTGCGATTATTGATGCTACGCCTTCTGGCAATGTATCTGCGCCGTTTTACTTTCTATTTGGACTGAGCTTGCTGAGCTTTGGAATCTTGGTTGTCGGGGTGGATCTGAAAAAGAGCCGCACGGAACAAGAACAGTTCTTGAAGGAGAAAGAGCGCAGGTGAAAGCAAATCGCTTCATATTCCAAGTCAAGAACTTCAAAAGATGAAGAGACTATTTTGTGATTACATTTGCGGACCATGATACTCAATATCATTAGTTACGTATCAAAAGGCAGAGAACCTTACAAGGTCAAGATTTTTGCTCCTCAAACCGCCACCAATGCAGCTTTCCAAGACCAAGACAAGCTGTAACCGAAAAATTCAATAACCCGATCCGGGCCACTTTGGTATCTCGACCCCATGCTCCGCCTTGTAGAAAGTATCAGTAGAAGCATGGAACCGCTTACCCATGACCCCAAAGCATGCGTTGTTCTTCTCCAGAGCACACTGGGCGGCTACCAAACTCTGCTTTTTGTTTCCTTGACACGACGGTGTGATATTTTTGAACCCCTCCACTTGCTCAATACCTTCCCAAATCTTATACACCCAAGCTTTGTTGCCAGCAGGATAAGTCTTGACTTTCCCTCCGCCTTTGATGGGAGTGAAAAATTTCGACTTCTGTCCCGATTTTTCCTGGTAGAATTCTGTCATTTTCTTTGCAATTGCGAGCTGTGCATCTTCGCAGTTTTGTTTGGTTAACAGCTCTGAGTCGATACGTGTATAAAAGCGGTCGTCTTGACAGAATCCAACAAGGTTCCCAGGTGTCTTATAGTTCAGGAGGGCCTCTGAGTGGAACTCGATAACACAGTGATGATACTCTGTTACCTTGCCGGGACATCCACAGCAACAGTTGTAGTTACCGACGAGCTGGATCCGCTCCTTGCAGCTACCTGCCGGGTATAAGAAGCTGCTGCTTGGACAACCGTCTGGATATTCATAGCAACTATTGCCGACATTGCTGACGCCGTCGCACTGGGCATGTGCTCCCAGGGTCGATGCCAACGTCAGGGCTGCAAGATGAAAGAAACGCATGATTCTGTACGGGAGTTGTCAATAAATGCTGTAGGCCTTGCCCAAGTGCCTCTGTACTTACTTCAATTAACTAGAATGAACGGGAGGGAAAAATGAGTCCCAGTTCAAATAGCGTTGAGCGACTCTTGTGGCTTTTTTCTTCCTTCAAGCGAAAGAGTAACAGAAGACGCCCAGGGAAAACTTGAGACGTTCCTGGGTGTCTAAGGGCCACATTTGTAGTTGAATACCCTTCAGTGTAGAAATTGTGTACGAGGTAATGAAATTCCCGCGGAATCTAGGGCGGGCTTGTCTATCCTGGAATTCCCACTCGAAGCCCGCTATGTGTATTATTTAGCCGAAAATCAGATATCCATTCTGGAATGTTTGAAATTTACCAAAAGTTCACTTTGAAGATTCAGAGATCATAATCTTCCGGCCAGGCTCATCGATGCTGGATAAGATCTATCTACTTGTATCCCGGGTTACCATAAACCCACGAAAGGCAACTCTGGGCAGGAATTGTCAAAGATGCAGGCTTTTAGCCGAGAATCTGCAATTTCGTTTGTTTCATGCGAGGGTCCGAAGGCGATCAACCAGAAATGGGCGCATGAGCATTCTATGTAACAACACAAAGCCCTGGCTTGGAGTGCTGTAGTGGCTGGATCTAGTAACGCCAAGCCTTTCTGGTATCCTGTGACACATATCATTAGAGAGTCGAATGACCTTCCCTGGAGCAAACACGGGAATGCAATTGCAACCACGCTTCATATAGCTCCCCAAATGGCAGACACGCATGGAATCTCGCGATTGGATTCATGGAAGGAAAGCCATGGAGACTCGTGTGACATTAATGGATGAGTAAGCCCTCCAGGCCCCAAACATATTCCAAGTCATTGAAATGGGAACGTCGAAAAAACCCAGAAAAGAGCTCCAAGGAGATTCCCAGATAGTTGTTGAGAACGATGTGAAAAATCCACTGTGGCCATGAATATACAGTACCAAGGAGAGTAAGTCGCGACGACCTCATTAGAACCGCCTGCATTGATATATACATTATTCGAGGATCTAGTCACGAGGTTGAACTAAAGAGCAATGAAATGAATTTCTCTGTGGGCCGCCATAAATAGGCAATATGACTCGTTTCTTCTATGATGCATGTTGTACAAGTAAGTCCAGTTCTAAGGCTATACGAGAATTAATTCCCACTGCAACTCTTCTAGGATATCAATCCAATGCGTTTTTCTCGACGCTGTGCCCCCAGCTGCAATATCTTTTGCGTTGGCATCTTGTCTTGCCCAGAGGATACGTAGTAATTCCTTTGCGCGCTCGACATTTCCAATGCCGAAGTTGGTCTGCAACTTGCACAATGAGCAGATAATAAGGTCTCGGTGCGCGAAAACTTCGCTCTCGCAGCCTGAAATAAATAGCGGGAATGTGAGCGCCGAGTACTCGCAGTGGTCGTCGAGGGGGAAGGACTCGACGCGTGCGAGGCACCGGTGAATGGCGGTTGATTTTGGGGTTGAAATTAAAGGGGCCCATTCTGTAAGATATCGAGTTTTTTCGGGGGGTGATATGGGGGTGAAAATAGAGAATGCATCTAGGTCTAATGCTGTTTGGGGGGTATCAGAGTTCGCGCTCATGCGCTCAAGGGTCGAGTGGAGAAAAATAAATGCTGCTTCGCGAAAGCACTCTGCGACGAGCTGGAGTCGGGATAGGGCTGCGGGGGTGATGTCATTTGGAATAATATAGTTGATTGACGTAGGGGTCCATGATAGGAGTGAGTCATTTCTGCGAGTTCTTTAGTCAGTGTGTGATGACCTTGGTTGCTGGATAAGCAGGAATTTACATAGATGCTATTGCAAGATGCAGAGAAATGCCGTCATCTTGCAGCGAAGGTAGCTCAGCGATGCGTCCGCAGAGTTTGAGGATTTCTTCGGTGTAGCCAATATAAATATCCAGCCTTGGAGGGCCGATATCAGTCTCTGTAGGGTCGGAATATGCGATGCGCTTGCGGGTGCTAATGCGAGCCATATTATAGGCGTAGACAAATCTAAATCATCGTAAGAGAAAGATCTTAGAAGCGTCATTGTAGAAAACGTACAGTCCTCGAAGGAATTGCGCTGCATCAGGGTTCATTGACCCGAGGCCACCGCGAGACGTGATGAGACGCTGCATTGCGTGGAGATGCACAACCCACTGCTTGATGCTGCCACGAACGATCTCGTACTTGCACATCAAGCCAACTGCGAGCATAGCATCGTCAGGAAGAAATTCCGTGGAGCATTTGGCAATGGCTGTCCGGATACCGCTGAGAGTGCGGCCATAAAATGTCGCTGCGGCATTCTGTGCGCTGCATTCCTGCGACCGATTCGCGAGGTGAAGAGCCGAGACTGCACACACGGCCTTCATCAATAGTGGAGAGGACATGGCGCATGGAATTAGCAAAGACCGGAGTGGATTGTCATCGCTTTCGAGATTGGCGAGGAGTTTGGATCCATGCTCTACATGATATTGTAGATAGTGTGATTCATGGCCCGAAAGATGGCTAGGGTTAGGGTACCCTTGAGGTTGCATAATGACTGCTAAGGTAGTTTGAGCATTGGGCTCTGTTGCTATGTTTTCGTCTTGATTCTGAGTAGTCTCTTCGGCCTCAATGTCAATAATTCGTTGTGGCGAAGACGGGGTCGACCAGTCCAATGAGACTGGCGATAGCTGCGAATCATTCCATGCATATGAGAATGGAGACACCGACGGGGACGGTGATAATGAACGCGGAGGAGAATGGGCCGTTAAACGAGGCAGCTTCGGAGCATCCGCCTGCACAAATACTTGAGCCGACGGGCCAAGCGGCTCAACCCAGAGATCGCCATAACCCTCACATTTGCGACCTTGCTTGAGACAATTATTGCAGCTAACTCGCGGTCAGATTCAATACATAATGCAACCATCCACACGACACATACCTTGGCTTAGCCTTGTCACACCCTTTGCGACGTTTTTTACATGTCAAACAGCCGGAGCGGGTCCACGGCGTGCCCGTTTGCCGGCGCCCCTTTTTCTGGACTGGGCTAGCATGTGCGGAGACTTGCGGGAGAGATTGAGAGACCCATCCGGTGTCATGGAACGCAGTCAAGGTCATCGTGTTTGGCGCATTGGAGAGTGCATGTCACATCAAAAGTGAGTCTTCCCCGCGATTTGATAGCAAATCCCACCGCGCTATTCCCGATTGAGGCAATTTCGCGCCTGCACGTGATTGTTATCTACTTGTAGATTTTGCGGTCCCTGGCGCATCAACAAGAAGAACGAGATTAATTATGGGAATCTACGTGTGGAATTGACTCCAGTAGGTGGGTTTTTATCTTCAAATTCAATCAGTATATTTCCATCTACCCTAAACACAGCTCATATCGCTAAAATGTAAGCCAAGAAGAGCGCTTCAAGCCCATCGACGCTCTTCACCCGATCGGGCAAGTCCAACCATGTGGGTGCAGGCTACGATAAGAGATACGCGATCTTTAATACATTCGTCCCCTCTCCCTTCCCCGGTCTTCATTCTCCATTCTTTTAGATTTAACATCTCCCTCGTTGACATTTCGTACCTAATTCTCATCTTCACAAACCCAGACAACGATGGTGACTGTACCACACCCATTCGACCCCATCTCTCCGGAGGAGATTCAACTTGCCGTGCGCATTCTGGAAGCCACCTTCCCCGGTGTGCCTCTCCGCTACAAGCGTATCGACATCAATGAGCCGATCAAGAAAGATGTCATTCCATACATCGAAGCTGAGCGCTTGCGACGACCTTTGCCTTCGCCGCCAGCTCGTCTTATCTACACGCTCTTCCACCGTCTTGATAGTGGCGCATTCTACAAGGCTATCTTGAACGCTAATACGCGCTCGATTGTCTATGCCAAAGAGCTTCCTCGTGAGGTGCAGGTAAGTGCAATAACACACTCTAGACCCATATGGGTCTGACCAATTTTTCTTTGTTTCATAGGGACCGATTGACGTCGACGAGATCTCCGAGATTGAGAGACTATGCATGAAACATCCCGCTGTCCTCGCCGAAATAGAGAAGCTGCAACTACCTGCCGGCGTAACAGTCTGTAATGATCCATGGATGTACGGCACTGACAATGACAACGAGACTCGACGACTCTTCCAGTGCTTTATGTACCTGGTCGAAGTGGATCACCCCCAGCACAATCATTATGCTTTGCCCCTCAAGTTTTCACCTGTGTTTGATGGCCTGACGCAAGAACTTATCCGCATTGATTATCTTCCAGGTGGTGCTGATCACAAAGTCTCCGAGACCCAGCCATGGAAACCTGTCAAGGCAATTCAATATGCTCATGACTTGTTGGACGAGCCTGTTCGAACAGATCTTAAGCCGTACATTGTGCAGCAACCTGAAGGTCCATCTTACTCAGCGGATGGTAACTCTGTCTACTGGCAGAAGTGGCGCTTCAGAGTTGGTTTCAACATCCGTGAAGGTCTCGTTCTATATAACATTACATACGATAACCGCAATGTCTTTTATCGTCTCTCCATTTCTGAGATGACGGTCCCATACGGAGGTTTGTTCTTCCTTGCCCTTTTTGATATGACATCTCGTTTGACTTTTCGTTAACTGTTATCTAGATCCCCGAGCGCCGTACCACCGCAAGCAAGCATTCGATGTTGGCGATTGTGGCTTTGGTATGAACGCTAACCAGCTATCTCTTGGATGTGACTGTCTTGGACATATCAAGTACTTCGATGGCTATCGAAATGATTACAAGGGGAACCCCGTCTATTTGAAGAACGTAATCTGTCTCCACGAACTTGACGGAGGATTACAGTTCAAACATTCGAACTATCGAACTGGCGCTGCCACGGTTGTGCGCAACCGTCAATTGAGTCTGCAAATGATCTGCACAGTTGCGAATTACGAATATATTTTCGCGTATATCTTCGATCAAGCCGGAAACATTGAATTGGAAGTCCGCGCTACTGGCATTCTCTCCACTGTTCCATTTGACAACGAGAACGGCGAAACTGTGCCCTGGGGCACTAACGTGGGACCCGGAGTCATGGCTCCTTTCCATCAGCACATGTTCTCCTTCCGCATCGACCCTGCTATCGATGGCTTCAAGAACACTGTGTTTTATCAAGACAGTGTCCCAATGCCGGAAGATGACAATAACCCTTATCTTGTGGGCTATACCACCGAGTCTAACGTGATAAAGACCGCCGGGACGGCAAACCTCAGCGTTGACCGTAACCGTAGCTTTAAGATTCGCAACGACAATGTTCATAACCCGGTGACTTACAAGCCTGTGTCCTACAAGCTGCAAGCTGTTCCCAGCCAGATGCTTCTGGTCAGCAAGAACGCTCATGGATACCGCCGTGCTGAGTTTGCCACCAAACCGATTTGGGTCACCAAGTACCAGGATGATGAACTTTACGCAGCAGGCGAGTTCACCAATCAAAGCCGTCGTGCAGAGGGCGTTGAGACATGGGTTCAACGCAAAGACAACACCGAAAACGAAGACGTTGTTCTCTGGCACAGTAAGTATCCATTGACCCTTTTTTTCAATCCTGGCATGGCATCTAACAAACATTACAGCATTCGGTCTCACCCACAACCCCCGGATCGAAGACTTCCCTGTCATGCCCATGGAGCGCGTCAGCGTCATGCTGAAACCAGACGGCTTCTTCACCAAGAACCCTGCTCTGGACGTCCCGCAGTCTTCCCAGTCCTTCAACAAGTCCACTCTCCATCCCGAAGCGGCTTCTTGCTGCGCTGCACCATCTGCAACCGCAACTGGAAGCAAAGCGAAGCTGTATAAGCGGGTGGATTAATCTGCGTTTTGCGTTTCATTTCTAAATACCCCTCTTCTGCATCTCATGCTGCATATATTGCATCTGAGATTGTATATATGCTGACCTGAACATTTTTGGATTTATATTTTCTCACACGTACATAGCTAGCTAGCAAATATTTTTAAAATTAAAAACATCCCTGATCTTAGGTACTACAAAGATAAGCGAACCACTTAATTTCCTTGCGGGCGTAAATAGCGGCCACTACGAAGAAAACGACATAAGGCGCTCATTAATAATACCTTGAAGACTTCAACGCAGAATATTCACTCGATGCGCTCGAAAGACATTGAGAGATATGGTCAGGAAAGAAGCATAGAAAGAGGTCTAGAAAAGATATCTAGGCAGACATCTAGGAAAACATCCGAGAAGACAGGTATATCCATGTCACTTATTGATATTTACCGGGTATTGTATTTAATGCTTGGGTCTATTTAGACTCCAAGACGCAGGAATAAGAATTGAAAATACACTCTCATGGGTATGGCTAGCGATAGTTTCATTCAACTTAATCCCATGTTCACCTCATCACTCAATCCGAATTCCCTTTCCGCTCGTTCTGTGCCTCCGGATGCCCTAGTCGACCATCGATCGAGGTGGTCTTGCGTGGATGAGTCTTTCTCGCGCAGACTAGCGCTATCGCTCGTTCCCACGCTTCCTTCTCGGATGCTGTACTGGGACGGGTTGCGAACGCTTATCGGGCGCGGAGGTGTGCCTTTGTTGCTGCTAGCACCATCCAGAGCGGCCCCGACGTTTGTACCCGTTGCACGGCTTTGGTCCGTGGAAGGGCTACTGGTGTGATCCTTGTCCTTGTTGCGGAACCAGCCCCGTCTGCGCGTTTTGAGGGGCGTGGTAGATGAGAGGCTTAGGGAGTCAGGATCGGATTCCTTCTCTTTTTCCTTTTCCCTTTCCTTTTCTAGAGATTGTGTGAGGTTTGAGACGGTCCCAACGGAGCCATCTGGTTGCACCTCGACCAGTTCGGCATCGCGGTACCACTTGCGTCGGCGGGTGTATCGATCCCAACCATCTTGAGCGCGACGGCCATCATTCCACTACAGTTTATTAGCAATGAGAATTGACATCCATACTGTGGAGATAAACGAACCTTGTTATCATAGAAGATCCATCCCTCGCTCGTGGAGGTCTTGGAATCGGATTTGGTGGAGTGATCCGCGCCTTCAACGCGCCACTCACTACCCTCCACCCAGCGCCATTTCGAGCCACCGGTAGAAACATCGGGCAATTCAAATGAGTCTTTTGGTGAGACGGAGTTGAGATGCTCATCTGTCCAAGCAGCACGCTCTGCCGGGAAGAGGGAGTATGTCCAGCCAATTCCAAGCCAGCGTCGTTGGTTCTCATACACGACGAACGTGAACCGCACGCCAGAGCCGTCCCCACGCCGCCGTGTCGAGATATTCAGCCCCTGGCCCTCGCCTTGAATTTGAGCTTTCTGTGTGTTCGGGCCATCCGCGACTGAGAGCCCTGTAATCATGGAGCAAAGGCGGCGAACTGCTCGAGACCGCCATAGAATTACACGAGAGACCCGCGCGGGTCGCGAGTGGTAGGTGAGAACGATGGTTCCGACAGTCATGACGACGCGTCGGGTAGTAATTAGGTAAAGAGGTGGAAGGGTAAGACCGATCCAAATGGGTGTAACGAGGAGAATTCGAATGAAGAGAGCAGTAAGCGCCGGTCGAGTCGTTGCAGAGGTTGGGGTGCGCTGAGTAGATAGGAAGTCGGTCAAATCGAGCAAGGGCTCAAGAAGAATATTGCATCGGGTTGTGAATGTGCGCAACGTCTCAACAATGTCGTCCAAACTTTTGTGGTGGCGGGTTGTCTCCGCCGCAGCTTTGCTCTGGTGCTTTTCACCCGTCGAGGTCGTTGATGACAGAGGCGAGTAGCGACGGCCATACATGCCCAGAATCAACCCGATCACCACTAAGATCGGGCCAGCCCACAGGATGATGGCATCGCTGTATAGCACCACCGTCCAAAATGTAGCCACAAGCAGGAAGCTCTGCCACGGGTCCCCGGTCGTCCATGTCAATAAGCCCGCAAGCTTGTTCAACGGCAGGAGGAACGGGTGCGAGTAGGCCAGGGCCCGGGTGATGGACGGCGGTGTAGCCACCAGCAACGGCGACTTGCGATGCACGATGACACTGGAGCGTTGGCGAGAGCTCAAGGCGGAACCGGAGATGGTAGAGGGAGAGAAAGGAGCGACCGTCGGCGGTTGGGAGTCAGACTGGCCATTGTCTTGCGAGTTCATTGGGAGTGCCATGGAATCGATCCACGGAAGGTCTTCTGTCACAGCATCAACAAGCTGATCTGTTATCAAGGGCAAGGGAGCATACCAAGCGCTGCCATCCAATTACGGCGACGTCATGCGATGCGTGTCAGCTCATCTGGCCGAGCGGGCGATCATCCTCATTATATGGTGAGAGGTTCGTTCGGTCCAAAGTTGATCTGCGGGGGGCAAAGCACCGGAGGACATGTGACTGCCCGTGCAACTCTGTAAGTACCGACGCTGGGAAATATCGGGATTCTAACAAGATCTATAATTATTGTAGCAGGGTTAAATTTAATGACGATGTCTATTTGATCGATTTCACTTGTTGCTCTCCCTTTAAACAACATGAAATGACCCTGCGGCGCATAGTTCCAGCTCCCCGACCTGCCGACGCTAAAACGCGCAGCCGAAATTTTCCCCTTCTTCCTCTCTTCACCTCCTTGTGATCATCGCGCCAGCTCCTTCAGCCCTGTCGACATGGTATGTTCCCTGATCTCTTTTTCTACTGGCTATGCACATCTGCGTTAGAATAAGAAAATTCTAACTCATTCCCTCTTCAGGCTCACCGCATCGTCACCCAAGTCGTTGTTACCGGAGCCCGGGTCTTCGGCCGCGCCTTCGCCGAAGCCTACAAGCAAGCCCAGGCTTCTGGCAAATATGCTGCACAGAAGAAGGATGGTGGCAGCAGCTTCTCCTCCTCCGGCCTGACCCTCGACGAGGCCTGCAAGATCCTCAATGTCAAGCCTCCGGTCGCCGGCGAGCAAAATGTCGAACACGTTATGGAGCGATTCAAGAAGCTCTTCGACATCAACGATCCTCAGAAGGGAGGCAGTTTCTATATTCAAAGCAAGATTCTGCGCGCGCGTGAGCGTATAGAGATGGAGGCCCGAACCGCCCAGCGCCAGGCCGCTACAGAGAAGGAATTGAAAGAGGGCTGGAATCCCAAGGTCTACAAGGACCGGTGAACCACCTGACCACCTGAGAGTATTTGCGCCTCTGCGCTTTCCTCCCCTGCGTCCTCGACATTCTTCACATTCGTCCTTCGAGTCCGCGCTTCGAGCACCGTCTTTCGCCTGAGCACTCTTTCTCGCCTCAAAGTTCGTCGGGGTCCGCTCTCATCTTGATTTGGCATAGCATGGCGTTTTGGGTTATTGTGGGAAAGAGGTTTTTGTCTCTTTTATTAGATTGGGGGATCTCCCAGCTTTGGGGAGTTGTGATCTTGATCTTCACCTTGATCTTGGTCTCCCTCTCAGACCTTCGGGTCTTGTGTATACCATCTCGACCCTTTTCACCAGTCGAACCCCCCTCTTCTCCACTCTGACTCGCAAAGGAAATGTACAATAGCTTCATATTTGCACATGTATAATCTTCTACTTTGATTTTCCGTACTTTCGTATCCAATGTAGATAAAAAGTACCGGGCACAGACACTATTTTGCCACCGCCGACTGGAAATCGCGTGCAGGAACGTCCAGAGAATACCAGATCCAACCAGGGCTTCGGTCAATACCGATCATGAATCGACGATCGATCAAGCAATGAAACGATCGGGATCGGAACATCGTCTCGGATAATACACTAATCGCCCCCGCCATGGCGCGATCCGGAGCGGAGCAGCGGAGCCGGAAGCGATTTCTCTCAAAATCGCCGTCCCCTCCACGTTCTACAATGAGTTGATTCTCCAAGTTGAGCCTTTGACCATTCTGTATTCTCTCCTCAATCTCTCTCGCCGGCCACAGCCATGCGCCCCTCCACCCCGCTGTCCGCGGACCTCCCGCCACTGATAATGGGCACCGCAACCTTCAACTCGCAATACAACGCAGACCCCTACGCCCTCCCAACCACCGAACTAGTCCAGCATGCTCTCTCTCGCGGTATACGCGCCTTCGATACATCCCCCTACTACGGCCCCGCCGAAGAACTCCTCGGCCGCGCCCTCGCCTCCGAATTCGTACAATTCAATTTCCCCAGGGAATCATACCGTCTCCTCACCAAAGTCGGCCGCATTGCTTCCGCCTCATTCGACTACTCTCCAACATGGATAAAGCACAGCGTGCGCCGCAGTCTACGCCGTCTGCATACGGAGTACCTGGACGTCGTATACTGCCACGATGTGGAATTCGTGAGCCCGGCTGAAGTCCTCACTGCGGTGCGCGAACTCCGTCGTTTGCGCGATGAAGAGGGAATCTTGCGCTTTGTCGGGATCTCAGGATATCCCGTCGACATATTGAGTGAGCTTGCGGAGATGATCTTGCGCGAGACAGGCGAGCCGCTTGATATCGTCATGTCGTATGCAAACTTCACGTTGCAGAACACACGACTGCACTCGCTTGCGTTGCCGAGACTTCTCGCTGCGGGCGTGGACGTTGTGCCTAATGCGTCGCCGTTGGGTATGGGGTTGTTGAGGAGAGATGGTGTACCCATTGGATCGATGGGAGATTTCCATCCTGCGCCTGATGCATTGCGAGGTGCTGTTCAGAGAGCGGCGGACTGTGTGACGGAGCGTGGGGAGAAGCTTGAGGTTGTTGCTATTCGATTTGCTTTGGAGACATGGTTGCGCGCCGGTGCCGAGGTTGGTGGGCTGGGTGCGCCGTTGGCGAAGGGTAAGGATGCGGATCCGGGCTTTTTGTCACTTGCGAATATGGGGACTGGAAGGCGAATGGGTGTTAGTGTGATGGGCGTCAGCAATATTGATGAGTTGGATGAGACGCTGCGTGTGTGGCATAGTATTCTGGATGGGTTGGAGAATTGGACTGAGGATGACGATGGGACTGAGTTTGAGAGCGGGCTTCAACCTGCTGGATCGTCTACCCCGGATGACCGCACTGGTGCTGTTCTGTCTGCGTCGAACGTTTCTGCAGGCATTCTTACTCCCTCGGAGGGCCTTGTCACGGACCGTGCTTGGTCTCATACGCGCCGAAGTCATATCTTGCAACTGTCCAAGGAGGTCCGTGACATCCTGGGTAGCGAGTGGGTTGACTATGCATGGGCGAGTCCTGGTGTGGGCTTCAAGAACATTTTGCCTGCTGAGCACGTTATTGCCATGATGAGGCTTGAGATCGAGGGCGAGGATGAGGCTTGGCCTGCAGCCGGGTCTCCAGGAGACGTCATGCTTACGCCGCCGCTAGATGCCGAGAATCGGCTTGATTAGATGTGCAACTGTACGGTATGAACATACACGATGATCTACGGTTGTTCTTTGTGAGCGTGGGCCGTACATAGCATTGTCCATGAACCCTGTCCCCTGATATGGGAGTATATAATGAAATTAATGAAGCGTGAAGGTACTTGTTGCCTCGTTCGCGTATCAAGCTTTTACTGGCACGTGTATGTATCTATGGGGCAGGCCTCGAAGCTTGCTTCCATGTCAGTCAACGCACCTTCTAATGGCTCCTAGGTTAATCCTTCGTCAATATCAGTGAAAAGTGCAAGCTCTCGAGACCAGAGGCCTAATCCCCAACTCGTATTCCTCTCCAAAAAATCGCATATAGCGCTTCCTTGGTGAGAAGGAGGATTGGTCGGGAGCAAGATGCAATAATCACCAGGAAGGTGCGACCAGGAACCTTTTGAGGAGCTGGCCGGATTCGATTGGGTCACTAACGAAATACCCTGTACAAAAAAAAAAAAAAAGGACTAGGCCGTGCCGAGTCGAGATGTTAGTAAGCCCTGGGATGTTCTCCCATGGAAGGTAAGACCATTGTGGACGGAATCGAACTCGAATGGCGACGGCGGGACCTAAATGTGAATAGAAACAGGTAGCTCATTGATGAACTCACTTCTCATTGTGAAAAGTAATGAAGAAGGCCAGCGGCAATCGCATTGGCTACAAATGATCAGTCCGTTCCCCCTCGCTGTGTTCCCGCTCCCTCCGGCCAAACGGTATGGGTATCTCGAACTAATAATCAAACAAAATGAATCTCGGCTTCAAGGGAACTCGTCAGGGTCATCATTGCGATCGACGGAAAGATACTCGGTAGGTCAAAGCTGCTGGAGCTTGCGAGAGGCTAGCTCGATCTCGCTCGCGCTTACTTGCGGCGTGGACCGCGAGGCACGAGATGAGGTCTGTCGGCGGGATTTTGAACCGGTCTCTGAGTAGTAGTTTTCTGGGCATTTCTGTCGGGATCTACTCCAGCGGGGGATCCTCGATACCGGGCGAACTGCTGGGAGTTTTCGTACACGTGGCGGAGCTGGAATCGCTGTTCGGTGTACTCGTCGTAGTTTGCTGCGATGATGGCTTGAAGAATGCTCTTTGGTTGATTTGAATGGGCGATCTCTTGCATGCGTCGGCTCAGGCTGTCGTGCGCATCACGGAAGGCCCTGAAAATCAAGCGAATCTCCTTTGTGCCACCCGAAATATCGTTCGAAGAGTTGTTAGGGTCGATGATTGACAGGCGGTCATTGTCGCCGAAACCCTATGCTCTGTCAGTTGCTACCCGTGGCTACATAGTTTAGAGAGTCGCACCTTGTTGTAATATCCAGGCGGTTCCATGCGAAGGCCAACTCGTTCGTAGTCCATCATGAATCCATAGAAATCGAAGAAGGACATCAAAACATCCCCGATGTTGTCTTGTTTGTTAGAGGGCATGTGCTGAAGTAGACTTGTCACTAGACAGGTGATAGAAAATCCACCCAGTCCGCCAGTGGGCACTTCATTGAGGCCGCGCAGAAGCAGGAACTGCTTGATAACAGACACGATGACAGGCATGAGGGGATACTGCCGCTTCCACTCCTGGAAAGTCCGGTTTGCGATGATGCCACTGTCGTTATCAAAAGACAGATCCACCCGAATGCCAGTTAATTTGTCGATAAACTTCAGAATCGGAACTCTAGCGTGGGCAATGGTTTCAATGGAACCAGGTACTGCAATTTCCAAGCTCTTCAGATACGCAGAGAAGGCGTAGATTTGGCCCTTCCGCTCACCAAACTGCTTCCTTCCGCCCGCCATGAATCCCTTAGATAACAGGACGAGATCGATATCTGCTGTGGGCAAGTACATTCCGGAAGCAAATGAGCCAAAGGGCTTGACCGAGACAGGACCGTATCTCTGCCTGAACGCGTCGTCAAGGCGGGAAATGAGATCTTCGCGAACAATCTGCTCGTAATCGTGAGGCCTCACCCAGTTGAAGAAATCAAGAACTTCACAATGCAGCCTGATTTGAAAACGAGGTTAGAACATGCAAAGTGCGAAAAGAACGTACAAGAATACTCACTTTCGGCTTGGGTGCATTGGATAAGTATTGGACATCCAGGGGGTATCATCCTGGCCAGAGAAGGCTTTCCATTGGTAGAGAATGGATCCATCGTCCATGAAGCGGGCCCTGGGCTTCCCAGTCTTGAAGGAAACGCCTTTGCTCTCGTCGTCGCGAGTCCGTTTCGACGATGGCAACGACGGTGGCTGTTGTTCCATGCTCTTGGGGCCCTTTGGCGCATTATCGGGAGCCTGGCTTTCTGTTGAGATCACGGGGGCCGGGCCAAGAGAAATAAAATCGTCATTGTCCGTGACTGCGTCTTTCTTGGCCTCGTCCAGGCTATTCTGGAGTTTGGCCTTGCGAATCATCTTGACAACGTCCATGCGCTTGTGTTGACTCTCATCAGGAGGAGGGAGAGCAGTGTAGGGATCAGGGTTCGACCATTTCAGGGCTGTAGGTGGCGGAGGAGGTGTTGAGTCTTTGCTCTCACTTGCAATGGCGCGTCGTTTCCGGGGGCGTGAATCTTCGTCTTCTGAATTCTCTGAAAGGGACATTTCTGCCTCCTCGCTGTCACTCAAGTCCGCAAACGACGCGAACTTGGGAGCAGGCTTATCGGTCTCTTCAAACGTCAACAGCTCAGGCGTGCCTTCCCTCTGGCCCTGTAGTAAAGGTCTCTCCGAGGTCTTCGGTTTTGGGTAACGGAAAGTGAAGTCTCTGCGTCTTTGATCTCGAGAACCCCCCCCTCTTAGGGCCAGTATTTCCTCGAAACTCGAACGGCGCCATGGTGGAACGCGCGCACAGTAGCTCCAAGAAAATAACTCGGTTCGTCTGCAGATACCGTTGAACAAGATAGGAGACGTTAAATCCAGGACACTGGTTCTTGTTAGGTAGCCGAGTTTAATCCTTCAAACTAAGAAGGCAGATTTGTCGACAGCGCGTACTTGAAAAGTCGATGTGAGATTAGGAAATCGCGAGATGCACAAAAAAAAGACGCTACGGCAGAATCACGTTACGAAGGCGGTGGCTCTTTAAGAACGCCCAATGGTCATTGCACGCTATACTCAATCGGCGGACAGCTTTTGTAACCCATCCTCCATGAGTTTTACTAAATCTTTTTGAGTGGCCATTTCCGCAAAACTAACACGGTCAGGAGCCCAGTCAAGGAAGTTCTTTGCAAGCGCACCATTCCCCTGGGCCAATCCTACACTCACATCGATCAATTCTGGCCGTTCATCACAATGCCAAAACGCATTAGCTCCACAAACTTCACAGAACTCTCGATATACGCCCGTAGAGCTATTGTATCGCCGCATGGTCTTACCTTTGAACGCTAGCGGAGATCCATCCGCGTTGAAGATGTTGGCCTTTGGTACAAATGCCCAGGTCTGGATAGGAAAGCCGCACCCCAGTCGGCAAGATTCGCAGACACAGGTACCTGCAAGATATTTGGTGTTTCCATTTCGCAACCACCATTTGACATCATCAGGATTCTCTCCAGATCCGGTGTGGTACGGGACAAGCAAGTCAGCGAAAGGTGACCAAGCCCTTGTCGACGATGAGTCTGGCGGGGTGATGTAGAATTCAATCCCCCCACAATGGCAGCGTGCCTGCAGCTGAGTCCGCGATTCCGATGGATCGTGCACGAGCCTTTGCGAATGAGACTCGGTGGTATTTCCTTGTCGTCCCGAGAGAACCTCCAATCTGCAGCCACCATCCGAAGTTGGCCAACCGGGCAGATATGTGCTCAATCCGCCATCGCCGGTACCCTTGACCTGCCAGTGCTGAACTGACTGTACTGTTGGAATGTCTCCTGCTACTAATACACCCGAGGCCACTAGATATTGTCCGCTGGGCTTCACTCGAGCCAGGACGTGGGAGCCGCACGTCTTACAGAGAAAACGGCTCACGTAAGGAGACTCGCGGTACTCTCGAAGTCCTTCGAGGGTAGAAGGCTCATCCTGCATGAGGTAATATGATGTGCACAAGATCCCACTCACCGCTCGACAGTTCTGGCAATGACAAAGCTGGAGTTGAGTCTGATCCGTTGAAGGATCCAGCTGAACCGACAGTGCTACGCCTCCGCACAGACAGGTAGCCGAGCTAGACATGTGGGCTTGGACACATAGATATGCAGTTGAGAAAAATATTGTATCTCCTTCTCTAGTTCAGCTCGCAGGCGATATTCTCGCGCTGCGTCATCTGTTGTACTAGTAATCCGTAGACAAGGCGCGTTGCACAAAGAAATCAAAGCTATGGAGTAGACCTGCGTCAAATATGTGCTCAGGCGGGGCAGTGCAGAAATTCACTCGCCATTGTTAGGTTAGTAAGATGCGACATGCGTGAGAGTTCGCCAGAGTCGCATTCCGGCAAGTCACGGGCGCGGCCCCGTATATAAACCCAGCTCGGCTCTTTTATCTTCCCACACCATCGTCATACAAATCATTCTCACAGAAATCCTCGCGATAACAAACACCACTACATTCAAAATGGGTGAGTCCATCTCGTCCTCTCTGCATCTTCCCTGTGTCTTGTTTCTCTGCCTGCGATCCGACATGGCGGGGTCATGGCGGGGTTACTCGCACCCTCGTATTCCCGAATATTGCACCCTCGAATCTCGATACTGATCATGACGACAGGTCCCGATCACACCTGCAGCTGTGGCTCTTCCTGCCAGTGCCCTGCCGGCGCTTGCCAGTGCCCCGTATGTCCTTCCCTTGTCTCATCGCTATCACAACGCGCGCCGTTGGCTAACCGGAGAACCTCCACTTTCCCCAGAAATAAACAACTCACCCCCTCATGATGAGTGTCGGGAAGATGTGAGCTGATCTTTCTCTTTTGATCGAAATGCGGCAAGGATATGCGACAAGCGGAGGATCTAGCTTCTTGCTAGAAGTGTTGCCTTGAAGGGGGATGTATCACGGAGGTCTCGATGTCACATTTTCGAAATAACAAATCCTAGCTCGTCCGTTGCAGCTCGACTCTGCGTCGGGCGGTTGCCGAAGCACTTTTATCCTTCTTCTTCAAGTACCTTGTGGGCATCGACCCAATTTTTGGGTCATTAGACTCTGTAGATGGGGTGAGCTTAGTTGCTCTTCAATACCAGTCGCGACAGGACTGCCACAACACCTTTGCAGCAAACCCGCAAAGCCCTCATATAGAAACACCTTGACCAGGTACCTTGACGTAACTACGGGAATTCAGTGCCACGTTGGGTACTCGGATAGGCCAGCACATCCCGGGCGCAATTCGTCCACCGAGACTAGCATTTTTCCTAACCTGGAAATAAAATCACGGACCTTCTCTATCGAGATCTTGTTTTTATTCATCACGATATCCCCACATGGCAAGCATTCTACGACTCCTGGTAGAATTACGCTCGGCTGCTGCGGCTACCGTTTGCCGAGCATTTTCGTCGTCGAACGCGCCATAAACGATCAGCTATGTTTCGGGCGTTAAAAATGGGGACTCACTAGTTCAGGAAAGTTGCCGAGGGTCTGTTTCTCCTAGCTTGAATGATCTGGGTTCCTAACCGGCCAATGATAATCTACCTCTTCATGCAGCTACTGTATACTCCTATGTGGAGCTTTCCTCGTTGGGCCGTCGCCGCTTTATGAGCAATATGTAGAGGATTGGCTTGTGGGCAAGTTTGTAATAACGAGCCAGGACCTGCTCAGATTTACTCAAGATTCAAAAGCGGCGAGAGGCAAGCCCCGAAACGGAAATGAAGGCATCGAGTTTCAACAATATCCGATGGACGTGCATGTCGGGAGGGTCCGTGGCACAGGCAGGATATGATATGCTCCAGTAGCTTCGAACTATACAGCAGCAGGATGAAACGGTCCACAATTTCTCGGCGCGCTGCCCTGCTTGCACGCATTCTCGAAGTCTGTGCAGCAGGAGTGGACCAAAACGCAGTCGGCCCCCGATCTTTTACTCGTACGAAGGGTTAGTTGTAAGTCCCGGTGAGCGTCCAGGTAGCTCCAAGCTAGAGCTCAATTATTAGATGTCTGAGGTATGAGATCAAGCCACACGCCCTAGGGATCTTGGATGTGCTGGGATTGGTATTGGTCTCTGGCGTGGATCCCATCCGAGATATACCTCGGATTCCAGTACTCCCGTAGTGAGTTGGGCAGTCCGGTTTGCCTCTCCGTATGAAATCCCAGATGGGAGGCAATCTAGATCATACTTCACTGGAATATGCACCTCAGCATACAGGGCACGCGGCTGCCAGCGGCCAATAGGGCCTCATAGCGCCCCTCCCCCAAGGTCCTCAACTCGCACCAACACTCGGCTCCTCATAGGCTGCCACGCGGGAAATCGAATCTGCGCCGCTCCTGGCGCCGGAAAATGCATCTTGGGAATTGCCCCCACTGCTGGACGCCCGTTCCCACCGTTACCTATGACTGTACCCATGAGGTAATGAGGCCCGTCCCGAATGTGGATCGGACCAGGCGGCCAGAGCAGATCTACGCATCTCTGAAACGTGAGCGTCATCTTGGCCATCACCGTGGGCGTCACCATAGTATGATGGAGGCTCGAGGTTGGTGAGAAAGAATCTTTCCGGGTAGAGGTATCCTATGGGGCTGATCTATACGTATCTCAGATCCATCTCCCAGGCCGAGAATCGGCGAGAATAAAAAAGATGGTCTAGTCTTGTTTGCGAGCCCCATAATCATAAGACGGACATAACATGCCTGCCCCATATCGAGCCATACTTTTGACAAACGAGACCAGCACAGGGCTGGTCCAGGAAGGGAAGCTCGACAGCGTAGGAGCCCTTCAGTCCGAAAGGAACAAGGCAGCCTGCCACATAAGCCCACATCATCTGCATGAATCTAACCGATCCGAGTCTCGCCGGCAGCTTGATCTGCATGAGTGGACGACTCACGATACAGACCCCAAGAAAACAGATCGGATGCATGGTTCCCCTCTATCGTAGCGGATATAATTGGGTGACCGGCGCTGAGAAGAGGCTATTCATTGGTGACAGCGTTAGAGTCAGTCGATGCGGGTAGCGCGTGAGAAGGAGTGGAGTGAGAGGAGACGGTGGGTTTCCCTTTGACTCGAACCACGCCATGGAAGGGGGGTAATGGAGTGTCCGATGCTCCGATAGGCAAGTAGGTACCTAGGTAGTAGAACGACATCAAGAAATCAACGGGTCGGAGTGCAGCGCTGCGTGGAATCAAAGTATAAAGCCATGCTCACAACCCCTCTCAATGTCGTTTCTCAAGCCAGATCAATCCAATCACTTATCTCAAGTCTTTTCGTGGTTCATCCCATCAACACTATATTCATCATGTCTCCCTGCACATGCAACTGCTGCTCCGGCGACTGCAGCTCCTGCTCCTGCTCTAGCTGCACTGTGAGTTCCCCCGTTTCTGGAAATTAACGATAGAATTCTGATTATTCTACCAGCACTAAGCCGGCTCACAAGCCCTCCGCACTGCCGTCCTCCTCCACCTCGACAACGCATACCAGGCCCGGCCTGCCGCTGCTCTCCAACTAGGACCGGCTGTCGGTGTATTGTATGATCATTTACCATGTATAATGTCTATGTCTGTCCTGAAGGGCTGGAGCCTTTTGGATGGGGTTGGGTTCAAGCCTTGTCTTTTTGACTTTGTGTATGTCTGTGCTTTTAAGGCTGTCTATGCCGTGCAACAATATAACTATGTGAAACCAGCAAGAATCCTTGGAAGATGCTGTTGTAGGCCCTGGAGCGTAGTCAATGATTTAGAGTATGAAGATGATCCGTGGTGGTTTGGAGATCAATAACCAGCCTGGAAGCGTTTGATAGGATTATGAAAACTTGTGACTATATGGAAACAAACTCGCTGGAATTTACTCGGACAAAATGTCTGAATGCTCAAAGTACATCAACCTTTGTAGAAATCGGGAAGATACTAAACAGCACAGAAACACTAGACACAAATGCAATGCAATATCTACCACCAGAGAGAGCTCACAGCTCATCCTTCGAGCGGGGTGCGACGTTGTCATCCTCGCCACTATCACAAACAGCCGGGGTAGTCACAAGCATGGAATAAACACATTTCTCATCCTCAGCAGTCTTCAAGATCTCGTTCTCTTCTCCGCACTCCAGAACAACCTTAGTCGACCGGTTAGGGCCGTTCCAGCAATTCTGACCGCGCTCATACTCGAGGGCGACCTTCTCGACGGTAACAACTTCGCCGGCCTCATTGGTTTCCTCGACGGTCGTGGATCCGATTCGGACGAACTTGCCCATCGACATGGAGCTACCACCCTTGCGCTGGTTCTGCTTGGTGCTTTCCAGGAAACAATGCTCGTAGGTGTACTCGCCTGCATCTTGGGAAATGCACTGGCCCTTGAGGGCACGGAATATGCCTCCGTGGCCGTAGTCCTTTTCGAGATCGGCTGTCTGATCACGGAGCTTGTTCTTCAAGTCTTTCAACTCGCTCTCGCCGGATTTCAGAGCATCACGCGCCTCAGTCACGGCCTTGGACTCGGAGGTTGAGTCTTCCTCGGACTTGGTCAGAATCCCACCAATCTCAAGGATAGACCGGACGGAGAGGATCTTGTCTTCAAGGAAGGTGACGAGGGATGGCGGGAGGTAAGCTGCGACCTTGTAGACTGTTGTTTCTTGTCAGAAGCCGGATGTATCAATCGGTATTAGGTGGTAGCTTACTCAAGTCGGAATCAGCGCATCCATCTTCCTCCTTCTCCCAGTGCTCCCAGTCGACACCAGAGTTCTCGTCATCGGCCTTGGCGATCTCATCCAGATCACGGTCCCGAGCACCGTTGAATTCTTCGCCCAGTCCTCGAGCGGCGTAATCTTCCCAGCTGCGCACAGCGCGCTTAACACCCTCATCGTTGAAGTTTGGGTTGTATTCAACCTTGAAGTTGGAGAGAACCTCCTCAAGCTCCTTCAATCGGGAGCGAGTCTCGTCTCTCTGCTGGCGGACCGCCACCAGCGCATCGCGCAGCTCGTTGACCCGGTTCTTAGCAACTCCGGCGAGGGCATTGACCTTGCCCTTGCCACTAGTCCGAACGACCTTGCGCTCCTGCTCCTCGACAGTCTTAAGGCTAGACTCGAGACCCTGGACCTTAGCCTCAGCGCCCTGAATTTCCGCCTCCAGACGAATAATGTGGTCTTCAACCTCCTTCTGCTGCCGCCCGGCATCCACAAGAAGGTTCTTCTTCTTCCTCAGGGCAGCAGTCATGGATTTCTGACGCTGCTCTTCCTTCTTCCGCCACTGCTTGCCAATCTCCTTGCAACGGTCCTCACACTTGGTTCCGCCAACGCGCGCCCACTCGTCACTGCCATCACAGCACTGCTCGTAATCACAGATTCCGTCGTTGACACGGTGGAAAGGCACGTATGATGGCTTATGGCCCTTGTTCTTGCAGTAGAACCCAGGCAGCGCGAGAACAAGATCCATTCCATCGTTTCCTGGACGCTCCGCAACGGTCAGCGGGGAATTGCGCGAGAGGTGCGCGCAGGCAGCGGTGCCAGGCTCGTCACTTCCATCCGGGCAATCGCAGAAGTCATCATTAACGGCCGAGAAGGGGATCTTAATAGCGGGATTCGAGATACAAGTAAAAGTCTCCGTGTCCTGGTAGAACTTGGCAACTATAAAGTCAAAAAATTAGTCCGTTGAAAAGAAACAAAGCCACCAGACTTCATATGTAGACCCATTGATCGTCCCTAGGTGGTGGACACCTCGTCCGGGGGTGGGGATTATACTCATGGTCTAGGAACTTACATTCAGGAGCAACGCCCCGAGGACGAGTCTTATCGCTGCTGGCCCGGGCCGTGGACCCGGCCGCAGCCAGCAGAAACAGCGACTGAGGGAGTCTCATGTTTGAGGCATTGAGCTTGGAGATGTGGAGAGAGCTTCCGGCCAGCTGTTGATACGGGCTAATCGGCGGCTGACTAAGCGCGCTATCTTCCTCGACTTTATCGTGGCGATTCGCTATCATCTGCGCAACCGTCTACAAAAGTCCGCTAAGATGGGTAATGACGGTGGAAGGTGAGACCTATTCTCACAGACGAGACACTGGCGATTAATCCAAGCTAACAAATACCTCCAGTATCCCCACCCGCCGCGAACTCGTCCGCGAGGCCGCCCGCGCCCCAAGCACAGCGCAAATCAAAGAAACCCAGCGCGAACAGCAAGAACACGCCTGGACCACCTGTCCCTTATCACACAAAGTTCTCGCACGCCCGATAGTCTCAGACTCGGTCGGGAACTTATATAATAAAGACGCCGTGCTCCAGTTCTTGCTCCCCGGCGACGACGGCGAGGGCATCAGCTCCAAATCCGATTGCGAGGAGATCATCTGTGGGCGAATCAAGTCTCTCCGTGATGTGATCGAGCTGCACTTTGAGGTCGACACCGAACGCAACGAGCACCCATCCGACCGCGCGCATGCGCACCGCCATGAGCGCCGCGAGGGCTGGATCTGCCCGATCACGGCGAAGCCGCTCGGTCCTGCTGTGAAGTCGGTTTATCTGGTTCCCTGTGGACATGTTTTTGCTGAGGAAGCGATTCGGCAGCTTAAGGGTGATAACTGTTTGCAGGTTTGTATTCCCTCTATACTAGAGCGTATGACGTACAGCTAACATTTGTCCAGTGTAACGAGCCTTACACTGAAGATAACATTATCTCGATCCTACCGACGAAGGCAGAGGACAAGGAGCGTCTTATGGCTCGTGGTGCAAAGCTTGCTGAGCAGGGCCTTACTCATTCTCTGAAGAAGGCGCCTGGTTCGAAGAAACGTAAGAAGCATGCCGCCGACGGCGACGAGGCTAAGAAATCTACGCCCGCATCTGTCAATGGGAATGGCATTAAAAATGCCGCGACAGCTTCGCTTACCGCTCGTGTGTTGAGTGAAGAGAAAGAGAAGAATAAGAAGCGCAAGATGATGGGTCTGAGTGATAACTTGGACAGCCTCTTTACCAAAGACAGCAAAGACGGCAAGAAGAGTGGTGACTTCATGACGAGAGGATTCAGTATTCCTTCTTCAGCGCGTCGTTAGTCTCTTTGCTATTTCTTCGATCTTTTGAATCCGTGGCTCATGGGAGTTAGTTATTGCTTAGGAGTCATCAGGAGTTTTATTACGGATTGGGGGGTGGCTGATACCGACTACACCAGCCGAAATGCGTGCTGGAGCACAGCTTGTATATTTTCGAAATGACGAATCTTCAATGAACCAAAAAATTGCAATTGAAAAGTATTCTAGTATACATAAAAGATGTCCTGATATCAAAACGACAGATGCCTCGAGAATGTGCAACGAGCCCATCCTGCTAAAAAAAATGCTCATACATCTCACTAAGATCTTTACAAAGATGCCACTGCATCATCAATACTCAGGCTCGAGCCCGGTGGCTTTCTCGATAGTCCGGTTCTTGTTGCCCCTCTGTTTCCGGACGATAAGTCCGCGGCGGATGAGCTCAGTGTAGATGGCCTTCTTACGACCCAGGGACTCGTCCTCGTCGCCCTTCGAGAGGCGCTTCTTAGAGAACTGGATGTTGGGCGGTAGGGCGCCGACACTGGCTTGCCTGGCAAGCTTCTTGGAGACGTTAATGGGCTTCTCCTTCAGTGCGGTGGAGAGGGAGGCGATGATTTCTCCGACGGTGGTAGAGGAGGTAATGGCGGCGTCGGGGATGCGGCGGCCGGTCAGCTGGGAGAATCGCTTGATGAACTGTGAAATTGAGTGTCAGCGCGGTATCTTGGGGGGTTGATTGGGAGCGAGCGTACAGCAAACTTAACAACGGGGTCGGCTAATGAGAGGTCACGAGGAGCCTCCGCGGAGGTTTTCTCCTGGGAGATGAAGGTCTCGGGAGACTCGATGGTCTTCTCGGTCTGAACGCCAACCTGGTTAAACACAAAGATAAGTGCCTCCATGGTTTGCTGGTCCGGGAAACGGAGGCCAGTGTTCCATTGCTGGGTCTCGGAGCTTCCAACGGCGCAGCCATCGATCAGTTCCTGGATCTGTTCGTAGTGTTCGCCAATCTCGGAGACGCTAGCGAGGTCCTTGCCCAGCATAGCCATCAGAGAGATTTCGACAGCGGCCTGGTGAGCGGCAGCGGGAATGGGTTTGGGGGTGACATCGGCGCCGAATCTGCAGTTGTCCATTGATTAGAATTCGTGGTCATTTTGGTTGGAGTGCAATTGAGATCTCCAAAGGTCATGATTATGATCAACGTACCTCTCGTACTCATCAACCGGGCTTCGGCCATTGAACTTCCAAACCTGCTCCTTAGTGTGGCCAATGCGCTTCAATCCATCCCAAGTCTGCGCCTGAACATATGCAGAACCATCCTGCAACTCCTCACCCTCTGCCGGAGCAGCGAGATCTCCCTCCCCTTTCTCAGCCCCGGGCACCAATTGAGACTCTCCGGTGTAGGGATCCGCTGGGCCTGGAGCCTTGTTGCCCTTCCAGAGTGATGAGCGAGTCCGTTCTAGGACAGACGGGGAATCGGACGCATAGTGGCGGATTTGACGAGCGAGCGGCGAGATGCGTCGCGGGGCTTCGGACCTGCAGTTCGAGCAGACATACAATGCCTCTCGGAAAGGCAATCGCATGGAGGGGCGCATGGTTGCGGTGTGAGTTGATTTGGAGGCCTCGAATTGTACGGCAACTTTTGCTCGGCGAAACAAATCTGAGGATCCGTGTCACGTGATACAATGCTTGGCATTTCGCGATCGCGGAGATGATGCTCAAATATTTGTATGAGGTTTGTTCATTCCGTAAATATTTCGACTTCTCTTAGACGCTATCATTATAGCTCGGATACTTGGTTGAAATTATTTGATATTGTGCTAAGTACACGGCGTGAAATGAATAGTACGATTATACTGTGGAGCACCTTCAGTACTACCTACAGGTACAGAAAATAGAGAAACAGAGAATCCAAGAGAGTTTGCTCTGACGAGTCACCTTGAAAATAATTAAGTTTGAATGACGATGATACCGGGGTTTGACGGTCATAAGTGTTTAAGCCCGAGAGTATTCGGAGACATCGATTAGCCTCGCGGTTAAGATCCCTCTCCACTTCTTTTGCTAAAGCAGCAATACGAGACTGGAAATGGTATAAAAGACCAAGAAAAAACCACTTTGTTAAATTACTCACAACCTGACAACTGCATCCCCTTCGCCAACATGCCAGCTCCATACAACGCCAACACCACCGCCACGGAACTGGTCTCCGAATACGCATCCCTCATCAAAGGCAAAACCATCCTCGCAACGGGTGTCACTCCGGGGACCCTAGGCGGCTTCTACGTCCAAGTCATTGCAGCGGCAAACCCAGCCAACATTGTCCTAGCCGGCCGCAACCCGATTAAACTCCAACAATGCGAACAGGAGATCACCGCTAAAAACCCCGATGTTCACGTCCGCACGTTGCAGGTCGATTTCAGTTCCCTGAAGAGTGCACGCGATGCTGCAAGCCAGGTGAACAGTTGGGACGATATCCCCGTCATCGACGTCCTAGTCAACAACGCCGGTATCATGGCGGTGGACTATAAGTTGTCCGAGGATGGTGTTGAGTCGCAATTCGCGACGAATCATCTGGGGCCATTCCTATTCACGAATTTGATCATGGGCAAAGTCTTGAAGTCTGATGCTCCGCGGGTCGTGATGGTTACTAGTGATGGACATCGATTGGGTCCGATAAGGTTCCATGATTACAACTTTGATGTGAGTTTGCTTATTGAACACCGATATTTGGGAAACTGATGTTAATGGCTCTTGTAGGAGGGCAAGACATACAACAAATGGTATGCCTACGGGCAATCAAAGACAGCTAACATGCTGATGGCGCTCTCTTTGGCGAATAAGATGGGCATTAAGCATGGGTTACAGGCCTTCAGCCTGCATCCTGGTGTGATTCGTACTACGAGCCTAGGGAAGCATTTGGATTGGGAGAAGACTGATATGGCAGGGCTGTGTAGGTGACTTGGATAAAATTCTGGTGTGACGGTGCTGACTGGTGATTAGTGAGTGCTGATAAACTACTTGGCAATGTCGAGGGCTGGAAGGGGTTTAGTCCTAAGAGTCTGGACCAGGGCGTTGCGACGCATGTATATGCTTCCTTTGATACGTCACTGAAAGGTATGTTCGAATATTATTTTGAAAGAAGAACTGCGTGACTGATGAGTTTACAATTAGCCAACAATGGAGCCTATCTCATCGACGCGCATATAGCAGATCCACTTGAGGATACGGTGAAGACATGGGCAACAAGTAATTTCGAAGCCGAAAGGCTATGGAAGTTGAGTGAAAGCCTGGTCGGCGAAACATTCCCCTACTAGAGCTACACTTCGAGTCAGATGTTAAGAATAAATTGAAGCATCACAATTTATCTATTGTACGCACTAATGTATATACAATGCATCGCTGATATCATACTGCAATAAAAAAAACACAAATTATACACTTTTTACTCCCGAACAAACATACCAGCCATGCCCATGCCGGTACCAATGCACATGCTGACAACACCGATGTCCTTACCGCTGCGCTCAAGCTCAGGGATCAGATCGGCCAGCTGACGGGCACCAGTAGCACCGAGAGGGTGACCAATAGCAATAGCACCACCGTTGGGGTTAACCTTGGCCTCGTCAATGCCACACTTGCGAACACTGTACAGAGCCTGCGAGGCGAAAGCCTCGTTGATTTCCCAGACACCGACATCAGAGACCTGGATACCAACGGTTTCGAGAAGCTTGGGGATGGCAACGGCAGGGCCGACACCCATCTCATCAGGAGCACAGCCAGCAACGGCGGTAGCGACCCAGCGGGCCTTGATGGAGCCAGAGAGACCGAGCTCCTCGGCCGTGGAACGGCGCATCAAGAGAGAGGCGGCGGCACCGTCGCTGACCTGGGAGCTATTACCAGCGGTGCTGGCACCGTCGGCCTTGAAGGCGGGCTTGAGGGAAGCAACCTTCTCGAGAGTAAGGCCGTGGCGGATACCATCATCCTGAGTGATGGTGACCTCCTTGCCCGGCGCCTCGGGGTGCTCGGGGTCATAGTGCTTAGTAGTAACAGGGACGATCTCGCTATCGAAACGGCCAGCCTTCTGCGCGGCAGAAGCCTTCTTGTGCGATTCGACGGAGAAGGCATCCTGATCCGCACGGGAAACGCCATACCGCTCAGCGACGTTCTCGGAGGTAAGACCCATGGGCATGATACAGTCCCGCGCATCCTGGGAGTGGGACTCCTTCAGCTCGGGCCAGAGAACGGTGGGAATAGCGCGCGAGCCGTAGTTGCGGGTCATGGACTCCATACCACCGCCGACACCGACGTTCAAAGCACCCGAGCGGATACCGTAGGCCACGGCTGTGATGGCGGCCAGACCGGAGGAGCACTGGCGGTTGATAGTGTTGAAGGGCACGGAGTGAGGGGAATCCAGCGTGGATCTGAGCCATGCGGCCTGCCTTGGCGCCACCGAGCTCCTGGAGGACGGAGCCGATGGTGACATCGTCGATCAGTGCAGGATCCAGGTTGGGGTTGGCCTTGAGGGTCGCGCGCAGGACGGAGGCGAGCAGCTCTTCCGGGTAAGCGTCCTTGAAGCCACCCTTCTTCGCGCGGGTGACGGGAGTGCGCAGAGAGGAGAGAATGACAATGTCATTAGGCGACTTGGCGAGGACCTGCTTGAGGCCGCGGGGAATTGGTGAGGCCATATTTGGTGGTTTTATGTGGAGGTTGAGGCTAATGTTGGGGTTGTAGATATGCCGAGAAGTGTCGGAGCTACCTCAGGTCAATGCAATTTCCGGTGAGTAACGAGGTTCACCTGGATACTGCAGATGGGAGGATGTAGAAGTAAAGAATCTTGACCCCGTAAAGCACCGAAAACCTCCCCAAACTTCCGCGGCAAGACGGTCTTCAAGGAAAATGCCGGGCGAGTATCCGGGGTCGGAAGCGGCGAGCTCGTTCACTCCCGTTGCTGCAGCGTCCGCCGCCCCGGCATTGAAGATCGGCTAAGGACTCAGCCGCGAAAGTGTGGGGATTATATCGGGGGTTTTAAGCCATGAACTAGTCATAGTCATGAAGAAATCTGATTAGAACTTAATTGAGAGCACCTGCTAGTCTTTTTGCCAATCTTTTCTGAATATACAATTCACCAATAACCCGGCTGGTTGTCTCCGAATCGCCCTCCACTATGAGCCGAATATGATTACGTCATCATATCGGGTCGGAACTGGAGCGGAAGCCGATGATTTGCCGTTGAACCTACGCTGTACTTGTTTAGTAGATTTGAGATGAGAGGAAAAGCCTGAATATCAATGACATTATTAAATGCTTTGTATTGTTCCGTCAGGATTTTTCAAGTCGCAAGATATCCAATGTTGTTGATAACCTACTTTATTAGGTGGACAACCTACGTTACTACGTAAGTCTAGGGAACAGTCTACGGACTTGTCGAGGGCTCATCGTATGGACTTGAGGCTCGCTCACGGACCTACGTCGACTTCCAGAGACTCAAGAGTAAAGAGCTAATGTAAGAATGGCCCATATTGCTCGAAATTATGTCCGCGATATGAAATGTAAAGTAAAGCGTAAGCGAAGAAAAACTGCTGACCGCAGACACAACGTGATAGACCCAGGCGTAGCTTAGTAGCCACAAATCACCTCAACTGACCTGACAGTGGTACTGGACTGACAGCTCAATTGAATTGATAGTTCCATCGTCTCATCAGTGCGTTCAACTCTTTCTTCATAGGTGGGTATCGCAAAGCATGCGCCGCCAAACTGACAGCCAGCTCGTTCTGGGAAGAATCTACTTTCCAGAACTTGACGCGAATCTTGCCCTTCCCCTCCAGGTAAACCAAGTAGTCGTCGATCTGCTTCCAGAGCTTCTGGTTTGCAATGGGCTTACCATTACCCCGTTTCCAATCCTGATTCTTCCACTTTTCAAGTAAACCCGTGACATTCATGACAAAGTCAGAATCAGTCTTGATAACGACCGTATGTAATCTGGAAGGAACTTTCTCATGCCCATTGCTGCGGTTTCGCGACCACTTTTCCATATTGTGTGCCACGTGAGAGAGAGCTGCTATCACGGAGTACAGATTCGCTATCTGGCTTGTACAGCGCTCAAGGCCATCGAGAGGTTGGCGGAGGTTTTTGGGACTCTCGCCAAACCAGACACCAATTGCCCCACGCGCGGTATCTGTGCCATCCCCGGAGCAGGATCCGTGGATTGAAATCACAGGGGCTTCCATATGGGGAGCTAAATGACCGTGTCTGCAAGGCGGGGTCACGGGGCAGGCGAGGAAGATGAATTGGCCCACGCCAATCTGGATGCTTGTCATGGGTTGTTTGCCGGGGTAGAGATGTCCAGGGTTAAAGTAACGGTCTGATGCTGGCTGGTTTCCAAGACCGGAGGGTCGAGGTAAGCAGAAAGTGAGCGGACATAAATGGCTTTCTGGAAGATCGTGGTCTTCATGCGAGTGGTCTTGGCTAGATTCATAAGGACGAGAGTAGACGTCCAGACCGATTATTTGCTCTGCGATGTTCCCACGAGTGGTTGGGCTCATATTGCTCCCAACCATACCGGTATTGCCGGTGGCTACGGTGCCATGGTCCGTTGGGCTTCTGACCTCATGGCTGAAAACAGAAGCAGTAGGTGGAGATAAAACCTTTCAAAGAAGATTATTTAGTACCAGTAATAGGATGGAATGAGTTGCACGTACCAGAGAAGCCAAAGTCGTCGATACGGCCTGAGTCGCAGCAGGCCAAATATTCATATTGCTCTTCCTCTTCTGACGTGCCTTTTCCGCCATACTCCGCGGCATGGTGGATGGGGGTTGTCAAAGGTGGTTCAAGGAGGTAGATTTCTGAGATTGGAGGTTGTAGGGTGTAGGAGTAGACGGGAGGGAATCGTAGCTGTGAGAGATTAACGTGAAGCTCGGGGTAAGGCGTGGCTCAGTGAGAATTGCCCAGAGTATCAAACGAGCCGACAAGTGGAATAGATTGTAAACAAAGAGGATGTACAATGTCTTGGTGTGGGATGGAACGGGAGGCGCAAACAAAGAGCATCTCAACGTCACTTTCATTCTCAATGAGTACATAAGCTCTATAAGGCCACTAAGAGGCTATTCTTGTGGCTAGGACGTTTTCGCAGTGCCTAATGAGTATATAAGCTCGATATAGCATTCATATGACAGTTTAAAGAAGACAATTGGAAACAAGAATAAAAAGCTAATTGGACTTAGAGGCACTTACTTCGCTACCTAGTTTCTAAGTCTCTTCGAAAATTAGGTTCACAACCAGGTCTGTACCGTTATTATAAGTACGAGAGAGGGAAAAGGGAAGCAGAAGGATTGAAGTATTGTTGGCTTTGTACTTCCGGGCTTTGATTTCAATGGGATTAGGTGTACATTTCGCTATATTATTCTCTTGCATGAGGTTAGCTTTTGTTTGTATAGCTATGTATTACAACCTGCGATTTTGGAAATAACATCTCGGGAATACCAGGTCCTGCATCGATTCAAATATATATAAAGAGTGCTGGAAAGAAGTTTAAGAAGGTGGCCAGACAGACGGCCTGAAAGCAGTTCAGAATCATATCTAGAAGACCAAAGAGATCCTCCGGGGGCCTACGAGGAAAGTCGAAACATTTCGAATACGAGAAAAACAAGCTACCTACAGGAATAACATTGCGCCTGGGCAACTAGGGTTGAGCTGATTGAGGTTTCCATGAACCAGATGAAATGCACATTGAAGCGAATAAATTGAAGCCCGGGAACTCCATCCCAATAAAGTTTTTCATCTCAATATTAAACACGGAGGAAATCGTGAAGCCGATGGACTGAAATATCTACTCGGTGTTCTTCACCAAGAGAATTCGGAAAAAAAGCAAATGGGGTATGATACATTAAAATTAGAGAAAAAGCCAACGTCTGCATCTGGGAGCTCGTTGACATTCAATCAAGCGCGCATAATATGGCTGTAATGTCCAGGAACGTGGCAACGACACTTCTCGCAATCAGCTCGGTAACCCATGACCAGCGCAGGTTTCTTTCGCTGAGTCGGAGTGATCTTGGCAGCCTGCTGCATCAGATCTTCGACGGTTTGCCGCGAGTATTGACCCATTGGCGGGGTGCTGGGTCGGAACCCTTGCACCGGAGATGTCTGTTGCGAGTATGACATGTCCATCTCGTCGGTGGGGGTCTTAGGTCCGTTGGCCATTTCTGCGTCGCCGTCGCTGACTGGGCTGGGGAGCCGAACCCGATGCACGGAATGTTGCACTTCTTTGTGGAATGACACGTCCATCATGTTGGCGTCTGGTGGCTGGGACGCGATGGGCTGGGGAGGGAAATAGGTCGTGGTCGACCGGACTGAATGCGTCGCGCAGAGATTGAGCGAGTGGCTGACCATACCGTGGGGGATTGGGGAGGGCTGGGTGCTGTGCAGGTGGTGACCGGTCACCAGCCAGGGTGAAAGCTGGTCTCCGCCTGCTAGCACCGCGAGATGCTTCGCGGCGGAGCTAGGGCTTAGCTGGAGGGCCGGGGGTCGGTTGCCGTGTACCGATTTAGCGGGGCTGGTGCCCATGATAACCTCATGTTTGTCTTCATCGTCAGAGGAGTCAACCGGCGTGAGTGCCGCGTCGCGAAAGCGCAGGGTTTGGTCGAGGTCTGTCGCATAGTCTGGGACTGTCCCAGGGACAGTCTGCCAGGAGGAACCGTACTTGAGAGACTTCACTGAGAGTCAGCATTGTTCAATACAAGAAACTGGCAGTGGGCTAAACGTCGCGAGACGTGATGTGGATGTGGGAGTGGAAGTGACAGAAGTCCTTACCTTGGGATCATGAGAGAAGAGCTCCTCCTCGGAATCGTCCTCACGGGAACGTTTCAGCGACGGAGCCATGATTGTGACGTGGAGATCCTCAGCAAAGCCCCGAACTCACCCCGGGAAAGTAAGAAGTAAGGGTGGAGAAGTGGCAGCTTTCGGTAGTTGCCGTCATCGCGACCGAGCGGAGCCTTCTCCACCGCACTCGGGCTCGTCACATTTTTTACCTTAACTTCTTTGAGCATAATGCGATTTCCAGCCTCTTCAATTGGTCCCCCCCCTGCTGATCAATTCTACCACTAAGAATGGCTCAATGGCACACACACTTGTACTAGTCCATATCCACTCGAATCGGGTTCCTGGTACCTGTTAAGGCGTACCTTAGCCACTGTTATGTATCTATTATGTACTCGGTACCGATATCGCAGGCCTGAACACTAAGCCCTGAACGCCGTGCCACTCGAGTGTTTGCCAATGTGATTGTCTTGCACAGACATTCACCATGCGTCCATGTCACGATCATCAGGTGTGCTCGGATTAATGGATGTGAAGTCCCACCGTAGTCACTGTCGCACACGGAGCTGAAGAAAAAAACAAAGTATCTGCAGAGAAAAAGGGATCGCCACCCAATGGCGATCCTCCGACACCGCTAGATCCGGGATCTATGGTCACACTTGAAGCGAGGGAGGCATCTAGGTCTAGACAGTATATGGAAAATAGGAAAGTGACAGATCAGAGAAATATCCCTGTCCGATCATTAAGCTGGTAATAAAGGAACAACATATAAACTGTGAATCATCGGCCCACTTTATGCCCGTCGCCTTTTTTACTTCGAATCCACACTTTGCCTTCCCGTTATTCTTCGTTTCTGCAATTTCTGCTTTCTACTCTCTACTCTGTACTTTCTTTTCAATCTCAGGATTGCTTTTCTTCACTTTCAGGAAGTCATTCTCATCCACGACAGACCCTGTACTTGATCGGCTCACCCTGCACCATGCCTCTCGTCAAGACCACCGAAGTCAACGAGGACACTCGTGGTAAGTGTGCACTGGTTCCTCGCTAGAGATCCAATTCCTGGCCTCCTTACTGACTGCGATCGCTTCTCTGTGGACAGTCCTCGGCTACGACCCTTTGCTGTCGCCCATGTTCCTCCAGACCGAGATCCCCGCGGTGAGTCATTTTTTTTCTTTCACCCCGCCTTCACATTCGCGCGAACAAAAACTGACGAACACTTCGTTACCAGCCTGACCGCGCCATTGAGGTCGTTCGCCAGGGTCGCAATGAGGCTGTCGAGATTATCGAGCAGCGCGATGACCGTCTGCTGGTCATGGTCGGCCCTTGCTCCATCCACGACCCCGACACTGCCCTTGAGTACGCTCGCCGCCTGAAGGAGATCTCCACCAAGCTCTCCAAGGACCTCTGCATCATCATGCGCGCCTACCTCGAGAAGCCCCGTACCACCGTTGGCTGGAAGGGTCTGATCAACGACCCCGACATTGATGAGTCCTACAACATCAACAAGGGCCTCCGCGTCTCTCGCAAACTCTACGTCGACCTGACCACCACCGGCCTCCCCATCGCCAGTGAGATGCTCGACACCATCTCCCCCCAGTACCTGGCCGATCTCATCTCCCTCGGCGCCATCGGTGCCCGCACCACCGAGTCCCAGCTCCACCGCGAGCTGGCCTCCGGTCTCTCCTTCCCCATCGGCTACAAGAACGGCACCGACGGTAACCTTACCGTCGCCGTCGACGCCATCGGCGCTGCCTCCCACCCCCACCGTTTCCTCGGTGTCACCAAGCAGGGTCTGGCGGCCATTACCAAGACCTCTGGCAACGAGCACGGCTTCGTCATCCTGCGCGGAGGCAACAAGGGCACCAACTACGACCGCGAAAGCGTCCGCACTGCCCGCGAGGCTCTGCGCTCTAAGAAGCTGCGCGAGGTCGTTATGGTTGACTGCTCCCATGGCAACTCCAAGAAGAACCACCTTAACCAGCCCGTCGTCGCGAAGGAGGTCTCTGACCAGCTGCGCGAGGGTGAGACCGGTATCATCGGTGTCATGATCGAGTCCAACATCTACGAGGGTAACCAGAAGGTTCCCCCGGAGGGACCTTCTCACCTCCTCCGTGGTGTCAGTATCACCGATGCCTGCATCAACTGGGAGATGACCGTTGACACTTTGAACGATCTTGCCGACGGTGTTCGTGCCCGTCGCGCCATTCTGAAATCCAAGGCCAATGGTGCCAACGGCTCCCAATAAATGAGGTTGATAGGCAGTTTGGATTCCTTTTTGATCACCTGCTTCCGTGAGTGGGGTTTGATATAGATACCTATTTCCAAACCATTCGAAAATTGCAGCGTTTTCGTGTTTAATGTTACTTTATGTGGACATGGTTTTTCTTTGTTTTTTTCCTTTTCAAATGTTCAAATGTTGTCAGGGTCGGATTTTCCATAGCTTTCCCCAGGTTTGAGACTTTGAACCCCAGGGGGACCCACTCTAAAAGTCCAGAATTTCAATTGACAGCTTCCTGTTCCTGATTTAAAGTGTTCCACCGATCTACCAGATCCTTTTCCTTGCTCCACTGTGGTGCAGGGACCAGGGGATGGGGGGAGGTGCAAGATTTGCGATGTTCCAGGGGAAAGCGCTCTGCCGGGAACCCGATTTGGGATGGCGCCACCTGTTTGTGGACCGGTGGGAAGACGTTTTTCCCTTATTACCACCGTAGACGGGCTTTTGAATTGAGTGAAGGGCTGGACGATGGTCTAGTGGAGACGTAGTGATTGCCTAATGCCTAAGACTGGTCCTTGTGTTAAGGGAGGATTGTGGGTGGGAGAAAGGAGCAGATTTTCTATGTACTGTACACTATATACACGCCCCCGAGGACTTCGCTACTAATTCTGGTAGAAATACAGCCCAAGGCAAAGAAAAAGAAATGATGCAACGCCGGAAAACCCCTATCACAATGGATGCAGGCTGCGGAGCCGCAACTCGCCATGCAAGAAAAATGTCACACTTCATAGCGCGGGAAGGGAGATTGGGACTGGGACTGGGACTGGCACCCGACAATTAAGACGCCCGCAGGATGCTGGAGAGGAGATGGGGGAGGATGGCATCGAAGTCCCAGGTCCCGATCCCGATTCCAATCTTTGATGTCGCTTGTCGTTTCGCAGGCGAGAAAAGAAAAAGGGAAAGACCCGGTCCCGTCTACCGCCCCGTCAACCAGCTAGTCCAGCTGCGCGTCTTCTCCTTCGCTGCGCGCTCCGCATTCTCGGCCATCACATCCAACTGCCCAGGCATCGGGCTTCCGGTCTTAGCAGCAGCAGCACCAAAGGCCTGCTTCGCCTTGACAGCTTCAACAACGCTCGTCTGGGTGGCATCGGCCGCTGATGTCGCAGCAGCGGAAGTCTGCACGGCGACGGTACCGGCGTCCTCAGGATTCATCTTGTCGAACAGGAAACGCTTCGCCTTGGCCCATGGCCGCTGTGCCTTCTCCTCCGCCTTCTTCCGCTTGAAGATCTCCTCGATATTATCCTGCTTGACAAGCTCGATTTGTTCGGCAGTGGCAGTACCGTTGGCCTGGGCGATGCGGGCCTGGTTCAAGATCTCGGTTTCTCTTTCGATCCACAGGGTACGCTGGCGACGGTTATAGAGTGTCAACGAGACCATCGAGTAAGCTGTAAGGACACCACAGACACCTATTCAAAGTAGTCAGCATCATACCATCAAGCAATCTAATCCCAATGGTCACGTAGCATAACAAATCAATGTTTGCTGTCTGACGTCCGGGGTCGAGTCTGGATCTTCATCTTCCCCAGACACGGTGCACGGTGCACGGTGCACGAAACAAGGACAGCCACATACCCGACGCAACAATCAGCGAATAAACCATTCCCTTGTGAGCCCTATTGGCCACCCGACGACCAATCTCAATAACCCGGTCCATGCCTGACGACGACTGCGTCATCCGCGCCGCCCGAGCCTGTGCCCGCAATCGTTCCACCTTCTGCTTAGGAGTCTCCGGCTTGCCATCAGGGCCCATCTGCGGCGTCCTGGGCTGGGGAGCCGCGTTTCCCTGCTGCTTCATGGAGCTGGGAAGCTCGTAGGGCGTGCCATTGGGCTTGGAGGATGCGTAGGGGCCCGTGGCCGTGAACCGCGTAGCGTCCGCGGCGGATCGGGACATGGTCGCGAGGGGGTATTTCGCGAGTTATGTTCGGGTGAGGGGTTCGTATATTGTTAGGAACCAAGTTTAGAGCTGGCCTGATGCCCGGCGGTCAATTGGGATTGTCGAGGTTGCTCGTGGCAAGATGGTTAGAACCGGGGTTTGTAGGTGGGAAGGTAAATTTTCAGCGGCCGGAGATGGCGCCAAGACATTCAACAGCTTGAAGTGTCGCTGACTCGCGGAAACGACCTTGCATCAGGCCACACCTTGAAGTTTTGATTTGAGATCGTTTCTCTGTTTGATCTTAGTCTGTTCGCTTTAATTATTCATACTTCTTTTTCGTCGCATCATGGCGGACAATCCTTACAACTCGTCTGACCTGAATTCGGTACTGCAGACGTTATCCAGCTTAGCATCGCTGAACAGCTCTCAAAATGCATCAATACCTCGAAGAGAGGCTCCTCAGATACCACAAAGACAGAAGCAGGAGATCCGCCCATCAGAGAGGCCATATTCCAATCCGCCAAGGTCAAGCACGGGGACCCCTACCACCGACCCAGCAACTATCACCACCTGGCCGGCCGCCCTGCGCTATGTAATGCGTGCCGTCGGCCAAAGCGAAGAAACCCAACTTCGAATCCGCGGTCTGATTAGAAGTCAACATAGCCATGAGCAACAATGGTGGAAGGCCCGCGAGATCCTTCTCGGGAAGCAACAAGCCCGCGGAGAGAAAAAGAAGGAGCTCGATGCTGTATTGTATGTCTCAGTGCTCTTCCACTTTATCATTGACCCAATATTGATCCAATATTTCCAAACACTTGTACGTTGTTTTCTATGGAGCTGACTCAATTCTTCAACTCCAGACGCTCTATTGGCGCACCCGTCGACTCGAAAGAGGTATCAGTATGTAACTCCCTCGCTTCATCATAGACCCTGTCTGACACCATCCAGAGTATGGAAGAAGATAAAGAAGAGCTCGCAAACTACGACGCCAAAGTCTATAGAGCTTCCGCGCAGATGACAGATGCCATGACAGCGGAGCTACGCGGGCTCAAGATACCCTTTTTTGTTATTCAACAGAGCCTTATCCAAGAGCCAACCGAATCGAACTCTATCAAAGGATTCTCTGCTCAGGAGAAGAGGCTTGAAGGTTCAGCGACTGTGACGAAAGCTGAGTTGGCTTCGTTACAACGGCGCATGCTAGAATTGCTTCAGGATCTTTGCAAGGAATGAGGGGGTATGTAATAAATGAGAAGAGTTAGCGGAACACTCCTCGTCTACGGTTCTAGTCGTGGGATGACCATTTCAGCAGTTCGGTGAAATTCCGGTTGCCAAGCGGTGCTTAGCTACGTGAAACAACGAGAGCGAATGGCTCGTTTCACAATGAGTCTTTGTGGTCCATATATGTGAAGTTGCGAGCTAAATATGTATCATAGGATTATGCTCATAAGGGCCCTTGATCACTTAATATACTCTGAAACTGCCAAGCTAGATGGTGAATCACACAGGATCTAGCGAGTGAACCCTGGGAACTGTCAAACCAAGTAACTGCCGAGGGCGCTAAAGTATACACCTGAGTAAGTAGTATTTAATCTAGATAATTTCAGCGCCAGCTTCTTATGATTTCCTTTTGCTTTCATCGTTTTCATTCTTTTCTCTTCCTTCTAGATCCTGGTGATCATTGTTTTCTATAATTTCTTTGCCTCTTTGTACTATCACTCTCTGGACTCTTATCGCCAAGATGAGAAGCATCTCCCTCTTTCTTGCGGCCTTTTCTGCCCTACCACTTGCCTCTTCTCATTACTTCTTCCCCCATTTCATTGCAAATGACAACTTCACAGACTACTATGAGTACGTCCGCGAAGACACACAAGGTTATATGCCCGTGAAGGGAGGATACTCAAGCGATGACTTCCGGTGCAACACCGGCTCCCAAGACTATGCCAGCAAAACCGGGGTCTACACCGTTAAGGCAGGGGACACGATTGGCTTCGGTACCGATTTCAACGCTCAAATCGAACACCCCGGTCCTCTGCAAGTGTACATGTCCAAAGCAACCGGCGATGTGCGCGAATATGATGGTTCAGGAGATTGGTTCAAGATCTACGAGCTTGGTCCGGAGAGGTTTTCCAGCGATGGTATCACTTGGGGTGTTTATGGAAAGGGAAATTTTACCTTTACACTCCCTGATGTCCCTGCTGGTCAGTATCTTGTCCGGATCGAGCATATTGCTGTTCACGGTGCGATGGAGTGGGGTGGTGCTGAATTATATTTCAACTGCGCCCAAATTGAAGTCGAGAGTGACAGCGAGTCTATTCCCGGGCCTACTGTTAAAATTCCTGGTGTCTATAATGGCTATGAACCTGGCATTATGTTCAATATGTATAGTGACTCGATTGTCAACTATACAATGCCTGGTCCAAGACCGTTCCCTGATGACGCTGATCCGGATGTGACTGCGTCGGGTGTTAGTGTTGCTCCATCGACTGCGTGGACTTTGCCTGCTGTCACGCAGTATCCCTCGTCAGTGATAGCTGCATCTGCTGTTCAAACTACTTCCACGCCATTCTCGATGGAAACTCCATCTGCCACTTCTGCCTCTCAACCCCTTTTTTCCTCTGTTTCCTCGGAGAAAGAGACTACACAACTACTTGAGGCATCGGCTCCTCTTCGGACCGGTTCTGAGGTCTCGGTCCTTGCCACTGGTACCGCATCGCCTGACTCTGGAGACTGTGAGCCACCTGTTACTGTCACTGTCAAAACTACCGTGACCGTCACCAATGCACCCAGCTGCGTACCGATGACTGTGACTGCTACCATTACCACTACAGTCTTTGCGACTAACACCTAGTGTTGATCTGGAAGAGTGACCTGGGAGGTGCAAATGTGTATTATCAATTCTAGAGCATACCGCTCTTGGGAAAAGCCACGCCCGCGCGTAGGGGTCTTTTGTCTTGCCAACCCTAGATAGAGACAATGAAAGTGCAGTATTACGTTCATTTCATCTTCCCTATGCCATCTGTGATACAGAAAGTTTTCTCCTATGGATCGTGTCATCAATGAACGGCTAGATTCGACGCCATGCTAGTATACCTAACTCTGATTTATTAATTGCCAAGACCAAAGGATACAATTAGTCAGTGCGCAAAGTGGGCTGCTATAAATTGGTAGAGTATGAGAATGATGACGATGATGAGTTTGAGCCTGAATCGGATGATTCCGAACTTCCGAAGCGAGACACCCTCTCGCCACAATGCTCAAATATAACCAACAGCGACCTCGAAGAAAGCAACGCTGCGGAGGGGATGCGTGAATGGATTCAAGCCTGCAAAGCACTAAAATAGTTCCGGATTGTCCATGGTGCAGGAATAGTCTCCGAAGATGACTTTCAGCCGCGGAAAATTTACAATTCGCTGTCGCTGCAGAAGTTGACGCTGGAATCTATCTGGGTCGAGGCTTGCAATGGCGTCTAGAAGGATACCGATGACGAATGGATGGGGTCTTTTGCTGATTTTACTGCTCTGAAGCATATTTATGCTTCCTTGCCCAATCTGGTGGGATTTGATGAGCGCAATCTACCCGTGCGAAATCTTCGACATCTTCTTCCTTCCATGTTGGAGACATTATTTCTTTCTGTTCATGGGGACGAAAGTTTCAACGCAGCTATTGATCAGCTGGCGGAATTGGCTGCCTCGGAGAGCTTCCCTAACTTGGCTGCCATACATCTTGAATGCAACCAGCTCGAGAAGCCGGGGTACGTGAGGCTTGAATGGTTGGAGCAGAGGTGTCAAGAGGCTAGTGTTTTGTGTCTTCCTCCGAATCCAGACATGTGGATACGAGGGCATAAGCAGATGATGAGGATAATTTGGCCATTCAACGAGGCTTTCTTGACTCAATGGTAAGATTGGGAATCAAAAGGTGTGACTGAGTACAATAACTATCTATACTTGAACTCAAATTCCAAGACTGCGGACTTTTTGCACCATTGAGTGGAGAATTCTGGGAGATCGTGGTTTATTCCATCTGCATTCATTTTCCGGTTCTCGGTGAGAATGGTACGAATTCTATGAATTTGACGATTCTGTCGACCTGCTTGCCAGAAGTCTTTTCAAATCTCGAGAAAAAGCTTTTGAAACACTTCTATCTTCCGGTTCTCCGGTGTTTTCAAATCTTTTCGTTTTGTGGGAGTACACTCGTCCGTTCTTACAGAAGTTTTTTATGGGATATGTTGGTAAATATCGAAAAGGATATATATGAAGACGTCCTTTTGATTATGTTGACACGCGCACTTTAGATCCTCAGAATCAGGGTGTCAGTGATCAATCAATAGTTACTTATTCTGCAGGAGAGCTTTTTTTAGGTATAGGAAGGATCGAAAACAGTCTCATCGTTGACTCAATGAGATTCTTTCTCGGTCCTCAATAGAAAACACGCTTTATCTACTGCGATTAGTCTCCCTCTGAAGTCATTCCTTCTTAACTTTTGAAGAAATTTACTTAGATATATGTCATGAGAACATATGTCTCTAAAGTGGAGTGTATTGTTGAGTCGTTGAATGCAGTTGGTATGTTCTGCGTAGCAAAAGGGAAACCCGAGTTTGCTGGTTGAGTCACTAATGACACAGAAGAATTGTACGAGGTTGGGAAAGGTGTTTCTGGCTGCGACGAGTTTTGGGCGTATGGTATAGGTCCCCTAGTAAGGATATTGCACCCAAGACCCACATCGCCGCATTCACATCGTGGGAATAAATTGAAATTGTCCAGGATATTAGTCCGAGCAAGCGAATCGGCCGTTGATCTGGAGCAAATGTTGACACAATGGTAAAGTATAGGAGAGAAGCGGCCACGGAATGAGTTTTATTCTCGGAGGAAGTACAGTTGAGGATGAAAACCAGACATGACACATCTTCGTCATAACACACCGCATATGGAGTCCTTACATGGGGATGAATGGGGAACTTGCCTGGGCAACAAACAGTTGAGTCGGTCTCAGCCTTGAGAGCCTGAATATCCTGGACAGTCGGGTAAGTGTTATTGCGCCGAATGTACACCGAGACTCTCCATGTTCAATAACGCAGAAGCCTATCCAGATTACCCAAGAATCTCAATCAACTATCCCAACTTCTATGCCTACGGCAATCCACTACCTCACTCTCACGCATTCAGGACCGTTGCCACCAGACGGGAGATATGTACAAAACTAGAGTACCTCTCTTCGGACATGTCTCCGTCTACATCTATACAGAAAGAGAAGCCTAAAATCCGTATCCAAAGGAGTAGGAAAAGGAAATAAAGAAAGTAGAAAAGACCTCTTGAAGAGAACTTTGAAAAGTAGAATCTCGAACTATTCAACTTCAAACGGATCCCAATCCCAGGAAACACAACCCCGCCCCCGAGAACCAATCCAGATCCAGCCCTGAGTCCTCAGCCATAAGAAAAAAGAATAGGGAAAAGAGAGTACCAGAAAACAGGACTCCGTGCAAGCCAGTGCAAGCAAGGGTGAACAAATAAAAAAGACAACCTCGGAAGAAACCACAAAAAAGCCATATCTGGACCCATGCAAAATAACACCTGGCAAATGCGAATAAGTGAAAAAAAAGGTGGAGAATGCTGTCCGAAAGGACGGCTCCGTTGGGTAAAACCCATGCAAAAAAAAGATCAAAGATCATGCACCAATGACCGATGGTGTTTGCGAAGGGCAAAAAAATCACAAAGAATAGGAAAGGTTGGTGTCTATGCGTTGACTGCACTCAGATGCAGACGTTACCTCGCCTCTTTCTCGGCGACAGAAACTGCGACTGCGACAGCTGCGCCGAGGATGGCAGACTCGGGGGCTGGTTCGAGGCGAATTGCGGAGGTGATTGTTGGGTGGCTTTGCGCGGAGAGTTGGTCAAGGTAGCGCTGGCAGGTGTCGCGGAATCCGGGGTACTTGTTGATGACGGTGCCATCGCAGGCGATGGAGACGTTGGCGCATTCGTTTTCATCTTCGCTTTCGACGACGGTGATTTCGGAGGATACCTTGGCAAGAGGGTCGGTTTTGGAGGGGAACTCGACTTCGTTGCGCAGACACCACATGCTGTGGATGCCAGTTGCGAGGTAGGCTGCGGCGCGACGGGAAGTTACCTGGCAGATGCGACGGAGGAAGCGCAGGTCTTCGACAGAGGGGTAGCTGGGGAAGGTGTGTTCTTTTTGCAGCAGGGCAGCAGAGCCGGCGAGAGAGATTGAAGAGTCTTCCTCAAGGAAGGCCACGATGCTGGTGTCGAAGGAGTAGGGCTCGCGCATGGAGTGCGGCAGCTCGCCGTTGAAAAGGTTGGCGGTCTCGACGGCCTCCACGATGATCAATCGCACAATCTCACCTAGATATCGGCCGGTGATCATGTATTCCAGAGGCTGGTAGTCCGGGCGCAGGTGGGTGCGGTTCAAAATGTCGTCCCAACGAGTCATGGGAAGGACGCCGCCTCCGAACATGCTCATCTCAGTATTGATGATAACGTGCTTGGCATATTCGAACCAACCCTCGGGGCGAGTACCAAACTTGCCCTGACCGATCTCGTGCACGGGGAAGTGAATAGCCATGTTGGTTCCGGTTCCAAGAATCAAAGACATGCGAGTTTTGGGGTCAACGTATGCGCGTGAAAGTAGAGCAGCAGAGCTGTCGTTCAAAATCGCAGCCATATCAACATTCAGACTGCGCTTCTTGCAGGCGTCAATAAGCAATTGACCTAGCTCCTGTCCGACGGTGCCGTTGGAGCAGTGGAATCCTTTACCCATGTGGATCATCAGTCCGCTGCTAACGGAAGTCTGGTCGACAGGGAAAGACCAAGACAAGCCCATTGAGAGCGGTTCCTCGCCACGACCGTATTCGGCGCCTACGTCCTTCAGCATGGTATCAATGTGACCCGCCATCCAGTCAAAAAATTGAGTCCCCTGCAGCAATTTGACGCTGTTATCGATGTAGGAAGACGATACGCGCACGATGCGCATTTCCTCGTCACGACCAGACAGCTCGATCAGAGCGACACGGAATGTAGAACCTCCAACATCGAGTGCAAGGTAGGTGCCCTTCTCGGAGCCGGAGGGCAGGGCATGGGTGTAGGACGGCAGCATGCAGCAGGGGCTGTTCTGGAGACAATCGCGGAACTGGGCACGAATCTTGTCGGACATGTCGATCATCTTGGGGGTGGACAACGGCGCGGAGAAGATGGTGTCGACCTCGTCGGCGAAGTCATCGAGAGAGCGGCGGCGCCAGTGGGCGCCCAGGAAGGGCTTGCGGCGGCGGTGCGAGAAACCGCGGAAGAGAGAAGGGAAGAGGATCATGGTCTCGATGGCGGACACCACGTTCTGGAAGAGCTTCTGCAGGCGGTGCAAGACTTTAACCAGCGGGGCCGACATGGTCGGGAGGCGATGAAGGGACGAGGTTGAGAGGGTGCGCTGTGTCGAAAAATAATAACTAACAGCGCGGGGGGGTCATAGAGATAAGACTAAAGAGGAAATCGGGGCGAATTATTAAAAGGTGTCAAGTCAAGGTGGTGAGGGTGACACTCCGGAGAGTAGTGTTGAAGGTGGATCGGGGTGTAGCAGAGGTTGTGTTAGAGACAGAGACAGAGACAGAGACTCCCCACTCGAGAGAGCCGCGAGAAAGGGAGAGAAGCATGGATCAACATTGGCCCATTCCTGGTTAACAGTGTCACTCGGAGTGCAACTTGAAGCCCTTGCGGTGTCGCAATGCGAGAGTGGGTAGCGTGTTACCGTATGGTAATCTAGTTTACAGTGGGCAGTGGGCAGCAGGCAAGTAGTCTGCGGTGGCACCCGCGTAATGCTCTGTTAGATTACGCTACACGATATCACAGCTCTCTAGTCGACAGGATGAAGGTCCTAGGATACAAGTCAAGCGGGGAAATCGAGAAATAGACTGGGATGTCAATACCCTACTGTTGTTATTGACCAGATGAAATTCCTCAAGTTGTGGTATGCCGTACATAACTCGATGACCCCCTTGAGTGCAACGGTGGTAGCCCAACTAACCGGGACCGTTACACTCATGTGGAACCGCCCAACTACATAACCTCGTGGAGTCTCGTAGCACTTGGAGCTGAAACATTTGCCTAAATCTCAATAGTCTATCACTACCTAGGTTTTATCCATGGTCTGTTGCCCGTGCAGATGATTGGGGTGTATGTGATTAGCACGTAACCATTCTCGGACATCGCCCGAGAAGGTAGTCTTTATGTAGTATGCATCCCTTCGGCACGCATAGACTGTAATCTGCAAATTGTAATCTGCAATGCAATGCCATGCCTGAATCATGAACTGTTCTGTTCGACTGGCGGATGGCATGACATCACCCACGTGCCATAGTTGTATCTGTGGAGCTGGACAATCTGGGGAACTGAAACGTTGAAACATTGAAACATTGCTTATACTACCGTCATGGAGTGGGTCACTTACCGAAAGAGACCTTATCTATGGTACCACATGGTACCGTGATCCCGCTAAGGCCATGCTTGCACACTCACTTCGTCGCCAAGGCGAGTGGCCCCGAATGGCCACTGTAACTGCGCAATCTATGGAACACCGCTGTGCACGATGACCTTGGAAGATTGAGTGGGGATCTCCCACATGGCATCGTATCCTCAGCCCTGCCGTCTGCCGTCTGCCGTCTGCCATATCTGATGGATCGGTCACATCCATAACGGGTGCTGTGGAAGAACAAAAGAATTCCAATTCCAATGCTAAATCCAACTCCAGTTGTGATTCTAATTCAAAAGTACGTTAACTCATTCACAAAGACATGCTTCCATGGTACTCGCCTTGCTAGTGTGATATGGAAATGATTTAGATCCTCGGGTCCTTTGTTGACCCCTATCTGATCTTTCTAGACCTTTCGCATTGGCCCCACGGGGAATACCGACGATCTGCGGGGGAAAAGCTGATTCAATTGCCGATTTAGCACTGGCCTCTAGAAGACTAAGAAAATGAAAGAAAGTTTACTCTCTCATAGGCCTGATCAGTGATGATCTGCACCTCGCTGGCTTTCCGGGGTAACTGGATCCCATTAGACCCCTATATTTCTGACGATCCCCCAATTACCCAGAAATGAGACTCAATGCACACATGGAGCCGAGGCGTGACCGGGTATAATGGCTTCTCAATCATTATTTAGAAGCGGGAGATGCCTCCCCGCATGTTCGTGAGGTACACGGGGTGGATCGCATAGTCGGCATTAAGATGAGACTCCATCTTATCAGTGTGGGCCTGGTCTATGGCGCAATCCCGCTCGCCAGGGTGCTGGGACAGACGTCTCCTGTCGCGAATATAAACCTCCTCAATACCTTGTCCAATGCGGCAGAAGAGCACGAGTCCAAGGTGCTTTCTAATCTTGTGTCGGACCTTCAGCAGGCCAGGTCTATTCCCACACCAAGCACTCCAGAGGAAGCGTTGTCCGCCCTCCAACATAGCTCTGGCTTGTTAAAAGCGTTTTCCAGCGTTGTGGACATCGCCCAGGGTATCACTGCAGCTGGCCTGGTCCCCCCGGAGATTCTGTCTTTTTTGAACGGATACACTGACAGCAAGCTGAACTCGCTCGACAACCGGCACCCGGCTCCCAAAGACGCGATATACCCCAAGAGCAAGAGAGATGCACCATACTCGCTGTCCGAAGGAACACTCCGATCAGCCATTCACATCCCCAAGACTTTCGGCTATGGCCGCAACGGAAAGACCCCGGTCATTCTGATTCCCGGCACGGCCATTCCATCCGGAACCACCTGGTACTATACCTTTAGCAAGCTCGGCAACAGCACCGATGCTGACGTGGTATGGGTGAACCTGCCACGAGCCTCACTCAACGATGCGCAAGTCAACGCCGAGTACGTCGCATATGCGATCAACTACATCTCATCGGTATGCAGTAAACCAACTGCCATAATCTCCTGGTCCCAGGGTGGCCTGAACACGCAATGGGCCCTTAAATACTGGCCCTCGACGCGGCCAGCCCTCCAAGACTTTATCGCCATGAGCCCCGACTTCCACGGCACCGTTGTTGAAGCAGTAATCTGTCCAGCTCTCAGCTACATCGCCTGCACACCCTCCATCCTCCAACAAGCCTGGACCTCCCAATTCATCCAGACCCTCCGTTCCTCCTCCGGCGACTCAGCATACGTACCAACAACAATAATCTACTCCTCCTTCGACGAAATCGTCGAACCCATGTCCGGCCCCAACGCATCCGCCCTCCTAACGGACACGCGTAACGTCGGCGTCATCCTCGCGCATCTGCAAAGCATCTGCCCCGGCCAGCCCGCAGGGGGGTTTTATACGCACGAGGGCGTCCTGTACAACCCCCTTGCATGGGCACTCGCGATTGATGCAATCACGCATCCTGGACCCGGAAGCCTGACTCGGCTGGATCTGAAGCAGGTGTGTGGAATGACGATGGCGCCCGAGCTGGACCTGACCGATCTGCTTGGTACCGAGGGTCTGTTGCTGATTGCGGCGGCGGAGTTGGGGACTTACGAGCCCCAGGCCGCGCGCGAGCCGTGCATTGTTGGCTACGCGTCGAATGGGGGCGGGGCTTAGCTTGGATTTTGACCAGGACATGACTGGGATACGCACGGGGCTCCATTCAGGAACCTAGGGAAATTATGAATTATGGACTACGACTGAGACTAAGGCTACGAAATCATACGGATGGATCTGTTGCTGAGATCTGATTGCGAGTAGCCACGATAAATGCTTAGCCTTGGGAATAAGATCGTATTGAAACCAAAACAAGACCAAATCTGAATCGGACCACCCGGGCCCGACAGCTAAGAATTAAGAGCAACCCACATTAATTGCCGACACTTTGTTCTAGGTCTTTGAGATTAAGTGGAGAGATCGACTGGGCCGTTTGACGGTTAAAGCGGAAGAAAATTGCAAAATTTTCAATTTCCGTAACAATCGTCATCTCTCAGCCCGCGGTGGAGATGGAGTCAGGGGGGCAGAAGGAAACATCCACGACGCACTTTCTCATCGCTAAACCCAGAATAGTCAAAATGCCAAGAACGCTGCCCCCTGGGATCCAGTTCGTATCCGCTAATCACAGCTTGGCCTGAGCGTTCGACTGATTAGCCGGGAGAGAACCGGGGTTTCCGAAATTCGCCTCTTCAGGTCAGGAACGAGAGTGCGGTGTGGCCTCGCAACATAGGAGTACGTGCGCACCAGGGCAAAGACGAGCTCGAGAGTGTACAGTAGTGTATATATTGCGCGGCACAGACTACAGTGGAACCAGGCACCCCGATCGAATCCTTTCTGGGCTAAAGATACGGGTCGTGTACGAGAGGAGAGGAGTCCGCGCCACGTCGAATAATGTCAGCGTTTGGGTCCACCGCCAAGACCTCTTTCTCTCCTGAACTTGAACTTGAACTCCACTGTGACTTGCGCTCCGGGCGAGTGTCATCTGTCTCCAGGGCCTCGTGTATTCTCGTTCCCCTTCTCTTTCTTTTCTTTACCCTCCATTCTCTCGGGAAGTTTCTTCCTAGCCATTCCTTCCGTCATGTTGTTTTCCGCGTTGTTACTACTGTCGTCCCTGCATAATGTGGTTGCACAGCGCCATGACGCGGACTTGATGTCCTTTGTCACAGTGAGTGCACCTGGAGATACTCCGTAAGTGGAGATGCTGATACTCGTATCCAGCTACCCGAAGTCCGAGCCTTGAGATGGGACGTTCACTACCTCGACCGCGCGCGTGCCGAGCCTGGCTACTGGTTCGTTGCGCCCTACGGCCAGATCAGCCCCGAGATGGCCACCAAGAAGTACCAGCAATATCAGGTCGGCCCGTATATTTACGATGACAATGGGGTATGGTCCATGCGAACCGCGGAGAACCAGGAGATGAGTCACGTGCTAACAGGCCGAATAGATGCTCATCTGGGCCGGTTCGCTGTTCTGGGATAACCAGAACGTCTTCGATTTCCACGCGGTACACGACCTTTCAGCCGATAACGAGACTCACATTTCAATGATTGTCAACTGGGAAAGAGATGGGCCGGGTAAGGGCAAGGGTGTCATGATGAACAAACATTACCATGTCGAGACCGAAGTGAATGTCTTGAATGACCTGCACGATTTCAACATGCACGAGTTCAACATCTTGCCCGGTGGGAAGACCGCTTTGGCCTGTACCTACCGCTCCCGAGAGATCAGCATGGAGGATTTCGGACGTCCGGCGGAGTCCAGCTTCATCGTCTCCGGTGGCTTTGTGGAGTTGGATATGGAGACCAGTGAGATTCTGGTTCAGTGGGAAAGTTTTGACCACATCCCCCTGCATGAATCGAACATGTTTCATGCCTGGGACAACCCCATGGGTGATCCGGGCTGGGACTACGTCCACATCAACGCTGTTGACAAGAACCTCGCTGGAGACTATATCATCTCCTTGCGGTTCACTAACACGGTCTACCTTATCTCCGGCGAGGATGGCCATATTATGTGGCGCCTGGGCGGTCTCGAGAGTGACTTCGATATGGACTTTACCTTCTCTAAGCAGCACGATGTAAAATTCGTCTCTTCCAACGGTACCCACCACGTGATCTCGATGCTAAACAACGCCTCCGATGAGCGAGGCAACGACGAGAATTTGTCGTCTGCCCTGTTCATCGAAATTGACACCGTTGCCATGACCGCCCGCGTCATCAGCCGCATCAACCGCCCAGATAGTGACTTGACCCGCCTGCGTGGCAGTGTCTCAACTCTACCTAACGGCAACGTCTTCATTGGCTGGAGTGAGTTTGGTTACCAGAGCGAGCACGCCGCCAATGGCGACCTCTTGATGACCAGTCGCTTTGTCGGAGACCGCTACTCGACCTACCGTGCCTACAAATCCGACTTTATCGGCCGTCCCACCACACCTCCGGACGTCGTGGCCTCTGTCTACGGTACCAGCGAAGAGGACATCACCACGATCATCTACGTCAGCTGGAACGGTGCGACCGATGTTGTCGGATGGAACTTGTACGCTAAGGCTTACGACCACGGCGAGCCTGTTAAGATTGGCCACGCTACCAAGACCGATTTCGAGACTATGTACATTGTCGACGGCTACATGGACTGGATCACCGCCGAAGCTGTCGATGTCAACGGCGATGTCATGAGCACTTCTCGTGTCGCTCGCAGCGACATTCCCCAGAACTGGATGGCCGTCGGCTTCCTGGGAGATTCTGGCCCGTCCCCTGATGACCCGTCTATCATCGCCTCGGTGAACAAGGGCTCCACCAGCACCAGCGACTCCACCATCGATACCAACACCGATACCACGGATGCCGTTGAAGCCGACAAGACCGTCACCGACACTACCGACTCTTCCTCCGGAATGGACGGCATGGACATGTCCGACGACTCCACCTCCGACGCAATGGACCACGACAACACATCCTACGCCGACGCCAAAGAAGTCGCAAAAGCCGTGTACAGAGCCTACGAAGTAATCCGCGGCATCGGCGGTCTCCTCATCTTCATCCTGCTAGCATGCTCCACCGGCGGTGTCATCTACGGCATCTGGCGCTGTCTACAAGCCCGCAAGCGACGCTCCTACCAGCATGTCCCCTCAGAAGAGGGTATCCCCGTGGAAGAAATCCACCTGCGCTCGCAACAACCCGAGTGAGCAATCCGCCCCGGGCGAATACATATATTATATCTCCTTTGCATGACTAGCAGCGTTGTATCTGCATCTTCCCATTTATACATGCCTCCCCGTCACCCCTTCCCGGCGAAGAGGGCGCGGGGAAATAAAAATACCGCAGACGCAGACATTGAATGTCGATGTCGGCTCCGCAACGAAAACATCGCAGCGAGGACTTGGGTATATACAATCAAATCATGATCGTCCCACGCATGTCATACCCCCATTGGCGTTTCTTTTTGGGTTTTCTTTCTTTTTTTACCCATCTTTTTTTTTCCATTCTCTTTTGGACCATCTTCGTTCAACATAACAAGGGTTCGCCACGTTCTTGTCTAATACTACCTTTGACACTTGTCATTACATCTTTATTTGGACGAATCAAGTCAATGTACATACTTGCATAATCTCATACATGATCATCCTTTCTCAAACACCGGTTGATACCAAGCCCCGCCTTAATTTTGGTTCCCTGTCCCATGTATCTCTAGCTCCGGGCATATAAGAGGTAATCTGTCCTGAACATTTTGTTGTCACAGGGAATCCCAGTCTGGCTCATCGAATAACAGCCCCTCCATTCAATTTGATTCCACCGCCTAACCGTTTTCTAATGTTCCCACTCGCTGACCCATCTCGTCCTGCCCCACGACTGGGGTTCGTCAGGGATGCACGTTTGTGTTGTTTGAAAATCAGCCATGACGTCCAGCGAAGAACAGTCATTTTTTCGGCGATGACCATTTCGGGGTTTATACCGCAGTGTACTGTGTTCTCGTTTTTGAGCATATGGCGGATAATACAATGGGGGCAGTCAATTGATCTGTGTACCCAGTTTCCTGTTCTGGTAATTCAGGCCGAGGGGGTGGCTAAAGAGATGGAATACTTGACGTGTTCATTTTTGAAAATTTCGGGCAATGCGTTGGATTTGCCCCGTCTCATCTATAGTATAGAAGGTAGTAGGATTAGTCGCCGCTTCATGTGTTGTACTTTTACTTTTGTATAGGTACTTTCTAGATCGAAAATGCCCGCAATGCAGGCGCGTTATTAAGCCTATAGCAAACCCATAGATCCATAGATTATGCAGTATTTAAAGCCTACCAATAATAACAGCATTCAAAGATAATATTCTACCAATAAACCCCCTTGGTTTGAATAACTGTGCGTCTTTGACGGTGGCGCGAGCTGACGACTGGCGACTTCTGGGCCGCGTCAGCCGGAGCGCACGAGGGTTCGTTGTGGGTTGCGGCTTGAGATCGGCGGTGGCTGGTGGCGGATCTAGAAGCTGCGCTCGGTTCTTTTCACTGTTCGTCTGGATGGGGCTCTGGTGAGGGTTTTTATTGGAGTTGGATGTGGGATCAGACGGACTTAGCCGTGAGGTTGTGATTTTTGCGTTGGGTCAATGGTCAATAGTGCTACCTAGTGGGCGGGTGGTGGGTTGTGAGGGAGGGTTTGGGTTGTGGGAGAAGGCTTGAGTGAGCTTCGCTAGAGATTAGGTCATAGGACACGTTGGACTCGATGACAGATTGGAAGATTCGAGATTCATGTGGGAAGCTACATTGAGTCCAAATAAAGGGTAGGAAGAATACAAATATGTGAATTGAAAAAGCGCTCTATGTCATAAAGAAGGACATACAAGAATAAGAAACCAAGCTCCAATCCGACATGAAAACGTAAATAAAACATCAAAAGAACCAAAATCAAGTCGACGACTTGTTAAGAATGATCTCCGCCAAAGCCATCAACGAGCCACTCGAAAGCAGTTCCAAAACTTGCACATTGGCATTCGCCTCACGCGCAATCCAATTCCGAATCTCAATAGCAACCAATGAGTCCAACCCAAGTGACGCGACCGTGATAGTCGGATCCATATCCTCCAACGAGAGAACAAGCACCTGCGCCAGCTTCGCCGCAAGCGCTTCGTAGCAAATCCCCAGTGCCTCTTCCTTCGAGGCTGCATTAGCAAGCTGCACATTCAATGGCAAAGACGGTCCGTCGCGCCCGGTACTGCTTCCATGGTTCTCCTTCGCGGCTTCGTATAGACCACTGAACTTGGCGTCCTGCGCCCAGAAGTGGTCTAGACTGTCCTTGAGGCTGAGACCAGTGATGCATTGGCCTGAACATGATTGTGAGAGGTCTCCTGTTATGGCGGCGGCGAAGAGGGCTAGGACTTCTGCTTCGGCCATGCCATCTGTTCCGATGTTCTTGAGGACTTCCTGTTGGCGCTTGCTGTCGACTTCGGCGAGGTAGCCAACGTCTCGGACCGCGGTCAGGTCGATTGTGGTTCCAGGGTGACCTTGGCTGCGGCGGTATTCCATGAATCCGTCGAGGAAGACGTTGGCGGCGGCGTAGGCCGCTTGGCCGCGGTTGCCGATTACACCGGCGACGGAGGAGAGTGCGATGAAGAAGTCTAGGGGTGAGTTGTGGAGGGCGTGGTGCAGGTTCCAGGCCCCTTCGACTTTGCTGGATGTTACAGCTTGGAAGTCCTCTAGGGTCATATTCTCGAAGAGCATGTCGCGGAGGACCATTGCGCCGTGGACGACACCGCGGATCGGTGGGAGTCCCTTCATCTCATTGATGAGGTTGTCGACGGAGTTGACGTTGGATACGTCGCAGGCCTTGACGCTGATTGTTGTGCCAACGGCGGCGAGCTCGTCGATTAGGGCCTGGACTTTATCATTGATGGATGCGCTGCGGGAGACGAGGACGATGTTTCGTGCGCCCTTTGAGGACATCCATTTGGCCATGCTTCGTCCGAGACCACCAGTACCTCCAATGAGAATGTAGGAGGCGTCAGCCTTGAGGATGGATGAGCCAACCTTGGCTGCTACGGCCTGGAGAGAGTTAGCTTTAGATTTCATCATACGGGAGATTGATCTTACCTTGACCTGGTCATCTTTGTGAGGAACAACCACGATCTTACCCATTGCCTTACCGGTCTGCAGAGTACGGAAAGCCGTCTCGAGCTCGGAGATCCGGTATGTAGTTAGAGGCAGAATGGGAGAAACAGTTCCCTTGGTCATAAGCTCGTAGACGTTATCAAGAAGACGCTTCATCAGCTTAGGCTTGTACTGGGCAACTTTGGTCAAGTCAACAGAAGCAAAGCTAACGTTATACTCGAACGGCAGCATATCCAGACGGGTATTTTTGGTGATATCAGCCTTGCCGATCTCGATGAAGCGTCCGAACGGGGCAAGAGTCTCCCAGGTCTCACGGAGAAGATCACCGGCCAGAGAGTTGACTACAACATCGACACCCTTGCCGTTGGTAGCACGCTTGATGCCACGGCCAAAGGACGAGTCACGAGAGTAGAGGATGTGATCTTCACGGAGACCGTACTGCGTCATGAGGAAGTGCTTCTTCTCAACGCTGCCGACAGTCACGAAGATCTCGGCGCCAATCATCTGTGCCAGCATGATAGCTGCTTGGCCAACACCACCTGCACCGGCATGGATTAGAATACGCTCACCAGCCTCGAGGTGGCCAAGGTCAACAAGGGCGTAGTAAGCTGTGCAGAACACGACTGGCACAGTCGCACCAACCTCGAATGACATGTCCTCGGGAATAGGAGCGGCACTGGTAGCATGGCAGCGGGCATAGGTCGAGTAAGCACCCTCAGGCAAAGCCATGACACGCTGACCAACCTGGAGACTGGTGACGTTCTTTCCAATGGACGAGACAACGCCACTGCACTCAATACCGATCCAAGGCTGAGCGAGCTGACCCATTGTGACGACGATGTCCTTGAAGTTAAGACCTGTTGCCATGACTTCGATCTCAATGTCGTCGTCACCCAGAGGGCCAACAATGTCATCCGCAAAGTACAAAGTGTCGAGAGCACCAGGACTAGCAATCTCAAGCTTGAAACGGCGACCAGGCTGATGGAATGGCTGATTCGTAATGGTCTTTTCGTGAGTCTCGTTGTGAACGAAGGAGTTGGCTGCGGTATCGTTTGAAATGCGAGGCACAAGAAGGTCGGAGCCACGGGCACGGAACTCAAAGTCCTTACAGGGCTTCTCGCCCTCGGCAGGCCATAGGGCGTTGATAGCAGCCAGAATGGCAGGGGTAGGCTTCTGGATATCATCGGTCTCAAGTCCCAATGTGGCGACCTTAGCCAGAGTCTCGGAGCGTAGACTGCGGGTAAGACCAACGATCATCTGGGCGTCAGGGTTGTCTAGACGGTAAACCCAGAGAACGTGAGAAGCGCCGAGCAGAGTCTTCTTGATGGTATCAAAACCTTCGACAGTAAGATCACGAAGGGACTTGTTGCCGGTTTGGAGAACGACGACATGCTTCTCGGTGGAATCAGTCTCCTCCATAGAGCAAATCGAAGGCTTCCAGTTGAAGGTCTCGTTAGAGACAGCCTCGTCCAACTTGTTAGCGATACCGTCGGGCTTGCCGTACTGCATGATCAACAGCTCCTCGGTGTGAACGCCATTGACACCGTTGGCAATTCCATTGCCATTGACATGGGCCTTCTCCTCAAGAGTGAGATGACCATTGGCATGACCATTGGCATGACCATTGGTAAGCCCATTGGTAGCATGTCCATTGGTGAGCTCTCCATTGGTGAGTTCTTCATTCGTAGCGTGACCATTGGTAAGATGAACACCATTGGGCTCCGTGGCATGGCCATTCATCTGACCGTTGGGCTCCTCGACCTCTTCAACAGGGACCGCTTCAGCCTCAGCCAGGGGCAGCCACTCAAACTTGTAGCACAAGTCAGTGACTTTTCCCCCGCTGTCCGCACCAGGTTCCTTCAGAGGCGTCATGATCAGGCCTTCCATATTGATGATGACCTCCGTAGAGTCCTGAGGAGTCACCCAGAGGTCAAACTTGGTGGGCTCGGGAGTTGGCAGACTGGGGCCACCATTACACCAGGCCTTGACAAAGTCACCAGGAGCGGTGGGCATGTTGTTACTGATGATCAGGTTCTTGATCATAGTAGGCATGTACAGCGTATCGAGCTCCATGCGACCCTTACCCAGAATGGGCCAGACAAGGTGAAGTAGCGCATCCAGGAAGACGGGGTGGATGGTAAGCGGGGCCTCGAAATTCTTAGGCATAACGTTTTTGGTATCGCGGAGGTACAGATCTGCGCGCGAGTGGCGCGGGTCAGAGAAGCAGTTCTCCAACCCCTGGAAACAAGGTCCGTAGCCAGCACCGACCTCGGAAAGGACCTGGTACATGTTCTGGGTGTCGATCTTATAGGTAGCGGCGGTCATCACCTTCTCAGTTTGGACACCAATGTGCTTCAGCTCAGCCTTGGCGACGTTGGAGACGGCTGTCTGCTGCTTCTTGTTGGCTCGGACACGAACCAGACCCGTGCAGTGCTGAGTCCAGGCGCGCTTGGTGTTCCACGAGCAGATGCGGAACTCATCCCAGATATCAGAGTTGCCGCGAGTACCCTCGGCGTAGGGACGAAGGGTAATGGTAGTCTCAGCGTCAACATCGTCAGTCAACACGAGAGCTGCACCCACCTTCACCTCACGGAACTCGAACTGAGAGAATGCCACATCGTTTGTCTCTGCACGTCTCCGAGCGGCTTCGGTGGCCATTGCCAGGTATCCCGCGATGGGATACACGCTCATGCCCTGCATCTTGTGCTCACGAAGCCAAGGGATATCATCAAGGCGGACAATATTACGCCATGTAGGCTCAAGGTCATTTGAGTACAGAGCTGCAGTTCCCAGAATGTCATTTCGCTTGCCGTCTCTGTGGCAGTGCTTGTCGGCAATGCGAGACTGATGCCAGTAACGAGTACCGTGCTGCCATGGGTAGCGAGGCAAGTCACGCAAGAAGGAGCGGTTCTTGGCTTTGCTTGTGGGGAAGTTGACCTCGGTCATCTTGAGAGCGGCACCACGCACGTATGCAGCTCCAGCGGCATCCAGAACGGACTGCGAGGGCTCGACGTTACGGAGAACCGTGGGCGCATAGCCGATCTTGGAGGCGGATGAGCCAACGCCCTTGAGGGTGTCCAGGATGGGACCCTTAAGGGCAGAGTGAGGGCCAAGCTCCATGAGCATGTTTGGTCGGTACTCGTCGTCAGCACACATCTTGCCAAGGGCGTTAGCGAACAAGACTGTGGATGTCAAATTCTGCACCCAGTATGTGGGACCAAGGTCAGCCGGCTCAGCAATCTCGCCAGTGACGGATGAGAAGAAAGTAGCTGTTCCTGTTGTCGCAGGCTTGATAGCTTCAATAGCGTTGAGGTACGCCTCAGCAACATTCTTCATATGGTCAGAGTGATAAGCCACGTCGATCTTGAGACGACGGTTAAAGAGCTGCTTTTCATTCAATATGATCTCGAGCTCGGTGATGGCATCTACATCTCCAGAGATGGTAACACTGGAAGGACTGTTCACGCAAGCAATGGTAGCATACGACTTGAGAAGTTTCAGCATCGACTTGATCTCCTCTGGGCTGGCACCAACAGCCATCATGGTTCCATGCAGGCCCGGGTAACTGCTCTTCAGCAGAGAAGTCATTTGACCACGGCGGTAGGCAAGTGCCATGGCAGCCTCCAGATCGTAAATTCCGGCCGCATAGGCGGCACCGATCTCGCCAGAGCTGTGGCCAACGACAGAGTCGGGCTGAATACCCCAAGAGCAAAGCAGGTCAGTCAGAGCAATCTGAAGGGCCGTACAGGCCGGCTGACTGAGATGCGGCGAGTTGATTTCGGATACAGAAGCCTCCTGCCGAAGCGCTTCGAGAAGGGAGAAGTCTGCGCCGAGATCAAGCAAGCACTGATCGGCTCGTTCCATGGCAGATGCAAAGACAGGATACTCTTCCATGAGCGGCATACCCATAGTAGCCCATTGGGCGCCCTGGCCTGTGAAGACCCAGGAGATCTTGGGAGCGCCCAGCACTCGAGCCGGGTTGATTTTCAGCTGAGCAAGACGCATACCAAGCTCATCCAGTGACGTGGCCGCAACAGCAACGCGGTAAGCAAGCTGAGACAACTTGCTTCCAGTGCTATAGCAGAAGTTGCCAAAAAGCGAATTCTCGAAGACCTCAGGGTGCTGTTCAAAGTAGACACCAAAGTCCTGGATTCTAGCCTTCAGAGACTCCTTGTCGGCAGCTGAGATCAAAAACAGTCGGCGCTTGGGATCTCCATCTGCCTCCGCATTATCTTCAGAGGATGGTGCTACGGGAGGCTTTTCAAGCACCACGTGCGCATTGGTACCTCCGAAACCGTAGTTGGAGACACTGATATATTTCTTGCCGCGAGGGAAAGGTCGCGTAGTGGTCACGACCTTCATGTTCCATTCGTTGAGAGGGATATTAGGGTTGGGCTTCTGGAAGTCGCAGTTCGGCAGCAGGAGACTCTTGTCAAGGACCATAGCAGCCTTAATGATGGAGGCAATACCACTGGCACCTTCCAAATGGCCAATATTAGACTTCACAGAACCAATATAGAGTGGGTTTCTGGCCGTGCGACCGCCTCCCAGGGCCCGTTGCACGGCGCGCGCTTCAATAGGATCACCAGCCTTGGTTCCAGTGCCATGCATTTCAGCATAGCCGCAGTCCTCGGGGTTGAGTAAAGCGTCCTTATACACACGCTTAATCAATTCCTCCTGCGCGTACTCATTCGGCAATGTAATACCCTTTGTCCTTCCGTCTTGGTTGACGCCGGAATTAGCGATTATGGCTCGAATAGGATCTTTGTCGCGCAGTGCAGCATCAAGTGGTTTGAGCATCACCACGCCCGCACCCTCGCCTCGAGCGAAGCCAGATTTCGCTCTCTCGTCGAAGGAATATGTTTTTCCGTCATCGTTAAATAGTCTAGAATATCGTAGCGTTAGAACTGATCCTTTTCTCCAGCCTCTTTAGAAGAGTACTCACTGTGACATAGACATAGAAACAAAATAATCAGGAAGAATGTTCAATCTGCAACCACCAACCAGTGCCTCGCTGGACTCGCCGCTCCGCAAGCTCTGCACGGCATAATGAAGGGCGACCAGAGAAGATGAACACGCAGTGTCGACAGTGAAACTCGGACCCGAAAAATCAAAGAAGTAAGAAATTCGATTGGATTGGAGGGCAGATGCATTACCCGTGGCCTGGAACTGAGGCATAGTCTCGATATCCCGCAGATTATTGAGTTCGTAGTCGGAAAAGTTGCCGCCGACAAAGACACCCACATTGCGACCTGCAAGAGACTCTTTGGGAATGCCAGCACTCTCCAAAGCTTCGAAGGAGGTCTCGAGCAGCATACGCTGCTGGGGGTCCATTGAAATGGCTTCCTGAACGGTGACATTGAAGAAGGGGGCGTCGAATCGGGAAACATCCTTGTCTAGAAAGTAACCGCCGGCTGGATTGAAGGTACCGGGTTTGGAGGGATTGGGATGGTGATAGGCACCGTGGGAGAAGCGGTCCTTGGGGATTGGGGCCCAACCGCTCCTACCTCGAGTACACAACTCCCATAAGTCGCCGGGCGAGGCGACCTGTCCCGATAGTCGACAGGCATATCCAATGATTGCAATTGGTTGCAACGCAGGGGATTCCTCCTGGTGCGTGCCATTCATGCCATTCGTACTATGCATAACGAATGGTTGCCCAAGTGTGGTGGAAAGAGGAAAGAAAAAAAAAGAAGGTGAGAAGTATGAGAGAAGACAAGAATGGAACGAGCGCAGCTTCAACGATTAAATAGGGAGCCTCCTTTGAGAAGGGATCAACTGAGCATCCTTACCTTGTAGAACAATTTCTGAGATGAGATATTATATTAAATAATATTTGAAAATAATTATTTGATTTTCTCCCATTCGGAAAAAGAATAAATTAAATCAAATCTCAAAAAAGAATCCCGCCGAGGTGATAAGCATCGGGCAAATGGCATTGGACGGGGAAGCTGTAACTTGGACCTGCTGTGCAGCTCAGTTGGGGTTAGACACAAAATCAGGGACCTGCTCCACTCGACTCAATTTACATTTACACTCTGTTTTTGCAACCCACACGAGCTTCGATGAACTTGTGGATCCCGGTGGGGACTGTCGATCACATGGGTTCGGAGGGAATTGCTGATTTAATGGAAAAGATGAGCTATCTTGGCTCGTTCTTGCCCTTTTTCTATCTCGTCTGTTTCTCCCCATATCATCTCTCTTGTGCTTCTCGGTAGACCTTGTACAACATTACCCTCGAAGCTTCGGTCAGGACAACCCCAGGATGCACTACTTGTGTCTTCACGGTGCCATTGGCAACATTGATGTATGTGGAAAGCTCTCCGTCTGGTCGATCACCACTAACTCACGCATTTCTCACAGAATATCAGTATCCAGCTGGGTAAGGTCGACCGAAATTGATTTCCATTCGCCTGGTTTTTGAATTAACGGTCTTGTTTCAGCGCCGCTCCAGAAGGAACTGGACTCCGACAATATCAAGTTCAACTACATTAACGGACCGGTGCAGATTACCCCTCCACCAGGTAACTTATTCCAGACTCAATTTTGAGGTTTTTTTTTTCTAAAATCTCATGCCCATTCACAGGTTTCGCGGAATACTTCGGCGTCGGCCCGCATTACCGATGGACAGATGATGGTGGCGCCGCCGAGGATTCCTTGATCAGCCGAGTCCGTCAGATCCCCGTTGGTGACAATTCCGAGGATATCATGCGGAACTTGATCGGCGATCGCGAGATAGTCTGGCTCAATCACCAGCAGGTCATGGATTATCTCTACGACACTCTAGAGAAGGACCCTGAGATCGGCGGCATCATTGGCTACAGTGAGGGTGCCGGGATAGCAGCCACGTTTATCCTGGATGAGCAGCGGCGCGAGAAGGAAGAAGGCCGCCCTCGCCGGATCAAATCCGCCGTGTTCGTGACTGGTTGGCCTCCAGTCATCCCAGGCCGTGGCCTCATTCTTGCCGACGAACAGGAAGACATGGTTGACGTTCCCAGTCTCCACGTTGTGGGAGCGAATGGTAAGAGCAAATCCCCTGGCGTGTTTGACATTTGGCTAACGTTGATCCTTACTGTCTCAGATCCTTTCCGCCACGGCGCCTTCGCGCTCTACAATATTTGCGATCCTGATACCGCGATCTTCTTCGATACCGGCAAAGGACACACCATCCCGCGGTCCGGCAAAGTGATTACCGAGCTAGGAGATGCCGTCCGTCAACTGGTTGCAGCTGGAGATGAGTGTTAGATTCTATCTACAATATACAAACATACAAGAGGGTTCAAACGTTGGTCCAGAAGTGTCGATAACAGTTTCATGCAACCCAAATGCACAGGGCTCCCGAGTTCCCGAACAAGCTCAGGGCTCCCGATTACCCGGCAACTGTAGATAGCCTTTAGAGGGCCGAATGGGTCGAGCCCCTCGTCGGCCCCTGCTCGGTGTAACTAACTCTACCTCTTTTTTTTTTTTTGACAGCCAGTTATCCATTTCCCAAAGTTGGCCCTACCTTGCCGAACCTTCAACTTTCGGAACCGTGGAGAGGTACCCATGGATCCATGAATCCGAGGATCGACACCTCCCGGTGTCTCAGCCATCTATAGGATAATTTCACATTTCACATGCGGCCTCCTCATGCCGAAATCTCGATCGATCCGAGTTCCCCCCTCTGAACTATCAGACCCTTGGGAACAAAACTGGCCGGAAGCTTGTCGATCCCAATCTCCAGATCTATCGTCGCACACGGGTCAAATGGCACTCCCACCACCTTATTCCTCTTGTATTTATGCTTTTCTATCAAACAATCTCCTTCCTCGTTCGTCCTGGAATCATCCTAGACAAAGCAGTTATTTTTTCTTTTTTTTTTCCACCACGTGAGACCTAAAAGAGGCCCAAGATTAAATAAGTGGCGACGGCGCGCAAAATAATATGTGAGCGAAAAAGCCAAACCCCGATAGCTCAATCATAGCATTCTCGATCCGCTGTCTCCACCCCTTTCCTCCAATTGCCATACACGTCATGTTATTCCAGAAGCTCGTCTTAACCCTTAGTTGGGCCATGGACTGGGGAATCCAGCCCGTCTACTCCCAGGCCGTACCCCCGGAGCGGTGCGCCACAGGTGTCCACGCCATTTTAGCCCGAGGCCAAGGTCCCGGCGATCACTTGAATGTGATGGTCTCCATCCAAAACCTGATCTTACAGCTCATCCCGGGCTCCAGCAGTGTGGCCTTGCCCTATAAGCACGGCTTAGAGGACCATCGTATAGCAGCCGCGGACGGCGCCCGAATGATGCAGCAATACGTCCGAGAGTATGTCGTCAGCTGTCCTAATTCTAAAATCTTCCTCATGGGGTACTCACTGGTACGTGCTGCAGTTGATTTATCATCCCTCTTTTTCTAAGTATTTCCTTTCTTTCAATTGAAAACAATTTTCGCGTTTTACGTACTGTAAATGGTGACAAGCTGAATCCCCATCCAGGGTGGAATCGTCCTGATGGACGCCCTTTGTGGCACTAGCTCTCTGTGGCTGTATCCTGTTCCCGCCCTGGAGCCTTCATACAACAGAAACGGTAAGTGTGTTATTCGATCAGCCTCTAGTACCTCGTTATTTAACCCGCAATAGTGATCGCGGCTGCCACCTACGGTGAAGAGACCTATCTCCCTGGTGAATCCTGGGACGTGGGGTCTTGCACCGACGGAGTGGGCGTAAGTAAAATAAGTCTTTCCCACTTTTCCTCTCCACGCCGATCATATCCGACTTTGACACTGACACCGACCTTTTTGCAAGTTATACCCGCGCCTTCATCCTGAATGGTGCGATCCCTACGCCCCTTCACTCAGGGCCTACTGCGACGAAGGCGATATGGAATGCTGCCTCAATCAGTACCCGCCCAACGATTCGCACTTTCTGTATATTTTCAAGTACAACCTGGATGTACTAAGGTTTATTCAGCGACGGCTGAACGATACCCGATCACGGTAATCTCTCATGCTGTTACAACCTTTGTTTACTGTGGATCGAGGGCGGTCAATGCCTACTAGGATAGGAAAAGCCTAACCAAAAGGGAAAGAAAAGAAAAAGGAAATGACAGGCGACAGGTCCAACCCCCAAAACACGCGCAAATCAAGCCACGACTGGAGAATAGGGTTCTTAGCGCGGTGGATCCGCGACCCTGGTCCTAACTTTATGTAGTCCCCAACACTGTGGTTCGTGCCCTGAGTTTCTGCACTAGAAATGATCTCCACGATTAGCTACCTGATTTTGCTAGTGGTGTCCATGGGACGGCTCAAAGCCAAAGTCGGAGCTTCGTAATTTGTCCGTCCCCCCTTCTTCTCTTCCATTGAATTGTCTCTGTATTAGGATCGTCGGCAGTTCAGGTGATGATCCGGTACGCGTAATTGCCCGGGAATGGACCCGTCAGCCTTCTTACGATAGTGTATTTCCTAAGGTTGGTACCCACTTTACTTCTAGCAAAAGTGGTGCTCTGGGTCTCAACCTAATCGCCCGGCGCACATAGCGCTGCAGACTAGCGACCTCAAAGCCAACCCTAAATATAAGTTGATATAGGCGGAAATTACAAGGAAGTAGAACGTGGACATCCTACTGCGCAGGGTGGGGAGGATAATCATCGTCCTGGTCTTTTTGGGAGTAGTCGTGACTGAGTAATACCAAGTCGGGCGCTATCGGAGCTTAATTCCATCCCTGGAAAGATTCGCCACGGTCGCGAACAGACAACTTACACCTGGAGCTGAAGCTCTTGCCTCGCCTAGTTAGATTACGTGAAACGAGTCTGATAAAGTGACCTCAAAAACCAGCGAATGCGTAAAACCCATGGTGCATCAACCTGTGGATGTGCCTCGGTCATAAAATTGAGTCTTGGGTTGGACTTGGGATTGGGCCCGGGGAGAAGGGGCAAGCTTATCGGGCTGATAGCCTATTGCGGATAGCCGTGCATTGCATATGTGCGTTAAGGTACGATGACAGCCATCGCCGTTTCAACGTTTCAACGTTTCTGAATTTTGAGGTGCATGATCCTTGGGTCAGATCTAACGGTTTCATGGAGATGGGTGTGAGCTTTAACTTGTTTCTGGAGTGATGGATCCTCGTAAGGCTGGCTCGTTTTGCCGAGTCCTTTTGCCGAGAGCTGTCCGGCCTCTTCGGATGGTGGAATGTGACTTGTTATATCACGCATGAGGGGTTTCATCTTAATTTTGATCTTCTTCCTACCTCTGCCAAGGCTCGATCTCTCATATTCCATGTTGGTTATTCCAAGTTTCTACTAAGAAATACTTGGAATGCTGAACCTTTTGGTCTAATGCGGCTTTTTGCCCCGAGTATGCAAGTTTCCTCCAATCATCAAGGATTCCTTTCTAGGTAAAACGGAGCTTTGGGATAATTGCGCGATCCTAAAAATTTGTCCTTTGCCACGTCAAGAGAAACGCACGGTTCTAAAACATGAGGCTCTCTAGATAGGTATAGCGGGACATTTTGGATCTACTCTTAGGTCTAGAACAGAGCCTCAATATGATACTTTTCTTGCAAGGGCCATCGTGCCCCTCTCTTGACCCCTCGTTCGTCCGGGTCTCCACTATATTTTCTCATATGGACTCTCAAATACAACAATACCGGGAATATAAGGCTGCAGAATTCAGAAGTTGCTCCATTTTATGACTAGACCTGGCCAAGATCAAAAGCACTAACCAATTGTACTACACAGTCTGGCTCGAGAATGTTGAAGCAGGTAGCTACCGCGGCTGTCCCAAAGTTGAGACTTTCTTGACTTTGGATATGTGCGCCTTTCTCTTATAGTATGGCACTTCCATGGTTCTATTGATATTGAAAAATAGTAAACAACTTGCTGCAGCTCCTATTATGAGATAATTGACCTACGCCCTTTATTAAGACATTGATAAGTCCGATGAAGTTTCTAGGCTTATCTCGAATCTTAATCGAGATCCTGCCGGATGATTTGTTGTATCCGATGGTTTAGCATGACTTTCTGCATTATCGGTCTAAAAATCCCCTGCCTGCAAGGTAAACAACTCCTTCCCAAGATCAGTGAGTCTCGATCTGCCACCTCTTGTTGGATTTCTTGGTATATCATGGTCTCTTTTCCAGCTTACATTTGAAGCGTGGATCGACTGATCATCTTGGGGAGGGAATATGTTAGCTAAATTTGCTCCTTATACCGACCTAGAAATTCTGATTACCAACTCCTAGTACCACTAACAAGCTTCTTCGGGATAGGAGAGCCCTTCTAGGGGGCATAAATATACTGAAAACTCAAGGGGGCCTCTAGTATCTTAGGAAATGTCCAGGAGAAGGAAAGTATTTACTAAAGCCTAATTACTTTTGCCGTTTGGCTGCTTCAGATAGATTGTAGCCACTAATCTTTTCCTCTAGATTTTCACTTCCTTCGTTCTTTCAGAAGATCCACTCGCTACAAGGGAGAACCTGTCACAACCTCCGGTCAAGCCTGGGCACCTTTACCTTTCTGTTCGTCAATCTCCTGTATCTACGCAGTAATCAGAGTACCTTGAGTCACTTTGCCGAATATGAGCGGATTCATGGAACTGCGGCAGGATGTTCCAAGCTGCTAAAGGAGCAGAAGTTCGTCTATCAAAGACTCCTGGAAAAGGTATATCCAGAAACCAAGTCTTAAACGATGAATAAAACAAGACTACATCGCACCATCAAATAATTTCTCCAGCAGATCCTCGCTGACTAAAGTCTTATTGATCTCATCCCTCAGCTCCCATCAACTCAGCTCTCGCTAGCACTACAGAGTCCGACGCACGCTTCTTCGTTCTCCCTGATCCCATCAAGAGTGTCACTATCTCCAAGAGAAGAATGAATGAAAGTTGGATCAGTATGGGATATGTGTTTTTGTTTCTGTGTTTATAAAGTGAACTTCGTATGATAGACAAGGGAGCTTCCCTCTCAGAGAGGATGATATAGTGGGGTGCGGGATAGGGGTCCCCGTCTCATTCTCGCGAGTTGACCAGTACTCAGGCAGTCTAAGGCAAGCTAGCCAGCAATAGATGGTATAACATGTCTGAATGATATAAAATCATAGTATTGTCAGATTCGAAAATTCCACGAATATAGCAAACGATTGACGGAAGCATCACCACCATGTGGCAGGGCCCGTCAGCTTCCCAAAACGATGTCAAGACGATCAGCTAATCCCGTTTCGGCGAACTCCCTCCTTTTTTTTCTTCACCACCTCACGCAATTCCAATGCTGTTCTCACGTCAATTCACCGGAGCCTTCTCCAAGTCCTTTAAATCTTCGTCTCTCGCACGATCCTCGGGACCCCACCGCCTCTCGTCCAATTCCAGCCAACCCCAACGCCCCTCCTCAGCCCCCCAAAACAGTCGCAACCAATTCAAAGTTATCCCCATCCTCATCCTCATCGCCATCTCCTCCGGTTCCTACGCTCTCCTTGTGAAATCTCGCACCGGCCAATCCACTCGCCCCTCCAACTAAAGTAGTTCAACCAGAGTCCTACTTCCTCCAACCTCCAAACCGCAAACAAACAACCCCTCAATCCCACCCACTCCAAGATGGCCACCCAAACCCCCCGCTTCTCCACAAACGACGTGACAGTCGTCTTCTTCCTTGGCGGTCCCGGCTCAGGCAAGGGCACTCAATCCGCAAACCTGGTCCGCGACTATGGCTTCGTCCATCTCTCCGCCGGCGACCTCCTCCGCGCCGAGCAAATCCGCGAAGGATCTCAGTACGGAAAGATGATCAAGGAGTACATCACAGAGGGCAAGATCGTGCCCATGGAAGTGACCGTCGCTCTTCTCTCGAACGCAATGGCCGATATGCTCGCCACCAGCCCTCCCCCGGCTGGTACCAAGGCGCGATTCCTGATTGATGGATTCCCGCGCAAGCTGGACCAGGCTGTCTTCTTCGAGGCCACTGTTTGTCCGTCTGAGTTGGTGCTGTTCCTGGATTGTCCCGAGGAGGTTATGGAGAAGCGGTTGTTGAAGCGTGGTGAGACTAGTGGACGGGATGATGATAATGCTGAGTCGATTCGCAAGCGTTTCAGGACTTTTGTCGAGACCTCTATGCCTGTTGTTGATGACTTTGAGAAGAAGGGCAAGGTTGTTAAGGTTCAGGCTACTGGATCTGTGGATGATGTCTTTGCGCAGGTTAAGACTGGTATTGAGGCTCGTGGTCTGCATCCTGTGAAGGCTTAGATGGGGCTGGTGTCTGCACATGTGTTGAGTTGATATTTGGTGATGTTTTATAGTTTGAGGTACTTAGAGCAATAGATTGTACTTGTCTATTTGGTTTCCATGTGGTTTCGAGTATTGTAGCTTTATTGACTGGCGGGCACTGCCTTTGGTAGCGGGGCCACCGTAGACATACACCTCTTTCGTCTCTTTCGTTCCAAGCTTGACCACTTGAGGATATTGGAACTCGATCTACTCCAGGCCAATTACTCAATAGATGAGGTCTAGAAGAAATTTGTTATTCTTGATCGGACATAAAACAGAGTTTGTCCCTCCAGGAAACATAAACAAGACTTAAAAAAACACAGACATGACTCGTGGGGATCCCAAACTCAACGGGGGAGGAGGACCAGTATTTCCATCCCTACAAACTGGCCAGACAAAAAAAAAAAAAAATAGTAGAAATGCATGAGGAAGAAGAAAGGCTCTCCCCTCTCCCCTCTATTAGCGGAAAAAAAAGAATTTTTTGTGTTCTGAGATTTCCACTCAACCTCATAAAACACCTATTCCATGCAGTTCATCCCAACTTACTCGCCAGCAGCATCAACCTCGCGGGATTGCGAGGCCTGCGGGCGTCTGAGACCTCCGGAGCGTGCCTTGTCGCCGTTCTTGGGCTCCTCAACGGCCTGAATGCCCTCGCGGACGAAACGCTCGCGCTCGGAGCGGATCACGGTCAGGACACCCTCGAGAGAGCGGCGCCAGACCATCAGGCGGCCCTGGACCTCGGCCCACTGCTTCTCGCCAAAGACACGGTAGGTGGCGCGGTGGACAAGGAACTCGGAGCGCAGCTGCGAGAGCCTGCCCTCGACCAGACCGGCGCGGATGGTGTCAATGACCCACATCTCGACATTGGAGGCGGGGACACGCAGAGCGGAGGCGATGGTGGCGTAGGGGAGGGAGCGCGAGGGAGTGGAAGCAGCCATGGAGGTGAGGGTCAAAAGACGCATCTTGGTTTGCAGGGCATCGGCGGCCTCGGCGAGAACGCCGCCGGAGATGGAAGCGAGAGGGTTGGCGTTCACGAAGTCCTCGTACGCGTCGAGGGTGTCGGAGGTGAAGATCTCCAACAGCTCGAAGAGGGAGCTGTCGCTGGAGCGAAGCGACTGAACGGCGTCGGAGGCAGTCAGAGGAGTGAAGTCGAAGACGGCGGGGCGGCGCAGAGCAGAAGCGAGAGCGCGGACAGCCAGGTCGCGAGCGGCGGGCTTGGTGGAATCGGCAGCGGGGATGGTCTGGAGGGCCTGGAGGACGTGCGACTGGGCGAGGTCGTCATCACCGGCCGCGGTGGCCGCATCGGCGATCGCCAGATGCAACTTCTGGGTCTCCTCAGCGTCCAACTCCCACGCAGACAACCATGTGGGCAGCTGCGTAGCCAACTGGGGCTTCAATGCCTCGAAGGCGTATCCGGATCCAGACTGGCGGATGACGGCAACAATAGCCAGGAGAACGTGGTACCGGCTGGAATCGGTGGTGGACAGAGTATTGAAGATGGTGGTGAGAATGGAGATGGCCAAAGTAGGGCCGAATTGGGGCGAGGTGGTGATGGGCTTAGCGAGGTAGGTGCAAATGCGAGGAAGGAAGACGTCCACATCGGAGGACTGGTGGATGAGGTGGACGAGGAGGTTGTAGGAGGGGGTGATCTCTGCAAGTTTCATCCAAGGTTAGTCCTCTGCGCCCACAAAAAAAGGCGGCATCCCGAGTCGATATTCGTGAATATCTTTTTTCTCTTTGTCCGTATATCCCTCCAATTCGACCACTTACCCTTCTCAGGGGCACCGTTCAAGGCGGTCGCAGCCCCAACGAGCTTCTTCAGAATCTCATCGCGTTGCTTAAGGTCGGGCTCGCCCTCAGATTGTTCCTGCTCGCGGATCGGCTGGAGGAGCGGGGCGATCTCGGACTGGAGGGTCTCGTCCTTGCGGAGGGTATCGATGTACTGGGCGAACTCCTCGGCGAGCTCGGAGAACGAACCCTCAATCAGGAGGGTGTTGGTCGGAGCGGGCATGATGTGTGGTGTGGGAGGAGAAGGGGGGAGGAAGAGAGGTTCTTTGACGGTGGAGTCTATCGATAAGTTGAGAAATTTCAGTGTGTGCTACAAAAAGTCTTGGCGAAGGGAACACCACTTGCCGCACCCAACGTCTACACTCCAAACTCAAGGACAGCAATTTACAACTACGACGGCATCACACACCTGGACTAATTATTCAGCTTTCGATATTATTAGACAGTCGGACACCGTTGCCAGCACCGACACTTCATGCTTCGCTAAGTGAAAAGGGAAAGACAGGCGCCACATAAATAAGTGGATAACATCAACGCAGGATGGAAGTATTCAAGAACGGGGAATCAGGGGGTTTTGAAGCAGGAAAACAATCGTGATCGCGCTGAGACAATATAATAGGATTATGGAAGGGAATAGACCCAACTCGAAACCGACCCCGGTGCGAAATGCTCGTTTACAGGAACATGCGAGCAGCCAGGAACATCGCACCGGCCATGATACCAGTCGAGTAGTCCTCACCAAGAGTGATGGCGGCATTCTTGGTAGTGCTCTCAGCAGCCACAGAGGAGGAGCTGGTCATGCTTGACGAAGTGGAAGTGGTCATGGACATAGTGCTCGTGGCCGAAGTGGAGGTGGACGAAGATTCAGCGATCTCGTTCAAGGCAGTGGCGTTCTTGCTTCCGCATTTCGCAGCACTCTTGCAAGCCTTCTGGCCATTGGCATCGTTGGGGTGAGCATTGATGCACTGGCCGAAGGTGGACTCGCAGACATAGAAGGGAACGGTCTGGATGTACTGGCTGGAGTCGGGGGTGGTACCGTCACTGCACTTACACTGGTACTGCAGTGTAGTCTGTGATTGAACCTATCAGTGGGTGTCAATGGCCCAGGGGATGAAAAACTTACGGAATCGCAGGAGTTGACGTCGGTCGAGCCCTTGCACATGTCCGGGCAGACGTTGCGCTGGCCCTGGCACCACGAGTTCAGCTCATCGGGCTTCACCATGCCAAGGTTGAAACCTTGAGGGAAGGTGTAGGAGGTCGAGTTCTGAGCCACAGCCGCGGCGACAAGGGTGGAGAGGAGCACGATTGAGGAGTGCATTATGAGTGATGTGGATGAAAATAGAAGGTAGATGGATATGAAGGTAGAGAGGAGTCAAGGTAACCAAAAGATCAAAAGATTCAGAGCAAGAAACTGGAAGAGAGCGAGGCAGGGAAAGCACGTTTCCTAGAGCAGCTAAATAACAACCGAAGGTGCCAAGGCACCGACGTCCCTTGGCTATGCATACCAAGGAAAGAACTTGTTTCTGAGGGATTTCCAACCGAATGCAACACCCGTGCCCTTTGATCCCTGATCGTTTACCCTAATTTACCCTAACTTACCCTATCTCACCCCAATTTTCAGGGTCCCCTGCAGTGCTGATCCCCGTAGATCAGAGACATAACAAAGACTTCCTTCAGATATCGAGATGCACCGACTATTGTTTCTGTCCTTCCATGCTACTGCACCATTCCCGTCCTGCAGAAACCCCTACCGGCAATGGAGTCCAGCATTCCAACCCCCGAATTCCAATCGGCCAGCAGCCACCTCCTTGCTTGTGTCATCCTGATTACATACCTGAGTGAGACTCCAATTGGATGCCTCAATGCGCTGCCAAACCCGGAAAAATATGAATCTGGGATTCGAGATAACTCATGACCATGTCTAAATCATTTTGCGTATCTCCTAGGATCTAGAATCCGACAAAATCAGGTATCCCTCACGTGATGTGACAATTATACCCGATTCGGACTTTCGGACAACCGAGGTCCAACCCGGTATGGTGAATCAAAGTTGGGTCCGATAACGTCGCAGGTACACCTGGGCACCTCTCCTTATTTACACCTAGCATCCCCGAATCTTGAACAATGGCCGAAACGGCCCCCGCCATCGAGCACTTCCGCTCCAATCAATGGGCAAACAACCTCCTCTCCTCCGAGGACTACACCCCCATCCCAACAGACTCACGCCGCTTCAAGACCTCCTCCGGCGAAGATGGGTTCTTTTCCAAAACACTGGCTACGCCCACTACCATCCCACACGTGCTGACCCTGCAACGGCGCACCATTGCCCCCCCACAGTCAGAAGCCCCGACCTGGCTCCCCGCAACCAAGGAAGACGCCGCCGGGAAGAAGCCCACGCCGGGCACAACACCAGCGGATATTATTATGCTCTATGATCTCGCGAGTCCAGGTCTTTCGGGACACCCATCCACTGTGCATGGTGGCATTGTCGCAACCCTGATTGACGAGGCAATGTCTCTCGCTGTCGCGTCGCATACCTCGCCCTCGGGATCTGCCGATTCCCCGCCATCGGAAACTTCGGCTTGGGAAGATAATCCTCGCGGGAAGATCTTCACGGTGCAGCTGGATGTGCGATACCGTAAGCGTGTGACTAACCCGGCTTTGCTGGTTGTTCGGGCGAGGGTTGTTGCGCGCGTTGGGAGGAAGTTCTGGGTTCGGGCGCAGGCGCTACAAGAGGATGAGGAGGGTGCCGGCGGGCATCTTGAGTGGGCTAAGAGGAAGGTTGTCAAGGCAGATGCTATGGCTTTCTGGATTGTTGTTCCTGATGAGAATCTGTGAGGACTTGAAGGACCTGAAGGCAGCTCAATCAACATTGCACATATACATATACATATGTTTACACATACAGGAACCCGATCTGTACATACACTCATCTGATACATAAACATATACCTAAAACATACCTTACGAATGATCATTCAATCAAACCCTCTCGTATGTGCTGATCTATCATTTATTTATAGATACCTCTTGAAATATGTACACTTGTGTACCCAATCCAGTCAAATCAAATCTACAACTTCACAAACTTCCTCGTCCCTACATTTCTCGCCGCACTAACAACCAACCCAACCTGCGTACTAAGCGCAATGACCTCCCCATCTTGATCAAGAATTGTAACTTCCAAATCAGTCCTCCCATCTCTGACAACCTTCGTCACAATGCGACTATACAGCCACTCCACTCCCTCTTTCGGCAGGTGCTTCTTCATATCAATATTCAGCGTAACAGTCGGATACCAGAACTTCGCCTTGAAATCCGGCGCTTCTTTCCCCTCTGCCTTGGCCGCTGCAGTCGCAGACACATTATCGAATCCGTCAAGGGCCATGGGGAACATGTCAGTCAGGTAGACTACCGCAGCGTCGGTCCAGCGCCCGTTCATATCTCCACCGGGAATGAATCGCGCCCATTGATCGATGGCCATTGACCGGGTACGCTTTTGTTGTGTGTCACTTTTCCCAGGGCCATATAGTTCCAGCTGGGCAGCTGCGCGCCGGAACTCGGGAAATGGGGGCTCGAGTTTGCTCCATGCGCCGTCGCGGCCTGTGCGTGATAGTGCAGGAAAATCGATCTTGCCGTCCGCTTTGGAACCTGGCGGCGGGCTAGGGAGGAGTTTATACCCCGTCGGTGCGCTGATACCTACTTCGGCGGATGGAGGACTGACGGTGATGTAGCCGGCGACTTTGACTTCGGGCTTGCCGTGCTTCTCGGAGGCTTGGAGAAGTTTTATGTGGATTGTGCTTGTTCGCAGGCCGATCTTCACGTCTTCTACTTCCAATGTTGCGGGGCCGGCGGCTGTGCGCCGGAGGAAGGAAAGTTGGAGTGAGATTGGAGAGGCTGGGGTGTCATATTGTTTTGGATGCGCGTGCGCGAAGTGTGTTAGGGCGAGGTTGTAGAGGACTGCTGTTGTGTAGCCGCCATGGGGGACTGATAAAATGTTAATCTGGATTCCAAGTTGGGTTGAAATGGTGAGTAAAAGGGTAGTTACCGGTTCCAATGCACCATTCATTGCGCAGGTTTGCGCTGTACTTGTTGTTGCCTTGAGGGGTGACCCGGATAGCCTCCTCAAAGGACTGGTTAAGGACTGCCATGGTAGATGTGTGTGCGTGAAGAAAAGAACTGGAGGATGCCCTGGAAGTTATAAACGGCTCCCGGCCCATTTGAAGTTCTGTCGGCGAACCTCGGCTGCTCGGGGTAAATACCCCAGCACGCTACAACCGAGCCGAGTAATCATCTTATCAAGGTTCAGGGTCCTTATCGCGTATACAAAAAGATATAGAAAGGTACTCCGGACTTGACAGGGGCAAAGGGAATGGACATGCAAACAAATGAGTCAATATTATCTATTAATGATAGAAATTAAATTTAGCAAAGGAGCCCTTTTCTTCGTCCAGTCGGATAGCTCCCACCTGTCCCATCTCAACCAACTCGTTTGAGCGTCGGGGTCTGTTGATCCATTGCATGTCCATGTACCCATCGCCACATAGCGTTTGAGGACATTTTGCTCGATATCCAGAGCCTCATGATATCTCCATCAAATGTTAACACGCTTCCAGCAATACCCACAGATGGGTAGTCCAAATTGCTCGCCACACCTATTCGCATTTTACCTCTCCCTCAGCGAACTGCAATAATGCCACAATTGCCACTCTGTCTTTCTTTAGTCGGGCCTTGAATTTTTATACCCCTTCTCGGACTGCCAGAGAAAATAGCTAAATTACCAGTCACATCTTTTAGATACCGTTCAACGAAATCTCCGGCGAAAATTAGAGGTAGATTGAGCGAACGCAGCTCCGCATCGCCCGGCTTCTGTAAGAATGATCTTAATAGGCTCTGACAGAAGCAAATCCTTTGATGGATGAAATCGCTATATCAAAATCGTGATAGCCTCCAGAAGCTCTCTCGTGGAGTTCCTATACCGCCATCGTGCTCAATGCTATACTAAGTGTTCTTGCCGCTGCACCAAGGAAAAAACTCGCGTACCGAGCACTAGTTAGAACTAAAACAGCTTACATACTAGTAGTAACTAGTAGCTGATACTATGTGTAACCTTGGTAACTTTTAAAGGATAATCTATGCCCAACGCTCAGAGATTGATCTATCACTACTAGTACTAGTACATATGGTGGAGCTCTTGGGAAATACATTAGCTGTCGTCACACCTATTTAGTAGCTAAATATCTGTCGAACGAAGGGTGATTTCCAATGTTGCTTTCTAGTTTCTACCAGTAGTTACCGGTATCACTATCATTACCTAGTATGTAGATAGTACTATTACATTGCAAACAAAAACACCTTCACTTCTCTCTCAAAGGAAAATCTTCAGGTTATGCCAGTGGTAGCCAGACTCCAAAGACACTAACGTGTCAGAAAGCGAAATTACTGCTAGTAACTATGATCGGCCACATTTTTGCCGGAAACCATATTTCTTTCTCAATTATCCCATACAGTAACTGATATTAGGCATGAATCACCCACCAAAAACGCCCTCGAAGGGAGAGCCATCGATCATATCGTATAGCTGCCTCATTTCATCACCATCCCCCATATTCTCCCAAAGAAACCACATCGTCTGTGTCCAACATTTCATCCATCCGGGAAAGGTGTCCAACGAATCCACGATCGGAAATGCTTCAAGAGCCTTCACAAATCGTAATTCATCATCATTCTCGGCGTTCTCCACTGGTGCATCCTTGAGTGTTTGGAGAGATTCCTCGTCAATGATAAGACACACTCGATATTTGTTAAAGTTATCACGTTTTCCTTGGCCATTGACCCAAGCCTCAAAATGAGCGCGAACCATCTCGAGAGAAGCTCCATCAAATTGTGTCGGGTCTTCTATAATTGTCGACTGGTATTTGGACCAAACGTAGGCAGGGACGTCATTATTCCTATATCGAGGTTGTTGAGTGACTTCCGTGAAAAATTCACCTTTTAAGCAGGCCTCAATGTATCTGATGGCGTGAGGGAAAGCAGTATCGGATTCAGTAGTGTAGGTAGTGCGATAAATGACGTATCCCCAGTCTGGCAAGCCGTAAAGTCTGTTCTCAAGCTCGTTCATGCTGTGAATTGAATGGAGTGTATGCGGTATCAGGCTTGTTTGAATCGAGGTATGTGAGGGGAGAAGAGATGAGCAGGTGAAGGAATGTTGTGAACCCCCGACATCTCCACGGGTGCTGCCAAGGCCGTCTCAACCGAGTTTGCCAAGACAGTCCGGTCCTACCGGGGCAATCTTCTGAGTTTCCACGAAATCAGTCAATTCAATGATATCTCTTAAACCTTGGATCGACCCAGAGATTCTCTGTGGTAAGCCTAATAAATTCAGTGGGACTATCTCCATTGAAGCGAGATCAGTAGAACATGTGGTAATTCTACCCTAGCACTCCACTCCCGTGTACCCTACTTACGAGTTTTATTTCTATTTTTAAGAAAAAAACTTTTCGAAATATTTTCTATCTAGTTGGTCGCTCCTAGTACAAGACTTTCGGCTCCAATGAACTCGCTATTTATTAGTCAAATTCGGGAGCTCCAGCTGTGAAATGAGAGGCGTGCCTGACACGCTATTCAACTTCTTTATTTAGCGCCGAATTTATACGTCAAAAAGCGGTGATTACTGACACCAGTCTGGTAATTCTTCGAATTGGATAGGCCCCAAGCTACATGTGGGAAAGCTCGCCGTTTCCCGAATCGGATATTACCCGAGTGATTTCATCGTATCTAAACATTCAAAGAGCGAGTTTTCTGCCTGATAGATGACAAACGGCTGTCAAGGCCCTGGCTTCCTGAAATCCGTTGCCTTTTGTTGCACTCTCGTCAATGAGATGTTTTCTTCTCCAAACCATTGTGGCCTAAGATCTGAGATGGCCTGCTCAAGCTCAGTGCATCTGTCACCTAATGTGAGAATCGTGCGGCCGTTCCAACGACCTTTTTAATTCACAATGGCCGTGGCCGGGTCTTTGCCATATAATTCAACTTGTCGTGTCTTAACTAGATTTTGCGAGTTCTTTTTTTAATTTTTGAATTTCTCCTTTGATATGTTCCCCTTGCATTCGGTGGTCCAGTAAATCACCCTCTTCCGCCGACTCGGCGGAAGAAAAGATTTTGGTAAACAACCGAAACAACCAGTTAATTTTTCAACCCTTTTTTTCTTCTTAAGTAGAGACTGATATCTTCGACAGGTCTTTCTCTCATTCATTATTCTTCGCACATATTTTGTTCCCCAAGCAACCGTCAGTTTCCCATTTTTTCATGAGTACCATGACGCAGCTGTCGCAAACCGACGGCACGGCGCCGTCGACAAATTCGATACCTTCGGTAATCAAGAAACATGACAACAATGCTCTGTATTCGCATGGGGCCCCCGAGTCGGCGAAAGAAAGCAACGGCAGGGGCCCTAAACTTTGTGGTGGTGAACCTTGTGGTGGTGATGCACCATTCGACGATACTGGCGCCAGCGGCTTCACTTTGCTGATGACCGTCGTGGCGCTGGCCATGAGCATGTTCTTAGTACGGGCTTGTCAACAAATTCTCCCATTCTAGGTACAAACTAACAACCAATTTCATGATCAGGTTTCGTTGGATATGGTCAGTAGCTCCATGCATCGAACTCTATCTATAATCATAATAAACCTTGTGAAAAAGCTAACAAATGTGTTTCCCTCAGACAATTGTCGCAACAGCGATTCCAAAGATCACAGATGACTTCGGCGGTATTGAGGAAGAGGGCTGGTATGGATCGGCTTTTTTTATCACACTGGGGAGCTTCCAAGCTGCATGGGGAAAGGCATACAAATACTTTCCACTGAAGATATCGTTCATGATATCTATTTTCATTTTTGAAATTGGAAGCTTGGTTTCCGGTAAAATTGAACTACATACGTGTTTCAAGTTCCAGACTGACCTATTGCCCTGCTTCTAGGTGTCGCGCCTAATAGCATTACGCTGATCGTTGGGCGGGCTATCACAGGCGTCGGTGGCGCTGGTATCTCCTCGGGCGCGTTTACTATTATCGCTTTATCTGCGCCACCCAAGCAGCGCCCTGCATATATCGGAATTCTTGGTGCCGCTTACGGAGTCGCTGCTGCTATCGGGCCTCTTGTTGGCGGTGCATTTACAAGCAACGTTACCTGGCGATGGTGTTTTTACATCAATCTCCCAATCGGCGGACTATCAGCAGGGATTATCTTACTATTCTACCGCGCTCCTCCTTCACTGCCATTTCTTACTTCAGCTTCCTTGAAGGAGAAGATTCTTCAGATGGACTTGCCGGGTAGCTTTCTGCTTGTTGCGGCTTTGGTCTGCTACGTCCTCGCTCTGCAGTGGGGTGGAATATCGTTACCATGGAGTGATTCCAAGGTCATTGGTCTTTTAATCGGATTCGGGTTATTACTAACTATCTATGGCTTCGTGGAATGGGTACAGAAGGAGCGTGCAGCAATGATCGGACGTCTCTTCCGGCGGAACGTGATTATCACAATGATCTACATTGATTTACTGGCGGGAACGTTTTTCCTATTGGTATACTATTTGCCTATTTATTTCCAGGTCGTATCTGGCGTCTCTGCTGCCGAGAGTGGAATCAGAAACTTGCCTTTGATTCTTGCTCAGAGTGTTGCCACTGTCCTATCGGGTGTTACCCTTAGCAGATTAGGATACCCTCAACATTTCCTACTATTTGGGGCTACACTTACAGCAATTGGCTCTGGCTTATTGTACACGCTCGAGATCAATACTGGATCTGGTAAGTGGATTGGGTACCAGTTACTGGCTGGTATCGGGATTGGGTGGTGCTTCCAGGTTCCTGTTGTGACTGCACAGGCTTCCGTTAAGCCAGAGGACTTATCGTCCGTGACGGCTATGGTGCTAAGTACATTCTTACCTTTCTTCCATAATATATTCAAGGTGATAGCTAATACTTTTAAGCTGTGCAAACAATCGGAGGATCGGTCTTTGTCTCCGCCGGCCAATCGGCTATGGTTAATGTTCTTCTCAAGGTTCTACGTGGCGAGACATCAATTATTGATGCCACCAAGGTCGCTATGACAGGTGCAACTGAACTACGTCAAGTGTTCTCTTCTGATCAAATGGAGTTCATTCTGACCGCATATATGCAAGGTCTCCAGGCAGCGTTCCTCGTGGCCGTTGTCGCATCTAGCTTGGCTACTGTGGTCTGCTTGGGATCTCGATGGATTAAGCTTTCTGGGGTAGCTCCTGTAGCAGTGGCTGTTTAAGTGAATAGCAATGTAAATAAAGCTGTTTTTTTTTTTTGTGGAAATACAAGTTATGGGCTGCTGAAAGAAGGCCCTGATATGGTTTGGACAATTCTTAGGACCAGTATTCTTACATTAGAGGACTTTTCCCAATTAAAGTCAATTTCATATGGATGTCTTTGAATTTTAAAAAACTCCAAGATGAAAAGTAGGGGAATAAAGCAGATATATATATTCTTTATAAGATAATATATTAGATCATCCCAGCCTCTTTCTGAATAACAATCAAGGGGAAAGTAAATTGCGATCTCCGCCATCAAAACCGTCTGTGGCCCCTATATGGAATATAAGTCTCAATTTTGGTATATTCATCTACCCTAGGTGGACGCCTGTTGCTACCTATAGGTGGTTGTTTGACGTATTTACCACTGCCAAAGCTGATGCTGGAGGTCACTGCGGCTGATATTGAGGCTACCACATATGATATCAATAGTACCTCCGACGTATAAACGGTCAGTGAGCTTTTCGATATATGCTTCAATATTGATGGTTTGGGGTGGCATAATAGAGGAAGAAACGTTGATTCATAATGAGTTCTTTATGAATTTCTCACGTTATCAGGAGCGATCTATCTCATCTGAAATAAGTACCGTAGGTAGTATTAGGTGCTAGCACCTAGGGAAAATTTGCCAGATCTGATAATTATTCAGATTTGACGGTGTTAGGGGAGAAAGTTATGTAGGGTGGGTGAGGGATAGATTTTAAGAGGGGCCCACTAGACTACAACATAAAAAATACAAGATTGGGCGATTATCATACTAGGCGGTGGCGATAACGGTGATTCTGGGCGGTAGAATTCACCATTGGCAAAATTGATATAACCTACAGGTCGGGGCCCAGCTGGCTGGGTGCCCCCCTACAGGTTACGTGTGTCTGGGTACACCGTAGTGCTGACTAATAGAATCCGCTATGACCCACGATAGGGAGTCGCACACGTATTAATTTTACCTCTACCCCTATTCCCCTTGTCTAAATGTAAGCCGGTGGACCTCTTCTCACGGTTATGAAGGCAATGTTGCGCGATAATCCAACCCCAACCCCGCCCGTGGACCAGCAGCCGCCTCGGAAAAAAATGCGGAAGGGAACCCGTAGCTGTTGGGAATGTATGTACTCAGTGATGGGTCGCTGTTTGGACTGAGAGGGCTTTGGGGGCTGATAGCATCAATCCAATTTAATTATAGGTAAACACCGCAAGGTTCGCTGTCATTTTTTATCTGATAGCGACCATAGCTGTCGCGAATGTCTGGCCAGAGGCACTGTTTGTCGCAGCCAGGAATTCCCCGAACCTGAGAATTCTCGCGAATCAGATCGAGTATCACTCCATGATCGGCTTGGCCGAGTGGAGTCCTTACTGGAGAAAGTTCTGAGGCGGCTGGATGCCGTTAATGATCCAGAAGAACCGCAAGTATTACCAGTACTAGGGGACCCTAATAACGGCTCAAGCTCTAGTGTGGCCGTCACACCTCCGAATGAAAACGCCCCAGTCTTGTCTCTTTTCGATAATGGAGTGGTATGTATCATATGTACATTTTTGCATAGAAGTATGGACCGGCTATGTTGACACAAAAACAGTTAGGTTTTCGAAGATCAGACGCGTCTCCGCCAAATATCACTTTGTATAGCAGCACAAGTCGGGACTGGGAAAAGATTCGCTACGATCTCTTGGCCCTATTACCATCGCAGAGCACACTAGAAAGGCTCGGTGAAGCCAACAGCTGCTGGTGGCTAGTCCGCGCCCAGTGCTTCAAAGACTACGAGAAATCCCTTCTTTCAAGCTCGCGGGTGGCCCTTTCAGACTTTCACCCCGCTATGACGGCCAAAGCCCTTTTATGGGTGGCGATCTGTCTCCAGCAACTTCCACGAGGCTTCGACGTTGACTCATTAGAACTTGGATGTTCTCCGAATGGACTCATCGCGAAATGCATCAACATTGTTGCAATGTCTATTAGCTCCGACGAGACATTGATAATGAACATTGATGGACTAGAATGTTTAGTTCTTCAAGGGATATTCTACAACAATGATGGGAAATTACGGAGTGCCTGGTTGTCTTATCGCCGAGCCCTCAACGTAGCTCAAATTATCGGGCTCCATCGCCTTGCACCGGAGGCAGCGCAAGACTCTGAATCTACATCACGAGCAAGGCATATCTGGAATCACATCATATATGCCGACCGATACCTTTCTTTAATGCTCGGCATGTATCATGGCATTACGGATGTGGCGTTGGATTCCCAGTGCGGCCTAAGCGAGAAACCAAATACCTCTATGGATCTCCTTTGTTGCATAGCTGGATCTATTATTGAACGGAATCAAAGGCTTACTCAGGTTACTCCTGCGATGGTACGTATAACCCAAACCATCGATTCAGAGCTCTTGTCAATCGACACTCCACCGTTAGCGGGCGACTCCACTATCTCAACATCCGGGAAGTCTGTTGAGCGAGCCCAGAGCTATAACGAACTTATGACGCAACTTTGGCACTATCAACTTTTGGCCTGGCTTCATTTACCACTTCTCTTAGAATCTGGCGCCCAGAGGCGCTATGACTATAGTAGGCAAAGTTGTCTCGAAGCCTCGCGGCACATGATAACATGCTATATATCCATCCGCCAACTCACAGCAGATAGTTTCTGTTGTAAGTCGCTTGACTTTCAGGCCTTTACTGCTGCCGTCACTCTTATGATCAATCTCCTAGGACCAAAGGGGCGACCTCGGTCCAGCTCTGATGACTGGCTCGCCGTTGAGGGCGTTATGGCAATCCTGGAGAAATTGGCCGAGGGACAACCCCCTGATAAGGTAGCAACTCGTGGACTTGTTGTCCTCCAGACACTCAAGGATGTTGCGAGAGGAAATAAACCGACACAAATTGGCGCTCCAGAAGGACTCTCCACGGATGACAAAGAACCCGGTCGCATCAAAATTGACATCCCATACTTCGGTACTATTAGCCTTGTTTGCGGTATGCGCAGTGATCCTTCAGAGCAACAGGAGCCGGATAATGTTCCACCACATCCGCTGTTATTCGATACTGGGATTGCTGTCAATACTGCGCCGTCGTCACAGATGGGGATCATTCCAGAGCTGAGCACCACACAGGTCCAGTTCACGGACATTGTGCATTGGCCTGAAACCCGCTTGGAAATAGGACCTAACGACATTTGGACGTTTGGTACAGGACTGGCCGCATCACCTCCGTTCCTACCTGACTTTGGAGATGACTGGGACTTAGGATTCTAAATTCCAAACAGTTCAACCCGAGTGAGACGCAAAAGTCTATCTTTAAGATCATAACTTCTAAACCCCCATACTCTATTATTAACTGCACTAAGGGTTTAGTGCGGTTCTTCGTATAATAAATGAGAATCTGCAGCTATATGAAAAGGTTATACAGAACCTTTTAGCGGAGCTCGAATTAGTTTGGTAGCGTACGCTACCATGGCTCTGGAATCCACATTAGGCGGCGGCTGGCTGGCAGCAGGAGCCAGGGTACACATATGTTCTTCTGCCAATTTAAAACCCAATCCCATATTTTCTTCTTCATAAGCATTTCTATTTCCTCCCTGATACCAAAGCTTACCATACAATAGCCGTTTAATCATCCCTGAAAATGTCTGAACTATCTTTTGAAGGCCAAGAATCGAAGACAGTCCCCTACTGCCACGACTGCCCTCCACAATATGACCTATGCCAGCCAAGCCAAGATGTACTCACCTTTGTCATTGAGAACGAGCATATTTGCCGGATATTAGTCGATCGGCTAGATAATATGGGGACAGAGTTCTTCAACTTGGCAGAGAAGAACCCGGCCGAAACTGATTACCTTCTACTTACGGAGTTACTTCTCGAAGCGGGTGAGGTATTTACAGAGGGGATACAGATTAGTGCAGAGTTGGCAAATGTTTATAAGGAACGCACCGTTCAGACCACCGAACTCTATACCGCCATGTCAAGACTCTCTGTTAGTGAGTTCAAACGGACCTATGCTTCTTTAAAGCGGGATCAAAACCGGCAGATGCGACACGAGTTGGCTCAGGACAATAAGGACCGCGGCGACAGCTATGACACGGGTTGTGGAGACAATTCCCAACGCTCTTTGGGGGTCAAGCAAATAGAGGGAGCTGGAGATTGACTAATTGGCCCCTATAGAGCTCGAACATACGGGACTATATAGTATTTTTTTCGATGTCGCGTCCTATTGTGTTTATTCTAGATTTGATCACTTTAATTCATCATTATGGCTGATGTTTCTACGTCGTCCGGTCCTGAGCTCCTTCACGATGCCGAAAAGCTCACTCCGAGTGAATCATCACTAGGTTCGCAGGAAAAGCGACACATCACCGGGATCAAGGTTAGTTTAGTTGCTTTGGGCCCGAGATTAGAGAGTGAAATTTCTGACTGCGTTAGGGGGCCGCATTTTTGGTCAGCACTTTGACGGCCATTTTCGTCTACTCTCTGGACAATACAATTGTTGCCAACATCGCTCCGGTACGCACACCCGTACCTCTCCGTTTTATTACCCCGGCCGCCCCCCTCCCCGAATAGAGAAGCACATACTGACGAGACTCTTCTTCTACTTATTAGAAAATTGTCAACGATTTCAACACGGTCGAAGATTTGCCATGGCTGTCGGTGGGGTATGTGGTGGATGATATGATATGACTGAGCATTAGAGGAAGTCGCCGGCTAAAAATCTCTGCTCTATATAGGTTCATGATTGGGGGAATGGCAATGGTACTACCATTTGGTAAGCTATATACCCTTTTCGATGCCAAGTGGGTTTTCATTATATCCACCGTCGTGTTCATGGCAGCCTCTGCACTCTGTGGCGGGGCGCCTAACATGGACGCCGAGATTATCGAACGAGTCTTTGCTGGTGCGGGTGGTAATTGAATGTACTTTGTCCTTCTTGCTCTGATTTCCATGAACACCACCAGCCAGGAACGGCCGAATTACCTAAGCTTAAGGTGAGCCTATACTTCCTAAAGTTAGCTGATGGTACACTGACATTTAATCCTAGCGGCTTGGTCTGGGGACTTGGGACGGTCCTGGGTCCTGTTGTCGGCGGTGGCTTTGAGCTATATACCTGGCGCTGGGCATTCTACATCAACCTGCTGTTTGGCGCCATCTTACTGCCAACCTTTATATTCGTTATTCCATCTAACGACCCGCTACCAGGGACGTCACGATGGCGGAAACTGGCCAGCTTCGACTGGGTGGGCACCATAATCAGTGTCGGAGCATTCACCACTCTGGTTATGGCCATCAACTTCGGCGGGACCCTATATCCATGGAATAGCGGGCAGACAATTGCCCTATTTGTTTTCTCCGGAGCCCTGTGGATTATTCTCGGCCTCCAACAAGGCTTTGTTATCGCCACTTCGCTCGAGAGGCGCATTTTAATAATTCATCTGTTTGCTCAGAAGGAGCCAGTCTTACTCTTTATATCTTGTGCGGCAGTTGGCGCGGTATCTTATATCAGTGTCTATTATATTCCTATTTATTTCCAGTTCACTCAAGGAGATAGCGCGATCAGATCTGCCGTCCGCCTACTCCCATTTATATTCCTGCTAATCACCACTATTCCAACTAGGGGAGCCATGATATCTCATATTGGCTACTACAAACCCTGGTACCTAGGCGGCAGCATAGTTGCCCTAATCCCGGCTGTTTTGATGTGTATGTGTCGCGCGAAATGCTCTTTTCCTATGATTATAAGCTAAATATTGAACCAACAGCTACTATTGTCAATGCAGATACCCCATCGGGCATGATTTATGGTCTCGAAGTCTTACTCGGACTCGGAGCTGGCGCCTACGCCCAGGCCGCGTTTGCAGTCATTCAGGCTGTTGTAACCCCGGCCGATGCGCCTAACGGGCTGACTCTTATGTTACTGGGTTCGTCGCTTTGTTTCCTACCAAGTTTCCAACTAACGCAGACTGCGTAGCTCAACTAAGCGGTATGACGCTGGGCCTATCCATCAGCGGTGCCGTATTCGTCAACGTCGCGTCGAATGACCTATTCGCCCTACTCCCGGAATACCCACAATCTCAAGTCAGGCAGATCGTCTCTGGAACCAGTGGCCAGCTGCTCTCGTCGCTGTCTGAGACGCTACGCGATCAAGCGCTTGCTATCATTGTGTCAGCATGGCAGAATATGTAAGTATCGTTGGCTTTCATTTCTGGTGAATGAGATGCTGATTTTTCGGGCAAAGTTTCATCTGTGTGTATGTGGCCGCTGCCGCAAGCTTAGTATGCTCGGTCTTTATGGCGGTAAGTGGTAACGGCTCCTGGAGTGAAACTCATGAAATCATTTTACTGAGTTTTACGTATAGCATAAACGGTGTAACGTCTCGGCCGCCGCCGGCGGTGCGTGAGATATCTGAAACTCCAACATGTCTTTGTGGGTAGGACTTTATTAGGTGACAATACAATTTTGCTCATCGCGTACTACACGAGGATTCCTTAGGTGAATGAGTACTTTGGGGATAGTAATAAAAAAGATCCTCTGTTCTGAAAATAATATTAGAATCAAATAGACAATTTTTCGAAGAACTTTCGAGAAAGCGATCATTTGGTACAAAATTTCTTGTTATTGAACAATTAGTCTTGATGATTAGAATCCAACTCTTTGTATGATTTTATCGACTATGGCTAGCCTCGCTTTGACATGCTATACTACTACCAATCCTGAATCTTTCCATTGCCCGTACTCGCCACCGATTCATTCGCCCAGTACTGCCCACTAATCTGTCCGATGTCACCAATCGCCAGTCGCAGCGGGATCCTCGCTCCTTCCTCTATCGAAAGTTAGTGACACGTCCGCGGGAGCGAAACCCACGCACATACCAACAGACTTGGGCGGCTGACCTGCCTGCGCACCTAGCGGCGTGCCCACCCACCCGGGGCAGCAGCAGTTAATTAGCAGATGAGGATTTTCGCGGGCCAGAATCCGTGTTGCGGCGTTCAGAGCGGCCTTGCTTGTGAAGTAGGCTAAGGAGGGCCAGCCCGACGCAGTCGCAGTGTGCTGGTCTGCTAAGCGCTAGAGTAGGGCGATTAGTCGCACACTGGAAGAGGAAGGGTCGAAGCAACGTACGCTGTACTCGCCGAGCAGAGCGTCTAGGTCGGCAAAGGTGAGGTCGGGACTCAAGAAACGCGCTTGCAAGCGAGGATGGAAGTATTTGAGCTGGCCGGATTGGGACGAGACGTTGACGATGCGGCCGTTCTCGCGCATGATTGGTAAAAAGGCTTGACAGACCTGGGTTTATTAGTGGATCAAGACGAGGAGAGGGTATATCCAGTGCTCTACATTGAGGGTGCCGCGATAGTTCACGTCGAGAGTTTCCTGACGCTGTGCGGCGGTGATGTTCTGTTGGAAATAGTAGAGCCCGGCATTGTTGATGAGGATGTCGCAGCCCCTATGCTCGTTGCCGACCATCGTGCTCAGGGCGGTGATACTGGCCTTGTCGGTGAGGGACAGCTGAGCAGGGCAAATTTGCACAGCTGGGGGAATAGAAAGGCCTAACAAGTCAATAGAACCCCCGGTACGAGAGGCTGCGTACAGAATCAAGGGGCCTGGGAGTTGCTGAACCAACGCAGCACGGATGGCACATCCGATGCCACGGTTCTGAACTCATAATGAGAAGCGATCTGCTACAAGAGGAGGGAACTTACGGCGCCAGTGACTATAGCTACTAGAGGGGTGTCCATGGTTAGACAGCTAGCCACAGACATTCACTGCATTGGTGAATTTTGGGAGAGAAGGAAGAAAGTTACCATTGGCAGCAAGCTGATTAACTTATAAATATTCTTGACTCGTGCCAAGCCCCCAACTCATTGACTACAGTCCCAGCCCCGCGTACTAAGTTGAGAAATGTATGGTTGTGTTTTCTTTAACCCATTAGTAATCTACCACTAAGGGTCATGCAGATCAGCGCATACCCGGCCGCTCCAAGTATCCTGCACCGTAAAAAGGGTCTCAACGGGACAGAGAAGCTCTAGTGTGACGATGCTAGTGCCTTACTACAAACGGCTCTTCAACAGCAATCGCCTTGATAGAATCTTATATCAAGCCACTCATTGTGATCCTCTGACCATTAATAGCTTGTACGCTCTTCCATATATCTGACAAGTAGAACAAAACGTGATTACTTGTTATCAACAAGTATTATACCCAACACCGCAAGTCAGCCTGGCTAAGCATCCACTTCACCCCTTCCACGACATTCTGATGAAACGTCTCCGAGCTCTGTAGTTGTTCCAACAGCCAGAAGTAATGCGGCATGTCTGGATAAGTATGAAACATGTTTCGGATTCTGTATAGCGTTGGTAAGAGCCAGAAACGCCTCCAGTGTTCGACTCACCCGAGTTTATCGAGCTGATACTTGAAGACGATCGAATCGTCCGAGCCGGGTCTGCTTCATAGATAGCCTGATAGACTGGGGGCAGACAGGAGATCCCAGGATGCAAGCACGGGAAGGCGTACGTAAGGTCCCTCGCGTTCACTAATATCTCTGTCAATGCTTCAAACGAACCAGTCAGGGATTTAGTCAGTGAAATGGCCAGGGAGGGCAATATGTCACGGAAGAACCATAATTACATGGCCCATGACATCGACGATCTATTACAGGAAGTCCTTGGAACACAGAACTAGCTGAAGGATTGGAGGGTCTTGTGGAGTAGCCAGACTATCTGCGAACTGAAAACCTGGGCTTTGAACTCGATGAGACACTCCCGTCATCTGGCTGTTCTTGAGATGGTATCAGGTCCTTTGTATAATACTAGCACTAATTCAAATGCTATATCGCGTCGAGAGAATATGACTCGGCTTATATGCGCAATTTGAACTCACCGTCTTCGGCCAAGGAACAGGGGTTGAGAATCATCGATATGTGATAAGTCTTCTAGTGTCGATCACTCTTATTGCTGGAGTCTTTTGGGATATTCAATTCGTGACTGGACTCGCCCAATACGATCCGACATTGCTTTTTTGGACAAGGTCAGAGTCCGGAAGAGGCCAGCATGGCCGGCCGAGGTTTCATCGGTAAGTTCCCGCTACCACCAATCATGGATTGGATGAAACTAGTTCCTTTGCAAAGTCCCACCCCTGACTGGATTATAAAGAGAAGTGATTGCCCAAATGAATTGATTTGTAGGATTTGCATGCTGCAAAACAATAATTGACAAAATGATGCGCCGTGATAATACAAGAGATCTTTTTTTGAGAGATAGCTTAGCTTCCATCGTCTATTCCACCGTCTATTCCATCCCCATGCCTCTAATCCAGTACAGACTTGCCATGGGTGTAAGCATGCAGCAAGGATGCACCCGTCGTCCACTCACGTGTTGCCCCGAGGCACCATCACAATCTCCCTTATTTCCACCTGACACAAGTCCGCCGGGCTTTATTTAGCATAGGGCCGGCAAGTCCCCCAAGAAGGAGGCCTGAATTCCACAGCCTGCTCGGGAGTTGTGCGAAAGCTTTCTGAGAAAATATCAGCCACTGATGTCCCTCATCACACGACCTAAGGCAGCACTGCATGAAGTCCGCGCAGCCAATTATTTGACCAAATCGCCCCTTGCTTGTGATATGGGCACGGGGTTCGACGTACCTGACAGTCCATATACTGGTTTGTTTTCCCTGGACTTCTCAAATGCTTTCCAAATGTCTTCACATCTCCAGTTCCAAGCATCGGCCCTGCCACAGAACATCCAGCAATCGAAAACAAGAGCTCGGATGAGAGTCTTGCAAGATCCCTTTGGATCCTCGGCGCTACATGCGACTTCGTTTTCTGCATGTTCTTGAAGTTCGATGACGAGGTTCCTTTCTCGGTCTGTTGCCAATTCGGGCCCTGAGTGGTCATACAAAATGGAGGCAACTACCGTGAACTCGTGCTCCAGGATTTCTGTGATCACACAAGTATCAGCAAGTCTGCTTGAAAAGTATATATAAAAAGGGGGATGTGCGCTGTTCATTTTCTGACCTGGGGCTTCGGGGTATGGGACTCGAGTGTCGAAGCTCGCCGCTGGCAAAATCTCCATTTTTGAGTCGCGTGGAGTGGAGGTTGTTCAGCCTTTGCCTTGTCGTCTTGTGGATGGTGAATACTGATGGTGAAAGAACAGGTGAACGTGGGAGCTTTATGTTTCCCCTGGATTCATCACTCGATATCGCAGGATAAGAAAGCGAGATTCTGCCTTGGCTTGACTCACTGTGGATCTCAACCTTAAACAAATTGTCCGACATTGCATTTGTTAGGCTTCGGAGCTAATATGGCGCCGATAGGGCCGTGGCTATGCCATCACCGCAGAGATTTCGACCTCTATTGCTTCGCTCTGACACTCAAATGGCAGTTCCGCAAGCAACATGACGCGTCACGTTTTTGGATATTAGCTATCCCAAGATAACAATTCGCTTTGTTCAGCTTCTTCATGGTATACATTGCCATATATTGTCCAATGTGTGGTGTCTTTTGTGAACAACCCTACCCCTATTTTCCAATCCCGAGCTCAAATTGACAGGGATTCTCGGGGTGCTTTTGTTGAGAACACCGTGATGATGTGCGACGCGATTTCATTGGATCGGGGAAACCGAAAACGACTCTAAACGCGCCGACATCCCACTGATTCTATGTGATCTATCGATTTGTTCGGTCGGGAGCACCAATGAATGCTGCAGAGGTTCACGGAGTTCTTGGTCCTGACGAGTTTTGGGGAGTTCGATTGACGATCATAGTCAGACTTGGGCCTTTTACCTACTCATCACAACCGATTTTGAGGCTATGAGTCAACACGTCGCACCTTGTGATAAAGAATACAGCGTACAGAGTCATTTTTTGACTAACAAGAGAGTGAAACATTTGAAATTGGCTTGTTTAGGCTGGCATAGGATCATTCTGGGCCCAGAAAAGACGCGAGACTATCGAAAGCGAAAAGCAAAAAGCAAAGAGCAAAATCAAAACTTTTGGGCTTTTGGGCTGTTGGCCTTTTGAGCTTTCACTTGTATTCCATCCATGTCACCTTTTTTTGGGATCGGAAATTGGGCGTAACAATTAACTCTTCGATGATTCTGTTCACTTCCTGTCTTTCGCGTACAACATCTCTGATCATTCCGCGGCTCGACATGGCGAAAGCTAGCTTGATTGGTCGCTGGTCATGATTTTCAAACAAGTTCCACAATTCGTCCAGAATGGCTTTGTCTTTGTTGTCTAATTCGTTTCCCTTTGTCAACATGCCGTGTTGGCGCGCCCTTGAGAGCCATTCGAGACCCTTCATCGGATTCTTCTGAGATGGGGTACTGGCAAGCTTTAGTTTCCACACGAATGAAGACCGAAGAAGCTTATCCATCCACAAGATTGTGCTCATCAGTATCTGCATTTTTCTTTTCGCGGGAACTGCTTCTTTCTCCAGGATGGCCTCGTCCTGGCTGTTGTGGCACAGCAATACCCGATCGATCAGATAGAGCACAATGTTGAATTCCACAGGCCCATAAAGTCGTCTGATTTCCTCGTACTTGGAGTCGGGCCCGTCGCAAAAATTGTAGGATTTGATAAGCTTATGCAAAGAGCCTGGGGTGCTTTTGTCGATCGATTCGAGGAGATATCTCAATGCTTCAGAAGACACACCCCTGTGGTCAATGTATTCAACCCCGCATTCTGCCTTGATAAGCTTTCGGAAACATGTCCCGACTTCATCATTGGTCTCAAACTTTCGGTTACTTTCCTCCTCTTCGCGGACTGCGAATTTTTGCATTTCGATCGTGACCTCTCTAACACCTTCCAAGCCTACACGAAGTTTTCTGAGCATCGCCCCTTGACTTTCATGGGTTGGAACTTCCGATTTGTATATGGAATGCGCATATCTGGCCCATATGTCGTCCAGGATAGATCTCACTTGTATTTCAATCATCGTACCAGCTGCGAAGCGTCGATCTGCTGCCGAGAGATCCTCAAAATGTTCCTGAAAGATCTTTGGCTTCACAAAGCCACGGTAGTGGGTGCCAATATAATCGGGGAGTGGTAATTGATAGCCCCATTCACCAATTGGCTGGTTTTGTGTATGCTCTTGGCCACCCGAGTGACATTTCACGTCTTGAATGTCGAAAATGCTCTCCAGAAGCACTTTGATTTCATGCTGATCCGTCGGATAATGAAAGATAATGCGAACACCGCAGACATCGACGATATCATCTTCTATATCCTCGACAGAGGAATATTGAGCATTACCTTTACGCTGATTCAGCTTTTTCCAAAGGCTTTGATGGTCCTTAACCCGGCTCTCTGTGAAATGAGATATTTCCTGTTCAGCCAGGGTAAAGTGGCATTCATTTTCAACTGCCACGAGAAGGCTTTTGTAAAATGATATTTTCTCGACGTATTGGTTGAAAAAAGAGCTGATCACTGAATCGGCTTTCGATCTGTCGTCCATGTTGATATCTGGGCTCATGTTTCCGAAAGCGTTTTGGAATATTGAACCGAGATTGACAAGAAATAGTTGAAGCTATGAATGGAGGCTTTATTCTGAAGAGAAGATTCTGATTTAAATCTATGTTGCAAAAAAAGGCTTTATGTTACGGCGACTTATTTATAATTCCATTTACCACCGGAAATAGAGCCCAATTCCAGACAATGTCAACCCGTCCTCGTTGCAAACAAAAGTCGGTATAGCTTTGAGGCTTTCAAGAGCAGGTTTCGCTGAAAGGTTTTCACCGATGGTGTGAAGGGCAGCAAGGGTTGACGTGACAATCAGGCAAGGAAACTAGAGGTTATTCGCTACCAAGAGTCTTTCTACCTTTGCCCGGGTTATACAAATGCAGGTCAGCCGTAGGAATGGCATACTTTGGCGCCCGAGATCTTCCACCTCTATCGTTGAATCGGATCATGCATGCACTGGGGGGAGGATTGCATATTTAGCGCTTATTCTCGAGACTATGGTATCCCTGATTTGTGGGATGACGCTGCATGAACCGTCGTTGGCCCCCAAAATCGGGCTACCCTGGTTTCTACCCGAGGTTATGGTGTGTACGGATCAAATCCTTCGAGAGTCTCGATGGAACTGCAGATTAAAAACGATGCTCGAATTTGATAGATCCTTTGATCATCAATACCTTAATTATACTTTCGATGCAGACTCAACGGGTAACTATGGGTCGTAATAGAAAGAGGCAAATAGGGTCTGAGGGGCCGCGCGGGGCCTGCGGATAAAGACAAAATTCTCAAGAAGTGGGGAAGAAGGTCATCCATGTCAACAATAGACACATTCTATCTGTGGTATAATGCTGCTCTCAGTTTGGATGGCTTGAGCCTACCGCACCATGCCACGCGACACCGTCTCAAACTTGGTATGGTATCCAATGGATCATGTCGTGCATGCAAACAAGGGCTCGGCCTGCACTAATAGGACCCCGGGAGAAGGAGTAGGCGGCTGCTGTCACTATTATGGTCTTTCATAATGCTCTAATTGCACCCGGGTTTCACAAATAGGAGGAACTTGCCGACATGGCAGCAGTTATCCAATAGAAGCAATCCGTTGAGAGTCCATTTGGCAAGGGTGGCATGCATCTATATCAGACGTAAATGCCTGACAACGGGTCGAAATTTTCACCTTGCAGCTCAGCAGCAACCCTCTAACTAAAGCCCACCTATCAAAGGCTTCTCTCTGTGAAAGTTCTGACGCCTTGTTGGCGTTAATAACCAGAATCCTAGACAGCCGGCTCATCAGTTACCCAAGAGCCGCTCACCGCTTGAAATGTTCTCAAAAAGGCACTGTAACAGTACTTAGTAAATGTGGCTCCAATCAATATAGGCTGCTGTGACGCAATACTAAAGTGAAGAGGCTGGATCGTCGTAATTGGGAAGAAATAATTCAAGCCAGGAAGAGCAGGAAAGAGTGGAGAAGACAAGGTAAGCATGTGCTCATTTAGTGCCTCGGAGATCAATAATTTGTCTTAGATCCAGGTACTTAGCTAGGTAGATCCACGTTAAGACCATATTTTATTTAGGGAAAAGTTCGTAGGATTCTAATGGGCTTTCGACTCACACTTAGTAGGATCTACTATCATAACTCTCACCCCGTTCTCAATTCCCCTGCCCCGGTCTCCAGACTTATATTCTATAACAATACACTGAATATGCAAAGAAGGCCGTCTCAAGGAGTCTCTGTGTCGAGAGTTTGTGCCAAGACCATTTCATAGTAGCGGCCACAACGTGCTACGAGATCATCATGTGTGCCCTCCTCCACTACTTGTCCGCGGTGAAGCACAAAGATGCGATCACACTGCTTTATTGTAGACAACCGATGGGCTACTGAGATGACAGTTCGAAAGTCATTCTTGTGTGTTATAGCCTCAAAGGCCTGTTGAACCAGAACCTCGCTTTCCGTATCAAGAGCGCTAGTTGCCTCGTCAAATAGTAGAATGTCTGGCTCACGGATCAGGGCTCGTGCAATGGCAAGACGTTGGCGCTGGCCTCCACTGAGTGACATGCCATGGCTACCAATATTGGTGTGGTAACCCTCTGGAAGACTCATAATGAAGTCGTGAATATGAGCTAACTTGCAGGCACGAATGATTGCCTCGTCGCCTTTCATCCCCAATTCCGATTCAACATTGGCAGCTTGACTAGGTAGTTGTCCTAGCAATATGTTGTCACGAATAGACCCTTGGTACAATGTGGTGTCCTGGGATACCAAGCCTAAACGTGAACGATGATTCTGTACGTCTAACTGCTGCACTGGGGCGCCGCCAATTAGAACGTTGCCTAGTTCTACATCGTAGAATCGCTCCAGAAGGGCAATTATAGTGCTCTTGCCACACCCTGATGCACCGACAATGCCAACAGACTCGCCTTTCTTGATTTTGAAGCTGATGTTGCGCAGCACTGGAATGTCGGGGCGACTGGGGTAAGAAAAGGACACATCCTTGAATTCAATTGCAGTCCCGTTCTCTGATATGGGCACCTGAAAATCTCCTATCGACCCATTAATAGGTGGGTTAGACCTGCGAAGGTCGATAATATGGTTGGCCGATGAATGTGCCTCGGAGAGATCTAACATTTTCCGTTAGTTTGTATGAAAAGTCAAATATAATAAGTATAACGTACCAGAGGTGAATCCGAACATGAAGCCGGCAGTCTGCATCCCCATGCTAATGGCGATGAAAACGATAAAAAAAGTGGCAACACTGCACTTGCCCTCAGACAAAAGCTTGCCTCCATACCAGAACGAGAAAGCGGAGACAGCGAGACTGATACTCTCGCTAAAAGCGAATAGAAGCATGCTGAGAAGTTTATGACGCATTTCGAGTTTTGCTGATTCACTCAGTCTTTTCTCGTATTCATCAATGACTTTATGCTCGAGAGCGAGGCTTGACACGGTCCGAATGGCCCCTACCGCTTCAGAAGCGAAGCGAGCGGCTTCCTGGTATATCGCTGTCACGCGATCTTGGTTGCTCATCTCCATGCGCATCCTAAAGTAGCCAGCTCCGAACAAAAGTGGCACACCCAGCGCTATGACAGGGAGTGCGAGTTCCCATCCAACCACTAGGGATAGGATGCAGCACCCTATGACGTTGAAAAATACGAGCAGGATCAGGGCTACGTTGGTTGACAACAGTAGCTGTAGGTGGAGAGGGTGCATGGAGAGGCGGCTCGTCATTTCTGCGGCGCTGTGGCCCTTCAAATCGAAGAAGGCAACGTCTTGATGTATCATGGACTCAAAATATTCACGTCGATACTGACGGGTTGCGCGGAACGAGGCCACCGTCCACCAAAAGCCAACTCCCCAGTAGACCACCAAAACGCCGAGGCCGAACACGAAATACATGAGTGCCCAGAAATTACCCCTGTCAATAAGATTCTGGCCGCGAGGCAGTTGCAGCGTGGAAACGCTCTTGCCAAAGAGTATGGCCTGCGCAGGAAAAGCGCCACCGCTACCGGCGGATGATATCACGCCGGCCAAGAAGAGAAACCACAAGTGTCGCTGCTCTTGGAAAATGATGATAGCAATACAACGGACCAGTGAGAGCCTTTTGATGATATCAGCATCCTCGGACTTTTGTTCCACTATTGAGGGCCTTGGCTTAACATTAACTTCGGACACTGGGACGGTGTCTGTGCCAGATCTCGAAACCGAGCGAGATGGCCGCAGTGCGGGCAGCTCATTGTCTGTCTTAGCTACGCATCCAATAGCACGCTTATCACACTGGGAATCTTTGAAGACGTGCATAGCTTCATCGTTGGTGTCCAGCGTCTGCGAGTGGACGAGTTTATGATATGAGCCCTTGTCCGCCAGGAGTTGTTGATGGGTGCCTTGCTCGATAACTTTGCCATGAGAGAGAACAATAATCTTATCAGCTCTCTGCACAGTGGAAAGCTTATGGGCAATCATGATGGTGGTGCGGGATTTAGAGACATTATCCAGAGCGGCTTGGACGTTTTTTTCCGCGGTGGGATCTAGGGCCGACGTGGCCTCGTCTAAAAGAAGAATGCGAGGGTTGGAGATGACGACACGGGCGATGGCAATGCGTTGTTTCTGACCGCCACTGAGGAGTTGGCCGCGCTCGCCAACGAGGGTATCATATTTATCAGGAAGATCCTGAATGAAGTCGTCAGCAAAGGCCTGAATGCAGGCTTGGCGGACGATTTCTCTTTTTCCACCTCAGGCAGTGAGTCCATGCTGGTACCGTATAGACCATGGCCCACGTTGTTATAAATTGAATCGTTGAACAGGACAGGCTCTTGCTGCACCAAGCCAATTTGGCTACGCAACCATCGCACGTTCAAATCAGTAACGGTATGACCACTCACAAGTACTGATCCGGAGTCTGGGTCGAACCAACGCTCAATCAAGCCAACAATGGTACTTTTTCCAGATCCAGACGAGCCAACCAAAGCTGTAGTCCTACCTGCCTCAAAGCTGATGTTAAAGTCTTTGAGAATTGGCAGGGTCGGTCGTGAAGGATAGGCAAACGTAATATTACGCAGCTCAACTTTACTGTCTTGAGGGCCCTCCGGTTTATATCCTCCTTCTACAAGCGGATCAATTTTGGATGGGCGGTCCACCATCTTGAACATTTCCCTTGCCGAGGCCGATGCTCTGGTGAAGCCGCTGAAGCCTGGGGCGACATCGGATGCAGCTTGGGTTGCCAGCAGAACAGATAACAATACTCTATTTTCTCAGTCAATATAGCTGCAAGACCAAAGCTGAAGAATGTGGGTTAGGGATACGTCTTACGTTATCATACCACCACCGCCAGAGCCTATCTCACCCTCATTCAGGAGTTTGGTGCCGTAATACCAAGCCAGAGAGTACGCGCAGTAAGTGGTGAACATCTCAACGCTATATTGAAATCCAATAATAGGGCCCTTTGTAAGACCAAGCCTCTGAGCTTCTGCAAGAGGGTTATCGTACTTTTGGGCCAATCTTTTCCCAATGTTGAGTGCCGTGACCATGCGCATGCTGCTCATGGCCTCTTCGGCCAGGCCACTAGCGGAGTTGTAGACTTCGATAATCTTGCCCTCAATTTTGGCGTCTACGTGGAATGGTCAGTTGGTGATACTAATCGAAGCTTTGGAGGTTCAAGTAGGAGAAAGCTTACCGAGGCTGAAGGTAATATAGAATCCGGCGAATAGTACGGGCAGAGTGGTGGCCGTCACAAGGGTTAGCTTCCATTGCTGAGTGAAGGCAACCACAAAACCGGCGACCAGCATCGAAACAGCTTGAATCAAGCTGCCTATCTTTTCTGTAATTCCGTTTTCGACCATATCCACGTTGGAAGAGATGGTCGTGGTGATGCCTCCGAGAGAGCACGAATCAATATAGGCAATGTCCTGTCGGATCACAGACTTGATGAACTGCTGGCGAAAGGCCCTAGTGGCTCTTATTCCCGAAACACCAAAGCATGATGAATGGATGTAGACGAGCACGTAGCGGGCGATGAAAAGGTAGACGAACCATAGCGCATTGTGAGAGAGAGCATGGTACAAGGCACTGGGTGATTGTTTGCCGGAGCCGAATGAATTAAGCTCATTGATGGACGAGCCAAACACCAGCGTCATACAGGGGAGTGCGGCTCCTGATGTAATCGCGGCGCAGAGACCAATGATGCGCAACGCATGATCGGAGGGAGTTGAGAATTCGTACAAGACGCGGAAGAATGACACCAATGGTCCTTCTTGAGCGTCCTCATCATCCTTGGACACAATCACCACCGTGTTGTGGCCGCTGACGCTGCCAGTGGGGATTTCAGTCCTGCTTCTTGTACTTGTCACTGTATTTAAGCTGTCGGCACTGAATCGTGGCGCGGACAGCAGCGTTACTTGATCACTCGACTCGTCAATGGGAGCCGTGACAGGTGCCGTTCCTCTCATTCCTGTACCTGGTGGGGAGAGCGGGAGAATATTGGAGGAAGAGAAGGGGAGGCGAGGAGGGTGAGAGGAGGAGGAAGACCTTTGCGGAAGAGATTGAGACTCTACTGTAGCGTGGGACTACGATCAGGTGTATTGGATACAGAATTGAGTTTTGCTCAGAAACATAGACAGCTTGGTTAGGCCAGGCTGTTTGGTGCCAGTTATGTTTGTGACTTCCTAAGTTACAAAGCTAAGCTTCAGCCCGTACGCAATGGCCCACTATCCACTAAGGCACGGGGGCCATCGTGTGGGGATAAAAAGGTACCCGGTGAATCATGATGAGTCACTCAGCGTGGCTGGTTCACACCCAACTTTGCTTAGGGTGCTCAGGCGGGTCTAGCCTTGTAGATAGCGGTAATATGTAATGAATATACAGCCCAGGGTTCTAACACAAATTGTTTTTGATAGGCGGCCGTGCCTTATCACTTGGACTTATTCGAAGCCATTAAGGAGGATACATGGACAAGGAACAAAAAGAGGTCAAAAAGAGGTTTAGAAATGTGCCCCGAAAGAATTCGAAAGAGAACTGGAGAATTAAGCATGGAGGCCCCTTAGCTTATCTTCCCGGTTGAACCATAGCTTATAATTTAGCCGACCCTATCGCGCTAGACTCAACAAGATAAGGGCCGATGACCTCGTATCCTAGCGTAGGTTATAATGTAACATCGCCTCTTATAGTAGCGTTCGATAAAATTTAAACCACCAGAGAATTACTAAAGGCGCCCTATCTGATGACTATATCTAAACACACCTCCAACACACGCTCACAAAATGCTCCCTCTGTACAGATCAATCACATAGCCACCATCTTATCGGTCTTCTTTCACCGATGTCGTTGGAGCCACAGGCTCATCAGCACATTCAACCTGAACAACACGATGCTCAATTTCCCCCTGAGAAGCCGCAATCACAACCGCACTTAAATGATGACCATACAAACAACCCGAATCCAATCCAATCGTATACCTGCCCAGCTGCAAACGACGCTTTGCATCGTGCCCGAACACCACCGTAGTTTTGGATGTCAACGTATCTTGCCACCGGTCCCATTCTATTACCCAGCTTTCTTCTCCGGGAAGTTCAGCCGCTTTGAATTCATCCTCGTCACCTGATGTGCGAGTGAGGCTCCGCATATGCAGGATAGCATGTGGGTCCTGCTCTTCAAGTGGGATACTAGGCACGAGGCCCGCATGTACGACAAGTAGAGTGTCGCCGAGGGAGGATGTTAGGGTATGAGGTAACTTGACGCGCAAGATGAAAGGTAAATCGGCAAGCCAGTCGAGTTGGCGCTTCGAAAGAGCCAATGCCGTGTTATGCGAGTTGGAAGGTGGGCATTCCTCAGGTACTTCGCCTTTGAAGGTATCCTTCGGCAAATCGGTTGCAAGGTTCTCAGATGCGGGCGGGCTTCCATTCAAGTCTCCAGAATGTAGCTTATCCCGTGTAGCGTCGATTTCCGCGGCAGCATTAAGAACTGCGTTTTCGTGGTTGCCTCGTACTGCGCTGGCGCCTAGTCTCATAGCGATGTCAACAACACCAGGGCTGTCGGGCCCTTTATTGATGAGGTCGCCTGTTAGGATGAGATGATCTCCTTTGCTTTTGTCGAAGTTGATTTTGTCTAGGAGGGCCTCTAGGGATTTTCTCATCCCATGTACGTCGCCTATAATGACCAAGCGTCCGGTAACAGGGCCATTTTCGGAAGATAATTGGAGAGACGGCGGGAAAAGATTGCTCGGTAGGTCTGAAATGAATGCTGAGATTGGAAATACCTTACTTGGGGCTTTTATATAGGCCATTTTTCTTAAGGCTTGAAGGTATGTCTTTGTCCGGAGGGAACGAGGAGATGGATACAATAAGATCAAGGCCATGTGAGTGTAAAATGTTAGACAAAAGACGCGATACGGCTAAGCAGAGGTTGTTCGTAGAGTAACCCAATATAGACTAGCGCATTCTTGGGGTAAAAGCTCAAAGACAATGCGTGTCTATAGGGGAATCTATCGACTCTCGCTGTACTTTAACGTAGTAAATTGGGAATGAATAGCTGTGGTTTTCAATGTATATATTTGTGACCATCTACGGGATATTACAACCAACGAAAAATAAATCGCTTCAAAAAAACACCGATCTTCTTAACATCGCTCATAGCTCGTCGCATCTCTGATCTAAGAAAGGTTCACAGGCCGATGGAATGGCCGTCGACGAATTAGTTGGAGATTACTGAAATGAGACAGTAGCCTTCTCTGGCGGGTTGACTAGCTGCTGCAAGCAGGACAAGACACCTGAAAATAGTTAGAAGAGGTCGAAGATCATTGAAGGAAAGAAAAGAAAATTACCTGTCACTCCCTGTGTCAGGGTAGCATTGGCCTCCGTGCTACGCGATCCCAGAGTAACAGTCAACGCATATTCAACTCCCTTGGCTTTCTGCAGCTTGTTCGCCCATCGGAACACGGGTTCGTCTTCGCGGTTGTCGCCAATGACCAGCAAGAAGTCCGGACTGGGAGCTGGCTTTCCATTGTCTGTCTTGTCTAAGCACCATCGCCAGACTAGCTCTGCGGCCGATGCCTTGTTGGTGTGAACTGTTTCAACGATTAGGGCACCCTCAACGGGGAGGGCGTGTATGCCCTGGCTGGCACAAGAATCGTTGATGTGGTCTGCACATTCGGCTGCGAGGCGCCCAGCGCTAGACTTGTCTTCGGCTGACCCGTAGTGGAAAACAAGCGAGCAGTGACGCTCTTCGATCCAACTGCCATCGCAACGGTCCTTGAAGTATGCTAGGATGTGAGAGACGGAAACCTTCCAGTTTTCAATATGTGCTTTGTCTGCGAGGTGAGTCCATTCGTCTGATTGAGACTCGCGAACAAAGCAACCATTTTCGGCAATAAGGCCTAAGTTGTTGACTTGGCGGAATAGTCGTTCCATCTCCTCTGGCATGCGCGAACTCATTACGTAAACAATATTGTTAGGGTCGTCGGTCAGTTCGGTCAGCGTTGTGATTGCACGTTGCGGGGTGGTGAGGATGATGCTGCGCGGAGATCCCCATGAGGCAAGAGTTCCCTCGTAGTCGACTATCATGAGTCGACGTTTCGATTGTTGGTATTGCTCGGTAAGTCGAGGCACAGAGAGGCGTGGTACGGCCATGATCTCTCGCGACGACTGCTCATCCCACACTCGTTTCAGGGTCTCATTGAACGACTTCACCCAGTTGCCAGTGGAGTTGTGAAGAACAGCGCTGTGCATCGCCTCCCAAACCTCCTTTCGCTTCTTCTCATCTCGCGTCAGAGCCGTGAGAATCGCTTTGGCACATTGGCGATAGTCCCAGGGATTCACGAGGAGCGCGTGGTTTCCAAAGACAGACGCACTACCTGTGAACTCGCTCAGAATGAGGGATCCGTACATCTTGTCCCCGTAGCTACCATCCTGGCAGTACACAAACTCATGGCTGGTCAGGTTCATTCCTTCACGAAGACTGGTAATCATCAAAGCATCGGCCACCGTGATAAGGGCGAGATATTGCGGGAATGCCAAATCCTGCTTCAGAAAGACCAGAGGCTGGTGAGCAAGAGTCGAATGGGTTGAGTTGATACGCATGGCAATGTCAGAGATTGTGGCTTCTAGCTCGGGCTGTTCCGTCGTGCTAGTCGCAACTTGGATCAATACCACCTTGTCTGCCCAATCGGGATAGGTGTTGAGGAACAGTTCATAACTCAAAAGCTTCTGGCGAATACCCCGCACAGAGTCGATCTTGTCGCGCGAGACAATCAGACGCTTGCCCTGATAGCGTTCAGAGATAGTATCAATCCATTGTTCCACATCTGCAGCCTTCCGCCGCTTATCCCAGGAGGTCGGATCAATGCCAATTGGGAATGTTCCCACGTTGATGAAGCGATCCTCCATCTGGATTCCTTCGGGAGTAGCCTCCACACAAAGGATACGACTGCAGGTTTGCAGGAAGTGTCGGCAGTACTCGGTGGTCTGGAAACCAATAAGATTGGCTCCAAGGATGCCTTCCAGAAGCTCCTTGCGCGGAGCTAGGCACTTAAACACCTCGGAAGATGGGAACGCAATGTGCAAGAAAAAGCCAATCTGTGCATCAGGCAGCATCTTGCGGAGCATAGCCGGGACCAGGAGCAAATGATAATCCTGAACCCAAATCGCATCGCCTCGCTTCCAGTGCTTAGCGATGCGGTCTGCAAAGGCTTGGTTGAGCTTCACATAGTAGATCCATGAGTGGTCTTCGTAAGCCTTGCTCTTGGGGTTGTCAGGGATCTGGTAGTGGAAGACGGGCCAGAGAATGGTTTTGCAGAAGTGGGTATAGTGACCATCGAAGTCGCCATCATTAACAAACACCGTCAGCGAGTCATACTCGTCTTCCAATCGCTCGGCAATCTCCAAGCGCGTGTGCTGGGCCAATGCATCAGTAGGCATACCCATTGTGCCCACCCACATCATATCATCTAGGTATCCAGCGTCCTTGGCCGAGCGGACAGCATTTCGCAAGCCGCCATTACCTTGCTCTGCAGTCTCGATTGTCCACTCCGCTCGGGAAAACGACACTTTGCGATGAAGAGCATCGATGTTTTTGATGCCAACGTACGGCGCAGTTGTTTCTTTCTCAGGTGTTTTTGCTGGAGTAATAGTCGGGGATGGGACTACAGGGTCTTGGTGCTTGAGAATGGAAGGCGACATCGACACGGTTGTTTGTGGTTTGGGCTGGTTGAGGGAGGTGGTTGCACCCCATGCTGGAGAGTGGCCTTCGCTCTCTGTGAGAAGCTGGATAGCGTCATTGATGGTAGGTGGAAATGGATATTCCGCTGTTTCCTGGCCGGGTTGATTTACCCTTTCGGTGAAGATACGCTCATGGTCTGTAGTTGCGCCGGGTGTGAGACCTGGTTTGAGTTGGGGGTTGGTCTTCTCGAATAAACTGGCCGCGGCGGCAGCATTGGAAGGTGCTGGAGGGGAAGCCTCGGGCACCACGGCAACTTTCTGAGGAGCTTCCTGGGTACCGCGAGCGCGTGCCTTTTCAACTTGGAAGTTGACCGTGTGGGGAAGAAACCTGTTAACCGATTAGCTAGTCGACGGCTGAGGCCTTCATTGTACTTACAGAGACGCGATGAAGACAGTCATCATGCAAGGCCGCCAAAATGAGGGGCAAGCTAAAAATTGCGGGGCGACAGGGTAGCGAGGAAAGACCTCAAAATTTGAGCAAGAGAAAAAGCTAATGGCTAACGAGTGGCAGGAGGAGGTTGAAAAAAAGCTCGTTGCGGTCAGAAAAAGGTGATTGTTGAAGATCTGTTTCTCATGGCTACGTCATGTGAAACGTGGGATCAGGGTGCCCCAATGGGTGGGCAACGAGTGATATGATTGAGTTGATGGAATTGGGTGGAATTGTGGTCTCAAAAGGGCGACGGGCGTAATGGCTTGGCAAAATTTCCTGCTTGTAAGATGACAGCGCCTGTTTTCTGAAGAAAACACTTATCAGAGACGGGCCCAGAACCAAAGCTTTGGTTGGCAATGAGGTTCTGGCGGTATTGATTCATCAAGACTCGTACGTGGTTCCGAGAACTCTGTGCGGGTGGGGATGTTTTCATACGGTAATATCAGTACCCATCTATGCAGATGAACCGGCGATTGGCGGAATCTGATATATCCTGGTCACCTGATCCTTGATGAGGTAATCTCGAATTGCCCCCTCGCGGTTTCCCAATGTAGCATCTCTCACTTACCTCTTACCAAACGTGAGAGATGAACCAGGTATGCCATTGCGTCTGACCTCGGCTCCATTTGCCGGTGTCAAGAAACGAAAACCTGCTGCCCCCCGCCCTCGCGCATCGCCCTTCGCTGGCCATGCCCGTCGCAAAGCTAGCTCCACCTCATCCAGCGCCGTAAAGGTGGCTGCTGATGTGGAGCTGGACGATGATCCTCTTCCCGATCTAGGCGGTTCACATTATATCTCCGAGACTGCGCCTGTCGAAAATGTGGTCCAAGCGATCCAGTATATTCGAGCCAAGATGTTCGACGAGCTCCCGGCGCGAGCGGGCATGAATAGCACTCGCATCGCAGAGGTCTTGAACTTACGCCGATCGTTACCCCCACTCGCTTCTGTCGCACACATTCATATGCTACTAGATGCGCCAACACAGGTGGAACGAGAGATTGTTGAGTTGGTTCAGACGGGTCAGGTCCGGCGGCTGATCATACCCGGGCGTGGCAACGATGCAGCCGGACTGGGTGACTGTCTCGTCTTGGCCGAGGAGTGGGAGGAGCTTGTGCGAGGAAGCTCCTCTCTAGAAGCTGCGATTAAAGGTGAATTTTTCTTTTTTAAGTCCGGTCAACCCTTGAGACCTGAATACTGACACGGCGCAGAGAAATTCTTAGACATTCTTAATCGCATGGGAACTCACTCGGCTATCTCCCAGAGTGTCTTTGCACCTGACGAGTATAGAGCGTTGATCCGCTCCGGCTTCCTTGTCTCCTCTTCGACCTTCACCCAGGGTTCGCTGAGCATCGCATCCCTTCCCAAACTGCCCAATGCGACATCCACGTCAGCCAGTCGGAGCGGACCAGTCTCTTCTGACACCGTACAAACCGATGCACAGGCTCGAGCCGCGACACTATTCCTGTCATTACCAAACACAGGGACTTATCTACGGCTCCTCGGGTCCGGCCGCGCCCACTTACTCACCCTCCTCCGACGATCTCATAGCGGCGAAGCTCCGCTCAACCTGCTGAAGGATCGGTGGGAAGGGGCAGTAGAGACTGAAAAGAGCTTCCACTTGGCGAAAAGGGCCCGCGGTGAATTCGCGGGCATTCTGCCCGGCAAAACCAAGAAGTGGAAGGAATTATATGGCATGCAGTTTCGCTGGGTTCTCGAGGAGGCACTGGGTGCTGGCCTAGTAGAAATATTTGAAACCGGTAGCGTGGGACCGGGGATTCGGTGCCTTTAGTCTATCGAGGGATCGATCTTACCATAGCCTCAATATATTTGATAATGAACCAGCCCCGCCATTTAGTGGATAGAGTTCCCCGCTGATAACAGTGAGACAATACTGTGGCTTGCTAGAGGGTAGATAATGGGCACGATGTACATCCAGAATCTGCTTACCCGATTGAGGTTAGCTTTGCTAAGGGTATGTGAGCTGTTGATCAGCTTACTTCTAAGGTTCACTAGCGCTACAGTTTCCACGATGCTGAGGCTGAGAGTAAGATAGCGGACAGAGTTGCCTGATACGGTAAGCAGCCCGCGGAGTCCCCGGGGGACTCCACGGCCCTTTCTCCCTATTATAGTTCATAAGCACGTATTTAAACTCGAGAATTTCTTCAATCTAAACTGCAATAAAAGTCCTACAACAATTCTAGTATTCACTGATACATCTCGAAATGTCTACCCCATCCACAAAAACCATCCGCGTTGGCATCATTTGCGGTAGCCAACGCAAACCCCGGTGCGGCGACCAAGTCTCAAACTTCGTCCTCGAAACCGTCCAAATCCACTCAAAGCCCACCAATACCGATGTACAAAATATTTCCTTTCATTTCGACTTCATCGACATTAACGACTTAAACCTCCCTTTCTACGATGAACCTGGAATCCCCTCAAAGATAACACCACCGGAGGGCTACACGCACGAACACACGCGCAAATGGTCCCAAAGAATATCTCCCCTTGACGCCTTCATCTTTGTCACCCCGCAGTATAACTGGGGATATCCAGCGGGTCTCAAAAATGCAATTGACTACCTCTTCCACGAATGGAAAGGCAAGCCAGCCGTTATCGTCAGTTACGGTGGCCATGGAGGCGATAAAGCTGCTGCGGCGCTGAGGGTGTGTTTGGCTGGTGGCCTTGATATGCAAGTCGGTGATAGAATGGTTGTCAATTTGAGTTTCCCGAATAGGGATGCGCTTTATGCTGCGGCGCAAGGAAAGGATTTGGGGTTGGATGCGGGTAAGGAGGGTGGGGTTTGGAGTGAGGAGAGGAAGTGTATCACTGGTGCTTGGGATCAGATGGTTGCAATGCTTGTTTAAGGTGTGTATTTAATAATATTCGTCGAGTTTCTTGGAAATTGAAGCATTCAAATGTTTAAAGATGGCGATTCAGATAGCGATGACGAGACCTGCTTTTTGACCGAAATGTATGGAAGTATTAATGCATGAATATCGCAAATAAGCAGAGACTTTCTTTTAATGGTCTTCGCTCGTTGAATAAGAAGCACAGTCTTTTAATCTTCTAAAGTAGGATAGGCTTCGAGTGTAGATGAAGTGTTGGGTTGAGAATGGAGGCATTGAGAGGGCAAATAAAACGGGCTGTGACCGCGCTGCCAGTTAAGTAGAGCGGACCCGCGAACCATCGGGTGCGTTAAGGTTGCGGTCACTTAACCGTGTTAATCAGTGAATTGCGGGTACGCGGGCAAGTGCCCGCAGTGACAGCGCGGTCGAGCACCCGCGTACCTGCTGCCAGTTGGCCGTGCAGACGAGAAATGAACCACAAGCTGTAGAGCGTCCAATGCTCAAGTCTGAGTAATTCCCAGCTTTTTTATTTTCTATGGAGTGACGTGGTGTAATTCCAAGGACTGATGGGGGCTAAGCTCTGCCGATCCCTCGGTACCTAGCTTCTCCAAAGCTTCTCCATCTGCACCTCTACGCGTCAACACCTCCAAAATGCCTTTCGTCCAGCTGCAGCCTCACCCTTTCACTATAATACCATCGCACCCCTCTCTTTCCACAGAAACGTCCCGTGCAGACCCAAAACAATTTGTGGCCACCGCCCTCCGCGAAGCTATCGAGCTTCTCCACTCCATTCCCTCCACCTTCAAAACAGACCCCAAACCCCGCGCGTCGCCACCGTCGCAAGCTAAAGTCAACCTCATGCGAGGATGGCGCAATTCTGATGAAGAGAAGTCCGAGTTCTGGGTTGCTCGACAGAGCAAACATGTGGACGCTAGCGATAAGGGGACTGCGTCATGGGGTGAATTTGAGGCTGGATTACGGACCAATCATGCCGAGCATGAGATGGAGTATACACCTAGTGTCAGTGGTGTTGAGCGGCTACTAGAATGGTCAGGGGAGGATATAGGAGAGGTAGAAGTGGACGATATCACCTACAAAGATGTGGTGTTCGAGAGTAAGCTCTATTCCTACTTGCTTCAAGAGCGTTCTCTAACATCCATGACTAGTCAATATCATAACGCATTCCTTCCACCCATCTGCCCTGATCTCCCCGCGCAGCTTCATCTCCCTCACTATCTCCGCCGCATACAATTCTCCCACTCAATCAGAGCAGCAAACCCCATTGAAAGGCTTCATCACCGTTCAAGTACCCCTGAGCTCAGACCCATCTTCCACCCCCTCGGAAATACATCAAAAAATCACCTCGTCGGCGCCGCGACGAGCTATCTTCGCCAACTATGCAAGCGTAGAGCGAGTGTCGATTCTACCCACTGAACCCAACTCCATTGAATGGACAATGGCAACGACCTCCGACGCAGGTGGCTCAATTCCCCAATGGGTTCAACGCAATTGGACGCTGGGCGGGGTTCCACGTGCTGTGGTAGCTGATGTGGGGTTATTCGTGGGATGGACCATGCGTCAACGGGGATCTTCCTAGTGCGTGACCAGGCAGTTAAGGGCGAACCTATTCCTACTTTGATGTACATGCTATACACGCCTATCTGTTTCAATTGTATTGGGTACATGTATGCTACTTTGTATTGATAACGTAGCTATGAAGAAGACCTGTGAAGCACCCCTTACAGAATCTGCTTCAGAACTGCTGCACCCTGCAGTGCAGCCGAAAGACCGACCGCGAACGCATTCTCCTTGATGCCGTTCTTGGCATACCAGGCTGTGCTGGACCACAAGAGAACGTTGACGATAGCTGCCATGGCCTTGTTCAGCGGGTCGCTTAGCGCTGAAGGGTCGCACGACCACTGATAGTGGAGGATTCCTAGGAGAGTCAGCTACCGTATAGCAAGAACGGGGCAAGTGGAAGCGAAGCAGCTAAACAGCTAGCATGCGCAGGACTCGATACGTACCAGTCAACAAGAAGAAAGCACTCCCCTGATACCAACCCACAGTCCCACAAGCCCAGGGCCTGGAGCCCTTGATACCAGTGAAGACCTTCTCAGCCGTCCATTCCTTACCACCAATCTATGTTTATTAGCGCAATTGAACTGGAAAGTAGGCCACTTTCAGTCCCTGAACCATGGGGGTCACGTACTGTGTGTCCGATGGAGAGAATCAAGAAAGAGAGAGCGGATGCTTGCAGGGAGCGAGACATTGTGGCTTCAAATTTGTTACAAGAGATAGGTGGAGTTCGAGGGAGGTGACGAGGGGTGACACGGTGCATATCAAGATGCGGAAACCTCGGTCCGGTTGCTGAAGGTCTCTGGGCGGAGTGGAGTCCCGAGGTCTCCACTTGGAGTTCACAAGCATGGGATTGCATGACCATTATGAATATACAAGGCGCAACTGTCCGGGAGATAGGGACAGCTACCTTGTCTGACGCTTTATGGTGCACCTTATCTGGTTAGGAATGAAATATGTCTCAAGGCATGCTTTTTAAGATCCTTTACTATCATTGAAGTCCTGCGTCGATGGAGCCTCTCCACCCGGGCAGAGCGCAAGAGTAAGTCAATTACTCCGATTAGAATAAACATTGAGGTCAATTCGAAACCAAAAGGAAAATATCATGGAAAAATATTGCGTGAGCAAAAAAGATAATTGTCACGTCAGCTACATGATTCGAACATGTGCGGGCGAACCCAATGCATTGCCGGACTGTGATCAGTCCAGTAGAATAATTCTAGTGCATCGCCTTAACCACTCGGCCAAACTGACTGTTATATATACGGCTACTAGTATTTTAGCTAGACAAAGGGATTATTCTCGACAACGCGATCGAAATAAATTTTGTCATCAAAATTTCAGTACAGGGAAGATCGAAATCAGTTTCACCAGTTGCATACAGAGATTCTTTCTCGAACCCTGTCCCGAAACGCGCTATGCCTATTACAGTTACTCTGCACCTGAACCCCTTTCTTGGCAGTATTCCAGTACAGTTGTAAATAACAGGTTAAAAATACTGTAGCTTCCGTATTAGACTCGTAATTTCTCTAGAGTTTCTAGAACGTTGATCCGCAAGCAGCTCGATTGAGATGAGATCTACGGCGTTACACAAGAATGATGTTGATCCCTAGCTGAATCCCAAAAGCCTACAAGGGAGCCAACAAGACTGTTCCACTGATCGTCTCTGCTCCTTGATTCGGACCGAAGCGATTTATCGACAGTCGATCTTATATGTACATAGACGCTCAGTCAGAGAGAAATAGCGCGGCGCTTGCGGTAACTACGAGTTCACACCGTCTTGTGCAGGATCTCCACTCCGTGACCCGATCGGCAGGACTATTGATTTCTCGCACAGGGTAGAAAGGCCCATCCAACGAAGGACCCCAGGACAGAAGTCCTTATTTTGAAGTAACATGACGACGAAAATGCAACTCTAAATAGAAGCAATAGTTATAGCTAAATGTAATGAAAATGCAAGTGGGACTATAGAATCTTTGACTGGTGGGCCAGGTTCTCCCTTCGTGCCGCCTTGGCAGAAAACATGCCAAGACCCACTCATGCTTCGCTTCTCGAAAGGGGAAAGAAGGTGGAATTCATTCTCCTTGATCTGCAGGGGGAATGGTACAGGGGAAATGATCTGCACGAGCCAACATCAGAATAATAGTTCTGTGTATATAATTATTCTACATTCTGCATAAACCAAGAGAGACAGATCTACATCCTACCTTATACCGCTAAAGGGCACATTTTCGCTTCCTCCAACCCCTTAAGAGAAACGAAATTTGGTCACGACGATTAGTTATTAGACTTCTATCTCTACGTTTATACTTCAAAATACCATCATTTGTGTTGAGTATTCATCATGAAGCTCCTCGCTTCCCTCGTTACCGCTGTTGCTTTGAACGCTTCCGTTCTCGCTGCTTCTGCCACCGACTCTGCTGCCTTCACCCTTGAAGAGCGCGCTCCTGTAAGTTTTGCTCAAACCCCTCTTATACCTTTTGCTAGCGTCTCTTGCGAACACTGACATAATAGATTGTCTTCTGCAAGCCCAAGCTCAACAGCACGCACGACAAGCTCTTCAAAGTCGATGTTGCCGTAGCCAAAACCCAAGCTAAGAAAGCCGGTCTCACCACTGGTAAGAGCGGGGAACCTCACCGATACTATAACGGTGACCATATCCACTTTGGCGTCCACAACTGTGACAAGCGGGATGCCATTCTCTGGGAATATCCTATTTACTGGGTTGACAAGAGGGCCGAGTGGGAAAAGGACGTCAAGACGACTTACCAGAAGGGCGGTCCTACCCCTATTCGGGCGGTATATGCCAATAGCAACGGTGGCATTGAGTACTGCGGTGTCATGACATATACCATTGTTAATGATAAGAACCAGGGCTCAGGCTTCTTCACGAAATGCTCTTAAGTTTGTCGTATAGGCGAACACAAAGCTAGACTTAGACAGAGTCCAACAATCCCCACATTTCGGCCAACCTGGATAAGAAAGTTAATAAGATATGATACCGTTGGGCGTGCTACGCAAAGTTCATTTTGCCCCCGAAGACGGATATCGATATATTTTAAGACAGTTTAAAGCGTACTGTATAAAGCTCTAGAGTGTTGGATCTTACACGGGCTTCTCTCCGAAATAAACTGCGTAGAAACCCATTGTTGTCTGTTCATGTCGAAATTTGTGAGGTGAATATAGGAGCAGTGGTGAAGAGACGCAAGATTCATTCCGCGGAAAAATAGCCCATTAATCTCGAAGTTTGGCTGCTAGGACTAGCACGCGGCTTTGATCTCTTAGGTATCCTAATAGGTCGTGTTAGAGCGGGTAAAAAAATAAACATAAAAAACGAAAGGTGGATAAAGCAGCTGCCAGGAATCACTCCAATTCACCTTGACCTTGGCTCGTGTGAAAATAAATTTTGCACACTCCGTTTTGATTTACGAGTTCTGGCTACCCTAAAATAGATAACGTTAATTCGAGTCAAAGTGCAATGTATCTTATTGGTGCTATTGATTCGCTTTTTACGGCGCAATTTGGAGTCCCACCCGAGGCTGCATTAGTTTACAACACTGCCATTGATTAGCTCTGCTGGTGCGGAGACACGGCTACTAGTGAGGTCGCCTTTATCGTCGCACTTTGGAGGCAGCCCTGACTCCTCCGCATCCAGTCCCTTCACTGCAAACATTAAATCAAACTATTTGGCGTCTTTATGCCTATGTTTGATCCCATGCTCTTTGAATAGGTAATTCACCATGGATCCTATTTGCCGATTGACCTTATAAAGAAGCTGGGTCAGCCGGACTATTTCCTCAAACTCACTTCTAGACTGGCTGAGCGATTCCCGTATAGCGACTAGCTGAGTGATTCCCGTATGGCGACTAGCTGCTGTTCGTGTCTCGCTTGGCGGCGTCCCGATTGGAGGGTGCGTGTATTGAGTGCGCCAATAATCCAAAGGACTTCCTGAGTACTGGTCAGTGGCTGGTTAGTGGTATCCCGGTGAAGGGCGAAAAGCTTACCGAAGAATCTATGTCTGCATATAGGATCTATCTGGGGTATATGTAGAGAGAACAGGGGCCTTGAAACAATAGAAGTACGCTTTAGGACGTCAACGGCCATACTTATAAGAAGTTAGCTGTGTATCGGCTCGCCTATTCTACAAAGATCTCGAGTGGTCGTCATTCGTAGACCATGTGCTGCGCGATATATTCATGATGGCATTTGGCGAAAGCGTATATCTGCGAATCTCGGAGTGCTATGTGTAACTCGATAAACACAAATAGTGTGGTCAATATGGCAAACTACCAGCCCTCAGTATAAACATGCAATATTGATCACGACCTCATGAGAATGAAGGATATTTCAGTTAGAAGGGCAGCACGTTGAAATTGGCACCGTTCTTTTGGTCGCCACAAATACATAGTCAGTAATTCATTGAGACTCATTCTAGTATTTCATTACGGCAGTATAAATAGAGTATTCGCAGCACGTTGCAAACATGGTGGCAGCATTAATATGCTTATGATGCACACTGCTCACGGGAGCAGGCGGTGAAGTTGAGGTTATAGGTATCAGCTGTATTGCTATTTTATCCAAATTACACATTAAGCTGTCATGTGATACTCACTTACAGTATAATTCGAAAATATGAATCACGCTAGAGCAAATATAGATTAGTGTATTTCCAAATAGGGCTCGAGAAAGAACCTCTGTGTGCAAGTGGTGAAACTGATTTCGATCCATGCTGTACAAGGTCGCAATACACGCACAAGGTACAATGTAGCCAAAACCCTAGGAGTCAACAGCATACAAATCTGTTGTGACAACCCAGCAACTAGGAGAATCGTTTTTTATTACGAAGAAAAATATGAGAATAAATAGAGACATAAAAATGTTCGCGAAGCAAAAATGTAATTGTAACGTCAGCTACATGATTCGAACATGTGCGGGCGAACCCAATGCATTGCCGGACTGTGATCAGTCCAGTAGATAATTCTAGTGCATCGCCTTAACCACTCGGCCAAACTGACTTATTGATATATACTCCTCCCTTTGTGCCATAATGACTCTGACTCACAGTTGTTGGGATCTCGAGAATTGAATATTTGAATTTTATCCCATGAAATCGATGTCAATTCTAGCTGCTTCTTGCGACCGACTAATTTTCGAACTAGAGTGGTTTTAGTGGCTATCTAGGCAACTCTTATGACCAGGATGCCTGCTAGTGAACGTTTAAATAGTTGTTTGGATTCCAAACTCTTTAAGATATATTTAGGGGATTGATACTAACACCGCCCCTCTTACTGCTCGCACCGCCCCCTGCCTTATTTTTTAGGTATCAGGCCTAAATAGGTTTAGTCTCTTATAAATCATCCACCGCTTTCTTCACCGCCTTATCCACCAACCTTCTTCAATAACTATTAGTCTCTTTCCCTTATTTATTCTTCACCACTCTTCGTTTAATATGGCTTCTCTGCCTATCAATCTTATCTTCGCTGAATCGGAAGGGCGCGTCTGTGGCCGTGGACGAGGGGATGGAAGACAGATTATAATAGGTCGTGGCCATGGAGGTCAAGGAGACGCGATCGGAGGTCGTGGAGGTCGTGGAGACGCGGTCGGGGGTGGGAGGGTGCTCCGGAGCTATCAACAAAGTCAGATAGGTGCTGAGTAATCAGATCAGAGGCATATCATTGGCTGCCGAGGGTAATACACGCAGGGAATGGAGAGAGAGCGATAAATGCGGTCAAAAAATCTCCAGTTTTACTATGTAAACCAGAATTAAAATTTCTGTAGGTAAAAGACACCTCAAAATTTAGGCTACTTTAGTCTGGCAGAAAGTAAATCGCCTGAAAAATAAGGCAGGGGGCGGTGCGAGCAGTAAGAGGGGCGGTGTTAGTATCAATCCCCTATATTTATTGCCACGGGTAGTTAGCTACAGGAGACCACCATACCATGGACCCTATCTCTCTCAGGTTTTTACATGTACGCTCCAATATTCGAACATTGACTGTTTAGATCATTCAAATCCAGTGCTCGATAATTTGACCATTATGGATTCCCTATGAAGTAGGCATACAGAAAGGAGGGTAAACAGCGACCAAGCTCATGTTGCTCTGGTTTCTTGATTATATCGACCTGGGCTTCTTTCATTTATCAGTAATGAGTTATTATACCGAAAGAAGCCAAAAATTCAAGGAGTCAACAATTTAAGAGCCGGAGCCTCGTAGTCAGTGGCATTAACTATGCTCCGTCAGTCGAGATCCAGCACAAGCATTTCAAGGGAAAAGGGAGGTAATACCGATTGATATCATAAGAAAACCAAACTCATCAGTCTCTTCGAACCACCTTTCCGCTCTCGTATTCATAACCACACCTGGCCGAATGCTACCAAGCTCGCCTTGCAAATACCCCTGACAATCCCATCTCGCCAACCATTGAATGTAACTCTTATTCCACTCCTGCTCCGTCTGCATCTGCCAAAGTTTTTTGGCTGCAGGCGCAGGCATAAATCCCAGATCTCTGCAGTCAAAGCAGGGGACTCGGTGAAGAACAGAATACGCCCAGTGTAGAAGGTATAATGCAAGGACCGCCCGGCGTTTGGAAGTAACGTGCACCCATGCTTCCCAGGTTGGTCTTGTTTGCTCCCTCTCCTCCTGGAGAAAGAGCCCAGTGCGAACGACATGCCAAACGAGCTGCTCCATTTTTCGGAAGATCTTGTTATGGTCAGCTCGTGGGCTGTCGGAGTTGGTTGATGGGGTGATGAGGATAATCGCATATATGACTACAGCCTGTAAGACTGCCACGAGTTCCGCGTCGTCAAGTTGCTTAGACTGATTCTGTATTGGGATGTTAGTGGAAATAAGAGGTAACAGTAGCTATCGACAGACTTGATCCACGATGCTTTCGAGCTCGCTTAAAATCGTTCTTCGGACTATTTCTTCTGCCCCGTCACGTTTTCCGTGCCACATCTTAGTGAGTGTTATACAATTCGCCAAGGCAGATGGTAACTGCTTGTCCTTTGTTATTTGAGTTGGATGAAATAGAGGCGGCACTTGGAATTCATCAGCTAGCATTCTCGGCCATGTCCGAAGTACCCTAAAGAGAAGCTCCATGCTGTGGGTAGCTAGAGCGAGAGACACTTTGTCTCCGTATGGCTCAGGATCGGCGAAGGGATATGACAGAGCTTGAATGAATTCTGGCGTGTCTATGTCACTCTCAGTTACGTCTGATTTATTATTTTCTGGGTTAATTGCCAGTCGAGAAGAGAAAAGAACTTGATTCAATGCTTGCGTCACATCCCACGTACCTGGGGTGGAGAATAAGCAGTCGAAAAGATTAGCATCGAACGTTGCTTGTGGCTCGTGTTGTTGTTGTTGTTGTTGTTGTTGTTGTTGTTGTTGTAACCTCATAATTTCCTCAGCAGGATGATCTAGCTGAATGACATCTCCAGGAATGGTTTCACTGATTTCTGTGGCAGGAGAATCGGGTGATGCCGCACCGGCATAGGTGCAAGATATACTGCGCATATGGCACCGCGAGCAACGGGGACGATTTAAATTGCATCTTGTCTTATCTGAGACACATTGAACGCAGGATTTGCGCCGCCTGGGTTGCTGCCGAGACTGGTTGCAATTGTTCCTCATATGGCGGACAAGGGACGATCCTGTCATGCTGTCAGTGTACATCTCATACAATGTTTGTTCTGGATGGCTTTTTGGAAACTTACGGTGACCGAACCGAGTAAAACAAAATGAGCACTCAGCTTTCTTCTGGGCAAAATCGCCCTCCATGGTGACCCTTGCTGGTAGTTTCAGGGAACATTAGTGAGGTGGCTAGAGGGGCAACTCGGAACTCCGAGTTGCTGATCGAAGAAAGTGGGTCCTTTGCTATAGTCATGAACCCCGGACTGTATCTGGATGTATAAAGGGTCGCTGCTCTGTCACCCAAAGGGAATACATGCAATACATCAGTTATAATTTCCAAAATGACTATCAACCATGTCTTTATGTGGGCCTCCGCGGCTAGATCGGAAAGCTTACAGGCTTTCTATCGTGCTGTCCTGCGACCGATCGGCTATACTGAGATGATCCGCGCGAACGACGGCAATCTTGTGGGATATGGCAGCGATTATCCATACTTCTGGCTGCAAACATTGTCCGCAGACAAGAATCCCCTACCTACCCACATTGCTTTTGATGCTCCCAGTGAATATTCTTCGATCCAAATGTGGTGGCGAACGAAGCTCTGACATGTCGACCAGGTAACGAGGCTGTAGTCGAATTTCATCGCCTGGCATTGTAAGTCTGCATTTCAGCGCGTTTTCCCCCGTATAATTTCTTAATATGTGCCGCTAATGTTGCTTAAGGCAACACGGAGGACGAGACAACGGAGGACCCGGAATAAGGGAGGAAATGAGCCGCCAGCCGTACTTTTCGGCCTTTGTAGTCGACGCGGATGGAAATAACATCGAGGCTGTTTGTGTAAAGAAATAATTGCTGAAGAGTGTTATCTGTGTGGGGAAACATGTTTTATTTGTCCAGAGGTCGTGATGGTAACAAATTGTACTACGAGAATCCAGCTCATGGACCCGGCGCTGGACCCGGCGCCTGCTCTGAAGTGCAAGAAGCGACGCTCGCAGACTTTCTTGTAGCGGGCAGGGAATATTTCAAAACAAGTAGAGAATATAATTAAAATTTAGCTTTCTTCTATATTGGAGTTTTTTAGCTGCGTACTATACTTGCGCGAGTGCTTAAAGCAATTGACATTACTCCCTTTGTCGAAGCTGCAGGTACTGTGCCAGAAGCTGTCTCAGCGTCTCCTCAAACCCAGTAAACCGCCATCCAAAAACCTCCTCGGTCTTCTTAGTATCAAGGCTCCATTTAACCGTTGTCAAAGACCCCTTCATCGGTAGCACTTGACTCTTAACCTCACCTGCAAAGTAATTTTGAGCAACATATGCTGCATCCCTATTCCAAACAACACCTTCAGGAGCATCCGAAGACAGTATATACTCAGTATTCCCCGGAACCCGGTTAGAGTCTATAGCATCGATATGGGCACGCGCCACATCTGCAACATGCACGGGAATTCCAACGTAGGGGAACGATGAATTGAGTGACGATGTAAGCACCGGCGCAAGGACTGCAGCGCGAGTTTCTTTTAGAAGTGCGCTGGTATTCGCAGTAGGGTCATTAGTAAGGCGATTGTCTGGTCCAATGACTACCCCAGGCAGAAGGTTGATAAAATTGAACTGTGGCCGTCTCTCGGCAATGAAGGTCCTTGTCGCAGCTCTTGCGAGTGCCTTAGAGGCCCAGTAGGCTTGCATTGCCCCGGTGAATGGGCCGGCGACGTCGGTGTTGATTTCATCCACTGTAAAGAAGCTTTATAAGTTTTGGCATTCAGTCAAGCCGTGGTCTTGTAAATTTACCGGTGTATAGCTTTTCACTGTCTGGATTCATGTTCCATTCAAAGGGAATAAGGGTGACGCCTGATCCACTGGTTAGTCAAAATCCTAGACGGCCAGGCGAAGAGAGCATACAAGAGGATGTCAGTACGACCCGTCGAACAGTCGGTACACGAGCAGCTGCATCCAAGACAGATGTGACCATAGAAACAGACGGATTGATGATGTCGTTTTCGTAGTTATCGGTCTGCGCAGACATTTTGTCAATACATGAATCATTAACCTTCATACGAGCCGAGAACTCGATACCTCGACTGCCAAAGGTGATGCCAAATGAAGTATGACACTGATGCCGTCGAGAACATTGAAGATAGCATCTTTCTCAAGGAAATCTGGAACAATAGCAAATTCAAGTTGGCTGTCAATCTCGCCGATGGTAGTGATTTTGCTTTTCAAATCTGATATGTTTCTTTCGCTTCGGACGACAGCACGAACATAATGCTTGTTTTCCAGGGCAAGGACCAAGGTCTGGAACCCAATGTAGCCAGTTACCCCTGTGATCTGATCTTGATTTAGCAGCATTCCTCTAGGTTGTGTGCAGGGGGCACGGCCTTACCAAAAGGCGTTCCGTACTCATTTTTTATGTTTTATTTTTCCTGAGTTAACAAGCTCTAGTTGGAATTGCAAGCTATTTGTATTCTCACATTCCGCGTGAGGCTAAATGAAAATCCACTTAGTTGCGCTCACCGGAACTCGGAGTTCCATGTTGCTTGGCATCGATCGTGATCCAGAAACTTGGCTGCTTGAAGGCCCCACACAGAGATCTTCAATAGTCAAGACAATGATGAGAAGATCATTAGTGGTAAAGAACGTGATGTTGGTAATTATGAAGGGAAAAAAGGGCTAGATCTTCAATTCCATACTCTATTCATGTTAATCACCACCGCGTCAAGTAAAAGGTCAACAGACTACACCCCCAAGTAAGGCGTGACAAACAGACTAGAACCACAAATCTTCTCCATCTTTCTGTATTTCATTCTTTCATTCAACAAGCAAATGGCCCCAATACGAGTCATATAGTACCTGAGCTTCGAGTGGTACTTACCCTAAAGGTTCGGCACGCTATGATTGGGTGGAGATCTAGAGTTGATCGTCTCCATCGGATGATTTTTCCACGGTGTAGTCAAGCTTACATTGGTTGAAACAGGGTATCCTCCTAGCGGTTGGAGATTTCAGAACGGATTTACATGTACCGTCAGCACTCGAGGTATCAATGGAAGTATTTATTTATTTACTGATTCCACCTAGACATGGTTCCAAAATAGCTTGATCAAGCAAAGGGTATATATTATCACAACCTAATTGAATAACCCAACTCAAGAAAAGATAGAACTCCCATCGTCGTTCCATGCATCATATGAATGCTCTTCGAAACCATAGAAAATAAGAAGAATAAGAAGGAAATGGATCTGGTGCCAACTGCCGAAGGTGAGAAGAAACAGATATAGAAAAAGCCCCAAATTGAGCCTTTTCCAATTTTGGGACGCCAAAACCCCGTCGAGACAGGAAAGAAAGGCCCTGATGTCCAAGGCGAAAGAAATAGTAGAGAGAGATAGGGAGAAATGGCAGGAGTCTGGCTATACCAAGGTCTGTCAATATAGAAGACCCCGAAGAGGCGAAACCCAGACACGAGAAAATGAGAAAGAAAAATAGTGCAAGAAGATAATTAGCCACCAACGCCGGCGGTTGTCGGGACGGTGATCATGAGGGACATAAAAGTTCGACCCTGGGGGTCGAAACGTATCAACAGAAGGAGAGAAGCGTAATGAATGAGTAATGTCCGCATCGGGCAAAACTAGCCATATAGTACATGCCAAATGAACAGGACTGAGTGAATTACCGCGGTCCCGAGATTTGGTTCACTTCGACGGCTGATGGTGCCGTCGTTGAACTTGTCGATGCAATGTGTGCACGTAGCGCCGCGACTTCGGTCCGTAGACCCGCTATTTCTTCGTGCATGGATCGGACGTATGCCCAGAGCTTGTCGATCTGGTTGGCTTCGCCTGCAGGTAATTCAGGTCCATCCGGTCCTAGCTTCGGAGCGGGAAGACTGTGGGTACTCGAGTGACTGTGTGACGCGGAATGTTTGGCGGCAGCCTGGAGACCGAAGCGGGCATCGGGTGAGCTAATGACAGGGGGCGGGAGCTGAGGCGCTCCAGGCTGCGGCGGTGGCAGACCCAGACCCGGTGGAGCGTGGCTTGAGCCCGATCCTGTTCGTACGAATGGTGGTGGGTGTGGCAATGAATGGCCCATGCTTGGGGAGTGTGCGCGGTGGGGTTGCACCATTTCGTGATGAGACAGCGCATTGGGGGATAATGGCTTCGGACTGTCACTGACGTTGGTGGGGGTAAACATCGATGAGCCAGAGGGGTGTCCTGCTGGCGGGAAAGTCAGGTTGCCTGGATGCGACGCGGTTGTTGTGGACGACCCGGAACCAGCATGGGTGCCTGGAGGTGGGAAGAGACTCCGGCCGGCAGCAATCGGCGGGTAGGTGCTAGGTTGGCGATGGGATTGAAGGGAATCAGAGCGAGGCAGATGGTCGGTCTCGTGCTTGCGGATGCTCGGTATGAGGCGTCGCTCGTCTTCCTCGTCCATGCGCTCCGGCTCTGCATACACGAGCCCATCCATGGCGTCGTCAGGATGGTGACCGTCCCCGTACTCATCGTCGGCTGCGAAGCTTCCCATACTAGCCCGACGGCCAGCGCATCCACCTTGTCCCTTATTGTGTCGCGCGAGCGCATCGCCGCGAGCAAATCGTCGTCCGCATTTGGGGCAGATATGTGGTCGTTCGCCGGTGTGGAGCTTAGTGTGTCGTTTCAAGTCGTGAAGGCGGCGGAAACGAGACTGGCAGGTTTGGCAGACAAAAGGCTTCTCTTGACTGTGAGTAAGTAGATGGCTCTTAAGATTGTGTTGCCGGGTAAATTCGGTCGCGCAATAGGGACAGCGATGCTTTTTCGCGGATGGAGATCGTGGGCTGCCTCTATTGTAGCCGGCGTTGGGTAAGCTGAGGCCGCGACGCGGATCATTGATGCCTCCGGTGGGCATGGGGTAGGAAAAGGCCTTGTTGTTATCATGATCGATCTCCGAGTCTGCCCGCAGCCTAGGTCGATCTCCATCTTGAGACGCGGACTCTTCGATAGGGCCTGGACTAGCGACGGTCGAGGAGTGAATCAGTGAGTTCTGGTTGTGGTCGGCCGAACCGTAAGGGTCGGATGATGTGTCATTGTGGTGGGAGTCGACTTGAATCTGTTCCGGGGACGCATGGACCGACGGTTCATGGAGGGAAGGGCCCGGCGACTTCTCGCTGGCGCCCAATGCCTCACGGGCAACGCGTGAGCTGTTACTTTCGGCTTCCCTGTCCTGTTCCGTCGGCCGATCCGCTGGTGCCGAAGTTGGGCTCGTCATTGGAGGCGGATGGGATCGCGAAACGTGTAGACCGGCACTGGCGATGGAGCTGAGATTGGATTCGGGCTTGGCGTGGGATTGTGCTTTAAGGAACGAAAGAGGTTCGGAACTGGCGATGGAGTTGGAGACGATAGGGTTCGAGACGGCGACAGGCTCGTTATTCGAGTGCATCAATGCCGCCATGGAGGCAGAAGGTCTCGCGCCAGCCGCAACGGATGGACGAACCAGGGCGAAGGCTACTTGCGAGCTCATGTTAGAAATGCTGAATGCATGAAATGCAGAGAGATACGACAAACTTCAAAGACAGGTAGAGGTAGGTGTACGGAGGATGCAAGAGGGAGGGCGAAGTCCAGGGCGTGTGGGGCGTTCTTCTCACTCACCTGGAAACCAGTGTGGCGCAAGCTGACGAGGATGGTTTCAGCTTTCTTGCACTCCCGGAGATCCACTGCGGGCTTTCGAGGGGCTTAGGCCTCGCGTTAAAATAGCAATCGACAAGGGCGCCGATGAGATTGGTTAAATTAAGTGAAATGAAGGCGGGCCATCGGGCGAAGTTTGGAACCGTGGCGGGTGTGCAGGAACGATGGAACTTGAAGATGAACAAAGATGAGGTAGCCTGAGTGACCGGGCAGTCAGGCAGTCAAGGCAGCCGAGACAAAAGCAGGTAGCGGGTAGGTACAAGGAATACAGGGAAGACTGGATTCTGCAGACAAAAGGCAGGAAGAGGAAACCTAGAAAGATCGAAAGGTAAAAAAAAAGGGCACGGGGAATGTATTGAGGGTGTATGAGACGGGGCTTGACAGTGGCTAACGGCAGGTATCGAGTCGGTCACAGTCGAACGGTCGAGGCTCTTGGGAAATGAACCCTGACGGGTACTTATGTACTAGTACCTACATTCCGGTGCGTCACACGTAGCAAAATATGTACCTCTACCCTCCCAGCTACAACGAGGCTGTGTAGCCCGCTAACGCGTGTGGCTGGCCGTGGGTCCCTCACACGAGACGTCTCTGCGGCTGATACTGGCGCTCACCGTTTGGCCACTTTGGCCACTCCGGTCACTTTGGCCACTTTGGTCACTGCGTTATATAAGTTTCCCCTATCTTACCGGTTTCTTATGTGGGGGTGATGTCACTGAAACCTTGGATCCGGATGATCGACTTGAATCCACTGGTTCGTCTGGCTAAACTATGACTGTTAGGGTATGTGTTGGGGTATCGGGTATCGGGTATCCTAGTATCCTCAAGTATTTAAGTATCGGATTTCGTGGTATCCAGGTATCGAGGTATCAACACCAGGTCCTCTATAAACTACCCCGTGCGCTTTATCCCAAAGCCACCCAGCCCATCTGCACCGCCCTGTTTCATGTTGCACAAGATCGGCAAACACGAGCCCCGAGCTTGACCGCGAAGCCAGATCTGCCTCGGTGCAGGGCATCCAATTACATTACAACCAATTTGACCTTCCGCGGAGCTGGCCTGAGATGACCAGTCATATCCACTGCTCAACTGTCAATATGGCTTGTCAGTACAGGGCTCGCCGCGTCTGAGGCTCTTGACCAGCCTCCCCAATGAAGCCATGATGTGAGAGATTCTCCATACTGCGGGACTAGACTGCCTCGCTATAAATGGCTCCACCCCAGCTTTCACGTTGTGGAATGTTACTTAATTTGGAAACCAAGTTGTGATGAGAGGTTTGATAGAATCGCCCCGAGGGACTAACAAGCCCCCGAGTACATCAAAACTCGCCAGATTCCCATGCCGTTATTCATCATCTCCGACAGATGTAAAAGTATGGGCCCACCGTATCGCCTTTAGATTGCTCCTCTTCAACCCTAGCATTCGTGATATTCTGACGAAACCCATCGTAGTCTGCTGCGACCAACTGATCTACCCCCCAGGTTTGTACGCCACTAAAGAGTGGTTGCCATCTCAATTGGTATAAAGCACGCAAGTTAATGAATATCAGGGTATTTCCAAGGATTGTCCCATAATTTAGCAAATAAGATGCTGCTTTGATGGAGGTCCGTGAGCGAAAGTACAAACAGGCCTCAGCCAGAACTCCGATCGAAGACAGATTGAAAGACTGTTCTCAGAGCAGAGGGGGCATGTTAGTGGGCATCTCCTCATTTCCCAGGATTTCTATCTCCTCCGAGAGTGGTCTATTTGTCAGTTGCAAGCCGTGGTTGTCGATGGTGAGCGAGCCAATTCTAGGTAATGGAGGTCACGTATTGGAGAGCGTCTCTCTTTGTGTTTCATTAATGAATTCGATCAGCCCGTAGCCAACAGCAGACATAAGCTCCCGTTTCGATGATGGGCATACTTTGATGGAATAAGATCCCCTAGCCACCCGGGCAGGATAGAACTTGGCGACAGATGAAATGGATAGTGCGCGAAAAGAAGGGCATATGTCCAATTCGAGTAAACTAATAGGATTAGGAGATAGGGGTCCTCGACGCTGACATTGCTGCTAGTGCCATGCCATTTCACGGGATGAGAGAGTAAAGCCACAAAGCTTGGGTATTGGTATATCTGGACAATCTTCTTGGAGGCAGGCATAAAGTCCCTGCCTCGTAGCGAATCTTCTCGTTCGCGTTGCCACGGAGGACCTTGATGACCCAGCGTGACAGTAAAAAACGAAGAGAAAATCACTCCTGGCCGTCCACTATTATGTCAACCACAAAGCACATGATTCACTCTCTGGGAGTCTCGTCGGCATCACATCACATGACAGTGCGTAAATCACATGAGGTGATCAGAAGTGCAGATTTCTGTCGCTTCATGCATTCTACTCTTTTCGAGTGCATTGTCACATCAAGGAACAGTTCCAATACTCTACTGATAGACTTTTGACAACCAGGTGAATATTTCTTGATGCTAGACTGATCTGTTTAAGGAGTTCTGCCCTAGATAATGCATATTTTCGACATGACTCGGCACTCCAAAACGATAGGCCGGGCATCTGCATGAGATGTGTTGAGATACGTAGACTCACCCATGGACTCGAACACCTCGCCATCATACCATCCAGCCACCCAAGATAATTTGGATCGGAAGCGATTGGCTCAGTATTTCAGGAATGAGCGAGGCCTGTCAGCGTAGGCCATTCCAATCATTACCCGGAACACACCCTCAACACACCCTCGGTCGATTTATCTTCAGGGTCCATCTCAAGCCCAACGCCACGGCTTCAGGGCATCAAATAAGTCGGCTGGTGAAAATAGAATATGCGCACAGACACAACGTCCCATCATGTTGAATTGGGGAGCGGTGCTGATTGCCCCTGTGCGACGGAGTATACATGGTAGTGGTTGGCTAGTATTTTTGTCTCGTCCATCTTGTCAGGTTGTGCACCCTCACAACACTCATTCCCTCGAAAGGCCCCAAATTGAGCGGTTCTACAACAATCGTGGTTGGCCAGACGATCGGCGAGGTTAGCGCCGGCTGAGGTGATGGGCGTGCATCGTGAGGAGCAACAACCCTCATCTAGCGCATTTGACTGGCTACGGGTTCCACTGTGACAAGCTTGACTGATCACCTTGCTTCCAGTCACACTCGCCTATCACTGTGGCAATCCGCACTTTGACTCCTCGCCCAACTTCATCTAGCTTGGCTCCAATCCAATCATGCTCCCAGTGGCTCATGCGCGATATTCCCCCGGGCGCTTACTCTGGCCCGGCACGAGTGATGAGGAGGCATGGCCTGCATTTGCAACCCCCGCCTCTGAGGCCAGTGGGCGCTCACCGTTGATTGATATTCAAGCCTGCCCTGGCCTGATCTTTCCCTCCTCAAGTGTCTTCTCTTTTTGATCACCATCACTGCCTTGACTGGTTAATTGCGCATACCCGTGGACGCAGGCCTCGCACACGGTGTTTCAAGGTGATCCGATAAGTTTATAGAGCTCAGCTGTTGTCACACCCAGGTGGTTTGCCCTCCAGACTGACTCGCCGTCGAGCTCTTCCACTTCCCGGGAGCCTTTCTGAACCCGGATTTCTGTCAAGAGCCGGTTCTCTTGATCTAATTGCGTTGCTTTTGTATTGCGTCCGTTGTTCATCGCTTCGATGTCGATCTACGGTGACAGCCATAATAACTCTCCTCTGACCTACGAACCCGTCGTTCCCGCGGATCTTACTCGTGCCTCTTACCACAGCGCAATGGGCGCTCCACCTCAGCACACAACACAGGAGACCCGCAGCTCCTCCGAGAGCAGCGGTGCTTCGCTGAAGAGTCCCCGCACAGCTCGCTTCGCTGAGGCCACGACGATTCACTCGCCTATCGAGCAGTCTGCCCGATCTCCCTTTGCCGATCCTCCCAAGACACAGTCTGGCGGCGTCGGTGATGTGGGTTTCGGGTATGTCAACGACCCCGCACAAGCAGAGGACACGATGCCGCCGGCATCGCCTCTTCGAACTGGATTGAGGGTACCCAAATCAGCGGTTTCGTTGAATCCCCTCAGCCCAACCTTCCGTGAGGAGTATATGCTCGGGAAGCAGGAGCAGCACGCCGAAAAGGAAAACGCTCGTGATTTGGTACGTAATCGCTCTTGATCCATCTTAGTTAAATATACTAATTCTTTCCCAGAGGATCAAGCTTCGCGTTCGTATCGCGAAGATCTTCCTTCGTTTCGTCAACTTCGGCTGCAGTCTGATCGTGTTGTCTCTGCTGACAGTGACTCTGACCATCTTCAACGCGACCAAGACTATCCCGGCACGAAACAGTCTGCCTGCTTGGGCAGAGGGAACCAACCCATGGGCTCAGTATTTGCTTTTGGGCATGTCTTGCGTCTCCCTCTTTGCATGTCTCATTGTCTTTTGGGGATACTGGAAGGGCGGCCATCGACGGGCTGAAAAGACCGCCATCTACTATACCACTTTTTCAATCTGCTTCTTCTTCTTCAGTTTGATTATGTGGATTGTTGGCGCCGCCATCTACCAGCACTCCAAATCCTCTGGCAACAGCAAAGATATGTGGGGTTGGTCTTGCGCTCAGAATACACGTGAGGAGATCTACCATAGTGCGGTTGACTATGCTCTTTTGTGCCGTCTTCAGGTGAGTTAGCCTCTGCTTAGCCTCACATACTTTCAAAACTAACTCTCCCAGGACTGGGGCCTCGTCTGCGCCATTATTGAAGTCGTCATCGAAGTTCTTGCTATTCTGATATACGCCGTCGTTCTATACCGTCTCTGGACCAAGCGCCGTCTCATGAAGTCAATGGACCGCCGCGACAATGCACGCAACGATCTTTACCTGGCGCAATTGCACATCCAATCTGCCCCCAATACCCCAGGCTTCGCAGGGTTCTCATCCTACCCGCCCAAGTCACCCTTCTACGCCGCCCATGCGGTTGATCCATATTCGTCCGCCGAGAAGGGTGAGCTGAACACGACAACCCAGTACGCTTCTCCCCGCTCGCCAACCCGCCCTGTCCCGAGCTTCCAGCTCCAGGCCCCGCCCATCAAGGTCCAGCAGCCCACGCCGCAGATGGCCCAGGATGGATTCCATTCTCCGCCTATTCCTGCAGCTCCTTCGACATATTCCAAGTCTCCATCTCCGCCGCCAAGTGAGCCACAGCACATGGCTGCTGCGCCGGGCGAGACGGATTACGGCGCCGTGCCTATTCCGAACGCCTATGCCAGTCCTATGATGCCGGCTTTCCCATCTGCGGAGCACAAATAGATGTGCATGTGGATTTGTATGGCGTTGAAGAGGCGTTGGGCTTTTCAAGTCAAATGCCCATAAATCAAAAAAAAAAACCAGTTCAAAAAAAGAGAGGAAGGAAAATCAGAAAACCATGCGATGAGATGAAATCTTGGACATAGCTGGTACTTTGCACTTGAACGCTTAATTACCTGGGCACGGGCTTTGATGCAGGGCGTGTGGAGTTTTGGGAGAAGATACCTATTTGGAAGGCTTATTGAATTTACGTGTACTTGGCACCCCTCTTTTCTCTACCCTAGGCGAATATTGTAGCCAATAGACTGTCATGATGCTGGCACTATTCTCCTTTCTTTTAGTTCTCCGTCATCCGCTATGTTCGCGTGACGGTCGATGTTTTATCTCCTTGCTGAACTGGAATGGCGGAACCCTTCCTAATTGGGAAATCTAACCGCCCGCTATGTCGAGTCAATTGCGTAGTTAAGTAGCAGCAAAATCCAAGCATACGCAATGCAAGGGATATAGGATTTCAGGATTTCTTCAGTATACCTTAAAGTCTCCTGTGCGACTCTAGGCTCCTTATAGATATCGACAGGATGTTCTGCAAGAACAAGGCAAGCTATGAGCTTAGGTATGTCATTTTGACTGCATCCTTCCACCTCTCGGGGTTGTAACACTAAGACAAACTTTTTATATAGTCTCGAGAAGTCATGCTTCTTTATACCAAGAGCTCAGACTACTGAGTCCTCAACCTCGGTCTCGGGGCAGTTCTGCATCTCTCTGTGCCAAAATGTCTATATTAAGAGCATTAAGGTGCGCCTTCGGGGTATACTCACGATGTAAGACATATGATATTCCATCAACCTACTGTTCACGCAGGCTAACTCTAATTTTTCCATTCAAAGCCCCGGCGATGGCTTTCTAGTGACTGAACGCGCCCAACACCGCACGTTCGAACTAGAGCAACCGATCGCATCCTCAAGAGGCCGTCGCTCATTCTCCATGGCAGCCGGAAACTACAAGTTCCCTTTCAGCATCCCCTTACCAGCAGATATATCCGACTCATCATTCGGCCCGAACAAATACCACACATACCAAGTCGACGCCGTCATCAACCGCCCCTATCTCAAAGACATCGTGATCTCCCAACCACTCCAGATCTACAAATATAGCTCCGAGCTCGAGAACCCAGACTCAATCCCCTACGTCTCTCCGGTATCTCCAAGCACCCCTTCCCCGTATACAGTCCGCACTTAAGACCTAACACCCAATCCAGACAGAAGAGTCCCAAACAGAACACGCCCACGGTCTCAACCACCGCATAACCCTCCCATCAAACCAGATCCCCTTTGGCTCCGTCTTCCCAGTCAACATAGCCCTCTGGACAGGCTCAGAAAAACAAACAACCCTCTCCAAAATCACAATCGAGGTCATCGAGAAACATAACCTCAAAATCGATGCTACAGCAGCCCAGTCCGCGCGCTACAATATCCACACCATTCGCTCCGCGCGAAGCCACACGCTCGTATCGAAGAAGTTTGATTTCGAGGAATCCCCGAATACGGACTGGAGGGTTTGTAAGATGATTCGGTTGCCGCAGGCGCTGGATGAGGCTTCGCAGAGTATCAGTACCAAGACGATTAAGATTGAGCATATTCTTGCTGTCAGGGCTGAATTTAGGAGTGTGGATGGAAATGAACAGAGTGATGTTGAGGTATTTTTACTCCCCTCTTTCCTTGAGTTCTTGGGGGGGATTTTTTTTTTTTTTTTTTGGAAATGGATTGGAGCTAATTTGTGAGCAGATTACTGAAAGCGTTCCGTTTAATATTTATATGACGCCAAGTACGATTGGATCTGATGCGCTGGTGAGGGGGAAGGTGTTGCAGGATTGTAGTAATCCGCCTCCGGCGTATGGTGATCATGTTTCGTGTCCTAGGCTGTTGGAGGTGGATTTGGAGTCCGTACTAGGGAATCAGAGCCATGTTTTGAGAGCGTTGGAGAGTGGGACTTGTAGGGAGGTCTTTGCGGATGTTGAACCTCCTGTTTATGCTTCTTTGGGGGTTGTATCTTGACGAGGGATGATTTTGTTGTTGGCGTTGTATATGGGGGTCTGCTTCTTTTTTGGGTTTAGTGGGGGAGTACATGGGGCGCAAAGTTGAGCAAGAATGATTTGCTGAGATCAAGTCAAAATTTCCTCATCTACGTTGGAAAGTCCATTTCTCAAGGTTAATGCAAGATATCTGCATTATAATGAATCAAATTGAAAAGAATCCAAAGCGCCACTCTGCAAAAAAAAAAAAACCAGCCAACTCCGCGGATCTAGCAAATTCATGCCAAAAATAGGCTTCCCATTACTCATGACCAACACATGATCCGTGGTGCTCTACCCAGATAGTGGACTGTACATGTAAAAGAGAAACAACTTAGATATGTGCTTCCTCCAAGATGGCATTCCCGTCTCGGCTCACGAAGATCTCTTCCAGTGTGCTGGCGCCATTGGCGATCTTATCCATATCACTCTCCAGGATAAGGCCTTGTTCGTTGGCCAGATGGAGAAGACAAATGAATCCGAAGGATGTGCTAATGTCGCGTAATGTCTCGGCTGGGTAGACTGTCTTGAGCGAGTTCATAATTTGTGTGAATCGTAAACGGCTGTCATTCTTGGAGTCTGTCGGTTTCTCTGGGCTAGTGGCCTGCGGTGTAGGCGGCTCAGGAGCATCGGACTCGGTTTCAGGCTCAACCGAAGGCTCGGGTTGTGAGGCAGAGTCGAAGTCGGTGGCGGCAATCAACCGCTCACCCATACCCCTCCACATCTCCACCTTGAGGCGTCGCACGTCCACCTTCTTAGCCACACGGGCATAGTTGACATAGTCCGGTCGTGCACGGCGCCCACCTTGTGTGACCAATTGTGAGCCGTATCCACCAGCGCCGGGACGGCCAGGCGTGGCGCCGACCATATTAAGCAATGCAGAAAGACCGGTTGCTCCACCTTCACCTTGTGACGTGACTGGACGCCCATCGGCAGCAGGCGAGAGCATCTCCCGCGCATCAGCAAATGGCAGATTGTCGTCGTCATCATCCAGATCCATGCCGTTAGGGAAAGCAAGGCCATCATCATCAGCGAAGAAGTTGGCATCATAGGCACCAGGAGCACCGTCGTTCTCGGCGTTGTCCTCGACTTTGTGGTTTGCCCAAAATGCCTCGTCCATATCCCCATTTCCGGACGTTTGTTCTGGCCGACTGAGGGTTGTGCGTCGACCCAGTAGTTTCTTTGAGCCCAAGCGGGCCTTGGGCTTGAGGAACAAGCGCAACAAGTTGCGTGAGTTGAAGTGCTTGTCATCAGGCAGCAAGTTGCGACCCTTGGTCTTCCATTGGGTTTTAGGGAGGGAGATGGCGGAATTAGAGCTGGCCGGCATATAGATCAACTCAGCGACAGCAGAATCCAGTGGCGCCCCGAAATCGATCTCGAAGGGCTCCTTCTCTTTCTTCTGCTTGGGCGCAGCATTTGTGCTAGCAGCAGTGTGCTCCTTGATTCTCCGAATCTTCCAGTGTTCTGGGCCGGCCCAGTTCTTCTGAAGCGCATTGTCGAAGTAGCTGAGGATGTTCTCGTGGTCTTGTTTGCTTGGATTGTGGGACATGGAAATGGCATATGCGTCCTCGTCATGATCTTCGCCATCCTCGTTGTCACCATCGTCCATCCTGTGAACCTTGAGCATTGGCTCCAAGGCGGCCTCTCGAGCCCAGACCTCTCCACCATCACCGAAGCCGGCATCGCCACTTAAGTCAAAACCGGCCAAGTCATCATCGTCGTCGAAGCCAACCGCATTATCGTCATCAAGCATGATTCCCGATGGATCCTCCGGGAGGCCATCGGGGTTCTTGTCTTGCCGCCACTCCTCGGGGGCCTTGAGCAGAGGAAGATCCAGCGAGCCACTGGGGTCACCCAGACTGAAGTTCTTGAGGGATGGACAGACATCCTGTTCGTCAATGCGATCCAGGTCAGGGAAGAACTGAGCCGCAAGAGAAGCGATGTCGATATCTGAATCGTCCTCGAAGGTGTCACTAGCTCGCTGGACTGATTTGGCCTTCTCGCCTTGGGATTCAGGGTCTTCAGGGCCCTCAGTCTCCTCACGATCGCCATCGGTCTTGGCAGAATCATCCACAGCATCATCGCTACTGTCAAAGACGATCTTTCCAACTCCATCGATGGCAAGGTGATTAAGCAGCAGACCTTTGGCACCTCCTTCATCAAAATCGGCGGACGCCTTCTTGAACAGCGGATCAACAGCGAACTCCAGCTCGAACTTCTTCAATTGTAGAGAGTTGAAAGATGGGGCTAACGTTGCCTCGTGTGACCGTGTCTGTAACGGCTTTGTTAGCCGTGCGCTTTACCGGACCCTGTGATTCCGGAATTGCATACCTTCTTGCGCGACTTGCGCGCACCACCCTCCTCTCCATCCTCATCCTCATCTTCGTCGCCCTCCGCATCGGCTTCGCGCCCGCGCTTGTCGCGACTATCAGCCAAACCGCTCAACAGCTTTCCAGTCTCCGTAGCAACACTATCCACACGGCTGGTATAGATCTTCACACATCCATCCAGAGTGCAACTGGCCTTCTGGAAGTTGACACTGTCTCCCTCCCTCAAAAGGGACATATCGTGGAAGTAATCGATGAGCGCAAAGTTCCAGGAGTTGTTGGCGTTGATCTTGTTATCGGTAGCCATCTTCATCCACTCCTCAAAGTTGGCTAAAATGGGCACGCGCTTCATCGGCGTCACTGCGCGGCCATTGACATCGCTTTCACGGCCTCGATGACCGGAGCCTCGGGGTGTTGTTGTAGGGCTCTCGCTTCCGTCGCGGTATCGGCGGTTGGGCATGGGCGTCTTCACTGCGGCTTTGATCTGGTTCATCTGGAGGTCTTGGAGCGCCTGGCGGGCTTGGTTCCGCGCCGCCTTCTCGCCCATATCATCATTCAAGGGGATTCTAATGCGCGGTTAGTACCCCGTTGGACTCCGGTTTTGTATATAAGGGTGGTAAACGCACTTGATCGGCGAGTTCTTCTGCGGGGTAGATGTGCTGCCGCCGGAGCGGCGATGCACTTTGTTCGCTACGCGGGGCATGGTTGCGGTTTCCCCCAGCAGGGGATAACAGGATGGTAACGTAGGTGGTCGGTGGTGGTTGCAGGCGCAAGAGGGGCGGTCCAAACAAATGGGGAAGTCAACAAACATCCGGCGGTCAGAGAAGACCAGACGCGCAGAAAATCACATGTTTTAATTATTGCCTGGCAAATCAGGTGTCCAATGACGAGCAGGTTTCCACGTTTTTGCGAGAGTTAACCTCGAGAGATACTTGACAATTAAATCTGCCTCATGTAAAAGCCGGCTGTCCCTCACGTATCCTTACAAAATTCGATACATTCTTCCATGTCTTAGTTGTCACTGTACCTTATCAGCTGGGCAGCATCGGCATGCGCGTGGAGATTAGCGCATTGGCCCACTCGGCAGCCACGCCTGCGCTAGGCTGACATCACCGCACTCATCACTCACCCGCACCTGAGTGGACCAGGTTCAATGGAAGATAGATCTTCTCCTCTGTGAATCTGGCATTGTCTTGATTTGGGGATTCGGTCAATACTATCCGGGGTCACAATGCAGCTATTGGAGACGCCATCATGAACGCGCTACCCTCATTCCTGCAGCCTGCCGTCCGCAAAGGCCCTCGGTACTCCACGCGACCATTCTACACAAGCATCCTTGTGTTCACCACCCTTGTCGCTCTCACATTCGCCGTCAGAAATATTGGATCTGGACAGGTACATCAGCGCACAGCAGCGGGTGTCTCCCTTCTCAAGCGGGAAAAAGAACCAGAGGTACAAACCACTCCTCTCCCTCGCGAAATGATGTGGAAAGCTAAATGATACTCTGTGTGACTTGATTACAGTGCCGCCTCGTACGAGACGTCAAAGATCAGTGTTCTTATGTTCGCGACAACTGCCCCGACCATCAAGATGGCCTACTCTCTTATCTCCAGCTGTACTATTGCTCCCTGTCCGATGCGAAGCCGGTGGCCTTCATGATCTTGATTCTTTGGCTGTCGCTACTATTCAGCACCATCGGAATCGCGGCCAGTGATTTCTTGTGCATTGACCTAAGTACGCTAGCAAGCGTCTTGGGACTGAGCGAAAGCCTAACGGGCGTGACGTTCCTCGCATTTGGAAATGGCAGTCCCGATGTCTTCTCGACCTTTGCCGCAATGCGGTCGAATAGCGGGAGTCTTGCGATTGGTGAATTGATTGGAGCGGCCAGTTTCATCACGTCTGTAGTTGCAGGCTCTATGGCTTTGGTCCGACCCTTCAAGGTAGCGCGCCGGAGTTTCGTCCGAGATGTGGGCTACTTTATTATAGCTGTCAGCTTCAGTATGTTTTTGTTGGCCGATGGCAGGCTTCATGTCTGGGAGTCAGCCGCCATGGTGGCTTTGTATGCCTTCTATGTTTTCATGGTTGTAACCTGGCACTGGTATCTGGTTCGCCGCCGCCGAAGGTACGAACGAGATCTTGCCGCACGAACTCACTTTCACATCCCGGACAACCAGGAGTTGGAGGTGGAACAAACCATGGAAGATGACGACCCAGGTGTGGCCTCGGAGTCACGAAGTCTTCTCCGCGGAGCATCCACAGATGACTTTGACATGTTGGAACGAGCCGAAGCAGTTCCCATCTGGAAGGAGGAGGAAGATGAGGATGACGAGACTCGTAACCGATATCTGGCCGAGATTAGCGATAACATGCATGTCTATCGGCCTCCAAATAGATCACGGCGAAACACCATGAACCCAATTCGGCCAAGTCTCGTCGGTGCTCTGGAATTTCAATCCGTGCTTCATTCGCTTCAGAAATCACGCAGCCATAAGCCAACCATCAGCTTGAGCAGCTACTCGGACGATGGCGATAATTCTTCCCAGCCTTTTGACACTCGATCGATTGCATCGCATCCTCGCGCTAGCAGACCCACGGGATACAATGACCGTCTGTCACCTCTCAGCGCAGAAGGTCCCCGAGCACGAGCCGTGTCGGCCAACGGTGCTGATGGATTAAGGCTTGATACCAGCGTGTTAAACCGACGAACCGACGAAACTCCGCGTCTTACTGTGAGACGGCCTTCGAACGACCCAGCCATGGAGCCGCCTCAATTTCTCCGCATAGATACCAGCGCAGCCTTGACAGCCTCTCCCTCATCGTCTGAATTTCCTTCACCAAATCAAAGCCCTGTGGGCGCCGGGTTTCCCTCAAACACCGGACCTTTTGGCACCGCCAGATGCGTTCCACGCTCCCAATTACCAAACTGGGGCCACTCATGAGCGTTCTCCACTTTCAATTTCCCCTCGAGGGGGACCTGGAAGCTATAATTCTGCGCTTACCCCAGAGAGCCCTGCTGCACCGTTCCCCGCGTTCGTTGATGGATCGTCTTCTCCACATCCTCGCCCCCCTAGTATCTATCTCCCCATGCCGGCAGCGAGCCCGTCAGAACAGTTGCTATTCCACGATGGCCTCGATGAGATGGCCAACGAAAGTTCCTCGTTCCGACTATACTTCAGAAAGTTGTGGCCTTCAGCCTTCCCTCCTCCGAAGCGGATCGGCTGCACCCTCTTTCCTACCTTGGCTACCTGGAAATCCAAGGGCATCGCCGAGCGTTTGCTAGGAATTGTCGCAGCGCCCAGCGTATTTCTCCTCACCATCACCGTTCCAATCATCGAGCCTCAAGGCCCCGAGTCTGCCGATCCCGATTCGGTGCCGGCTGTAATTATTGACCGGGTTAGAGATGATGAATATCGAGCTCCCAGGATCAGTCTCCCGGCTGATAGCCCTCTCATCCACCCGGGCCACGACCACCATGACTCTTTCCCAGATGTTCAAACTTCCCACCCCCACCGCAAGTCACACTCTGAACAATACCGCCCCGGTCGTCCACGTTGGGACTCGGAACTTCCAGCCCCAGCACCACACCTCGATACCCCAGACTGCCATCTACCAGCCAAAGACTGGAACCGCTGGCTCATCGGAACTCAACTCTTTACCGGCCCCTTTTTCTTCACCCTCATCGCATGGACCGCCATCGACGAAGACAACGACCCTCGCAACCTCATCTTACCAACTCTGGTGTCCCTCCTCTTCTCATTCCTCTGCCTTGCAGCTCTCATCGTCTCAACCCGCCGCCGTCCCTGGCACCAAAGCAGCGATCAGTCCGAGCAAGATCCCTCCGAACAGCGCGCTGCTCCCCTCCCCGACTCCTGGCGTCCTTTCCTAGCCCTCCTAGGCTTCCTGGTCGCCATAGCATGGATCGCAACAATCGCCACTGAAGTCGTCTCCCTCCTGAAGACCATCGGTGTCATTCTGGACATTTCAGACTCGTTATTGGGATTGACCGTCTTCGCAGTCGGTAACTCTCTTGGCGATCTCGTGGCTGATATCACAGTCGCGAGACTTGGATACCCCGTCATGGCACTGAGCGCCTGCTTCGGTGGTCCCATGCTTAACATCTTACTTGGAATCGGCCTGGGCGGTCTATACATGACCTTGAACGGAGGCCATGCGCCTCGGGGACATGATGAGATCGCTATCGAAGCTCCATATGAGATTGCCATTTCCAAAGTCTTGGTTATTAGCGGGGCTACTCTGCTGGTCGTACTCGTTGGTCTTCTCATCGTTATCCCGTTGAACGGCTGGAGAATGGATCGCAAGATCGGGTGGGGGTTGATTGTGGTTTGGTGTTTGAGTACATTGGGGAATGTAATTGCCGAGATTGCATCATGATGTTTATACGCATTTGAGTCTTTTCTTTCGGATTGGCATTGGTGTTGGGTGCATTACCAACGTACTGTTTTGATGGTTGATATCATATCTATTTTGGTGGTTCTTTTTGCATGATGCAGGCATCCCTGCTATGATCTGTAGTTCTGTTAATCTGTACATGGAATGCATGGTCGGTTTAACAACATCTAATCGAGTATCTACCTTGTTCCAAAGTCCATGGTGGATGACCTCCTAGATCTTCTATGATTACGTGGAATTCGAAGTGTTGGATCATGTAAAGCAGAATCTCAACGAATATTGTGAATGGAATACATAATAGCTAAACTATCATCATCGCCCTCATATAGCATAGGCGTATCACCAAGAATGGAATGAACAAACAAAATAGCTACCTTCAAGCCCGTCCATTTCTGTACAATTATGTTCTAATTACTACCTCACAGCACATGCCCAGCCGAGGAACTCGTGCTGCGGTCGTTGGTCTGCACCTTCTTGAGACCCTTTCCAGCTTGAATGGATGCAAGCAGGGCGGAATGACCTCCACCCGCGCCGCCAGGCGCCGGGGGGCAGGGGGAGGGGAGCTCCCGGGGGAGCTCCCGGAGGAGGCGGAGGCGGAGCTGCAGGAGCACCAGGAACAGGAGGTGGAGGGGGGGTGCAACAACTGGGGCACCTCCAGGGGGCGGAGGTGGAGGAGGGGGAGGAGGAGGCACCGCACCGGGAGGGGGGAGGAGGGGGAGAAATCGGGGCACTGTCTCCGGCCTCGGGCTCGACAGCGTAAGGCGCGAGAGGCGCGGGAGGAGGCGGGGGCGCGATAGGGCTGGCCTGGACAGGCGTAGCGGAATTATCTTCGTCCATTGCGCTCAAAGGACGTGGGGGTGCCATTGTACCGAACAGGATGCTGGCAAGCTGTTTGGCGCTGCCACCGCCGGGCCGCTCATCCTCATCATCAGACGAGTCAAAATCGGAACCGGCGTTGGACCAGTCGTCATCCTCCTCAGGGCGCGTGCGGGTCTTGCGCTCCAAGGGTCCGGCCCCAGTGAAAGTGGGCTTGGAAGGCTCTTGCTTCTCTTGTTGAGCGAGGCGGTGGAACGGGTTGGTGGACTGCGCCACCGGCGAAGTTGCTTGGGTAGGCTCGGTAGGCTGTCCAAGGGACTTGAAGTAGGGGTTCTTCGACTCCGCGTCAGGTGTAGTAATGGGAGCTGTAAATTTCTCCTCGGAAGTGGCTGGGCTGGGCTCTTTCTCGGGCTCGGGGGCAGGGGCCACTGGGGGCTCCGGAATAGAAACAATAGGGACAGGTGGTGCGGACAGAACCTGGCTCTGAGTGGGAGTGCTATCCTGGGGAGTGATGCTCTCAGGTCCTTCATCGTCAGAGGAGCTTTCTTCATCCAGGCCCTCCAGCTCGCGCTGCAACTGGCGCTCACGTTCCCTGGCAGCTTCAAGTTCAGCACGCTGGGCTTCCATCTTGGCCTCCTGGTCCTTAGCCATGCGAGCAGCTTCCTCCCTGCGGCGTTTCTCCTCCTGCTTCTTGATCTTGCCTTGTCGGACCTGCTCCTCAAGGGCCATCAGGCGAGCTGCCTGGGCGTCCTTCTCTTTCTGGAAATCATCGGCCTCGGATCTGTGATTAAGTTAGCAAAAGCACGATTACGAATCATGGAGTCAAGACAAGCTTACTCAAGACGCTTGGTCTCCGCCTCCTGTGCCTCCTGCTCCTCCTTGATGGCCTCCTCGCGAACAGCCTGCTCTGCCTTGGCCTCTTCAGCCTTCTTCGCATCAGCCTGGCCCGCACTATCAGTTCGGGCTCTGCGAGTAGGAGGTGCTGGGGGTGGTTTCTTGCCAGCAGCCTTGGGAGCCGCGGCACTAGGACCACCCTTCTCCTCAGCTAGACGGCGCTGTCTCTCGGCGTCTCGCTTAGCATCCTCTTCTTCGGCACGCCTCACGCGCTCTTCGCGTTCTCTCTTCTCTCTCTCCTGGCGCTGGGTCAAAGTTTCGGCCGAGTCGGCAGGTTTCAGGCCGGCAGCGGCCATACGCTCAGCAATGCGCTTCTGCGCACGCTCCCTGGCAGCCGCCACACGATCCTCGTGCGTGTTACCGGGAGCAGAGCCCGAAGAGCCGGTCGAAGCTGGCACGGAAGGCCGTGCAGCAGGTGAATCGGAAGCTGGGGATTCATAACGGGGCCGCTCATGGAGAGATCTATCGCGCCTGTTTCACTTTGTTAGCTTAGCCCACTCACAACGATCCTCGGCGTAACATACTCTTCTTTGCGGACATTGGCAGTCCGGCTGTTGCGGCTGAGGTCGTAGATGAAGTCACGGGTAATGTCTTCAACGCCCAGGGCATCCTCCCAACGTCGCTTCTCATGATCTCGGGTAGAGTTTTGTCCTTCCTCGCGGAGACTGTCCTCCAGACTGCGGGTGAAGTCCCGAACGCTTTCCTCGACATCACGAGTCATAGTGTCGTTGCGCTCCCACTCAGCCTTGGCATTCGCACTCTCGGCTTCCAGTCGGCGAGCAGCCTGTCCATCATCATCTTCAGTGGCAGGGGCTGGGCGGCCAGCCAGCTCGGCAGCGCGGGCCTGCATACGGGCACGAGCGCGAGCTTTGATGCGATCGGCTTCGGTCACTGCCCCGCCAGGACCAGTACCCACGATGGTCTGAGCGCTGCCGGGATGGGCTTTGGCATCCCTAAGACGGAACAGCTCAAGCTTTGCATCGGAAATTTCACGCTCAACGCGTCGAACGTCAGATGCGACCTGTGGGACCTGGTCCTCATAAGACTGGAGCTGACGACGAAGGGCCCTACGCTCCGCCCCGCTATCCAATTGACGGAACGAGGCATTGGGGTGGGTGTCAATGTCATCTTGTACGCGACGGATACGGTCCATGAGGCTCTCTGCCTCACGGCGGTCCTGGCGATCAAGAGACTCGTCATCCTCAGCCCGGTTCTCATCCTGGAAGTCAACGGCATCCAGCATGACCTTAGCCTCACGGATCTTTTTTCGCAGCTGGTCCACTGACAGCTCGTCTCCCTCGGAGGTCTGGGAGGCACCAGGTGATGGAGTACGGGCGTCGTTACCAACACGACGGCGGGCACTCGAACGGTAGCCGCCCGCGGCATCATTGTTCTTGAACATTGTCGCATCCTTACGGCCGGCTCCGGGTTGTCCACTACCACCACGGAACGAGTGGTCTTTGAGATAGCTAACACCGGTCTTCTGGGGCTGCAAGAAAGCTCCAGATGTCTTCCGCGACTCGGCGTCCTGTGACAAAAGTGATTTGACAGTTCCGATAGAATCATTTAAGTGCCTTGTAGACGGGGGAATAAGCTCCGGAGGGAGGCGGCTAGGCACCGGATAACCGTTCAAAGCTCGATAGATCAAATGCATGCCAACAGCGAACTCATCCATGTTGAGACGGCCGCGGTTGTGAGGGTCGGCCAAAGTCCAGATTCGCTCCAAATCTTTCCGGTTCAATCCACTTTGACCCATGATCTCAATGGCAGTTTCGCCGCCAATAAATCCCTTATGGAATCCATCCCAGGCGCGGAACAGGTCGTCGTAGATTTTCTTTTCTTCCTTGGTGATGGCCCAGGCAACTTTGGCATTGCCGGAGAGATTGGCCATGTTGAAACCACCCTCACGACCAGGTTGAGGCATGAGCTGCTGCTTCATAGCCTCGATATTAGGCAAGCCTTGTGCCGGGGTGTTGATGAAACCCCACTGGCCAGGAATACCAGTAGGCTGTGCCGTGAGCCCCGTAGGTTGCACAGCCAGGCCACCAGTCTGTGCAGGGCTGAGGTTTGAGGCAAAGCCAGTAGGCATTGGAGGCATTGGGGGCCGGGGGCCGGTGTATCCCGTAGCTTGCGGGTTAGCCATGAACCCTGTCTGTTGCGATTGAAGGAACTGCGCCTGATTTTGTCCTGGGAAGCCGGTCTGTTGAGGCTGCATGCCAGTAGGCTGAGGGAAAAACCCGGTGGGCTGCGCAGTCAACTGGTTAAGTAGCTGAGTATTGCTCGCTTGCTGAGGCTGGGGCTGCTGGACAATGGGCGGCGTAGACTTGTTTTCCAGAAGAGGCGCGTCGAAGTTGGGCGCATTGGTTCGCGGCGCCGGCGCTGGTGCCGAGTCAGGGACATCGAAGGAGATAATGTCAACCATGCTAGAAACCTCATTCTTGATTGTCTCGGGCAAAGAGGCAGGCATTTCACGACCAGTTAGACGTATGTTACACAGGTACATAGCCAGTGCGAACTCTGGGAAGAACAACTGTCCCGACTTGGTGGTATCTGATAGAACCCAGATCTTAGAAAGGTCGGAGCCTGCGAGCTTGGAGCGAAGGAGAAGATCCCTCGCTTTCTCGCCTAAAAATTAAAGTCAGCAAATGACCCTTATTCCGGCGATAAATCCAGACATATACATACCGTCCAATGTCTTTTCATTCCCAACAGCAGACCTGAATAGCTGCTCAAACTTGGCCTGGTCCTGTGCTGTGATGAAAGAGAGCCGGATACTCGGGATCTTTGAACCAGTCTTCGGTGGCACTTGCGGGGGGTTCCGGAGACACCATTATCTTGAAAGGAGTTTGCGACGTCGGACGAAGTCTTCAATCGGGAAGGGAGTCCCGTAGCCTGGGGGAGCTGAAGTTGAGGGAGTGGCGGCTGCGACTGGCTCTGAGGCTGATTCTGAGGGGGAAATCCGGTATATTGAGGTTGCAAATTTTGCTGCTGCTGAAATTGCTGCTGCGCTTGTTGTGGTTGCTGTCCAGGGAAGCCAGTGAACTGCGGCTGGAGCTGTCCCGCGGGGAATCCGGTGGGCTGAGGTTGAAGCTGCGAGTTACCGAACGGCGACGGCTGACCGGCAAAGCCAGTTGGCTGCGGCGCAAATCCTGTTGGCTGAGGCTGCTGCATTGGCGGCTGCTGTTGGCCCTGGGGGGATTGCGAGTATGTTGGCTGTTGCTGCTGTTGCTGCATGAATGGTGCCTGGCCTGGGCGGCCACCACCACCACCGCCGAGGAAGGAATTCGACGAGGAGAACATTATTAACACGTCGCTCGCATGGAACAAAAAGATGCAGAAGAACCGCGGATAGACCACAAAGGTAGAAAGGAATGCAGATGCCCCAGGGGAGGTTGAGACTCAGGAGCAACGGACATGACGCTGTAGCAGGGACACGCGGAGACACGCTAGCTCGATTGAGCGCTTAGTCATGACTACCCCGGCGTATCTATTTTCGGGGCGCACGAGGTAAATAAGATATTTGGATTAGGACAACGAAGACTATGCAAGAAAGTAGTCACAGAACCATGGAACAGAATATGTTCCGACGCAACTGCTACTAAGCCTCACACCGCAGGCCACAAAGGAATACCCTTGACGAGGAAGGGAGTCACGATATTTCCGTAGAAAATTTACGATGGACTATTAGAGGGCAAAGTTATTTGAATTGCTGTGGTATCGTGCTAGATACATGGCATCAACGTGGATGCAAATCATAACCATCATTAGTGTCCCCCGTGGGAACGAGCAAGAAAAGCATCAAAACCATGGACTGGGAACCCAATCCGCATTTTGAAGACGAAGTACTAAATGAGCCTTGAGATCGCTCCATGCGCCAGATAAAAACCGAAGGAAAGAAAATGACCGAAGAAGAAATCTCAGCAGCGAGTCGACTTCGAGTCGACTTCCATATTTGACTGGAGATCGCTTACTCGATATTTTGCTGCTGGTTGGCAGCGTTGGCCATCTTGCGCAGCTCATACTCCTTGGTAAATTCGCGAGACAGGGTGCCCAAATCCTGGATCAAAGCTTTGGAGGCGGTGATCACAGCCTGGCGGGGTGTAATCTCACCATCAGTCTGGACGCGCAACAGGAAGTTGGGGGTCAAAGGGTGAGGAATCTAGTGATGCGAAGTCAGTTTTGATCCAGTGTACCAAATGTGGGGTTTTCTTACCTTGTAGGCGGCGAAGACAACGTGGGGGGTTTTCAGAAGACGAGTGCGAAGCATGTTACCAAGGGTATGGTCTTCCTTGTGGAAAGTAAAGATAGCGGCAGAGGGAAGTCCTGAGCTTCATCGTCAGTGAAACTGCCCATTCTCATAAGAGAAGGAAAACTCACGAGTGTCAATCTCGACATCAATCTTGTTCTCGCCAGGGCCGAGCAGAATGGCCTCGTAACTGTAATCAAGTCAGACATATTCGTTAAACAAGATGCAAAGCGATGCGCGAAAGAAACAAAAAGCATGAAGCAAATGCGTTGCAATGAGACTGACGGGTCCTGGCGATCCTCCACCTGAGGAGGGCCTACATGGCGCGGGGCAGGACGATCCCGACGTCCAGCACGATCCTTCGCTATGGCATCAGTTGCCAAAACGATCTTGGAGGGGTTGGGGCTCGACATCTGTGCAGATTCAGGCAGGCCACGAGAATACTCTGAGGCTGAAGATGGAGATGTGTTGGAGACAGGGCAGTGCAAAGAGCTTCGAGGTGCAGGCTGGAAAGAGCTTCCAGCTACAAGCCGAGGAAAGAGAGGATGATCGACCAGAATGCCCCGAGGAAGCTCATCCGACAGAACTGAAGGAAGAGTCCTTTCGACAGCAGGTCCAGACAGGTCCAGAGTGCTCTCAAGATTCTCCTTCTGGTGCTTGTTCAAATGCTCATCCATAATTCCAAGCGGAAGCTCGTCGAAAAGTGCTCGAGTAGATTTCTCGTCGAGAACAGGAAAAGGAGCCATGACAAATATTCCGATATTAGACGAAACGAATTCGGGAAGGTGCGAAGGTGTGAAGGTGCGAATGTCAGGTTTCCCGGGTGCTGGGAGAAAGACCTCGAAGATAATCCATTACAGAATCAAGGCTTCTCAACAATGAGGATATTTCTTTGGCTCTTCAAAAGCACCACTCGGGCTCATCCTGTGGTCCATCCCAGCCAAAAACTTGAAACAAGACTGCCATCTCCCCAGAGAGCCCGCAACCGGCCTACCCCATGCCGTTGACCCATTGCAATAACGATAATAAAACAAGCAACTGGAAATCCAAAAAAAAAAAAAAATTGTCACTTACCGATCTGGCGCGTTCATACTGACAGAGCGTTATGGCGCAACGATGGGCAATTATGGATGTCGAGGGTGTTTAGGCTTTCAAGTGCCTGTCGTGGATGACTCAAAGTCGATAGGCGGCTGGACGATCAATTTCCAATCGCTTGTGGAGAAATGCTGCCGCTGCGAGGGCGTATTGCGTCCGCGCACCTCGCTGTCCAAATATCAAAACGTCCAAACGTCCAAACGTCCAAACGTCGACCAAGTTCTGGTTCCTCGAAGGCAGGGGGGCCCAAACACGGACGCGGCGAAAGCGGCAGTGTCAAATATGAGCTTTCGCGAAGGGCTGGGTCCTGGGTGGTGCAGGATTCAAGTCGATGTGGTTGAGGGAAAGTGTCGAGATTCGACAGTCAACGATATGTTATCAGCACGTGACTATAGCTGCTCAGCCATACACGTGACTATCACGTGGCATTGTTTGATCTACTTTATGGACAAGAACTATGGGACGAAATACTAAATCCATGGTTGGGTTTGTGAATTTCTGTTTATCTTAGAATGTTTGATGTACGCCGTTACAAGACATAAGGCCTGCTCACAGGGTGGCCCTGCTTTGAGCATTATCCTCGGTGCTCCGCATCATGCAGCGCGGATATGCGGGATATTTGAATTCAAGAACTCCAATAAGTTACCTGGCCAGAATTTTTAAATTTGAGCTCCTGGGATATACCTTATCAAGCTTTGGAGTGTGGCAAAACAATCTCAAGGCTTTTCGAAAGAAAGCTGGGTATAGTGGACCATCAAATGAGGTTCGAAGTCGGGTCGCATCCCAATAGCGAGAATGTCCCCTGATACTTCACAACCAAATCATCAAATGATCCCACTGTCATGGATAAACTCATCTGATCCACCTTTGGCCAGTACTCCCACGCTCAACATTGCCACAGAACCAATGGCCATCTCTATCTCGGCAGCGGATGGTATTGCCTTTGTCGCAGGGGCGTCGACAAGAAACACAGCTGTGCGATGCATGTGGCCACGGTCTAGCGTAGTCCGTGTCACTTACTACTCTACTTTCCGGAGTTCACACTCATTTGGAGCTAGCGTTGCAATGGTGATAAGAGCGAGATTCTACGAGCATCAGATGGCGGCGTGAGTAAAATTTGTTCGACGGGTGGGGATAAAGGGTAGGCCGAATAAGCATTGTGGGCGAGGCGTTGTAAATGAAAGTTATGTCGATGCTATTAAGCGTAGCATGGATGAAGTAGATAGCAGATGGTTATAGAAAACTGGCGTAAAGAAAGGTAATGGCTAGTGGGCGAGTGACGACATATGTTGGACTGGGGTTGGACTTGTCAATGAAGTTTTGTCCGCGAGGCAGGTTTTGGAGGAGGTTTGGGCGAAGGCGAGCAGTAGGGAGTTGAGGCTTTGATGGTTTACGGGAATACGGACCAGTCAACTGACAAGGTTGGAAGCTTGTTTACGTGCAGTATGGATTATTCTGTAGCAAAACCAGCTTTTCCTTCCTGATAGACTTTCATCCCATCCAGACCAAAAGACCTCGCAAATAGGTTCCCGGAAAACCTCTTAAAGGCATTATCACCGTCCGAATGCTCCTCAGCCCACGCTCGATACGCACTCCAATAGACGATCGGGCTGCCACCGCACATTTCGCTCCAGCTCACGTTTTCAATGGACAAACTGATGTAATCCGAGTCGGCCTCCTCGGGATCTCTTCTTTCATAACCATAACCAGTCGATATGTGGCCGAAAGTATTGTACATGTCATCGTGAAACCAGACATCGCCTTCCTCATAAGAAGCAACGATAATAGCCTCACAGTCATCTCGATCATCAATCGGTTCGATCGCATCGGATAGAGTCTTGCGGTCAACGGCAAGAAAGTTGTTCGGGGGAGAGTATTTGGTAAACGCTCCGGATTCAAAGTATGTCAACAAGCCCTGTATATCTGGTGACGCTAGTCGATCTGATACGTCAACCCACATCCAGTTCTGTTCAGTAATGGTGAACATTTCCGATTGGATTTTGCGGAGCTCGGTCGGAGTCATTTGTTCCAAGATGAAGACGACATCAGTGTCCAGGCTACCAGCGATATCGTCCGGGTTGACAATTGGCTCCCCTCCGGAGACCTGTATTTCATACATGGCCGGATTGTACATGTATGGGCCACTGGGCAAGCGTGTCGGGATATGACTCTCTGGATTCCAGGCTGCATTCCAGGATTGCGCGACTTTATCAAAAGGCAGGGTATACAGCTCCAGTTTGCTGGCCTCGGGATCTGAAAAGTTTGGAACGCTGGACCCCTTCGCTGTGACGATATGGTAGCCTTCGGCGTCGTCATCGATGAAGAAGGCGAAGGCCTGGTAGTTACCTTCGCGGCAAATCTTCAGCGCTTGAAACATTCGGTAGTGCTGAGCACGGGAACATGGCTCTTGATTTTCTGGCCAATTGTGGATGATTGTGGGACAGTCGATCATCGACTCGATATTTTCTTGTACTGTCTTCGAGAGATGCACCAGAGAGATCAGAGTTGGGGTGAATGGCTGGAGACTCAACCCCAAGAGATGGGATGGAAGCACATTATTGTATGGCTACATATTTCCTTCAGCATATGATCGTACCGTAGAATATAATGTGAGATGCCTAGTTACCTGGACGGCTTTTTCTTCCTCCGGCTCTGGTAATATTCGAGTATACTCCGATGATAATCCGCCCTCGACAGCTATACCCAGAAGCATGTTAGCTCGCCCGATTGGTACGCGAGCAGCCTCGGGGACCGATTCCTTAGATGTCTTCCAGGCGATGATTGCCGAGTGATCCGCCCGGGACTGATCATCAATGAAGATGAGAGGATCCTCCTTCAACATATGGAAGATAACAGATGTCGGCGGCTTATAATCCATCAACCAAGGAATTTCCACTAGACGTCGCATCTCATTTCGGGGACTATTTGGCCATTCCTCATCAACGGAGCTTAGCTTGGTCATCATTGAAGTTCGCTCTATGTCTTCCAGAGGACAGATGAAAACCACAAGCCATGTTGGAGGTGTATTGGCCTTACACCGAGTGGAAGGATAGATACTGGGAAGCAGCCAGGGTGGAGGGTCTGCGACTGCCATGTTTGGTTGTTGATAAGAAACACCGGAAACGTAGAAATATTTCAGGGTTGAGGCTCTCCGGAGACCCACCGAAACACGTGGGGCCATGTTTTCTAGGCAACAAGTCGGAGGCAAATATTTGTTTTGTCTCCTCCAGTTGCCAACATGGTGTTACTAACGAGTCTAATCTAGTTAAATATTCAAGTCCAAGTCACCTCACCCTCATCAAACATGGCTTCCATACCTGTAACTCCTAATGACCTGTCTGACAATTCCATTCCAGTGGAATTCAAAGACAACATCGAGTCCGATTTCATGTTTCAGTATGAGCACGACTTGATTAACATTATGGACGTATTAAGGGACGAAACCGTCATCAAGGCTTATCCGGGCCCTCTTGTAATGTGTATTGTTAATGTGATGTTTGACAATAGAACAGTTGAGATGTTCAACCTCAAGTATGTTGAGCCCAGCCTCGTACATAACCTGGGCGACAAGTACATGTCTCCAAGATGGTGGCCTACCATGTGCATTATGAGACCTGGTGATCGCAAATTAAATAATTGTGGCCCTAGACTTATTGATCCATGGCTACGGACAGATGTATGCCAGCGTTGACCAGTATCGCCGGACACATGCACCGCGGAAGTTAGAATAGATGCCTCCTTCCAACGTTGAGATGGGCATATTATCGTTTCATTCGTTTTGACTGTGCTACTGTTGTCTTCTAATGGTTTCTTCTTTGGTCCTGTTTGTGCCCTGTTCTATTCCAAGGGTTGTGTTTTACCCTATTGGCTGCTATCCAATGTCTTTCTGTATTTCTTTTCATATAAATCTAAAGTGCTGGTCGAGGAAGGGTCTTCAATCTCTTAAATAACTTCGAAGGTCAGCGGGCTCTGTAATAAAGGAGATCATCTACGTAGAAAACTGTTACGACGCCTCCAAGGTATATAGGTCCAGGATCCGCAAGCTGACATCAACGTGCGAGTAATGATAGCCTTTTGGCTATGTTGGTCAGCGGATCTCGGGCACAAATTAACAACCCCCCTAAGAGGTCTCTTCTAAAGCAATTCCAGATTAAATACGAAGACAAATGAAGATATAAGGGCCCTCGCCCGAAATGAATTATGTGAGTCCCCGAAAATCTCGTTGAAGAACTCATCTCAGCCCTAAAGAGCAACGCATAAATGCATGCCATGAACAAATATTGAACCAAGATAAAAAATGAATATGAAATAAAGAAAAAAACGCCATGCCAGCCCTGCGCCAATGCCAAGAAATAAAAACAAGGACATATGTATTCATACTTTAGACGCACCATCTGTCCCTTCAAGATGGCCATGCAAGAGAAGAAAAAACCCGAGAACAAGAGGGCCAGGGCTTGAGCTTCGTGACAGGATCCAAGGAAGGGAAAAAAAAAAAAAAGAGTCGGACTCAAATCCGAGTTGGATGTATGTGCGTGATTTCATGTCATGGCGAGCGCAAAATTAAGAAAAATATGGGTTCTATACAGCGACGCCGGTGATTCGTCTCGTCTGGTGCATGCTTTTTGAGGGATGATGGAATAAGATGCAGGAGTTGGTTTAGTGCACGGCACTCAGCAGGTCTCCGAGCGAGGAATTTCCTCGCTTCATTTTCCAGCTGCTCTTCTTCTTGTCGCGTTTCTTCATCATCTCGGCCCAGGCTTCGTCGTCATCGTCGTCATCGGTGTTTTGGACCTTGCGGCCGCCCGGGGAGACGGGGTGGACCGTAACGGTGGCGAGGGACGATGACTTTGGTAGATGAGGCTGCGATTGAGATGTCTGCAGTCCGGCGCGCTGATTTTCATCTGCATAGGTGTTCAGGTGCGATGGAGCATTTGCGCCCTCGCCCGGCATGACCGACACGGGACGATAACGAGAGGCTAGGCCGGCATTACTACGCTCTGAGGGAGCGATTGATGAGGCGTAGCCCGGGTTCGGAGGTTGGAATGGTGGTCCAGATAGATTGGGCATTGGCGAGCCAGTGCGACGCACGGCGACGTTCGTGTCAAGCATGCTGAGGGCGCGATGGTCGAAATTGGGATTGGCACCAGGGGCCGGACCAGGCATGGAGACTGGCCTGCCTCCCATAATTGAAGGGGTGCCTCCCATCGACGGTGGGCCTGCCATTGGGAAGCCAGACATGGAGGGAGGGCGAGGGCCCATCGGAGGTCCAGCCATAGGCATACCACCCATGCCAGGAGGAGCAAGCATGCCATTTACCGTCATCGGAGGCGGGGTTCCCGGCACACCCTGCATTTGCATTTGCATCTGCATCCATTGCATCTGCATTTGCATCATATCTGCCATTTGACGGGACAGCTGCAGCTGAGCCTGCTCGTTAGGATTCATTGGCTGCGGACCCATCATCGAGAACGGCCGAGGCACCTCGCCCATATTATATATCGCCTGGGTATTCGGGCTTCCGCGTCGCATTGCGCGTGCCCGCTCTTCGTTGGCAATTACATTAACCAGGCCACCCGGATGAGGGCCTGGTGACGAGGCGCCTCCGTACACCGAGCCCGATCCTCCACCCATAGCGAGAGACTCGCGGTTTGGCCCAGCGACCAGGCCAGCGCCATAATAAGGATCCCGAGGAAGAGCTCGGGCGAAAACAGGTAGTCCACCCCGGCCGCCTTGTTCGGCACCAACAACTGAGCTCGAAGAAGACGCATACGGGGGTTGCATAGACGCACGAAGGTTCGGGTTGGAGCTGACATTGATCAAGCGAGATGGTGGACGATTGCGGTTCGGGAATCCGTGAGCCGCAAGAATACCCAACGGGACCTCATCGTCATCCTCCTCATTGCTCTTACCGCTAGAGGTATTGCCGATAGAACCGGAAAGTCGATTCAAATTAGGGACGCTGCTGCTCCCTCCACTCATAACGGGACGAAGGAATGGCGATCCTGCTTGTTGTCCAGTCACTTTCATCATCTGCTGGCGATAGATCGACATGTGAGCCTCCTGCTTGCGCCGCTGTCGTTCCGCCTCGCGCTGCTTCTCGATCTCGTCTTCTTCATCAAATTCGTTTGCTTCCGCTTCCTCTTCGTCTTCACTCTTGGAAGCACTGCTATTGGCTCTCCGCAGTTCCTGTTGCTGCCGATAATGCTCAAATTGAGAGGGTGTCATAACCTTATTGCCCGGGGAGTTCGTCTTGGGCATTTTCTCGGCGTATTGAACCGCGAGTCGCGCGTGGGCCGCAATGGTCGGATCAGGCTCGTGTCGTTCCGCGAACATCGATTCAGGCTCTGGGTTCACATAATCCGGGCTGACAGTTTTGCTTTTATAGTAGAGGGGCGTGTTGTCGTTCAGTGGCGGAGAGCTCTCTTTGCTCCACAGCAGGGATTGCCTGACCATTTTTGCATCCTCATCATCAATCGGACTACCGGCTTGTCTACCCGAGTAAATTCCACTCCGGCGTAGACTATTGTAATCCGATCGTGGTCGCTCGAGAGATCGATGGTTAGTTGTAGCACCCAGCGCCTGGGACGAACCTGGCGATGCCCGGCGGAATCCTGCATCCGGGTTGTGGGCGGGAGAAGAATTGTCAATCACCAAGTCGCCCATTCGTGCGACGTCTGGATCATTGAGCAAATTATCATCGGAATGACGAGAACGATGGCTGTCCCATGAATAAGGAGAGGGTTCAACGGCCGAGGATCGATCAATGTTCAGAGGCGCAGGCCGTTGTACCCTTCCACTTCCACCGGCCTGGAACTCAGGCAGAGCCTGTGTGGGAGGAGACGAAGAATACTGTACCATTATTAGCATTGGGCCCACTTGTGTCCTCATCAATGGGAGCTTCGTACCTGCTTCGACCGCCGAGGGGATGGGTCCCGCAACATGGCGCTGTCCCGCTTGCCTAGATGATCAAACATCTTTCCAAAATCATCAGTGCTTCCGCCTCCAAGATCCGCCCCGAGATTGAATTGCCCATCCGCCAATTTCGGCGGGGTAGCCGTGCTATCAGTACTGGCAGTTTGGACCCGTCTCGTCGATGCATCAGGTGTATCAATTCTGGGCAGAGGCGCAGGTGTCGATGATTTGCCGAATCGGCCACCAAAAGAGAATGTTCTGCCTGCAGCAGCGCGCAAGCCTGCCGCAAGTGGAGGCGGAACGGGGATATCGTTCATTCTCGAATGCGGGGATGTGGCCTCATCGGGTGGTGGAACCTCCGTGGAGGATGGCAAGGTCGATGAGGAACTGAGTCGGGTCGAAGTCGAGCTCTCGTATGTTGGGCCACTATAATTGCGACGGGTTAGTCGCTTTCTGAGAGATTCCTTGGGTCTGTCGGGGTCATACCGCTTCCTCAGGGGTTGCTCGGTTCCGGCGAAAATGTTGTCGGGATCCTCCAATGTCGACGGCACGGCATTGCCCTCGCTCATGCGCTTGCTTAAAGGCGCACCTTCTGTCATTGATCTGTGAGGGCCTGGTCGCTCGAAGACACGGAAGGAGGACTGCTGTTGTGCGTCCACCTCTTCCAGAATATTGCCAGACGACTTCCGGCGACCACCAAATGTCTTGGGCAGCTTAATAGGCATGGTTATGGATGCTGTGAGCGCAACAAATAGATGATTGAGCGCCTTCTTTACTCGATCGCTGCTCCCATTAAGGTAAAACTGTTCCTGGGGGAAAATGAACCCTTGGATGGACGTGTCAGATGCAGGTGGAGAGGAGTGGAACGGTGAGTGGGTAAGCGGTCTGACAGATCGGCGGTTGCAAGGGGAGACGGGTATTTGCAAGGAACAAAGAAGCTCAGGGGAAAGGGAGTTTTAGGCTTTGGGGCGAAGCGAGTCAGTAAAGAAGCTTCTGGTACGGAGATAGTGGCCTGCAACACACTTTGCTCTAGCGGCTGATCAGGCCCGTCCGGAATCCACCTTGTGGGTTGCGATCTGGTCGCGTACACAACAAACAGATTTAAACCCTGGTCCCTGGTTTCTGGTCCGGAGTTGAAAATGGGGGATACGGTGGGTTGACTGGGTTGACAGCTTCCAGCACTTTGGGCGAGGGTAGAAAATCAGATGACCCCCTCAAAAAGAAAAATCAACACCACGCGGGTGAGACCGAAAATGGTGACAGTTTCACTTTGGACTCCGCTGAGATTCACGTAGAGCAACGAGTGAGCGAGTCAGATCCGAATGGGGGGATCTGAGTGGGGAGTGGAGCAGGATCCGGGTAGGACCCTTCTCGGTTCGTAGGAATGAGGCGAATGAGGTACGGAACAGGAAACCAAGAATGAAGAATGAGGTCGAGGGAGAATGCGAAGAGAAAGAATGAGAGGCGAAAAAAAAATAGGGACGCCGAACGCCAACGGGAGTCTAGTCCCTGCATTATTGTTTTCGGACCGAATAGGATCAGGTGGTGGTTATAACTAGTGTAGTAACTAACTACAATGACTGCACCACTGTACTATTGTCGGAGGCCAATTATACCGATGGATCTTAGTGCGTGAAAACATCGATCCAGGCCGAACCGCGCCATGTGAAACCTTTTACTATACATAGCTGGCCTTTTGGAGCTAAAAATAAACAGTGGATTACTCATCCGTGTCCGAATCCAGTGCCATCTAAACAAAGATCATCGGGCCTTAAGCTTGCAGAATACATATGTAGGGTGAATCATAGCCCCCTACAAGGATTGAATCCCAGGCTGGACCGACTCGACCCTGCCGACCGCGCAACATCGTTCTACAAATCACGTGATTATGTCCAAATTTGGGTGAGCATCGCTTGTTGTAGCCAGTTGTACGACCTCCATTACACTCCTCGCTCACACACAGGACTCGACCTCGCTCATGAACGCGACATGGAACTCGGCGAAACGGAGAGCGGAATTCGCCCGGTGAAGCTTGTCAATCATGTTATTCCATTTTCGCAACTTCGACCTTTATATCCCAAAGGACACAAAACCTAGAAAACATCATTACACTATCTTACAAACTCGAGAAAACAGAATGCAAGATCCAATCCTCCGCCGTCTGGCTTTTCTAAACACCGGAAATGAGAGAAGAGAGAAATTATTTGGCGAAGTGGAGATCGTAGTTCAACCACTTGCGGGCATTGACGCCATCCACGTCCAGACCGGGAAGGCCGTAAGTCAAGGGCGCATAGAAGCAGAAGCCCCAGATAGTGGCGCCCAGAATGACAGTGGTAGCAGCCCATCCGGCGATGAGCGATCGGGCGCCCATGCGCTCCTTGGCCGTGACGAAGCGACCGAGACTGCGACTCACCTTACCCTTGGCTTTGCCCGACGGGTCATCGATAGGGGCCTTGCCAGAGTCGGGGTCAAGGGGCTGCAAGTTAAAGATGAACTCGATCAGTGCACCAGTCACCATGGTAGACGCCAGGTGGGAGGGCAGGTAGTGGTGCAGGAAGCGCTGACGGCCCATCAGCCAGAAGGGGAAGTAGTGGGCGGCCCAGCACAGGAACAGGAATCCAGTGCTGTTGTACAGACGCGAGCGGGTCCCGGGGCCCCAGACTAATAAATGGGTTAGTAATCGAAATTAAAGCGAAATTAGAGATGTAAGCACTTACTTTCTTCCAAGGCATCAACACCACGGCGAAGGGAGAGCTGGTCAGCTCCCACGATGCCGGCAAACACAGCCAAAAGACTGCTAGCAATCCACCATCCAATGGGGTTACCCAGGAAGTAGATCTGTCCACGAGTCTCGTTCTTGGTCCAGAAGCTCACACCGCGCAGCAGGAAGGGCCACTGGAAGGGCTCAGTAGCGTAAGGGTGGCTGCTGGTAAGAGCGTTGTTGTGGTGGAACATAGCGCCTTGAAGCTCAAAGTACTTGCGGAGGAAAGACATCGTCTTGGGCTTGCGCTCCTGACGAATAAGACGGGGGCTATCCTCCTCCAGGCCATCAATAGTCTCGGCGAACCATGTGTTGCTGGACTGCAGGATGTTCTTGTTACCGTTAATCTCGGCCTGCTTGAAGCCCCATTCAGGGAGCGGGGTGGTGTGAGTCCACATAGCCACACGGGTGGGCACGTGAACGAGCTTGAACAAGCTAGCAAAAGTGCGGAACTCCTGGGCGGGTTTGCCATTCTCGATCTTAAGCTCGAAGAGAGTGTCGTTGTGACGCTCTCCGTCGGCCAGTTCCTTGGAAACAGTGGTAAACTCCTGGTTGGTGGGGAAGAAGGGAGAGGCGACATCGTGAGTCAGGAGGAACGATTCAGTGCCGACGTGGCGGAGCTGGATGACATCTCCGTTCAAAACACTGGCGGCCTGGCCCTCGGGGAGTGCCTTGGTGGGTAGAATTTGCCAGAAGTTGTTGGTGTCATTGTGGGGGTATCCAGTAACCTGCTGGCCCTGGCTGGAGATACGGCCATCGTCGTAGCGAAGAGGGTAGGTCTCCCAGTGGCTGTGAAGAAAGACCTTGGTGTCCTTGTGACGCATGCTAATGCTGTCAAAATACTGAACACCGACAGACTGGGCGGTCATCGCGTTGTCGTTCAATGTCTCCTGGAACTCGGGAGACATGAACTCATCACCGGGTCCGGAGCGGGTGAGGACGGCAAAGTGAACCTGGAACCAGAAAAGGTAGAAAAAAAGGGAATGACGATGAGCGCAACGCCACGAGCAACGAAGTGCTTGATCCAAGTGACCATATCGAGAGCACCCTGGCGGCGGTTGATATCCAAAAGGTTCCACAGATCGATCATGACGGCGGCACCAACGGTAACGAAGGTGAAGAAGCCGACATACTTGGTGGAGATGACGCAGCTCATGCAGAATCCGGTCAAAAGCAACCACTTCCACCACTTACGTCCGAAGGGCTCGTGTCGCAACTTGTAAAACTTGACATAACACAGCACACTCAGAGCCATAGACAAAACCAGGGTGGAGTCTAGGAGGATCAGACGATCCTCGCCAACGTGAGCGTTGTCAAAGACCATGAGACCAGCAGACAGCACACAGGCCGGGAGCGAGTAGCCCGACTCCCACATAGTCATGAACACAACGGGAATAGTCATAGCACCAAGAGTGGCAGGCATAGCGCGAAGAGCCAAGTAAGGCACCTTGTTGTCTATGTACGAGTCACCAATGTTCTCGAAGAAGAAGTGTCCATCGTAACCAATCAACCAGCCCATAAAGGCGAAAAGCAGTTTTCCGAACGGGGGGTGAACGTCGAAGAAGTACATGCGCTGAAGATAGTACGAGGCGAACTACCAAGATCCAACAAGTTAGTCGAGAGGTTCCCCTTTCTCGATGCCGAGGGCGCCGCGAAGCTACTGGAGTGCCTACCTTTCCAAAGTGGACCTCGTCAAAGACGACCTCGTTGGGGTAATCAATGCGGTAGAAACGAGTTGCAAAAGCCAACACAGTCAGAACGGCCATGGCCAGCCAATAATCCCATTCAGACTGGGGCTTGCCGGCATTTTCAGCGCGCGACACTGGAATCATCGAGCCATCATCCGAGGGAAGAGCCGTATACGCCTCCTTCTTTCCACCCCTCTTGCGCAGAGAGGACGAAGGGGACGACATGTTGAGAAATTAAGAAACGAAAGGGAGTGACCGTGAAACCACCTAAAGTAAATAGACTTCCCAAGGCGTCAAGTGTCAGTAGCCGGGATCAAAAAAGCGAATGTAACAGTGAGTTCAGATCAGATTGGACTTACCAGTATCACCAAAAGTACATGGCACCCAAGCAAAGAGGCCAAGAGAGCTGAAGGAAGAAGGGTTCGGAGGGGGCGGATTGTTGGTTGCGTGTCTTCTTGTCCGAAACAAGGCGGTGGGCGGCACCTCTATACCAGCCCTACCAGCAGTGGATGCCTGAGTTTCCAGGTCCAGAAACCGTAGGACTGACCGTCCCAAGCTCCTGCCCAAGATCCGCACTTTCCTAAACTCCCCTCTTTACTCCTCTTCCTATAATCCAGTCTTACTCTCACAGACTCCCAAATGACATTAACCAACTTCCCTCACGACCGCAATAGCGAGTCTGGCAACCAGCCTGCCCCTACCAGCAGCGAGTCTATCCGAGTCTGGCTACAAGGCATCGACTACAATCCAGGGTCCCAGAGAATAGCAAACCCCCTCCCAAGCCAGACTCCAGAATCTTCAAAATTCCCAGCGGCAGATCTTTTAGAGCGATTCAAAGCCTCATCTACAAGTATAGGGTAAAATAATATTACATCCGGTCCTCCCAGCACCTCGGCCAAATCTAATCAATCAACAAACGCTACGCGAAACAATCTTACTTTACGGAGAATAATCGGCGAGAACGGACCGACGGTAGACATTAGCGGGATATCCTTACCCTCCGATATACGCGACATCGTCGATACCCATATTCTTCACTTAATTCTCATATCTCCCACGAAGGCAGAGCAGGTGTCATCAGAAGCAAGATTCCGCGAAGCGTGGAATAGGAAAGAAATCTCCGCTATGGCGCAGATCATCCAGCCCCCTTTCTTCCCGGTTTACGATCCAATACTTATATCCGGCTAGGATACTCATTGGTCGACACAGCCAATACTATCATTAATCTTCTACATGCTGACTTCATTAATGCCTACTCCTCTTTTCCTATACTACAAATATGCACCCCAACTACATTATGTAGTCATACACGTGACCAGTGCGGTATTGGATCACAGGCTTTGTGCTTCGTGCTTCGTGCTTCGTGCTTTGTTTGTTAGTAAATGAGCAAAGTGGCAGTAATAAGAAACTGATAATATCTCCCTGCAGACTATTCAAGTGGCATTAAGACTTCATAGCAAATGGAGAGTGATCGAGGGTAAATTAAGGAGTGAAACAGCTTCAAGTACAATCAGATTGATCGACCGATACGAGTACAGACGATCCTGCCCCGACTGATGCAAACTGATTATGTGGAACATTCGATTTGGCCTATGAGTACCAAACGATGGTCTCCGAGCTTGGAGGCCCATCTGATATGATATTCAAGGGTTTTTACTCAAGTTACCTATAACGTTCATATACAACCAAGAAACAAGTATAGTTACATAGTTTGTTCCCTATAAAGCGGTGGTTCTGGGAGCTAGCCAAAAGCACCGGAACTGAATACCCGTTTGTAGGGGCTCTAGGGCAGGGTCTCAGGGTCCTCATCTGGTCCAGTAGGCTAGCAAGCGGGGCGGGCATGTATAGTAGAATGCCTAATTTCAGTAGACTTTGTTCCCATCCCACTTCAACCCACCACAACTCTCTCTCTCTCTCTCTCTCTCTCTCTCTCTATTGTGGCAAGGTGGCTAGTTGCCGATAAAGTTAAGATTTGCCCCTGACTGCCATAAGCAGCCTTCACTCCGCCAACTCTGTCTTCCGGTGCTGCCAGGGCAAGAATCCCGGTCAATTTCACCGCCATAAACCGTAGATAAAGAGAATCAAAGCCAGCATGGAAATGTCTACTTTGGGAATGATTAATTATTGACTACGTAGTTGAGTTGCACAGGGTCTCCCGGTTGATCGTGGAAAGGCCCCCACGGACAGTTGTGGGATTCTCCAATCAGCGTACCGGTCTTCAGCGCCGCATTGAGCCAAATCGGGTATGGCGCGGTCACAGCCATGAACTCCATTATGTATGTGTTCGTATTCGATGAGCTGGGCCTTCTTTTCTGGGGAATATTCACCGCAATGATGTTATGAGGTCAGCCTTGCTGCACTCGCTAAGCCACGGGCGTCATCTGCGAATTACCTTTAACTTTTCAGTATATAAGACCCGTTCTATCCCAATGTGAATTCTATATAGTCAAATCACCATTGAAGACACCACTGAGCGCTTTCAATATGCATATCCAGCAGTATTTCGTACTCCTTCTATCACTTTATGCTACGGCATCTCTCGCCGATTACCTTGGACCAACTTACCCAGCCCCGATCGACCTTACAAGTCCACACAGTCTAGTCCCAGTTGCATGGAAGAATCTCACGAACACATTCGACTCCTATCTGAAGCACCACTTGAAGAACCAAGACACCATCGCCCTTGAAGGTGTCGAGAATATCACATTCTCTGCCGGACTATTCTCCATCCACGACCCAAGGGCCAAAAAACTACAGTACCATTATACCAGTCAGGAGATTCTCAACGCCACGAATGGCACACACAATGTCGACGGCGACAGCATTTATCGCATTGCCAGTGCTACCAAGCTATTTACAGTCTACGCCGGCATGCTAGCCCTGACTGAAGAAGAATGGAACCGCCCTCTCACAGAGATCAACAAAGCTTTCGCCGCGGTCGCCGAGCAAGGCGACAAAGACCCTATTTGGCATGTCCAATGGGATAAGATCACACCATGGGCTCTAGCGTCTCAGAGCTCTGGTATCCCACGTGAAGGATGGCCTTTTGCAGACAGTCTCTGGGCTTACCTTTCTAATGTCAAATACGGTTTGCCTTCAACAAACCCCGTTACAGAATGGGGCATGCCGCCAGTCAATGCATCCAACCTGGGAGCCTGCTGGAACACAGATGGAATTTGTTACGGACAAGATGCCATCAAGAGTGTCCGCTCTCAACCACCCGTCTTCCTCCCTTGGTCTACTCCAATGTACGCGAACGACAACTTCATGATGCTCGGCCTCATGATGTCCAACATCACCGGCCACACCATCGAAGACATCTACCAAACGACGTTGTTTGAGCCCTTGGGCTTGAAGTCAACTTTCGCATCAGTCCCAACAAGCCGAAATGACCTCACCCGCTCCGTTATAGTCGGCGCTCCAGAATCCGGCTTCGCCATCCTCCCTGCCCTCAGCATCCCATCTGGCGGCATCTTCTCCTCTATCAACGACCTAGCCAAATTCGGCATCTCAATCTTGAACAACACCCTCCTTTCAGACAACACAACCCGTAAATGGATGAAACCATCCATCCACACCGCAAGCCTAACCTACTCCATGGGCGCACCCTGGGAAATCATCCGCTACATCCACCCTTCCACCGGCAAAATAACAGATCTATACACAAAACTAGGCGATTCAGGCTACTACGGCTCAAACATTGTCCTCATCCCAGAATACGGAGCCGGATTCAGCATTATCAATGCTGGAACAACCTCTTCACGAGGCGATCTCTCAAATATCGTCCTAGACTACATCACAACAACCATCCTCCCAATCTTCGAAGCCCAAGCTGCCCTCGAAGCAACCAAGAACTACATCGGAACCTACGTCTCCTCCGATCCCAACCTCAACTCCTCTCTCACAATCGCATTCAACAAATCACGAACTACACCACATTCCGGCCTAACCATCACTCAATGGATCTCGAATGGCACAGACGTTCTGAACACTAAGCTCTTCGCTGGTCTTAAGCCTCGTCTCCTCCCAAGTATCTCCAAACAAACACCCGACGGCGCAAAAGGCCAAGTCGCTTTCCAGGCTTCGTTGGTAAATCAGCTGTATGGGTATTTTGCACCTGGAGCAGCGAAGATGGGAGTGATTGGGCCGTTTACGGGTCAATATGCCACTAATTATGATTGGCTGATCACGGATGCTACGCACTATGCTGGGAAGGGGACGAATTTGTTTGTATTTGATGTCGATGCGAAGGGGCGGGCCGGCGCTGTTTGGCCGGCGGCTGCTAGGGTTAGGTTGGTGAGGAGGTAGATGTGAAAGGGGAATGACGATTTGCAGATGGCTTTGGAGAATATATGGGGAGTTTTAATTTATGGTGTGGTGTATACATCGTTTCTCATTCTTTTGCACACAACCGTGCCTCGCCTACTATCAGAGTTGAGCCGTACAGTCGCGGGATTAACAAGTCTCCACAGCTTGAAAGGTTCTGACATTACAGAAAATAAAGTAAATACAGAGAATGAAACATCAAACCAAAAGAAAGTAAATTGCAAATGCCCCCAAACAACCCGGAATGCATCCATCATCTATGGTAAATGACAAGTATGGTAAAGACTTGCAAATGTACAGCCGTCCAGCAAATCATGAAAAGCTCGTGGGTATCATGGCTCAATCATCGTCCGTCAAATTCAATAACTCCAACTCCGTCTGCACCATCGACTGGAACTCTGTCCTCGACATTCCCGTCGCCTTGGCCAACCGGAACAAGCTCTTGATGCTCGTGCCAATGTGCTGCTTCACGCCCACCTCGTAAGAGGACTGGCTCTCAGCTTCCTGCTCCAGTTTGGAGACGTGCTCGGAGCTGTTGGAGGATGCAGATTCTGGTCGTGGGTGGCTAAGGCGTCGGCCTGCTTCGTGATGGGGGACGTCTTCTGCGGCATAGCCGTTTGTGCGGGCAGATTCTGTGTCCATGCCGTCGAATTGGCGGCGCAGAAGATTGGCGAGCATGTCGCCGTTCAAGGATGAGGGTCCGACTTCGGTTTGCTCTTCCGAGGGGTCGTGGTTATCCAAGGCGGGCTGGACATCACCGTATTGGGAGTAGTACGATGCCTCGGACTGGCCAGGGCCGAGGTTCGAAGGACCACGCGGTGCCGGGGTCTTGACGCCTGGTGTCCGACTGGGAGTGGCATCGTACTGCGCCCAATAGTCATCGTCGTCATCTTCCTCTTGGGCTTGTTCCACATTGGTCGACTGCTCTTGACGGCCAGTGCCCATGGCGTCCGAAAACAGCTTTTGCTTTGCATGTTCATTCGCCTCGCTGATAGAAGAGGCCCAAGTGTGTTCATCATCAGCGGGAGCTTCGCGCGGAAGTATTTCTCCGACTTTCCAGCCACGACCCTGGTCGTCTGTCGGGCACCACAAGTAGGTCACCGCCAGGTCGTACTCAGACAATACAACCATCGCTCGAAGAGTCTCTTCATCGGTACGCTTGTATGTCACCGGGAGGTCTTCGTTGAGCTCGATTTCACCGGACACCGGGTGCGGTTCGAAAGTGGCGCCGTCGACGATGCTCTGGAGGCGCTGTGCTTTAGCGGCATCCCAGCACAACAGGTGTAGCCATGAGTCGGAGGGAGAAGTGGACACATCGGTGAGAATCTGAACACGTTGGCGCAGAATAGGAGAGAGGATCGGGAGGAGTGCCGGAGGAGGACGTGGCGACACAAAGGCTGTGGGGAGGCAAGCGAGAAGAGGCGGGAGCAATGTGCGCGGATCAGGGGGAGGGATGAGTTCGACCATTGTCAGGAAGTAGAGCTCTCAGTAATAAATAAGGAGAGAAGTGAAGGAGAGGAGAGGGGAGAAGCTGGGGAAGACTAGAGCTCAAGACACCGCAAAGTCTCCATTCGACCGAACGTGGGGCAGCAAATAGTCGAATTAAGCGGCCCGAAAGCTTACTGTGCCTGCAGGTCCTCTTTAAGCGCCAATCATATAGTAAATCGAACTTGGCTTGTGCTTTAACGGGTGTTTTTCATTTCCGTTTCGAGTATTTTGTTGTTTAAGCGATCGTTGTACCACCTATGTGTACAGCCGTACCTGGTACCTGGTACCTGGTACCCTGTCGTAATGCAACGCCGTGAGTCAGCGCACCAGGCGATGGAGAATAGAGACGATTCCGATTACTTCACACTATACTCCGAGAATTATACTAGCTGAACTCTCCTTATCAGACGCTAACGACGTTCGGTGTGTTTCCGACGCATTCCTCACATGCGAGAAAAAAAGAAAAAGAAAAGAAAGCGCCGGACTCCCCGTACCCCTCGTGTAACCCGCCCAGCCCAATTCCTCATCATGGCCGACCCAGAAAAGACTGAAGGCAACGCGATCACTGACATAGCCCTTCTCGACGATGGGGTTCATGGGGTTGACGGGGACGAATGGGCCGCCCTAGAAAAAAGGGTCCGATGGAAAGTAGACCTACGCCTCTGTTCCATCGCCGGTCTGCTATGCAGTCTGAACCTGCTAGACTCGGGAATCCTCTCCTCGGCGGCGGTCACCAGCATGCTAAATGACCTTCAGCTGGACCAGGGATCGCGCTACTCGGTCTCCATTTTCATCTTTACGATTGCCAGTGTGGTTTTCCAGCTGCCATGCACAGTGGCTGTGCGTTTCGTCGGTCCTAGGATCTGGTTCGCGACCATTACATTCGTCTTCGGCCTACTGACGCTGTGTACTGCTTTTATTCACACCTGGCGCCAGATGATCGCCCTGCGTGTGCTTCTGGGTATTGCCATGTCGGGAATCTATCCTGGTTTGACGTACTTGATCAGCGCTTGGTATCCTCGTCGCGAACAGCAGCTCCGATTCGCTTTTCTGCAGACTGGGGAGGTCCTCGGGCTTGCTACTGGTAATCTAGTTAACTTCGGTCTCAATCATTTAGATGGAACTGCTACTATGGCGGGCTGGCGTTGGATGTACCTGGTCCAGGGGCTGGTGTCCTGTGTACTGGGGTTTGTGACTTATTGGTGGATGGTGGACTTTCCGGAGCACTCTCATCGCAGCTTTTATTTCCTATCGGAACGAGAAGCACGCGTGGCGTCTCGTCGTATTCAGGATGATAGAGCAGATCTGATCCCTGAGAAGTTCTCGTGGGGTGTACTACTCTCCAACTTTATGGATCTTAAGATCTACGGGTTTGCGTGCATGTTCTTCTTGTTGAATCTGGTCTCAACGTCAATGTCCTATTTTCTACCTATCATCCTGGAAACAGGAATGGGCTTCAGTTCCAACGAGTCCATTCTTCTCTCAACTCCGGTAAGTTTACTTCACTGCCGTCAATCTCCTCAACTCACCTTCTCTTCGGCAGCCCTATTACTACGCAGCTGTTCCAGTCCTTCTCACCTCTCTAGTGGGAGATAAATATCGGACCCGCGGCCCTATAATCACCTTCAATGCACTGATGCTGATAGCAGGGTTCCTCATGTTCGGCCTCCCAGCATCTACGCAGGTGACGGTGCGCTACATCGGGGTTTTCCTGGCTACCGGGGCTTACGTCTCCAACTGGGCTGCTCTCAATGCGTTTCAGGCTAACAACGTTGTCGGCCAATGGAAGCGAGCTGCCACAGCAGCCGCCGTCACTGCATGCAATGGGCTTGGTGGAGTAGCCGGTAGCTATATTGTGCGTTCGCAAGAGGCTCCACATTATCAGACGGCTGTCTGGGTGTCGATTGGGTGAGGCTTCGAGAGGTCTACTTGGTTGGAATGACGAGCTGATGTGCTGCAGATCCCATGCTCTTCTCATTGCGTTTGTGACTGCATTCACGATGTACTTCTTTATCGTAAACCGACAACAAGCCCGGGGACTGAAAGTCATCGAGGGCGTGGTATGTTCTAACCTCATTCCGAATGTTTCAGGGATGAATTCCCGCTAACGATTGGTGAACAGCCCGGCTTCAGATATACCTATTAACGAACTTACGGCCCTACCTTAGATAATATACCCCGGTTCTCATGGATCCTAATAATTGCAACGGGAAACGAAAATGAAGACCCCATGATTCAACAGAAATTCCCACTCTTAAAAAACACTCTACTCTCGGTCTACGCATTGAAAGCATTCTCAAAAATCTATTTCTATAAGCTTTTAATCTATAATTTTTTGAATCTTGAAGTTCTAATCCTTCGAATCATTATCCATAATAATCCTCTCACACGTCGAAGTTGTATCAGTATCATCAGAAACCCACCAAAGCTGGTCCTCCAAATCCGCCAACGAACCCGAACTCCCCAAACGGCCATCCCTTCGTACTCGTACACTAGAATCACCACAAGGACTATTTTCAGGCATGTGAGAAGTCATATACCACTGTCGATGCTGACGGGCCTGTCGGTAACAGGTCAACTTGCCGATGAGACGTCGAGGAACCATGCGTGTCAAGAGCGGCCAGATACTGACGAGACAGGGAGTGATGATTAATATTGCACCTTCGATGACGGTGAGGATGCTGATTTTCAAGGAGAACCCTGTTCCTATTAGATCTTTCTCCCTTCTTGCGGGCGAGGTTCAGGACTTACATGTCACGTCGTGGAGTTGGGATTTCGAATATGCAAAGTAGAGGAATACTCGCCAGATGCTCACAACAGTTCCCCTACAAAAGTTAATCTTCATCTTATACTCCAGATATGGAAGGATGATAACTTACAGTCCACCAATTAAGAAGACAGCAGTCAATGCCAACTTCTGCCCCCGGGGCGCATGAAGTCTCCAAACAAGCGGCATTGGCATAGTGAGTATCAAAACACCCGTTAGGACATTGATTGGTGAGATGACGCGGTAGACGAACATTTGATCGATGCACGATCCGTGTCCATTGGTCTTGTGCCAGCCAAAGCCAACGGGTGAGCACTGGAAGATTGTCTGAAAGAACATTGCGATGCCTAGGCCCATTACTAGGAAGCCAACTCCATAGGCGAAGAATTTGAATTTGCGCGTGTAGAAGATGCGCACATAGAAGAGGAGTAGAGAGATTTTAGCCGGGGTTATTGTGAGGGGGAAGTCGAAAAGTTCGACGGCCCAGTAGCCCTGTGGTTGTTAGATGGTGTTCTGGATGTAATTCAGATGGGAGGATACCTTTTTGATAAAGATGAAGCTTTCGGATGGAGGCTTCATGTCGGCGATGTGACGACCTAGTCCAGCTGAATACACCACTGATCTAATGTTAGCTCTGCTCGATGCTCGATCAAGTCCGCGAGGAGATTGCTGTGAGGGGGTACTTACTTGCGATATAAATGCCAGCCTTTGCAAGACTCCCGAACTGTAATTGGAAGATTAGCGAGATCGCGCATACATGGCCCAGTTTACATACCAGAGCAATAAGCATAATCCAAGCATCCCACCCATACTTTTCCCGTTGCAAGCGCCTAGTGTAGAACATCAAAGCAACAAATATGATCTGCAGTACCGACAACGCAATACTGACGCTCACCAAAATGAGGCCATACTCCGGCGAATCGGGAGCCATGAGTTCGCGCAGATATTCATCGACCCAGTTCCATCGGGGACGGACGGTAGCATGAAGATCTGCAGATCAGACAGCAGACGATCCCATATTTCAACATCCACTCCATCCATCAAGCTACTCCGAATTTCAAAAGTCTATTAATTGCCTTTTCTACAACTCCCAATACGTACGCGAACCCGATCGACCCTCCGGAGTTTTTCCGCCAGCAGGGTGGTCCCCGGCCTGGTATCCATGGCTGCGTACTTCGAATGCGTACATGGTGGACTCGGATCAAGGGAAATGATGCGCTTCCACGGGTCCACGCACTGAGAAGATATGGATGGTAGACCTGAATATCTTCATCCGTGGGATACGATTGGGGCGCAATTGGATAAAGTTGAATTCGATCCATTCGACAGGTTGTTTCTGTCGAGAGAAGCATCGCCTGCCCTAGTTTTGCACAAGACTGACATCATGACCGCATTGGGAAATCCTCCGACAGCGTGGGCTTCTAGAATCTTTCCAATTCTCCAATTTCGACCCGTTCTTTGATCAAAGTATATTCGTTGGATCGGCCATTCATACGGTTCTATGCATATATTCTCCCCGACGTTCCGCCGGTTTGAAGCTTCGACCGTTGAAACTTGGTCAGATTGAGACGAGGCGGCGGCTTGACTTGGTGGTTGGGATTCCTGCACTTCCGCATGTAGTCTTCCCCGCACCGTCTTTCGGGTTTGAGATTCCGCCTCGAGAAGGGTTCGAGGGGAGCCCGTCTGGGGGAATTGACATACTGTACCCGGTTACGGAGAATTCAGTCATCTATCTCGGGATGTGGGCAACTTATTTCGCCGATACTTGGGCAACCTTGGGCCTCGGCCTCGACCTCGTGTGGCCGTCGCCTGGCTCCTAGATTGGGATTTAGTCGCGATAGGAAGTCTAGATTCTGGATTGAAGGATTTAGCCCCACTGACCCTTTACTCGGGAATCTGTGACAGGCTCTCGATGGACGAACGCAATGTCAATTGTTCAGTCTACATGAACAGCTAATTGCGTGGAATTCATCACGTCCACACGCACCGTCTCATAAGTCTACGAAATTATTCGGGTCAAGTTCCAGGGCTCTACACAGAGTGTATTTGTAGTATCAAGTAGTCAGAAGGGCAGTTGTCTCTTTTCTGGAGACTACAACATAGAGTACAATGTTATAAGCATCTACATTGGATATTTCGTGGATGCAGTAGTTAGAATCTAATACAGATATCCTTCAAGTATGTGGTCGAAGAAAAAACGAAAAGAAGAAAAAAGGGTATATGGCAAGGTTGATAGGGAGTAGGGAAAGAGGCAAGCAGGACAGAGAAATGTGACTGGAGAGCTGTGCACGAGAAAAGACGCTCAAGCTTAAGCCTCAGGCCACACGATCCTTCTGTTCCAGTTTCCCCACCAGTTTCTTCATACCCGTCCATTCGTCGGCGGGTACTTCATCCGGAGGGCCTCCTAGACCTTTTCCAACCTCGAAAACGGTGACCACGCCATTGAGTCCACCGGTCGCCAATCGTCGTCCTTCCCGCTCTTCCCACGCAACCTTGTTCAAGCTGCGGGATGGGTTTCCGCTTAGTCCTCGCGAGGGGCTAGTCTTTACCACGGGTACCTCGGTGTCCATGTGTAGGTCCCACACTTCGACGTTGCCTGCCCCGTCCACAAGAGAGAATACACCAGGTCGGTGCGGGGACCAGCGCGCGTCATACACCACATCTTCGCGTGGGATGTCCAGGATCGGTGAGATGGCTTGCGCCGTGGCGGTGCCGGATGTGATGGAGGCGGTCGTCGCTGGGGGACGTACGCGCCAGAGCTTGACACTCCAGTCTAGACTGGAGCTCAGCATTAGATCGCCCAGGTCGACGGGTCCGCGGGCGGGATGAAATGCTGTGGACATGATAGGTCCGGTGTGGCCGCGATAAGTGAGCCGGTAATCGATACCGGCCTTGGCTCCAGCTCGGTCGTATCTGTGGCAGGGATAAATGCCTCCCTCTTCGGTACCGACGATAAAGAATGTCGGATCCGACTGAGGGAAAGACATGGTGGTGGGGGCGAGATCCTCCGTCTTAGACGGCGGAGGAGTGGTCAGCTCGAGATACTCCTGTGGCTGGGAGAGCATATCTACCGACCAACCGCAGACGACTCCGTCTGTGGAGGCGGTTAGAATGTTGTGTGCATTCTGAGTACCGATAATAGAGATGTTGTAAACTGGGTGAGTATGACCGGACCCGGTCAGAGGTGTCTTTTGCACGGGGGCACCACCGCCAGCGCGCGAGGAACGGGTGTCCCAGAGGAGAACTTGTCCTGAATACGAACCTCCCACAATTAGATTGGGGTGGAATGGAGAGAACTTGGCTGTGAGGATGTCGGATGTAGAGTGGAACACGTATTCTGGGCGAGATTGTAGATGTTGATTCCAGACTTGAACAAGACCGTCTGGTTCATGAGGCGCAGAGGGGTTCTTGGTATATGATGCCAGGACCAATTCAGGAAACTGAAGACCAATCAATTAGTGCGAACCTTTCCCGCTCACTGATTGAAAAACATACCTTGGGTGAGAAGCTGATATCGCTAATCATACGTTTTTTGCTCCATCGCTCGTCATAGAACTGGCAGACCTCACGAATACCTCTCCTCTTCTTGCCAGTCTCTTCGTCCTCCTCCAAGTCTCCAGCAACACCGCCAAGCTCATAGTCTGCAAGAACATCATAATCCTCATCCAAAGCTCGCTCAATAACCTTTGATGACCGCTCGACGAAGTCCAAGAAATCATCCGACGATGTCACAGCCTTCAGCTCGTCATCGTCTAGTGTGCGCAGAGGATATCGTAATTGTGCAGATGCGGCAGTTTGCGCATCAACTCCCTCTTGGTTGGTTGCCTGCAGTTCCTCTTCAATTTCCTTGCGAATCTTCTCTCGAATCTCCTCATCCCGCTCACGGTCCCGTCGGCTGAGACGCTTGCTCGACCGTGTGGTTCCAGCTGCCTCCTCACTATCTGAAGCAACAGATCCATCGACAGAGTCGTCCGGCTGATCCAGGCCATCGGTTTGCACGGCCTTACTGTATGTGACAACTTCGGTTTTGGGTTCAGGGGGAGGCGGGGCTTGAGTTTCGGGTACGGAAGAGGTATATGGCTCCTCCCCAACTGTTTGCACGGCAATGGATGTAGATTGTGGTCTCGACGAAGGCGCATAGGGTTCCGCGTTCTCTCCACTCAGCTGACTAGCACTGAGGACTGAATTTGGGCGACTTCCTCTCCGCGACAGACCCTCCGCGCCGTGGCTCTGAGATGCCGACCCGGGGCGGTCTACCAAACGAGAAATCAAATCATCGAGCTCGGCTCTGCTGTCGCCAGAGCGGGCGGTGGGAGCTGGAGAGGCAAGCTATAGCCAAACTCATTAGACTTCAAATAAATTCATGTGGTTGTGTTTGCGGGCTTACCTCTGAAGCATCCCCGACACTATTCCGATTATTGGTGAACTCTTTTTGACGCAATTCACGCTGCTTCTTCAGCTCCGCAAGCTTGGCCCGTTTGGCCAGGATCTCATTCTTGCGCTGCTGAACGGTCGACATGGTAAAGCCACGTTATTGGAGCTATCGTAGCGTGTCGAGTCGCTTGTTGATTCGGGGATGAACAAGTCGCGCCAACTCGCCAAATCTGGTACCGCTTTTTTGGCAGAATCGATAGCTTATCGTCCAGCTCCTCTAGATATCTTGGACATCTTTCTAGGCTTGACTTAAGAAAAGAAAAGAAAAAAATGGGTAAAGAAGAGGAGTAAAGATAAAGGAGGAGCCAGATCTTGAAATGGAACCCGTGAGCCAAGAAGAACTTTCTGGCCTTAGACTCAGGCTATCTGATAGCGACACCCATGGCGAAGCCTTTCTACTTGTGAGGGTTCGACGAACTCCAGATGTGAAACGAATTGCTAAATCTTAGAAAAGTCTTGAATCTCTAACAGATGCTCAAATATACATTCAGAAGATATATTGTGAGAATAAGCTGCTCACGTAAATCTACCTAAAGAAAGACCAGGGCTGGTTTGTAGCTGAAAACCTTTTGAATACATTGAAGTATTGCTCCTCAATGGCCTCTATTCACGCTCGTAGACTCACCTGCCTCGAATATTGTGAATATGGACACTTCTGCCGTACTAAATTCGAGGAATGATAACTGATCCATGGTGTCAGACCATATTCTAGATACCACTCCGAGTTCGGCTGTTTTCGGCTTCGAGGGAGATACGAGAATGTTTGTGATGCACAAGAGGAAGATCGTGTAAAAAACTGACACTTCAGTTACTACACGACAATCCCGAACTAGTCTGACGTAGTAGGTCGATTTTCCAGAACTGTCGATTTGAAAAAGAGGAAATGTTCTCATCGATTTCCTTTATTTACTCCCTGTCGGGATGACATAAGCGATCCGAACGGCACCGGAAAAACTCGCGCAGAACAGGGACTGAACCTCGCCTTGCCCGACCCCAGAGTTTACTGCCATTGACGATTGATTCCCGTTGAACGGACCTTCGACTTCCCGCTCCTTTTATACCGTCAGTTATCCGTCCCCCGGAGACCTTTGCAGAAATGGCCAGCCAGGGTGTCAACGTAAGTTGCATAGCGAATCCCTAACCACCCCATGCGAGATCGGATGTTGACCACCTTGCGAATTGACAGGTTTTCCGCTATTCGGCTCTCGTCGCCGGTCTCGTCTACGGTGTCTACCACCAGTCTTCACTCAACTCCGTCGCGAAGCGCACAGAGGTCGAGCATGAGTACGCACGCAAGGAGCGCCTGATCGAACAGGCTAAGACCGAGTGGAAGAAGAGGACCCAGCCCCAGGAGACCCAGCAACAATCTACCGGCCGTATGTATCATCCTATTCTGCTCAATGGCACTTTACACTGGCTTCCGAAGAAGCCGGAGTGTCTTCATCAGCGCAGTACTAACTACGCTCCCTCCTACAGTCATCACCGACCCCGAGAACCCCAAGTTCGACCTCGAAGCCTTCCTGAAGGCCCAGGCTTAAATTGAAAGAGGATGGATGGAATAATGGAGGATTGAATGCGCATCTATTTGCGGAACTCGCACCTCCCCCAGGGTATTAGAAGTGATTTGCTCGGGTCCCTTTACTGTACGATTGATCGGGGTTATAATTCGCCCCAAGTTGCGCCATTGCGAGCGAAAGATGGAATGATGTCTTTTTATTTCGTTTTCTTTTACTCATCGTTTTAGACGTTATCATTTGGGTCCTGTACATACCCTGGGCTGTCGTGCGTCTGTACACTACAGTTGGACCACAATAAAGAGCAAAAGATCGTGTTATGCATTTCGGCATTATCATAGATGCTTGCCTCGACCTGTCTAGGGTTGGTCTGGCTCTTCATTCCCGTCCTAGATGCGCTTTATCGACAAGGTGGGACGACGCGTCATTGTATGGCGTATTGTGTCAGATTATCCTCCAGCAACATGCCTCGACTCTCGATTCAATGCGCCTTTAATTCGCACGACTACCAAGCATTGCCATCGTATCGCGGATACCGTTAGATGACTGCTCCTCAGTGGGCGGTACGGTGATTGTGACGGGGTGAAGTAGTCGAGTATCTGAATTCCAGGTCCACCCACAGTCCGTAAACTTCTGTATAATGCTTTGATCGCCTTGCTCTGCGGCCTGCGAATCAAGACCCAGGTATCCAGCTGCCACGGCAGGTCGTATCGCTCTGTAGGAAGTGCTGACGGCGATCAAGGTTTGGTCTTGGAAGAAGCCTATACAGTGAATATTAGCAACTTAAGCACTTCACAGCAGAGTCCAAATCCATACTTTCATATCTGCGCACCAAGGGCTGCAGTTGTTCTGGCCATGGCAAGTTCCGTAGGGCTTGGTAAACTTGGGCATGTTGAGTCTGCCATACCGCTCGTAGTAACGTCAAGCAATTTTGCAAAGTCGGGTCTTGGTTTTTGAGCGGTTCTGGCATTCGCTGCGTCAAGGCGCGGGCTTCTGATCTATTGTCAAGCTCGAATCAGCAAGTATATCTGAGCTGTCTTAGAGGTACTTACATTTGTTTAGTGAGAAGGTGGGCGAAGAAGAAGCTGGAATAGAATAAGCTCAGTAGCTGAGGCTCATCACCACCAGCTTCCGGATGATCGCTATCAGCTGCCATGAGACAAGCATCTGATTCGTATCGTGAGAAGATCTCGAAGAGCTGTGAAGGAGGCAGGTTGGACGATGCGAGCTGCTCGAGCTGCTCGATGGAGAGAGGCGGCAGCTCCATAATGGAAAATTAGACCTGCTGGGTTCAGGCGAGCCGATATTTGAAGCACTTTCGCGATCCGAGAGGCAAAAAAAGGAATGAATGAGAAGGAACAATCGAATGTCGATGATGCGGGGAGCACTTTCCGCGATGCCAAGACAATTGCGGACAATCGCAAGTGACCACCTAGACTTCTCTCTTCACCAACTCTCAACGACCCACGTCCATTGGCAGCTCCGCCTTCATTTCTTGTTTTCATGTGCCATTTTTGATTTCTGATTCAGGACTTTGCTCCCCCTGGCCATTATGGCCGAGTCTTCTATTGATGTTCTGCTGAAAGGCAGCTCCGGCCGGACCACGCGCGGTCTACTGCGGATCATTATCCTCTTAACGATAGCTGCCGCCGCCGTGGCCAGTCGTCTGTTCAGTGTTATTCGTGCGTGTTGAACCAATTTCTCTCCAATTGCTTGTGCTAACCATCAATTTCAGGCTTCGAAAGTATTATTCACGAATGTATGATCATCCCCTTGTCTTTGACGCAGTATACAACGTGGCCACGGCCAGGATGCACACCTTCGAAATACTGACCCGTTCGAATTGCAGTTGACCCCTGGTTCAATTTCCGAGCAACCAAATACCTTGTCGAAAATGGCTTCTACAGTTTCTGGGATTGGTTTGATGATCGTACGTTCTCCCCCTTCCAAAGGCTTGCGTGTCCCCGTGGTAGCACAGGAATTGATGCGAATTGCTCGTCTTTTAGGAACCTGGCACCCCCTGGGCCGTGTCACTGGTGGCACGTTGTACCCCGGTCTCATGGTGACCAGTGGCGTTATCTACCACATCCTGCGCTTCCTCACTATCCCCGTCGACATTCGAAATATCTGTGTCCTGCTCGCCCCCGCCTTCTCGGGCCTGACGGCCCTGGCTATGTACCTGTTGACCTGCGAGATGTCCTCCTCACCCTCTGCTGGTCTTCTGGCTGCTGCTTTCATGGGTATCACCCCCGGATACATCTCGCGATCCGTGGCTGGTAGCTACGATAACGAGGCCATTGCCATCTTCCTGCTAGTCTTCACCTTCTTCCTGTGGATCAAGGCCGTCAAGAATGGCTCGATCATGTGGGGAGCGTTGACTGCACTGTTTTACGGATACATGGTCTCTGCTTGGGGTGGATATGTCTTCATCACTAACCTCATCCCTCTCCATGTGTTTGTCCTGATCTGCATGGGCCGCTACAGCACCCGCGTCTACATCAGCTATACCACGTGGTATGCTCTTGGAACTCTGGGAAGTATGCAGATCCCCTTCGTGGGATTCCTGCCCATTCGCAACAGTGACCACATGTCTGCGCTCGGTGTCTTTGGCCTAATCCAGCTCGTCGCATTTGCTGAATTCATTCGCGGCTATCTGCCCGGCAAGCAGTTCCAGAAGCTGCTCACCTCCATGGTTCTCCTAGTCTTTGGCCTTGGATTTGGTGGTCTGGTCCTGCTTTCCATCTCGGGTGTCATTGCCCCATGGAGTGGTCGTTTCTATTCCTTGTGGGACACTGGCTACGCGAAGATTCATATTCCCATTATTGCATCGGTCTCAGAGCACCAGCCTACTGCCTGGCCAGCCTTTTTCTTCGACCTGAACTTCCTGATCTGGCTCTTCCCCGCCGGTGTGTTCATCTGCTTCCAGAAGCTGAAAGATGAGCACGTGTTCGTGATCATCTACGCCGTTCTGTCCAGCTACTTCGCCGGTGTCATGGTCCGTCTGATGCTCACGCTCACTCCTATTGTTTGTGTCGCGGCTGCCCTGGCTCTGTCGGCTATTCTCGACAACTTCTTGGTTCTGTCGAAGCCCGACCCCGAGGCTGTTGCCAAGGCTAGCGCCGAAGACTCCAAGTCTTTCCGCTCGTCTCGCAGCCCCATTGTCGGCATCTACTCGTACTTCTCCAAGACTGTCGTGACCTGTTCGATGTCTCTTTACCTTCTTATGTTTGTTGCGCACTGTACTTGGGTCACCTCGAATGCCTACTCCTCCCCCTCAGTTGTTCTTGCTAGCAAAATGCCCGATGGCAGCCAGTTCATCATCGACGATTACCGCGAGGCATACTACTGGCTCCGCCAGAACACGCCCGACAATGCCAAGATCATGTCCTGGTGGGACTACGGCTACCAGATTGGTGGCATGGCTGACCGTCCTACCCTGGTCGACAACAACACCTGGAACAACACCCACATCGCCACCGTTGGCAAGGCCATGAGCTCTCGCGAGGAGGTCAGCTACCCTATCCTGCGTCAACACGATGTGGACTACGTCCTGGTTGTGTTTGGTGGGCTCCTCGGTTACTCTGGCGATGACCTGAACAAATTCCTGTGGATGGTCCGTATCGCCGAGGGTATCTGGCCCGATGAGATCAGTGAACGCGATTACTTCACTGCTCGTGGCGAGTACCGCGTGGACGAGGAGGCTACTCCTACCATGAAAAACAGCTTGATGTATGTTTCCCTCTCTTGAACCCCCTTTAAATTTCATCACTAACTCAACCAGGTACAAAATGTCTTACTACAACTACAACTCCCTCTTCCCCGCCGGCCAAGCCGTCGACCGTGTTCGTGGCGTGAAGCTGCCGGCCGAGAGCCCGCAGCTCAACACCCTCGAGGAAGCGTTCACCAGCGAGAACTGGATCATCCGCATCTACAAGGTGAAGGATCTAGACAACCTGGGCCGTGACCACAGCAACGCCGTCGCCTTCGACAAGGGCCTCAAGCGCAAGCGCGCTACCAAGAAGAAGGGTCCTCGCGTTCTGCGAACCGAGTAGACTCGTCTTTTAGATTTGTTTCTTTGATTCTTGTGATTGTGATATTTAGGCATAGCAGGCATGTCCTGTCCCGCGTGTTACCGATGGTAGATATACTCTTGAGCTCGCTCAGAACAGTATACAATGATCGCCTTGAAAAGATATCCATCTTAACCAAGTCCTAGTATGTAGTGCCTACGTAGCTTTCAGAAGAGAAGAAAAGGAGAAGTAGAGATTGGCATTCGCAATCGGGGCCTATGCATAAGAAAGAAACAACCCCCGCCAATCCACTCTGTACAGTACAAGGTAGAGGTAGATGCCGAACAAGATAATATCGCTGCCGCAGATCACAAGCTGCGGTCTGCCCAGAAGACTCCGTAACCCCGATTTGCTCCGTTGCTGATTTCCAGCCGAGGGCCAGCCATGTCGGCGCTGTCCCTCTTGAAATAATGCGACTTATATGGTACACGCAGAGCCAGTCAATGCCATTCCGGCCTAACTGGGCTTTGGTTTTGTGCCCGTGGGCTCTAGTTCTTCTGCGCGGGGACGTCGGGGACTTTCACGTCGGAAAACTCTTCTTGGCCGACGGCCTTGATGGTGTAGACATCTGTGGAAGGGGAGGAGTAATAGTCAGCAGACTGGTATTGTAGACTCGTTCGGAGTGTATAGCAATGGGTAAGGCGTGCTTGGTGGTGCCACCAGGCTGCAATTGACTCTGTGGCAGGACACCGCACACCGAGAAGGGAATCGCGGGAGTAGACCTTTGCGATCAAGGGAGGATTAACGTACAGACACCGATAGTGAAGGCAAATAGACCGAAGCCGGTGAGGGCGTTCTTGACAAGGAACGGCCGGCGGGCACGCAGGAGGGCGGCACCCGCGCGGTAATCCTTGCCGTAGTATGTGGAGTTAAAGCTAGTGAAAATGTTAGAATTGTCAGTCTGCACATCGTTAAGTCAACGTACATTCCGCTGGCCATGGCGAGAGAGAGGTGATCGTTGAAGAGAAGAAAGCCACGGCCGGATTGTATGCGGGAAGGCGAAGTCTTGGCGCTGACTTGCAGTTGCATCTGCATCAACTGATGAACAGAACTAAAGTGCCTTGATAATCCGATATTCGTTTATAAACCTAGGATATAACCATTGGCACAATGAAGATTCTTATCTTTATATGTCACTTGCGAGCGTAAAGCGCCTTTGAGTATTCGCGGAACGTTCACTGCGCAGCCATAGATCGCCGGTCACCATTTGATCGGCGGTCGGTCTTCAGACCAGATAGAAACATCCGTAGTATCCAGCTGCACATTCCTGCCTCCTGAATCGCCTTGACTTTTAGCTTCTCTGCGTCAAATTTGACGTTGTGGTCGAGCCCCGATCTGTCGTCGCCAACGTTCCCCAAGTTTTCTCGGCCCCTGCGGACCTCGTCTTTGCTTCCTCATAACCCACTCTTCACATCCCCGACACCCCCAGACCACCTCTACACGTCCGATCACCCCTCTGTCGCGTGTCTTCGCCATCCTCTCCAGCTCCACGAGTGAATGCGCGTTCTTTTCGCCAAATTCGCAGCTTTATCCGTGCTTCGCTCTCATTAAACCAGACACCTCGACATTTGATCCATTGAACCTACCAAGCCGGCGTAATCCCCTCGACCGTCTATCGCGCATCCTCATTCCCACTCGCTAAGTCGCGATGGCTCAGCCAGATGTCGTCAACCAGCTCGCACAGTTGAATTCAGCTCGTAACCTCGTTCTCGGCGACGCTGCGCTCTACCCGCAAATCGTAAATGGCATCCTCCCGATCGTCGGTGCCAACACAAGGTTAGAACTGCGAAGATGGGGCGCAGACTTTATGGCCGAGACTTTCTCCAGTCCTGTGCTAGCTACGGCGCAGAAAGAGCAGCTCGCGCCGAGAGTGCTACAGGCTATTCAAGAGATATTGCTTCTGCCTGAGTCTGACACGGCGGTCCTGGTGAGCTTGATCCAGACTGCGACTAGCTTGTACCCATTGGTCTTTCGTCATATGTAAGTTTTCCACGGTGTTCTTCTTTGCGGTGGGGTACTATGGTTGGTGATGGATGCTGACGCTCTTTGGCACCAGTGTGAACCATCCGGAAGACAGTAACTCATGGGAGACAATGAATGTGATCAAGCAGGATATTCTTCGGCGAATGGATTCGTTCCTGTGTCCTGTCAAGATCTGCTGTATCAAGTTCCTACAACGGGTGGTGCAGGTTCAAACGCCTGGTCTGATCTCAGACCCGCGGGTATGTTCAATGAATTCGTATCCTAGGATCATTGCTAATTTGTCACAGCGTCCGGAACAAAATGAGACTTCGCTCGCTATTGTCCCACGAACCCACTCCATCCTTGCTATCCCAAACTTGGAGGCCGAAGCGTCAGGCCTACTCGATCGGTTACTCGGCGTGTTCCAGGAGGAAGTCAGGTAGGAAAGATAACCCATTTCTGTAGTTTCACTCTTCTGATCTGGTGAATAGTGATCCACTGCTGGTCAATGCGACATTGAACTGTCTCTCGCCGCTCATTCGCACGCGCCAATCGATCTCAAACAAGATAATCAACGCCGTCCTTGATTTCTATCCCTCCAAGCATGTCCGCGCTCCAATTACGCCTACTACCCGAGTCAGCGTCAAGTCGATGGAGCGCACTGCTCGAGCTTTGTTGATCAACCTCATGAAGAGGTATATCAAATCCCGTTCCCGCATAAGACATGGATCAAAATTAACAAGACCCTAGGAACCAAAACCACCCTCTCTTCGGGAGAATGCAGATGTACATTGAGCGGTTGATGAATTCACGGCTCGACGTGGTGGATGACGCTTCTCGTAAACGCGGATTGCCTAGTGAGCCGACAGACGGACTCGATAGCGCCAAGCGCGCTCGTCTCGACGCAGAAACTCCCCCATTGCTTAGGATCCCTCCGATGGCTCCAGGTCCGGCAAGCATTGACAAGCTTTTCACATTGACGCAAGACATTGGCCTGTCATCATTCGACGTGAAACAACTTCCTCCCGATCTAGTCGTGAAAATCGCTGTACCTCTTCTCGCCCAAGTTAACCAGTCGTTGCTTACACAGGCTGTTGATGTAAGAAAAAAGTCTTCTAGATCCTCTCACCAGCAGCTAACACAGCCTAGGCCGTTCGAGTCCGATACCAAACCATTACTAGGGACCAAAACCTCAAGCGCTCACAACAACACACTGCCGCCGTCGCAGACGACGACGACGATTACGAGCCAGATTACGATCCAATGGACGTGGCAGATAATACCTCTGAACAAGCCAGCGCCGTCGCAGCCGAAGTAGCAGACCTCCAACCCGATCTTGTCTCATTGGGCCCATTCGTTCTGCCCCAACCACCCCCTCTGACCGAAGACGAAGCTGCGGAGGTTGGCCGAAGTGCAGTCTCCCGTGTTTTCAACATGATCAACGCCGCCGAAACAGACCCTTCATCAGCCAAAGGCAAGACCCAGCAACAGCTTGGCTTCGCACGACTGGCTGGAAGCACGTTTGATCGGGATGCATGGGCTGTACTTCTTTCTCGCCTTGCTACAAGAGCCCCAGCTGGCCTGGAGGGTGGTGTTAAAGTAGATTCGAAACGACCGACGATCTCGGACTCGATTCGTCAGATGCTGTATCGCTATGTTCTGGAGGATTTCAGGGGGAGGCTCAATATTGCTATCACTTGGCTTAGTGAGGAGTGGTACAATGATCGCGTCCAGATGAAGGCGGCTGCTACTCAGCGGGATCAGAGCGATGAAGATGAAGATCAAGAACCTACTGTTCCTCTTCATTATGATGAGTGGGTGGTTAAGCTTTTCCATGGCTTCACGACTTATCTTGATGGTCGTGATATCAAAGTTCTGGTCCGATTCCTCAGTGAGATCCCCGAGGTTACACTCTCGGTCCTGCAAATGGTGGCCGGTCTGGCCAAGGATCCGGAACGTGTGAATCTATGCGTGCAGGCACTAATGTATGTCCTTCCCTTCACCCCTGGTCTTTTAGTCCATACTTACATATCTCCTAGGTATCTGATCATGTTCCGCCCCCCCGCACGTGAAATGTGTTTGAATACACTGGAGGATGTTTACCAGACTTGTATGATCGCGCCTGCCCTTGCTTTTTCTTCGCTATCCATGCTAATCCGATCATCAGATGAGGAATCCCGCCCTGCAGCAGGCAAAATCCTGGCCAAATGGCGTCCGCAGAATCAGCCTGCAGAGGTCAACGGCACTACAGACTCGACGCCGGCAGCACCGCCGGCAGCACCGCAGGAAGCACCGCAGGAAGCACCGCAGGAAGCACCGCAGGAAGCACAGGCCACCGCTGCACAGTAAACAATACTTGCATTTCAGAATCTCAGAATCTATTCCATGGAGGAGGCTCTTTGTATCTTTATCCTGCAGAAGTTACAATTTCCGCAGCAGTATTTATTTCCAATATCTTATTTGAGCGCGGTTATATCTAGAATAAACCTGGCACCGAATATACGCCGTTTCAATCGTTCAACCTTCTACGTAAGGGAGATTATTGTTAAAAGCGTACACTTAGGTGAGCTTCGGTCAACTGAAGTCTGTCATAATGGTTGAAATAATTTCTAGATTCTTATTGATAGCGTCCTGGGAATTCTGCAGAGACCGAACATATAAATTCTCAGAGAACTCCTGCCGATGACCAACAAAGGCATATATATGCGTGGTATATACACCAAAAAAAGAAATACCACGCCAAAAAAAAAAAAAAAAGAAACGGGGAGAGAGTTCATTTCTTCCAGAGAAATCAGTCAACTCCGATGCAAGAGAATCTCCCTGTAAACGCAGAAACCTTCCTAAGGTTGAGAAAAAAGCAAGCCAGTTCCATACCCCGTACACCACCTCATATAAATAATATAAAGAACCATTTCCTTATCATGCAGAAGTCGGACTGGAATTCGAGAAGATCGCGAGAAAAGGAAAGACCACAGCCCCCCCATATGTAATTTGCAGGATAGCATAGATCCTACACTGGTTTCCAGACACGTACTATGTCTCTCCTGGAACGCTCGGAATACATTTGACATTTGATAATTGTCTTGACAGAACAGCGTAAGGGGGAATCTTCATTAAAAGTGAAAGGGATGCAACACCGCGTAAATGGGAGCAGAACGATCAAGGGTAGGATTTAGCGTGGGGGCATGTTTGGTCCTGAGCCTGCTGATATCTCGGGTCGGTAATGCAACGCATCAACTGGTTTGCTTGGGAGTGGAGGTGAGGCATCTGATTTCGGGGGTACGGAGGATTGGAAAAGGCTCTGTCTAGCGGGTGGTGGAGAGAAGATGGGATGAGAGGATTCAGGTGCTGGGGAGCGGCGGTCGAGGGTCGTAGGGTGAGGTTGGGTTTTCCGCAAGTCTAGCGGAGAGGAACTTTGGGATCGGAAGCCAGATTTGTGCTCTATGTCGTAATCTGGGTTCCGGAAGGGGCCTTGCCCTTGATGCCGCGCTTCTTGCTCGGTGCCATAGGGGGTATTATTCGCTGATGAATTGGCCGCAGACGCATTCTCGGGAATTGTGGACGCAGAGCCGTTTGGCGCATTAATATCCACCATGCGCTTCTGTGCAGCTGGCGTTACAATTGAAGATTGCTGTGCCGACTCAAATGCTAGCCCATGTGGTCGATGTTGTTGTGTGTATTGGTTCTGATGTGGCTGCTGTTGGTGAATAGGGTGCTGCGGGTTGGCCCAAGGCGTTTGCTCAAGGAAAGCTTCCTCGGCTTCGGCAGCAGTACGGAAAACGTTTGATGACATAGCCGACGTGGGAGCACGAGGTACTGCAGCTGACGAATGCCGTGGAACCAAAGTGCGAGTCTCAACAGTGATCTAAAATTTGTTTGTTAATAAACTTGCAAGTAAGTGGCATCCGTTTGACTCACCCCCATTTTCTCCAAATCATCCTCGAGTTCGGACGGTCGTGCTCCTAACAAGGTCGGTGCAGCCGGGAAGCCGACGTATTTGGCAACTCCAGCCATGACTGAGACTTCGTGGTTGTAGGCCGTCTGGTGCGCGATCTGCTGAGAACGACGGGTGGGGAATGGGATGTTGTGGTTGGGACTTGACTCATCGGTCTTGAATCGGTCGTGCTGGATAGCATAGAACTGTTTGCTGATGGAACTTGAATGACCCTCGCGCACGTCTCGTATGCGCTGAAAGTAGGTGCTATGTGCTTGGGATCGCTCCGCGAGACTCTTGTTCAAAAGAGCCTTCATACGGTAGCGATACAAGTTTTCCTCGTACTTGAGCTTGGCATCCCTGTGGCGTTCCACACATTCTATCTGTCGCAGGTACTCGGGGTGGGTAGGATTCGGCCCGGTTAACATTTCAAGCTCGCGATTGAGCTTTGAAATTCGTTCATCGAAGATCCTGTGATATCAAGTCAGTATTTAAATAAAGCCTTGTGGGCAGTAAAGACTAACTTGTCGCGCAAAAGCGCGAATTCCTTTTCTAATGTTGTCAATGACTCCATAGCAGACGTCTTCTTCGCGGCTATAGATAGTGATAGTTAGCATGATATCCAGAAGGTATTGCAACGGTATAGCTTACACTCTTCTTCAACTCTGGCAGCTGTCTCGGCATCGACAGGTTCGTCGCCTCGTTCCGTAGGCTCCTCTTCCTCTCCAAGATTGTCATCTGCAACATCCTCGGCCGCAGCCTCGGTGCCGCCTTCAGTTTCTTCATCCCCATCTGCCGCTTTTCTTCCTCTGCGTCCGCCCTTCTTGCCCTTATTGGCTTTGGATAGTACGGCAGGGAGATCAATGTCGGGGACATCGTCGGCGGGGGTGTCATCTTCATTCATAGAGGTGGGATCTTCTAGGGGCTCATCGAGAGGTTCCGGCGAAAGAGGCTCGTCATCTTCGTCGATCGGGTCACTCAACTCGCTCTTGATGGAGTTTCGGCGCTTCTTGAAAGGCTCGTCATCGCCCATCTCGGTCCCGGTTTCGTCGCCGGCCTCAACGCGCTTTCGCTTTTTGCCGATGCTATCAGGAAGCTCAATATCTTCAAGATCCAAGTCTTCGTCAACCAATCCGTTGTTTTGAGACAGTCTCCGCACTTTACTCGGGGAATCGTCCGCCATAGGCTCTTCGTCGTCGACGTCTGCTAATGTTGTGGACTGGTGAAGCTTGCTCGGACTAGGCCCAGCGCTACCGGCACTGAGTACAATGTCGCGCTTTCGAACATTGTGAGGAGAGTCCTCGATGCGCTCGGTTTCTGCCTCCGAATCATTTTCCAATTGCCTTTCTGGCTTTGGAGAATCGTCAAAGTCGGAGAGATCGTTATCGGATACATCGTCGATCTCACTCAAGCTACTCGAGCGTCCATCATCCATAAGAGGGTCATCCAGAAAGGGATTCCGCCCGCCATTGGTCATGTTGGAGTCTGCCCCCGTTGTCGGTCCAACGGAGGCCTGTTCTCTGCTCTCAGCAACCTCCATCTGTAATGATAAGAAGACTCAAGGTGACAAGAGTGAGATATGGGAGAAGAAGGAGGAGTAGTGAGAGGGTCTGTTCGTGCCGACAACTGCTATTGGCAGTAGTGGGCGTGGGAGGGAGGGCGGCAAGGTCACCGAGTCGTGAGACAAGGTTTTGTTTGGGAGTCTGGAACAACCATATGGTGGATTAGCTCAATTGCCATACTAGCTGGGTCAAAGAGCCCTGGGAAAGGTTTGTGGAAGGGTAATGAGTGGGCGGGTGCAAAAGGTAGGTCAGCGCCTCCAGAAGGCGGTGCGGAGATTGATCACCGCCCGGAACGCCCCCAGAGTGGCCAGCCGGTGCTCACAAGAAGCCTAGCAACTGCGCAGGCCCAAATGATGAATGTGAAGCTTTGTAGGTTGGGTATATGGTATGACCCTCCAGATAGGGCCAAGAAAAATATCTGGGTGAATGTAGAAGAACCAGCGACGTACCGTTTCAACAATGCGCCGGGAGCGACGCTGGCGATGAGCACGGCTGGTCGCGACCGAGCACGATTCTCAAAACCACCGCGTTCCTGGGACTCGAGGTATCGAATCGTATTGAGCCCACGCGTCTTGCAAGTATAGAGGTCCACCAGAATATGTCGGACCACCGATGCGCCAGTGCTCAAGGAGAGGGGAGGTCGGTTAAGAGGCGGGCAGGACCACAGTACAGGGTCGCGGGAGGGCGGTCGGCATGAAGAGGCGTAGGAGGGGCACGGACAAACGTTTCGCAATGTTCGAGAGGGTGATGGGGGAACTGAATCGAGTGTCGAGCACGCAGAAATGAGAGGAAAAGGTAGACGAACTGCTATGATGGGGGAGCAACAGAAGCGAGTGACGGGGTTCTGCCGCGTCCCGGCGAGGGCGAGCTCACCGCCTGCAAAACTTCCGCGGTCACGTGCGATTGACGTCGCCGAAGACGGCAATTTGAAGACCAGAATGCATTAAAGGAGATAGAGAGGATATTGGAGAGTCAGAATGGAATCTGGGGGTTTGCTGTTGATAATTCGAGGAGTAGAGGTTGTTGAAATGTCTAAACAAAAAGGTACACAGAGTACAGTACATATCGAAACGAATCAACACCGCAGTAGCCGCCGACCTAAGTCTTGATGAAACATTAAATTTTTCTTTTCTGTTGCAATGGTAAGCTTCACGTTTTTTTTTTTTTTTTTTTCAAATATTTGCTTCCAAATCACAGGAAATAAACTGGTAACAAAGTGTAGAACTGTGTCAAAGACGACCAATCATGTGATGTAAACCAACTACCCGCGCCAAGACCGATAAGCCCAGAAAAAAAAAGTTCGGAGCTATGCGCAGTCAACCCCCAGTGTTTCTCGACTCCACCCATTGAACATCTCTTGAAGGACTATATTCCTCGGAGATTACATATCTTTCTCATCATGGGTAAAAAGTCAAAGTCTTCGTCCAAGTCGGACTCCAAGGCGGACACCAAGGCACCCGCCGCTGGACTTCCCTTTCTCAGCACCAACTCTGGCCTTGACCCGAGTCTGTCCTCACTTTTCGAGAAGAGTGTATGTTTTTGCGTCTACCATGTTACTGGAAATTGATCTGACTTCATAATCATATAGGCCGGACCCGTGCAGCCATCTACCCAGAAATACGTCGATCGGTATACAGCCAAGAAGGCCGAAGAGGCCTCGGAAGAGTCTCCTGAGGACGAAGATGAGGTAATGGGTGATGCTCCCGAGGAGAGCAGCGAATCCGAGCCCGTGGAGGAGAAGACGTCCGACGTACAGAACCGCAAGCGCAAGAGAGGCGATGCCGGAGATGATATCGAAGCGACCTACATGCGTAAAATTGAGAAGGAGGAGCAAAAAGAAGAAGAGAAGAGAAAGGCCGAGCGCGCGGAGCGTCAAAAGCCCACCAAGGAAGACGAAGCCAGCGAGGGTTCCGATAAGGAGGAGGCAGAAGACAGCGACGAGGAGGAGGACGTCCCTCCCCCCGTTCATGAAAGTGTCGCCGGAGGTGCCAAGTCCGCCGAGGTTGAGAAGTCCAGCCGAACTGTTTTTCTGGGCAACGTTTCTACTGAGGCTATCAAGTCCAAGGCCGGCAAGAAAACTCTTCTCCGTCACCTAGCCTCCTTCTGCTCGTCTCTGCCCGAAGCGACTGGCCCGCACAAGGTTGAGTCAATTCGTTTCCGCTCTACTGCATTCGCCAGCGGTGGTAGTGTTCCCAAGCGCGCTTCGTTTGCCAAGCGTGATGTTCTTGACCAGACTACACCCAGCACCAATGCCTACGCCGTCTATACCACCGCTCAGGCTGCTCGCAAGGCCGCTGCTGCGTTGAATGGTACTGTTGTTCTTGACCGCCACCTGCGAGTCGACAGCATTGCGCACCCGGCTGCGATTGACAACAAGCGCTGTGTTTTCGTGGGCAACTTGGATTTCATGGACCAGGAGGGCCCTGCCGAGGACGAGTCTGGCAAGAAGAAGAAGGTCCGCGCTCCGGCCGATGTTGAAGAGGGTCTCTGGCGCACCTTCAATGAGCACACGGGAGGCAAGGGCAACAACAAGAGTGTCGAGTCCGTTCGTGTGATCCGTGATAGCAACACCCGTGTCGGCAAAGGCTTTGCCTACGTCCAATTCTACGACGGCAACGGAGTTGAGGAGGCTCTTCTGCTCAACGAGAAGAAGTTCCCTCCCATGCTGCCCCGCAAATTGCGTGTCACCCGTGCCAGGAAGATGATGAAGAAGCGTGATGACAACAAGGACTCACGCAAGGGAGATCTTGCCCAGAAGACTCTGCAGGGTCGTGCTGGCAAGCTGCTTGGTCGCGCTGGTGCAGCCAAGCTGAAGGATGCTAGCAAGGGTGGTATCGCCGGCAACTCCTTTGTCTTTGAGGGCCACCGTGCCACAGAGGGATCCTCGACCATCAAGGTCAAGACGAAGAGCCGAGGCTCCAAGGGCAAGCCTAAGGGCCGTAGCAGCAAGCGTGCTGCCGCATACCGGGCTGCTGGTGGACAGAAGCCTTAAAAGTGAGACATCATCAAAATTATTGTGTATCTATTACGGCGTTGGGTAGGGCATTTAAAACCAAGTGCTATTCAAATATCATATCAATACATCATGTCTTGACGAATCGTGCTATTTGTAGGCTTGAAATAATAGTGTCGCGGTAAATACCTCCAGTATGTCAAGACATACGGAGATATAGAGGGACTTAATCGTGGTAGCTTCTAATTAATCTCATTAACATAAGATTCATTGCTTCGTCAATAATATTCCAATCAGTTCAAGCGCCCGTAAGCAAATCTTGTGTTGTTAAAGTGCGGCCTCATAGATCAGGGTGGAGCCATGCGGGGTGCCATACGATAAGATAGTCCTAGCTCCCATCAACGTCACACTTTCACTCTTCTCAAGCTGCATACTACAGCCTCAACTCATTCTATATCTCCTGTTTAAACTACAAAGGAATTAACTGGCCATATCCCACACTTGTGAGCTCACTATTAGCCCGGCTCTAGCGGGGTCATTGCCTAATTCCAGCTCCTTAGGCCAGCTTAACCACTCTTTGACACTCTTTCTTCCACGCGAGTCAATACCCCTCAGACCTATTACTGAGGTCCCGACGCTTTGCGAAAGGCTCCAACATGTTTCCTGCCCGCCTACGCCGACTTTTCAGCAATTACCAGTCCATCGACCGCAACGAAGATGCATCCACACGCCAACCCGAAGCATTATCAGATGCCGAGACATTCTACCCTAGCTTGTGGGAAGTGCTCAAGACGCGACATATTCTTCAGTGGAAAGCATTCCAGCAAAGTCTCCCAGCAGAGCTGGTAGATGCGATTATCGATGCCGCCGAGTATTGGGCCTCGACAGAACGCCGAATGGAAGATGTCAGGAGAATTACGAGCGATCGGGATCAGGTTTTACTGAAGACTGTACCGCTCTGCTATGACCGAAAGGTTTGTTTCTGCCTTCTTCGCTGGTTGTCTTGTGCACACCCCACTCACATGCTACGTGATATAGAGTCTAGAGCGATCAAAGCCCTTGAAACCACTTCCTCACCGCACTTTACACCCCTGCCGGAAGATAATTTTCCGCATTTCATCCCATGACCAAGGCCACGGCCCGATCCGCGAGAATATGTACAATAACTCCTGCACTTGGTTCGACACTGAGGTCATCAAGGCTGCGCACACAAAGAGCATGTATGCCGACGGCACTGAACAGGAGATTCTGGATAATGAGCGCGGACAAGAGAAGAAACACTTTGCTCCTGACGACGAACTGCTCCTTCCACGCAACAACAAGTTAAAAGTCAACGGCTCCCGGGTGTCGGAGCCGCAAAATTCGGTCATTACTTGGCATTATCTGGACGATGTTCAACCGGACTCAGAGGAGGCTTATGAGATTGAGACGTCTGAAGGTCGTGGTCGGTGTACTTTGGATGGACATGGCGTGTGTGAGCTGGAAGTTGGGGACTCTATTGCTTTATGGGCTCGGGCGAGGTTTCCGGGGTGGATCAATCATGTGGATTTTGCGAGTGTTAGGGTCTTCTGGGCTGTCTGATGAGAAGACCGTGGCTTAGGTATTGTTTAGCCATGCAGACCTGCTAGATATGATTAGTGCATACACGATGTGATGGCTCGGGAATCGGATTTGCTCCAAATGGAAATGTATCAACACAAACAGATCCTAGGATATGCAGTTTCTCGAGAACCTCGGGTCTATACAACTCCTCATAAACAAGTAGCTGGCTATTATAAGAGTATACCCCATGCCTCAGGCCCCGGCCAGCCTGAGGCCACCACGATCACGCAATTGTGCCAAGACAGCCCGATCGGCGCCAAAGGAGGAGTATAAGACCATTCGACCTCCTCGACCTTTCTTTTTCCCTGTTAAGCCCCCCCCCGACTATATCGTTATGATACTAATTAACAGTCACTTATTCACTACAATGCCCCCTGAACAGAATGGCTATCTCTTCCCAGGGGCACCTTTCCTACGCTGCTGGAAATATCCGACGCAGCCGACAGGCCGAAACAGAGTGTCCCGGGGACGGTGGGGTTCCCTACGTCAATCGGCGACCCATTCAATCGCCGACTCTGACGAAATTGAGCGTCCAGCCAATTCTGAGTCCCCGATAATCAGCTGAGATCAACGAGCATGGGTCGTATCGAGCCCCGATCGACGATTCCGCGACAACTCGACCGAGAAAGGGCCCTACAGTCCCCGGTCGTGTGTCACGATTACTGCTGGAACACCGCTCTACCAACGCTTCCGCCCGCTTGCGACGTCCCGACTGGACGCCGGTTGCGTTATCTGCACTGCCAATGGTGATCGGTGACTTACGCATTCCTCTGTCGTTATTTGGGTCTTGGCTGATGCTGTTGTCTACCCCCCTTTTTTAAATCGGCGATGTTCTTGCGGTCAGGAACTGTTATTTATCTTTAGATACCCCGAATGAATCTGTTCTGCTTTTCCTCTCTAATTCACTGTTTATTTTAATCTTACTCCGAGCTTTCTCCATTCACCCCGATTCATCTTCACATAACCTATCTCTTCGCAAATGGCGTCTCGGAAATGCGCAGCTGTGGTCGTGGGCGCTGGCCCGGCCGGCGTCGCAGTCATGGGAAACTTGCTAGAGCGCCAGATCGGCACGATAGCCTGGATCGATCCCAGCTTCGAGTCCGGTCGTGTCAACCGGAAATACCGCGAAGTTCCTAGGTTCGTGATATATACCACTAGATACACCGGACAGGCCACTAACAAGCCTCCAGCAACACCAAAGTAGCCCTCTTCCAGGCCTACGCCACAGCAACACAGCCCTTCAAGACCATCGTCGAGAACTCATGTCTCCCAAATGCATTCTCATCCATGGCCAAACTGGACCAGGAAAAGACCTGCCACCTCCACTACGCCGCCGACATGGTCCGCGACCTAACAGACGGCCTGAGGAAGATGGATTCCGTCTACGCCTACCGCGGCTTCGTCACCGCCGCCAACCTCGTCGAGAAGGTAAAACCACAACACCCGCATATCGACACATCCGAGAATGCTAACACCGACCCCCAGACCTCAGACAACAAATGGACCGTCCGTGTAAAACGTCATGACTCAGAAGATGAGCTCGAAATCGAAACTTCCCGCCTCATTCTCTGCACAGGTTCCCACCCAACCAACATTCCCGTCCCAATCCCTGGCCTAGACATCTTCCGCCTAGACCTCGACACAGTCCTGAAACCCTCCGAACTAGCAGAAACTCTTCCCAAATCACACCCTTCCACAGTCGCCGTCGTTGGCGCCTCCCACTCCGCCATCCTAGCAATCTTAAACCTAGTCACTCTCGCCCGCGAATCTCATCCTCACCTCCGCATCAAATGGTTCACCCGCCACCCACTCCGCTACGCCGAGTACATGGACGGCTGGATCCTGCGCGATAACACAGGGTTGAAGGGTTCAGCAGCGGACTTTGCGCGTGCGCAGCTTGAAGATGGCGTATTGAGTACTTCGCCTGCTGGACAGGTTTTGGACAAGGTTGATTGTGGTGAGGGCAAGGAGGCCGAGATGTATGCCAAGTATTTGCCGGAGTGTTCGCACATTGTGTCTGCGGTTGGGTTCACGAGGGATCCGTTACCGCAGCTTGTTAAGGATGGGAGGCCGCTTGCTATGGAGTTTGATCATGAGTCTGGGCAGTTCCATGAGCAGGCTGGTGGGAAAGGCATCCCCGGGTTGTTTGGTGCTGGAATTGCTTTCCCGGAGCGAGTTGTTGACCCCTATGGCAATGTTGAGTATGCGGTGGGATTCTTTAAGTTTATGAAGTTCTTGAAGAGGGTCACGCCGGCTTGGGGTCCGGCGTAGGCTCTTTTCTGTGGTTTTCTTTTTCTCATGCAAGGCTGTGCCTTGGTTGAGGTATTCTTATGGTGTCATGATTCAACATACCCGGCGCTATGTGATGGGTGTTTATATTCCTATTTTCTTTACGGGCTGGGATTGAGCCTTTTATCATCAGTTGATTGTTACTTCAGCTCCAGGTCATCTGGTATAGTGGTTGAGACAAATCAAATATCAGTTCACAAGAGTCGCGAGGTCTTCATTATTATGTCCATCGAGTTTGCAATAGCAGTAACTCCGGTCCAATTTGTCCATGCAAATCCGTAAATCGTCAATCCGGTCCATATTCAACGTCAATTCATGAATCTCAGATTACCCGTCCGTCCTACTCCCCGGCATCATCCACATTTATAGAAAGTGACCCGATTACAGTGCCATCAGGACACCCACGAAGCCAAGCGCAGCAACAGCACCGCCAACAGGGCGCACATTACCCGCACCGTTGACATTGCTCACATCCGTCTGCCGGGGGAAGTCAGTGCTGGTACCGGTAGCAGTAGCTCGGTATTCGCTCTGGCTAACAACAGCCTTCGCATCATATCCAGTGGCAGTAACAGTCCAGCTGGTCGAGGACTGAGACCAGGTGAGAACAGTGCCACTGGGAGGCGCAGTAACGGTGCCAGCAACATTGTGCAGAGTAGAGGTTCCGTTCTTGGGGAAATCACCGGGCTTATAGAATTTGTCGGACGAGTCGTTGAAACCGATGTCCTGGCACTTCAGGTTATCCAGTGTCGAGTCGCAGGTGTCCCAGGCCCAGTTGGGAATCGAGTTGTACAGGTTCGGCAGGTCACCAGGGAAGAAGACGCCCCAGAGGTTGGCGCCAGCGAGCGTGGGGACAGTGTCGGGGCAGACTTCCCAGGCACTGCGATGTGTGAGCTTGATTTTCTTTTTTTTTTTTTTTTTTTTTTGATCCAATAGATTAAGGTCATGGCTTACGCAGAGTAACTGGCACTGGCACCGCAGCATGCGCATTCGGTGGCTTGATTCGCGATATTGAGCCCGTTGCCCAGGTTCGCAAGGTTGCCACTGCTAGCTTCGTTGACTGTTTGGTCGGTGACGTTCTTCATGCAAGTCATCTGCTCCTTACGCGCTGTCAGGGTGTTTTGGAGCACCTTGCCCAGATCGCAGGAGCAGCGGTTTGGTGCGTTATCCGGCGCAGGCCAGAAGGGGATCGGTTCGGCGGCGCTCGGGCATACTGCGAAATATTGTTGCACGAAGAGTTGGTACTCGCAAGAATAGACCTGGATTTAATATCAGTATATGGCCACTTCAGTCAATTGAGGCTATCTTACTTGGTTCCAGCAGGTCTCAGCCATGCAGTTGATATACTGCTGGTGCGCGGTACAGCCGCAGTCCACCATGCAGTCGCCATCACCTCTGCAGTCTGTCACACAAGTGCCCCATTTGTTGGCGACATCGCGGTTGCAGGAGTCGTAGCTCGACCCGTCAGCGCAAGCATTGTTTGTAATGTTGGTCTGGGCTTGAGCCACGCTCGCGAAGCCAGCGAGAACCGCAGCAGACAAGGTAAAGTAGACGCTCGGCATGGCGAAAAGTAAAATCCAGAAAGTAATATTGTAAGGTACTTAAACACCAATCTTTGCTGGGCCGCGCTGGTTGGAAAAAATATCTTAGTCTCCTGCTGAGACTCAGTCTCGAGGCATTGCACGCGCACTTATATAGGCCGATCAATACGATGACACAGGAACTGTCGGATCCTCGGTGGCTTATGCATGATACCTAGGCGAAACGATCATTCTGAACCGAACTGTCATCGTTGGCACATTGATCCTGCAGCGTCGTACGGGAACCCGATGGGGGTGAGCAGACGTGGCCATTCAGCATCGTCGGACAGTGCCAGGAACCCAGGTTCAATGCCCATGCGCACATATCTCACATGTAGGCAGTCACTTTTATGCTTGCCAGATTGGATGCATCAGACATAGAGGAGAATTGCGAGTTGTGAAGAGTGAGGTTTTCTATGGTTCGGTGCACTATGCCAGGGCGCCCTTGCGGCGGTCGCTACGAGGTGGGGCCACTTACTTCCGAACATGAATCGGTGAGATGAACCTTGCATGCGCATGGATTTTCACCATTGTACCATGGTGAGCTGGGCTGAAGGGCTTGGTGTCTTTTTCCTTCTTTCCCCGTGGCTCCCTGGATTCGCGGACGATTTACATAGTAAACCGTGTCCCCTTCGGCAGGTTTTAGGAAAAGGAAGGTTTGATCTTGGAATCATGCGGTGCCGGGATTCGAGATGCCAAGATGCAGGCTAGATTGACCCCCTTGTCAGGGTTCGGTGTCTGGTGTAGCCTCGCATCATGATGGCATGGCTGAGGATCGAACAAGTATTCATCGTGAGACACCAAATCATACAATAACTTGCGATAACGATTGAGCTTTGTAGTCTCGCAGGAGCTGATTATTGTTGAGGCTGATGATGAAGTAAGTATAAGCATTGACACCCGAAAGCCCCGAATTAGGAACCATTGCGATATCACCTGATGAGGCTGAGCTAGTGACGAAGGCAGTGCTACCGAACCATGACAGCGAGAGAGACTTTGTCGGCTTGAGTGTCAGTGGCCTGAGAACCGATCTATAGCTAGATGATCGCAACTAGCCCTTGAATACTCCGACCAGGAGCAAGATGCTTCGCCACGAACATTCTAGGTTCATGCTAGCAATGCAGCGCAGCCTAAAGCAGGCTTCCAAGAGACACTGACCGAGTCAGATATCTGATCTTCGGAAGTTTGATCAGAAATAAGCTAGGCTTCGGAGACATGAACCGGCCTTCAAGAGGCTGCGAAGTATAAGACCGAACCATCTTGATCCGGCAGATCCCATGGTCACAGGCCAATTATAACTGATCTTTTCCCTCCAACGAGGCATGCTTCAACTTATAGCTTCTATAGCAGACAGAAAAAAGAGTCCAGCCGAATCGAAGCTCTATCTGAGTTCCCGCACGATCGAATAACTTGACCTTGTACTTTTCATCTCAGCCAAGGTCCCACGCCTTGTATTTTAATCAGTAAAGTTCGTAATATTGACTCAAGGCTCGTAATCTGTGCAGGTGAACCGATCCAAGAAACAACCTCTCACGGACCCCAAGAATCCCATTCCACAAGGAGAGAAAAATCAACCCGATAAATTTAAATCAAACCATGACCGTAAACGCACACTTCCAACACTAAGCGCCTTCTTTCTCAATCCTGCATCTTCCCATCTACACAGGGAACCCAAAGCCAAGCCCAAGCCCAGTTCCCAAACCACATGGCCATGTGCCGAACCCGCCTACGCAGCAGCGTCCAGTCAGAAAAAAAACAAAAACGATGCGAACTTGAAACTCTACAAAAGCACGGGACATCGCGAGCAGCTTCAAACCGAGCCCTGCGATCGTAACAGGACAATCCAAAGGCACCCAAGCATAGCAGGGATTCCCCCATATTCCTGTCAGCACCTCGGCAATACACTTGCAGATCCGTGATCACCTCTCCCTTCCTCACCTCACCCCCTTATCCCTTCCCCCATCCTAGCAGTCGATATGAGAAGCTAGGAGGTCCAAAGCATAAATACACTCCATCGCGCATAGGAATGACGTCCATACCCAAACTCTCGAAATTCAAATCAAATCATCAGGGCTTAATGTGGAGCGAAAGAAAGGGAAAAAAAAATCGCCCCTCACGGACAATTGCCGCTAAGCCGTTGGCCCCACGCGCCGTGGGTCTAAGTTGCGACCTAAACTAGTGTGTGAGTTGATCCTCATTATTCTCTCTTGTTTTTTGTTTTGTTTTGGTCCGTGATCGTGTGTCATGTTGGTCATCCCTTACTCGGTGAGAGGGTAAGGGCTGGGTTTGTTATTGTTCGCTCGGGACTTCTTCGTATCTTCGGACCTTCGTACTGTTTTCTAGTTTCTTTTTCTGTTCTCTGGTTTATCGCGGGCTAAGGCGAGATGTTATCTCCGGTTGACCCACCGTTCTCAATGGGGCAACCTCGGGCGTTAAATGGATTTCCGAGACCTTCCTGATTTTACGTTGGTGGCATTGTGCTGTATTTTTAGGTTATAGTATACTATTTACGGATGCATCCAGGTAACTGTCAAAATTTCATACACATTAAATTGGTAAAGAGTACATTCGTGAGAACATGTTAAAAAAGAATGGCCCAAGCACCATCGATGATTAAAACCCGTCTGACACAGGGGTATGTGCAATGTCAGACAGATTGACTAAAGATTGGCCCAATGCAAAAATGCAATCCAAGAACGCAAGTCCAAGTCTGAATGGAAAATGTACAAGGCGGTTCACACCTATAGAATGGTCATTTTACAGGAAGGCAATGGCGCCGGCGACAACGGCCATCATGCCGCCGGAGACGCGGTTGGCGAGTCCGCCGTTGGTGGCGGGCACGGAGGTCTGCGACGATGAGGCAGAGGCGGTGCTGCTGGAGGCGGAGTCCGAGCTGGAAGTGGTGGTTGAGTCGGCGCTGGTGGAAGCGGCGGTGCTGGTGCTCTCGGTCTGAGTCTCGGTGCTGGTGGTGCTGGTGGTGCTGGTGGTCATGGTGGTCATGGTGGTGGCAGCGGAGCTTGAGCTTGAGGTAGAGCTGGTGCTGCTGGTGCTAGTGCTGGTGCTGGAGCTGGTGGTAGTGGTCGACTCAGAAGTGGTAGTCGAGGTGGCCGAGGTGGTGGCCGCGGCAGTAGGAGTCGCCGCGGCAGTAGCTCCGGTGACGGTAAAGCGAGGCAGGAAGTTGTAGTTGCTCGAGTCCTCATCAGAGATGATCTCGATAGTGTACCAGTCGGTGTTCACATCGTCAGGGACGGTCCAAGTGTAGCTTCCATCATTGTCGATATCAGCTATCATGATGGGTTAGTTCTGATATCATGGCGGAGACGGGTTGGCTAAGACCAAAAAAAACTCACAAGCTATGGCATCGCCGCTGGTGGAAGTAGTCACAGAACCCTGCTGCAGGCGCAGACTGACGGACCCGCTAGTAGTAGGCCTCCACTTCAGAGTGGTGGCCTCGCCAACAGTAAAGGAATATCCATTGCCGGAAATCTCAAAAGGGTTGGCCTTGCTGTTGGCGGCAACAACAGCCGCAAGAGCGGAGACAGTCAGGCAGATGAAAGAGCGCATTGTGACTTAATAGAAGAACCAAGGTCTAGAGATGGAGAAAAGGGGTGGGAATGAATGAATGAATGAATGAAATGAAATGACTGGGAATTAATAGTCAGAGAATGCGAGAGTTTAAATGAGCGTAGCGCGAGTCTAGTGAATGACACAAAAAGAGGCAAAAGGTCAAGAGGCTCCGAAGCGAGGCTCCGTCTATATAAGAGGGTGCTGCGCCCATAGTCATCCGCTTGTAGGAAGGCACCGGGAGCACTAGACGGATATCAATAAATAGCGCGAGGGCGGGCGCTACTAGGATTGGATGGAGAACACCCCTAAAAGGGCAAACCAGGGAATTGCGTCGGACTGCGCGTGGCGGAGATCCACGATATACCCGAGCGTGGCTAAGATTGGTCACGTCCAGGGCTCAGTTCGACGCTTGGCGTATTCTTTCACCAGTGATGAGCCTCGCTTCAAGTGTACCTTAAATGACATGCTCCACACTGTGTTCAGGACCGTGTCTGTATTTGGGTATTGACTCGGCTAGACTTGCTGGGTCCCTCTAGGCAGTACTTCGGACTTTCTCCTCTTTTTTTTTTTTTGCCTTCGTCCGTGGTTTGGCTTCCTGCTCGGCCCGGGCTATAATTGGAAATCTGGAACATGACCTGGATATGTGATAGGAATGCCTTTCAATACTGTAGATTCCAAAATGTGGATGCGCAAAAAATGGTGATCATTGCCGGCCCCCCAAAGTCCACGCGAGTCAAACTGACCCCCGGACTTCTAAATCAGCCTGCCCCTTTTGACCCCTGTTCCCGTGCGCTTGGTGCTGCCTATACCTACATAAACGAGAAGGAAAAATAGAACAAAATGAAAACTACCAATATGTGCTCGTAAACGTGCTCCGGTAGAGCCCGTAAGGGTATCCGATTTATTGCGGGGCGCCGTTCGCCTGCGAACTGATCGAGGGTTCTAGCAGGCCATTTTGCCCCAGCCAGCTGATCACTTCCATGGCTCGGCGATCCTCATCTTCTTTTTGCCGGTCCAGTAGCTTTGGTTAGGTTAGTTGGTGGAAAGCTTGGTTGAAAAAAAAAATAAAGAATAAAAAACCCCCAGTAATGGGAAAGAGTGACACTTACTGCCTGAAGAAGTCCCTTGCGCCCCTTCTTTTCAACTGTCTTAGCCTTGGCCTTGGGGCCGCGCTCGGAGGCCTCGTGTGAGAATTGGCAGCTGTCTCCCCGGTTACACTGTCCGCTACGAGCGAAATGGCGGCATCGGATCTTCTTGCTTTCGCGAGGGGGTGGAGGAACCCTTTCGGGTCCCTGGCGACGTGAACTAGCTTCCTCTGGGGCTGCGTCGACATCGCTGTCCGACTCGAATTCAGACTCCGAGCCACTGGACGAGGTCCAGTCGTTAGCGTCAGACACATCGGATGAGAGATCCATGCCGCTCTCTAGACGGTTGACTGTGGCGTTCACCGTCTCGGCAGGAATAGAACTGGTATCAACAAGCTGAGAATCAACCGCTTTCGCCGTGTCCATGGCGTCTAGAGCCATGGGATCCACAGCGTCAGCTGAATCGGATGCTTCATTTTTCTGGTCTGCTTCTGGCTTGCTTTCGGGAGCGACTGAACCATTGACTTGAGTAGGTTCATTCAGGCCCTGTGCCTGTCTCTGTAGGGCTTCGACCTTGAGACGAGCCGCTTCTGCTGCCGCCTCGGCCTTGGCGAATCGTTTCTGCTCTCGGTCGAGGTTGCGCCGTATTTTGTCAGCCTTGCGCTGCGCCTTCATTGCCTCGTCGAGCGCTGGATCTGCAGCCTCTTCGGATTTTTGCTCGAGCTGTTTCTGCTTGAACTTCTCTCTTTCCTTCTCTTTCTCGAGACGAGCGGCCTCGCGCGCGGCATCACGAGCAGCTTTGGCCTCTTCCATGGCCTTCTTCTTTTCGTCGACTCGAGCCTGCGTGGGAAATTTCTTCCTTCGTTCCGCAATCCAGGCTGCAATATCCGCAGCCGATTGCAGTTTGGCCGTTTGTCCCTTGTACATAAATTGAAGCGACGCAGCACCAGTACCGGGTTGGGCTAGTTTCGATTCCTCATCCGCATCCTCCTCTTCCTCGCTAGACTCGTGGTCTTCCGTTTTCGGGGTCAGGCCCAGCTGATTATGCTTCCTCTTCCTCTTCTTCGGCTTTCGCGTAGCATCCGCCGCGGGTGGTGGCTTCGATGGTAATGGATTGCCAAAACTTGGAACGGCCGGCGCAGCTGGTGTTCGCGGCGCCGTCGACTGAGGTTTATGAAAAGCTGACGAGTGATCCCGTTTGTGGTGGTTTCGCGATTTAGGTCCATTGTTTCCGTGCTGTTGAGGCCAAGAGCCTCGTCCATGTGCAGGCGGGGCTCCACCGTACGAGCCGGGAGGAGCCTGCATTTCTGAGCCCCAGGGCATAGCGCCCATCATCATGGGGTTTGCTGGTGGAGAGGCATGCTGGTGTGTTGAGGGTCCGGGAGGGTATGGCGTAGTGGGTGGTGTAGAGTAGGTGGAGTGTCCGATGTTCGGGGTATTAAATCCTGGCAACGGTTGATAGGCGGGCGAACCTGCAGGCTGTGAGAACGGTTGCGGAGACTGATATTGTGACGGATTCGGAGGGTGTTGGTAATTAGATTGCTGGTGAGGATAGGGCGGGGGAGTCATGTACGGCGTTGGCGGTGCTGGTTGAGCCGGATATCCATAGTTTCTAGGCGCGTAGTTGTACCCGGAGTTGTTGGGATAGGAGGACCGGCCACTGTCCGGGTGGTGATGTCCACCACCTCCACGACCTCGATTTCCACGGCCGCGGCCGCGTCCACCAGCTCCGCGTCCATTCCACTGTCCAGGCGGCGCGGAGGGGGGATAGGCTGGCTGTTGAGAGGTCGGAGGAGGGGGTGGTGGTGGAGGAAATGAAAACCCCTGGGAGGTCATAGTTGCCCTGGCCAAGGTCCCAGCGCAATAAGCCGGACTTTACACCATGGCGCAGAAAATGATATCTGCATGGCGCGATTTTTTTTTCGAGCTCTAACTTTTTGACAGCTGCGGAGGTCACGTGAATGCGGGATCCGCACTGGTGAACAATCGTGACTTTTTTTGGTTTCACTGATGCTGGTCATAGTCGAGAGCACATGTGTTTCTCCTCTTTGCATAACAATTCTCCTTCTTCACTTTCTCCATAATGTTCATTCTGGTATGTTCGTCTGCCCTCGCTGGCGTGATATGATGCTCACTGACTGCCGCAGACCACCATCTCAGATCTGATCCAGATCTCACCTGAGGACTTTTCAAAGTACAGTGCCGTGGCTATTGAAGATAATATTAACGAAAAATATGCCAACAAGGTGTGTGACTCGAGGCCCGAGTCCAACTTGATCATTTCTGACAATTTTTAGGTCATTCAAAAAATCGGTCTATGCGTCAGCTTTTATGACCTCCTCGAGTCCTCAGATGGTCTGATCGGCCATGGAACAGGCCTCGTCAATGTCAATGGTAGGCAATCTCACATTACTTGTCAAAAGAAATCCTGCTGACCAGCCAGTTAAATTCCGCATGATCGTCTTCCGGCCCTTCAAGGGCGAGATCATGATGGGCAAGATCGCCAGCGGCACGGAGCATGGCATCAAAAGTGTGTATTCATCGATTCCATTTGCAAGATCTGCCTCGTTTACTGATTTAACCCAGTTGCCGTTGAGTTTTTCAATGATATCCTGATCCCCCCAGGCCTGCTCCTTGACAATGCTAGATTGTGAGTCAGACCTTCTCGTCTTTATGGCCATTGCACTAACCCGACTCAGTGACTATGCGGATCAAGTCTGGACCTGGGTGAACGATGATGGATCCACGTTCTACTTTGATGTCGGAGAAATTGTCCGTTTCCGCGTTGAGACGGAAGAGTGGCATGACCAGATCCCCAACGCACCTGAGCTCGCTGATATGCCTGTTCAGGAAAGGAAGCCTCCGTATTCCATTATTGTACGTGACACTGTATTTCGCTGGTGTCGGATTTGGCTGACTGATATATTAGGGCTCGATGCAGATGGCCGGCCTCGGGCCCGTTGCTTGGTGGTGAAGTGCATTTATAATATACGGGCGCTCCATTTCCTTAGTAGTCAGATCAGATACCCATGGCCCAGTGGCCAGCAAAATTCAGGAGAACATTCATAGACACCCCCGGATACTACATTCCAGACTTACTTGGCCATTGGTAATTAGTAATTGGTAATCATGATGAGCTCTCGGACTCCGGGACTTCATGCAATAAGACACCATTGTACGGGGCTGAAGGACTGCGATGGCGCAATATGTAGGCACCAGGCAGGTACACGCCACGGTGCTTTGGCCGGGAAATGCCATTCAACTTGTCTACTCCGTAGGCCCTGATTAGTGCATCAACAAACATAATCTCCGAAACACGGCATACTCCAATTCTTCGATCCTATCTAGGTAATCTTGACCGGGCTAGAGTTCACCGATCACTCCGATCTTTCGGAGTGTTCAGACTTTTCGCCGAAACAATCGCGGCTACACCCGGTAAAAAGACCCAATTGTGGATCATTTGGCGGCTCTGAGCCACTCACGACAAGGCGATTGATCGTCTTATGCTGCAAGAACCGTTGGCAACGTAAAAGAAATAGAGATTGAGCTAGAGTTTTTTTTGGAGGCGAAACAATAAACCACGTTCCTTCCCTTGGCTCACAAGGTTTTCTCCCTGCTTTGGTGCTTGATAATCACAGCTCGAGTTCCAAGTGCGGTGATCTCATCGTATCCTTCATAAATCACCTCATAGACGCTTCCGGCCTTTCTTTCTCTTTATATCTTCATCTTTTGCATTGCATCTCCCCATCTTCACATACCTTCACAATGGGCTCCATGGAGAACGGTCACTCTACTGAGCGCCGCTTCGGCACGCTCGCTGTCCACGCTGGTGCCCCTCACGACCCTGTCACCGGTGCTGTCATTGCTCCTGTATGTTTGCGCCTCCGCCTCTACGACTCTGGGACTATCGCTAACAATCCTATAGATCTCCCTATCTACCACCTTCGCCCAGACCAGTGTCGGTAGCCCCGTCGGTCTGTACGAGTACACTCGCAGCTCCAACCCTAACCGGTTCGTCTCTAGCCCCAGCCTTCAGCGCCCAATTCGCCCGCTAACCTTCGCAGGGATAACTTCGAGACTGCTGTGGCCGCCCTCGAGCACGCCAAGTACGCCCTTGCCTATTCCTCTGGCTCCGCTACCACCGCGAACATCCTGCAATCCCTCGCCCGCGGGTCGCACGTCGTCTCGGTCTCCGACGTATACGGTGGAACTCACCGATACTTCACAAAGGTCGCCGACGCTCACGGCGTCACTGTGACCTTCTCCCCCACCATTGAGCTGCACGTCGAGGAATTGATTCGCCCTGGCGAGACCAAGCTCGTCTGGATCGAGACCCCTTCCAACCCCACACTCGGCCTGGTCGATATCAAGGCCGTTGCCGATATCGCCCACCGCCATGGCATTCTGGTCGTTGTCGATAACACCTTCATGAGCCCCTACGTCCAAAATCCGCTCGATCACGGCGCTGACATCGTCGTCCACTCCGTCACCAAGTACATCAATGGTCACTCCGATGTCTTGATGGGTGTCGCCGCTTTCAACTCCGAGGACCTTAAGGAGCGTCTTTCTTTCCTCCAGAACGCCATTGGTGCCGTTCCCTCGCCCTTCGACTGCTGGCTCGCTCACCGTGGTCTGAAGACCCTGCACCTGCGCGCTCGCGAGGCTAGCAAGAACGCCACCGCTGTGGCTAAGGCTCTTGAGGCTTCCCAACATGTCATCTCCGTCAACTACCCCGGTATTGACTCCCACCCTCATCGCAAGATTGCTATCAAGCAGCACCGCGATGGTATGGGCGGTGGTATGCTCAGTTTCCGTATCAAGGGTGGCCAGACTGCCGCGCACAACTTCTGCAAGTACACCAAGGTCTTCACCCTGGCTGAGAGTCTGGGTGGTGTTGAGTCTCTTTGTGAGGTTCCCTCTAGCATGACCCACGCTGGTATCCCCAAGGACCAGCGTGAGGCTGCTGGTGTCTTTGACGACCTGGTCCGCATGAGCTGCGGTGTCGAGGACGCTGAGGATCTGTTGGCCGATGTCTTGCAGGCTTTGGAGAAGGCTGATAAGGCTAACGGTAGCGCTTGAACTACTTGCATTTTCGGTCGTACTTTGAATCTTGCATTATAATGAAAATAGATAATAGACGATTTTCTTTTGTTTTAGACGTTGGCGCTGGCATTGCACTGATGGCCAGCTGCAATACCTGAAGAAATACATTTTGGCATTTAATCTTTCCGACTTCTTGATATAGTGCTTCATAATTCGTAATAATATCTTGGCGACGTGCTCGATCGTTCTGTGTTAATCGTCCAGGTATCAATGTATTCATATGCTCCAGTCTACACTCCTAGGAATATCTCTCTTGAAAGTATCATAAAATCGCATTCCTGTTCATACCCCTCCTAGTATTTGTCTCGCATTCACTGGTATCCTTCCTGATCAACAATCATGTGTACGTTCTAGTTCATGATTCGGTTCACGAGAGTTGCTGCTCTCTCGTCGAGGGTTTTCCTCCTGTACGGGTCGTCGTCTGAGTCAGAGGCGGAGTAGACTTGGTCTTCAAGTTCATCATCGGTCTCATTGCCGTCATTGTAGTCGTCTTGGTAGTCAATCTGCTCGTAGTAGCCCATGTCCTCGAAGAATTTGTCGAGATTATCTTCCGGCCACTTTATCCTGGAGTCAAGCTCGATTTGTTGCACTCTCTTCTCGAGGGCCTCGAGGAAGGCGATTCGGGACTGAGAAGCATCGGAGAAATGCTGGATCGCTGGAGCGGTGATAGCAGCCTATGTCATTTTTGGTATGATTCATAGATGGAGCGTATTGAGGGTGAGAGAATGGAAGGAGCACACAGAAGACACACACCAGAAACGAATTCTGCCGGACTTTACTTGTTTTACTTTAACTGTGTAATTTATACTACCTTTTCATTTAAATCCCGCGCGTATTCATCTGAATTGGCCGGTTCCTAGTCATCGTATACTGCCTCAAGGGTGGGCCATCATTTGATTAGTCACCACAAAGGGCCCACTGCAATTTTTTGGATATGCTTCGCCGATGAGCACAGCTTCACAAGTTGACTCTGATTCATTCCACTGTTGCTCATTGCCGATCAATTGGTTACGTCTTTCTATCGAGGAGAGATAGAGACCCATACAGCGCCGATTTGTGCACAATAATATCATATCTGCCGGTGCCACACACAACATATATTCGACCGGAGACCACAGCGAGCAAGTCGATACTATGGCATTTAGCTTCGGATTTGCTGGCGATGATATCGACATCGACGATTCTGAGAATAACAGCGATATTCCCGATGTCGTCGTCCCCCAGGGCACGGCCAATTCTCTCCCTGAACTGGTCAAGGCTAGTCAACATGATATGAACGAGTTGGTACGTTTTTGACTTGAGAAAATACATAAAACTTCACTTCCATCTCAGATATCAAATTGCAGAACTGACTGGTAAAAAGCTTTCTATTCTTCCATCTCAAATATTTTACAATCGTCTCCCTATCAGCGAGACACCCATTGTCATTGCGCGCCGAGAAATTATCGATATCCGCACCCAATTGATGGCCGAGGACAGCGCAGAGCATGATAATGCAGAGCTGATCGCTGGTCTGGAAGAGGGTGACCTCAAGCCTAACTTCTACGAAGGTGGCTTCAAAACCTGGGAATGTGCCTTGGACCTTGCCAAGCTGGTTGCCAGTGAAAGTGCGGTTGTGGAGTCATTGGGCAACTCGCAGACCAATGTTCATATTATCGAGGTATTTACCGCTACTCATTTCATCCATCAATTTTACTGCTAACAGTACTACCCTGACCAGCTCGGTGCAGGCACTGCAGTCCCATCACTGGCTCTATTCGCCCATATCCTCGGCCAAACAGAGTCCGCGGGGGATGCCCCGCAGCGCAAAGCGCATTTCACCTTTGCCGACTACAATGACGCAGTCCTGCGTCTTGTCACGCTTCCCAATTTGCTTTTGACTTGGTGGAACTGCCGATCGGTGGCCACGTCAGAGGCTCTTGATGAAATGACCTCGGAAGAGGAATTGGACATTACGCCGGAGTTAGTAGATGACTTCAAGAATGACTTGACGCGCCGCGGGATCTCCATTGACTTCATCTCGGGTGCTTGGTCGCCCGAGTTCGTCGAATTCGTCTTCTCCACTCGCTGTGGGGGCGACTATAAGACGTTGGTCATGGCTAGCGAGACTATCTACTCGCCGACGTCTTTGACCGCTTTCTCGGAGACGCTCTTGGCGCTGCTGCGTCGTTCAAAGACTGATTCCGCGAATAGCCGGGCGTTGATTGCTGCGAAGAAGGTTTACTTCGGTGTCGGAGGTGGAGTGGATGAGTTCCTTGCCGTGTTGCGGAACGTCGGTGCCGATGAGCTGGAGGTGCAGCACAAGGTGGATGTCCAGTCGGAGGGTGTCGGCAGAGTCGTATTGGAGGTCTCGCTTGCTGCAGAGTAATGTGAACTAGAGGAATGATGAATATACCAACACCATAGACAAGGCCATTGAAGAGCGTCTTTGAACAAATGGAATTCAAATGATAAAGTGCCGGATCGAACTTCCAGTCCTAACGTATATGTACATGTTTTGCCTCCCTATTGCATGTCTATTCTGACAGCTCAAAACCACACCCTTTACTCGTAAAGCTTCTCCCGCGTAGCACCGGCAGCCTCAATCTCGGCGTTCTGGCGCTCATAATAAGCCTTGACCTTGCTCAGGTCGGCCTGGGAACCGGGTGCGACGTTGTAGGGGAAGCGAGAGTTGAGCATCCTATGAAGATAAAAGAGAAATTAGCAACGATATCTCATCACTGCAGACCTATTTCACGTACTCGGGGGTTCGCAAGTCGTAGGACTCGCGGGGTCCTTGACTGTGGAGGAGGTGGCGGTCCGCGGCCGCCTTCTCCATAAGAGCAGTGTGGATGGCATTGCGCTGCTCGAAGTCCTTCTCAGAGGGAGTGAACTTGCTGATCAGGCCGGAGATCCAGGACTCGGAGCCGGAGTCCTGGGTGGACTGGCTGATGCGGTAGAGGATGTATGCGGAGGCAATGCTGCCAACGGTGACGTAGAAGCTGCGCTGTTGGGTAGATATCACATATTAGCGACCTTTCAATTGGAATTGGGCGTTTTTTGAAGCTCGCCGGAGACTTCAAGGTCGGCCGCCGGGGGGGGGGTAGGAGCTTACGCCGATGCCTTCGTTCACGGGCTCAGCGTGGGCGGAGTGGGAGCCGAAACGACGGGGCGGCTGCTGCGCAGCAAGCCGCCGTGACGAGGCAGCGAAACGTCTGGCAGCGAACATGGCGGAGGGAGAATTGGAGGTTGTTCGAGTAGTGATGACCCTTCGGGCGGCCTTGATAGGATGAGACGAAGTTGCGAACAGACGAGATCACATGACGTTGTTCCTTTTGGGCCTAGCGTGTACGAGGGGTGCCAGTTGCCCGTTCCTACTAGATCTTACATTCGATTCATGGAGTTACTTGCAATGTTCCCAGAAAGCCGGGGTCTGCTCGAAATGCAAGAATCATGCGGTAGATGCAGAATCATGGGATGTGCAGGCGCCGTCTGCCGGGGGTGAATTCAACAGGATTCAACAGGGCGCCTCGAGAGCGATGCCTCACTTGAGCCATTTCTCTCCTAACAGCAAACCGGAGGGTCATTGGATACATCCATCTCTTTGCCAGTTAAGACAATACGTTTACTCGGGCAGTCTCTGGCTATCGGTTGAACATGTCAGAGTTGGGAGGGTCCCCACCGGTGTTTGCCCTATTGTCCATCGCGAACGCCCGACCCCATTGATGCCCAATGCCCCTATGGCGCACGACAATTGGTCTCGCTTCGGTTCGAAATCAAATATTTCGCCGCGCATCGCGGGTTGCGGATAAGCTGATCAGCATTGTACTGCGTCTGCGAGACCCGGTCGGTCTTGGGATGGGTATCGATATCCACCTAAGGCTCGGTCCGCATTCACACTTGCCCCCTAAGAGCGCTGGGGCACACTTTCGAGCACTATAGTACTTTTTCTTTTTTCTCTCAAATTCAACTCCCTTGCTCCCTAGTGGTACACTCAATCACTCTTTCCATACTCTCAAGATTGAGATTTGGACTTACCCGAACTGTACGCGTGCTGGAACGGGCAGCCTTGCTTTCGTGTATCGCGTTCATTTGCTCCCACTCGTCCGACATTACCTTAGGAAAACCGATTCTCTGCCCGATTGTCGCTCATACCGCGCAATCTTGCTCGTTATAGCATTCTAGGTCCTTGCCTTCCTCGTCTGACAGGCCTTTGGGCTATATCTTGAGACTCCGCCAGGGCAACCAAATGTACAGTGCAGAGAGCCCTATGAGTCAACAAACCTGAAATATACTCATCCTTCTATTGTTTTCTCTGATGCAGTGATTCGATTGGAAACACGTCTCCATCCAGAATTATCTACAGTCTACTTTGGGCACTCATATCTCTTCCACTATGGCAGCTGGTGGCAAGAAGGCTAAGGTCAAGGACAAATCTGGCAAGGCCGGGTCGGCCAAGCAGAAGATTAAAAAGACAAAGGCCCCGGAAGAGACAGAAAGTCAGACAACAACTGAATCTCCAGCTCCTGGCAGTCCGGAATCCGTGGTACAAGACCAAGACCTTGGTCAGCCATTAAAACCTGCGCTTGAACCGACTCCGGAAGCTACTGAATTGACCGAGATATCCACAGCATTCGGAAATGAGGAATGTGAGAACTCACAGACTCCTGACACTGCGACATATCAACAACCAGATGTAAAGGAAGATCATTTTGACATCGAAGCATTCACCTCGAAAGACAACGACGCGCCTGAATCACCTGTTGAACCCGTGGGACAGCCTGTCGCACCTGTTGACGTAGAAGAAAGCCAGCAAGCCGAAGAAAGTCACCAAGAGGAACATAGAAGCAAAGCACTTGTCACTTCTTCTCTGTTTGCTCCATATTCGCCTGCTCTGGTGCCATTGCCGTCGCCTTCTTTGACCGAGGCACGGTTTATGTCAAGCGCTTCACCAGAGTCCAGTTATTATCATCCTGCTCCCGCATACAACCCTTACACTGTGCCTTATACTGCACCTTACACTGCGCCTTACGCCGTACCTGCTCCATACATCTCGCCATACGGCTCACCCTACGCCTCGCCTTACGCTTCACCTTACGCTTCACCGATCCCGAAAGTTAGCAGTCCTCTGGCTCGCTCTCATTATCCGTATATGCCACCCGCCATGCCTCCTACTGCAACCCCGACGCCGCCACCTCCGCCGGTGGCACCAGCACCGCCGCCTCAAATGGCTCCTCCGGCACCACGGCCACCTTCGACAGCTCAAAGCTATACCTCGGCAGTGCACTCTCCTGTCATGAGCTCTGCTGGGGTTGTTACTCCATACGCTGGATATCCGCCTCAAGCACCCGATGGTCATTATATGCATCGAAGTTACAGCATGTCTGACCCTTCATATGCTGCATCCTTCCAGGCCATCCGAGACTTGGGCTTGGGTAATGGCCAGCCGCATGATAACGGCGCTATGTCGCCTCCGGAGAATGAAAGCGAACATATCGAACTTCTCCAGCGAATTCAATCGGCCCTTCCTGACATCGACCGCCTCTTGCATGGGTTCCGAAACACTCATACCCGGTTAGCAGGCCGGGAAGCTGAGATGAAGCAGATTGGAAACCAGCATGAGCAAGCTTTGATGCACAAAGAGTTCTATATTGAGGCTTTGCAAGCACAGATGAAGAAGACGGCAAATGAAAGTGCCGAAGAAAGCGCTAAGCTCAAGAACACCATCAACGAGCTCCGACTCGAGCTAGGAAACCTCCAAGAGAAGCAAAGGGACTTCGAAGACGGTTTGGCGACTCACCAAAAGTCCAACGAGGAGCTCTCGCAAAGCAAGTCCGACCTCGAGGCAGATATCGCCAAGTTGAACACCAGCATCCAAGAGGCGAAGGATGCCCATGCGAAAGAATTGGAGGCGCAGAAGGAAGAGCACGACAAAGCACTTGTCACCCAGAAGCAGGAGCTGACTGAGCTTTTCGAGGAAATTAAGAACGAGGACGAGAAAGCCGCAACTGAAACCTTGGAAAGTCGCGAGAAGAGCTTAATGGATCAACACGAGTCCCACAAAGCCGAATGGGAGAAGGAGAAAGCCCTTATGCAGGATTCTCTGGAGAACCAGCGCACCGAATTGGAGACCACCAAGTCAGAGCTTACTGCCAAGATTGCTGCATTGGAGTCCAAGGAGACCGAACTCGAAGAAAAATTGGCCGAGCTGACCTCCGTCCGCGAGGAAGTTGCATCCAAGATTACCGAGTTGGAGACAAAGGATAAAGAGTTGGAAGAAACCCGTACCAAAAAGGCCGAGGAACTCGAGACATTCCAGAATGGCCATGCTGGCGAACTTGACTCCCTACGAAGCACCCATGCCGAGGAACTTGCTGCCGCTGCCAAGGGTCTTGATGACAAGATTGCTGCCATTGAGGCAGAGTTAAATGAGAAGGAGCAGCAATGGACCGCGGAGCGAAGTGCTTTTGAGAAGCTGCTCTCTGAGAAAGACGGTGAACTCTCGAGCGTGGAACGTGAGAAGGAACAGCTCGAAGGAGACAACAACGTCAAGGAGCAGCAACTTCAGCGTGCAGTGGATGAGATGCGGTTCACCATTGATCATCTCGACAAAGACTGCGAGCGCTTGAGGAAGACTCTGAGCAGCCTTGGAGAGGCCACTGATCTCAAGACCACGAAGGGCGACCAATTCTTGTAAGTAGGCCCATGGTTTACGACTTGATGTTTATGCTTCATTTTTATCATGATCATGTCAATGTTCATGTTCATCTCTCTCTCTTCTCATGTTTTCTTTATTTCTGTGACGAGACCGACCCATACCTTCCTTCATGTCTTTGCTAGAACTGCATGTTTATAACACCATAGAATGTACATGTTCTAATTAGCCTTCTACTTTAGTTTGGACTGCTTCACCCAGCTTTCATCTTTGATCCACGATCTCTGCAAAGAGCACTTCGCCTATCTCCCAATCGACCCGCCAAAGGACATCCTCTCCAAAATCCCTTCAGAGCTACCTTCTTTCCTCGACAACACCGTCGCCTCTCGCGATCTCCGCTGCGCCTACATCAAACATGTTGTATCCAAGACAATCACCTACCGCGTGTTCCAGCCCTTTTTGTTCACCCTAGGCCGAAGGTACGACAAAGCCGACACTTTCTTCCAGATGCTGTCTATGGACATCCGCCGCAAGTCCGTCCGCCGCGAGGCATTCTGGCGACAACAGACCCTTAAAGCAGCCTACACCACCTCGGACGCCAAGCAATCTATCAATGTTGCCGCAGCTGTGATCGTGGATGAGATCATCGACCATATCAAGCACTTCGCCGACCCCAAACACCTGGACTCCCTCTTGACCGGAGTCCGCAAGGTCGTAAAGCTGGCAGCTGAGTCTTGGCGCCACGCCCGGGTCGAGCGCGAGCTCGTCCTAGCATCCTTCCCGGCCCCAGATGCGGAAAGTGTTTCTAACGACGGCTGGTTGGAGTATGGAATCGCTAAAGATGCTACTCCCAATTCGACAATGGACCCTACCCGCCACGTTGTTCTGCGCACCTTTCCTCATATCTGGCGCGAGGCTGCACACGAGGACTTTGCTGGTGGCGAGCGGGCTCATCCATGCATCTACTCGCCTGGTGAGGTTTTGTATTCGGATTCTCCTGTCATCATGGCTCGTCTGCAAGAGTTGGCTAAGACGTCTTCTGAGGCCGTGGCTGCTCCAGTTCCGGCTGCTTCAGCTGCTCCACTTACTCCAGCTCCCCCAATTGCCCCGATTGCTCCCGTCGTTCCCGCCGCTCCCGTTGCTCAAGTTATTGCGGATCAGGCCCAGATGTCTCCACCTAAGACCCCGCCCAGAACTCCCAAGGGGTCTCACGAGAGCTTGCATCTCAAAGGTCGTGAGAGTCTACAACTCAAAGGCATTGAGCAACTGGCCGCTGCTCAGAAGCCGGCCCCGGCGAGGGTGTCGGTGCCATCGGCGCCCGCGAGTCCTCGCCCCAAGGAGCAGAGGGCTTGAAGTATGATTTCGTCAGATTTTTATTTCCCCAGTGTCTGACCAGTTTCCTATGTTTGCCTCTTCTTTCTCCCTGTATTGATTTCAGACTTTGTTTCGATGTTTTCTCCTTCTGTCACCAGCATTCAGCGATTGGGATCTGAGCGTTCATGTATGCTTTGATTTTGATGAAATTTCCTGTAAAGGAGAAGATTGTATACGCTTAGGGATGATTATTAGCTAGATATTTGCCATGGTATTTATTTTGTTGTTTTCTTGGAATGGAACTGCCCTCGTATGATGTGACATCGTAGCATCTCTGACGAGGGGCCCCACCGCGATCGAGATGATCCATGGACACGGTGCGGTTGGCGCACCGCCACGCGATGGTATAAACAAGCTCGTAGACCTTCAGCCCTATCGTGTGGCTCACAAGCCGACCCCACGAGGGGCTGAGAAGATAAGAATAGAATCTATGTGGCTCAGTCATGCACATCCCAGGGTGTACAGCCCGCTGCCCTCGCGGGGGTTGTTTCTCACGAGAGCGGTTCAGACCGGTTCAGACCGGTTCAGAGACGATCAACTGCTATACACATGTAGATTTAGAGATCGGTTATGAGAATAGTTCGCAGTTCCATGAACACTTGCGAAGCTACATAGCCGTGCCTGAGGGTAAGCGAAAACCGGATCGTGCAACGCGGGGCGCCAAGGATCGAGTGGGCGCTAAATGAGGCTCATTTGGAAATCGCAAGGCTGACCCGTCATTTCCTCTTTCTTTTTATCCCCCTAAAGCGCCCCATTCCAGTCATTCTCAATGTCCTAACTGGCTACTTATGCGCCCGGAGATGATATTGGATTCTGCCAGCTGTGTTCTCAACCCCAATCTTAAAATTGTTTGAATCTCTTCTCTCTTCCCCTCTTATTCTTTCCGCCCCCATCTTTGCAACTTGTTGCGCATGTGTGCATGATCCCTCAGCCTCGCCTGAGTAACGGCCCGCCTGAATAATCCAAAGATATCCTTTTCTCACTTGTAAAAAAAAAAAAAGGTGCTGACACCACAAGATCCCGATGAGTGGGACTCTATATAACTCCCCTGAACTGGCTCGGAGCGCTCTGCATCCTCATGATTTCCCTGTCAGCGCGGCTCCCACTGCTCCTCTATCACCTCCGTCCGAAGAAGGTACTCCAGATCTTCTTACTGTGTGGACCAAGCTAGGCGCACGCGACTTTCTGGACATGTCGACGCCGTCTGGCCAGTCGCCCACGCTGCATGAGCTGAACTCCGACCCGTATCTCTCTGCACCGTCCGATCCCGAGGAAAGCGACTTTCATGCTAGCGCTATTCGCTTAACTCCGGTCGGTGGGAGTCCAAATCACAGTTCGCCGAACGAAAGTCGACGCCCGTCGATCCAGTCGCAGACTCACTTGGGTCGCGAACATGAATATACATCGTCGAGGCCGAGCACGTATCTTGTGCCGTCGGACATCGAGCTGGTGAACGGCTCTGATTCTTGGCAAACCGAGGTCACCTCATCCTTCAGTGGAGGCGTAACGGCTCCAGCCGAAGATACAGGACGGCCATCGGCGATAGGCGTGAATACCTCGCATTTGCTCAGCGCAGAAAATACGATGCCGAGTCCGATATCTGCATCGGGCAGTTTGACTGTCCCGGGTAGTGCCACTACCATGCGTGGATCTTTTGCGACTCCTCAGCCGGGCCTCGGTATCTCTAATACGACATACGGTCCTCCGGGGCTCACAATTTCCACCGATCGCCAGTCAAGAGATGATTTGACCTCGCCTTCGCCAAGAGGAAGAAGCCCTATCGTCATGGTCAGTAAGGTGTCGCGGGGAGATTCCCCCGTTACTCATCAAAGACGTCCAAGTAGGTCAACAGTGCATCTCTCCCCGGGAGACATGTCTAGTGAATCTGGCCATGAAGACGATTACAGCGACGTGCGATCGGTTGGCTCACTCTCTGTGGCACGAACCCATAACGGCAACTGGATTCCTAATTCCACCACCGGTCTTGGAGGTCTCGATCCTATATCCCGGGGGGATGAGCTTGTGCCGAGCCCGAATGATCTCAAGAGTCAGCGCGAGCGCGAGCAGAAGAACGAATCCATTTCAATATGGACCGAAACCGTGAGCGTGGCGAGCAGTGAGGTGGGTGACGAGCCTCCTTTGACTCGACAGAAATCTCCAGCAACTAGGACGCGCCGAGCGCGGAGTACTGGTGATCGTCCTTTTCAGCAGGAGGACTATTTCAACTTACAGTTTACTTCTACCAATCGACCCGTGCTAGGACCCGGAGTCAAGGTATATGAGAGCAGCGAGGATGAAGTTCCTGGAGAGTCCGACGAAGCCGAAAGCATTCGTGCTGAGTCTCCTGCCGCTGATGCAACTCAGCTCAACCGGAACGATCGCTCAACACCTGAAATATATCATTCGCTTGAACAGACGGACTCCTGCGGGAACTTCTGTCTTTACCCCTGGCAGGATATTCCACGCGACTCAACACCCAGGGCCGAAGTGCTGCAACCGGGAAGTTCCAGCGCCGCCATGGTGGCATTTGAGAAGCGTGCGCGAGACCTGGAGACGGCATCACTAACGGCGACCATTGACAACAACAGTATCATCAATTTCGGGATGACCTTCGACAGATTATCCATCAATGATCAACCCAAAACCAAGGAGAGACGGAGTAACAGTCTTCTAAAGCGTCCTTTCTTCCAGCAGGCGTCCTCAAAACTAAAGCGTCAAGCGTCTGATCTTTCAATTTCCACCGTCCACACTGCTGCTCAACAACCCCCTCAAGAGCCCCAGCGCAAAGACAGCGGTTCACACCGTCACAGGCTGAGCTTGTCATCTAGATCGCATAAACACACGCGCTCCCCTAGCCTGACAAATGCTCTTATGTCTATGTCGGGTCAAATGGCGGCCATTGGAGGAAGTCACTCAGTTCAAGCCGTATCACCCAATCCAGAAGCGAGCTCTATGAGCCTCCCCAAGAGCCGTGTCCGAAGCCGAAGCGAGGTTCCCCGGCCTGTCACGCCGGGTTTGATGGATCTCATGACCACCCATGGTGGGCCCCCAGTCGCTGGTCTATATCGCTCTCCCATGTTGGAGGTGGGAGCTGAGCCAGCAAGTGCAGCTCCAAGACCCAACACTGCCGGCGCGGAAGATGAAGACGAAATTGACATGATCGATGACAAGGGCCAGGTGATGGACTTCCTACCTGTCTCTAGCCTGCCAGTGCCTACATTTGAAGGATTTAGGGCGCAGATCATGCAACTTAGTCCACGGCTCGAGCCTGCTCTAATCCATCGGTTTGCGCAGGCACAAGTGCGTCGTTATAGGCATCTGGTAGAATTGCAACAAAAGCACTCGGTTGCTGTTGCCAATCACTCATGCAAGGCTGGTAAATTTTGCTTTGCTCAAGGAGGCGAGGCGTCTTGGCCATCCCAGCGCCCTGCTGACACCCAGGCTGGACAAACCCGATTCCGGGTTGCTGACCATAGCACTAGCCACGGCCGCGACCAGCCTTACATTCTAGGTGAGGGAGCTATTGCCGCGGCTCAATTTCCTCCTGGTGTACCTCTTCCACCTGTCGATCGTCTACCCGCCGAATTCGAATGCCCGATTTGCTTTGAAGTCAAGAAGTTCTACAAGCCATCTGACTGGTCCAAACACGTCCATGAAGATGCGCAGCCCTTCACGTGCAGCTTCCCTCAGTGTAATGAACCCAAATCATTCAAGCGCAAGGCAGACTGGGTTCGGCATGAGAATGAGCGACATCGACAACTTGAATGGTGGACCTGCTCCAACTCCGAGTGCAGCCACACCTGTTATCGCAAGGACAACTTCGTCCAGCATCTAGTGCGGGAGCATAAGATGCTCGACCCTAAGGCAAAGAAAACCAAAGGATCGGCAGACGCAGGCGACGGTTTATCTGACAGCATGTGTGAACGGGAACTCAGTCGGCTCTGGAAGATAGTTGACGAGTGTCACCATGAAACAGAGAACACCTTGCGTCAAGAACCCTGTCGTTTCTGCGGGAACATCTGTGGATCCTGGAAAAAGCTAACGGTGCACCTGGGGAAACACATGGAACAACTTGCCATGCCAGTGCTGGAACTCGCCAAACAAAGTTGTGCCGCGCCGCCGAGCCAGGTCCACCAGGTGGACAAGGCCGGCAGGTCTGCCGAAACACAAGCCCCCCTCGCAGCACAGGCACAGTTTCACCCGCAACACGATCGCTCTGGAACGTCAGCCCATCTCGCACGGCCACAGCCACAATTTCCAACCAGCAATGCTAGCGCGCCGGCTAGCCAGCCCTTCTCCTATGAGATCCCTCTGCTTAACTACCCGTCTATTTCAGGCGGCGAACTATCAATGGAGCCGGAGTCGATTACCGATTCTCTCCAGCCCGGCGATCCTCAATTCGCAGGTGCAGGATACATGAACCAGTTCGGCCAAGGCACGCTCCACCCGCAAGCCCAGACCCACCCCCTGCATCAGAACTCGGTGACGTACCCACCGCCATACAACGCGGTCCCGCGCTCGAGGACGCCTGAAGCGAACGCTGCCATGCTGCCGCACTCGTATTCCCTCAGTTCCCACCTTGAAGGCTCGCTCTACCCCGCCACGGGTTATCCGGCATACCAGCCCGTGGCTCCCAACTCCCCCTACACGACGGGGCCCTATACCTCCAGCTACTCCAGCTATTCCTCTCAGATGTGATTGACGACATTCATGTTTCTTGCTTTCTTATTTTTCGATCTGCATTTCAAGGCGTGTGTATACGTGTATATACCCCTTTCTATCTTTTTGACCCCGGTCACTTGTCGGTTGATTGCAGCGAGTACGTCACGCCAATGGATGAATCCTTTAGAAAGGGATGACCTTTCCCTGTTGTTTACCTCGACCGATTAGGATGTTCCTCCGCCCTCGTGTGTCTTTCTATAGATAGCCTTTCCTCCTGTCTTCGCTTAGCCTGTCCGCTTGTAGTAGAAACCAGTTCGAGTCGGTATATCCCGCATGTGTGGAATGACGGAGCTCCGGACGATCTCTTCGGGTTTTGTGTACATATTTTCGGGGCCAGAGAATTCTGTCTCAGACCGGCGTGGCGTACGGATCCCCATGTGCATAGCATATGAGCCATCATATCTGTTGGCGGAACTCAGCCGACTAGAAGCCTAATTGCTACAGGGGGTTGGGGAGACCCTTACAAGGGGTGGGCCAGCCCTAGACCTAAGAGAGGACGCGTGGATGTCAAATGTCATCGTTTCAAGGCCGTGTGTCAAATGTTTATTCTTGATCCCTTGATACACGGCATGGCAATCGGGAAACGAGGTGCCGATCGTCCCTGTCACAGCCCGATTGGGATCCTGCAGCCACGCTCCGTGGAAATATTGAGGAATGCTTGGGGCGGAGAATGTGTTCGGCTATGTTTCATGCCATCTAGACCATCGGTGTATCGAGATATCGAGACATCGAGACATCGGCCTAATGAACGCCATCGGGATTCGGGAGTATATTTCACCAGTATGAGAAGGAGACGATCTCGCAGCCTCATGATCACCCGGGTGAAACCCCCCACAGTGCAGCGGGGCTGTGCAATCAAGGGATGACATGCACATTCCACGGCTTGTCTCATTTCAGACTTTCCTGGAGTTTCGTGTATTATCGCGCGGGTTTTGACGCGGTTCTGATGGCATTCCCTCCCTTGGTCCGCGTGGTTAAACCGGCTCGGGGCGAAGTGGAGTTCATCGGGTGCGTGTTTTTTTTTTTGTTTCTCGCGTGCGTTAGGTTTGCATGCACCTCGTTTTGTTAGGGGCTTTCCGAAAGGAGGGGAGCTGCATATCCTGCATTTATTTGCTGTCGTTGCCCGTTTTTTTGGTTTTTTTTTTTCCCTTTCTCTGCGTTCTTTTATTTTCGTCGTTCCGAGCCTTCAGTTGATATACCCATAGTCCCATAGTTGTTCGGACCGGTCGCCGATATACTAATCTACTCTTGACACTATGGGGGTCCGTTCACCCCTGCTTATCTGGGCTTCCTATTTACCTTGCTGACATCCTTTTAGGATCCTCAGATGAGCTGGCACGATTCTACAGACGTTCTGCAGGGTATCATGGTCGGTCCTGATGCTTGTCATCCCTCTGATCTCTCCGACTTTCGTCCCTCAGGCTTAGCTATGGGTGACTCGACATCGAATCCGCTACTCGAGTTGCATCTGGCTTCCCTGGAGAGCCAGAACCAGCCCGCCTTCATGAACCAGTGGAATTCAGATCCCCAGGACTTCTACTACCCCAACTACCCTTCTCGCCTGACGGGCGACCAGGATGCGTGGAACCCGCTGCAGGTCACCGGTGTCCCTAATCCCAAGTCCATGTCCCATATGAATATTTCAACTGTCGGCGACCCCGACTGCGGCTTCTCTAAACCTCACTATAGAACTCCTTCCGAGAGTGGGAGTCAGTATATGAGCAGTTTACATTCGGACTCCGGCTACGGAAGTACAAGCTGTGCAACACAGTCGATTGGAGCTTCTTCTTATGGCATGGACAACCTGTCGAGTCCCCATATCGGCGTGAAGGAATATGGGTTTGGCGACGCTGCCGCCATGTTTGATCAACCTCACCTCGGCCCTGCCTCCTTGTTTCCTGGAGACATGGACTATTCAGGGTCCATGGAGGGCTCCGTCAAATGTGACCACCCTTCTTGCGCATGGATTGGAAAGTGCCCATCCGATAAAAGGAAACACGAGGCACGTCATCAGAAGCTTTTCAAGTGTGACGAGCCCAACTGCGCTCGCAAAGAAGGCTTTGGCACCATCAACGACCTGGCTCGCCACAAGAAATGTGTGCACAATAAAGAGCCCGAGCGCGGCCCGAAAATGATGTATCTCTGCTTCGGGAAGAGCTGCCCACGGCCTAATAAGAAGTGGCCCCGACTGGATAACTTCAAGCAACACCTGAGCCGTATGCATAATGAGGAAGATGGCGAAGCCTTGCTGAAGAAGTAAGCACTCCCCACTTTATCTGTATTTACATAAACTAACCGAATCAGATCCATGGACTGGTATGAGACCGTCATCGGCCACCAGCCCAATCAACAACTCGACGACAGCCTTTCGCAGGATGACATTCTGAATGAGACACAGCAGGATCTGGGATCCGCCGAGATGGAACTGGATGCCATCGATGTGCATCACACCCAAGATAGTGTTGATTTCTTATCATCTCGGGCTGCGACACCCAGACCAATCTCAAATACTCAAACGACACATTTCCCTGCATTGGGATCACTGGGGCTCAGTGAGGCTCACAGCACCACAGCAGAACAGGCAAATACCAAGTCAGAAACATTTGTTTCGGACGCAGCGGATAATCTGATCAACGCGATGACAAAGATGATGAACAGCCGTGCTCGACGACCAAGCCAACACAGCGACGAGGGAATCGAGGTCGAGCTCGAGAACCCCCAACTATCCCAGCCTCAGCGCCAGATGCTACAGAAGGTTCTCTCAGCAGCCTTGGAGCGACTTTCCGATGACACCTCTTCGACGACCCCGGAAACCAACGATGATAAGCAAGATTGGTTCCAATGCGACATCTGCTCCAAACGCACTCGGCTGCGCTGTGAGATGAAGTAAGTCAATCTTCTAAGCAACAGCCATCCAAGCACATCTAACATTAAATTACCAGAAAACATCAAAAACGTCATGAGCGTCCTTATGGCTGCACATTTCCCCATTGTGCCAAATCCTTCGGCAGCAAAGCCGACTGGAAACGCCACGAAAGCTCCCAGCACCTCCACGTCGCAAGCTGGCTTTGTGGATCCCACGATTCCGCCAAGGGCTCTTCATGCGGCCGCATATTCTACCGCGAAGAAACCTACACCCAGCACCTCAACCAACAACATCGAATCCCCAAAACCCGAACCAAGTCCACCCTCAATGCCAGCCGCCTCGACCTAGCCAACCAATCGCAATTTTGGTGTGGCTTCTGCAACCGCACTATCGAACTCCGTAGTCACGGCCCTGCGGCGCTAGATGAGCGATTCAATCATATCGACATCGAACATTTCAAGAAGGGGGAGAGAGGCCGCGATTGGTGTTTTTCTTCTGGTGATGGACCGGTTATGGATAAGAGTGTGGCTGGTTCTTCACTAATCTCCGAGGGGAATAAGCGGAAGCGTAAGGCTTCCGAGTAATGTTTCATGTCTGTTTCGATTGGTTTAATAGAGAGTTGGTCGTTGCTTTAATCGACAATTTGTACAATCTGCCTCAAGGGTTTCCGTGCTCGTACATTTCCATATGAATTTCTCTCTTTTCAGGAGGATTTAGACTGTGGGTTACATTGTTGAATTTGTGAGTGATATAGTACAGTTCATTAGATCCATCCAAAGGGGAATCATTTCTTGGAGCCAGCTAGCTCCCGGGCCTTTTTCTCCAAGGCGGACATTTCTTCTAGGGCCTTGTTAGTACATCACATGAAAGTTCTATTGATAAAAGAGACGTACCATTCTTCTCCAGCTTGGACTCATCCATCTCAAGCTTCAGCCAGGACCAGTAGATCACCTGGTAAACGAGCACGGCACCCAAGAAGACCTTGCCGAAGGGGCGTGTAAAGGTCTTATATCTCGCCATCTGCACGATCAAATTAGTATATTATCCAAATTGTAGGTAGAAGACCCCCTCAAATCATTTAATCAGTAGGAAGAAACATACCCCTTCCCGGTAGGAACTTGGCTGTTGTGGTGACGAGTCAAGCCGGATGGGAGTGGTGGTCAACGTCCGCTTGCTAGGGGCAGATCGGCCTGGTGAGAAAATACCCATGGCACGGGGTGCCTGGCGGAAAGATTGTCGTAGCAACATTTTGAGCAGAATGGGGTGTATGTGATGGCTCTGGGGAATTTGATGAAGAGCTGGTCGCTCTGCGCGGTCTGGCGCTGGCGAAAGCGGTATAGCGCAGTTGCTGGATTGGGGAAAGCGGGCTTGGCGTTGAAGTACAGCTTTACTATTCGGAGTAATTGGGATAGGAATTTGGGCGTGGCTCCAATTGAATAGAGCTATAGCTTTACTGGCGGCGACAATAATTCCGTTGTTGCCCATGTCACACTTGATACAAATTAAGACGCTGTGGTCAGTCGCTCAAGTACTTCCCGCTGCTGCTCTCTTCAAGTGCATCGAGGAGAAACCTCGAAAAACAATCATATCCTCTAGTTTTAGGCATTCTGAAAAGAAACATCTAATGAGATGTCTTGGAAAAGAAAGGGAAAAAGACCTACGAAGACGGTTCAAAAGGGCCTAGGAAGAATGGTATACAGGGAGAATTGCTGAGTCAGCCATCACATGATATCAGGTCATTGAATTCTGGCGGGCAGCAAAGGAAGGGAGCCACAACCCAAATGTCATGGAGCTTCCGGCGGCTGCTGCTCCATGTTCCTGATTGCCTTCTGACACCTCCTTTCACAACCATGTCGCCCCAAGCTCCCAACCCCGATCGGGTCCGAAAGGTGCCGTACAGGGTATTGAATGGAAGAATACCGTTATTTTCTATTGACTGAAAGCTCTGAATGAACATCCTGAAGGGGAATCAATGGGGGCAGAATCCCCACCACGCAGAGACAGGGCGTCCCGAGTGCATTCATGATGTGGCACGTGCGGGATGACTAATTCTAGTTGAGCCACATGTGGCTGACGATAGCGAATGCGTGTGAACGCCTTGAATGCCTTCACGAGTCCCTTCCGCCCTACCCTCTGCCTGTTGATGCTTCTTTCTAAAAAAAAAGGCCTGCTTTCCGGTCCTTTTCCAATTATCTATTCCGCACTACCCACTCCCTAGGGGCCGTTCGTTTCCCGTTTTCCCGTTTTCTCACGCGTCGAGTCCGTGAGTGACCCTTCCCAACTCCAGAGCGGTCCACCATCGCTCCCGTCCGCGACAATCAGCCTGTCGATCAGCAATTGTCGTGGTGGACCTCGGTGGCCCCTGTTAAGTATTACTCCTACGGCCTACGTGCCTCTTGAGGTATCAGTGTCATCGCTGGACGAAGGCCTGTTTATCCTTTGTAAGCTCCCACCCACTTCCTTGCTACCGCGACTTCGACAAATCGGTTGTCCGATCTCGAGTGCACTATACCCTACGCTGGGACATCTTCACTTAGCTCTACCTCGTCAATATTTTCCTTCTGCTCCATCGTTAACATACTCGATCTCCAGTGAACTCCCTATCTCGGCCGTCTCGTCGCCATGCGCCACAACGCAAAACGCTCCCTCGAGGAGATCGTCAACAAGTCCGACTCAGATGACGAAGACTGGAGCGGTGGCGACGATCGCCCTGCTCGGCCCACCGCGCGCAAGTCCAAATCGAGCCCGCAAAAGAAGTCACGCCCCTCTAAGAAGCGCCAACGCCGTGCCTCTGATATCGTGTCCGATGATGACAGTCTCATCAGTAGTGATGAGCTTTCCAGCGTGGCTGCGTCTGAGTCCGAGGAGGAAGATCAGGATGATCCTAATATCCCTCGCAATGCGCGAGGAACCGCACGTCGACGAACCACCCAGAGCCGACCGCTCTACGAAGAGCCATCCGATGACGAGGAAACGCCTGCGGGTGATGAGGACGAAGATTCAAAATCCGCGATGGTTCCTCCAAGCCCGCTGAAGAGCACTATCGTCAAACTTAAAATCCCTCGTGCGGTTCTCCAAGATGCACAACTCTACAGCAGAAGGATCACTCGCCGTACGCGCGGCGCTTCGGAAGATATGTACGCTTTGACAAATTCAGGTCACCACATGCAGACCGTCGAACGAGGTACTCTTAGTCCAGAGGCACAAATTGGACATGGCACCCGCCGGTCCAGCCGAGGATCGAAGCAACCTGTAATCCACGAGGAGAGCATCGAAACGAGCGTTGTTCAAGAGGGCTCTCTGGAGATCCTAGAGAGCGATTTTCCTCAGAGTGGTGCCGAAGGCGATACAACAATGGCCAACGACGTTGACCAGGGCGATGTTGATATGACTCATGATTCGGGCGTAGTCCCGGAATCAGAGAATGAAGATGCCAAGATTGAAGAAGATGAGGATGAAGACGACGAAGGCCCTATCACCCGCCGACGAAGCCGACCTACTCGCAACGACCATGAGGAAGAGCCCGAGTCCGAGGAAAAACAGGGGGTTGAGCCGTCTGATCGACTTCGCCGATCTGGCCGTAAGAAACCATCTCGAAGCTCACAGCAAAAAGGCGAAGAGAGTGACTTCGAGCCCGAGGAAGGCGAAGGAGAGGAAGACGAGGATGATTCAGACTCCGTCCACTCCAGTGGCTCGCCCCGCAAGGGTAGCCGAGCTCTTGAAGAGGAAGAAAGCGTTGTTGTTGGTCGTCGTCCTGGCCTGCGAAAGCGCCCTGAACGGTCACGCGGTACATCTTACACTGCTGATGAGGCCGAAGAACTTGCTGATGAGCTTGAAGATTTGAAGGGTTCCAGGAAGACCCGGCGTCAAGCTGTTGCAGAAAAAGTTATCTACGATAAGCCAACGCGCACTCGCAAGCATGTCGATTATCGTCTCTTTCGCCCAGAGATCATGTTCAATCCCGAGGAGAATGATCATGATGGAGCGACTGAGTCTCCATCTCGCCGTGGGCGCGGCGGCGGTGGCGGCGGCTGGCAGCGCAACCTTCTCCCGACATTTGGGCCATTCGGCGGTGCTGGTCAATCGTCAATCCTTGGACCTCACGGTGCAGCTGCTACAACTGGAGGCGTTGACAGCGACAGCAGTGATGATGAAGGACAGGCCAAAAGTACCGGGCTTGCACCTGGTGGAGGTATCCTTGCCCCTCAGGGTCATGCAGGCGATGCTCAAGGCCTCTCTGGAACACCCGCCAACTTCGGCAAAATCAAGGACAAGCAGTCCTTGGCCGACGCGGACCCACTTGGAGTTGACATAAACGTCAACTTTGACAGCGTGGGAGGTTTGCAGGGCCACATCGATCAGCTGAAGGAGATGGTTTCCCTTCCCTTGTTGTATCCGGAGATCTTCCAACGCTTCCACATTACGCCCCCCGAGGTGTCTTGTTCCATGGACCTCCCGGTACCGGAAAGACGCTCTTGGCGCGTGCCCTGGCAAATAGTGTGAGTTCGGAAGGTCGCAAGGTGACGTTTTACATGCGAAAGGGCGCAGATGCATTGAGCAAATGGGTTGGCGAGGCTGAGCGTCAACTGCGACTTCTGTTCGAAGAGGCGCGCAAGACACAGCCCAGCATCATTTTCTTCGATGAGATTGATGGTAAGAAGCTCCTTCTTTTTGTCCCTACTCCTCTTTACTGACTTGATGTTTCTAGGACTGGCCCCTGTCCGATCTAGCAAACAGGAACAAATCCATGCCTCAATTGTCTCAACTCTTCTGGCGCTGATGGATGGCATGGACGGTCGTGGCCAAGTCATTGTTATCGGCGCTACGAACCGACCGGACTCCGTCGATCCTGCTCTTCGTCGCCCTGGTCGCTTTGACCGCGAATTCTATTTCCCATTGCCCAACCTCGACGGCCGACGTGCCATCCTCGACATTCATACCAAGGGCTGGGACCCTGCGCTCCCGAAGGATATCAAGGACGAGCTGGCCAAGATCACCAAGGGCTACGGAGGTGCTGACCTCCGAGCACTCTGCACGGAAGCCGCTCTTAATGCTGTGCAGCGCAAATACCCCCAGATCTACAAATCGGATAAGAAGCTCATCATTGATCCAAAGACCATCGATGTGATTCCCAAGGACTTTATGCTTGCAGTCAAGAAGATGGTTCCTTCCTCCGAACGTTCCACCGCATCTGGTGCATCCTCATTGCCTCAAAATGTGGAGCCTCTGCTTCGGCAGTCTTTGATTCAAATCGAGACTTCGCTCTCGGAGGTCCTCCCTCAGCGAAAGAAGCTCACGGCACTCGAGGAAGCCCAATTCGAAGAGCCCGACGATGGGAATGGATTCAAGCGAGAGCAAATGATCCAGGAATTCGATCGGTCGCGTGTCTTCCGACCACGTCTGCTTCTTCGAGGAGGATATGGCATGGGCCAGCAGTACCTTGCAGCCGCTCTGCTCCATCATTTCGAAGGGCTGCATGTTCAAGCATTCGATCTTCCTACTTTGCTCAGCGACTCCACCCGGTCACCCGAAGCAACGGTCATTCAGCTCTTCTCGGAAGTCAAGCGACATAAGCCCAGTGTGATTTATATCCCCAGTGTCCAGACCTGGGCCGAGACGGTTGGCCCGGCTGTCATTTCTACATTCCTCGGTCTCCTGCAGTCAATACCTGCGTCTGACCCAGTCTTGCTGCTCGGTGTTCTTGAGTCGGCAGACGATGAGATGGATCCCGTTCTTCTGAAGAAGATGTTCGGATTCTCCAAAAAGAACCTGTTTGACATTCAAGCCCCGGATCACACCGCTCGCCATGAGTTCTTCGCCAAGCTCGTCGAATACATCAAAACCCCTCCAGCTGACTTCCCCGATCCCGAGAATCGCAAGAAGCGCCAGCTCGAGGAATTGGAGGTCGCTCCACCCCCTCCCCCACAAGCTGAGGCGCAGATGAGCAAGGAGCAACTCAAGGCTCAGAAGAAGAAGGACCGGCACATTCTCAACTGTCTGAAGATTCGGATCCAGCCGATCATGGAGCAGCTAAGAAAATACAAGCGGTTCCGCTCTGGCGTGGTTGATGAAAACACCATCCGGTACTTGTGGGAGGAAGAGGACCCCGACATCGTGACCAGTGATTTGCCTCCTGATCAACAAGGGTTTGAGCGTCCAATTGAGAAGGCTTTCGACAAGCACGGTGTGGTTGGTCTTCGCGAGACTGCCACGGGTCGGTTCTTCTACAATCTGGATATCGTCATTATCGAGAAGCGCCTTTCGAATGGCTACTATAAGCGTCCCTCCGACTTCTTGGCCGATGTCAAGCGCATCGCGAAGGACGCTCGTCAGTTAGGGGACGCTGAGAAAGCCATGCGAGCGAATGAGATGCTGGCGAATGTCGAAGTTGACATCGCTAACATCGATCTCACCGACCCCGTCCTCGTTGCAGAATGCGAAAATGTTTACCAGCGTGAACTTGCTCGTGAAAAGGCAGCAGCTGAGCGTGCTCGCACCGAACAGAGCCAGCCTTCCCGACCTGGTACTGGAAATGTACCTCATGGCAATACCGAGTCTGGCCCTTCGACTGGGCCTGTTCATCTAGGCGTACCTTCTCCTGACACTCAGGCCGCCGAACGTCCGTTTACCCCTACACGAGAATCGCGTGTGAGCTTCACAAATGGTAATCACAACGGATACCACAATGGTGGTGGGTCAGATCTCAACGAGAATGGCCCTCATGCCCAGAGCAACGGCACCCATGGCGATGTCGATGGTGATGTTTTCATGTCCAATTCCGATGATCATTCTGGCAGCAAAGACACTGTGAACAGCTCGTTCGGTCCTTCCGCTCAGCCCAAGCCTGCTTACTCGCACACGGCACCATCTCAGCAGGTCCGCCGCGAGTCTGGTCTGTCGAGCTTCTCCCAGAAGGATCCAATGACGCCAATGGCTCCTGGATCTCAGCCCGCGGATTATACCAACGAGGCTTCTACCACCCAGTCCACCTCAGAGAAGAAATCTTCGGAGCAGCTATCCAACAACCATTACCAGAGGAGTCCTCAGGTTTCTCGACTTGAATATCCCGATCTCACACAATACCCCGATCGGATTTCTCAGGAGGAGCACCTACCGGACACTCAGCAAGGAGGCAGCAGCCAACCTTCTCCCAAGTACCAGGCAGACGACAATGTCACCATTCATGGCAGCCAGTCCCAATCCAAGCCTCAGCCTCCTCTCTTCGGTGAGTCTGCCAAGCCGGCCGCCAACTCTTCCGCCAACCTGCAGCAGTTGCTCAATGAGGAGCCAGCACCCGAGCTGATCCTCGACCTCGAGCACGTTGATCACTTGCACGATCAGCTTACCCAGCAGACCAGTGGGTGCTCGGTTGAGCAGCTGGAGCAAGTTGCCACCTGCCTCATGGACTATATTTGGCGCAAGCGCGGCGAGTGGGACCGTACTGCTGTGGCTAAGGGTCTCACCGATGAATTTAACGCCGTTCTGGACGACATGCAGACCATGCAGGAGATCGGTCCCATCAGCCATAATACCAAGCAGCAGATGGGCAACCCCAGCTACTCACTGTGATGGTCTCCACTCTACCTTCTCTATTTCACTGTTAATATGTTACAATCCTTTCTTTGTATCTGGTGGTCTCTGGTGGGCAAGGTGTTTGTTAGTACCCCTCATGTTTCTTTCGTTTTTTGTTTCCTTAATTTTCTGATATCTAAGGATATGAGAGTATTTCAAGCGCAACTGGAAATTTACGGGCATCACGTACATCTAGAATTCGAAAGAAAAATATGATTAAACCAAGTGCATATCACGATAAAACGTAAATTAGCTGATGAACCGTGAAACCTAGAGTTTCTATACTTCGCGTGAACATGTGACGTCGACCCACTAAAACACCTGGCCTTTGCGGTTGTGGCCCTGCGCCTTAGATAGTCTTCCACGATACCCTTCCACCCAATTCCTCCTAGATCATGACCGGCTTCTGATCTATTCATTACATTCTTTTAACTCCTGGGGCTTCACTCCGCTTTTTCGCTCCCTTACGCACATTCACAACCGCAACAATGGTGGACTGGCTCAGTCTCGCCGTCCCCCTCGCCTACTTAGGTGTCCTAATCGGCTCTCTCGCTACGTTCTCCTCTCTATACCGAAAGCGCAAGGCCCGTATGTGAATTCATCAACCCGCAGCATTATCTGTTCCAAGCCTTCAAATCACTGACCCCTACCAACAGAGAAGGCTGCCTCCCTCGAGCCATGGTTCCCAGCACACCTCCAGCGCGACATCTACTTCTCCCTCATGCACCTTGATCCCTCCGCTCAACAAACGGAAAAGAAACTCCCTGCCGTCCCCGAATCAGTCCTTAAAACCTCCCTCCTCCGTCGCGCAACGGAAGATATCCGCCGCGTCCTCGCCCTGCGCTCCCAGAAACAAGCCCTCACCGTGCTTCTGCAACGCGGCAGTGTCGGCGACGACCTGTGGCAGCGATTCCAGCTCGCTGAGAAAGAAATGGAAGAGGAGGTCAAGGATGTCGTCGCTGAGGCGAACGCCTATGTTCCGAACTGGGGACAGGTTATCTTCCAGTCGGCTAATGAGATGATGAACAATGATCTTTACCGCAAGCGCATGGCGGAGCATCAGTCTAAGTTGGCTGAGGAGAAGGCCTTCTGGGGGAAGAAGAAGGCTTCTATTCAGGAGGGATTTATGAAGGAGCTGGATGGGTCGGAGGGTGGTGTTGCTGAGGCGGAGAAGGCTCCTGAGGCCGCGCCAACGAGTGCCACGCTGAGTGTGCAGAGTGATGAGGATGCGGTGCTTGTTGAGGCCGAGTCTGTGAGCTCTCCGGGCAAGAAGAAGAAGGGCAAGGGAAAGAAATAGATGCTGGGCTTGTAAAATTATGTTGGTTTTTATGGGTTGCTGCAATGGGTTTTCTTTCTGGATGGTGTTTTTATTATCCCCCCCCTGGGGGTTGATGCATTTTAGGTTGATATCAAATCTTGCATATTCCGAAACCCTTTATAAAGTCTTGAACTAAGAAGGAAAACAATATGCATTCCCATGGTGGCAGAAATAAATTAATATACAGGCCCTATTTACAGCGGGCTGAAGACTCAAAACGCCGCCTGATGCAAAGTCCAACCCAATTTACAGCAGCTTGCTATCTTCAACTCCTAGAGCCGATCCAAGGTCAATTCCCGACACCTGCATCTCGTGCGCAGCTCGAGTCAGTTTGCTTTCGATGCGCTCTGGACCCAAATCATCTGTCCGAGCCATCACGATCCGCAGTAAACTAGACATGATCTCCACTTGGTACTCTTGTGCCTCATGCGGATCAAGCTGCTCGAGATCCAGTCCTTGTGCTTTAAGAGCCTGCTCCTTGCGATGTCCTAGCAATTCGAGGAGTCGGCCAACTTGGGCGATGCTCTCTTTGCTGCGGGGTGTCGAGGATAGGCGGCGGAGACGGTGTTTGGGTGTTCCAGCTGGGACTCCGGCTAGGCGGGCAACTTGCAGGACGATCATGCGGGCTGTAGTTTCGTCGGGCGCAAAGCCGAAGGAGGCTCGCATTGATTGAAGGGTAACAAGCGTGCCCGGGAGATCCTTAGAGAGGCAGAAACAGCGCACGATCTGGTCATACAGCTCCTTCGAGAACTGTTCCGAGGTCGTCTTTTGGGCGCGAGGGGAGAGTTGTGAGTACCACTGTACCATGTTTCCGTACAGCTCACGCGCAGATGGGAATCCGGAGTCGAAAGCCGTACGTCCACGATCGTATTGCAGCTTGGCGCAGTCCCAGAGACACGCATATGTTTCCAAATCCGGTTGGACGCTTGTAGACATGACCTTGAACTTGGTCCATAATGAGCGAATATCTTGTTTCCGGAGTTCGGCGTAGAGGAGATGGTTCATGAAATAGGAGTTGGGTTGGATATGCGCGTCGCCGAGACATTTGACCAAGTACTTGACCATATCATCGTCGCCTCGGCGGGTGTGGTAAAGAAGAAGAATGGAGAAGGTTTCGATGCCAGCGTGTGGTACCTCACGCTTCATAAACTTGGGAATGCGAGCCGCCTCAGCCTCGTTGTGCTTGACTTGGACTCGAGGAGTGGGTTCGACAGGCTGGAATCGTTTCCATGCAGCGTCAATTCGGTGCTGAATCATGGACCAGGCGAGTCGCTCTGCTTTATCCCGCGCACTGGCGCTTCCTTCTCGAAGCCAACCACCTATCAAACCATTCAAATGCTTCGAGTCGGGTCGCACTCCTCGCTCATACATCAATTCGATCACTAGAGCAGCGGAATCAACCTCACCCATTCCAATGAGCTTCTTCATCCAGCTGGCATAGAAGAAACGGTTCTGGAATCGACGAGGCAGCATCGTAAGTGCCGATAAAGAAACTTTGTTGACGGCGTGCTCATCGATGCTTGATGCATGGAGATTGCCTGCTAGGCCAAGAGCCGCTTGATATACAGCTGTCGAGTCGTTGGCGGGATCCTGACCGGTCACCATCATGTCTTTGAAGATCGCGACTGCAGTGTCCAACCGTCCTGCGGTGAGAAGACCAATGCTGACCTGATCATAGTCCTCCATGGTCATGTCGGGGCCTAGCATCGTCTTTAATTGTAGGTATAATGCCCATGCTTTGACCTCTGCGTCTTTCCCGGACATTCTACCCCATGCCGTGATAACAGGAATCAGGACACGAGGCTGGCGGGATTTATCATTAGCCAGGAATGCTAAAGCGATGTCCTGAGCTCGTTGGGGATTGCTTTCAGCCGCGAAGAGTCGGACACCTTGCATCCAATATTCTTCAAGATCTTCCTTTTTTTTAGATAGCTCAGCTTGGTAAGATTCCCACTGCTCCAGTGCTTGCGTAGTGGCACCTCCTTGATGTAAAGCATCGATGTATGAAAGAATCTGGGGAGTGGCGAGGGGTCGGTCGATGGACCTGGCATCTTCGGCGAGAGTTTGGAGATGCGTAGATCGTGTGGCCTTCGACAACTGTGCTGTCGCTTGAGATTCCCAGACAATGTCAAGGACATTCGGAGGAAGTGCGCTAATAAATCCCGGCATAGCCTGCTTGCACCGGCGATAGGATTTCCACACTTCTTGCCTCGTCCGTTCATCCGACTCGTTTTCTGTGAACTTTTGGAGAGCCTTTTTGAATCGTATCGCATATGCCTGAGATTCCTTATTCGTAGCCTTCAATGCCGAAGGGCGTTTGGCAGCCAATTTTCGCCGTTCTCTGGCGCTGTCTTGCCAGTTCTCTTGTTCCAGCGCGAGACCCTCAAACTCCTCCTTGAGCATGTTGTCCAGTTCATCGTCGAACACTTCATCTAGGGAGTACTGTTGCTCCGCTGAACCATGCTCCTCGTCATATTTCCGTAGAGCCTCCAGGGCAATCTTCCTGTCGTCTTCTGGCAACCCCAGGATAAAAGGACTGTCGGGGGCGAACGGGCCTTTTTCCAGAACCTTGAGCTCTTGCTGAAGCTTCGTGAGCTCTTCCTCTACCTCCCCTCGCTCCTCATTTTCTTCGGCCTCGGGGTCGATCTTCCGTCGTTTCTTGCTTCCGGGAGCGTCCTGTTCGAAGAAATTGACCTTATCGTTGGGCCCGCCATAGTCGAGTCGACGCGCCGTTACAGCGGAAAAGGCACGCCTAGAAACGGACGGGCCCACATGGTAAGCTCCTCGAACAAGCTGGCGGAGCATATGGAGTTGGGTCGAGCATGAAGTGTTGAAGTCGCGAAGTTCGGAAAACCATTTAATCCACTTTTCGGGTTTAGCGTGGTTCCCGCCCCCGTTGAAGTCATCCCTCGACGCGCGCCTGTCAATTGGGACAAGCTATGGATCCCGACGGGTTAGAGGATGCTCTGGAACTGGCCAGAGACAGGTCACAATATCAGGTAGGTACTGAGAACGTGTTTGATTCTCCCTGCAAACTGACATTTTTCAGGGCGTGTACGTTTACCAGCCCGCAAAGTCTGGGAAAGCTCCCAGTGAACGCCCTTCGAAGCGTCGCAAGGTCTCATCTACCGGCAATGGAGGACAACAATCAGGCGCGCATTGCTTCTTGCCTTTGTTGGACGGGGAAGAGACTGCAGAGTGTGTTCAACTGCGCCATGATACCTACAAACAGCTATGGTCCGAGCAGGAAGACAAGATTCAGGTAGGAGAGACTTTGGCATGTAAGTGCGGACTTTTCGTCGCTAACGTGAGCCAATTGACAGGAAATCCTCGAGGATGTTGATGCCGGGGTCCTGACAGACGTCTTGTCTTTTGTGAGAGGAACATCACCCCAAACGTACGGCCCTATCCTACAGAGGAACACTCGAACTGCGATCTGACCGGATATTTTCAGGTGTAATGGATGTATACCCACGGCATTGGTGACCGTTGGATCCAACGTGTCTTCCCTCAGCCGATTACTCTCTCGCCTCAACGATCAACTGATAACGAGCGGGGAGGGTGGTGTTGTAGTGCTAGAATCTGGCGACGCACCCAACCTCAAAACATCCCTGAAGAACATCATTCGAGCGGCTGTCACCAATACCGAAGGCAATGACGGATACCAGAAATTCCTCACGGATCGTTCTGTATGTTCATGCATGTCAATCCTTCCCTTGTTCATACTAACTAGCTCAAGGGACCCCGATCACTCGGGTACGATCTGGACCTGCTTCATGACTACGTCCAAAGAAAAGGAACTAAAAAACTGGTTCTTGCTCTGCGAGATAGCGAAGCGTTCGATCCAGGGCTACTAACTGATTTGTTGTCACTCTTCAAGTAAGATTCAATTCCTCGCATTTCAAAATCCCTGCTAACAATTGTTAGATCTTGGCTTGATCGTATTCCGTTCACAGTTTTGCTTGGAATCTCAACCTCTGTTGAGCTATTTGAGAGTAGACTCCCGCGCTCATGTGTTGCCATGCTTCAGGGGAAGCATTTCGAGGTTCAAGAAGCAGGAAACTGTGTCGACCGCATCTATGAGTCCCTTCAGGCTGAACCGAGTGGGAAGATGTGGCTTGGCCGCAATATCACTAGCCTCCTTTTTGAGAGGGCAAGCGACTACTTCTTGACACCGGAGGCATTCAGTCGCATGGTCAAGGTAAGATTTTTATCTAGTAGAATGCCGTCTTTCTAACATCATGCAGTACGCATATATGTCACACTTCTTTGCCAACCCCTTGTCAACATTTTTGGCAGATTCAGTGCCGTCAGTAATGTCGCGAGGCCGTTTCTGCGAAGCTATCAGAAATCTGCCCTCTTTCCGGATGTAAGCGCTCTTTCCTGCTCCAATCTTGATCTTTTGTCTAATGATTTGTCAGGTTCTGCGAGGACCTTGTCGAGAGCGGCTCTGGCAATGAAGTGCTCGCTTTGCTGGAAAACAACGAGCATTTGTTTGAGCAAGCTCTTAAGCATTTTGAAGCAGGACAACAAAATATGCGCCAAATCTTCCAGGCTGTTCGGCTCATCTATTCGTGTCTCCAATACACCCAGGGCACGAAAAAGACCAGTTTCTCTGACCTTTCTGTGAAGGCCCTTTCAGGGGAGCTGAGTGAGTCTCCAATAGTCGACGATATGCTGGCTATTGTAAGGACTTTGGATTCCAAAAAGCTTGGACAAGTGCTTGAGACTTTGCCCAAGGAGATGTTCGACCAAATATCTCTCGGTGAGATCCAAGTCGAGTTAAGAATCTTGCAAGATAAATATGCAGAGTTCGGCCCCCTACGCAGCGAATACAACATCAACAACTCCGTCGTAAAGACAACCGTTGTCCAGCAGCGGATCCAGCTCAGCAAAGCCAAAGCCAACCTTCCTGAGCATGACATCGAGTACACCAAGATTCTTGATCTCTTGATTGGCGCTCTGCAGGAGTATTTCGCAGAAACCTTGATCCCGCCTCAGGATCTGTTCCTACATGAAGCCTTCCTCTTCGATCTGCGCAATCCTTTGAAAGAAACATTTGGACCCCGTCCCCGCTTTGCAATTGAGCGTGCTATGACAAGCCCCTTCGACTACTTGTTTTCCTCGCCTGATGCCTCTGGGGCCAGAATCTCTGCCAAGCAACCTGCTACGGCTATTCTATATCAACTCTACCTCGAATCCGGTGTACTAGTCAATGTTCATGACTTGTGGAAGGCTTTCCATGGTGTTTTCGAAACCGAACAGGGCAAGAAGTGCGATGACCGCATCGTCATGACTTTGTTTTATGGCGCTCTGTCAGATTTGAAGTCCTTTGGCATTATCAAGAATAGCCGGAAGAAGACCGACCATCTTGCCAAGGTTGCATGGATGGGCTTGTAGTTTACATATAATGGTTACTTTCAATAGTATGACATTGATCATCCCCTGTTGAGTTCGCCTAAATGGAATCGTGCAAGGTTGAAAAGAGGCGAATATCAAATCCCAATCATTTTCCGAATGCTAAGGGGTATCAAAATCATACAGTTAAAATATAATACAGAGAGCTCCGTACCGAACTAAAGCAGAATATGTGCGAGTTCAGATGTAGAAGCAGACACTCAACTTGACTCGTCTTGTATTGGTCGTTGAATGATATCGTCACGTCCAAGAGGCCGTCCGCCTTCACTCAAAACCATAGCTTCCCTCCGTCGGCGGCGAAGCGCTTGCTCTTCTGCGCTTCCTTCCTGGAATCTCCTCGAGGACTCTCGGAATGAGGAACCGGCTGTGTCTTCCCCGTCCACCATCCACACATCACTGTCTTCATCATCGTCATTGTCTTCATCATCATCCTGATCATTCTCTTCGATCATACTGCCCATCAAGCCATGCTTCCGAAGTTGCTTGATTCCATCTGGATGCTGCGTCAAAGTCCCAAATATGGAGCTCATGACCGCATCGTCCGACCACCATGTTTTCATAAGAATCACCACATCTTGTCGCCGGGATGGCTCGGTCAATGCACACGGGAATGGGTATCTGATGAGCCACCGGCTAATGATACCAGATTCCAAAGCCGCGGGGACATTCTCTGGTAGCAAGATGTTCAAAATGTGAAGGGCCTTCTTTTCTCCCAAAGGCCTGGTCTTGGGCAGAATAGGTGAGTTTGTGGTAGACGTTTGTTCAGTGTGTTCTTCCACGAAATTGCAAAGGCAGTTGATCAGGGCCGTGTATGTCGGAACATCTCGAAGATGAGTACAGACTGATGTTCGAGATACTGAATCTAATTAGCATTATGCATGAGCTGCAGGCGAAGGAACGGTGCATACGGGCTCTGTTGGATACTAAGAAGTGGAGGGCACTTAGGGCACGAGCTTGTCGGACTTTATCCTTGCAATCTAGATCTGCTAGAAGTAAATCGCGGGTTTCGCCCTTGGTAGACCGTTCGGATATTATGCGCAAAGCTCTGTATATGTGTGTGTGCATTAGTACGTGTCCCGCAACGGTGAAGGCTAATCATACGCAGCTCGGAGATCATGGCTTGTGCTCTCGGAGAGCTTGAGAAGGGTATCTAACTTGAGGACTGAATGTCATTAGTAGGTAGATGCTGCAATGATGATGGAACTCTTACCATCCTCTGTTCCTTCACTAATAATCTTATCTTCTCTATCGTTATGCTTGATCTCGGTCAGATCAACCACTTGGCGGAGGTCGGTGACAATGCCGCGCACGGCAAAGAATAGCGATATACCTAGAAATGTTAGATACCACGCCATTGGAAATATCAGAACAATAATTACCAAGGCAAAGCCACAGCGCACCATCCCCCGAGAAAGGCGCCATGATGTTTGTAGTTGGAGATGAAGAGATGCGGAGAGGCTCTTGGCAGAATCGCGATCGGCCGAGGCGGTGAACCTTTTTTTTCTGATCGCTTTTACTGCAGCAAAAAAACTCCACTCTCACGACAGTTCCAACAGCCAAAAAAATGCCGCCTTCTCAGCTAAAACAGCTGAAGGCTTCGCTCAAGGATAGCGGGGTGATTGCTCCCCAGCAATCCAAGAAGCAGAAGCGCCAAAATGCGAAGACCGGCGCCACGGCGCAGAATCGGAATCAGCGCAATGCCGCTTTACAAGCAATTCGTGATCGGTTCAACCCTTTCGAGATTAAGGCGCCTTCCGGTCGCGCCAAATTTGAAGCGACCACCCGTGATTCGGGCTCAAAGCCTGCTGCGCGCGCCCGTCCGGGTGTCACCAAATCTTTGGGTGAAGAAAGGGTATGTTGAGATTGCTTTCCACCTACTGCTACAATTTCATATCTGATACCGTCTATAGCGCCGGGCCACCCTTCTCCAGGAGATGAACAGCCGTAACAAAGTCGGTGGACTTGTTGATCGCCGTTTCGGTGAAAATGATCCGACTATGACCCCCGAAGAACGAGCCGCCGAACGATTTGCGCGCGAGAGTCAGAGGAAGATGCGCAAAGAATCCATGTTCAACCTTGAGGATGAGGAAGATGATTTCCAGTTCACGCACATGGGCCAGCCTTTGACTCTTGAAGGAGAGACATTGAACGACGATTTCGAGGCTGGCGACCTGGGTGGTGAAGAATCGGACGAGGAATCTTCACGGAAACGGAAGCGCTTTGTCGACAACGATGAAGATATGGAAATGGAGGAGGACATGGACATGGACAATGACTTCATCGATCACGGGGACGGAGATCAGCCCGAGCGGAAGAAGTCCAAGGCTGAGGTGATGAAGGAAGTCATTGCCAAATCCAAATTCTACAAGCACGAGCGACAGCAGGCCAAGGAGGACGACGAAGATCTTCGAGATGAGCTTGATAAGGAGCTACCTGGTCTCTTCGAGGCTTTGCAAGGCATGAAGAATCCTGGTAAGCCGGAGCCGGCCCAGCAAGATCTCGATGCCATGAACCCGGAACGTGCAGCCCTATTACAGGAACCAGAGAAGAATAAGACCGAAAGAGAGTACGATCAGCGACTGAAGCAACTGACATTCGACAAGCGGTCAGCGCCTACGGACCGTACGAAGACTGAAGAGGAGAAGGTGGAAGAGGAGGCTGCGCGATTGAAGAAGCTTGAACATGACCGGGTCCGCAGAATGCGCGGCGAGGTAGTCACTGACGACGAAGAGGAAGAATCCGACAAAGATTCGTTCATGCAGGACGACGAGGATGAAGAAATTGATGATGCAGAGGCTTTCGGCCTCCCCTCTTACTCATACCAACCTCGTCCTGAAATGGCCGTGGAGGATGAAGACAATTTTGTCATTGATGATGACTTGGTCGAGACAAGGTCAAATGCTAGCCTCGACATGGATGCAATTGACACGGAGGAGGAGCTTTCCGAGGAAGAGGAAGTGGAGTCAGAGAACGAAGATGAGCTCATCAACGGAATGACACTGCCAACAACCACTGCTTCTGGAGCCGCATCCACCGCCGTTGAAGTCAATCAAACCGCCGAGGGAAAGCTAGCTTTCACATACCCTTGTCCATCAACCCACGCAATCTTCCTCGAGATCATCAAGGATGTGCCAACCGAGGATGTTCCGACTGTCGTTCAGCGCATTCGTGCTCTGCATCATCCTCGCCTCCAGCCCGGTAACAAGGAAAAGCTTGGGAAATTCGCCGAGATTCTTGTTGAACATATCTCCTACATGGCTAACGAGAGCGAGGAGCCTTCATTTGCTGCGATCGAGAGCATTCTGCGTCATATCCACTCTCTGGCCAAAACTCACCCGTTGAACGTCGCTATGTCATTCCGCGCACGTCTTCGCGAGATTACCACCGAGCGTCCCCTTAACCTTCTTCCTGGTGACCTGGCCATTCTATCCGGCATCTCAACCATCTTCCCTACATCCGATCACTTCCACTCTGTCACCACGCCGGCTCATCTTTGCATGGCTCGATTCCTGGGTCAGTGTTCGGTCAACACAGTCTCTGACTTTGTGACTGGTGCCTTCGCCACTGGTTTGTGTCTCCAGTATCAGACCGTTGCAAAGAGGTACATGCCCGAGTTCATCAACTTTACTCTCAATGCGCTTTGCAATCTTGCACCCACTGAGCCGACTTCCAAACTTGGTTTCTTCCCATCTAGGAAATCTGAGGACTCTGTCCGGCTCGCGCCGTCTAAGAAGGTCACCCCGCGCAAGCTGCATTTCCGAGACATTATTGCCTCGGCCTCCGACTCTGATGCGCAGGAAGAACTCAAGATCTCCCTTGTCACCACCTTCGTCTCTCTCCTCGGCGCTGCCTCTGACCTTTGGTCGGAGAAGCCCGCTTTCGCTGAGATCTTTACCCCCGTCCGTGAAGTCCTTCAGTACCTCCGCCAATCATTCAAGAGCAAAGTCTTTGCTGCGGCCCGAGAGCCTATTCAGACGACTCTAGACAAGATTGATGCTCATCTTTCCAGCGCTCGTCTCGCTCGTCGCCCGTTGCTTCTCCACACCCACAAGCCCCTGGCTATCAAGTCAGCCATCCCCAAGTTCGAGGAGGACTTCAACCCGGACAAGCACTACGACCCAGACCGCGAGCGTGCCGAGTCCAACCGTCTCAAGAAGGAGTTCAAGCGCGAGAAGAAGGGTGCCATGCGCGAACTGCGCAAGGATGCCAGCTTTGTTGCACGCGAGAAGCTCCGCGAGAAGAAGGAGCGCGATGCCGCGTACGAGCAGAAGTACAAGAGGCTCGTGGCCGAGATTCAGAGCGAAGAGGGCCAAGCTGCCAACGCTTACGAACGCGAGAGGAGAGCGCGCCAGGGCAAGCGGTAATCTATTCGTTTTTGTTGAGGTGCTTTATCGCGTCTCTGCATACCTCTCATGTCTTTTTCTTTTGCATACATTCTGTCAGACTCGTACATATACTCTTCGATGCCCTTCATACGGGGCTGGTGCATGACCGGAATAAAAGTCGTTTGATACGCAATACCAATTGGAATTTGCCTTTACATCCTCATATAAATACTCATCTTCCTTTCTATGCAAAGAAACGTGCTCTAATGTACTTCTTCCCGATGCAAGCGACCCGAAGCATCGTGTTGTGCGTCCCACTCGACCAATTCAGACTTCGGCACCTGAACCAGTTTATGTGTGACTGTCCCATCGTCAAACTTCACGATCGTCTGTCTATACTCATACCGTTTATACTTGGGAATCAATTCAATCCAAAAGTAGTAGTAAACACCACAAAGCGTGAGCCTGCCCGATCTTTAGTCTTGGCACAACTAGCATGTTATCCCGAACGGGTGACTTACAGGCCGATGCCAACCACCAAATAGGTACCGTACCAGAAACTGACATCTCCCCCATCTGCGCCTCCTGTAGGGGGATACCACGGTGCGACAAGCGTATAAAGATTCGCAAGGAAGGCGAATACAACGGCCACATTCCAAGCTCTGTATTCGGGCCTGGGTAGATTGAGAGCCTTGCGGCGTCTCCGAATCATCAGAAGCCCAATCACCAATAAGAAGCTGAAAAGACTGCCCGGATAAACGGAAAGATCAACCACTAGACGAGGTTAGAAACACTTGTCTTGATGCTTCGGCTTGAACACGTACCAAAATTGAAAGCATCTCCAGCAGGAGGCCCGATGACCATTATCACCGTTATCACATACTGAACCAGATATGACCCGAGGGGAGTTCCAAATGGTCTCGTCGAAGTCCAAAATTTGGGCCAAGGGAGAAGTCCCTGCCTACCAGTCTCCCGAAGCATTCGCGAGTAACTGATCATCACGGCTATTAGGTTCCCGAAGGCGCTTAGGCAGATGAGTACATCTAGTCCATGAGAAGCTCCGTTCGAGCCAAATACTTTTTCAAAGAAGATTCCCGCTGCAATTTGCTTGGAGGCGAGGATCTCTTCTCGTGATGCGGCTGAGAAGTATGCCACGTTGACCAAGATGTAAAGAGTCGTCACCAGGAGGAGAGAGAATGGAGCGCTCCAGCGTAGGGTTTTCACTGGGTTCTTTGAACGTTTAGCGGTATGTCTACGTTCTGAGGTTTACGGGCTCACCTTGATCTCATTTACCACAGAAAACGCATTCTGATACCCCGAATAGGAGAAGATCAATTTGATCATGGCGTTGGTCGCTCCGTAGGCGGATGCTCCTGAGCTTCCTTCCCACGCATTGCGCCAGTTTATCTGAGGATCTGCCACTCTTGTATGTCCCCCAAGAACCACCAAGCCAGCAATCGAGATCCTTGAGGAGTGTTAGCACGTCCTTCCATAGAACAGTCAATCATTCAATCTTTCAATCATACAGTAATAATGTAGCGATCTTGACGATACCAAACCAAACGACGAACCGCAAGGACCACCTCGTGCTTGCAGCGACCACTATACAGTCTTAGTTCGCTATTCCCATTGACAGAGCGTTGACGAACCTATTAATGCAAGTGTATAAGCCGCAACAGCAACGCCCTTCAACTGCCAATCGGTATACGACGATCCGGCAATCCCAAACAAGTATTCGGCCAAAACAACGGAATTGCTGCTCCCAAACGAGAACACGACATGTTTTACCGCAAATATTGTTGGGAAGAAGTATTGTGGTTTCAAAAAGGCTTGCTCGAGCCAGACAACTTCGGCGCCCGATCGACTGGGGAAATATGATGCCAGTTCAAGGTAGAGCGATAGCGTGCTTTGGGACAGCAGGTATCCTATGAACCAGTATATCATGGTAAGGCCTACTGAGCCAACGCCGGAGAGAATAGTGGCGGCTGATTCAGTTAGCCTGCTGGGTCCTTGGAGGTTATAGAATGGGCACCCACGCGTGGAAAAGATTCCTGTGCCAATCATTTGGTTGATGTTTAAGCACATCGCTGCCAGAAAACTGACTGAGTATCCCAATGGTGAACTTGTTTCCACGGGTGCACCCGATGCATCTTGGTAGGTCACGCTCGTCGAGTTCAATCCTTCTGCTGCGGTATATTTCACATCGCCGTGGACAATGGTCTCTTCTGACTCTGAGGCTGGCTGAGCCGCCACATTGGCCGTTTTCTCTTTGTCGTCCCAATCCGACATCCTCAATCGTTGAGATATTCCAGGCTTCTAAAACAGGTGCCTGAGGAGACAGAATACTATGTCTGGAATCAGGCTTATATACTCATGGAATAACTGTTCGGTTCTTGAGTCCATCTAATGGTCTTGCCATCGTCCGGGTTGAGCACGTCATGTAACTTAGGCGACACGACTCCTCATTCCATCGAGACACCCTCTTCTAGTACATTTGTTGGACCCCTATGATAGGCCCGTAGATGTTGCATTACTGCATGACGACTTTGATTCCCACAATTCTACAATGAAACTCCCGAGGTCGGGTCGAGTGTATAGAAATACCGAACATCCCCTCTCCATTCGCCATCCGGCCCAAAAGCACATCAATAATCCAAAAGAATTACGTCAGGAGGTGGCTTATTGTCTGTAACGTCTTTACTACAATAAATCAATTGATCCAATGCATATAAAACTCATATCTAAGTGTACCAAATCCATGTGTGTGAATATGGATAGTGTAACTGTTCAGGTGTCTCATATCATGAAGACTACTGCCTCAAGTCCTCCCCAATGCTAAGCAAGTATTCACAACGCGTCCTCTGGTCCTGCGGTACCGTCTCCATCTTAGTCTGATTAGTCTGAATGAAGATCCGATGATATGCATCATTCCCACTGACCCAAGCCCCCCATGCAGGACTAGACGGAAACCGGTGCGTATTGGGGTTTAAAGACCGAACGAAACTAGTCCAGTAGCCCTGCATCACGGGCACGATTCCGGCATTCGTCGTATAATATGATGCTGGCGGCACAGTACTCACGCCGTCCGGGCCCCAGATTGCATTCACCTCCACGGTGTGAGAGGTTCCGGTTCCGACTTCTTCCTCGTGTGGATCTAGGACTGCGTAGTGGTAGTTCCAGCTGGGTACGCCGGCGGAGGCGTATATGGAGGACATGTCGATTCCTGGACAGATGTAGCGGAGTTCACCGTAGCCGGTGCTGGTTGGGGGCCAGTATAAACCTGCATTCGGATAGGCTTTGGTTTGGTCCTTGGTGAGGTACATGCTGTTGAATTTTTCTAATTGGGCTTTCGTGATATCGGGGAATTGGTTTTGGATGAATGTGTCAGCTTCAGCAATGCTAGATGTGTTTCTCGGGACGAAGATTGTGCCTTCGTTTGTGACGTCGCCGAATATGACAGGTACTTTGATGAATTTGCCTTGATGGAATAGTTTCAGGGTATGGTCTTGGACCAGGTCGCCGTCGATTGTTGGGCTGTAGAGGTATAAGGGATCTCCTGTTGCTCCTGGAAGTGGCGTTTTGATATTTTGGTGTTGCAAGTCAATGACGTTCAGACTCCGTAGACATGCCAGGGTGTTATCGCTGTCGGTACAGCCCGTGTTTGTTGCCAGTTTGTTGTAGGCAAATTGGCTTTCAGACACATTGAGCATAGTCCCGAAGCTCTGTGATTCTGCTGCCGCGCCGATGAACAATCCATCGTTTCGTCCTCCATAGGCAGAAAGATGCAGGGTCACTGAGGCTCCTCCGGCACTATCACCGCCAATAACGACATGTTTGGGATCTCCGCCAAACTATAAATACGTTAGAGAGGAGAGCAAGAAGGAAACGAAGCTATACTAACATTGCTTATATGCTTCTGTACCCATTGAAGAGCCTGGCGTTGATCCTTGAGTCCATTATTGAGACTAGCGCCCTGCTCGACTTCCTTACCGGCAAGAAACCCGAATGGACCCACGCGATAGTTGAAAGTCACCACAATCATATTGTGGCCTGATGCTTCGACTAAGTACGTCCCATTGTAATTGGGGTTTGACAGCTCTGCGAAGCCTCCGCCCTGAATGAAGAAGTAGATTGGAAGTTTCTTTCCAGAGTTAACGGCGTCAGTTGGGGTATAGATATCTATAAAGAGACAGTCTTCCGACTGCGTGTTCTCTATAGATGTACCTGGGCTTTTTGCCACCGGGATACAAATTGGGCGATGCTAATTCCAGTGAGCAAGGGAGCCTATTCTCGGCAGCATTTGGGTGAACATACACGTGTGGCCTTCTGAGTTTCTCTCTTGAATGGTGGATCCTGGGGAGCCTCGAAGCGCAGATCACCAACAGGTGCAGCTGCATAGCGCATTCCAAGGAACTGCGATACTCCGTTTGAAAGTGAACTGCCTTCATAGCTGGAATAGCTCAGGTTGACCACTGGGGCCTGTGCAGAAGCTAGGGACAACAGGAAGAACTGATAGAGAATCATAATTGTTGTAGGCAAGGTCTGATCTTATGGAGGGGGAAAGAGAGGTAGGCTTTAACAGATCTTCGGGGTCCAGAAGAACAGCCGACAGCCAGGCCAGACTCCCTGCAAGGGGCCCATGACCTGAAGACGGAAGGGCTATGCTGGGAATGCGCGCCCTTCGATCGCAAACAGGCCAAACAGGATGCATTTGGCTGAATCCGAGTGGAGATCCACAGCGGCTTCCCCGCAACTTAATCGGCGCCTGGCTCATCTCGGGAACTTGACTCTGTCATCCATCATGTCGTCCGATGAGGAGGACTATATGTCTATGGCGATCGAGGAGCCCAAGCAGAAGGAGACATTTACACAACGGAAAAAGCGCGAGCAGCGCGAGGTGAGCTCCCCTTCGTGTTTTTTTTTTTATCCCACTGACCGCCCTTGCAGGCCGAAGCGCGTGGAAAAGTCCCTTCGAAAGCCGAACGTGCAGCTGAAGACGCACGTCGCCGAGATGAAGCTTTGGCTACTAGTACCCTGGATCCCTCTAACAAGGGGTTCAAGATGATGGCCAAGTTGGGCTTCAAGCCCGGCCAATCGCTCGGAAAACGCGACACCGACGCTGACACCGATACCAAAATTTCCGGCCCCGATGATTCCAAGACACGCTCTGAGCCGCTAAATCTTGTTTTCAAAGAGAACCGAGGTGGAATTGGATTGGATACCGAGAAGAAACGGAAAATTCGTGAGGAGGCAGCAGAAGCAATCAAGAAGATTAAGCATGAGGAAGGCGATTACAGGGATCGCGTCCGCGAGGAACGCGAATTGAAGCGAATCGAGGCGCAAATACGAGCTGCACAGAAGGTTGCCGAGAGGCTGGATGCAGAGGCCGAAGAGGATACAGGGAAGGACGGGGATCAAGAATCTAAACAAGAATACCCTGACGCTAACAACAAGGACGAGGCCCCAGAAGATAATGAGTTGGGACCCCGCGACGCGCCGAAGCCTAAGCGATTCAAACCCACCTCGCAGGTCAATATTCTCTACCGCGGCCTTGTTCGCGAGCGCGAGGAACGAGAACGCGATAATCAGGCCCGTCATGCTCTCATGCATTCCCTGCCGTCGTCCTTCTTTCCCAGCCAGAAACTACCCGGATACGAGGATGCTGATCTGGAAAGGGATGACAAGCAAGCCCTTGGCGATACGCTCGGACCGTACACCGCTGCTGTGGAGCAAGAGCTTGAAGAGGAAGATCCGGAGCTAGACGCGTTCAATGCCCTAGACCCGGCTGAGAGACTACATAAACTAGTGGTCTATCTCCGCGACACATATCGATACTGTTTCTGGTGCAAATACCGCTACGAAACTGATGTGGAGCTGGAGGGCTGTCCTGGCTTGACTGAGGAAGACCATGATTGATCTATTTGATCAACCCCTCCGTTTGTATAGTATGCCTTATGAATCATAGAAACGAACTGATAAATTCCGAATGCATCTCGTGTGCTCTTCGATGACAGTATTCATTATCAATATGCAAATTTGACTCTCCGGGTCATCATAGTATACACAAATATCCTTGGTATCATAAATTGGTCCACACTGACTTGAGCCGCCTTTCCGCAGAAACTATACAAGATCTTTCCGATTCTCGACGGTCCCAGTCCCGACGCACTGCGCCGATTATGCAATAGGATGTGTTGAAATAAAAAGAAAAAAGAAAAAATATAAGAAGGAAAAGAGAAGAAAAGAATGGGAGGATGAATAAAGACAGGCGAATGCGATCAAACTCAGTGGAGGCTTCCCACGAGCTCCTCCAACGACCGATTCTTGCACTTCATTAGAACCTGATGACAGCCCTCACAGATGCGCAAGCAACAGAATACACAACGGTGGCGGATCTCACGGTCGAACTTGAGACAGGTCATGCACGGTATCGGGCACCATACGTTCTGCGCTACGGGCATGTTGCGATGCTCCTGGAAGCAGGCGAGGTGGACTTTGTTCAACGCCGCCGCGACAGGCGCAAACTCCAAAGGAGGGGTGTCGGTTCGCGCCTGCTCGCTGCTGGACACAGGTTCCAGAGGAGTTCCAGAGCCATCGGGGGTTGGAATGAAGTCTTCCAGCGGTGTCACATCTTCGTTATCTTCTGCAGCAGGCGGGGAGAGGGTGACCGGGGGTTGAGATCGGGTGAAGTGTGATTGAAACTGCTCTTGCGGGCGGGGCTGCATTTGCGACTGCGAGATTGTAGGTTCTGGTTGCATGCGACGCTCAGACTTCATTGGAGGCGACGGCTGCATTTGAGGAGTTTGCTGGAGCTCGGGCTGGGGTTCGGGAAGCGGCGCAGTCTCAACAATAGGCGGCGCGGGTCGTCTCAGACCCTGTGTTGTAGGAGAGGTCTCGCTTGGGCGCGCATTACTCCCCACCTCTCGACGGGCTGGGACTTTGGTTGTTATCCGCGGCGGGGGAGGTAGTTGATCCCTGGGGATTGCAGGCAATTCCTTGCTCGGCGGAGGGGCGGCCTTGGGTAGCGGGGCAAAGAAACCACCAGAGGGAGGAGTAGAGATCGGATCTTCTTCGGGAGTGCGGGACTCATTGGATTTCTTGCTGGAGAAGGAGAACTGAGATCTGGCAGCGGCGGTACCGTTTTTCATCGCCGTTAGAGAAGGAACGCGAAGGCCACGCGGGCGCTTCTCGGAATCGAAGATAGCCATATTAGATTAGAAACAATGGAATCACAAAAACCAAAAAATCAATAGCGTACAAGGCGCGGTGAGCACCAGGTATAGCGAGATTAACGACGCCACAATTTGATTAGCGACGATCTCGATCTGTATGGGTCTCCGCGCACTCCCGGAGAGCTCGTGCTGCGAAAGGCGGATATAAGTAGGATGAAGGACAAAGACTTCAGGGGAAAAGGAAGAAAGAGGAACAGCGGGAAAAAAGAAGGAAAAAAGCGAGAGCGAGAGAGAGAGCTCCGGTGTAATCTTAATTTCGGGGCTTCACAGCAAGTTTTTGTCGCTGTCCCTGAATCCACTTCGGATCCCAGACTCTCAGCCCCCCAAACGCGAACTAATCGGATCAATGGCCCTCCTCGAGTGCATTTCACAGTTGACTTTCATGCTCAATGATCGCATTGCCGATGTCTATCGGTCAATCAGGGCGCGGAATCCCCCTCCCCAGGAATTCACATTTCCATTTCATCATCCCGGTCACAGATTAAGGAATGGAAACGAGGTTCTATGCCCGTGGAGTCAGGGCCCGTTGCGATTTGTTTCATCTTTCCCCTCTCAGGTGGAGACGATTGGACCCGTCACAAAGTTCGCCAGTGAGCGCTAGATTAAATAGATCGTGTATGGTTCCAAGATCAGGACCGTTTGGGACTTGGATTGGAGGTTAACACCCCTGAACCCGGCACTTGCAGACTTTAGCTTGGTCTTATCGGCATTCCGTGATATCATACGAAGGATCGTCGGACTTGGCCGCCACGGTATTTCACACCACGTCATCTCCATAGTCTACTTGTCTACTTGTCTACTTGTCTCCTTTTTACATGGATGGTTTCTTGAATGGGGTCTCAGCCATTTCACTAACTTAGCTCTCAGGATCGTTAACGGGTATGTACGATCGGCGCTCTCGCGCAGCCTGCATTTCGATTAGCCGCTGCTTCTTAGCACACAAAGCAAAATCTTACCTCGAGATATCGCTCAATCCACGGCTTCAAGATAGCCCAAGCCAGCAGGCCACCTGTAGCAAAGATGAAAATAAACACCACTGCTTCGTCCTTTCGCGAGTCGCGCTCTATCGTCAAGTAGTTGGTTAGTCCTGCCTTTTTGAGCTCGTCTCATAGCTATAGCCATAGCGAGTTGCAATGTGATTCGATCTTGCAGGGGAGATCACATACGGAAGCAAGTGGTGAAGACGTCATCTTCCTTCGCCCCTTTGCATGTCGGGAGCTCGTAGTCCAAACAGAACTTGCGATTGCAGTCGTTGCAGCTCAGAGCTCGGTATTTTGTTGTGCGCTTGGTCAAGTGGTCGTCGTCTTCGATCTCGGCTCCGGCTTTGAAGGCATCAAAGGCGCGTTTGTTAAGGTGCAGGACATTGTCAAAGGTGGATGATGAGGTTCCGGACTTGGCGGGGTCGAGGGGAATGATCGTGCTATTGGAGAAACAGGTACACTTGCAGAATGAGGTCGGCGCTGTATTCAGAGGTATTATGTTAGCTTCTTGTGCCAGCGGTGATGGTAATAGCCTTGATCGGCAGCTGCACGAGCGTATCGACCGGTCAGGGTTCCACTTACTAGATGCCACAGTGAAGGAGATTAGAGAAAGAAAGGCGATGATGAGCAGGAGCATGTGCGCTCTACTGCTTCGGAGGCCGCTTACAAGCTGCATCTTGACGGTGTCACACGTTCTTACCTTTCCATAACGCGCCGGCAACTTGGATGACGAGGCCTATCGTGGTTATCTATCTACACGTGACATGTAGGCCGCCATTGGCTCCACCCGGGCATAGGGCATCTACGAACATAATGCACAAAATCGAGCAAGACTCCACAACAGCCCGGGTGGTCTAGTGGTATGATTCGCGCTTAGGGTTCGACCTAAGCACTCCTGCGCGAGGTCCCGCGTTCGATCCGCGGCTCGGGCCTGTTATGTTTTTGCCAATTGGATATCCTCCAGTGGCTTTTTTGGTCGAAGACATTGTAAAAAAATTAAAATTTTATAGAGACTAAGTGTCTAGAGCATCCATGAAACTAGATGGTGCAAGGATCATCTTGCTTCAATATCTTGGACGGTTTCTGCGGTTGTTGACAATGCGTTTTGGTAGAGGTATATATATAAGGATGGCCCCGAGACAACATGCGGGCATATTCTCTCCAAATGTCGAGCAGGGTCCATACATATGTTCCGGATCATTTAAGGCATGGACCTAGCATACCATGTACCTGGATAGCCCCGGCCCTCTGGCTTCTAGTCCAGTGAAACTGCTCATATTCCATGCAAGTCTAGGTTCTATCCAAGTAACAACACAGTACCTACGTACCGCATTTCCTCTGCCACTTCTTGGTGTTCTCCTTGCCGCTCCCTGCTCACTGAGCAGGGAAAGAGCAGATCGAGTAATTTGAAGGTATTTTACACCAACGGCAAGAGCCTGGTCTATAGTACTTACCCAAGAAAGACGGAGAGGCTACCTGGGTCTGTGACGTGGACTTACCAATTGTGACGGCGAAGCTTGTCACCACAAAATCTACCGGCGACAGCCGAGAGAATCCCCAAACATCGTTTATCAATTCTGTTGAGTTCGTCCTTGCTGCAGCTAACCCGAGCTAGCTCCCTGAATGGCCGCTGGATGTCGGAACTGTGCGCTTCTTGAGCGATGGAGAGGCGCGGAACCCGAGCAATCTCTCCGCACTAGTAGAGTCTGCACCAAAGCCTGGTAGAACTAGTTGGTCCATGAAGGGCTTCTACGGCGAGTATATCGATGGTTTGATTACCCAGTTGGGTATCGTCTGGGGCCGTTCGTGAAAGGCACACAACTCCGGGACAGTTGAATACCGAATGTGGATTAATTAATAGCAAGTATTTATAGCATATGTATACAAATTTCATTTCCAATTTCTTATTTAGGACATTCAGATGTTTGAAGCATCAAGTCCTGGCTATTGTAGAATTATATACTATTGAGTACTCTATGGTTAGTATAATAGCTTATTATATAGTGGTCAACTAGTAAAAAAACCGTTGTCTTCGTACTCACGATAAAGTCAATTTAGTATAATGGAGCCCGATAGGAATAATCTGAGCATAGACTAGGTGCTCAATACCTCTAAACGATCTCTAAGAAATTAATGAACACTCTCTAAGCGCGATCTGAGCTCAGTGAGTCTGAGCCTGAACTGAAGTTTACTTATCGAGCCTAACTCTGAGCACCCTCGTTAAAGCGGCGGCACCTACAATAGGAAAGCCCCACCTGGCAGAGAAATATTGTACGTATAGTGACCTATGTATAGGTGATTGAAGTATATCCAGAAACACATAACTCATTATGACCTGCCCTTCATTCCCTTCTTCCGGTTCTCTCTCTGTCTCTGCTCCTTGGCTGCATCACGCCGCCTCTTCTTCCAGGCACGGTTGTTGTCACCCCGGTTATCCCAGAACCACTTAGCAAACTCAGTCTCGTCCTTGGGAGCTTCACTCCCACGAGTCTTCGAGACTGGGGTATCAATTGATGAGTCCTCGTCGTCCTCCTCATCGTCCTCATTCCAGTTCAAACGTCGGTTGACCAAGCTAGTGTCGGGAGTGGGAGCTGCGCTTCGCAAGCCTCGATCTTGCAAGTCCCTCTTGGTGAAGGGTGTGAAAGGGGTCTGAGGCTCCGGAACACGGGGCGCATCCTCTGAATCAATGTCATCGGCACCGAAAAAGCTGAAACCAGCATTGGCCTCCGGATCGGGCTGTTCTTCGGCGGCCGAGGCGAGGGCGGGCCGCTTGAACAGTGCCTCCAGAGGATGGACCTCTTTTGGAGAAGACTCGTCTGCATCTTGAGCAGCCTCGGACGTCTTTTCGGGCTCTTCCGAGTCCGAATTGTCACTGCTGGCCGCATCAGCCTTGGTAGGCTCATCAGCCTCTTTGGAAGGCTGCGGTTGCTTCGATGTTTCCTCATCGGAGGAGTCAGATGAATCATCAGAGGAGCTGTCGGCCTCAACCTCGGAGTCCGAGCTCTCATCAGAGCCACTCGAAGAGGTATAATCCTCAGATTCGCTTGAAGGCTCCGGGGTCTTTTCCTTGAGAACAGGCTTCTTCGGCTTCTTCTCTTTGGTACCGGGGACTTGACCAGGTCGGTAGTTATCCTTTCGAGTCTTTTCGCTGGCAGACTCCTTCAATGCGCCTGTGGAATCCACCCAGCCCTTTTCTTCGTCAAATGTAGTCGTGGGCGCAACATCCTCCCCGGCCGAGCGCAGGAAGCTGGGTTGGGTGTAAGTTTTGGCGAATTCGTGGATAACCGTTTCCCGAGAGGACTTCTTCTTTTTCTTAGCCTTCTTGTCATCCGCTTCGACAGACAACCGATTGGGTGGAAGATTCGTTCGGAAGAGACATTCGGACTTTTCAGTGTATTTGGACTTGGGTTGCGGTTTTTCCTTCTTGTCGTCCTTGCTCTTCTTTTCCGATCTGCGCTTTTCCTTCTTGGAAGGCTCGGTCCAGCCACGCTTGACTTTGCGGTCTGAGGGAAGTTCGAAGCCGTCGATCACCTCATCCTCAACATCCTTTGACTTGCGCTTCTTCGACTTCTTCTTTTCCTTTACAGGGCTTTCGACAGCTTCCTCTTCGTCTCTCTGCCTCTTCGAAGGACGGGCAGTGTCAATTTTAAATTTCTTGCCTTTCAAAATCGAGCCATTAAGCTTCTTCTTAATTTTCTCAGCGTCCATGGTCGGCAAGGTCACGTAGCCGTAATTGTTCTCGGGGAAGGTGGGAATGGTGTGGAACGAAATGTCGGTGGCCGATTGACGGAGGGAAGGAGGTAGAACTGATGGGAGAAGTTCGGCAGTAAGAGGAACGATGTGGAGTCTCGTTTTGCCTTCTGTCATTGTAGAAAGGCCATATCCGAGTCAATTTGTGAGATTGTGAATTTGCTGGGCGACAAAGAACTGAGCAGCACTTTTTTTTCTTCTCCGCAGACAACATATGGGTTCTGCCACCGCCTTCCCTTTCGGCCCAGCATGTCAAGAAGTGACGAGCATTCAGCCAAGGCTCTAGGGCACTCACTCTACGTATACTAATAAGGTCAATACGCCGCTAGCTTGTATCAGGAGCCCCTATGAACCAACCGAAATCCCCACCGAGGATCTCCCAAACCTCGGATTCACAGGGCTGATGTAATTCCGCAGATGACCCGGCGATGACGGGACAGTCGTGGCACACGACTGGGGCCAGACCCGCGGATAAACGGCCAGGGCAGAGTCCTTTATGTTTAAATAGCGTTCTTTGACAAATTGTACGTCGGGGCCATCCGCCACATCCGACTAAGAGATCTGGTCATCTTACGTACCCGATTAGTTCATCCCATTTCCCTTCCTCTCACCGATCTCACTTCCCCAGTTACTCCGGATCAACTGGTTTCCCCCCCGCTCCCTTTCCCTTCCTCCACACCTCCCCTCTCTCAATATCATCATCCCTCTCCGATGTCTCCCTGGCTTTAGCCTGAATTTCCCTGCCTTTGTAACTCGGCCTTCCCTTGGGGAAAACCCTTTTCCCCATCGGACCTACGCCGTATCGACTTGACGTCGGCACCCCCCCCTCTCATCGCCGCTATGGGCAACTCCCAGACCAAGGAGTCGCGAACATCTACCCCGCGGCGTCGAAGTCATCAAGGGTCGCCAGGCGCGTCCGATGCCCCGGGTCGTACAGTATACCAGTCTTCTCGGTTGGGTAGAGGGAGTCGCCCGGACCTCTCCTTGCTCGGCATCGGCAGCAGTCATGACCGTGACGTGGCTGCGCTCGAGCAACGGCGAGAGACGAAACAGGAACGAGAGGCCCGCCGTCTGGAGAAGGAACGTGTAGCTCGTGTAAAGGAGCGGGAGCGCAGCATGAAAGAGGAACATGTTGATGGAGGCTATCTTGTAACACAGGGTGTCTACGTGGGAACGGAGGACTTCAACAAGGCCGTCGTGCGTCAACTGATGGTATGGAATGCCCGGAAGCATATACGAAACTAAGGGAGACTGACCGTGACCCGTGGCTAGATTGAACGCCGACTGGCTCCGTTCTGGAGAGGGCTGAACGACTTCTCTGAATCATGGGCTGAGCACCAGCTGATGGCCGCGGCCCGGGGAATGTCTATCCCCCCACCCGACGAAATCCCACCCGAATTAGAATACATGCTGCCCAAGGCATCCGAAAAAGAATCGCGCGATCCGTCAAATATCCATCATCTCACGGTACCGATCACATCTCGTTCTCAGTCACTTAACTCGGATATATCACAGAACTCGATCCCCGCCCAGTCACTACCCACAACATCTCCGATCGCATCCGGCACCTCAGCTTCGCCTCTCTTCCGGACCAGAGCGAAGACCCTGGCAGCCCTGACGACATCAAAGTATGGTTCGCAGACGGATTTGACGCCGCGAGAGCTGCAACTTCCCAAGGACCCCTTCGTCAATGGATCGCCGATCGAAGTCAACTTGTACAAAGACGCTAGCGAATGTCCCATCTGCTTCCTGTACTATCCTCCATACCTGAACCGTACTCGATGTTGCGACCAACCCATCTGTTCTGAATGCTTCGTGCAAATCAAGCGCCCGGATCCGCATCCCCCGGAGCACGGAGAAGTCGATTCCAATGCTCCGCCCCAACCGGAGGGCGAACAAGCTGAAACAGAAGGACAGCTCGTGTCTGAGCCTTCTGCGTGTCCTTTCTGTGTTCAACCTGAATTCGGGGTTACCTACGCATCACCCCCTTTCAGACGAGGCTTGACCTATGCTGCGGACCCCAGCGCTCGTCCGTCTCCCATGATTACTTCTCCTGTATCTTCTACGTCCTCTCTATCCTCAGCAAATCTTGCTCCGATAATAGGTCGTCGCCGTGCGACGTCATTATCTGCCGCTGACCCTTCCGTGGTCACAACGGACAAAGTTCGGCCAGACTGGGCCCAGAAGCTGGCCAATGCCAGGGCTCACACCGCGCGCCGGTCTGCTGCTGCGACTGCCCTTCATACTGCAGCATATTTGATGAATACTGGACAGTCAGGAAGCGACAGCCGCCATCTCGGTCTAAGTCGGAGAGGATTGCGGAGAGCTACTCAAGGGGAATCCGGCCGGTCCGGCTCCCCCGCCCTGAATGCATTGGCTTTCTTGACTGATCGACCGGACCGAACACCGCCTCGTCCAGCTGCCCCGGACACCGACTCCGCAGAAGAAGGCGCAAATATCGCACCGCCGCGGGATAGCTCGAGACGCACCCGAATGGACGATCTCGAAGAAATGATGATGATGGAAGCGATTCGGCTAAGTTTGGCTAGTGAAGAAGAGCGGCGAAAGCGAGAGGAGAAAGAGATTAAGAAAGAAGCAAAGAGGAGGGAGAAGGAGAAGGAGAAAGAAGCCAAGAAGGCGGACAAGGTGGCCCGCAAGACTGGATTGTCTAGCAACAATGCTAGTACCACTACACTATCGGTTCCTGGTGAATCTAGGATAGGTGGCTCATCTTCGATTGGGGAAGACACCTCAGCTGGCAAGGGCAAGGCGGTCGATCGGGCAGCTCCTTCCATGGCCGTAGACTTCGGCCTGCTCGGCTCATCAACGAGTGCTCCCATCGCGGGGCCTATCCCCGAGAACCCGGCCGCTGAGCAGGCCTTGAGCGCCGAGCCGTCGCGACCTTCTCATCTTCGACACGTGTCAAGTGCATCGTCGTCCTTCTCATCGATCATGGAAGCCAATCCAGATGAGCGCACGGGAAGTCAAATTGCCGCAGATGGAAGCAATACCTCGTTGGAGCCGATGTTCAACTTCCGCAGCCTGGCTGAGGTGATAGGCGACGAAGAGAAGGGCCACGAGTCAGAGCATGTCGAGGATAGCTCTGCCCCTCCCAAAGCGGAGGGCTCTTCGAGCGCGACACCCTCAGTCAACCAGCCCTCCGCCGATCCCTTAGAAGCCGAGTCCAAGTCTGCTGTTATTCCCCAGGTGGAAATTGAAGATAGCTCCCATGGCATGCTACCCAAGGAGCTCGAGACTCGCTCTGTCGAGATTACCGGCACTACACCACACACTGAAGCTACCTAAGAATAGGTAAGCGATTTTCTTTTGTTCCCTTTCTTCGGGTCGGACACTTTGTCGTCCAGACCACATGAATGGATTAGCCGGCGCAGTAAGGAGGTTGATCATGGGTTATGGCATGTTCATTCTTTCACTTGTTTTCCTTCATTACTATCTCGCAAGCAGTCTACCTGCATCGCATCAATTTCCTACACCCTATAGAGATCGCTCCTAACAGACAATTTCATCGTGTTGGAACTACATAAATCTGGATCTATAGTTAAATCATTCTGTGTCACATGGGTAGACCGGGTGTACTAATTCTCCGCATTGCTTTATAATACTGTAGCATGATGCAGGCCGATAACAGTGCGGGCCGCATAGAGAGCTATGATTGGTTGTTATGGGATTAAGGAACAGCCAACGGCCGCTAAGAGTGGGGCCTCGGACGACCGACCATGTCCGATGGGTAGTTCATGCCCCATTTAGAGACTTTTATATAGTATGGAGTAAAAGGCTAAGATAATCATTTACTAATGCGACCTTTGAGCGAAGTGCACTTAGGCAGATGATTGGGGAGGTCAATGCACACTGCAACCAGAACCGCAAGGCAACGCGTGCCGGGAGTCGCCACCCGAAGAGTTTTTAAAAACTTTTACTTCCAGGTACCATGCCAAAGCCCCAACTATAACAAAACTACAATAACATGCAATGAGACAAGTTAGTTAGAAATTAGAAATACAGCCGGTTCAGATCAAAACAATGTATGCAAATAAACAAATAGGAGTATTTCCCCCGCATTTGGGTGTCCACATTCCATAGAAGTTTTTTCCTTATCGTTAGCAGAGTTTCCCGTTGTGCTCTAGCGCTACCCTCTCCGGGTCCGGGTTTGGTAACAGAAACGCAGACCCTTTCCCCTCCTCTTTTCCACTCCCCATTCACCTGTTCATTCATTTACCCCTTCTTGCCAGCAACCTGGAGCCAGCTTGAAAAGGCAGCAACGCCAGCAACGCCAGCCAGGAAAATAGTACACCATTACCCGACAGAGAAAAGATCAGAAGACTCGGCGTGGGGAGGGATAGCCGTAAGGTCTAAGATACTTCTGAAGGACTATGGCATTAACACCACAGGCAAGATCGATCGCTTCCGACGACAATTTTCCCACCGCGCAACTTTTCCTCTTGGGTGAGTTCCTCTTTCGTCTCGATACTGGCTATCACTAACAACTCCATAGCAATATGTCGCGTGGCCGAGCCTATCGCTCTGACCTCCATCTTTCCCTACTCATGGGTAATGGTTAAAGACTTCAAGATGGCTAGTGGCAGTGATGCCTCCTTCTACGCCGGGATCCTTATCTCGGCTTTCTCTCTGGCTGAAGCCCTGACAGGCATGTTCTGGGGCAGCCTGTCAGACCGACTGGGTCGCAAACCCGTTCTGCTCTTCGGCTGCTTTGGTACCATGCTCTCCCTGCTTTTGGTGGGATTTGCTCCCAATTTTTGGGTTGCTCTCGCAGGCAGGGCTTTGGGAGGAGCCTTGAATGGAAATATCGGGGTCATTCAGACCATGGTCGGCGAGTTGGTGAAACGGCCCGAACACGAACGTAAGTCCCACGGCATTCCTCATTTAAACTTTGAGTTAACACAATTTATAGCCCGGGCATACGCCATCATGCCTTTTGTCTGGTCAATCGGAACTATTATTGGGCCAGCTATTGGAGGTCTCCTTGCAAGACCTTCGGAGGGTTTCCCCTCTCTCTTTCCCTCGAGTGGTCTCTTTGGGCGTTTCCCCTACCTTTTGCCCAACCTTGTCTGTTCTGTTATGCTTCTCCTGAGCATTATTGGCAGCTGGTTGTTTCTACAGGAGACCCATCCTGATATGCAAACCGGCAACACACATCGGTTCTTCGAGCATACTTTGGCTGAACAGCCTCTCCTTGCGACATCGGGGGCGACTGCCAATGCAGGTGTTGATCTTCGTGCCGAGTCCTATGGAACGTTCAACCAGGTTCACCTGTATGAAGATGAAAATTGGGAGGTTCAGGCGGATGGCTCCTCCCCTGCATGGAAGAAGCCTTTAAAACCTAAAGCTTTCACGTGGAAGGTCACTATGCTGGTCGTTGCGTTGTCCATCTTCACCTACCATTCGATGACCTATGATCACCTCTTGCCTATTTTCTTGCAAGACAAGAACACTCGGGACATCTCGGCTGGTCATAACCCTCCTTTCGATATTCCTGGAGGTCTCGGTCTCTCAACTCGAACGGTCGGCGTCATTATGTCCACCGACGGGATTATTGCTCTCGTCATCCAGAGCATCATATTCCCAGCGCTGGCTCAATGGCTTGGGGTATGGAAATTGTTCGTTGTCGTCACGATTCTACATCCCATCGCATACCTCATGGTCCCTTTCCTGGTTTTCCTCCCGCAACAGCTCACCTTTGTCGGCATCTACGCCTGCCTCATCGTCCGTAATGTCCTCTCCATCATCGACTACCCGGTCCTCCTGATTCTCATCAAGCAAGCTAGTCCATCGGACTCGGTTATGGGGAAGATCAATGGTCTCGCTGCCTCTGCAGGAGCCGCAGCCCGCACGGTCGCCCCTCCTGTTGCAGGATATCTCTATAGTTCCGGCGCTGACATTGGGTGCACTGCTGTGGCCTGGTGGGCGAGCAGCTTGGTTGCTCTTATTGGAGCGGCACAACTATGGTTTATCCAGCGAAAGAAGCGCTCGTCGGCTACAGTACATTCTGCCGTACCGTACCACTACGTGCCTTTTGCGAATGAGCCGCCGAACCAAACTGTTCACATCATTGTGACTGATGCTGATGAGGATTCATCCCATGCCGAAGCCTCAGCAGTATCAGCTCGGTGAGGACCGAGGCGAAGACTATATGAATGAGACATTTACGAAATATTCCGAAATTGCTTAGCATGTATCTTTGCTTGTCAATGCGGAGTTAATATGCGGATAGTGATATACATACTTTTCGACCATTTGCAGCGCTTGGAGATTAGCGATTTTGAAGATTTAGCGACTGCATTACATCTTAGAATGGGAAATCAAATGAAAGCTATTAAATAAACGAGTCTGACCAAATTCGAGTTGAAATGTCTTCGTATACTGGGGTTGCCCCACGCTATCCCTGAAGCGGACTAGCTCTGTTTACCTAGCAACGCAATAACACCCGCACCTTTCCAAACATCGAGAGAACTTTGCCATATGACACCTCGACACCACTGAAGGGGACACTCTTAGATTGTCAATCCCTTTCAACCGACAACATGTCAAATCCACTATCACCATTATCTCCATCCTACCAGAATGCGCGAGCGCGCTCCCCAAAGACCGGCTCGTCGCCATTTCTCACCAAAACACTCGACGAGTCTGCCGCCGACCACATCCCTCAAAGTCCCTTAAAAAACGCATGGACAGAACATGAAACGCAAAGCCTGAGTACGCACGATTCAAACGAGAACTACCCCCGGACCGAACAAGAGAACGACTTCAACGACGATTTCGAGCCCCAGAGTTCGCCCTTCCGCTACGAGGCGCGCGAAGAAACTGTTGATTTTCATAAATTGCAAGAGTACCAAAAAGATCGCAGATGGGAGTCACCTGTGCCGGCTGTGCCTTCTCACCAGTTTGATGTCCCAGAGGAAGAGGGCCCCATGAGCTCGCCCTTCCGTCCTGATGCTAGAGACGAGACGGTTGGGTTTCAGCGTTTGCGCGCGTTGCAGCCGATGTCACCGATTTTGAACAAGCGGCTTGACGCTCAAGATCCGGAGAGCTCGCCTTTCCGCCCTCAAGCGAAGGACGAGACCGTTGATTTGGAAAGGTTGCGCGAGTTGCAGGCTGAGTCGCCTCCTTATGATGCGGAGCCTGGTTATCATTATGATGAGCAGGCCGAGTCTCCGCAATACGAGGGGCAGCCAGAATATCCCCGCTACCATGAGCAACCTGAATCGCCTAGTTATAATGAACAACCCGAATCGCCCCGTTATTATGAGCAGCCAATGCAGCCTGAAAGCTCACCATTCCGGTACGAGCAGAGAGAGGAGACTGTTAATTTCCACAAGTCGGGTGAAACCCAGCGCGAGTCAAACGAGGAAGCCAAGTCGCCTTCTCCGCCTGTAGCGCACAGCTCACCTTTCCGGCAAAGCACGAAGGATACGGATGATCTTCAGGAGCTGCGTGAAAGCCAACGTCGATCATTTGGTAGAGCAAAGCAGTCTTCTCCTGCCATCGTTCAGAACTCCCCTTTCAGGCAGAGCGTGAAAGAATCTACGATCGATGTGCAGAAGCGGCGCTCAATTGTGCGTACATCACTTGGCGTGGATGAACGCCAGTCAACAGCAGCCACGCCTCGGAAACGGTCATTTGACCAGACCCCACAAGATCATGATGAACAGACCAATGACCGATGCAAGAAGGGCATGGTAAGCCGTGCTGATCCAGAGATTCACGTTGATTACGAAGAAGAGTCCAGTGTCATCCACAATCAGAGCTATGTGTCGAACACAAGTTTGACTCAGGAACGTTCAGCAATCGGCAATAGTGTGATGGAAGACAAGCGTAACGAGGGGATGAGCACTGTTCTTCATGAAGATGATGACGGTATACCGGCAAAAAAAGCAACCCTCACTGACAATGAGCTTTCCGTGCTGGGCGAAGACGATCACGATCACGATTTCATGGATGACACCGGGCTGAGCAACTTCTCTGTTTTGCCAGACATGACTTCATTCGCGAATTTGCGAGCTGATTCACCGTTGAAGTCGATGCGAGGCAGTGTCGGACCTGGATCAGCTGCCAGAACAGATATGTACCGACGCAGCGTGGATCCGGGTACGCCTGGCACTGCACGGAGACCATACAGACCTAGTGCGATGTACGATGTTGACTCGCCAATTGGATCGCCTACGCCCAGAAGGAGAGCTTCTCGGGATATTGGCCTCTCAAGAGAGACCTCCAATTTGCTTGATCTTACCGATAACATGAACTTCTATCCTCGCCAATCTATGCAATCGAATGCTCGTTACTCCCCCCGGCGCTCTCCAATGAGGAACACGCGCCAGTCTATGCGATCTCCATCAAAGATGTCACTGCTTGACTTTGACATTCCACCTGCCCCGACTCCCCGGTCAATTCCTACCGTGACGCCACGAGAACTTGAGTCGCTGAAATCAGCCTTCATGTCTGAGATTTCCTCTCTCAGGGCCACCCTCAGCGGCAAAGAGGCAGAAGTCGCTAGTCTGAAAACGGCCGTTGGCGATGCCGAGCGACGAGTTGGTGAGGCCTGGGAAGAGGTCCGCCATGAAATCGCGAGGAAGGAAGAATTGGAGGTCGAGCAGGAAGAATGGGGCCGTCGCGGCAAGGAAATGGAAACTGTTCTCCTGTCTGTCCGGTCTGAACTGGAGGACGGTGAGCGTGAGCGAGACCGTCTCTCTCAAAAGGTCGACGAGACCGAGAAAAGCAAGGAGCAGCTGGAGGGCCGGATTGTCGAGCTTGAAACCCAGCTTTCTGCTGCACGCTCTACCACGGAGTCTAGTACCGTCTCCGGCTCGCGTCAAACTTCACAATCCACAGAAGATACTGCCCGTGAAGTTCAGGATGCGGTTGAAAAGGTTGCACGCGAGCTTCACACTCTGTACAAGAGCAAGCACGAGACCAAGGTCGCAGCACTGAAGAAGAGCTACGAATCTCGTTGGGAGAAGCGCCTTCGCGAGGCCGAGCGTAAGCTCGCAACTGCTCATGACGAGAATGACCGCCTCAGGGAAGAGCGCGATGCGGCCCAGTCAGACAACATGGCTGCCGCCAACGCCAGCATGATCAGCCGCGAGAATGATGAACACGAAGCCGAGAAGCGCGTGCTGGAAGCTCAGATCAAGGGTCTGCAACACGAGATGGCGTCTATCAAGGACGACAGCGAGCGTCTTCGCTTCGAGCTAAAATCGGAGCGTGCTGAGAAGGGCGAGCTTGTCGCTGCTGTGGATGAGTGGCTGGCTATTCAGAACCAACCAGCCCAGCAGCCACTGGCGCAGGAGAAGCGTGAGCTTTCCGTGTCGTCTACTGGACCCGCCGAGGATGAATATCAATCCTCCAGCGAGGTTCCAGCGGAGAATCTCCGTCGCAGCGTGAGCCGCTCTGGATCCAGTGGCATTCGACCTCCCGCATCTGGCAAGAAGAGAATCCCACAATTCGGAGCTGGCGGTGGTCACTCTCGTGGCAACAGTGGTGGCAGGTCTGGAATTGCCCTCCCCGCCCCAGGCCGGGGTGGTATCATGAGCTCCATTGAGAGAATGGGTCGAGGTGGTGCATAAGTGATATTTGCTGGTTTTTGTTTTCTGATATGATGATATGCGGATATGTTCATGGTTGGGATTGGGGTTTGGTCCGGGGTTAACTTCTCTATTGATTGTGTTACACTTGATTCCCCATTCGCAGACTTGATTTATGTTTTGGTTATGATGCTATGCTCCAACGCGATACGAAGTCTTGAGTTCAAATGTTCTGAGTCCATGGGTATAAATCGGCGTAGTTCGGACGTAACATGATTCGGTATCTGGGTGCGATGACGAGGAAGGAATTGTGGCGACGTACATTGCGCTGAAGATGAAGGAACTGTGGCAATGTATGTTGCACTGACGCCATCTCGTATATTTCCATAATAGGCAATAACATATGGGGTAACATGCCCCATCGCCTCCGAGCAGTGAACCGAGCGAACGCCGGAAGGCGCAGAAGCAATGGCAATACAAGCCAGATCCAAACGACCCCCGGGTTTCCCCCTCAAATCGCGGGGTGCCGAGTCTGCTGCTTGAAGGCCGATTCTCCTTCGGCCGGGCCGTTTCATTATCTTTCTGCCCAATTGGCAAAGCTGTCCTTGTAACTCGTCTGTGCCCGGGTGCGATGTATAATGTATAATGACGACACCTGTCCACCCCTCCCATATCGATCACCCCTCTTTTCTGTAGAACAACTAGATACTTAGCGCGGGGTGCAACCGCCACAGCTAAGCTGACAGCCCCTCTGGATATCGGCTTTCCTCCGGAAAACGTGGGGTGGCTATTGTAATGAACTGTCAAAGCCACGGACCCCCGGATTCCAGGATCCCCAGCCCTCTAGACCCCCATGATTCGCCCAAACTCTAAGCTCAGACACGGCACGATGGCCGGACACGATATTTCTCGCATTGAGAGAGTACCGTGCTGCATGCTATCCGAGCTTAGACTATCCACCCTGCATCTAGCCACCCTAGACACCCTAAGTCTCTAGGTATCTTCTGCGTACAGAAGAACTGGATACTAGTCTGAATCGGGTCTCCATCTCGGCAAGACTTGCGAGCATCTTAGTTCCCGGCTCGGTTGTGCAGGACTTGCAATAACACCCCCGGATCTCGTCACAGCCCCGGATTTACACAATGCCGGAATGAGAACCCGTGGATGAAACGGGATGGGAAGTCGGGTATTGACCTTTGCCAGTGGCTTGATTGGAGTCCCACCCGTGAGAGGGAAGAGTCTTCCAAAGTTAGTCGCCTCGCCTCGTCGAGTCTCGAGTCACTTAGCTTGTTTCGAGCCCCGCAATTCCCCGAATGACCTCGTGATTCCCCACTCGGTGTTTTTTTTTCTTTTTTTCTTTTTTTCTTTCTTTTTTTTTTGTGTCGATCTCGTCATTTTCATTTTCATGGTCTATGTTTATTTCATTTCTCGTTTTTGATAACTAGTATTCCGAATTTCTCTAATTTGATACTTGGCTCGCTCCTGAAATTCTTACATTGAGCGTAGACTTGATTTGATGGTTATAATGATAGTTATGGAGAACTACATAGGATATTTTATGAGGTTTTCTGCGGCCTGCATATGTTCCATCCGAAAATCGGCACTTTTGTGCATGGATCTGAGGCCCTGTGCAATCAGATTGTCTAGCGGAATTCCGGGACCCTCGGGGCGCGTTGGTGCGGCATTATTTCCATGGCTTCTGGACCACAACTTGAGACTTTTTTTGGTTTCCAGTCAGGGGAGCAGCTGAGCAGGGGATGGTGGCCCTCCGCTCGTCGGCACTTTCGCCTCCAATGCCTGGGGGAGATTCTGTGGGGTGCCACTGTGGCCGTTGGCGTTCGTGTCTCTCTGGGGGAATTTCTTGGTCTGGACCCGCTCATCTTAATAATCCGAGAAAAAGGAGTCGTCTGGAGGTTGCTGTGGGGCTTCGGGATACTCTCCGGGTTTTGACATTAGATGAATTGCTTGGAGTTCCGTGTCGATTATCAGGGTGGATCACGGTATATACTATAGGATGCTCGACTATTCAAGATCAGCGAACATGATTGATTACTTCACAATATTACGAATATGAAAATATGAAAGTATGAAAGTATGAAAAACCGAGAAGATGAAAACATGAAAAATTCGAAAATATGAACACGACGATCAATTATTCACAGGGACTGAAAGGGATTGGCTTGCGACCGGCCTCCACACTAGACCCGCAGCTTCTCCGCCATCGGCCGCCCTTCTTACTCCAGCCTTGGCTGGACCGGTATCTCTGGGTCCTCCAGTCTCCCCGGTCCGCTCCTGGCTCACTAGCGGCTCCGATCCTCTTGTGCCGCGAGACTGGGGCGGTACCTTTTCGGTGTATTTCGGATATACGGGTAGAAGGGGCAAGGTCATGGGGTTCGGATCGAGAGTAAGGGGAGGAGATGGAGAAGTCATCACATGGGATAGAGTGAGCAAAATGAAATCTCAGGTCAACAACATGAACAGAACAGTATACAGATGATCTGCTCTTAGCGGGAAGGCAGCCGACTCTAGCCATTGGTACCTCGTGTACCTCTTGTAATGGTTATGTATTGAGTACCCTACACTACTTAGGTAAGATGCTCCGACGGACTGACACAGGACTCCACTCTGCTAGAAATCAGAGGTTTTTTTTTTCTAAAAGTTCTCCTTAAGATTCTGTCCTTATGATCTTCATGTCATAGATCTTCTTTCTGTGAACCTCTTAATGAACCACAATGAATACGGAAGACCGGCACAAGTCCGGGGAGTAACGTGACCGGGCCGAATACTGGGCCGCTAAACCGGTTGAAGCCGCTGTGACGCAGTCTGCAAATGTGGAAATGCCTCTCGTGTGGGGAATTCCTGCCCGTTACAGTCTAGCGAATAGTCACTGCGCCATTTGGCTCTCTGGCACGGGGATCTGCCCCCAACCTGATTCCATCTGGAAACAGTGGAACAGTGGAACGGCGGAACGGGGGCCTGTGGCCTTCATACTTAAACATCCATGTCCCCGGGCCCCAGCGCGGTCCCCCCGTGTTAAAGACCCTCTCCACTCTTCTCTTCTTGCCCTTCGTGGCATTTCTATTTTCTTGAATTCGAATGTACCACATTCGCCCCCGGTCATTATGAGTAGTACCACTATGACTGAAGAGTCAGGGAAACGCAAGGCCTCTGGCCTTGCCGCCCATAACCGTCCCGTCAAGCGACGAGCTTCAAAAGCCTGCTGCTGCTGTCGTGCTCGCAAAGTTCGCTGCGACGTGGTAGAAAATGGCTCGCCCTGTACGAATTGCCGCCTCGATCAGGTCGAGTGCGTCGTGACTGAGAGCAAGCGGAGAAAGTACGTTTTGAAACCGACTCCCTACAGGAGAACAGAGAAAAAGAGAAAAAAAACCCCCAAGCTAATGTAGATGTTTTTTGTACCTGCAGGAAGTCGCGCGTGGAGGTTGAAAATCCTCAAGCTTCGGAGTCGCCCCGTGATGAATCCGAGGACGCGTCACTATTTGGTCGACTTGGCGAGATTCAGATGCCCGACATGGTGCCTACTTCGCCCTCGACGAACTCCGTTGATATCGATCATGGCCAACATATGCCGCATCTTCTGTGTTCGTAGTCCTCAACTCCGAGAAACATTTAATAAAGCTAACCGGCTTCGGCAGATCAATCCCAGAACACTCGCGTTGGTTCCGATGAACGATACCGTCGCCGAATGGCTTCTAACCCGGCCGTTCCTTCCACCATGCCGCTGGCCAATGCCACTCTCCAGATCCAACAGTTGCTCGACCCGTCCTTTGGAAACAACCGTACCGCGAATGGCTACCTTCCCGACTACATCCGAGGTCTGCCTGCTCGACTCACAAAGGACGACATCGACTACCTGGCCGCCAAGGGAGCACTCTCCATTCCCGATGTGAGCCTGCGAAACGAACTCTTGAAGGCCTACGTTCACTACGTCCACACATACATGCCTTTGTTGGATCTGGAGGAATTCCTCCAGACCATCGTGCAGAATGATGGAGTCCACCGTATCAGTCTGTTGCTGTTCCAGGCTGTCATGTTCGCGGGAATGGCCTTTGTTGATATGAAACACCTCAAGGCCGCCGGCTACCAGTCTCGCAAGGCGGCCCGTAAGATCTTTTTCCAGCGTGCTCGATTGCTCTACGATTTCGACTACGAGGTGGACCGCATTTCTCTCGTCCAATCTCTGCTTCTGATGACTTACTGGTACGAGACGCCCGATGACCAGAAGGATACCTGGCACTGGATGGGTGTCAGTCTGTCTCTAGCTCACACCATCGGACTCCACCGTGACCCCGGCAACTCGCGGATGGACATGCGCCGCCAGCGGATGTGGAAGCGGATTTGGTGGAGCACGTACACTCGTGACAGATTGATTGCTCTGGGCATGCGACGGCCGATGCGTGTCAAGGACGACGACTGTGATGTGCCCATGCTCACTCTTGACGACTTCGAATTCCATTCTTTCTCGCCCGAAATTGTGCAGATGGTTGGAGATTCGGAGATCCTCCAGAACGTCAGCCACCAGCGAGAGCTGGCATTGATGTTCATCGAGAAGGCTAAGCTCTGCCTCTGCGTGAGCCATGTACTCTCCGCCCAGTATTCCGTGCTTAGCCACAAGTTTGGCGGCACCATGGAGACTACCATGATGCTGGTTCCCAAGAAATCCACTGCGGAGACATTTGAAGTGCGACGCTGCGACCAGGAACTTGAGGATTGGCTTGCGAATCTTCCCGTGGAAACCCAGTATCAGCCATCTGGAGTCTCGAAGCTGCCGGAGGCCAACGAGGTGCTCCACTCGCACCGTGCTCTCCTGAAGATGGTCTACCTCACTACATCTAGCGCCCTGCACCGCCCGCAGGTCCTCCCTGCCATTCCCTTCCCATCCATGGACGCCGAACTGCAGGAGATGTCTCGCAACAAAGTGCGATTCGCCGCCGTGGAAATCACCAACATCGCCCATGATCTCCACACCCTGGACTTGACCCGATACTACCCTACAACCGGTGTCACAGTCCTTCTCCCCGCCGTCATCATCCACCTCCTGGACATCAAGTCCACCGACCCAACCGTGCGCATGACCAGCCTCCAGCGCTTCTACCAATGTATGCGCATTCTGCAACGCCTCCGCGAGATCTACGCCTCCGCCGACTTCGCCACCTCATTCCTGGAAGCCGCCATTCGCAAGGCCGGCATCCAACTCACCGTCGCACCTCAAGACGTGCAATCGCGCTCCCGCAAGACCACCAACAGTAACGACCCCTTCGACCTCCTTCCTCGCGCCAATGCCCTGACACCCCCGCCAGATTCCCTGGCCCAGAAGATCCCGGATCTCACCTACCCCAAACCAGCTCCCGCAGGCGGGTGGCCTACTGGGGACCTATTCGCCTCCACCCCGCCACAGTCTGACGGCAGCGAAAACGGAAGCACAAACAACCTCAACCCCCGCCACAACAGCACCGACGCCTTCGCCATCCCAGAGCTGAACTCGGAAATGAGTCTCACTGAGCTGATGGATCTGGCCAACGATGCCGAAGTCACCCAGAATGACTTCGACGCGCTGATCAACTTCGACGATGCGGCTGGAAATGACCTCTTCGACGATAACCAGCCTGCCGAGGATAAGGGCTTTGATTTCGACGTGAATGTCATGGGCTTTGACACCGATCCTAAAGCTCTCGATTTTGCGCATCTCGCTGAACGCGAACGCACCACGGGCCCCGACGCCGAGGCTGCGCGGCCCGGTCTGACGGCTGATCTTGACACGGATCTCGGGATCATGGATGAATAAACATGTGCTTCCATTCTTCTTTTGGGTTATTAGCGGTTTTATTTAATTACTGTCTTATTACGGGGTTGGGTGATTGGTGTTTGGCGCTTATCTTTCCCCCTCCCCCTGGAGAGATCGGATTGATTCTGATGTTTTTCGATTTCTTTTCATGACAATGATGATGCCCCTGTGTACTTGGATAGATGGATTTCAAAAAAGAGCATGAGCAATGTGAATAATGGATACCAAGCCTTTCCATCTCCGCCCGTAGATGGTTACTAGTGTAATAATGAGTGGACTCGGCCATGCCGATGCCGAGTCGGTATCACATGCTACTTCCGTTTTAACGCCATTCTGCATGGACATCGGGAATCTGGCCGGGGCTGGCGTCATTCCGGATCCCGTCTCTCAACGGCAAAGGCAGGATCGGCAGGTCAGGTGGTATGGGTATGGAGGCTGAATACCCAGCTGACTGGGATGGTAACATCACGGCGGGTCCGAAATGAGTCCCACGGGGTAGACCAAGCTAAGGCAATTGACTTTCTTGGACCCTGGAGATCTGTCCCTGGATCTTTGGGTCTTTAGTCCCTTTTGGGTAGGCCCCGCGATGGGGGCGATGGGGACTCTCCTGGGCCGAGGTTACTTCCTCTTTGGGCAGAGCCAGTTTGCCTCTTCATTCCGGCTTGTGCACCGTTTGGATGGATAATCTCGGGATTAAAATGTGCTCGCTTGTGAATTGTGTGGACATAATTTTGCTCTTCTGCTTCTAAAAGTCTTTCCCCAGCCTCGGTATTCGTGTGTAGTGTGTCTATGCGGGGCTTAGAATTTTGGACTTTTGGATGAGCCGTTAATTTGGTCATCACCAAGCTCACTAAGTCAAGTTTGAGACTGCTTCTGCAAGAGCTGAACCATATATAATATGTAGACTCTGGGTATATAGCTATAAACTTGAGTAACATTGAGAGGGGAACAAATCAGCCCTGGAGGGACCAAAAGCTCGGGTCTTCTATATGGGCAATCAACAGGAGCTGAACTATTCATTCATATTGGTGGAAGCTCCGATCAATCACAAAACTTTGGAACTTCCTTGCTCAGTATATGTATTGATTATATCTGTATCTACCACTTTTGCTTCTCAGTCGACAATTTCGAAGACCCAGTAGAACTTGGCAGAGCAACCGACGACTGAGTATGCGTCGCAGAAGCCGGCCCACTAGACCCAAACCCAGGAGTCAACTTCTTCTCACCCGTCGGCAGCTCCCATCCATTCAGCGTACGGTTAAACAGCTGCAGCGCCGCAATAGGCTGGTAATAGGGAACCTCATGGCCAGCTTCATACACCCGAGTGAAAGAGAAGTTACCATACTCGCGAGTCTCGCCGTATTCCACACCGTCAACGAGGAAAGGCGCGTACCCGGCGGCTTGGAACTCCTTGCTATGCTTGTATTTAGCTGCGAGGGAGATGGCCTGACCGCCGAACCAGTTGCATATGTAGTCGGCGTCGCCGTAGATTAGGGCAACGCGCACGGGGCGGGAGAGGATGTCTTCGAGGTCTTCGAGGAAGTTGGGCCAGACAAAGTCTCCGGTTTGTTGGAAGGCGAAGTAGACCTCGTTGTTGGATTGGGTGTAATTAAGATCTACGCCGATGGCGTTCAGGACTGAGTCCTTGGCTAGGTAGTCCACGTAGTAGCTCGGGGGGGTAGGGTCTTTGGAAGGGTGGCGGATATCGTAGGTACCACGGCCACTGAATACATAGTATGGACCCTCTGTGATTGGGAGATCAGCAGGGAGTGGTGAGAATAGAAGGAGATCTACGTACCGACGTTGTCACGACACATGTTAGTCGCCTCTGTGCAGAGGGCGTAGTCTGACAGGGAGGTACGGTTGGTCGCTTTGCAGGTCGCGATCAAATCCTGACAGCCATTGGGCATGTTGTTGGCAAACTTCATGTAGTTGTACACAGTCTCGTTGACCTGGAAGATCGTTATTTCGTGTCATTCAGGAAATGAAAGGGTCAGCACTTACTGCTTCGATGCCATAAGTATTGTGTCGTGCAAACTCAGGATAGTGAGGAGCCTGGATAGCCTCGTCAATGATTCCGTTTATGATCCCAAGAGTGTTGAAATCAAGTTGAATGCCGTCCACAGTGCCATTGGCGATCTTCTCGTTCTCTTCATAAAAGTGATCGAAGAACTGTCAAGGTTAGACCAAATCCAACCAAAATTGCATCTTTACTCACAGCTGGCCCATAGTGTCTATCAAATAAATTAGCATTGCCGATTCTCATTCGATTTCATAGGTGTGGAACTTACCCTCCATAGCTCTCAGTCCACAGATTGAAGCTCTTCGACTTGATCTTTGAGTCCAGCTTGGGAAGGCCTCCGAGGAATCCCTGCAGGACTTCCCAGGTAGCTTTAGCAGCGAGATTGGTAGTATCTTCAATTCGATTAGCCCAGAAGTCTTTTTCGTCCGAGATATGCAACTTACCAATCAAAGAAGCATTGATAATTGGGTAGCGGCCCTGGATACCAGCGAAGGAGGCATCTTCAAAGGAGCCGGTAATTGGGTTAAGAGAACCCTCCCCCTCTTCGGAGTATGAGAAGCCTATGGATCTTAGTACGTTTCGTCAAGTACATCATCAACTACATACCTGTGCCAAGGGGCTGGGAAATGAAAAGCATGTTCGAGACCTCATTCCACGAATGGGGGTTGACGTAAGACTCATGCTTCTCGTTGATATGACAGGGCCCCAGCTCTATACGAGACCATATGAGTCAGTGGGTTTAAGCTACTACCTCGACAATATCTCACCTTCGAACATGCCGATCAGCGAGTCACTTCCTGGGCCACCATTTAGCCAGAGTGTAATAGGGGCATTCTCGGGATCGTGACGCGCTTCGAAGAACCAGAAGAAGGTGTGCGCGGTGGGTGAAAGGTCTACGTAGCCAGAGTATGATTTGACACCCGGAGTAGTCTCACAGACACCTTCCTTGCCGGGCTCTTTGTATCGAATCGTGATATTGTTTGCTGTGTGGATAGTCTTCACGCCAGTGGGCTCATGAGGCAATTGACGACGAGCAAATGCATCAAAGTCTACCGAGCGAGCGGCTGCGAGAGGCAGCACCAGCGGGATCAGGCTATTGATGCGCATTGTGTCTCAACGACGCGACTGTTTTCAGAATACTGACAGTCAAGATTGACAAGAAACGGGAAGTCCATCGTTATTTAAATAAGAATCGCATTGTGTGGGGCGAGAAAAGGGTCCTTTGCCGTTGTAATGCAATGGCCAGTCACAATACGACGAGCATCTTTGCTGTGAAGCCGGAGATAGCCGTGGCTCAACAATCGGCAGTCATCATTTCCAGTGCAGGTAAATGGGCGGGGGCCTGCCAAGACCAACAAATCGGCAGGAAGCCAGTCAGGATCTCGTCGTGGAGATGATTTCAGGATCTCCAGAGATCTCCGCAGGAGCTCCGGAGAAGGTAGCATTGCTACCTAGCACGAAATAAGAGGGGAAATCCCCTCAACAAAGGCAGCCAAGGTGGCTCAGACAAGCCCCGCCAGCCTTCTGTAGAGGCTCAGGGAAGTCGCGCGATTCTGATTGACTCGATAATGGGGTGCTGTGCTGGCGTGAGGGGAAAGATCTGCGCCGCTAGGTGAAACACCTGGTAGATTGGTCAACTACCGGTGGAGCCGCGATTCAGGGATGCGATAGCCCATTGTCTGGTCTAGGCAGCCAGGAAACCAAGTTTTGGAGTTGATTCGAAGGAGCGTAGAAGGGTCCGGGGATCGCGAGGAAGGTTTAGTTCCGCGAAGTTGGTCGATGGAAGCAGGGTTTGATGTTGAAGAGTGTCATCTTGTAGCCTCAGGCAAGTTGAATGACCCACTTGGACACTTCGACTATCTGTCACTTTATCATTAAAACAATCTTTACCTCAGGCAGTATCTCCTCGTGATCGTGACTCCAACCGATATGACCATTGGAGTAGTGTTGCGCAACATGGCCATGCAACTCAATTTCAACAAAGATCAAGACCGGTTTGTGTAGATGAGCAACTCAGCTTTCTTCTGCAACTAGCTCTTCGCCCCGTAGACTTGTGCTGGAAATGACGTTTGTCCTAGAACAAAGAGACTATTGGGGACACCATTTTTCCATTGAAAGTGAATGGCGTTACTCTCATACAGCAATGTGTACAAGGCTTTCCAAGAAAAAGGCCTCTAATCATCATTCATTTTTCGCTATATTCACATGCTAGTTTCAGATTTAAAAGCCAGAATTGCGTATAGACAGCTTACGTACGTCTTCGCCTCTACGTGGTCTCTAGAATACTATACTTACCGCTCATTCAGTGAGCATGGTCACGCTTCCCCGAACCACAGCATGACCCATCCATAGCCGCCCTAGCCAGCTTCGCTCGACTCAGCGGACGAGGCTCAGGAAGCAAATCACGACCCATAAGATCTGGAGCAGAATCCGTTCCTTGGTCTTGCTTGACAAAGTCTTCAAGATCGCGCTTGGCGATATCAGAGCTATAGATCATGTTGAGCCAGTTACCGAGACGGTAGCCACCTTTCGCAATTTGTAGCTCGATGGTGTCGATAACGGAGTTGTAGTACGTGGGATAGAGATCGCCGGTCTGCAAAGCTGCAGCCCCACCCGGCATGACAACGGTGCAGACCAAGGCATTTGCATCTGATGCCCATCGGGTGGCCGAGGTAATAGGATCACTGATCGTATCACCCGCGATCCAGCTCGCCGCTTGGGACTTGTAGCTGCCTGAAGTGATCTCGCTGATCAAGGTGTTTGCCCACGTCTGCGCATCTGAAAGGGAGTCACCGCCGATCAATTGTTCGGGCATGTATGTATCCCAGTCCGCGTGGAGATTGTCACTGTAGCCGTTAAAGGTGACCTTGATATCATTACCGCCAACCTCGTACGCCTCGTCGTGCAGCGGCTGCGTTGTATCACCAAGGAAGTGCACAAGGAATCTGACGGCTTCTGCGATATGATCAGAGCTTAGTCGGCCATCGCCTGCACGCTGGGTGTAGTTGGCAATGGCAGAGATCGAGCAGCCTGCACTACCACAGTCGCGTTCATAGTCCACATTGCAGGTTGTCGGAGGGTTATCTTCCGCATCAATGAAGTGCAATGGAGCTGACCATTTGCCCGCGGTAGTTGAGCGATATGTATCAGCCCATGAGGCAATATTAGCTAGATACGAGGTGGAAGTGTCACCGAGGACACTTTGTGCCCTTGTGGATTGTTAGCGCTGGGCAGAGAGATGGTTTGATCTTTAGACCTACCACGATGCTGTGTCAGAGGAAACATAATGTTGGGCAATATATGCAACAGTTGCGTGACCCAAAACACCCCACGCATTTGCCCCGTTGATAACACCTAACGTGACCAGAGCAACCTTGGATAGAGGCGCCATTGCTAGAGCCGATCAAGGGAGTAAGGTGCTTGGTGGCGACAACGTGACTCCTCTCTAGAAAAGAAACAGAAAAATTGCAAAGGCCTAGTAAATCGATCTTAGCTCCTGCAAGGGCCCAGCTGCTTTTTCAAAGGAATATGCCAAAGATTGAGGTTAACTCGACTATTTAAGTGTTCGCGGGGGTGTGACTGTGACTGGTACATGGCAATCTCGCGAGATCACTGGACCAGCCCACGTTACGGCAAAAGGCTAGTGGTTTCGGGCCTCCGCTTATTAGATAAGGGGTCATGCCCGGAGTAAGTCGTCTGATTCGTGGACCTCACTAGTTGGCGCGATCGGCAATGCAGAAGACATCTGCAGGACACCTGAATCCACTGCATCGAGATTGCGCAACTGATCATGTCACGGGTTTGGGATTCCCCGTCGAAATAACTCACATCAAACTCGAGCAAAGCAGAACAGTGCCCAGACACACGTGGAGATGAGATCTCGCTTTTTTGGATTCTTCATGGCGGAAACAAGAAACGAAGTTAGAGCTAGCGGGCTTGGCAGGGTCCTAGCTGCTGCTGACAATGTTAAAACCGCCGGGCCTCCGCCGGATGATGGGGTTATATACATTCTTAGTGTCGGGACTATGGTCTGTTGCCGGCGGCTTCCTGTGCAAGGTCCTGTCAATGTGGCCTTTCCTTGAGGTCGCCGCGCCATTTTATTGATACACCAGTGACATACCCAGATAGATTGCATTCAGGCTAATTCCGGTGGAATTTCAAGGTTTAATTACAGTGGCAGTGTGCTTCTCTCTAAGTCTTTCTTTGTATCTATATTGCAAGGGATATTGTAACAGTATCTATATTGCAAGGGATATTGTAACAAAGACCAATGTGGTAGCGACGGTACGTGAATGCCTGCCTCACATCAACGTCGAATTTTCCAACGCAGGCCCGAACCGTTGGATGAACGGGGGCTTGTAGCGTCAAGAATAGGAGAACGGTGTTCTGAGAAGAAATAAAAGATATATTGTCGATATTCAAGATTGTATAGCACACGGGAAACGATATCAAGTCGAGTCGAAGTGTCGATAATTCGTACAGAGAATCAAACGCGCCGCATAAAATGCATGAAGCCCGTCGCATCCACATGGGGATGTCAGAACAGAATAATGATGTGGTGATACATGTAGCAGGTTTCTTAGGAGGATGTCGCCTTGGAGTCCTCGTGGTGAGGAGACTGGGGCTTCTCCATCTCGTAGGAGTCTTGGGGCACGTCGCCCATGACATCGGCAGCAGTCTCATCGGAGAACTGCAGATCCTGTGCCACGTCGGTGCTGTCCTTAATCTTGAAGAAGATCACGGGCGACGCGATGAGCATGCTGCCAAGGAGCAGACCCCAGCAGGACGCGAACTCGGTCATAAACGCAGTGTTTTGGGCGTCCAGGCGCCACATGCCGGCAGCGCCGGCAGACTGGATGCCCTTATAGAAACCGGCAAAGTTGGCGAGTTTGCGGGCGTTGTTGGACATGGATCCCATGTACCAGTAGGTGCAGGTCTGGAAGGAAGCATCGTAGAAGCCGTAGAACATGTAGAGGAACATAGGGCCAATATAGTTGCTGTCCGACCAATCAGTGAGGCGTGTGATGCTCTCGCGAGTATAGGTCTTCTGGAAGGCATAGCCACCACCCCAAATACCCACTGTAATAGCGAGGAGGATGCCGAAGTTGATCTTGGCACGAGTTGGGCGCGAGAAACATTTCATATCCAGGAGCAGACCGAAAATCAAGGCACCCACCATCTGCATGAGCCAATAGAGGAGACTGTTCAGGGCGCGAGTGCGGACCGTGAAGTAGGCAAGGTTGACGGAGTTGAAGTGGTAGGCATAGAACCAGTTACTGGCCAGGAACATGGGGAACATGAAGACAATGTACGAGTCGCTAATAATGGTCTCCCAAAGGCCCAGGAACTCGGATTTCCAGGTGGGGTTCTTGATCACGATGACACGCGAGCCATCCTTGCGCTTGATGTACTTGGAATCGGCGAGAACCCAGCATAGGGCGAAGCCCACTGCCATCAACACCAGGAAAGCGATATAGGTGCCATTGTTAACTTTGCCGGCCGTGCTATGGATATTTTGACCCAGCGGGACCTGCAATGATTAGCTTCCAGTCTACTTCATGTAAGGGTGAATTCAACTTACCAAGCTACCAATGACACCACCCAAGTTAAAGATAACCCAGAAAACGGCAATATACTTACCCTTTTCATGCTCGAGCGGATAACTCATCATGACGGCTCCCTGGGCACACCAGAGAAGACCGGCGCAGACACCAAGCAGAGCTCCGGCAAAGATGAGGAAACCAGCATTCTGGTTAATATTGTAAGACAGAAGGGCGGCGACATAGAGGAAGTAGCCGAAGCCACCAAGGGAGAGGGTCAATCGGAGTCCGATTCGGTTGGCGATGGAGCCGGCGAAGAAGCCGACGACGGCAAAGGTACTGTACAGGGCCGTGTTGGAGTTGTTCACATCGGTCGGATTGACTTGGCCGCCACCACCCAGACCGCTAACGGCATTGTACATACCGGGACACAGGAAACAGACAAATGAGACAAGAACCAGCTGCGTCTCAGGCGATGCGAACCATGGTGATTCCCATTTGCCAATTTTGAACATCGGCTTGTACATCCACGGTTTCCCGACCACGGCATGGTCCATTGCGGTCTCGGGATCCTCCTGAGCGGAGTAGTTGTTCTTCTGAGGAGACAAAGACACAGAGGCCTCTGGAGTCTCTGTGGTCTCCGAGGCCGAGTGCTGCTCAGGCTCGTGGGACGCCATGGTGGAAGAGGAAGTACCAGAAACGCGATTTGGGGGGCCAAGGAACCAGGGAGGAGGTTTTAGATCAACAATTGGAACAAGGATGTTCAGGAATGTTGGAATTGCCCACGTGAAATATCACGATCCCAGGAGCAATAAGAATGAAGGAGAAGGAAGAAGATGTGAACCCTTTTTTAGCCAATTTTTTTTTAGGACTCAAAATTAGTTTGGGGAAGAACGGAGCTAGTCTTATCGAGGTTTCACAGATAAGTCATAGAAGTATCCATTTCCAATGTCTCGATGATACGTAGGAACAGGCTAGAAATATGGGTGGGTTTCTTCTTATCTCTTTTTCACATCGTGTGATATAATTGCGGGGGATGATGAAAAGATGGAGACACACTGGGGACACTGGAGACTCTGGAGATGAATGAGAGGCAACAATTGGGTTGAACCACGGGCCAGGAAATAGCCGCGATGCGACCGCAAACAGAGTTGTATTCAATTCTGCTGCTTGCAAATGCAACTCTCCGCATGCGGGGACTCCCGTACGGTAATCCCGTTACCTGATACCGTACATGACACCCTTTCCCGTTCCCTTTGCTACTATGAAATAAGCATATACCACATCGGCATGCCGAATGTCACCTGCAGATTTACAATACCTTTTGGGGGGGGGGGGTAGGGGGGTACCAATCTGGAGTGTTACATCATTGTGCAGTCTGCTTTTATCTATTGACTTCCCCCCGTTTTCCTCCGTGTTCCTGGGACCTTGATTTCTTGGAAACAAACACTTCTCTCATCATGCCTGGCAAGACTACCGCTGCCCCGCGCATCACCAAGTTCACCAACTGCCGTCTGGTGCGCGGCTCTAGTCTAGTAGAGCAAGATCTCTGGATCGACTCTCTGACTGGAAAGATCCTCAAGGACCAGGAAGCCTTCTATGAATTGCACCTGTCTCCCGATGAGATCATTGATCTCGGTGGCCGCATCTTGGCCCCCGGCCTGATCGATGTTCAGCTGAATGGTGCGCAGGGTTTCGACTTCTCCGTGCCCTGTGATACCAAAGAGGAATACGATGAGGGTCTGCGCATGGTCAACCGTGGCCTGGCTCGCACCGGTGTCACTTCCTACCTGCCCACCCTGGTCAGTTCGACTGCCGAAGTCTACCACAAGGTTCGTAATCCTCCGACTCTGACGAGTCAAATTGGAGACGAACGTGAGGCTGACAAAGTATCAATAGGTGCTTCCTTCCCTCGGCCCCAAGGGCGCCAACCACCTCGCACAAGATGGCGCCGAGTCTCTCGGAGCTCACGCCGAGGGTCCCTTCATCAGCCCTGGCCGCAACGGTATTCACAAGTCCGAGGTGCTGCAATCCGCCCAGACCTTTGACGACCTGTACTCTATCTATGGCGCCGACAACCTGGGTCCCGACAGCCCCATCAAAATGATCACTGCTGCCCCAGAGGTGGGCAACATGATGGCCCAGATCCCCGAGATCGCTAAGCGCGGCATCATCTACTCTATCGGCCATTCGGACGCCACCTATGAGCAAGCCGTCTCAGCGACCCACCAGGGCGCGCGCATGATTACCCACTTGTTCAACGCCATGCGTCCCTTCTACCACCGCAACCCCGGCGTGTTCGGTCTGCTCGGCCAGAGCGAGCGTCGTCGCCCTTGCTACGGCGTCATTGCTGATGGTATCCATCTGCACCCTACCTCGATCAAGATCGCCTACAATGCACACCCGGATGGCCTCATCCTGGTCACTGATGCCATGCGTCTGTGTGGTCTGCCCGATGGTGTCTATGAGTGGACCAACGGAGAACGCATTGTCAAGACCGGTGCCCGTTTGACCCTGGAGGGATCCGATAAGATTGCTGGAAGCTCTGCGACCCTCATCGAGTGTGTCAACAATTTCCGTCGCTGGTCTGGTGCGTCTACTGCGGATTCCATTAACGCTGTCACGGCTACCCCCGCGCGCCTGTTGGGTCTGGAGGGTGTCAAAGGATCCCTCGAGAGTGGAGCCGATGCCGATCTGGTCGTGCTGGGCGAGACCAACGATCCATTCTCTGGCAACACACTCACCGTTGACCAGGTGTGGAAGTTCGGTGTTAAGATCCATGACACTGATAAGACTGCGGCTGTTTAAGACCGAGGTCCAGATCTTGCTTATTTTCATTTGTTCTTTCCTTATCGTTGTCTCGGGGTTAGCATCTCTCGCATCTTTCCTTATCTACCGGAGCTCTAAGGCGTTCGGGTTATCCAATTGCATGCACCGTCATAGAACCATTCAGCATGGCCAGAGTTTCATTTTACAATTCAGAATAAGTAGACCTTTGAAATCAAGAAATTGTCCAATTGTGATCTCCATGTATATCTAGTTGGTCAACCCAAATTGGGATCCAACTCCTATTTCCCACAAAGATATCAATGCGCGTGTGGTATATATCCATGAAATCTTCAAACACCGGGTCCGACTGGCGGAACCCAAATCAAGTTGCGGAGGTAGAGTCCACATGTCCAACACGATGGTACTCAACTTCCAACTTCGATCTTTCGACGGGGCCCAGCGCCGCTCGCTTATATGCTAAACTCAAAATACAAAATTCGAACTGGACTTTTTCAGACATGCCATCGTCAGGTTCGCAACAAACACGCTACCCCGGAAGCCTTTTTACAGGCGGGGTTGTGAGCGAGACCAGCCGGCCTCTTCGGCGATCATCTCGGCGGCACGCTCACCAACGGACAGGACTGTGACCATGGGGTTGATGCTGGGGATGTCAGGGAACACACCAGCGTCGGCGATACGAACACCCTTAAGGCCACGGACCTTCAACTCGTGGTCCACAACAGCCAGAGGGTCACGAATAATGTCACCCATCTTGGTGGTACCGGCCGGGTGGTACACGGTGTGAGCCACGCGGCGGCCGTACTCGGACAGTTCCTCATCGGTCTGGATCTTGGGACCGGGGGCGACCTCGCGCTTGATCCAGTTCTTGAAGGGGACCTGCTGAGCGATCTCACGTGCAGCCTTGAGACCGCTCACAATGGTGGCGGCGTCGTAGCCCTCGGGATCGGTAAAGTAGCGGAAGTCCAGAGCGGGCTTCACGGAGGGGTCAGAGGAGGTGAGGTACAGACGACCGCGGGAGCGGGGACGAGGGATGTTGGGAGTCATGCAGAAGGCGTTGATGGGCTCGTCGTATCCCAGACGACCGGTGTTGAGGGTGAAGGGAATCTGGTAGCAGTGCATCATAAGGTCGGCGGCACGGCCGTCGAAGCCAGCTGCGTTGGGAAGCTCGCGGCGCAGGAAAATACCGGCATCAGAGTCCATGGTGGTCTGGTTCGGGGGAACGGGCTGGTTGAGCTCCCACATGATGATCGACTCGGGGTGGTCGAGCAGGTTCTCACCGACACCGGGGATGTCCTTGATAACCGGGATTTTCAGAGCAGACAGCTGCTCGCGGGGACCCAGACCAGATAGCAGCATCAAACGGGGAGTGTCGACGGCACCGGCGCAAAGAATGGTCTCCTTCTTAGCACGCAAGGTGTGGGTCACACCGGACTGCAGGGTCACGTTGACACCGGTGACGGTGTCCCCCTCGATGTTGAGCTTGGAGACCCAAGCGTTGGTGAGGATGGTCAGGTTAGGACGCTTCTCGTCACCGCGCAGGATGGGGTGGATGTAAGCCACACTGGCACTGCTTCGGCGGCCGTCATCCGGGTTGTAGGAGACGTTAAAGAAGCCGACACCCTCAGTCAGCTCACCGTTCTTGCGGATATCGTCGTTGAAGTTCTCAATGACGGGGATGTTCATAGCACTGGAGCAGGCCTGGACCCAATCTTTGCACAGCTGGTTGCGGTGACGATCATGCACGGGCTGGATAGTGTTACGCAGGCCATCGATTATGCGGGTAAAGGTCTCAAAGTCCCAGCCCTTGCAGCCCTTGGCAACCCAGTTCTTGCAGTCATACTCGAAAGGGCGGAACGAGATCAGCGTGTTGTGGCTGGAGCAACCACCCAGCACCTTAGCGCGTGAGTGACGGATGTGACTGTTGCCTAGAAGCCGTCAGTTGGGGGATTCCTCAATAATCGTTCCGGAAGAAGTACCGTTGGGCTGCTCGACAGTGCCGTAGTCGTAGTCGAGCTCGCCACCGAGGAGGTTCAGCCACTCCTTCAGATTGAGCACACGGTCATCCATGTAGTCACTGGGGCCACCCTCAATGACCAGAGTACGCTTATTGGGGAGGTACTGAGCCAGGCGTGCCGCAATGACACAGCCGGCAGTACCGCCACCGACTACGATGTAGTCGTAGCTGTTGATGTCGACAGCAGGAATTTCGTTGGTAGTAGCCATATTGATTAGGCAGGAAAGATAATGGAAGAGAAAGAACGAGGAGGAAAGAACGTCACTTTAAAGCGTAGGGCGGGTGGTCTGATAGCTAAAGATCCGATCTCAATCGACCAGCCCAATTCGGCTCGCGTGGTTTTTTTTTTTTTTTTTCTTTGCATTGGAAACTGGATCAATTGGACGATGTGAGTGGTGGCGATCTCATCTTGGTGGGGCTCGTCTTAGATAAGAAATTGGATCCACTTGAGGCACAACGCGGATGGGTTTTACATTAGTGCGGGATCTACACCGTTCCAATGGGGAAGGAGTTTGGAGATGAGGGGAGGGAGAGTAAGAGACGAGTACCCCCAGAAAGCACTCTCGGCATGACACCAGTGTAGGGGATAAAGTCTACGAGGGTCGTATACATACTATACGTCATTGCTCCCCGCGACGGAATGCCTTATTTAGTGCGACAACCCACTGGGCTCGGAGGCGCTGGGTAGTTAGACCAAAAAACGGAGTAAAACGCCCAGTGAATTTCGACCTCGGCGAATCTTCGTGCCACCTTCAAGCCTCCCCGCAGCCACGCAAGAACCGGCGTTGCAAAAGTTTTACGTACAAGTGGAGTCGCCCGGCAACCTTTTTTAGCTTCCCGAGGCGGTGTGAAGAGGCAACAAGAAAGATTGTCTTCCTCTATCGACATATTCTATTCACGTTCCATACTTGCAGTAATGGCTCTCTCTTTTCCACCTCGTGAGCTCTACTATGACGGCCAGGCCCGCGCCGCCTCGTCTGGAAAGACCTTCCAGACCATGAATCCCGCCACCGCGACTCCGTTGGCCGATATTCAGGTGGCCTCCAACGCCGATATCGATGCCGCGGTTGCTTCCGGCGAGCGCGCATTTCCTGCCTGGTCTCAGACTCCTCACATTGTGCGTGCTCGCATTCTCCAAAAGGCCGCTCTTCTCCTGCGTGAGCGTAATGACGAGATTGCCCGTGTCGAAACTTTGGATTCCGGCAAGGCTTTCACTGAGACCAGCACCGTCGATGTCGTGACCGGCGCCGATGTGTTGGAATACTATGCCAACTTCATTGGTGGCGGTGGTCTGAACGGCGAGACTACTCAGTTGCGCGAGGATGCTTGGGTGTACACCAAGAAGGCTGCTCTGGGTGTCTGCGCCGGTATTGGTGCTTGGAACTACCCCATCCAGATGTGAGTGTTTTCCTCACTTTTGTCGCCTTCACGACCGATATACTAACAAACACTCTGCTTAGTGCTCTCTGGAAATCCGCTGCCTGCCTTGCTGCGGGTAATACGATGGTCTACAAAGCGAGTGAATTTACCCCTCTCCACGCCCAAACTCTCGCCGAGATCTACACCGAGGCCGGTCTCCCCGCAGGTGTCTTCAACGTGGTCAATGGCACTGGCGACGTTGGTGCATACCTGACCAACCATCCCTCCATCGCCAAGGTCTCCTTCACCGGTCAGGTGTCGACCGGTAAGAAGGTGGCAGGCTCCGCGGCCGGCAACATGAAGTACGTGACTATGGAGCTGGGTGGCAAGAGCCCCCTCATCGTCTGCCCCGACGCGGACCTGGAGAACGCGGTCGACGGCGCCATGATGGCCAACTTCTACAGCACCGGTCAGGTTTGCACGAACGGTACTCGTGTCTTTGTTCCGCGTGGCATGAAGGCTGCCTTTGAGAAGCGCCTACTGGAGAAGATCCCCTACGTGCGGGCTGGTCCGCTCTTCGATGAGCAGACTAACTTTGGTCCCCTGAGCTCCAAATCTCACCAAGAGAGGGTCATCTCTTACATCCGTCACGGTATCGAGACGGACCGAGCAACCCTACTCTGCGGTGGCCTCGATAAGCCTACCGTGCCCCAGGACCTGCAGGCCGGCTACTGGGTTAAGCCTACCATCTTCACTGACTGCACTGACTCCATGCGCATCGTGCAGGAGGAGATCTTTGGTCCCGTCATGTCCATTTTGTACTACGATACAGTCGAGGAGGCCGTCCTGCGCGCCAATACCACCGACCTCGGCCTCGCTGCCGGTGTCTTCACCAAGAACCTGAACCAGGCTCACCGTGTGATTGATCAACTCCAGGCCGGTATCACATGGATCAACACCTGGGGTGAGAGCCCCGCGGAGATGGCCGTCGGTGGCTGGAAGAACAGTGGTCTGGGTGTTGAGAACGGCCGCCGTGGAATCGAGGCCTGGGTGCAGAACAAGAGCACTGTGGTCGAGATGAGCGGCGCCGTGGCCACTGTCTTCGCCAAGCTGTAAGCATTTTCTTTGTATACGATATGATGCATGCATGACCCCAACCGGTCGGATATAGAGTACATTCAAAACAGATCGGTCAATATCAAAGCACTTAATAGTATTTCCACATGACGCCTAGTTATAATTTGTATGCCTTGATTTTGGCGCCTAGATGACATATTGAATGCAAATTGGAGAGGATACTGAGTGCCTTGGCTTTGTCTATCAGTCCTCCCACGAAATAGTAAAGCAAAAACTCCTCGACGATCCCTGTGAGCATAGAAGGCCATGCAGCAAATAATTTGAAACGAGTAAGAAAAAAAAGACCCCAATTCCCATTCTCCCAGGCAATTAGCGAAAGAAAATTGCACGATTCAAAAACGCCAATTGACTGCGGCGGATGCCGCTGGTCTATGAGAGAGTGGTCATTCTAGCGCCCATGCGATCAAAGATCAGGTCGTTCTTCAGAGCACCGTCAAGACCGACGGCCGAGTCGACCATGCGCGAAGACATGCTGTCCGGAGTGAGTTCATCGTCTTCCTGGGCACGGTAAAGCTCAGTATTGATGCGCAAGTCCTTGGGGACCTTCTCGGGGGTTCTGTCGGGGGTGGGCTGCTGCTTGGAAGCGGTCTTCTTAGCAGGCAACGGGTCGGGGACATAGGTGCGGGGACGGTAGACCATAGCAGGTCCCTGGGTGCGGGCATCGGTACCGGCCTGCTCAATTGACTCAAAGTAGCGAACAGTCTTGACCTTGAGCTCCAGGGTGGCATCGCGATCACAGACGACCAGCGGGTGCTGGTGCAGCTGCAGAGCTGAGAGGGTCCACATGTGGTTGACACCTTCCTCAAGACCCTTCTGCACGGCGAATGCCTTGTGCGCACCGGTTGCGACAATAACCACCTCGCGGGCATCCATGATGGTCTGAATTCCGACGGTCATAGCCATGCGCGGCACCTTGGTCACATCGTTGTCGAAAAAGCGGGAATTGGCCAGGATGGTGTCGTATGCGAGGGTCTTGACACGGGTACGGCTGCTGAGGGAGGAGCCGGGCTCGTTGAAGGCAATGTGACCGTCCGGGCCGACGCCACCCAGGAAAAGCTCGATACCGCCATAGCGGGCAATGCGTGCGTCGAAGGAGGCACATTCAGCAGTCAGGTCGGTGGCGTTACCATCGAGAATGTTGATGTTATGCGGCAGGATGTCCACGTGTGAGAAGAAATGCTTGTACATGAAGCTGTGGTAAGACTCGGGATGGTCTCGAGGCAGGCCGACGTATTCATCCTGTAGCATTTAGTCAGTCACTGTAAATTATGGTTTGTACCACGCATTAGCGCATTGGCGTATAGCGGGCCGCATACCATATTAAACGTCACCACATTCTTAAACGAGATCTCGCCGGCGCGGTGGCGCTGCACAAGGATCTTGTAAATGATTTCGGGACTACTGCCAGTGGGCAGGCCCAGCACGAACGGGTTGCTCTCAGTCGGATTGTAGGCCTTGATGCGACCTAGAATAAAGCCGTCAGTATAGATCACGAGTGGGGTTGCGCGCGTATCTCTCGAGGCCACTTACTGACGATGTACTCGGCGATGTACACAGAGGCCGACTGGGGGTCTTCTCTGATGATAACACGCCTATTCGTTCAGTTAGCCAGGTCGTACGCGAGATGAGCAGAGGACATTGCATACATGGTGGTTACGTCAGCGGGTAAAGACTCGAATAGTCAAAAGCTGATAAGACGTTTGTGAGAGAGTTGTGTGTGTGTGTGTTGGGGGGGAAGGAAGGCTGAAGGGAGATAAAAAGTAAAGACTAAGGTCAAGGTAAAAGATAGTGAAGTGCCCACGGGTTACGTCGAGTGTACGACAGTGACAAAGATCAACGGGCGTCGTAGTACGAGGAGAGGGCCAGGCTCCGCTGTTACTTGTTCGATTCTACCACCACATCTCGTCGCATGCGCCCATGGCCCACACTATGGGTGACGTTGCCGAATTCCCCCTCAATCCTGCCTGTTTGGGACAGCGCACGAGATAGCTATTGGAAACCTCATTCGTCTGTCACGAGGTACAAATCCGCATTGTGCATTGCCATGTGGTGGCCAACAATAGAGCCAAAAGAAAAATTCAATGACGCAGTGATTGATAGAGGACTAAAGATTATGATTGGTAGGTTACCTTCCAGAATGGGGCATTAAGTGTCAGCGACGAAGGTTCCATCGGGAGCAGAAGTTGCATCCGGTGAAGTCGGCAAAGAGTAGAAAAAACCTGGGGGAGAATCCACCTGGGTGCAACCTTGCAGCGTCGCAGTGGAATACCGTACAGTACCGTATTGTATTGGTACCACGTGATGTGAACTGTCAGTTTGGAAGTGTCAGTTTACCTAATGCTTTGGTCTCGAATTGGGTCGACCGGGGCTGTGTTCTAGGGTCTTGTGCATGGAATTGGTTTTGTAAAAAAATATTTCTCTTTTCCCAGGTCTAGTTTGACTAATTTGACTAAGACCGGTAATTCCCCGGACTATCCCAGGATCAACAGGCACGTAGATAATGACGCGCGCGGACAAGGGCCGCCTTCCGCCCTATCTGACCTTATCGCGCCCTCCCCGATTGCGGCTCTGGAGCTTCCCACCAGCAAACCCGCCTTAGCCCGTGTCCAAATCAAACCCATTCAAGTCTGACACGCCTGAGGCACAAGCGCGTGTTCCCATCACCCCCTCGCGTCACCTGACTGCGAACTCGGAGCTCACTCTTGTTCAGCTATTCCGGGGCCTCTCACCGAACGTCAAGGCTGATCCCGCTTGCAGCACCATCTCGTGCGGATCCCTACGCTGCATCCTATCTGTTGGGCCCTTCTGGCATTCCTCCCCCAGGGCCATGGCCCCGAAAGAGGACATGCTGCCCCCGGGCTGGGAGGATCTAGACAGGTATGTTGATCGCCTGTTCCGGAGCCATGCACCACACTCCCCCCCCTTCGGCTTCGGGCGTCCTCCCCCATCTTCACGCCCGCGTCGCTGTGGAACCCCAGTGGCCCTTCGGGAGATTTAGACTATTTCCTTTTCGGGAAACCACCTGACACCTGATGCTGGGTGAGAACAATGTGCTGACGTGCCATGCGGCAGGCAAATGGGCCAGCTCTTTATGATGGGCTTTGATGGTACCTCAGTCAGCCCACAGGTCCGCTCTCTCATCGAGAACTACCACCTGGGCTCCATTCTCCTGTCGGCTAAGAATCTCAAATGTAATCCTATTCTCCTTTCTTCCTCCCTGGGGCCCTGCCATCAGAGTACTGATTCAAACCAATAGCTGCCGAGGATGCTACCCGACTGGTGCTCGAGCTGCAGACCATTGCCCATAATGCCGGACATCCTGTACCGCTGCTTATCGCATTGGACCAAGAGAATGGCGGTGTCAACAGTTTATATGATGAGATATACGTACGCCAATTTCCTAGTGCCATGGGCATCGCAGCAACGGGCTCAAAGGCTCTTGCTCACGAAGTTGCCGTTGCTACCGGCCAAGAACTCAAGGCCGTCGGAGTCAATTGGATCCTGGGTCCTGTGCTTGACGTCTTGACCAATGGCCGAAATCAGCCCCTGGGCGTCCGTACCACCGGTGATGACCCCCAGGAAGTATCTCAGTACGGGGTGCAATATATGAAAGGGTATCAGGAAGCAGGACTCGCGACCTGTGGCAAACACTTTCCTTCCTATGGGAACCTGGAATTTCTCGGATCTCACACAGATGTGCCCATCATTACGGAATCTCTGGAGCAACTCAGTTTAACTGCGTTGGTGCCCTTTCGTAATGCCATCATGCAAGGTTTGGATGGCATGATGGTAGGTGGCGTATCCATGTCATCAGCCGGGATGAATGTTATGCATGCCTGCTTGAGTGATCAGGTGGTGGACGAGCTACTCCGAAAGGACCTCAAGTTCCAAGGTGTCGTCGTATCCGAATGCTTGGAGATGGAGGCATTAACCCACAACATCGGGGTGGGAGGCGGAACAGTCATGGCGAAGAACGCAGGGTGCGATGTTATCCTACTATGCCGATCATTCCCAGTGCAGCAGGAGGCAATCAACGGGCTGAAGCTGGGCGTGGAAAACGGCATCATCGGTCGACCTCGAATAGAGCAGTCATTACGACGCGTCCTGAACTTGAAGTCACGATGCACTTCATGGGAGCAGGCACTAAACCCGCCCGGCCTGCTCTCGCTCACGCAAATGCAGCCATCTCACACCAACCTCTCCACGCGCGCATATAACAACTCCATCACTGTGATGCGAGACAAGAACAATCTCCTTCCTCTTTCTAACACCATTGACGCCGGCGAGGAGCTTTTACTCTTGACTCCCTTGGTCAAGCCACTCGCCGCTTCAGGAGTAACACTCGCAGCTAATGAAAGCACACATGGCCCCATTGACCCCTCAACGTTGGACCGGACCAACTCGGTGATGACAGGAGAGAGTGTTTTCAAAGAACTGGGGAGATCCCTTTCACGACAAAGGAGCGGCCGTGTATCGCACACCTCGTACACCTCCAATGGTGTGCGTCCTATTCATGAAGATCTCATCAAACGAGCTAGCGCAGTCATTGTGGTCACAGCAGATGCCAATCGCAACCTGTATCAACAGGCCTTCTCGAAACACGTGTCGTTGATCTGCCAGTCGCAGTATACGCCGTCCGGCGAGCGATGCGAGAAACCTTTGATCGTGGTGGCAGTGAGCTCGCCATATGATTTTGCCATGGATGCCTCTATAGGCACTTATGTGTGCACCTATGACTTTACTGAGACGGCGCTACAGGCGCTAGTCAAGATATTATACGGCGAGCTGACACCCACGGGAGTATTGCCCGGGTCCATTAGTCGCAGTCAAAAAATTCATCAATCGCGCCAGCACTGGCTTGTGGAGAATTGGAACGAGGAACGTGACGCTGCTGCGTTGGATGCCCTTCTAGACGCGAGTCGGGAAGATTGTGCGCAGGGTCAACGATCGGAGCTTCTCGGTGCGACATCCAACAGCTTCCTGCTGCGCAAGGAGGATGTTGACGAGGCGCACTTTGTGGTCCGTAATAGCAGCACGCAAGCGCTCTATGGGTTCTGTGCAACCTACTTCTTTCGGTCGACTGGCACCGGCGTCATCGGGTGTTTGATCGTCGACCCGGCCCGGCGGAAGCTTTCCATTGGGCATTCCCTTCACAGCCGCGCCATCCGCACTCTTCTCCAGCGCAAGGGCATGAAGCGGTTCCAGCTCGGATCTCGACTGCCTGGCATCTATCTAGGCATCCCGACCGTCAGCCCCGTTGAACGTAAACGACTGCGCCAATGGTTTGCGGACCTAGGCTGGAACACGGCTCTCTCACGTCCCGTCTGCAGTGTAGTACTGCGCAACTTGGGGACGTGGACGCCCCCAGACGGACTGACAGCAACCCTGCAGAATGCCGAAGTCATCTACGATCTGGTTTACGGGTGGGACTTTGCGCGTGCGATCCTCGACCACATCAGAACCAATGCCCGGCAGGGAGTCACGGACATCTACCGCATTGCCCTGGGTGGAGCCCCCAATTGTGGGATCATCCGTGCCAAGCGCTCTTCGGACGATATGATACTCGGAAGTATAGTGATATACAACGAGCGGTCGGCATTGGCCGAGCACATGCCTGCTCTACGCGCCACCCAGCCACCGGTCGGGGGCATTTCGTCACCCGTTATCTCGCCGTATGCGGAAGACTATTCCACCATTATGCAAGGGCTGATACTGCTGGCGATCAAACAAATTCGCAAGTTGAATGCCAATGCTGTCGTGATGGACTGTGTAAGTGAATGGACGATCTTCAACACCCATAGGAGCTAGGCTAACGGAAACCTAGGTGGATGGCGATGGCAACTTCGACTGTCTCTCTTCGATGGGCTTCAGCATGCTACACAGCTTCGAGGAGGTCAACTGCGATGCGGCCACCTGGACGATGATGCACGCATCGTAGACACTGCCCTTCTCTGGGATTTCCCGCCCCCCTGTTCTCCCCCCTTTCTCTTCCTCTTTTTCTTTCTCTTTGTTTATTGTTTTTCTATTTTCTGAGTTCCCGGTTATTGTTTCTGGTTCTCGCATCTATGATATCCATTTGGCATTTTGGTTCGGGACCGGGAAATGGGGATTCGCGATGCAGGTACCTGTGCCGGTCCAGGAGTTCTAGGATTGGAAGGGATTTCCAAGATTATTCTGGACTCCCATTGTGCATATTATCGCCACGGGGCAAATGAGACCCTTATGTGGTGGGTAGGACAGGCAGTCTGTACGTTGTCATTCAGACGAATCTGACATCATTTTTCATATTCCATCGTCTCTCTTTTCTTTTTTGGGTTATTTCTTTTCTTTTCTTTTTTTTTTTTTTTTTTTTTTTTTTTTCTGTTTAGGCTGGTTCGAGTGAGCCGGTCAAGCGACGTTGTCGATCACGGGAGATCCGCGATGGTATCTCTTTCCTTCGGGGGCGCCTTGGAAGCCAAAGTACGAAACAGAGAGAGGCCGAATGTAGCTGGGAGTCGGACCAGAAACGGTAAACCGTCGAGAGCGGAGTGGAGCCCGAGAGGCAGCCATAAAACGGCGGGCTGCTAATGGACCGGACGTCCGTAGGACCCTGCGTCTCTTCATCTACCCCAAGTGGGCTGGGACGGACTCCGCTTGGAAGAGGACAGGGAAAGCCAAGCTCCACATTGGGGAATCCAGTGCGAGAGAACTACTGGGGAGTTACATCGCTGGCCCTCTACGTCTGGTCTTAGTCTCTTTTATTTTAATCCTTCTTCTCTGGGGTCCCAGTCTCTAGAACGCGACATCTCAATATATATATATAGCTATCGCTATCGCCGGGGGATAGACCTACTGGAAGTCCAAGCACATTGGATTGGATTCATCCCGGGCGCTCGGGCGTCGGACCACAATTGCATCCGGGGAGGGGGAGCTCGCTTCGGGAAATTCACTCTTTCCCTGAAGTGGGAACGCCCACTTTACTAGAGTTTAACGAAAAGGAACAAAAAGCCTCGGTCGTACAGCAGATATTCACGGTTTCAAATAGGCCAGGGTTAATTTGGGATGGTCCACATTCTTGATCTCCGTTCTGGGACCTGACCCTGAAGACGTGATTCAAGCAAGCCCGATGCATCGACTTTGGTGATCACCGGTCTTCTGGGTGGAATCGAGAAGCTTCCAGAGAGGCAATACGGTAGTGAAGTAATAGTGAAGGTCGCGAGCAGAGAGTAGAGAGTAGAGAGTAGAGAGTAGAGAGTAGAGAGTAGAGCACCACACACCACGATGTGGCGGGTCTTTCCGCCTCGCCATCCTATCCTTTGGACTTTACCCTTCAGACTTTGGGTCTGGGCGAATCAAATCTAGACAATCAAGCTTGCCAGGGCCGTGCATGCAGCGGAGCCCGGGGATATTCAAATCGGGTAAATGCACGGGAGATTGGGGGATCTACGGCAGTCCTGGTTTCACAGCTCGTGATGCCCTCGGAGTATGACTTGATCACGGAGATGTCCGGGGGTCTTGTAGACGGTAGACGGTAGACGGTAGACGGTAGACGGTAGACGGTAGACTGCACCGTGAACTGCGTAAACTGCACCGGAGACTGGACTGGCGACAGACTGGATGCGTCCAGCACCACGGGCTCCGCTGTGGGTTTTGCCCGTTCGCGGACCAGTGCACGATCGCGTCCGCCTCTTGTCCACCATTCGACATTTGCACTCCATTTGCACTCCATTCCCACTGGCCCACTGGCCCACTGGTCCTGGTCCATCGGGCGCCATTGGCCCCAGGCCCTAGTCTAGCCCCCATCTCAAGACCTCCCCTCACCTGCATGTCAGACGGTCCCATGTCGATCGGCCGTGGCAAGAGGTCTTTGCCTTTGGAGGTCGATTCGATTCGATATGATTATCTTGTATCACTCTATTCCATCTTATCCTTATGCTTAAAAAAAAAAAAAATACTAAAAGCCTGTTATCGGCGCGCTTCTTGCCTAACGCCACCCCTCAACGCTTTGGCTTTGGCTTTGGCTTTGGCTTTTGAATCCGGACAGGACGCCTCGATACGGCAGGTGGGTTCATAGTTCTTCAGTGATCTTCAGGGCCCTGGAACTGAGTCTGCCGAGAGCCGACGATCGCGTCTGGTCTGACCGAGAGGATAGCCCGGAAAGCCTGGACAGCCCAAGGACAAGGAAAACTAAACTAAAATAAAATAGCAGGTCAAGTAGAACCGTCTTCGTTCTCCGCAAAAACCGCGGCTCCACTTTTCCCCGAATCCGTCGGCGCATCCGCAACGCATTCCATGTTCCCCCCCTCAACCTCTCCTTCCCTTATCCCCCTGACCTCTTCCTCTTGACTTCTACCACTGCCCCTCGCCATGGAGGGCTTCGATACCATGGCTATGCCGCCATATCTGGCCAGTCCGCTGTCTCTTGGAAATCTCCAGGGCGACTATCTCAATGCCATGCCCGGCCTCGATATGGCCGATCACCGTTCCAACTTTGATTCAGACACCTTTGTCAGGTACGTAACATGAACCGCCGCTCCTGCAACACCCTGCAACGCCTGCGTAGGCGGGGACGGGATCATGGAGTCGTTCGATCGTGCGCTAACCTCGGTTCTCAGCGAGGACCTCACCTTTCCTCAAAGTAGTCTGCCGCACTCGTTAAAACGATTTCCCTCGGGCTACGATGACCCTTTCTCCGAAATGGTCGCCCCATTCGACCCGGTGCCTCCGGAGCAGCCCCAGGATTCGTCGATCGATCACAACAATAAACTGTTGAGTTTCTCGCTACCCGCTTATCACTTCACCCTTCTGGACTATTCCATGCGACGCACCTCCCTGTCCGTGTCCGCTCAACTACATGGCATGTTCTTCTTGGCCGAGTCACCATATACGACATCTCCTTCCGAAAATGCTCCCCCTCAGCAGGGTGCTGAGTTGACCTGCTATCGTCGCAACCTGTTCCAGATCACCGGCTCCGTCACTTTGCCCCGAGGCATGCGGTATATCATGACCGATCAGGGTGATCGAATCCCTATTCTGGCTCAGGAACTCACCGTCTCGGCCACCGAGTCAGTCGAGGGCAATCCCGTGAAGATCATCTCTGTGCCGTGGAAGACGCCCTCTGCTGCAGCGGCCAACTCCGGTACGGCCCTTGAGGAAAGCGGCTCTGGTAGCGCGGCCAAGATCGAGAAGGAACCGCCGCCTATTCCCCTTGATATCATGGCCGGTCAAGACCTGGACACCGACTACGCAACTTTCCCTATCGCGTGGAAACGTCTGCAGTTTCGGGTAGCAACCGCTAACAACGGACGCCGCAAGGAGCTACAGCAGCATTTCGTCGTCAGGCTCAAGGTCGTGGCAACCCTGTCCACCGGCGCGAAAATCGCCATCTCAGAGGTGCAGTCGGGGCCTGTCATCGTTCGTGGCCGCAGCCCACGTAACTTCCAGTCTCGCAAGGATCTCCCGCTCAGTGGTAGCGCGGCCGCATCACGAAAGAATCAGGCCAACTCGGCGGCTGCGCTCAACCGCACGCCGACCAACGAGTCCGTACCCCGGCGTGCCAGCGTGACCCCAGCCAAGAACAAGGTGCCGTCCGGTACAGTACAGAGCAGCTCGCCCGAGACGACGTCGGTGCCTCCCCCAACACTAATGCAACAACCGCATGCGACACCCGACTGGACCCCGATCCCTCAATCCACGTCCAACGTCATGTCCCACGGTCACCAGTCCCTCTTCCCTCATTCTAGTCCCGAACAACTCTCCCAGGCCGACCAGCACCGCCGCGTCAGTAGTACAGCCTCGGCCGCCGCGCCGATTAATTTGTCTCTGCTGGACGAGGAAGATACTGGGGACGCAGGCCTGCACCTTGACCAAAAGATCATGCCATCCTACACCAGTGAAATGCCTCAGCAAAGGTCCATCAGCATGGACCAAACAGCGCCACCGACCAAGATGCGCAAATTATCCCACGCTATCTCCCAAACCCCTTCTCGAAGCGCCACTTCATCACTGCCGCTGCTGGAAACAGCCCATTTGCCTCAGCAATTCGTGTCCTCGCTGCCCTTCCCGAACGAGAGTACTGATTTCCTCTACGAGTACTTTCCTCTCGGCCTAGACGACTGGCAGGCCCCTGTCGACGCCGTCTACAGGCCTCATGTGGTACACCATACCAACATGCCCGAGATGAAGTTTGTTGCCTCTAGGGGCCGCAGCAAGCGGTATTTCGCTGCTGAGGATGTCTTCTAAATCTCATCAGCTCACTGGCGATTGGTCGGCGTTTTGTCTTTTTTATTTATTTTTTATTGTTTTCTTGGGGTTTGGGACTGGGTTTGGGATTGGGTTTGGGGTTTGGGTCGCATCTGCATTTGCACATCTGGGGGTAATTCGGTTCAAGCTCCCGTCACCTTTTAGAAATATGTTTATTTTACGCTGCTTATATGGGGTCGTTGGGTCTGGTCCGGTCAGGGGATGGTCTCCCCCCCCCCTCTCTTGTTTTGGCACCTGGTGCAAAATCGGCGATTATGGCGCGCTGCGGAGTTTTACGCGTTTTGTTTCTAGGAGGTTTGGTCCTAATTTGAGGGGGCTCGCCCTCGGTCAGGGGGGTAGCTGGGACACTACGAAGGGACTGGATTTTTGGGAGTTTCTGCGGGTCTTCTCTTGGTTCTTGGTTATATCCCATCGTGTTATGATGTTACGCTGCTGTCTATCGCGCTCGATCCTAAGCCGATGGCCGCTTTATATCTCTGGCAGCCCAGGATCTATAGTCTGAAAACGAATTTACATCTGTAATAAATATCCACTGCCCCTTCACCGTTCGCAAGTCACCCCTTAAAACGACGAGAGCTGTATCCTCCACGATGCCGTTGCTCGGATTGATATATCACGGAAGTACTAGGTGGGTCCACTAGTAGGGAACGTTACAACCGAGCAGGTTGTGTGATATTCCAGAACGAATCAAACACTTAGCTAGCATAGCTGCACACGTGTGGATCTATACATAGCCCAGTCCGTCCCCACCAACGGTCTCCAGATCCGCCCTGATCTCCCACCCCTTGGCGCCGACCCGACCCGCGATCTCCGCCTGGCGTTGCTTCCCCAGGCTCAGCCACTGACGGAGCAAGTTTCCGTCGATCATGCCTCGGCCACCGGCCCCGTCGCTTTCAACGGCCCGGAAGGCACGAGGATTCAATCCGCAAGGATGTTCGATCGTGTTGGTTAACTGAGATTGTAGAGCTGACAGTCGACGGTAAGAATCTTCTGTGACGGACGTGACCAATGCTAGAGATCCATTCTGCGAGGTGATCAGGACGTGGTGACTGGGAAGGTCTTCGTCCACGTCCATCTCATCGTCGTTAGATTCCACAAGCTCGGACGTAACAGGAGTACGGGGCAGCAGAGTCACTGTTGAGGCAAAGTTGCCGGTGTAGAATTTGCTCCGGTTTAGCAGTCGGTCACCATTGGAAGATTTGGGATCTGGGGATGGTCAGTAGGGTTTCATCATTTCCCAAGGGCTTGTCATTCATCACGCACCTTCTGGGTCATACTGCAGAACATGGAGGTTGCAATCCGAGTCCGCAACCAGCATATAGAGCTTGTTCCCGTCCGGAAGGAAGTCCGCAGCCGCCACTTCCAGGTAGTCCGGGTCTTTGCCGAATAGTGTCATCTTGTACGGTTCTTCCTGCACTGGAGGTTAGTTCAGTCTAAAGAAACGAAGCCGAGTAGTGTCCTACCGAATAGCCTGCGAACCAGATGCCTTTGACTGCATCGCCAAGGATGCACAGCCCTGTGCCTTTAAGCTCCTTGGCGACGTTTACATAGCAAAGCATATCCATAAAGGCCACAGGAAGAAGGCTACCATCTTCCTTGAGGCCTCGAACCATACACTTTTGTCCCTGGGCCACAATTATGAAGCCCTGGCTGCCAATGCCCGACAGCGCCGTTACGGCACCCTTCACGGTCTCCTTGCCAACCAGCTTCAATCTCCGTCCAGTTTCTGGCTGGCCTGGTTCAGGAACCACTTCGATCACCTCAAACACGTAGATGCACCCACGGGACGGAATGTCTTCGCCTTTAGCAATTGCCGTTCCCACAACGATCAGGTCCTTCCGCTCGTGCGTGTTCTCCGAAATCTCTAGGTTCACGTTCTTCACCGCCGTTATATGCTCTGCAGATTCCAGAGGATAAGTATCGATAACGGCCCAAGTCTTGGGGCTCACCACCTTGACGGAGCTCTGAGGGACCTCGGGCAAAAACGTTATTGACTCCATGCGCCACTCCGGGTGCAACTCGTCGTTTTCTGGTAACTTGAAGCCGACATTGGAGCTGGTGCCGAGGACATAAGTATTGGACGATGTCGAGTAGGTCAAAAAGTCGACTTGCTCTTCAATGGGGATCTTGCGTAGTGTCCATGGGTAGTCGAACTGGGTGTCTGGGGGCAATTGACAAGCCCGAACACAATTTTCGAAATCCACGTAGATAAAACCGTTCTCACAGCCGATAGACGGTGAGTGGAAGCTACTCATCCAACGCGTGAACTCCCCGCGAAGGCGCACCAGGTGTGGTGAGCTGGCAGCTGTCTTTAACAGAAACCCAGCGGAACTTCCAGGCATGAAAACAGTACAAAGCCCCGCAACGTCTCGCAGAACTCGCAATGGCCGTGTTCGCTGCTTTTCCTCCAGCAGCCTAGACGATGCCCCCGATGTGACATTAGACAAGCTATAGTTAGCCTCGCGGAAGAATCGCAGGTCTTGCAATAGTCTGTTCTCGGCCTCGACTGATATGACGACCGGCTTGTAGACAGCCAGGTCATCGTTGTCGGTTCGCACCTATTATATCAATTAGGACATGTGGTTAGGTATTTGACGGAGGGGATCGTACGATCAAATATGGCGAAGTAGCCCAACGATCACCGAGATCGGCAACAATAACTTCTTTCAGAGTTTCTCGAGAATTTGACCTGCGAGGTGGCTCTGCTGACAGGACAGGCTGTAAGCAGTCAACGCCGTCAATGACGGACAAAATTTTCATATCTGAGAGTCTGAATATCTGTGTTTTGTTTGTTAGTCATTGGAGTTGTATACTTGAGAGAGTGGGAAAGACTTACCGAGAGCTTATTGTCCATGCTTAGCAAAAAGAGCAAGAAATTTTCCTCGGCAGTGTTTGGCGATGAGGGGGAGTTACTGAATGCGTCGTGCTTGTCATGATAAAGACAGCTCGATCGCCATTTTGAGGATGAAATCTCATCTGGAAGTGAAACCTTATCGAGATCACCACTTTCATCTGCCTTGAGAACCAACAAGGAAGAATCATCCCGTAAAATAGCAAGGTAAGGATCCACGAAGCTTGCGGTCACTGCTAGCCGCTCTTCATCAGTGTCCTCATCCCAGATGGGATAAATCTGGGCTAGCCCGAGGTCTAATTGATCCAGATGTTAGCATTCAGCCAATAATAGACTGTTGAAACCAATTCTCACCAATATCATAGCTTCTGACTTCATTCCGTAAGACTTGAACAAGGCGAGTATTGTCAGCTAACGGCCCGATGTCGATCGTTTGGTCTTCATTTGGATTGAAGTCGGGTGCATTGAAAGACTTGAGGTCTTGCCCTTCAACTTTCAGGACCTCGGAAATTTCCTTTTCTGTTTCGGTGGGTCTCGAAACAATCACATAATGCTGGAAGAGATGTTCTTCTGACGGATCACCAGTATTGGCAAGACTGCCTTTCCCCTGGGTCACGGAGACCGACCACACTCCATCGGCATCTTCGATATTCATGGAGATTGATGTAACGGGGTCAATTTCCCTTTTAATGACAACCAGGCCACCAGCACGACCGGAACCTTGTGATGCCAAAAGCTCCAACTCGGCGGAAACGCCTTCAATAGCGGAGTTATCTGTGTGTTTGATTGCTGGACGGGCTTGTCCTAGCGTAATATCTCGTAGGGGGCCAGTACTGGTCAGTCGATCATTCAGACGGAAATGATAGAGCTCAGAGGTTGATATCTCGGAAACCGTGCGTGGGTCGGCCTGATTCGACTCGGGCACTGAGGAGTAAAGATCGTCTTCGTAAGTATCGTCATCTAATTGGTCTTCGTCCGATAAGTCTTCAGTGCTGTCATTCGCCTTTTTTGACTCGATACGTGCTTTCTTGGCAGATAGCGAGGAAGAAGACCATCCCAAAAGAACCGAATCTGCATCTTCGCTACCGAGAAAGATATTCCCGTCGCCGATGCAAGTGGAGCACGATGCGGCCGACTTCAAGAGATTCCCACCAACCTGCGGTGGTAGTGAATGAATTGTCATACCTGACACAGACCGCCCATCTAGCTTAAACTTGATCAATGCCATTTCCCCGGATGCAAGAGCAAGAAGAAGGTCGCCGCTACCACGACCTAGTCGTTCAACGACACATCCCTCGAGACGGAAGGCGAGGTCGGATTGATCACTCATTGAGAAAGATGAAATCTGCCTAGAAAACTCATTCACGCCCACCGCGTTGGTTTTACCGGCCTGGTCAACATGTACAATCTCGTTGGAACCGACAAGGAGGGCACCTCCCACGGGAGGTGGGAGTGCCACTATCTTGAATAAGTCGCTGGGAAGCCGGGTCACCGAAAGTAGAGTTGTGGATGCCCGTTGCTCCAGGTCTAGAGTAAAGACGGTGTAAAACATCACATCCTTCCTTTCGTGAAGCAGAGCATTGGAAGTTGCAATTTGAGAATACAAAATGCCGAAAGTCGGCTCCCTATATTCGTAAAGAAATGCAAGACTGACGGGGTGTAACAACGAAGGATCCAATGCTGTCAACGGCAGAACAAAGGAGGCAGCATAAGGGGTTTGCTGCCCTGAGCCGTCTTTGTGCTTCTCGACACCAGTCAACCCTTCTTGGTTCCTGACGGGGCGCTCTCCGTCCAGCTCAGAGTCATAGTCATCCATGACCAAGTCATCACCTGCCTGGTGAAAAGGAAGAATGGCAAGGTTGCGGGCACCGAAATTGAAGACGGCACATCGGCTGCTTGGATCAACGCTGAGGATACTGCCACAACGACTCAGATCAGGCACCCAGGGGCTACGAGTGAGGTCCTCTCTTTCGTAGTAATGGATAGAAACTGTAGAAATGCCATGGCGCTCAGGGTCCCACTCGACCAAGCTGAGTTTGGCATTACGAACAGCAAGTAATATGGCTTCTCCACCGCTCTTTGTGTATAACGGCTTCACGCGGCTGATATCAGTCACTGTCCCCGGGAGGTGATACTCCCTCTCCAGGACCAGTTTCGTCTCTGGTTGGTAAGAGGCTGATGGGTGGGTCTCTGTGCTTTCTCCTGTCCGCCGAGAAGTCGGGTTGAGAAGTGAAAACACCTGCAGTAGCGATGATCGAACCACAATCAGATTGTTGGCAGTGGCGGAAACAAAAGGCAGTGCTAAGGCATGGGTGACCCCCGTTGGGGGAAGCAATTCCGTATAACACTGCATTTTGAAAAACCGCGCCTCGAGGTTTTCGGATTGCTCTAATTACCTAGTTATCGACGCGAGCAGAACCGCCGATGCGCATGGCAGCTCAGCGAGTTCAAAGAGTCAGAAATCAAATCCCGAAAAATGAAAGAGAGAGGAAGAAGTATAAGAGAAGCGCAAGACAGGGCGGATTTCCCGACACAAACTCCCCATCACGTGGTTGTTACCAAAACGGGCTTAGTTCATGACGACAGGCGCGTCGCAGTTTACTTCGACTTCTCACCTTGAAACTTTGAAACCTTGGAAGCTTTCTCTCCCTTCGATCTATCCTCAGCTCCTTTGCATACCTTATGTGAGATCGCGATCAAGATTGCGATCGCTTTTTATACTATGGCGCTACTCCAAACATCCCTGATCTGGATCGTATATGCTGTCGTCATAGCTATCTTGCTCGCGGTGGCATCGGTATTCATTTACGTTTATCAAACCCCGCGTGACCGTTCAACCTCTGTAACTCTGACGTGCATAATCGCCATTACCTGTCTCCTGGCCACGGTTCTTCTGCTTCCGGTGGATGTCGCACTGGTATCGTCGACTACTTCTTCCAAGTTGGGCCGACGGAAAGACTGGGCCACCCAGGATGCCGTCGACAATATCACCTATTCTCTCACCATCGTCTATTACTTTCTGTACTCTCTGGATTCATTGCTATGTCTGCTGGTCATCCCCTTCACGTATTTCTGGTACGAAGAATACGATGAGGTGGCCGTCGAGGCAGGCGAACAGACACTGGGGCAGCGCTTCTGGGGCGCTCTCAAATATACTCTCTCGTTCGTTGCCATCGTGATCATACTTTTCCTTGTCGGATTCCTCATACCCATCTCCAATAACAAAAGGGATATGGATTTGGATTACTTCAAGCACTTGTTGACTGAAAATCGTACGTATTCTCTTCCAATCCTTCCGAGATCAGATTGTACTGACATCGAAATAGATGGCGAGCGCGCACTGACATTTGCTCTCGGGCTTCTGATGACGCTGGGACTATGCCTGTACGTCCTGTACACTTCGTCGGGGCTTGCTCTGTTTCCTATTGGTCTTATCAAGACAGCTCCTTCTATTTCCAGCCCCACGTTGCGAGCAAGCACTGCTCACCAGCTTGAGACCAACCAAGAACGGCAGAGACAGCTTGAAGGTCGCTGTGGAGGCAATACCGAGCTTCTTTCTTCGAAAGAACGCAGGGAGTTTGACACTCTTATTCGTGAAGAAAGGACACTGATTAGGCGACAACGTCTCGTTGAAGAAGCGCAAGGTGAAGGTCATGGTTGGTTGATGCAGGCATGGTACAAGGTCGGAGTACTCCTTCGCCCGTTCAAGCTCCTTGGGGGCATTCTGCTGTTCCTGCTTGCATTTGTGACGTGGGTGTCTATGCTCCTGACGGCCATCGATAAAGCGACAAACTCAATTTGCAAGCACCGCTGTGGATACATACTCGGGCACGTCAATGTCTTTAATCCGGTCAACTGGGCTCTCGTTCAATCTGCCAAAGTCTTTCCCGTCGACTATGCCATCTTTACGGTGCTTGTCTTACTGATGTTCTCCAGCTCGGTTGTTGGTATTGCCACGGTGGGGATTCGCTTTCTTTGGATTAGGATCTTCCAAATCCGAAAAGGCCATACTTCACCCCAGGCTTTGCTCTTGGCAACCTCGATGTTAATGCTGATTATCTTGGCATTGAATTACTCCGTGTCCATGCTGGTTGCTCCGCAATATGCGACATTTGGCCCGCAAACCTTCTGTGATCGCGCAACGACGTCTCCACTGGAACAGCCGGATTGCTCTGACAGCAGAGAACTCATTAAGCCGTGCTCTGAGCTAGCTGAAAATCCCGCCGCACAACAAGTGTGCACCCCTAGCGTTGTCAGCACCTTTCTTAATCGCGTCACTTTCAACTATCCCTTCTTCGGCATTGTGTTTTTCTGGGCCCAGTTCTTCTTCCTTGGTAAGACACCCAATTTCTCGGCTCTTCGCTACTCCAGGTGATCATTTTTGTTAATCATCCCTATAGGAATCTACCTGATCATCTTTGTTGCCTCGCTGTTTCGCTCACCAAGATTGGATGAGAGGCAACTCGACGAAGATGCCGAAGAAGCTGAAGAAGAAGGCTTGCTGGCTAATACAGGTAGACGATTCAATGCAACTTGGCAGGATATCACGGGCCGTGCTGGCCAGGGTGGTCGTCAAGACGATCGTTCTTCTGAATGATAACTTGTATGACAGGGGGCATTCTTCAATTAATGCCACTGCCCGTTTTTTTATGATCAGCTCAGTTAGCGAGATTCAATTATATTAACGTTCATGATTCTGAGCGCCGTCATTATGATCCACCAAGGCTAAAGCCGTGCCTGAATAATAAATACATGGCAATTACCGGCCCCGATGATATTCATAGCCCGTTCATTAGAATTCTCTGACATATCTGATAGGTGCAGCGAAGCCAACCCCCATAGCATAATTTCGTGTCATGGCTCAGATTTTGAGCTGTTCATTGAGTAAGGCTAGAGCGCTCTGGAATGCCTTCACAACCTCCATGTCTATCGCGACAGCGTGTTAGTGCCTAGGCCGAGAGATAGTGATTTAAAGTTGAAACTTACAGTGTTTTTTCTTGCTTTCCACGACAATTTCAGAGTTTTGCACATGCTGCATCTGCGTCTTGAACCTGTACGGCATTAGAACGTCACACTTGAGCAATCTGCCCTAGAGACCGCATACCGTTTTAGGGCTCGTTGTTCATCCTGTAGCACGGTAGTCTGAGACCACGCCGTGAAGACCTAATTTTCCAGGTGTCAGAGCGAAGTTTTCCAAGTACACATCGGAGGTGATCTTACCTCGAGCAGCTTTGCCGTCTCCACACGAAGATCCTCTTCGACGCGGCTATGTTCATTCATGGCATCCGTGTACTTTTCCTGCAACTGCTCCCAGTCAAATTCTTCAAGTCCCTGTGTAAGGCAAGAGACAAGAGGAAATTCGGCATTGATTGCAGACTTGGCGGGCTCGGGATTAGTTTTCTGAACCGCCTCAGTAGCAAGGGGCGGAAGGACTGGGTTATGTTGGTTACGCATCGACTCCATCTGGGGCGACTCAGATGAAACAGTCCAGAAAGAAGGGCATGGAGCCACGAGGGAGGAGGTACCTGAAAGGGTCAAGTCATCTAGATGCTCACGCGGCTGATTTGATATAGAGAAGATGGTTGGGTCCCGCGTCAGGTGACGACATACGGTGCCAACTCCGACTCACGTTTGCTTTCTCATCATCATTATCTATGCTCCTCGGCAGTAGCTCAAGTAGCTTCCACCATGGAAATGCGACTCTTCATTTCTCCTTGACTAACCACGATTCTCTGCGATGAGCTGTCACATATGCGCCGCCGCCCACTCCTACTCTCACGCCCGCTTGCTCTGTCCAACATGCGCCCGCAATCGTCTCTACCGGCCACGGCTGGAAAATACCCAACTTCTTCTGGAAAAGGAAGCCCTAGGACGCCAGGTTGAAGCTTCTCTTTCTCTTGATACGCCCCCAGCCCAGTCTGTGACGACTAACTGGAACCGCCCGCGGACCGATCACGAGAGCTCTCGATGGTGGGCTGTAGAGGCCATTTCCAGCCAGCAAGCGGCTTTGTCAAATAAGAGAGAAGATATCAACCAACAAGTCAAGGCCTTAAAAGAGGAAATCAAGGCCAAGAAGTCTTATATCTCAGAGCGCAAGGCAGCTTTGTTCCGCAGGCGCTCCGATGCGAAATCGGCGCGGTATCAGCTGGAGGAGCGGGAGGCTGTGACTTTGACAGGCATCCAAAACACGAGCAAAAGAACAGAGCATCTCTGGCACTCCTTGCACAGCAAAACAGCAGAAGCTCGGATCTTTCTCTGTCGGGAGGCTGCTCATCTTTACGGCCTACGGCAGAAGACTTCGAGGAGAAATGACGCACGGATAACATACGTGCTGGGAGGAATTTCAATGATAGACTTGAGGGAAATGAATGGAAAGTTTTGTATCACCTCCGCCCTCTGCCATGATATACTAACACAATTACAGGTGCCACTCCAGCACAAATATCATCCTCCCTCTCCAACATTGCTCGACTTCTTGTCCTCGTCTCGCACTACCTATCTCTAAGGCTACCGGCTGAAATTACCCTCCCACACAAGAACCATCCTATTCCCACAATATACTCCCCTGCGGCATCATATCAATCGCATGAGCTACCGGATGGGGTCGTCGCCTCTCGATCAGCGACATCCAGCCCAACGACATCCAAGACGGGAGATGCAAGAGTTCAGCCGCGACCTAGGCCATTGTTTATTGACAAACCTCTTCCCCGGCTAGCGAAGGAAGATCCTGGAACATACGCTCTGTTCCTCGAAGGGGCCACTCTTGTCGCTTGGGATGTCGCATGGCTGTGCCGGACGCAAGGAATCAACCTAGCGTCGGACTCGTGGGAAGATGTTTGCAATATTGGTAAGAGCCTGTGGCAGCTACTAGTCGCCCCGCCAGCCCAGACGTCCAACTTGATGCGCGCTTTTGCCGGCCGAGACACACAGGCCCGGACAAAACCCACTAAAGACTCCCCACAAACGACTATCCAGCGGACAAAGTCATTTCCTATGCTAGGCCACTACTCTCACGGCACGGCACACTCTTTCCTTGGGGCATCCGAAGGTACTGAGTTTATACGGTCATGGAAGCTCCCGACTCCAACGAAGATTGCGGACAAATTGAAATCAAGCCTTCTTGGGGAGATGGCTAGCGCAGAATGGGAATTGTTGGAAGAGAAGGAATGGGATGATGGCACTGCAGAGCCCAATCAACTGGCGGTACCGGTGGAGCGCAATGAATTAAGCGTCTCGAATTCGTCCACCACCCAGGCCAACTTAAGCGAATTCCCGAATAGTTCGACCTCTCCAAATGTGGCAGATGAAGCTCGTCGTCCAAAAGGCACGAGTGGCTGGACGAAGCTTAACAGTAGATGAACACCATTTCGATAGTAGAATATCTTGGGGCTCTTCTTTCATCCGACCATGCGAAATAGATGTATAATCCAAGATTACACAATATTTGTTGTAGCCTATATATGAAGTCTTCCAGTGTCATGAAAGCTGATGCACCAAATACCGTCCCCTGGTTCCTAAAGTAAAGGCGGCCGTGGAGTTACTAAGCATCCGATAAGGTTAAAGTGATATGCGTGGCCCGAGTCCCTCCGCTTCTTCGCAATGATAATATGCTCCCGGGATCGGGATCTCCTGGACAGGTGTCAAGACTTTTAAGAACACCGGATTGTGCATCACCCGAGGCCAATCTCACGATCCGGCCTTGGTAACAACATTCCAAATCTCTTCGGTGTTGTGAATCAGTATCCGGGGGATGTGTTCGGGGTTCAACAACATCTAACCTTCCCCGAACAAAAATGCAGGACGCCCAGGCATGGCGTGCTGCAGGCAAGGGATCTCTTGGTCAGCAGCCCTGAAGACTGATAACTTTCTCAAGCCTCGCTAAGACAAGCCACAGACTTCAAGCGTGCGCTCTCCGCCCTCTCGGAAATCCCCGAGTCTCTCCTGAGAGCCGAGCTCCTGCGACGAGATGGGACTCAATCCAGAGATTCGGCCGATACACCATCATGTGGCTCACGGGAGCGAGGTGCTTATAATACGCCTCTACATGTCATGGCTCTGTTCCTTATTCTAGGGCTCAGTACCTTCGGTATGCGCCGCTTTCCCCACCTCCCTGACACGAGGACAGGTTGCTAACGGTCGATTTTCAAAACAGCATGCTCGTTCCCGGTGCTTGCCCGCCGTTTCCCTCGCCTCCCTATTCCACGCCGGTTCCTCTTCATCTCGAGACACTTCGGAACTGGTGTCCTGATTGCTACGGCATTCGTGCACCTGCTGCCGACAGCCTTCGTTTCCTTGACCGATCCGTGTCTCCCTCGATTCTGGAGTCAGACATATCGCGCAATGGCAGGGTTCGTCGCGATGATCTCGGTCTTTGCCGTCGTTATTGTAGAGATGTTCTTCGCCATGAAAGGCGCCGGGCATGTTCATGGGAATGAGTATGACACGCTTATCGGCGATATGGGCCGCGAATCCATGGAGGCGTTTAGACAAGACGCTTCCAGCTACTCGAGATTGGAGTCCCGAGACGCATCGGGCAACATTCGCCTAGAAGGTTTAAGGCAAGATGGTCAGGGAGATGATACCGAAGCAGCTCCTGGTTCGTCACATGAATTCGAACGGCCAAGCTTGACCGGGTCTCGTCTGGATAAAGAAGAGGATGATGCGGACATCGATGGCCTCGATGCGTATGCCGATGATGTCCCAATAAACGGACAGGCACCACCCTCTTCTCGTTCTCACCAACGTCACCGGCCGCAACTGAATGGTCACTATCGATCGCATACCGAATCTGACATACCGATGCAGAATCCGCAGCGCCAGCTCCTACAGTGTCTCCTCTTGGAGGCAGGAATTCTGTTCCACAGTATCTTCATTGGCATGGCACTTAGTGTTGCTACTGGCACGTCTTTCATTGTGCTCCTTATCGCCATCAGTTTTCACCAAACCTTCGAGGGGTTTGCTTTGGGGTCAAGAATTGCATCGCTCATTCCTGATCTTTTTTCACCAAACTCTATGAAGCCCTGGCTAATGTCACTGGCCTATGGAACAACAACGCCTCTTGGCCAGGCCATCGGACTTGTCTTGCATAATCTCTATGACCCCGCCAGCACTACGGGTTTGCTTATGGTTGGTATTACGAACGCCATTAGTAGCGGCCTCTTACTTTTCGCGGGTCTTGTTGAACTTCTTGCAGAGGACTTCTTGAGTGAGTCCAGTTACGAGACTTTGAAAGGGAGGCGGCGCGTCGAGGCTTGTATCTCCGTTGCATGTGGAGCCCTTTTGATGGCGTTCGTCGGGGCATTCGCATAAGAAAAAAGATAGTGACGGCCTGATTCCGTTGTCTTTCACCCTGCTGCTTTAACTTAGTATTATAGACTCTTTGCAAGCATATTAAACTCAATCTTTGTTTCAAGATCCAATATCATCCACCCGATTTGCTGGTCACAGAGCTTATATTGTGAAGTCGGATTATCCACTTCATTCCATTCTATTGGTACATATCTACATTATGGCTACAATTTACTCTGAGCTCGTACGCAATTCGAAAAAAATAAAGGAGAAAAAAGGAAGGCATGTAAAAGCCGAGATAATTTATTACTTGCTTCTAATTGGTGTAGACCAATATGTATATCCAGCAAAAGTTCCATTGGTATTTTTTCCACATATGGATGGAAGTCATGTCATATCCGTACATCATTAAGAAAGCCCTTTAAAGAAGGGACTCAATCACCAGGGCACTCGCACCACCGCCACCATTGCAGATGCCGACGCAGCCGAGCTTACCCTGCTTCGCCTTCAGGACACCGATCAGGGTGGACACAACACGGGCACCGCTGGCACCCAGAGGGTGACCAATGGCAACGGCACCGCCGTGGATGTTGACCTTGTCCTCGGAGAGGCCGAGCAGCTTCATGTTGGCAAGGGCCACAACACTGAATGCCTCGTTGATCTCGAAGGCATCGATGGACTCTTGAGTCACGCCAGCGTGCTTGAGAGCCTTGGGGATGGCCAATGCGGGCGCAGTAGTGAACTTGTTGGGCTGTTGAGCAGCTTCGCCCCAACCCAGGATCTTGGCAATGGGCTTCAGGCCGAGCTCCTTCATCTTAGCCTCGGAAACCAGGACAACTGCGGCAGCACCGTCATTCAGCGGTGACGAGTTGGGAGCAGTCACAGTGCCGGTGCCGGGAATGAAGGCGGGCTTCATGGCACGCAGTTTGTCGGGGTTAAGCTAGACAAGGAAATGGCAATTAGGTAAGTGTCAAACAAAATGTAAGTTCGGGGCAAGCTTACGTTCTTGGGCTCATCATCCTGAGAAACTGTCACACCGGGCTTGCCACGGAAGCCGGGGATCTCAATAGGGGCAATCTCGTAGTCAAAGACACCGGCCTTCTGGGCAGCCTGGGCCTTCTCGTAGGTGCGAATAGCATAGCTGTCCTGCTGCTCGCGGTTGAAATCGTGGTCCTGAGCACACTCCTCAGCCTGCAGGCCCATGAGCTCCTGCTTGCCATAGGCATCCTGCAGACCGTCCTTCATAATTCCATCCACCATGTTCTGGTTGCCGTACTTGGCACCGGAGCGAAGGCTGGGCAGGTAGTGGGGGGTGTTCGACATGGATTCGGCGCCACCAGCAACGACGACATCGGCGTTACCGGTCATAATGGTTTGGGCACCCAGGATGATGGCCTTCAGACCAGAGGCGCAGACCTTGTTGACGGTGGTGCAGACGGTGGAGTCTGGGAGACCAGCGCCAATGGCACATTGGCGGGCAGGGTTCTGGCCAACGCTAATCGAAAATTAGTTTAATAGAAGTAATGGTGCATGTTTAATTCTGTCACTTACCCAGCGGACAGGACATTTCCGAAGAAGACCTCCTCGACATCAGAGGCATTGATACCCTCGGCACGCTCAACGGCAGCTAGAATCGACCATTAGCAATTAGCTGAGACAAGGCCAATAGAAATAAATGACATACCCTTGATAGCGTGGGCACCAAGTTTGGGGGCAGTCAGGCTGGACAGGGAGCTAGATCACAAAAGTCAGTTGCTGTAAACGGAGAGTATGCGATGAACATACCCAAGGAATGAGCCCACAGGCGTACGGGCGGTAGACACGATGTAGACGGGAGGAAGGGAGGACATGTTTGCGGTATGCAATTGAGATGATTAAAGAAGAAGAAGAAGAATAGGGGGAGAGCCGAAGAAAAGGAAGAGGGGCAGATCACTTTTATAGTGGGGAGTGAGGAGGTGTACGGTGTAGGCACGAGTACTTGCAAGACGCTCGGGCCAAGTGAAAGTTGCGAACCTCCAACTTTCTCCGGCGTCACGCCAGCACCGATTCGGGGTTCTTGTCTAATTTGCGCCGACCCCGTCCCACGACTCCCAATTCATCATGGATGATCTCTACGACGAGTAAGTCCTCATTTCCATTCAATTTGTGATTTCTCTCGGCTAAATAGGGGCTCAGGTTTGGTAACTACATCGGCGAGGCCGAGTCCGACGAGGAGCAACATGATCAGGTCCCACAGGCTTTCAAGTTTGATGAAGCTTTCGATGATGGAGAGGAAGAGGAAGAGGTCAATGACCAGCAATTAATGGAGGTTGATGGTGTGTTTTGCGCTCCCTTGCAAGGAATTCCCCTCCAACCGCGTACTGATTCACGTCTCGCGCAGATGGCCCTTCAAACGCTGTTATTTTGCACGAAGACAAGCAGTATTACCCCAGCGCACAACAAGTTTATGGCACCGATGTCGAGACTCTGGTTCAGGAAGAAGATGCGCAGCCGCTGTCCGAACCCATCATCGCTCCCGTCCAACAGAAGAAATTTGCGATCGCGGAAACGGAGCTCCCACCTGTATACTTTTCTCGAGAATTCATGACAGATTTGCTCAATTTTCCCGATCAAATAAGGAATGTCGCTATTGTGGGCCATTTGCACCATGGAAAAACCGCGTTCATGGACATGCTTGTGAGACAGACACACGACCTGACGGCGCGTCTCGAGAAGCGCATGGGCAAGCGTAAGGAGGAGCAGCTGCGGTATACCGATGTTCATTTCCTGGAGCGAGAGCGAGGTCTCTCGGTTAAGTCCGCGCCAATGAGCTTGGTTCTTCAAGGGACCAAAGGCAAATCCCACCTTGTCAACATCATTGATACCCCCGGACATGTGAATTTTGTGGACGAGGTAGCTGCATCAGTCCGATTGGCTGATGGTGTTGTCCTCGTGGTGGATGTTGTGGAGGGTGTCCAGGCCAACACTGAACAGATCATCAAGCACGCAGTTTTGGAGGATCTTCCCTTGACTCTGGTCGTGAATAAGATGGATCGGCTGATCCTAGAGCTCAAGCTGCCGCCCAACGACGCTTATTTCAAGTTAAAGCATGTGATTGAAGAGGTCAATACGGTTATTGAGAACGTTTTGCCAGGCCAGGGCGAGCGGCGTCGCCTGAGCCCTGAGAAGGGAAATGTCGCGTTCGCTTCAAGCTCCATGAACTGGTGCTTCACCTTGCAGTCCTTCGCTCGGATGTACGCAGATACCTATCCACGACTCGACGCGACTGAGTTTGCAGCTCGTCTGTGGGGAGATATTTTCTACAATCCCCGAAGCCGAAAGTTCACTCGCAAGGGCGTGGAAGAGAACTCCAAGCGAGCATTCGTCAAGTTTGTGCTAGATCCAATCTACAAACTCTATTCTCACACGATCAGTGAGAGCCCTGAAGATTTGAAAGAGACACTGGCAAGTGTGGGCGTCAGCTTGAAGCCGTCACAATTGAAGGCGGATGCAAAGGAGCTTCTGAACCTTGTTTGCGAGCAGTTCTTTGGTCCCCCTAATGGATTTGTTGATATGATAGTTCAGCACGTTCCTTCTCCAATCGAGGGCGCCCAGAGGGCTTTGGAGAGGTATTACACCGGTCCGTTAGACACCAGGGTTGCGGAATCTATGGCCACCTGTAACCAGGATGGCCCCTTGGTAGTCCACGTCACCAAGCTTTTCAGCAGCACCGACGCCACAGGGTTCTACTCATTTGGAAGAATCATGAGTGGCACGGCCCGGCCCGGCCAGCAAGTTCGTGTCCTCGGTGAAGGGTATACACCTGAGGATGAGGAGGATATGGCTATCGCAACCATTTCAGATACTTGGATCGCGGAGACTTGTTATAATATCTCCACGGACGGGGTTCCCGCAGGTAATTGGGTCCTCTTGGGTGGCGTGGACAATTCGATCGTCAAGACAGCCACCCTGGTGCCTCTCAAGCTAGAAGATGATGAGGAGGCGCACATTTTCCGGCCCATTCGACACATGACTGAGTCAGTTTTCAAGGTTGCGGTGGAGCCGGTCAACCCATCTGAATTGCCCAAGATGTTGGACGGTCTCCGCAAGATCAACAAGAGCTATCCTCTGATCTCTACCAAGGTTGAGGAGTCTGGTGAGCACGTTGTCTTGGGTACGGGGGAACTTTATATGGACTGTGTTCTGCATGATCTGCGACGACTGTACTCGGAGATGGAAATTAAGGTCTCGGACCCGGTTACTCGTTTCTGTGAAACAGTGGTCGAGACATCAGCAATGATGTGTTATTCGATCACGCCTAACAAGAAGAATAAGATTACCATGGTTGCAGAGCCGTTGGATGATGGGATCGCGGAGGATATTGAGAGCGGCAGAGTCAGCATCAAGGACCCGATCCGGAAGGTTGCTCGTTACTTTGAGGAAAACTACGATTGGGACAAGCTCGCAGCTCGCAGCATCTGGGCTTTTGGCCCAGATGAGATGGGTCCCAATATTCTGCAGGACGACACATTACCCTCACAGGTGGATAAGAAGCTCCTTGGAACCGTGCGCGACTCGATAACTCAAGGTTTCAGCTGGGGTACCAGAGAAGGCCCCTTGTGTGAAGAACGTGAGCAACGTCCCCCCGATACATTTAGCCCTGTGTGCCTAGACTAACATGATCCTTAGCCATTCGGAACACCAAGTTCAGACTCACCGACGTCTCCCTCGCCGACCAGGCAATCTATCGCGGAGGTGGCCAAATCATCCCAACTGCTCGTCGTGCCGTGTATTCCTCCTTCCTTATGGCCTCTCCCCGTCTTATGGAACCCCTCTACTCTTGTACTATGACCGGGCCCGCTGATGCTGTTGCCTCGGTATACACTGTTCTGTCTCGGCGACGGGGTCACGTCCTGTCCGACGGACCCATTGCTGGTACACCGCTGTACTCGGTGCGCGGCTTGATTCCGGTGATCGACTCCTTCGGATTCGAGACTGATCTTCGCATCCACACTCAGGGCCAGGCCATGGTCAGTCTGGCGTTCGACAAGTGGAGTGTCGTTCCCGGTGACCCGCTGGACCGAGAGGTCAAACTGAAGCCTCTGGAGATGGCGGGTGCTATGGCCACGGCGCGAGACTTCGTCCTAAAGACGAGAAGAAGGAAGGGTCTGGCCGAGGACGTAACGGTGAGCAAGTTCCTCGAGCCGGAGCTGTGGAAGGGACTGAAGGAAAGCGGCGTTCTGGACTCGTGATGCTTCCCAGAGGGAATAGACAGTCCAGAGAGAAAAGAAAAAATAGGAAGGGGATCCCGGAGCTACGGAGTCGTTTTTTTTTTTTTTTTTTGGGGCATGCATTGGTCTATGTAATTCTAATGCTCAATCAGGTAACAGTCATGTCCGTGGGTAGTTTCGATTTCGTAAGCTGGTTCGTAAGATATCAACAAGTGTGCGCCAGGTGGTGTATTGGTACATTTCCCTTGCCAAGATCGTGTTCACTGGCACGTCTCCATCATTTTGGCGATGACCTGCATCAATGCGCCATTCTCCAGAGCAGCAGCCACCCGCTCTTTATCTCCCAGCTGCTTGTTAACCTCGTCGCCGGTGCTATGGGTTCCCTCCTTGATACGCACGTCCACCCGGAAGCGCGGGGGAAGGGACTGCTCCAATCGCACTCGCACACCGAGCCCTATGACAGTTGCTAGGCTGCAATGAGTGATCGTTGGAGTGATGAGGACGGTCACAGTCTGAAGGGGAGATTCGGGGACGTTGGGAAGTGTGGGTTTGATAAAGATGTCAGGTAGGGAAACCACAGCCAATTCACCTAGTGAGAGGGGGTGTTCAGGATCTGAGATAGTTTTGATCAAGTCTATTGGAGTGAAGAGGGTAAGAAAAAAAATGTTATATATAACATGGGAGGAGTCTTACCATAGATCTCCTGCTCATCGATAGGCTCTTCGAGCAGGTCATCGTCCTCCGAGTCCGAGGAAAGGAAATCGGCCGGGTTGGCGACGGCGGCGAAGATGCCATTTCCGTAATCCGCCGATTTGACGGTGGATCGGGATCTCGTGGGCAGGTCGGCCACGTTGAGAATCGTGGGGTTCGAGTTTTGCATTTCCGCCATGGTTACTCTGTGGTGAAGGTACGATGTCTACACAAGGTAGAGGGGCAAAAAAGAGGGCCGAGATAAGCTCTTATCGCACGTGCACATGTCGGGGGATCCTCGGCTTCTCTTTTCGCCCTTTCCTCCTCACTCTTCCTCTCTACTTTATTTTCTCTTGAATCATACCCACTGTCCCATGGCTTTGAGATGGTCCGAAGACCGAGACCTTACCCCCCTGTGGGCTCGGACGTAAGCATAAGCCTGTAGGTGCACCCTACTCCACCAGTCTTGTAACCATGGCGGTTCCAGTTCGTGGATTTCCAGAACCTATCGGTCCCACTTGGTCTTCTTAGGGGTTTCATTGCCACGAGGGCACCAATCTAACTGTGTCCATGGCGAGAGTGAGTTTCATGTTCACGCTTTAATCCCTGTGCTTCGTAGAAGCTCTGAAGCTCTGAAGCTCGAACCAGAGAGAATGTTATTATTAACTCATGCCTCCCCCCTTTTTTCATTTCTTTCATTTAAATCAAGCAACGGAGAAAAAGTCCCGGGAGAAATAAGCAAAAAAAAGGATAAAATTATCGCGGGTAAAGTAGAGTGGAGACGAGGATCATGGGCCAGCTTCGGCCATCTCCCGGAACACTAGTTCGAGATTCCTCGGTATTGCTATTAGTTCATTAGCGTAGGAAGGGATAACAGATCATCGGCAGATGGATGAGAAATACTAAGTTTAGTTTCTCAAGCCTACAGAACGAGTCTTGATATGTGGACAAGAAAAGTAGGATACGGATTTGGACTCCCTCTCTGTCTCTGTCTTTCTCTCTCTCCACTCGGCGAACCCACTACGCTATTGGATGCTCATCACCAACCTTGGCACACCCCTCTCAGCTTTCCCTCCTCCCTAATTCAAAGGTAACCACAACTCCCCCCCCCCCCCCCCTAATGTCTCCACTAAATCCCTGAACCTGCACGATGCTTCAGCCTTTTCTTTCCGGGCACGTCCCGACTGACTAATTGTATGCTCCTGTCCCCGATCGCATGACTTGGCTGCTAACTCGTCGCCAGTTAGACCCGCGCCACACACTTGCCCCGGCCAATTTCTTTCTTGGGACCTGGATTGGTGGCTTGTCGCAACATAACGCCCTTGAAAATCTTCCTGATACCTGTTTCTAATTGCGCGGGTCATCCTGTGCAACCCCGCAACGTCGGCGGTGCTAAGCTTCGGGCCCGAAATCTCGACGCTTCTTCTGGTACAGGCGCAGTCTCGCTGTGCTGTTCTTTCCAATCCCGGGGCAGGTCCTTGCGGATACACTGCCTCTCCGATCGCCCGCCCTCCTTCCACCGTGCGATTGTCTCTCGCAACATGCAGAACTACTCATTTGCGCCCCCGTCGGGGCCTCCCCGCGAGGGCCAGAAAAGTACATCTCCCTCGTCCACTATCGCATCGACAGGAGGTCGGAATGACTGCTGACCACGGGATCTATCTAGACTACGTATTCGTCGACGAACATAATCGACACAAGAGACTGAAGGGTAAGTGAGGCCCAGCGCCGCATCACAACGTATGACTCCCATTCTAAGAGATGACAGTAATGCGGGCCTGCAATGGCTGTCGGAAGAGAAAGATCAAGTGTGATGCAGCCACAACCAATACATGGCCGTGCTCGGCATGCACGCGCCTCAAACTCGTCTGTGTTCCACCCACTATCGGACAGGACGGCGATTTTGGCCCCGATTCTCAAGGCATCGAATTCGACACTGCAGGTCCTTCCGGTGCTCCCGAGGGCTCTCATCACGCTTTTCCGGTGCCTCCAGCCTATCGAGACGGCAGCCAGGCGACCGTGGGATCTATGCCTTCCTACGATGGAATAGGCCTGTATCCTCAGTTTGTGCACGCTCCCCCGAGTCAAACCGGATTGTATAACGATATGCGGTCGCCTCCGATGGTCTCGCCACACCAGTCATATCAACAGCCTCAAATGTTTGCTGGAGCACAATCGTCTTCCTTAGGAACCGACCGCGCCGTTTATGTCGAAAGTGACCCTTCGACTGCGGAGAACCTCAGTGACGTTCTTGGAGAGCTGAAAATTGACGAGACAGGCATCGGTATGATTTCGTTCCCCGGTTGTTGACCCCAAATTGCTGACATGCCTTCTGTAGCCCCATATATTAGGAGGCAAAGAATGGACCGCACTGAGCCCGATGCACCTGTTCAAGATGACGTCGAGGAAAGGCTTCCACCCCTCAGCACAGGCGCGGGTGCGACAATCCGGATTCCTCCCGAACTTATGCCCTCAGACGACGATGTGATGAACTACTTCCAAATATACTTCGATGAGATCCACCCTTACGTGCCCGTCATACCGCGGGCTCATCTATACTATCAATGGCAGAACGACCGCAGCTCCATCTCCCCCTTCTTCTTGAGGCCTTGTTTGCATGCGCTGGCCGATTATCTGACGAGCCGGCGGAGGGCGCTCAGTGGCTAGCTCTGGCAAACAGTGAGTCCAATATCCATTCCTTGATGCGAGACCTGCAATTGCTGACGTGTTTCTTACCTCTACCAGGGCACGAGACTAGCTTCATGGATGTTCCCCGTTTAAGTACTATTCAAGCTCTTCTTCTCTTACTGAAAGCCAGGGAGTCTTTGCCCAAAAAGGGCTATTACTACCGATCCTGGCAGACCGTCAAGACAATTGTCTCAATGGCCAAGGATCTGGACATTCACGAGCATTACAGTACCCATTCCGAAGGAAGACCGTGTGAATTGAGCCCAATAGAATGCCTCGTGCACACTCGAGTATGGCAGGCCCTTTTGGTGGTGGAAGTGATGATCGGAGCACCTCAAGGTGAGTTGCAGTCCTGTGTTCCAGCAATTTTTCTTAGTCTATAATCTAACATCACCCTAGGCCGCTCCGACTACGGCGTGGACCCTGAAACCGTTGATATGCGTCCGACACTAGACATCAGGGGTCTCGATCCGTACGAGATAGAACGATCCCGACAGTATGCCTATTTCGTTCGGAACGCACACCATATCCGCATTATTACGGATATCTATCACAAGGTCAAGAAACAGAAGGATTGGGGAGCCAATCCTCAATTTGTGCAGAGAAATCCGCTTTTTGCGGATTGGCTTCGTAGTTTACCAGGTGATCTGCAGGTCAACTACCCAGCCGACGGCTTGCCTCCTTGGATCCCCTCTCATTTCGTGGGCAATATGCATTCTCACTGTCATCTTGCAATCATTCTCCTACACCGTCCGCAGCTTTTAGCCTCCCAGTCCTTCGCGGCTGGGGGCGACTGGAGAGTCCATTTCTCCCTCTGCTATTCTTCAGCAAAGAATATCTGCCGGTTACAGGAAGCAATTCTCGAGAGATTTGGGCTTTCCGGTCTTCTCTACATGCAAAGGGGGATTAATTTCGCCATCTATTGTGTCCTCACCTGCACTATGCTTCACTTGGTAAGTGAGGCAATTTCTTTTGTCTACCTAAATAAAGAATGAATTCCCCTCTGACGCTACATGCAGATTGCAATTACTTCTCCAGATCCCGAGTTCAACTCCGACGCTCGTGAATTTTTCACTCGCCACATGCGCATCCTAGAGCGATGCTCTACAGCCTGGCCTATGCCCGAAATTCAGGCACAGATCGATTCATTGAAGCTAGCTTTCTCCGCTGACACCAGTCGTCCATTTGAGCTGAAACCGAGTTTCCCATACGGAAGTCCCTCGGAGCCCTATCAGCCCAGTCCGCCTATGGATGCCCACTATCATCCACACCTGAATCAGGTGTCAAGCAATGTCCAATCCAGAGTGGGTTTCAACACACATCCCATTACTCCTCCGATTTCCGCTGGTGCTGAAGACTCGAAGTCCGATACATCCTCTCAGTTACAATCTCTTGGAATGGTGCCCCATCAAGCACCTACCACCCACCCTCTAGACGCTCCATTGGTTGATGAAAACAGCTGGGATCCGACCCGCATTATCAAGTATGTGACTGACATTCGGGGCATTCGGGGCACTCGCTGACTTTCCTTTCCTCCGCACAGTCAATGGGATATGGCTTTCTCCGTGAACCCCTCCACAGTCTCCACCAGCTCTCCCCCGATGCCGATGAACAACACCCCGCAACCCATGTCAAATTTGGTGAATCACCAGTTTCCAATTCAATACAATTCGCCTTCCAAGGTGACGGTCGCGCCGACCCAGTCTGTGTCACCGCCGCAGTTCCAGACGCCACAGGTCGTTTTTAGCGCAAGAGATTGGCAGCAGAGTGTGGCGAGTGTGTATGATCCCCAGGGGTTGAAACGACGATGGAATTATCCAGTAGACCTCGACTCTGACAACATGACCAAACGACGAGGCTAAGCCTAACGGCCTTCTGCTCGACTTCGAATCAGCCTTCCACCTTATCCATTCTGTCCATCGTGGACACTCATTGTCACGCCTAGAGGTGCCTATTTTGTCCCTTACTGTTTGTTTGTATTCTTGATTCCCCTGTTCACTCTTGAGGTCTTTTGTTTTTCATGTACATGTCTTGCGCCGCAGTGCATACACGGCGCTCTTGAATCACACTTGAAACAGGGCACCTTTCATCATTGGTTGACTTAAAGGGAATATCGGATTCATGAATCCTCTTGTACATCAAAATTAGTATTGATTTGAATTAACTCTGGATAGATGGGATCTAGAATCGACAGATGTGGTTCACTTGACTTCCCTGATACCTCTATCAAGCATCAATATCCAAAGCAAGAAGAAAAAGTAAATGAGAGTCCATGTTAGATGGAACGCGGTCCTTATTGATCACAACCATGGGATTCTTCCGTTCGTCGAGGCTCTCGAGGGATATATTATCCTTGAAGAATCATGAGCCCAATCTCAACCCCGTATTGTACTGTTCAGAAGCTGGCCACGTGGAGCCTTCTGAAGGGGTGAGATCAAGGGAGAATCGGTTGTGCGGAGACTTGGGCCTCGGGTTTATGTTAGGGCGTTGATGAAAGAGCCAAAATATGCACAGCACACCTACCCGGTCAACCACGTCGACCGAGACCGATCCTCTCCTCGCGAGATCGAACTATCCGCGCCTTGTCGCCGGGAAGAGGTTTCAATTCATCGCTTGGATCGAAGTTGGGATTGGAGTTGGTCTTCCCTTGTTCTGGATGTTTGTTTTCCTCAATCTTGCGCAGCCGTGCCTCTTCAAAGGCTGCAATATCTTCAGATGTTATCGTAATGGCCGTTGGCTTGCGGCGGAGCATGATGACGGTGAATGAGGAATTGAGGAATAAGAAAGAGTTGCGTAGTCGAGGGCGAAGACAAGGGACTTCTCCGAGATCACGTGAGATCACAGTCTTCCCAAAAAGTTGCACTTCCGTGTTTCGGCCTTCCACCACATCCTCGAGCACAAGATGATTCGGCCACATCTCAGGCAGATTGCCCTGTACAGGGACCATGCTCGATTGGGATTGTCTACAGCCGTCCGTTACTTTTCCGTCTCCCGGGTCGCTTTGGAAGGCCAGGACCAACCATTTCGTATGTTATTCATGCCCTTTGACGCCGCTCGTCAATATGGCCCCCAATCCCTGGTTTATATGACATGTGTGTACTTCAATCATTGCTTACACCGGTCATACCATAGGTCAAAATGGACCAAGCCGAGGTTCGGCACCTTCAGTATCTCGCGGTCCCCGAACATTGACAAAACCCTCAACATCTGGTACCCAAAATCGAGGCCGCCCTGCCAAAGTAATTGATGCCAGGTCTTTTGCCGCACCGCGAGCGGATGGTGACTCGCCCAAGATCATTCGCAATCCCAGACTCCGAAATATTCGACCCGGCAATCAGGCACAAGGTCGTAAGTCCAAACCTGCGGCCTCGAAGAAAGCAGCTGCGAAAGGTCGAAAGCAACCTCGCTCTCGAGGCCCTAAGAAGTTCGAGGTGGATGAGGGCGAGGAGTTGTGTGCGGCCGAGATCCAACAGATTGAGCAGGACCAAGCAGCGAAGGCTCGACCAACCCCAGTCCGCTATGAGCCGCGGGATATCAACTTTTCTACACTAAAGGAGACTTGGCCTTCAATTCCCACGGATACCAATGCTCGCTCAGCTGCGGTCCTTGAGAAGCTCTCCGTTCTGAGTGGACGTATCCCGAATGGATATATCCCCCCCTATGAGTTGGGAAGGCGGATCTGGAAGGGTCAGAACGTTCTGTTCGAGAACGAGGCTGAAAAGATTGAGGCCATGCAGGAAGTCAAGCGCCTGGCTCAGCTCCGAGCAGACAAAATGTCTCAGCGAAAGGGAGACCTTGTGGAACCTCGTGAGGTCAAGTTCGGCGCCATCAATGCCGAAGACACGAAGACGTTGATGGAGACATTTGCCCAAGGGAGATACCCCACCCTCGAAGCTAGCAAGAACCAGTCAGCCGTCCTCGGCGAGGTCATCAGAAACCTCCGAAACAACGGGACATACCAGACAGCGGGCAAGCGCCCCCAGTTTTTGGCCAAGGTCGAGTCCCTCCTGTCCTCGAGTCGTGTGAAGCGCACATGAACAATGATCTGTATAATATGTGGGGTTTTTGCGAATCGGCTCGTTTCTCTTCCCTAGGCGGCCTTGTTTCCATTCACTCGTGTCTTCTTTTTTTCTTTTTTTTTTTTGCGGGCCAAAAGTCCTGTACCTAGATTACAATGTAACTGTGACTATACTACTACAACTTGGCAATTTATGTCTGCTCCAAAGTCTTTCTTGCGGCCTCAAACATGTCCTTGACATCTTTCTGGCCTTTGTCTGTAGCTTTTTCCATCTGATCGTGCGCCTTGCGGACATCGTCTGGACGCGCTAGCTTTTTCTTCTGCATCTCTTGGAGCCGCCTGTGCAGAGCCCCCCTGCAATCACGAACAGTGCTTGCAGCCTTCTCGAACGCCTGTTTGGCAGCCCTGACATTCTGGTCACGGGATTCCTTTGTCGGCGGGGGGATGGGGATGTTCAGTTGAAGTGGATTATGGGCGTCCGGCTGTGGAGTTAAGGACAAGTTTGAAGATACGATCGCCGAGGTAAGCGGTTTGATATGCTGGAAAAGAAAGACTGGGTTAAGAACGCGAACTGCAAGCGCGACAGGCCAAAGAAGTCAACTCACCTCTTCTTCGGCGGCCAGAATGGTCACCATGCGCCCTCCTTTTGGTACGACCTGAGCGAGATCTCCCAGCTTGACCGAGTCCTGGGCATCTTTGCCCAGCTGGACTTTTAGTCCCTCAAGGGAGGCGGTATTGAATCGCCCTCCGGCGCGAAGCTTCGACAGGTCGTCCTTCAAACGAGAAATGGCGGCTGCGATGCCATTCTGCAATTGTGACTGATCAAAAAGATCTTCAGATGCCTCGCCAGAGTTGAAGACCGGGTCCGGGGTGGGAGCATTTTTCGCCTTGTCCTTCTTTTTGTACAAGGCGGGGGAATTGCCAAAGCTCCGAGATTGCCGGGGAACTGGAGGACACGAGAGATACAATGGTCGCGCAGCCCGCAATGGAGCCCGTAGAACAAGACGTGGTAGTTGAGCTGTGATGCGCTGCATGGCGTGGGGGATGGAAAGTTTGAAAATTCGGGAGGTGGGAAAATCATAGTCTGAACGAAGCTAAAAGAGCTTACGCACTTGATTCTTTTTAAGTCCTTCGCGACATACTTCTCGGCACTTGCTTGAATATCTTTTCACATTTCTTTTTGTTCCTTTCCCAAAGGTCTCCTTCCCTATAAAATCGAATCTGTCTTAAGATATAGAACGGTACGACATGCAGTTCAGAGGATGGATACGTCAGACGGTATTAACGGAGTTCGTCACACATTAAATTTGCAACGTCGATCTTCGTCTACATAAGGCATACTTTTTGGAAACAAAGTAGGAAAGGAAAAAGGAAAAAAAGGAATACTGCGCCCAAGCTGCCCGGCTTCAAACACATAAGCATGGGCCAACGCTGCCCCGAGAAAATCTATACGGGCGCGGGCGCAGGCCTGAAACCAACATTTCCGATGGGAGTCGTTGTCCTATGTTCATCTCTTCGTTTAGCGAGTGGCCATGGCCTTGGTGATAAGGCGCTTGAGGGCCAGCTCCTTCTTCTTGAGGTCCTCGGGGGTCGAGTCCTCGATCTCGAGCTGAGCCATGGCGTCGCTAAGGGCGGACTCGATCTTCTCCTTGTTACCGCGCTTGAGCTTCATCGACATGCCAGGATCGGAGATGATTTCCTCAACACGAGAAATGTAAGACTCGAGCTGCTGGCGGGACTCGAACTTCTTGGTGAAAGCATCGTCGCTGGACTTGAACTTAGCAGCATCTAGAAAACGGGTTAGCATCTTATCAGGACAGACAAGGAAGACATTGGAGACTTACCCTCAACCATCTGCTCGATCTCACCGCTGGAGAGCTTGCCGACAGCGTTGGAGATGGTGATGTTTGCAGTACGGCCGGAGGACTTCTCGGTGGCAGTGACCTTCAAGATACCGTTGACGTCGACCTCGAAGACACACTCCAGAGCGGCCTCACCAGCGCGCATGGGGGGGATGGGAGCCAAAGTGAACTCGCCGAGGGAGGTGTTGTCAGCGCAGTTGGTACGCTCACCCTGGAAGACAGGGAACTGGACGGTGGTCTGGTTGTCAACGACAGTGGTGAAGGTGCGCTTCTTGATGGTGGGGACGGTCTGACCACGGTTGACGACCGGTGCGAAGATGTTACCCTCCATGGCGACACCGAGGGAGAGAGGGACGACATCAAGGAGGAGAAGATCAGCAGTCTCGGCGGAGGTGGCCTTGCCGGAGAGGATACCGGCCTGGACGGCAGCACCGTAGGCAACAGCCTCATCGGGGTTGATGCTCTGCACAAACTCATTAGCCACTGTAAAGAACGATGACAGTATCCTGTCAAGAATACGGTTGGACAAAGCTTACCTTCTCAAGCTTCTTGCCGTCGAAGAAGTCGCTAAGCAGCTTCTGGATACGGGGGATACGGGTGGAACCACCGACAAGGACGATCTCGTCGACCTTCTTCTTCTCCATGCCGGAGTCCTTCAGAACCTGCTGGACGGGCTCCAGGGTACCAGAGAAAGCCTTGGCGTTCAGGTCCTCGAAACGAGCACGAGTAATGGAGGAGTTGAAGTCCTCGCCATCGAAGAGAGAATCGATCTCAACGGTGGTTTGGGTAGCGTTGGACAGAGTACGCTTAGCACGCTCGCAAGCAGTACGCAGGCGACGGAGAGCACGGGCATCACCGGAAAGGTCCTTGCCAGTCTTGCGCTGGAACTCCTTCTTGAAGTGGTCCAAGAGGTTGGTGTCGAAGTCCTGGCCACCAAGGTGAGTGTCACCAGCAGTAGCCTTGACCGTGAAGACACCACCCTGGATGTTCAGAAGAGACACATCGAAGGTACCACCACCCAGATCGTAGATCAGGACGTTGCGCTCCTTCTCAGTCTTGCCGGAGCCCAGACCGTAGGCGATGGCAGCAGCGGTAGGCTCGTTAATGATACGGAGAACGTTCAGACCGGCGATGGCACCGGCATCCTTGGTAGCCTGACGCTGGTTATCGTTGAAGTAGGCGGGAACAGTGATGACAGCCTTCTCGACAGTCTTTCCGAGCTTGGTCTCAGCAACCTCCTTCATCTGTTTCCGTTTATTAATATTTTGAGATTCCCGCACACAATGAATTTTCACAACGTACCTTCATGAGGACCATGGAGGAGATCTCCTGGGGAGTGAAGGTCTTGTTCTCACCGAGGTACTCAACCTGGACGGCAGGGCTGCCACCCTGGTCGACAACCTTGAAGGGCCAGGACTCGACATCCTTCTTGACAATGGGGTCATCCATGCGGCGACCGATCAGACGCCTGTTTTTTTGTAACTCGAGTCAGGAACATAGTCAGAGTAATTTTGTTGTGTTACCGAGACTCACTTGATATCGAAGACGGTGTTCCTCGGGTTCATGGCGGCCTGGTTCTTGGCGGCCTCACCGATCAGACGCTCCTTGTCGGTGAAGGAGACGAAAGAGGGGGTGGTGTAGCTACCCTGGTCGTTGGCGACTGAACGCTTGGTCAGTATATATAGCACGGAAAATTTCAGGTTCAGAAAACGCACTGATCTCGACATTGGTGCCCTCATAGTTGGCAACGCAAGAGTAGGTGGTGCCTAGATGTCAAAATAGTCAGTTCTGTAGCATGTAAGGTAGATTGACAGAGAGACCGACCAAGATCGATACCGATCGCCCCGTCGTACACCGGAAGGTCCGCCATTGTGATATTGAGTTGGTGGTAATTGAAGAGTGGGAAAAGGTGGGAAAGAGGGGGGTTTTGGACGGGTCGAAATTTTTTATAAACGCTCTGCCACACATGGAAGGGCAGAAAATTTTTCGGGAGCGGTGAGTCACGTGTGGAGGCGTGGGGTTCCACTTTCGAATTCGATTTTCGACTTTCAAAGTACAAATACACTTTGTGAATTCACGGATCCTGAAAATTCAAAGAAAGAAAGAGGCAAATAATAGAAATTGTGCAATATGGAAGTGTCCCTGTGGTTCCAATACTCGCGGATTACTTTCGCTCCTCTACGGGGGTGACATTTCCAGAATGACCCCTCCATCACCGCAACAGATTGAAAAAAATTGTCACTCGCTCGTAGTCCACATCAGAACCTGGAGGTCCAGATTTTGGAACGCCCCGAGCCGGTCCTGAAATTGCTTCTAGATCGACCTTAGTTGTGCCCGGATGGAGTTGGATGTCATACGCCAGCGCAGATGCATCACCAGACGGGTGCAAACGTTGCATGCCCATTAGGGCGACAATCTTGACCTGCCGCTGGGCTGTCCCAGCGGCCAGTGTGGGCCTAACTCTCATCAAATGGCACGACGAGGGAAGGCTGACAGTAATGGTTTGCTGGGAAAGAGTAGCAGACGGGGGTATGTCCAGACACAGGTCGCGTTCCAGAGACAACGAGGGATGAGTGAAGATTTGAACGTTGCGAATCAATGCAGAATTAGCATCTACAGCACAGTCAGCGGAGCTATTCCTTTCAATTAACTTATTTCAGAATCGAGATCAACCAACCTTGACCTGGTCGCCTCCAGAGAGAATCCAATGGTGATGGCTCATGTGTTTGTTGAAATGGTGCTATAAGGGGGCAAATAGTCAGCACAGGCGCGAGACAAGGAAGATGTGATGGGGTAGCCTTACCGTCGTATGAGGAAATTCCGCTGGTTAAGTCCAAGAGAGACCCATGAAGGCCATGGGAAGGACGTGTTTCGGCATGCTGGGAGTGTGCCACCGGATTCTCGTCTTTTATTGGGCCAGTCGTATCCCGTCCATGAACGGGTACATTGTGTAGTTGCTCTGATACGGATGGAGTCGTCGCAGCGCTGGATTTAGGACTTCCCACATGTCGTCGAAGTGACCTCGTTCGAGGAGACATTTTAGGCGCATCAACATCTTGACTTGCCGAACCGGCTCTGACAAGGTCTTGTTGTCGTTTCAATGATTCATTATCAACTGTGACACCGGGTTGCGGGCCGTCATCCTTGAAAGGTGTCTCGGAGGTCTGCCCACGCATCTTCAGTGTTAACTTGGATGCCGCCGATTCCGGGTTCTTCGCCCCCATTTTTAATTTAATTCGAGGCGTTTCGGTTTCGGGATGGCCATCTACCTGAATGGGAACTGGAACGATCTTTTTGGCTTCTGCCACCCGTCGTTTAAAATGTCCCTGGTTCGATGTCAGTGCGAAGAGAACAAACGTAGCGCTGGGCAAAGACTTGCCTCCAGAACGCCAGCGAGAACCGAGATTTCGCTTCCATCTTCATTGTATTCTCTCGCGTTCCGCCAGATATAGCTGACTTCTTCTTCGAAAGATTGCCATGTGGGGTATGCAGTCACTTTCGAGTGCTTCTTGCGGCTATCGGTGCCGCGAACCTTCTTCTGAATACTCCGCAACGACACTGGGTGGTGGATAATTTCATAGTAGTCTCGGTAGATGTTGCGATCGGGCTTGCCAATAAATGGATAGGCCACTTCGTCTCCACTTGGAGTTTGTCAGTTGCCATGTATAGGCTGTCGTTCCGTCGTGATACTCACTCCGCATCTTTCAACCGGGCCAACTCCGACATAATCTTGTCCTGTGCTGCTTGAAGGCTGTCGCCCTCAAAGTTGATTTCGGTCTCTTCCTCATCCTGGGACACCGAGCTCCCGCCGACTTCATCCTCATCCGCTGGATTAGATGATGCATGATTGGCTTCTTCGACGTCCACGAGGTCATCATCCTAAAACATAGGTGCGTTAGCGATCTGAATCAACACAGGGTGCGAAAAAGGTTCATTTTTAATCGCGCAGGATGCTGCGTAGCAACACGACAACAGGTTTGATTGAGCCACGGCGACTGCGTGCTGCGCATCGGGGGTAGCTCCAGCATGTAGGTCGGGGCTCGGAGCGCAATAACGCGGCGACTTACAGACACTTTGCGGCGCTTCCCGCGGGTCCTCAGTTCAGGTGAAGCCGCAGCTGCCACGCGCCGTTTGGTACTCATTGTAAATTATGCGCAATATCGAATCGCAATTGCAATTGAGGGCAGGACAGGAAGGATAGGGTGAGTTCATACCTCGACGTGTGCAGACGCGCGCTGCGATCGTCCAATGTGGAGCCTGCCGCCTTAGGTAAGTATTTAACAGTGGTTATTGTATTACCGTAATTTATATCTTACCGGGTAGTGTCAGAGGAAGATAATGGAATGATACAGTATTGTTACACAGTTCTGGGATTCCCAAAACAAATGGACAAAACAGAGGGGCCTCAGGCATGAGATTCTGTTCCCCTCGATTTCCCATTTCCATTTTCCGCGTCCCGCAAAACAAACCCGAACTCTCCAAAACACCCTATCGAGCCGCACGTCCACAATCTCTTCCAATCTTCTTCGTCTTGGATATTTTCTGTATGTCTGCAACCCCCTCTATGACTCCCTTCTTCCAGTTTCTGAATTTTGCGTTGACCGTGCCACGTGCGAAGCAGACATTCCCCTCTTCCCCCTCTTCCCCGCGATCCTCTCTCGTCTTTCCAATGGAGATCGATCCCAGCAGACGAAACAAGAAGCCGCGCCTCTTGCTGGAGTCGGAACGCGAGCGTCTCGATGAATTCATTGACTCCATCCACTACTCGGCAAGGTAATGGCGGAATCCGGTCCGCTCCCATCGCGCACCGAAACTAACTCGGGGGAATAGATACTCAGACGACAAATACGAATATCGCCATGTGCAGCTGCCGAAGAACATGCTCAAGAAAATCCCCACGGACTATTTCGACAGTTCCAAAGGCACATTGAAATTGCTGTGGGAGGAAGAATGGCGAGCGTTGGGCATTACACAGGTGCGTTCGTTCTGGTTCTGGGCTGGTTGCGATGATTTCTAACGTGTGTGTCGATACCAGAGTTTGGGATGGGAGCATTACGAGGTGCATGAACCGGAGCCTCATATCATGCTTTTTAAGTCGGTCATTCTCGATCCTCGACCGTCCCAAGTTCACGCTTTTGCTGACTCTTTACTTAGGCGTCCTCTCAACTATCAGCCCCCAATGGGTCAATAAACTCGTCACGAATTGGTGATGCTGCGTTTAGAAATTGACACCCTCCCCTTCGCTCAGACACAAGCTACTCTGATCGGGTTTGTTGTGGGGGTTTTTTTTTTATAAGATGAACATGCATCGTCAGTATGTTCACTAGGGTCGACAACAGCTTCGTAATGGAAGTTCTGGAATGAGACATGATTTGTTTTCCCCTTCACCTCCCCTCGGACCGGCTTGGCTCGGGCTCCCTATACGTGCAAACAGAAACAAAAAAAAAAAAAAGAAAAAGATATGCAGCTTATCCAAGATGCGCTCAATGGTGTTCTTGACATCAAACCACATTCTGGGCAAGCCACTCTCCCCATTGAGCTGCTGTGAAACTGCTACTGATGCCCCGTTCTTCCACGCCCTACATTGAACATCAGTACATTCGAACTCATCTTCCGGGTGTCATTCATCTTACATTGAAGAAAACGGTCGGTGATACATGAACACCCACCACTCGATCCGCCTGGGAGTTTTAGAGAGTCGGTACGATGGGAAGGAGCTGGAGTTCCTACCTTGACCATCAACTTGATGTCATTGGTGACCTGGTTCCCAATGTTCAATTGGCCGTCTTCGCCAGGCGATTCGGGGATTTCCAACAGTTCCAAGACCTTTCTCTCATCCAAACCGACAGATCCTGCTATCTGAGCCAGTCGCTCATAGGTCTTGTTACGGGTCTCATTCACAAGGCTCACATCGAAGAATTCGGTCTGGCACTTGAACAAGGCCGCACTAAACTCCCAAAACTTTTCCGGTGCCAGTCGAAGAACGGCTGCTGCAGCCTCGTGAGTAAGTGTGGAGGATGGATGCCACGGCTGGATATGTTGACGGAAGATCACCTGGAGCTGAGGGCCATACTGCTGAGAGATTATCGGGCCCAGCGTGTTAAATGTATTGAACATTTTGGCGGAGAACTGCAAAATGTCTTAGTGGGCGCAGAGGTCGATGCGAGCGTGTAACTGACAGGGCACACATAGTCGAGGTCTAGACTCGATTAGCTTGTTTCTGGGCGTAGATAGAAAATGCGGACTCACACATTTCGAGCGTATGCTGTGTCTTTCGAAATGTCCCGGCAGGGAGCTTGAGCCCTGCGAACTTAGGAGGAACCGACATAGTTGCAAAAGGTGTCGAAGTAAGGAAGGTGAAGGGCGGAGCGTGAAGTACAACTGAAGACCGTCACTACCCCGCAACACCTAAGCCGGATAAGCTGCGGTGCATGTATGACGAATCGTGTTCGCAATTGAATAGTCCCACGGTAAAACTAACCGCAAGATCGTATCAAGTTTAAATAGCTCAAATCTCATCCAACTAGTGGCGTCATCTCATCGAAAGATTTTTCTGTCAAAGATTGATGAAGCTGCGTATGGAGTGACCGGTCGCCTTAGTTTTACGCTACGCTACTTATACGGGATTTTTCTCGTCAACTTTTCAAAATCCATGTACAGGACTAGATCCTTTAGCTACTAAACTGCAATCAGAGTTATCAGCGTTAAGAGTGAGGTACTCATCAAGTGAAAGCAACAATCCTACCGCTTCAAGTAAATTCAAATGGTATAATCATATATCCAGAGTGTCAGGCTCAACACCCGATGTTCCTACATACATCACTGGCCACCAAGTGCTCGCTGCTTCCTAGGATTCAGGTCTTTCAATTCCATTTCGACCGTACGCCATGCCGACTTAGATGGATCATACTCACCGCGGACTTCGAATCGGCAGAACCCGTTGGGCCCCTTTATGCCCACAGGGCCAGAAATGAGAAAGGTTCCACGGCGAGGTGTCCGCTTCATTCGAGCTCGATACGCATTCAATTGTAATTTAAATGCGATTGAGGCCAGGTGTAGATCCGAGCCGGGGCCCAGGTCGGGTAATGGAAGTCTTTGCAACGAAGAAATTATGGAAGATGGATGAAGTTCTGGGTCTCCGGTGGATGGTGCGCTTTCTGAAGGCCCATCCAAGATAGGGGGTTGCAGTTTTGGCTGCTCTTGGGGGCTCAGAGGATTGAGCCTTTCGTTCCTTGACAGAACATAACTTTCATTCAGAGACTCCAGAGCATCAACCGGCTGCTCTTGGGGATTCCTGAGGCGTTTCACCTGTCTCATGAGTAGTAAAAAATATGCGTCTTTGATTGCAAGTGCTACGTGCACAGGCTTCATGAATGTCTGTAGTCTGTCACCCATGTCGGGATCTAGAGGTTTTGTGACCCAAGATACTCCCTCGTCTGTTATCTCGAGTCTTTGCTCAATTAGCACTGAGAATATCATTTGACCGGAGTGAACATACCCGGATCGAAGGTATTCCGGAGGAGCGCGAGATGGAAATTGATGAACAAGCCAGAACCCGGTCAAAGAAAGAGGTCCGCCGAGGAGTTGGGACATCCGACTCGAAGCACTTTCCAAAACAAGAGATGCGAGTTCATCTGGAACTGTCAACGAAAGCACGATTGTTTCAAAATTCTTTGACATACCTCTCAAATTTTGAAGCTTCTTCCGATCCTTAGACAATTGAACGAACGCTTGCCATTCTGGGTCCGACGCGGCATACAGCTCACCTTCCCGCAATCGGGACCAGGTAAGTGGGATGAACATAGGCGCCCCATCTTCCGTATCCTTATTACTTTCCTCGTCCGTTAATTTTTCGGTGTCTCTGGGGGGTCGGTGAGGACCAGTCTCCTCAAAGCTTGACTCGAGGGTTGAATCGTCGTCGTGGGTATCGTCATCAAATCGAACCAGGACAAAAGAGGTCCACAAATGAAACGCGGCACCATAGAGGAAAAATTTTGTGAAGAAAGACCTACAAATGTTATCCGTTAGCACCCAATCATGATCCTGAAGTCAGTGTTCATAGACTCACCGTAGCCAAGGCCGCCTGAATCTCACATGCCGGACGGTCGGAGGGGCTGCGAGGGTCTGGCGAAGGCCGGTGTGGAGAGAGAAGGCGCGCGATTGACTTCGGAGCAGATGCTTGAGCCGAAGCATTGAGATTACCCAGCGTGGAATAAGGTCAGGAAGAACCGGGAGTGAAGATGCGAGTGCTGGAGATTTGGGGTGTGTCCCATCCACGTGATATCTTATCGCAACGGGGTGGACTGCGGAAGTCCACGTACGATCGAAACACTCTCGTTGCTCCGAATCATAGACACCCCCTCAAAACCACGATCATTCTGCGAAGTCTATTTTATGGCCGTCACAGCAATCGTTACTTCCCCCCTGTCCTGATCTCTTCTCGATTCCATCCTACAAAATGCGCTGGGTCTCCAAGCTCCTGGCCCTGGCGGCGACAGGTGCATTGGGGACGAATGCTCTGGAAACCTCAATTTTCACCTTTCCTTCTGACGGTGAAGGCTACAAGAGCGCTGTTCCCGAGCAACAGATTGTATCGGAAGATGTTGCCCGACTTATCCTAGAGCTTCGCGGCCATTCTTCTCTGGCATCGGTCCTTGGTCAAGTGGAGACAGATGCCGTTGGTCATCTAAATCAGTTTGCCGATGCTCAATCCACCCTTTTCGGTGGTTCTGATAGCAATGAGTCTCCCGGGAAAAGCATCATCTTCTTCGAGGGTGTTAATCAGGAAGTCGGTATGTGAAAAGGCACCTTCAAATTGAGCTTTCAGCTGATGACGACCTTCCTTCGCGACAGGCCTGAGACTACGGAAGAAGCAGCCTCACAGCCTCATAGTTCCTCATAGTTCCTCAAATCTGGCCGATGATTCACTAGAGTCTCTTGTGGAAAACGATAGCAATGGCAAACACTGCATCTATCTCAAGGATGCCAATGGGGTGGATTCGAATACTGCTCAGGTACCATTCCTCTTGCGACATTCAAGTCATATCATCTTCACCAACTAACTACGATGACTTAGTCTGTCAATGACTGTCTCCTCGTGGATCCTGTTCTCGCTCATGCAACTGGCTTGTTTGGCCCTAATCTTCTCGACTTGATCGGGTCAGTGGAAACTTGGGTCAGCAAAGATCAACAGACAACCGCTTCAAGGCTTTCACTTAAGGTATGAGACCTTACACACACACACACTCTCTCTCTCTCTCTCTCTCTCTCTCTCTCTCTCTCTCTCTCTCTCTCTCTTTCTCTCTCTCATATCAAACCCTTATCTAATTTTATTACCAGGCGAGCTCCAATGATGATGTATTCGTCATCAAATCTCTTCAATCAATCATCCAGTATCTGGCCAAGCAGTCCTCATTGAGAAATCGAGAAATCACTGCTGTACTTCTACCTGACACTCAAGGATCTCGAAACTCTGCGCAGATCCTTAGGCGAGACTCGAGAGTCTTGTCTAGATCATCTGCATCGGGTGCACAAGATGCACTTCGGAGATCTGCTCAAGACCTGCCCCTTCACTCGAATCTTGCCCCTGTTTGTCATGTCTCCAACTCATCTTGTGCTGAAGCAACAAACAATTGCTCTGGTCACGGGTCTTGCTATCTGAAATATGGATCTGGTGAGGAGGGATCTACTGGCAACTGCTACGCGTGTCGATGCCAGCAAACAGTGGTGCGGAAGAGTGATGGCACCATTCAGAAGATCCAGTGGGGTGGACCTGCCTGTCAGAAGAAAGACATTAGCTCACCTTTCTTCCTCATTGCTGGTGTCAGCGTCTTGGCAATTCTTATGGTGGGTAGCGCTATCGGTATGCTCTTTAGCATGGGGCAAGAGGAGCTCCCCAGTGTGATAAGTGCTGGCGTTGGTGGATCCAAGGCACAATCATAAGCAATTAGTCTTGGTATTTCTTGGGAAGAGAGGGGAGGTCTTTGATTTCCTTTGTTTCGTCTTCACGGGCCTCTTTGCTTTCAATGCACATTTGTCTATGCCAGATTTTGTCGCTCGGTCCATTACTTATCTTAATGAAACCCTGGCCAGAAGTTATTCGCAACATGGAAGATTGTTTTCGTGTATTTACAATCGTTGAATTCATCAGGACTGATAGCTTTTTTGTGGATGGTAGATGGTATTCATTTAATGTATGTTGAAAAAAGCATCCCGGGGTAAACTGAAGTCTGAGCCATGATCCATCCAGTCTCCGGCATTGTCAATTGGTGGATCATAAGTCACTGGAAGTCAGTCCCTTCCCATTTCTGAATATCCAAGGCGCCACGGGGACCAAAAAAAAAAAAAAAAAAAAAGAAAAGAAAAGAAAAAAAGGGGGTGGAAGAGAGAAAGAAGCAAAATGTGCCCGACATTGTCTCGTGCATATAGAATGGCCAGGTCCAGAGATAGAGAAGTCGTAGCCCGCGGACTCCCCGGGCCCGCCACCGCAAGTATTGATTAATTACAAATAGCCAAGTCATCAACAGTAAAGCTGTGCCAACCAAACATTCCAGATGTTGGTTCGTACATGCAAAGAGGTTCCAGGGTGAAGGGTTCGTAAATGGTCAAGATATAGCACTGCAAGTTCAAGTACCTGCTTCAAGCTGGCCGGGAGTACGAGGTTGAGAAGCCGCAGCCTCGGATTCTCGCAATGGCCTCTCTCCTGTTCTGGCAGGGGTCCGAGAAGACTGCCCGCGGAGACGAGCGGGAATAAATCGCGACCACTTAGACTGGAGAGGTGATGCACTTGAGTCTTGAGGTTCGCTATGCATTCGTCTTTGGCGCTCTTCTGCCTGCGGTGACCCAGTAGGTCGTTCGAGAGATGCCGGTTGGAATAGCCGGCCAGTAAATGCCATATGTACTCTGAATGGATATGCTTGGCTCCCTGAGTGAGCAGCGCGAGAGGGTCTGGCGATAATGTCCGGACGGCTTGAGGCGGCGCGACGTCCTTGGCGGTCAGAGGCAGATGCCATTTCAGCTGCTTGTGAACGGGGCTTGGGGACGTAGTAGTCAGTCTTGCACAGAGGACAGCAGGCCCTCCGGCTGGTCAGCCACGGATCGACGCAGGATGCATGGAAGGCATGTCCACAGGTGAGTCCTCGTATGTCGTCGTCGTCCTCAATGGTGTCAAGGCATATTGCACAAGAATCGCCAGGATTCGGAAGCAATTCCGCTGGAACGGCTTTTCGAATATGATCGCCTTCCTCGTCATCATCTTCTTCAAGGTCAATCGACTCGTTGACTAGTGAATGCTGCCATTTCTCTTCTGCAGCGTTTGCGTCACCTTTCGTCGGGGGATCTTCTGTTGCTGCAGGAGCCTTCTCTTCCGTTGACAACACGCGTACTTCAGAAGCCGAGTTGGGGTATTGGGCATGAACTTTATTAGAATCCATCAGTCCTTGCTGGGGCGGGGGCGATTTTGCATTCGTGGAAACATCGACCGGCGCAGAGACGACTGCGCCATCATCTTTGAGACTCTGCGGTCTGCTGTTGGGGGCGATAATGCCACCTTCCGTTGGTAGGCCTTGATTGGCACGCGATGACCTCCATACTTTGTATTTCACGAGTGGGAATCGCTCATTGACTTCGTCCATCGTCATGAGCTTCTTTTCTCGTCGTCTACGATGAGCACGGGGCATGGCCACTAGGTCGATTGGCTCTCCTGTCTCCTCGCTGCGCAGCTGACGATTTCGTTGATTGTAGCGGAAGCAGTATTTGACCCCGACGATAATCCTATCGCATGATCAGTCTACGGGTCCCATGCGGCTTTGGAATTGTCGTGAAGTTCCGTCGTCTAGTTTGAAGAAGACCGAAAGACTTACCATAAATTAGTGAAGACGACACCAAATCCGAGGGCAACGAAAAACAGGAGAGGTGAGCTTGTCGCATTCGAACCACCGCCACCACCCCCGCTGCCGCTGGTAGTGGTCGCGGCGCTTCCGGCTGAGGAGGTCGTCGATGGAGGCATTTCGAATGTAGGAGAATGTGTTAACAAGTATCGTAGGGTGTAAATCGAAAGGTCCCGGTTCGAGTTGTGGTGTCAAGTTCGTCCAAAAAAAATCGCTCCTTCTTTTGACCGATTAATCCACAAACAGCGCTCGGGTCAGCGTTGCGATGATGAAACGCTCGGGCTTATTAGTGCAATGAACTGCACGCGGTGGACAGAAGACCACTACGAGATTGAAGATAGCACATGGATCGACAACGGGGTGCAAGGGATACGCAAAGCACTGGGAAGTTTGTGTCGCTTGCAGTGCTTACGGGGATCGATAAGCCTGGGTCATAAACATCAGGACGAGGAGGGTAAATACGAAGGGGGGTTGGGAAGGGAGATGTCAAGGGTCAGGAGCAAGAAGGCTGGATGCATGCGGATGTTCAACTTAGGTGAGGATAGTTATGCCTGAGGCTCCTCAGTCACGGGAGTGCAATCCCTCGATCGTCGCTATACCCAAGAGAATATAGCAAAATGCCCCCTATTCCTTGTTGGATATGTAAACTCTCAATTCTTATTTGTATGGCTGGTGTCATCTGAGGCAGAACCGCCATCTCTTTGTGCACATTCTGAAGTTGAATGCGGGCCATAAAACGGGGTTCCCGAAGATCGGATCGTAGGCAACTTTCTTCTAGCTCTCTCTCTCTCTCTCTCTCTCTGCCAACATCACCATGGCTGAGTCGAGCGCGCACGAGGCCACCAATCCGGTGGTCTTTTTTGATATCGCCCTCGCAGGTAAGCTCTGTTGAGAACATGGAAATATAAATTCTGCCAGGATGCTAAATGTCGCAGGCGAGCCACTGGGTCGAGTGAAAATGGAACTTTTTGCCAACGTCACCCCACGTACTGCAGAGAATTTTCGGCAGTTTTGCACTGGCGAAAGTAAAAACCCCAAGGGCCAACCGCAGGGCTACAAAGGATGCAAGTTCCATCGAGTTGTGCGTGACAAAAACATTCTGGCGCATCATATACGTACTCATATCTCTTCCAGATCAAGGACTTCATGATTCAAGGAGGAGATTTTATCAACGGAGATGGAACAGGAAGCTGCACGATATATGGAACTCCGAAGTTCGCCGATGAGAATTTCGTGCTGAAGCATGACCGCCCGGGTCTCCTCAGCATGGCCGTGAGTATCTGAGATTCTCTCACGTTTGGAAGTCTCCCTGCTGACTCGTGGTCAGAATTCAGGCCCAGATACGAATGGTTGCCAGTTTTTTATCACAACTACGGCAACACCATTTCTAAACAACAAACATGTGGTTTTCGGCCAGGTCATTGATGGGATCGATGTCGTGCGCATGGTCGAACACACTCGAACCACGCGAGACAAACCTAACCAAGATGTAACGATTGTGCAATGTGGAGAAATGTAGAGAAGCCGTGTCCCAGTCGCAAGATGCAATATGCAAGGTGCAGTCCTTTCTACGAGCTACGATGAGGCCGAGCCTTAGATTAGAAACCAAGACGAAATTACAAACTTAAACAGAAATGACTTCAATTTGATTTAGTATATCAAGGAACTTAAATTTTGTTTTTATCTCTTTTCTTCGTCCTCATCTTGCCAAGCTGCAAGATAAAATAGACCAAGCCACAGTAGAACCAGGCGCGAATGTTGTCACTGGATTCAACCGAGAAGGACATAGAAAGGGGCCCATGGGCTAAGCCAATCTACAGCTTAAATTTACTCAGATAATCCGAAGCGAGCGAGATAGCTTCATCAATCTTGTCGGGGTTGATGCCGTTCCCAAGAGACGTCTGTCCCTTCCCTCCGGCCTTGCCGCCAACAGCGCTAGAGACAACGGCAGCCCAGTCATTCGCAGAAGCACCCTGATCACCGAGCTCCTAATATAGATGTTAGCAACCGAACCGCTTTTCCAGCGGCATCAGAGGGGCTGGGCACTCACCTTGGACACGTAGCAGCCGTGAGAAACTCGGGTCTGCTCAGAGTCAACCGCCATAACATACACGTTCTTGTTCTGCATCTTCGACTTGACGTGATTCAGAGATTCGCTGACGGCCTTGGCGCTTGCCGCCATCGGAAGCTTGACAACAAGCCAGGATGAGTTCTCATTTTCGGGAGACTGGAAGTAAGATGTGATTGTCTCCACGGCCTTCTTGGCCTCCAGCTTTTGCTGAGCTTTTTGGCCATCAAGAACCTGCTTGTTGATCGCGGTGAAACGCTCGCGGAACTTGGCCTTCTGGACAGCGGAGATTGTCAGCTGGTTAAGATCGACTTGGACCTGCTTGGCCTCACGCTCCTTTTCGGGGCCGAGGGGCATTGCGTCCAAGTGGTCAAGACGCTTTCCGAACTCCGCGGCAACTCGCTGCACCTCATGGGCATCCTCTCCGGTGACAGCAATGATGCGGCGAATACCTTTGGCAATGCCGTTTTCTTCCAGAACAATCAAATCTTTTATATCTCCGGTTTTTTGAACATGAGTGCCACCGCAGAATTCAATGCTGACTTGCTCCCATCGTGGATCCTTCACGTTTTGCAGAATCTCTTCCAATTCGACACCAACAGAGACGACCCGGACAGGGTCCGGGTACGTCTCACCGAAGACAGCTCTGACGCCGGAGATCTGTTGCGCAATTTCCAGTGGAACATCTTGCGAATAGACGGCGCAATTCTGCCGAATGTATTCGGTGGACTTCGCCTCAACCTTCTCCAAATCGGAATCAGAAACTGCCGCCTTGTGAGAGAAGTCAAATCGAAGCTTCTCGGCTGCTACAAGAGAGCCTTTCTGCTCGATACCATCACCCAGGACCTCTCTTAATGCGAAATTGAGGATGTGTGTACCGGTATGGTTGTTCCTGATGGGCCAGCGACGAAGCTCATCGTACTCACAAATCACAGAATCGCCCACGGAGAGTGCTCCATACTTCATGAAGCCGGTGTGGAGAACGTATCCTGCATAGACTTGGACGTCGCCGACCTCAAGCTCGGCCTGTCCATCAATAATGATTCGACCACTATCGCTTTCTTGGCCACCTTGTTCGGCATAAAAATTGGTGCAATCGAGGATAACACCCAGCTGCTCCCCATCGGGGGCTTCCCCGGTACTGTTGTAAAAATTCTTTCCATGGTAGATAGCCTTAACGTGAGCCGTGATGTTACCCTTGCCGAACTTGGCAGAATCATCCGTTTTCGTGAGATCATCCATCTTCTCCAGCTTCGAGAGGTCATGGACATCGAGCTTGACGGCGGTTGATGCGGCCTTCTTCTGGCCCTTGCTGGCCTCCTTGGCCTTCAACCGTGCTTCCTCGAACTCGGCATCGTCGATACGAAGACCACGTTCCTCAGCCATGATCTGAGTGAGATCGACGGGGAAGCCGAAGGTATCATACAGTCTCCAAACGTCCGCACCATGGAGCTTATCAGTGCCCTTGGCCTTGGATTGTTGAGCATACTGTTCAAATTGACGTTCACCTCGGTCCAAGGTCTTGGCAAATGAAAGTTCCTCCTCATCCAGAATCTCCATCACATCTTGCTGCTTTCTCTTCAACTCAGGGAACATGCCCCCGAGCTGATCGATGACCGTTGGCACGAGCTTCGAGAAGAAATTGCCGATGTCAACCTGGAAATACTTGCGAGCAAAGCGGGAGCCTCGTCGCAACACTCGACGGATCACGTAGCCACGGCCCTCGTTATTAGGAATAACACCGTCCGAGATGGCGAACATGAGCGTCCGGACATGGTCTGCAACGACACGATAGGCGGTGTCAATGCCATCGACATCTTCAGTTCCAAAAAAGCCTCGATACTCTCGAGCACCGGTCACATCCTGGATAGCTTGGAAGATCGGGGTGAAGACATCGGTATCGTAGTTCGAAGATTTGTCCTGGAGGATCGAAACCAGGCGCTCGAAGCCCATGCCGGTATCAACGTGCTTGTTGGGAAGAGGTTGCAAGCTACGGTCTGCTTCGCGATTATACTGGATGAAGACATTGTTCCAAATCTCCAGCACATTCGGATCGTCCTGGTTAACCAAGTGAGAAGCATTGCGACCACCAATGCGATCATAGTGCACTTCACTGCAAGGACCACACGGACCTTGGTCACCCATCTCCCAGAAGTTGTCCTTCATGTTTCCAGGAAGAATATGGGATTCAGGAACTCCCACTGATTTCCAGAGTTCCTTTGCTTCGAGGTCGGGCTCCAAGCCACCAGCCTTGTCACCCTCGAAGTAGGTGACGTAGAGACGGTCGGGCTGAAGTCCGTAGACCTTGGTCAAGAGGGTCCATGAATACGAGATTGCCTCCTCCTTGAAGTAATCACCGAAACTCCAATTGCCGAGCATTTCGAAAAATGTCTGTTGTGAATGGTCAGCTTCATTACAGGTCAAACGCTCGATAGCGCCGGGTGAGACTCACATGGTGGTAACTATCCTTGCCCACATCATCCAGGTCCTACATAGAGCTAGTCAGGAGGGGTTCCAGCATGGCATTTGAGATATTGTCACCCACATTGTGTTTTCCGCCAGCACGCAAGCACTGTATCATTTTCAGGTCAGCAAAAAAACACTACCGAAGCGATATCATGGATTGCAGCGGTGCTACCTTTTGCGAATTCACCGCACGCCGCAGCTTTGCAAAGTCTGATTGCGGGTCCACGGTGCCCAGGAAGATGGACTTGAACTGGTTCATTCCAGCATTGGTGAATAGGAGAGTCGGATCCGACAAGGGAACCACGGGAGACGACGGAACTGCCAGCGCAAAATAGAGAAAGAGTTAGATCAACCGGGTGGAAGGAGGGGGCGTAACAATCGCGGGGTCAAAGCCCACCAAAGGTATGTCCATTCTGTTTGAAATAGTCGAGAAAGGTGTCTCGGACCCGATGCGCGGTCCATTCAGAACCGGAACCATTGTCGGAAGCCATCCTGGCAACGGTGCGAAAAGAGGTGGTTGTGGTGTGGGCAAAGCGAGGAGGGTGGAAGGTTCTGGGAAGTCGCGCGAGACGAGGATGAGTCAAAGCCAGCTCCCCCCCCAAGAATCCCAGAAACCCGCATCGAGCAACCGCCCACTGATGATGATCGGGACCTGCTTCCCACGCCGCAACCTTCTTCACTAGTCGCAGTCTGGTCAGTGCAAAAAACCACAGGGGGTGAGAGGTGTGGATGGCGCGGAGTGATGAGAAAACCAGCAACAAGCGCCCCGCGGAAGGTGACCCCGACGGCGCGCAACCACTGACAAAGCGATTCGGACGTCTCCAGATCGGTAGGTGGCCTCGTTCGCGTGGTTGCAATGGATCAAGTTGGATCAAGTTGACACATTCTTGACTCGCGCAGATAACGATGTGTTCTCCGGTGCTCGGGCCAGTCGCGATGGCTCCCCTTACCGGCACTCCCCGAGCCAGCACGATGTGATGTTGTTGGACGACACCAAACATACCACCTACATCCACAGTTTGGACCAAGAGCTAGCTGAGCCTGATCTTCCTGACGAGGGTCTGGTCATCTTACCACTCGCCGCCAGGATGATGTCTGTGCCGAAATCCATCCTTTCCAACTCTTCACCAAAAGGCAAAGAAATGGTTCTATACACAGAGCCCACTTCTCTGACAGTCCCCAAGGATAAGGACACTGTGCGAAAGGCCATTTTGGAATCGAGGGCCCGGGCTCGTGCAGAAATCAAACACCTTTCTAGTCAGTCGATTGATGTCGATTTACCTCGTCCGAATCAAATCGTGCCCGATGCGACCACATCTTATGACGACGATCCAATGGACATTGATTCTGATCCTTGACGGTCATTGCCTACTCTCTTGGGCCTACGCTAGCTGGGAACGTAATTGCTAGGATACTGCCTTCACTTTACATGCACGTTTTAGGGTAAGGCTTCGAGCGTCAAAGAGGCTTACTGGGATGATCATGTTCGGCTACACGCATTGTTATAACATAAATATCCATAGATGAAGATTGGGAATTTATATACTCATCTTTCCACGAAACGAGGAGACAACAAACAAGAGTCTCAATGAATCGAGGAGGCCAGCTTCATCGGGATGGCGCGATTCATATTGTGATAGTTGGCTTATCACCTAGTATATATACTAATGCAGTCGATCTCTCGTACCGAGAGATCTGGCTATGACCTTTTTAGTCTATGGGTTAAGCGCGGGCATTAGCGTGTGAGATTCCAATATCAAAATATACTAGAGCAATATCCCTGCTTATCTTCATACAGTACGTACTGCTGTTAAGGCTATCATAGACTAGGTAAGGGAATAGATTAATAAAATATAAGGCGCTCGCAGAACGTCACTGGATTATTCTAAGATTAGTATTTATACTTATTCTTTTGTATTATATTTGAGCTAAGGAATAAGATAGCTGTTAAAGATAGGCTGGACTAGGTAAAGGATAAGATTATGAGGCACGACAATTCCAATTTGTATGATGAATAGAACTGAACTGATCCTTGCAGAAGGAAAGTGAACTAAATATATATATCTTCTATATTAAGATCCTTATAAACTCTACTCCTATCTACATAGTAGAGAATAAAATCTTAATTCTAAATTAAAATAGAATTACGCCTTTAGTTTCTTTATAAAGCTATTATAACCTTAGCTTAAGAGATTAATCTTAAATATAAGGTATAGGCGAAGATTGGAGTTCAAATAATGGATGTTTATTGAAAAATGAAGTTGTAATTTATCGCACTTACTCCATAGGGTTTAAGGGTGGGCGGGAGGACTGGGAAATACGTTAATTAGCTATTAATTTATCTAAAAGCATAGCTTAGACTTAGCTAAGCTTGTAGGTCATCTAATTAAAGTTATAAATAGCTTTAGAGTATCTATTTGTAGAGTCTAGCTAGTCGACTTCTTTTATAATTTAAACACTAAATAAAGCCCTATTATTCTCTTAATAATTATATTTTAGGATCTTACTAGTAATCTTTTACTGAGGTATTATTATTAATAGTGACATTATACAATAATATTTGAATTATAAATATCTAAGTAGTTCGCTAAAGACTACTATGATTAAGCTTATATCTTTATAATAATAATGATATGTAAGGAAATAAATTTCAAAATCTAATAATACCTATAAAATACTAATAGAAAGTTATAAAGTCCCTACTAAGCTTTAGGAGTTTTAGGATATTTTCTTCCCTATAGATATATTAATCCTCTTTAGACTAAAAAAGGATAGTTCTCGTTATCTATATATTAATTACTATAGCCTAAATGGGTTAAGTTAAAAATTAATACCTAACAGTATCTCTTTATTTCAAAGATATTAGACTAATTAATAAGAGGTAAATATTACGACTAAATATAAAGAAAGAAAGGCGATAAATAGAAGATTATATTTTATACGTATTAGAGTACGATCCATAACCTTTAAATAAAGGACTAGACGAAAAAAGGATAGAAGAATATGGGAGGGTAGATTCACCTTATATAGCATTAGCCTATATTCTAATAGAATTTACTATAGTATTTATAAGTTAGTTAGCCTACTTATTACTAAGAATACTTTCATATCCTAGTACCTAATAGATCTTGATATAATATTTAGCGTCCCTAAAGAGCTAGATAAGATTAGTAATATCGCGTATAATATATGTTGGACAATAAGGGCGGTGATACCACGAAACCGTTCGTGGCGCCAACCAGGCTTTGCGTACCCCCTTGATGTCTTATATCGCTTTATCCAACTAGTCGATCCAAGTTGGACAAAGGAAGACTCTTAGGATAGAATATACACTGATTGATATAGCCTAAACGAGAACAATTTACGCTTTAACTCGTAGAGGAATGATCATACTGACTAAGGGTTACTTTTACCCTTTTGTATACAAGACAAGCAAGAAAGGAACTTAGGCAGTTTCTAAAGAGAGTGAAAGGTCTGATTCTTCTACCTAGTAATCCATCGCGTATTTATAGACGAATATACCTCGGTATCACATGCTTCGGACTAAAGGAAATACCTTAAATAGAAGGGATAGAACTAAATAGAATTATATAGATCATAGACAATAATATCAGACGATAATATTATAGTTAAGGTGTAGTAAACGCAGATCAAGCGGGGTAGAAGTAGATAGAATAGTATAGAAAAGAATAAGATAGAGTGCAAAGGGCTTATGCACTCTAAATGAGCACAATCCACAATCCTCAAACAAAGGACTAAGAAGGTCTTTCTAAGCAGATAGAAAGGGATAGTAGAATATTTGAAGAGAGTGAAAGGTCTGTCATTTCTACTTAGTGTCTCGCGCGTATTTATAGACAGAAAGTGGTCAAAGTCACATGCTTTATATCAGATAAACAGAATAGAATCAGGGAAGGAAATGTGATAGAACTGATGGCGTGATGAGGGATATGTCATCGATCTGGTGGGGTAAAGAGGGGTAAGCGGTTTGGAGGGGTAAAGCATGTTCGCATTTCTTTTCTTCTTCTTCTTCTTCTTCTTCTTCTTATGTTGAATAAGAGGATACCTTCACCTAATGTAGCATTGGTCCAAATTCCAACAATATCTAATTAGGGTTTAGGGTTTTAGGGGTTCCTAGCCTAAACCTAGTTTGTCCTCTTTTATATTAAATAATAATAGGATAAATCTACTTAGTATATTAGTCGATATTCTAATAGTACCTTTTCGCCTATAATTTACACGCTAAATAGGATATTAAAATTAATAATATACCTACCTTTAAAATAGGATTCTTAATCTAGAAGCGTTAAGAGTGGCTTATTTATCTAAATATTATATTTAAAGCTACTCTAAGGTAGTATAATATAGATATATATAAGATATATAGAGCCTAGCGCTTTATAAATTTATCTTATAGAGTGAAATAGGCTAAGTTTATTAATAAATAAATCTTAGAGTAATAATAAGAATATACTAAATTATAGGCTACTTTTAAAAAATAGACTTTAACCTTAATCTAAAACTCTACTAACCTCTAAGGTAATATCTATAACTAAATTAAAATAATATCCTACCTCCCTTACTAGGACCCTTAGGAAGTCTACATTTAAATTATAAATATCTTAATTATAATAGTTTTTAGTAAGTTACTAATTATACTATTAAATTTAGACCTAGTAAATTATCTCTATATAGGACTATCTACCCTCTATTATAGATAAAGCTTTAAGTCTTATAAGAATACCTAGATAAGAACTTTCCTATTAAAAGAATTTAACCCTCTAAAAGCCCTATAGATATACTAATCCTCTTTATACTAAAAAAGGATAATTCTTTTTAGCTATATATTAATTATTATAGCCTAAATAAGATTTTAGTTAAGAATTAATACCCTTTACCCCTTATTTTAGAGATCTTAGACTATTTAATAGGCGCTAAATATTTTAGTAAAATTAATATTTAGCACGTCTATTATTAAATATAGGTAAAGGAAGGTAATAAATAAAAGATAGTGTTTTATACTTACTATAATTACTTTAAATATATAGTTATACCTTTTAGCCTAACTAATATATTTATTACTTTCTAAAATTATATCTATGTAGCCTTATATAGATTATTAGATATTTACTATATTACTTACCTTAATAATACTTTAATTTTCTTACTAAATTATAGGACTTACACTATCTATATTTAGTAAGTTCTATAATATATATATAATATATAGAGCTATTCGCGAAGGCTAGTAAAATATATATTATCTTATAGTATTTTAATAGATCTTTAGTAAGTTTCTATTATTAATTTATAGCTACTTTTATAGAGTTGTTATAATGTTTAAGTATTTTTTAGTTTCTATTACTTTTATAGATATTTTATCTAGAACTTCTCTTAAATCACTCATCTATTTATATCTCTATTAAAGGAAATAAAATAGTAAAAAACCTAGTAATATCTATTTATTAGATAAAGAAAAAAACTATATTTTATTATCTTATTAATACTTTTTAATTCGCCTTACTACTATAATACTTTAACTTATAGATAGTACAGTCAACTCTCGCTAATTACACGCCTATCATCTACACACATTGGATAAATGCACGCTTTTTGGCTGCCCGAGGGATTTGCCCCACTTTTTACTCCACTTTCACATATATAAGCCCTCATGTGTGCACACTTTGTTAATTGCACACTTTTTTCTTCTTCTCCGGCGCTTACTCAGCATAATCGACCAATCACGATGCAGGATTCCACATCACCTGACCTTCCACAAACCTCCGTCGTCCGCACTACTGTTAGGCTTTCAGCGAAGATACCCTATCCAAGACGACGAAACACCTGTGTAACCGATATCCAGAGGAAAGCACTGCGTGTCTTTGTATCTAATACACACCCAAAGCCTACTCAAAAGGCCTGTGTAGCCTGGTTCAGTGATAAATTCGGCCTGATAATTGATCGTGCCACGGTCTCTCGCATTCTTTCATCTCAATATGATTACCTAGACTACGGCGAAGCTAGGACTAAAGCGAGGAAGTCTACTGCACACTGGCCACTATTAGATGAAGCCTTATTTGAATGGCAGCGTCGTCATACAGAACAGGGGTTTCCTATGACTGGGCCCTTAATTCGTCTCAAAGCTGTAGAATATTGGAAGAAAATACCAGTTTATAAAGATCAGACTATGCCTTTATTCAGTGATGGTTGGTTAATTGGGTTTAAACGTCGACATTCAATTAAATGGCATACCTATCATGGTGAAGCTGCGTCAGTGCCTGAGTCTATCTACCATGAGATGGAAGCAATTCAGGCTATCTGCGATACCTACAAACCAGATGATATCTATAATATGGATGAAACTGGTCTTTACTGGCGTCGTATGCCTAATGGTGGGCTTTCATCTGAGGGTCGCTCCGGTCAAAAAAGAGATAAGACAAGGATCTCTATTGCTATTACATCAAATGCAACGGGTTCGGACAAATTACCACTCTGGGTAATTGGGACTGCAAAGACACCGCACGCCTTACGAGGGGTGGATTTGACGCCTTTTAGATGCGTGTGGCGCTATAATAAGAAGGCCTGGATGCGTCATGATATCATGGAAGAATGGATACGCAATTTCTACCTAAGAATAGGTAGGCAAAGGCGTGTTCTTCTATTGCTGGATAATTTCAGTGCACATCTTGTAGCACTGAAGAAAGCGCCACCACCATCTAATATAAGCGTTATCTTCCTTCCTGCGAACGCTACATCTCTATTCCAACCCCTTGATCAGGGTATCATCCAAAACCTAAAGCATTATTATCGCAAAAGCTGGTTAAGATGGATGATTATTATGCTTGACAGGGGTATTGATCCACGCGAACGAATGAGTCTAAACTACGCACTACGGTGGTTAGGTCAGGCTTGGAGAGATAAGGTTAAGGATGAGACTATTCAGAAGTGCTTTATTAAGAGTACTGTTCTTCCTGGCCGTCGTCAACAAGATCAGACTAATCAGGAGACCCCCGCGGCCGGGGATCCTGAATCAAGGCTTCTTTATTATGAGGTGGTTGAAAAGCTTGAAACCCAGCCTAATGCGGAAGGAATTTTACCATTTATGGAATTCCTTAACCCTTCAGATGAGGATATCGATACCACCGAGCCTGATATGGACGATGTCCTTCTTACTGTAGGTAGTGAGGATACTGAAGATGAGCCCGATGAGGAATATATATTTGGTCCTAAGTCAGACATATTACCCGACGCGGTGGCTCTGCGACATCTATCAGATCTATCACTATATGCTACACAAAGAGAGGGCTGCACGGAAGAGGATATAGCCTTGATTGATGCATTGACGAAGTCATTCAGGAAGCTTGAGGTAAATGGGAAGAAACAGAAGACATTGATGGAGATGGGATTTAAACCTAAATAGGAAAAGCTTCATTATATAATCCACGTGATAATTATGTCATCTTTCACGAACTGCACACATTCATTAAATGCACACAGAATTCATGCCTGGGAGGGTGTGCAATTAGCGAGAGTTGACTGTATATATTTTTAATAGCTTTTAATTTTACTATTAAATATTATTTAGGGGAAACTACCCCTATAAATAGTCTATTAGGAATATTTAGAAGGACTAAAGACACCTTAGATCCTAAACTTATTTCCTCGTTATAGTTAAGACTTACTATTAAAAAGGTACTATTTAGCCTACGGAATACTATTATTTAAGTTTTATATATAAAAGACCTAATTAATCTTAAAACCTACTTAAAATTCCCTAGTATTATTTAATTATAATATAATCCTTAGAGCGTATATATATTTTTAAATTAAAAATAAGTATTGATTAGAAATATAGTGAATTTAAGGCGAAGACCTAGAGATATAGTAATAAAGAATTATAATTTAGACTAAAAGAATAAAATATTAATATACATAATTTAGTTATATTTTAAGGTTATTTATATATCCTTATAGCGGAGAATCTATAATCAATACTACTAAAACTTTACTAAAATAACTCTTTAGCTAGATATTTTAGTTAAAATTGAACTATAGAGCTATTAAAATAAATTTTCTATTAAACTTATTAACTCTAACTAATTGCTTTAATTTTTATACTAATTTAGTATTTTTCAATTTAACTTTTCTAATTAAAACTTTAAGTAGATTCAGCCTTTATATAATAAAACAATTATTATTTTAAACCTATATAATAAATAAAAGATTTTAAAAATTTTAGACTTTATAATTTTTTTTTGTGATCTCTTATATACTACAGATTATAATATTATTAATGTTATTTTAATATAATATTAATTTATTATAATTTATTTTATAGCATTAATATACTACCGTTTTAAGAAAAATAGAAATAAAAGTATAATCTTTTGTAATAATATAAATTGACTAAGAGATACGTAGTATACTAAGGAGCGATATCTCTAAGGCACTAACCCTATAGTAAGTTTAAAAACTTACTAATTCCTTACTGACCCTTCGCTAAATTAATAATAGACTTTACTATAGGATTTCCTATAATAATCTTCGAATTAAGAATAGTTAACGTAATCTTAGTTATTATAGATAGATTTATAAAATACTATCTTTTTCTTCCCTATTTCGAAGATAAATACTATAGAACTCGCAAAATTATTTTATAATTAAGTTAAACTAAAATTTAGGCCCGTAGAGGGTATAATATCCGACTAAGAACTAGTATTTACTAGTAAATTCTAGTTAAACTATACTTTATCTCCTATATTAAACTCTAATTATTAATAGCCTTTAAGCCCTAAACTGTTGGAATTTGGACCAATGCTACATTAGGTGAAGGTATCCTCTTATTCAACATAAGAAGAAGAAGAAGAAGAAGAAGAAGAAGAAAAGAAATGCGAACATGATTTACCCCTCCAAACCGCTTACCCCTCTTTACCCCACCAGATCGATGTTTGAGGATTATGGATTGTGCTCATTTAGAGTGCATAAGCCCTTTGCACTCTATCTTATTCTTTTCCATCTTTATCGGATCAAGCCTTCCTTGGTCGGATAGTCAACGGTCCGTGGTGGGGAAGCATCAGCAAAAGCGTACCCCGCGCCACGAAAAGCTTCGTGGTATTTGCCTCCCTTTACGACCGACAATTACTAATTGTACTATAAATATCTTTAGTATAGTCACTCTAGTTTTTAGTAGTATTATATTTCCCTCTATAGTCCCCTAAGAGCTAGATTAATAGCTCTTAGCTCTGCGATATATATCTTAGTAGTATTATTAGTCCTTATTTAAGATAGGAAGGCCTTCTCTTAGCTATTAAAATAGAATATTATCGCTACTCTAATTCTTCTCTTCGTATTATTAGTGTTAATATATTGATATAGATAATAAGTAGCGGTACTTCCTAGTTAGTAATTGTCGGCCGTGTAGGGAGGCGGATACCACGAAGCTTTTCGTGGCGCGGGGTACGCTTTTGTAGATGCTTCCCCACCACAGACCGTTGACTACCCGACCAAGGAAGGCTTGATCGGATAAAGATGGAAAAAGAATAAGATAGAGTGCAAAGGGCTTATGCACTCTAAATGAGTACAATCCACAATCCTCAAACAAAGGACTAAGAAGAAGGTCTTTCTAAGCAGATAGAAAGGGATAGTAGAATATTTGAAGAGAGTGAAAGGTCTGTCATTTCTACTTGATGTCTCGCGCGTATTTATAGACAGAAAGTGGTCAAAGTCACATGCTTTATATCAGATAAACAGAATAGAATCAGGGAAGGAAATGTGATAGAGCTGATGGCGTGATGAGGGATATGTCATCGATCTGGTGGGGTAAAGAGGGGTAAGCGGTTTGGAGGGGTAAAGCATGTTCGCATTTCTTTTCTTCTTCTTCTTCTTCTTCTTCTTCTTATGTTGAATAAGAGGATACCTTCACCTAATGTAGCATTGGTTCAAATTCCAACAGTAATTTATTTATATATCTTTAGTACTTTACAATATTTCTATAAATATATAGCTAGAGGTTAAGTATATAGTCCCTAGATAAATAGCTTATACTTCTATTTACTAAATATAGCTTCTAAGGGGACCTTAAGATATTTACTTTTCTTTTATATCTATACCTCCATTATTATCTATTTACTGAGCTTTAGTCTCTAGGTAATTACAAATATTAATATCGCGTTATAGCCTTGTCTATAGTTATAATATAGTTTCTTTTATATTCTATTCTATCTATAAATAAATTAGTAATAAATTAAGTTTAGTATCTAGTACTATAGCTACTATAGTAATAAATACCTCGCTAATTAAGTAAATAATATCTATAGAAATTACCTTTTCTTATCGCGAAGGAATATAGCTATTATAGACAGTAAAATTTATATTATATAGATCTCTTATTTCTATAGCGTATCGCGTTCAATAGCCTTATTTATATATACTAGGTTATTGAATTTAACTATTGTTATATAATTTTGCTAAGTCCTAAGTTAGGTAAGTTATCTAACATATTTAATAATCGCTTTCCCTAATATTTTATTTCCTTATATAGGGAGATAATAGATAAGTTCTTTAGTTAGGTTCTGTTAGAATTTGGACCAATACTATATAAGGTGAATCTATCCTCTTGTTTTAATAATAAGAAAGTTATTAAACAAAGAAAGTTGTTAAGCTTACCCCTCCTTTTGTTACGGTATGACCTACAATATAAAGGTATCCAATATCCGCATCGGGACATAGGGAGAAACCCCCCGATAACCTGCAGATACCCTCCTCATGTAGAAGTGAGTGCCACGTGATCCCACAAACATATAAAAGGGAGATAGATATATTTACTTAATCTGGCTTTAGCAAAGATTAGAACTGTTAAGGATAGGTTGGACTAGGTAAGGGACAAGATGATGAGGCACGACAACACCAATCGTATAATAGAATAGAACTAAACTAATCCAAAACTCTGCTAGCCTCTAGGCTGACGTCCGCGACTAAAATAAGAAAGTGTCCTAACTCCCTGACTAGGACCCTCGGGAATTCCACTCCTATCTACATAGCAGAGAACTATATCTCGACCGCGAATCAGAATAAAATCGCGCCCTTAACTTATTTGTAAAACTATAGCTATAGCTTAAGAAATATATCCTAAGCTCCGGGTTACCTCTACCGAAAACCTAAGATAAAATAGTCACTACTATAGTTCGTTACTGGAGTCTTAATAATACCATTTCGGCGCCAAAACGTACCTTTTCCGATACTATAGGGGTATCTTATAGGAACTACGATTCTAAGCGCTCTTAGCCTAGCGACATCTAACGTCCCACGACTAACTTATCGCGACGATTTACCCTACGTTAGAGGTAACCTTTATTAAATAAAAACCTAATAAATCACCTATTCTACTAGAATAAAGAGTAGAACCCTCTAATACTATATTTATAATAGCCTAGATCACCTTAAACCTAATTATTCTTATTAAGCCTAAGTCTAAGCTATTATTATTGGGAATTGTTAAATTCACCCCCCCCCCTTACTATTTTCACCCCCCCTTGCCTTAGAGTTCAGGCCCCAGTTTTCTGCCAGCAGATTCTAGCCTCTTTTTTGAGGTGTCTAGTTTATTCAGCCGAAAACCCTTTATTTCAGGTTTACTTATTAAATAACTGGATTCCAGTCCCATTTAAACGCACTTTTTCCGCCATTTACGTACATCTCTATCTATTATCCAATCAGATACGTCAAACCTGATTACTCAGCACCTCTCTGACTACGCTGACTACTACGCAGGACCCTCCGATCTCCAGCGGTGGAGGCGACCGCGCCTCCACGCCCTTCACGATATCCCCGACCTCCGCGGCCTCTACCACCCCTTATATCACCCCGATCTCCACCCTGTATTTGTCCGTGGTTATGTGCTGATGGTGGAGGGCGCCCTGGGCGTCGACGAGGTGGTGGACGACGCTGGGGCTCGAACGCCGATGGCTCTCGCTGGGTGGACCTGTCAAATGTTATGTCTTGTGTGCTTTGTTGTGTGCTTTGTTGTGTGCTCTGTTGTGTGCTCTGTTGTGTGCTCTGTTGTGTGCTCTGTTGTGTGCTCTGTTGTGTGCTCTGTTGTGTGCTCTGTTGCGTGCTCGACGCCTGGGAAGACCGTATGAGGTTGGTAGCTCCAGGTGGCCTTCCACGGCGTCGAACAGGCAGAGGGTCCTGGATCAAGAGAAGAGGTTCAATAGGGGGTGCTTTGCCAAGCTCGTACAAATGCCACTGCTCATGGAAGTCTGAGGGCTCGAAGCTTCTGTTCTCTTGCTGGTACTGGATGATCAAGTGGATACATGGGTATCCCGCGGTCTCCTTTGATCTGCAGTCACAGGATGATGGGATAGGTGGTTTACCGTCTGCTCCCTTAGGAAGATATCGTTTTATTAGTGCTTCCACAGACTGTAT